TTTACTTGCTCCGTACAGAGTACGCAGTAGACTTACCCACATCCTTGGGAACTTCCCCTGTTGTCAGTAATTGAAACATAATACGAAGCAGGATTCAGCGGACAGACCAAGGCTCACCTTCCCCTTTTCCAAAAGCACAACATGTGACGGCTGGACGCATCGGAAGCATATCGGCGCCGCACTAGTTTTCAAGCCATCTGGGCAAAAGGATACTCCATACTCCATACGGAGGACTTCGTACTCCATATTGAGAAATTAATTACTCATTGAATCCTGAGACCGTGCAGTGAAAGGTGTCCCAGCGCAACCCACGTAACTTGCTGCATGGCCTGGTCCGTGGCGCCCCCCTTTCTTTCGGGTCGCTTTGCAAAGATGGCATTTGGTCCAATTGCCCCTTACAGTTCAGTGGCTATCGTTGAGCTTGCTGTTTTCAAACGTTTTAAGGAGGCTGTACTTCCTACACCGTGTCAGGCTTGTGTTTAGGTGGGACAATATTTCGATGGGCCGTCGCTTTGGCTGGGTTGTACATCTCAAAATAGGTCCGGAGTAGTGGGGATGGAGAACTTTCCATAGTACGGAGTACGCAGTACACAAAGTACACGAAGTAGTATTCAGGACTCCGTACTCCGTACTCTCTGACATTAATGAATGCAAATTAGTGTTGATTGGAATCCGAAAGTGTCCCAGTACATGTAGGTATCTGCCTAAAAGGAGAGTGTTTGGATAGGGGGTGTCGGATCGACGCATTGCATGGTGCCAGACCTGTCAATGGAAACCCGAAGTCTGAGAACCGACCATGTTCCTCTTCGTAATGCTAGTGAATGGAGAACTCCAATAGTTGTGTAACTAAATTACCACCCAAAGTCCCGAGTTGGGTATGGGGATGGTATGGCGCAACTAAAGTCCCTGGCATGAAATGGTGAGTTACTAACCAGACATTGCAGTTATCCTCCGTACAGTGCTTGTGATCTGCTTCTGCATATCAGCCGTGTCCATCATTCAATTCAATTCCCACTTTTCGGATGTCCCTTGCTTTTGTTACGTTGTACAGTCCGAGAACGGCCCTTTGGTGGCCATCGCCTATCTCTTCCCTTTGTCAGTCTTACGGAGTACGGAGGACATGGAGCGGAAAATGTCGAGGACAGTGGCTTGGGCAGCGGGCTCAGTTCAAGGAAGAGATCGGATATTTGAATGGCATTCCTTGAGGTATTCAGAAACATCTGGATCCACTCAATACCAAGGCTTTATGCATTGCCGCATAGCAGGCTGCAATAGGTACGGAGGCCTGCGTAAACCGATTGTATCTGGAGTCTGTTGATGTATTGCGCCTTTTTGTGCATATCATAGACCAACGGTTGAGTCGCATGATACTCCCGAGTCTACGGCGATGCACTCAATGGCTGAAGTTAATCTGGGGACCTTACCGAGTGCCAGCGTCCGATGTGGTTTCATTTGTATTTGCAAGGCAACGAAGCAAGGAGAGACAGAAAAACTCCCGGATCGCAATCATGTAGCGTCATAAGTACAGAGTACATCTGTACATGGGGTTGAAGATTGGCCAAGTGCCTAGGAGTCGAGACGTCTAGAAACCTTATCTCCGGTCGAGAAGCTGGGGGTAAATCAAGTACAGAGCGTGTCGTAGGCAGAGGCCGTGGGAATGAAGAGTGCGTACTACCAGAGTACATGTAAATTACTCCGTACCCTCTCCAGAATAGGGGAAACACGGATTAATTAAAGTGAATTAAACGTCCAAGGGCAAAAAAGAAGGACCAGGAAAATACGCCCCAATTTACGGACGCGAGAACCTGCTTTTGCGACCGCAATAGTCCCCCCACATGGGACTCGCAAGACGAGATCCCTGCACGACCAGGGAGGCTCGGGAAATCGATAATGATTGAGGACCTGAGAGAACGCGACACGCGAGATGAAGTCAACAGGACCAGGCTTCTGGACCAGTCAGCGCCCACAGGCTGCAGGAGACCCTGGGACGCGACCGTATCGGAGGCTTTCTGAAGTAAGAGCCATCCAGCCCAGTGCGGCACTAGTGGCTAAGGTGCTTGATGACGAGCCAACAATGGCCGAGGATTGGTCTTAATACTGGTCGATCAGGAGCCCTTTTTTTTGGGGCCGGACCTCGCATGTCCTCGGCTCAATGTTGTATGCCGATTCTGGCTATTCCCACAGAGAACACGCAGGAACTTTCGATGGACGAGGGATGCAGAGTGCTACCTACATGTAGGTACATAAAAGGGAAGAAGAAATCCAAGTGAAGAGAGTCCCGAGTAGGGGAACTGGCGAAAGGTACGGAGTACGGAGTACTGAAATGGTCTTACGGAGATCTCTCCGGCCTCTCCTTACAAAATACTAGACTCAAAACAAAATGACTGGGTCGCGGCAGACAGTTGAAAACGCAATTCGGGTTTCAAAGTTATAGCATATGCAACCTCCTAGACGCATTCGAAGAGAAATGGCTGGCCAGGAACACCCAGAAAAAAAGAAGTAGGAATCGTGACTGGCTCGAAAGTCCAGCGTTGTTGCATTGGAACAGGGCAGAAGAGGAGTGACATAATGGAGGAAGAGTGGTAGGGTAATGTGAAGGCCGTATATCCATCCGATTCACTGTTCAATACCCGAATGGGCAATTGGCAACCTGCAATCGTCAATTCTGTGGAGTTGCGTACCTAGGTATTACCTCCCTAGGTACCGACAAGGTCGGTACGGACTCGTCTACCTAGACAGTGACGCCCTTTCTTTCCAATTGAAACACCGTGAATACTTGCAAAGGTAGAAGACAGGGAGCTGTGTTGCAGGTTTCATCTGTCTGATGTCCTTGCAGCGCAAAGGTGCTAAAATTACCCCTCCCGGATACGTAAATTATGGTTTGCCGTACATGTACCCTGTATGTACTCCGTACTTTGGCGGGAGTACCGCCAATTGTAAATTTACTTTACGCTACTTCAGCCTCCACTCTGCGTCTCGTCGATTACCATACCACAGCTCTCTCTCTCTCCGTGTGTATCTCCGTGTCTTTTGTCTCAGCTTCTTAACCTCTTCCTTTTCCTTTTCCCTTTCCACACCCGCCTGGAGAGAGAAAGTAAAAAAGCTCCTCCTTGTACCTCTCTCCTTCTCTTCTTCATATCCTTTCTCCTCTTCCCCCTTTTTTTCCCTTCTCTCCTCCCCTTGCCAATTTGCGGAGACCCCCAGAGTCTGGTCTACTGGTTGGATTACGATTCGACGACATTCCAGTCGACGCAATCCTCTTCAACCCGCTGTACTAGCACTCAAGTCAAGTCGATTTACCTTCGATCTTGATCTTACACCTCGACGTTTGTTAGCTCAAACGGCGACCCCTTCCCTGTCCCTGTCCGCCCGGTGCCTCCCTGATCCTCGGACCTCGACCACTTCGACCCTCCTGTTCCAGCTCCTGCCGGTTAGACGAGCGACAGTGTACAAACCCATTCAGGTTGACGTCTCATTGATACGAATTCGCTTTCAGTATCAGATTAAGCATTGAGCTATATAAGTTGGGTGAGTGTGGAGTCTTAAATTTTCCTTGGGTGCGTTGAGGTGTGCATGGTGTCGAGTGTTGGAAATGGTCCGGTGGATAGACGAGTATCCCATAATATCTTTCGACATGAGGCAAGAAAAGAGAAGAGAGGAAAGAAACCCTTTCCGAGGTGCATGAAAAATTGGCGGGCAAAATCGGTTTTTTTGACAACCATATTCGACCATTCAACGCACGCTCACATATCCCCCGTCGAGATCTCGTTCGTCACGCAAACACAATGTGCGCCCACAGTCAGATAAGAACGGGTTCTCGAGTGATGAAGGTTGGCGGCGAGACACTCGGAAAATTATGTTCTCGACCACACTTAGGAATGAACATATTTCCAGGGCTTTAACATACTGTGTCTCACCAATGTCCAACCAGCTCCTGAACTGCTTCTATATCTTGCGGCATGGGCCATCTAAGGGGCCAAGGAACACATTATACCCTTGGGACATGCCGGATGCCGGATGATCAGGCCACAGCACCACATACCTCAATGCACTCGATCATTATCGTCAATGGTTGATTTCCATTGCCATCAAGATCTTTGGATCCTGTGAATAGACTGGCAAATAGGTGACTGACATTGTTGCCTGCGTTAGGATTTGTTCTACCTGATTTTTATTTCCGATATAAATCCACTTTGTCTCTATTGACGTGGACTTGTTCTTTCTTGGAATCATTAACGCCTTTCCCATCCAACAATCTCTTTTAATCTCTTCGCTGGGCCTTTTCTTGTTCAATTCATCACACCATTGAACAGTGAGTTCCTACCATTCCGTTACCAAGACCTTCCCCCCTGATGATTGTGGCCCCCTGCATAGGGTTATCCTCCTGCACTCCACATTCCGCAGCACTAGCCTAGGGGTGAAGACGTTGACTCGTGCTTTCATCTCTTGGTTGGTATCCAACAGAATCCTAATTCACCGGATCATTCCTGCCTAGATGCCAGTCTTGCTGTCACGGTAAGGGTTGCATTGTGCTCCTCTGCCCTAAGGCGCTTTTCTGGGTTAGTACCCCTCCGAAGGAGCGATGACCCTTTCTATCGCAGATGGTTTATCAAGACATTTCTCTACCACATCTCTCCTACCTCGTGCTGTCTTCTTTCCCACACTCTCTTCTCTCATTTTCCCGTCACTCAAGCGTCACTCTCTTAATTCTTTTGCTTTGCTTACGGCCTCCACTAATCCTAATGCTCTTCAGCCTCCGCTCTTGAAGACCCTTCTTCCTCGGAACCCTTCGGCCGCCTTTTTTTTTACAGCATCTTTCTCACGCTGGTCCACTCATTCATCGCTACAACATTCCGATCATTCATTCCTATACACTAATACCACGACTGTCACTCTCTTAATTCCGTCGTTGTCTGATAGACCCGTTCTTCAGACATCCCTTCATTGAAACGAAGCTCATACCTCGAAGTACGTTGGTCGATCCAAGTACTCCCGCAATCATGGATTATCATCGCAACTACCGCCCTTGTCCCACCTTTTTTGTGGAGGAAGATTATGGCATGGAACAACGGGCTCGTCAGGAGCGCCAGGCAAAGCAGGAGCATGACAAGCAGGTCGCTCGTGAACGCCAATATGTCATGGCAGATGAGCTGTCTAATCTCACCAGTGAGCAACTTCGGGACGATGTCTTGAGTCACATGCAGGAAATGGATGTGAGTTTCAACTGAAACCCCTCTCGCGCTGGCCTTCGGTCTGATCTCATTATCTAGAACCAAACCCTACCCGACGTCGAGTCAATTGACATCCAAACCGAGATCCAGTGGTTCATGCGACCTTACCTACTTGACTTCTTGATTGAAGCTCACACTGCATTCCAGCTTTTGCCATCGACTCTGTTCTTGGCGATCAACCTGTTGGACCGTTACTGCTCCAAGCGTGTGGTCTACAAGCGTCATTATCAGCTGGTTGGCTGTGCAGCTTTGCTTATTGCGGCCAAGTACAATGATAAGAAAGACCGCGTTCCCACCATCAAAGAATTGAAGTCGATGTGCTGTTCTCTCTATGATGACGATATGTTTACTCAAATGGAATGGCATGTTCTCCAGACACTTGGCTGGTCCATTGGACACCCGACTGTCGACGCATTCTTGCAGCATGCTGTTCTCGATGATGCGTACGACCCCGAAGTGGAACACATGTCTCTTTACATCCTAGAGATTGCCTTGTTCCACCGAGACTTTGTCGGCAAGCTGTCATCTGAACTTGCTCGTGCCGCCCTTGCGTTATCGCGCTGCATTCTCAATCGACCGCAACCTCGTCACACTCACTGGGCTTCGCAATACGACTCAATGACTCTGGTTGCCTTGTCCCAACAGTTGCATCAACCCTCGACGGTCGTTGCTCGCAAGTATGCCTCGGCTCACTACTCTCGTGTCTCCAAGGTGATGGAAAATTTCCTTAACCGCCAAGCTTCATTGGTCAACTACGCCCGTTGCACTCCTCCTGTGGAGACCCCTACCGAGTCCAAGCCGTACAATGGGGAGATGGGTCTTGCCACCCCCTCAGAAGTCACAGCAATTAACAGCTGTTCCGCATGGGTACCTAACCCCTCCCATCACGCCAGACAACGAGGCACTCATGCATGTCCATGCGCACATGGCGAACCACGATCTGCCCCACAAAATTCCCTCTGGCCACCATGGATGCTCACCTTCCCCCACCCCATCCACTGAGATGCAATACATGAACACCGAAGCATACCAGCAGGAGGCCATGTACATGGCTCAACAAGCAGCTCTCCAGCAGTTCCCCGCGGCGCCTACTCACATGGGAATCAGCCAGACTTATCAGGGTGGGATGTAAATGAAACGACCGAAACGAACTGTTAATTGGTTGCACATATTTCCAAACAGTTCACCCGCATTCTTCCTCCGCATTGACTCGATATCCTCGTTCTAATATTCAATGCGCAATATCGGCTGTCAATCTGTGCCATATCTTCCGAACTTGACTGCATCTTCTTTCGTCCTTTCACGCTTTGCATTTGACTCCGGTTTCTGAGGAGCCGGGGTCGAGACCAGCCCTTCACTTCCTGTTCCAAAAATTGCATACCCATTTGCTTCCCATACCCATTAATTTTGGGTCATCAGTTGCACTTGATTTTAACCATCTAGCATTGCGAGCGCGAGCCATGTTGATTTACTTGTTTTTTCAAGAATACATTTTTGCTATTGCCCACACCCACCCCCTCCCCCACTCCCCTCGTCATATTTACTTCTCTTCTACATGTCAAGGACCACAACATATCCTTGTACTTTTGTTGTATTTCTGCGCGCCAGTTGGCGCAGCGCTTTTGATATCCCAATCCCCTTTGCCCTCCACGATCCTTAGCAGCATGGCTGCCTGTCCCCTGTTTGCATTCACCTCGCGCCCTCTGAAAAACTCCCAAAATCGGTTTTTAATGTGCCTCATTTCATCCCTGCGTTCCGCTGCCCTGCGCAACGTGGAGCCTGGCTTAATGACACAACCATCTCAAGCCAGGTCCTTGGACTCACAGAGGTCACAAAAAAAGCAAAAAAAGTGAGAAAACCCGGAAAAAATTATATGTCTTCCGGGGAGGAAAGAACACCGGAGTTCAAATTTGGTTGAACTTATCAAAGGTTGTCTTTCCTCCCTCTGCTCTCCTCTTCCTTTGTATCTAGCCCTTAACACATGCCCCCGATGCTTACCCGTTATAACGGGAGGCATGGTGCATTTTTGACCTCTCTCTTGTGTGTGAAATATGAAAACGAGATTATCGGTCGTGCCTTTCGGCCCTGAATCCGATCTCATTTCAGTGAACTTTTTGGATCTTTGTAGATGTAGTCTGTTGCTCTAAACTCCGTATGCTTGTAGGGTACCTTGTCTCCTTCGTGAGATCCCTGATGACTATAGTCCAGTCTCCAATCCCAAAGGTCAATAATCTCGGTGAACGATGGGAATTCGAGACCGTAAACCCTTTCTCCATCCTGTTCAACTCTCGACTTTTATTTTCTTCCCCAGGCCTCCTTCTCTCAGCTCCCGTACATACTCTTCTTCATCAACATGCTTTTTTATCGAGTATATCGTAAACCCACAAGGCCTAGCAGATATAACGACCTAAAGATATGTTTCCTATGCCCTCGAAGAGTAGATTGCTCGCCTATGGACCAATCTCTCTCTGTGACTACCACGGCTTGAGAGGATCTGAAGGGGGCAGGGGCCCAGCAAAGTCCAACGTTGCCGGGACATTTCCCATTCCAAAGCAAACTAGGTAGCCCCTTACAGTGACGCCCGAGCAGCCATTCCAAACGAACAAGGTACCTCGGTCACTTCAGACCCATCCTGCCAGGCTTCATGGATGACAGAAATACCCGTATTATGCGCCATCACCAGAGAAACACATTCAACTAATCCTGCAAGATACAGAGTACATTCATCCCAATATCCAAGAGACTCCGCACAAGGAATACGAGACCAAGAGAAAAAGAGAAAAAGAATAATCGAATGACTCATGGATATTCCAAAATGTCCTATACTCCATAGATGCATGCACAGCGTCCCAACAAACCGAAACAGCCCAACCCCATGTCCAAAAAAATTACTGTGATGATAAAACAATTGATATTTCTTATACAATTCTCGCTCGCAGAATCCAGCAGATCCATAATAGATTGCTCCCCACGCTATGCAATGGAACCAAAAAATTAACCAAAAAAATATAGAAAAAAAAAACAGATAGGGTGGGCGTAGCCCAATTAGCTGTCAAAGCGTGGCCCTGCAGCTTGCTGCGAGGGATCAGTCAGAAATGAATGTGTAGTCTCAACAGTCACCAGTAAAGTTGGATAACGGAGAATGTAAAAAAAAGGAGAGAGAGAGAGGGGTGGGGGAGGTAGGGTAGGGGAGACAAGTATAGCCAGGGGCCATCCCAAGACGGTGAAACCCCGAGAGATTGGGGGAAATAAGGGCAAACATTGTCTAAAGTGTCAAAGCAAACAAAAAAAAAAATGCCTCCGGAACTCCATAATGATACAAGTGAAGAGAAGAGTGGAGACCCGAAAATCCGGGGAGACGCAGGGATGAGGAAGGGCAAAAGACGGCAGGAATCCAGATCAGAAGAGACGCTCTTTCAAGAAAACCCCCGATTCGGTCAGGGGCGTATACACAGAGAGAGCGTGCATTAAAGCGGTGACGACGAGGCAGTTCCCCTTTGCCAAAATAAAAAGGGGGGTTGTTTAGCGCCCAATGAGTTCCCCCAAATGGAGGTTAGTCGATCATCGCCTCACTTTCGGTGCTCTCTTTCTTTGGGCCGTTTTTTTGGGTGTTCGTTTGTTGTTTTTCTTTGGTCTGGACCTCTTGTGACGCGCGGTTAAAATGGTCCGCGTCTTTTTCTTTCTTGTTCCCTTTCTAGCTTGGCGAGCCATCTATGGTCAGAGGCATAGTCGGGGGCCAAAGAGACTATTTCCAGCGTTGCTTGTCCCAGTCTGATGGCCGTGTTTCATCGTATATTTGGCCGCCCTTGTTGTGGATGATGACCGGAGGTTTGCGGACGGGATTGGCTGCTGGGGGGTGTGCATTAGCTCGGGCTGAATCTGGAGATCGAGGACAGGGATGTTGGGTCACTTACTCCGGACTTCGGTGGGTACGACTTGGTTGCTGCTGCCTCGGCTGGCGAGCGTGGAGTTGGAGTCGTTCACTTTGTGTGGCATTGTGAATGGGATGGTGGGAATTGGGGATGGGTGTAGGGTGATGGAGGTATGGAGAAGAAAAGATGAAGGGAGACGAGAGATATTAGGGTATTAAAGAGTCGAGGTCAGATCGATGTATAGAAAGAGCGTCAAGCTTGAAGCAGCACACAGTGTTGAACTATGAGGCGATTATCCGAAACAAAAGATAGGGATATAAAGGTATATACGGAGGATAGCAGAAGACGATAAAATAGAAAGGCCGTAGTTGATGGAATTGGTTGTAAAAGTTTGGATGAAGCAAGAAGGGCGACGAGCTTCTTTTTGTATAGACGGTCATTCCACATTGAGCTTCACCTGATCTACACTCCGGGGAACACCTACGTTGAGCTCCTATCGAGAATGGATCACCCCTGACGTATTTGGTTCCTGGTAATTACCTCTGGGGCCACGCTCCGGGCATTGATTGGCCTGGGGAGCAGATCCAAAGCAGGGCAGCCAGTCAGTGGCCAGCGACAGGCGGCGGCGTCGGCAGCAAAGAGCCAGTACGAGACGGTACCGAACAGTATGTACGGGACCGTTAGTGACCCGCCATCTCCGCCAATCAAAGGTACTAAAAGGTAATAAAAGGTAATCTAGTGTATTCTATGTATTATACGCGTGACCCGTACAATAATGCTGAGTCAGCCCATTCCTCTGTAAATAGCATCAGGGGCTATTTTGTCGAAATTGGACTGGTAAAAACGCAATTCCCCAGGTTTCGTTCACCGCTATGATTTCCTCGCCAATGGCGGCTGCATGGCCTCTCCATTCTCCGTACGGAGTAATGTACAACATAAGACTACCGACCTACTCCGTACCTAGAGACGGAGTACCGACGCCTTTCACCGCCAGTAGAACTCCACTGGGGTCCAGAGCAATGATTATTCTCTTGGATGCTCATTTTTTGGCCCATGTCTTCCAATAGTATCTCCCAGGGAGACCCTGCCTAATCGTGATTAGGCTTCGATGATCTGTCTATTTTCCCGATAGCCCGAAAAATAATAATCCATGTATGCAAGCATATACCTGTCCCTATATAGCAATGCATAAACAAGTCATAGTCTCGTTGGTAGGGCACGCATGTGCGTCATTCTCCATCCCAGGCCGCGATTCGGGCCCAGTCAACCCTTTCCTGGTCAATCATTTTCCAAAATGACCCCGAGCTTCCCCGGCAACGCGTCTGAACTAGCAATGGGATTGCGAAGCGTGGGGATTGCGAGTCCCCGGTGGGACACAGGATTCTAGACCAGCCCCCTCGAAAAAGCGTTTCAGTGCGATTGTCCACCGCCCTCTCGCTTCATCCGATCTTGCCACCCGTTCATGCTGCGCCGAATTCCCAACGTCCGTCGCGGTGCTTGTTGAATCATCGACATCGTGGTCGTGTGGAACGTGGATGCCGCCTGGAACCCGCCTGTGGATGTTTCGAGCTTCGCCTCGCTTGCTCCGGCTGGCCCGCCTGTGGCACCATTGTTTCTGCTCTGTTCCTGCGTCATCGATGTCCTGCCAGGGTTCAAGGTTGTTGGTTTGGATGGAGCGGCCAGCCACGTGTAGCCATCAGCGTTTGTAGGCTCCAGCGTTGGCCGCGTTGGGATGAGTGGCCGCGGTTGCACACGGTGAGTGGAGAGAGCAGAGGGGACAAGATTGCCTCTGGCTGTTGGATGCTGCCTTTGCAATTGCGGTATCTCGTATCTGCCGGTGGATGATGGCTGCCGGCGGCTAGGTAGGACTGGTTCCCTCTTCTGGGAGGATCCTGGGCCTGCGAAGAAGTTGGAAATGCTTGCTTGCGTCAGCCCGTCTTTGCGGCCTGCACTGCTGGACGTGATCGGCTTGTTTGCTCCAGCTGCATCTGCAGCGGGCTTTAAGGCTGACTCCGCGGGTGGTTCGGGGTTGGCCGCTATGTAATCCCTAGCAGATGTAAAGCCCGATGAGACCGTCGGAGGAATCGTAAACCCTGTCGATGACATGTAGATGGTCGAGGTTGGTCCTTGGTGCATATCTGAGCGCCGTCGCTTTGGATTCGGCTCGTCAGAGGCGTCACGAGAAGTAGACGTGTCATCGATTTTGCTGCGATCTTCTTCGCCCTCGGCTGTCCACCGGTCATCCAGTGTCGATGGAAGAAAATCGAGGCCCTTGTAGATGTCCTCCAAAGATGGTCGGGGCCGGCGGAGAATATCCGCAATCGCATACACCACCTCCTCATGGAGTGATGGCCCCGTTTGCCGAAAGCGTGTTTTGGTCAACTTGGGAGGGAGGAATGGCGTTAAAGTGGTCGCGCCATCTTCTCCTTCTCCTAGTCGGGGTTGCCGAATAGGAATACTCAAGTACAGCAGCGCTTGTGCTCTTGTCATCGCGACATACAACAATCGTCTCTCTTCTTCTACCACTTCCGCCCGAGAATGAGGGATACTCCCATTGTAGACCGCAGGAACAAAGATGACTGGCCACTCCAAGCCCTTAGCAGCGTGGATGGTCGAGATGGTGACTTTCTCAGTAGGTTGATCCTCCTCCTTCTTATCTTCTTTGGTGGTGATCTCCGTAGCCAAGGCAACATTTGCCAGGAATCGAGTGAGAGCTTCTTCGCCAGGATGTGCTTGCTGCTGCTGCAAGCCTTCGATTTCGGGCAGGTCCATTTCTTTGTCAACCTCCTCCTCTTCAAATGCAGCCACTTCAGTAGCTTGGTGCATAAGTTCCTTGACATTCGCCCAGCGACTATCTTCGTCAAGTGGATATGTTCTGATGAGGTATTCCTGGAACGACAAACGCTCGGCAATGAATTCAATCAGCAGACGTGGAGCGGATGCATCATCACACTCTTGTAATTTTTGTCTAGAGGCTTCAATCAAATTGACCAAAACGCAAAGGCCCTGCTCTGCGGCTTTTTGTAGTTTCTTCTCAGTTGAACGTCGACCTTGGATAACGTCCTTAATGAAGTTCCACAGTGGGACTTGGGCCCTTTCCGCACCGCTAGTCAATTGCTTGATCGTCTCGTCGCCGATCCTTCGCGGCGGAACATTCACGATATTCAACAATGCATCCGAATGCCCCGTGTGGCTAACAACCCTCATATAATTAAGAAGGATTTTGACTTCAGTTCGATCGAAGAATTTGCGACCTCCAACCATCTTGTATGGTATACCTGCTCTGCCAAATGCCGTCTCAATTTGTGTAGATAGCGAAGCTGATCGAAGCAAGACAGCGAAGTCAGACATGCGCAGTAGTCCACCGGACATCGCTGCACATCGCTTAATTTCGAGGACCATCCACTGAGCCTCTGCGTTGGGATTCGGAAGTCTCCGCAATACCGGCAATGTTCCGAACGAGTGTGTGGCCTGGAGAGCTTTTGCAGGTCGACTCTCATCCTGTTCAATGACTTCTTGGGCTGCATTCAGAATAGAACCCGCAGAGCGGTAATTGTCTGCCAAGTGCACAATAGTCGTGTTCGAATACCGCTGCTGCATCCGCTTGAGGTTCTGGATCTCCGCAGAACGAAACCCGTATATACTTTGATCTGGATCTCCGACGATGGTAATCCGTCGGTTCTTCGATGCAAACAAATTCATTAGTTCGTACTGGATAATATTTGTATCCTGGAACTCATCCACCAAAACGGCCTGCACATTTGACACACATTGCGGGTGTGCTCGTAGCAGATCCCCACATCGCAGAAGGAGATCATCGTAATCTAGGAGATTGGAAGCTGCCAATGCCGATTCATAGTCGCGATAGATATCGACAAGCTCCGATTCCTCTGCCTTGGCTCTGTCAGCCAGGGCATCAGGGCTGAGTCCATGTGCTTTGTGCCGCGAAATGCGTCCTTGGGCTGCTTTGGGTTCAATGCTAGACTTCAGGCGTTTGATAGTCCTCTGCCACCATCATCAGAAATAGTGAATAACATTTTACTATGGACAATCATACCCTCATAATTGCGCGGGTGTCATCCGAATCCGCGATACCAAACCCCTTCCGCAAGCCGATCAAGTATCCATACTTGACCAAGTAGCGACGACAGATGGAATGGAACGTCCCAAGAATCAATCGCGATTCTAGCTTTTCACCAATAAGTTTTGCCAGCCGCTCTCGCATCTCACGGCTGGCTTTAATGGTGAATGTACAGCAGATAACATCTTGTGGTTGGTATCCGTGGTGTGAGAGAAGGTAGGCGACACGCGCGGTCAATGTCTTTGTTTTGCCTGAACCTGGTGGTGCAAGCACTTGGAGAATAGATCCAGATGAGGTCACAGCCTCGCGCTGGGCATGATTCAAGCCATCTAAGATCGGATCCATGACATGTGGGGGTGTTGGACCAATACTAGGGTGCTCGCGAGAGGAGGCGCGAGAAAACGCGTTGTCATGTGACACTTCCACTGCATACGGACGAGATTGATTTTTTGAATAGTTAAAGGATTAGGAATTTGATACTTGATTTTTGCTCGGGTTATTGAGGATGAATCCATGGTATATTGCAAGAGGATTAATTATGAGGTTAGGACAGTGGGTGATAGTGGTAGAGCTGTTTAGTCTGAGCACAGTACTACATGTTCCAGGCTTTTGATCCTATATAGGTACTTTCCTATTGGTTTCTCGGTTTAAATGTGGATTTCAAGAATCTCACACCTTCTCTAGCCATTGTGTAAGAATCAAATATAAATGTGGCGATAACTCGATACCAGAAAGTACTAAGCACATATGCAGGCGTGGGCATCATACTCATCTTTTCTAGTCTAAATGGCATAGAACCTTCCAAGGGGTTGACTTTAATATTGCTTGCTACTTCACATATCGGTATATGTACTTGACAGTGCAGGCGATGAATAGACGCACGTGTCTCTCTCGTATAGACTGCACTAGACCTTTCCAAGGTGGTGCTTCTGTCGGCATGTGGTTTGTACAAATCCAAAGCATTGACTTCCCCCATCCCGTGAACAGAGCATTGCTCCAGTATAAACCTTCTTTGGTACTGTATTCTCATAGAGAAGATACCGACAACATTGCTGAACGATCACTTAAGGTTATCATCTTGGAACGTCGAGCCGGATGCCAGCCCAGATCTACTCAATTGCCTCAACAATCACTTAAACGAGATATTTTACTTCAAGCAAGGCAAGACCAGCGACCCGTCTTGCTAACTCCACTTACGGAGATTACCCAGAATGGCAGGTGATGCTCAACTTCTATGTTGGATATGGTCACTCAAGAGAACCAGAGAAAAATGGCTCCATATACTGGAGCAAACCCATCTAGGCACCTATCCAACAGCCTATTCAGGCAGGTCGGAAGAGACGAGACGTATATGCATACGTAAGTTTCCTTGAAAGCCCTACTCAGGTGGACCAAAGAGCTATCCCGAGTCTCCATTGCACACTAGACCTTTTCACGAATATGACATCTCTTCACAAGCGTCAAACTTTAAGATAATCCCTGCTCAACGATCTCGATCTCGGAACCAAAAAAAAGGCCAATCGTTTCATTATAACACAGATAACCCGGAAGGCCCCAAGTGTTACCCAGGTATGATAGGCCTGGTGGATTTCTCTGTACCGAAAACGTCCGCCAACCGTCACCTTCCCACATTTTCCCAGCCTGGGCATGATTTCAAATCAAGCTCGAACGATATACGTGGTCGTTTGAACTCGAATATGCAGTCTTCGGAGTCCGATGTAGGAACCTGGGACCCTTGTCCTAACATGCAAACTAAAGAAAAATTTGAATCTAACAGGCATCACCCCGGGATGTCGGGGGTTACCTTGCATGACTCGCTGGAAGGGATATCCCTTCTTTTTGATTCTGCTCGATTATTCTACGTTCAGCTTTCACCGGTAGTGGGCCCTATGTCTTTCTCCGTTCCGAATCCCGACCTGCCTATCTGATACAAGCGCTCAAGGGAAGTGGGCGAGTGGGACAAGGGTTGAAGATTGGCACGCACGGCCAATTCCTGGGTGGCGGAGTTCGGTAATTCACTGCCGGAGCCCTGAAGGCTAGTGGTGAGGTTTTTGTGTTTCAGTGGACATTTGGACAGGCTACATAGGGGATGAGCGGAAGACTTCGGGATTTTAGGCCACTTAGCCATTTGGCCAGACCCGGTTAAGGAGTGAAGCAGAACGGATTTCCTCGCCTTTGTCCAGTCTCATAGAATAGGTCTATAGTTAGGCAGTTATCCTTATACTATTGTTTGAATCTGCCGTAGGCTTGCTTCACAGCTACCGAGTATCCAATTTCGGAAATATCAGCCCATGGTATTCAATTATGTAAAGAATATAATGCTCGCTTAACGCTTGCTCTGCATGCAAATGCATCATCTCATCCACACCAATATATGTCCAATTCAAATGAAATCAAAATAAATCAAAGTTCTCGGGAGGGTATCATGCCAGTATATGTCCTCTTGAAATCAACAATGGACATCAAAACAAGAAGCAAAAAAGGGAAGAATTAAGAGAAAATGCCCAAAGGCAAAGTCATAGCCACTTCAAAGTTCGGCACGTTGACTACTTCGGCAATCTGCAGGTCACCAGCAACACTAGCAAGAATGTATGCCTCGCTGCGAGTAAGACCCTTAGTCTGCACCAACCACTGAATAAGATTCCGGGTCGCGCTTCTGGTAGCCTCGTACAGGTCAGGAGCAATGCCGAGAGCACCATAAGTTCCCAGGTCGGGCAGGGGGTTTGGTATTTGCGCGCGGGGCGGAGTCTGGAATTGAGGAGCGGTCATCCAGGTCTGGTCCTTGAGGAGTTCAAAGCGGAGGGTAGCGCGGATCGGGGTTTCGATGGCAGTGCCGCAGACCTCACCGTGGCCCTGGGCGGCATGGCCATCACCGCAGCTGAAGAAGGCACCGGCAGTCTGAACAGGAAGATAAACGGTAGAGCCGACACTCAGCTCGCGGCAATCCATGTTTCCGCCGGCGTTTGTGGGCGGCACAGTCGAAAGTTCTTCATCGCTGGCGGGGGCGAGACCCATGCATCCAAGGAAGGGACGCAGCGGGATGCGCATATCCTTAAACTGAGCGAAGCCGGCTTCGCGGTTTAGTTCCCAGATCTTGATCTCGGGTTCTAGGAATTCGTCTGCCAGCAGACCGAAACCTGGAATGATGGCGGACCAGCCCCAATCGGCAACTTCCAGGTCGAGAACTTCCACCTTGAGGACGTCGCCGGGCTGGGCGTCGTTCATATAAATCGGGCCGAAGACGGGATTGACTAGACCGAGATCCAAGGTCTTGATGGCCGAGGCCTGGGATGACGTGTCAAGCTGGCCATTGCTACTGTCGATGGCGTCAAAAGTGACCGTCTCCCCGGACGAGACTGTAAGCTTCGGGGTATTTTGTCGAGACCACTTTTGATGGCCACATTCTCTTCCGACGTGAAAATTACCCCATTGCTTTGGTGCCATGCCGGATGTTTGAGTCGGAGGAGCCCGGGTGTTGGTCAGGCTCATTCGGGTGAAATTATATAGGGAAACGAAGTCAACGCAATAACGACAAAATAAAATCCGAGAAGAAGAAAGGGAAAGAAAAAGTAAGGGAAAAAAAAAGGTGGCAAGTTGGATGATGGGCGACTTTGTATCAACGACGGGAGATCCTCTTCAGGGTTGACCGTTCTGGAAGGTGCCTATAACCCGGATCTTATGCTTCTTTTTTTTTAACTCCACCCCGAGAACGAGTCGCCTGCCTAAAGGAGTTTGACAGATTTCCAGCAGATTGGTCCATTAAGAGCCCCTGTTCTTCCAGATCCATTGGAGTTCGGCTGCATCTTAGATGAAAAAGGATAAAGCGGCAGTAAGCGACAAACCCTCATTTATCCGCGTGTTCGATATATAACACTAGACTGTTAGGAACTGATCGTTCCATGCTTCGATGATCCAATGGACTCAATGATCCAAGGGATCCCTTCTACCTCTATCTAGGCAGTTCTTATGCGTATAGTTGTATACAAGTTGAGCGAAGAATGAAACCCAAGGCCAAAGCCGAGTAAACCCCATGGAATTCTCCGTATAAACGCCACCCACTGGATTGATTGGCTCTAGGGACTTGTCTTTTGAGATAATTTCTGTTAGCTTCCAAGAAATAAGAACTTCTTGGAAAAAAAAAGAAGCCCAAGATTAAAACTCGGAAATCACCAACACCACCTTCTTCATTGGGTAAGGAGCGAACCGTTGGTGGGCTGCAAGTGGCACAGCTGCACAACATTCTCTGGACAACGGAGTCGCCTACATCGCATAGTATTGGTTTCACGATCCCTGTCCATCCAGCATCGCTATAATGCACGATGCATTGTCACTGTGAGGTGTATTGGCGCTACTGGTGGCGATTTCTTGTGCGATCTCACTCGCTGGTCTTCCCCGCATCGACAATTTCATCACGTGTTGCACCAGGCTGGCGTCGTCCACCCGATCAGTAACCCCGTCGGAGACCACCACTAACAGGTAACGGCGGTCTGTGTGCAATGTCCGCCGCGAAGTATAGGGTTCATTGGACAGGAAGTTGCCCCGAGATTCCGATCGGCTGGTAGCCGAGGAGGGGTCTAACACGGAGTTGTCCGTGAACGTATTCACCGGGTTCTTGTACTGCAGGTCGCCTAATGCTCGAGACATGTTCAAGGACCCTGTCCCATCATTAGTACTTGGATTTTTTCCCATATCTCTATCAACCCACCAAGCCGGTCTGTGCCGCTGCGGTTGACAACTGCTCCGCCTGCATCTTCAATTCGGGCCTTTTCGCTGGGCATTTCGGGCTTGTGAGCCTCGGTGAGACGTCGCTAGTATCCTGTTAACGTCCATGCTCAGCCCTGCTCAAATCAATAACCCTACTATATGATACGGGTGCTCTGTTTTCCGGTCCCGCTCGGCCAGGATAACATGTGAATCGCCTAGATTGGAGACGACCATGTCGCCCTGGGTGAGGTTAATGCAACATATCGCCACCGTTGACCCTGAAAGGGCAGGTTCGGCAGATTCATGCTTGAACCTTTCGAGTAAAATGCGGTCTTCTTCGGCCAGGGCTTCCTTGATGGCTCCCACCCAATCTTCATGTTCGAATTCCGGACGCTGCGCAAGCAAGTGGTGCAAACTATGATGGACTTGTTCTGAAACCAGCCCAGAACCGCTGAAAATAACAGTCAATCCCAAGACGTTGGCCAAAGGAGACAAGTCGTGGTTCTTCTTACTGGCCATCATATATTGCAAAGAATGCAACATTGTCCTTCATACTTGAAGGAAACTGATTCGGGAAAATCACCGTGCACCGATCCTCCTGATGCTTCCTGTTCCCCTGAGACTATCTCTCATGATAAGTATGATATCTGTGAAAGGAATACACACGCTGATACTTACTTGACCAGCCCCAGCATCAAAAAGTGTGATTATATCTGAGGTAGACATCGTTTTACGGAACATCTGGTCCCTCAGAGCCCTGTGAGCCACAACCATGCTAGGGTAGTTGATGTGCAGGATTTCTCCGCTGTATCACTGATGAAAAGGCCATGCGCAGTGTTCTTGAATGGACCATGATGATAAACTGACATCATGAACGCCCTTCGAAATGAGATCGATACTTTATTTAGTTATGACGCCTCATTGGTGGCATTAGGTGGCTTCCCCGGAGTTGATTCCTTCCCCAGACTTGCCAGTGTCTGGTAGATGGATGGCAATGGGCAACATTTTCTCGGCACTTGCGCAGATATACCCATCGTGGCTCTTTTCTGATTTTAGATATGTGAATAGAATACTAACTCTCGGGTCTAATAAGCTATTATCTTATACGCAATTGAATATGCAACTTTCTATACGGAGTACATTGTCCGTTGTATGAAGCCTAGATCCATTGACAGCGCACGGGCCATCTCTCTCGGCGAATCTGCAAGATGATTCCAATCAGGTACAGCAGATCTTAACTCACTCAACTCCAGTACGTTCTGCCCTATTCATTCAGTATGGGCTGGGTAGGCGTGGGTGTGCTCATCGCAACTACAGCTTATTTTCTGTACCGGTATCCTCCGCGCAGTTGGACCGAGTCTCGTTCCTTTGCCCCTCCGGAACCCAGCCCCGACACGCCATTTGCCGCTACCACCGCAGACAAGCCCGCGCAAGGCAAGACTGCCCCAGGGCCTTCAGAATCAATAGATATAGTGGAGGAGGATTCACAAAGCACACCCAAGGCTTCGGCTTCGAGCGCACCGCTCCCTGTCCGTGCGGTCCCCACGTTCAGCCTGGACAGCGACGAGAGCGAGACCTCACAACCCGCCGCGATGCCTTCCATCTCCCAAATCTCGATTGGAACAACAGAGCCCTCATCATCGACAGATCGAAACCATGAGGAATCAAAGCCCCAACCCCTACCGCGGCCATTCCCCGCGCAATCACCTAACCCCAAGACAGCAACCACCAGCGCCTCCTTGATGCCTCCTCCCCCAGTACCCCGACCAACACCTCAACCGAATCGTCTCTCCCCAACGAGCACACTTCAACCGCCACGGCCCAGCGGCAGTTCCCTCGCCCCACCGCCATCGGCAGCAGCCTCCCAACGAGGCGGCCCACCGAACATCGGCAGTCGTCTTACGAGCAGCACCCTCTCCCCAGCCCAATTATCGCTCAAGAAATCCTCCTCGCGCCAAGTGGTTCTCGAGCCGGGATTCTCACCCCTCGACTGGGCAGCGCGAGCGGCAAATCCGAAGAACCAGCTGCGCGGCGAAGGCCTTCCCCCAGGCCTGTTGCGGGTCACCCCGTCAATGCTAAAGCAGCAGCATGGGCGCAAGGGCCGAGATGCCTGGACCTCTTACCATGGCAAGGTATACAATATCTCGCCCTATGCTCCCTACCACCCAGGCGGGAAGGGCGAGCTCCTCCGCGGCGCGGGGAAGGACTCTGCGCAGCTATTCCAGGAGATCCATCCGTGGGTCAACTGGGAGGGTATCCTCGGCGAATGTCTCGTCGGGATTCTGGTTTCGGAGCATGACACCCAGGCCGAGAATGAGCTCGATGCGATGGACTGATCTGCCTTGTTTGGATTTTTCTGTTTATATCGTTTCAGCCAGTTTGTAAACCGTGTACATCTTACCACATATAGATGAGATACCCTGCTACTATAATATAAAGCGACTCGCATGCAAAAAAAAATATGTATTGGTATAAGATCGTAGCTTCAACTTTTCCCTCCCAGAGAGAAAATAACATCACCAAGCACACGCTCAAAGCTCATCCTTGACACCGTCAATAGCAACCAACTCAGTCTCAAACACCAACGTCGCACCGCCGGGGATAGGGCCAACACCACGATCACCGTAACCGAACTCAGGAGGGATAGTCAGCGTGCGCTTCTCGCCAATGCACATATCCAGCAGACCCTGGTCCCATCTGTGTCGGAAGAGCATTAGCACAGTAAACAAAACGGGGAGAATCTGTAACGCAATTGCGCATTTCTCCGATCTTCTAACTCACCCCTTGATGACACGGCCGGTACCCAGCTTGAAGTTCAACGGCGCTTTGCGCTTGTAGCTGTTGTCGAACTCGGATCCGTCGGACTGCAGGGTGCCGCGGTAGTGCATGGAGACTCCGTCGCCCTTGACTGTCTTGCGGGTGCATTCGACAGCGTTGGTGACTTCGATGCCGAGATCGGCGGCGGCGGCGAGGGAGCCCAGAGCGGCGACGAGGATGGAGGTGAGACGCATTTTGGTATGGCAGAGATGGGGGATTGGGGGACTGGGGATGTGGACAGATGGGCGGAGATGGGACGGAGGGTTTAGCGTTGGTCTGTGCTTTTCATATCCCCGTTCAAAATGGTTATAGATGAAATATACTAGATCGATGCTTCTTGAAGCATGTTATTTCAATGTCATTGGATGAAAGAGGGTATTTTGTGAGATCTAAAAGTGATCTCGATATGTCACAAACATAAATCCCGAGGTCGGGTTAGCAGCTCTACATAGATATAAATATATAATGTGGTAGTCTAGTCTGTTTATGATTGCATATCTTCTTGTACTTCGGTTCAAGCAATTGCCATTTCAAAACACGATAACATCCGATCCCTAACTCCCCGTCCATTGCTGTCCATCGACCTAACTCCTAACTGTCTGATCCACAACCTTATCACCAGGAATGCCCTCACCAACCGTCTCATCCGCAGCAGCTTGCAAATCATCCTCCCCCATATCCCCATCCCAACCATTCGTAACCAGATAAGCCCGGAACCTCTCATCCCTTACCCTCAAATCCTCCCCCGTCAAACCAGGCACAAAGAAGTAAGTCACCAGAACACCAACAACCCCACAAATAGCAGCAACAATAAAAGTCCACTTATCACCCAGATGGCTCCTAATCGGCTGGAAAGCCTGCGTACCGACAGCAGCCCCCGCCTTCCCAATAGCCGCAGAAATCCCATAGCAAGTACCGCGCACACCGGTAGCATACGATTCAGATGAAAGCAGCCCGAGCATATTCCCCGGGCCGAAGTTGCCTGAGCTCTGCATCAGTCCGTAGAAGACGACGAAGAGAGGGATGATCTTGGTGATACGGTCGTAGGCGCAGCCGATTACCAGGCCGAAGATGAGGTACCCGCTGAAGCCGATCATCATGATAGGTTTGCGGCCGACACGATCGCAGAGAACGGCGCCTAGGAAGACGCCTGGGAGGGCGATTGCGCCGAGGAGGAGTTGCCATTCACCCGTGTGCAGGATTGTCCCGTCATGCACGACCGAGGAAATGATTGTGCCGGAGAAGACGCCGTTGGGGAACGTGACGAAGTCTGTAGATGTTACTACTGCGTGTCTGTAATGTCTGTAAGTACTGGGGCTCGCTCTTACCGTAGAGGAACCAGGCACCGCAAGTGCCGATCAATGCTTTCCAATAATACCGTAGCACTAGCATGTAGGGCACGCGCTTCTTGATTGCGCCGCGTCGGTACAGAAGGGAGTTCAGCATGCGGATGCGGAAATAGAATACTGACAGCGGCCAAATGCACCCTATGCCAAAGCATACTCGCCACACGGTGCTGTAGTGAGACTGGTGGCAGGCGGAGAGTACAATTAAGAAGATCGATACTGCGAATGGGCCCCCGAATGACAGGGGGAAGTTGGTCACCATGATGAATGCCGGTCCTCGGTGCTTGGGGGTTAGATCGTTTGCTGCTTCCGAGGCAGAGGTCGAGGATGCTGGATACTCGCCACCAGCGCCTGGAGGCTGTTAGTATGGAATGTATGGGGTGCTGGTTTCTGTCTTGGAGGTGGACTTGCCAAACCCAACGATACCACGGGCAACCGTCATCATCCAGAACATGCCCTCGATTGTGACGCCATGGGAGGCTGTGGCGAGGATCCCTCCGATGACAATCATGAAGGTGGTGAAGACAATAGCGGTCTTACGACCGAGATAGTCGCATGTTAATCTATATTGTCAGTCGTTAGACGGTATATATAGTCGCCATATCTGATCCCTACCCGATGATGACCTGTCCGATAACTTCGCCGACAAGCAAAGCATTAGAAACACGTGTGCTGACAGTAGTGGTGTATTCCTTCGGGTATTCCTTCTTGAGGAGGACGTTGGTCATCGTCCTATATATTCATGACTGACATCAGATCCACTCATGTATGACAGAAACAACGGTTGACTCACATCAGGTTATTCTGATATCCATCACTGATCAATGCGAACCCACTAGCAAACTATCGAAGGTCATAATTAGTTGTTATAGTGGAAGGTATAGTGGGTAGTGGGTATACGCAGGTATATCAGGATGAAACACCTACAATAGTGAAGAGATCAGACAGACTTTGTCGCTTCGACGACACATCCGACGAGGGAGTAGTATCATCGTGCTCAATGGTGTCGCGTGTCACAACCACAGTCTCATCACACTTGGGAAGTGCAGTCAAGTCACGCTCCGAAGCCATCTCGTCAGCCCTAAGAGATGACTTTGGATCAAAGGTTCACCGTGGCTCTTTGAGACGGAACTAAGTGGGATCAGAGAAGAGAGAAGAACAAGAAGAGACGTTCGAGAAGTCGCACCTATGTATTTCATTTTCATCTTGTTGTACAAGTCAGAGCGGGGAATCCCTGTCACCAGGAACCAGCCCTATATCAGGAGGAGGCCAAGCATAAACTCAAAATTAAGCTAATTCCCAAGAGGCTTGGTATCACCCACGTGGGTATATCACTGCCAATAGGTCATGGCTACATATTATGCTTAGCATCGTCTACGGAGATTTTATATGATATTGCTCTGAGTGAATCTTGGTTTATTGGTCCAAATAAGAATATTCGCTAAACGCCGATATGTGTATGGCTAAAACTGGCCCGGATCCCATGGGTATCACAGATGCAGAAACGATATGTGACCATAAGTAAAAAAGTTGTGAATAGAAAAGCAAAGACGTGACACATTAGACGGAAGGAATCGCCCTGGATTTTCGGTAGATGCAAAGGAAATCCCTTTACGCCCATTTGCCCAGCAAAGCCATGAGGGCAGCTCCAGCGCAAAGAAGGAAGAAAGCAAGCAACACATCGCGGATGGGAGCATTGCGCATGGAATGGCTGAACATGAACTCATGGGCCATCAGCTCAACAAGGGCAGTGTAGATAAGGATGCCAGCAGAGATAGAGTCGAAGACGCCGTTGACGATGAGTGTGGTTCGTCCAGTGGGCGGGTAGCTGTTTCGAACACCCAAGCCGATAGCGATGGCAATCGGAGTTGATAGTCCAAAGGCAAATCCCAGGAAGTAGGGAGTGTTGCGCTTTGATTTGGGCCAAGGAATCGTAGCCAGACGAGAACCAAGACCGAGCCCTTCAAAGGTCTGATGGAAGACAAGCACAATGTAGAGCGTAGTGAATTCGGAGCCAGAGACCGCAAGGGTGAGACCGATGAAGATAGAGTGGAAGATGAGACCGAACTCTAGGATGAAGATCGAAGTGAGCTGAGCGGCGTAATCCTCAATCCCCAGCACCTCATTTTCAGAGTCGCTGGTGTTGTCGTGATGTTCACGGGTATGACCAAGATGATCTTCTCCCGGCATGTGATGCTTGGGTTCAGTGGCTTCATTGACAACAGAGGAGTCATCGAGTTGAGTATGGGTGTGGCCTTCCTCGTCGTGTACATGGCCTTGGCCAAAGCGAGAGAAACGCATCACCATCAGCTCCACGAAGAAAAGAACAACAATGGTCATTAGGATGATGCCCTCAACCCAGCTGTATTCGGTGATTGGACCGGTCAAGCACTCATTGGTTAGAGCCTCTTCTGCGGGGGCTAAGAGATGGATAAAGGCAGTGGCAATGATCACACCAGATCCGAAGTACTTGGCGACAAAAAATGCCCATTTAGGAAATCCACCATTCTTAGTGTAGCGGCGGGCAAAGACAGGGAGTAGAGCACCAAACATGGAGCCAACCATGATCACGAAGATAGAGGAGATCCGCAGGCCCATGCGGCCGTCGAACTCATTACCGGAGTCACAAGCGTCTTCACGCTTGAGGAGGGTAGAGTAAGATTCCATTTTAGCCGATTGATGGTGACACAAGAAGTGTGGATCAAAGGCGGGATGAAATCAAATGTCTATGAAGGCGAATTAAGTGTACCGAATGAAACGAACAGCGGATGTCCGTGTAAGTATCTCAATTGACGAGAGAAGATTCGTGTTCACGGTTGAAGTTGAGAAGAATACGTTTGGCGACCACAAACGTGCGGCGGGGGTGTGCGAAACGCTCGCAATCCCCAAGGTCCTCGATAGTACGCGAGAGATGTAGTTGACCCACTAACCGCGCATGAGATCACTAGGAGATCCTGGCAAACGCTGAACTCTGCAAGACAGCCTGCAGATACGATTGGCTCGGACGTGACAATTGAAGGAGTTGCTTCCCCTTTCGGTCGCGCGCGTATATCGGTTGCACTGTGTGAGCCGTACGGTGCAAACTTTTCGATTCTAATAGGTTTCCTCCTACCGAGACGAGTACCCTGGGAGCGAGGTCGGAAAACTCAGCCGCGTAGAGATATAAAAGCCAGCGATCACCTCAGGAACAGAATCAAAACCGAATCAAAATTTGCGGGATATAACCATCCAGCGGACTAGCGGGGAGTCCAGGTGGGATCCATGGGGACCTTGGGAGCTCGAAGACGTCAAGGACGGACTTTGCACTCTATTGGGTTGGTACTGGGTACCTGAGGACCAATACAATCTTGGCTGTAGCCGGAAGTAGCCGGTACAACTTGGCGTGTGAGGACCTTGGGGACGGGTCAGTTTCCGCTCGCGGTGATCTAGTCACGTGGACGAGATGAAGCTCACTTACGCGTGTAGTTGATCCATGTGCTGCCATGATACTCTGTAGTTTGAATCGCATGAGACTTGAAGATTGCAAGGTTCGAAGGAACGTGGTTGACCCCCTTGGGGAGAGAAAGGCGTCTCGATCGCCAATCAGAGCACCGGCGCCAAAGGGGCTTGGCGCGATCTTGAGGTCATCGGAAGCTGCTTGACATCCCAACACTTCTTTAAACATGGCTCCCATTCGACGATATCTCCGCATCAGCAAATATTCAGTACTGGAGTGTCGCATCTATCTGGATAAACCATCTGATTCACGATGGCTCTTGAATCCTCGCGATCCTGTCCTTCCGCGCGTCATCGCTGCCATTCGACCGTTGGTCCTGCCGAAGCTGCGCGAAGAGAATGAGCGGCTATTCATGCGCAAGAAGGGAAAACCGGTTAAGGATGTTGTCGCAGAGGGTAGGACGTCATGTGTTTCATGTAATTGACAAGCTAACGCATTGTGTAGATGAGTTCGAAGTGGCCATCTTCCTTCGCGAAACCCGCACCCGCCATTCGCTCCTCACGCGAAACAAGACATTCCACAGGGAGGGTCAAGACTTGAACCTGGAGGTCAAACCGGAACATGTTTCAGAGGATACAGCTGCCAACCCGGTTAGCTTGGCGGGTGGTGAGATTATGATCGAGAGTGACGATGAAGCCGATCTAGAATTGCACAATATTCCTGAATCTGCGGATGACGTTGCATCAAGGGACGGGCAAAGGACAGACCAGGTGCAACCCGAGGACGAGGCTGGTGACGAAAAAAAGCTTCGTTTCAGCACCAATTATGAGAGCTTCAATATCTGTGGATGGGTTTTGTGTTTGTTGATCAAACGCAAGGGCGGCAAAACCAGACCAAATGCCGTGGAATCCGAGCCAACCCGGCAACCACTTATGGAAGAATGGATTTCAACTCAAGCTCAAACATCCATCGACGACTGAGGTGGAGCGAGGTTACCAGGGATGGAGCGCTCAGTATGGCTGACAAGGATTTTGCTTACGGTCAGCCTGTAGACAGCCGTGGTGGGATGATCACTCGCAAGGAGTAATACTGTTGGCACTACTATAACTGCTACTACTCTACTCCGTATACCGCCAGATTTGATTGTCCACTGTGCACACTGTTTCAAGCCCTTGCAAACGCCATAAGTATGTGCCACGTTTGCGGCCCAAAATACCGCGTTAGAGACCTTTGTCTCATCTCAAATCCCGGGTTCGAGACTCACGTTACACGGTACTTCGACTGCATGGTTTACAGAGCTGGGAGTTACTTCTGGGAACACAAAGCCTTCCCATCAACGGGCTGGGACAGGATTCGCACAACGTCATGTTGTTGACATGTGGGTGTGACTGAAGCTCAGGCAGCCATGGAGGTTTCACCAGTGGCGGGCTGTCATACTCCCCGGATGACTTCTTCAGGCACGGTGCTAGGGTTGATAGAGCCGCTGAGACGAGAATGTCAGCCACGGAGACCCCGGCACCAGGATTTGCATGCCATCAGACACCGTGTGATGACCTTGTTTTTTTCCCTGCATGTCTCGGCCATATCCATGACGCATTACACGCAAGCCCAGCGTCACTCTCACCTTTCAATTCGGCAGACATTTCGGTTCCAGAATTTTGAACCGTGGTACCCATGGATGAGCCCCCAGCCCCGGCCCGCAACTTCTAGAAGGCGAGCTAGAACCTTGGAAGATCCGTGAGTGGAGTTCAACTTGAAACAGCCCGTCTGCATCTTGTCTCGTGACACTCGACGCTCAAAAAAAGAAAATTCGGACCCGAGGTACTGGATACGGGTGCATCCTCAACATTACCGAATTACCAAATTTGGTTTTGCAACTAGCATTCGGACGATCTTTGTGTTTGCGCATCACTACTCCGTACAGAGCACTCCGTAGAGTCAGTATGCATGGATTCCATCGGAAATCTTAGTCCCCAATGCTACAGCCAATAAACGGACCATGTCAATAACTCAAATATCTCAAACCGATCGGCTACGATCAGGGGCAAATCCCGATCTGTTAGCAAATCCCATAAATCTCCGACTTTCTCAACACTCCACACCTTTTTTCCAACGGCGCGGAACGGTGGGATGGAACTAAGTGGAACGGTCCTTGCCCAACTGGGATCGTTTATTGAAGTTTGCGGACCGCTAGTTCGTAGAGTTTTCTTCCCTGTTTCTTTTTCTTTTTGCCACTCTCCCACTTTTGCCCATTCTTTTCCCCTTTCTCGGCTCCCCGGGCCTTAGTCCAGGTACACCCGTGTGGTCGCATGAGTTCCCTTCTTTTTTTTTTTTTTTTGCCACTGTCACCCCACTTTAGATACTTTTGTTCTTTTCAATCGGCGGTCAACCGGAAGAGTCAGATTCTCCTGCTTCCGATATGGGGTCCCATTGATTGTCAAGGCATTAGTAATTCATTTTACCTTCTTCTTTAAAGCGTTTGCGGAGTCCTGATTGGCAATCCCGAGTGGTACCGTTGTACGGAGTACTCCGTACAATATCCAACATTGTACTCCGTACAGCCTAGCGGGACTTGAAGCACTGACACCGGATTACTACATTAGGTAGGGCACAGTGTAGTCCTGTGGAGGTTCCAATAGAAGTTCAATTTACCTGCATCCAGTGCTGCGTCCATCGTACCATGATAATCTCTCTGCCTGACCCGATCCAAAAACAGGGAACGTGGACGGAGTACAGAGTCACAGGAAACCATTACATCTCGGGGGTGAGGTAATTTCCGGGGAAACCAGTCAACAACCCGAAACTGGGGAGATTCTTCAGCCAAGTAGTACGTGGCAGTTGTACAGAGGACGTGGGGGTGTACTTTGTACGGAGTACTCCGTACTTTGTATACATTTATGCAGACTAAGATACTCACACGACGTTTAATCGGAGTAAGTAACCGCCATCCCATGGTGAGCACGCCATCAGCGCCACAGCAAGGGGATGAAGGAGATCTTCGTGGAAAGTAAAATCGAGTTGATGCGTACTCTGTACTCCGTATAACTGGAGAATGGAAGGGGAACGAACAGGGCTCGATGGACAACCCCCTTCTCTATGAGCGATGTCCCGAGAGCCAATAATCATAAAAGGGGGAGACTTATATTGCATCCTTCGCCAGTACGGAGAGACAGGGATCCCAATTTCTCCAAATGTGCTACGACGTTGCCCTGCATGCATCAAAATAATGATGTGCAATGCACAGTCCTCTGCAGCGAGACGATCCTGGTCAGGGACTGCCAGCCACCGAATACTATAGGCGGAGGTTAATCGGCTCTGTACTCCGTCGCTGGGTGATGCTCTCATCTAAACGACACAAAAACTGGAGTTCTTTTATGTATTACATTTTGTGATTAGAGGGCCAAAGCGGGACTAACCGATAGTACCGAGTACGGCAGAGAATGTACTTGAGCAGATAGGAGAAAAAGGGATGTGTCGAATAACGGCACTATGGGATAGGATGCAGTAATTAACCCTGGCATCATATTATATCTTACTATAATCGAAACCCGCAGTCGAATACCCCAAATGTTTCTATTCTTGCCATATGTCTCAACCACACGGGTAAGAACCACGGGTAAGAACCACGGTTGAGGACGGGTCCTAGGACTTTTTTTTCTTCTTTTCTTCTTTCTTTTTTCCATGCCCCTGAGACTGTACCGAATGCGTATATGATATACGAAGTACACTTTCAGGTCGATTCGAGGTGTGTACCTGATCTGTCATATCATTTGATGAGTTCGTGGGATAGGTTTGTACATGGGATTCTCAATCCCGGCATTTTGGGCTGTCGGCTGTCAGGTCCTTTTAGTGGGATCACAAATACGAATCGGCCATTCCGTTTGCCCTAAATCAATGGGAAAAAAGAACGGGAAAGTCCCGCCAAGTACTCCGTACTCCGTACTCCGTATGGAGTATGTTGTATGGAGGAGTAGATTTTTCTTTTTGTTTTTCTTTTCTCTTTTCTCTTTTTTTTTCTTTTTCTTTTTTCGTTCTTTTTTTTCCCGCTAACACCGCTCTGGGCGATCTGCAAACCCACACGTGTTGTTACTTGACGTCTTGGTGCTCTATATTGAGTCATACGTGAGGTGCTTGGACCTATGCCTTTTATCTTGTTCCAATAGAATTCCAAATTGTGTACTCCGGAATTAGGTGGACGATAAAAAAGAAATATGATAATAATCCAAAATGACTCCCTCACCGCATCTAGGAACCGTCCCTATGGAGCCTTGGTGGGCCCACGGGAGATTGCCCTTTACCAGTGTCATCTCGCGTGGTTTCATGATTTACTGTACATATAGAAGGGGGTTTGTGAGACCGCAGAGAGTGAGGAGCGGTAGACATGCATTAGTGAGGCCCTATACCCTGAACTTTTCTCTGTCCAGGGTATATAGTGAGGTGACACGACAGATTAGTTTGATTGCTATGTCTCATATCCCTCCACTTGTCCTCCACTAGTGGTTCACCAGACACACGCGCCACAGAAGTAGTGGAGAGCTTCTAGAAAAAGAAAAGCGAAATTTCCATTGGATTTCCACTTGGGGCTGCATTATTCATCCCGAGGCTAACTTAAGTAAATCGCAATTAATTCCTACGTCAGATCAGGTGGATACTCAGCCTCCTGTTCATGGCAGGGATGTTCGATGGGGAATTTTAGGGATTTAGTCTGTAATGGTGACGGTTGACCGGAAAAGGTTGGGGGGAGAGAGAGACTTTTATTTCTATAAGAATCCTGTTCCCGTAACCTTTTCCTCTTCCTCTCTTTTCAATAATAATCTGACTACCATTTTTGTGCACAGTCTACAACTGGACTATCGCCGAACTCTCTACCTTCCAACCCTTCCAACCCTTTTAATCTTCCACACCATCCCACACCGTACACAATGCCTTCCATCGGCACTTCTCAGTTCCCTCCATGCCCCGGTCCTCCTCCCAAGGGCCCGTTGCCTCCACTGCCGAAATAAACAGTCCCCCGTCTCCTCTTCAACGAACCTGATGACCCTGGCGCATTCTGGTCTACCCAGATCCGCCCACGACCCGGACTCTCTCGGCATGGATATCACGACTTCAACTTCGACTTGGTTTCTACTTTCGGATTCTTTGTTTTCCACGACCTTGGAACACCTAATTTACACCCACAAAAGAAACCCTTGAAGCTTGTCTCGGCACAACACAAAGAGCGCTAGCTCCGCCGTCAATGCTCGTCTCTTGGCACTCCCGATCAACAATATGTCGCTAGCCACAGCGCAAAGCAAGGGTGCAAAACTTGTTTCGACTGGCCCTCGGACAATTTCTTTTGATTATCTTTTATTTTTTTCCCGATTGCTCCTGATTTTGGAGAATCCTTTCCCGCTCGAATTCTCTCGCTTTTCAGCGACCTTCCACGTTCGCTATGGGGACCCAGCGCCGGCGCCACCCCTCGACGTGCTTTAATAGCCTGTTTTGTCTCATTTCAACCCTTGACACCATCGATCACGGGTCTTCTGCGGGGATTCTGTTTCAGCTCGATCTTGATCTCTGACGCGCAGATGCGGAGCAACGTGCATCCCCCAACCCGCACATCAATTGGACAATGCGCACGTCGACCAACACCCCTGTCCTATGGGGCGTCTTGTGATCGTCCCGCCTATGCGTCATTGATCGAGTGTCTCTTCTTCATTCTCCCCGTTATGACTGGTCTCTCGACTGTCTTTTAATCCTCATGTTTCCTTTTTTTTTCATGTCTGCATCTAACCAAGTTTGGAATTGGCATTGTATCATAGACTTAGTATACCCAACAGAGCAATTTGTCTTTTCTATACGTATTCGATTCATTTCGGCAGCTCATGGGTATGTCATGCATAAACCAGCCCTGGACACTCGGGTGAAACGTTCAGCCGGCCGCGGCCGTTTCACTAATCAGCCAGCCCGAAGGTCACTAGCAAGAAAGCTAGCAGGGATGTTAATAAGGCGGGTGTCGCGGTAATCACCGTATTGCCGTCTCTTTGCGCAATCTGATTATCCATTCCAATTAAACCTTGGAAATTGAACCGAGTGTGAAGCACCAATCTGACCTCGTCGAAGCTCCCCTGATTAACAGCGCATCTACTATATCCAGTGCCATGCATGCGCCGTATGCTGGAAATGATTGGGTCTCGTGGACTCCGTATTACAGCATCTGACTCCAAACCTAGCGCTAAATCCATACCTTCCTATCTAGCACGATGACATGCATACTGCCCCCAAAACACGAGAATGCGATCTCGGAATCAGACATGGCTCGTAAAATGGCTAAACGCTAAACGGCCGAGCGGAGAACAGAACAAGATACGAGTCTTGCCCCGTCCGAGCGCTTCCGGGGGCTTTGTGAACTTCATTGGCTCTTTTACTACACTATTGCGCTATTAGTGGTGGAAATCCAGGATCTGGGAGGTTAGACCACTGGTCCCGGTATGGCGTACTCGATTTCTCTTTTCCAGCCAATTATGCGTGGGTTGTATAGCCGACCTTGTTGTTCCAGGTTTCCAGTTGATTTGTTTGAAAATCCTGCTCGATGTCGATTAAGACTGGCTATGACCTACACGTGCATTGCGTGCTGAGGTTGATCCCAATCCAGATGTCATCGTCATTGAAGAAACTATGACAATTGGTGTCCAATCTTGGATGGTGTCTTCCCCCGCTTCTACCCCTCTGCGATCTACTTCATTTTATTCATTCGATTCATGTTTACTTTTTTTTTAGTTTCTTCTCTTTGATCAACGTTTCAGTCCTGAACTAGACCGCGTTGGTGCGATCAAGTGACCCAAGCAAGCTTTCGGCCGCAAGGCTCTCGGATCTTGCCCTGAGTCTTCAAGGTCATGATTCATTGATTTTTAACTTCGCATGTCTCATCTGAAAATCACCCTAAGCCCCTGGGCAACCACGTGGTGTGCCGAATGAGGTCATTTCTTGCGGGCTTTCCCTTTATGATTGCCAATGTGGCTCAATCGGGATATCACAATGTAATAGCGCCAATGACCGAGTCTCGGTGGCAGCATCCCTGCTATTTGGGGGCGGGAATTAGGCTATCTTTACCGGAGTTCTCAGGCTCTCGGTCTTTCAGCTCTCAGGGCTGTGCCACGAGGAAATCTTGAGCCTCTTAAGGTTCCAGCTGGCATCATACGATTGAGCCCCGACGCTGCCCAAGATTTCCGAGGTTTCTTTGTTCAGGCTGAGTGAGATTGATGCCTACCCAGAAACCCGGGTCGAGTACAGCGTACTCCGCACGCTTTGATATCAAAGATACTATGTGGAACATGCATCCGATCTGTCGCAGCAAGGAACCCGTATCAACGAGATATCGTTTGATAATATGGCGCTGCCTAGCTCGTAATCCAAGCCACATGTTGTCATATTTGCTCATATCCAAGAAGCTTGGGAGCTAGCGTGCTACTTTGTTGTTTACTTTTATTTTTAATCTGCACTTTGACTTCACTGTTGATGCCATTCAGCCTGATAAGACACATCCAACCATGCAGGCCCTAAATGACGGAAGTATCTGAGAGCAGCAAACAAGAACTTACCTGTCTATTTTCGGACTCACATTATTAACAATTAGATCATAGACATTCTATCTCAGTTAAGTCTAACAAAATTATACCAAATTAGTACTGTCTTGTAGAAGCCGGACATGAAACCCGAGGTTAAACACACGTGATTCGTCCGCCCAAATCAATCGCGGCAGCTCTTCTCCTTCAAGCGCAAAGCCACCATGGTACTACAATTGCATGTATGGGGCCCGGCCTTTTCCCTGCCCTCCATTGACGCACAATGTCTCGCTGCAATCGCATACTGTTCTGAGGTCCTCCCCAAGGACTCATGGGAGCTGGTCGCGAGCAGCGATCCCTCCGTGTCCCCAACAGGTGATCAGAACAAATCAATAGCATCAACTGAAACTAGCTGCTAACAAGTCATTTTCATACAGGCGAGCTCCCTGCTCTCCAGAATGGCTCAATCTGGGTAAGCCGGTTCCGCAACATCGTCGACTACCTCCGCCAACATTCGAACGGAGCATGGCACCGGGATCGGGACCTGGATGGCGTGCAAAAGGCCGATAGCATTGCGTACGCAACCCCCTCCCAAGTCTACTACAAATACAAACAGCTAACCCTATTCCCCTCCAGCTTCTCCGCCTTCGTTGAATCCCGCGGCCAACCTCTCCTCGATCTCTCCCTCTACGTAACCAGCCAAAACTACTACACCAACACATCCCCAGCCTATGGCTCTCTCCTCCAATGGCCAAACCAATGGATCCTCCCACCCAAGCTACACAACGCCGCCAAATCCCGCACCGAACACCTCGGCCTCTCATCCCTAGACCTCCAAGCAGTGGAAGACCAACGGAAACGCGAGCACTCCGCCGCCGTAGCAGCCGGCCAGGTCCCTAGCACCATGGTCCAGCCACCCCGCGACACAGTCTCCAAACTCCTCGGCCGCACAGCCCAAACCAACCAATTCCGCCTAGAAGCCCTAACAGCCGACTTCTTCGAGCCCCTCGAAGCAATGCTCGCCCGCAGCAACAACACCTGCTTGCTTCCCGCCGATGAGGCTAACAGCCCTTCCTCCCTGGACTGCATTGCACTGGGCTACCTATCCCTAGCGCTAGTTCCGGAACTCGCCTTCCCCTGGCTGCGCGACGCCATGCGCGCCAAAGCCCCTCTGCTGACGGCGTACACAGAGCGCATGCGCACTCGCTGTTTCGGCGACGCCGTCTCCCCCGCGCAAGCCTACCAGCCCACCACACCCGCAGCCCTGCCGTGGCGCGCACCTGAGCGTATCTCCGTCGCTGCGGTCGGGAGCACACTCCTCGGCACGCTGGCGGATAACACGCCCTTCTTGAGCGAAGTGCGTCAGAACCGGCGGTTGAAGCAGACCGCAGAGTCTGACTCAACGTTCTCCTCTATCGAAAAACAGGTTCTATCGTCCTATGCGGATTCTAACACCAAGGATATGTTCGTGTCCATTGCGACTGCTGTGGCAGGCACAGCAGCCCTCCTTGGATACATGGTTCATGTGGGCTTGCTTTCCCTGTCAACCGGGGGCGCGGAAGAAGAAGAGCTCGAGGAAGAGGTAGACATATCCCAACTTGGAAGTATATCCGCGCTTGACATGTTGAGTGAATTGTAAGAAAGGCAAAGTCTGTTTACAGGATTGGTGTTTTTGAAACTATATCCGCCTTGGGCGCAAGCGAAGACTGTACGATAGCCTTGCGTTCTGTCCCTGTGGATGGCTCCATGGATTTCCTCGCTATATCAAAAAAATGGCAGATCTTTGATCTGTGCTATCTAGATCATCTCCTTTGTTTTTTAAGATTTATGATAGAACTCAAATGTATGAATCTGTTTGCACTGGGAGATAGAGGAACTGTAAGGGTAAACCCTGGGAAAGAGTATGGTGTTTCTGAGGTCCGGGCTGTCACTCAAAGCCCTAACTCCGACGTTCACATTCCACATGACGGAATGTCTCTGAGGATCATCTGTATCTGCACTTTTGGGGCTGGCTTGATGTACCAGAGTATAGATTCCTATCGGACAATATACCAAATGTATAACACAGTTCTAATTGCGCCTCATGCAAGACATAGCGCCAGCGATCATATGCACATCAAACGTGAAGACTTGGCAAAAGCATATCAAGAGCAAGTTCGTTTCAGATTTAAAGACCAACGAACAGGTGTTGGCACTAATCCTGCAAGACGAATTGACAGGGATACCAATCCTACGGCGTAGTTTAAGGCAGTTATTAGCGCTGATTAAATACAGAAGTATATGGAAGGGAAAAAAAAACACTAGCTCTAGAAAAAGGAAAAACGGAAATGATATCAACTCTCAAATCAGATGGTATATGTACAGAGAAATAGACAGAAATTTGACGCAAATCGTGACCACAAAGATATGTAAGAACCCCCTCGATGAAAGGGAACAAAGATCCATCGGGGAGGCGGCCGGAAGATGGATAGATATGTGGCCAGGATAGTTGCCGGGGGGCCAAAGCGGACCTGCGCACGCACACAGCAAATCAGAGAGATACAAGAGACATCTCCAGCGTTGGGAAGTAATTTGCGCAAAGACGAAATCTCAGTAGAGAGGACAAGATTGCTTTGAAATGGGACAAAGATACAAAAAAATCAAAAAAAAGGACGGTGGTCGATTTAAGCCCAGCCCAGGTTGACGATGAGACGGACGGGACCGGGGCCCTGGGCAATAGCCAAGTCGGGCTTGCCCTGGTCGGCGGCGGTGTAGGCGCTGACGACGCTGCCGGCACCCCTGGTGATGGAGGAGCACTTCTCACCCTCGTGGTTGCAGATCTGCATGCCATCGATTTCCATACCAGCAAGCTCGGCGATGATGCAGGAGACATCCCAGCCGGAGAAGTTGTCGTTCTGGGCGTTGCTCATGTCGAATTCACCCCAGGTGGAAGCGTAAGCACCGATCAAGTTGGTGGGAATACCTTCGCCCTCGGCGGCACCCCAACCACCCTGGGAGTTGTCATCGACGGCAACGTAGATGCTGTGACCGGGCTCGACAGTGAAGCTAAGGGCCTTGTTGGGGCTCCAGAAACCGTTCAGGCCACCATCGGGACCGTAGGAGTTCCACATAACGACGGTCCAGGCCTTGGCGTTGTCGTTCTCGAAGCGGATAACGTGCTTGTAACCGCTGGCGGCGTCTTCCTCAACGCGGATCATGTTGCTTCCCCAGGGGCTGCCGACGTTACCGACGAAGTCCCAGTCGAGGTTGCCCTTGCGCTGGCTGACGGTGGCGGAACCGAATCCAGTGGTGGTGTACTTGCCATCGGTGGGGTACTCGGCCCAGTTGCTGGAGCCGGAGGAGCTGGGGCTAGAAGGAGCGGCGGTGGGCTTGACGGAGGAGATGGCAGCAGCCTCGCTGGTGGCCTCAGCGGTAGGAGCGACAGTGGTAGTGGGGGCGGGGGTGGGGGTGGACAGGGGGGCCTCAGGGGTCTCGGGGGCCTCAGAGGGAGCGGCATCTGCAACGACATCTGCAACAACATCTGCAGCGACCTCTGCGGCGGTATTCGCAGCGGAGCCCTTGTCGCCGAACCAGTTGTTGATCCAAGAGACGAGTTGGCCGTCGATGGTAGCAAAGACCTGCTCACCGCGCTTCTCAACGTTGGCAATCTGAGGAGCAACGGTCACGGTGGGTTCGACATCAATATCGACAATGTCTCGGTGGTGTGCGTGACGACGCTCGTGGCCGTGGAGACGAGCGACAGCCGACCCAGCGGTCAGCGCCGTCATCAACAGCATAGAGTTGGAGAAATGCATATTGGACGAATTGAATCTGCAAAGGAGTGACTAGGAGCGATAAAAAAAAAAAGAAGAGAACGCTCTCGACGAAAATCCCAAATGAATGTGTGTGAGAGTAGTAGAGAAGGAAAGAAAGTGGACTAGGGGGGACTATTAGTACAATACCGAGTTACACACGGGGTTTTAGGCCCAGGCTGAACCCAAAAGGTCCCAAAAGGTCCCAAGGCTCCCAAATCAGGGGCCCTGGCCTTTTGATTCGCCGGTTCCTGGCGGTTCCTGGCCGTGCGCCTGCGCTTTTCGTGTGATTGGCTGTCCTCCGGGAGTCCAGACTCGGTCTCTTCGTACTGGGTACCTGACTCTACTATGCCTCCCATCGCGGCTGTGCAGGTACTCGTTACCTGGGTTAAGGGGTGTCTCTCCTATTAGCAGATTCTATTCTTACGGCTATTATTGTGGATGTCTATTCTTGTGATCATGAGCTGATTATTGTTCATATTGTCTTAAATGTCAAACACGTGCACCAGAATATGATCGGAATGCTGAATGCCTCTATGTGAACGTCACTCCGAGCCCAACGTTGATATCAATCTCAATGTTTACCTCCACGTATGGACTTACAAACTCTGATACTTCCAACATACATGTACATGCAGTTAAGACACGTCCCCGTCATTCCGGTTTCCCCACATAGGCCAATCGGTGAAATACCCAGCAAGGATCTAGCCTCTCCTTACGAATTCTCAAGTCGAGTAATCTTACTTATACAGGGGACAGCTCATCACCGCCAGGACAACTGTATCCAGGTCGACTGACACCTCATTGCCAGGTCATTTGAGCCCAACCGATGACAATACATTACCTTTCAGACACCTACTACTCCGTACAAGTAATGAAGATGACCATCTCACCCTGTCAATCGTATCCACGGATGTGCGCGCAACAGGGCCTGGCCGCAGATCAACGGCAGAGATTTGCCCCTACGCGGCCGATGGGTCCCCTCGATGGCTTGCTGTAAGGCATACGGAGTATCCATTCTGTAATCTTTATATCCACACTGTCTTCAAGCCACTCCCCACTCGTATGACGAGTCTTTTCGGTAGGGCGTTACCGGAAAAGGGTGTCTTCATATATTTGCCCGTCCGTTGTAGGGGCACACCTGGGCCAGGCCTATTTTCGTCTTGCACTCTATGTTGTGAGTACGGAGTACTCCATCTGAATTATGAGTCGTTTCATGCTGGAAACTTTAATCGTGGCTATTTGTCCAAATGCCCCGTGTGCTCCGTGACGGTATTTTGCCACATGCGGTTCCTGAAACGTTAGGGGGTGCAGGAACCCCGTCCCTGGCAGGTCCCCTCGCTTCTCGATGCAGGTACGTGTGGTCCATGGTCTGTGTTGGAACCCCGGAAAGATGAAGCAAATTGTACTCCATTCTGTACGGAGTACAAAATAGACCAATTGTAGAGGCCGTGGTGCGTAAATAAACAAAACCAAGGTCTGCACGGGAGAGATCCTCGGTTGGTCCGGTCTTTGGTTGTGTTTGATTGGTCGGGGGAGATTAAATCGGCGAATTTCAACCAAACTTCCAAGGCTCTTCACATCGCTTCCACGGATTTAATTCTCGACAGTGTACTCCTCCGTACCGAGTACCGAGTACAACGGTGTATATCATACTCCGTCTATTCCGGACTCAAAGACTCGCTGCTTATATTACACTACTGAATGTGGCTGGGACAAAAAATAGAATCCTATGGCAGGTGGAGAAGTTACTAATCACAGAGTGACCTTCGATTGAATTCTACGCAAAGGGGAAGTTATCATGCTTTGACCAAGGCAATAATTGCTAAGTACCTATGGAGTACGAAGTAAAAGGTTGTGTGTTCGAATGTTGTACTCCGCACGACTCCGCACTTCGCACCCAAAGGCCCTCGCAATGCCCGTACCTGGTAGAGTGGTGTTGGCGGCATTCCCTCGGCACGTTCACTTCTCTCCTAGGTCGACGCCACTCTCAAACGCAACGCCACCAGCTGCCGCATCCAATTTAAGACTATCATCTAGCCCGCAGACTCTGAACAGCATCTGAGGCGTCAACTCCTGATCCAGACCGGGCAAGCCATCTTGTTTCAGCTTCTCTAGTCCCTCTCGCATAGCAACAAGCGCCGGGCCTAGAGTCGCAAGCGGGAAGATGATAATACGGAACCCAATATCCCTCGCTTCCTGCGTAGAAATCGAAGGAGTGGATCCATGCTCCACCATATTCAACAGCAACGGCCACGGCGCAAGGTCTCCCACGGCTTGCCGGGCCATTTCCCGAGATGAGATGCCCTCCAGGAACCCGACATCTGCGCCTGCGTCCCTGGCCGCCCGCAGCCGCGCTAGGCTCTCTTCATAGCCGTACTGTTGTAGGGAGTCTGTCCGTGCAATGATCACGATGTCGCTGCCTATCCGTTCGCGCGCTTGTGCGGCCGCCCGGATGCGGCTGGTGTAGGTTGCTGTGTCGACGAGCTGCTTTCCGGAGAGATGTCCGCACCGCTTAGTCTGCACTTGGTCCTCGATGTGGAAGGCGGCTACGCCCGATCGCGAGTATTGTTCTGTTGTGCGGGCGACCATGATCGGGCCGCCGTAGCCGGTGTCGGCATCGGCGATTAGCGGTGTATGGGGGGAGAGATTTGCTAGCATCTCTGCGTTCGCTCGCATGTCGTTCAGCGTGCAGATTCCTAGGTCAGCTTGGCCGTGCACCGAGGCTGCTGTTCCGGCTCCTGTCTAAGGGCTTGAGTGTCAGCGCGGATCATTTCATCTCTCTGAAAGGCTGGATCACGGTGTATTGGATACCATGTACAATGCATCGAAGCCTGCGGCCAATGCCAGTCGTGCTGACACTCCATCATAGACTCCTGGAGCTGTGATGAAAGTCTTGGGGTCTTGTAATGATCGCCGTAGGCTGGTTGCTGCCGATGGAAAAGCCATGGTTGCCTTATGCCAAATGGGATAGTAGTGGCTTCCTTGACTTTAATATGGCCAGGAAATGACCCGATGGGAATGAGTTACCCTCCGGACTTCCACGGGTAGTATCCTCATTGAAGCCCGCGAAGGCACTGGCCTTCCACATGTGATAAGCTTTTGGCCATCGCTTCCCCGCTTATGAACCCTTCAGGCAATTGCACTATGTACTGCTCCAACTGCTTCAATAATGCAAAGACTTCACTTGACGAAAGCCTTACTAACAGTCAGCTGTAGTCATGGTTGGACAATAGGTATGAGCACAGGATGATCAAGACTTGGAATTTATTTGGGATTGACCCTATGGATTCGGCTGTTTCGCTGGTTTCTGTAGATATATCAACCGAAAAGGGACCGTGGCATCCCAATTCCAGGACGGTTTGTTACAAAGGCAGTATGAACAGCACGGCAACGCTTGAGATGCAGACCTCGGGGCTACGAACTTCCACGGCAATCTAAGCAGGGTACACAGTACGTTGGCTCACGAACTACTATAGTAGACCCTAGTATTCTCCAAATGACGTATTCACACATTTTCTTGAGACTATTCTCTTCGATTTAGCAGAACATCTATTTATTCTTCATTTTTCACTGTCTTCCACTATAGTCTATACTATATAGCCTACACCTGATACTCGACTCCAGTGGGCGGTGAGAGTGATCGCCCAGATCTGCTTAGTCAACCACAAAGTGGGACCCGGACTGTCTCTGGTCTCGTCTTCAATTCCATTTGTTCCAAAGATGAACATCTCGGCGTGGTTCATTTGTTGATTCTCGTTCACCAGTTTCTCTACCTCGATGGCTCGCTCCTCCGTGGTTCAAGAATACGCGCCGCCTTCCGCGCCGACCCTCACCATCGACCACAAGGCGGCCGCCGAGCTTCAGAACTTACAAATAGCTCGTCCTAAGGGCTACCGAGTATCATGGCATGCCAATCCAGCCGTCGAGCCCCACCATTTTGGCTCGTCACATCCCATGAAGCCATGGCGCCTCACGCTCACAAAACAACTCGTCATGGCGTACGGCATGCACCACGCCATGGACCTGTATCTGGCGCGCGCAGCCACTTATGAGGAATTGGCCGATTTCCACGACACCGACTACCTAGATTTCCTGCAACAGATCATGCCGGACAACATAGACAAGCCCGAGCAAGCGGATAACGTCGCGCGCTTCAATTTCGGCGACGACTGCCCCGTCTTCGACGGCCTGTACAGCTACTGCTCGCTATACGCCGGCGGATCCGTCGACGCCGCGCGCAAGCTCTGCAACAACCAAGCTGAGATCGCAATCAACTGGTCTGGCGGCCTGCACCACGCCAAAAAGGCCGAAGCCAGCGGCTTCTGCTACGTCAACGACATCGTCCTCGGCACTCTGCAGCTCCTCCGCCACCACCCACGCGTCATCTACATCGACATCGACGTGCACCACGGCGACGGCGTCGAGCAAGCTTTCTGGTCAACCGACCGCGTACTAACCGTCTCGTTCCACAAATACGACAGAGACAACTTCTTCCCGGGCACCGGTGCACGCGAAGACACAGGTCCCGCACACCCACTCAACCCAGGCGCCCACCACGCCATCAACGTCCCTCTCAACGACGGCATCGACGACACCTCCTACATCGCCCTGTTCAAGGAAGTCATCGGCGCATGTATCAAAACCTACCAACCCGGCGCCATCGTCCTGCAATGCGGCGCTGACAGTCTAGGCTGCGACCGACTGGGCTGCTTCAACCTGAACGTGACCGCGCACGGCGCCTGCGTCGCCTACGCCAAGACCTTCCACCTGCCCATGCTCGTCGTCGGTGGCGGTGGTTACACGCCGCGCAATGTCTCCCGTGCCTGGGCGCACGAGACCTCCATTCTCCTCGAAGCAGACAAGCTCATCAACCCCACTATCCCAGACACCGTTGCCTTCCGCAATCACTTCGGTCCCGATTACTCGCTCTTCCCGCCTCTGTCAGAGATGCGCAAGCTAGATAACAAGAACACCCGTGCATACCTCGAGGGCCTTGTCGAGGCTGTCCACGAGCAACTGAGATACATCAAGGGCGCGCCCAGTGTCCAGATGAGCTTCATTCCCCCGGATATCCTCGGTTTGCGCGAGGACACCGAAAAGGAAATCGAAGAACAGACGCTTCTGCATGAGGAGCAGAGGGAGGAATACGAGGGTGGTGGATCGCTGGCTGCTGCTGCTGCCGCGGTAGCCGGCTCTGGCTTGGCTTATACCGGCTCTGCCGGTGCCATCCCGCGATCTAACCGGCGACGGGATCTGGAGCGTGGGGCTGGATCCAGGGGAGAGCTGTATTCATGAGGGACGTGTAACAGGTGAGTTGCTCGGCGCAAAGAATGGATTGTTCCCAAAGGCGTTTCTTTTTTTTTCTTGTGCTTTTTGCATTCGGATACCGGAGTTTCGGTTTCCTTTATTTTCTTGTTCGGTGGGTGTTTGCCATCTACTTAGGTATTGTCGTGATATCCCTCTTTTTTTTTCCCCTAGGAGTATGAGGTTTTTGTACAGTAATGCAGAATAGAGAAGACTGTTGAAATGATCAATCGTCGAAAGTATTTAACTAAATTCTTGGTGGTGCTTCTTGGTTTTTGCGGCGGTTCTTATATTGATCTTGACTACTCCGTACTTGGTGTTGAGTATCAAATATAAAGCCTTTAGGATCGAAATCGAATGCCAAGGATTGCTATTATAGATACCAAATGTGGCATAAAAATTAAATCCAATTGTATTGAAACATCACATTGGAGAAATCTATACCAAATTTGATGTCTATAACATGCAACGCCTCACTGATCTTTCCCTTATATAACCCCAATTACGCCGCTCTGAATCTCGCTCTGAACCTCGCTACGGATCCTCTCCCGTCAATCTCCCATAGGAATGCCCGAGTAGATATCAAAAAAAGGTGTGTGTTCTTTTAGAATAATTTTTTAAAGATCAAATCAAATCGGGTATCCAGCAATGGGAGCGGCATGGTGACCGAGAAAAAAACGCTGTGTTGAAACATCAGAGGGGCAGAGATGGGGGGAAACTATCACAAAGGGTCGTGTCGCCGGCCGCCTCGAGTTGTGGGTGTGCTGGGTATTTCTGCGCAGGTTGACTACGTCATGGCAGAATGAGAGGGAAAAGGGGAGTGCGATGCACACTCCGGGATCATTCAGAGGGAGGCAAGGCAGCCTGAGCGAACCGACCGGGTGGGAGGTGGGTCGGTGATAGCATGGGCCGGAGATGGACGCAATGGGGGTGTCTCTTTTTTTTTGGTTGCTGCCTTATGAGGATTCTTTGGCGTCTACAAACTTCTCCACTTCTGATGTTTGTGTGTCTTTCCGTTGCACGGTGCTCTGGGAGGCATCACTTTTTGTCTCGGAGCCTGCGGGGGAGGCATTAGCTGGTTGCGGAGGGATATGCCTGGGGTCCTAGTTCGCGGGTGCAGAAGGATGGGGGTGATGCGGCGGGATTTGAAACTGGGATGACTCCTTCTGACCTTGGACGATGGGTGCGATTGCGAGGATCTGCTTGTCAGCGACTTCGGGGTCGCGCATGTCCCTGGAGCTATTAGTTGTAGTCTTGAGCGTTTGAACCAACAGTGCTTACACATGGGCATTGATAATCCAGTCGAGATCCTCCTCACCCTCGTCCGGTCCACCGGGGCCGCCTTGGATGCGACGGAAGAGCCGAGGACGCCACTCGATTCCTTCGTCCGCGCGCTTGGCGGCCTCGTCTCGTTGGCGGTCTTCGATCTTGGTCTTTTCGTCTGTTGCAGCTTCGTGGTTTCGGGCCAAAATAGCGTTGACAGTATCTTTCCATAAACGCTGTGACTCACGCTCTCCCTGTTCCTCAATGGGGCGAGCCACAGGAGCTGTGTGCTTTGCGTGTGTAGCATCGAACAAGATGTCTTTTTTGTGGGTCTATCATCAAGTCAGTATTGAATCCAAGAGTAACCCATGGGAAGTATATAAGGCGTACGTGAACATCCTTCAGGTGCATCTCCCCATTCCAAAGTCCAGATAATTCATATAAAACCTCTCCAGTCTGTTCATTCTTGATTGTTCCTCCAATTGCATTATAAGTACCGGAAAAATAGCCCTTGGTCTTGAACTCGATGTCGGCCACGAGGTGGTTCTCAGGACAGCGCACGTAGCTGTGATCGCCAAGCTCATACTTCATCTTCCCGAAAAGGATTCCGCGCGCGTACATATTGGGTTGGGTCAGAATACTAGATCTTGTCAGCAACTAGAAAAGGACGAAAGGAAATGGCACATCATACTATCTCTCGCCTTTCTCTTTGTCTTTGCCGTGGTTCATCAGCCGCAAAATGGCGATACCTTCCATCATACTGGCTGCGGAGTTACCCAAAAACTTGCTGCGGGGCTTAAGTGTTCCATCAATGCGAATATGATGTTCCGGTGCAGCAAAGAAATAGCTCGACTTCGGCGGGTGGTGGGAAGTCTGTTCGGAGATGTAGTAGCCGCGGGTTCCGTCGGTATAATCCCAGTGGCAGGTGAAGGTTTCTCCAAGCACGGGGTTGAGCGGTTTCTTCACTCCTCTATTCAAATATCAGAATGTATTTCCCAGACACCCGGGTGGCGACATACGGCGGTTTGATGTGCCATCCACTCAAGTAAAACTTGACCACGGAGACAAAGCGCTCGACCGGATCGTCAATCGTCGTCATGGGGAGGAGGGTTTCCGGGTGGGCCATGAAGCTATTGTAGCATTCGAGTTAGTCCCTATAGCTAAATGATAGCACGCAGCTCCGAGCTGTCCGCGGAGGATGTAAACGTACTTGGTGATTCGCTCCAGCATGGACCGGGGCTCGAGGATGAACGTCGGTAAGACGACTCGACTCAGGTCAGCACCTGGCCGTAGCTGGGAAATGATATGCGAAAGGACTGAGACTGCCTGTCAGTATGTGTAGGTCCGAGAGCTGAGCTGTGAGGATTTGTACCATTTCCCTGATCGGGCTCGACGAGCTCATCCTCCCCACTTGGCGGGGAATCTTCCATAGACGATCTGCCTGAATCAGTCTTAGTTGACATGGTTTCACAAATGATCAATTTATCAGTTTATCGGAGAGTTGGGGGGAGATCCAAAGAGGGGTGACAAGCGGACAAACTCACTGGCCTGGGAAGTCCGGCGGAGATGCGGAACCGGCATGACTGCGTTCGGAAAAGAGTATAAGGCCAAGCACGGGTTTGCTCTAAACGGGAGACAAAGGGACAAAGAAGAAACTCGAATGATATTTAAGATGATAAATGTAGATGTCTGAAAACCGAGACCGCTGACTTGTTTTTGTGGCGGAAAATCCGGAAATGGGGCTTTTTTTTACTATGGAGAAGGGCACCACAAAAAGACACAAAAAAATAATGTGTAGTTTTGAGGGAAAAAAAAAATATTCACAATCATCACCCAAAAAACCCTTGAAATCGACTTTCAAGTAAAAGGCTTAGCTTCGAAGAGGGGCCAGTGACGTCTGCATTTGCCTGTCAGTTCACCGGGAAGGGGGTAGATCTCCTAACTCTTTATATACCTCGATGTGCTCGGGGAGTTCTCTTCCTTTTCTCTTCTCTCTTTCTTCGGACTAGATCTCTACATGTTTTCCCTTTCTCTTCAATAAACCCTTCAAGGATCGTCGAGGAGGGGCACGGCTTGGCAGAATAGTGCTGCATGCACATATGCACCGGGATAAAAGCATCTGCTATGTAAAGGAGTACATAAAACCCTCCTTTCTCTGCCCCCCTTTCGGCATACCTATCAGGTCACGCGCAACCTGATATAGCATTCACACGCTATATAGGTATTCCCAGTCTTCACCTATGTACTCCGTACTCCGTACGATGGTCTGTTGTAGGTAAACTGGTGGAGCACATTCTGTCTGCCCTGTTCCCCACTATGATCGAGAAGGAATAGCTTGGGCATCTCCGCCTACGGTGTGTTGTTCAAAGTGGCCGGTTCATTGGATTTGGGAAAATAAGTTTGGTCTTTTGTTCACACGCTAATAACTCCATGTCAGATGACAGGGTCGTATGTCTTGGTTGTTTCTTAAACGGCAAACGGCCAGTTCCAAGTCCTTATACGGAGTACTAGCTAAGTACAGCTTGACTTTCACACGATGTTCCTCGCGCTTGATGATACACACACTGCTCCAGCCATATAACCAAGATGTATATGTAATATTTCTTTGCATGAGTGCTGTTTGCCATTCTTTGCATTTATGGTTGGAAACGTCGTATCAAGATGGCTCAAATCCGCGAGACCAGGCCCTTACAAATTGATATCTCACACTGGGGATAGGGAGTTGTCTCTATGTGGTCGCAAGCAACATATGAAACACCCAAGAGCTTTAAAAAAAAAGACACTGGGGAGCATGAGGCGAAAAGATAGGTGAATAGTTTGGAAAATACCGAAAACGTTCACTGTGAAGTCTATACTTTTGTTCCGGACCGAATACAAAACTCATCAACGAGCATGATAAGAAGAAAGACCTCGGTTGTTGGTGGGCCGATCGGGACGGGTGAGAAATAGCCCTCTGAAACACCCATTTGAACATGACTGTCTAAGGTTGGGCCATGATTGCTCGCTTAAATTCTCCGATTAATGCTGTGTCATAATGTGTCCAGTCCCCTAACAGGTCTAAGCGAGACGCTTAATTGCTCTAAACCAGATACACCACAACCTATGAGATCATTCTCAAAACATCACACCCGGTTGATCAGCGGCACGTCTCCACGGGTGATCTCCCGAACAAATTCCATATCGGGGCGATGGAGCATGACGTGGAAGTGTTCAAGTCCAGGCACTGACTTGAGTGATTTCCAGTTCTTGAACCAGACGACCTACAGATAATGTCAGCTTCTTCCCCACCTTGTGCTCATTCCAACCCTACCTGCTCAGGTGGAACCCGAGAGCAAAATGTGACCTGCACATAGCTCTCAATGGCTGCTTGGGCGCTTGCTGTGAGGTACCCAGTGGCTGGATCATCTTTCAGCTCAAACTTGGTCCACACTACCAAATGGATGATGTCCTTGTCCACGCCATATGGCCAGTCGTTGTAAATGATCCGAAGATCATCTATCCAGCGGTCAGTTTCCACGTGCTCCAGAACCTTATCCAATGAATTGCGCCGTACCGTCGTATTCAAAAGGCTGGCCTCGAGGCTTGACGTCTTGGCCATCCCCATCCCCCCAACCCAGCCTTTCCTTGACTATAAATCTCATGACACCCCCATACTCTGCTTTGATGTGCGCCATGTATTCCAGATACTTGCGCAGCTCGCTTGGGACACGTTGGAACCGGTCGATCCGGTTGGTTTCTGCCATTGACACAATCCCAGTCAGCGGTGTGAACAATTGCATTCGTGATAACAGCTGCCACTCACTAATGATCTCCTTCACTTGCTCCCAGTCCTGCCGGGTATAGAGGTGATCGGGGGTCGAGAGGCATCGGATATTTTTGGGGGGTTGATCACGTAGAAAGCTAGGGCAGTCGACAGGCCATTGCGACCGAGGTAAATTGACAAGCCAATATGGAAGGGTTTCGGTGGTTTGCCTGCGCTCGTGGAGGAAGGGTGCCAGGGTCGCCGTATCGGCACCGGCCAGTTTCTCGTCGAGCGCGGTGATCTCGGCGTGCGTTGACGGGGCTCTGACGTGAAGCATCGCGACTAGATCAAGTTCTCAACTGGTCTGGTTTGTATGGAGATATCGTCTCTGTGGTCGTTGGATAGAGTATCCCTTGAAAACGACGTCACTGTGCAGTAGTGCCGAAAGGGGATGTGAGGTTGAGGCGTTTCCGGCCGTTGCTTGTCGATCCCCGTATCCACTGGGGTGGCGATCTATTTTTATTCTCAATATATTGTTCTATATGGGTCTAATGAGTCTATTGGATATTAAATTAGCCCCAATTGTTTCAAATATCGACTGTGAGCTCGAGTGCAATTTTCGAGGTTGTTTTTTCTGATATGAGTTCTAGGGGGTTCATCAACATTTGCCACTGGCATTGCCATCCCTACATATAGGTGTATCGTATGGCGAAGAATGCAACCCGTCCCCATTGGTAGAGTACTGCAGAATCTACGCCATACAAGGCATGATATAGAGCTAAGCAAGAATGGGACATGCTCCTCGGTATTCCTCGATAAGGACGACACCGGGATGAAGCCTGATATAGATGGGTTCTAACAAGGTATTCAACATTTCGTTGTTAACATATGAGGGTCATTAGAGAGATGATGAGCTTGAACATATATCAACTCTTCCCTCCCAACCGTTGAATGATGGGGTCATCGATAGAGATCATGGCCACCCCAGCTGTCCCAAGTTCCTTCTTAATAGTGCCCCAATCAGCAGGCGCAACACACTTGGTGCCTTCCTCAACAACCCAGGCCTTGAACCCAGTCTTAATGGCATCAAGAGCTGTAGCCTTCACGCAATAATCCCCAGCCAAACCCACAACAAAGACATCGGTAACACCTTGCGCCCGAAGAGCTGCAGCAACATCCAAACTGACCGAATCTGTATTGGTTCCAATATCACAATTCCCGAAAGCATCTGCGAAGACCGAGTACATCTCGACTTCAGACCGCATGCCTTTGTGAACTACAACATGGATGTGAGAGGTATCGATCTCTGGGATGATCTCTGCCCCGGGGGTGCCAGCCATACAGTGGACTGGCCAGAGTCGCTGTGGTTTTGTTTCTGATTCCTTCCCCACGGCGGGGTTTTTCATTCTGACGAATGAAGAGAAGGGTTGATTATCAGGACCGGGATGATTACTGGCAAAAGAGATATGATCCTCTGGGTGGTAATCCTTGGTCAGAATGCGTGTCACAAATCCTGGCTTTGCAAGTAGAGCGTTGACCACCGAGGCAATGCTGCGGCCATCTGGCACAGCAAGTGACCCATTCTAATTCGATTGATCAACCTATATAATCTGTTATTGTGTATATTGAACTTACCGGAGGGCAAAAGTCTTCTTGCATGTCCACCACAATCAGGGCGGGCCTGAAATCACCATTTGTTGCCATGCTTCCAACGTTGACCTGGAATGAGGGGGTCGAGGCAGCCATTGAACGACAGCGTGGTCGCTTTTATAGTTGAAAACCTTGAAAATAAGAAGCCCTAGTTCTTACTTTGAAGTAGGCAAAGGATAGTACCAGATCTAGCTTGGAAGAGGAAGGTGGTTTAACAAGGCAAAGGCGATGCACAACATCTACTAATAAGGGTATTTGTCCGGCAGAATATAGGAGCTCCACTTGGCTCGACAGGCGGAAGTCCCAGCGGTGAGCCCCGCCCTGACTAAGCAGTGCATTAAAAACGAAGCTTTCAGCTCTTCGCCAAAGTTGCCCTCTCCTCTCTCCTCAGGGCTACGGCCCCATTATTATTAAAACTGGAATATGAGTGATAACTGCAAGGTATGTGTGTTATGTCACCTCAATTCTCCTTTCCCAAAATGATGAATACCTTATTGGAGCTGTCTGAGCTTTTGCTATGCGGATAACTCATTATACGCTTTTTACCTGAAATCTTGTCCTTCCACATCTCATTCTCCAAAACTTCACCGAGAATCAGTCGCTAATTGCTTCTGATAGTCAACAGGAAATTGTAAACTCAACTTGAAACCTCCATGATCATCGGCTGGACGCCAAATACCTAGAACCAAAAAAGAAAAAGAAAAAACCCCCCAACCCTTAGTCTCTCTATTACCCTCCATAGTCTCCAAAATGGCATATGATCCCCGCCGAACAAACTCGGGAACCTCAACTCCCCAACCTCCACCTCCTCCCCCTCCACCACCAGAGACATCCACACAAGCCGACATGGCCTCAGCAGCCCAATCTCTAGAAACAGCCAACCCGGCCGGCGCAGCAGACTCGTACAAGCTGAAGTTCTGCACAGTCTGCGCCTCCAACAACAATCGCTCTATGGAAGCACACCTCCAACTCTCCGGCGCCCCAACTGCTTTCCCCGTCATATCCTTCGGCACAGGCTCCCTCGTGCGCCTCCCCGGCCCATCAATCACCCAGCCAAACGTGTACAGCTTCAACACAACCTCCTACAACCAGATGTACGAGGAGCTCTACAGCAAGGATGAGCGTCTATACCGTGGAAACGGCATCCTGAACATGCTCGACCGCAATCGTCAGCTGAAATGGGGGCCCGAGCGGTTCCAGGACTGGGTGCCGGGTGTCCCGCGTGTCGAGCACCTCTCCAAGGGCGACAAGGGTGCTCTCGGTACGGAGGGTGGCGTGGTTGATGTGATCATCACCTGCGAGGAGCGCTGCTGGGATGCTGTTGTGGATGATTTGATGAATAAGGGCTCAGGGCTCAATTATCCCGTTCACGTTTTCAATGTCGATATCAAGGATAATCACGAAGAGGCGTTGACGGGCGGAAAGGCTATTCTGGATCTTGCGAACTGTTTGAATGGCGCTGCTGTTGCGGAGCATCGTGTTCATGGCTCGCAGGGCTGGGAGAATGGTACTGGTCCTGCGCGTCAGAGCTTCGATGAGAAGGTGCCGGAGATCTTGGCCGATTGGCAAGAACGATACCCCCATTTGCCGGCCTTGTGGACTCTGGCTTGGCTTTAGTTCTTTACTTGCGATGCGGGTTGCGCACGAATATCTATCTACCTACGGCCATCCACAAGGGATGGTTTAATACCAAGAATCTACGGGGGTCCTTTTGTCCCACCTTTGACTGTTTTAGCGAGTGATGGTATTCAACTAGAAGGGGGTATCGAGCAAGAAGCAATAGTGACAAAAATACACCACCCGGACTGTCTACCTGAGGACCTCATTCACCTTTGATCCATTCATCCTTCGTATCCATCTCACTAGGACCCTCGTCCTTGATATACTCATCCTTGGGACCTTCCTCCTTGACATGCTCATCCTTGATTAACTCCTCTTTGAGCATCTCCCGAGGAACCTTTCCATCCTCCGAAAGTAGTATCTCTCTCCTCTCACGATACCACTTATCAAGACAAGCTCTTCGCTGCGCCTGTGTCATGCTCTCAACAACGAGCGCAAACTCCGTAGCATCGGCATATCCAAACCGCCGCGCCATACTACAGAATTGGCGACGTATAACACCTTTCGGTGGATGGTATTTAAACCTCACGGGCGCCTCTCCTGGCTGAGAGAAAGGCTGCGAGGACATGAAAACCTGACAGTCACCGGCCATGTCACTAGGAGCAAGCTCAGCACGACGACTGAGGTCTTCCTCAACTCGCGAAGAACCAATGACTTCGTTGTTGAGGTGGGTGTATTCCACCCCTGCGCCTGCGAGAATCGCTTGCACGGGATCGTGCTTATGCGGCGTAGGAAGATTGGCCGAAGGCTTTGGTTTTTCGTCTTCTTCATCGCCGCAAATCATCGCGGCGAGTTGGCTCATTGCTTCTTCTTCCGATTTCATTGGTCTGTCCGTGTAGTCATGGCCTTCTTCTTCTGCTTTGAGGTCTATATCGACAACCTGTACGCCCGCGCGGCTTTCAGCGACGTTCGTTCTGTTGACGATGTCGCGCAGGACGATGTGGGTGTTTTGATATCCGAAGAAGTTCTTCAGACCAAAAATCTCACCCTTTTGATCTTTCTTCTCTTGAACACCCTTGAAATATCGACGCTCGGAGCTTGCATTATATCCGATATTTGCCTGTTGCTGTTTGTAAATCTGTCGGGCATAGACGATCTCTTCAATTGTGCCGGCAGAGATCAGCCGGAAAACTTCCACGTCGCGATGTTGTCCAATGCGGTAGGCCCGGTCTTGGGCTTGTAGGTCGTAGGACGGGTTCCAGTTTGGATCAACGACCACTACCTTGTTCGCCGAGGTGATGTTCAGCCCGACACCCCCGGCCTTGGTTGATATTAAGAAGACAAATTGTCGCGAGTCGGCATTGAACTCATCCACAGCCCTTGCACGGTCATCATAACTCATAGATCCATCCAGATAGCTGACGTTGTAGCTAGTATGGTGGAACAGCATTTGTAACATCTTCAGAAGACGTACGCTGTGCGAAAAGATGAGAACCTTGTCTCCATTCGAATGCCACCACTTCAGCAGTTTGCGCAGAACCTTCCACTTGCCGCAAAATTCAGGATTCGCGTAGTTGACAATCGAATCACGCGAGCGATAGAGATCTTCCCATTGATCAGGTAGTGCAAGCTCCAGATAATCTCTGTCTTTTTCCTGCTTTTCTTTAGGGTCTGCTCCTTGTGGGATCAAGATCGCCAGATGGTTGCTGAGCTTTTGGAGCACATTGATGGCAGGAAATACGTAGGATTGCCAGGTTGGAGGGTCCCTATCAGGAATGAAGCGGCGACAACACCAGCCGGCCTTCTTCCCCGATTTGCAATCGCATGGTTCCGTAGACGTTTTGATATACTCAACGATGTCACTGTCAAGGAAATTCTCGTAGGCCTCAGCCTGGGTCTCGGTGAGAGGGCAGAAGACAACGCGATCGCTCTTTTTAGGCAGCTGATCCGCGATCAAGGACTTCATTCTTCTGATGAAGAATTGTGGAAGTAAGTTCTCGACCAGCTTCTTGGCGGTCCTTCGTGCTCTGCTCAGCTCGCTCAGTGTAGCATCATGCGACTGCCCGATTTTCAATGGCTCTGCGATCTGGGCTTTCCAAGTGCTTACCGGACCTAGAACACCTGGATTCGTCCAGTTTAGAAGGGTCCATAACTCCTCATATTTGTTCTGGATGGCCGTCCCGGTGAGCCCGATCCGACATAAAGCATTGATATCGTTCATAGCCTTAGTGGTCCCAGACGTGCGCTCCTTGATTTTGTGGCACTCGTCTGCAATCACACAATCCCATTCAATCATATTGACGGAATCTTTGTTGTTCATGTATGTGGTGTAGGTTGTGATCAATACTTCCACTCTTCCTGATTTCGCCGCATGGAGGGCAAGATCCTTGTTCTCTCCATGGTAGCTATCAACGTGCCACCACCCCCAACGTGCAAACTCAGCTCTCCAGTTTGCAATTAGGGTTCCAGGGCACACAATGAGCGTGCGTGGGTACCAAGCGCTGTCGTCTGACCTGCGCATCTTTCGCATGCGTTTTGCATCCCGTTCGTCGCCTGTTTTTCCATAGGCAGCGGTCAAAAATGCAATTACCTGGATGGTTTTGCCGAGACCCATGTCATCGCCTAAGACACCACCTTTCTGGTATACAAACAGCTCGTGAAGAAATGCGACTCCTTCGACTTGATATTGCCGCAGCCACTGGGCAACCGGTGCGGGGATAATACCCAATGAATATGGAAGCTCAATGTCTTTATATTCCTGTTTTTGTGTGTTATCTGGAAAGACAGGTCGTTCCTGAAGCTCCTCAAGCCGTTCATCGTCTGAGAAATTCACATCCTCGTAGGTTGGTGGTAGCTTCAATCCATGACTCTGTAGATGCTCATGCTCCTGATTGAAATTTTCTCGGCGTTTCTTGAGGTAATCAGGGAGATCATCTTCCATCAGCTCATCATCTGAGCCTTGGCCCCATTGTTTCAATGGTTGCTTAGGTCGCGGCGTTGGTCGTTCTTGTTTGACTCGACCAACGATCGCATCTCCTCTGGGCATTTTGGCCTTCCGAGTAGCCGCAGCAGTTTGTTTGCGCTTGAGGGATTTGCGTTCTTTGAACTTCTTATATGCGAGCTCGCCATCATTCACGTCATCCTCATCGCTGTCGATGGGCTGGACCTTTACGGCGCTCGACGACCCAGAGAGAGGAGTACGCGTCAATTCAGACTTGACTGGTGTATAGTTCTCACGTTTTATGGTAGAAGATCTATCTTGAAAGGATGTGAGCCGTCTGTCAGAACGCGTCGGAGAGGGTATCATACTACGGGCGATCGGAGTTGAATAATGCGTCACCTCCAAATCGTCATCATCTGAATCGATGATGATAGCCTCGTTGGAATTATAATTAGCCATTGTCTCTGCATATTCCACAACCCGGAATTTAGAGGCCGAGTGAGTCAAGTTGAAGTGGAAGTACCAGGCTGTCGCGACACAACGTCACTTACGGCAGGCGATAACGACTATAAGACAACATCAAAACGATGCCTCAACATAGCTCCATGGCTTCAAATGAAAAAACTGGAAAAATCCCATTAAATCCTTCCAGCAGTGAAATTTCCCATAAACTAAATATTTGGTTCTTTTAATCTCTTTTCCACGCTCCAGAAGCAGTTGGACTTGATCTGATTTATAGTACTCCACTGGACCACGTGACATCAAGAGAACCAGAAAAAAAGAACCGAGACACTGGCCGTTGCTCTGAATGATTTAGAATTCGACTCTTTGCCTATGCGATAAAGCCAACGTGAGTTGAGAGCGATTCTTTATGTCTGCAATTGCAAACTTATGATCCACCTGACTAACCTAAGCCCTTGTAGGACCCAAAATTAAAGCTTCAACTTCCTGGACATACTCTAGTCGCCCCAGACATCCTCTCACAACCAGAAGACGTTCGCAAAGATGCCGCTGGATACCTCGACAACATATCCTCTCACACGGTTGCGCCTTGACGGCCGCCGCTGGAACGAGCTCCGCCTGCTCCAAGCCCAGATCTCAACCAACCCCGCCAGCTCCGGCTCTTCATATCTGTCCATGGGCAACACGTCCATCATGTGCTCAGTTCACGGACCCGCCGAGGGTCGCCGAGGAGATGGCAGTGGAGCTGCAGGCAGTGGTCATGCAGTTGTGGAGGTAGACGTCAACGTGGCCGGGTTCGCCGGCGTGGATCGCAAGCGCAGAGCCGGTGGAAGCGACAGGTATCTATATCTCCCCTCTTCGATATGGGAGAGGATTACAAGGGCGCAATACCCGAGAAAAAAAAGATACAGTTGAAGCTAATATTCCCGATTTACAGACAATCATCGCGAATCGCTACAACTCTCCGTTCAGCCTTCCAGTCCCATCTCCACACCTACCTCTACCCCCACAGCACTATCAGCATCCATGTCTCAGTTCTCTCCGCCGATGGCTCGCTCCTCGCCGCGGCAATCAACGCCTGCACACTCGCCCTTGTGGACGCCGGAATCCCCATGCCGGGACTCCTCTGCGGCTGCACTGCTGGCATGAGCGGCAGCGCTTCTACACCGCGTGACCCGCGGAACGACGAGCTTGATCCATTGTTGGACCTCTCGCTCCCAGAAGAACAGGAACTTCCTTCCCTCACGGTCGCGACGACGACGTCGGTGCCCGTGGGCGAGAACAACATGGATGAGGACGAGGAAGTGATGAAGGTGTCAGTGCTTACTATGGAGACTAAAGTTCACGCTACGTATCTGGAGACGATGTTGGCGGTTGGTATCGATGGGTGCAGCCAGATTCGTGAGTTGATGGAGGGAATCATCAAAGGATCCCGGGGGTGATGCACAGAAAAGAAAAACAAAAACCAAAGAAATACGAGAATTAGTTGATACCCTGTCTTATGTTTAGTGTTATCGGGTACCAGTTCGTACCAATGACCTCGGAATTAAAACAATTTGCTCAAACTGCCTCGCTAAGCTTTTAGGGCTGCCATAATGTGCTCATGTTATACAAATGTGCTCATATTGGGCACCACGTCTTGCCATATGGTTGCGGCGCTTCTCTTTTCTACGTGTTTTATACCCTGATCTTTGTTTGCTTTCTATTTCCCATTTGTATCCATCTTCCATCTTGATTCGCTCAACGTGTTGGGATAATATCGACCCAGTATCATGGATATGCCCGGGATGACGATGTCAATGGCGACCTCCACAGCCTCCGCAGCCATGGCCAGCAGTACTGGCATGGACATGGGCGGCATGGGAATGGGTGGTCAATGCAAGATCTCAGTCCGTCTCAATATCAACCCCAGATTCCCGACTATGTGATTCCAAACTGACCCGTGATTATCAGATGCTCTGGAACTGGTATACCATTGACGCATGTACGCCCCCATACCCTCTCTCTCTTTCTCCCACAAAGTCTAACGCCAACACCAGGCTTCCTCGCCAAAACATGGCACATCACCTCGCGCGGCATGTTCGCCGGTTCATGCATCGGAGTCATCTGCCTCGTATGTAGTCTCGAATTCCTTCGCCGTCTAGGCAGAGAATACGACACCTTCATCGTACGCCGCGCCCGTCTAAGAAGACTGTACATGTCCAGCTCCCTCGCCGTGCAATCCGGCTCCAATGTCCCGCTGCGAAGCGACGGGGACACCAAGTCCCCCAGCAACTGCTGCGACAACACAGAGCCCGATATTATGTCCCTGGGTGCAGACGATCTCATCACTTCTGTATCGGGTACTCCACAGAGCAGCAGCTCGAAGAATCAGGCTGCTGCGTCTGCATCTGCCGCGTCAGCTAAGACCGCACAGGAAATCGATTTCCACCGCATCCAGAGACGGGAGGCTCTGCTTGCGCCGTATCGTCCGTCGCTGGTTGAACATGCTGTGCGCTCGTTGCTGCATATGTTCCAGTTCGCTGTTGCGTACATCATTATGCTGCTTGCGATGTATTTCAATGGGTACATCATCATCTGTATCATCATTGGTGCTTTCCTTGGCGCGTTTATCTTCTCCTGGGAACCGGTGAATTTGAGCAAGGAGTAAGTTGTGCACAGCATCGACTAGGTATATTGCATCCAAGCTAACTTTCTCAGGTCGGATGCTACATCTGTCACCAAATGCTGCGGTTGAAGGAATATCTTTTTGTTACGTTCGAACTACAACTTGATACTATTCCAGCATTCTAGCGATTCGGGTTTGATTATACCGGTGTTTACTTTTCCCATGGCATTTTTTCAGAAAAGCAAATTGGAATCCAGCTTCGAGCGGACATGATTGAACAAGACAATATGCACTCTAAGCAAGCTTTGACTTGCGACTTTTCTTGTGCTTGGTGTTTTTGTGCTTTTTGTGCACGGATCGCATGTCCGCTTCGTCGATTCCATAGTTTCGTGATAATATGACCCATGACTTCCTCAATTTACATTAATTTCCTCTGATAATTGAAACTAAATAATGTGGTACTGCGTAGACGAGAAACAATCATATATGAGTCCCATTGAAAGGGGGAATTTTCGAGAAAACCTGCGTGCGTGTTGATATGGGAGGCTGCAGATCCACGATCGAGGTCCTCGAATCAACACGCGGGGATATCGGCAGAAGAGCCTTGGAGAAACTTGATACATTTCAATGGTCGATTTCGTAATGACCAATTTAGAATAGGCGTCGCCGAAGTTGTTTCAGCTTTGCGCTTTATATCTACATCCTAGGAATGATTCCGCTGCTTCTACGAATGTTTCTACGAATGTTTCTACGAATATTTTGATGATTCAACATCGGTTCCCACGACAGAAAGGCATGTATGAACTAGCTTGGTAGAAACTCTTAGATTACAGCGGGCAAACGGCAAATTCACCCTTGCTAGTCCCAAGCCGGACTGTAGCGACGGGAATCAAGAACCACATTCTTGACGAAAAGAAAGACGTTCATCCTCCCAACACCCAACTAAAACTCCAGATTGAGCAATTTAGTTGCCACCGCAGTTGACGATGGTGGGCTTGACAGCGGAGCGGAGAGAGCCGGAGGAGGAGCCGAGAGCCTCGATCTCCTTGACAACCTGCATGGACTCGGCATCAGCGACCTCGCCGAAGACGACGTGCTTGCCATCGAGCCAAGAGGTGACAACGGTGGTGATGAAGAACTGGGAGCCGTTGCTGAAAAGAGAACAAGATGTTTAGTATGACGTTTGATGTGGTTCAGGCGAGGAAAATCGGGACTTACGTGTTGGGGCCAGCGTTGGCCATGGACAGGAGACCAGGGCGGGTGTGCTTGTGGATGAAGTTCTCATCGGGGAACTTCTCGCCGTAGATGGAGCGACCACCGGTACCCTATTCCGGGATGAAAGGTTAGATGTTGAGCTTCACAGCTAGAATAAGTAAAACTTACGTTGCCACGGGTGAAGTCACCACCCTGGAGCATGAACTGGGGGATGACACGGTGGAAGGAAGAGCCCTTGTAGCCCTCACCCTGCTTGGCGTTGCAGAGCTCAGCGAAGTTCTTGGCGGTCTTGGGAACCTCGTTGGCGTAGAGGTTGAAGTTGATGCGGCCAGTCTTGGCTAATGAGGAAATTAGCATCAAATTTAATTCAATTATTATACCATGATGCAAAATCCCCAAGCTGTATTCCTGCAACCCCTGAAATTGGGAGCTTGATGTCGCAGGCAGCAAGGTAAGACTGGGGGTGGAGAGGCAAAAACTCTCTGCCCCGCCAGAAATGAAAATAAAGGAGCTGATGAAAACTTACGGGTAGAGGAGCCAGCAGGGGCGTACTGGACCTCGAAGAAAGCGGTAGTGTTGGACATAGCGGCGGTTGATGAAGCGAAAGTTCGGGCAGCGGGGTGGAATGAAGTGCAATTGAAGAGAGAAGAAGAGAAGAGGGAAGAGGGTGGGGTTATTGACCTCAAGCGGCAGAACATGATGAGGGGCAGGGCGGAGCGGGTGAACTCGGGTACCGGACTACTTTGGGGTTAGCTTGTTGGGTACCACAAACATTCCACTTGTGCTGTTTCTGCCTGAGGCTCCACTTTGGAGCTTCTCCAGACTCCCCAGGGGGAAACAAGACTCCTTCTGTTGCCTAATGCTGTCTCTGAAGGAGTCTGGAGCAAAGTGGAAATGCACTCTGGCATCCACATGACCAGGGACCAAGCTCACTTACAAATGGTATAGATTGATGAGGAATTGGTAGTAAAGAAGTAAAAAGGAAAGGAAAAACCGAAGCTCAATGCCAAAAAGCGTCTAGAGCTCCGTGATTACGTAAGGGCTTCCGGGATATCCCTTCCGAACTACATGCTACATAATGTTCGCTACGAAATATGCAGGTTCAAGGGGTAGACTTATGTGCATTTTATTGATGTAGTCATTGAGCTGGATGCATACTTTCATTCCACCCACACTCATCCAAGATGAAATAATAGCCCGACACCAGCAAGCAGTTGTGAAAGAACAAACCAACATGATATCAGGCCGGGAACCCTAAATGGACACTGGAAAAAGGCTAAAATAAGATACAAGAATGGGAGGAAGATTGTAATATAGAAAGTGACAAGGCGAAGGGGAAAAAAATCAACCATGAATGTTACACACATCAGGGCATCGTTTCAGCATTGTCCACTCGTTGCCATAGATGATAGTCGCTGAAAAGCAAGGGGGCAGAGAGAAAAAAACAAAAAAAGAAAAAAAGAACTCGAGGGGAGAGAAGAAGAAAAAAAAGAAGAAAAAAAAGAAGAAGAAGAAGAAGAAGAAGAAGAAGAAGAAGAAGAAGAAGAGAAAGAAGATAGAATAAACCCGACTCCATATCATAATAATCAGATCAAGATCATCACCGGAAGTCATCTTCCTCGTCAGCAGGGGTGGACGCGGCCTCGAGGCGCTGAACAAGATCTTTGGTTTGCCGAGCAATCTCAAATGCAATGGGGGGCAGCTTATTCGTCAACTCCCGCAATTGCTCGGGGCTCGTCGCATCTTCGCCCTCACTGGCAGTGGTCGCCAATCGGCCACGGCACTGGTCTAATGCAGCAATGACGGGTTCAGACGCCTGGCGCAAACTGACGTCCCCGCTACGTTCGCGCATCAGGTGCTCTGTAGCCGAAACCACGTTCGCAACAACATTTGAAATCGCAGAGACGTGCGTTTGGACACTATGCAAGTTGTCCTCGGCTCGGATGCTGGCCACCAATGCCTGGATTTGTTGGACCATACCATCAGTCTGGTCCTCGACGTAGAGCTAAGAAGTTCCGTTAGTAAATTTCAAATTGCAATCTTACGTTCAAGTCAACTCACCTTGAGCTCCAACACCTCGTGATCCTCTTGCACATGCCCCCAGCCCTGATTGAGATCATTACCGGTTCCATTTTGTACAGGGTATTGAGAGTCATCCGGACGGCTGATAGCACTGTAGACGGAATTATTGCTCATCCGCTTTTGACTGGCAGATGTATCAAAGTAATCAGGGAATTGTTCCTGGGACGCATCCTCCTCATCCTCTTCGTCCTCCGGCTCATCCACGGGCGAGGCCTTGATCTTGACCACACGAATTAGGTCAACAATAGCAGTGCAGACATGAGAGGCCGCAGCATCAAGAAGCGACACTGGAGATAGACCACTGGAGCTGGAAAAGTTGCGCGTGGCAGTAATCAAGTTGTTGGCTGTAGTAGACACTTGGCCTTTCACCTTTGCGCGCAGAGCAGCTGATCCATCGACCGGAATCGGGGAACATTCAAGATCTTGGAGAATATGGCGGACTGCGACAATAACCATCTTGTTCTGACGAAGTACCACAGGAGATTCTTCGAAACGCGCGACTCGTAAGAGCTCGTCAATAGACATTTGGAACTTGGTAACATGAATATCCTTGACCACCCCGTCGGCCTGCACCAGCTCATGCTCTTTGGCGAGGACACTTGCGTCAGGCCGCGATTCGGCGAAGCCACCGGATGAGGCGCGAAGATGCCGCAGCTGTGCCTTGACCTTGGCGTAGCGATGCTTCCATTCATTGGCATCGGCCTCGAGCCTGTGGACCTCGTTGGAGAGTTGCTCCTCACGCTCCCAATTGGAGTGGCTCTCGGCTGAGAGGGCCTTCATTTCCATAAGGAAAGTCGATGCCTCCCGGCGGACCTCATCGGTCACTTGTTGCTGATGCTGTAATTCTTCTTGCAAACTCTGGTGCTTATTTTCCAGATCAACATAGCGAGCTTGCAAACCCGCATCATCGACGCCCCGAGACGAGTCATTGAGCTGACTGCGAAGATCCTGTTCCATGGTTTCGTGCTCTGTCCGAACCCGCTCAAGCTCCAGCTGGAGCGAGCTGTTGAGGTCCTCAGCCTTTGTTACTTTAGTCTCGAGCTCGAGTCGCAACTCGTCCCACTCATGGCGCTCATTATGACTGATCCCGGAGGAGTCTGCATCCTGGGACGACTGTGCCAGCTCCTCATCCTTGGAGCGAACCAATTCTTCCAATTTCTCAATCTTCTCCTGAAGAGCTGATACCTGCGTCTGGCTCTCCAGCAACAACCTCCGTTCACTCTCGCCCAACGTCGTTGTAGTACCGCGCCGGCTGAGAACAGCATCGAGAGCGAACGCGTCACTCCGAGCATCATCCTCATCTTCTGGTCCCATATCATCGCTATCCTCAACCATTGTACTTTTATTCGGAACCATAGTGTTGCTTTGGAAAGACCGAGGGAACGGACCATCTCCGTTTATGCTCGGCGGGCCTCCAAGAGAGCCGCCACGAGGAGGGAAGGGGCTGGGCGGACCACCAGACGGGTATCCTCGTCCCATGCGCGAAGGAGGTCCCCGGGAAGACTGCGACGTGCGAGCGCTAGGGGGACCCATATTGGGGGGCGGCCGGGCGCGGTACTCTCGACTGGTGAAGTGTGGGAAGCGGCGCTCTAATTCACAGAATACATCGGTCGCTAGGTCTCGGAATCGCACGTGGTGAAGTGCGGCAAGCTTCTGGCGAGCATGGTTGCGCTTTTCGTGGAAATCTTCGCGAGGAGGGAGGAAGGGAGGCACATCTGTGCGAGGCGGCCGCCCGGGGGGCGGCGAAGCCTGTTGCCGCCGGATCAATTCGTCGTAAACGTCGGTCGAAAGTTCATGGAACTGGGTTGGCGACAGCCTGAGTAGTTTGTCCCGGGCTTTGTTCGATTTGCCACGCTCGTCACGGGCTGTGCCATTCAAGAATCTTTTCAGGATTACATAGTGTTGACCCAGAATCTCCTCCATCTGACGATACCGTCTTCCGTCGCGTTGGCCATCTCCTAGTGTGCCGGAACTAGATCTTGCAGCAACCGAACTGGGTGGGGATGGATTGCCGCTCAAATTAGAAGGTGAGAGCGAAGGAGGTGGCCCACTGGGACTTAACGGTGCGCTTGGGATGCCGGAGGTCGGGGGTGTGGCTAAATTGGCACGCGATGGCGGGAATGTTGGGGAAAAGGGCGAGTCGGATTTTCCATACTGATTCAGTCCAGACCATTCGCTACCATCGACAGAGACAGGCGACATGGCTCCCGATGCGCCATTCATGTCAGGGTTAGAATGGGGGGAGGCGCCGACTTCTCCACCAGTCGAGTGAGCGTTTGAAGTCACTCTTGATTGGGGCGGATATCACAGGTAATCAATAAAGGCATGCACTTCGTTAGGATAAAAATAAAAAAGTAAAGAAGCCCCGTATTTCTGCACGAGGGTCCAACGACTTGACACAATGGAACTGACGGTCAAGGGGAAGTATCCACCACGAGGTAATCGTCAAACGTCAGAGAGAATCGAGTCAACCCAGGTCCGAAAGAGTGAAGGACTGGAATGAAGGGTGGGGATAGTAAAAGGGAGAAATCGAAAGTGTGAGGGTTTAGTGTACAGAACCTAGTGTCATCTTGAACTCCGGAGATTCCCTTACGAGCGATACCCGTACCTTAGCCACTTCCTTACAGCTTTGTTCCAGGTATCCCGGTATGGCCGCCCTTGTATCCAATGCATCTACAGGGATATCTGATGTCTGAGAAGACAATATGTACTCCATAATCTCCGATCTGATGGGGCGATTTAATATATTACTTGGCTCTGCATAGTCTCAAATTCATCTAAAGCTTGGTCAAGAACATGGGCCATACAGTATAATTTGTATTCAATACAAGCGCCACGAGCCAGGGGAGAAGGTCGATTTGAAGGGTGCAGCACGAGGACACTGGTGTCTGTACATGGACCTGTAAGGAGTTACCGGTGATTTTTATGAGCACTACATTATTCGACCCCCTATATGCAGGTATGTAGGTACCTGACTACATACATACATTATGTAGGTACGGGGTACGGAGTACATACGGAGGATAGGAGTTGCCATATGGCGATTTCGGATAAATTACATTGACTGGATCCCGTACCTGCCTATGTATATGTACAGTAATATACATTTTGTGTCTAGAACTCGATGCTCATCCCCAGCAAAGGCTGCTTGGCCCATCTCAAGAGTCAAGCTCTTCGAGGTGAGATTAGTTGCTCATGACATTGATAGCCCATGTATCCCTTCAACTCCAACTTCGTATTGTTTACCTCCATTTAAGGTCTTGGTTTTCTACAAATTTCGTTCTATTGCCCTTATTCTCCGAGGGTGCCTTTTCCCAACTGCACCTTCTTAATCCCCACCTTCAAGTCCTGCAGGTGGTTTAGCTCGACCTTTCTATTAGCTTACACCGGATCTCAATCTCGAGTCCCTTCCTTACCACATCCGCCACACCCTATATACCGTCTATTACCTGTGCGGAGCTCATTCGCACCATCTACATTTTCCTCAACATAAGACCAGAGCACGAAAAGCATGTTCTATAGCTTTCTGGGTTGGTTCTAACGAGATATAGGGGCATGGTTCGAGAAAATGATACCTACCAATAGTATCTCACCAAATTCTGTCGCGCGGGACTGTGATGATAAAAGGTGACTGGTCATTTTGGTTGTGATTGGTAAGGGCGGAAATCATATCCGCAAAGGAATTTAGGTGGAGATCAACGAGTTTGATACCGTGGGCAATAATGCCCATGCTAACACTATATAGCCCTGCAGTGTCATTACAAGAATGCTGATTGAGTTAAATGTGGAACGTGCGCTGGTACCTGGCCTGTTACACACCCAACATGCCCCTAGACCTTTTCGCAATTACAGACGGCTCTGTGTAGTCTCGATCTTAATCCCAGCAAGTCCACGATTCAGTACGACGCGTGGCTTCTCGCCCGGCGACGTCGCCAGCATCTCAAAGACAATCTCACTAACACCGTCCGTCTTCGCCCCAGTCTTCCACATTCGCATCTCTAGAAGATCTCCGGGATACACCACTTCTTTGAACCGAGCTTGAAGTCGAACAAAGTTCTGCGGGTTGGAGCCTCCGAGCTCTCTGAGCAACCCGTGGGCAGCAATATTCCACGTTCCAAGTCCCGACAGGATATGGCCCTTGTATCCTGATCTTTTCGCGAACTCATCATCTGCATGAATGGGATGGTAATCGCCGCAGAGACGGTACAGAAGAGCCAATGTAGGAGTTGTCTGGACCCAGTGGATTGCATCAGGGGTGCGAGCAGGCAGGTCGGGCACTGGAATCGGAGGCGGAGCAGTAGACTGGCCATAACCGCCTTGCTGCACTGCAAAAAGATCGCTTGTAATGTGGCAATACACCCGGCCCGTCTTCGCATCAAGAAGGGTTTGTTGCGACTCGAGGATGAGATTGCCCCCTGCCGATCACGCTGCTGTTATTATATGGACATCGACATCTCAGGTTAATGTCACTCACCCTTATCATGGACGCCTACAACGTGACGGTGGATCTCAAGGTCCAACCCCACGCTACTGGTGGGAATTGGACTGAGCATCTCGATCCTTTCCTCGCCGTGCATCGTCTTCTGGGGGTTGAAGATTGGAAGGCCGGGAATGGGATCCGAGCCCATCTCCTCGACAAAATCGAACACATCGTGATGCGTCCGTTTGAAGAGAAGAGTGGAGACGAAGGTAGGAAACGAGGCAAATTGAGGATCCTGCTCAGATAGAAAGTGCCTTTCATCTGCCTGCACTCCAATAGCATTCGCCTAGAATCCATCCATGTTTAGCGTAGGCCGTATATCTTGAATTTGGTGGATTGGGACTCACAAAGAGGAGCACGTCTCTCCGGTTGTAGCTGACTTTCTTTACCGGCCACTTATGGCCAGTCGCTTTGGAGACATCGACATTATCCCATCGGTTCGTTTGGGGATTGAATACGGGCTGATCAGACATGATTGGAAACAAGCAGGATCTTGTTCAAATGGATAAGCGTATAATTTGATTCAAACAGGTCGACTCATGAGAACAAAAGAACATCATATCCTACGGGATTGCATTATTATATGAGCCCCATTAGCTAGGAACCTAGGTACGTTGGAGATCCGCTTTGAACTCCGATCTGAAGCTGAGACATCCCCGCCCCGTTCAAGTGTCAACATAGGTATAAACCGCAGATTTCAAGGACTCAAATGCTAAACTCAAATTTCCTACAGATCGTGGCCAATAAGACTGCTTTTGTAATTACCTGTTACATCGATTAGAATAGCGACGGATGTAAATCAACTTCCCCGGAATTCGGATATAAGTGTGGCATCTCCATGTGGACGGGCCGGGTGGCGGTAAGCATCCTCGGGTTATCTAACAACCTAGGTAGCTCCTAACCGTGGCAGGATATATATTTAAAGTCACAGTTTGAAGAGACCGGAGTGCATATTTCTCTATTTCATTGCCGTTCCTCTATCAATTCACAAGAATCGTGCAATTGACCATAATGCACTCCAAATACATTACAATGGCCCGTCCGCCGGGCGACAATGGCCCAGTCTACTACTCCCTCGTCCAACGTACCACGCCAATTCCTCCTCTCGACGTGAACCAAACCCTTGTCAAGATTTCTGCCGCTGCCCTAAACCACAGGGACCACTTCCTCCGCCAGAACCTGTACCCGGGCACCGCCCTGGGTGTCCCCATTCTAGGCGACGGCTCAGGCGTTGTCGTCGACATTGGGTCTCAGGTTCCAGCCCACTGGAAACACAAACGGGTTATGATCTACCCCGGTTCGGGGTGGTTATCTTCCCCGAAGGGTCCAGAAGATGGAGGATACCTTAATATTCTCGGCGGAACGGTGTATAACCCCCAAGGCACTCTGGCAGAATACATGGTTGTTGACTGGAAGGATCTCGAAGAGACTCCGGGTCATTTGACTGATGTTCAGGCTGCTGCGCTCCCTATTGCTGGGCTTACTGCGTGGCGTGCGTTATGTACCAAAGGTGGCGTGACGGGGAACTGCGCCGGGAAGCAGGTGTTGATTACAGGAATTGGAGGTGGTGTGGCTCTGATGCTGCTGGCGTTTGCAGTGGCACAGGGGGCAGATGTCTGGGTGACGACATCGAAAGAAGAGAAGTTGAAGGAAGCGGTGAGGCTTGGGGCTAAGGGAGGAGTGAATTACCGCGAGGATAAGTGGGATGCACAACTGCTGGAATTGCTTCCTCCACAGCATAAGCATTTTGATGTGATCGTTGATGGGGCAGGTGGGGACATCGTGGATAGAGGAGTCAGATTGCTCTCGGTATGTACGCATGGACACGGTGAAAGATCGAAACTGACGAAATGAATGTTCAGAGTGGCGGTGTGATCTCGATTTATGGTATGACTCTGTCTCCCAAGATGCCCTTTACCATGAAGGCGGTTTTGAAGAACATTGACGTACGTGGGTCGACGATGGGCTCGAGGAGGGAATTTGGGGAAATGGTCGAGTTCGTCCGACGCAAGGGAGTGACGCCCATCGTCCACCGAGTTGTAGATGGAATAGACAACATGGAGGGCATTGAGGAATTATTCGGTATGCTTGAATCAGGGGCACAGTTTGGAAAGCTGGTCATTCGCATTGCGAATCCTGATAAAGGCAAGTTGTAAGAATATGATGTGCCTTGCCTCCTAGAAACTGATTTTGTTAGATACCTAAGTAACTCTTTTGCTCAAATGATGGAATATTGAAATAGCTGTGCGCTTTGAGGTGTTAGCAGTAGTGTTTTATATCAAGATTGACTTGACGCAACTACGGACACGTTCACTAGGCTACATACCTAACAGAAAGATGCAGACACGTTTAAAGTCATATATAGCGTCTTTATGTCGAGAATTCCAATTGACCAACAAGCCTACATACATAATGTAACAATCGAGGACCTTTCAAGCACTTTTAACACACTATACTCCCCAGCTGCCCTGGCCTTAGGTATCACTATGCCCAAAAACACTTAACCTCCGTTCCCAGCAATACTATATTAATGTTCATTTAAAAATCCCAGAGCCCCTGTGTATCATACAGACGAAATTTCCCCATACAACTGATTCTCCACCCATGAAAGCTCCGATAGAAATTGATCAGAGAGCATTGGTGTCATGTAGTTGGACTCCATACCCAAATAACCCTCACGACATGGCTCTATCCCAATCATCATATCGTTGTTCATCTGATCATACTCACCATTCTCACTGCCCTGGCCGTCAGATGTTGAATAGTGAGGGCCTCCTGCATATATTACACTCCCATATTGCATCATCTGCTGGTTGCTTTTAACAGGAGCATGTGCAGCGAAGCGTTTGCCACCCACCCCGTGAAGATCGTTGTGATTGGGATAGTTCTGTGATAGCCCGAGAGAGAGATTTCCGACGTTGGCTTCAGGTGTGGCCGTGGTACCATCATCTTGAGACTCCGGACTTGCAGAAGACTGATATTCTCCATTCGGCTTTGCTTCAAGCATATCAGCTGCACCTGATTCTCTTTCATCTTGGGGCCCGCTCAGACCATTTGCAGTGTCTCGGTTCGCTTCGGACTCTGGATCCCTCCACGTGGGTATGAGTGATCGGGTCAAAGCATTCAGATGAATATCAGCCGATTGAGCTGTTTTACCGATAAATTTAAGCGCTGCCTCGGCACTCGGGTAGACATCTGTCAAAGCTCGTAAGAGTAGCGCGCCATCTGAGAATTCGTGCGAGCTCCGTCTCATGACTTCATCGGATCCGAACTTGATATTGATCAGATGAACCATCATCGTCGGCAACATGACAGTAACGCTGGTTGTTGACAGGCAATGAATGAGGTCAAGCTCCATTAAGTCGCGCACGATCCCGCTCACTTCACTTGCAGTTCGGCATATCCTGTCTCGAGGAGCTCTTTGAAGATTCTGGACCATGGTGAAGAATGGAGATGTTGACGTCGACCATGGGGAAAACGGCAGGATGTGAGGATGATGCAGCACGGCGATAGCTGTCAAATACAGCATTTTCAGATTTGCTTTGTGGACCACGAGGACCTCAGAGTCGCATCCTTTCAGGGCAGACATGGAATCATATCGGCAGGCCTTTGGCAAGTTGCACATCCACCGGTTTACTTCGTATTCGTGAGCGCCCTCCCAAATCGCAAGGCCGTTCTCATTCTTTGGCACGAGGACTGAATATGAGCCCCGGGGACCAAGGACATAGGAGACCTTGTACATCAGGGACAAGATCCTGTTGATGCAGATGCACAGCTCGCACTGTTTGATGCATATGTCGGCTAGCTTCCTCTGCTCGCCCTGGTCTCGTGGCAAGGTGCAATCTGGGGGCAAGATCCCCAAGGCAGAGGAGCTAGATTTGCAGTCAAAATCTTCGAGTGTGAGCATGGCAATATTACTTTCTTCTATCTTCATCCGGGCCGGTCGACGCATTCCAAGCGCAATATGTTGATCCCTCACAAAAATACACCACCACAGTCGTCGGTTCAAACGGTTTTCAGCCTCTGTGGCATTTTCTCTCTCCAATCCATCTTCGAGACCACTCTGATCAGCCAGAACCTTGGCGATGCCCATCCAATACCAAATGTCTCGAAGATCATGTGATCCGTCATACCAATAGGTCATTAAGAGGGTAGCCTGGATCAAGGGTGTCATGCACGGTTCGCTGTCGAAATCATATAAGAGCTACTGCGACTTTAGTCCTTTTTGCTCACAACAACAATCAGATCTTTCGTTATACATACCCGAACTTTCTGGAAGAGTGCGTGACGCGCAGCCCTTCGGTTTTGGTATCCCGCAACGACGAGATGTTCCTTGTTGGCAAACGCGGACCCTGCAAACAGGATTGCCTGAAGCAAGATCAGACTAATCTGCCCGTTTTGTCCATCCCCCTGTTCGACGATCTCCAAAAATTCATGCAGGTCAATAATCGGCATCGATCCGTACACATAATCGACAAAGCTGCGGATCAGGCTGTTCCGCACTGGAGTATCGGGGATGGTGAGTGCCCCCTTCCGGCTCAGGAATAAGACATCGTCTCTAGCCAGAGAGCGGGAGAGGGGGGTTTGATATAGGCCGGCAAGCCCCAGTTTGTCGGCACTCGATTCCCCGTCAAGCTACGAGTATCAGCAAATGAAGCCTGTCGGGGCTCGAAGGCTGTTGCGGTGGATGTTTGTGGCGGACGGGCCTCGTTGCTTGACAGATCTGAAGCAGTATTGTCGTCCACGCTGGATGCCGGACTATTTTCTGCAATCGGGGTATGTTGACAATCATTGCTTATGATATGAGGGGGATGGAACGCGGGCTCAGGCTTCTTGGCTCTGTATATGAATTGTCAGACCCTTATCAACTGTCCCAAGAAGCCTGGATACAACTCACCTCCGGGTTCTCCTTCCTCCCAGTACACACGTTTCATCGTCCAGGCGACAGTTGGTACAGGTCCCGCCACGGAGGACACCGTCGCACCTCACTTTCCTCTGTCTGCACCGCGCGCAGGCCTTGGGCGCTCTTCTGAATAGGGTCTTTGGACCGGTTTTAGACGCCATGAGAATCCGCTTATTCTCATTCACTACTGAGTCGCCGTTAGTGGGATTCATTCTAATAAGTGGCTATGATGGCAAAGCACGCGTTCAACGCACCAGAGAGGATCAAATTCAGTTGAACAAGAGATTGAAGACGGCTGTGTATCAGGGTGAAAGCCTATCATAGGAGCTAGCAGATGAACGATGCATGAATGGGGCAGTGGTCTTTTTTTCTACAAGACCATTTACTCCGCATTCCGCATTGCCACTGGAGATCATGAGACGAACTCTGTTACGAATGAGGAGCAAATTAGCACGGATCTAGTAATATAATGGGTCCTGCGCCTCCACATTGAAAGAGCATTGGGGGTTTGAGAGGTTGATTCTGACCCGCTGTGTTGGTCGAGACTCGCCGTACCACCGCGATGTCCGACGACCCCAGCCAGTCACCGTGGACGATGCCTGCTTCCCCGTATTTCCCGCACATATCTCCGACAGAATATGGAGAAACGGGGGCCCTACTCCGTATTATATTGCCATAGAAGGGTCATGTTCCTCGCATTGCTAAACGGTAGAAAAGAGAGGCCCGAATTAAGGGATGAGCCTATACTCCGTACTCCGTATGGCTCTTGCTTTCGCCATTACGTGACTCAATCTCCAATCGATGGAGAAGATCAACTAGCTTTGAGTATGGCATAAACCTTGGGAAGGGGAGACTGAGGAATCGTGTTGATAATGCAAGCGATTTCAAGGCTCGTCTTGCCACAGCCCAAGTTCTAATTAGTGAATGGTTCGAATCTCGAGACAGGATTATCCTTAAACCCGACGAGTATACATAGAGAGAGATACAAGTACAATTGAATGCAATTTTATTCCCCGGTGCATCAATTCTCCGACCAGCCCGTCAGATAGGCCCCCTGAGTTTGAACAGTAATTTTGCAAACTCAAGCCCAATGCCCCACCCTCCGTTGCGCAGAAGCTCTCCGGTATGTTCAAGAATAGCCTGACGGCCCTCGTTACAACACAGCACCGGTATTCGATCAAGCCCGATGATCGCATTCCCCCCATCCCGTACCCAGGCTTGAATCTGCACGTTGTTGGGACTGTTTGGTGCTGATTGGAGGTCGTCGATACGCAGTTTAACGGTTGGGTCCGCTGGAACATGTGGCGGAAGAAAGCCTGCCATTAAATATAGAACCACGCCCGCGTGGAACACATTGAAGGGCTCGTACACCCACCCGGTCGGGTAGCGACGTGCCAAGGCCAGAACCTGAGCGCTGCGATAGGTTACGTCGCGTGCTGAAACCAGATTGTCCTTGGTCAGATTGCTCATGATCGCATTGGCCGTTCGTGAATCGATCCGATGCCTCTCCTCGATAAAGCCGCGCAGCACCGGCCACAGCCAGTTCAACAGATCTCCCGCCGCGATAAAATGCGCTGTGTGAGCATTTTGCGCGTGGACCGCGATGTTTATCACATCGCTGCGACTTCCCAGCGATGACGCGGCGGGTGACTGCACAAGAGAGTTCAGGGCGTGCACCAGCGGCTCCCGGCTATTATCGAGAGTGTGCGGTACGAGGTCCGCGATGGTTGATAGTTTGATCTCCTTTATGCTCCATAGCATCCGGATGAGAGTCATGATAGTAAGATGTCGATGTCTCTCATTTTCGATGCTAGCTGCTGCATTTGGACTGCCGTCAAGTAGGGACCGGATAAGGGGTCTCAACTTGACAGTAGGCGGATAAAGGTTCGTCCACGGATGCAAGGCCTTCCATGCATAGGATGATTCCGCATTCCAGTGCTGGGGAGAGGAGGGAAGTGAGAGCTTCATGTCTTCAATAATTATATAAGACCGACTGTTGTGAAGGAACGCCACAGATGCATCGTATTCCTGGTGGTGAAAAGGGTGTCAGCAGATGGCAAAGGTACAGCATTTCAAAGGATATTGTAGAAACACCGACATATACAGCCCAGGCTAACCGACATGATCGCTCCCGGCGGATCCATTCCCTCCAGACGTTTTCGGGGGTAGTTGCCATCGGTACAGTAGGCGATTGCTCCAGAAACAAGCCCATGTATCTAGCATTGTGAACCAAAGAACTTCGATAGACCTCGCTCAGCTCAAACAAGTGTTGGCTTCCGCTAGCATATCCAAGAAATCCTTGGAGCACTTGAGCAATTAAATACTCCTCTGTGTAGACAACCTTGCGATCATACTCAGCCTAGCCCATTACAATATTAGACGAGGAAATATGCACTGGATGGGAATCAATCCTCTTACATTGGAAATAAGAACACGGCGATTGAGCTCCGAAAGTGTCATGGAAAATGCTCGTGAATTACGGGAGTTCGTGTATCTTGCTCCCGCGCAGATCATGGCAAGGGTCACGACTGCGCTGCTGTCGGGGTCAAATGTAGGTTGGTGAATTATGGGAAGCCTCTGCCATTCTGTGAGTAGACAGTCGAACTTGAGGAGAGAAATACCCTAACCTCATGAAAATGTACGAAGTATAAATCAATGCAGTAATCAAGCACTTTCTTGCTTGGAAAATCACCCACATCGATCGGCTGCCATGGACTTCGAAACGGTAGGCCAATAATTTCCCGAAATGTGGCGTAGGCAGCATCGCTGATAGGTTTTGTGGAGCAGAATGTGATTGTAGGAGTGCATTGCTCCATATCAATTTCAAGACTGGGCAATACCATACGCTCAGATTCAGCATGGGGATCCACATGCCACGGAAGGCCGGCCTCCTCGGTGCATGGTGTCCTCAATCCAATAGCTGCTGGGTCGGCTTGTGTTTGATGGCCAAAAAGTGATTCATGAGGCATAGATCGAATGGGATGCTGCAGTTGAAAAGAGGGCGAGGCGGAGTGCTCTAGGCCCATGTCAAAGGTGAAGTCCGATGTCGAAAGGTTTAGATTATCAGAGCATGACTGCAAAATCCATCCCAGGTTGGAACTGAAGTCCGTCCCGATCGTATCCAAGATTGCCATTGGATCGAGATTGTATATTTCAGGGGAGAGTTCGTCTGGAATATGCATTGGTATATGATTGACAAACCCATCCGAGGGCTCAGTGGCAAGTCCAAGCCCATGTTGGCTAACACTATCAGACTGGGAGAACTGGCCATCAAATGTCGGAATTTCCATGGTTTCAGGTGTTTGCACCTTGCTATTATCTGGGTTCAGTCTTTCGTTATTTTCTGGCAGAGGATCTGAGGCTTGATGCCCATCTCTTGAATTTGGTTCATAAACGCATGCCCTCCGCCGCCTTTTGCAGGGTGAACAAGTCGGTCGCTCTCCCTGGCATTTCTGTTTTGACCTTTGGCAAGAAAGATTAGTTTGGGAATCTCTTGATCAGAGATTTAGTAACTAACCGCGAGCATGGAATGCAAGCCTTTCTTCGAGGCTTGGGGGGAGGACGATGTGAGTCGTGAATGGTGGCGTGTCGCGATAAAATATCTCTGGGTTGGTTGTTAGATATGTTCCCGCCTCTACAGGATTAACCTCGCTTACTTTCGATTAAACACCCGAGAGCAGACTGTGCACTGATAACTGGTTGTCGATGGGTTCGTTAGCTCTGTAATGTGCAACGGTGGCATCTTGAAATTTTACCTCCCCAACCCTCTCCGGGGAGACTTTCCTGGGACCGACCTCCCATTCATATTAAAATGGAGAAAGAGAATGCGAAGAAGAGAAAAGCACTCGGGTGTGGTGTCTTCGAATGGGAGGTGCAGTCGAGGCAAATCCGGGGCAGTGCGGGGAAATAGAGGCCCCCTGTCTAGCGGTCATGTGGAGGCCAATGCCTAACCTACATACCTGACTACTGGACGAATCCGTCTTACTTGTCGATTCTCGTACACCTTAAAAGTGAGTCCTAGCATATATTGGAATCCTTACGCTCTCCCTGGGTCTCACCACACCTCATTTCTCCTAGCAATTGTTCGAGTGACCCAATGAGGCACAGCCTATTTCAGAACTCTAGGGCAAAAGGAAAAACACGCGAGACATTAAGGGGTCTGGGCCCTTTCCAACTGCCCAACTTTGATGTGTGAACGCGCCCAAAACCAATGGATATCCAGACATCCGGCATCCGAATGCATAACTGTCAAGCTCATACTATACTTGGGGTTTTTTGCGCGACATCCGAGCGCCTGTCTCAACGGAGTATAATGCGGTATCAACACTATGGGAGGATAGAGGCACTCAGACGCTGATCGAGCAAAATGAACCCCTTTGGACTTCGTAAACTGGGGAATCATAAGAGGCTACCCAATTCCCCATCTCGTATATATACGTCATCCAAATGGGATTGTCTCTCCTATTGCACACCGTTCTCGGAGCAGATCTCGTGTGCGTTCCGGGCTTGGCGGAACGCGGAGTTCAAAGCGGTACGTCTCGGAGCCGGCAGTGATCATGTCCGATGGCTTCCCCGGATTATTTTTATTTTTGGTACTATATAGCGTCTCTCTTTTTTGCGGGGAAAATGTAAAACCACAGTTTGGTGATCGTCCAAAGTGCATTAGGTAGCTAGCTAGTTCGCTTCCCCGAAACAAAAAAAAAAAAATGTCAGACAACTATGGATGCTGCGCAACTGGCAAGAGTGCACCAGGTACTGATCCCCCCCCAAACTCCCAGATTTGCCAATAGTTAGATTCTCACTAACGACTCAGCTGATTACGTTACTCGGGGCACGTTTGACTCAATTGGCAATGTGCGGGTGTATATCTCCGCTCCCCACGATGCTGCTTTGAAAAAAGGCACCATGATCTACTTGCCCGATGGATTCGGACACGCGAAGCACAATTTCAGACTGGCAGATCGGTTTGCTGAAGTTGGCTGGCATGTCATAATCCCGGACTACTACGAGGGTACGTTTACTTTGGTTCCAGGGACAAGATCCTCGAAGCGTCCTAGCAGAACATGAAGGACTAACGGGTAAACCAGGAGATGCCATCCCGGAGCAACTGCTGAAACGGAATTTCGCCGTAGCTCTCGAAGATGAGCCGTGGACTCAAGCCGAGAAAGATCTGGTTGCCAGCATTGACTTTGAGACCTGGGTCAAACGGCACTCCGTGGATCGAACGGAGAAGCTGGTGCACACTGTGGTGTCCTCGCTGGAGAGAGGAAAGGAAAAGGTGGCTGCCGTGGGATACTGCTTTGGTGGCAAGTACGCCATCCGCCTGGCTGGAACATCTTTTGTAGATGTTGTCGCATCCTTCCATCCGGTATGTTAAATCGCTGTTGCCCCTTTCATATATTCTCCCGTATACTGATATACTACACAGAGCTTCTTGGAAGCAGACGACGTAAAGGAGGGCATCACGTCCCTTTACGTTGGACTTGCGGCAAATGATGATATGGTGCCTCCGACGCAGAAGCAGGACTTGACCTCTTGGCTGACTCAGGCTGGAGCATTGTACGGTATGGAGACCTACGACGGTGTTGGTCATGGGTTTGCATCAAGACCAGATCCGGTTAGCCCGGAGGGCGCGCTGCAATATCAGAAGGCCTTTGAAGATACCCTCAAGCATCTGGAAGCATCGAAGAGCGCCTTGTAAGCTGATGTGATTGCAAGGTCAAAATTGAGGCTTTTAGCATCTATAAGACCGGTATAAGGTGGAATCTCAATAGTCCATCATTTTATATCAGTGAAAATCTACAACCCCGGTTTTCATGTTATGCAATCAATATTTTCGGAACCTACTAGGCAGAAGCTTGACTAGATGCTTCAATGTTCTCCTTAATGTATTCTGAGATGACTACGAAGATCAGAAAATCCTTCTGACTCAATGTACATTCTGACAGCGGCTTGTTTATCGCTATGAGTTGATATGGATCCTAATGACCAAGAGTTGGCTACTCATTCCACACAATTCTATCAAGGGCCAATGGACTTTCTACGATGCTGGTGGTCTATGAGATGAAACTCTGAAGTTATCACGCCGTCTTCCCACTTGAAACCAACCATGGCCACTTGGAGGATTACTTTGGATGCGTTGACTGAGTCATCGGCAGTGGAGATCAGGAGGAATACGCAATTTGATTCGATTCGTTTTACAAGAAACTTCAGCATTGGCCACACCGGACTCCGCTGTGGGAAGTCCGTTCCTAACTGGTTCTAGCAACCACCTCTTGTAGGCTTCTTCTAGTAGATATGCTGTGTAAATCTAGGAGTCCGTGCGAACTATGGTATAATCATGCCATGCTTTAGCGATATACGAACCTTGCAATTCTCTGCGTCGATGCAAGAAGGAGGACTAAGGAAGTATGAATTAGTGGTTAGAATTGCATGGGCATGAAAAGGACAATACCCACTGTTGGCGCACCTCGGATCTCGGGGTCTGCAGAGGCGGGGGAAGCAGGGGAAATATATATATGTATATATATAAGAATTGAGCTCTATTATTTAACAACCCCTGTATTTTGGTTATTCTGTTTCTCATTTGTGTCACACCAGATCCTCTTACTACAAATGGCTCCTTCAGAAGTTCTGTGGGATCGGCTGATCCGATATGTTTCTGCGACAGACGACCATATTCGCTATGGCGAACCAATTCTACAAGACTCGGATCTGGAAAAGCTCGATCAGTTAGTGGAAGAAGGTCAATTGGAAGTCCGAGCGTTCGAAGGCAATGAGCCCATCACAGCGACCCCGACGACCAGAATTGAAAAGGTAAAAACGCTTCTTGGCCCTCTGGAAGTGAAGAACACACCGATAATTCGATGCATTGGATTGAACTATAAATCTCATAGTAAGCAACATCACTCAGTACCGCAAGTGAATGCCCTTTCCGCGAGTGCCCATGACTCACCGTCGTTTAGTCTTGGAGAGTGGTCTTTCTCTGCCCGTCAACCCGACAACTTTTATCAAACCCAGCTATACCGTCGCAAACCATGGAGAGGATATCCAAGTACCGAGATGGGCTGCGAGCATGCTTGATTACGAAGGCGAGCTGGCTATTCTCATTGGAAATGATGTCAAGAATGCCTCCGAGGAAGACGCACTCGATTATGTGGCCGGATACACCGCCGGAAATGATGTCAGTGCTCGCGACTGGCAGACGCAGCCAGATCTTGCGGGGCCAATGCCACAGTGGGGGTTTTCGAAATCTCTGGACCAGTTTGCTCCCCTAGGACCTGTTCTCGTCGCGCGCCATGTCCTTGGAGAGGCCAATGATCTGAGCCTACGAACATTCGTCAACGGAGAACTCAGGCAACAGGGCAATACTTCCGACCTTTGCTTCCATGTGAGACGGATAGTGTCTTTTTGCAGCAGGGGAACCACGTTGCAGAAGGGTAGTATTATCCTGACGGGCACCCCGGGTGGTGTAGGCTTTTCCATGAGCCCTCCAAACTTCCTCAAACATGGCGACGAGGTGGTAGTGGACATTGGGAGAATTGGAAAACTAAGGAATCGTTATGTATTTGTTGATGAATAGCGGTGATCCGTAAGTTTTGTGGAAGCCGAGGGGATATCAGATTTGTTCAAATTTGTTCAGTATAGCTAGATCTTAGATATAGTGCTGCAGTATCAGACTTGACAGGTTTATGCCTGACAAGGAGATGAGAAGCTAGGAAATAGATAAACTCTGTCAATATTGAGATGTTTCTGACCTCCCAAGTACTCAGACTTTGCATTTTACTGCCTGGGCTGTTTGTTAGGTACCTAGATAGCTCGTGGGGACATTCATAATTCTTTTGCACCAGATAGACGATTGGCTTTTGCTCTTCTTCTCCTCTCACAAGCCAGAACGGTCGGCTGTATCATAGTCATCCTTCCCCATCTATGAGTATCGGCAGTTTAAAAGCAACGATAGTCTCTATAGTCCAAAACACATTTCCTTCAGGGCGCATACATTATATTTTTCATAGAGCTCCCAGCTCCTTACGTGCTGATACTTGATACAATCATAATATATGCGGGGGGCTACAAAGGTCGCAAATTACAGACAAGAAGAAGGGTCAAGAAAGTCTCGCACAAATCGATTCTCTGGGGTTACAGCTATGAGATAAAAGAACAGAAGAAGAACAATCTCAGAGCTAACTAATAAAAACACAGTCCTAAGGACATTTGACAAAGCACAACAGACAAAGGGATGGTGAATAAACAACTCAATAGTCAGAATATCAGAAACACATCGTGCTAAATGAATATTTAGCAAGGCAAATCACCAGCAGTGCACTTAAAGGGTCTTGCTCTTTTGGCAAGCAGCTACTGGCTTCTCGAAAGTCTCCCACTGATCCCACTTGATATTCTTCAACAGGTTCCTCCACTGGGGGTATGACCAATGCATATTGAAGGTGTTCCATCCCTCATCATTCCTGAAGTAGGTCACACAAGATGGGCTAGACCAGGCAAAAGGCGCCTGTTTCTCCTGGAGGTCGAGGTTGTATGTCTTCTCAACGGCTCTTTTCGGAGACACGGCCAGTTTGACACCCTTCTTCTCTCGCTTGAGAATTTCGGTAACGAACTTGGAGTTCAGTTCGGCCTGGGCTTGCCAAAGATCTTGCTGTGAGCACCACAAGCCGACTGTGTTGGGACCGAAGACCATGAACATGTTAGGCATTTCGCTTGTTGACATGCCATAGAGGGCCTCCGGGTGGGCTTTCCATTTAGCTTGCAAGTCGACACCACCGGCCCCGCGAACGACAATATTGTCGAGGTGTTGAGCGGTATTGAAACCGGTTCCGTAAATAATCACGTCAAAGTTGCGCTCAATCTTTTCACCGGTCTCCTTGTCCTTAGAGATGACACCAGTCTCAGTGTAGGTGACCAGATCTTCCTTGGCAACATAGCAATTAGGCTTAGACACGGCTGGGTAGAAAGTATCCAACCAGAGGGGACGCTTGCAGAAGTCTAATGGTTCATATCGTTAGCATGGCTGTTCATACTGTTCGATGATGCTTAATCCCTTACATTTCGCAGTAGGCCGTAATTTCTCCCTGAGGATAGGGTCCTTCACCTGGTTTTCCAGCTGCTTTGTGGCAGCCACATTTTGTTCGTCGTTGAGCGGATGACCTTCAGTCACCAACTGCATTCCGATTCGCTCAATTGCCCAATTGGCATATCCTCGTACCAGGTTGGGGAAGTAAGGAACCCATGACATGGCAAACCGATACAGCCTTATCAATTGTCAGTTTTGCATCCAAGTCATATCCAATTTGTCCAGGATTTGATTTACTCACATGCCAAGTTTGTAGTCACCGCGAGGGATACAGAAAGGAGGTGTTCGCATATAAATCGTGAGATCCTTAGTCTTATCAACGATCTCAGGAACGATCTGGGCGACACTGGGACCACATCCAATGATTCCCACGCTTTTGCCAGTCAGATCGTAGTCTTGAGGCCAATAGGCCGTGTGCCACGAATCACCCTTGAATAGTTCGCGTCCTGGGGTGTTGCCAAACTTGGGTCGATCGAGGGCTCCAGTACAGTGAATGACAACGTCGGCCATCCACTGAGTGACTTTGCCTCCCTTTCCTTGGACGGCGACATGCCAGACCATGCGGTCTTCGTCCCAAATGCAAGATGTGACTAACACGTCGAACTGAGTGCAGCGTCCCAACTCGTAGTGGTTGGCAAAATCCGTATAGTAACGCACAAGCTCTTCCCGTCGCGCGAAGAAGTGTGAAAAGGCTAATTCTTCGATCAGTATGGAGTACTTCGAAGCAATTTTAGATTAACAAGTCGACTTACTTTTGGAGATGTAGTAGCTGGTGGTGTATACGATGCCTGGCACATCCAAGGCACAACCTGGATACTTATTTTTCTCCCAAACACCGCCAAAGCTGCTCAAGGCATCAAAGATCTGCATATCCTTGTGCTTGATTTTGCCATCGCGCAATAGACTGGTGGCTTGCTGCATACCACATACACCGGAACCAACAATGATAACCTTGCGACGATTCTCAGGGGGGACATCAATCGACGAGACGTCAAGGTTGACTGGACTATCGACAGCCGCAAAGCCGCCGACAGCGCGGTAATCATCGCTGGTGATCGTCCCAGCGTTGAACGACTTTGGTAGTGCCCCATTGGCAGGAGCTGCAGATGACTTGGTCATTTTGTTGTTCGCGTGTGGGATTGTGATCGATATGTTTCTCGCAGGTAGGCATTGCGTTGATTTCGCGGATTCCAGCAATGCTTTTAAACAAACTACAAGTGTAGTGTCCGAGGTCCTAGATGCTCCATTCTCTTCTCTCCCCAGACTCCCCGCTTTCCACTAAGTTCGCGGAGTTCCGATGCATGGCGGAGACCAGTGATGGTTCGAAGTTTCTCGTGAAACTCATCCCCTACGAGTAGGAGGCGGAGTTTGAAGTGGCATCTTGATGCCACCGCACTCATATCCGACAACCCGAATTGGACAAGCTTTGCCCCTTTTTTTTTCTCGGTTTGATGACATGTGCTCTGTGTTGCGGGGGACGGGGTAGGATGTGGTGGAGGTCATCCATTCGGATTCGAAGGTGGAATCCACCTCCAGCTTTCGGGCAAAAAGGAAGGCGATCTCCCTGCACTCCATGGGTGGACCCTCGGTAAAAGCCAGTCTTCGTGTCCGAGTTCCGAGCATAGCACTACATGCACCATGGAGTGCGGAGACGCTGATCCAAATCATCCATCTTATTAAGGCGAGACATCCCGACGACTGGTTGAAGTATCCTGAGCTCTTTAGACCTGTTTCTGAAAGAGCTTGACCTCCTCCTCTCGATCAGTATCTAACATTTCCACCATGACAATCTACCAAACCAGAGAGATCAGCGTCCCGCGGGATGTTAATCTCACGGAACTCCTACATAGTTCCCCCCGGGATGAGCCAACTCCCCCATCCCACGTCATTACAACCGACAGCTTGACCAACCGCAGTCTAACACTTGGAGAGCTGCGCGACCATGCCGGAAGACTGGCTCAGGGTTTCAAGACGCACCTGAACGCGCAAGACAGAGACCGCTGGGCCCTGATCTTGCCCAGCTCGGTCGAGTTGGTTGAACTCTTCCATGCAGTCTTGTGGTCCGGCGGTACAGCCTGTCCCATCAACCACGCGTTGAAGGCCAAAGACATTGCCCACGCCCTTGCAGTGTCGAGACCCAAATACGTTGTCGCATACACCGGCGCGCTCAAGGTCATCGAGGAAGCGATTCAGCTGGGCAAGAAGCAGCTTGCAAAAGCGAATATTGACTGGAAGACCCCTGTTATCATCACTGTGATCGGGAAAAGAATCCCGGGCTATCAACATGTTCCAAAGGACTTCCTCGAGGATGAGCCCTTGCCAATTCCGCACTGGGACGATACCTCGGATCGCATTGCCACTATCCATCTGACCTCCGGCACAACCGGCAGCTCCAAGGTAAATACCGCCCTCTTTCCTTTGCGTTGAAAACAGCTTCTCATCTATTTCTAGGGCATTCAACTCTCTCACTACAATTTTGTAGCTCAATGCCATCAACTGTGGCACCATGACCCGAATCTATGGCCCAGCGACTATCGCCTGATTGGCTATACCCCATGGGTGCATATTGCCATGACCACAGTGCCAATGTTCCTCGGTCCTTGGGCAGGTCTGATGCACCACGCCATGCCATCGTTCAACATTGATGGCCATGGCGCCTTGACCAAGTCAATCCAGCCTACCGCATTCCAAGGAGCACCATCTGCCCTGCTTCCTTTGCTCCGAAACCCCAAGCTCCGCGAGAAATACGACTTGTCCCGAATGAAGCATCTGCTTAGCTTGGGTTCGGGAGATACGGAAGAGTATTCCAAGGGAGTGCTCGCTCTCGCGGATTGGCAGCAGATCAATATCTACGGCATGACGGAAGCTTCCCCGTATATTGCCTATAAGCGCCATGATAGCAACCTCCCCCGGGGTGTGGTTGGCCATCTCATGCCAAGCGTCAAGGCGAAATTGAAGGTTCCTGGCACATTCGACGATGCCCCGAAAGGAAGCGACGGCGAGTTGTGGGTTAGCGGTCCCAATCTGGCCTCTGAATACATCGGAGTCGGCAATATGGACGAGACAAATGCAGCGGCTTTCCCCGAGCCCGGATGGTACAACACCGGTGACGTCTGCAAAATCTCCGAAGACGGCGTGCTTTCCGTGGTGGGCCGAACAAAGGAGCAGATGAAGTACAAGGGCTTCCAGGTGAATCCGGCCGAGTTGGATGTTTTCCTACTTAGCCACCCACATGTCCTCGATGGAGCCGTTGGCTCGATTTGGGATGACCAGGAACTCACCGAGTTGCCGACGGCCTATGTGGTCTTGCGGCCGGAATGCAAGGGCAAGGAGCCCGAGTCACTCCGACGTATTCAGCGGGACTTTGACACTGAAGTCGGGGGCTACAAGAAGTTGCGCGGTGGAGTGTGGGCTGTTACTCAGATTCCTCGGAATATCACTCACAAGGTTCTGAGGAAGGAACTGAAGAACCATATCACTGGCCTTTGCTCACTGGAGAAGAGCCAAACCAAGCTTTGAATATGGCTATCTCAAGTCATATCCATCGAGTTTCAGCTGCTTCATAGGGAAAAGGTTGTTAGTTTTGTCTCACGGAAAGGAAGAAATGTAACTTGAAGTGCCACCATCCGAGTTCTACGGAATGCTGAATGGGCGGACTTACTGTGATCATAAACCACTTCCCTGTTTGTAACATTTTTTGTAGAGAAAGGCAGAAACTGAAAAATCTCAGATGGGCTTCATCGCATAGAAAAAGAAGCATGTTTTCATGTAGGTACAGAATTTAGAGATCCGGGGTTCTGACGGTAGCAACCTAAACCATCTTATACATGGACTACCTAGTTTCTGTTTATGAATCATGCCATACTATACCACCGGCCCCCGAGCAGTTCCTTAATACCCTCACTCACACGGTGCTCACCGGCTTATCGTTTTCCAATTTACCAGCTGCATTCAGATCCCCAGAATGACCCTCACCGGTGATGGTCAAGGTCACGCCGCGATCCCAAGGACGACCCTCAGCAGGCACGGGTGACAGGATGGAGAGATGCTTTTCAGCAACGTTGCCATCATTGAATTGTCTGTGAGGCACACCAGCTGGCAAAATCACGAGTGTTTCCGGGCCAACCACGTGTTTCTCCAGGGCGACTTCGATCGTTAGCTCTCCTTCGAGCACAAAATAGTATTGGTCGAACTCATGCACATGCGTCCCAGGGCCCCCCTTGCCGGGTGCGACCTCGGCGTAGTAGATGACGCTACGCGTCGATCCCGAGGAAGGGTCCGCCAATGGCAGGGTCAGGAAGCCGGGCAGTGGCTCTGTACAATGTGCAGGGTCGGCGCGGCGGACATAACCCTTGCGAGTGGATCGGAGTTCCAGTGGTACATCCTCGGGGCTGTCGACCAAGTACGCGATTTTCCCCAGTGGCGAAGGTGATGGTATGATCATCTCGAGGTGGGTCTCGGTTTCGGGGCCGTCGTTCCAATTGCAGTGGGCAAGGCCGGCCGGGATGAAGACGAGGCTACCCGCGGTGACCGTATAGACCTCATTTCCCAGACGGAGTTGCATCATGCCACGCAGAAGATAATAGAACTGATCACTGTGGTGGTAGTGTAGGCCTGGCCCGCAGCCTCCTCCGCCAATATGGCTGGCAATGATAATTCCGCTCTCTAGATGAGAGAGAATCTGAGCGCGGTATTTTGGGAAACCAGTGTCGACGGCCTGGTCTTCATCGAATGGGCGAATAAATTGCATCTTGAATCTTGGTGGCGTTTGGCGGGTGGAATAATTGTGTTTGTCAAAATGAGAGCGTATGTTGCAATTAACCACCAGTTAATCAAGCAGTGATGACCAGATTCTTTCAGAGTGATGGTTTGAGTAAAAGTTACCAATTGTCATCTATATACTCCGTCGATACAATTACATGTCCCTGCCACAGACCAATACCCCGCGGAAAGCTTTGGGCCTCAATGCCACCGGCAGCCGAGGCGTGCTTTCTCTTGAAATCCAGCAAATTGAACTGCAACCCCCTCTTCTTATTCACGATGCCAATAGAAAATGAGGCTGGGGGAAGCATCAGGGGCGGTGATTGGCCAGTATCTAGGCCATCCACATTCGGATCTCAGAGCGAGACGAAGAAAACTTACGCACTCAACTCCGAATCTGGGGATTTCAACGCCATTGGCCAAGCAACTGTGAAACGGGGAGTGACTGATTTCTGAGACGTCGGAAGATACGATGAGAGACCGGACAACGTAGTGGTCAGTGATTACATCCCACCAGGCCATGTACCTGCGTATCCCCGCCAGAGCTATTGACTCCGACGAGAATTGAAGCAATCGTTGAAGGGCGGTTTATATTAAACATAAGAGCTGCGACTGTGCTACTAAGTGCTTCACAATCAATATCATCTCACAACCCCAGTTCAAATCCCTTGTATAACCACAACCATGGGTTCTGTTGGGCCCGAGACTGTCAATGGCTACCGTCGCTACTTGCCTCTTGCTGGTAAGTCTGTCTGTGGTAGAACGATCTTGGATCACTTGCTGATACATGGTTTGCGATGTACCTTAAAGGCGATCCTCGGATTGCAGACCGAGATACAATGAGTCCATATGAGGTGTCTGAGAAGATGCTCGCAGAGCCCGTCATCAAAGAGCTTTTTGATGGTTGGAGAGCCAATATCAGCAAGCCCTACTATGGCATCACCACCGATGGCACCAAGGTCGAGAATATCTATTCTCTCCAGGACGAAGGGGCCCCAACACAGAAGATTGTAAGTGCCAAATCACCCAACAGCAATGGCTACTTGATGTCTCATCGCAAGTCGAATATCTAACACCACCCAGGTCGCCGCAGCCAACCAGGTGCTGGAGTCATTTACACCCGAGGAAAGACTCAAGACTCTCAATAGCCTGGATAGTGGAAATTGGTCAGTCTGCTTGCACTTCATGGCACCTCTCTCTCCAAGCAGGGGAACCCAGTTTTGCTGACATTGGCCGTAGGAGAAAATGGTCAAACACAGAGATCATCGCGTACGAGGTCGGTGTGCGCTTGGAACATCTCCAAGACCACCAGGTTGACCAAATCTGGAATCTGCTGAAGCAATCACTCAGCGAGGCTGGATATGCCAAAGCCCAGGCGGCTGTCAGGACAAATAAGTTCTTGGGTGAACTTTGCCACTCGCGTGCAATGCTAAACGATAGGAGTTACTTGTTCGTCAACACTTTCCCTTTTATACACCCTACTCTGTATCCCCTCATAAGCTAACCATGCATTCCATCCCAAAGTTTCCAAATTTTCGGCCAGCCATCGGAGACCGAGCCATGGGGATATAGCTTTTTCGGTCACCACCTTGTCTTGAACATCTTCTTTGTCGAGAATCAGATGGTCATCGGACCGGCTTTTATTGGTGCTGAGCCTAACGTGAGTGCAGATCCCTGACATCACTTTCTCCATTAGATGTGTTCTCTGCTTTTGACCTCATTTCAAATATTCCGTTTGTCTCTCGCTAACGCTCAAGGCTACAGATCATTGATGCTGGACCCAACAAGGGTACCCAGCTTTTCATTCCCGAAGCCAAACTCGGCCTTCAGCTCATGCAAAGCCTTTCCCCGGAACAACAAAGTCAAGCACAGATCTATGTCGGGTTGCATGACCCCGCCATGCCCGAGGACCGCTGGAATCTAGCAGACCAGCGTCATCTCGCAGGGACATCCCAGGACAACCGAGTGATCCCCTACGAAGGTGTCGTTGCAACCTCGTTAACCCCCGAGCTTCAAGAACTGCTCATTTCCATCGTGGCGGTCTTCCAGGAGCTGTTGCCCGCAGCCCCACTCGCTCACAAGCTCGAATTGATTCGCAAGCACCTTCCGGAGACGTACTTCTCCTGGATCGGCAAGTTCGGGGATGATGATCCATACTACTACCGCATCCAAAGTCCAGTGGTGTTGGTGGAGTTCGATTATCATTCTGGCATTTATCTTACCAACACAGAGCCGCAGAAATATCACACCCACACTATCCAAAGACTTCCCAATGGGGGTGATTATGCGACTGAGCTTATTCGCCAGTGGAAGGAGAAGCACGCCAAATAGGGGAGCAGTGATTCTCTATGGATGCAAATTTAAAGGTCTATCGCGGTCAGCTTAGTTGTTTGATGACAATGGACTTTCTTATCCAAGCTTGAGGCTGGATGCGCATGTAACTGTGTGATTTGCTTGTTTCTATTTCTTCCAATGAGACTGGAGAGTTTATATTAGACGTGCATGGCAGTACAGTACTTTGTACCCTGTACAGAGAGGGCTATTGAGGCTGGATCTTTGGGAAGTACGAAGCAGTGCGACACATGCCCTAATGCCCCTGTAATCTAAAACATAAGCAACATAAACCTTTATTTATGTATTCTGTCTCGTGCATTGGTTTCATTCCCCTATTTGAGAGAAGAAAAGAAGGGGGTAAAAGCCTCCGGCGCACGAGGCCACTCAGGGGCCGACAGTTCTAGGCCCTTTGCCCCGTAATTCTCTACACCGCGTGTTCCCGAAGCTGTCCCACCCTTTTATGGAGTATGTACGGAGCACGGAGTACGGAGTACTCCGTACGCTGTAGAGCGATATCGGCTGGAAAACAATTGAATTCTTTCGGTCATATCTATAGGTAAAACAAACACCGAGACACTAAGTACACAGCAACAACTTCAATACCCGCTCAAATGTTTTGAAGCGTTGATTTTGGAGCTCCCAAGGGTATCCCTTCGGTTGGCTTCATTAGGGATCATGTTGATCCACTGACAGGCAGAAAGGTCACCGACAATATCCGATCTCCGGACAGGCCAGTATTGACAAATCATCGCTGGCCAGACGAGAAGGTCTCCCATGATGATACAGGGGGCAAAGAACAGGGCGATGTGCAACACCGAAAGGTCTGCATCGGAAGAGAATGGTATCGGGAGAATCATGGGCACATAGGGCCACAAATATACATTGGCCCACACAGCTGAGGGCCAGGAGGATCTGGTCATGTCATCATTTATTTGGAGGTCATGGAAAGGCCGCGAGCGGCGCCGACGGCAGAAGACACCGGGGTCGAGGACCGCGTGGGGGCCGCGCTACGGTTGTGGGCCATGTGGGCCTTGACGAGATGACCGGCGGCGAGCGCAGCGCACAGGCTGAGCTCACCGGCGAGAACGGAGGCAGCAATGATACGAGACAGTTGGCGTGCGTTCTCACCGGGGGAGGTTGCGTGAGCGCCGCGGACACCCAGAAGGTCCAGCATGGCTCCTTGGGCCTCAAGGATGGTACCACCACCGATAGTACCGACTTCAATAGAAGGCATTGATACAGCGATTTGGAGGTTGCCGTTGTTGCTGTGCGGGGTTAGCATCGACGATCAAAAAGGGGTAAATGATGGAGATGGGGTGCTTACTTCTTCATGGTTGTAATACAACTGCTGCTCTCCACGTTTTGGGCAGGATCCTGACCCGTAGCGAGGAAAATAGCAGACACAATGTTAGAGGCATGGGCGTTGAATCCACCTAAGCTGCCTGCCATTGCACTTCCAATCAAGTTCTTGCTAACGTTCAGCTCAACGAGCGCATTGACGTCGCTCTTAAGAACACTCTTGACAATATCGCCAGGAATGATAGCCTCTGCCACAACGGACTTACCACGTCCATCGGTCCAGTTGATTGCAGCAGACTTCTTGTCAGTGCAGAAGTTGCCAGAGAGCGAAATGATAGACATGTCATCGAAGCCACAGTCCTTAGACATGACATCCAGAGCCTTCTCACAACCCTTGGAGATCATGTTCATACCCATAGCATCACCAGTAGTGGTCTTGAAGCGAATGTACAAGTAAGTTCCGGCAAGGGCAGTCTTAAGACTCTGGAGACGAGCAAAGCGACTGGTCGAGTTGAAAGCGGCAGTGATGATACTCCGACCTTCCTCGGAATCAATCCAGACCTTGGCAGCGGCAGCCCGAGCCAGGGTCGGGAAAGTCACACAAGGACCACGGGTCATACCATCACCAGTCAAGACAGTCACGGCACCGCCACCGGCATTGATGGCCTTGGAGCCACGACTCGTGCTAGCAACCAAGACACCCTCGGTAGTGGCCATAGGAATGAAGTAATTTTGACCATCGATATTGATGGGACCAGCAACACCGAGAGGAAGGGGCAAGTAACCAATAACGTTTTCACAGCAAGCACCGTGGACCAGACCGTAGTTGTAACCCTTGTAGGGGAGCTTGGATGATTCCAAAATGGACGTGATGGCAGAGGTAGCAGGAGTCCGGGAGACCACAGATCTGCGGATCTTCACAGCACGAGTAAAGGCATCAACACGGCTCATCAGATTCTCATCCTCCATGGACTTCTCGAGTGCATAACCAGGAAGCTTTCCTCGGAGAGAAAGATCAACTAGCTCCTCATCAGTAAGCATGGGGGCGCGCTTTTGCTTGAGCAGTGCCTCGCATTCCTCTGGGGTACGGTTTGACGTTTGCTCATTGGGTTCGAATTTGGGATAAACCTTTGGTGCCTCGGGCTCCACGAAAGGAGCGGGGGCGGCCTCCGGATCCTTGATGCTCCAACGGGCAGCATTGAAAAGATAGCCATTGAGAATGATGCTGAGAGTCAGAGCGGCGATAATCCACTTGCTGATGATAGGATCCTCCACACTCTTGAGCAGACTTTCGAGAACCTTGCCACCAACAGCATCCAAGAACTGATCGGTATACTCGATTTCAAACGAGCCAGAGTCGGTAGGGGCTGCATAGTGAATGGAAGGGTACTCCAGCTTGTACTTGATCGGCGAAAGAATGGTAACAATCGTCTCCTGCTTCTGGCTCTTGGCAGCAACATAGACAGCATCCAGGCCATTCTCTGCCACCTTGAAAGGATCAATTGGGGTAGGAGACAGGACACTAGAGAAACGAGAGAGCAAACCACCGTTGCCGGTGTTGCGGAAAGGAATGGCTGACATGTTCACGACATTGACCAAGATCAGACCACCAACCATCAGAATCTTGAAACGGCGAACATTGCTGGACTTGATCTTACGTCCAAAGATGCTTGTGTCTGCCTCATTGCTGCCAGATCCGGCACTTGGCCAGTCATTGCTGGATGCGACATTCTCAGCGACACTGTGGGTAATACCATCCTCCTCCAAAGCCTTGCGCAGCGCCACGTGACGCTTGATCCGAGTGATCTCAAGCTTGATGCAGAGAATGGTGGTGTAGAAAGTGAAGAGAAGCACGCAATCAAAGAACAAGATCAATGCTGCGAGGAAGCAGAACTGCTGGAGTCCACCTTGAACGCCAGAGGCCGCACCCAAGGCCAACAAGCCAATCTCAATGCAGTAGTGCTGGACGATCTCGAAGCCTTGATCCTTGATAGCAGCTGCAATGGACTCCTGGATGGATCTCGGGGTGCTCGAGGCCAGAGGACGGGGGGCAGCACCGGGACGGGCTCGTCGATTATCCACAGAAGCCTTGAGAACGGCCCGAGTGAACATGATTGGCTTCTCAAAGCCAATGGTCACAACCAGGAATGGGAGACCTTCGGAGAGCAAGAGCAGGTTGATAGGCACACCGAGTCTAGTGGTCACGTGCAAACCGAAAAGGAAGGCAAAGGAGCCAGACAGAAGCACAGTAGCCGCGAGCCAAAAGTTGGAGCCCAGTCTTCGCATCGAGAAGAAAAGAGATACGAAGCTCAGGTGCATCGAGATGTAGCCCAGAGCCATGATGACAATGTCAATGGTTTCTGCGTGCTTGATCAAATCAACGAAGGAATTCCATGCATCGGCAATCCAGAGTTTCACGGCTCTGCGGGATCCGTAGGCCGGGCCGCGAGCAGCTCTCATGATCCACTTCTTGGATTCCTCCTCGTCCTCGTCTGTGGACGGGTTGGGGATCTCCTGCACAGCCTTCAAAAGTTCCGAGACTTGGTCAAAGGGAACGGTATAGGCTAGGGAAGCGTCATTGGTGAATTGCGAAAAGAGATTCGGGGTGTAGGGCACCAAGCTAGCGGAGACATTGCCAGGGATTGGGACATCATCAACTTGGGGAGCAGTTGAAGCAGAGTTAGAGGTGGAATCGGGGAAAATAAGGGTTGTCAGCGCCAGGTGCTGAGCAGTAGGCTTCTCGGTCTGGAATTGTGGGTTAGTCTGGAATCGCAACGGTCATAGAGAAAGAAATCAACTCACCTGGGAGTCAGTCCAGGCGTCTTCCACCTGCCACTTCCACGAAGTTGACTCTCCGAGGCGGAGGTTACGACTACCCTGGAGAAGGGCATCGGTGTCGACTTGTCCTGCGACACTTCGGGGGTCCTTGCTGGTATCCAGCAGACTGCCCTCGAGAAGACCCACATAGGTAGTACTAGCAAGGATGGCAATCACGACGAGGGTGTGGATGGGGTGCACACAGGCACGACGAGAGATAAACTGAAGGCCTGTCACGATCTGACGCCGAATCCAGCTAGGTTGGGTTTCGCGCTCTTCCTCGGTTGAGCGAAGGCGTTTAGAGATAAACGAGGTAGCCATGGTGACGGGGTCGCAAAGGAAGCGGTGAGGACGTCTGTTGAAGGCGTTGGGGGGTTGAAGACGGTCCGCAGGGACCAAAACCTGCGAGAAAAGCCGTCGCGGGATGATATTTCACACCAAAACCAATCCAAAGCAAAATATCTTGTGTCAGGACCTAGTTGTTGGACCGCATGTGGGCTGCACGAGTCGGTGTTCAGGGACTGGCAGTTCCACGAAGGGCTTTTTTTCCCCTGTGTTAGTTGAAACGCTCCCAAAGTATTCCATGGGAGGCAGAAAAAAATACATACCGAGAAGAATAGCAGAGAAATTCAAGGCACAGCCCTTGGAATTGGAGGTCGTAAAAGGAAAAAGCAGCAGGACCCCTGAGGTAAAATAATAGTTGCCCGAAATCGCGACTGGAAATAAGTATCGCCGACAAACGGGTTGCCAAGCCACCAACCGGTGGGGATTTTGTTCGGGTTTCCAAAGAAGTCGGAGAAGCGAGAGAGTAATTTACGAGATAGTCGAGACGTAAGAACAATGCGTAGAACAATAATCAGCCGGTCCCTGGAGTCTTGCCTTCAAAGTTCTTCTTACCCCCCCACGTCAGGATCCCCATTCAGGCTGCCACATTCAATAATCCAGAACTTGCAGGACGACACTGTATGACATGATCTCATCGAAATCATATTGCGTATCCCTTAGGTAGTTACATATGGGTAAATGCAGGTAGGATGCCATACTACACAGACTACGAGGATGGTGTAAACGCATGGTATGCGATACAAGTCGGGACCTTGGCTGGCTTTAATAAGGCCATCAAACAAAGCTGGAGCTATCGGATGCACGGGCTTTGATCCTTTTCGTTTTCCATCTGCATGTCGATCTTTTAAGTAGAGCCATGCGGATAACGACAGACGGTGTATCAACTATCGCTTATACAGTGAATCGAGGGATGACTCTCTCATCGGGATCATCCCAGATCTCGAGCTTGTATGCTGAATGTGCTTGCTACTCCGTACACGAAAAAAAAATGTGGGAGAGAACAGAGCAACCGGATCCACTTGTTTTGTCCAGGGTTACTTGACCCGGTAACAGAAAAACACCGTGAGACGGTTTATTCCGTCCACGTCAGCCATGCGGCCCTTAGTCTGAACAGGAAAGTAAGAAGAGGTAAGTGGGCATCCAATCTGCGAGTCCGTGTCGAAAAAGAGTCCACCAACCTGTGTCCTGCCAGGGAGATGGAACCCACCGGGTGGAGCACCGGAGAAATCTGATAAAAATCTGATAACTCGAGTCAAATCATCTCCTCCGGTTGATCCGGTGTAGACTCCATATATCCATAATAAACTCGGTAGCCGAGCTTGCCAAGCGAAAAACGGGGGAAGATAAGATGGTGAGTCCCGAGTACGGTAATCTGCTCCGGTGTAGGAAGCCACTGGCAACCCTTCTCACGTCCCCCTATCCCGTGGTGTAGGTGGCATAGCAGCCTCTCATTTGTAAAAGTAATATGACAATATGACAATATGACAACATGACGACCTACACCGTATGGCAAGTCTGGCAACCGGTGTAGGCAATCCCTGGAGGCAAGGAGGTGGGAGAAATCGCCTGGGAAGGAGAGGTGCACCATAGACCCGCGGTCAGGTGAATTGAAATGCAAACAGAACAATCTTCAGGGAAATTAAAGCGCCAAAACAACAGCCCTCTCCTTCACACAGTCCAGGGTTTCTATTTTTCTTTTTTCTTTTCACTAATCTACTCTCCGACGGCGAAGCGCTCAGGGGTTCCCAAAGTAGCCAATCACCGTGCTCGCTGGACCAATCTGCAGACTCGCGACATAATAAGATCAAACATGATGCAGATGCCAGACGGCTACGCGCCAGGAGCGGGACTGGACATGTCTCAAAATATCAATGTATCAATGACTCTAATCATATTGTCCCGAGAATCGAGACATCGCACCCAATCGTTGCCCCCAGGTCATGCTTTCTTCGGAATCTGTGGTATGGGACTGAGATCTCGGTCTATTAACAGACGATTTCGATCATGACAATGACGATGATTGTGTCAGGTTTAGAGCCTTTCCAATTAGGCGCGAAGATCCCAAGGTAGAAAGATTGCAGTCGGACGACTGTTTAATGTTTCGTTAGGTGTGACCTTTGTAGCCCATTCTTATTTTTATTCTCATGGTGGCCTGGGACTATGATTTGTGAAAGGCAACCCTTTGTCTATTCACATCTAGCTATTGCCCTCATCTCAATGATCTTATTGTTAACAAAGCCCATTGTTACTGCCTTCGACCTGGATCCTCTGCACTCAATAAATACGGCAATTCCCGCGCAAAACAATCCCACCTGTGTTCCATATTTCTTATGTTCAAAAAAGCAATCCTGCAATATCTATTCGAGTTGACGCCGCCGGTCGACGTCTTTTCCGAGTCCCCCAGGTTGAATTCTACACTCGTTGACCTCGAAAAATTCCATCATGATGTTGATCATCAACTTGGTGGCACTCCTTGCTCTGTACACCCCAAGCCACGCTCATTCTTGGGTGGAAGAGCTCACGCTCATTGCTCCAAATGGAACATTTGTCGGTACTCCAGGATACCCACGAGGCAATTACCTGCGCACGACATCTGGATTCAGCGACACCACAATGACCTACTTGGTTCCACCCAACACAAGAGCAAATGTGACTCAGATTCTGCCAATTGACAAGATGTGCAAGGACACTCAGCAGGATCAAACCCAGTCTGATGGAAGTCCCCGACTTGAAGCTGGCGCTGGCGCCGCGATTGCCCTGCGCTTCCAAGAAAACGGCCATGTGACACTCCCTCAAAACCAACCCGGAAAGCCCGCGAACCGAGGATTTGTTTATGTTTATGGCACCACACAGCCCAAGGTGGGCGAAAAGTTCCTTGATGTCCATGGAGCTTGGACTCAAGATGGAACTGGAGGAGACGGACGGGGTGTACTTCTGTCAGTGCAGAACTTCGACGATGGTCGTTGCTACCAAATCAACGGAGGCGAGATCTCGGGGACCCGACAAGCAAAATATACCCACACAGCAAGCCAGCTGATGGGAGCAGACCTCTGGTGCCAGCAGGATATTCAGTTGCCTTCCAATGCTCCTAGTGGGAAGCCTTACACACTCTATTGGGTGTGGGACTGGCCCACTGCTGCGGGCGTTGATCCCACTTATCCCAACGGAAAAGCTGAGATCTACACCACTTGCATGGAAGTTGATGTGGTGAACAAAATCAACAAGCAAGCAACGAAGGGCGAATTTGAAAGTGAGCAAGATCTCAACAAAGCTGCGATACCCTCGCAGTTCAACGCACTCTACGGTCCCCAATCCTCTCCATCTAGGACCACTTTCATCACATCGCTAGCTGCAACAGGGGCTGCAACAGGGACTGCCCCCCAAACACTCACCGTGACAGATTGGGTGACCAGAACAAGCACGGTATTTATGTTCGGAAGCCAGCCCACGTGAACTGGAGGGTTGAAAGGACCGAGACAGTCAAGATAGGACAATGCAACAGAGCTTCTGAAAGAGATGGCCCATTTTCTCCTTTTGTAGAGACTGGAACATGATCTGAGGATGGCCCATCAATGTAGATGACGACATTGCAAAGTGGAACATGGATACGGAGTACAATGGGGTAGTCTTTGATAGAGCGCCCCCCCAAAAAGGGAATAGACGAAACCAGACCTGAAACGCGCTAAGACTGGGTTACACGTGACTCTCTCGAGGGTTCAAGCTTCACCCTTCACACACGGCCAACTTTGTGACTCTTGAGCGGGTGTCTTGCATATAGGCTGATTCCTGCTGTTCTGTTTGTTTTGGATCTATGTCGGCAACCCCCCTTGTCGGATAACCAACAGCGACTTCCCCGACTCCAAAACCAACTACGCGCTGATCATTACTCCAGTTCAGCCATACAGGTATGGGCAATCTCCGTTCACTTGCAAGCCTATTTCTCCCCCAAATCCTATGTTTTCCATGTGGCCTTGACCGAATCCTTGTCACCGTGCGGTTTACACAATCTTTTCCGCATAAGCGCTGTGCCTCCGTTACATTTGTATCTGACATTGGCCCTTTTCTGCAGTTTCTGCTATATTTAGCAACTCCCTGCCCTCGAGATCGCAAGACAAACGGCTGGAGTAACGGTCTCGGTTTCGCCGGTCTAATCCTTGGATCGATAATCTACTGCGCGAACCTTGCAAACTTGGGTTTCATTGATCATATCGCATCGTGAGATCTTCCCCGTCGCGGTTCGGCGTTCCACTCGGGCCACATTTGCCCCCCCCTCCCCTCGTGTCGTTTGCCGATTACCCAGTCACCGTCCACCCCGGAGCCCCTTGGGATAGCATCTTTTCTCAAGAAGCTTGACATCCCAAGGACTGCTGTTGAAATAAGCAACACCTCCAATTTTGGTTTTGACTTATTACGACTTGGCGCTTGCTGCATCGTACCTGAACTCAATATCTCCTCAATCTCCAATCACAACATAATACCTCCCTTGTTTGGGCAAGGGTTACTCGCTAGCTGTGACTGCAAATTCCATTGACGGGGCTGGATCAATCGCAATGCGAAACTAGAGCGCCAACCACGCGACCGATGAACAACCCCACATTTCTCTTGCTAACATCCGATCCGCTATTCTTCATTCTGAACCCAATCTTGGGTCTCTCCCCATGTCAACCATGATGTCCTCTCCGGCTTCACAGCAGAACCCTCTGTCCACAAACAATCTGTCGGTTTTACCACCCATCCTCACCGATGGCACGGTGAAACGGTCATCGACGATTCCAAAAGATCGGCTCTCCACTTATTCCAGCGTTTCATTCGCATCACAAAATCGCTCGCGCCCAGGCTCCCATGTCTTCCCAATCTTCCATACCAGCCTTCCATATGCGCTTGTACGCGACTTCGCCTACCCGTCTACCCATCCTCTTCATTACGGGCCTCCTCCCCCTCGCGCCTCTGGGGTCTCTACGCCAGCAAGTGAACATCGACGTCTCTCTGACCCGCCACCTTCGTGGGATACATCGCGAGGATGGTCGACAGGTCAACCTGGCATGGAGCCTCAGATTAGTCTTGTTCATCAACAGTTGCCAGCAATGTCTTTTGGGGATGGACCACCATATAGCGAGGATGAAGACTTGCATAGCCCAGTTGTGACCTCGCGCCATCGCAAAAAGCCCTCCGACATGAATGGTCTTGTAGATGAGAGGGTCATGTCGGGTACTGGCCAGGCAGGAAATAATGAACGCGGCATGCTTGTTGGCATCAATGCCGACGGTAGTGAGACTTACTATGTGAATGATGGAAATACACCATGCGATGGTCCAAGGGGGGAATATGTCACATATCCAGCAAACGAAGGGCGGTATTCAATCATGGGTCCCAGCGGCGCAGGCGGCCAGCAAAACTACGACCATGACCCAGGTTTCGAGTCTGAGGATGATATTCCCGATGAAAACCGATACTCTAGAGACTATCAGTTTGCTGTTGGCTGCCCGGATGAAGAGATGCATGGGAAGGCTGTTGCGCTCTTCGACTTCACACGAGAGCATGAGAACGAACTTCCTCTTACCGAGGGTCAGGTAATCTACGTTTCATACCGACATGGTCAAGGCTGGTTGGTCGCAGAGGATCCCAAGACAGGAGAAAATGGCCTTGTCCCAGAGGAGTTTGTGCGTCTTTTGCGAGACATCGAAGGGGGCTTGACGTCGCTGAACGGTGAACCCAACCCAGAGGTTACCGGGGTCGCAGATGTCAGTCTGGATTCCAACGAGTCCGAACAACTATGTACGCCCACACAAACTGAGCAGCCATCAATTGACATGAATGCTCAGTCTGAAAATAAAGGCACCAATGGCAATACCCCAGCTACACTCTCAACGGAAAGTGTAGATGCATCTCAACCTACGTCAGGTACTGTCTCGAACCACACGGTGACCAAGACGTGATCCAATCGAACATCTGCCATGAATGGCTTTGTTTGATCCATGCAAACCCTTGGCGGTGCTCCGTGCACAAGTCACCTACGGGAGATGGCCTGTCCGTTTCAAGTTGCGCCTCAACAGCCGATCAACGAAGCTTGGCACCCTCCGCTTTCCTGTCAACGACCGGGTATACCTCAAACGTAGAACCCCGGCTTGGCTCGCTAGGTGCGCTGTTTGATTGAAGCTTCAATCAAACACGTCCTTGATGGATCACCCACCCGATCAAGAACCCCTTACGAAAACTAATTTCAAAAGGGATTGTTTCCTTGAAACAAACACTCTTCGGACAGCTGCATCTGATCCGAAACCACCTTTTTCCAGCCTTCAACACATCTTCTCGCGATACATTATTCCCCACCGCATGTTCCTCTTTATTAACGTATATCATCCCTTTTTCACGACTCCGATTCATGTCTTCTAATCATACACGTCGGGGAAACCTAACCTTGGGAGTGAAGAGATCGAGATGCCTTTTTTTTACTACATACCCCCCACCCCCCAAAGTCCCTTCCCATATTGTCATCTTCCTTGTTCTGTCTTCTGTCTCACAATCTCTCTTATTAACCCCCCTATTGTCTTCCCTCACCTGTATCTAGCTCCCTTAAGCGCAGGCGTTATACCAGCATGAGCATCAGCATAATGCCTATTCAAATACATTCAATTACCCAGTTATAATAATATCTCTCTTTGAAAGAGGTCAATATGGCATATTCAAGTTCAGATCCCAATGCAATAACGTCTGTTCGGACGTTTAATAGGATTCTAGAAGGAATGAGATGAAAGTATCTCTCTGAAGAGACTAGAATCATCTTTGACCGCTGCATGTATAGGCTTTTGAGTCGATTAGGACTCTCAATGTACCATTCTTCATGAGCACTATAGACAATATGTCTTTTCTCTCGCTTCCATTAGCACGACGCCGAATATGCGGAGACCATGATTCTCAGATCAAAGGCTGCTGGAAATTGTATCGGAGTGGTAGCAAGGGACAACACAACAGACTTTTACGTAGCATAACAAAAAAAAAAGGTTTCACAACCTCCTCTGCTATAATGCAGATATACGGAGGTACAAACCCAGGAGAAGAATTCAAACGAGGATGGAATGGAGTATATAAAACAAAACAGTCGAAAACAGTCGAAAAAAGTTTAACAAAAAAAAAACCAAGTCAAATTTGGACTTCTGAATGCTAAAATCATGGAGCCCGAGATCGCAAATATCGAAAGCGAACATGTTCTCGGGAGAACAAAGAATTGACAAAAATGCTTCATTGGCGAATTAACCGAGCAGATCATCAAAGGCCGAGCTGGATTGTTGCTTGTGCTGGTACTGGCTGGGCGTAGAGGAGGCGCTGGAGGGGGCTGGGGCGCCCCAGATGCCGGCGCTGGCTTTTTCCTTGGCCATGCTGGCAAGGTTGGGACCCTTGTTTGTGCCGGTGTTGTTCTTTTGGATGCCGGCGCTGGCACTGGCAGTCGACCACAACGAACCGAAGGCATCGGTGGTAGGCTTCTTGGCGGCTGCTAAGCCCGACTTGTTTGCTGTGCCTGAGGGAGTGGACACGGAGGACATGGAGGGCTTGGCAGCGTGAGAAGACCCAGAATGCTGGGGCACGTTGACGGAGGTGAAATAGTTGGGTGTGGCAGCTTGGTAGCCAGAGAGCTTCTGTTGCTGCATGGGGGCCATCTGAGAGATAGGAGTGGCCATCCCGCTGGAGGAGGGAGTAGGGGTGCTCGAAGTGAATCCAACCAGGCCATTGATGTTGGCGCCCTGTGAGGCCGAGATTGGCTGAGGCGCAACGAATTGAGTGTTGGAAGTTGTGCTGGCGGTGGAAGCTGGAGGGGGGATGGCGAATTGGCTTGAAGACGCAGTCTGAGTAGGCTGGATAGCCGGGGTTGCGGACTGGAAGTCATCGAAGTCATCGTCATCGACCGGGTTGGGATCTAGTATGTTGAGAGCATTGCCAGCCGGTTGCTTGCCGGCCGCGGTGGATGTTGTGGTGGTGACAGGCTCGTCGTCACCAAAGTCGAAAAGGTCTGCTACAGGTGCAGGAGCTGGCTCGGGCTTCTTTGCTTGGGGCTTCGCCTTGGCGGCGGGCTCACGAGGGCGCGCGGGGGCATCTGCCCCATCGTACTCATCATATTCTTCGAAGCGGTTGGACTGGTGGCCAGCGTCTTGGAAGTCGCCGCCGGATTGCCCGCCGAAACCACCGCCATCACCAAAGACACCGCCGCTGTATCCACCATATCCCATGCTTTCGCTGCCAAAGCCTCCATAACGGCCCGAGCTAGACATACCACCTCCGGTACCCATACCACCCTCGAAACCGCTGAACTTGTTGCGGTTGTTCTTGGCCTTCTTTCTTTCATTGCGAATTTGATCGACGTCACCCAGGAGCTTCACTAATTCAGAGGACCGGTTGCGCACATTGATACCCTGATCCTTGCCATTCATATCAATATAGTGGAACTGCCGAAGCATCCGTATCAGCGACATGTGGGATCGTGCATCATCCACTACTCGTTCGGAACCGTTCTTCACAAGGAATTCGAGGAGCTGGAGACTCTATTTTTTTGAAGAAAAAAATCGTGTGTTAGCCGCTGCACCTCCGCCATCAATGACCAGGCGCATCCCACCTTGTATATCTGTCGCCATTCCTCTGCGGCCTTGTCGGTGAATCGCTTGTAAATGAGGGGCATGATCTCATTGAGCAATTGGCTGTAATAAAAAGGTCAGCGCATTGGCGCAGGCCAAATCAGGCGACATGAACCGACTAGCTATGTGTTCCGTTGGCAATGTCTTGCATCAGTGTGGTCGAGGCTCCCCAGGGTTCATTGTTTGTAGCTTCCCGGACCTGACGTGTGTAAGCAATGTATCACCTAGTCTTCTCGAATCCATGCTCGGGCGAGCTGGAGCTTTTCGCGCAGAGGCGAGCGGTGGCATACGAACCTTGGATTCCATCTCGGTATAGTTCATGACGGCTATGACGGGGCGGTCAAGTTAGTTTCCATGAATGCATGCACGCCGGTTCGATTCGTTCAGACTGTACTCGGACCAACCGGGATGCAGACTTACCATTCTGGACCTTGCGAACACCGGCCTTGAGGTCATACAAGGTCATATTGCTGACCTGCTCTTTAAGGTTGGAGAAATCCATGGCGAGGGATGGCTGTCAGTACAGGACAGAGAGGGAAAACCGAGGATCCGAGAGGAAGGATGAAAAGGGCGCAAGGCAATTGAAAGCCAGGCACAGGAAGAACAATCTGAAATCCCTTAGGACTAAAGTGGACAATAGTGGAGGGGAAAGATGCCCGGTTTCCAGCTGGCAACCCGATTGAATGCGCCACGTCACGTGGCAGCCCCTGACGGAGGTTAATTAACTACATCTTGGTCGGTGTGTACTTGTAGATACTGACAATCATGGATCATTCGACCTACAACATAGGGGCTAGGAGAGTGGAAATGTTAATTGTTTTACAATTCACACTGAATGGTATCATACTGTGTACATGTCATTCGCCCATTTAGACCGAACGCGCTATCGCTATCAAAATCAACAAAAAATACCCATGGTATCTAACAGAAAGAAAGAATAATAATATCAATAACAATGCGTACCCAATTCATCCCTCATCAAGTCAATAAAGCATGACTCTCATTCATTATAGAACTTCTTCATGATCAAATGCAAGAAGAGGTTAACATTGACTCGCATCTGTCCCTCGAAAAAGTCCATGAACTGCGTGTTGTTGAATTGAGCCTGCAGCAAGTCGTCCAGCGGTACCTGTGCATTGGCGCCAGGAATCATCATGACGCCACTGCTCCCGTCAATGGTGAATACACCAACTTCGTTACTTGAGATGGTCAAGTCGACCCGATCCCATTGTCGTTCAGAGTAACCCTTCCAAGCAACGAGAACCCCTCGATCGGCCAGAGTACGGGCGGAGTATTTGTAAGATCCAAACTTGAAAACCTTGCCTGTTTTGTGCAGTTCTCTTTGATGATCCCATTGTTTTGTGAACGGCAGCAGGAACCGCTTCTTGCCCTTCTTGTTCTGTAAGGTAATCATGGCCTGCTCGATATAGTCGTTGTAGGTCTTGAGCTGCTGGTCCAGGTAGACAGCTTGGCCACTGAGACGCTGAGAGGTCAGACGAGCACCCTCGAGTTCGCGTTCGCGCTGGATTCTCCGGCGGTGTTTGGTCCGGATATCGATGGCGATGGCGTTCAGCAAATCCTGATAATGGTTGTGGCGATTAATCTTGCCACTCTGTTCAAGTCGAAGGATATTTTCGAGCGCAATGCCCTTGAGCTCGGAATAGCTCATGGAGCCAATGTCAATCAAGCTATTGGCTTCAGAATAGGCGCCGCGGCGAGGGCTGCCGGTGTTCAGTTCTTCCCGAACCAAATTGTGCCACCGCTCATCGTCCTCGGGTGTCGGTGACTTGAGCATGATATCCATCAAGTTAGCCCCGGTCTGGACTCGGATGATGTAGAGAATGCAGCGCTTAGTCTCCATGAAGAGGGTCTTCACGTCTGCTTCGGGGTCTAGATGTGTGAGAGTTAGCAAATGAAAAGGCTAGGGGTGGCTTGCATATCTCTTACCCTCAAGCTGAGCCAATTTAGGATTCAGTGTCAGATTAATCTCGGTAGAGCTGACGCCCATCAATGCATTTTCGTTACTCTTGACATTGCCAAGTTCTCGGACGAGTTCCTTGAGGAAGTCATCAGGGTGGGGGCACATATGGTTGATCTCCGAGGCCACAAGTTGATGAATCGAGAAGATATCAGACATCTTGATGTACAGGGTGGGTTTGGCCTTGGCATAGAGATCATTGAATTCATCAATGTCGAAATAAGACTCTGCAGCTTGGACAGAGATCATCTGGCCCCATATGCGCCCTAAACGCTGGATCGACTCCGCGATATAGCTATTTAGGGGTTGGAGATAGACGTTCTCAGCGCCGAACAGCCTTCCAGAAGCTATTTGAGCCACAACCTTGGAAATTTCTCCGAGGTTGCGCTTTTGTTCCTGGGTAAGAGCCCTGTCGATGACACCATACTTCTCTGGCTCCAGCACAGCAGGCTGGAAGTAATTTTTCCATACCCAATGGCCGACTGTTTGAAGAATAAATCCTTGGTCCTCGCCGGAAAACTTTTCCAGTAGATTTTGGTACATCTGCTGGGCAAGATATCTAATACCAAAGGGCATGCGATACAGGAGATCTTCAAAGCCCAAGAATAACTGATCAACGATGTCTCTGAGATCTTGGAGGTGTTTGATAAATGTCTCTCTAGTCTCAGGGTCTCTGATCGCCTCCTCTCTGGGGAGGTCCGGTTGTCGGCGGCTTCGTTGGCCGGTCTGGAGCTCCTCGTTGTTGATTGCGGAACGGTAAATTTGAATCGGGTCGCTCTCCAAATCAAGATCTGGATTTTCGACAACAGCCTCCTTGACGACAGCCCCTAAGACGTCGCGCATAAACTTTCGATCGCGTGGTGACTTTGCATATGACGCGAAAAGCTTGTTCCAGAAGGATGTACAGCGCAGATATTCGGGAAGAGATCTGAAGCTTTCAATGTCCTCTTTGACTGATCTCGCAATGAGTTTGATGAGGTAATACTCCTCACGTCGTTTCTGAGAATATCCAAAGAGACCCATCATCAAGTGCCGGATCCGCTCATATTCCTTGTCTGAGGTGTTGACCTCGCGCAATCGCCGGAATAATCGGGCAAGGTATTGTGATTGAGTTTGAAGAAGGAAGAAAAAGACCTGATATTGGTCCAGCTTCCTCCTTGAGGTCTTGTTAAGCGCTTTGAGGTCGTAAGGATCCTTGGAAGAAATTTCAGTGTTGGATAGCAAGTTGCCAATGTTCCCACCGAAGTGCTTTTGATGCTTGACAACTTCATCCAGAGTGATCTTGTTCTTGACAAGGAGAGCAATCTTGATGTCAAGTTGACTGATGTATTGCTCAGCAAGCTCATTCTGTCGAACTTGCTGAACAACCACTTTTCGCAAACGCTCAAATTCGATCTCTTCATCAAAATCGAAATCACTATCGTTGAGAAGGTGCACAAAGCCTTTGACGGTCCCAACAGGTGGGTTCTTTCCACTTGTCAGGCTCTTATAAGCTTGGCCTTGAATCCGGGCTCGGATAACACTCTGAGCCTTGATAACCTTCTCCATGTTCTCGTTATAATGTTGTCGTCTTTCTTCAAATCGGTTCTGGATAATGAGTCCTCTCATGCGTGCTTGTAAGTCTGTAACGAAGTCCTCCTCAACTTCGAGATCACTCAGCATCTCGCCAACTTCAACTCGCACAAGCATTGCCCGGGCTAAAGATTGAAGCTGAACAACTTCTTCCTCGTTCTCCTCAAGGTGAGACAATATACCACCCACCTCCATCCGCGAGATAGCGGCACGGGCGAGGCCTTGCAAATCAACAATGGCATATTCTTCCTGCTCCAGTTCATTTTGTTGCTCAAGGAGATGTTGCCTGTGAATGAAGCCGCGTGATTGAGACTGTAGTTCCAAGATGGCGGGTTCTTCGTTGAACAATGCAGTCCTCTGGGCTTCCAACGAGGCTCTCAAAGCTTGTGCCCTAAGAAGTCCCTGGAGGTTTATCACTGGCAAGAGATGCGCCGCAAGCTCGGTACGAATGGCCGACGTGTTCTTCCTCACAGCACCGGCGCGTGCTATCGCTTGCAGTGCAGCACACTCGTCTTCGGTTTCTTCCAGCGCTTGCAATAACAAAGTTTGACGTTCTCTGGCAATCAATGCTCTGACAATCGATTGAATGTGGGTGATTTGCGAGGACTCATTTGTTAGTAGAGCCTTCATGTGGGACAAATTCTGACGGGCAAGCGATCCTCGGATGACAGCCTGGAGTGGATTGACGGTGCTGTCAATTTGCTTCACCTCGTGAGAGTGGGCATTCATCTTCCTCCTTTGCAAGGTACCGCGGATGGCAGCTTGAAGCGACTTGATACTACTGCCAACTTGCTTCACTTCTTGAGAGTGAGTTTCCATTTGCTTACGTTGCAAGGCACCTCGAATGATTGCTTGGAGTGATATGATATCACTTTCGGCCTCACGAGTTTGTTCATATTGATGGCCAACATGCATGCGTTGCAATGCGCCACGAATGATTGCTTGGAGTGATGTCACAGCACCTTCGGCCTCACGAGTCTGTTCATATTGATGACCAACATGCATGCGTTGCAATGCGCCACGAATGATTGCTTGGAGTGTGGTTATATCACTTTGGGCCTCACGGGTTTGTTCATATTGATGGCCAACATGCATGCGTTGCAATGCGCCACGAATGATTGCTTGGAGTGATGTCACAGCCCCTTCGGCCTCACGAGTTTGTTCATATTGATGACCAACATGCATGCGTTGCAATGCGCCACGAATGAATGCTTGGAGTGATATAACATCACTTTCGGCCTCACGAGTCTGTTCATATTGATGGCCAGCATCCATGCGTTGCAATGCGCCACGAATGATGGCTTGGAGTGATGTTATATCACTTTCAGCCTGTCGGGTCTGTTCGTATTGATGACCAACATGCATGCGTTGCAATGCGCCACGAATGACTGCTTGGAGTGATGTTACATCATTTTCAGGCTGTCGGGTCTGTTTGTATTGATCTCCAACATTCATCCGCTGCAAAGCACCTCTGATCGCGGCCTGAATATGCTTGACGCCGGACTCTTCTCGTCGTGCGCGAGTTTGTAGACGACTAGCCTCGATGCGTGCCCTGGATCCCCGAATCAGACTCTGGAAATTCAAAACATCTGTCTCTTGTGCTTGTTGCCATTGCTTGTCGTTTTGTTGACGGCGACGTACAATGAAGCCTCGGCTGATGGCCTGCAGCCCAACTGAAAACTGAAGCATGCTTAGCCGGTAATCACTGATCTGCCGTGCCCAGTCTCCACGCAAGCGTGACTGTAGCTCAATTAGAAGAGGTTCAAAGTCCCACAAGTCATTCATCGTGTTGCTAAGCTGTAAGCGCATCATAGCGCCTCTAATCTGAGCCTGGAAATCACAGATCGAAGTTTCGTTTTCGTGCAGTTCTCGATCAATACGATCCTCCTCTGACTCAACTGGTTCGGGCTCGGGCTCAGGCTCCGCGCCAAAGTTTGCAGCCATGCCCGCAAAGCTAGGCATGCTGACACCAGACTTATCTAGTCCCTTTTGGGTTTTCTCTAGCTCATGGTGTTCGAACTCAAGCTGACCAACCAAGTTTCCCATGCGGAAGTCCAACATGCCATTTTTGAAGAGCAGCCATGATAATGCGTGGATACAGTGTATGACTTTGGGCAGGTTTTTCTTCTCATACAGATCGATTAGTTCGAATCGAAACAACTCGGGCAGCTCAATCTCATCGAGGAATCTGAAAAACAAGGCGATATTGTCAGAATGGCGATATTGTAGCTTGGGGTGTCGGAAAATTCGAAGGGTTTTGCCCGTATACATTGCTTGCACCACCTCTGCCAGAGTCACACCATCTCTTAGTGCTTCCTCTAGCTGAACAATTGGCGGGATCTGTTTTTGAATAACATCTTCGATCCACTGTTTGGCTTCTCCGATGTGGCAGAGATACTCATACGCTTGAATGAATTGTCGCTGCTGGTCCATCCAATTCCCAGCTGCCCATGAGGAGGGCTTCGGCTTCTCGGGGGATTTTGCGCCATTTCTTCCGGCTGCTGAGTCCGCCCGCTTCAGGCGTCGTCGGCCTTGTAGACCCACCACAGAAGCGGCAGCTGCTCCAAATTCACTCTCGCCGGATTGTGCAAACCTTGAGAGAGTTCTGAGATGACCCGTCGATGATTTTTGGAACGTTTCAAGCTCGGGCGCGGACAGCGCAGCAGTCAATTGTGGAGCATGAGCAATTGTCTTTTGTGGGGACGAAGATCGCGACGTTCCAGGCACAGGGGACCAGTGATGAGGAGACGTGGCTGGTGGCGGGGTCTGGGGTTCGTAGGTTGGAGTTTTGTAACGCGGAGACTGATTCTCTTTGAGTTGGAGATTGCGCGACTCAGGAGTGCTTGGTCGATATTCCTTCCAAGGGTTCGGTTGATCGATTGTTTGGCTTCGTGAATGTCGGTAGGCCCCAGTGTTCACGGTTGGGGATGGGACATTGGGTGCTTGTTGAAGAGGTCGTAGAGATCGTCGGATGTTGTCGTACGCTGTTCCAGCATTCGACCAATTGCCTCGTTCCATAGTGTCCGTGACAGTCGCTGTTGAGCTTATACTGCTTGCCTCGCTCTTCCCTCGGAAGTGCCCCAGACTGTTTGGTATCGACGCATTGGATGATACGGTGCTGGTCCGGCTAGGAACAAACGAGCTTGACGCGACGGAATATGCAGACGAGTTCGTGGATGCTGTCGACCCGTGTCGTAATGGGCTTGTGGACTCCGGGGGAAGGTCCGTCTGGGCCCGCTTGAGCGATGGGAACTGCGTTGACATCATTTAATCTCGTAACGGGTATGCAAAAAATGGATTGAAAAATGTCGCGCTCCTTTGGCCGCATCCCTGCTTCGGTGACAGAAGCGGAATGCGCGGGTCCAACAGGGCCCAAGATCTTTTCCTCAGAGACGTTGTGATTTGGGTAAATCTCAATGGCGGCCTCCCATGACTCTGCAATCAGAGAAGAAGACTCAACAGATGCGCAACTGGGATCGATCAGTGGTGGGTTCCTAAATCCCCGATGGTGGAATTGTTGACGGTGGGGGTGCAAGTGCGACCGAGATTCCCCAAAGTGGGCGCAGGGGGGGGACAACAAATCTCCAGATCGAGTATAGTGCAATCAGGTGATTGTGGCTGGTCGATCTCGAATCACGTGTAGCAGGAGGAGATTGGGAGTCCCCCCTTGAGCGTCCCAGACGGAGAACATAATTTAGTGTTCGTTCCAGTCTTAGATGATCACAACTGTGTATGGGAGGGTCTTAATTCTGTGGACATTCTTTTTCTCCCCGTCTATGACCTGTCAAATAAGGCAGGATACTTGCAGTCTTGGCAAAAGTGGCTGACACAATCAGGTAGGTTTTGAGTGGGCTCGTAGTCCCGTGCGACCATCTCAGTTCATCCAACATGGAGTCCAGGGGTAAATTAGTACGGAGTACTCCGTACATGCACCTTAGATCTAATGTTATTATACGCTTAATCCGTAACACCAAAGGGCAAATTGACCTAGAAGCAGGGTTTCGCTCTTTTTGTTCGCTCCTTTCCTTTTCTACCACAAATTCAATTGTCTTTGTGTTGATAGTTGTTGCAAGACAACGGGTCTTAAACCTCAATAGTAGGTACTGACCCATGTACTGATCAAAGTATCATCGGTGAGACTGATAAGGTCTAACTGGTACCTGGGTAGCTGGATAATTGTCTGAGACACGGGTTGAGATTTTTCGCCAATTTTGATTCTGTATTTGAACGTTAGCATGCGTTTAGTAGTTATATATTTTTACAATTTACATGATCACCCAGTCGACTGCCTCGCCCCGGCCCAACAATATTCACATCGCAGCATCTACCTAGGTAGTTTTCAGATAATATGAACGCGTTTTAGGCATTGCAGCAAGTAGTCCAATACATGTATGAATATGGCGCAATAACCCAACGTGTTCCCAAGGCAAGTTGCCGGTTGAACCGACCCCGCCAACAAATGAAACCACCTCACAAACTTTGTTTCTCTTCTTCTAAAAACTACTCCAAGTCATTGAATCGGTAAATTATTTTACTCCTTCCCATCGACTTGATCATGGCATCCTTGCTTTCTCAACCTCGCTACATCTACAAGATCGTGCCTTCCACCGCACCAGTCCGCGAGCCAATTCCCGAGCGACTTGCGGTAAGCGAGCTGGATGAGAGCGACGGCTATATCCACCTCTCCATGGCCCATCAGGTGGGAAATACATTGAAGACCTTCTTCACAGAGGAACCGCTTGTCTACGTGTTGCGGATCGAGTATCATCGCGTGATCCAAGATATCCGCTGGGAGTCCCCCGATGGGAAAGTGTCTGGCCCTAGACCTGGCGAGGGCCTTTTCCCAGTAGGTTCAATAGATTGGTGTGGCAATTATAATCGCTAATTCAAAGCCTAGCATCTGTACAATGGTCTCAAACTGGGCAGAGACGAGGTTGAGAGTGTCGCCATCTGGCAGAATGATGAGGGATGGGACAAAGCTCTTACCGGAGCGAAACCGTGGCTACTTTACTGATTTAGTATTCTGTTGCACTTCAATTTGATACCAAGGACAAGCACACGCTCGATATAATATTCCGATCACACAGTTTCACTACTAGACATGGCTCTATATCACATTATCTAGTCGCCAAGTGGATAACAATGCAGCACTTGCCCATCTAGATCGTAGTGATGCTTATTTAGATTCAAGAAAAACCAGATAAGAAAGTAAAAAGTAGCGAGGCAACGGTGACTTACAGTATAGTGAAGCGTCCGCGCTAGCCAAGAAGACGAAGCTTGTCGCAACCTCACTAGGCTCCCCTGGTCGGCCAAGACCGGCCTTGTGACCCCATCCTTCCATCTGTTCGGCATCTCGGGTATCGACCTGAATTGGTGTATAGATCGCACCTGGACTGAAAATGAAAACATTTTAGCATAGATTCTGGAAGAGGGATGAATATATGACTCTTACGCGACTGCATTGACTCGAATGCCCTTCGGAATCAAGTATGTTGCTAGAGCCCTAGTGAAACTGACGATGGCTCCTTTGGTTGCAGCATAGTCGATCAGGGTCCCAGATCCACGAAAAGCCACGACAGAAGAAGTATTAATGATACTGCAGCGAGTGAGTGATTGGCAGTACGAGGACAAAGTTCCTTGGAGCTACTTACGAATCACCTCGTTCCATATGCGGAAGAGCAAACTTCGCCATTGTTATCATCTGGACAATGTTTGTTTTGAAGATATCTTCGGTCTTATCTAGATCGATGTCCTCGAACTTCGTACAGAGGTATTGCTTCGACGCATTGTTCACAAGTATATTGATCATGCCATATCTGTGGACTTTCGAGGTCAGTCGTTTGTCAATGTCGGGAATAATATAGGTATTCAATGCTGACTTCTTCACATGCTCATCCACCACATAATGGCATAGGTATCGATCTCTCAAATCACCTGGGATGAGAAGGCAAGATCTTTTCTCTTTTTCAACAGACTGTTGTGTTTTCTTTGCATCTGATTCTTCTGAGGGCAAATAAACGATAGTAATGTCTGCTCCCTCTCTGGCCATTAAAATAGCGACTGACCGCCCAATACCAGAACTAAAAAAAAAAGCAAGTTAATCTTTGTGAGTTCTTTGCTGGGAATAGCTTGTGCATACTCTCCGCCAGTGATCAGAGCCTTCTTGCCCTTCAGCTTTCCAGAACTCCCATATTCAGCGAATGTCCCAAAGCCCTCCAGTTTCGTCGGTTCGCTGGGCTGTGCCATCTTGCTCTCCAATCTACCAACTTATATCAGTGGAAGTATCTTACTCCCGTAAAACATTTCTCACCCTGGCTTGTTTTGAGTCTGTGGGGCTGGTGCAGGTTTGAACACGCCATGCTTGCCCATAGAAGACTCCATACCGGAATATACCTCGCAATGTAACAAGAAATGTGATGAGTGGAAGGTGAGATTTGTGAACTATGTTGTAGTCGATATGTCTGAGTTCCCCTGAGACAGGGTACTGTCATTCTGCCGTCATACTATGGTAGAGACACACGGGATTCGAAGCCGGCCTGAGGATCAGTCAGGCCATTGAGACATTTATCGCATGCCCACACGTCTAGTCAATCAATCACATTGTAGTTTTGCTCTTAGTATGTAACCCCAGTACGCGGAAGCTTTCTGCAGAGGGGTGCTGCATGTAACCAAACTATGGGGACGGGGCTCTGTGGAAAAGAAGCTGTTTCTAATATCTTTGAAACGTGATATTTTGATGGATCTCCTGCAAATTTCTGTTAAGAGACTTAGTCTAGACTCATCAATCGAACTGTTGGAGTCGTGAATTCTACCTTTATTACAACACATATTTCAATAGATAAGTCTTGATGAAGTGAACTGGCATGATATCACTACCTTCAAATATATATATCCTGAGTATCGTATGGTGTGTAAGATTCGGGATCATATAATTGGCTTCTAGGGCAGGGATGATGCATATGGCAGTTCTTTTAAGACCATCAAGATAGGTATGGTTTTTGCTTGCCTCAGGAACTGAGTCATCTGACAGTTTCCACGTCTCATGACCCGTATTTGATCTTTCTATGGACTCGGGCCATCATTGAATGAGGGAAGTTCGGGGGTTGTACTTGGATATTAAATACAGATAAAGTGAAGTATACCTAGGTAGATATATCCTCTTGTGCAAAATATGAGGTTGGAGCTTCTTCATCTCATCTGAGTTAACCCTGAGAGGCATAGCCACGAAGCTGAAGAGAGGTCATCGATGGTGATATATGCGATGACTCATACCGTTGGACGAATTGTCGGGATGAGTTCTAAAAAAGAGAAAAGAAAAGCAAACCGCTGTAGACAGGGGATTGCCATAGAGTATGTTGTCCACCAGAGGTTGAATCTCTAGAATAGAAGGATGGTATAATAAATCCATTACCAGTGGACGGAGTACCCCGATGAGTAATTGTATGAACGCTGCATGCGGTGGTATATTGATGTAGTAGCCTTAGAGATCTTCAACACCGCCGATAAGCCTAAATATTATGTATGTAGATTAGCTCACCGTCCTGAAGGATCTCGTTTACCAGCCAATCAAAAAAGCGAACCAAAAGAAAGGCTCTGCACCATACCTGATTAGGACAAGCGCCATATCTGGCTTGGCCGTGCGCGGAAAAGAAAAAGGACCAATTTTTCGCTCGAACTTTTTCTTCTTCTTTCTTTTCCTTGGGAAAGCCCGACTTTCTCCATCAGCAGAACGTTTCATTCTGTTGATTAAGATTTTCCACAAGTCGTGTCTTATTCTTTGTTTTAATAACTCTTTCTTTTAATCATGCCTATCACCGCCGGTGACGCTTCTCCTGGTGCAGCCATGAAGGCTGAGATCAGCGACTACACCAAGGCCCTGGAGGTCTTGGAGACTTACACCACCCGTGATGGTCTTGACGCGGATACCCTGCTTGACTCTGATAAGCACGGTGCATTGACCTACAACGATTTCTTGATTCTCCCCGGTTACATCGGTAAGCCGAAGCCCAGAGTGATCTTGTTCTTTCTGATCTAACCTGTGAAAGGTTTCCCCGCTTCCGATGTCTCTCTGGATACCCCTGTTACCAAGCGTATCTCTCTGAAGGCCCCCCTTCTGTCATCCCCCATGGACACTGTCACTGAGCACAACATGGCCATTCACATGGCACTGCTCGGTGGTCTGGGTGTCATTCACCACAACTGCTCTCCCGAGGACCAGGCGGAGATGGTCCGCAAGGTCAAGCGTTACGAGAACGGTTTCATTTTGGACCCCGTCATTCTCTCTCCCACTGCCACCGTTGGTGAGGCCAAGGAGCTGAAGGCCAAGTGGGGCTTCGGCGGCTTCCCTGTCACTGGTAAGATATACCCTTCTCCTCTCCGAACACCTCCACACCCATCTTGCATGATGATCATCCTCTTTTTATTATAACTTTCGTTCCACTGTAGCGACGAAAGTCGCCCTGTAGAGAACCAGATTTTATCTGAGCAACACTTATATCTCTTTTGGATATTGCCTTCACATCAGTCTTGGAAACAATTGCTAATGTTTGAACACAGAAAACGGAACTCTCAAGTCCAAGCTCATTGGAATGGTCACCTCCCGTGACATTCAGTTCCACCGCGATCTCAACGAGCCCGTGACTGCCATCATGGCCACGGATCTTGTCACTGCCCCGGCCGGTACTACCCTGGCCGAGGCCAACGAGGTTCTCCGTCAGTCTAAGAAGGGAAAGCTTCCCATCGTGGATTCCAATGGAAACATTGTCTCTTTGCTTTCTCGCTCTGATCTGATGAAGAACCTCCACTATCCTTTGGCCTCCAAGCTTCCCGATTCCAAGCAGCTGATCGCTGCCGCTGCTATTGGTACTCGCGAGGAGGACAAGCACCGCCTCAGACTTCTTGTTGAGGCTGGTTTGGATATCGTTATCCTGGATTCCAGCCAGGGTAACTCCATGTACCAGATCGAGATGATCAAGTACATTAAGAAGAACATGCCCGAGATCGACGTTATCGGTGGTAACGTCGTCACCCGCGAGCAGGCTGCTGCGCTGATCGCCGCCGGTGTCGATGGCCTGAGAATTGGCATGGGCAGTGGTAGTGCCTGTATCACCCAGGAGGTCATGGCTGTGGGTCGTCCCCAGGCTGCCTCCGTGCGCAGCGTTGCCTCATTCGCTGCTCGCTTCGGTGTCCCCTGTATCGCCGATGGTGGTATCCAGAACATCGGCCACATCGTCAAGGGTCTGGCCATGGGTGCTAGCACCGTCATGATGGGTGGTCTCCTTGCCGGTACCACCGAGTCTCCTGGCGAGTACTACGTCAGCAACGAGGGCCAGCTCGTCAAGGCCTACCGTGGTATGGGCAGTATCGCCGCCATGGAGGACAAGAAGGCCGGTGCCGGTTCAAAGGACAGCAAGGCCAGCAACGCTGGTACTGCTCGCTACTTCTCCGAGAAGGACCGCGTCCTTGTCGCTCAGGGTGTCGCTGGCTCCGTCCTTGACCGTGGCTCCGTCACCAAGTTCGTTCCTTACCTTGTTGCCGGTATCCAGCACTCCCTGCAGGATATTGGTGTCCGGAGCCTTACCTCTCTGCACGACGGTGTCAACGAAGGCACCGTGCGTTTCGAGATGAGAAGTGCCAGTGCTATGACCGAGGGTAATGTCCACGGTCTTCACAGCTACGACAAGAAGCTTTACTCGTAAGATCCAGGCTTTACTTGTATGAGACAACTGGAACCTTTTTGTGAATATGTCATCGGGGCCACCCCGATGATGTGGCCTTGAAAAATAAACTAGGGGTTTAGGATAGGAGTTTACGATTTGAAGATTTACGCCATTTCTGTTAATGACCAAATAGGTTAATTATGATCATTTTCTTTTCCAATATGTTCAATTGTAAAGTGACGTAGTGCCAGTGTACAGTCCAAGTAACCTCGGTAGATCGTTGGCCGGGAATATGCGTTCGGCTAAGCTCGATGGGGATTAAGCTGCACGCGGGGTAACAACCATAACAACCACCTAGGCTCTTTGGCCTGTGTTTTCAGTATAAACATTGAAAAGCCGTGCCTCGGCTTTGGAACCTTGCGATGCTCCTCGTTTCCCAAGGACATCTTTGTCGTCCCTTAGCACACCGATTGAGTCCTCGATCTGTCTCTGGCTTCCTTTTGACGGCATCTCGTCTGCTTTCTCCCATTCGACCTATTCAACGCCCAAACAGTAGAACTACTTTGAGACAATATACAACTCCCATCCCGTCAAATTTACAGAAGATGTCCAGCGCAAAACGGGATGCTCAGCCCGCTGTGCCCCGGCCTAGTTCCAGGTTAGCCAACACCAAGGGGTTGCACTACAAATAATACCCGCAGCGAGATTATTTGGATGGAAATGGGCCCGAAGAATCAAATTGACATTCTTAATAGCGTGCTCCTCGTATCATCAAAGAATGAGATACTCCTTCTCCATCGTGTGAAGACTTCTACCTCCTTTGCGTCTGCTCATGTATTTCCAGGTGGCAACCTATCTAGCCAAGATGGGGAGTGTCCACCACCGGAGGATCTCGCCCGACATGAAGATTCCCCAAGCTATCGACGTGCAGCAATCAGGGAGCTCTTCGAAGAGAGTGGAATTCTCCTAGCCAAAGACCGCAACACCGGGAAGATCCTTGCTGTCGATGAGCCTATCCGAGAGGCTGGCAGACGGCTCATTCATCAGAACAAGACCACGTTTGATGAGTGGCTGAAGCAACAAAACTCCGCTGCTGAGCCAGATCTAGGTTAGTCGACGTGCATCTGAGTAATTTATGAGCTGCGCGCTGATTCTACAGACCAATTGATTCCCTTTACTCGCTGGATCACGCCAACCAATGTCCCCAAGCGATATACGACCCAGATGTATCTCTACTTCTTGCCGTTGCCCACGAATGTGGATAAGAATATCCTTGCCCAACTCCCGGCAGAGGGCGAACATGAGGAGCTCGAGATTCCAACAAGTGACGGTGGAATCGAGGTTACAGAGGCGCAGTTCCTTCCAGCCTCAGAGTGGATTCATCGTGCACAAAAGGCAGAAATCATTCTGTTCCCACCGCAGTTCCTTCTTTTGCATTTGGTGTCCGGATTCTTGGACGTGGAGCCTCGCGCAGGCGGTTCCGTGGAAGAAATGGAAAAGCGTCGCAAGGCGCTTGTCGAATTTGTTCATTCGGGATCTCCCCCATGGACAGACAAATGCATATCCCCCAAAATGATCCAAATGACCAGTGATGGGCAAACCGTGTTGGGTCTACATGATCCAGGACCAGAGCTGAAAGGATCTTCCAAGCAGGGAGAATCTGAGAGAGTTGTACTTGTGCGGTTCAAGAAAGGCAGCGCAAGGGAGGTGTCTGTGAAATGGAAGAAGGATATTTTCAAGGAAGAGAGGGAAAAGAGCAACTTATAGACTACCTACACATACAATGTTGTACAGTTAATGTCAAATCTATATTGCCACGGCCTTCCCACATGTTACCCACTAAAACCACGTCTTCTCCACTTTGACCACGCCAGCCCTCGACAAATGGTCACATGACCCACACAAACCATTTGAATCTTCAATTTAATTGCGGCAGAAAAACCCTCTACCTCCAACCTCACCGTCGCCCGTCAAAACCTCAACACCAAACCCGCCGAAATGGAAAACGATAAGGGAGAGATCGTCGATCTGTACGTGCCATGGATTTTCCACCCGTTTCTCCAATTCCAAGATCACCTGTGCCCTGTGTCTGCGTGTCCGCATACAATCCGCAATCCCACCTCGATCCTCAACCCAAGCGATGGACTCGGCTGCGACGGGAGATCGAGAGGATGATCAAATATCCCTAGCGCAGCGGGTTTGCGATTCGTTGCAAGCCACCGCATTCCAGGCACAGGGCTTGGAGGGGAACATCTTCGCAAAATCTACCAAACCAGATAACTAACATACTCTCCCAACAGCTACGTGCCTCGCAAGTGCAGCGCCACCAACCGCATCATCAAGGCCAACGACCACGCCTCTGTCCAGCTCTCCGTCGGCAAGGTTGACGAGAACGGCCGCTACACCGGCGAGAACCAGACCTACGCTCTCTGCGGCTTCATCCGTGCCCGTGGCGAGAGTGACGACTCCTTCAACCGCCTCGCTCAGCGTGACGGTTACCTCAAGAACGTCTGGGCTGCCTCCAGCCAGCGCTAAATCATCCACAGTAATGTGTGGTTTTTCACTGGGTGGTGTTGATGGGTTGATTTGATGGTATGTCGTGGTCGTATACATGCATTTGCATTGTTCCAGGCTAATTGATATGCAGAGGAACCGTGGCTTGATGGTCCGTGTTCGGGGAGTTGGTTTTTAAAAAGACCAAAAAAAGGACGCAAGGGATATAGCTACATATGTTCCAATGTTCATTTTTTTTATTTTTCTCCTCTGAGAAACACCTGTTTTCCTACCTATCTCTCGAAATGAATGAAATATCGACGACTTAAATGGGTCAGGTTGTTTTTTCTCTACGAATCTCACCCAACTTCATGAATCACATGCAAAAAAATCGAAAACGATATCCCCCTTTATATATTCCTTAGTCTCTGCCGCCCTTTTTCTATTTCTTTCTTCCCTTCTACCCATCTTGGCATATCAAGACCTCCTCATTCCTTGTAGACTCGAAAACCAGATTAGTTCGCTGGTCTTGCTTGGTCTTCGATGTCTCTATCTCCATGAGCGAGGAGGTAGAAATACTTTCCATTGCCGAAGATCATGCTTACGAGCTCTGCCTGCTGAAGAGCCACTGTTGCAGAGATCCATGCGCTGGGGCACAGATACGGGCAGGACATCTATCGTAGACATACTAGATCAATGTTCATATTCTTGCTGACTTTACATTCTCGTCTACATTGATTATACGCTGCCAATTTAATGAAGTGGGCTTATTCACATCCTGTCCATCATTGATATGCAATACGTTCCCTTCCACATAAACTCGTGATTGCAAGCGGGCAGACCCCACAAGCAAGACACAACGACTAAAAGCAAAGTTCTTTTTTCTATGGGTAATTCCACACTTAATCCTTCTCGAGACGGACGGCCGGGTTGTTCTCAATGAAGTTCAAGTCGACCTTGTGTCCGAGGAGTTCACGAATGTTGCTGACACCGTACCTGAGAGATGTTAGTAAATGGAAACAAATGATAGCTGATGCGAACGTACTTAATCATAGTGGGTCTCTCCAGACTCAATCCCCATCCGTAGACTCTCATGTTCTTGGGCAGACCCATCGACTCCAGCATCTCTGGTCGGAACATACCGCTGTTACCGATCTCAACCCACTTACCAAGACCCTCGTGGTAACCGAAGATCTCCATACTGGGCTCAGTGTAAGGGTTGTAGGCGGGCTTGAAGCGCAGCTTGTGAATGCCCATCTTGGCGAAGAAGACCTCCATGAATCCAATCAAACCACCCAGGGTCAGACCGAAATCGGCAATGACACCCTCGACCTGGTGGAACTCTGCCAGGTGGGTAGCATCGACGGCCTCATTTCGGAAGACACGGTCGATACTGAAGAAGCGAGCCGGCCGGGGGTTGGCTGCCAGCTTGTGCAACATATAGGTCGAGATGGAGGTAGTGTGAGTGCGGAGCACCAGGCGAAGACACTCATCTGCGCTCCAGGGGTAGCGGTAGCCAATGGAGCCAAACTTGCCGTGCTCGTGGACCTCACGGACGTTGTCCCAGTACTGTTGGTAGTCGAGGGGCTTCTCGGCCGTGGTCTTGACTGGGCGGTGGGGGTCGTTGGGGGGATCCTCGCGGGGACCGTCAGCCACAGGAGGATCGGAGATGTAGAAGGTATCCTGCAAATCACGGGCAGGATGTTGCTGGGGCACGAACAGAGCGTCGAAGTTCCAGAAGCCGGTCTCGACGAAGCGGTTGGTAGGCATCTCCTCGAAACCCATTTCGAAGAAGATGTTGCGGAACTCTTGTCGCACCTTGTTCAGTGGGTGTAGAGTACCAGAAGGAGTGGGAGCACCCTTGGCATTGAAGTTGTAAGGCTTGAATTGCGCGGTCTTCCATGCGCCACTGGCGATCATCTCGGGAGTGAGGTCGGTCTCCTCCTTGACCATTTCCCGGGCGTACTTGGGGCCCTTGGTGAACTTGTAAGTGATCTCCTTTGCCAAAGTAATCAACTTTCTGCGCTTGAGGTCTTGCATGACCTTCACCTCGGCCGCGGCCTTTGTTTTTTGAATCGCAAGTAGCTGCTGTTGTGTCTCATCGACGATTGAGTCTGTGGATGCACGCAGCAGATCCTTATCCTTCTTGATCCAGCCACGTTTGAAGGCATTTCCTTGGCCCACTTTGGCATTCTCTTTGCCCACAATCCCGGGCAAATCGGCGATCTTCAATCCATCCATGGCAGCAAGCACCGCGGCGAAGACCTTGGCCTCATGACTGCCATTGGCGGCAATCTCTTCACCCTCAGCAGTGAGACTAACAATTTCTTTCTCCAAGGCCTGGAATTCGACCATCTGCCGGGAATCCAGGCGATCGAGTGCACTCTTGACGGTCAATGAGGGGGTGGAGGGAAGGCTTCGCTGGAGAGGATGGGCGCATCGGACGCGGACAGGGCGTCCAAAATCTCGGTTGTCAAATCGGACGCCATGGCTGCAGCCTTCTTCAGCACAGTCAAATTTGAGGGGATATTAGGGGCGTTTTTGTGATCGGGCAACATTTCACAGAATTATGACTCTGCGGGATCCAAAGAGATAATACGGTGGAGCACATCGACCACTTCTGCCATTTGACCCCCGCCATCCCGTTGACCAGTTGACTTGCTACTCTGGAGCGGAAGCCAACCGTGACCAACCACGTGCAATGGGGTTTCGGTGGCACTTTATACCTCCATCTATATGGACTCGCTTGCCAACGCTTTGTGACTTTCATGGAGGCATGTTGAAACACATGATCCACAAAGATTAATCCAGGCACCGTGCAAAGTCAAAGACGTTGGCCTTCCCATACCTCCAGCACGAGGTGCATGACCAATACTCCCTGGAGGGCACCTGGGCACGGCAACGGCTCAGCCGCTAGGAGCGCGACGGGTCAGCCACCAAAAGAGACACCAGTTCCGATGGCCGACCCCAAGGAGAGACATTCTTGTTGATTCCTTATAGGCTCATCCTAACTTCCAACTGGATCCCATATGGATCCTGGCCAATTGCTCGCAAACTCTGTCTCGCCTATCCTTTCCCTGGGAGCTATTTGGGGGGAGTTCTCCGAGTACCTTTTTCACCATATGGATTTAGACTATTGAGGAAGGCCAAACGAACCCGGAGCCACCTTGTGATCGCCACTAGTCTCAGAGCCGATCACCACGCTTTTCGGGTTCCTAGTCCACGGGATATTGATTCAGGACTGTCTGATCCCCTGGACTCCGGGTACAGAGTACTCCGGAGTACCTGTATGATAACCAGGGAAGTCAGCCCTCCGTACGGAGTCCATACTCAGATACTGAGTATCGAGGGCTATACCTCAGGCATCTCGCGAAAAGTTTATTAAATCACCAGTCACCAGTCCGTGCCCTCGATGCAGTCATGATTTTGTAAATGTGCATACAACACGCTCCATAGGGAAGGATGAGATATGATTTACTCCGTACACCGTTGTGTTTTTTATTTCATTTCTTTTTTTACCCGCTGTAAGAGGCAACTCATATGCACTGATTCTACGAGAGACATAGAGACATAACCTTGAAAAACGAGAATATAGAAAGGGAAAAAAAGAAAAAGAGGCGGCATCACCGCCCCTTTCGAAATCTCTTTCTTTCTCCCCCCCCCCCTCCTCTCTCTCTCTCTCTCCGTTGGGAATTATTTCATCCATCTTCCTCTTCATCCCCCCATCTCCGATTCCATTTGGAAAAAAGAAACATTCGTTCTTTTTTTGGGTTTGATCTGCTCTTTTGCTCCCCGCATACCTGGGCAAAGTGGTGGCTTACCTAACCGGGCGCTCTTTTCCCCCTTCATCCCAACTTTCTATTCCCTTTCATTATTTATCCCCGATTGACTCGGGACCTATTTATTACACCTGTCTTTTCTTCAACTTTTTGGTGGATCGCCCCATGTCGCCCTAATTAGAATATTATTGGTCATCCTGTCAGGATCCCGACTTTCCAGTGAGTAATCCTTGAGACCGGAACGCTCCTCTCGGAACCCTACCAATCCATTTTCCCGCCAGATTAGCCTCTGTTATACCCTCATGTTCTCTCCACTGGTCGTAGTGCCGAACTAACTTACGTAGGGCACAATGGCTGGCGCGGACGAGACATTCGTGGCCGCGGCTGCCGTGCTGCAGAATCTAGCAAGAGACGAACCTACCCCCGGTTCCTCTTCGCCTCCATTCGACTTCCAGTTACAATCCAACGGGACCAAATCGGCGAAACTTCCCGGAGAACACAGCCCTGCCAAGGCAGCCTTCGAAGCCGAGCTTGAGGCCCTGGTGCGCCGCGTGCACCATCTGGAATTCCAAGCTGTCAGTCACCACAATTTCCAACTGCAGGCGGATCCCCACCAGACCACTCGGTCTGTTGAAGAGACCAACGAGAGGAATTTCTTGTGGACATTTGGGCTCTCTCGCTTGTCGTCCGGTCAAGATTCTGACTCTCTGTCACAGCAGCAAAATGCGATCCAACCCATCCCCGCAGGCGACGAACCACCCTTGGGAGAAATTGACGACGAAACCGATGATGAAGACGATAACGGTACCCGCGTCGTACGGGAGGAGGATATCAGCTTTCTTCGCAATCACGTACAAAAGCAGGCCGAGGAGATAAGCAGCCAAAAGGATATCATCGCTCAGGTTCGCGACGAATTACAGAAACAGGAAGAACACACTCGCCGAGCTCTTACCAAAGTCGAAAATGAAGATGTCGTTCTTCTTGAACGCGAGTTGCGCAAGCACCAACAGGCCAACGAGGCTTTCCAGAAAGCTTTGCGTGAAATCGGGGGCATCATCACTCAAGTCGCTAATGGTGACCTCTCCATGAAGGTTCAGATCCACCCGCTGGAGATGGACCCCGAAATCGCCACTTTTAAACGAACAATCAACACCATGATGGACCAACTGCAAGTTTTCGGTAGCGAAGTGTCTCGTGTCGCACGTGAAGTCGGAACTGAAGGAATCCTCGGTGGACAAGCCCAGATCACTGGTGTCCATGGTATCTGGAAGGAGCTTACAGAGAACGTGAACATTATGGCCAAGAATTTGACTGATCAAGTGCGAGAAATCGCTGCCGTCACCACTGCTGTCGCTCATGGTGATCTTAGCCAGAAGATTGAAAGCCGAGCTCAGGGTGAAATTCTGGAATTGCAGCAAACGATCAATACCATGGTAGATCAACTTCGAACATTTGCTACGGAAGTCACTCGAGTCGCCCGTGATGTCGGCACGGAAGGTGTGCTTGGGGGACAAGCTCAGATCGAGGGTGTCCAGGGCATGTGGAACGAACTCACAGTTAATGTCAACGCCATGGCCAATAATCTCACGACTCAAGTGCGCGATATTGCTACCGTCACAAAAGCCGTTGCCAAGGGTGACCTCACGCAGAAGGTCCAGGCCAACTGTAAGGGAGAAATTGCGGAGCTCAAGAATATTATCAATTCCATGGTGGACCAACTACGGCAATTCGCCCAAGAAGTCACCAAGATTGCCAAGGAAGTCGGTACCGATGGCGTTCTTGGAGGTCAAGCCACAGTGAACGACGTGGAGGGAACGTGGAAAGATCTGACAGAAAACGTCAATCGTATGGCCAACAACCTGACCACACAGGTGCGCGAGATTGCAGACGTCACTACCGCTGTTGCCAAGGGTGACTTGACTAAAAAGGTTACCGCCAACGTACAAGGAGAAATCCTCGACCTAAAGAGTACCATTAATGGCATGGTGGATCGTCTTAACACCTTTGCTTTCGAGGTCAGCAAAGTGGCCCGAGAGGTCGGCACAGACGGTACACTTGGCGGCCAGGCCAAGGTCGATAACGTGGAAGGAAAATGGAAAGACCTAACAGACAATGTCAACACTATGGCGCAGAATCTGACGTCTCAGGTCCGAAGTATCTCCGATGTCACGCAAGCCATTGCCAAGGGTGACTTGAGCAAAAAGATCGAAGTGCATGCCCAGGGAGAAATCCTCACGCTTAAGGTCACCATTAATCACATGGTGGGTCGACTGGCGAAGTTCGCTACTGAGCTGAAGAAGGTCGCCCGAGATGTCGGTGTCGACGGCAAGATGGGCGGACAGGCCAACGTAGAGGGGATTGCGGGTACTTGGAAAGAAATTACCGAGGACGTGAACACCATGGCCGAGAATCTGACTTCACAAGTGCGTGCGTTCGGTGAAATTACCGATGCCGCGACCGACGGTGACTTTACCAAGTTGATCACGGTTAACGCGTCTGGTGAAATGGACGAACTGAAGCGAAAGATCAACAAGATGGTTTCCAACTTGCGTGATAGTATTCAGAGAAACACTGCCGCCAGGGAGGCTGCCGAGCTTGCCAATCGCACCAAATCAGAGTTCTTGGCCAATATGTCACACGAAATCCGGACGCCGATGAACGGCATCATTGGAATGACTCAGCTGACGTTGGACACCGATGATCTCAAGCCGTATACTCGAGAAATGTTGAATGTCGTCCACAATTTGGCGAACAGTTTGCTCACCATCATTGATGACATTCTGGATATCTCCAAGATTGAAGCCAATCGCATGGTGATTGAGAGTATTCCATTCACCGTGAGGGGCACTGTTTTCAATGCCCTCAAGACGTTGGCGGTCAAGGCCAATGAGAAATTCTTGAGCCTGACATACCAAGTCGACAATACCGTTCCGGATTATGTTATTGGTGATCCTTTCCGTCTCCGCCAGATCATTCTCAATCTCGTTGGAAACGCTATCAAGTTCACTGAGCATGGTGAGGTCAAGCTCACCATCCGAAAGTCGGACAGAGAGCAATGCACGACCAACGAATATGCCTTCGAATTTTCCGTGTCTGACACGGGTATTGGAATCGAAGAGGACAAACTCGATCTCATCTTTGACACCTTCCAACAAGCCGACGGTTCAACTACCCGCAGATTCGGTGGTACTGGTTTAGGACTGTCGATCTCCAAGCGCCTTGTGAACCTCATGGGTGGTGACGTTTGGGTCACCTCCGAATACGGACATGGAAGTACCTTCCACTTCACCTGTGTCGTAAAACTTGCAGATCAGTCGTTGAGCGTCATTGCCAATCAACTCTTGCCGTATAGGAACCACCGCGTGCTGTTCATTGACAAGGGCCAGAATGGCGTTCAAGCTTCAAATGTCATGAAGATGTTGAAGAAGATTGAACTGGAGCCATTGGTGGTACGGAATGAGGAGCATGTTCCACCACCCGAGATCCAAGATCCTTCTGGAAAGGAATCGGGCCACGCCTACGATGTCATTATTGTTGACTCGGTAGACACAGCCCGGATCTTGCGGACGTTCGACGAGTTCAAGTACATTCCTATCGTTTTGGTCTGTCCGTTGGTATGTGTGAGCTTGAAGTCAGCTTTGGACCTTGGTATCAGTTCATACATGACAACCCCATGTCAGCCCATTGACCTTGGCAATGGTATGCTGCCAGCGTTAGAAGGTCGTTCGACACCGATCACCACCGATAACTCACGTTCATTCGATATTCTCCTAGCAGAGGATAACGATGTGAACCAGCAACTTGCGATGAAGATCCTCCAAAAACACAACCACAACGTGTTTGTTGTTGGTAATGGATTGGAAGCTGTCGAGGCCGTCAAGAAACGTCGTTACGATGTCATTCTGATGGACGTTCAGATGCCGGTTATGGGAGGCTTCGAAGCCACCGGCAAGATCCGTGAATATGAACGTGAGAGCGGCCTTCAGCGAACCCCAATCATCGCGTTGACTGCCCACGCCATGTTGGGTGACCGTGAGAAGTGCATCCAAGCTCAAATGGACGAGTACTTGTCTAAACCGCTCAAGCAAAACCAGATGATGCAAACTATCCTCAAATGTGCGACCCTTGGTGGATCGCTGTTGGAGAAGAGCAAAGAGTCTAGGATCTCGAGCAGTGGGGAGATGCATCCCAATTACTCAATGTCTGAGAACCAACAGCAGCAGCAACAACCACAACAGCAACAGCGGTCAAAGCAACAGCCCTTGCCATCTCCCCGCCCCGTTGTGGAATCCCGGTCCATCACAACCTCTGGTCCCATCGCCCGGGGGAGTGTGGTCAGTCCAACGGAAGAGAAAGAACAAATGATCGACGAGCGGGTACGTTAGCTGTATGTTTTGGACCAAGATCTCAAATCAGCTTGGCTAATTGATTCCAGGCATTGTTGCGATCAAACAGTACATGAGTTTATCCCATTTATTTCCATGCAGATGATTTCGATGCGACTATACCCTGTCTATATGAGTCCCATCTATTTTTGTCTACTTCATACCCAACTGCGACTTCTATTATGATCCACTGTCATCAACCTCCACCATTGCATTCGCTTGTTTTTTTTTTGTTTTGTTTTGTTTTTCCTTTTCCCCGTTTTCATTTCCCCTCTTCCTGGAGGTGGTGTTTGGCGCACTCTATGATTGGACTTGGTTTGATCTATATGGAAGGATGACCGAATAGGGGAGTTTTCGCTTACCAGAGGGGCGCTTTGTTCTTTGTGATTATTTACCTCTTCTTCCCCTATCATCTTTTTTTCTTCTCTTTCTCAACTAGCCTCTCTTTCTTTCATCATCTTCCTCATCATATTCTTGTTGTCCATTCTTGTATTGTATTTAGTCATTTTGCTACTGATCATATCAAGCGCGGCACAAGAACACCGCTCAATCTTCATGAGGATCTTTCCTTTTCTTTCATACACCCATTTACTCATTCCAAGCTTCTCTAGCCTTCAAATCATTTACTTAAACATTTCCTCCTCGGTTTGCATCATCGCAGTCCATGCATAGAAATCTTCTTGTCGGCTATACTGAACCCCCCGGCCTCGCTATTGAGTCGTTGGCAATGCTGACTTGGAAACTCTGGATATACAACTCTCCGACTTTCTCCAAATATTTCTGGTCTTTCCAGTGCTGTTGGGAACTATATCCCTCGCCAAAAGTCGATTGGATCTGATGGGAACCCACACCTTCTCTATCCTCTTCCAGTTGATTCTCTGATAGAGTTCTTATCAGGGCCTTGACTGTATATACGCTCAGGTGCGAGACGCTTTATAAGGCCTTTACAGAGGTGTCTATGTTGTACCTGGTGGCCACAGCCTCGGCTAAGGTGCTACCGGGCTTTAGTAGTCTCATAGGTTTAGAGAGCGCCTCTTGCGTTGATGTGACACCGGTCTTCATCCTTGCTGTGCGAGAACATCGAGGAGGGGAATCCTTGAATCGTGCGGCGCACGTAGTATATGGGTGCGCCAACAGAGAGCAAATAATGGGCAACCTCTACTTGACCAGCACGTGGAGCATGAGCGAGGCCAGGATGAAGGAAAAGAAGGGTCTGTTTTCTTGACGACACCATTGACTGCACAGTGGCGAGTTGTCCATCCTCGCATGCAGTCTCATAGTCAATGGCCCATTGAGATCTTTCCCCCTTGAAATCATGATTACTAGGGTCTATCAGAGGGACCTCGCGTTGTACTACAGTAACTGTACATGACTCGGGGTAGGTATGGGTCTTGATATACCACCGCTGTTCCAAATGCTGATACATACCATCCGCCCGTTCGTTGTTCTCGGTCATCTCTTTTCCTCTTCCCTGGAGGGATCTGACTCGTCCAGTGATGGCTCCTGGTTGGTAGGGCAAAGGCCCATAAACGACGGGGTTGCTTATATCCCGGAAACCCATCTGCCGGAGTGGAAAGAGTTGGAAGACATGATGTAAGCACCCTAGGGGTCGTTTAAAATGACGTGAGAAGTATCAGGTGCTCTCGCGGCTGGATTACATGTACTTGAGTACATCCTGCCCTAACCCCGGGGCCGCCCCGACCTCCAGGACTTCATGAATGGCATACGTGATATCTCTAGTCCCACGTATGGTCTACTTAGGTACTGATGTCAAAGCAACAGAAAATAGGATCGGCTACATGCTTTAATGCTAGCAAAGCTGCCAAGAAGTAATGGTTTTCCGACGTGGCTTCCGTAGTGTGTTTGATGCACTATGGTAAGTTAACCCGCTTTAAGCCCAAACTCCCCGGCAAGAAATTCTAGTGAACCTATCATATGTAATGGTAGATATTCAGTAAGTAACCACTGTTGTGTGCTTACTAGATCGAAACCACAAAAGGATGTTGTGGGAGTGGTCGAACTATACATTTCTATACACCAGAGTTATACCAGTTCGGATACTCCATTTGTCCACTTAAATCAAGTATATCGAACGTTGCACTTCTTCAATAGAAATATTACATGTGACATGATTTGCATCTCGCGAAGCTCTTGGGGTGACTGGATGATGAAACTTCGTATCTACGAAGCCCGCTCGACAATGTTCACTAACAAGGCAGCGGATACTAAATCCGCAGTGTATGCCATATTCAAGTCGAAGTAGCTCCGTCGGTCTTAGCCTAGCCTTGGAAGACGCCTCGTCTGTAGCTAGCTTTGAATCTTTCCGAGTTTTATGTCATTTCATAGACTGATCAAGACAGATAAATGAGATGGAGTGATTTCAACACAAGCGGTCTATACAGCCTGGATCGCAATAGATAGATTGACTATCAGGACTGCTATGATTCCTCCCGTGTCAATTACCTCGAGTGGTATTGAGTGAATCTGTAAGTTTAGATGGTCATATGTAAATACCCTGGAGTTCAGGGGCAGTTCGATCGTATTACATTGCGTTTCGACCACTAGCAAAATATGGATATCTGAAGGAATCAGGATTCTACCACTAGTCCGAGAGTACCTAGCTATTTTGTGGTCTACAAAAGAGGGCAGGAGAATGATGATAAAAGGTACGTGAGAAGGATCGGATTACAATAGGGCTTGCCTAGATAGGATATTTGTTGGGGTCGTTGTTTTAGAGATCTCATTTTGGTCGTTTGACCACTCTGGTCACTGTACTGACTAGCAACCTATGTAACATTTTGGGTCATTGTAAACACATTTTTATTAGCCTCCCGAACAGCAAGAGGCTAACAGCCCACTGGATATGAGATATGATGGAAAACATTGATTGCTTTTAAAACACCAAGGCATGCCCAACTCCGAAAATCTGCGTATTGCAGGAACCGTGTCGTATCTGAAGAAGCATGAAAACAAAAAGAAAAAATAGATGCCCGAGAGAAAATTTAGTCGATATCCATCTCCTCCTCGACTCCACCATCCACCAAAAGCTTGCTCTTCTTCTTCTGGCGAAGCCTCTCCTCGCCGTGGACTCTGTTGGAAACCTTGCTCTGCTCGGCGACCATGGGCTGGCCCTCCTCGCGCTCCATGAGTTCCTTGCGAATGAGGTGCTCGCCCGAGTTGACGACCTTGCGGTCCGCCTCGCGCTGGCGCTCGCGGGCAAGCTTGCCGGCCAGGCGGCGCTTTGTGAACACACGCTCGCGGCGGAGTCTGATCTCCTCCACTCTCTTCATGGCAGTGATGGTGGCAGTGACCAAGTTGCGGTCGTACTTGACGGGGACGTTTCTCTTCTTGGCGAACTGGGACAGGACAAGCGACGAATCCACGATCATCTCCTTTCCGCGGGCGGCACGGTGAGTCTTGGTCCACTTCAGCTTGCGGGGCTGGCGCTTCATCTTGAAGTTCTTGTGGCACTTGGACCGACAGAAGCGGAATTGTCGGGCATCGTTGCGGACGAATGTGATGCCCTTACTCGGGTAGGCCGGGCGGGAACAGAAGTGACAAGTTTCAACACTGCAATCAAAACCACATTAGTATTATGTACAGTGTGCAGGGACAAAAATTAAGTGTAAAACTTACCGCATGGCTGTAGAGTGGTGTTGGTTATATCTTCGTTGAGTCGCAAGAAACTTTTTCTGTAGCTTCGGGCCTGAATGGTGGAGCAGACCACGCTAAACCCTTTTGGGGACTTCCGCGCTGACTTTTCTATCCCGGCGCCTCTTCGCCCATATTCCCCGGTCCAACTGATCTCGACCTCGCCTCACGATATCCCCAACGTTTCCACTCTACAACATGGCCTCCGCTCTTGCTATTGGATTTGGCATTGCCACTACTGCCTTCTTGGTGAGTGAATATGTCGCGCTCTCGGTAACTGGCAACTAACTGTTCCCAGGGCCGCGCCGGTCTGGTCGCCTACCGCCGCTCCAAAGGAGGATTAAACGCTGCCGGAAAGGCATTCTACAAGGGGTTCGTGAACACCTTTTTTTTAAAAAAAAACAGTTTGTGATCAGATGGGGCAATGGCTAACATCCGATCTACAGAGGATTTGAACCGCGCATGAACCGCCGGGAAGCCTCCCTGATTCTGCAACTTGCGTACGTGCTACCGTACCGACCTTTGGGGATTGCCAGGACTGACATGATCTCTCAGTGAACGTACCCTGACTAAGGACAAGATTCGCAAGAACCACCGCCAGCTCATGCTGTTGAACCACCCCGATCGCGGTGGCAGCCCATACCTGGCCACCAAAATCAACGAAGCGAAGGAATTCCTTGATAAGCATGTTTGAGACTTGTCCCATGCGATTCTGATTTCACTGTCCGGCAATGATCCTCGGGCGACGATGGAGAGGTCAAATTGGGCCTCAACATCGACAGACTGGTCATCATATTTTGGGCACATAGCGTGGCGTTGGTTTGGCATTTACAAGGTCGAAAGAGCAGGATTGCTTCTACGAACCTTGTTGTATTATATGCACTGTTTTCACATATCCGTACGAGATCGCCGCTCTTCATTGAATGTACTTTTATTTTGATCCATTCATCCGACATAATTAACCTCCCTGAATCGGCAACCGCCGGCATCATCCCCATATCATATCTTTGTTCAACCGTCGATCTCTGCTCCTTTTGAGTCATGTGAGACCGAGGATAACAAGGTCAATCCCTGTAAAGTTATGAGTTGTTCTCCGTACGGAGTACTACTCCGTAGTCTGTCCACCGTCCTTGAGTCTTGCAAGGCTTGGACATCCTACCCCAGGCCAAATGGCCCGATAAGATACGCTAGTAAGAAAGACATAATGATCGGAGTACAATGAAAGGGAAAAGCCGGGCAACGCAAGAGTAAGTAAATTGGCAGGGAACGGAAGCCGGTGCGCCTGTGTTCCGGGACGGACGAAATCGACCGCTCGACTGAACTGTGTGGCTCGGCGGTCGGCCATCGGGGGTTCCGTCATGCCACTAAATAATCTTCAAGGCAGCACCTGGGTTCCGTATAGCGAATAGTGATCTTAGTTCCGTCTCCTTTCGAGATCATATCAATCTGCATATGTCCACGTGTGGTCGAATGATTCTTCTTACCTAAAGCTCTAGAACTCCCCCGAACCCTGCTCAGTTTCATGGTCAACTTGCCCGCCTTAAGAAGACTCTGCCCTTCGATGCGTCATTCATTACCATAATTTTCAGCGCCCCCCCCCCCTTCTTTCTCAGGCGTAGAAACAGACGAAAAGAAAAAGCTTGCGCCGAATCGCTGCCCCGCAGTATCATCCACTACCGACCGTCGTCATTACCTCCACTCCGCGGAGTTTCCGTTGCCCCTCAGACGCAAAATGGATGGCTTGGGGGAGGACGGCCAGGGATTTGATGCGCCCAGAATGATGAATCGGACACCGCAACTCTTCCACTATGATAACTCGCAAATGCAGTCGGGCTCCATGTATGACGATTCGTCAATGGGCGCCGGCGACGAGACCAACGATGCGAAGAGACGGAGGATAGCGAGGGTGAGGATCATTGCCCGTGATATATATTGAGAATGTGTCTAATGAGGAATCAGGCGTGCGACATGTGTCGGAAGAAAAAAATCAAATGTGATGGAAAAATGCCCAAATGCTCACACTGCATCAACTACAAGACAGAATGCATCTTCACGCAAGTGGAGAAGAAGCGGAATCCTCCGAAAGGGTATGTATGCATGATTGCATTTAGAACCCTTGATCTGACTGTGGCATTCTTGCATAGAGCGAAATATATCGAAGGCCTCGAAAACCGATTAGGGCGCATGGAGTCGCTATTGCGTTTGTCAGGTCTTTTGTCGGAGGACGATGCCGGCAAGACAGATCTCGGAACGTTAGAGAAACGGCTTGCGGATCGAACGACTGCGTTGAATGCAGCAAAAAGCTCGAACAAATTCATGGCCCAAGGAGCTCAAATGGCCCAACAGGCTCCAAGCTCACACCACACCACACCTCGCATGGACTCCCATTCTAGCCCTCAAACAGCCGCCACATCACCGGAATCGCAGAAGTCTGAGACCGAAGTCGAGGCTCTATCGGATATGATGTGCTCCCTGGTGACAAACAACTGTGGGGAGACTCGCTATATCGGTAGGCTATCTGTGCAAATGTTCAGAGCCTGTGTATTGACCGCTTCATAGGATCTTCATCTGGATTTTCCATATTCTCCCCCAAAGGTATTCAATGGGTTAATGAGAAAACAGGGGATACCTCCTTCCAGGACATGATCTCGTCAGCATACATCGATGACAACAAATGGATGTACTGGAAACCCGAGATTTTTAGCGATATCTTCGCAAGACGTGTGTTTAAGCCTCTCCCACCAAAAGATGAAGCTCTTTCTCTATTCAAGGATTTCTTTGAGAACTTTAATTGCGTGTTCCCACTCTTCCACGAAGCCACATTCATGCATCTGGTGGAGCGGCAATACTCGCGCGATCCCTACGAGGGCTCGGGCTGGTGGGCAAGCATCAATGTTGCACTGGCGATCTCCCATAGACTTCGGGTTATGAGCAACTTAGTGCCACATGAAGAAGACAAAAAAGCATGGCTCTATTTGAAGAACGCCATGGGTGTTCTGACTGAGCTCACAATGCGTAATGCAGATCTCCTGAGCGTGCAGGCGCTACTGGGCATGGTAAACTGCCCGCCTCTGATATTGAAAGCTTTTGACTAACATATTGGGTTAGTCACTTTTTCTCCAAGGAACCCCTAACCCACAGCCTGCTTTCTTCCTAGTCGCTGCGGCGATTCGACTATCCCACAGTATCGGTCTACACAAGCGCGGCTCTGGGTTTGGTCTCAATCCGGCTGAAGTCGAGCAACGAAAGAGAGTCTTCTGGATCGCCTATCTTCTTGACAAAGAGTATAGTTTACATTCACCGCCTGCATATCTTTATAGCTAACGCTAACCACTTTGTTTAGCCTTTGTCTACGCTCCGGTCGACCACCAGTACAAGATGACGATGACATGAATGTCGATCTCCCAAGCGAAGATCCGCCAGATAATGTTGGAAATGTGCCGTTATCTGACGGTAGAAGCAAGTTCAACTTATTCCGGTCATTGTGTGAATTTGCCACCATTGAAAGCAGAGTATACAAGCGACTCTATTCTGCCAAAGCATCGAAACAATCTGACGGTGAATTGCTTAATACGATTGGCGAGCTTGATAAGGAGCTGGAAGACTGGAAAGAAAGCATTCCTATTGACTTCCGGCCCGAATATGAAATTCAAGCTACACACACTCCTCTCATCATTCACGTTGTCGTTCTCCATTTCGCCTATTACAATTGCTTGACCACCATCCATCGCATGTCAGTTCATCATGGTTATTGGACTAGTCGTCTGTCAAACTATGCCATTCAGGGGTTGAATGCACGACCATTAAACCCCAGAGTGTTCCTGTCCGCAGTACTGTGTGTCACTGCTGCCAGGGCATCGATTAATCTGATCAAATATATCCCACAAGGAGACTTTGCTTGTGTTTGGTATGTTTCAAACAGCTTGCGGGATCAAATGGGTGCTAACCTGTAAACTAGGCTAATTCTCTACTACCCGGTGTCTGCTCTTGTAACTCTTTTCGCCAATATTCTCCAAAACCCCAATGATGCTCGTGCTCGTTCTGATGTTAAACTAATGAGCGTGGTTGTCAACTTCCTGTCCACGCTAGTCTCTGATGAATCAAATGGCAGTATCAAGCGTATGCTTGGTCTTTGCGGCGAGTTCGAGAGAATCGCCAAAGTGGTTTTGGATAAAGCCGAAAAAGAGTCTCATTCGCGAAAGAAACGCAAGAATGCAGATGACTCTGCAAACGCAGCCGATCAACAGCCGGCAACTGCGACATTTGCTAAGCGTGCACAAGCACCGCCTCCCTCTGCACCCTTCTCTCCATCTGCGTTCACAAATCCTACGGCGACAGCCCCCTCGCCTGACACAGGAAGACCATATATGGGTACTACAATGCCTTCAACAAGGGGCATGCCTACTGAGATCCCAGGCAATCTTCATGCCATGCCTGGGATTGGGCATGATTTCTCCGACATGCTGAGTCCTGACCCAATGGCTAATGTTGGATTCCCCGACCAATCCCAATTCAATACTGCCAGCCCCGGCATGGCACCCTTCCAGCAGCCATTTGTCCCACAAGATCTTTGGCAAATGCCAATGACAATTGAGTGGGATTGGGCAGACATGTCCACCAACTATCCTCCTTTTGATGGAGCTGGTTCCGGTGTGCCACCTCATGGACAGTGATCACCACTGTTTGGTAGACCGAAATGACCGATTCCATCCAGGCTGTCGTCCATGGGATTGGGGCTGATACTTATGGTGCTTCTTTCTCAATAACTTATCTCTATACCTTATGTATATTGAAACGCTCCTCTTCTTATGTTGAAACCATCTCAAGGTCGTCATACTGCCACTAAGAGAATAATGGGTTTCTATTACGCAGCGAATGGCGCAAAGGCGGGGCCCTCTTTATAGGAAATATGTACAGACAGGTCTCCAATCTAATTTAAACAACTTTTAGACAATTTAATCGGAGAATGGAGGACATTCTAGAATAATGACCCGTGAGGACACATCTTTACGCCGATTCCACCGGGGCTACGCTTCCGATGACTCAGCCGGATCGGCGAAAATTTGGAACCGACTGGAACCACACGGCGTCACCTCGGACGTTGATGTCCAGAGAGCTTCTCACCTCCCAGCTCAATTGCAACGCCTCCCCCTTCACGCCTGATCTTGATGGATTGTGAATTCAGCAGCCATCTCTAAACTTGATTGATTACCTTTTACCCCCGCCCTCGCAGCCCTCGGGGCTTCCATTCCTCGACCATGGCTACCTTGCTCCGACGGCCAGGCAATCTCGCTCGGTTCTCGAGGAAAGCCGCGGAATGCACCGGTCGCACATCACTAGCTTCTGTGCGAGTGAAGCCATCAAGTCTTTCATACTTGGCTCTATCGCACAGCGCTAGAGCATACTCCACGCAAGGTCCGACACCCCCCGATGACCAGAACAGCAACAACACACCAGATAGCCGCAACAATGACAGCCACGCAAAGAAGCCGAAGTCGGTTCTGACCGAATCTGAACTGAAAAGGGTGGATGAATGGCTGGAGGGTATGGATGCGATAAGACGCAACCAGGTCCGAACCTATCTCATGAACAACGGGCTTCCACCAGAGGTCAGGAAGCACCTTGATCCAAATCAACCACCGACATTGATGGATCGTATAAGGATGATGCGATTCCTTTGGACAGTCACGACCTCGGATGATGCACTGAACGAGCTCCGAAAGCACGATGAGGCACAAAATGCGAAGCGCGACATCTCAGACACACAAACCCCTGCCGAAAAGCGCGAAGCGGCAGAGAAGGGCGAACAGCAATCTAACGGACAACCATCAGAGGATCCCAACCAAGGTAAGGATCCTAAGGACAAAAAGGACCCCAAGAAGGAACAGGCACAACAGAAGAAACAACAGGACGACAAGAAGGGCAAGATTCCTCCGAACATGGGGAAGGTCCTTGAGTTCCGCTTTGATCCCGCCTCGTTTTTGGTTACCGCTCTCGTTACATACTACGTTTACCGCAGCTTCTTCCCCGGCGATGGTGGAGGCAGAGAAATCACCTGGCAAGAATTCCGGGCTAACTACCTTGAGAAGGGTCTCGTGGAGAGATTGACCGTCCTGAACCGCAACAAGGTTCGGGTTGATCTCAACCGCGAAGCTGCTGCTCAAGCGTACCCCGATTCAAATGGCCAGCCTGCATCCTATGTCTTCTTCAGTATCGGCTCCGTGGATAGCTTTGAGATGAAACTCGAGGCAGCTCAGTATGAACTGAATATCCCATCGCATGAACGTATTCCTGTCGCCTATCACGATGAAACCCCTTGGGGCGGTGTGATAATGTCAATGGCTCCTACTCTTCTCTTCCTTGGTGGTATCTTCTGGATGTCTCGGCGTGCCGGTGGCGGCGCTGGCGGCCAGAGTGGAATCTTTGGTATTGGAAAGAGCCGTGCCAAACGCTTCAATCACGAGACCGATATCAAGACCAAGTTCGCCGACGTTGCGGGTATGGACGAAGCCAAGGTCGAGATCATGGAATTTGTCAGTTTCCTCCAGCAACCCGAGCGCTTCGAGAAGCTGGGTGCCAAGATCCCGCGTGGTGCTATTCTCTCAGGTCCTCCCGGTACCGGTAAGACACTGCTCGCAAAGGCCACCGCCGGTGAATCAGGCGTGCCCTTCTACAGTGTCAGCGGTTCTGAGTTCGTCGAAATGTTTGTCGGTGTTGGTCCTTCTCGTGTCCGTGATCTGTTCGCCAATGCCCGGAAGAATACCCCCTGCATTATCTTCATCGATGAAATTGATGCAATTGGAAAGTCCCGAGCAAAGTCGAACGTTGGCGGTGGAAATGATGAGCGTGAAAGCACTCTCAACCAGATTCTCACTGAAATGGATGGTTTCAATACCTCTGAGCAAGTTGTTGTCCTGGCCGGTACCAACCGACCGGATGTTCTCGATAAGGCCCTCATGCGTCCCGGACGATTCGACCGACACATCTCTATTGACCGACCTACCATGGACGGCCGTAAGCAGATCTTCCGTGTTTACTTGAAGAAAATTGTCACCGACGAAAACCTGGAGTACATGGAGGGCAGACTCGCCGCTCTGACTCCCGGTTTCGCTGGTGCTGATATTGCTAACTGTGTTAATGAAGCAGCCCTTGTCGGTAAGTTCTCATATGTAACCTCTCCACTCTGTTCCATCAAAGCTAATATTTCTGCCCTGCAGCTGCCCGTGGAAACGCAGACAAGGTTGTCATGAAGCACTTCGAGCAAGCCATCGAGCGAGTTATTGGTGGACTTGAGAAGAAGTCTCTTGTGCTTTCTCCCGAAGAGAAGCGGACCGTTGCCTACCACGAGGCTGGCCACGCTATCTGCGGTTGGTACTTCAAGTGGGCTGACCCGCTGCTGAAGGTGTCTATTATTCCTCGCGGACAGGGTGCATTGGGCTATGCCCAATACCTCCCAGCGGGTGGTGATACCTACCTGATGAACGTCAACCAGATGATGGACCGCATGGCCATGACTCTCGGTGGTCGTGTCAGCGAGGAGCTTCACTTCGAAACTGTGACCAGCGGTGCGAGTGACGATTTCAACAAGGTCACTCGCATGGCTACTGCCATGGTGACCAAGTTCGGCATGTCATCTAAGCTTGGCTATATCTACTACGAGGATGATGCTCAGCAGCAGCTCCACAAGCCCTTCTCCGAGGATACTGCCCGCTCCATTGACTTGGAGGTGCGCCGTATCATCGAAGAAGCCCACAAGCAATGTCGTGACCTTCTGACTGAAAAGCGAAAGGAACTTGGAATTGTTGCCGAGGAGCTCCTCTCTAAGGAGGTTCTTGGCCGCGATGACCTTATCCGTCTCCTTGGCCCACGCCCCTACCCCGAGTCTGGCGAGTTTGCCAAGTACTTCGATGGTAAGGGTGGCCAGAGCTTCGCTCCTCCCGATCACCAGAGCCCTGAAGAAACCGCTGGTAAAGATGGCCGAGACGAGACACCCATCCCTCCTTCCTAAATGAGGGGAGTGTGTTTCTCTTGCATTGTTATCCTTTGGTTTGATTCCAGTTTGGGAGGCATGATATCACTGTAGCCTCTCTTCTTTTTGTATTTATCGCCTGCATCTCCTTTTTCTTCCCCGCTCTCATCTCTTTTTCTTTGCTCTCATCCACAATACCTTTCTCCCTTCCCCTCCCAGCATGCTCAATAAGAAGACCGTTTTCCTTTTTTTATCCTCTCTCTTTGTACTCTCATGTCCATCTCTGTGTCCAATTGGTCTGTACAAGCTGTACAGAGTGTATAATAGGGAGTTTTCCTAACATGTCTTAGATTACAACTTCATGTCTCCACTGCGTAGATTAAATTCACGAATTGTTGCAGTAGGTCCTCTGTATCTTGATGGGTTGGTCGGAATACCTCGTTGATAATAACGACAGTCAAGACATGCGAATGTCTCGCGCTTTATATCATCAGCTAGGTGCACATAGACATGTCTCAACCATCCAAGAAAAAATAGATCTAGCTCCAAATTTCTTTGTTGTAGCCGCAAAGCCTGGTACATGTTGATAATGGGCTCTAATCCAGACATGAAGGACTGACATATATCAAGCTGAAAGACCCAAGAAGTGCCACAATACATTATGCACCCATAGCATTCAAGCTTGTCAAAGGGGTTCAAACCTCATCCAAACCTCATCAAAATCCACTCCTAAGTTCATCTAAAAGCATGGCAAGCGATATGCCTCTAAGTCAAACCACCAAAACCAACCACGCCGACTCAATCTTACACTCCAGCAACCATCTATATTCTAGAAACTTAGACTGGCCTACCAACCCATGGGAGATGTCGTACATTCTTGACTTTCGAAAGGAGAATGGATGGGATCTATTGAGTGACAACACGAATTCCGAGGCAAGCAGGCCCCGGCTAGTGAGGGAGTGGACGAGCGATGCCCTTCGCGCATTTGATCGTGTCTGGTGTGATCTGGGCAAGACTGAACGCCCCGGTCGGTACCAATCGGAAAATACGGTTCGTAGCGGCACATCAGCTGCGTCCAGAAGGAGACAGACTCTACCCCCAGACGCCTCATGTGCTTCATCTGGGACAATGACACTAGAACAGTCCCATCAGTACTGGGATATGACAAAACAGGCCCGGCGACCTTCCCCCAAGCCAATATCGCGATTTTACAAACCGAGGCTTTTGAAAGAAAAGCTGCTCGGTCCAGAGAACTATGAAGGTTGGGCGGAGCAGATGAGAAAGCAGCTTGAGCAGTGTGGTGCGTTGTGGATCACTGATGCCGATGCTGAGCGCCCGCATGGCACTTCGAGCGCACAAAGCATCAATCCCGACCTTAATCTTTGGATGATGATCTTCAGCAATGTGTCACGGCCTATACGAAGAGAACTGGGAACGCTGGAGACACTTGATTCGCGAGAGGCATGGCAGTTTTTGCAGAGAATGTATGGGAGATATGTACACATGAAGATGCGTTCTGTCCAGGGGCTGCGCGACATTATGGGTATCAAATATGATGGCTGCGCATCCCTGGAAGAATATATAGGGAAGATGGTGGTGTGCATTCGAGCGATTCAATGTAATCACGGAGAGAAAGCAGGTGATGACGGGGGGAAAGATACTCGCTGTGGAAAGAACCGCAACCACCGCAGAGGGGAAGACAATGAATGGCTATGGTGCCAATTCATCCTGGTGAATCTTGGACCGGAATGGGAATCTTGGGTTTCTGAGCTGGTGGACAAATTCGAAGGTGGACAGAGAATGAAGGCTGCAATGAGCACACTCAAGGGACTCTTGCCGATCATCGAGGCGGAGGAGGCACGCCGCATACAAGCGTCCCGTTACATGAAGCGTTGTAGTACGTGACTACAAGTATGTTTTAGACAGCACTATCATAGGCTGCTCCTGTTGTCAGTTGTAATAAGTGGCCAGGGCCCGAAGCAAAAAAAAAAAGGGTGCATTGTGGCAAATTGACAGTTTTGAAGTAGGGGTTTTAAGGGAATATAGAAGGCCACAGCCAAAAAAAAAGAGAAAATCGAAAATCGAACACATGATCTGCCAACTTGGTATGGCTACTCCTCGTCCCCAGCTTGTTTGTACACCGATATCTTAGTTGCTCTTCTTGCTAGTCTTCTTGGTTTTCTTGGCCTTAACAGACAGGCGAGGGATAAATCTCCCAACGCGAGCCTGGTAATCGCTGTACTCGGGATACTTGCCGGCACTGATGCATTCAGTGAGACGAGTGCTTCCCTGGAAGATGGCAAGGTACCCTAAGGCTCCCAGGCCAGTCCAGTTGAAGTAAGTCTCGGTGCGGTAGCACGACCAGATGTACATGGTCAGCCAAATGGCCTGCTCAGCAACGAAGTTAGGGTGACGCGACCAAGACCAGAGACCGCTGACAACGAAGCCACGGTCGAGATCTTCAGCACTGAACTGGTCCTTGTAGGCCTCGGGGATACGAGCGTTGGTTTGGTATTCCCGCTTGGCAGACTGGAACTTCCACTGCTGTCCGTCGGCGAAGAATTCAATGATAATGAAGAAGAAGGCAGCGCGGGAGAAGGCCAAGTCAGGAAGGCCGAAGGTCTCAGATCCCTGGTTGTATGCGGCAACAACGAAGATGTAGGTTGGAGCGGTGATGAGAAGGAGCAACAGCGACTGGGCCACTGCGATGAATCCAAGGTTGAAAATCATGAACACAAAGCTGTTGTTCACCTTGGAACGCACGATCTGCCAGCGGTAATCCTCCGAGCCGATCGAATATCCTCCTTTGCGCCAGTAATTGAAAGTCAAGCGAACCTATCCCATAATTCAGATTAGCTCATGCGGATACTCGGAGACAAGCTCAACCTACACTCCAGAGGACACTGATAGCTGCAATGGTGTCCAGAGTATGAGTCTGGATGCCAGAGAGGCGAGCCCAGAGGGCAAAATGCACGTTGTACACTGCGGGAAGAATGCTCCAAAACCGGTCGACTTGAGAATAGTTCCGGTTGATCTCGGCTGCGATGAAAAACAGACAGGCTAGAACTCCACCAAAAGCGAGCGCAGAAACGAGGGGATTGGTAGCTAAATAAACAGCCCGCAAGCTATAAATATCGCTACCAGCTGCGCGCAAGCTGTCGGGCAGCCATTGCAGCTGGGACAAGTAAGGGAGAACGGTGAGCTCGAAGGAGGTCAAGTCCAAGAGGGACTCCACGCGAGGAAGTGGCAAAGATGCCATGATTGTATACTTTAGGATCAACTGCAGGCCGCACGAGAAGGGAAAAAGGAAAACAAGAGCGATTCCCTACGGTGGAGCCCCAAATGTTTGGCCGATTACCTCATCGGGATTAGTTTGCCCAAAGAGGAAACTGGATGCCTCAGGCACCACTGCGCGTCTCAGGCATCTCGTCTCTTCTTCGCGTTCCGGTCCAAAAGAAGGTGTGATCGACATCGGGACATTGAGGCCACCATCAGTATGAACTCCATATGATCCGGGTAGGGGCTCATCATGGCTCGGAAAATCCTATGCGTGGCCGAGAAGCCTGCCATTGCGCGTGCAGTGGCCACTCACTTGTCGGGAGGTGCTTTTCAAACGGTGAGTACCTTCTTTTTAAAAACTTCGTAAATCACCGGCTAAGAACAAGCATAGCACTCGATTCGTGGGAATCAATATGTGAAGAACTATGAATTCGAGTTTAATTTTGGTGGTGCTTGGGGCACTTGCTCGGTCACCATGACCAGCGTAGTGGGCCATCTCACGGGCTTGGACTTTGACCGCCAATACAAAGGATGGATGTCTTGTCCCCCAGGGTCACTCTTCGAGGCCCCTGTGCAAGAGACAGTTGACAAGGTAGGGCAATTGCGGTAGCTGGCTTGACTGTCTGCTAATATTTGCCTCAGGATAAACTACCAATTGCTGAGAACATTCGGAGCCAAGCCAAGTACTCCAAAGCCCTGTTCATCTGGACCGATTGTGATCGTGAAGGTGAGCATATTGGTTCCGAGGTCCGCAATCAAGCAAAAGCAGGAAATTCTCGCATCGAGGTCAAGCGCGCCAAGTTCAGTAACACGGAAAGAGCGTAAGTGGTGCTGGTTATTTTAGACTGCTCTAAGCTGACCCAGGAATAGACATGTTCGTCAGGCTGCTCTAGAGCCAGTCGATCTTGACGAGTATCAGGCCAATGCAGTAGCAGCTAGAATCGAGTTAGATCTTCGGATTGGTGCGGCATTTACTCGCCTTCAGACCTTACAGCTGCAAACAGTGGTTGCAGCATTGAAGGACAAGGTCATCAGCTATGGTGAGTTCTTGAAGTTCTCGATCTACCCACAGTGAGTAAACAGGCTAACAAGTTAGGATCTTGTCAATTTCCTACTTTGGGATTTGTTGTCGACCGATACTTGAGAGTTCAAAATTTCAAACCAGAAACATTTTGGGGCATCAAAGTCATACTCAGCCGTGAAGGCAAGAAAGTCAATTTTCTTTGGAGGCGGGTACATCTATTTGACCGAGCGGTTGTGACTATGATGTTAGAGCGATGTTTGGCCGCAAAACAAGCCAAAGTCACGAAAGTGAACCAGAAGCCTACAAGCAAATGGCGACCGTTGCCGTTGACCACGGTAGACCTACAGATGATGGGCAGTCGATTCTTGCGTTTGGACAGCCAGACTATCATGAAGGTAAGAGAAATATTTTCACCCTGGATGAATAATAGCTAACAAATTTCAAGGTAGCAGAAGCACTTTATACCAAGGGATATATCAGTTATCCCAGAACCGAGACTGATCAATTCGACAAAGCAATTGACCTGAAAAAATTGGTCGAGAAACAATATCCCGACAGCGCATGGGGTCAATATGCCCGAGAGTAAGCTGTATGAAACCATCTTCAAATCTCTAGACTAACGACTATCTAGGCTCATTGATGGGAAATTCAGGACACCTCGTTCTGGCCGTCACAATGATAAAGCCCATCCGCCCATCCATCCAGTCAGCTGGGTATCACCCAATCAATTAAATGTCAACGAGAAGAAAGTCTACGAATTTGTAGTCCGCCGATTCCTCGCCTGCTGCTCTGATGACGCAAAGGGCCAGAGTACAGAGATCGAAATCGAATATGGCGACGAATCCTTCCATGCTAATGGTCTTGTGGTGTTGGAGAGGAATTATTTGGATGTATACGTCTACGACAAATGGGAGAGTAGCCAGCAACTTCCCAGCTTTGAACTAGGCGAGCTCTTCGAGCCCACAGAAGCCAACATCTTTGAAGGCAAAACAACCGCTCCGAACTATTTGACCGAGCCTGAGCTCATTGGTCTGATGGATGCCAATGGGATTGGCACGGATGCTACGATGGCAGAGCATATTGCCAAGATCAAAGAGCGTGAATACGTTGCTATAAACCAACGAGGAAGCGGTCGCAGCTCAGTACAGGAATTTATCCCTACCCGCTTGGGCGTTGCCCTGGTGGAGGGATATGACAACGTTGTTACCGGTCTCCCTAATAGCGTGTCCCTCAGCAAGCCGTTCCTTCGCAAAGAAATGGAGTTGCGAATGCTTGAGATCTGCTCGGGCACTAAAACCCGACAGGAGGTTGTCCAGCAGAGTCTGGACATGTACCGAGAGGTCTTCATTCACACTCAAAGACGTATTAATATGCTGAAGACTGCCTGTCGCAAATATCTTGTTGAAGGAACCATGCCATGATCGTTAGATGTCTACCAAAGGCGCTCTTTAGAGCCATAATGAAAATCTCATTAATCATACATTATTTCTGTTTCATCGATTGGAATTAATTGAATCTTTTCATTTCAGATTGAAGGAGTAAATACAAAACATTATCAAGGCTATGTTACAGGCACGAAAAGAAGTTTCACATCCAGGTTGACCTCAATCATGAGGCCCCAGTTACAGCTGGTCTGGGCCCCCCACGCGGGCTTGCCTACGCATTGCCTCCTCGCGGTGAGACAGACCATTCTTAGTCCCCACATCAGACTTGGAAGGCCCATTCTTCTGCAGACTGCTAGGCCTTTGGCCCAGATCCACCTTGGGCTTGGTAAGGTTCAGTTCCTCTGGTATGTCGTTGGACATTGTTTTTGCCACAAGGATGTTGAGCCAAGCCAGCTGCTTGGGAATCTGAGGGAAGGTCTCAGTATTTTGAATGAGACTCTTTTGATATTTACTCACCTCCTCCAGCTTGGATTCAATATCAATCATGCTTGACGAGTACTTCTCTTCCATCATACCGACAACATGGACCAAGCATCGTTGGAGGTCAGATGAGCAGTCCCTGAAGCTGTCCGCCAGATAGTCGATGATGGGTTGTGATCGTTCAAATTCTTTTCGGAGCTTGTAAACTTGGCCCATGAAGCCGTGTAACTGCTTGTACATTGCCTCCATTTGGCGAGAATAGTAAGAATGAATTTCGTCGACGTCACTCTTGACCTTCATCAGCATGGTGAGGCCTATGCCCTGCATCACGACGATAGCGAAAATGAAAGCACCCATGAGACTGGACCAACCCGCGTCCTCCGGCGGCGCTGTGTTGGACGACTGCAGTCCCTCGTAGACATGCTCAACTGCGGTGTTATCGTCCAGATACAACGAATCGGACGCCACCGAGGCATTGGAGGTTGGATCCGTCGTTGGGGCTCCTGAAGCATCGATGGGCAAGAATGCTGCTTCTGCCGAATGTTCCAAGGCCAGCTTAGCCTTTTCGTACTGTTCCAGGTCAATTGAATACTTCAAGAGGAGATCTTTCTCCGAGATCTCGTCGTTTTCCGAGAAGATGTAAGGATGAATCTCGCGCAGCTTGACGATGGAATATGCGACTTCGAAGGAGCTGAGGCCGCGCAGCCAGATGGTGTTGTAGGGGTTGATTCCGGTCAACGGAACCGAATGCCAGAGGCCGATGGTGTTCAGGCCAGCAAAGATCGCCACAGCCAACGAATTAAACATATTGAGATTGTTATTTCTTCTGAAATCTGTTTTAAATGAAAATTGAGGTGTTCAAAGTATATTTCTCTTTCTCGGTGTCTTGAGAGCTTAATATACTCCTGTGAGTGTGCCAGCGAGCTAAGCATATATGCAATAGATTAAACAATGAAGAAGCAACTCTTTGTCTGGAATCAATGCCCCCTTTTCTATATATCAAGACTTGAATAAGCATTCATTGTCTTTGTGACCATCTTTTGTGCGATTGTTTGTTGCCTAATTTGGTGATTGAAGGACAAGATCAACCAATCACCATCAATACCCGGTGGTGCTATGAACACTTCCATAGATCTTCATTGTCTATATATGATTAGTTGCCTGTCAATCTGCCCTTTGAGGGACAATGTCAATTGAGTTACTTCTCTCTTGGATTTATGTTAGTTAGCTTTGGATATTTCAGGTGATCTCAGGTCATTTGAGTCTCTGGTATTCATCACTACAGAGAAGAACTATGTACTATTATGACTAGGTCTGCCATTGTTAAAAGAGCCAAACTAAGGCATTATCTAAGAACACATGACACAAACGAAGTTCACACCGGGAAGAGGATCAAAGTGACCTAGATAAATGTGAATTGTTTGTAGAAGTGATTGTGATTTTAGTAACAATCTCTATGGTTATAGTGAACAAAACAAGTGCTCTCTAACTATATGGAGACAAGGCCAAACAAAAAAGGTATTGATAACACATAGTGGCTAAAAGACTGTTAATCTCGTATGAAGGTAGTGATTGCATGGGTTGAATGACTCCAACTGTATGGTCTCCCTCGAAATACCTCTACACAGAATGATGTACCAGGTACTTGGTAGATACATATGTCATAGTTAAGCTGTAATGTACCTACATACATTGTGTATTGGTGCTAACATTGTGATAACCCTCCCAGACTGTTCTGGTGAGCAGCAAGTTCTTTGTCCACACTTATCTAGAGAACCTCAAATTGCCAGTACCTGGCATAGTTTATAACTGTATATTTCTTAAGGCTCAGAAACATTGTCAGTTGAACTAACTCTATACAAAGAGCCTCGTACCCAAAGTCTAAATCAGCCAGAACGTATCTTTGTAGCGGAAGGCGTTGGCGGAGCAAGCCACTCGATCTTGTGTGGCTCTTTGTCTACAACCATGTTCAGTGCAGGCCATTCCACCAGCAGTGCTCTACATGGATTATTTATTGTAGGATCCTCCGGAAAAGCACTTGAATTTGCGCGCACGATCCTTGGAGGCAGGATACAAGGCTCACTCGGGGGAAGTACAAAGGATGACGTAAAAAGCCCTAAACAACCCGCTGATAGGTCGACCCGATGCCGATCCTTTTCTGTAGCAACAAGGACGATTGTGTTGTCTGATTCAATCCCCAGGCGCAATTTAAATGTCCATTTTTCCTGTCTTGCCTGTATATTTGATGTCATTGGTGTCCATTTCGCGTGGTGGCCCACTTATCATTCCATGATTCATCAGTCTACTACTGAGGTCCACCCCGTGGGCAACCCCCGCGCTGGGGAAATAACAGATGATAGGGAAGGATCAGCGTTTTCCCCATACGTAAAGCTTTCCATTGTTTCTCGGTTGGTTCGGCAACTTTCCAGCCAATGATCTGAGGACCTAAGCTCGAATTACTCGATAGCTATGCCTTTTCGGTCGATTGGGCGCTGCTTGTGTCAACCATGTTACATTGAGAGGCACGCTGAACATGTTAGCGGCTGATACCCCATGTGAAATAACCTGGATTGAATGTTAGCTTGACACTTTACCGGCTTTCAAGATTGGGGGCCGACGGGGAGTGGTGGTTCGATAAAAGCAAGTATGTCCCCGTCCTGTAGTCCCTCATTTTTGGGCCTTAAAACTATTTCTCGCTATCTGATATATTTCATTCAGCCAAAATGAAGGAGGATGAAATCTCAACTACCAATAAGGTAGAGCGCATGGAGGAGAGTCCGTCTCCGACCTACGCCCACAAGGAAGAGCAGACCGATGTTGAGGGCCGCTCTCGTGGGAATCTCAATGCTGTCTTTGAGAACCCTCTCGCTGGGATCCCTCGTGAGCAACTATATAGAGATGTTGAGGAGTTTTGCACCAAGTATAACTTGATAGATCATGTGGAGACCTTCAAGAAGGGCGCTCTCATTTCGCAAAATCCTGCGTCGGCAACTAGTCTTCCAGAGTTATCGGAGGATGAGAGAACGGCCCTCGAGCGTGAACATACCCATAAGTGGTCACAACCATGGCAACTCTACTTTCTAGCTTGTATGTCTCCCGCTTTGAACGAACTATTGACCCAAACTAACATACTTTTCTTTTCCCCAGCAATGTGCTCTCTCGCCGCAGCTGTGCAAGGTATGGATGAGACAGTCAACAACGGAGCCCAGGCTATCTACTTTGCTGAAGATGTAAGTTTTCTATCCATACCGTATGAACATGGACTCATTATAGCTTAGCAACTCAACATCACTTCTAAAAATATCCAAGGCCTTGTTGTTGGCGCGCCATACTTAGCTTGCGCGATTGTTGGTTGCTGGCTTACTGAGCCTCTGAACCGTTTCTTTGCCCGACGTGGTACAATCTTCATCTCGTGCGTGATTGCAGCTGTTGCGTCAGTATGGGAAGGTGTTGCAAACTCCTGGGTCAATCTCTTCATTGCTCGCTTTGTTCTGGGTCTGGGTATCGGCTCGAAATCGAGCACAGTGCCTGTATATGCCGCGGGTATGTGCTGTTACACAAGCCCCGAGTTGATATTTACTGACTAGATAGAATGTTCCCCGGCCCCAATTCGAGGTGCTCTCGTTATGATGTGGCAGATGTGGACAGCCTTTGGTATCATGCTTGGCAACATAATGGGTGTGGCTTTCATGAGCTTAGACCGAGACCTCAGCTGGCGTCTCATGCTGGGATCCACTGTCGTTCTACCACTGATCGTCTGTGCTCAAGTCTACTTCTGCCCCGAGTCTCCAAGATGGCTGATTCAAAAAGGCAAAATTCCAAAGGCATATGAAAATTTCCGTCTCCTTCGTCCCACAGATATCCAAGCCGCGAGAGACCTATATTATGCACACGTTGGCGTTGAGATTGAACGCAAGGTCAACAAGGGCAAGAATTTCTTCACAATGTTCCTTGAGCTGTTTACTATTCCACGCAACCGCCGCGCTACCCTCGCTAGTTGGATTGTGATGTTCATGCAGCAATTCTGTGGAGTCAACGTCATCGCATACTACTCTACCTCCGTCTTTACCGAGGCAAGTTACAGTCTGACGAGCGCACTACTGGCATCCATGGGAACAGGTATCCTCAACTGGGTATTTGCACTGCCAGCCTTTTTCACAATCGATACCTGGGGTCGCCGGAATCTGTTACTTTTCACATTCCCATTCCTCGCCATCACGCTTCTCTGGACCGGCTTCTCTTTCTGGATTGAAGAGGACAACGAAACCAGCAAAAAGAGAATTGCAATGGTGACAACAGGCATGTACCTGTTCGAGATATTCTATTCACCCGGAGAAGGACCTGTGCCATTCGCGTATGCTGCCGAATGTTTCCCACTGCAAGTTCGTGATGTCGGCATGTCGTGGGCTACAGCAACTACTTGGTGCTTCAATTTTATTTTATCCTTTACTTGGCCTCACCTCGTTGATTCTTTCAAACCTCAGGGTGCCTTCGGTTGGTATGCTGCTTGGTGTGTAATCGGCTGGTTTCTGGTTCTGTTGTTCGTGCCTGAAACAAAAGGTAAATCTCCTTGCCTACTTGATATTCGCAGTGCTAATGTTCTATCCTTAGCCCTTACTTTGGAGGAATTGGACCAGGTTTTCTCCGTGTCAACTCGCAAGCACGCTTCGTACCAGATCAAGAATGCTTTGTGGCATTTCCGTGTTTGGATTCTTCGCCAGAAGCTGGAGCCTCTGCCAGAATTCTATCAAGGTGCCGAGCGTCTCGCGGAGGTGGGTGACTCAGCAGCGTTCGCGGCAAATGGGAAAGTAAAGAAGGTGCATAGTCACTCCACTAGATGACGAAGAGTCAGAAGAGATGGTAGACGTGTGGTCGTCTGGTTATACTACATGTGCTCTCAGGTTATCGGTTAATTTTCTGATCGCTTGTGGTTCTTACTCGGCGTCTCATCGAGCCGCGGTTTTCTGGATTCGATATCAACCGATATAACCACTAGTTTCCCAGCTAGTGCCATCCCTCGGTGGAATGTGGCCGGCTTGAAATAGATTCATCTGACAATATGATTATGAAGAGAAACATGATTTTCCAGTTATGCATTGAGAAGAAGGGAGATATGAACGAGATGTGCCAAAGAGCTATATACATCGAACCAAATGTTGGGTACTGTTATTGACACAATGTCAAATTACTCCAGGGTCTTGCTCAGCACAGCACCGTACCAGACCGTAGCAAGCAGGCTGACCAAGTTAACCAGGCTTGAGATGCCATGCACGCGGCCGAACTTCTTGTTCAGGGCCAGCATCTGCTTGGAGTGAGGAGCTGGGTCGTAGCTCCGCTTTCCATCAATGGTTTCTGTGAGAGTTAGACGTGAATCTTTCGAACTGGCATAGCATAAGTAGTTGACGCACCTTGACGCTTGCGCTCGCGCATCACGTTGGTGGTGATAGGACGCAACACGAACATGTTCACCAACCCAGTCACAGCCACGGTTGCCAAAGGCAGGAGTGTGTTGAGGCGGTGCTCAGGCGCAATCAGACCGGACAGACCAAGTGTCTGTGCGCCGCGGGAAGCAGTCAAGGCAACTACTACGGGAAGTGCGGACTGCATCGAGAAGTAGATAGGGAAGATGGCAGTCTGCAGGCTGGCGAACTGGGGCCTCGGAAGAGCACGGAAAGCAACAAAGCCTCCGACAAAAGACTTTCAAAATGTTAGATGGTGTTTTTGAGACCGAATATCCGAGATGCGTCTAATTAAGCTAGCAATCTCACCTGGAAGAACTGTGTCCCCAAAAGGGTGCCGTAGCTGTCTCATTTATTAGCTTATGAGCCATGATTTTTGTTGTAGAACAAACCTTAGAATGTGAAACGGGCGAGGATCCATCTTGAAGTATGTGGTGGGAGTTGAGTTGACGATAGTGGAAGTTGACGTTTCACAGAGTTGAGAAGAAGTGGGTAATTATCGCTACGGCCTATAGTTTAGTAAGAGCTCTATTTCCACCGTATAAACAGCTGTGGCTCACCTATAGCGACGCACAGACCACTCAACGCCAACAGGCACGACGGGTGATGTCATGTGCCTTCGCGTCTCGGTCTAAACCGTAAGTGGAAATATCACGCGTCTGCCTGATGTTGTCGTGAGTCCTGGATAACTTTCACTTACCATTCACCAACAACTTCATCATGGCGGAAAAAGAGGCTACAGTCTACATTGTAGACATGGGACGGTCCATGGGCGAGAATCATCATGACCGTCCTGTGACAGATCTCGAATGGGCTATGCAGTATGTCTGGGATAGAATCACCACTACGGTATGTGACCTGACCTGGATTAGCCGGTGCCAGGAGACTGACGATTCCAGGTGGCTACCGGTCGCAAAACGGCGTTGGTCGGCGTTGTTGGCCTCAGGACAGATGGTGAGTGGTGTCCTATTAACCCTGGAATGAAGTACATACCTATCAGTTCGGATTCTTATCTGATATCTGGAACAGAAACTGTCAACGACTTGGACGAAGATGAAAATTTCTCTAATATCTCAGTCCTGTTTGGTCTTGGCCAGTAAGTGTGGCTTTCTAAGTCGTATTTTTCTTGTCGAATTACCCGGCTAAATCGTCTTTTCAGAGTCCTCATGCCTGATATCCGGGAACTGCGAAAAACGATCAAACCCAGCAAGACTAACAAAGGTGATGGTACGTAACTCTTTAAGGCTTTTTTAAAGAGGCCTCGTCTGACTCTATGCAAGCTATTTCTTCTATCGTCATTGCCATGCAGATGATCATTGAAATCACCAAGAAAAATAAGTATAAGCGGAAGATTGTTCTGGTGACCAATGGCACCGGTATGATAAGCGATGACAGTATCGATGACATCGTTGAAAAGATGAAAGAAGTCAACATTGAACTAGTGGTCATGTATGGTTTTCTGCCAGTGTGTAATGGAACGATGCTAATAGTCGCTAGTGGAGCCGATTTTGATGACGCTGAATATGGTGTCAAGGAAGAAGACAAAGACAGTCGAAAGGTACTTTGCTGATTTCGATTTATTCAAGGTCAACATTGACCATGTTATCGCAGGCTGAAAATGAGACTCTCCTTCAAAAGCTTGTCGAGGATTGCGAAGGTGTGTATGGAACACTTGAGCAGGCTGTTTCTGAATTGGATATTCCCCGCATAAAGGTTACCAAGAGTATGCCATCCTTCAAAGGAAATCTTATGCTTGGCAACCCCGAAGAATATGAGACAGCAATCACCATACCCGTGGAGCGATACTTCCGAACCTATGTCGCCAAACCAGTCTCAGCGAGCTCGTTCGTGCTACGCTCCGGTGCTGAACCTGGCACACAAGCCCCTGGTAAAGGCGCCGGTGAAGGTGATGCTCTCACCTCAGTGCGAACATTACGAACATATCAGATCATAGATGAGTCCGCGCCGGGAGGTAAAGTCGACGTCGAGCGCGATGATCTTGCAAAGGGATACGAGTACGGCCGTACGGCAGTTCCGATCGAGCAGGCCGATGAAAGTGTTACAACTCTGCAAACATTTGCTGGAATGAGCATTATCGGCTTCGTTGGAATGAATGAGGTGCGTTTCTACCCTGATCTCGATGTTTTGCAGCAACTAACCCCGCATATAGTACGACCGATATATGCACATGTCCAACACAAACCTCATCATTCCTCAGCGCGCAAATGATAATGCAGCTCTTGCTCTGTCTTCTCTCATCCATGCACTGTATGAGTTAGAATCATATGCGGTTGCTCGGTTGGTGACCAAAGAAAACAAACCACCGATGCTCGTGCTGCTGGCTCCATCCATAGAGGCAGACTATGAATGCTTGATTGAAGCACAGCTTCCGTTCGCAGAGGATGTGCGGTCATATCGATTCCCACCCTTGGACAAGATTATCACTGTATCTGGTAAAGTGGTTACCGAGCACCGCAATCTCCCAAGTGATAGCTTGAAAGATGCAATGAGCGATTATGTGGACAGCATGGAACTAGACATCACAAACGACGAAGGGTAAGTAGGAATCATTTGAGCATTTGGTCAATCAGCTAACAATACAACCCAGAGAACCCATCGAAGGGTTACCAATTGACGAGTCTTTCTCGCCATTCCTGCACCGTCTCGAATCAGCCGTTCGATACCGAGCAGTCCATCCCAACGATCCTGTCCTAGAACCCTCAGAAAGACTCACTGAATTCGCGCATCCCCCAGAAGAAACAGTCAAAAAAACCAAATCATATCTCGAAAGATTGATGTCTACAGCCGATGTCAAGAAAGGTAACAACTATGCTCGTGTTACATACAAAGGAAAATCTATTAACTAGGTCATTCCTCATGCAGTGCCACCAAAAACAAAGGGCCGCAAACGCCAACGCGAAACGGAGAAACCGCTCTCAGGTCTGGATATTGACGCACTCCTCAGCCTCGAACCAAAGCGCACAAAGATCTCCACAGAGAACGCAATCCCAGAATTCAAGCAAACACTCTCCCGCGCAGAGAACGTGGACGCAATCCACGACGCGGTGCATCAAATGGCGAAGATTCTCGAGACCCAAATTACGCACAGTCTCGGCCATTCGAACTACGATCGTGTGATCGAGGGACTTCGCACTATGCGCGACGAGCTTGTAGATTACGAGGAACCATCGGTGTATAATGACTTCGTGCGCCAGCTGAAGGGTAAGATGTTACGGGAAGAGCTTGGTGGTGATCGGAGGGAGCTGTGGTGGTTTATCAGGAAGGGGAAACTTGGGCTTATTGAGAAGAGAGAAGTGGAGAGCTCGACAGTTGAGGATAATGAGGCGGAAGAGGTGAGTTTTGGTCTTTTGGTGCGAGATAAATCAAGTGCTAATGCCGTGTATAGTTTCTCGCTGCCAATTGAAAGTTGGAGGTCGGGTAACGGATTCATGATCGGATCACATAAGAAGATTGAATATGAGCATGCGATGGAATTCTCACACTTTGTCACAAGTATACCGGTCGCAAATATGGGAAAGATGAGTGAAGACCGCACTGGAAGGAAGGTTGTAGAACACACGTAACAGAACGCTACCTAGGTCTTTATACGGGGAAGGGTTATGAGTGGACATATCCTCATCTGAGAGACACCGGGGCAGACCCCGGCAAATGTCCACACCACATGACGAATAGCACGCGTTTTAACGATGACGGGCGACGTATAAATTCGAGTAAGGAACATATCACATTACGAGTTCCAATGGTTCATGGACTATCGGGTTGAATACATGGACTTTCAGATGTGATTACATGTACGAAAGAATGGAAGGATTGAGTTCATCAACAGCATTGCCATATTGACATAGACTAGACACATACAGAAGAGAAACTCACAGATGAAGCAGCATGTGGCACAGAGTGAATCGATGCCCATTTGCTAAACATCGAGTGATTCGTCAATCCAAAACAGAGCCGAACGCCTCGCATAACATGCCCAAAAACCAGGTTCCGCTCCAGAATAAAACAGACCGAAAAGATTTGCAAACTCAAACATTAAAAAGCATCCAGATGCATCACGGGAAAGGGGTATGCGGAAGTATTGTTCCTGTGGAACTACAAGAATTGAAGAAGAGGCGCTTCGAGGAACGTGCAGGTTCCTAGAAACGAAAGAAGAAAGCATGACGTTCAGTGGACGGCCTTGGTAGCCCGCACAGGGCTTACAGTGTTGCTGGCAACACGGCTGCTAGGCTTACGAACACCGCGAGACTCGGTGCGGTTGCTGTCCGTTGCCCGACGAGGGCTGGAACGAACTTTGCTCACAGAGATAGGAGCCGCAGCGCTCTTCCGGCTGACAGGAGTCTTTGGGGCTGAGTGATCTACCCAATTCTCTTGATCTCTGTGGTTGTCCTCTGCGAGGGTATAGCTTGCTGTGACGGTGGCAGAGTAACTGATGGACCGTGATGTGGGTGATGCAACGGGGGACCTGGACGTTCGCTTGGCGAGCCGACGAAGCTGGATTTCTTCTTCGCTCTCGCTACTTTCGTTGCTCTTTCTGTGACTGCGATGGGTACGCTGCTCGTTTTCGACAGCGAGTGATCCGGATGCCGTTCGTGAATAAGGGTGATGGCGCGAGTCCTTTCGGTGGGATTTGCGAGGCTGACCAGGGGTTGGTGCAGGGAGATCCTGGTCTGGGTAGGCAGCAGCTTCATTGTTATCGATCTCTCCGAGTGCCGCACGCTTGGAGTGGCTGTTGTTTGGTGGAGTAGACACCATTCCGTTGCTGCTGCGCTTCTTGGTTGAGACTCTGGGAGTGGCGGGCATGGACTGGGCCAACTTCTCCCGCATGCTATCCTCAAACCACCATTCACGGAAAGTGCCCTGGTTCAGGTGGAGCCAGTGTTGCTGAGGTCCAACGACCATACCCGGTCGCATAAATCTCATGAAGGCGATAATTTCATTGGCAGTAAATCCGTACTTGTAGATCAGGTAAGCACCAATCAAGCACCCTGTGCGGCCCAGGCCTGCTTTGCAATGAACGGCGATACCCTTCTTCTTGACGGTGATCATCTCGTGTGCCATTTTGATGAAACGTCTGACGAGCTGGAGTGGGGGACACGTGCCGTCCTCGAAGATCATGTCAATGTGAGAGATTCCCATTGCGGTGAAATAGGATGGGCAATAGAGCTCTGAATTGAGTCTAACAACGAGACCAATATTGCGTTGGTGGAAGTGTGCCAGGACATTCTTGAAGGGCATAGGAAGTTTGGATGAGGAGATTTCCGAGATTGTCGTGGGCAGCGCATTGTACTCAGGGGTATTGACAGGAATTGGCGCCACGGGTTGCTGCTGGGGAGATGCAAAGGCAAGGAAATCGGGAGTAATCCAATTGAAATCACCCATATCAACACGTTCGAACTTTTCGTACCTATAACGAAATCAGCATATAGTGTACCAGAGTGCAAAGAGTGAGCACTTACTCCTCGAGGTTGAAGTCGCGCAGTCCGCAAAGCGACTGCTCCTTGGCCTTCCACACGCCGTACACTACGTCTTGGATGTTCAAAATGAAATCTGCCTGGCTGTAACCGGCGTCACGGAAAGGCATATAAGGAGGATCCGCCTGTGCGATTGGGGCCAGTGCCAAATGAGGCGGCCAAGATTGAATCATGACCATGTAGCATGCAACTAGACAGGCCGCATTGGCGCGACTCCGCGCATCAGTCTTGCTGTAGAACACGACCGGGCGGTCGCTGTTGGCTGGGTCGCCGAGGATTTCGTGGAAAAGCACGGCGAATCGGTAGAGATGGCCAATGTGGAGTGGGCCGAAATCCGCGTGGAAGGCATTGTACAGCAGAGTGTCGTCAATCGTGAAGTACACGGGAGAGCGGCGCTTGCTTGGAGTGGCGGGCTGAGCACGTGCACGTTTGCTTGGGGACTTGGGTGCGTCCAAATGGAAGGGAAACGGAGTTCTGGAGCTGGGAGCAGAATCATAAGATGCAAGATAGAGACGGTCTAGATAAAATTTCGTGTTAACTCTCAAGTCCGGATGAAATATGTTCAAATCAGCGAAAAACATTGTACCAACCTTGGATGTACTCGATCATCTGGCCGCCGTGGTTCATGTCGGTAGTCATGGTGGTTACTGCTGTTCGTTGACAGCCGAGACCTTGAGTAATTGTGTAACGCTAGTAAACAACGAGATAGATCGATCTGGCACCGTTACAGGTACTGTTGTTTGTCGGTGTGACTCGGAGGGTTGCGAAGCCAGTGATAAAAAAATAATTGCGGCAAATGTGAGACCTAGTCGCTCATGATCAAATTGAGGGATGGAGATCTGTGAGTTCCGGATGGTAAAGATAAAGGGAAATCGAAAGCCCGAATGCGAAATTCCTGTACAGGTGAGGGGTTATGAAGAGAAGGAAATCAACAGAGAGTCCGAGTTCATGATGTTTGGGGCAGCTGCCATGCCACTGTTATGTTGTGCCTTACCCAGTTGGGACTAGGGGCGGGCGTTGACGTGGCAACCGCTGGCCTCAGGCATCAATAATGGGTGCCTGGGACATTCCAAACAAAAACATCAACACAAACAATCAAACCAATCAAACCAATCAAATAGCTCAGTCATCCAATGGCACAAACATACAAACCACACAAACCGAACAAACGAGACCAACCTCTGAGTCTTGACTCTCACATGTAGCTCACATCTCATGCATCTCACATCTTGGCAGTCTTCACCTTGGTCTCTCGCACATTCCCATTGTGCATTTCCTATCCACCAGCAAACTGCTTTAGTTGTGATCATGGCACCTGATCTTGACCGATCTGATCAATTTGCTGTCTTCATGTTTTTATGAGTGCTCGGTTCAAGGCTACGATCAGGCGCTCATTGCATGTCCATAGCAAGAGGTATCCTTTCCAACCCCGGGGCTCAAAAATAGGGGACTTGGACGACCACCCGGTTTCTTTTAAAATATATCCAGGACTGGTGAATTGCCTTTGGACTTCTATGGCCACTCTAGTATCTTAACTAGTATCACGGGCTATTCTTGTACCAATCTGAGATGATGTTCAAGTCGCTCCACTCTAGCATTATTTACTGGACGTTGATACCCATTTAGCACACCATTGGCACCTCTGGTCAATGGTCTTGTGGCGATTCCACACTCGACTGGTCAACTTATGTGGACTTCCTTCGGCCAATGATCCTGAGGCTATTGCTGGCTTCTGCCCCGTACTAATTCCAATTTTGAAGATTGCCCTCGATGAATACTGAAGTATGGAGTACAGGCACTTCTTTTCTTTGGACTACTAAGAATTAAAATGCTTTTCAGTGCACTGGATCAACGTGACTTTCATAGCCCTCAGATGTGAACATCCAGAAGGTGGCTGCGGGACTCTCGGTAGAGGCTGGATATCACAGAAGGCCGATGCAAGGGTTTTCCGACGGTAAATTGTTTTGCTGCCTAATGGAACTAGTAGACTCAGATGTTCCACTTGGTCGAACTCACGTTCAGTCCGTTCCCCTGGGGAAGCGGTGATCGACACCAATTCGAGTCCCACATACGACCCTTGCCTAAGCTTATAGAGGCGGTCAGTGCGTTAACGTCCCTCACTTAGGCCTTAGGGCTGTTCCGATTGTTTACTGGTGGTTCTCTGGTTGATCTAAACGGAGTTGATATCTACCTCATGCACGAGTTTGAACACTCTGTATTGAGTACGGAGTGCAGAGTATACCACTTGGGATTCCCTAGAAACAGTTCAGTCTTCGCTACAATAGCTCTGATCTTATGCCCCGGTGGGATATCCCCAGATATCTCCAAGTACCAGAAGCGTCCTAGAATATGTACTTACGAGGTATCGTGGTGTTCGGGCCAACCTCCGGGGCTCACTACACCGCTCCATATCTATCGCTCATCTTAGTTGGACACCATGTGGGACACCCCTTCTATCGCGCAATTTCCGATATCAAACTACCTGTGTGGCTTGACAGCTTACAGCCCGTTAGTGTCGATCGTGATCAATGACTTCCTAGACGGACAATAACAACCACGGTCAAAGCATCACCCCTGATGATCCCGAATGCGAGGGAGTGCTCGATGGCCGTGTGGAGCACGGTCAAAAAAAGCCCCGGGAATTGTATATAATGAGGTTGACCATTGCAAAAGTTGAGAGTTCTATATCCAAGTCACTCATTCTCTTCTTCCTGTACACTTCTACCTCACCAAGTCACTCTTTACAACTTTCCGGTCTTTCCAAATCTAGCAACAATGAAGTTCACTGGTGTCACCATTTCTCTTGCCCTTGCTGGCCTCGCCTACTCCGCCGCTATCCCCGCCCTCGGCGACATCCAGGGCACCGTTTCGGGCATTGGGAGCACCGTTGGGGATGCCGCAGGTCCCGCCACTAACCTTGTTACGCCCATCACTTCTACCGCCGGCGGCCTGAATGGTGTCAAGCGCGATAATACCGCCGCCATCGGCGATACTATCCAGACTGTCCCTGGCATTGCCAACGGCGGTGTTGCCATCACTGGTAGTGCCGTTGGTACCGCCATTGGCGGTGCCGTTCCTGCTGCAAAACGTCAGCTCAACGACCTCGTTGGCAGCACCGTGGGTTCTACCGTTGGTAGCACTGTTGGCTCCACTGTTGGAAGCACCGTTCCCGCCACCGTTGGACGTAAGTTCAGCCCTCGCACGTACCTGATCAGCTCGTACTAATATGATCACAGAGGTTGGAGCCATTGTTGATGGCGTCGGTAAACGCCATGGTATCGCTGGCAACAGCGCAATCTCTCAGATCACCAGCAACCCTGCCGGTCTTGTCTCTGCTCTGGGTGCTCTCAAGCACGCTGTCAATGCCGGCGAGATTACCCAGGGCCAGCTCTCTCAGCTCCCTGTCCTTCACAACGTTGTTGCTCTCCTCAACATTTAAATGAACAATCACCTCTGTTCCGTGTCACCAGCCTAGTCTGAGACCCGCTTCAAGATGTCATGACCACCTTTTGGTCATCGCGATATACCTCATGTCTCTTCTCTTCTTCCCATATTTGGATCATCCTTCGGGATTTTTGTCATTAATCCAGTTTTCATGTACAGCACCTTCTAGGTGACCTTTTATACCACTATGATTTCTACAAAATGATATCCTTCGGGGTAGCACTAGAACTATAAAATGTTTTTTATTCCTGCCGCAACTTGTCCTGGTTCCCAAGTTTCCAATCGTCTACTACTCGCAATCCAACTAGTGTGGTCGACAAATAAAGATTCAATAGCTTATTCTTGAATAGAGATAAGGTGTTAGTAGTGTACACATTTTTTCTTTGTACATGAAATTGCTAGATGAGATGCATATGTTCTCTACGGAGGCCGAGGCTCTTCGTGTACAAAATATATATCTGCATGCTTTTTTTATCCACCTATCCTGGCTGCGACTGTCATGACGATGGCCTTGACCGTATAAGATCAGAAGTTGAAATACATTACCAAACATAGAAGAAGCCTAGAACTGATTAGAAAGTTCTACAATTGCCCCATCGTTTTGTGGCTGTACAATATATGTGATTCTCCACACCGAGACTGACGAATGTACACTTTGTAGGAATATACGCGATTTAGAGACAGGAAAAATAGGAATCATTTTTTTAGAAGAGCGAGTCAGACTGCTTAAGATAGCCATTTGCAATCTGAACAACAAGGTATCGGGGCAAACACATCTCAGAGACGGTCCTGATGTCCACATACACGTATATTCTTGCCTTCGCTCGAGTTAACGTTGAGAGACACAGGCCTGGGCTTTCATTATTAATCAAATGATTTGGAATAGTCTGTATACTCCACACGCTATACGCGCCTTGAGTCATGAAACCACCAGGTGGGGAGCATTAATCAAGCAAGTCTTACTCGGATTCAGGATGCACCAATTGGAATACAAGAAACGAAAACTAATCATCGATCGGCTCGGACGATTACCTCTTCCGTCGGTCCCTAAAAGCCCGTGTCTAGCCCACGGCCAATTGGTAAGAACAAGACTTCAACCTCGGTTGACGCGAAGCATCAGATACAAGTAGCGCCATGTCCTCGTTGAGAATTTCTAGATCGTTTCTAGCACATTCTGCCAAGTCTCTCCGTTCATCAACGACGTCATATTATCACTTCGCATCCCCGCGAACACTTCCGCAGAAACAGTTTCCTCTTCCTTCATATCCACGTCAAATAACAACTATGTCTTCCGCAACATCTTTCTTCGACTTCGAGCCCGTCGATAGTACGTATGATCCATTTCCGTGCTTCACTAGCCCATTCCATCGCAAGCAAATCCAAGTTCAGAAGAACCAGACGGCTAACCCGAACCCCGCGCGAAAACAGAAAAGGGCGCGCCCTTCCCCCTCTCTTCGCTCAACGGCAAAGTCGTCTTGGTCGTGAACACAGCCTCGAAATGTGGCTTCACACCCCAATTTGACGGCCTGGAGAAACTCTACCAGAAGTTGAAGGCGAAGTACCCTGAAGACTTCACCGTCCTCGGATTCCCATGCAACCAGTTCGGCAGCCAAGACCCCGGCACCGACGACGAGATCCAGTCCTTCTGCCAGCTCAACTACGGCGTTACGTTCCCCGTGCTTGGAAAACTGGATGTAAATGGTGACAACGCTGCGCCATTGTGGACCTTCCTGAAGGAGCAGCAGCCTGGAATTCTGGGAATCAAGAAAGTGAAGTGGAACTTTGAGAAGTTCCTTGTTTCTGCTGATGGCAAGGTTGTTGGCCGCTGGGCGTCACTTACCAAGCCTGAGGGACTTGAGGATACCATTGTCAAGGAGATTGAGAAGTCGAAGAAGGCGGGTACTCTCGCTTCGCTGAAGAAGGGCGAGGCTGGTGCCGAGCAGGCTAAGCTGTCCTAAGGCAGCACGGTGATTTTCCTTTCTCTCTCAATGTGATACCTCTTATGTATTTTCTTGTATCTCAATTTTCATGATGCTGCTTGTACGAGATACTCGTCCTCTTCGGGTTACGATTTCAGTTCACGGTGGAAATTCTACCGAGTAGTAATAATAATTCGCATCCCAGTCATATGCTCATTGGCGCTTCTCTTGTAAGAAGCGGTAGATCCTCGGATTTAGATCTATCAGTCCCTATTGCGAACTCCATTTCGGCATACCCATGATCCCAGTATCCCAGCTTAAGCAGAGGGATCACCCTTGGGAACCAAATTCCGCAGGGATAGGTCGTAGACCACATCCTCGACCTTCTTGACCTACAGCACCACACACATTAGAAATTAGAACTTGAGATGGAGACGGGTTGGAAATGCAAACATACGCTGTACTTGATACCATCGCTGCGCTTGCGCAGGATATCATTCTTCAAGTTCAAGAGCTGGAATCCAGCGAACAGCTCCTTGATGAAGTTGCCGATCTGCATGGGGCGGGTGTAATCACCCAGAGTGACCGAGTTGACAGCCAAGCGAGACTGCAAACAAAGTTAGCTATGGCCAGCAAAGCTAGAAAACCCTTCAAACATGGGGAGACGAACCAGTTCCTCGACCATGGCGATTAATGCCAGGAGGTACTCCTCAATGGTCAGGTGGAAGGCATCCTCCCCCTTGAGGTTGACAGGAACTATAGAAGTAATACCAATGTCAGTACTAAAGCCCAATACACATATATCATCCATGTTACTGAGCACCACGGATAGATTTGAAGCGAGACATACTCTCCAGGAACTTGCCCACGTCCTCGATGGTCATGAACGATGCCGAGCTAGGTCCCTTGTGCTCTTGCAGACCTCCAAGCCATGCGCAAAGCTCAATAGAGGCAACCTGAAAAGAAATATCAGCAAGAAACCTTGAGCATGGAATCCTGGGAAACAAACCAAGTTCTGCAGCTCACGGGTCCACAGCCCGTTGTACTTGTAGAAGGGGTGTTGATCTGCGACGGCCTTCAGGCGAGCAACCTCCTGCTTTTGGGCAAGAATCTCCTTGGTAACATCGTCAAGGACGGGCTTCACTGTCGTGGAAATTAGCAAGTTAAGCTATGAAGAGTAGATCTACTACGCCACCCGGGAGATCATAGAATCTGAAAAGAACCGGATCCTATCTCACTACCCTATCCGAGATAAGTACTTACACTGATCAGCAGGTGTGGAATGAGCCCGAGACAGGATAGCCTGTGTGGAACGGCCTATGTCATTTATCATCAGTCTTCATGTCCGACCCGCGACCTCAACCTGAGAGTGCTATCCCAGGCAGGGAACACCATAGATTTTCTGGTTGTAGCCATGGATTGCAGCGGATACCTCTTCTGGCAAGTGTCTGGACAATTTCATGCAGCTCCTACTCAGAATCATCAGCTATCTGTCGGTATTTCTGGTTCAAGGGTCTCGCTTCGGTGTAGGCTTGGCGCGCGAAGAATTCACCAAGCCCAGGACGCGCCGTTGAGACTTACATCACGGACGGTGGTCTCCTCGTCAATCTTCGTCTGAAGATTCTCAAAAATGCGTTGATCAATCATTTTGTTGTTGGTTGTGGGTGCTGGTAGTTATTCGAGAAAATTAAGGGCGGGTTTGCAAGGTGTGGTGCTGGAAGTGAGTTACGTCAAATTCTATGGTGGAAAGAGGGAGAGCTTGCGCAGCACCCCAAAATCAATTATTTATAACTAAAATGATACAATAGATTTTCCTTATTGCTCCTCAGCTTGTTTTTACCTCTTTTGCTGAAAAAGGTTCTTTCATGTGGTGGTAATGTAGGGTGTTTTTACAGTGATTTTCCAACATCAGCTTCTAGATGTGTGTACAGGACTACATTTACAATATAGTCTTGAGACAAAGTTTTTAATAAAGAACTTCCACCTGCTTTCCAAGAGGCTTATCTCAAAAAGCCAGCCATAGTTGATTTGTATTCACCCCGATCAAAATGATTGCGACACCTCCCCAGAAACAGAATAACTCCAGAACCATGATCATATTTGCATGTTTTATTGTTGCCAGATCAATTCTAATGATCGTCGTAAAAGTCGTAAGGGAGCGATACACCCACTGGTAGCAGCCAGCGAGTACCGAGGGAGACAAGGCTTAGTATCGGTATCTGGTCGAGTAATCTGCAGATCAAGATGTCAGCAACTAATGCTTGCAGACAGAGAAGACAGGTGATCTTACCCTTGGGACTGACCACCAGGCCGCGACCCTTCTTTGCGCCCTTGTATATCGTCTCAATGATGTCAATCAGCTCCTGCTTGTCCTCCAGCACCCAGTTCAATTTGTTGTTGTTTCCTGTGCCGAAATCACACATCATGTGCTTGTTGCGGTAGAAGAACATGATCGTCATGCGGTCATAAAGTTCGTACATCTGATTGAAATCGGGAACCTGGTCGACGTCGCATAGGTAGATGACGGCGAAGTCTGGGGGTGCATCTGTTAGTTGTTGTTTGGTTTGCTTTGGGAGTGTAAATATATCACTCACTCTTAACTCGCTCGGCGATCTTGTAGAGGACTTCGTCTTGGCGGATACCTGGGAGATGGGTCAGTCTGAGGCCTCGGGAATGGATGCGCGTAGCACTTACAGTCGGGATCGTGGTCCCGCCCAAACCGAATCACCACCAGGCGTTCTTCTTCAGACAGGATAGCCTGGTCCACATGCCAGGCTGTTTGCAAATGAGGCAGGACAATGGAACCCATCGCGACGGTTGCTTCTGAGTAGAGAGGCTGAATATGCGGAGTGGGAGAAAAACCGGAAGCCTTATCGATTGGACCCCCGCGATCGAAGCTATTGGATCATGTGACCGATTTGGCTACGACAGCTGCTGGCGACAACAGGGTACTACACGACGTCTACGGTAACAAGCTGGCCAAGCTCCTCTCAGGTCTGGTCTTCAACCACCAAATAACACTGTGAACCATGCCCATGAGGTTTACAAAGCTTGATGGTGGCATTGGAAGCTTAATGAAGGTTGGGAATAACCTCGTGTCTCAGCACACTATATCTGAGGAGACAGTATGGAGGACTCCGTACTCCGTACTCCGTACGGAGTAGTGGTAGGTCAGATAGAGTCTACACGGAGAGTCTAGCTACATACACATTGATCAGACGCGCAGCTACACACACAAGGTGAACATGAGGATAGCCAAGGACGACTTGTCAGTGGAGCAGAGCTCTAGACATAGGGCGACGTGGATCAAGGACATGGGTACAGTGTGGACAGTATGCAACTACATAGGTAAACAATTAACAAACTTCTCATCTTCTCCAAGTGCCCGGGCAAGCCGTTCAAGTGATGAAAAAGAGGTCGCGTCGATCGGGGGCAGTGTAAGCCCGATGACACTGTGCAACAAGGCATGTGCAAGCACAGGGGCCAAGTCGCGGGGTCCAAAAATAGGAATAATCAAAGTGTTTCCAAGACGGAAACTTTCAGAGATTAAACTGAAAAGAACAGATACTACACTTGATCTAAGCCAATAGGCAAAGAGAGCTGAAGAAGAAAAAAAAGAAGAGGAAGCTCTGGAGGATGGGAGCTCCTTTTATACCCCTAGGGCGGTCAGACTTTGGATTCTGCCGCATGGATTTGCCGCCTTTGGCCAAGCGATCCGATGACTCATCCATTCTTGATGACTCACCATGATGACTCATCCACTAGCCCGACTTTTGGAACCGTGCCCTACCCTAACTCCCCAATCAGGCCTAGTGCAGCACACCTCTGGCCGGTGAATTTTCGATAACCAAATCGGCTCCACCGTGAATTTTAGGAAGTTGTCTTGACTACTCTCGCCGGCGCAGGATATTCACCTCTTTGCGACCTTTCCCAACCCTCGAAAATCCATCTCCCCCCAATCCATTAACAATGGCTCCCGCTGCTGTACGTTGAAGTCCAAATCGCTTTGCTGTTCCCCCCACGGGAGTCTTTGCGGATTCGCTTCGACACTTGGGATTCTCGATATTGAAAAATCTATTGAGAGTCCCATGTCGTCGGCGAATCTGCAAGACAACCACCGGGGCTCGACATTCGGAGCAGTAGGCTAATTTGATTTTACCCGGAATAGGCTCGTGGTCGCAAGGCCCAGAAGGTTACCCAGAAGTTCATCATCAACGCTTCGCAGCCCGCTAGCGACAAGATCTTCGATGTCTCTGCCTTCGAGAAGTTCCTCCACGACCGCATCAAGGTCGAGGGCCGTGTCGGCAACCTCGGTGAGAACGTCGTGATCTCCCAGTCCGGCGATGGCAAGATCGAGGTTGTTGCTCACATCCCCTTCTCCGGCCGCTACCTGAAGTACCTGTGAGTTTTTGGTCTATCTCCCAACAAGCCGACTACAGATTTGCTGACAGTTACTTTTTTCCTCAAATCAGCACCAAGAAGTACCTCAAGAAGCAGCAGCTCCGTGACTGGCTCCGCGTCGTCTCCACCTCCAAGGGTGTTTACGAGCTCCGCTTCTACAACGTCGTCAACGACGAGGCTGAGGAGGATGAGGAATAAGCGTGTCGCTCCTGACATGTTTTACCTCTTTGCCCTGTTGATCGATCGGTTCTAGTCTATGTGTGTCGCGCTTAGAACGTCTGTTAGGATTGAGAGCGAGAGCCATGGGGGGATAGATCGGTTTATGAGGCCGCAAATAAAACTAAAAAAGTTTATACCCTCAAGTTCCTACTGGCGTAGTGTAATCCTGTAAATTGTTCGACCTTTTACACATGCACTTGTAGGGTATCTCCAACAATAATTGAACATAACACATGAGATAGGATTGCGAAATATCCACAATTATCTAACGGCCTTTCTTTTCTTGCCAGGACCAGGGACTTTCGTCCATGAGGAATCGGATATTGATTCTAGGCCATCGGGATGGACAAGCTTACTCCCCTCGATTTGATATCCGTTCTTCTTCAGCTCCTTCCATTTCTCGCCCACCTTTACTCTCACAAGATCACCGGTTGCAATGGAATCTTCTTTCGAGTCATGCCCATCGTGCCCAATCTGGATGTCGCGGCCAAGATGTCTTTGAGCAAGGGCCTTGAGACCTAGGCGTATAGGGAGGCCTTTGGGGTGGGGATATAGGAGAACGGTATCAATGACTGTAGGGTGGATGATGCGGCAGGCGTTGAGGTCGTTTTCGATTGCATGGCCGATGAGAGGTGTCTCAGGTTGGAGAAACTTCAGAAGTAGATCTCGCGCTTCGGCAGGCGACGAAACAAGTTGCAACGGTGATTGGGATTTCTCCTTCTCTTCAACAGATGTCGAATCTGTGTTGGGCATTGTAGAGCCATACGGTTTGGCAGAAGTATAGTGTTCCGGGCTGACACCAGAATAGCGTGTATTGAGATCCAAGATTTCACCCATAGGTCGTACTAGAATGTCGAGGAGATCATGGCCTTGAGGCCAGCTGACGGCAGTGAGACGGATCAGCTCAAGACCCAATGTGGTGTACCCCATCTCGCAATCAAGAGCAACCGGTTCGAGAGTTTCTTTCTCGGGCTGCGACGGGGTTGTTTGGAATTGGAGGATGGATGCAAGTCGTTTGGTCTCCGAGACCTTGAAAACATGGGACTTCGTTTTGGTGCAGCCAGTAGACGTTCCCAGCGCTTCGCTGCAACAGGGAAAGTACGGTTGAGATGGACCAGTGACATGGTCTGTTTTCTTGCTCTGGGGGTAGACGGGCCGTCCTGGATGATACGTACAGTGGCCACCACTGGCCAGAGCACCATCCTCGCGACGACCTGGAAATACCTGGAATCGCTGACCGCACCTATCGCACTTCTCCCAGCCATTGGATCCCTCCACTCCTCGCTTGGCGGTCTCGATCTCTGCGCCAGTGGGCGCCTTTGTGACATATCCATGTTTTTCGAGGCCGGCGAGGGGTGTGATTAGCTTGGGCACAACTGCGATTTCTTGAGCGGGGCTGAGCCCAGTGTTGATGGATACGGGCTTCGTCTGCGGTTTTTGAATGGGGCTGATCTTATAGTATCGCACATTCAAGTGAGCCATAACTTCCTTAGCCCATTCATCAATGCCCATCTTCGTGATTTTGACAATCCGAAGTTTGATAACATTGCTGTAGATGCTAGAATTGTTCCTTGCGAATTTCTCTTCCTCATCCAGAGCCATTGTGATGAGCTCGTCCGATGTTAGAATAAAGCATCTGTTCGAGCTGTTCTTATCCTTCCGTAACTTTTGGTTGAGAGCAGACATGGCGGAGTGTAGTTTCTGCAAGATGGCAGTTCGAGTGCCATGGGTTGCTGGTGCATTGGCAAGCATGCGAGGGTTCAGCGTTTCCTTTGGAGCCTTGCGGGGAGGAAGTTTTGCTGACGACCCAGCAGGAGTAGCATCAGTAGGCCTCACAGAAATGTTTCCCGAAGGATTTGGGAGTTCATGACTTGAGCTTGCAGGGGCCATTCCTTCGATTGTAGGTTGAGCGCTCGAACTCCCTTGACTCGTCTTTTGAGTTTCTTTGCGTGCAACTGATTTTGACGAATGCTGGCCCATCTCGATGGATGGGCCTTTAACGCTGTGAGATGGAATTGGGGACAGGGACAACGGCAACTGAGGATTTTCCACTTTGGCCCGTTTAGAAGGAGGACCATCAACACCTGGGGCTGGAACATGCGAAGTTTGAGGCTTAGTCGGGCTCGGGTCACTATTAGGGTGAAAGAACAGGCATCTCAAAAGAGCACAATCCTTGCCCTGTGGACATAAAATGCCCGCAAAACAACCGAGCGATGTGAACATGATGGGTGATCAGACGAGATGAGACCAGGTTAGATATGGTCTAAGTACTTGGGGTTTTGAACGGAGAAGCTATTCAAGGACAACTGATCCCAGCGTCTAGAAATACATGGTGACCAGATATATGAATCTCTGTTCATCGACAATTTGCTTGTTTTGTGTACCAAATAGGCTGGGGCGAATACTGCTGGAACGCTATCGTGTCACTCGCTGTCTTGGAACGGAGATCAATAAAAATGACCCAACCTGCAGTATTGTGAACCAAGTAGCTAGCTAAAGCTTTAGATAGAACGCAGATTCATATGAAGCAAGGGAACAGGTTGACATCGCTAGAAAACAACATCGGGGCTGTTCAGTGAAGTGATAAGTCAGGTCTGATGCAAAACAGACAAACATTGAGGGCCTGACATTGCAGGCAGAATCTCATGTCTGTCTGGTCATTATGGCTGTACTTTTCTGCTATGTATGGATTATTTGAGATCTGACTCGAAAGCCTAGCTTGAGGATTGTTTTTCAATCTATCTTGTATTCAGGGCTCTATGGTTTGCAAAAGGAGACACACCACGCCTTGCACATAAGACATGTAAGTCCCTTATCGCCGATAACTCCAGGCTGACGATGGACGGACTTCGGACGAACAGATATCCGGACAACAGATAGGTTCCTTTTATTTAATCTTAGGAACTCTGCAATCTCACCGAGAGGAACAACTAGCGAGACCATGTCAGATACTTCTCAAGCCCATCACCTCTGCGTGCTGGTCCACGGGTACTGCCCTCCCCTTACCAATGACGTATTGACCAGCCCGTTAACGCGACAAATGTTCCTTACAGACTCTGGGGAAACCCCTCACACCTTGATTATATCGCATCTGCACTGAGAGATAGATATGGAGACGAAGATCTCTACATCCTCTGCCCGAAAGCAAACAGCGGGAACTATACCTACGACGGAATCGAGTTGGGCGGAGAACGATTAGTGCACGAAATCGAGGAGACGCTGGAATCTTTAGCGGAAAAGGGACAGAAAATCACGAAGATCAGTGTGGTTGGATATTCACTCGGGGGTTTTACTCGCACGCTATGCGATCGGCTTGCTCAATGCACGGGGTTGGCTGGATAAGCTGGAACCGATGAACTTCACTACCTTTGCCACACCCCACGTCGGAGTGAGAGCGCCGCTCAAGGGGTACAAGGATCAAATTTTCAACGTTCTAGGACCAAAGACACTTTCAGCATCTGGACGCCAAATGTGGCTGGTTGATTCCTTCCGAGATACCGGGCGACCATTGCTTGCCGTTCTAGCTGATCCTGAGAGCATTTTTATAACGGGCCTGAAGAAGTTTCAGCAGCGAACCATATATGCCAATATTGTGAATGATCGCTCGGTTCTCTTCTATACGTCTGGTCTTTCCAAACACGATCCTTTCCGACGTCTGGAAGATGTGAATATCAACTACGTCAAGGGCTATGAAGATGTCATTATCGATCCCGATCTTCATGTGCTTCCTCCGGTGGAAGGAAAACCGGAGACTGCAGCAGCGCAGATTTGGAAGAAATTGAAATCTGTGGCTCTCTGGATACCTCTGTCATCATTACTCCTGGTCCTCGTGCCACTGGCTTCTACACTGTTTTTGATCAATGCCGGCATACAGACGTTTCGCAGCTCGAAGCGAATCCGCATGCACGAACTTGGTGAAAATCTCGAGCGCTTTGGACGATACCGAGTACCTCTCTTGGTTCAAGATGCTCAGCATGCCGTGGAAGAGGCCTTTGAGAGCGTCAATGCCATACAAGAACCAGCTTATCTATCAAACAGTGACACCGAAGTGTCCGAAGCAGCACCCGAGAAATCTGCAAGATTATCTGTCTCGAGTCCTGCGCAAAGTGATGCTGAACTCGGGTCTGCCTCAGCTAGACGGTCATCTACGACCGCGGGTTCTACGCGCTTTCCCAAGCTGGCATTGACCCATGAACAATTTGGTATAATCGATTCACTTAACGCTGTGGGAATTCGGAAATACCCCGTCCATATACAGAAGCATCGACATAGCCATGCAGCTATCATTGTTCGAGTTGAGAAGGATGGATTCAGAGAAGGCAAGATAGTGATGAAGCACTGGCTGGACAACGAGTTCGTATTATAATCCCACATTTCCTTGATAGCGTTAGATCATGTACATAGAGTCACAATACCCCCATCATATAATCTACCAAACAGCCGTACAAATAGAACCAAAGTTATCCCTCAACCCCTGCAGAAACATCATAAGCCACGCGACTAACACCCTTTTGCCGACTGATCTTCCGAATAACAACCGAACCGACCAGACCCGTCCGCGCAACATGAGTACCCCCACAAGCATTGTGATCCAGCCCACCTATACTCGCAATCCGAGTCCGACCATCACGAGAAAAACCCTCCCCATCACCCATCCGCACCCCGCCCTCCAACCAAGACATGAGAATGGGCAGATCCCGCGACACCAGCTCATCAACCTTCTCCTGGATAATCCGCTTATGCTCATTATACAACAACCCTTCATATTCCATAGCCGCCTCCCCCGGAAAATGATTCGCCTTGACTTTCTTCATCTCCGGCATCAAAAGCTGCATAGCCAATCCAACAATGTGACCGGCGGAATGGAGCCTGGAATGATAATTGCGCTTTGAGTCATCGACCCTTTGCACGACATGCTGGCCCTCCGCAAAGGGCGACGAAGAGTCTAGATATTTTCCAAAATGCAGGTACAGTCCGTCGGACGTCTTGCGCACCAGCGAGACTTCAAACGTCGTGTTTTGGTCTATTGCTGCGATTGCGCCGGTGTCGCTGGGCTGTCCTCCGCCTTGTGCGTAGAAGATTGTCTGGCGTGTGGTGATCGCGTTGTCTTCTGTGGGCACGTTTTTGACTAGGGTTTTCTGTTCTTCGGATAGTGAGGGTATTGGCTGGGATGATAGAATCTCCGTAGTCAATGTCCGCAGCGAGGCGTCGTCAAGGTATAGTGCCTCTGTTCGGGGGATCTGGTTTGGGACGTTAGTGGTGGTACATGAAGCTACACTGGGAGAATCCTCACCATTATTGCTACAGGATGTGGCTTTGGGGATAAAAACTTTCTTGTATGTACTGTCTAGGCCGAGAGATCCTTTTATATGCGATGTCGAGGCCTTGCGCGCGTAGTGGGTCATGTCAACTACAGGGCTGAGTGCCTCAATATTCAGGCTTTGAAACATCCGGCCATTGTCGTGAAAATGGGATTCAGCTATCGTTGTCCCTGGTCATGTACAAGATCTACTGGAGTAGGTGTTGATTCATTTCAAATTGCTATCATTGATCATTGTGGAATCACTAGATAGATTCCAGGTGTACTATGTATGGAAGTCATCCAACCCATATCGCAATCAAGAGTGGGAAAGGACCCGCGCCGAATCGAGAGAAGATACAAAAGCTCAAGATGACGGGGAATCATATAGAAAAACATGTTGGCGAAAAATCATAAAATTGACTGGTTCATGTCCTCACATGAAAAATCCGGTGGCAGGTAAGATACCGGGCGTGAGGAGAGAAAAAAAAAAACGAAAGTTGTTAAGTGTTTACAGAGGCATGAGAAGCAGTTCAAGAGAAACCAAAGAGCTGCTTAGTTGGGAGCTTCTTTTCTGGTGTCAATGTCGAGCTCGGAAACGGTTGAGCCCTTAGAAGTCTTTCGATGCTCGCGCTCGATGGCAAACTTGACAGCATCAAAGACATTGTTGCAGATCTTCCTGGGAGGATAACGCGGAACAGTACCATCCCGGTAGACTCCAGTCTTGACTAAAACAGAGAACCAATCGTTTTCCGTAGTCTCGTTGAACTCGTTTGTGCCGCGAATGTCGGACTCCGGAGTATCGCCAATGAAGTAGACAGTGGATGGAGACCGGTCGATGCCACAGGAATCCTTTCGCCACTTTTGCAAAAGTCGAGTGGCAAATTCATATGTTCCAATCTGGGGTTTACCGAAGGCAATGGTGTTGAGATCCTTGCCAGTAATAGCAGCATAGACGGCTTCGAGAGAAGCGCGCAACGCTCCCATTCCAAGACGGGAATGTTCATGCGATGTTGACCACACTACATCGGTATGTGAGAAGAAGACCGGGGGTCCCTCGGTAAAGCTCTCCGATCGTGTGTTCAACCAGCCATCTTTGGTCATGAGGCAATCCAAAATGATTTGTTGGTCGCCAGCCCAATCTCGACTGTCTGCAAAGACAAAGACCGCTTCAATTCGGACCTTGTCTAGATCGAGCAGCCGGGAGTTCTCATACTCCTCATCCGTCAGTGTTCGGAATGGTGTGGTGTCGTGTCGCGTCTTGATGATATCTCCAGGCGTGATGACATCCTTGAATCCATATCCTTCAGCCACTATTCGACACTTCTCACCCTCGCCACCGACTACCAGGACGGTGTGGTACCGCTGGGCCATTTCACGCATCGGCGTATGGCCGCAGATGAACTGACCAGGGTTGACTTCCAGGTCGAGTTGTTTACTGAGATCGAGACATCGCTCTTTCTCTGTCTTGCCACCGCCGTTGGTCAAGAAAATGTAGGGACTAAGATGATGCAATCAGTTACAGATTCTTTTGACTCTTATCGGGGACTTCTACTCCTCAATACCGAGCGAGGAGAAACACAATGACCAGGTAAACACTTACACTTTGACTCCGTAGGGATTTTCACCATTGATGTATCTCATGGCATCAACGGCTTCAGGAATGGGTTTCCCGCCCTTGATGAGAACGCCGTCGATATCAAAGGCCAGAGCAAAATCATCGCTAGTGACCATTGGAGGGGTTGACATGGGCGTATTGATCGGCGAAGTATCATCTTCCGATGAGACTAGTTCCTCGTGGTGTTCGGTCATATCGGATAGTTTGGAAATATGGTCAGAAGTAGAAGCCATGAAATGCTTAGGAGGAACGACGACGTTCGGACCTCCATAAAGATCGGCCCGAGCGGTGTCCAGACTATCAAGTCGGACTCTTTGAGTTCCGATTCTATCGGCTTTGGCCATTGTGAATAGAAGATGATAGGTGTGGGGCAGACTGTGGGTACAATGACGATGAGGATCGCTTCCTTGATGAGGCGTGATACAATGACCTCAAGATCGTCCAACGTTTGTTGACGATCCGTTACAATGCCAGGGACAGGTTTATAGATGCACACGCTATTGCGTTCTCTTGTGACGTGCAGTCTGCAGGGAAAATCAGGCCGGTTGCAGCATAAAGGGAATCGGAATGATTTAGAGTAGCTGCGACATGTGGGGGGAGATCAGGGCCCATTAATATAGCAGACTGAGGCCGAAGCAAAGCGCAGTTTGCATCATCGATCTGTTGGCCCCAAAACATGGGGTTCCGCTATGTCCAGGCTCAGACCTCGTCATTCTACCAATTGTTCTGAATTAAAACAAGCCCAAAGCATCTGAAATCAGAAATGGGTTATAGATCCACAACGGCACCACTTGGCGCATGAGCCTCGGTCCACAAGCCTTATTCATGGCGCTGATTCGATGAGTGAAAGATGCGCAACCACAACGAGGTTAGGAAGTGGAGCTCATGGTGGGTTGAGGGAACTTGACGTAAGGAAAACCAGCGGATTTCGGGATTTCAGAACAAGATTATAAGATAGAACCAATGGTGGCAATCTCAGGATTTGATCTCGGAGTCGCTTTAAGCCTTTTTGCTTGCGGCTTTCGGCGTGGCGTGGTCGGTATCACTAGAGGCGTCCGATGAATCCGTGTCCAGGAGCGCCTCTTCCGTTGTGAGGGATTGGGTATTTCCAATCTGACCACCTTGTTTTCGAGCGGGGGGATTCACCACAACCTCGGGGACAAGATCAAATCAAAGATGCGGGGTGTATCGGGCGTTTGACGTCATCGAGCTGAAGCACTGTCAGGAACCAGCTCTCGGAAATAAAAAGCAGCAAGTCAATGGGTCTGTGCCCCTATACCACAGGAAGTAAGATCGGGGTGTCGGAATGGAAACTTGTGAGTGGTGCAGAGAACGAAAAAGGCGGCTTGACCAAAGACGCGGGCGCCGCCACATGCTGGCCGATACGACCTCGGACCAACACCAGAGCTATATTAAGAGCCAAGGAATGCAAGCCATAAAGGATCTCACAATCAGAACTTCCTGAGAGAATATGTTTGCTATTGGGTATAAGAGGAGAAGTGGACTCACTAATCCTGTAACGTCAAGCCTTCGCCTCGTGTCTCGAGCGCAAGAAACCAGTACTTCGTAAGTCCGATAATAGGAAGTACGGCATACCTACTATTCTCGGCCAGAGCGTCAGTGTGCATCCAAGGACGCACACCATAAACCCTGTTCAAAGGCTTTGTCCAATCCCAACATTTGATCATTCCGCAAGCTTACCATTTCCTCTGATGACGGAGCCTTTAATCAGTCTAGGCTGAGTCGATTCTGGCGCAATGCGCGGCTCTTCCTAGCAACTCAGTATTGGGAGTTACCTGGGTATTGTCTATGGCTGGGAAAGTAAGTCAAATTGCGATCTTTTTTATCGGAGGTCCATGCACAGTCTATGCACGTATATCTGTGGCCACGGGTTAAATGGGAGGCTGGCTTTTGTTTGGTTGTATTCATGCTAGGCCTGGTTTGGGGCTCTTTGACAAGCCCAGTCGAAGGAATTCCTCCCGATGCGTGCCCTGTTACCTGTTGACACGAAGCTTGACAAAAGCATCCAGCAGCCACACAAAAACGGGACAGAGAAGTGGTTGACATCTTGAACTAGAGAGTTGATTTCCGACAATTGAAGATCACGATCGACAGAATCTGGGGAAGAACCCTGCCATCGGCTCCACTGGCCTGCTTCTGTATGAGGTTATATGATCCTCATCTTGTTGCATAAAACTATCAACAGGATCAAGGAAAATACTCCCAAGGCCAATGCCAGTTCTCTATGCTAATACATACCGAAGGAAATGATTTATAAGTAGCCTAGATAACTGGCTCCTATTCTCGAGGGTCCATCTGGCTTGGCCCAATGATCGTGTCATGATCGCCGGGGCAGATGGGAAGAACCGATCTCCGAATTTGCGGTGCCCAAGAGCCTTGGAAAGAAAACAAAAGGATCCGTCAATCTGTAGGAAAAGAGAAGGAATATGCTAGATCATATCGAATACAATGCATTATTTGCTCGATACATGATTTCCACAGATCACGGACAACCAGAGAAACCTGTCTGATATTAATTTTGTCTGCGTCGAAGTTTACTTCTAATTGTGTAGGCCAACGTATGCAGCTTTGAATTTTGGTAGGGTTGAAATATGAATAATGGGGTCACTTCACAGTAGGGCTTTTGCTTAGTTCATTTTCTAGCATGTGTGAGAAGCTCAACATTAGAACAAGTTTACATGGATATTCCAGACATAATACATAACATGATAAAGCATATCTGCAGGTGGCTAGGTGGAGCCCTGGAGGAGAACCTGGGAAGACAACTTTGAATGTCGGACAAACTGTCAATCTTCACCAATGTCTCAGTCCATGAAGTCAGATCCAGATCCCTCGGCAATGTCGTCCATGATCTGATCCAGGTCAAGCTCATCATCAATATCAGCCCAGTCATCATAAAACACATCCTCGCCAGTAAAATCAAAAGGATGAGACAAGGGGTCATGCAAATGGAAAAACATGCGGTGATAGAAGGAGAGGCATTCACAAGAACATGTCTTGTATTTGGGCAGCACGAGTGGATAAGGGACGGTGACCGCGGATAGCTCCACCTTCTTTGTCTCAAACCTGCTTTTCCAGATGTTGATCTCCTGGCATATCTGTGTGGCCGGGGGATTGGTCTTGGATTCGTTGATTGAAGGAAGGTCTTCAATGATCTCTGGGACTTCACATGTAAAGCGACGCAGATTCGGAAGCATTCCGCTTTGCAGCATCTCGTGGATACTTGAAGGAAGCCAGGCTTTGACTTCGTCGTAACGTATCGTGAGACTCTCGAGACTGCTTGGTAGAATATCATCTTCGGCGTTCAACTCAAGGCAGTCTTTTCCTGCTAGTGTACTGAGGGTTGTTGTGAGATGCTTGAGATTGGTGAGTTCGCCAAAGTCTGCATCTTCATCACCACCCCAGTAAAGGTCGTAATCCATAAATTCAAGGGAACGGGCTTGTGCGAGCACCGATTCAACATAGCCGCGAGGTTGCCCTTCGGGATCCACCAAATCCTCTATTCTAGGACCTCGGAAGGTGAATCGCTTCAATGCTTGCGGATATTCGAGCAGTCCCCCGAGGTCGGACGGGTCTATCTTGCAATTCAAAAGGGTCAATTCCTCCAGCTGCGTGGAAGCCATTGCAGAAGGGGAAGGGCGAGACGTAGAAATCTGGAAGAAAGCACCAGTAACACAGAGCTGACGGAGACCTGGATGACGGAAGAGTGCTTCGGTGAATGATGGTAGACACCCACTATCCATCTGGGTGTTGTGCTGGTCTCCGTTATAATCGCTCCCGATGTGACCTGATCATTATTAGGTTCTTGTCCAGTAGAATAGGGAGGTTAAAAGACTCACAGACGCGCAAAGCAGGCATTCCTGGTGGGTTTTGGAGCAGTGCATGCGAGAATAATCCTTCTTTCGAACTATCTCGCTCGAAACTAAGTTTGTCACTTACACCTGGTGGACTGAAAGATGATTCTCCCGGAGGACCCCAGCCTAAATCTCTCCACTCCTTGACGATAGCTGTTCCCGTGACTACCTTTCTCGACCATTCCAGCAAAGCATCATCTCGCTCATCGCGATTGGCCCATCGTGTTAACTCAAAGGGTCTCGGATTTCTTCTCAAAACCAGCTTCTCCAGTTCTGGTAAAGTTGCGGCCGTCTTATAGAATTTCAGATAGCGATGAGAATAAAATTCTGAGCCAGCATCCTCCTTGTGTCGAATTTGGCGAATACGCGGTGCCAACTCTGGACGCCGCTCTATCGTGCGGGCAAGACGAGCCCCGCTTTCTGAATTCCATAGGCGTACTGTGCTGTAGAGAGAAGGTTCAATCCTTTGATAGAGCATTGAGCATGTCCGAGAAAGTCGGCTCAGATGCTGCGCGGACTCTTCATCACACAGACTTTCAATGATCATATCCCAGAGCTCCAAAGGAAACACAGGCAAAATTGTGGATCTTGCAGGGCGAGCCATCATCCTATCTGGAGTGGCCATTATGGAATTAGCCAACAGAACAGATCTCTGAGAAATTCCAGACGCAGACTCGAGTGAGTTGGGAAAGATGTGATCAATCGTGTGTTTTGTACAGTCAATTTGGGACCCCAATTTCTTATCTAAGCTCCCCCGCCAAAACACCCCAACGTGTTCCCGGGGCTTTCCTTCTTTCGAACTGCCTCTCTTTCGTTTCTTTGCGCATCGGCTGTCTAGGCGAGCTCTCACAGACCTAGCCAAACGACAGAAGTTCTCCAAAGTCTCCTCGTGAAGCTCGATCAAAAACTGGCAATTTCCGCAGGGATCTGCGACTCGGGTCCAGAAACTGCCGCTCAGCGTGCGCTGCCTTGAGCGCTTTCTTCTGGATATTCTATGAACATCCCTGCTTCTTTCATCGAGTCCGCTATACACGGTATCGCATTGTTATGGCTTGTTCTGGTAGAATCCGCCCCGAAAAAGGAGCCGCAGCTGCGGGGCCTAACTGCCCATGGAGTATGATGATTCTTTGCACAGAGTACGATAGAGAGCGCATGGGGAAGGCAAAACTACGACAGCTATGAAAAGGTCAGTGTTCTTGAGGTTTCTGCTTTGGCATGATGCCTTCTAGGATGAACATATGGAAGGAGTGCACAGCAACGGGGCCTCTTGTCCCCGGAGCGCCCCCAGATTTCTTTATCGTAGAAGCCTCTTGGTACTCGGAATCCCATCTCCCTTTTCCTTCATAGTCTTGATGATCTCGTGCAGGGTGGTCGGGAAAGTGATTTCATAGACCTCAAGAGCAACCCAATACCAGAAATAGAACTTCCCGCGGGCTCCAAACAGGTAGGCCGTTTGTGCAATGACACATCATCGGACGGTCTCTTCCAAAATGCAGACTTTCATATAGCTGTTGTCCAAAACTATCCTCTGCCTCCCAGTCATCTTTATATTCGAGGTCCTCGGGCTTTGAGCCCCACCCGGATGGCAGGTCATTCTATGTATGATCTGCATTAGCGTTGGATACAATGCCTTGACAGCGACAGGCTTACCACGATGGCGATGTTGGATTCGTCATTAGAGTGGAGTTTCTGGATATCTGAAACGAGTTGTGATGAGTAAACAGGTAGGTCAGAAATGCGTCATAAGCAGTGATATAACTGTCAACATATGTAGATTTAATCTTTAAATCTAATCAGTATATTGAGGAAAACAGACAATACTCTTATGAGCGTCAAATCTGTAACAGATCAAGTCTAACAAAATAATTTTAACTAGATATGTATATAGATTCACAAAGATGGATGTAGGTAACGCATTGCAATGCAACAAGAATGTCAAATCAATATATCCACCCATATCAACAAAACAACATAATATACAACAAAAATAAGCAAAGCAATGATGTAGATAATGTGCTGGAGCAAATACCAACAGAACCCAGAACTCCTAATCCACACGAAGAATCAAATCATCACCTCTCCTCGATGGCGTCAAGTTCCGACTAGTGGGAGAAACTCGATTCGCCATAGAGACAGCCTTTCTCTTTGGGCTATCGGGATAATGCACAACACCAGGACATAGCTCAGAAGGATAGGGGAGTTCCCCAGAAACTTCTCGAGATCTTGGGGGTGCACCGGCACGCCCACGTTCTAGCCACAGGTCCTCGGGGCAATATGGTGCGACGACTTCGCTGGGTGGTCGTGGACTGTTGCGGATCTGAACTCGCTTGATGTCATTGCCGTGTACAATACGCGGCCTGGACACTATCTCCGAGCCTGGGGGTATGCTTGATGATGGGGTGCGTGCAAGGTGAGGTGCATGTGTTCCTGGTGATAGACTGCGATGCTGGTCAGGGGTGGTGTGGGTAGGAGCGGCGAGGTGAGTGTTTGGATATAAGGAGGAACATGACCCAGGAGGCGCGTTGATTGCAGCACTATTGTTCGATGAGGAGGTTTTCAAGGCCGAGTTGGGGTTGAATGGGGAGGCTAAGGTACTCGGAGGACCGGATCTTCGTTTGAAGTTCCCTGTTGGGAAGCCGTCCTTAAAGGCGCGTGGATTGGGTGGTAAGCCTGCGAGTCTAGGTTGAATCCCTAATCGCGGGGAATTGTTTTGTGTCATTCCGGCCGCCGCTACCGCTTGGTGGGTTTCGTCTTCTTCAAAGAGAGTGCCTCCACTGTCTGGCCGGTGGTTCCAATTCAGCGGCTTTGGATACATTCCAGCTGGGCCATCTGGAATTAGTCTTGCCATGCTGTGCTGCGACGAGTCTGTCCTGGGAGAAGCTTCCCAATCGGAATCGGAGCTGATGGCAAACCCTATTCGTTCATGGTCCCTGGATTGACCTGGGTGTGATGTTCTAGCAAATCGAGGCAAGTATCGGGATGGTGATCGGACATCAGCCATTGGCTGGATAATGCGCTGTTGCTGTGTTATTTCCTCGTGGCCGCTCGCAAGGCTGTATGAAGACCCTAGGCCTGAACCACCTGTCGGGAGTCGTGGCATCGGTTTTGAAAAATCGGAAGGCTCAGACATCGCGCCCCCAATCTCAAAGACGTGTAAACGCGCACTTTCCGGATGTCTTCGTCGCCATCTCTTGCGGCAGAAAAGCACGGCAACAACGATGATGAAAGACCCTGCTATCCCTGATGCTACTGATACTCCAATGACTGCCGCTGGAGAGATAGCATGATTATCTTTCTTATTCGTGTCTTCAGGAGACCCACTGGGAGGCAAAGCACTCTCACTGGTGGACGTGATTGTCTCTGTTTGAGACTTAGAAGGCTCTGAAGATGAAGCGTGATAAAACGTGACCTCAGAGGTCTGGCTGGAAGTAGTAGAGGTTGGCACCAGTGTCGATACTGTGGTTGAAGTTGTTAGAGGGGCATCTGGTGTGTATTCAGTTGTCGAGATAGAGGTTGTTGATATTATCTCCGCAGTCGTGCTTGCCTCGGTGGTTATCGTCGTCCTTGTATCAGAAAAGACCGTCGCGGTGATCGTCTGATGTGTATTTGGAAGGGCTTCAGGCACCGAATCACATATGTGATACGCCCTAGATTTGGCAACAACCGTCTGTGGGCATACAGATAGCACACAACTCAAAGCCGCTTCCCCCAAGGTTAAGCCACCGGATGACTGGGTGCGGCAGAGACATTTGATATTGGACGGCGACTTGCATTGCGTGGGTGTGTACTCGGATTTGATGAAGTTAACCACACAATCCTTGGCGCAGTCTGGAACCATGTCATATAAAAGCGAGTTTGATACATTGCTGGATACATCCTGAGCCGCTGAACGGTGTGCGAGTAAGAGGAGGATCGCGATGATTATCCCGTGGATAGGAAGGACAACCATACTGCGGTAGCCCTGTTCATGATGAGCCATGGCTCTTTATGTAAATTTTCGCAACGGATTCACCTTGTAAACTCTTGCATGGGTTGGATTACCCTCGAACCCTTGTACATAGGGTTATCATCATTGATAGAGGGCTGCGATTTGGATAGCAAATGGTGTAGAGATAGCAAAACCGACATACAACGCCAGCAAAATAAGGAAATATCAATCATGTTCCTCAAAAGAGGGTCTCTGGCCTAGTTAAACACGAAGTCAAAGCGCAGCTGGACTCTAAGCGCGAGGCAAAACTGACCATGACGCTGGCCACTGACCTTTCGGGGCCTGGGGCTCAACATCATTCTGAAACACAGTACTTGAGGCTATGACTGTGTAGGCGCTAGAGTGAGACTGCATGACATCTTAAATAGTAAGACCCCCTCAAAGAGCGAATCGCCGAAGTGCTGAGGCGCCCTCTCTCCAGGGCTGGATGGTCGGCCTGGTAAGTGGCTCCGATACGCGCCGGGCCATCGACAGCGCTTAGGCTGCAGAACGTGTTGTGGATGGCGTCAGGCTAGGTTTCAGATTTCCTAAACTTAGTGGATGAATGACTGGAATTTGTATGTACTACTTGGATTCTACACTCTGATTGGCGTTGCCTTGGTGGTACATCGTTTACCAACCTGAGCAGACTTGGCCTGGATGGTTCATGTGACGATTTCCGCTAAAACTTCGATCTGCTCAGAAAATCGAATCTATCTGTGTCATTCCGGCAAGATTGGGCAAGACTTCGCCTGGTGTTTTATCTATCTTGTTTGGTTTCGTGGGCTGCTCACCGGTTACCCCTGTACTCCGTGCACTCGAAACACTGTGATAGTACAACGGGGTAGTTGCAGCCACCTCATGCAGTGGCATAAGCCAATCAATTGCAATGGTTAAAGAGGGATGTGGCTGCAGCCCACAATGGCTAGCATGCGTCAATTGTATTCGACTCATGCACTCTTCGGCCATTTGTGACGAGTCCCAGTCGTTGTACATAAGAGACATCGATCCCGATACAGTTGGATTTCTCTACAGGTACACTTTGTCTACGGAGTATGTATATCTAGGGATGAAGAAGTAGTTTGTAATAAAATCCATGCCCGTGAATCATAAAGCTAGCCAACAGCGGGCATTGATACGAAACAACGAAGCCATAGGCTCAGGCCGCATGAGCTGGTATCATTCAGAAAAACAAGGAACCCGCAGTATTGAGCAAGACAAAGAAAAATAATAACACAAGGAAAAACATCACCATGCGACCACACCGAATATTAAGGAATTATGGACATCATGTCGGACCATGTGCCAAGTGGTGGCGGCCGCATTGGGCTAGTCTGATCCGGACCTCCACGGAACCACGCTGACATCGGCGTTCAGGATATCGAACCGCACCGCCCCTTACTTCAAGCGTAAGGCGAGAGCAGGGATCGATGTAAAATTAGTCGCAGAGTATTCCGTATCGCTTTTCAAGGGGTATTGAGGGTGAAAAAGCATTGGCTGCGAGGGTGTGGGGGGAGGTAGGCATCGCTAGTATTTGAAAATAATGTAACTAGAAAGTAGTCAGCAGCTGTCACGAGGTCTTCGGAGCTCTCAACACATACATGGCGTGAATGATACCAGGGATCCAACCAAGGATGGTCAAACAGATGTTGATCAGGAGATCAGAACCACATCCGCGCTCCAGGAAGACACCCAGAGGGGGCAGGATGATGGCAAAGATGATCTTGCAGATATCACTGCCGACGACGTTAGCACACTGGACATGGTCTCTGTCTCGTCCCCAGACGGCCGCGCGACCTGACGACAGGAGGGTGCGACAGGGTGCGACAGGCCGCGAGTTAGGGCCTCGGGTAGAAGCTAAGCTCGAGAGTGATAGAGCAAAGAGAGTCAACTTACGAGGCGGTGAAAGGCATCTTGAGGGAGATTTGATGGGAAGTGAGAAATAAGCGGGAAGTTGGGAAGGAAGGCGGAGGGAGGGAAGTTCTTAAAAGGAGTCCGGGCGCGAGCTTGGGTCATTACATCATGCCGCCACCCAGAGGTGGCTCAAGTTGACAACAGGCACACAATGTGGCTTAGACGATGACCGAATTCTTTTTATTTTTATTTTTTTTCGCTTTGTATCTAGTGTTCCTTTCAATCTGCAACATACACCGTGAATTAAACCTGTGAGCGTTGCAGAATTGTGATTATGTTCGTTTTGTTCGAAGGTCGGGCCTGTTGCCAAGACGAATGGATGACCTTTTGACTGCCACCTCCGATCACCGGCTGTCTCGGCCCTATCCCCTTCATCCTTTTGCTCGTTGCCTAGATCAAGCTTGGCAGAAGCTGCATTCTGCCCTTTTTCCAGTTCTTTTCTATATTTGTCGCTTCTATTCCTCAAATGCCGTATCCAGCGCATTGATGCAGGTCGAGTCTCATGATAATGCCGATCCCTCCAAAGTACTGTTATACCAGGTGCTTCTAACTTTGGCCCCGGGGATCATTACTCGGTAGGTCTTGAGAATGTGTGCCAAGTACTTCCTCGTTGTACAATCTGTGGCGCCTACAAAGTACACCCCAGGCCGTGGCCAGACAGCTCGCCAGCCCTACGATGGGCCCTTGCCCCCACCTGCCAAGGCACTTGGTATCATGTGGATGGCCGGTGACTTTACTTGGGTAAATCACACAGGGGAAGACGGCTACGGAGTACTCGTCACATTGAACACGGCTAAGATAAGCATCAAGACAGCTTATCAACAATGTACTTCTTTCGAATCTGGAGTACCTAGCCCAGCAAGTTGGCTCACATAGTTGGCTACATTGATGGAAATCGTGGTAGGCAGAACCATGATATCGGAATGAACGTGACTTCAGATTGGGGCAGTATTTTCCAACCAGCCGAAATCAACATCGTCTAACAAGGAGTTCCACTGCGGGACGTCTAGGTCTGGCGCCACAGCCACAAAGTCCGACCAAAGTTGTTGCCAGCCTTCTTCCCCCATATCGTCGGTCAAGGCTCCGCTCGTTGTGAATCCACCCTGCATGTCGAGACGGCTGCCGATCTGATTGGCCACCAGCGGTTCGTCGGGTCCACCCGTGAATGTGCCATTCAGCCCTGTTTCGCGAGGCGCCGCAGGTCCGCCCCTGGTCTCTGTAAGGTCTTGACTCTGTCTCTGCAGCGTCGACAGTAGTGTTTGCATGTTTCTCTGGACCCCTTCAACCAGCGATCCAGAGCCCTGTTTTGATTGCTCCAATATTTTGTAGGCAGCAAGCACCTTGGTCTTTCGAGCTTCTGCATCAGGTGCGTTAGGATTGAATGAGACATCGGTCGCCAGGATAAGCGCCGCGAGAAAGACGTGCTGTACAACTCTCCAGAGCCGCGCGGGATACCATTCAGCGTCCGGGCCCATCTCATCCATTGCACGTCTCAGCTCTAAGACGGTCTGCGCTGATCTGATGCATATCATGTGCGAATAGGCATATTTTGGATTCGTCACGCCTTCTAAATGATAGGGTCGATGGAGCCGGGACAGCCGTATGTGAAAGCTGAAATGTAGATTGATACGCTGCCATGTAATATAGGGCCGCTCTTCGCAGATTTCCTGGCTTTTCTCGATGCTCTCCTGGTCCATTTTGAAGAATTCGGGAATTTCTTCGAGGCATTTGTGAAACTTCTTGTCAATAGCGAGTATAACTGCATAGTCGGGCTCTTGAGAGCCCAGTAGAACCGAGGGCATAGCATCGACCACCTCACGGCAGAGATTTGCCATTCTTACTCTCTGAATGGATCCTGAAATGGCCGTAGGAACTGACAAGGGAAAGGATTGCTGGAACCCCGTGGCCAACATCAGCTCATCGTCGATGTTGCTTGGAAAGTTCACATTCATGTGTTTTGGCTGAAAATCATAAGCGCCCTCTTGAGGGCCTCCCGAGAATGCAGAAAGCCTAAAACTGTCAGTCAGCCAACCCGATACCAGAAGCGAGCAGGATCTCTACCAATCCGATGCCACCATGTCCCACCAGAATCGTCTTTGAACTTCAACTTCGATCAGATTGCACCCCTTCAGCCTCCGTTCGTCCTGACTTTGAGCAGTATCCAAGCGGTGAATTCTCATATCTCTTGCCATTAAAACACATCGGGTTTTCAGAAGACTTATCTTTACAGAGAGACCTTCTGTATTCGTGAGCAAATGAGCCAAGGTGCTTATAGCAATTATTGCTGTGGTTGATGGCTGCACCGGCTGCAGAGGATGTTCCAATATAGACAAAGCCAGCTGGGAGTATATCTCAAACGATGCATTGGCATTTGTTTGGGTAGCGTTCAGCTTTTCCAGAAGCTGAGGTGACCAAACTAGTGCTGCACCGGAGAATATGCTAAAGAGCAACATGAGGTTAGTGGGTGTGGGCTGTTCACCATTGAGCATGCCTTGATAAGACTCCTCCATCAATTTTCGGGTGGAAGGTACATGGAGGACACCAAGTGAAGGCTGTAACTTCTGAACAAAATGGGCGAATAATTCCCTAGCTTCTCCTATTGGAGGAAGCTGCTTTATAGCGCCGCTCATCTCGGCGTGTTCATCAACGTCGCTGGCTTGGTTATTTGGCAATGACTGATGATGGCAACCAAATGGAGTAAATAATTGGAACGTCGGTATCTGAATGCTATGCTCTCAGCATGGGTTGTTTCTTTCAAATACTGCATTGGGCTTTTGATCGCACGTACTGTGTTGGATCTGGGAACTATAGGGACTCGGTGACGCCTAGGATTTTGTCCCCAGGCTCTAGTCGAACCTTCGAACACCGCTTCTTCCAGTCTTCCTATTCGACTCATAAGATCATTATTTCTTCCAGATATTAGCGATATTCACGCCATTAGTGTTCAAGTGGAAAATTCACTGTGGGGCCTGAATGGCTGGAGCAATACGCTTGGCCGAAGGCGATGGGAGGTTTTCCGCCGATGCTGATATTTGAAAGGCTCTCTGATCTTCGGTGCTCTCTGAACTCTGCCCAGAGTATTCACAGGAGATGTCCCTTTGCACACAATTTGAGCATGGCTGGGCTCGGTCGCACCGGCGCTTTTTCGCTCGACAGGCTCCACAGGACAAGGGTGTTCGATTCCACCGGTGCATCATTATGATTGGATGACCATGCCTATCTCGCTTCATCGTGAATAGGTAGGTATAACCCACTCGCAGACGTGTAAGATTGAATGTATACGATGCTCCGCGGTCACTCGGAGTCTCTTACTTGAATTGGTCTAGCGCGTTATGTTAAATCGACTTTACATCCCCTAGTCCTAGATGGGCACATGTATCTTCTACAAGTATTTGGCCATTAGCTAGAGTGGCAACATCCTTCAACGGCTTCTCTATTTGACTTCCAACTTTCCAACTAAAGCTCAATGAAGTATGTGCGCTATACATAAAAGATACTTGCAGTGATCTATACCGTGAAAACAGATGTTCCGCTCCGCGAATGACCCACTATCCTCCGCAATGACTTCCGCGTTTTCCTAATTGGACCGAGTTTGATTCTCATATATCAACTTTGGAATGTCAATGAGATTCAAACAGATGAGTGGAGTCCTCACCTCGGGGCGCCAGCAGCTCTTGGGCTCTTATAAAGCACCCGGAAACTTCGGCCGCGTAACTAGATGGTATGCGACACAGCACCTGGCTAAAGTTGGGCGGCCTTTGGCATACACATGGCTCACAAAGACCGCAGAAGAGACAGTCAGTGACCAATCTTTTGGCTTTGATATTCAAGCTAAACGATGAAAGACCCCAGATGATATCTTGTCCAATCTCCCTTCGGGGCCTGTAAGCCCATCAGCTGCGCCCGCCTCCGTCCCTCTCCTCCTCGTCACCCCAAGCTTCGCCCACTGGCTTGATCCTTCCAGTCCTTTCTTGTCACAGTTTTTCAGTCGCCTTTATGGGAGCTCTCCGGGAGCCGAGACTCTTTATGCAGTCGCTGCTGTGGTGGACACACTCCCGAATACAACCGCCGAGAGCTCAAATTTCAGCGAGTCGGAAGGGCTGTCGCTTTTGGCAGTCGAACAATCTGGCGTTGTAGCAAAGGTTACACCTCCACGTCTCATCAGGAGCTCTGCCAGCGAGGAAACCAATCTCTTGTTTTCCGTTCCAGCTCAAGCAATTGGTCAAGCCAGCACAGGGTCTGCACACGAGATTGGATTGCGTCTTGCAAATACTATTTTTGTCAATGGGAGAGAAACGACACTCTTCGGTACGCGCTGGCTTTGGGATAACAACACAAAGGGATATGCCTTGGACAAATCAGTGGAACTTACAAGCTGCTTGATTACGGCTACTGCTCAGGTAGTGAATACCACATTGGAACTGCCATTGCACCCAGTGACTGAACGACGAAGAGTCCTTACTAGCATGGGAAACATTTTGAGACAACTGGCAAAATCAACAGATGCGACATCGACGGAGCCAATGCCTGCCTCCTCGGAGCTCGAAAAAGAACTTCCGCGCTACATCGCAGAACATAATATTATGGACCAGCGTGTGTCTGTATGGGCACTGGTCGAGACGCCTGACTTGGAGGTGGCTGATCCAGGCTCAGCTACTCATGATCGCTTGATTCAATCTCTGCGCCAGGGCGGGAAATTGCACCGTGTCATGAGCGGTGGAGGTGGCTGGGGAAAGAAGCAAGGCCTTCTCTCCCTAGATCCCGAAGTAAGCTTCTCGGGGACAGCGATTCGAAATGAACTTGTCGCATTGAGCCAAGTTTTCGATCCCCATACTACCCATTCAGATGCACTCCCCTCTATTGACAAGGGGATCGCTGTAGATGATCTATCTCTCCTTTCACAAGTTGCTACTGCTGGCGACTACATTCAGTTCTTTGTGTCGGTAGAGCCAACTCTCACACAAAGCCAAGTTTCGAGCAAACATGACGCACAGGAATCGGCTGTTAGCTACCACTTTGGAATGGTAACCGACTCTATGGAACTCGAGACATATCAAACCGATGAGGACCGCAGCAACATCATTTCTCTCCCTCGCACCTTTGGAGCACTGTCCGAGAAGGCAATTGCCTACTCACAGCCTATGGAAGGAGGAATGGAGTCAGAGACCTGCACGAAGCTGGATATACCAGGATCTCGAGTTATCCTTAAAACTGTATAAATAAACCGACATATGTATAATAATAGATCAAATCAACACCAAAACCCCCATAACCACAATTGGACCTCTACACGTCACATACACTGTAGTGATACCCGGTCCTGGTGGAGATGCCAAGACCCTACACGTGATCCTGAGAGGCCAGCATGTTTGCCGTCGACCTCCAAGCCTCTGGACTCTCCATCCTCCCCCGACCGTATCCAACTGAGCTTGCCGACCTCGGGTCTTTTATATCTTTTCAAAGCTCCCACTTCTCCACGAGAACCTCGTTGAGTCGTATTTTATCAAAATGGCCACCGAACTTTGGTATGTCCTCAGTCAGACCTCTCTCCAGCCCCTGGGTACTTGACAGCTTCCAATCGGCATCTTGCTATCATTTCCGTCAATTCTCAAAAACTGCGGAGTAGCCTTGCTAACTCTTCATTTTTGATAGCCCCGTCTATGCGGTGAGTCTCTCAATATGCTAGATCCCGATACCCAAGCACCACCAAGCCAATCGCCCGTTTCGGCCGCCTCTCCACGTCATCCATACTTGCTATCGAAATGATAACTAATATTTGCTTTCTTAGCCCTTCTTTGGCGCGCTGGGCTGCACCTCCGCTATCGTCTTCACCTGCTTCGGTGCCGCATATGGAACCGCTAAGGCCGGTGTCGGAGTTTGCTCCATGGCCGTCCTCCGCCCCGATCTGATCGTTAAGAGTACGTGGATCCCAACAAGTCGATAGCTATGCCAATCTGGCTTCGCATCGTGCAAGATCAAATGGTTCTGGTTCGCTAATCATATCTCCAGACATTGTTCCCATTGTCATGGCTGGTATCATTGGTATCTACGGTCTTGTCGTGTCGGTCCTGGTCGCCAACGACCTGACCCAGCAGCTCCCTCTTTACACTGGTTTCATCCAGCTTGGTGCTGGTCTGTCTGTCGGTCTGGCTGGTCTGGCTGCAGGGTAAGTTTGCGAGACAAGGTATCTTCAAATGGCCAGGGCTTTGCTAACTGAGATCGCAGTTTCGCTATTGGTATTGTTGGTGACGCAGGTGTTCGTGGAACGGCTCAACAGCCTAGGCTCTATGTCGGAATGATTTTGATTCTCATTTTCGCTGAAGTTTTGGGTAAGTCATTGCTCCTCATCCATGTTTATTCAATATCATCTAACCACTCCCTCGTCATAGGTCTGTACGGATTGATTGTTGCTCTTCTCATGAACTCCCGCTCGAAAGCAATCTGCTAAACGAATGACCTTGCGCCGCATGTCGGGATTTGGACCTCGAATCGTGCCATGAATTGCACGCACTTGCGCGGTTCCCGGTCCCTTCCCACATGCGCATTTTTAACATTTCTCGGACGCAAATCAATGTGCCTCTTCGTCCGGGGAAGCTGACATGACAAATTTGGTGCGGGTGCAGGAGTGGATGGATTCGGAACATAATCAATCGATTTCACCCCGTTTGACACAGAAGATTCGATGACTGGGTGGATGTAGAATCGGATTTTTCAAGCATTCATCCTGGACTCGATGGACAGGTGTGGGTAGATATTGGATTTTTGGCTTTACATTGCATGACACCGCGCTGGACTCTGTACTTTATATGAAATTCGCTGATCCGAGGCTTAAGTCTTCGTCCTCTCTTCCGTTATGGTGGTTAGGCAGGATCTGCTGTAAGGAGTTTGTTGTTTCTTTGCTTTTCAATATTTGTCTTCCCTGTGGACGTTTATGGTATCTTTCTCGGTTTGACTTAGTTCTTTGTTCTTTTATTGGGCTTTTCCGTACCATAGGTTATACTTCAAATCTATTGTTATAGACATTGATATTTTGTTATCACATAGGTATTCTAGGGCTTGGCGTTGTAGGCCAACGTAGGTGGTAAATCAAGTATCGCCAATGTCTCGAGACAAGCAAGTCTCCTAAGCCTTTGCGACTCATTGCCGACGAGGACCATAGAAGCCCTCAGGTGCAAGCGAAGAGGCAGACTGTTTGCTTCTCCAAGCACTCCTTCCTCGCTCTTTCCCTGCGTCTGTTCCTTATTTTGACTGTGAACAGGACGCTCACAAGGCAAGAGCCAGGGCAGGTGACTGCCAGGTTTGATCGTTGAATATAAAATACTCTTTCCCTCTTCCTCATCCCCATCCCCATCCCCTTCCCCCTCATCATGAAGTTCTAGTAACTTGAGTCTCCTTCTTGCTCACTTCCCACGCACCAGTTCTAACCGAAAGATGCGAATTCGCCAACTCTCCGAAAGTTTCTTCCATAGGCTTTCAAGAAGGCTACTCTACAGTTATGATGACACTGGTGTCCTAGGCCGAACAGCCTGCGAATGAAGCTGGAACCGGGGGATTATTCAAGGCATCCTCATCTTCGCGACGCAATGTGAGAATCAAGTTCCCCACAGAACGCAGGCAATCTCTAACTCTGTATAGGAAATTGAATGGAGATGACACCCTTTCTATAAACTTACAACCTCCTTCATACAGCCGTGGACCTTGGTTCACAAAAAGCACCCTAAGGGTTCGGAGAGGAGATGCCAAATCTTGTGACTTACAGCACATAACACTCTGTGGGAAGGGCAGCAGTGATTGATACAGAGGGGGTATGGACTGCGCTCTCAAATGCCAGGAGTTTGATATTTCAACCCAGCTCCCATTCTCCATATGTCCAACAAATCAAATGTTCAAGATGGATTAGCCTTTTATACAATCATTCCGGTAACCTTGGTTTGACATCCTGGACATCTCCTTCCGAGCAGTTCCTAGATGAACTACGTTAGCGGCATGGATATGAAGTTCCGCTCATGGAGCGCTTCAGACTTCTGCTGCGTTGTTTCGTCAGATAATGGGGTCAGGCTACTTGCGAAAATATTCTGCACAAGCAAGCATTCGACCCAAATCCGACAGACATTCTATGGCAATCTCTCTCATTCTCAGACAGAAAGATTCAAGTGTGGAACCAAGATTAAGGATTTAGACAAAGACAGAAGCAGAGAAGAGACAGAAAGGGAGTCTCTCTCATTGCTGCTTCAATCTCTTCGGGGACGATCACCTGTCACCTGTCCTAGATTGCCTGTCTCCTAGTTTGGTGGTTTGTTTGTCTCTTTCAATATTACTAAACCTAGACGGGACGTGCAAGTTTGATAGGTTTGCAGAGAGGCTGGGTATAAAGCCTTCATCATCTGCAGATTTCTCTTTCTTCTTTCCCAGTCTTTGGCTGTATCGTTCTCTGCACTCGTTTTCTTTGTAGATCGACCTGGCTCTTGACATCTTCTAACAATTTAACACTATCTCTATGGATGATGTTTGTGAACCATTAGTATCTATCCTTTGAATGACTTATATATAAATTCCTTTAAAATTAATGCTGATCTGTATGCTGTCCGATGCAGGGAACTTCCTTAGACTGTGCTTTTTAGCGGTAACTCTTCTCTCTATCTATAACTAGGTAAGGTTTGCTATTAGGGATACATTTAGAAAGATAAACTAGACCCCAGAATCTTAGGCTGATCATGTGCATTCATTATTCATCCTGGCCTTCAAAGAGTCCCGTCATTTCTTACTATATGCTTTGGAACTAGAGAACCAATTTCCTAGGGTAGTCTACAATACTAGATGCCGAAGGGGGGACAGCCTCGTTATCTGCGAAAAAGGAAAGGATGCAAAGCTTGCCTATTCTCTAGTTTTGACTAAACTACCACTGTAACTACACACAATTCCCCTTGTGGTAATAAGTCCATTATATTAGACGATAACACTTCCAGTTGTATCAACTTTGGATTGCTAACTATTCAGGCTAAGCTGCAGGGTCTGTCTGGAAATCGTCACAACGGAATCTTGATCAGAATCCCCTGCTTTGACCGAACCATAGCGGGACCTGAATCACCAACTGGCGCAGCAATCATAGGCTCCCAACCCAGCATGACTAGAGAGACTAGCATTACTAGGACAATGATCTTGATAGGGTTGATCAATATGATGAGACTGCAACCGTACCCTCGTCAAGCATGGTCTTGAACGAATCGCAGACAGTGAGCCTGCCTTACATACTAGACGTTCTCAAAGATAGTCTATGCACCCAGTAGGCAAGACCAAGCATCTGAAGCCAGCACCGTTCTCAGATCACTACAATGTGGAACCTGGATAAACACAGCCGACAGAAGGCAAGAGGTGCCCAAAAGCACAGATATCCACGAAGTCTACTAAGTCATGTAGTCGAGCTAGACGGCTACACCGCTGCAGGGCCCTTCCTGAACAGACTATCTGAACCAGTGGCGTGGCCAACTTCAGGTATACACCGTATAGATCGAAACACGGGGCTCTGTGGGCGCGGATGAGAAAGAAAGAGATGTTGGAAGGTCTAGGAACACAGAGTGGTAATTGAAGAAAATATTACCGTGTATAGATATAAGAGCCGGCATGCTGTCGCCTATTGCTCTCACTTTACAGCTATCACATCCATTCTTTTAGACACGACTTCCTTTCAATCCTAAAAACCAAACTCACTTTTCAAATCTTAGATTGATCATTCTATTGCCTCTGCCGGCTCGTATTGTATCTGGTATGATATCCAATGAGGTACATGTGTTGACCACCTCCTACGGGGTACAAGTTCTTATGGAAATCCTGAAAAATCCCTGCTCTATTGCTAGTCTTATTGCCTATGTGAGTGAATATCCGAGAAAGTAGCAAGGACACGAAGAATTGAGTGAGCAAGATCTATTGGGTTATCTGCAATGCATGGGAGATTCCAAATCACACACATGACACCAAAGCCAAATGACTGCACTTCAGCGCCAAGCAGTTCTTCACAGCAAAAGAGCAAAAGGAGAAGAGGTATGTATGGATGTTTGATCGAGTATAGGTGAGAGAATAGGTAGGGGAGAACGAGGAAAATAAAAAAAAAGATGTATGAAAACAAGGATATATGCCCTGAACTCTCACAAGACTAGCCTCGACCCAAAATGCACAGGCGCAGACAATATGCAACTGACAGAACAAAAGTAAACCAAAAATAACCCTCAAGCACGAGTCTACTTATCAAGTTTCCGTCTCAGGGTACGCGTCCTCTTCATCAGCTTCTTGAACTTGTGCTTCTTCATCTTGACCTTGCGGCGTCTCTTGGTGCTGATGGCGTACATGGTGCGGTTGTTACGCACACGCTCCATGTAGGTCATGCCGGCAGTGGAATCGGAGGGTGCCTCAATGGAGATCTCTTCGTGCAGACCAGATGGGCCCTCCATCTCGCCGTTGCGGACGAAAGGACCGGTGTGAGCCTCGTAGGTCTTGCGGCCATCGGCGTGGCGGGCCTCGCGAATGGTCAGGACGGTCGAGTAGGTCTGGTACTCGTTGTCGAGCTGAGATTCGGTGGACTCGGCAGCTTCGAAAGCGGATGTGTCCATGGGGACGGGTGGGGGAGGAGGCTGGAAGGGACGAAGACGACGGGTGTATTCCTCCACAGACATCTTGGCATCGGGTCCATCCAACATGCGGAGCTCGCCATCCTGTTCGCTGAAAGTCCGGAACTGATCTTCGGACTCGGACATGCCTTGCGAGGCGGGATCCATCGACTGCACGGCCGAGGAGAGAGTGAAGATGACGTCCTGCGGCTCGTTCCTCAGCGGGCGCTTTGACGAGAAGATCGCTTCAAAGGCATCAGTGGTCGAGGTCGGGGGCACAGTGGTCGTCACCGAGATTGGTCGGTGGATGGAAAAGAACGACGCGACATGGACATCTAACAAACAAAGAAAAGTTAGACTCGGTATTCTCTTCAAAGCATTGAGATCGCTCAAGGCGCTGAGAGTTTCTCCACTAACCATGAGGCTGTCGGTGCTGTGTCGAGGGGACACTGGGGAGGTTGGAAAATGCCGAATACTGGCTAGACTTTGAAGATCCGCTCCGGGAAGCGCTGTCCTTCCCCCGACGGCGGGTAGCCTTGTTCTTCTCGCTAGAGGAGTTGACTCCCTTTGCCGGGGCAGAGGTGTCCATTCGTCGGGAGCCATCGCTGGGCGGGACGGGTGGTTTGGAAGATGAGGAATACCGGCGTTCGTGCAGAGGTCGGATTGCGCCAAGCAAGCTGCTGGTAAGATTCTGACTGGAGCGAGTTATCCCCGGCAACGGCATGGGAGCCCATGCCGCCCGGCGTAGAGAGGTTGACAACATGGTTGGCAGATAACCCAGTCACTGGCGAGGTGAATGAGTCTGAATCGGAGGCGAAATCAGTCGGGTCGGAACTCGGGGTCACTGATCATGCGGAAGTTATGTAATATGGGTGCCTGAGGCATGAATTTCTTGAACCGCGTTGGGCAATCTTGACTCGCATGATCAGAGTAGAGGGGAGTTACGCTCTGTCTTCTAGATGCATGATTGCATCGCTGCTTGGGTCATCTGGCTTATTCCTGAATTCCATAGGCTTGGCAATGCAGGTCTCGAGAAATGGCCCATGACGTTGTGATCTACAGCAAGCAATCCGACAGTAAGCGCCCTCGGGCCCAGAACAAACATATATTTGATAGTTGAATTTACTGTTTCAGTCAATCGATTTGCAAGAGTGAAAATGTGCTCTACAAAGAGCAGGATATCGAGTTCATTCAAAAATGAGATAGTAGATAAACCCCAGAATGGTTGTGATAATACAGAGCAGTCGTTAAGAAACACTGCAGAGACAAGCAAATGGTATCACTCTGCACTAAGATAAAGGAAAGAGAAAACGAAAATGAAAACGAAAACGACACCGTCGCTGGAACCGAAGCGGGGGCATTAGTTGGCGAAATCGGATGGGCTTTTGGATGCAACGTGATAGACCCAAGTATGCGAGCAGAGAGCCGACAACAATCTCTCAATCAAGACGCCTCGTTAAAAACAGAGAAAGGAAATAAATGCAGGGGAAAAAAATATGTCAAAGGTCACGAAGGAGTGAACGAAGTAGCCGCCCTGGAATGCAACCGGATATTAACTGGTAGGCTGAAGAGCTGGAGATATAGAAAGGAAGAGAAGGAAAAGAATATCATCGTCGTAGATAGACGGTCATCGAAGTACCTCGGAAGTTTGAGGGCCTCTACCTTATAGTATTAAGGTATGCAGATTTTTCTGAATGATCATGTCTTGTACTGAATCCATAGTCGCTTTAAGTAATGTTGTATCAGTAGCGTTGGTGTAATGGATATAGATTTCGCGATCAGGAATCCGGTTGATGCCACGGAATCGGTCTGCAAAGTACTGAGCTGCGGCATCATAATCGGTATCAGAGCCGGCATAATCTGGGAAATGTTTGGAGATAGGCGAGATGGCAAGTTTTCCTTTGAAAAGATCGATCTTGTTGAGGAAAAGAATGATTGGTTTGCGTTTAAACCATTCGCCGTTGACTAGTGATTCGAATAACATCATAGCTTCATGCATTTGATTCTGTGAAACGTGGAGTTAGTGATGTGAGGTAGGAGATCGGGCCAGGATTGGGGCTCACGGCATTCTGGTCTTCAACCAGACATTGATCATATCCAGATAAGGCGACCATGAACAACAGACACTGGACACCTTCAAAGCAGTGGATCCATTTCTTTCGCTCTGATCGCTGTCCTCCAACATCCATCATGCGGAAGTTCATCTGTCCAAGCTCAAAGAGAGTTTCTGTAATACCTGTTGTCCGAAGCCGAGCCTGCAGCATATCCTGGTTGTCAGGAAGCCAGCCACGAGTGAAGATGCGATCGAGAGATTCGTAGAAACTGGATGTCGTCAGCACAGATTCAGGGAATGTAGGTGTCGTCCATTGGACATACTAATGCAAATTGTCATGAAGAGCGAATTCATGTCCCCGTGCAACAGCCTGTTGCACACCTTTATCCTTCCACATGATCCTCATGGCGTCGCGAATTTCAAGATCTGAAAAGGCTTCGTCGGACCCTACGTCTGGTTCTGCTTTATCTAACAAGTCCGCGAAGGGCTTTCGGGGGATCGTTAGTCGATGCAGGTTTGTTGATAGGGACGGGTAGTACCTTGATCTTTTCTTCATTTTCGAAATCGATCTCCTCGGCATTCATGATATCCAACAAGACCTTGAAAGCAATGACAATGTTCGAGTAGATAATTGCACGGGTTTGGTGACGTTCTTCTTCGGGAAAGCCCCGGCTGTGGATAATTCGCATTTGCTTGATAATGGTGGACTTGCCAGACTCTCCAGCTCCTAGTTCTCTTGTTAGCACTGCGACACACGCCAGCAGAATAGCCGGCGAGCCAGGATTACCCACCTAATAGCAGGATTTTGATGGTCCGATCGAGCGTCTTCTTGTCGCTTTTGATCCCCCGGTCTATGCGCGCATTGCGCTGGATGGCTTCCTTATCGGCCTCCTCGGGCTTCGAAACTAAGCAGCCCATGATGCCGTTCCAGTCACGACAAGATACCTAGCGCGACGGTGGTTAGTGACGATTCATGGTTAAATTGGTTCGATCGGGGACTCGACGCATCAACGACCGGTGTGCGGTCTGAATCAGGGATGCGATTGTATTGCGCCACTCGGGAGTCCAGTCGAAGCTCAGAGACAAAAGACTCGACTAGACTCCGTTCGACTTGATCTTTCTCGCGCAAGGTAGATATGCCTACCTTGATCTAAACAGCACAGAAACCTCTCCCCCTGTATCATGCAGAGTCCAAGCCAACCTCAGATGGTGTGCGACGTGATAGGCAGAAGCTTGACAGGTTCGGTACTTCCGTTGATTCCCCACACCTATGGACCACGTTCCGTTGCGAATTCAGCGGTTGTATTTCCAATTGGACCAGATTATCCTCCGAGACAGGCGCCGAGACTGAGCGACACAACGTCGAAGGTCAAAGGGGAGGGAGGTTGAAGGACGTTGGCGGTGACGGGATGAGGGGACTAAGGATGGGAACAAAAGGACGTTCCGGGAGTCGAGAGCCGACTTCGGGAAAAAGAGAGGATTAAAGCAAAAAGCGAGAGAAAGAGAGAGATAGGATGGCGCATTCAAAACCGTGCATCTCTCCCGTCCCACGAGCAAGAGTCCACAAGCGGGGAGATGGAGAATGGAGAATGGAAGTGGTGATCGCTCTCTCTCCCGTCAGACGGACTTTTTACAACGTACGTTTTCCAGGGAGCGGCCTTGTTGGGGGTCTTTTTTCGGTCTTTTTTGGGGCCTTTTTTCTGGTTTAATTGCTTTCATCTCTTAATCTTTTACACCTTCGCTTTGTATTAAAATACAAAGCATTTATCCACTCTTCACTTTGTCCCAGGGGCGCTAGGCTGATCCACCAACATGGGGGGAGGGGGACTTCACCCCTGTCTGCAATATCGACATGGAATATGTATTCAATCTATCAACACTGCAGGTACTCCGTACGGCTAATGTATATATAGTCCTGGTCTTCTAGTTCTGTAGGTTCTTCCTTCCAGATCACAGCCCTTCCAGTCTGACCGAGAAAGGATGAAGGCAAAAAGGCAACAATTCCCACCAAATGACACTATTGAAAGCGGGAATCCACGCGAGGATCCAACCAATTTTCTGGAACAATCGAATTGTCCATATTCCGACAGAAGCTACATACCACGATGTACGCAATACGAAAGGACACAGTAGTGTCCCCATGCCAAGCCAATCCGGAATGCCTGCTGCAGAGATCGGCACGAAGATACTGAAACCCGCATGAGCGTACCCAATGCAAGGACTTTCTGAAACGTTGGCGGATTCCTGTGGCCTTTGGAGCATTTGGATCATCATGGATCTCTTGCTTGGACATGGTCTACTCCCCAGACAGGTGTTTGCTCCGTTCGCTGCTTCCCCTGAGCTTGAAAACTTGAATATACCCAAGAGCTGTCGGGATACTCACGGTGGACGGAGTACGGAGTACAACGTACATGGATGGACCCCCCATACTCCGTTCATGCCGAGGTGTTGACGGATTTCAGCGCTGGGGGGTTTCCGCGCAAACCAATCACAGAGCTCCTATCCCACATTCGCTTCCATCAGCTGCAGAGGGAAACACATGTTCGGTGGACCGCTGTCATTTGCTTCATTTGCTGTTTTGAGCCGCAGGTGAATCCTTAGTTCCCTCTACATCTTACGACTCACAATGAGGACTCGCAGCCATCACAGACACAATTTAGCACATACACCTGGGCACCGCTCTACCCAAAGCTATTCAACAAAGGATTCTTCCCTCTGATATGCAACCCCGCATCATTGGCTCTCGGACAAGCCTGAAACAAAGGCAAATTGTCCCGTTGTCCCGGTTCGCAGTCCCCAGTTTCACCATATGATTTTCATTAATTGCGGGCAATCTCACTACGCCGTCTTGCGACTACGGCAGGGGGCGGCCCTTTTAGGACTGGTCCAATGCTCCGGTGGGGATCGGTAAGCCTGCCAGGCCTCATATTTTCACTGGTAGCTTGGAAATAATTTCCTCTTGGATGAATCCGGATCAGCCTAGATCAATTGGCCGATCTTGGAACGAAAATTCTCCGTGGATATCTCCCATAAAGCGTAAGATTTGCTGTCCCTGTTGCGATCGAGACTATTTACGGAGCACTCCGTCCACCAGTGTACAATTATTATTCCGCTTGCCTCAGTGGGCCCAAGTGCTTAATCATTTTGGACTGGAAAACTTCATGCCCCTGAAATTGGCATCTCCTCCACATGCAGCTTCCGAGGAATCCACACATGTGGATTGTCTTTCATTTTCGCAATAGCCGGATGATACTTCCGATTCTGTAATTTAGGGAGTATATTGTACTCACCTGTTGCCATGCTCCAGGGTAATTTATGCATAATTCATGATCCACTACAACATACAATGCGGTAGCATCCTTGGTCATACGTTATACAATCGTACGCACGTTAACCGTCAAGCCGTTGACATCCCCAAGCCGTTGATCACGATGGCTCAATCGAGTCACATCGAGAGCTTGCAGCAATAATTATGCATGACAGACGCCTCTTATCGCAAGATCCTGCAGAATAATCCCCGAACAGCCTAAGACAGATCACATGGATATCTAGATCATAATCCTAGTGCTTCCCCCAACAGACGCCACACACTAGTCAGAGATACCATAAGTACTCCGTACTCCGTACGGAGTAAACAGACCTGTCACAGGGGTGAGCGCCATCCCGAAAGATCATCGACCATCGATGACATACCACATAGCTTTTTCACCAACTCGCCTCCACTCCATCTACCAAGACAAGATCGTCCCCACCACATGGTCAGTTCCAAGGGCCAAGTGCCAACGGTCACTCTATTCAGGGGGGTCTTGGAGCCGGTGGGACGCAGGCTAATTAAACGTTGTCGATCAACATTTGACAGCAGCTCCAGGTCCTGGCTTTTTGCATGCCCGAGCGCGGATCCTTCGGCAATAGCTCCGGAGCTGGTATACCCCATTCAGTAAAGACGCGTGTAAATCAGCGTCGATGGGATGATGCGATTTGCTCGGATGCAACAAGAATAGACGGAGAGGGATTACCAAAGTACGTGCATTGTACGGAGTATGGAGAACCATGCCAGTTGGTAGTGCCCGTTTTTAGGGATCTATCTTTAGATTGTCCTGCAGGATTCTCTCGATGCGAATTGTCTCGTAATCCGTAGAATATACCCTGTTTTTGGCACTAGTCTATCGTGCTAAGAAAGGATAGCTCCATTATAGCCTGTAGTTGATGGTTTCGGGCTTGATTTTGTTCTCTTATTCGAAGAGCAAGAACAACATGGCATCCCCGTGCCAAAGTCTATTAGATTCGATTCAGGGCCCATGAACCAGATGAGAAATGCAAGAATAACATATGCCTTACAATGACCAAAGACCGAATTGGGCTAGCGACATCGGTGTCTCAGAACACGCATCTGTTCAAGTCTGGGGATGTGATTGACGGCAGAGCTCCCTAACTGAGAGTACCAGAGACAGGCGACACTCCAATTCCTGCCAGCAATTGGGTACGCCAGTCTTGAAACGTTGAAGAGAAATAAAAAGTAAATGAGCCTGGATGGAGGTCGTGACGGCACTGTAGTTGGTGACGTCACTGACGAACCCTCATCGATCCTTCCTGATGCTGCACCTCGCAGATCCTAAGCCTGATATCGTCCATAATCTACACTTAAACATGAACCATATACAGAAAGGAGCCCTAGTGGTCATTTTCCCCGGGTTCAACATCCTCGATGTGAGCGGTCCAGTCTCAGTACTCTACAACTCAGATTTCTCCGTGACCTTTGCCGCGAAAGATGAGCTCACAGTCTCTCAAGAGAACACGACAGTCCAGAGAAATATATCTTTTGCCGAGGCCAAACCTCGTTTGTCAGACTGGGAAATATTGATTGTCCCTGGCTCACGACCGAACAATATTCTACCCCTCGTGCAACCCGAGGATGGCCCACGGGCAGAGATCGTCGAATTCATCGCTAGTTTTGCCTCGGATGTGAACCACGAGAGCATACGGCAACGCACCATCTTGTCCGTCTCGCTCGGGGCCTACTTTTTGGCTTCCGGGGGAGTCCTTGATGGTCTCATTGCAACCACACACCGTCTTGCCGTCCCGGGGCTCCGAACGGTAGTCGAACGTTATGTGGAGCAGACTCCCGGAGCGAAACGGACTCGCGTCGTCCCTGAAAACTCCTCAGATTCAGTGCCCTATCTGGATGGGGGACGGAACCAGGTTGGGGTAAAAGTGATTACTACGGGCGCTAGTGTCTATGGTCTTGATGCTGCACTGTACTTTGTCAGCCTTGCCTCAAGTCGGGCACTTGCTATTGAAGTCGCAGAGCTCCTTGGACATCCGTGGAAGGAGATATAAATGCGAACCTTGTGATAGAATACCGTCTGCTGAAGGTTCTCTCGGCAGGACTATACTTTGTGTTCTTTTTTTTTTTTTTTTTTTTTTTTTCTTTTCCCTGGCCATGGGATGAATATATAATGACAACGCATTTGCACTGAACCCAGCACCGGAGCATTTAGATAAATCCAATTGATTACTTATCAAGAGCCACTGTAGATCTGCTAGATACATGTAGACAAAGGCTCCGAGTCTGTACCCAATTTGCTATTATTCTATAGTAACTGCGAGGGCATCAGGATATATCACCGACTGTCACCCACAATTATGACCTAGACCTAACGGTGCACAACATGCTTATACTGATTGAATAGCTTCTTAAATCCCTTCGAATGATGAGCCGTGAGATGCTGGTAGTAATGATCCCTCGCAGTATCCATGATCGCCTTCACTTTCTCTGCGGGAACCTTCTCTTTGCGATCATAGGTGTACAGACCATTTACTTCCTGCTCAATATCGCACCTAAAATAAAAACACATATTAGCAAAAGTTCCCGATTTGCAAAGACGAATCCAATGCGAATTATTCTCAACATACAACTGAGTCCAGACAAGTCCGCAGATATGTCCCGGCCTAACGACAGCCATGACCAGCTTCTCAAACCGCACCAAGAAGTCAGCCGGGTCACTCGCAGTCGTGTATCCCCAGTCCCGCTCTCCAGCAGCAGAGTCCTTAGGTGGCGTAATATTGACGCCGCCAAATTCACTGCAGATCACCGGCGCACCAGGCACATGCTGTGCGCCTTCGTCTAGCATCACGGAGCCAGAGAACCCTGAGTAGATCGGTTTGGTAAAGATATCGTGCCCACCCTTTGGGTCTAGAATTCCTGGCATGCTGGAACATGCTGCACCCAGCTCAGTCGAGTCACTATAGTCGTGGAAAGTTGTTAGATCCGTTTTGACGTGTTCCCAGCCGCAATTGTCGTTGATAGGTCTGCTGGGATCGAGATTCCTGGTTTCCATGTTAGTGATTTCAATTTACCTTTGGTGTCTGGATTAATGCATTGTAGATGCCATTGACGTGGGCCATACTTGGTCAAGTAATATAGAGCGCGAACATGATTGCGTTGCTCGATATTGTCCTTCAACGCAGACACACCCCACGACTCATTGAGCGGCGTCCAGGTGACAATCGATGGGTGATTGATATCTCTCTTGACGGCTTCGGTCCACTCGCCAGTAAAGCGCTCAATATATTCTGTCCCGAATTCATAGGCATTTGCCATTTCACCCCAGACAAGGAAGCCCATCCGATCTGCCCAGTAGTAGAAGCGTGGGTCTTCGACTTTCTGGTGTTTGCGGCATCCGTTGAAACCAAGCTTCTGCGCCAGCTCGATATCCGTCTTCAAAGCTTCTGAAGAAGGAGGTGTCATACCAGTCTCGGGCCAATATCCTTGGTCCAAGAACAGCATCTGGAAGTACGGCTTTCCGTTAAGCCGGAATGTTCCATCGCCGGTTTGCCAGGACAGACTGCGCATGCCAGTTGTAGTCTGGACTTCATCAACAAGACCACCGGCCTCATTGAACAGCCGAAGCGTAATATCATACAGAGCAGGATGCTCCGGAGCCCAGAGCGCAACACCACCACTCCAGACCCCATCAACGCTAAACAACTCCGGATTCTTACCCTTCATCTCCCCTACCACCGCCTCAGACACCTTCATACCCAAATCAAGCGTAACGAAATTCTTATCTCGCGGAAGCTCCCCATCAATCTTCCCAACACTCACTCCCCCAAGCGACGCCTCAACCTCAACCTTCGCCACACTTCCAACCCGCCGTCCCGCAACAGCAACCGTCGCATGCAAAAGCCCAGCCTCGATATCATCAGACCGAAGCACCGTGCCTCCACTACCACATAGCAACCGCATGGCAGGAACACTCTCTAACCAAACAGAGAGCCAGATCCCCCCACTAGGTGTATAGAAGATACTCTCCGGAACAGGCTTCCAGTACTGCTTACCACGTGGCTGGGTCATGTCGTACGGCGAGTCCCTAACACGGAGAGTGAGACGAGCTTCCGCGCTTTCCAGAGCATCAGAGATATCTATATCGAATGGAACATGGCCGCCACGGTGTCCGCCGACAAGGACCCCGTCTACCCAGACAGAGCACTCATAGTCGACGGCGCCGAAGCGGAGGAGGAGTCTATTCCCCTTTTGCTTTTCGTCGGGCGTGCGGACGTCTGTGATGCGGCGCTCGTACCACAGTACCTCGTGCGCTTCAATGAGGTTGATGTCCGATGCTGGGGTCTGGAATGCGTAGGGAACGGTTATCTGGCGAGAGTCTTTTGTATCCAGGCTGGTTTTCTGCCATTGGGAGTTTAGGCCTTCGTCTTTGTCGTCGAAGGTGAAGGTCCAGGCTCCGTCGAGGGTGTTCCAGTTTAGAGGGGTGCGTTGGAAGTCCGGGCGGGGGTAGGATGATGACATTTTAGGGGTTAGAATACTTTGGCTTCGTGATTTAAAGGCTTTGATGGGGTTTGAGGATGATGGGGGAGTTCAGGTGGAAGGTGTTCGAAGGATTCACGTCAACCCCGCGTCTAACGTCACTCGCCGCGGGGTGTCTACCGAGGTCCTTATACCGTTAGCATGAAGCCATGTGGTGGGAGTGTCTGAAAGAGGTGATCTTCATGTCTGGTGATGTCTCGACGCTGTCACTATGCTTAGCGGATCCCTGCTGAGGAAACAAGACGTACAAGATTCCATCAACACAACTTAGATTGGAGAATGTCTGGTTCTAATGGCAAAATCTCATTGATGATTGGGGATATCAAAAGAGTAAAACATCAAAAATAAAAAAAAACCCACTCGACGGAAACTCCCGAATCTGAAGCCCCCGATGCCAGATCGCCCTGGTATCAACGAATCCAGACCATCCCATCCGACCCTTTCCTCCGATGCGCACCGCAAAAATGAAAGACAAATATCAAAAAGAGGTAGGATGAAAGTCCACAAGGACTCCAGTTCCCACTCTATCACACGCAGATCTTGGATATCTCGTTTTCTTTTCTGACGCCTTCGTTGCTTGCGTTCCGTGGTATCAATCAACAAGGAAAACCAACAAAAAGACAACCGAAAAAAAAAACACGCTGGGAATGACAAAAACAGGGGAAAAAAACAAAAACAACTCAACCAAAAAAAGGGTATACTGCTGCAAATGGATATTTTGGTTTTAACGCGGTGGCCCAATTGGGGCCGGGTATCCAGAAGTAGAATTGGAAGTGCTAGGACGACCACTATCAAAAGAGGTGCGCGGGTCATGCTTGGGCGTCATGTCACCCGGCGCGGTGCCGAAAGGAAACTTGGCGTCAAAGCGCGTGGGCCAGCCATTGCTGTTGCTGCTCTTGTGGCTATGCGAGCTCCCCAGGACGGGCACGTCGTCTTCGGGGAGGTTCACGCCGGAGTCATTCCATGGGTTGCGGTAGCCACTGTCGCGCGACTCCATGGAGACGAGTGAGGCCTTGGAGGCGTTACTCGAGGCGTGTTTGAAGAACGATCCCGGCGAGGCGGAATGGTTCTTGCGACCGATGAACGAGGAGAAGGAGGAGATGCTTCCGGGCTTGCGAAGGCGCTCAAAGATCGAGCCTCGCTCGCTGGTCTCATCGGAGAAGTTCGGCCGCGTGGGCGAATCAGTCGAAAGGGGCGCCGGAGCGTGCTGCAGTAACTTCGAGTCGAAGAAAGGCAGCGACTCTTCAAACGAATCGGACTTGGGGCGAGGAATCGCACCCTTGACGGTGTTTGCATCGAGTCCGTGAGCAACAAGGCGGGAGATCAGGAAGTCGATCGCATCCTTCAAACCACCTGCGTTGTTACGCGTGTATCCGAGCACCACACGGTCTTCGGGACCGGGAGTAGGAGAGGAGGAGCCTTCCTCAGGGGTAGTTGGAAGATCTGTACCAACATCCACGTTGATATCGACCTCATACTGTTCCTTGAGTTTAGTTCGAACATCAGCAAGGAAATCCGTTGACTTGAAATAGTCTTGGAGCTCCCCAGAGCTCTGGAAGTGAAGCTCGTGGCTCTCCGGCACCATTCCAAGCAGTGCGTCGACTGCCTGGGGGACCTGATACTCAGGACCGGAGATGGTGACAACGTCACTAGCAAGTTCAGTGCTAGGGAATTCAATCTTGCAGTTCCATTTCTTCTCCAGCTCATCGATCTCCGTCATGCGGGCCAACAGCTCACGGTGGTACAAGCGGTTGATCACGACTCTCTCAGAGACGTATTCGGCATCCTGTTAATTGTAAGTCTCTATTCAAGGGTCAACAAAATGTGGGCAATGAGAGCACTTACGACTTTCTCGACCATGTCCATAATCTCTTGCTTGACAAGGTCCAGACTTTGAGCGTTGCGGGCAGGGGTTCGACAGATAACGTTGTCAACCTTGATGTCATCATCTTCTTTGCCCATGCCGCCACGGTCCATAGCATTGGAAAACTTCACGAAGACAGAGTACTTCTTCATGATGCGTTGGATATGCTGTCCGCCAATTCCGATGATCCGTTTGTGATACTGATCAGGGACGTGGAAGGAGATCGATGCAGGCATCTCTTGTTCGACCAGGTCTAAGCCATTCTTGGTCGACTCGTACTGGTTGCCGCACACGTCGATGTAGAAGTTGTATTCGTTGAAGCCGTCGAAGATGATTTGGACATTGCCTGTGTGGGAGTCAGCATCTCATGTCACAGACCGGTATCTGTTTTGAAACTCACTCTGGCCCATGATCTTGTTGATCTTGCCGTTCTTCTTGCCACTAACAAATTCCTTATGCTCGTTGGCTAGCTCAATCTTCACCCGCATCTGATACTGGCTTCGCATCACGAAAGGTATTTGGTTGATGACTGTCATGGCAGCCTTGACTGCATCATCGGAGCCGTTGATCGTGAAAGTCAGGTTGTCGAAGCTGACCTCCGCTTCCGAATTGGTACAAATATCCGACAGCATGGAGCGAATATCGGCGGTCGAGGGAGCACGGAGACCACCTTGAGCCGGGTCGGGCATGATGATCCACCATGACGCACTGTAGAATTGACCAGCCTGTACATTCAAAGATTAGCAAACCGTTCTGTGCGATTGTCACAAAGCTACGCACCAGAGCCATAATTTCCCTGACTGTGCGCTCGACATGCAAAACCTCGGTGCCTTGAATCCGGACCAAGCCACGTTGGCTACCCAGCTGCGGGAAAAGGACATAAGACCCGTTCATCTCCATCACCTTCCGGACCTTATCCAGGCGATCTAGCAGAATGTTGTCAATCTTGCTCGAGCTGACAACCACATCCTTGACGAAAATCTTCACTCCCATGACCAGCTCCCGCAACTTCTGCTTAGCACGAGCAATCTGCTCCGGTGTCTCGCCCGTAATGTAAACCTCATCTTCGCTGCGACGATTCGCACCGGGTGGAATATAGCCGAAAATCTGAGGGAAGGGAGGAGGGAAGTAGATGGCGGTGCCTGTAGCGGCTTCGATGAGCTTAATGTTCTTGCGGGTGCGGCCACAGACCAAGGTGTGCATGGTTGAGTCCAATTTGATGGCATCGACATGGCGTTTGAGCTGATCTCTGGTTAGCTTGCCGGTCTCACGGCACACGCACACAAACGACGTACTATTTGGTCAATCATGATCAAGACCCGGGTCTTGGCATGTTCCGAGCTCTCCAAGTCACCGTAAATGGCAACTCGGAAACGCTGGTCCAAGCCATTATCCGAGGCATATCCATAAGATGATACTACCGCACTATCCGCATCGTGGAGCTTGGGTGTGAGCAAGAAAATGTCGGCCCCGGTGTAAGCGGCCAAAGTATCGAGGTGCTCGAGGACGCTGGATCGGATCCCTTTGGGTGATCCATCGACAATAAGATGAGTGTCTACATCAACGGTCGCACATCGCTAATAGATAGCCATCTGTTAGCAAGAGATATCTGTGGACCTGAAAACCCTGCTCGTGCCGAAACCAGAAAAATTCGTCGACGTACCAGCATGATTGGGGTCTCGTTCAAGATTCTCGCCCGCATCTTTCGCGCCATCTCTCCATCACCAGTGACACAGACGTTGGTCACTAAGCCGTTCGGCCGACGTTGTAGTGAAGGTACAGCCTTCGCCTCGGAGGTCGTGAGCGTAGCTTCCACCCGTCCTCCTTTTTCTTCCGTGATCTTTCGGCATAACCTCTGCAAGCTCTCGACGTTGTTCGTGTGGACGGGAAGCTGATGCACCGATGTGCCCTCTGGTGTGCCTTCCGGGAATGTCCAGCGCTGGAGAGCGCCGGGACTGGCGTGCAGCACGTCCTCGACATCGGGGCCGGCTAGGGTCGACGAGAATGGGACATTAAATGAGAGGTTGACGGTGGGATCGATACTTGTCGGCGGTGTCATGGGCGGCGCCCCGTGTGGTCGGCGAAAGGCCATGTCGGTGTGAGGTCTGGACATCCCGAAAGTCGGCGTCATTCGTTCCCAACCATGACGGGCTTGACCCGTAAAGTTGGATATCTTGTGCATGTTTAGGTAGAGAAATCTCTAACCCCTTGAACGAGTCGAGGGGATAGAGAGAGAGAAGGTGGATGGACTGGGTTGGGGGTGGGAAGGAATTAGGCCGTTCTCGACAGGGATGGGAATGACCTGTGTGGGCGTTTCGACCCGGGAATGGTGGAAACGAAGATCGATGGGGGACCAACCAACTAAAACCGAGATGGGATGGGACAACTAATAAGAGAAGGAACCCCGTTGAAATGAAAGAAATAATGTCTATGGACAAGAAAATAGAAAGAAGCCAGAAAAAACCCCGAAAAACAATTCATGAAAATGGGTGTCGTCAGTCCTTTGCGGGTCTGTTTCTCTACAAAATGGCCTACACTTTTGAGCGTTGCTCCTGGAGCCTTGACCTTATCATAAAGACCGGTGTTAGAGACTATACATGACACTAAGGTCTCAAAGCCTTCTTATCAAAATCCACATTCACCTCAAAGAATGCAGGATGCAGCAGAATGCCCATTCGCAAGGGTCTTCTTGGCAAAGAGAAACCGTCCCATATGGGCTTGCGAGTACCCAAATACAGCCCATCGTAGCATAGCCGTATGACTGGTAAATTTGCAACTATCTCGAATTTGAGTCCTTGCGGTCCTCGCCTTTCCTGTCTCATGTCTCATACCCTCTGCCAAGAGTATCACGTGGGGATGAGATCAATCCCTCAGTCTGCGCGCCTCCCCAGGCTGTGCATTTCACTTGGCTTCATGTCTAGTTCATGTATTGACTCCGTACTCCGTACAGGTCTCAGGTACTTCTGATGGGCTCCGAATCATTCCGTACGATGTACCATACATAACATACATGGGATGATCATATCATAGGCCCCGGGACAAAGAACCCTGTATGCCGCCGTATCTCGATCCACCGGCTTGGAGGCGATGATAGGATGCCCATCACTTGGACCGGCTGGGCCGGACGCTGGGAAGACTGAGGGGTCAAGCCTAGTCAGGCAGGTGGAGCTTGATCATACCGGCCGATGTCGAAGCTGAATTGTTCTGATCGCTTCTGATCGGCCGCTGATATGTCTAGACTCATCGGGGCAAATCGTGGTGCTTCCGAACGATACATACAATACACCACTCCCGCTGTATGCATGAGCATGCATGGACAATACAACTACCATATGTGTTGCCGTGGTCTGGCGCAATGGAGCCCACTGCCCAGGTGCTCAGGTGGGATAACGTTCCCCTCAATAGTCGACGTCATCTTCTCGTATAGGTGGTAGTGGGTCACCTCTTCAGCTCAAGGCCTCGACAATTCCGACTGGGCCGTTGGGTTTGGAAATCTAACTGAGGCCATCGTTCCATCCCCGGTTTGAAAGTGACCTCGGGAGAGAGCGTCTCAAATGCACTCCGTACATATGTACATGTAGGCTCACGACCCTACAATATATTGAATAAGCGTCCATTTAATGCAATCAATTCCAATTGAAGCCCCAAAAAAGGATATATATGATGCAGCTGACACATTTCATAATAGCAATATGGATTCCTTTCTCTTCTAAACTACCGAGGCTCTCGACTTCTGATTGGTACGGCAGATCGGACGTTCAGCTGCACATTAGATACTCTAGTGCGTTCAACCACAATTAATCAAGTAATTCAGCATGAACTATTCCTCCGTGCAGGCCAACTTACTGCGACAGGGATGTACCTCCGATTTCTCTCGATCTGTTTGGGAGCTTGGGTCCATCCCCGAATTCGTTGATGGGGAAGGTATTCCACATCGATATATACTGTTGATCAAATAAGACTTGAATTGTCACAAAACAAATTTAGATTAGGAGCATTGGGAGATCCAAGGCTTAAAAAAAGGACATCGTATATATAAACTAGTATTATTGAATAGAAGAACGGTGTGTTCCCGCATGGGAAGGTTATAGACACAGCAGAGTTGACTGAGTATGGAATGGACTCCGTGGTCATGGATCCGACTCGATATAAAGGCGGCAGAATAGGCGGAGACAAAAGGCGGAGATAAATGGCTTACATAACGGGTTATCGGGGCTTCCAAGGACCAGCCCTGGAGCTCTTGACCTCGGGGTGGCCTTCGTTGGGCTGTAGATGTATTATAGACTAATGGGCAAACATTGTATCTTGAACTGTACTGGTCGAGCTGGTATCTTTACTAAGACTGTGTGTCTTGTCCTATGCTACCAAGGTACATCCTACAGCAGTATTCTGTTATCTGCGTATGCGCCGGGGCTATCCTCCTCACCCTCCTAGCGAGTCAGAAACATATGTCAAAAGACGGTTTATATCGTGATAGCTTGATATCCGGAAATAAAAATCTCCCCTAGACAGAGGAGAACGCTGAACAGGCCGCCGATGAATCTTGTGTATGAAGTATCATACCCAGACTACGATAGCGATGTATGCAACCCTGAAAGGTAGAAAACCATATTAAAGACATGGATAGTCTATGAAATGGTATTGCTTTCGATATCCTTAGATCCATTCGCTATACATCTACCCCACTCATATTTTATATCCAAAAGATAAGCTTCGGCTGGACAGCTCAGTTCGAATTTAGAGTAGATATTTGAGTATATCACCACAGAGCCGAAGAACGTCGATTGATATAATTCGAGCATTCTTTCTTTTAGATAAGCCAAGCCTCGATATAAAGGCTACTTGCTCAACACAGCCTAATTACATTTGGAGCACTGTGCGGGGTTTTGATACCCCAGACTGCTGTTTCGCTTCTCAACCTCAACCTCTGAGAGACCTCGAGGATCTCTATACCTGATAGGTTGCTCCTCTCAATGCCAAGATATCCAAGACTTCTCCAACCTTTAACATCCCCTTCTGTTGCTTGGCATCAAGTGCAGAACTGAGGGGTAGCCTTGATGTTTCCCCAGATCATTCGATTTCCTATGTTGTCCCGAGGCTCTTGTTGCTGATGTGTGGGGAAGATTCCGGCTAAGGGTCTCTTAAAAGAGAACTCTCAAAGACCCCTCATGTGTCAAACCATAACCCACGTTTTCGGTTCTTTTTCCCTCTCATTGAAGAACTAAGAAAGCGATTCAATAGCAAATATGGCACCCAATTTGGTCACTCCTTTGGAGGATGAATCCATCAAGAAAGAAGACGTTGAATTTGGCCACCTCGAGGAACAAGAGCTATCAAATCATAAAGTCGGCACTGAATCGCCCGTGTATGGTATTGATAAGGCGCACCAGAAGAGGGTCATGTACGTTCCAATTACCCTGACACTCCAATTTGGAGCCTTCAGCTAAGTAGTACTCTAACAAGGCGACGCGTTGATCTCCGTCTCCTTCCAATACTGGGAATTATGTATTCCATATCCCTCATTGACCGGACCAACCTTGGTCTTGCTTTTGTGGCAGGAATGGAGGAGGACCTTGGACTTGACATTGGAAGTAGGTACACGATCATCGTGATGGTATTCTTTGTGGCATATATGTAAGTCCTTCTTGCGGTCTTTTAATCCAACGACAGTCTAACTTCGTGTCTCCAGTATTTTCGAGATACCCAGCGTACGTTTGCACTCTTCCATCATGTATTATCACCAATGACTGACTGTTTCGACAAGAATCTCATCCTCCCCAAAGCCGGTGCAGCAAACTGGTTGGCGTTTCTCGGATTAAGCTTTGGGGTGATCTTGATTGGAATGGGATTCACGAACAATTGGAGCACAATGGCAGTTTGCCGAACCCTTTTAGGTAAAAAGAGGTCCTCCGTGCAGATTTTGCCCTGCTAACACGCTGTTCGTCACTAGGTGTAATGGAAGCTGGTTTTCTTCCAGGTACATCATAATGAGCTGTGTCTTCAAGCTGGGCATCACTGACTCTCCAGGTTGCACCTATCTGATTACATGTTGGTACACGAGGTTTGAAGTGGGCAAGAGACTCGCTGCATTTTGGCTAGTCTCTGTTGTACTGAACGCATTCGCTGCGATATTTGCATATGCCTTGACGCTGCTCGACGGGACGTATGGTCTGGCCGGATGGCGTTGTAAGTGGTTGATTCTCGCACTGTGGACCACTAACTGACGGTGCTTATAATCTAGGGATTTTTATTATCGAAGGTGCCATAACCAGCGGTGTTTGTTTGATTGGGTGGTTCATTATCATCGACTTTCCAACTCAGGCAGGTAAGTTCCTCAAACCAGAAGAACAAGCATTCATCATCGCCCGCATCAACAACGACAGCGGAGACGCCGCAGAAGACCCAATAACGATGGAACGTGTTCTCCATCATCTGAAGGATTGGAAGTTGTATGTCTGGGCATTCAATCTCATGGCCTCCACCCTACCTGGATATGCATACAGCTACTTCAAGACAGTCATCCTCAAGGGTATGGGCTTTTCCACCACAGAGAGTCAGCTTCTCAGTGCCCCACCTTATGTCCTTGCTGCATTTGCCGTATACTTTAGTGGCTGGCTTACCGATAAATACCAAATTCGTGGACCGGTGATTGCTGCCCACCAGCTCTTGACAGCAGTGGGTATGCTGATCACAGCCTATGGCGGTTCGATGGGAGCGAGATATTTCGGGATCTTTTTGGGTAGGCTCCCAGTCTGTTCATTGGCGCTGGATTTACATGCTCACGCTTTCTTTCAGGCGTGGGGTTCCTGCAGTTTTGTATTCCCGGCGTGCTAGCATTCCAAGCGAACAACATTACGTCCCGCTCAAAGCGCGGAGTCGCATCAGCAACCTGCCTAATTGGCGGTGGCCTTGGGGGAATCATTGCAAGTATCACTTTCAAGTCCGATGAAAGTCCGCATTATACTACAGGCATTTGGGTGACGTTTGGTGTTACGATGGCCAGCATAGCCCTTATCATGATGATGGACTATCACTTTTGGAAAATGAACAAGAAGGCCAAAGAGACGAATAGTTACATCGAAAATATGGCTGGATGGTACTATACTCTCTGAGTATGGTATGTTCACATTGGCGGAATGGAAGAGCAATGAGCGTCTGTGGCGCAGGACTGTCCAGGCATAACTCACCGTTGGAAAATCCCATTCCGAACTGTCCATTAGATGACTTACATGTGCGGTATACATTATAGGCTTGTATAGCCTTGTTTGTGAAGGTATATAGCGCTTAGGGTCGGTTTCAATTGGAATTGAATTAGCTGCCTGAATATGCCTGCTTTGAAGCTGACAGAAACCAGAATTCCGAGATTACTATGACAGAGAGACCTTGAGGAGTGCATAGTCAATGTACGTAGGCCCGAACTTGAAAAGCAGGCAGGCAAAATAAAGCTTTGCATATAGTCGGCCGTGTTTACGACCTTACGATGTCTTTGCAGTCGTCTTTCTAGTAGTCTTTTCAGAAGTCATTTCTACAAATATCTGACTCCCTTCTCACTAGCTTCAATTAGAGACTGTGATTCACAATACATTAATCAGCGGTCCAACACCAGACATATTCAGGCAGCTAAAACCAATCCCTGAGCGCTATACACCTTCGCAATTCCCTACCCTTGGCACGAATGATATACACACAGGCTGGGTCAATATTAGTATTGCATAACCCTTGAAAGTATGTACTGTTAATAGCTTAGGACGTAGAGGCCTAAACACCCCAAAGCGAGATTGGTTCCAAATCTTACTCATGGTCCTACGACGATGGTCCTACGAGGGAGAATTCAGATATAAGACGTGGAGTTAACCTGGTCACAACATAGGTTGTCAATGTGCGCTAGAAGAAAGATCTCATTAAGACTAAGGAGCGAAATAGCTCAGAGACAAAGACGCTGAATGCTGTACTTGAAAGAACCCAAAACCTCGTAGAAACTCCAGAGATGCCGAGACCACATACAGAGAAATGTCAAAAATGTAAAAGCATAAGGGCTGAGAGATGCGGAAGGGGATGCAGAACGCATATTAAAAGGTATAGAGAATCACATGTTAGCCAGTTCCTGGTCGATCTGGCGGTCCAGGAAGGCTCGCTTGTCGCCAGTGAGTGAGGTTTGCAGGCGTTGTTCGACAAGAGCGCGAACTATCAGAACTATGTTAGTGATCTGTATGGGTATCATAGAGAATGAGTTCGGAACTTACCCTGCTTTTTAGTGACAGTATCTAAATCAACCTCTGCGAGACAGCCGCGAATCGCCTCAGTGATGGTAGCCTCATCGGGACCACTACCGACACGGAAATCGAATGCAGTGCTAGCGGGTCGGGGAGGATATTGAGGCAATGGACTGCGAGAGCGTGAATTTCCGAGGAGATTATCGCTACTCTGCATCATGCCGATGCTGTGTCTGCTTGTGTTTATCGGGCTATCTTGGTAGGCGCTGAGACCACCCATGGACATGTGCCGGGAAGCTTGTGCAGAATGGCCCATTTGAGGACCAACCTGAGGCATATCTGTGTAGCGAGAGAAGTTTGACATGTGCGAGTTGCGGTTGCCGGGAACATTTCCGCCAACGAAGGGTGCGGGCGACTGAGGGGGCATGTAGGGGTGGTGGCGGCCCTGACCAGGGAAACCGGTGAGAATGGTAGAGGCGGGCTTGACAGAGGAGTACTGCGAGTGCATGTCATCCATCTCCATCGCCATGTCGTCATACCGACCCGTGGCATAGACCTTCTCCTGAGACGAGCTGATGTCACCGCGACGGCCAGGAAGATTGTTAGCCATGGCATAGTCATCCCAGCGTTGGAGTGGGATGCTGCGCGGATCGAATGGCTCATCTTCCACAGCGATAACACGCTTGTCACCCTTCTCGCCGATGACGACACGGGTAGTACCCCAAGTGAAATCGTCCTGCTTCCAGAAGGCATAGAGCGGCAGGATGAAATTATAAATCGGGTAAGCAAGTAGATAGATGATCATCCATCCGATGTGTTGCCACTGCCGTTTGACAATGAAGATAATCGCTTGAAGACCATATACACCAGCCAGCATGATGATCGAAATCATAGGGAAAGGACCTGTGTGGCTAGCGACGCGGTAGATCAGGTAGGTGAGGTAAACGCAGGTAGCAGGAAGAATGATCGTTCCCAGCAAATCGACAAGAACAACAAAACGCATACTGAAGCAGCAGAAACCGCAGAGGTCCTCCAGAGCTGCTAGTTCCACCAAGTTGTGGATAGTAGAGTTAATCCAGCGGCGTCGTTGCGACAGAAGCACACTCCAAGCCTCGGGGGCGGCTGTACTTGCGTACGCATCAGGAATGAACTTGTACGACATTGATGGGAAGTGCTTGGTCATGATGGTTGTCAGATAACGATCCTCACCAAGCGAGAGAAGGTTCTTCTTGTGGAGGGTGTCAACGTCGTTGTCAGCATAGTCATTAATGACTTTGTCCGAGATGATGAGAGGACGCCCTTTATCCGCAGTTCGAAGACGATACATGGTGAAACTGTGCGTTGTTAGTACCGAACAAAGCAGTGGCGAAAGAATTCAACACTTACCATCCAGGAAGACAGGTAACACTGCCGAAAAGCGACTCAAATGCTTTGGCCAGATGATGCGAGATGTAGTATTCGTAAACCTGAATCATCGTCCACCAACTACGTTCCTCATTTTGGAGACTGGTCTCGCCGCAAATGCCGGCGATTTTGGCATCCGCAGCACAAGCGGCAACCAGACGGTTCAAAGAATCTTCCCTAACGGTGGTATCTGCATCGACCATGAGACAGTACTCGTAGAGCTCTGGGTCTACACCGATCACATTGTTGATTTGATGGAACATTTCGAGTTCAAGAGGCGACATGGGTGAGCGGTGATGGACGCGGTTCAAGAATTGCATGAGAACAACCTGGGTATCTCGTTTGCCACGGTTACCAGGCTTAGACTTGCGTTGCTCGGATTCCTTGCCGACCTTGACAACTACAATGTAAGGGACAACATTGCCCTCATACTCATAGAGACCAGAGTACACCTTGCCGTAGTTCAGCTGCTCACTTCCTTGGCCGAGTGATTTGCATGGTAGTGCCGGTGGATCCATCTTGGGATCAACACCCAGAATATCCAGGACAATCTTAGGGGTAGGACGGTCGTTACCGCCACCAACAATCATACCGTCGCAGATGACAAAGATCAACTTTCTCTTGTTGTCGTACTGGAGAGCAGTCAAAGAATCAAGACCTTTTCGGAGGTCGTTCTCACCCTCGGTATAAGCAGGAACCATGCAAATAACGAATTTATCCTGTGGCGTGGGTCGACGTTTGGAGCCCAGCTGTAGAGCTGCCAGGAATTTGACGAGGATGACAGCACAGATGAGAATAGTGAAACTGAGCAAGATCCAATTGTTCACAGTGCATCGTGGACTGTCACGGAAGTCAACTTTACCCACGTAAAAGACGAAATCAAGACACGTTTGGGCATTTCTGAAGGCCGGTGTATCCTGCCATTTGTCGGTGACATCTTCGCCCATATTGTCTCTGAAGAGGGACGTCAAACTCGACGGTAGCCAATTGTATGAGTCAAGATTGTTCATCCGTTTCAGTGTGTAGAAGTAGTCCGTCAAATCATACACCTTCTGGTCCTTAATAACCCAGTACCGAGCATCAGCTTCAGCTTGCTTCCTGATGGTTTTTTCGTCCAAACCAAATCTCCCTTGTAATATGAACCAATCTTTGGCAAGAATCTATTTTCATACCAGTCGTCTTTGTGGAGTTTAGAGTTGACGTATGGTGACTGTTTACCCGATTTGTGCTCGGCTGTAGGCAGAGTAATAGCATCTGTCTTGTTGTGTGACAGTGTTATAGTATCGGACTTGACGAATGGAGCACAATACCGGTTAAGAGGCGGAGGAAAGTAGGCATCCAAATTCTGACCTGCAAAGTCCTGCATGTTGGATGATGATGTGTCTTGTCCATTGATGTCACTGTGCTGTGTGCGCGCGAATTTTGCGATGTCGTAGACGCGGCCGTGGATACCAACGAAAAAGTCATTGCTTTTTGAGTGCCATCCAAGCTCTTTCTCGTTCCAGGCTTTGTCCTTGTTTGGACAGAGAAGATCACCGAAGGCGATGATATAGAAGCAGACAATTCCGTTGAACAGCAGGATCAACATAACCAGGACGAGCTTCTCTCGCCATGCCAGGCGGACATCCGGGCGTTTCATGCGACCAACGTATCGGAGTACGAAGGAGGGAATCCAGAAGGTCATCGCCCAGACGAAACCAGCCCAGAGCCGACGGCCCCAGGTGATGGTTTTCTTCTCGATGTGCTTAGGATCACCGAACTCGGGGTCGAATTCCCCGACGTATCGGCCATATTCGTCGTAGTATGCAATGTCTCCCTTCTTATCGTCACCTTTGCGGCCCAGTCCGTAGTCACCGTTGTTTGCAGTGTTGGCGAATGGCGCGCTAGGGGCAATGGATTTGGCACCGCCCATGACACTCGGAGCCATGGCGCCGGCCGCGGGCATGCTAAGAAGGTTGGATGATTCTTGTACTGGAGTGCCGTCCGAGGTGAAGCCAGTCTCATACAAGGCAGGTCCGTACATGAAGGGATTGACGTGAGTATCCTCTGGCTTGAGATCGAGCATACTCTCTGCTTCCCACCATGCACCTTCTCGCATCCACACACGCTGTTCTCCAACGACAGCATCGCCGTTGCTCCAGCCTCTCTCGATAATCCAGTTTTCAACACCATCCTGTCCTTCGGTGCAACCAAGTCGTGCATATCGCCCGACAAACTCTTCCACGTCGAAATCGGCGGTGAAGTCGAGTTGCTTCAAACGACGATTAGCCCACTCCGCGAGTCGCCAATCTCGTAATTGGCGAGAGACAGCACCCGCAGACCACGCCGTGGGTCCCACTGACGTGAGCTGCTCCGGCATGTCATCACTCGGATGCAGAGAGAGGTGGTACCAGACACGGCTGCTGTTGAGAGTTGTGGAAAGATCAAACCGCCCACGCTTTCCGACAGTAATACCTTCGGTGTCAACTGGGAAAAGAATGCGTCGGAGGAAAGCATCGATTTCGAGCTCGACACCAACTTTTTCCAATACATCCTGCCGCTTGTCGAGATCATGTTCGCGTTCCCGGCCAGCAAGGCCTGTGGTGATACCGAGATCCGGTTCAACCTGGCTTACTGCGGAGTTCATTTCACTGATGACAGAGCCGCCAATAGGCGGAAGAGGAATCCCATCATCCTTCATTTCGGCGTTTAGTCCGATGCTATCGTCGAAGATACCTCTCATGGCGATTGCCTTTCCAAGAGCTGGTCGGGGAATATCGATTACAGTCAAGTTGACTGTGTCATCATTAGACCATTGTGCCGCACCGCCCCCATTAGTAGAATCATTCTCCAATGCAACCTGGATATCAGCGGTGATAGCCTCGTTTGCTTTGCTAATGACCCAATCGACCAGAGCCTCGTAAATGCCTGCAATCAACACTTCCCGCTCATCGGTGGAGCATTTATGCAGGAGAATCTCCGGATCAATCGACAAGAGACCACCCGCATCCTCACACACTTCCTCTAGATCTTCTTGATCGACTTCAAAGCCGACGGTATTGCCGAGCTTGATGAGACCAGCCAGGACTGACAGCAAACCTCGCTGAGAAGCACCTTTGATGCCGATCGCCTTTAAGGAAGCCCGAAAGTCCTCCGCTGCAGCGGCATCATCGGCCGTGGGAAGATAATGCGGGGGATCATATGTGCCTGACCGCTTCAGCAAGGTGTATGCCGAAGGATCCTTCAGGTCCAAGAATTCACGCTCTGCAGCCGTCGAAGCAGAGGTCAGGAGATAGTAGAAGGCATCGAATGCACGGTAGCCAGTTTCAGGCTGGATATCCAGAAGACCTTTGCGCACATTAATGCCCGCGGTGGACAGGGCGAAGGAGAGGCCAACGACTGAGCCTTGGAGAGACAATGTGTAATTGGCCGCTAGTGCGGCATGGAGACAGTATGAGGGATTGAAGGAGGTGACTGCGGTGAGAAATGGACGTAGGGCGGAGAGTGCAATCAGAGCTACCTCGGGTGTTTCCACTGGGATCGACGTGATGAATGGTTCCAGCAATGATGGCGTTGACTGATGTAGCGAGCTGCTTGATATTAGCGGGTTGTTGCATCCTGAGATTCGGGGTTTAACATACCCTAGGACGATACATCCGTCTTCCGCCCGGCGTCGAGCATGTTCCCAAGCCCTGATCGCCAGGTCACGGTCGACCGTTGCGCCAGTTCGCCCATCGGGCAAGGTTGTCGCTGCGGTGACCCATGTATTAACAACCAGACTTGTGGCTGAATCTAGCTGGTATGGTTGACCCGCGGTGTAAAAAGAGTGCAGAGCATTCAATAATGTTGTTGTTGAGACCTGACTCCCGTGTTGTGGTCGGGGGCCGGCCGAGAGCCCGGCCGACTGCGTGGAGAAGACCGAGTAACGGTTCGACATGACGAGCGTGTGGTCGCAAGTTCAATGAAGTCAAAGGCAAGATGCGATGTCCGGCCTATTCGCTATCACCACCACATGAGGGTACTTTTTCTTGTATTGGTCAGCTCGTCCTGCCGGATGTACAGTGAAGGATGACACGTGAAAGCTAGAGACCAGGTTTCAGAGTTCGATAGGTCAAGGCGAGATGATCAAGGATTAAGGTAATTGAGCGAGCGACTGGAGATGGGACTCCTGAACGGTGGGAAAGAAGACAAACAACTTCAGAAGTTCGGCGTGGGGAGAAAGAAATCCATGGAGTTTGAAAATTACAGGGCTCTATGCAAAAATACCGTAGATCCCGACGATCGTCTCCTGCCTGTGCAGTCCCCTAGTTAAGCTTTTGGGATTGTCTATCTTTTCAAGAATCAGACGGTATATCTGAGCTTTCTCACGGATCTGAATGATGCGCAGGCACCGTTTGTATGCCTCCTTTGGATTTTTTCATATATCCGTTGAAGTTCTCCGGTCTGGGGAGTTCGCCCTGTAATTTTGAACCATTGGGCCAGAGGGTGTTTGTTGCTCTTTCACCCTGATGGGGTGCTGCTTGATGCTTGCTGACCAATGAGAGGACCCAAATCCCACCGGAGACCCCAAACCCCGTCGAATCCAGAATTCACAGCCCACGGATTGACAGATCTAGTATTGTATCTTTGGTCATGGCCCGGTATCGATGGTTCCCCCTATGTACCTGGGTACCTGGGTCCTCAGGTATGGTATGGACTATATTTGGGATGTCTCACACGGTTTTTTTTTTCTCTGACAGATGATCGAGTTTGCCACCCAGTCCACCGTGCCACCTGTGAGTATGGAGTACGGAGTACTCCGTACGGACTCCTCCATACGAGATTCTCGAAGGGATATTCTTAGGACTCTACACTTCCTGCTAGTCTCACCCCTGGACCTGAGCGACAATCTAATTCTGTCAGCTCATATTTCGTGATTTCGTTGATAGTTATTGCCATATGCGCTTCCCTTGCAAGGAGGTCAATATTGCGCGGAAGAATATGGGAGTTGACGTGTCCGACCTCAGTACTCCGTACCTAAGTACCGGGTACGGAGTACGGAGTACACGCTACTATGTACGGAAGAGGTACTCCGTACATCGCACATCGTGCTCGGTACTCCGTACTCCGTTCTATTGTCGTGGTAACAGCTAGAGTGGAGATCTCTTAACCTGAGACGTCGTGTTAGAAAAAACTTGCTTTTGTAATTTTCCCTTCCTCGCTAAGCATTTCCATTTCCTCTGTACACCACACCAGGCTTCGGTTTAAGTGTAAATAGTCTCTCCAATAGCCCTGGACGAGCCATAGCTCCGCCCATCTGTGGGAACGGGGTGTGATGCTCTGGTGGATGCTACCCGAGACACGTCCAATAAGACAATTAATATAAAAAAGAAACTCCAGTCTGAGTGGCCGAGGTTCACCTATTCTTAGCGACCGAGCTAGTAATTTGTGACTTGGTATTGCACAATACGCCTCCACCCCCGGCCTCTTATCGATTTGTTGCTTTTTTTCCCTTTGTGATCCCCCCATTGGGTTCTGGGCTTCTTCTGCTTCGAATTCTGTCCCTATCTCTCAGCCACTCGTTCATCTTCGCCATTGCACATCAAAATATTCCCCCTCTCGGCATCAACTCCGATGTGTGCAATCTCAATTTGTTGCTAGGGGTCTTCATTCCGTCGGTCCCAAGACATTCTTCCTCGATCCACGTTCATTCCGGTACTGGGTGGCCTCTCAAGTCACTTCTTCCGTCGATTCTGGACGTCTGGATAGCCCCTCATACACTCGTTCCAGAACGCAGACCTCAACTGAGGGGACCCGAAGATGGCCAACACATTCGCTGGGAGCGGCCCAGCTCACGCCCAGTCATCACTGCCCTCACTGCCCGCCCACTTGCAGTCTGATACACATCTCACGGCTCATCTCGCCAGTCGGTATGAACATCGCGGATCCCGCTTATCCGGTGTAGCATCAGTGTAGCTAACCTGCCTTCCAGGTTCCATGTCGGATTACCCACGGCCCGTCTGTCATCCCAGGCCCTGATTGCCCTGAACACATATTCGTCGGCTACTAAAGGGCCAGACGGTGGAAAGGAGGGAAGTGCTGCGGGCGAAGCGGAAGATCTAGCTCATCGCGCCTTCACTCGGTTGGGTGCGCGCGCCGAAAACCAAGCTATTGTATTCCTGTAAGCCAAACCATCCGGTGCCGGGAAACATATCTAACTTTCGATGGCAGTGGAGAGAGCGGATCTGGAAAAACCACTCTTCGTTCGCATTTGTTGTCTTCGTTCCTTTCATTTTCATCGACACCACTGTCCTCCAAAATATCATATGCTGCCTTTGTCTTCGATACTCTTACAACCACCAAATCCGTCACTACACCCACTGCCTCTAAAGCCGGTCTCTTCCTCGAACTCCAGTATGATGGTTCGTCCTCCGTGAACCCCACATTGATCGGCGGTAAAATCATTGACTACCGGCTGGAGCGAAGTCGCATCGCTTCTGTGCCCACGGGAGAGCGAAGTTTCCACGTGTTGTATTATTTGCTCGCTGGAACAAGTCCGGCGGAGAAATCGCATCTGGGCTTTGAGAATAGCATCCATGTTCAGACTGGGAGCAGGCTGTCCGGCTCAAATGTCAGCCACAAACGCTGGCGTTATCTCGGCCATCCCACGCAGCTCAAGGTCGGAATCAATGATACTGAGGGCTTCCAGCATTTCAAGACCGCCCTGCGGAAGTTGGAATTCTCTCGAAGTGAAATCGCTGAGATCTGTCAGATTCTAGCCAGTATCCTTCACATCGGACAGCTTGAATTCGCCACGGGGCAGTCTACCACCACCGGCGCGGAAGAGAGTGGTGGTTATTCCCACGAGGGTGGCGAGCTTGTTACAGTAGTGAAGAACAAGGATGTCCTCGACAATGTCGCTGCTTTCTTGGGTTTGAGCGTCGAGGCTCTGGAGAATAGCCTCGGTTATCGGACAAAGACAATCCACCGCGAGCGCGTGACGGTTATGCTTGATCCTAAGGGAGCACGGGAGAATGCTGATGCATTTGCACGTACCATATACTCGCTCTTAGTAACTTATGTGATTGAGACTGTGAACCAAAGACTCTGTGCCGCGGAGGACAGCGTCGCCAACACTATCTCCATTGTCGATTTCCCCGGATTCGCCCAAGCCCCTTCCACCGGGTCTACTCTTGATCAACTTCTCAGCAATGCTGCGACAGAATCGCTCTACAACTACTGTCTTCAGTCATTCTTTGATCACAAAGCGGATATTCTTGACCGCGAGGAAATCACAGTGGCTGCGACCAGCTATTTCGATAATACTGATACTGTGCGAGGTCTTTTGAAGCATGGCAATGGTTTGTTGAGCATTCTGGATGACCAAACCCGCCGAGGCAGATCCGATGCTCAGTTCTTGGACAGCGTGCGAAAGCGCTTTGAGAACAAGAATCCTGCGATCTCCGTGGATACTACTGGTGGACCAGGCTATATGGGCCAAACACGAAGTGCATTCACAGTCAAGCATTTTGCTGGCGAGGTGGACTACTCCACCACCGGCCTACTCGAGGAGAACGGCGAAGTCGTCTCTGCTGACTTGATGAATCTCATGCGCTCCACCCGCAGTGACTTTGTGCGTGAATTGTTCCACCAGGAAGCTCTGCAGACCATATCGCACCCTCAAGAAAAAAGCGCCATCATGCAAGCGCAGGTGAGCTCAAAGCCTCTGCGCATGCCCAGCATGGCTAGACGCAAGACTGGACCCCCATCTCGCTTCGCCGCCCCCAGTGCCCACCCTGAAAGCGAGGAAGGAGACGAACCCGAAAGCCAGGTCGCAGGATCTAAGCGAGCTAGTGTTCGGAAGAGTGGCATGCCTTCGGGACCAGCCCAAGGAGCGGCCGGCCAGTTCCTTTCTGGCTTGGAAATTATTAACAAATCCCTAAGCTCCTCGAACGTCAATCCCTACTTCGTCATTTGTCTCAAGCCGAATGATCGTCGGATTGCCAACCAGTTCGACAGCAAATGTGTGCGAATGCAAGTCCAAACTTTCGGTATCGCTGAGATCAGCTCCCGTCTTCGGAACGCCGATTACAGTGTCTTCCTCCCCTTCGGAGAGTTCCTTGGTCTTGCCGACATAGGAAATGTTGTTGTGGGAAGCGACCGCGAAAAATCTGAGGTCGTTCTGGACGAAAAGCGATGGCCCGGCAATGAAGCACGCGTCGGTAGCACCGGCGTTTTCTTGAGTGAACGATGCTGGGCAGATATTGCTAAAGTTGGCGATCGTGTTGTCCCAGCATTGGGGAATGCTGGTGTTGACGAAGGCGACGCCTTCCAGACTGCCGGTGGAAATCCAGATGCGAAGCTCCGACTTCTCAATGCCACTGATCAGTCACCAGGCGCTTTCATTTATGGAGATGACCCCAAGCAAGGGTACTTTGGTAGCCGTGAACTGGATGGACGTTCCGATGCCGGCGGTTCTGCCTTCCATTCAGGTGATATGTTCAAAAACCTTGACACGAAAGAGCAAATGCTCGAGAAAAACAACGAGAAGAAGATGGAGGAGGTCGACGAAGCTACCACCTCTGGCAGCCGTCGTCGCTGGATGTTCTTTGTTTACCTTCTTACATTCTGGATTCCCGATTTCATGATCCGATTCATCGGGCGAATGAAGCGCAAGGATGTGCGGGTTGCCTGGCGTGAGAAGCTTGCAATCAACATGATCATCTGGTTCGCCTGTGGTGTAGCTGTTTTCATGATTGTTGGTTTCCCTGGAGTAGTGTGTCCAACTCAAGACATTTACAACACGGCAGAGCTCAGGGGCAACAATGGCAACGACGGTGCTTCATCTTACGTTGCCGTTAGAGGTGTGGTTTTCAATCTTGGAAAGTTCATGCCATCCCACTTCCCCGACATTGTTCCCCAGAAAGCACTCAAGAACTATGCAGGCACGGACGCGACCAATCTCTTCCCTGTCCAGGTCTCATCTTTGTGCCAAGGTGTTAGTGGAAAAGTGGATCCCAGCGTACCATTGGATTACCGATCAAATCTCAATGATTCCGCAGCTACGACTTCCAGCTCCAGCTTCGATATTAATGCCAAGTACCATGATTTCCGTTCTTGGACCAACGACTCCCGGGCTGATTGGTTCTACGAACAAATGGTTATGATGCGCTCGAATTACAAAAAAGGCTATGTTGGATATACTGGAAAGACAATCAAACAGATGGCGACCGAAGATTCCAAGAAGGTCGTGAGCATCAACGGCAAAGTGTATGATATGACTGATTATATTGCTGGACCTCGAGTACCTCGCTGGCCAGTAGGGAAGAACGGCACCAGAAACATCGAGACAGATTATATGCATCCTCTGCTCGTCAATATTTTCCAGGGAAAGGCCGGAGACGATGTGACCAAGTATTGGGATGATTTGAACTTCGACACCAATCTCAGATCTCGGATGCAGCTTTGCTTGGACAACCTGTTCTTCATTGGTAAAATCGACACTCGAGACTCCGTTCGCTGTCAGTTTGCGCGATACTTCATTCTCGCAATTTCCATCATGCTCGCTTCCATCATCGGCTTCAAGTTTTTGGCTGCTTTGCAATTCGGAAGGAAGAACCTTCCCGAGAATTTGGACAAGTTCATCATTTGCCAAGTCCCAGTCTATACTGAAGATGAAGAGTCGCTGCGTCGTGCCATGGACTCTATGGCTCGCATGCGCTATGACGACAAGCGCAAACTTCTGCTCGTGATTTGTGACGGTATGATCATTGGCCAAGGCAACGACCGTCCAACTCCAAGGATCGTCCTTGACATTTTGGGTGTTCCCGAATCTGTGGACCCCGAGCCGCTCAGCTTCGAGAGTCTGGGTGAGGGCATGAAGCAGCACAACATGGCAAAGCTCTATTCCGGTCTCTATGAAGTTCAGGGTCACATTGTTCCTTACTTGGTCGTTGTCAAGGTTGGAAAGCCTTCGGAAGTGTCTCGTCCCGGTAACCGTGGAAAGCGTGATTCTCAGATGGTTCTCATGCGCTTCCTCAACCGCGTTCACTACAACCTTCCGATGAGCCCTATGGAGCTTGAGATGCATCATCATATCCGAAACATTATCGGTGTCAATCCTCAATTCTACGAATATATCCTACAGGTTGATGCCGATACTGTGGTGGCTCCTGATGCTGCTACGCGTTTTGTTTCGGCATTCCTTTCGGATACTCGCCTCATCGGTTGCTGTGGAGAGACGTCTCTGTCCAATGCCAAGACCTCTGTTATCACAATGATCCAGGTTTATGAATACTACATCTCTCACAATCTGACCAAGGCATTCGAGAGTTTGTTTGGGTCCGTCACTTGCTTGCCCGGTTGTTTCAGTATGTACCGTATCCGTACAGCTGAGAATGGAACGCCTCTCTTCGTCAGCAAAGCTGTGGTTGATTCATATTCCGAAATTCGCGTGGACACTCTCCACATGAAGAATCTGCTACACCTTGGTGAAGATCGTTACTTGACGACACTTCTCATCAAGCATCACCCCAAGTTCAAGACAAAGTACATCTTCCGAGCCCACGCCTGGACAGTTGCTCCAGAAAGTTTTGCAGTCTTCCTTTCGCAACGTCGTAGATGGATCAACTCTACTGTCCACAACTTGATGGAGTTGATTCCACTGCAACAGCTGTGTGGTTTCTGTTGTTTCAGTATGCGATTCATTGTGCTTATGGACCTGCTCATGACTGTCATTCAGCCTGTCACGGTTGCCTATATTGCATACCTGATCTATTGGTGTGTGAGTGAGCCCGATGTGCTTCCTATCACTTCTTTCATTCTGCTCGGTGTTATCTACGGTCTGCAAGCACTCATTTTCATCTTCCGACGCAAGTGGGAAATGATCGGTTGGATGTTGATCTACCTCCTCGCCATCCCCATCTTCTCTCTTGCCCTGCCACTTTACTCTTTCTGGAACATGGACGACTTCTCCTGGGGTAACACTCGTGTCATCACCGGAGAAAAGGGCCGCAAGGTTGTCATTTCTGACGAGGGCAAATTCGACCCCGACTCCATTCCCAAGAAAATTTGGGAAGATTACCAAGCTGAGCTGTGGGAATCACAGACTTCGCGTGATGATCGGTCTGAATTCTCCGCACACTCCTATGGCACCAGATTGCCTCCCTTCCCGCAGTCTGAATATGGCTTCCACACTGGCTCGCGCCCAGTCTCCCAGCTCGATCTGCCTCTTGGCGGTGGTAACACTCGTTATTCGGTCGCTGCATCTGAAATGATGAGCAGCTTTGGCATGGAAGACCTCAGCCATCTACCCCCTGACGATGAGATCCTGGATGAGATCCGCAAGATCTTGGCCACTGCAGACCTGATGAAGGTTTCAAAGAAGACCGTCAAGCAGGAGCTTGAAAGACGGTTCGAGGTCAACTTGGATGCCAAGCGACCTTACATCAACTCTGGTAAGTCATCATTAACCCCCTCGACGTTTCACCAGACACAGCTAACATATAAGCAGCCACCGAAGCCGTTCTCTCGGGTGTTCTCTAAACATTATACCTATTATTACACTATTGCGTTTTGTCTGTTTACTCCTATGTGGACATGGAGTTTATTCGGTCAACATGTGTTATTACTTTTTTTACTTGATCTTGTTTTTTCCTTTTTACAAGCGACCTTATGCATGGATGAGAGCTTTGCGCAGCGATTTCGTTTCGGCCTTGGATTTCTTGAACATCCCATGTTTTGTCTCATAAAGCTGCTATCTGCATTATTGAAATCGATAATTCCCAGACGTTATCTCTGGTGCTTGACTTGTGATCTGTGTCATTGAAATGTGTAAATCGTTCTTCATAGCGCCTGGACTGGTATGTTTCAAATAAATGTTGTCTGAGACTTCGCTGGCTGAGCCGATATTCCGCGTGGGGTCTTGGCCATGAGGCTTGTCGCATCGATCTGCCTTAGAAACAAATAAAATGGGTTGGAACAGTCTCGCCCACTGCTGATGCGAAGTACAGTGCTTGCAACAATCACCCTGCATTGACAGAATGTGGACATTGCATTATACGCATGGAGCCTGGTTCTTCATCCAAGGAACTCAAACAGATGGACCAGATTCATCGACAATGAAGTCCTATGGGTTGAGTGCTATGAAAAGAAAATAGCAATGCCTCCCGAAAGCCCTTTATCATCCCATTCTTGCTGCTGCCTTCGACAAGGTCGTACCTTTGCCCCAGGTCTGGTGCTTGCGCGGTCTTTCGTTTCGTTGATCGATTTCGCCATTGCATCCTTCGCCGGCTTTTCTGTTACTTTTCCTTCTTGTAACTCCTTCAAAGACACGCATTAAAGCACAGTCAACATGCTTGCGGATTCCTTGTATTCAGTTGCCATCTTTACCGCGATCTTCGCGCGTGCATTCGCAAAGGATGCGCGCAATTTCGCCGTGAATCATTTCTACGGCAATGGTGCTCTGTCAATGGGACGAATGGACCCCATCATCAGTCCGGGAACTGCAGCAGCTCATTCCCATGCAATCCAAGGGGGTAGCAACTTCAACCTGAGCATGACCGACGATGCTCTACTGGACTCCGAATGCACCTCGTCGCTGGTCGACGCCGACAAAAGCAACTACTGGACTCCCTCGCTGTACTTCCAACACCCTAACGGGAGTTTCCTCTCCGTGCCAATGTTCTACATGAATGTCTACTACTTTTTCGAGCCAACTGACGACGAAATCAAGCCTTTCCCCGTCGGCTTGCGCATGTTCGTCGGCAACACTTCCCTCCGCACACCACCACCCGACGGTGCCGCCAATGTCCTCGTCACTAACCAGGGAACTATCCAGCCCGTGCAATGGACTTGTCCTCGTACTTCATTCGACATCCCCTCCTACCCGGAAGACTCGGATGGAATGCACGGCGTCGGGATCCAGGATCCCACCAACGCTGGCGCTGGCGCCGGGTTCCCGCATATGAACTGTGACGGATATGCATCGCCCTTGCGTGCGGATATTCACTTCCCCTCGTGCTATAATCCCGAGGCTGGCATCCATGCCCACGAGACTAACATGGTCTTCCCGGGCAGCGAGGGCAGCGGCTCAAAAGCAAACTGTCCACCTGGCTGGATCCACGTTCCTCATATCTTTTACGAGGTGTACTGGAATACTCCGCTATTTGAGGATATGTGGATAGAGGGGACTGGCTCGCAGCCGTTCATTCTCAGTAACGGGGATCGCACGGGGTATTCACTTCATGGGGACTTTGTACGTATACCTCTGACTACACCAGAGATCATAGTTTTCCGAGCGAGCACTAATCAAAGAAAAAAGAACCAGATTTCCGGCTGGGACGAGGAAGTTCTTCAAAATATCATCGATAACTGCGATGCCGGAGACCTGGGCATGGACAAGTGTGCCGATGCTGGGTTTATCAACGACGCTTCAACTACCTGTAATATTCCGAACCTCGTCCCCGAGCAAATAGATGGTGTGCTGGACAAGCTACCGGGCAATAATCCGCCAACGGGCTGGGGCCAAGGTATGGAGGTGATCCCGACGCGGGGAATGAAGAGACATTTCCGCGTGCATAAGAGTGGTCTACGTGCTTAGGATTTGCATATCCTTGCTGAAGGGTCCAGGAATGCAGGTTGACAGTTACCGATCAGCAATGTCCGTATATACGAATACATGGTCTAGATGGGCCGAGACCCTGGCCCCTTGCGGAGATGAGGTTTGTTTCCGCGGTCTGAGTTGTGTACATAGTAACTCTGTATATTTCTATTTGCGAAACAGACCTAGTTGTATTTCACTTGTCATTGTTTAGCCTGTTTGTTCATGGTACCACGATGTGATCTGCAGATGAAGATATCCTACTAGAGCTACATCATACATTTGGCTCTGATTGGTCACTTCGAGGTCAAGACTCTCATTACTCGCCGCTGATTGGCCAACTTGAGTACATTCGTGGGCGATCGTGAGGCGATTTGCACAATTATCTACCTACTCCGTATATACTAGTAGCCAATAGTCAGGTTTTCTGATCTAGAACGAGTAATTGGAATTGAATACAAAGATCTATTTAGCTCTGATTGGCCACTTTGAGGACATTAGGATATGTTGGTGAGTTATATTATACTGGACTGACTTCACTACACTGCCACTCTCCTACCATATCTTGATTATTGTCGTGCTATAGAGTGTCAGTCTGAGAAGGATGACCTAGAGATACCGAGAAGCCGGTTCCTGATACAGACCCTCAACGCTTGCACATCCATCTGCATACAATCACAAATTTTGGAACAAAGAGGGTTAGGAGATGGCGACGATGGGTTCTGAACAGAATTCGCCCCCAATGAATGCTGCGGGCGTCTCCTGTACCAATAAGAAGACGCTCGCTGGTATTGAGTCTTCTCCTGATATCGAAAAATCATCGCCACATTCCCCGAAAGCGACAGATTCAGTCCCTTTAAACACCGAGATTACATATCCCGAAGGTGGCCGTGATGCCTGGTTAGTGGTGTTAGGTGCGTGGTGCGGCTTGACCTCATCGCTGGGCATCTACAATACATGCGGTGTGTTTGAGGTGGTCATCTCCAAAGTCATATTACCGAATGCTTCTTCATCTACCATTGGCTGGATATTCTCCGTATATGCATTTGTAACCTGGGTCTGCGGGGTCCAAGTTGGTCCGACTTTCGATGCGATGGGCCCTCGAGCACTGATGGTTGCGGGGACTATTTGTACGCTGGTTGGCATGTTCGCCCTGAGTTTCTCTACAGGTAAGATCATTCTGATACAACCTACTGCCCTCGCTATCTGCATGCTAATTGCCATCTAGAATACTACCAAATCTTCCTGTCGTTCTCCCTGCTCACTGGCATCGGCTCATCCCTCCTTCTGACTCCCTCAATGGGCTGCGTCGCTCACTGGTTCATGGAGCGCCGCGGCCTTGCCAGTGGTATAGCATTCATAGGAGGTGGCTTTGGTGGAGTTCTCTTTCCTCTGATGATACAATCACTTCTCCCTCAAGTTGGCTGGGGGTGGTCGATCCGCATCCTCGGATTTGTGCTATGCACACTCTGCGCCATCAGCGTGACATTCTGCCGAAGCAGAATCCCTCCCCGCAAAGGATCAGAAACAACTTGGCGAGATACATTGCCAGACCATAGAATCTTCATGGATGGAACAGGAGCCATGGCATTGACAACCGTTGGCGTGCTTCTGACCGATCTGGCATACTTCATACCCATTACATACACGCCACGCTATTATATTGACCGACAACATTTGTCCGATGAGGAGGCCTTGACGGGCTCGTCGGCGTTTGCATATCAATTGCTCGGAATTCTCAATGCGAGTTCATGCATTGGTCGGTACGTGGCAGGTGATATGGCCGATCGATTCGGACGATATAATACTATGATTGTATCTTTGTTCTTCTGCACAGTATCTGTTCTCGGGTTCTGGTTACCAGATATCCTTGCGCCAGAGCTCGATAACTACGCACTGCTGTTGGTTTTCATAATAATATTCGGGTTCTGCAGCGGATCGAATGTTAGCTTGACGCCAATATGCCTGGGTCAGCTTTGCGAAACTCAGGAATATGGACGATACTATGCCAGCTGCTTTACGGTGGTATCTTTTGGAGTATTGGTAAGTATCCCCATCGCTGGGGGTCTTCTCGATGCTGTGGAGGGAACGGGAAAGGAAAAATATTGGGGAATCGCTCTTTTTGCCGGACTTAGTTATATCTGCGCTTTTATATCTTTTGTATGGGTTCGGATCAAGATAAAGGGGTGGAATTGGAGGATCAAGTGGTAGAACCTCGGGTTTCCAAATCCGCGAAGGTACTGCCAGTTCTCATTTCTCATCCAAACAGAAAATTCTCCTCAATGAAAGAAGTCAGTAGCTCTGACACCTTATGTATGTAGGTAGTTTACCTCACACGTCGGGTCCTCGGCGTTGCTTCTACACCTGCGAGCTTTATACGCTAGAGCGCATTTGAGAAGAAGAAAGAAAGGGACAATCAAAATCACTATTTTAAGAGTTCGATTCACAAATTATTGCAGACTAGGCCCAATAACTGAATGCAGAAGATGCATATTGGTAGTATTATCACCTGGGCATGAATGGTCGCCTTCTTGATGATTGAGAGAGCCTGAAAAATGAGATGACAACATTGGATATAAATCTTAACACTAGAGGACAACTTCTGTATTTATCACTTCGCCTTCTTTACAAAACGGATGTCCTTTCTCATAGCTCTGACTTTCTTTCAATTTCTCATTACGCCCATTTTTATATAGAAACATAGCCTTAGCGCTCATGAAGCTACTGATTAATGCCTATTTTTCACGCATGTTCGAGTCTGTGAGCTTACTGCGGAACAACTCAATCGATTTAGGACTTAGAAGGTAATCTGAATACCTAAAAATACTAGAAAGATCTATATTACTTATGAAGTTTGCCAAGATTTAGCATGTTTGTATTGTTTGAGGCCCATTGGGCCCCCATAACAGCCCAGTGGGCTTCTACGCTAGGCCCATAGCCCATCGATGGGCCCAGGGACCGGGCCCACAGCCCAGCCCATTTGTATGTTAGGGCGGGTTGGGCCTTGGGCTTTGTGGGCTGGTGCGGAGGTCTACTTTACCGCCTCTGTCTTTTGTCGCAATGTCTACTCTTGTTATGTCTACGAATGCTGCCACTTTTCCCACTTCGGACCACCGATCGACCCTTCCTACGCCTTTAAGGGAAGAAACAACGGGCCACTCAGGCCAAGAAAGAAAGGGTAAACGATGAATCAAGAGGACTTATATATCCGCATACTACCCTTGATACTATCCTCTATTATATATGCCAATTCCTACCCCCACGTGGCATTTCACTGAATAAGCTGTAATGGTTCTCTAGCAAAACCGAGGATACAGGCTAAGAATTCTTAGAGGCCTAGACCGAGCAGGTGGTTAGTGACAATGCCATCTTATACTTTATCCCCACGAATCCTACGCAGTCTTTCCATTTCGTGTGAGCTCTATACACCTTTCTTCTTAGTAGCAGCCGGCCAATACACAGTATAGTCTCCACCAAGGCGAAAGGGGGCTCGGAGATACTTCAATCGAGGAAGGTATAGTAATGATCAGTGAAAATAGGCCTCCGGCCTCTACAGCGGCCGTCGCACAGAGAGAGGTGGCCCTACTAGTACATTAGGCATAGCACGTCAATAGATAAAACCAACAGGCGATTGCTGACCACGATCTAGGATCCTCCAGCACAGACAACCATTAGGGGGTGCCTAGCCGGGTTACGGAGGCAATCCGAAGATATCTTCTTGGAAGAAAGCGGGAGTGTCAGGGTCTACGAAGGGAGACATCGAAACGCATCATAAAGATGGTTGCTCAAGTTAAGAATTAAGCTAAGCTATGGACTGAGGGAAAAGTCTGACAGGGCGGATAGGGGGTGCAAGGAAAGACAACTGGCACTAGGTAGTGTCTGGCAGTTGTCCCAGCCATGAACATTGATACTCTTGTGTGTGAGGCCGAAAGCAGCCTTGGTATAAACGTGTCATCGTGTTGCTTTATCAGCGGCGCTCAGAGATATTCCCCATTGTTGTCTTATGATATTAAGCTTCAGCTCCTGGAATTGCGATCATATTGATACCTGGACATTATAGTTCAAAGTCAGCTGCTGGTCACCTAGAGTTTTTGAAGCTTGTTACAGTCTATATTCATAAAATATACTCTCCTGTCTAGAAAATTCTTTACTACAGCTCTTTTCCCTCTTTATGGTTTCGAATTATCGACATCCTTTTGTTTTAGAAAGCGGATGCGGATGCGGCTGGGCATGTGACATCTCAATTGTAGCCAATAATCGTTTAGTGAGGCTGGAACAAATGGAGTGGGACATGGTGCTCCGTAGTAAGACAGAAAAGCCGATATCGAGTCGCAGCAAGGAATCCTATACCCCTACTGAGACGGAAAAGTCGCAAGTCAAATTGACGGAATACACCGCTGAAATATGGTAACTTGTGGACAATGCAGTTAGCTATTCCAACATTGCTCGGCGAGATCAATATCAAGACTGATATGGCTGTACAAAAATTAATTTTACACTATTTAGTACATAATGTACGTAGATAAACTTGGGATACATGTACATATGCGCAACAGCTCAATTAAGGATAAACACTAAGCCAAGTCCGGATGGCCTAGCCCCACTCCGATCTGCCGCCAACCTTAGAAAGAACAAAGAAAAACTACTAAGCCTGATTGGGACGTGACAATAGCTACTAAACCTAATCGGGGCTTAGCAACAAGAGAACAAAGAAAAGTCATTGATATGCTGTTTGATAGGCTATTCTCGCTTCTATAAAGCTTCCCTGTCCCAAGCTTCCTCTCTTATCTTTCTCCTCCTCACCCTTCGTGAGTCCTCGCAAACGCACATGGCACACACCGCCAATTCAAATTTATTACAACAGCTGCTGACCCTCATGCTATCTAACAGGCCTCGTACGAACCGCAGGAGACTGTGGATTGTCGCAAGAGCCACGAGCCAATTGCATCTTGAGAGATTGTCGTCGTGGGATCTTGCATATCGGAGCAACGTCGCCACCGAGGATATCATCCGTCTGAATGTAGCGGCCCATATCAATGCTTCGGCAGCCTTGGGCGTGAGGTCAAATACTTGTGGCCCTCTTGTGCAGGAGTTTCGGTGGCTCAGGAAAGTGGTTGGCACAAATTTGTGGAACTTGCCGGTGTGTGTTTCTAACACATCTGGAACCCAACTTGGGGAACAGTTTGTGTGAACAAATGGCTTGTCTATACGAGCTTCAGACCAATATCTGTCGACTGTATATCATGTCACGCCAAAGATCAACTACCTATCAAGGTGGATTCTGTCGCATCTCAAGATATCAAAGTGGCTTCCCATCCCTTTGGTTACTAGATGTGTAGAATACAACTCTCCACATAAGTTAATATGCCATGTTTGACTAATTGAATTGCACTGTACCTATATGTATCTAATTTGAAATGAATATTTCTCACTTGAGAATCAATGCTTTCTGCATTCAGATTTACTACATACACATATGAATAGAGAAGAAAGAAAGAAAGGACACAAACTCCAGCTAATTGCGCGGGGACTCTCTTCACCCTCACTATTCCTTCTTAATGGGCATGTGGGGATGACGACGCTCCTCTAAATCCTGAAGAGAAGTGTTAATTTAAATGCGTAGCTTGTATATGGCAACCACCTGGGGGTACCAACCTCAGCAATTCGCTGCAGAACCCGAGTGACTACGGCCCGCGCCCTGGCAGTTTGCTCTGCGCCTCCCTGCAAAAGATGTCAGGTTGAAGCTCACGATGAACATCCGATTTTGACTCCCTTGAATGAGATCGGACGGCTAGGGTACTCACTGCGGCATTGTATTGGCGCATCATAGCATTAAACAACGCGTTGATCCGTACCCGGCGTGCCTTCTTGCGGCGTCGCTTATCCTTCTTGATGCGAGTCCACCAGCCATCCTTCTTCTTCTTGTTGTTATCTCCGGGTGGAGGCGGAGGAGGCGGGGGAGGCGCGGCAGCGTTGGTTGCCATTTGATGAAAGCTTCAATAGAATCAACAGAATTCAAGGGTGGGGATGGGCTTGTTGATGTTGGGATGATTTGGGAGGGGTGTTGGGTGTAGGATGGGAAGGTGGTTCTGTTTACGAGTCAAGTCTCGCATAGAGGTATGCCTTTTTCGTGTCTCGCGTGGGGTCTCCTACTTCTAAGATACTCATCCTCATACAGGTTTTGGTCTTTTGTTCCTAAGGCTCCAATTCCCTCGGATCGCACCCAGTATCCGTTACCCAATACCCAACATCCAACACATATTACCTCTGCAAGTGGAGAAGAAATACTTTTACATAGTTTCTAGAATGAGGTTTGTGAAGATCTAATTTGATTAATTGGCCATACGAGCTATATATTTAATCGTAGCATGCCCTCCCTTCTGCTAAGCTGTCTTACGGCACTTTGATGGCACGGCGATGGAGTCTAGACGGTGATTAATAACGCTTTGATACGACAATTCTCACACCCAGGGGCAAAAGCCACATACAAATCTGATCCCCGCCAGTAGGCATCTTTTCCTACGGCGAAGCCGGGGATTCCTCCTCCCCAGAGGCTGGGGACTCGGGCGACTTTTGCCGGTCCGAGCCACGCTCTATGATTCTATTAGCTACCATGTACGGAAGTGCACTGGTTCTTGCGAGCAGATTTATACTGACCTGCATCTTGCGAGGCAGCTTTGGCCTCTTTCTCGGCCGCTGCCCGCTTGGCAGCAGCACGGCGTGAGCGGGACCCGCGTGCGGGCTTCTTGTCCTTTATACAGATATCCCCACGTGAATCAATTGTCCATTCGTATGAACCATATGCCGCGTCATACAGTGCCTTGCTGCATGGTTTGCCAGAGTGTAGCCCTAATGATCTCACAATCAGAGTTCATCTAACAAATACCGTTAGTGTCTGCTCCTTCAAATTAACCGCATCCAAGCAGTAGTTATTCCTTTTTGGGCTCGGAATCTCTCGAAAGGATGGGATCTACCTCCGCCTTCTCGTCTTTCCGACGTTGATTGGCCCTATCCCGATGTTCGAAGTACGGCCGGTCACTTGGTTGACGGCCTGGTGGAGGGGGTGGAGGGGGCGGAGGAGGGGGTGGGGGGCCTACAGTGGCAGATGCAGTGGTAGCCATATGGTTTGAAGATGGGGTAGAGCCTAAAGAGAGAGAATAATGGGATGAGAATAGGTGGAAAGTGAGATGAAGTGTCAAGTGAGATGAATTAGAATAAACTGATTCTCACCTTTCTACGGTCACATGTGGGATTAGGGTAGGGTCACGGGAATGAAAGTCCATAACTCAGTGTTAAGTGCCTTAAGTGCCTCTGGGGTAGCTTGGTAGAGTGATCATATCCGCAGTTATACAGCCTTATAGTCTTATTAAAGATAAAATCTTACTAGTGCGATATCACATTTCATTTAAGATCGTGATACTCAAAGTTCTACCAATCACATGTACTTCAACTAGGCAGTTTGAACTCAGTGAAGGCTAGAATCTTAGGGAAGGGAAGGGGAATTCAGTCTTGAGAGAGACAAGCAAGTTTCACTTAATTAAAGATGTAGATCGACCAAATTTATGGTCCAGAGGGACAGGAAATGGTGAAGGATACGAGTGAAATTATTCAATTGCTATCTCAAGAGGTGCAACAGGACGAGAACGCGTACGAAAGACCAGAAGAGCCAAACTCCACGGGGACGCAACACTCAACACTCAAGACTCGAGACTTGTGCTCTCATTTTTTCTCGTTTTCGGTGTTGGCGGAGGGAGAGGGAGACGGAGGCGGAGAGCGATCGGGAGAGCACTTCATATCTTCTTTATTTCCTCAGCGTATGTTCTCAATCGACATATACCTATGGATATCCCTCAAGGGCTCACATACCAGAAGGGGTCAGCATTGCGGTTTGCTCAGCCATAGAAGATGCCTGGCTTTGGGGCCCTTTCAAGGCCGGGACAACATCCCCTGCAGCTGGTGCTGCATCTGTGCCCGGGGCAGCAGTCTTCTTGGCGTTAACATCGCGCCTCGGACGACTGCGTACTCTCTTGCGCTTAGCCAAAACCTGTGCTAAATGTCAGTCAAATTCCTGTAAAGTACGAGGACGGGGAATCTCACAGGAGGTGGTGGGGTTGGGGCGGGGAGCTGGGCTTGCAGTGTCTCCTTTAGGGCATCATACTGGGCCTTCCGTGCGGCCCGCGCCTGAGGATACTGTCAGTATTTACTCTCCTCGAGCTACAACGCCTTCGCTCAACAGAGAAACGCGTGTGATACACGTGGTATAACGAGGACATGACATGGTGCATAGCTTACTTGCTCCTTTCTCGCTTGCTTAGCGCGCTGTCTCTTCCTACGTCGTTGCAGAAAAGGCCTATCGGCCGGCTTTTGGGGAGGGGGGAGGGGGCGGCGGGGGAGGTCGAGGAGGACCAGCAGCGCCGACGGTAGTGGGCTGTTCAGTCAGGGTAGACATGCTGTTGATGAATGAGAGATGTGGTAGAGGGAGAGGAAGTAGTGGGAGGAAGAGCAGAAGGGCAAGGAGACTTGAATCAGTGTGAGTAAACGCAGCAGGTGATTGGCGAATCCATGTGACCTTCTATGATTTTCTCCTCCCCAATGTGAAGTGGACAATACAAAGGTGTGAGTTAAACATATCTGAAGTCAACTGATGAGCGTACAGGACGCATATTTCATGCGTCTCACCTTCTGTTGATCGTATATTGACTTTCAATCTTTCATTCAGGTAGCCTACTAACAAACATGACCCTTCCTCCAGCAAAGGTCTATGAAGGTGCAACAAGCTGGATGGTTTATGTGCAGAATGGCAGAACACGAACCAAGCGTCGTCCTCCATATACCTATCCCATCCTGTCTTCAATCTTCGCCTCACTGTCCACATGATACAACCTCAACGCAAAGGCCCGTTGTGCTGACCGAGCTTTTTCAAAAGTGCAACATTATTGTGGACAGTAGCAGCATACGCCCGACTCGTGGTCATCAAAATGATGATGCAGTCCACCATCGTGAGCCTTCCTCTCACGTTTTGAACGCAATGGAAGGCTAGAATGCAGAGCCGGTATTCTCAAAGCTCAAACGAATATGATCAAGTTGCTAAAACCTCTACAGATTATGAGCAACTGATTCTCGATATCTCGCATGGCAGATCTCTATTTCTTGCCTTAGCAAGATATGACTACGTTTCCGGGGAGGTCCAGCCCCTTTTCCCCCTGGAGGTTGACGTTACTGAGAGCCCTTCCAAGTATGCTTGTGAACGGCCCTGCCAAATTTCTAGTTTCTTACATATCATCTCAGACTTAGGTTTGTCAACAATCTCAACATGGATTTCGAGGTCTCCATCAGTAGACCTTCTGACAGGTTCTGCGTCCGTGCACCTCCATCCAAATCCATCCTTCCATAATCTTCAACTAGCAAGTCCCTGCTATCATCCACATGATCCTCACTGACGTCTAATAAGTGCCTCTCGGCTTTGAGTATAATACTATGAATAGGCTGAGGGTGGACAGCATCCAGAGGAGATGCGAAACCTGTGTCTCGAGATCATCCACGATATGGCAGTGGTAAATGCTCCCAGTCATTAAAGTCATAGCTGGTCCGGATATAACTAACATTCCTGGTTCTTCTAGGATGCAGATGGGCGGGAGAACCCATCTACGCAACCCGATATTAAGGGAAAGGGAAGGGCCAAGGAGCAGTAATATAACGAGTATGGCTCGCAACAAAGTTTGAACTTGTTTCCCTTCCTTTTTTGAATAATAATTGATGTATCCACATGAGTATAGAACGCAGTGATCATTGAATCATACCACATTATTTTCACCAAATTTGTGCCGAAATTGTCCCCCACACAAGGGGAATTATAAGCATCAACGCTCCACAAACAAGCATATTCCTTACGGCGCGCTTATGATGAGCCTCCATTGTTTTGGAAATCCGTTCTGCCCATGCCTTGGGAGGATTCCCATTGGGGAACTTAACGCCAGGCACTGGCTTGTTCAGAAACACACAAAGAGGCTCCCATCCATCTTCAACAGTCCACTCGAGAAGACGATCTTCTGGCAAACCAAGGCCTTTAACCATCGCCACATGCTGCTCATAGACCCATTTCCCGTTTGAGTGGAAACTCCCCCTGAAGAATCGTGGCATCATTGTTCTTGACATGGTCTGGCGAACCCAGAAAAGCTCTGCACTAAACCAAGATTTGCACCGGTCCCAGTCAAGAGGATTCCTGTCGAAATAACCCATTGTGTTTTGCATGCTTTGGTGCCAACTGTCAAGATCCCGGCGGACATTGAGTATGACCTTGGCATCGGGGTAGGCTTCGATGAGTTCCGGGGCGAACTCTGCTGCGAATAAATCGCTGACACCCACACTATTCAGTAGGACGGCATCGAAATCTTCAGCGGTCAGCTTTGTTGTCTTTCCGGGGTCTGGGGCTTTGGTGTATTTCTTTTGCAAAAGGCGATATATCCCTTCTAAGGATGAGGGAGGGAGGATTGTGTCGAACCCATGGTGAGTGTGATTGAATCCAATAATATGCAATGCTTCACGAAGACTGTCGGTTCCGCTTCGTGAAATTCCGATCGCCAGCACTTGCATTGGCTCTTTGCGTGTGCCACTGGTTGGAGGCGGGAGGCCGTAGATCGAATGAAGAATCCGGTCCGTCAAGGCCATAGCTCGTTGAATGGCATACAATAATGAGGGAGAAGATTTTCAAGAACAATGCGTACCAGAAAAATGTTAAGGGAGCGTTTCCATTGTTGTATCGATGTCGCTGATGTGAGGCGCGACATGGCGCCTGTTTTGTGTAAGCCGTGCGTCGATGACGCAGTTGGGTCGACTACGTTCAGTAGCCTGACACACGCCCCCGAGTTGATCATTAGCAGATCAACGATGTGAAACCCACCTTTCGTGTTTTTGGAGGATACATAGTTTGCTTTTCAGCGTCTCATCCCGCGTTGCTCATACGGGCAGGGGCATGTCACCTTAGGCATCTTGCCTCGGAAGTCTGCCTTGATATGCTACCAAACAGCGGCAGGCGAATATTACGGAGTATGAAATCTTCTTGAGAATAGCTAAGTCGAGCTTCTGAATATTCAGGGGAGATCTTGGTTGCTGATAACTGGCTGAAGCCACTTGTCTATCCCACCAACTTTCACATGTTTGGCAGTATACAGCCTGTTCGATGACTCTGGTGCATTAACAGCCATGCTGCAGCATTCGAACTATTAATCGCAATATCCATCCTTTCTGCTTTGTCTATTTCATCGGATCAAGCGACAAATAATGAATGGTACTTCTAAAAAGGGTAAAGAGGATGGTTAAAGGGGCTTTGATACATTTGACGGCTCTGATTGTTTCTTTCATAGCATTGTGTGCTCTTTCTCCAATCGAAAATATCGACTTCGATGAGATGTATATAAACATGCTCAATCCCATCCCAGCATCTTCTTGAAAGTCATCCACCTTATCATCGCAATCGATCCAGACATCAGCACTAGTCATTACTTCACTGGGATCCTTCTATAATAGTGTGGTTTGTTCCCCAATTCTCATCCATCATCATCATGCCGACCGTAGCAGGAAACGCCGAGATTAAGTTTAAGCGAAGATGCGATCGATTCAAAGTTGACCTACAAAGAGAAATCGATGTGCTCACAGCCCGCGATGCAGTTTCACCTATCCGACTGGCATTGTCGGTTGACAATCTCGCCAATCTCATTGCCGAGTTGAGTGTCATTGAACGCGATAATGCTATCATGTGCAAGGAGATGCCAAGGTGCCGTACAATGATGGCTTCACCTGGTTACTATGCCCAGAATTCTGGGTTCTCAGTGAACACTCGCAAGCTCAAGGATCATCTGGTTGTGCTGAAGGAGAATCTATTCAGCAAGCACAGTGACCGACACTGGACGTTCCGTCAGATCGAGAGTTTACAGCGGTACTTGATTCTTTAGATATATAATGGTCTATCGGGCTAATTCAGGCAGCTTTTGGGTTTTCTGGAAGACTCAAGGCGAGAGGGAAATCCGGCACACACTCCATAGTCGCTCAAGAGCGTGCATAGATATCATACTGTGTAGGAGAATTTACAATGCAATCTCCATATTCATTATAAACATTTCACCCATTTCTTTTGGTTTCTCTCATCGGCATCTTCTTTTAACTTTGACTCCTTCAGTTCGCTAAAAGCTGCCTATGTGGAGTAGCCATATCCACACTCGCGCTGGTTGGATCCCCTCGGGTTATTGTCCAACGAGATGCCAAATGCCAATGAGCAATTCTGAGGCTTGAATATATCTCGTTCCGAGTCTCATACATAGTTCTGCTGATAATCCCCTAAGCCATTTTGTTTCCCGAGGTAGACACCTAAGCCACCTGTCTCTTGTTAATAGCCCAGTACACCGGTGTGCAGATTCGTCTGATGTTGCGCTAATGAAGCCCCAAGTCAAAACAGGACACGTGCATGAATCCTGCCTCTCAGCTGGTCTGGCCAGAATGGATGAGATAACCTGTGGTTGATGTCGAGACACTGTCCTTGACCCGCTGAGGGTGACGGCCATCAAACCCAATCGGAACGAGGCGTTAATAGCGTTCATCAACCCCTGTCTCTTAAGCCAGACGCTTGCAAGTCGGCATTCGGGGGAATTCATTAATTTGTGGGGAACCCCCCGCGGGGAAACAGTGGACTTTGCGCTAGTCCTGTCCTATCGGTCAATACTACTGGCCCGGGGCTCTTTACGCCGAACTGCCAAGTCTGCTCGGCGAGGACTAAACCGAGAGGATATGGGGTTGAAATACTCGCGTGGGGAAAAAGACCTGGGGCCCCGGATTCTAGCATCTCTCTAGTTTTCCTGTCAAACCACATTATGGGTCTACGTGGAAAATACCTACACTGGGCTGTGACGGCTGCAAGCTGTCAAGCCTTTCTGCTCCTGGGTTATGACCAAGGAGTGATGAGCGGCCTCATTGGCGCGAACAACCAGTTTGGACAAACCTTCAATAACCCCGACAGCACCATGCAAGGCCTTCTCACGTCGATATACGATATTGGTTGTGCAGTTGGCTGTCTTCTCAGTCTCGTCATTGGTCACAGATATGGCCGTCGCAAGATGATCATCGCGGGTGGTTCAATCATGATTATAGGAACGATCATTCTTGGTAGTTCATACAACGTTCCCCAATTCCTTGTGGGTCGAATAGTAACCGGTCTGGGCAACGGAATGAACAGCAGTACCGTTCCAGCCTATCAGTCTGAGCTCGCCCGTCCAGAGCAGCGCGGAATGCTTCTCTCTGCACAAGGCACCGTAACAATCCTCGGTCTTTGCATCGCATACTGGCTGGACTATGGTCTGAGCTTCGTGGACACTCCTGTTCAGTGGCGCTTCCCAATCAGTTTCCAGGCCTTTTTTGCCATCTGTTTGGTTTTGCAAATGATTCCTCTGCCCGATTCACCTCGCTGGCTCTGCGAACAGGATCGCAGTGACGAGGCTGCTTCGGTTCTAGCACGTCTTCAATTGGATCAGCCGGCTGATGCATCTCACCCTGAGGTTATTTATCTACGTCATCAAATCGAATCCTCTATCGAGATCGAGTCTGCTGGTGGACCGTTCAAGTACAAGGAGCTCTGGTCTGGTGGTCGGATGGGCAACCTTCGTCGCATGATTTTGGCTGCTGTGGTTAATATTCAGCAGCAGTTCACGGGTGAGCATCACCTATCCCATTGCTGGGAAACAGTAAGACTGACATCCCCTAGGTTCTAATATGATCAACTACTATGCTCCCGTTGTCTATCAGGTATGCCTTTCGCGTTTCTGGTTTCCGGTTGAACGAGATGATCTAATAGCAGTTTCACAGAACGCCATGAATCTATCTCGCAATCTTTCCCTTGTCCTTGGCGGCTGCACCTCTCTCGCCTATCTTGTCGGATCCGTCATTCCCTTGTGGAGTATGGACAAATTTGGTCGAAGAGCATCACTGATGTTCTCTGCCGCCGGTCTATGTTTCTGTTTCGTTATGACTGCCATCCTTCTGTCTATCGGCACTGAGCCATGTGCATATGCGGCTACCGTATTTGTGTTTATATTCCAGCTCTTCCTTGGCGTTGGTTATCTGCCAGTTCCCTGGTTGGTCTTCCTTTTTATTCTGGTCCATTTGTGCGCAGTTGCTGACAGCAAACAAGGTTTTATCCCTCTGAAATCTCAACTACTCGTATCCGCGCAAGAGCTCAGGCATTTGGAGGATTTGTCAATTGGATGTGTGTTTGTAAGTCAACCAAGTTCAGCCCAAAAGGTGTGGCTCGGTTAACTAACTCCTCCAGTTATTGTGGTACAAATTACGCCAACTGCAATCGACAATATTGGTTGGAAAACATTCATCATCTTTGCCTGCTTCTGCTTCGCCTGGGTATGACTCCTCTATAAAACAGTCTACTTTGTGACCCATCATACTGACTTGACTTAGATTCCTATGGTCTACTTCTTCTTCCCCGAGACCAAGGGTTTGGAGCTAGAGGATGTGGATTACCTCTTTGAGAGAGGTGGTATTACTGGAGGCGTTTGGGAAACTAAAGGATTCCCCGTCCGTCCTGGGCATCACCGAACATTGGCCGTGGATAGGGCTGATAAACCAAAGATGGACGCTGAGCACGTCGAGGTATAGAATTGAAGCTGTACAAAGAACGTTCCTATGGTTTGTTTGTCTTAATCATATATAGAGATACCTTTAGACTTCATTTCATATGAGACAAGATTTTTTATTTGCGGTTCTATGTGAATATAGGCTTTTGCACCATCAATATGTGCAGCATTATGTTGGGAAGCAGTTTATTGATAGAAACTTGTAGTAGTATTAATCAACTTCCATCGAGACATGGGCGGAGCCAGTGCCTCTACGATCCCTCCCATGGGATACTGGACTATCCTGCCTGTCTGGCGGTGTCTTCGTCGAGCAATCTCCGAGGGTGCCTGCAAGAGTATGCGCGGCTCAATTAATACCTCCAATATTCTTTGAGTGCTAGCAGATATTTGACGCAAGTCATGGGAAGCCTTACCATTGCACCCACCAGCCTTTGTGGCAAGGCCAGCTGGGGTAGATTGGAACTGTGGGTGTCGTGGGTTCAACGGTCTTCCTGTACGATGCAGGTAATCAATACCTAGTCACCGTACGTCGGAAGACCCGATATTAACTACCTACCGGGTTCAACACCTTTCTGTGTAGGTAGCTCCACCGCATTTCTGATTGAAGTTTTCTTCAGTGAGATTTGCAACCTGGAAAACATATTTGTTCATTGGTTCTGTAAACTCATTCCTGGTCCTTATGCCTTGGGACCTCCAGTCTTGTGAGGAGGGCAGTAGGCAAAGTTTTTATATATACATACATGTACACAGGTTACGTACATAGGTGATATATGGATATGTATGTAGGTAGATCCCAAGGTTCACATGTCCCACCCGCCTAGATGAGTGCTTGGCCCGTAGGAAAGCTCTTCGGAAATCCACACCTGTAGCTTCCAGTGTTTTAACCGGCGTTGGAAGGCAGATGACCACCGCGCCTTTATTCCCAATCGAGAGGCTCCCAGGAAGCGACTGCTACTGCCCTCGCTAAATTTGGATATATTGGTTCAAACACGGCGCATAGATCGTGCATTACGCTGTGGATAGACGAGAAGATCACCTTTTTGGAATATCTGTCAGGGACCTCTGCCTGGTGGGATCGGGAACTGTACAGGCTTAGATAATAATTCTAAGAGCTGAGTCCTAATACAATACGACGACCACCCATTGATATGAGAATTTTACAACTGCTGCTAATGAGCCAACGGGATGTCATATTTATCCAGAGGCTTTTCTCAGCCTCACGCCGAAGAGACACAACGGGGCAGACGCCACCGTCACTTTCCAGCGCTGATATCCTATCCTGGCAACGCTCATCCTTCCGCTTCCTTCTTACGGAGGTATCTCCGAATAGCCTCCGCCACTCGGTCAGGGGGCGCCGCTGGGTTTCGGTACTGGAGGACCCTATATTGTGGTTAGCAACTATTTGCTTGTTTTACCCACTGATGTCTTTGGTTTACATACCAGCAGGAGCCACATCGCTCGACGCGGCGGCCTCTGTAAAGGCCGGAGTCATGTTCTCACTGGCCGGGGCCAGAAGTTCCTCGCGCGAGGTGGAGGCAGCCGCAGTACCGCCTGGATCAGACTTTCTGGGACGACTCCGATACCTCTTCCGCTTTGTGGAAGGCTATACTGTCTATTAGCTGGTTGCTATCAAACGAAACAAACAAGGCAGAGGGCTCTCACGGCAGGGGAAGGGTGTTTAGGCTTTGTGGGGATTAAATCCACAATGGCTTTCTTGCTGGCCGCCTTCTTAGCCCGAGCCTATTGTTGTTATTAGAATGAATCTATCCTTTCGTTTGAGAACCATTACGGTTCACCCAGTGGAAGGTCACATGGATGCTGTGGCATATGGCACACGGGAGGGAAATCGAGGACAGTGTCGTAGATATGAATCCATCCCAAATCACTGACTTACCTTTTCCTTTCTGGCCTGTTTGGCCCTTTGCCTCTTCCTGCGTCGCTGCAGGAAGGGTTGGTCAGTGAGCTTTCGCCCAGGAGGAGGGGGGGGGGGGAGGGCCAGCAGCAGCGGCGCAAGACAGAGCCACAGTTGACATTACGACAAATGAAAAGAACAACGCCGAAAACAGGAAAGATAAGGGGCGACGCTGCGCCAGGTATGTAAAGTTATGGGTTGATGAAAGGGAAAGAGAGGTTGAAGAGAGATGAAAAGCCATAGTACGGTGATGGGACAGGGTTTCAGCCCTGAAAAGCTCGTCAACATGGGCAAAGTGACAGATAGGGAAGGTGCCAGCTAGGGGTAGGATCCTGACTTTGATCTCATCTCTCTGATCTTTCTGAGAACCCTGCGAACATACAACTCTATAGCCCCAATCTCAATTTGTATCTGTCGCTGTCTTCTAGTTTCTATCAAATGCACTGCCCTGAGCACATCACAATGGAATTTTCTCAAATGCCACACAGTCATGAAGCGAATTGACATCGGAGTCAAGTGGTCCTGGGCATATTGGGATCGAAACATGACTGCTGATGCAATTGCGAACGAGGGCGCCCTCCACGGCTCCCCGATCCCGGGTCCCCAGTCGGAACCCACAGTCAGCGGAATCTGATCCGTCAATCGGGAACTCCGTAACGAATTCCTCTTCGAATGGTGGCTAAGGGCATCAACTAGTATTACCCTACAATCATCAAGAACCAGTACATACATATTGAAGAGGGGAACGCTCGATGGCACTGCACTCTTTGGTACACGAGTCGATTCAGCAGTAGCATCTAACAACTTACCAACTGCCGTAGAGAATAGTAGGGTATGAACGGTAGTCCATGGAGTCAGATCGGAGAGGTGTAGGTGTGTGTCTTGCCAATCTGTATCTACCTGCTATATATATCCTCATGATGCTCGTTTAACGAGAACGCAAACTTGCAAAAGTCACGATCGAGATCTGACAGTATTGAGGACCTGGATCCCCACTACACTATCTAGAACTACCATATAGTGTTAAGTGAGCAGAGAATTGGACGAGAGTACCAAAATCACTACGACAGAGACCTCGACAGATGCATATAACCTTGGAATATCACCTTCGCAAGCAGGCAAAATGAAGTTTTTCATCCAGTCAGCTGTCTTGATGGTAGCGTTTTCACTGTTCTTTTAGATATCCTTTTTACCGATATCTTGTCCCCCGGTCAAGGCTTGCAGATTAACGGCAGAAGAGCGCGGTAACAGGCTTAATTTATGTTATACATAAGCTCTAACTATATTGTCAGATCTCTCCCTCTTTCCATAGCTCAGTTAGTCTTCTACCTTAATCAACATCTTTATGATGCATTTCGACGTCTCTCCCAGTAGACTCTGACATATATATCAATAGGGTTGAGAGCAATATATGATGTTAAAGTTATCAATACCATAAATGTCCGTGGGTACATGACTGAATAGCCACAGGGGGAACTCCAACACCAGTAGAGAGAGGAAGACGAGGACTTCTATAGTAGGAATAGCTTCAATTATGGGAACATCTTTGATGAGCGACTACAGTTCACAATACAAATGTCAGAGTCTACTGAGACAGTCGTCAAAATAGATCATGAAGATGCTGATTGAGGAAGAAGACTGAACTGGGAAGCTATGGACTGAGGGAGACATCTGACAACAAAGTAACAAGTGTTATCAAAACAGCCTGAACCCAGCCATATTCAGGCCAGGAAGTTCGATTTTGGTTAAAATAGATCTCTGAGCACTATACACCCTCGCAACTATGTAAACTAGTTAGGTATAAAATTTGATACAGGTATAGCGGCGCAAGATACCAAGCGAGCTGATGATTCGACTTTTTGGTTCATCATCGTCAACAGCCCTAGAGTGTATCTGGTATTCGTGATCCCTGTCTCAGAATCTGCTGTGCTCCTACCCCCAATGACAACAGCAAGAAGGCTCAGTGTTCCAAGTGCAAATAAACTGATTTAAACTGCGCAGCGGTGCTCATGGCCTGAGGGGAGATCTAGAAAGCCACTGGGAGTAGCGAGCAGACCAGAGCGCTCAGAGGTGTGGCAGTTATACTCAGTGAGCCCAAAGCGGCAACATTTGAGTACCTAAGCAGAAAGAAAAACTGCGAAGAAGTAGTAATCGTGCCAGGTGGACCAACCCTTTTACCTGGGGTTTGATGCGCCCCAGCACTTGCAAAATTATAACCACTTGCAAAATCTCGATATTAGGTACCTTTCATATGGTATTTCCGTATTAAAGGTACCACCAATTGAAAGAGCGTTCTAAACATCCATTTTTCTCAGCACTCTGAATAGATAGAGCGATCCCATGTCTATTCATGCTATCGGAAAGCGCTTCAGTTAAGTTGGTATCGATTTAAATCAGAAATATTATGTATACTGGAAGCAGTCAAACTTGAATTATCCAAAGTCAATAGTTTGATCTCCCCTTTACCTAGTTACAAGGTCGAAAAAACGGATGTTATAGCTTTCGCATGCTTTGTACCTTTTATACGGAAGTACCATATAAAAGGTGCCTAATATGGAGAATTTGCAAGTGGTGATAATTTTGCAAGTGCTGGGGCGCACCAAGCCCCAGGTAAAAGGGTTGGTCCGCCTGACGCGATTAGAGGATATCAAGTACATACATGAGCTATGTACATACCTATGTACATAGGTATGTACTGCATACGGAGTACGGAGTAGGTGGTCGCGACTTGAGACTTGAGGTGGGGAAGAGGGCCAATACGCAGGGGCATAGCGGCCAGGGTTACTTTCGGATTTAATGCATTGCATTGCGACCTTAGTGCTTTAATTTGGCCTTAATCCTGACCGCTTTCAGATCCTGGGATACAGTGTGTCGTAAAGCTTTCGGTACGGAATGATGAGTACGCCGGACCAACCCTTTGACAGGTAGGTAACTCGACAACTTCTTTACCACCTCACTCCATCAAGATAAGCTTAATAAATTTGATTATCATTGTATGAAATATAGACTTTGCAGTTTATTTGACATGGGAGTATTTTCAAACTTTAGGGTCCCGGCATAGTGGCGAAGAATGAATGTAGATATAGCGTCAAATTGTATAGGAAATCTTTTTTTATAGTATGTAGGGCAAATAAACTAAATATTACCCCTTCTAGATGAGATAAACTACCAATTCTCTATTTAATGCAATAAAAACTAAATATGTTAAGCTTGTATTAGTGAAGTAAAGTGATAAGACAGAGGTTCCAACCGCCTAAAAATCATATAATGTATGGATTTGTATGGCAGAAATAGCTTCATATTGATAGGGCTAGATGCTGTGTAAAGTAGATACCTGGTCAGGCACCTGTAGGTCTCTGTAATTGCAATTCAGGTATCTTAATTTTTCTGCCGACACCAAATTAAGGCAGCAAGGCACCATTGTATGCATTAAATCCGAAAGTACCCCTGGCCGCTATCCCCCTGCGTAGGGCCAATGCAGATGACATAGGCCAAGTGGAGTGCCGAGGTGGGCGATCTTCTGTTTACAGCTGGTTTCTGATAGTAGACACCAGAGCTTCTGAGAATACAGGAAGGCCTGAACCTTCTACGCCAGCTATCCGCATCCTCTTTCCAAATATTATAGTATATAAATCCTACATTCGAACCAAATAAACAATCCAAGAACCATGGCTGAAAACCCCGCCCCGCAACCGAACCCGAACCCAAACTCAACCACAGGCCCAGCAAACACAGACACGACAGCCGATCAGCAACAAAAGGAAGCGCTGGCGGCCTTCACAGCAACACTGCACTCAGTCGGGGCGAACCTTGAGGCGCCACTCCGTGACCGCGCTGCAAACATCCAATCCAACGCGGTAGCGCTAGAAAGACAAGAGGCCGAGCTAGCGGAGAACACGCAGCGGCTGGCGCGACAGAATCAGCAGTGGATTGGGTTTGCAGATGAGACGCGCGAGGGGCTAAAGGAGATTGGGCATGTGCAGAACTGGGCGGAGATGATTGAGCGTGATTTACTGGCTTTGGAGGATATGATGGATGAGGTCGAGAGGGGTCATGAGGATTATGAGAGTGATGATAACTATGCCCGCAGAGACAGCCCTACGGAGCTGAACGGGGTCGTTGAGACTGCCGATGCAAATGGGCATGCTGATATCGATGCCCATGGGAAGAAAGTGGACCAGTCGGCGAAAGGATGGTTGCGATGGTGGTGATGATTCATGTCTTTGTTCGTTTCATTTGGTGTTCTTCTTATACATCTATATTTCGCACAGGGTATCATTGTGGACTATTCTTCGTCTTCTTGTCCTTCCAAGTATTGTTTCCAAGGTGTGAGGCCTTCACTTTCCTCGAATTCATTCCATTCGTCCCATTGGCCCAGACTCATCAAGTGTCGCATAGTAGGCCGACCGTGGGGACAATTCCACGGTTTGTCAATAGTACCCATGTTCTGAACGACGCGCTGCATTTGACGGAGTGTCAAAGTCTTTCCAATCATGATACTTGAGCGACAAGCGCGCATAGCGAACATTTTGCGCACTTTGCTTGGCCGAGGTATTGACAGTTCATTTGAGGTTGAAACTGACTCTGAAAGCAACACGATTAGTTCCTCTAGATCGCGTACACCAAACACGACTTCCTTGCTCAGCGGCAATGAGACTAGTTGACACCGACGACCGATGGGTTCATCGCCACTTTCGTCAATGGTCACGAGGAAACCATTTTTCTCGAGAGCCTCGCGATTTTCAAGGACGACCTCTTCCTCGACGGCAGTGAGATCCAGGCGTTGCGGCCGGACAAGTCGCTGATTTTGGACCACAGTTTCCGCTTGCAAGCGCTCAAAATTGAATTTTTCGTCCGAGGCATGCTGGTCAATGATGAAAAGCTCATCGTGGTCTTCTCCTGGACGGACAGCAATGATAAAACCCAAGTTGAATTGGCCGATGATACGCATCTGAGCAAAATCGTTTTTGCTTACAGTCAAGGAAAGTCTGTCCTCGGCAGATTTCTCGTCAAGATCAGAGGCCTCCCCTTCTCTTTGCTTGCCGCCCACTTGCAATGTTTTTCGCAATGTCGCGAGTTGAGATTGAATCTGTGAGACAGAACCGTCAACCGTGCCAGCGAGCTGTACAGTTGCGTCGCGATGCGCTGCACCCTTGTTCATCTTCTTCGCGCGATTCGCACTGTGCTCTTGGGGAAGCACTGCAGTCTCCTCAGCTTCATGGATGAGCCGTTCGACAGTGGCTTCTTCCTGCGCTTTCTTCTCAGCTTCATCGACATCCTCCGTCGAAGCGTCTTTACGGTTCATTCCAGAGTTCTCAATTGCCGATTGATGCGCCGGAACAAGATCTGCATATCCGGGAGGAGAAGCCTCGTCTTCTAGCTCCTCTTCAGCACCATCTATGTCCTCTACTTCACTGGAGAGGGGTCCTTCATCTCTTTCGACCTCCTCCACTTCACTAACGGAATCCTCTTCATCTCCTTCGTTATCTAGCTGCGATCCAGGAGCAGCAAATGCTCTCATATGGTCTCCGAATACATTGGGCCGCAACGGTGTATATATCCGTCTCTTCCGACGGGGCGTCTCCTTCATTAGGGGCGGATCCTCGGAGATACGTTTTCGTGGGAGACCACTACCGACCATTGATGTGACAGTTCGATTGCCGATAGTAATGGTGGCTAGTTCAGATGGCTCTCGTCGCGGGCGCATGCGATCAAAAGCATTTTGGACAATATTAGGTGTGGCTTCTGGGTCCCCAGGGGTGCGGCATGGAGTCTCTTCCATAGTGGATGGCTGGGATGCCGGTACGTGAGAGACAGGTGTTGGCTCAGGATCTTCTTGAATGGCTTCCTGGACGGAGATTTCATCATCAGGAATATCCACGGTAGGCGTTTCTGGCTCGCTTGCGGCCGGTGTCAGCGAAGCAGTATTTGGTGTAGCACGCGGTGCCCTCATGGATCGAGCCGGGGATGGCATAACTTGCGCCGGGCTCCCCATACCCGGTTGTGAGCTTGCGAAACGCTGAATCGTGCTCTGCTGACTCGCCTCCGGAGTCTCAACTGTGCTTTCTCTCGTCTGATCTCGATTGGGAGTCCCAATCCCATCACTCTCGTTCAATTCCCGAGCGGTGACGAATCCCGGAAGTGACGCCAGTGGCTGTTGTTTTGGCAAAGGCTTGGATTTGACGGATGACTGCGGTACAGTCTGATCAGCATCGTCAAAGAGTTGCGTAAGGGAGACTTTGAGCGATTCAATCATAGCTCCCGCATCATGAAGCAAAATCTGGCGTTTATCAGGCGAAACGTTGACATCGTAAGCGTTTGTATCCATCTGAAAATCCGCAAAGATAAATGCCGACTGCGAAACATTGAATGATTTATAGACTTCATTAAACGCCTTCTGGATCTGCGGTAGGCCACATGGCCGAGAGTTGACAAAGAACATCTGACGATCCGGAGTCTGGCGACCCTCGCCAAAGACAGGACGCGAGATATGGCCTCGCACCTGGATCTTACTAAGTTGGTCATCCCCAACCCGTCTCGTAGCTGCGGAAGGTTCAAACTCCAACTCTAGATCGAGGGAAATCAGCGCAGAAAGTGTCTTCGCGCCATACACGTTGGCAATGTTCTCTTTGGTGGTCTTGTTCCCATTCGTACAAAAGACCACGACATTTCGCGTCTTGCCAACTGTGTTTCTCACGCTGAAGCGGACTCCGGCACTAATACAGGCATAAGCATGAAGCAGGTTCAGCACTTTCCCGTATTCCCGCTTGATGTTCTTCTCCAATTCCCGTCGACGCACTGGAAGCCGCTTAAATATGCCCTCTACCGACGCGGTCGTTCCCTTCTGTCCAGCCACAATCTGTGTCTTGCAGAGTTTCCCAGATTGCTCAAAGTCGAGACGATTTGCGCGGGGGACTTGCTTCGCTTGTGCCGTGACGATATGAAAGTCTGATAACGCGCAGAGTGAGGATATCGCCTCGCCTCGGAAACCGAAGGTGTGCAGGCTCGAGAGGTCATCGTATGACGATAATTTGGAAGTATAGTGTTTTAAGGCTAGGAGGAATCGAGGATTAGTTTGGTGGTACTGTACCCAGAGAGAGTTGGCAACTCACCGACATTCTCATAATTCTCCGGCGAGATCCCGCTGCCATTATCTTGGATCTCAATCAGGTCGAGTCCATTGTTCTTGAATCGGACCTCTGAAATTTGGCGAAACCATCAGATATTTTGTCACAAAACGGACCAAGGGGGGATATCAACCCACCTATGGTTGTTGCGCCGGCATCCAGACTGTTTTCGACGAGTTCCTTAGCGACAGAGCACAAGTCAACGATGACTTGACCAGATTGGATTTGGTGTACCTAATGAGTGCGCTAGTCAGCTGAAGATTTAGCTTCAAGACATCGAATTCCATACTGAACGAGCCTCGATGGCCTGGATTGTCGCCATCTTCATCCCATGATGTCTGCGGAGAACAAGTTGGCACGCGTCGCACTTAACGCGTGGGTTGTGCCAAGACCGGTGCCTCAGTGGATATGACGCATCTATGTGAGGGCGGCCTCTTGTTTTGGTCTACTTTAGGAATAATACATTTTGCATTTCATCAATTTGTATGTATTTATATGCGAATTGTGTAAGACTGCTAACAAGGGGGAAAAGTCATAACCCAATCAAAAGGGGGGCAACGCTATCGCTCTAAACGCCTCATTCAACTTGACATAACTAATAAACACCGAAGCGATCCGGCATCATGACAGGCGCAACTAGGGTCCATAGGTAAATAGCATAGCAGACCCAGGAGCTGACAATCTTCACCCAGCTAGCCCAGTACGTGCGCCCCACGGGTGCGAAGTCTGCCGTGGTTTCCAGATTCAGTCCCTGGACCAGCAAAGTGGCCACCCAAGTCGTGGCAAGGAAAAAGATGATATGGAAAAGCGAGTAGTTGTACTGAGTGGAACCACGCTCGTCATCCTTGGTGGTCTCAAAGTCGTCCTCGTCATCGCTTTCGTCCAGAGCACTGGCAGGAAGACTACCGCTCTCAACTGCGGCACGGAGGGCTTCAGCACGCATTTCTCGACGGATATTTGGTTGTTGAGTAACCAGGCCATGTTCGTCATCCGTGCCCAGCTGGATGTAGCTGTGACCTCCCTTCGATCCTAGGGCAATTCCTTGGGTGGCAGCGCGAGTAGTAGTGTAGGCGATAGTCAGCATGGTAACGATCGCCCCAAGAACGATGGTAGTAGTCCTAGCTCCGCGGGAGCGAATCAAGGGGTTGCAATTGTTGTCATCCGGTTCCATCGAAACGGCAGACATGGTGAGATAGGTGCAGTACACGGTGACCATTGCTGCCTGAGCCAGACCTGCACGAGAGTTCGATTCTTGCACTGCTGGTTGAACAGAAACGAAAGATACGATCAAAAATACGACCATGTTAATCTGTGACGAGTCAGTTGGGCGCTAAGATCGAGGTCCAAGGGGATACATACGGTAATTGCAGCCTGGTTCATAGAGCAACCGCTATTCGCGAAGAAGACATACATCAGTATAGTCATAACGATAGATGCCAAGTACATGCCGAGGGTTGAACCAATCAGCAGGCCGCGCCACACACGAGAGTCACTGTCCTCAATCTTTTGCAAGCAGAGCTCGGCCCACGAGTGTGCAAGATCAACCAAAAGAATCAGTCCCAAGAGGAGGAAGAGCATGGCACAGAAGAAGGCGATGTAGTTGCCATAGACAAAGAAGAAGGGCTCGGGAATGAAGAACGACATGACCACAAAGGCCACCCAGAGGATGACCTTCGGGCCCCAGTATCCATTCTGAAGAGCAGCACGACTGTCTTTCGAGCTCTTAACCCCGAGGAGCAAAATTGCAAGAATCAAATGGAAGAGGCCGAGAGCAAAGTTAATGCGATGGACTGCGACCCAGCCATGACATTCCTTCCCGTCGCATCGAATTTCCATATAATCGAGCGTCAAATGTTGCAATTTCTTCAAGGCCCACGGCGTGAGCATAATCCAGGATATGATAGAGTTGATCAAAAGGATGAAGGCATAGGCGATTCTCGTCGCCATACTGTTGTTGTTAGTCCGAGGTTCTCCGCACTAGGCAGCCTATGAAGCGTACCTGTTTTGAAACTTTCCACAGGCACTGCAGACCGCAGAACATGTCGCAGCTCCACAGCATGATGTTGCGACCGTGATTAACTAAAGATGAGAACCAAGTCAGTCAACTGTACTAGACGTGAACTGGTGAAGTGGAATTGGGCGACAACATACTGTACCAACACTCGGCACGGCCAGCAACGGGATAGAGAGTAAGGCACCCATCTTTGGAGGGCAGACCTAAGTATATCCACCGTTCGGGTTCTAAGGTGCAAATGAACCGAAATACCCAGTCGATGAAGAGTGTGGAGAGAGGCAAGTGCTCAGATTGAAGATCATCACCTGAGGCCGGCTCCGTCATGATGTTACGTAAGCCCTCCAAATCGGGAAACTTTAACAGGCATCACGTGCCAAGCCTCCAGCCCGAGCTAGCCTATTTGGGTCAACCCTGACCCCACTCTCTGGCCCTACATTAGGTACATCATATGCCTCGACATCAGATAAATATTGGAGATTCTACCCCCTGGAAGGAATACAAGATGTTTCTTGGTCATTAAGTTGGTTGGAATGATCTATAGGAGACTATAAGCTCATCCTTATGGAACATAGTCACTTTTGCAGACCGAAGACGCCGAAGATACGACGGGAAGTGCAATACCTAGAATCACAATATTATAGAGAGCTGTTGCTGGGCCATAGCTGACCGGTAGGCGGTATTGAATCATAACCCCTATACGTGATAAACTCCTGTTCTATTAGGGGGAAAACTTTTTGGAAATATGTGCGAGAGTTGCTTATCGACCTTGTGTTCCTCATCCATAGATTCTATGATGTACAAGGGCCAAAACATATGCGTAACCTACGATTTGGTTGGCCCTATCCTATTCACAACCTAGGAGAAGGAGGCCATCAAGAAAGTGTCCCTGGCTAAATGTGTGTAGCGTACTCCGTAGGAGTCCGTACTCCGCACATCGAGGATGGCTGCAACAGGGGGAACATCATGGTAGATCAGGCATCGACCTAGGCCTAAGGCCAACCAACTGTGACAAAGCAGTATAAAAAGCCCCCTAGGCTATAAACAGGAACCTTGGTTTTTGTTATGGTCTAGTGGTAAAATAGGCTGTATTTTACCAGTCAACAAACTGTTCGTGACGTTGGAGTGGAGATGTGTCCCGCCTTATCGCGTGGAGAAAGACATTTTGCTGTGGAATATGACGAGTTGCAGTTCGCGCAATCCCGGAGGATTCCCGAAGTTGATTTGCAATGTTATCATGCATTTATGATTGGAGGCAACGTTAGACTTGGACGGCATCGTACAAACCCTACTCCATTCCCTCTCTCCCCTCAATTTTGTGTCAATTTTAGCCATCAATTGCTCCCCATCGTATTCATACATCAGTTGACGTGGAGCAGACTTTCTTGGCGTTTGTTGGACGGTTATTCCGACCACGCGGCCTCCGGGGGTGATCACCTCCAGTCCTTACCTAAGTGTACGCTCCTGAAAAACGCCGGAGTCGGCCCTCCTCAAAACCTCTCTTATATCACCTCTGTCGCTCCTTTCGCCTTTTTTTTTGCCATTCGTTTCGGGTCCGATGTTCCTCCCAGTGTCGGCCTCACACTATTCAAAGGCCTAATCAACTACCGCTGGAACACTTGGCCGGATCGCGCGCACAAGATATCAACCACAACTGCCAGAGCAACGACTTCAAAATGTCCGGCTCTCTCCATCGAACAGCACGGATTATTTCCGTCATTGCGGGGACGCTGGTCGCCCTGTCGTGCGGAACCAATGTGCGTGATATTTTCGATCTCGGCCAGATCATGATCACTAAAGTTAATTCCCTCGCAGTATGCATACTCCGCGTGGGCGCCGCAGTTCGCGCAACGCATGAAGCTGTCTTCGACTGAAACCAACCTCATAGTGAGTTGTCTTGTGCCAATACCGAGGAATTGGGTCCTCACAAGCTCTAGGGTGTCGCGGGCAATCTGGGAATGTATGCTATGGGAATTCCAATGGGACTGTTGACTGATGCCCGTGGCCCACGACTTGTCGCTTTGATCGGCACTGTTGGCCTGGCCCTGGGGTACTTCCCAATCTATATGGGTATGTCATGATATCGCCTTGCCCACCTCGAACAGCTCTGATATTTGCAGCATATTCCAATGGTCAAGGATCGATGCCGGTTGCCTTCCTATGCCTTTTCGCTTTTCTTACCGGTTTGGGCGGTTGCTCTGCCTTTGGCGGTGCCATCAAGACAGGTATGTAACACCGATTGTTTGGGCCAATACAGATTAGAGCTAACCCGATTGTTTTAGCGGCATCCAATTTCCCCGACCACCGCGGCACGGCGACTGCTTTCCCAATGGCCGCCTTCGGACTAAGTGCCCTGTTCTGGTCCAATGTCTCAACCCTCATTTTCAAGGACAATACTGGCCGTTTTCTTTTGCTTCTGGCTATCGGAACCTCGACTCTGACCTTTGCTTCGATTCCATTTCTTCGAATTCTTGCCAGCGAGCCGTATACATCCGTCCCACATAACACACACGAGTCCAGGACACGCAATTCCAGCGATCTTGAGCCTATACCAGAGGAAACCGATCTGCGTGACTCCAACACTTTCGAACGCGAACATTATCCACATGCGCGATCCCACTCCGTCGCCTCAAATTCCCAAGGCAGAGCATACGCTCATGACGATGAGACTGCCACTTTGGTATCCAAGAATGACCGCCCGCGCCCCTCTTTTGATACTCTTGACGATGATTTCCTGGATGAAGTGGCCGTGGAGTCTCACCAGACCGATGTCAGAGGTCTCGCCATGCTTCGGACAGTCGAGTTCTGGCAGCTCTTCTTGACCATGGGATTGTTATCCGGTATCGGCCTGATGACCATCAACAACATTGGTAATAGCGTAAAAGCCTTATGGCTATACTATGATGACAGTGCGACGGACCTGTTCATCCAGCACCGCCAGGTCATGCACGTTTCCATTCTTTCCTTCGGCAATTTCGTCGGCCGTCTATTCAGTGGCATCGGCTCTGACCTGCTGGTCAAAAAGCTGGGCATGTCCCGCATCTGGTGCCTTTTCTTATCAGCGGTAGTCTTCACCTTGACCCAGCTCGCTGGTACTACCATTTCCAACCCCAACACCCTCGTTGTCGTCTCCGCCTTCACCGGAATCGCATACGGCTTCCTTTTCGGTGTCTTCCCTTCCCTTACTGCGCACATTTTCGGCATTAACGGTCTATCCCAGAACTGGGGCGTCATGACCCTGGCCCCGGTGTTCAGTGGTAACATTTTCAATCTGCTTTACGGTAATATCTATGATGGACACTCCGTCGTAGGCCCCGATGGTGACCGCGAGTGCCCGGATGGACTGGGCTGTTACCGCACTGCCTACTTCATGACGTTTGTGTCAGGAATATTCGGTATCGCAGTTTGTCTTTGGAGCATTCTGCGCGAAAGGAGTGTCCATAATGCTATGGACAAGCAGATGGACCACCGACTCGCCTAAGTTTGGACGCTTCTTCCCTAACTCTAGGTCATCCAGGTGCTACCGCCTTCATGAAAAGCATGGGCTGATGATTTGCCCTCATGCTCAACCATTTGCCTGATTTTTCAGCAGTTTATCATGACCTTGTGTAGAATGCATTCAGGATGGATGTCATTTAACGGGTGCTAACTTGGTCTACGGGTATACCCATGGTGTGTTGCTTTCTCTAGACTTGACACTTTGTGTCCCACTCTCCTTATTCAGATTACCCTACCCCATAGGCCATGACTTGGTCAGTTTCATTTTTGTACAGTTGGGAAATATACGGTGTTAATTGTGCATGTTGTAATATCATATTGGTTGATTTAACTAAAAGCTTCTTTTCAATTCGCAGATGAGATCTTAACCATGAAAATAGCCCTCGTTTGCTGCTAGCTCAAGATTCTATATCACGTTTCCATTGCGATCACCTAACATACATATAGAAGATATCGAAGGAAGCAAACGGTCAGAACGCTTCGAGGAATCGTTTGAGAACAAATCACCGGGCGTGCCAGGCAGACCACCTGGGCAGCCAAACTGGCTTAGACCATCAAGTACGGTTTCCTTTCTCTATCAAAGCAGTAAACTGAAAGAAAAATCGTTGCAAGCATCGACTAGCATATCGAGCGAGATATAGAATTCACCCACGCGAGGCACCCCAGACAGTAACACACTTCCCAGTTGCATCACCGACCCATCTATTTCCCAGGCTTTTCGGCTCTGGAAAGAATAGAAGGGTAGGGATAAAATATTGTATTAGAAGCATAGTGGAACATTTCATACACACACGGAAAAGAAAGCAAATTAAAGGAAGACGTTTCGCGAAACATCCCGACATAAAAATAACGAAAAGAGATTGAAACCGTTCAATAGTAGCTTTTTTTTGAGAGTAAAGTTCCAGCCAGTGATGACGAAGGAGCCATGAAGGGTATAAAGAATATCAAAGGTTGGACAAGGCCAGCAAGAGTAATAAAGCTAATAAGCTTGTACTACTAGTGATGGAATGGATGAGCAGGTGGGAGATGGCCGAGGACAGGAAGGATATCGTGAGATCTAAACGCTCTTGGGCGATTTGACCTGCACTTCCTCGCCTGATTCCACGACATCCGACAGCCGGATCTTTTTCGCGAGTGGCTCGCCGGACTCGGCGTCCCCAGCGCTGCTAGAACCCAGTTGCCGCTCAAGTTCGCTGACGCGATGCTTCAGGTCCTCCTCGCGACGCTGAGCGTCTTCCAGAGACCGTCTAAGACGAACCTCGGAATCCCGTACGATCATCTCCGATCGCCGCGCACTAGCGTCACTCTGTTCGAGTTCCGTCACACGACCCCGGAAGAGCTCATTAACGAACTCAAGCTCGCTAACGCGTGTCTTCAAGGATGTGTTGAGGGCTAGAAGGCTTTCGAATGTGTGAGGTGAGTCGAGTTGTCGATCAACTGCCGAGGGGGAGGGTTGGCGCATCTGGCGGGAGGGGATGCCAGAGGATGAGTTCATGCTGTCGCCCAGAGTAACGCTGTCGAACATGTGCTGTGGGGCAATGTTTGAATTGTGCGCGTGCATAGAGCCAAAGCCAGGTGTCTCGGTGCGGGAAACGGGGGAGTTAGAGCGATCCGAATGACCCGGAGACATCTTACGCGATGCGCGACGGTATCCATGCGAGCCGAGGGGAGGTGTCCCGGCCTCGGATCGCGGTGGAAGTCCATTGTTATCGACTGGGCCACCAGACTAGAGAATCACAATGTTGATCAGCATATGGTCTTATCTAATATACATATAGCAAAGGTGGGATCGGGAGGCAGGGGACCGGTAGGAAAATTTTTCTGATCGCGAACCTACCTTGCGCTTGGGGCCCTGGCCAGTCTTCACACGATTGCGACTTTTAATTACATCGGTTTTCAAGCTTATCGGACGAGGTCGGCCGTGCAGTTTCAGAAACAGTCCACAGGCATTGCAGAGGACGGAGCCGAGTTCGTCCCTGCGCCATAGGGGGGTGGTGGAGGTACCACAATTTTGGCAAACGGGCTGTAATTGAGGTCGCTTGTCGTCAGTCAACGTGGTCGCCATTATGAGATGTAGAAGTTAGGAAGAGGATGAGGATGATAAGATTGTGAGAGATTTGAGTCGATAAGGAAAGGGAAAAAGCGGGTGCACGGATCGAGTGGTGCCAAGACTTTCGATAACTCTCCAGAGATAAGACCACCCCGATAACACTTTCTGGAGCATTCGGATATTTCACACTTACAGGTCCACTGCCTTGTCCTCCGGTCGTAGCGGCCGGTGATGATGTAGCGTAGGTCATATTTGCCATGCTCATACTCGCATCGCTCGAGGAACTGAAAAAGAAACAATATCAATTAGCCGATTGATTGGATTTCTCATGAGGGGCCAGATTACGGCTCCCCAGCCTCGGAGAACGATTAGAGATTGAGCAAACGATATAGCTGGTCTAATGGGGCTCATGTCGTTTCGCTTGTTCCAACAGGGGTTTGGTATGGAGTCTCGACGAACCGGAGATTAGAGGTTGGTGCTGAAGCGACCGAGGCCAGGGCTGCCAATCCAGGAAGCGAAGTGCTAACAGACGTGCTAGGGTATCCGTCGCTCTCGTTTGAGCCAAATTGGGTGACGCTCTTGATATCCGGTAGTGTCGTAGAGAACGGTATGGATCCGTTGGGTGTCTGACGCGCGGAAGAGTTGTCGGTAGACAAGTCGTAAGAAAACTCACGATCCTGTGACGAACCTGATTTGAGAGCCGGGTCGATGGGCGACGCCCGATAGAGGGTGGAAGCCACCGTGGAGGGGAAAGAGAGATGTCGATTGAAATCCGGCCTTGGACCGAATTGAAGGGGAAACGACGGGTGTCAAACAAATCGCGCGACGGTTATGATGTAGGGTGACTTTTGTGCAAAGACTTGGAAGATATGGGGCTATTCCGAACCAATTTCTCACGACACTCGATTCGAAGTTTTGAGCAATGATAATTGATACTGGAGAGCAACGAGAGGATGAGGGTTCCCGGAAAATATCGTTCCCGAGCAAATTAAGATAGAAACAAAGAATGAAGGTCTAAATTAGCGACATGATGGCCGAGAATAGGTGAGGGTAGGGGTAGGAAGAAGATGCAGAATTGATAAGACGCGCGATAATAACAATCGGGATAACGATTGCCCCAGTATCAGCCATTATTTAATACGGCATGTCAGGGGGCGTCCACAGTAGATATTTGGCGTGTAGAGAACCGGAATATATTGAATCTATTTGCCCTTGTGCGTCTTCTGGAGTTGCGCCTCTCGATGTCAAAATCAAAACTGCGTGATAATCAGTTGATACTGCAGGATCTCATTTGCCTATGGGCGATCCGACTCCTACATAGACCGGTGTTATGCATATCAAATTTCCTGCACCGGAGCGGATATTGGCCAGCGTGGCGGCTTTACCGACACTGACCATATAGATGGAGCCATGATCCCCTGAATATCCCAATTGGTGAAAGAAGGGTCCCATATGGAGATCAATTGCAGTGCTGGCCAACATTCACGCGTTAATTACGTTGTTCAAATAGCATTCGATGAGCATCCAAGACCCCTTTTGATTAGGGGGTGGAGCTAGACTGTGGCGGTGCGTAATCGCATGACGGTTATTAACAAGGCGGACTCGCCGGGAGCACGTATCGGACCACATTCTGCCTTTGGTCGCGCCACCGCCCGCGTAAATTAGCTGTAATCATACCCCGGTACGCCCCCCTTGGGCGCCTGGCCATAGGTGACACTTATTTCCAACTGCATTGGCTCTATCGACTCTCTATTCTATCCACCAGCGGTCTTTTCCTCCTCTTCTCTTCTCTTCTCTGTGATGGAGTAAACCTTCCCCCTGTTCTTTCGTTCTTTTGCCGGCCTTCCTTTCTTTTTTGTACAGGCTGTTTTGCCCGTTTTCATCTTCCATAGATCCAACCACCCTCAATGACCATGCCGAAGACGCGGCCTGCGACTTCGGGCTACGCCCGGCTCGCTCAGGCCGAAGAGGAACGAGGCTATCTTCATGATGACTCGGAGGATGATGAAATTGCCGCAGTCTCAACAGTGTCTACCTCCGCGCCCCGATACGCCCCCATCTCCTCCCGAGCCCAGATGCAGGCGTCCGGTCTCCACACATCCTCCGGCCATCGGCGCAGACACAGTGGTTTTCAGTATCCGCAGGGACGTCGGAATTCCGGAGTAGATATCAAAGCCATCAATGCGCGTCTCGAAAAATGGGCAGATGAGATAGCCGCAAAGTTCAAGATCAACCGAGTCAAGGGCAAGAGCTATGAGGAAGAAAAACTCGAGATTTACCATTCAGTCTTCCAGGCTCCACCTGGTGTCAATCCAGTGAGCGCTGAAGCTCTCGAATCCGAAGAGTTTGAAGGCGAGCAACGGCGGGCCCGCGCCGAGTATGAGGAGATCGTCGAAAGTGTGCGCCTCGCAATTGAAATGGACATACATCCTCGTATGATCTCACAAGGAAGCTCGGGCAGCTATTTTGCTCGAAATCCCGAAGGGAAAGTGGTGGGTGTCTTCAAGCCAAAGGACGAAGAGCCGTACGCCTCACGGAATCCAAAATGGACCAAATGGATCCATCGCAACTTGTTCCCTTGTTTCTTCGGTCGCGCCTGCCTAATTCCAAACCTCTCCTATGTCTCAGAAGCCGCGGCGTACGTTCTTGATGCACGCCTGCGCACGAACCTGGTCCCCTACACCGGCATTGTGCGACTATCCTCCAGATCGTTCTTCTACGATTTCTGGGACCGGAGAAAGGCATGGAAAGGCAAAAAGACGCTGCCTCCCAAGGCTGGCAGTTTTCAGGTCTTCCTCAAAGGTTTCAAAGACGCCAATATCTTCCTTCGCGAGCATCCTTGGCCCGACCAGGTAAATACCGGGTTCCGCGCCGAGGATGCACCGAAACGCAAAAGGCGTCCATGGAATGAGGCTTGTCGGCCTTCAGGGGCGCAATCAGACGATGAGGATGATGAAGACCCAGGCTATGTACCTTCACCATCCGGTTCGCACGAAAGTGCTGAGCGTCGATTTTACTGGACGGAGAATTTGAAGCAATCATTCCGCGAGGAGTTAGAGAAGCTTGTGATTCTGGATTATATCATGCGAAATACCGACCGAGGTCTGGACAACTGGATGGTCAAGATTGACTGGGGGACAGAGCAAGTTTCCATCGTTGCCGAGCCTCCCAAAAACACCGAGCCACAGCCGAAACATGATGAGGACGATCTGATGCCTCCCCCCGTCCTGTTTCTGTGAACTCAAATGGCGCTGCCAAACCCACTTATCATCCCTACAAACGGCATGAAACCATGATGGCTGTCAGTCGCACAGGAACCCCACTAGCATCCTCTGAACAGTCAGCTTCTGTCCAGCTTGGTGCCATTGACAACAGTCTGTCCTGGCCATGGAAACATCCTGATGCCGTAAGTATTTTGAGTTCTTGGGATGTTTCAGCCTTTTGAAGCTAACGATGTGCAGTGGCGTAGTTTCCCCTTCGGTTGGCTTTTCCTGCCTGTTTCCTTGATCGGACAACCTTTTTCGCAGAAAACTCGCGACCACTTCCTTCCACTACTTACATCTACAGCCTGGTGGAGCGGTACACAAATGGCCCTGCGCAGCGTCTTTGCGCAAGATGATGACTTCAAAGAGAGCATGTTCGCTCGACAAATTGCTGTCATGAAAGGTCAAGCCTGGAATGTTGTGGAAACATTGAAGCAACCGGACCATGGTCCGCTAGAGTTGACTCGACGGACCCGGGTCTGCGTGTGGGATGATTTGGTTGACGTCCCCGTTGCTATTCCAATGCGTCCGCCTTCCGCAGACAAGCAAAGGACCCGATCTATGAATTACGACCCTGATGAAGAAGAAATGGATATCGGCGCATCCGCATATTCGCAACCAATCCCAGAATACGACTTATTGGGATTGAATACGTCGCCAAGCGACCTCCCTAACCCAAACCGGTTCGAACTCACCCGTGGTCGAGCTGATGCTGACAGCGAACGTGCTGATGGTTCTGTTGGTAGCCCTGCGACTATAAATGACTTTGGCCACCGAAACACCGACGGTTCTGGGCGCTCTCTGGAGGAGTGGCCTTCGCTTCCCCCCGTCCGCAAAAGCATCGCAAAAATGACGGTTCCATGTCCTGGCGGCTTCCCCATGTCAACACCTTTGGCAGCGACGATCTTGAAGGCGATCTTGGCTATGCAGTCGCAGAAGGCATGGAAGGCAACCAGCGCAAGGTGATTGTTGAGCGTCTGGAAGCCGTCAAGAGTAAAAATCCTGTTTTCACCTGGTGTTAAAATTTGATTGATCTTGTATTGCCCTTTCACCTCTTCACATCTCTGCATTAATTCTTTTTTTTTTCTCCACTGAATCCCCAGCGATCTGTGACAGTGTTTTTTTTGCCGGGATATATGTTGAGCTCCCATTCGTATGGGCAACTGTTCTCAATTCCCGTTTCAAATTTTCCCTGTGCCTTTTTTTGTGTGACATTTCACACGAGTCCTTTGCTGGACATGCTCATGACTTGGGGGAATTCCGTGTTGTTGTATATAGACCTTCTCTGGTTGTTGAGGTTGCCTTGGGCTGTGGCGCATTTATTTAGCGATCTGCCTCATGTAGCATATTGATGAGACCTAATTCTATGATACCTTCATTGTCTATGTCCTCGATCACTACTCCGTACAATGAATCAACTGCGACAGTGTGCAGTCACATGTGATCGACATGTCACAAGACATAGATTCTGATTCAGACTAAACCTAGGGTGGTGAGCAAGTCATCCAATCGACTTATAGCCCATGTCTAGTGCTTCATGGCCAGGGGTATTCTTCAATACGTAAAGCAAAGCTGCCACTTGACTGTGCAATTGATATTGTATCGTGAGACAAACATTTTCTATGCCTAAGCCATTTAAGCGCCAGCAAACACGGGATATTTTCATGGCCTCGGCAATTTGGCCGTTGTATGGACCACCATCCATACAGATTCAAAGAGTATGAAACACTGTACGGAGTTTAGCAAAAGGTACTGCGAACATGAGGTCTAATAACGAGATCCACTATAGAAAATGACCGGGGTCGGCGCGGGGACATAGTCGAGTCACGCGTCTGGCCACACCTACTTCCAAGGTTTGTCTTGCATGAGCGAGGCTGCCTAAGGGATTCACTCGTTAATTCTCCTGTTCTTTCTGAGCCTGCATCCTTCTAATTCATCTCATCACGTTCGTTTGCACCTTCAAGCGCGTGGACTGATAAGCTCTTATCGGCGGGTTTCTCCGAGGCACCGACTTCTGGGAATCACTTCGTCATTTCGAGTTTCTAGTTTCGAGTTGCCAACACAGGCCGACCTTGACTCAAGACAAGTCACGCGAACAACGAGAATACTCGCGATACAGAATCTTCTTCGATTCATAAAGCGCTATCTACGACTCGGCCCTACTCACAATATCCCTCGGCGAGGCAAACGACGAGGCACCGCCTGGATTGCGACCAAGAAATCGACGTGATACCTTCTAGGATACCTGGGTATATAAGGCAAACATTGAGACCGCAGTGCAACTAGCATTGCCCAAGAGTTTCTTGCGTGTCTCTCACTTTCAATGCCGCCGGAGATTTCGCGATTTCCGCGTCTGGAAGACGCTTCTTTCGTTGGCCAGACCCTTTGCGCGACCACTTTGCTTCAAGGCTAGCCTTTTTTTCACACAACATCAAAGCTTGAGAAGCTCGTATTTGATTGATTTGCTATCACAAGTAAAACTTGCAACAAGTCAGGCAGAATATCAATCCCAAATCGCAGTCGCTTGTCTCTCATCCCAAACTACCTGACACCACTGCGAATACTACTGAAACTTGACCTTGATCACATAACTTACCAGTATTGCGCAACCCGATCTGTGTACCCGCTCCACAACAAGTGAAACAACAATTTAGCGCGGTTGCGTCTCTCATAAACTGATTTCCATCACTTTGCTTTCACAGCACCTCGCCACCGTGAACCCGACGACAGTTTATACCGAATCCCTCACAGCAATTCAGACAGCATGGCCTCCCAAGCTGCATTGTTCTTGGATCCCAAGGGATCCAAAAGACGAGCTCAAAGCACTGGTAATTCTCCCGCTTCTCTATCCCCCGCGTGTGATTTGCTTCCCATGGACCCTGTCGCAATGCCTTGCGTGTCATGCCCCGGTGAACCAAGGACTTGGACTTTTTCAGAAACTGCTTCCCCTGTTTTCCCTGTTCCTTGTTCTAGCGATTCTTCTGCATCATCCCAGGCCAATGCAATGGATCGCGAAGAACTTCTTGACTCGGCTGGGGCTATCCATCTTAATACAGAGATGGACAATCGGCCTATGTCTGCGGATATGGTTGATCCAGATGTGTCTTGTGTCTCTTCTGCCACTCAGATAGATAATTCCATCAAAAGTGGAGAGATTGTTGCCCCAGCTGAGTCTTCTGCCCCTTGTGATTTGCATCCAATTGGCCTATCTTGCTTTTCTTCCCCCAATGAAGCTTCTACTATTACATCTCCCCAGCCAGACCCCATGGCTCTCGGTTCCCCGGATTTCCCAGGCTCACTTTCAGAAGGTACAGGAAAACATCGAGTAAATGGTTCATCCCCTGCCCCACCCATGGCTCCCGCAGGCACTGTAACCATTTCACGTCTTCACCAACCACATCTTCGCGCGTCGCCAAATGTGTCACCGGAAACCTCCACTCCAGCTCTGAATTCAGGGCCCAATGTGCAATTCACCACCATTCATGACGAAAGCGATGAAAGCGATACCAAACGAAGTTTCTGCGAGATCAGTGATGATGATAAAGACAACGTTCATCGTCCCAATTTGATCGAAAACGTCTACGATGTCGAAGCGCGGAAGCACCAACTGACAAAGAAAGTAAAAACCGAGCATGATTTTGAACAGAAATCCAACACACCCAAAGCATCGATCTCAATTTCTGGAGATAGCGGACTGGGGAAGTGGATGAAAGCGGAAGATGGAAAAACAACCCCGACTTCTACTGCAACGGCCCCGATTCCTGAAGACAGCGGACTTTGCAATAGGGTCAAGGAAGAGGGTGGAAAGGCAACATCGATTGCTACTGCATCCGCCGTTATTGATCTAACAGCAGGTATGATATTATCACATTTTACCCCAGGATTCCTCCGATTTCTTTCAATTAAGCTGACATCTCTCAAGATATCGGCCATACACCCAAGGAAGATGATGAGGTGCTATGCACTGGTTCCACAGATCTCGGCGCCCAGCGTGTCTGCTTTGGCAAAGTTGATGATGCAATGATCATTGCCCATACGGTCCCCAAACCAGGAGCCTGTGTGTCCAACGACTTCTCTCACAATTGGCCATCTATTAAATTAGATCTGCAACGCCAGCGAGTCGAAGGAAATTTCCGAATTGATGTTGCAGACCCTCATGGCCGAGTTTTCGGTACAGTTGACCCTAAAACGGCACGAGCTCTCTGTCCACTCCTAGACTCTGGAATAGCCACCATGGAAGTGACAGGCGTGTTGGATACCCGAAAGGCGGCACCGAATGAAGTAATTTGGGGCCCCACCTCAGGCATATGGCGTGCAAGTCTCAATCTCTATGGCCAACGAAAGCATGGAGAAGGTGTCGGCAACTTTTTGGCTCATCGCAATATCTGGCTCGGAACTCCAAATTTCGTGGACAAAGGGGTGACTGTATTCAACCCACACGCAGAGCGCCGCCGCCAACTTGCCGCTGATTTAGAGCGTCCTCAGCCTGGACCAAGCATCCGATACGAATCGCGCACTGCCGAGGAGGCCAATGATGCAGTCATGAAAATGTTCGACCAGCTCGCCAATGTGAACATTCCGACGATGGAGCCGTCTAGTCACATAACCACACCATTGCTTCATCATCAAAAGCAAGCATTGTGGTTCATGACAGAGAAAGAAAAGCCTCGCAAATTTGGATGGAAAGAAAAAGACAACAATTCCTTATGGCGCATGGTTCGTACGCCTAGTGGCAAGATACAGTACCGTGAAATCATCAGTGGCCTTATTCAAGAGCACAAGCCCGAGGAAGCCCTAGGAGGCCTGTTGGCTGACATGATGGGCCTTGGCAAGACTTTGAGTATTCTTTCGCTGATCACAGCATCACTCAAATTAGCTGGTGAGTGGACGGAGATGGCTCCTAATCCTATTCTCGTTCGCCAAATTCCAGGAATCCGCAACACGCGGACAACTCTTTTGGTTGTCCCGTTAAGTGCAGTGAGCAACTGGGTTACGCAAATCAAAGATCATCTCAAGCCACGCTCCATGACCTACTATGTCTTCCACGGCCCAAACCGCACAACTGATTTCATGGAACTTTCGGAGTATGATATCATTATCACTACATACAGCACCATCCTTAGCGAGATCTCGGGGCGTGGCGCCAAAAGCGGCAAGCTCAGCCCTTTGACAAGAATGAATATGTTCCGGATTGTTCTCGACGAAGCCCATGTCATCAGAGAACAAAATGCAGCACAGACCAAGGCGATCCTTGGTCTTCACTCCGAGCGTCGGTGGTCAGTCACTGGAACCCCAATTCAAAACCGCATGGAAGATCTTCTGTCCGTGACCAGGTTTTTGCGCATTACCCCTTACGATCAACGAGCTCAATTTTCCCAACATGTGTACAACCCGGTCAAAAATGGGGACCCGAATGCACTTACCAGATTGCGAGTTCTGGTAGATTCATTCACCTTACGTAGAGTCAAGGACAAAATCAATCTGCCGCCCAGAGAAGACAACATCGTCACACTCCCGTTCAGCGATCAAGAACAGCAAGTGCATGACTTCTTCCGTGCGGAATCGCACGTGATGATGAATGTCATTGCAGGTGAGGACAAACGCAAGATAAGCGGTCGGATGTATCACCATGTTTTGAAAGCCATGATGATCCTCCGCCAAGTCAGTGCTCATGGAAAAGAGCTGCTCGATATCACAGATCGGGAGAGAATCAAGGGATTATCCGCCCACGACGCAATTGACTTGGAGGACAGTGAACCAGACGAAACCCCCGCAGTCATAGACAAGAAGGCATATGAACTCTTCAGCCTCATGCAGCAAAACTCCGTTCCCCGCTGCGGCAACTGCAATCGAGTACTTGGTGAACAGACAAATACAATGGGAGCTAATCATCGCGACTCTCCAATGGCCATCTTCCTGCCATGTCACGATGTGTTCTGCCCCGATTGCTTTTCTGGCTGGAAACACGCTTATGATTCTGGTTTTGAGACCCAGACCCGGTGCCCTAGATGCGAAGGCTGGAATCCTCCGAAATACTCCACAATCACCCCTGCTGGCTTCGAGGAATACGAGGCTCAAATGGAACGTGATCGACAAACCCGGAGACTCGGCAAGAATCTCGGCGAGTACGAAGGGCCTCACACTAAAACTATTGCGCTCATCGATTACCTCAAGCAAAGTGTCGAGGACAGCAAAAGGCTCGTCGGCCAATCGCCTATCAAGAGTATTGTATTCTCTGCATGGACCTCGCACCTGGATCTCATCGAGATCGCCTTGCATAGCAACGGACTTGACGGGTTCACCCGACTTGATGGAACCATGACCCTCGCAGCACGCACAAAGGCACTCGAGGAATTTGCCAAAAACGATAATATCACAGTCTTGCTGGCAACCATTGGTGCTGGTGGTGTGGGTCTCAATCTTACCTCTGCCTCGCGGGTCTTCATCATGGAGCCCCAGTATAACCCAGCTGCCGTTGCTCAGGCAATCGACCGTGTCCATCGCCTTGGTCAAACTCGCGACGTGCAAGTCTTCCAATTTATCATGAAGAACAGCATTGAGGAGAAGATCATGGAACTCGCCAAGAAGAAGCAAGAGATGGCAGACACGAGCTTGAACCGCGGAAAGCAGAACAAGCGGGAGACTGATGAGGCTCGCATGCGTGAATACCGCAGCCTCTTCAAATGAGGTCTGTTAATCTTTCATCTTTTGAGCTATTTATGCCCATCTGTCCCTACAACATACGTCGCTTTTTATTTTCGTTGCCACTCCTTTTTTTATGTTTTGCCCCAATCCCGACGGCTGGCTGGTTTCGTTTCATGATACCCGGAAAATGAGAAGGCGTTATTATTTTATCATTACATATTTAATCCCTCTTATGAGATCTTATACCGGGAGTTGTTTTTATTCTATTTTCGTTGCTGCTGTCTACAGCCCAGGATGAGAGCACTACTATTCGCGAATTTCCTTGCTGTTTCCATAGAGCTGCTTTTTTTCCTTTGGTCTTGGTGTGCCATGCATCTGCTTCCACATATTTGCCGATGCATTAGATTCTGCGCATATTGGATTGTTCTAAATAGAATGAAGACGCAGGTGGAATATGGTCATCTGGCAAAACGTTTTGTTAATCATGTTCTAGTGGCAAGCTATATATACACATCTAATGTTTATTGAAATGAGATTCTATGTCCGATGGAAGGTTTTATGGCATCAAATACGTTATTTACTCAACAATCGACAAGTTGAGATCCTCATGGACGCTAAACAGCTTGCTCGTAATGAGCAGTAGATAGATCAAGTCTTCCGTATGAAGCCATCCAGCACTTTGTCGAGCATATCACCTCCGGACACAATGAGCCATCCGTCTTTCCGACTATTAGTTGAAAGAGTACAAGCAATGGATTGCCGGAGAGTTATGTATTACTCAGTTCGGAGGAAGAGTATGGCAAATGCTTGACCTCATGGAGTAAATTCACACCCGACAATAAAACAGCGTAGCACCATAGGTCAAAAGTTCATGTAAAGTACATCTACTTGAAGAAGCCTCAAGTACCGCGGAAAAGGTTCAAGTTCTCAAGGTCAATTTCGTCCTAAAAATATAATTTGCTCCCATAAGATGTTTTGTGATCTTTTCGGCCTTCTTTCTAGTGGTTGCCACGGAGTATATCCAAGGCTATTGATAGTGTGAATGGCACTCGGATGCAGAACATGCAAACAAGACCCAACATACAATCCCTGGCCATTGAAGGGAGTTTAATCCAAATTTTCGAATCTCTCTCGCCAGCTCTCATTGATATAGATCCTCCTGCACATTACCTCCGACCATGCATCCCCACGTATGGTGATAGCAGCAATGATTCCCATAACGGCACATCTTTAGGATGAGCTGGGGTGAGTTGAAATATATCGGCTGTAAGTATATCTTGACCCATCTCACTTTACTGGTGTTCTATTTCTTTCTGGGGGGGTTGATTAGTTTTAGTTTGGAGTCCGGACAATGATGCCTCGTTCTCTGATGCCAATACACGCCCTAAATCGAGGCATTGAAAACTGGGATCATTGGGTTATCGAGTTGAGCTTGCAGATATCATGAGCAAAAGAATGGAAGCCTTCAGATCAAAAGGACGACCGTTCACATCTATAACTAGGTAAATTGAAGACATAGGTATCAGATGAGACTGGTATTATGCAAGACAAGCAAATTTCGAATCCGATAGCCGATGCAGGTCTTCGTCGCGGGAACTGAAATTGTATCATTGTTGACTGTTCATGAGATGTATTCAAAGTGCCTGTGCAATTGATGGGGACAAAAAAAAGAAAAAAAAAAAACATATCCACCACATAGCGCCGAGAAAAAGAAGCAAGAAAAAACGAGAACCAGCGCCATTCCCATATTGGTTCCATATAACTCCCAGAGTGCAGATATAGCATGTTCATCCTGTGCACATACAAAATCACTTTTGACCAAACCCATCCCCATGAATACCCACAGCCACAGCACCGAGAACACTCTCTAGTCGAGTCCTCAGCTTCTTCAAATCACGCACCTTCGCAGCACGTTCCTTCTCCACGGCTCGAAGCTCCTTTTCCAGCTCCCGGATTCTAGCCTCTTGCTCCGCTTCGGAAGCGCCAATTCCAGGAAGTACAGAAATGAGGTATTCAATCTGCTGTTCCTTGATAATCAGATCGCGCGCAAGCTCTCGCTGCCGGCTTGCGAATGTACGAGGCGAGTCCGGCGCGGGAGGAAGATTTGGGTCGTCGCCTGTAGCTGGATTCCCTGGCGCAGCTCCGGGCTGTTGAGGAGGCGCAAGCGGGGGTGATGCATTTCCTGCGACTGCGGCTGCGCCCCCCACTTTGTTTGCGATGGCTGCTGGGACTGGCGGCGATGACGAGTTCTTGGTCATCTTGGCCAGGGCCGGGGCTGCGTCAGGAACATTGGGGGGTGGTACTGTTGGAGCATTATCGTGGTATGTGGTGAGGTAGCCAAGTGTTGCGTAGAATTGGGTTGCGAGCTGTTTGGTTCGTATGGTGAGCCGGAATTTGAATGGAGGTGCGGCGGAGGGGAATTTACCTGATCCAGACAGGTCTGGAGCTGCGTGAGAATGTCGGCCATAGTAGCAACCCGAGGATACAGTGAAGTAGGCCTAGAGTGTTTTGCAGAGTCAAAAGAAATCAAAATGTCGAGCGAAGGAAGCGGAGCAAATGCGGAGAGAAGCTCCAATGCGGTGAGACGTGCTTTTCTTCCTCACACCACTCAATGCGCCTCTTGCAACTACGCCATGGCCTTGCTGCCGGACATTCTCCCTTGAGACTTAAGAATACCCGTCGCAGCTTTTCTAGCTCCCGGGTTCATCATGAGCTGACACCGTTCACCCGCCGGCTCTTCAAACTACCCTCAGCCCCAGCTCCACCTTCACAACACCACAATGACCTGGCGACGTTTCTCTCCTATGCGGATCGTACTTCTCTCCCAGTGAAAAGTACTGTGCACGTCGGTACACACTACGAGTATACCGTCTTGGAAACCCTACGTCGTTTTGCGCTCAGCCTTGACCGCATCGGCGGCCGCGACGACGCCGGCATCGACCTCGTTGGCACTTGGCACCTCCCAGAACGGGAACGAGAGCGCGCGCTCCGTGTATTGGTGCAATGCAAATCTCTTAAGGCTAAAGTCGGTCCTAATATTGTCCGCGAGCTAGAGGGAACCTTCCGCCAGGCACCTGTCGGGTGGCGCACGAACCAGACAGTAGGTGTGCTAGTGAGCCCACGCGAGGCAACTAAAGGTGTTCGTGATACACTGGCTCGGAGCACATATCCATTATTCTGGATGATGATTGAGCGCGATGGAACCCTGAAACAGGCGCTTTGGAACGCTCGGGCTGAAGAACTTGGAATCGGGCCTTTAGGCGTCGAAGCGCGATTTAAGCCCACAAAGGAAGGCGCCGAGTCAGGCGCAGTCACAAAGGAATTTGTGCTGACCTGGGATGGTTCTGATATCCCTGATATGGACCAGGTGGAGCACAATCTCAATGGCTTCAAGGAGCAATGGGTCGCATCCTGGGGCATGGATTTGACGGAAAGTCAGAAGGGCGAGCTACTTGATACTGCAGAAAGCGTTCTCCCGAATGATCTCTCTGCTGAACTGGTCAATAGAACGATATCGGATGCTGACCGGACGAAAGTTCTTGAAGCCTTCAAAGAGCGACTGCAACAGCAACTGGCGTCCGAGTGAACACCTCACTACTTTGAACCATGATATATTCAAACGGCCGTCTAGCCGAGATGTATAAAGAAGAATTGTACAATTCATAAGAAAATAATCCAAGGGTATAAAAACACCAACAATTGCAAGACGCAACTTTCAGCCTCCAAAATAAAACGCCGGAGTACCAACACCCACATAATTTTCCGTTTTCATGATCATCCTTGCATCGTCGACCAGAAGTAATTTGCGTAGAAGAAGCGGGAGAATTTCGGATCGATATTGACGACATGAACATCACCCTTGCGGCTGTTACGAATGACCGCGCGGTTGAAGTTACCCGCCTCATCGGGCTCGATATCAACACCGAGAGAGCGGAAGATCTTGAGTCGTAGGCTAGATGGAGGTTAGCAGAAACTTCATCACAGACTGGGAGATAGGCACGCACATTGTCGCATCATCGGCCTCGCGCTCTCGCCGTGTCGTTTCGTCACCCTCGAGGCCTTGAGACTCTAGGTCGACCAGTCGCTCTTTGAGCATTTCCAGCTCACTTTCCAGACGCTCACTCTCAATCTCGAGTTCCGATGCAGCCTTAGCGATGCGAAACTTCTTGGTGTCCAATTCCACAATCTCCTCCGCGTGTTTACCCGAATCGTGAACCGCTACGGCTTCCTCATGCTGTGTGGAAAGGGAATTCAGATGGCGTGAGAGCTTGCGCAGGGAGGACTCGGCCTCGCGAATGCGCAGGTCACGCGCCTGCTGCAGTGTGGAGAGCGAGTCATTGATGCGTGTGACAGCTTGTTTATCGGGGTGGATGTTGAAGTTCCCGATTGTGTGGTGGATGAGCTGAGAGTGTCAGTAAGCCCGTTGGACAAACTATTGCAAGCAAAGAGAGCAACACATACAGTTCCGGGGTCTTCGTCGAGCAACATGATGTCTGTTTGGTGGTTAGAAATGTCGAAGTGGAAAGTCGGTTGTTTTGGGTTTGTTGCGGCAGCAACCGCCACAGCACCGCCACATGTGTTGCTCCTCCGCAAAGTGACGTTGCGCTTGTGATTTCTCCGTCCGCCTTAGCTTTGCTCTTGACTCAACGCAGGCACGACTATTGAATCTTGACAAACTCCTGCGAATTCACAAAATCTGTTATCCTCGTCAATATCTATCTATTGAAAACCCACAACGTCCTATTTCGCCATGTCCAACCTTCCATGTAGGTGGCCTGATCCGACTGGTGCCTGATACCCGAAGACTGACTCGATTTGCAGATGCCGCTGATGCCGAAAGGTGTGTTCTCCATGAGAAAACAAAATTTGCAATGATTCAAAAATCATCACTACCGAACCGTTGGAGCTGACTTGCCAACCGCATAGTCCCTTGAAACCCGCCGAATTACAAGTCCTGAGAGCACAGTACGAGAAAGAGGGCGATTATGTTGGAATCCAGACAAAGTTCAACTACGCATGGGTAAGATCCTCCAGCTTTGACTCGGGGTGCCTGCGCTAACCGGTGATCCCCGCCCATGCGGGGGCGGTGTTGAGTACAGGGTCTGATCAAATCCAACGTCCGTTCCGAGCAGCAAGAAGGTGTTCGCCTGCTTTCAGAAATCTTCCGCGGCGCTCCAGAGCGGCGACGTGAGTGCCTCTATTATCTGGCCCTCGGCAATTTCAAGCTTGGAAACTACGGCGAAGCCCGTCGATACAACGATCTGCTCCTCGAGAAGGAGCCCGCAAACCTCCAAGCTGCCAGCCTTGGCGCGCTCATTGATGATAAAGTCGCCAAGGAGGGTATGGTTGGTGTTGCCATTGTGGGTGGCCTGGCCGTTGTCGCGGGTGTGGTTGGTAGCCTGTTGTTGAAGGGAGCCAGAAGACGGTAAGCACTTGTTTGCTATTGGCGTGGCCTACGAAGGTTATGACCACCGCGGGGGATATCCTCGTTTCTGAAAATTAATCACCTATGTATATTCTTTGTCTGGGTCTTGATTCATTGGCCATTGACGATTTCTTTTATTATCGGAGCATCCTAGGGCGTTCTTTTTTTGTCTCTACTTTCTAAGCCACCAATATGGTGGTATCACTACATACGCGCCAACTCGTACATGAACAAAATTTAACCTCATGCGTACATCGGCCCTCCTATCAATTACTTTGAATAGTATGGCATCCATGGATTACTCGCTGACATCTTGGTTTAGTCCACCAAAGTCAATCACTCATTATCCCCAACTTTGACAATCTTTCCAGTCTCAACTTCATACACATACCCTGTAATTGGAACATCCAACACAAGCGGGCTGTCCTTCAACAGCTTGATATCGTCTCGGACACTCTGCTCAAGATTCCCGAACGGCAAAAACGCAATGTGGTCAGCATTCTGGTGTAAATCCGTGCGAATTTTATCTCGAATGACTTCGTCGGTGAAAGTTAACATTCCACAGTTTGTCTACAAAATGTAAGCAGACATTCGTCAATTCAAGTCTAGAGCCGAAACTCGTTGTCAATAGCCCATGGGGGATACGTACGTGGTGTACGATAACGATCTCCCGGGTGCCCAGCAGCTGCTGTGAGATGATAATGCTGCGTAATGCATCGGAGACCCTACCGCCAGCATTGCGAATCACATGGGCGTCGCCTTCTTCAAGACCAAGGGCGCGAGCAGGATCTACATCGAAGTATAAGCCTCATCACGTATATCGGGGCTGACAGGGACGATATGTACCAAGACGCGCATCCATGCAAGCCACCACGGCTATCTTTCTAGAATCGGGTAAATCGCATTAGGGTCGAGGTAAGGGTTAGAACCAGCACGAGCGTTATTGACGCACCGTTGTGGGGGTAGCTGTAGATCACCCTTGGTGAAGGACGCGACATAATTGGCATTAGCTGCTTCAAATTCCTGTGCGACAGACATGGTGATGCTGGTTCGTTTTGAATATATTAATTCAGTAGGACTTGAGGGTTGGTGGTATATAAAGGAGCACACCCCGCTCCTGGTGTGATTTGTGGTAGGAAAGGCAACATATTTTACCAATCGTTCTCAAGAGCCATGATAACATTATATTGTGTCTGCAAGACCAATCTATATGCAAGATCGATCAATAATGGCTGACACTGATCTGTTCTAAATACATAATGTACATGTATGTACATGTGGTGTATGAGGTACTTAGTTAGGCCATTGTGGTTAGTTCAGAAAAGGAAGGTCCGACCCAACACTTCCAGTCGGGAAAGAGCGCTCTCATGGCTCTTTGCTGCCTTTCGCATTGACTCTGGGCAACCCGACTGACCTGCCATTCTGCTGCCCTCATCATCCAACCTCAAACCTCGGTGCTCTCAATTTCCCACACATCAACCTAGCTAAGAATAAGGGCTACACTAAACTATCCCTCGCTACACTCGTCTCAATCGAGTCTGGTAGAGTGGGATCCGCCGCCTAGATGTGTCGGTCGCTCCGAAGAGCTAAGCTACATCTTAGCCAAAGGCAATGTGACCAACAAACAACTTGCAGAACAGTTGGCTCTCAATTGCGATATCAAGTCCATCACCGGCTCCATACCTGAGGACCCGGTCCCTTTGTCCCGATGGAATTGCGATGAAACTCCGAACAACCCGAAATTTCCGACAAAAGGTCAAGCTAGAGAAGGAGGAGACATTGGTGATATGGTTCATCTACACCTAGGCGACGGTCAACACATAATATCCAACTCGCTGCTGCCCAGGAAACCGCGTCGGCGCTACATCGGCCGAGTCAAGGTTCTAGAACGCGTGGGTCATCTAGCTTACAGGCTAGATCTGCCCAAATCTTGGCTAGCCAGGAGGATACATTCTGTCATTGGCGTCGCTCACCGCGAGCCCGTCCCGCCAGGCGACGACCCATGGGGCTGCTGGCCAGCGGATATCCATGAACCCACACACGACCCACGTTTCCCGGATGACAACCCAACAGCCGCTGTGATGTGGGGTGCATCGTGGGCAAAAGAGATATGGCCCACCCGCGGCCGGCCCCCTACTCACGGTTCTAGAAGGATATAGCCCTGGTCTCTAGTACGATGGGCCATGAAATGAGAGAAGCAACCTCCCCCAAGTCTTCGAGCTAGCCATAGCTGTGGAATAGAGAGGAATGTTACCTCATGTCGGCTATGCACCTCAAGCCATTTCTCTACATAAAGAAGCCAAATTGCCTCTTGGACTCACCGGCCTATTCTGAGTTGACGCATTCGAGCCTTCTTGCAGATGTTACAGATTTTATCAGTCTCGCTGCACATCCTCCTTCTCAACCGGAATTTCATTTGCCTCGGGAAAGATTCAGATATTTATGCGATCACCCTCTTGTCAAGCCAAGCATGAGCCGAGCAGGAAGCATACCTACTTTGAAGTCAATCGCAGATTCTATAGACTAAGCTCATTCAACAGTTTGATTGACTCTTCAGTTGAATAATACATGAGCTCAGTCAATCCTTCGCTCAAACATATGGCTACCAGCCATAGTCACTGGCATAAATTGACTCTTGTGCACGAAGTGCGACTACCCCCAGAGTTGATCTTTGATGGCGTAGCGAATATCATCCCAACATCTACATAATCCAAATTTTCCTCAAGGGTATGCAACATGCCACCAGGAGGGAAGCATCATGCAATCAGGAGAAAAGGGCTCTCTGAACTCCGAAAATATCAATCTATCGGCATTTTTATAATTGCCGACAGATTTGTGATTTTGCATTGGAAAGAAGCTGACATTTGGCCGAGTAGATTCGTTTAGGACAAGCGTTGTTTTTTATATTGCTGTCTGACAGGTGGTGGACGGTACTGATTTTAACCATGACTATGAGCTAACTCTCAGTTCGCAACGATACATAAATCTCTTCGAATCTAAATGCCTTAGCCCAAGAAATATTCCTGAGAAATGGTCCATACTATAAGCCTCTTTGCTACCCTGTTTTAGTACATTCTGAAGGTTTCATTCGTGATCTTCTCTAATTTCCATTCTCGCTCTCTAGTGAAGGATTGAACGAAGCAGTGACTAAGTAGTAAAAGGAATTCGGCTGATAACCATCATGATGGACACCCGTTTAGAACATCGAGGAATAACCGCCAGACATAAGTAAGGAGACACCCACGACCGGATCAAATATCCGAACATTCCAAGAATATGTACTCGTTCTCATTCAAAGAACCCCGTCGTAACAGGCATATCATGTCAAAGGCATATAATAGAACCCAGCCAGTCTTGTCGGCGCATTTGTGGCTCCCGAGAACCCGTACGAGCAGTATGTCAAACCCTATGATATTCCAGTGTTCTGGTGAAGATACTGGTCCCACCTCAATCGGTGTCATCTAGGAATGAGATTGACAAGGATGGAATAACAAGAAAAAGCCAGTCCAAGCTGTCATATTTATAGCTATCTCTAGCGTCAAATTCTATCTGAAACCTCAGTACAACACCACTTCAAGCCTTGAACTCCTGCTTCGCAACCCGTTCACAAAGATCACGCAAAATAACACCAGCAGACTCAAAGTCACTCGTCTCCAAGTAAGTCTGGCCACTCAGACGAGTCCACAGCCACGGGCCATGGCGGAACACCGGCAGGAACGTGTTGTGATCATCCATAAGCTTGGTCTGAATCCAGGCGAATGCTTTCAGGGCATCTTCCTCCGACAACACAACCAAGGGGGTATGCTCGAACGACTCGGCCTCCCTCCCAGCAGTAGCGACAGCGATGGGTAGCCGGACAGTAGTCATGGCACACTGGCGCATGCGGCTCTCCTGACCTGGCTTCAGGTCGGGTTCTTGCATAACATCGGTACCAAGCATGGCAGCGATGGCGTCGGCGCCTTCATTCGCAACACGCTGTGTGTACTCAATAATGGCATCCTCACCTCCACAGACTTCGGCGCGGAATTTCAGCGCTGCTGCGATGCAGATGTATGCGGAGTCATCGCTGGTGGCGACGAACTCGAAGAGCTGCTCGAAAGCGGTTTTGGTTGCGGGTGCGTTGTGATCGTTCAGCACTGAGGGGGCAGTATCCGGGGATTCTGGAGCTGGAATGAAACCCCAGGATGTTGGCATTGTGGTGCGCATGAGATGTTGGTTACGCTTGGGGACGTAGAGAACTGCACAGCTGCGGGGTGTGTAAAGCCATCTAAAGCCATGTTAGGATTTGGATTTCGCACAGTATTCGCATTGATGCGAGTCTAGGAGATGATGATGGGGATGGTCATACTTGTGACAGTTTGATACGAAGAAGTCAGGTTGCAGCTTCTCCATATCGAGATGAATGTGGCCGATACCATGCGCGGCGTCAATGACGCTCAGAATACCTTCTTCGCGACAAATCGCGGTAATCCGCTCAAATGGGAACCGCACACCCGGGTTACTGACGATGGCGTCGAAGACACTGGCCCGGACTTTCAGTCCCTCTTCGCGAGTCTTGCGAATGACCTCGCGGAACCGGCGTTCTAGCTCATCCTCGGAAATCGGAAACTGGAAAGACACTTTCCGGGATTGCAGAGAGCTGTGCTCTTGTAGCGAAACGATGCCTCTCTCAACGGCGCCGTAGACGGGCTCGAAGTAGATGAGTGCCTCGCCCGGTTGGAAGGTTAGGTTGTACAATACCGTCGCCACACCGGTAGTCGCATTCTTGACAAACACGCACTCATCTCGCTGGGCGTTGAGGATCTTGGCAACATCTTCACGAGCTTTATCTAGGTACTCGGCGTGGTATCGGCGAATGTATGGATCGGGCCGTGAATCGGCGAGATCCATGAAGGCGCGCTGTGCGTCTTTCACCGGAATGGGATGGGCACCAAAAGAACCATGGTTCAAGTTCTTGTAAGCTGGATCGAAGAGCCAGTGCTTCAGCATCGGCTTGCCGAAGGGCGTTAACTGGCTTGTTGAGGCCATGATGTGGTTTTGGGATGCAAATAGCGCAAGAAGAAAACGGATAGTTCGGAACGCCGCAACTGCAACGATAAAGGCGCGATTCAAATACAGGAAACGCGATGACTCGATTGAACTCAATGATAGCGTTCTCTCTGCTTCAAACCGTTTGAGGGGTCAGTTCTGAAGATGAGGTGAGTCAGACCGAACCAATGAAGATTCCTGCGATGCTACCCGCAGATCCACATGTCGCCGAAAGGCGTCGAATTAGCCCTACACTTTATTCGCCCATGACAGTAAATGACGAGATTGAGAGTATTGATGAAGCCTGCTCCGGTGACTACTCTTCACTGTTGGTAAGCAGCATCGCCTGGTGTCATTGACTAGTTTGAACCTCAAATCGATGGATTGATCAGCATGTCATTTGAGCCGGTGTCGTGCTGTATGCTATATGGCTGGCTTCGGCAGGTCTAGTGCCCATTACAGCTGGTTTGACATGGCATATACATACTAACAGTGAGCTTTCGCCATGATTCTACATCAGATGTGTAGCTTGGTTTGTGATTACATCTGAGCACGTTCTACCAGAATTGCTTGCTTTATAGCTTGTAGGCAGAGACTTACATGGCTAGTATACATGTAGAACCTGTGTGGACGGGCAAGATATCATTGTGGAAAGCTTGGGGCAGTGAGTGCTGGTGCGACTAAGAGATCGTGGTCAACTTATATTATGGACTATCTGCTGTGTAGTAGTAGCTTCATTGTGCAATTACAGGTGGAAATCTATTTCATAAATCATACAGATTATCGAAAGTCCAGGCGATACTTTTGGTTGCCAGACGAAGTGCTTTTTCCACGTTCTGCCGTTGGAATGCCGGCCCATTCCCAACGCATATGGCTTCCATCGCGAGGACTTCAATGGCATTAGTATTCTGATCAAAGTAACCAGCTGCCGATAACTCACATTTGATGAAAGCCGTGATGTCGACTGAGGACGAGACTGAATACTCAGGACGACCAGAGGAATCAGGATAATTCTCAAAGATGGCTTGCTTATCGCATAGGTATTGTTGCACGCCATTCCCATCCATCCATTCACCAGAGGCAGATTCCAGTCCAATTTGCCAAATTCTAGACGGGATCTGGAGTTGTTCATGGGAGAATGTACTCATATTGGACCGTAGAATATGAAGCACATTGGCTTTGAGATCTGTTAAATCGCCAATCTTATCCTGCGTGACAGCATAAAAGCCCGATATGAGACGATTGCGTTCCGTCAGACTCAACATAGGACCAAAGACCCCCTCTAGTTTCGGATGATCGGGGCTGTTGATGAGGAGGCGGTATCCGTTGTGACAACAAGTCCGGACTATACGTTGCGCAATATTCCATTTTCTCTCTGGGGTTACATCTCTGGGGAGTAAATCTAGTGTCGATGGGGAGTCCGATAATGGCGGGCTGACATAGGGGAATTGGACAGGAGATGACATGACGCAACCAAATGGCATGGATTGATCTTGATATGGTGGAGTTGAAGATGCAGGCCAGCTTGTGGCAGCCGATCGAATTATATTTTCGACGTCTGTTGAGCTATCTGAATAGGAATTGTCCAGAACTGGTTTCGGGACTGTATTATTATCTGCAATTTCAGGGCTTGGTGTGGCGCGAACAATGGTGGCCTCGGTCGGTTCCTGACTTCCAGCCTTTGCAAGAGATGCGCATTTCTGAGTTATGGCTTCAAGTGCCGAGGCGATACCGGGATGTTGCGAGACAAGTTGCTCTTTTATAAGAAGGTCGCTAAGGGAGAGGAAAGAGTGGCCGAGATCTTCAATGCCGGTTTCTAATTCGTGTACGCGATTCTGCAGATTGCTGATCGTGGTCTCCTTTCGTTTGCGATATGCCTGCTGTGCAAGACGGAGTTGTTTGCGACGTTTCTAGAAATTAAATACGATCAACATGGCCACTCTGAAGCATTGGTGTACGACCCACCTCTAGCACCTCTCGATCGTCGGTCACAGTTCGAGGGCGACCGCGCTTGCGACCACTTTTGGCCTGATCTTCTACCATTGCTTGAGATTATCTGTACCTGTCAAATTATCGCGAATATATGTAAATGACAAATGCGACTTGTGCAGAGAAAGAGGCGAGGATTTAGTGATTAGATGGCCAAGCCTCGGGAATCGTGTTGAATAATCAAGAAATCGACCACCTTGGAATATCCTCGAATCTAATTGGTCGCATTGGCTCGTAGCTAACGAGTATTAATAGCAGAGACATTTATAACCGGGGTATAGGTAACTCCCTGTACAAGTCCCTCTGTTGTGAGAGGCTACGGATGAAGACATCAAGATGCATGATTGATGATGGTTCATAAAGCTATAAAGCTAAGAGCTGAGAGCTTTGACCTGAACAAAAAGCCTACTAACTGCATTCTGAAAATCCTCGCCATCAATATCCATATCGTCACTCCCCATGTCATCGCTATCCACCATCTCAATGTCCTCACTACCTATCTCAGTGTCTTCGTTATCCGTATCCTCCCTTTCTGTAGTATCCCCCCCATTTTCAAGTTCTGATGGAGAGACAAGTTCCTCAAACGCGAGCGATTGCAGCTTTGGCAGTTTCTCAGCAAAGGCCTCGAATCCCTCAATATCGAGAACGGTCGGTATTTCAACTAGCACATTCACCAATCTTGGAAAGACTTCCTAAAATGTTAAACAAACGGTTAGTTCAGCTTTTCTCCAGATTGAGATTGACCACCGATGAAACAAACCAGAATCCGGGAAGCCATATAGTCCCATTCACCCTGGTCCATACAAACGTTCCGATTGATATCAGAAGTCCCACTAATATGAAGGGTCCGGAGACTGGGCATCTTGAAATCTGGAACATAGACAAAGCGATGTACGCAGCCGTTGCAATGGCCCAGAAGAAGATCCAAGGTGTGTAACTGTGGGAAAATCACATTTTCCATGACCCCAAATGCTACCGGGCCCGCTTGCAAGTTATAGCTGCTCACCCTGGCTCTTTTGACAAAGTTGGCATAAATCTGGCGGCGGTTGATGGGGATCTTGATCATGAGTCTCTCCAGGGTGTCGCTCGTGCGTGTGTCGCTCCACAGGATACGAAGGGCTTCATGGCACCACGCCTTATCTACCAAGGCGCAATTTAGTAGATCGCGCTGGCGATGGGGCGCTGAATAGTCCATGTCAATCCAAGTGAAGATTTCACTCAAGATTTCTGGCAGGGCCAGTACTGAAGGACGGATGTATGTAGACATAGTGTTCTCGTTGCTTATTAGATAGTGAAATGGATTTGAACTGTTTATGAGAGAAAGAAGATATGGAGAAACCAGAGAGAGCTCGATTTTTGAAGTCTAGATGATCCTATATGACTATTATACTAGGCAGACTATCTGACCGGCCCCCGAACATTCTTCGGAGGAATAAACCATGGATACCAGATGCCTCCGAATTCTCTTTGAGAATTTCCGATATTTGTGCAGTTCTATCTAATGTGGGCATTTTCATAATCTGGGATTGCCGTAAGTAGGTCTGTCAAATACGCATTTTCTCCTCATCCTCTTGGAAATTGCTCCTCTTTCTCTTTGTACGAGATACTTTGCTAGGATGATTCTAGTGGGATACTGCATACATAATATGAGCCCATGTGTGTTGGTCTTCCCTTGTGCGCGAACGTCATGAGCCTGTCAAGATAGAGTGTACCAACCTCGGACCTACTGCTATTTTTGTAACCGGGTATTGTTTGAGAAGTGCTGTCCCTTACAATCTAGTCCATTCTCAACATAAGATCATGTTTTGAACGTCCATATAATTCTTGCAAAGATTGAACTGCATCCGTGCTTTGCTTTATCCTAAATCTGGAATATCCTCGGATTTCAATGTTGAAGAGCTCTGATGCGACTTGCATTCAAGCTTCACCAAGTGTGTTTTGATAAATAAAAAGTCTATGAATAGAGGAATAAGCTTTGAATACACGAATGAATCTTGTGTATATAGAACACGCTTGTGTCATCAGCCGGATGTTTCATTTAACATCGGTATGGAATGAAAGCATAAACAAGGATAAAAAAAGTCTTTCTAAGCGCCCAAATGCCCGCGGCTGTTTCATGAGCCATCAAAAGTCATCGCTCATGTATCATGTCCAATAAAAAATAAACCAACGCCGGGGACCGTAAAACCATCCATAAAAGTACAAACGCATACACTTCAAATCAATGCAACAATGCCACCAGAGAGGGCACACAGAGCACCTGCCATTACAGGGACTCTTGCCTGGCTGTCCGCACTGCCCACCGATGAAGCAACATGATGAACGGAAGCCAATGTCGGGGTCTTTTCCGAAAGCGTACTGGTCAAAGTAGAAGCAGTAGTGGGCTCGATCGAAGATACGGTGCTAGTCGCCAACCGATATGAGGTCCCCGATAAGATCTCAACGCCACCATGGGAAAATACAGCCAAAGAGGAAGGCGATGCTGCTGATATAAAGCGGAAGGTAGACTAAAGAAAAAGAGATGAAATTAGCGGGTGAACTTCAGAAAGAAGCCGAGAAAGGATGCGGGTAAATGCTCACTCACTGAGCCTCCAATTGGTGGCTTGTTGTGGCCCGAGCCTGACTCCCAGTCGTACTGATATCCCGTTGAAGAGGCATCAGGGGAGCCAGTAGCTACCCAGGGCCAGACATCGGGGGTGACCCAGGAAGAGGTCTCTCTATGGGTCCCGCTCCATGGAACTGGAGCACTGTCGACAGTTGCAGTGATTTCAGGGGCAGATTGGGTTGATACAGGCTCAGCACCTTTGTTGCCGTTGACCTTGCCTCCTTCCGCAACGATCGACTGCCATGTGCCGCTTCTGTCGCCATAGCTGTACGAAGTCCCGGTGGAGTAATCAGTGACGGTCATTGACTTCATATACATCTTGAACGGTCCTTGGCTATAGTCGGTCCGACCACCCGCCCATTCTACACAAGTAGAATACGTTAGTGAACATGATGAGATCTAGGTGCAAGGTGGTTTCACTCACCAATGGTTCCCTGGGCATTATTGGCGTCACCACCAGCCCATACACCAACCTTGATCATCATGGGGGTCTGTGGGTACTGGTTGTCTGACGTTTCGGGGGTGAGCACACGAACAGTGTTGCCATCAATCGACCACACAATCTGACTACTTGTCCAGTCAATGGTAAAGGTATGGAAGTCATCATGGTTTCCAGGATTCTCGTGGTAGGCTCCGCGGCTGAAAGATGTTGTGTCTCCTTTGCCAAAGTAGTTGGTTTGCACTTGCGCGTTGTTTCCGCCCAGCCACTCCCAGTCGATTTCGTCCAAGTCGTCAGATTGCAGCACTGCACTGCTCACGATGCCCGTTCCTGCTGCCGCCTTGATCGTAAATTCGACACGGCCGAACATAATATACCAGCCGGACTGAATCAGCGGTCCATCACCTCGTTTGTCGATAGTGAAGGTTGCACCATTTGTGTCATCGTATGTGACAGCTCCGTACGATTTAAAAGCATCTGATGCACCCTTTGTGAAATCAAATGTCTTGTCGGATTGGCTGAACGCAGGATCAGCAGGGCACGCTACAGGCTGTCAGTGACTTCTCGACCACGGTGACTCTAAGCCGCACTCACACTTCTCTGTTGGGTTGCAATCGGTATAAGTTTGAGCTGCGACCAGCGCGGTGTACGACAACAGGCTCAAAGCCGCACCAAGAGTAAACCGCATGGTGGGCCGATATGATAGTTTAAGTAATGTCTAAGGGTTATGATGTGATGAGGATGAGATTGCGGCAAAGGTAAGAGATGAGAAGGGTAAAAAGGAAAAAGGTGAAAACGGACCTTGAAGTAGGTGCCAGCCTCCTCTGTTTCGTTACTTCCCTCCAGATCCCGTGGGGCCCAGGAGCTGTCATTGGTCCAATCGCAGATCAACAGTGGGCCTCGGAAGGAGCTCCACGTTGTTTGCCCTTCCATTCCTCCAGCACGGAGGACGGAGGACGGAGGACGGAGGATGTACGGAGCACTCCGTATTTCACATGAAGTATACGGAGTACTTGTCGGGTGTGCAGTCGAGATGCCAATGTGCATCCTCGTATCGCATGTACAGTGTCTATATCATGTGATACAGACTACGTTCGAGAAACCACTCCCCAAGGAGTATTCCGTACTCCGTGCTCCGTGCTGGAGGAAGAAACTGGAGCCTAGAACCAAGAAAAGGCGGCAAGGCCCAAACGACTGGAGACTCAGTGGCAGGGCACCTATCGGCCCCACCCCAGCCTCCCGCATTAAGGGGTTTATAATTAGAGATGTGATCTCATGTTCACTTTCTCGAATCTTGACTCACAATCGACTTATCCGAAACAATGTGCTAATGGATTCTTTTGTCAATCCTACAATTCTCCATGGTTCCGATGGGCATCCCGGGCTGCGATTGGGCAGTCATCTCCCAATGACCTCAACGCCATAGGCATACGCTGAATGAGCGAAACGACCAGCCATGACTTGCCTGATCATAAGCCTGGTCTCGATTCAAGGTTCACTACAAAGTACCAGCCTGCAATAGCTCATGAGTGAGTTTTTCAATCTGGACCTTGCTCCAGATGAAGCCGCCGATCGATGTGGGTGATCGGATGTAAGGGCGATTTGCAGAATGGACTGGACCCCGATGGGGAAAGATCCATCGGAGGAAGTCGTCAATGTCTAACTTGAGCTTGGGAAGCTATCCAATAAGGACTACCCACATGTAAATAGCCTTGTGACCCTCAGCGCTATGTACCCAGATGTACAATCCTTGCTCCGGTGTTGCACGTAGCACCCAAGCACAAGAGAAAAAGCTGGGTACGGAGTATCTAACTGGATGGCTGTGCAGGGCCAGGCCTACCATATGATCAGCTAGTCGGCGAGAAGGGCCTAATGCCACTCGGATTGCCATCAGTGATCACTAATAGCCGACTCGACTATATCATGTACCTAGAAAATGTAAGATCCTTTATGCATTCAGCCTCACGTTCTATTTATTGCGCTTCCACAGTCTTACCTGACATAATACGAAAGATGTCCATGTACGGAGTACTTCTTTGCCTAGTTAAGGTTTCCTTGCTAATCAGTGCAAATGGATCCGCGCACGAGACATGGAGTATATATATCATCAAGTTCTATGGGGCTGACGGAGTGGATATCTTCAACGTGAGGTCTACGAAGTAAGTCAACTATATATGCCAACAACAAACATCGACAACAATCCACGATTGCCGCTATTATTTCTCCGAGCGAGCTGTGGTGGTGATCGGTGGCCACAAACGTCTATAATATCAAATTGCTGCTCAGTTTCCCTAAAGTAGCTCATATTATATCGATACAACATCAGTTTCATAAGAAAGTACTCAGGGAGGGATTAAATAGCTCCAGTTCGGCATCAACAAGTATCCCTCGAGTATGGAATTTGTTCTTAGAGCCTAGAGTCGGGGATCACCCACCTAGAACTTGAATCTAAAGCCAGTCCCCCGTATACATCAGAACATCATACAAGGTCCGTGCTCGGCCTATATGGGTATGTAGATGGAGAATCTGGGATTTAAGGGGACACCCTTCCTCTGCTACAAGTGACAGGGGCATCATGGAATACCTTGGATATCAAGGATCTGTCCACCTTTTTGAACGTTGTACTTGATGTCTTTTCAATAAATTGTTCACTAGTTGCACCAAAGGAACCATCGTGGAAAATATATGCCCTAGCTTGGTTGGCACTGAGGTGACTAGCCCAACGTCTGTTTGGTAGGGGATCTTCAAGATTCTCTAGGGCACATGGAAATAGAAGGCGAGTTTGTATGATTCATATGGCTATTGTTGCTGAATAGGAGAGCAACAGTAAACTCGTTCGGAGTGGTTGGTTTGCTAACGGCATTTTCACTGTGTGGGAAAGTGAGGATAATACTGTCGAAACTTGGTGCTTCTTGTTCAACAAAAGATCCAGTTTCATTCGTTTCTCTCACTTTTAGCATATTGTCTAAGGATGTCCTTCTTTCAAGCGGGATTCTGGGCTTATATTTGGGTACGGGGTAATGGTCAAAGGGAAGCGGAGTGTGCATAATTGTACCTCGACGAAGTTCCTTGGGATAGTTTTGATCCAGTCCGAGTCTTCGGTCTTGGGGTATATTTCATGTTACTCCGTGCAGAACTGCACTATTAAGATCTGAACCCTTTCAGGAGTACTTGTAGTAGGATCGCTCCATCCTCGGCACTTGGTGGTTCGAAAGGAATCGGGCCAGCCAGGACATATCATGGGATGAAATGCGACAAAGGGGAAATGAGCTGTGCTACGGTGGCAATCGATTTCTTGGCAATCCGAGCTGTCACCTTCTTGAAGTACCGAGTAGAAAATACGAACACAATCCCGGGGCCTTGGAAGTGCCCAGGTTCTAACAGGGATTCTTTGTCATGGCCTTGAGACCTTGAGAGCACGGAGGAATCATATGACTTGCCTAGACGGAGTATCGTGTCGAGGTATATGAACTCTAGGGATGACTCACATATAGAATAGAGGTCTTGACACTCTTAAGGGGAAAACGTAAACTCGGCATGTTAAGGCACAAGCGAAGCACAAGAGCTCCACAGCCTATGAGCCCCGGAGGACTCCCTGTCGAGCACAGACAGCATCACGAACCCTGCCCGGGAAAAAGGGTAAGGTACAAGCATAGAAATAAAGAAGTCAGTAAAGAAAGAATTGAAGAATCGAATCCATCGAAGAAGATGGGGGGTACGGAGTAGAACGAAGAGCCGTGATCAGAAAGCAGGTGTTCCCACAGTGAACCGCTTCGGCGCTAAGAGCCTCATTCCGATCTCCTGGCCCTCTCCGTACCCGCTCCAGCTCAACAGCTTTCTCTTCCTCTTCATGTGGAATCTCATCTCAACCTTCCTTTTTCTTTTATAGGAATCTGGGCTTTGTTCTGGATCGTCATTTTGTTGATCCGCCTTTGTCACGAGTCACGACTATCCCCACTCTCTCTCCCCCCCCAAATTCACCCTGGACCTTCAATAATCACCCGTTCGCCTCGCCATGCGCCCGGGTTGTTCTTGACCCCCCGATCACATCCTAATACCTCATGAGATAACGCCCTACTTTGATATCGCTGCGCCCGACGCTTGATCTGCGCGTGGGTTTGTCGGCAGCTTTTCATACGCCATCGCCATCACGCCCCGCCAGCCCTCCCGACTCCTTCGCGCTCCCAAGGCCAACCCACTCATTTGCCTCACCCTGAATCTAAACTGAACGCGCTCCACGATTCCTAGGGGGTTCTCAAATCCTTACCGTGTTGTCGGGCCTACCTCCGCAACGTGGCGCTGGCACCCGAGACAGAAGAATCGACAGCCACCCATTGCAGTTCCCCGGTCGCTCACATCATCCTATAATCATCGGTGTTTTTAATGCCCGACTGCTCTGAGATATCACCACACCCCAAGATACAGCTGGCTGCAACTTGACCCGGGTCGCTGTGGTGGCACTCAGCTGAGTCTGAGAGCAGTTATGCCGGTGCGGGACCGCAAACAACCCGACAACCGCCAGGGGTCAGCGAGCTCTGGCAATAGTTGGTTGTCGCAAGATACTGTGCGAAATGCGGAGCGTCAATCTCTAGACCAGGACAAGGCCTCTGTTAGAGGTCCCAGTGCCGACTCGTTTTCCGATTCCTTCAAAATGGATTCCAAGTAAGCCTATATTTCTTCGAATATCTGACTGGCTTAGATGTGAGAAAACGCGACGCTAAGTTTTTGCCAGGCAAGAGACTTCGAAACCACCTCGGATTGATTGGGGAAATTCCATGTGGTCATGGAACTCTCCCGATATCTCGCCCACTGAACAACGCAAAGCTTCTGGATTTAGCAATCACCGCGAGGCTCTGATTATCCCTAATAATCGAGATAGCCTATCTCAATCTTCCCTCTCGAATCCTCGACCTCCATCCCTCAACCCGTCTCGTTTAGACCCGGATGAGATCGAATCGATTGCCCCATGGTCCACAGCCCCTAGCAGTGGGCAACCGGATACCAGTGGTACTTTTTATCACGAATTTTCCGAGCATGAAGCTTCACCTGCGTCGGCGACATTCCGCCCAACAACTGGGCGTACATTCGCGAGCGAGCCCGCTGAATTTGAATACCATGGGGAACATCGTCGTCCGTCTGCTGCAAGTGCAACCACAGTCAGTAGCCAGGGATCAAGATCCAGCATTAGCCAAAAGCTCCGAAAGAAGCATCTGAAGGGTTTACTTGGGGATGACTACCATTCGCCCGGGGAGCTTCAAACCGATGATGATGGTTCCCAGAACCCGCCAAGCAGGCGTGGGGGGCCAGTCGACCAGCTGAAGGCGCGAGAGAGAGCGAACTCGGATGGCTCGCGTAATACACCCGAGGGCTCCAACTCATCTCAGCGTTCCCACAGGCAACGGTCAAATAACCCGTTGCCTTCCAGTGACATTACCCCATGGGATTATCAAAGCTTCAATGATATCCCACAGTACGGAGAGGCACCTGTGCGTCATGTCCCCATCGGGCCTGATGGGCAGCGTCTTGCATCGGAAAATGGTACCTCTGGCCAAAAAGAGCCAAGCCGACGGGCTGGCAGACACCGTCCATCGCGAAGCAAAGAAGAAAACCCAACTGTTGCTGGAGATCTGGCATGGTCCCAACCCCGACCTGCTACTGGCAGAGATGATATCTCGTTGCGGCCGTTCAATGAGAACTACTTGCACTCAACAACCGACATGAGTGACCCCAATTTGTATGGAGGCCGCTCCACCAGTCCAACACCCAGTGTCCGTAGTGCATACCGTGATCACGACGGCAATTCACAGCATCCTAGAATCGGTGGGTTCATCAAAAAGATTCTCGGGCACGGATCCAAATCGCATGACAGATCAAGGAACTCCTCTCCCCCGCGACGCGATAGGCAAGGAAGTCTCGAGGGAAGTACTTCCTCTCGATATCCAGAATCAATCGATTCTGACCGAAAGAAAGATTCTGGGAAGGGGCTTATCGTAGGAAGAAAGCTTGGTCCTCGTCGTGTGTTCATCAATCAAGGTGGCGATCTCTATACCCCCAACAAGGAGGACAAGACTCAGGAGGAGAATAAGCATTTCTTCCACCTCGATGTTGATATGGAAAACCTCAAAGGAATTGTCCGACCGCCATCGCCTGGCCAAATGAGGCGTGCGAAGGACGGCACTGTCACTCCAGGCGACGATTCCAAAATGGAAAAGCCGTGGAATGCCCCCGAGAGTTGGCAGGTCAGGGGGCCCGTTGATCCCACCTTGGAAGAGCCTACCACCGTTGGTCCTCGTGAACGTGAAGCGTCATTCTTCATTCGAATCTTCCGAATTGATTCGACGTTTGCCACTCTATCGGCTGGTGTCAATGCTACTGTGTCTGAGATCCTCCTCATGCTTGGTCGGAAATCTTTCTTGCAAGATCATTTGAACAATTACGAAATCGTTCTACGGAAAAACGACCTTTCGCGGCAACTAGATCACAATGAACGACCTATCCAAATGCAAAAGAAGTTGCTAGAACAAGTTGGCTATACGGACAAGGACCGCATCGGGGATATTGGCCGTGAAGATCACAGTTACCTCTGTCGCTTCATCTTTTTGCCGACCAAGCTCAGCGGTTACAGCAGTCTGGAGAGTGATCCAGGCTTTAATAAAGTGCAAAAATTCAGCCATGTGGATCTTCAAGGTCGTAGCCTTGTCACTATACCGATTACACTATATGCAAAATCCTCCGAAATCATCTCACTTAACTTGTCACGAAACTTGTCATTGGACGTTCCCAAAGACTTCATACAAAGTTGCATCAATCTGCGAGAGATCAAGTTCATTGGAAATGAGGCTTCATACCTCCCTCAAAGCTTTGGTTTAGCCGGCCGATTGACATACCTTGATGTGTCAAATAATTGCCTTGAAGACCTGGACCATGCGGGTCTAGATCGCCTCACAGGTCTTGTTAGCATCAAGATGGCAAATAACCAGTTGACCAAGCTCCCCAGTTCTTTTGGAAATTTCCAAACTTTGCGAAGCTTGAACATGTCTTCGAATGGGTTCAAAGTATTCCCCGATTTCCTATGCAACCTCAAGAGTTTGGTCGATCTCGACATCAGCTTCAATGGCATCGAAGAACTTCCTAATATTGGCCGCCTGACCACCCTCGAACGCCTTTGGATAACGAACAACAATTTAAGCGGGCCTCTTGATGACTCCTTCGGGAAGTTGGTGAATCTCAAGGAATTTGATGGACGCTTCAATGCTATCACCAATATCGATGCTCTCTCCAGTCTCCCACGACTTGAGCAGATATTTTTCGGTCACAATTTGCTCTCGCGTTTTAAGGGATCATTCCCGAAATTGCGAAGTCTGCACCTGGATCACTGCCCTCTGACCCAATTCGACATTGACACTCCTATGCCCACACTGACATCCCTAAATCTTGCTTCTGGCAAGCTTTCTCAGTTCAAAGATAGCATTTTCGAGAATTGTCCGAATATGACAAAGCTCGTCCTGGACAAAAATCATATTTCGTCGGTTTCGCCCCAAATCGGGAAGCTACGTCGATTGGAACATTTCAGTATGATTAAGAACCCGCTATCTTCTTTGCCTCCAACGCTCGGCTGCCTTGGTGAACTTAAGTTCCTCAACCTGAGGGAGTGCAATTTGACATCTTTGCCAGCCGAGATATGGCATTGCGCTAAGCTTGAAGTCCTCAACATCTCTTCAAATATCCTTTCCACCTTCCCGAAATGCGGTGCTCCATTTCCTCAAATTCCCGGCGAGCCTACAAACACACCTGTGAATACACCAGGTATTGCCGGAAATACCAGCTATGAAGATATAGGCCCACTGGATGAAGCTCTACGTCGACCAAGTCAAACCTCAAACGGCATTGTGAACACTGTGTCACCAAACGGGGTGTATCGAAACCCGTCCACTGCACAATCTGTTTCACAGCAAGGTGCTAGAAAAGTATCGGCAGCGTCACGATCAGTCACGGATCCTAACTCGGTGTCTCGCAAGGACTCAAATTTCTCTCAGCAAATGGCAATGACATTTGCGGCATCCCTACGAACTCTTTCACTGGCCGACAACAGACTGGAGGATGATGTCTTCCGGGAACTATCTTTGCTCCCAGAGCTGCGTATTGTCAACCTTTCTTATAACGACCTGACTGAACTGCCGCAAGGAATCCTCAAGAGGTGGCCGTTGATTTCCGAACTTTACCTTTCTGGTAACGAGTTGACGTCTCTTCCCTCTGATGACCTGGAAGAAGGAAGCAATCTCAAAATTCTCCACATCAACGCGAACAGATTCCAAGTCTTGCCTGCAGAGCTTTGCAAGGTCAGCAAGCTCTCTATCTTAGATGTGGGCAGCAATGGGCTTAAGTACAACGTGTCGAACTGGCCTTATGATTGGAACTGGAACTGGAACCGCAATCTCAAGTACCTGAATTTCTCCGGCAACAAACGTCTAGAAATCAAGCCTAATATTGCGTCCCTGGGTCCCCCAGCCGCCAACGGGGCTGATCTGACCGACTTTAACTCACTGACTCACCTCCGGGTCCTGGGATTGATGGATGTCACGCTGACAATCCCCACCATTCCAGAGGAAACCGAGGATCGCCGTGTGAGAACTTCGGCTTCCTTGGCTGGTACTCTCGCCTATGGTATGGCCGACTCTCTTGGCAAGACTGAGCATTTATCTATCATTGATATGATTGTTCCTCGGCTGAAACAGGATAATGTGGAAACACTGGTGGGAATGTTTGATGGACAGACCCTTTCTAGTGGTGGTTCTCGCGTTGCAAAATTCCTGCATGAGAATTTCACATCCACTTTCTCCTTTGAGCTGAAGAGACTTCAGCGAGATCAAGGTGAAACGCCGCTGGATGCAATGAGACGGACGTTCTTGGCATTGAACAAAAACATGGCAGGCTCTGCCTACAGGTCTATCGATGATCGCGAGGTCCGACAGTACCATCGGGGATCGGCTGCAGCCAAAATGCTCAATCAAGACGATATTCAATCTGGCGGTGTTGCCACTGTCTTGTACCTGAACAACATGGACTTGTATTCGGCGAATGTTGGTGATGCTCAGGCAATTCTGATCAGGTCAGATGGTTCGATGATTTCTTTAACGCAGAATCATGACCCCGCGGAGCCTAGCGAGCGTGCACGCATTCGTGCAGCAGGTGGCTTCGTGTCTCGGAACGGAAAATTGAATGATGTCCTCACGGTGTCTAGGTGCTTTGGACACTTCCCTATGATGCCTGCTGTCATTGCTGCCCCCTCCACAATGCACACAACATTGACTGAACAAGACGAGATGATCGTATTGGCATCGAAAGAGCTCTGGGATTATGTAACTCCGGAAGTGGTGGTTGATATCACTAGGAGAGAACAGCCAGACTTGATGTTTGCAGCTCAAAAATTGCGTGATTTAGCCATCTCCTTTGGTGCCACCAATAAGCTGATGGTCATGATCCTGGGGGTTGGTGAAATTCAGAAGAGACGTCCAAAGCCTCGTCCTTCTCTCAACACTAGCTCTTCTACATTTGCCGAGGAGCAGATTATTCCAACTGCCAAGCGTCCCAAGAAGCGCGATGGGCCTGGAGATTCAAGACTGGCTCGCTTCGAATTTGTGGATGCTCCGGACGGTGAATTGACCATCATGTTCACTGATATTAAACAGTCCACAGCTTTATGGGAGCTGTGTCCCGATGCGATGCGCTCTGCTATCCAAATCCACAATGATATCCTGCGCCGGCAGCTTGGAATATTCGGTGGCTACGAGGTGAAGACAGAAGGTGATGCTTTCATGGTGGCTTTCTCAACCACGACAGCAGCATTACTGTGGTGTTTCAACTGTCAAAACCAGCTCCTCGAAGCTGAATGGCCTACAGAGATTCTCGACCAACCCCAGTGCCGAGTTGTGGTCGACATGGACAATAACGTTATCTTCCGGGGCTTGTCCGTCCGCATGGGTGGCCATTGGGGCGAACCTGTCTGCGCAAAAGACCCCGTCACGAACCGAATGGACTACTTTGGTCCAATGGTGAATCGTGCCTCGCGAATTTCTGCCGTCGCCGATGGAGGGCAAATCTTTGTCTCGTCAGACTTTATGGCTGACATTCAACGCAACCTCGAGATTTTCGCGGACGCTGAGCGATCTGCGTCCACCAGCTCGACTGATACCAACACTCGTGTTGATAGTCTTGGCCACAATATCCGTCGTGAGCTCCAGCAGCTGAACAGTCAAGGCTTCGTCATCAAAGATCAAGGTGAGCGAAAGCTGAAGGGTCTGGAAAATCCAGAACCCCTCTACCTTGTCTATTCCTCTTCACTTTCCGGCCGGATGATTTCTTCGGAGGAATCACAGGATGGTGACAGCTCCGCTGCCACAATCAGCCCGAACAATCAACTAGATATCCAGACAAACATCATCTGGCGTCTCTGGGAAGTCACAATTCGTCTTGAACGAATTTGCGGTGCTTTGGAGCAGCCCAGTGATCCGAGCCTCAGAGAGCCCAATGTCGCTCTCTTCAACATGGTCAAGAGGCATGGTGGCGAATTGAATGACTCGACTGTCATTAGTTTGATCGATCAACAAGTTACCCGTGTCGAGGTTAGTATTGCACGCACCTTTTCACTCTCCCCTAGTCTATTTCCCCCAATTTCTAATGAATTGCAGGTATGCATCAACACCCTCTCATTGCGCCACATGATGCGTCCTTTCAAACCAGGCGACAATCTCAAGGACCATGCTGTTCCTATTGGCGAGGTTCTGCAACAACTACAAACACAACTCGCCGAATTCCAGGCCCTCAAGCAACAGATGGCCGTTGGTGCTGCAGGCAACATCAGCGGTCTACCATCCTATGGTAATATGGGTCCTTCAGACAGCATCGACAGTGGCATTACCTCCGCCTCGTCGTCTTTCCTCCACCTTCCTGGCGATACCAATCGCTCTTTCGATTCTGGCCGCGGCCGCCCCTAATTGGTGCCGCTTTCCCCCTTATCGTTCTAATGTCAATTCATTTTTGGTTTCTTTGGGTTTTGCTTCTTTTCTGCTTCTTGTAGCTCTGGCTTTTTCTTAGTGGGCGGCGTCCCACTGGTGGGAGGGGATCTGCAGATTGTTTTTATATAAAGCATGGCATTTAGCCACGGTGATTGTTTCGGTATTATTTTTATCATTTACTCTTATCTGTTTTGCTTTTTGGGGCTGTAATTGGCTTCAACACTCAATATAAATTACAGTCGTTGTGATCCTTCATCTCTCTTCCTTCACTTCCATTGTTTCTTTGTTGCCCTCATGCAATTCAAGGTTTCCATGCCTATTGACGTAGAGATTTGCACAATGATCAGCAAGCTTCGAAGCTGAGTCGTCTCGCGAGGATAGTCGAGTCTTTATGGTGGATACCTATGGAGTAGAGAATACTAGTTATATTGTTATGTATGTAGGCATCTATAACTATAGCAGGTGAAATGGGTGGTTTGGTGGTCTGAGGCGGTGAGCTCAGGGAAATGAGCCCGGTCACGTGTGATTGTTTATGCGCGCGTCATCGGGCGCCTTGTTTCCTTGAACTTCCTTGTTGAGGTCTAGATGATTCTCCTCAACTTCAGCTGCTCAATCTAATCCAAGCCCAAAAGATAGGGATATCCTTTTTTGAGTTTACACGCCTACAGTCATAAGTCTTAAGTGCCAATCTCATTTCTGCCGCCCCGCCTGTTGCCGTGGCTACGAGCTGAACGAATGGACGAACTAGGTCTGGCGTAAATCCACACGACAAAAACAACCTCCCCTTGCCCCATCTAAAATTCGAAAAAGGGAGCGATCGGTGGCATTTTACTTGCATATTACAATCTCATCCAGCCACGCACCGTGATACAAGCTCGGTATCTATCTTGATCAAATTCCACATCGCGTCGGTCGGCAGATTAATCACGCCTCAACGTCCCACATCGCACGCCGCACAAAATGGCAGACGAACTGGATTACCTCTATCCAGATTTTGATCTAAACTCTCTCACCGTCCCTCGACTTCGCTCCATCCTCGTCAGCCACGATGTCCCCTATCCTGCCTCTGCAAAGAAGGCTCAACTGATCGGCATCCTCCACGATGAGGTCCTCCCGCAAGCCAGAAAACTCTTGCGCGATCGCGACACAGTGCGACGCACCAGTGCAGGTATCACAGACATGAGCAGTCGGTCAACATCGGTAACTAGCGATGCGAACGAAAGAGAATCAATGCCTCCTCCAGCCACACCTTCCACAGTCGGATCGACGACCAGGGGCCCGAAAGGATCATCGCGACGCACCGTTCGTCACTCAACAGCAGACTTTGATGATGCTCCCGCTACACCCGCCAGGAGCACGAAGCGCACGAGCGTTGCTCGGTCGGTGGGTAAACACGCTCGTACGTCTGATACAGAGACCGGTGATGACGCGCTTGCCACTCCAGTGGCTGCTCCCCGTCCTTCGCCTCGGAAATCTACAGCCAGAAAGGTCCGACGAAGCGAAGTTATTCCCTCGACAGAAGTGGACGAATATATACCTGGCATTAAATTAGAACCGCGCGATGAGAGCATGTTTACGGATGACAACCCTTTCCAAAGTGGAAGCCCCGAGGCTCCTAAGAGTGCAAGGATGAGCTATGATAACAAGCGCAAGAGCCTTCCGCGCTTCTCTACCGAAAGCCCAGCCCGAGGCCGTGGAGTGAGATCGCGGAAATCAGCAACACCTTCCAGCATCCAGTATGACGATGGTTTCCAGCCTCCCAAGCGGGATTCGTTTGACTTCGCTTCGCGATTGATGCCCCCACAGGAGGAGCCCGAGGAGGAGTCAGAAGAATCTGAGGATGATGAAGAAAGCGTAGTAGGTGCGGGTGAAGAATTCACACCGGATGAACAGCTCGCTATGTCTATGCAGGATGTTGCGTACTCGCCACGGGTCCAGCCTCGCCGGCGGCCTCAAAAGCAAGGAACTCTTAGCCGCCTGGCTCCTTGGGTAGTCCTACTTTCACTGGCTGGCAGTTTTGGCACTTGGTGGCGCAAAGAAAAGCTCGAGATTGGATACTGCGGCTTGGGAAAGCCCACCTGGTCGTTGGCCGATACCAAGGTCCCTGATTGGGCGAATGTTTTGGAGCCTCGATGCGAGCCGTGCCCCAGCCATGCCTTCTGCTACCCAGACTTTGAAGTCCGCTGCGAGAATGATTTCCTCTTGAAGCCGCATCCTCTTGCACTTGGAGGTCTTGTGCCGTTGCCCCCAACGTGTGAGCCCGATAGCGAAAAAGCACGCCGTGTGAAGGCTGTTGCTGATAAGGCTGTTGAGGAGCTTCGTGAGCGCCGAGCAAAGTGGGAATGCGGTCAGCTAAAGGAAGACGGCAAGGATGCCAGATCTCCCGACATCAGCGAGCTGGATTTAAGGGAAGAGGTGGCCAAAAAACGCCGCCGGGGCTTGAGCGATGCGGAGTTCGATGAGCTCTGGAAGGGGGCGATTGGCGAGGTCCTAGAAAAAGATGAAGTTATCAGCAAGACCCAACAGTAAGTTTCTTCTCTCATGTCTTCTTGGTTACTCATCGCTCTGGATACCAGCATCCAGCGGTATTTCTTTAAAGCTCTGGTCTGACATTGTGTACCGGAACTGACAGAGGCGAATTCGCTATCACAGAAATTCTGCCGTCCTCGTCCTCTCCTCTACCTCCATTGCACGGCTCCCACTCGCGTGCGCCGTCCGCCGCCACTTCCGACTCGCTCTCCTCGCGTATCGACTCCCTATTTCACTTCTAATCTTGACCTTTGCTCTGCTTGTGTATGCTCGCGCGCGTGTCCGCGCCCGTCGCTCTGATATTGCTCGCGTGCCCGAGCTCGTAGCCACAACTCTCGACCGACTATCTACGCAAGCTGCACTCTACGCCCGCGGCGATGCCAAAGAACCCTATATCGCTATCGGCCAACTCCGCGATGACGTCCTCCGCTTCGAACTACAAGGCAAGCGCCGCGAGGAGCTCTGGCGTCGGGTTCGCAGCTTCGTCGAGGGCAATGCTAACGTCCGTGCCTCTGTCCGCGAAGGACGTAGCGGTGATGTTTCCCGAGTCTGGGAGTGGATCGGAGGTATCAATGCTGTTGACTCGGAACATACCGGTCGCCGTGAGAGTACACGGTTCCCAATCCTTTCCCCATCTGGCAACATTGCAACCAGCCCTCACACTCCTGCGGGTGAAACCAAACCTGACCCTGTTTCGAGTCCAAGAGAGTCTCGCCGCTGGGATGAGGGTCGTCCGATCTATTGATAATCGTCTTGCTGCCTTGGAAGATATTGGGATATGCATGCACCTAGCTCGGCTGTATTATTTTTTTGATATCCCTCTCGCTGTTCTTTCCTGATGTATGAGATACGGCTTTTCTCGGTGTTTTTGGGACTTTGTCTTCCTCGCTTTTGATCCTTTTTCCCTCATCTACTTCCTTGGTACATATTTGTTGCTGTTTATATCAATTTTATTGCTCAATCAAACACTTCCTTTCCATTGCAACCACCGTATTAGCGCTGCTCTTCTGCACCGTCTGCACTGTCTAGGCCCGTTGTAACCGTCGCGTTCGGATTGGTCAGAGTCTTGGCGCCAAGCTGAACCCTGCATGGCATTGCAGTATGGAACTCCACGCCGCAGAGCTTTGGTTCATGGCCCTGGAGGATTACTCTCTACTAAAGCAAGCAAAGGAGTTTGTACAGATCATCCCGTAAATGAGCAGATAATAGCCGGAGAACCACGACCAACGCCAGTACCCTGTCTCTGATGTTTCAGAGTCCCCAACCGAGTTCCCAACGACGAAGATCCATACCCATACAATGCTAGCACGCTCTCCTCGAATTCTGAGTGTTAGCGCGCAGAGTGGATAATGCATCCATATGTGAGTTATGCTGCATGGAGTATATGCCGCTCGGTCAACAGTGGAGAAACTAGAAAGTTCGTCTGCTCGTGTGACCGATGGTGAGTCTAGAAGTTCCATTTCATTCCTGTTCCTTGTTTTCCCGTTTCGAAACATCCTAGGTGGCAGGGAACATTAGTCCGAATCTCTGGATGGATATATCCCACGGGCCATTCGATACGTTCCAAAGTGAATCTGGACCTCGCTAAAAAGGCACATTCTTCTGCCTTTTGGCCGTTCTTTGATGCCCAATCGTCCGATCTGGAAACTGGACCCATTGATCATTGGCTCGGTCCGTTTCCTACTCGTCGCTTGGGCATGCGGGTGTGCTGAGGCTACTTGCTGCAGATGCGGATTATTGGGCAAGAGTGGGTGGGGGGGGGTCATGGCTCTAGGGGGAAGAGTGGCTTGAAGGAGGTTTGTCATGTCGGACATTGCTCTGGGCAGGGCTGGTTCTATTCGATTGGTGTTTGGGGAGGGAACTAGTGCTGTCAGAGTAGAGGCATTCGCCACGCACATCCAATGGGAGGCAAGGGATGTGGGAATTTTCCTTGTTATGGTTGGGGGCTAGTGCAAGTCCTCCTGACTCGTGTATATGAGGTTTGTCACAATCGGGGAGATGCATTGGATCAGGCTGTGGACGGACGGGCAAGCCACGGAGGACTCTGGTTCCTTGAATTGGTTTCGATAGACCTTGGAAGATGGCAAAAAGCGAGATACTCTCGCTTCCTAGTCCACAGGCCGGTCTTGGAAGGGCCCAATCAACAAGTGAGAAGCTGGATCATATGGGATCCCGTGAGCAGGATGGGATTTGGTTTCTACACCCCCCGGTTGTATTCGGCCAACCAGCTCTCGCACATGTTTGGGGAAAAGGTTTCCAGGGAGGTGGATGTCTGCGTGCGCTTTTTTTTTTTTTTTTTTTTGGGTGTACCCATGTGCCCGAGCAGAGACTTACAGTGTTAGGTAGCTGTGGAAAGGGACTCTTATGGCGAGCCGCTGTTTGACCGCTTCTTGAAGGACGAAGAGAGAGATTGTATCAAAGGGTTGTTTGGCGGCATGAAGTGGGGAGAAACCGTATGTATCTACTCCGTACTCCGTATCTACTCCGTAAGTAGTCTGAGGATTTTCCTTTTCCCTTTTTTCCTTCTTTTATTGGCAGCGAATGGCAAATTCATCTCAGCCCCGCTCCCCCACCCCCTTTGTGCGAAGATGCAACCTGTTAGGGCAAGGTCTATCTTGTCAGTATCTGAAGGCTTAGAAATAACTTAGATTATCCTTGCAGGACGTGGTGGACGAGCAGCTTAGCGTTGGATGAGTTCGCTTTTGGGGAGAGGAGCCACGTATCTTGGGAGCTAGTAGCCAAGCATCGGTGACGGTGTAAGAAATAGGGCGATACAGGCGCAAGGGCTAGGATAGTGGATATTTGTGCACAGGGGAAGGTGACACGCCAATATTGTAGGATTGCAGACATGCTACGGAGTAGAATATAACATCTTGGCGAGATAATCCGGGTCTTTCAGTCGAGTATTGTATGATGTATAGATGCGATGTGCCAGTACGGAGTACGGAGTAAGAAGGCTAGGGTTGTAATGTAGTCTTCAGGGCTGACTAGGATCCACAGGTCCGTCGGAGTCTGCACCCACTGTCATTGGCCAGGAGCAGAGACGTCAACTCTCTCTGGAAGATTTCAGGTCTATTTTGGCTGAGGATAAGAGGATCGCGTCGTGTGTGGAGCGGAAACATTATCCCGTAATGAACGGCATGGTAGCAACCATATGCTTTGGAGACAGAATTCGGTTTCTGCGTTTGAATTAAATGAGATGGTGGATACCTTAGGGCTACGTCGAGACAGGTCGTGTGTGGTGAAATCGAAGTGAGCACTCTTGAACAAGAATCTTGTGCAAGATTGCTTCCCAGTTTGGATGATGGAACATTTCGCCGACACCAGTCAGAATGCTGCACGGCGGCCCACTCGCCAGTAGCTGTTTTCTCTGGGTTCATGTATCACGCTCATGCTGTGTTAGCTTGGCCCTGGATTGCACGTTTTAATTTCTTCTATATCCCATTCGGTCCTAGTGTTCTCCACGGGTGTACGTGGAGTGGAAGATGTGCCGAGGTTTGGGTCCTACCTATGGGAGATGAAGAGTAATCATGTACGCGAGAGTCCATGTCATCTTGAATGCCTAAAATAGATGATCGTCGGCATCGCGGTGAGATTGAGAGTGTGTTGTACGGAGTATATCCCGGAGTTCGGGAAATGAAAATGCTGACATATAGGTACATCCACATATACCAACCCAGGCACTCCTTACCAAGGACATACCCCGTATTATGCCAACGGATCAACCCGCTCGGATTGCTCCGGTCAAGGCAGACCTGTGCCTGTATAAACCCTAAGAGCAAACTGGAGGCTCATTGCGTAGGTGGTAGCAACTCTCCTCTTCGCGGCGGTTATCGTTGGATCTAACTGTGGGGAATCAGGACGACCTATATGGATGTAAGGGTTCAAAGAGAGATGCCACAAGATCCCAGATGCGAGACCTGAGATCCAGACCCAATGCCATGAAATATACGGTCCTCCGTGCACTTGACGAATCTGACATGGTGACGGACCAATCAAGTGAGCAAGTTGCCAGCGCTTTAGTGGAGACCAGCTGTAGCCCAACGCGTGGATATCAGGCAATATGTATGTACGTATGTACGGAGTATCTATGTTGTACTCCGTGTAGGTGTGTTAGAGGATTAGCTTCATCATCACATTCAAGTGGAAGGCCAGGAGTAATTTCCCGAAGCCTTGCACATAGAACTATATGTAGGTAGGATATAAGTATACAGATCGGGAACGACAAGCGTGAGAACTACGGATTTTAGATCAGCCAATGAAGTCCCCCACCAGGGCTATCGGTCGGAAATGCTTCCAATTCTTCTGGAGTTCTGATCGCGTCCTCTCATTCATCGAGGAACTAGACTCCGGTCCAATGAGATACCCAGTATAGAGCTACCAGTGTATCCCCACAGACGTCCAGATACATAATCACATTTCTTTCAGCTGTCCGAACACGACAACACGAGGCACATATCGACAGGGAAGGTAGATAGGAGAGTCGGTTCTAGCCCTCTGAGTGTGTGGGTAAAGGGTCATTCTCCTCCAACTGGAGAAGTAAACGGATAAATACAGCTCGCATGTCAGCGTTGAGGCCCACCTCATCGTGGACCAGGGCACCATCCGCCACACAGTTATGTACTTGACCTGCTCTCTGGTTTTTTTTTTTTATTTTTTTCTCTCTCTTTTTCTAAATTTTGAGTCTTTTTATTTTTTGGGGAGGGTTTGTTAATAGTGAAAGTTCCCCCCTTTCCCCCCTCCCCATTACTTGCTTTCTTCCCTCCCCCCACTCTGACCTTGCTGATCTCGACCACACACTGCGCCGAATTCATGCCCTAGGTTTAACGCGGCCCCTTCTCTCCCTCTTCATTCTATAATTCCCTTCTATAATCCATATAAGATCTTGATTATCATGCTTTCAGAGACTGCTTGGATAGAACGAGATTCTGGCTTGTGATTTGCTGGTATCCGCCTTGATGAGTGAACATCCAGTCCGAGCCTATAGGCCTCTTGCGCCTCGCACTGAGCCGGCCGCGGAAGGAGATGAAGGTGGGAGTCCTAATGGGAGCGCACCCGAAGAGAGACGTATGAGACGAGTGTCGACGGCTTGTAGAGAGTGTCAACGACGCCGGACCAGGGTACACATCCCATATCGCGTTCCCCGATCCCTCTCTCGTGATCCCACTTTCCGTACTAGAAACCCCATCTAACGTCCTTCTGATTGCTAGTGCTCCGGCGCCCCTCAATGCAGTGAATGTCGAATTCACAACCGCGATTGCGTGTTCGATGAAGCCGCCGATAGACGCCGCAAGGCCTCCGCCAGAAGGACCCAAGACCAACTGGACCATTACCGGGCTCTCGTGGACGATCTTCTTGGAATCATCCGAGAACGCGATGGCCAAACCGTGCAATCAATTATCGATATCATCCGATCGGGAGCAGAACTAGTTGTAATACGTGACATGCTCACCAATATCTTGGAGAAGGATCTTGGTCGACTGGACAGCAACTCGCATGCGCGCAATTCAAATGTGTACCTGCAGATCGGTTCCAATTCGCGCCCCAATAACAGCTCCAATAACTTAGACGCCAATAACGTGGGGAATTATTTGAACCCCAATTCGATCTGAAGTCCGATCTCTTTGCTCGGCCAATTTACGCATCTCTGGACGGATACGTGCCAGTGTCATCCTCCGTTCCTCCGGAATCCGCTCCAGACCCTCTCCCCAGCCTCCCAAATGTGGACACTGGTTGTTTTCTAGCGTTTCCTTTGTCACTATCCTTCGTGTTACGTCTCTCTTGAGGTAGAGCAGGTCATCCACATTACTCTCGCATTAGTCCTTTGAGCTGCATGACCAGCTCGATCTTTTGTGTTTATTGCCCTTGAACATATGGAGATCACACAAAAGAAACCAAAGTGTCCTTATTCTCTTAGCGGTGCCCTAGCATTGTATCTCTTTTTTTTTGCATTTTATTCTCTGCCATTCTGAAAACATTGGTCTTAGACCTTGCCAGACGGGAAATTGCCAATATACCATCGCAGAAGCAAGGCTGGCCAATTTCAAGATTGAGTCCACTGGGGGCCAACCGGCAAGGGTGTTGGTCAATTCAGAATGGGGATTATTATTGCTTTTCGACCTAATCGAGCCTGCCAATAGCACGCGCTGGCAACCGGCAAGATCATGTTTGCCTCGATTTTCGCACTTTCTGGGGTGGGATCACACCCCAGGCATATCCGACCATCTGCAGGCTCTCTGGCACGCATGTCGAGTTTTCCCTGACTGTTTGTCACAATGTTAAGCCTGTCTTCAACCCCGTGAACGCAATCTCAGTCACGGCTGTGCTTCCCAATTTGCTAACATGGTCTATGAATCTGTGTTATAAGACTGGTGGCTATATAAAACGTTCCTTGTAAACACGTACAGAGCCACGATGAGGCGATGTCCACATGGCCAGTGCCACATCCTTTGCCTGAACACAATCCTCAGTTCAGTTGAAGAAGCGACCCATATCTGGGACTGTAGCTGAATGCCATTTCTTTTCTGTACTCCGTATACATCCAAAGGCGCGAGTCCGGGGAAAGGTGGAGGCATCCCCGCGCCGACCGGAGCTTGGCCGAGATCCTGGACTTTCCCCCATTTCCCTTCGGATACTTCTCCTCGCCTGGGAAATGCCTTTCATCGCGCAAAGGAATCCATCCCCTGCTTCTCTCGGCTTGTCTTGCCGATCTCGACATGACCACCACTAGTGCCGCCACGCATGAGTCTCGGTCAAGACAACCACCTGAAACCGAGTCAACGGAATTGGCCACAGCTAACCACAAGAGGAAGTCATCTGACACATTATCAAAAGATAGTGCTACGCCACGTCGAAAAATCACTCGAGCCTGCGACTCATGCAAAAGAAAGAAAACACGATGTACCGGTACCCTGCCGTGCACAAGGTGCACACGACTATCGCTGCCATGCAGATACAACGCCGCATATTCTCGGGGACTACCACCAGACCCTCTGCCAGCCAAGCCGAGCCGTCTCTATGTCCCGAATGAGCAGCGTGCGTGTGAGGCTGTAGCTAAGTGCCTCTCAACTATTCAGGGCAATGTTCCAGACTCGGCTATGAACAACAAGGCCCTACCTGTAAATCAATACCAGCACGTGGCGTCACCGCGAAACTCGCCAGAGCCAGGGTCGACGGACTTTGAAGGCAATTACCTGGGTCCTGCGTCGGGGGTGTCGTTTATCAATCGTGTTTGGAGCCGTCTGCATCAGGATGAAACCACGCATTATCCGGATGAGCTTCAAAATGAGTCTTCGCGCAATACGGCAGTATTCATGTTTGGTGATAAGCCTTACGCCAACTTCCAGGAAGCGGGATTTACCCTGCCGTCGCTGGAAAAGGCCTTGGAGCTAGTGGGGATTTACTTCGATTACTCCATGGTGACTTATCGGTTCGTGCATAGGGGCAAGGCGGAAGAGTGGACTAGGCAGGTTTACCAAAATAACATCAGCCTGTCGAATCTTCCGGTGGGGAACATGGTTGCTCGTACTGCTATCGTTCTGATGATCATTGCTGTGAGCACATTGTACGTGGAAATGACGCCGGGAGAAATGCCTGCGGGTCGGGATGAAAGATTGGAAAGGTGAGCAGTTTCCCAGTATGATTACAAACAAGACCCTGATTGAAGAATCACAGTGAACGTTGGTATGCAGCCTCGAAATACATGTCCTCCCTGGAGTCAGGGCCGCCGCGATTGGAAACAATTCAAGCCCGGCTAGGGCAATGCCTGTATCTGCTGTCATCGTCCCGAGCCAACGAATGCTGGTATTCATTTGGCACGACAGTGCAGATTGTGACCGCACTCGGATTACACAGGAAGCTACCTGCAAAGATGGCAAATAAAGGGCGTTCGTATCTGGATTTGGAACTCCGAAAGCGCATCTTCTGGAGTGTATACACCTTGGACAAATATCTAAGCATGATGTTTGGAAGACCGCGATTGCTTCACGACGAGGATATTGATCAAGATTTACCGGATGAGATGACTGATGAAGATCTACTGGAAGAGGATCCGATGCGACGAACAGGCTCCACGGATAGCATGATGATTGCCTCAGTTCTTCATTACCGGTGGGTTTTACGTCCCTCCTGCCACACTCGAGTACATCTATGATACACCCATCTAACACAATACCCAGACTCGGCCGTATCTTGGGCGATATATCCCGCCAACTATACAGCATAAATTCCCTTTCTCGAGACTCTCCTCTAGAAACCGCAATCCGCCTAATTTCCGAACTCGAAAAATGGAAAGAAAGCGTCCCCCCCTTATTCAACAGTGTTCACCCATCCAGCCTCATCCCACCTCTGTGTCGCCAAAGCCAAGTCCTCCAAGTTGCCTACTCGCACGCCATGATCCACGTCACCCGCTCATTCCTCCTAAACGATTTCACAGACCTCAGCCGCGGACCCAAAGTCCCGCACCCGATGGTCAGCTCCTACGTGCAGAAATGCATCCAAGCCGCGGAGGATATCATGACGATAGTCGACAGCCTCGCGCAGCAAAGTATCCTAATCCAGTCTTTCTGGTTCACGCACTATGTATGCTTCTGTGCTATCTTGGTAGTCTATATACACACCATCCAGCAGCATCGCAAATCATTAGGATCCAGCCCCGCCTCTGTCTCATCGGCTGGTAGTCCCGGTGACTCGGGTAAATTGCGGCAGCTTTTCGCCCTCGCTGAGTCTTGTCAGCAGCATCTCGCCGAAGCCACGCGCAAAAACTGCCCTAGTCGTCGCTATGGGATTATTCTCGAGGAACTGAGACAGGAAGTTCATCGCCAAATCGGGTCGAATGGTCTCTCTGTCGAGAAGAAGGTTCATTCTTCGAGTGAAAATGATCCTTTCTATGTCTCCGGAGAGGTTATGCAGAATACGGGCGATAGGCCGGTTCTTTTTGATGCTCAGATCGAGTTACCCTCTATGCCGGGCATGCAACCGGCCGAGTTGGGGATAAATACGGGGGATGATGTTGGGTTTCTTGAGAGCCTTGAGGGTTCCATATGGTGGGCTCAGCTTGATTCGTGGGTTCGTATTCATCTTTTGATTCCTTTCTGACAAGTATCAGTCTACATGCATATGATGCTGATACTTTCTCTAGGCCTTGTCTAATTTCCCGACTGATCCTTCTACATTTAATTTTTGAGCGCAGCAAGAATGAAGGTATCTTACGAGCCTTACAGTCAAACATGATCTTCAATTCCAATTATCCTGCTGTAGCTCATGTTTCTTGCCATATTGACTATGGCTCTGACTCTCAGGCACTGTTCCGGTCTCGAATCTTGGTTTAGTGACTCTCAAATCTACATATGACCACCAACGTGAATGTTCTCCAAGTAGTCATCAAACTTCGCAGATACCTCAATGACATCTTTGAGGTGATCATATGTGAGAACCTCCCCCTTCCACTTCGAATACTGGCGAGCCGTTGTAATGGTATTGCGAATCTGCCGGCCATTCAGCTTCTCCCCCTGAAGCACATCCAAGCTCTCCAGCAGATTCTCGACATCGGCAGGTTCCCGACCAACCCCATCCAATCGCTCGATAAACGTCTTCCAAATGATCCGTCTCTGTTCCTCGCCGAGAGGCGGATAGTGCAGTGCCAGCTGAATTCGTGATTTGAACGCCTCATCAAATGTGCCTACCCGATTGGTAGTCATGATCAGAATTCCTTCGAAGTACTCTACAACGCGCAGGAATGCCGATACGAGCGCGTTCCGGTTCAGATCTTCCAGGCCGCGCTGCTCGAGGAAAACATCCGCTTCGTCGAGCAACACTACACAGTTCCAGATCTTGCCCAGGTGAAGCACAGACTCGAGGTACTTCTCCACCTCCTCGGGCTTGGTCCCGACATCGCCGCATGTGACTCGGTAGAGAGGCCTTTCGGCTCTCTCGGCCACGCTCTCGGCAGTTAAGGTTTTGCCCGTTCCTGGGCCGCCGTGTAGAAGCAAGATCAGGCCGTTGCCTTTACCGGCAATTAGGTCGGCGGAGTAGTCGGGCTCGAGGTACTTGGTTACCAATGCTTCGATCAACTCTCTGGATTTGGAATCAATGGCGAGACTCTCGAAGGCCTTTTTGTTCCATTGAACCTCTGAGATTCGATCGACTGATAGATCGAACCATTTCTTGCGTCGGAGATTGAATCCGGTTATCCTCGGGGGCATTAACATGGTGAAGCTTCCTGGGGGAGGGTGTTCTTTAGCCAGGGCTTGCTCGTCGAGTGGTATTCGAGTCACATTTCCAAATCTCTTGGTAATGTCGTTTGAGCCTGGGTGTAGTCTGTTGTAGGTATTCATGTCTATGATGTATCTGTCATCGGCCTGGTGGGAATGCTTAGTTCATTGTGCTGTCACTGCAGGGGGAAGATAGCCACATACCATAGTCTGGAAGTTTTCTTCCTCGGTCGCTTGGTAGGACACATACTGCCGTGTGCGGAGTTTCCAGAAAGTCTCTCCACGGCGCTGAAGCTTGCGAACGAGATCTTCAGAGGCATATCTGATCGGGAATACTACGAGGTCCGTGATGGCATACTCTCTTTTGGAATCCTTGTCTGAGTCGTGGTAAGAGGGAAGCTGGCTCAGCTGCTCGAAGTGCTGACCAAGCTGGGGCGACTTTAGCTCCTTGCTATCTCGCGACTCTGGAATTTCGAAATCAAGCCTGGTATGAATTTTGTAAAAGTCGCCATCGAAACCCCAGGTTTGCCCGTTGATGTACCAAGAGGGATTGGTGCTGGATCCGGTTTGGACTTGAATTGGCCAATCCATTGCTACATGACATGTTTCCTCCTTGTCTTTGGTCGAGACTAGGAGATCAGTGCTTTTGAACAGGTATTGGAGGTATTCCGGGCGGATTTTCCCTTTTTCCAAGAGCAGGTCCGCTGCGGCGTATTCCTCACCCCGGGTCTCTTGGATATAGTCCAAGAACAGGTCGAATTGCCTTTGCGCCTCGGAGCTCATTCTTTGTTTCGCCTCCAATTCTTTGGCTCCTCTGCTATGATAGATAAAGAGATAAGGCGAATGGACCTGTCCGTTACCTCGGAAGTCATTATTCATGGATTGAAATTCTCGAGCGCTGAGGAAATCCCCTATCACCTCTTTAAGGTCTTCGGAGACTGGGAGAATACTCTCACTGAAGGGCTTTGGCGTGGTATACCTCGCATTCGGCGACTCCCGCTCAACCCTTCTTTTGTAGTTCCGGAAGACAATGAACGATATGTCTCTATTGAGAGCGAGGTAAAGTTCGAAGTTGGTCAGTGGGTCATTGCAGCGCAGATATGGCGCACCCATATTCCTATGAATGAGCTCTGGAGGATCACTGTAAATGCCCATCCACGCAGAATTGTGCGTGATTGAGAACCCCGTGTTCTCTCTGAGTTCATGCATCGGTCTGAATTGATAGTTGCTGTCAAACCCCCCTCGATTGTCACCCGGATAGGTAAGATCTTTCTCAATTCGATAGAGGATCTGATACCTCGAGGCTGTAGTCACCCCAGGTTTCCCTTCCAGCTCACGGACCTTGGCTTGCAGAGCTGTGATCTGGGATTTAAGATCATTTGCCTCCGAAAGAGAGACGCTGCCTTGGCTGGGAGGTGTGTACATGACTGGGCGTGCATTATTTGCATACTGCTGGTTCACACCGTATGAGTCTACTGAGTCTGGAGTGCGAGTTTGTGGTCTCTGTGGAGCGTAAGGGGCATTGTTGTACCCCAAGACTGAGCCTTGGGGGTATGGGTTATGAGGAACAGGAGCCGGTGCATACTGGCCTGGCCTCGCCTGGCTGTTGGCTACAGCCCGGTACTCCAGAGAAGCGGCGGGGTTTTCAGAACCACTAGACTCTTGGCGGAGTAGATCACGCTCAGCCAAAGCCATCTGGAGTCGTCGGGCGTTCTGCCTTTCCTGCTGTTGTAGCAGCATCATTTGGAACGAGTAATCTTGCTTGACCTGGTGTTGGCGCGCCGCTTGGTGATTCGCGGTATAGGGCATGTCATTATGTCCAACATTAACATATTGCCCGAATGCCCCAGTAGTTTGTCCCTCTTCGGGGGCGCCTTTCACGCTCATATCTTCGGAGATGGTGTTGGTCATGTACATCTCATCCTCCCGCGGGGGAGGCGGTCTTGGATGAGGGAACATGGGTACAGAATAGTCAAGGAATTGTTAGAAATGTTCACTGGAAACTAAGAAATGAATCAAAAGGGGGATTTAATTGTCTGGGCAGAAATGGGGGCAGTTCAGAAATAAGCAGCCGGGGGGACGCGAGATCCCGAATCCAACGGGCAACCCCGCGTTTGGAGTCTCGGGTCATGTGCATGTGAGTGTGGCTGGGGCTCTCCGTGAGGCTCATTATGTCCTGCATCAATGAGATTTCTGTACTTGGATATAAATTGTACACGAGAACATTGAAGGTATGGAGGGACCAGCCTGTGATTCTCCTATCAGGAACTTATATGGGTAGTGCTTACCCTCCTCCGTAGTTGCCAGCCCTAACATGGGGACTTGATCAACGTTCGAGATTCATACTTCATACTTCGCAGCCCATGCATTTACTCAATATATTGTTAGACTGTTCATTCGCAGGCCATCATTCATTGGTTCCGAGAGGCAAATATGACAGTCTCTAAGAAAGATACAACCCGACGAAGCCTTTTCAATCTCTGGATTCCAACCAAAGTCGTCGTCTCTGGAAAGCTAGACACATCTCCAACTGACTCTGGAGCATCAGAAAGCCCGGCATCAGAGCCAGCTATCCCAGGGACAGGAAAAGACCGACTTAGGACTCGCTTAACTCGCAGTGGCTCCAAAATCCTGTTGTTGCTGGGCCTACGGAGTTCGTCTAAAAGTGAGCAGACTTTTTTCTTTTCCTTGCGGGGCATTCACTCATTGGTTGTTGCAGGTAACAAAGAATCCAGTGCTGAAACCGATTGCTATAATTCTGTACACTCCGGCAACGAAAGTCCAGGTCTTTCATCCCCATCCTCCCCAAGTGATAATGGGGACAATAGCCCAGGATATTTGACGGCAGTCGAGTCCCCACAAAGTGAACCACTACCTGTCACTCCTTCACTCGGCACTCCCATCGAGGGAGTTGACACATTGTCTGAGCCCCTTCCCGATCTTCGGCCATCACCCGAGAGTCGCGGTGAATTAGTTGCTGAGGATTTACATCAACATAACGCAGGTGAAGACGCTCCGTTAACCACTGTCATTGAACAATCAAGTCCATCAAATTCAAAGTTCGTCGATCGTTTCTCACACAGAATCTCCTTCGCCTTCGGTCAACCCACTGTGATCCGTCGCGCAAATCTTCGCTCTAGACCGAGTATCCTTCCTGTCACTTCCCCAGTGTTAGACGGTCTAAGCAAACAGATTGATGGAGCCAACGATAGTTCAGACCCATCAACCAGTCCAAGTAGTGTTGGTTCCCCTGTTGGCGGGAAGACAACTCCATTGACCCCATTGACCCCATTGACATCTGGGGGCCCTTCTCCGTCGGATGGAGACAAGCGACATGATGGACATGAAACTGCAGTGGTTCATTGGCCCGCTGTCCTGGAAATTGATGAAGCTTTCGATCCATTAGTCGCGAACTCAATCACAATATCGCCGTCAATCAAAACAGTGGAGATGACATCGGTAGCCAAGATTTACTTGGAATTATACTTCAACTCCATTTTCCAGAGCAAGGACCCACGTCAGCAACGTCAGCTCGAATTAGAGCAGCATATCTACGCCTTTGAGCTTACCGCCGAGGAGCGATTGATGACAAGGCGCAACTGGGTATTACGAGAAAATGATCATCTCCGGCAGTGCCGTGTACTCAGATCGAATCGACACTGCACCCAAAGCGAAGGCGCAATATCCGTGGCTGGGTACAAAGCTATAAAAACTCTGGGAAAGGGGAGTTTTGGTGTCGTGCGCCTTGTTCGGCAGAATGGCAGTAGTCCAAAGATGTCCCATGAAGATGACCCTCTGACTCTCAAAGATGACAATGTATCGGTCAGGTCGAACCCTCTGGGAGCTCTAATGTCTGCCATGGAAGGCGCCAAGCAGAGTCGCCGAAGGTATATGACTGGCGAAAAAAAGAGGTCTACGCTATGAAAATCATCAAGAAATCCGAGATGATCCGCAACTCCCAAGAAGGCCATATTCGAGCGGAAAGAGATTTTCTTGTGGCCTCAGAAGCCTCTCGCTGGGTTGTTCCTCTGATCACTAGTTTTCAGGATGCCAACAATCTGTACCTTGTAATGGATTATATGGTTGGCGGAGACTTTTTAGGGCTCTTGATCCGCAGAGATACGCTCCGGGAGGACTGGGCACGATTCTATGTCGCTGAAATGATACTATGCATCGAAGAGGCACATCGACTGTGCTGGATCCATCGCGATGTCAAGCCCGACAATTTCCTCATCTCTGCTTCGGGCCATTTGAAGATCTCCGACTTTGGCCTCGCATTCAATGGGCATTGGTCTCATGATCAAGCCTATTACAATAGCCACCGTTACTCCTTGATGGAGAAGCTCGGCATTCAGGTTGATGGCGATGCTGAGGATCAAAATGAGGCTGCCAAGGCAAAAGAACTTGCACCTGACGTCAAATTACATAGCCCGACTGACTGTACTGCCCATCCGCCTCCGTCAACGGGTTTGTTGGGCTGGCGAGACAACACTGGCAGACGCAGGTTCGCAAAAAGTGTTGTCGGGACCAGTCAATACATGGCACCTGAGGTCATTCGAGGTGAAATGTATGATGGGCGATGTGACTGGTGGAGCTTGGGTATCATTCTATACGAGGTACGTCGTTTGGGACCCCTGTTCTGTATGGGTCAAACTCTCATGATGTTTCCAGTGTTTGTATGGCTTCACGCCATTTGCCTGTGAGAATCGCCATGATACCAAGATTAAGATTCTCGTAAGTGATCCATTTCTTCGGTTCTGCCCGGTGGCCATCTCGTTCTGATATTTCTCAAGCAACACGCAAAAACTCTTCACTTCCCGCGGGAGAAATCTTCGGACAAAATGGTTTCTCAGGATGCCATGGATCTCATAACTAGAATTTTGCAAGAGCGAGAATACCGCCTGTGCTCTCCGAAGTACCAAGTCAATGATATACTGATTGGACGGCCCGTGTCAACCCAGATGCTGTATTCCATGGACACGCGGTACAGAAACATCGCAAGCTACTATGTGTATCCCAATGATGCAGCAGACATCAAAGTCCACCCATTCTTCAGAGGCATCCGATGGCAAGACCTCCACCTGTGCCAGCCACCAATGGTTCCTAGAGTCAAAGGTTGGGAAGATACCAGATATTTTGATGATTGGAAGATGGCCGACAATGCTGCCGGGCAGACTATCACTAGTGACTCAGATGAAAATGCAGATAGTCCTGGTCAAAACCCCAACGAGATTGCCACCGAGGCTAAAGCGATTGGTCCTGTGGAAGGCGCTACCCAGCCTCCAGTTGCTGAGGCTTGCCCAAGCGCAACACCAGAGCAGACGAAGCACGCCGAAAAGAAAAAGGAGAAGAAGCGGCCCCGTGATAAGATTCTTCGAGACCAAAAGATGAGCAAGTCCGTCTTGGACATTCGCAAAAGGGCGCGCTTTTTGGGATATACATATCGGCGACCCAACGATGTTGCTTTGGCTTTCAGTACAGAGCGAGGGCGTCAAGTGCATTCCAGAGGGCAATTGGCAGGTCTGTACGCCTCCTGAATATATTTACAAGCAAAAGTCGCCAAAAGGGAAGTCGGCGTTCTCCTCCGGTCTATAGCAGACTTGTCGGCTCATATTGCATCGCCATTCCCGCGACAAAAACCACCATCCTTTTACCAGGTCGTACTTATCCATACATCTATATGATACCTTCACTCACAAGTGGCTGTTCACCCTCCTTTGAACTGCGGTCTTGCTCCGCTCTCCCTCTTATATATCATTAGAATGAAGATGGCCTCATAGATCTTTTCCCCTTCATTTATCCCATAGCTTTTAAGTACAGGTTGTTTAATTTGCTTGTCAGCCTCGAGATCAAGCGACTCATGAAGAATACCAAACTGAATGTGGAACCCAGCCTACATAGTTTAAGAAGAATATCTTGTCATCAGATTTATTCAACCTTATGGTACTTCATCGAAGATGAATGAGATTAGACAACCCAAAGAAGAAAAATGAGGACCAGCATCGAGGACTTAAATGACAGCAAAAGGATATTTGGATATCTTCTGGTCTCAAGTCACATTGGGCAGGTAGAGAATCGGGGTATCGAAGAACAAATTCGGGAAACGGAAGGTTTTAAGAGGGTATCAAGTTGTAGGAGTATGAAAAGGTGAATGATTTGGAAGATGCATAAGTGGCGAGGGGGAAAGCGAAAATTGGGTTCACAGAACAGGCGCGCTCATTGAGAAAGCCGAGTCCGTGACACGATCCTCGGGCTTCATCGTGCCATTGAGAAGAGGGCAAAGCTTCTTGTTTGTTTTGATGTGTCCGACCTGTCCACAGTTCGCACACTTGCGCTGAGTACCAGCAGGTCTGCCATCGGGGTCGCCGGAACGAGGAATACCCTTTTGCTTCTCGCGGGCGAAACGACGCTCCTTGTTACGGTTCAGACGGCCGAGCTCGGCCTCAATCAACTTCTTGTTGCGGGCATCGACTTCTGGGTCGCCTGTGGGCTGGAGAGATTCCAGCTTGGTGTGCATAGCTTCGTTGTGGTGGCGATGTTGGATATAGTGTCTGATAACGCGGGGATCAAAGACATGTTGTTCCCTCTCCACGATTTCACCGTTGTCCAGCTTGACTTGGCGGGTGATGCGTAGCACCTTGCCGCGTTGGCTGTTGAAACTCATTTTACTGAACTGACTTGTTGTCTCATCATCACGGCGATATGGTCCAGGTGTGGGTGCTTCGGATCGAGGTGTTGGTTTGTTGAATTGATCCTGATATTCGTCTTCATGGTCGACATCGCTTTCCTGATCAGAGTGCTCGATAGTGGAGGACAAGCTGCTCTTTTGTGCGTCCCAGATACGGCGGATGGAGGTTTCATATGACTTTTGTTGACGGGCAACGTTGTAGCTATGGCCCCCAAGCTCCTTGAGTCGCTGTGCGTCCAGCTTATCTTCAACACTTTCGCCAATAGCCTTGAAGCCACCTTTCATACTTGTTTTGATGAAGTTGTAGCCCTCACCACGGCCGGTTGGATCTCCTTCGCCATGAAGTTTCAACATAGCTTTGCCTTGAGATGCCAACAAAAAGTTGCGGGTTGCCTTCCATGGAGCCATCTGCTGCTCAAAGCTCTCAGATTCTTCGTCCTCCTCATTTTCACCACCAGTCTCGGCATCATTGCCATAACCAGTGTCGTGGAGGTGTTGTTGTCCAATTTGCATGGATTCTAAAAGACAGACATCTTCAGGCTGGACCCATGAACGAATCGTGTCTTGATCGGGGAGATTTGGATCCAGTGGCTTCCAATATTTAGTGTCTTTGTCATGTTGCAGGAAATCCTTCACTTTCTGCCGATTCTGCATATCCGTGGTATTTGGAATATGAGCAGTGACATCGCTGATCGCGAGTCGCTCATCAGGACTCTTCTTCAAGAGACGATACACCAACATCTTCATGCGATTCTTGGCGACCGTGGTCACCTTGCGTGAATGTGGACCAGGAATGTCCACAGACGGGAATTGTTGTCCGGCAACATAGAAATTTTCAATATTGCGGAGGAAATAGGTGCTGCCATTGGCTCCAGTTGTGTTGCGGACGACAAGGAAGTCTGTTGACCTTGTTTGGTGTTGGAATAGTGGGGCTCGATACATAGAATTTGAGATTGCAGGAGAGATTTCGCCGGGGTCAACATGGCCGAAAATCGAGTACGGACTCTTGTCTTGAGGCAATAGGACAGCAGTCTCTCCAATGTCTGCCCTTGGGCGAGTAGGATCATCGATGTTCTTTCGGCGGTAATAGTTGATGAAACGGTTGCACATTCCAAAGTTGGCAAGCGTCATGGGCTGCTCCTCGGAATATTCCACTAGCAAAACGTTGGAATTGTCTCCCATGGACAATGATTGCGTAGATTCATAAACAGTTTTCGCGTCTTTTCCACGTAAGTGCTTGCGTCTTACGTGAACAGGGTTCTTAAACCAAGACGTTTGGCCAGCCCGGAATGCCATAGCTGGTCGGTGGAAGGATCTAGCTTCGGCCTTGGCCAATTCAGTTTTATAGTAGGGCCACTGCAACCGCAGAGCCGGAAGAGCGTGCTCGAGCGTCACGTTGCCAAGAGTACTGCGGATCTTGTTCTGATGATTCTGCTTGAGCATGTCATATGCCTGATCGTTCGAAATATTGTACCGTTGAGTGAGCCGGCGGGTCAGATTTAGATCCACTTCATCTCGAGTGCGAGGAGCGGCATGCTTCGGCTTGTGGGCAACAGCATCAGCTCTTAATTCGTCCACGAGAATGTTCGGATCATTGAGGTCAATTGTGACTTTCTTCGCAATCTTCATCGTTGCTTGTTCCGGGTCATCCAATAGCGGGATATCAATGTGTGACAGAGCAATAACATCCATCGGAGTAGGACCCGTCTTCCGTTTTTTGTTCGGCGTGTCGGTGTCCATGAGCCAATCTGGTTCTTCCTCATCGAAAATAGGATCTTTGCGTTGTGCCAAAGGCCGGTCTTCTGAATCAACACTGGAGACGTCGTCATTGATATCCCAGTCGACACAAATCGTGCGAAGATCTTGCATAGTGAAGCCACCCGGCAGCACTTCATCTCCGTCGATATCATCTAAGCCATGGTCTTCTTTTGTGTCCTCGTCTGTCTGCCCTTCCTCCTCCTCGCGGGATGACTCTGTGATCATCACGAGGCCAAGGGATTCATGTTCGAGGCCACGCTTGAGAGGTTGACCGGTTCTGAATGTTCGTTCATGATCAGCCGCCAGCTCAATGTTCACTTTGGTTGGTAAGACCGGCTTTGGCGGCTTGACCGGCTGTTTTCCGAGAAAGATGGCTTTCTTATGCGGGATCAACTCTAGCCAACGTGGAAGAGTGTTGCGGTCGAACGTGGGGAACAAGGATTGTAATAGCTCTTCGTGATTCTCGGGCGGAGCAGGCGGGTTTTCAACGCCTGACATGGCGAACAACTGTTGCTGAAGTTTCCAAGCGCGGAGTTCAACTGGGTTCATATCTTCAGACATGATACTGTCATCCTCGGGAAAATCTTCTTCCTCCATCATGGCGGGTTCTGGCTGAGATTCCGGAGCTGGCGGAAGCGGCGGTAGTTCGACTGGAGCATCCGCTAATGGCATTTCCTCGTCTTCAAAAAGACCGCGGGTAGCATCCTCATGTCCAGCATGAGGCGGCGAGAAAGAGCCTTCGCCAAAGAGATCATCGAGATTGTCATCCTGAGCCTGAGTCGCCTCACCCTGATCCCCGAATAAATCATCACCATTCCCGAAAAGGGCGGCGTCGTCCGACCCCAGGTTCGCGAACGGATCCTGGCCGTCTTCCACCGCAGGCAGGTTTGTGGCCGGGCGTCCTATTATCTCTTCTTCCGGAAGTTCGTCATCGTCAAAGTCTTCGTAATCGATCGCATCGTCGGCCTTTTCACCAACTTCCAAATCACGCGACAGGAAATCCAGAGAGGGGCCGTTATCTTCGTAGCTGTTCAGTTGTCGCATCACATTGTCGAAATCGGTATCTTCCTCCACCTCCGGGACTTTCGGCGTTGCGTGAGGCATGATGGGCGAGTATCGTTGTGCCGAAATTTGGACGAAAGTTGTAAATAGGGCAAACCGTTGGTTTCAGCGAGTCGGCAAGAGAAATTAGAAGTGAGAGATGAAGGAGCGAGCCACACAGGCGACAACGCAGTTCAGAGCATGCACATCTGGGTAGCAAGCGATTCTGCGTTGGACTTGAATTTGGCCGATGGTCTGATCGCGCAAGAAAGAGACGAAGAGGAGGGTGTCGAACAGGTGGTTGGAGAGAGAAAATGGGTTCCAAGGATAACGCGCGACGGACGGGTTCAGGCTAGTCCCGACAAGGCAATCAGCTTAATGCCTTTTGATAGGACTCAGTAGAACTTCTTTTCAAGAGGCGATAGAAAGTGCAATAGAAGACACGATAGAAGCAAGTCTATAGAATATGGATACGATTATAGTATCAATCCTATTGATCAATTTTAAATGCAAATAGAATAGAATATGAGATCCCAGGTACCCTTCATGTGGCGGGAACTGCACTCTTGGTTACTGTGGATGTCCGAACGGGTCCCTCGATCTGTATACGGAGGTACGGAGTATATAACTTTCTACTCCGTACCAACTTATATCGTCGGTACTCAAGGATTCCTTCGACTTGCCCTACCTAGGGAAACAGGGTCCACGCTTCACCCGGCCATTCTCTTACTTGGTAGCGGCTTTGGTAGAGGCTGATAAGCCCGAGGATGAGCCTACCGCTATCATCGATGGTATCAGAGAGCTCCTGAAAAACGTCCGGGCCTTCCAGAATCAAAGCATTCATGAAGACCCAGAGGTCCAGCGCATAGGACGTGAATGGCTGGATTCTATTGATCGGCTAGCAAACAGGTCACTTTTTTTCACGTAAAAGGGCGAGCACAACAAATCTCTGTCTTGCTGATGCAAAGTTTCGGGGTTTGGACTCTGGTGTCTATGTCGCTGCGTAACCATAGCTACCTGATAGATAAATTTTGCTTTTACTTCCAAAGGACACGATGTGCGTCAGTTCTAGGAGATTGGACACTCTTAGCGATCACGCATATATCATCGATAAAACTGCATAGTATATAGATCCTAGTATGTAGGAAGTCAACGATCTTATCTGATATTTGGCTATGAGGAAATTGCAACTCCCTAGTAGAACTAGGAACTTGATTCTAGTAGTTTCTATTATAACAAACTGCACTTCGTAGCATACTGGAATATGTAATTTAGATAGAAATACCGCTTTCCAGGCGTTTAGCCGAGGGATAAACTGCATAGGAGCTGGCGGTATCCGGACATAGATCTTTGCCTAAATAGGCGTGGCATTGACCGTCCAAAATGGGGAGAATCAGGGACAATTCTCAACCATAATAACGGGCTCATAAATCCTCGTTGAAGAGATCTAGAAGCGGGAACTAAAGACTCAACGCCGGAATATTACCATTTTATGAAGACTTCTAAGAAAATAAAGGTAAATTATCGATCTAAAGGGTAGTATTAGATTTAAGAATTATCTTTGTATCTCTATAGAGGAAAGCCTAAGAAGGAGACTCATAGACCTCTACTATAATAATCCCTTAATAAGTAAGTGGATTCGATATCAGGTGAATAGTAACCGTAAGTCATGACACGTTGAAGTCTCCATAGAAAATACATAACGCCTTGCTTGCACCCTCCATACAATAATGCATTACCGTAGCCTTCCGACCATTAGGAACCAGCTTTGCCATTTGCTTCAGATCAGACGTCCTTGGAATGTAAAGTACCATATGCTTGCTGAATACAGAGTACTCATCATACAATCTCTGGAGAGAGTAAGGCTCCATGGTCTTGAGGTCGAATACCTGATCTGAGCGATATCCCGGGCCTGTGCCAGTTAGTTGATGTCGCAAAAGCAAATGATTGGTGATAAGTACCTCCCCATGGGGGGCTAGCGAAAACAATACTGTATGGCGCCAGTTCTTTGAGTTCTTTCTTGAGGATCTCGAAGCAATCGCCTTCGAACCAAGTAATTCTGTCCTCGACGCCATAGATTTTCGCATTATGTTTTGCGCATTTGAGTACGGCCGGGTTTTTTTCAATCCCATAAACTCGCTTCCATTTACCGGTCAAGGCAAATGCAATGGTGTTTCCTCCTGCGCCAGCGAAGGCATCCACGAGAATACTGCGTCCGGCAGGCGCTGACTCGGCAATCTGTGAAGCTATTTGGCTAAGATAGTATAAGCAGAAAGTCTCGGTTATATGGAATTCGAGACCACAAACTTGGCGACTGGTTCTGGTGTGACGCCAAACCAAGCATCATCGGTCAACCATACACCATCATCGTATTTGGAGAAGATCCGGTAGCGCTGTGCCCAGTAGCTGGCGTTCGGGTCAGTTCTGATTTAATTGAGTCGCAATGCCACTTACTTTTGAATATCCCAGGGCACTTCTTCCAGACTGCTGTAATGATGCACCTCAGCAGGCGCTTCCTCTTCGTCGGTCATGATGCAGTGCGGCGATAAAGCGAGATGACCGTTTCTCGATAACTGATAAAGATGCACGTTGTTTGCATGGTTTGCACGGGAATCGGGCCAACTCACATGCCTGTCAATACAACACAACTTCCTTGATCAGAATCACAGGATCTCTTATCCCAGGTTGTGACTATAACAGAGCATTATGTTTGGTGCATTAAATCGTTTCATCGGCCGCCTGGACGGGGAGCCCGGTCAACCCTCTCGCAACGGCCCCAGTGACAACGCATTCGGTTTCCAGGTCCTCCGCAACAAAGACCCGGAACTGCCCTTGGAGCCTTGGTTTGACTTCATTGTGGGTATCAATGGCCATACCATTGTGAGTATATTGAATCAATGTATATTCAGTCGTCTGCCATCGCTCACATACATCTACAGGAAGATCCAGACCCAAATCTCTTTGCGACGGAGTGCCGTAATTGCGCCGGAGGGAGCTTGAGATTGGAAGTATGGAGCGCAAAGGTGAACATGCCCTCTTGATACCTATATTGCTGGAATCTAGCTAAACACGTTCCTCTATCAGGGTCAACGAACACACACAGTGACTCACCCTGTACCGCCAACCAACCCCTCCCTCGGTCTTGCGCTACAGCTTGCTCCCCTCTCCTCTACTCAAAATATATGGCATGTCATTGCCATTCCATCACCGCTCAGCCCCGCATATCGAGCGGGCTTGCTCCCTTATTCAGACTATATCATTGGAACCCCAAGCGGGACCCTAAGAGGGGAATCTGCACTTGGGGAGTTGGTTGAAGATCATCTAAACCGCACACTAGTACTTTGGGTTTACAACAGCGAATTTGATGTGGTTCGTGAGGTCGAGCTTGTTCCTACAAGGGGCTGGGGTGGGGAAGGCGCCCTCGGTGCAGAGCTAGGATACGGTGCTCTTCACCGACTACCCATCGGGCTCGGGGAAGAGGTGGAGGGCCCAGGGGAGGTCGTTTTTGAGACACGCGAGGGTGGCACCGCTGCTTCAGTGGGCGGCCCTGCAAGCTCTCTGCCAGGCATGGCGGCTCCTCCGACTAATTTCCTAGTCCCAGCAAATATCATATCGCCGCCGCCTTTAGCTTCAGCGCAAGCCAGAGTTGCCTCCCCATTAGGGAGCAGATCTCCCGCCGGTCGTCGTGCAGCAAAATCACGATCAATCGCCTCTCCCAATAGAGCGTTCGATGATTACTTTGCTGAGGGTGAAGAGAAAAGTCGGGCACAAGACTATGCGCCGTCGCGGCAGGGAACGCCTCTACCTCCGCCGCCCAAGTCTGGAGTCTCCCCACCTCACAGAGGAAGTCCTGCGCCGGGAGGCTCCCCTAGATCTACTCGGGAGAAATGAGTGATTGATAGGAATCAGATATCAATTTAACGTAGTGAATGACGAAATTAAATTATGTCAATCATCGCAAGCTGTTTCCATCTACAAGTATACCTTCATAAAGGCCCTTGATCAGACCAGTTACTGATGACGAGATGGTTGAAACAAAAGGAACTAATCCGGTTATGTCTTCGGATCTAAGAGTTTTAGGCGTACATATGCAACAAAAAATTCCGCTCTCTAGCCCCAAATAAACGGGCTATGTTTAGTGACCCTTGCTCACCAGCTCTTCCAACTTCTTCCGGGTGTCACCAATCTTCTCCTCCATCATCTGGCGCGCCATTCCGCTGTGCGCAATGCCGGTGTACCAGATGTGCTCCGCGCGCTCACGGACAGCCAAGTGCTGCTCGGCAACGGCAGGGACCTTCTGCTCATACTCCCAGATCAAGTCTCCGACATTCCGCATAGTCACGGGCAGGAGGCTGAAGGCGGCAGCAGTACCGAAGGCGAGCGGTGATGCAGTGCGGAGGAACATGCCGCGGTTGCGCGAGACAATCGAGCCGGCCATGGCGGCCACAACGACGTAGACACCGCCGGGCAGAAGACGCTCACCGGACTCAGGCGAGGGTGCAAGCGAGGCAACAGTGTTGGTAAAGCAGTTTTCGATGTTAAGAGCGCGCGACAGGAAGTTGTTGAATCCCTGCTCTGCGGCAAGGGAGTGTGAGTAGAGGAAGAGGCGGGCTTGTCGGACCTGAGCGGTCAGCATATCTGTCGGGGTGGGCGAAGAAGAAGCTTGTTGCGCAGCCGGTGCAGAGATCAGCTCGCGAGCGGCAGAAGCAGCAGGCGCGGCAGGCTGGGAGGGTTTGGAGAGTTCGGGGATGTCGGCTGGGAGGTCATCGTAGATAGGTTTCCGCTATATTAGAGAAGAAATCGCGTGTCAGGGCCGACGGTCTAGATCTTCTATCAAGTTGGGAGTAAATCGGATCATACACTGTCTCGAGGCTCTTCTGCGAATGCCGTCTTCTTGGGATACAGGGCAATACCTCCCGCGAGGAGAGTGGCTGCAATCGGAGCCACAGCCCGCTAGGCACAAGTCAGCGTGGAACGGGACATTCGGGATCAATTGCACCCAAATCGAAGAGGAACGACTGAACAAAGGCATACCTGTTGCAACATCGGCCGGAATGACATCCTGGGGCGTGTGGGGGGAGGGGAAGTAGGGGAGCTGGTAGTGAGGATGAAGCAAAGTCGTGTTGCAGCAAGACGGGAATTCTTCGGCTCGGCGGAACCTCCAGAAAACTCCGTCATTGCCCGTTCTGCTTTAACCTTGATGCTTCTTTTGAAGAGGGAGTGAATCTATGACATTTATTTCTAATATTTATTTCTGATGATTTAATTTCCTGTTCATACAGTCTCTACAATGCTTCGCCCTTTGCGACGAACGTTGACATGTCGCAAATCCCTATACCCGCGGTCCCAATCACGAGCCTTCGAGAGCGCCGCATCTTCTCCGTCAACGTCGTTTGAGTACATTCCAGCAGACAACAGTGCACCAGGGAAGAAGACCGATGACCATACTCTGCGCCATGTTTTTGATTCCCAGCCGTTCTGGCATGAGTTCTCCCAGCAGCGCACCACCGCAGTCCCAAGACGAGCCGGATTAGTTCAAAACCAGTACCTCACAAGCCCCGAAGGTTTTAGGACATTCGCAAATGTTTCACTGCAAAGGTGCCAGGCTATTGTAGCTAAGGTACTTGCTGCCTCCACGGTAGACGAATACAGGGCTCTGGCACGAGACCTTGATCGGCTCAGTGATCTTCTGTGTCGTGTCATCGACCTGTCCGACTTCATTCGAACCATTCACCCCGATCCACAGATACAAGAAGCAGCCACGCAGGCGTGGGCTCTTATGTTTGAATATATGAATGTTTTGAACACTACCACGGGGCTTCATGAGCAGCTCAATAAGGCCTTGAACAACCCCGACGTGACATCATACTGGACTGAGGCGGAAAGCATCGTGGCACAGATCCTGAACAAGGATTTCTCTAACTCTGCGATTCATATGCCGCCCAATGTGAGGCAACGGTTTGTGAATCTCTCGAATGATGTGAGCCAGCTAGGATCCGATTTCATGAATGGCGCAGAGCCTGCGAGGTCCCAGGTAATCTTCGGCGCCAACAGCCTCCAAGGAATGGACCCTATGGTTATTTCCAAGATCAAGAAATGGAATAAGAAAGCGCCAGTGCCAACTACGGGTATTGTTCCTCGACTTGCATTGCGCTCAGTGCATGATGAAAGCGTTCGCAAAGAGATCTATCTCGCCACTCGGACATCTAGCAAGCGCCAGATTCAGCGGCTAGAGGAGCTTCTAATGAAGCGATCAGAGTTGGCCCAACTCACGGGTTATAACAGCTTTGCACACATGACTCTCGGCGATAAAATGGCCAAGACGCCTGAAGCAGTATCGAACTTCTTGACCTCGCTCGTTTCAAGCAACCGGGGGCCAGTTCGGGAAGAACTATTGAAGCTAGAAAGCGCCAAAGGCTCCTCTCTCCAGCCTTGGGATCACGCATACTACGTTCACAAGCGCGTTCTAGAATATTCTCAAGCTCGTCGCTCTCGTCACATGGGTATTATCAATGAGTACTTCTCATTGGGAACCGTCATGCAAGGTCTCTCTCGACTCTTCGATCGTTTGTATGGTGTGCGCCTTGTCCCACATGAAGCGTCTCCCGGTGAGACCTGGCATCCAGATGTTCGTCGGTTGGATGTGGTAGACGAATCAGAGAACCATATCGCAGTTGTATACTGCGACTTGTTTACACGGCCGAGCAAGCACCCCAATCCTGCTCACTTTACCCTACGCTGCTCGCGCGAGATCTCTGCCGAGGAGGTTGCCGAGTGTGCCTCGATGAATGAATCGGCGCACCCGAACGATGGCATGGCCACTGGTGTAGACCCTCAAACTAAAACTTTGCGCCAGCTTCCAACCATTGCGCTCGTGTGTGATTTCCAGGAGCCTCAGGCTAATGGCAGCGGTCAGCCAACGTTACTAAGCGAACAGAGCGTTCGTACTTTATTCCATGAGATGGGCCATGCGGTCCATTCTATTCTAGGCCAGACGCCTCTGCAGTCGATTTCCGGGACTCGGTGCGCCACGGATTTCGCCGAACTTCCGTCCGTGTTGATGGAGAGCTTTGCGACTGCGCCAGAGGTACTCAACCTCTACGCGCGGCACTGGAAGACTGATGAGCCTCTATCTGAGAGCATGATGCGCAGCATGGAGCAGGACCGTAATGCGCACGGATCTATCTACGGTGCTGTTGAGAATGAGGCTCAGATTCTCATGGCGCTCGTTGACCAGGCCTATCACTCGATCCCAGCTGATATCAGCTCAGCCGGTATTGACTCCACTGAGATCTATCACCGAGTGTTCTCTGAGCACTCCAGTCTACCCGACCCGAATAATGTACAGCCACGTACCTCATGGCAGGGCTTCTTCGGTCACTTGTACGGCTACGGTGCTACCTACTACAGTTATATCTTTGACCGTGCGATTGCGAACAAGCTCTGGCAAGATGTCTTCCAGTCTGGTCAGGCGGCAACTGATCGTGCTGCCGGCGAGCGATACAAGAATGAAGTCCTCCGCTGGGGCGGTGGCCGTAATGGCTGGCAATGTGTAGCTGGTGTCTTGGGGAGCAGCAATCCCTCTAATACCAATGGACGCCTAGCTGAAGGTGGCGATGAAGCGATGCGTGAAGTGGGTCGATGGGGCCTCGGGCGCGAAGGCGTGTCTGGATAATGCGACCGAGTGTACTTATATCGCTTTCTGAAACGATCTTGAAAGACTTGGTAAATAAACATAAGTTCATAATATGACTTGATCTCATTTTTGTGATTTTAAAAATACTCTTGAGGCTTGATACGGGGATTCCTGTGAACGAATGGTTGCCCGACGCGTCCAACTGCACGGACCTGCCCACATGCTCTCCATTCGAACCCTTCCAATGAGAGACTGCCTAGGCTGCTCAGTGATCTCCGGAGGTGCATTGGACGCATCGTCCGAGACTAGGTTACTGCTAAGTAACGCCACCGTTGGTGATGGCGGGGTGACTGGAATGTCTCACTGCCCCTTTGTCTGTGTCTCAACCCTGGAGTACTGGATCAAGACTTGACCGTTTCGATTTCTGAAGCCTTCCGGAATGAAAGTAAGAAACAATCCGATTTTAAGACGTGAGACGAGGCAACTGAATTGTGATCTCCCCCACCACAGCCTATTGCAGATTCATGCCTTTAAGCCCATAATGTCTCTGACGTCCTTCCACTTTCCTGGTGCATGGTGGCTTGCTGTAGCGGTACCCCCCGGTACCCCCCGATGATACAAACAGGCAAAGCGCAAACCGGTTCTGAAGCTATACTGCCTAGGCAAGGCACATGCTCTTTGTGTAGATTGGCACAGTCTAGGGTGGTGTTCCGAGCGTCCCACATATCCCTGATCAACCGATTTATAGACCTGCTGCCCGACCCAGGAGGGGGCATTTTTTTGTATACAAATGTAAACCCGGTGATACTTGAAGGCTCAAACACCTTTCTCTCTTTGTTGCAGGCGCGGTCATACATCCCAGTACGTACAGGTACCCAATGGATGTATTCATGTACTTCGCAATTCACCGCTATCTCTTGCTCATTGTATTGGATATTGCAGTTTCAGCTTCCTTTCTTTCAACCCCTGCTCAATCAAACAGAGTGCCGAGTATCAGCTCTACCGGAGGCATTATTTATTCTTGGCCTGGCCATCAGTTTTCCTCTTTCAACTGCCCAGGAGACTCAGACGAGTGAGATCAAAATGCCCGATATTCTCATCGTCAACGACAGCGCATCATTTGCTTCCAGTGATACTTTCTCCACTCAAGATTCAGCAGAGCAACCACGAGTCCAGCTTCGGCGGAGAAGTACAGTTGTCCAACTCACAAGAAAGGTGTCAAAGAGAATATCTAAAACAATCCTAAGAGGCGGGGCTCATGAAAACGAGCTGAGCGAAAGTAACCTCAGAGATCTCGACAGCGCACCGTACCTTGATTTGCACAGTCCACGGTCACCCAAACGCTATATCCATGAGGCGAAACGACAGGAAGCTATCTATGAAGCTGTCGAAGAAGAATGCCCTCCTGTGGACGTGGAAGCCGTGAGAGAAATGCGTCTCCATGAATCGTATGCTGTCTTCTGCCAGAACTTTACGCTATCGGGGGGAAACCGGATGAGCAGGAGATTCGACTTATCTATGGGAACGGAAAGGGCAGAGGAAGATGCACAACCCTCTCACGGCGATCAAATTCCCCAACACCTCGACAAATTTGAATTCCCGAGTTCACATGCCCATCCCGAGCACATAACGGTCGATGCAAGGCCCAGAGCAAACCCCGTCGAGTTGCCAATATCCCCTTCTACGGTTCTCGATAACACGCCCATATCTCAATCAATAATCACCGAGAACTCATGCCCGGAATGGTCAGATCCAAACACTCCGAAAGTTGAAGAGGACCTCCTTACACACCATTCCAGCTTTGAAATCACCCACAACTCCAATTATCCCCAGGCACCCCCTCGAATCATCACCCCGACTGTATGGATGGACATGCAGCGCGAGGAGCGAGAGCGCAAAGAAGCTCGACACCAAAGATTCCTCAATCCCTTCCGCTCGTGGTTTATGACCACGCAACCCTCGTGGGGGCGGAGGTATGAGACTGTCGAATAACAGGTCACATTGTCAGGCCAAAGAAGCAGATCCGGAACGTTAGCTCGATTTTTAAATCCGCTGGCTGTAATTTAAATTTCCAATTATCTTAACCAAACAATCCACTTTAGGCTCTGCTGCTTGCTTTTCCTTCCGAGACATATTAATATATCTTACTCTGACCCCGCATCGGCGATCGCACCTCTCGCTTTCACAAGGAGTCTCGACGCCCTACGCGCCAATCTTATTGATTATGCGGTCTAACCCCGTACTCACGGAGTATCGTGGCTGGACTAAGATCTGAAAAAAACCATCCACAATCGGATACGAACAGCCCCCAACAGCCATAGCTTCTTCCGGTCAAAATAGACGAACGATCGCTTCCCATACTCCGTACATCTTTCTGACATGGAGAACTTAAAAGTACAATAGCGACTCATCAGCTTGGTTCTTCAGGGCCGTGAAGATATGTAAGATGCGCTACTATAAAACCACCCCCGGCTTGTCCCGAATTTTGACCGAATCTGTAATCCTACCCTAATCACTGGGCATTTACTCCAAGCTCATACGATAGGAGCTCTACTGAAGACCTTCATTCGGCCGGACGGTTGGATCAAGGTTGGACCTCGGTACCTTAACTAGGCACTTATTATGATCTCCGTTATAATACTTCAGGTATTGTAGGTTTCTGCCAGTGTGAAACCAGGCATTCCAGAGCAGCAGATTCGATTCTAATTCAAATCCACCCCTAAGCGCTTTGCAACTTTGTATCTAGGTCTATGATCCTAAAAGGCGTCACGCTGTAGGTCGGCCGTTACATGGGGGTCTAAAAACGGCTTATTGGGCGAAGATCCATGAGACACTCAAACAGGACCAATAAGCCGAAAGCTTATGAGACACTCATATCTATTTACATACCTCTATACTCCGTACTCCGTACTCCGATACTCGGTACTAAAACCGTTGAAAGCTAATTAGAAAAATACTGGTTTATGTAACAGCTCTCGTGGATTGATGACGTTGGAGGGGCTTGTGGAAGAGTCTCTATTGCTAGAGCCCGGGATTTGAGTGAGAAAGATACGAATATTTCAATCCTATACTGTATACCTAATATCATTAATCCTAAAAGGAGAGGAGGCAAATTCCACAGATACACTATGGAGTAGTGGGAGCCCAATAAGTTATCTGCTTAGCATTGATCCAGGTCATACCTCTGCTTAAAGCGGTTGCCTCGAGTTTTGAAGCTCATGGTACGTAAAGAACTAAGCTACCAACAATGAGCCCAGTTTCGCTAATTTGCCTATTAAAACATCCCTTCTAAATCCTTGCTGAGTGCCTTGCCCCTGAGGAGCCCTGAAATAATCAGCTAAGAGAAGCTAAGCAATGGATTGCCTAGGTGATTTGCCTCTATTTGTATCTTAGTGTGCATGAATTGATCCAATGAGACAGGGCTATATTCCTCTTCGAGCGCTTGCACATCTATCCACCATGCACTGGTCCAAATAGGGTTGTAAAAGTACTGTTGTTTTGCTGGCGAAGCGCCGATAGCTTGTCGGAAGTTGCATGATTACCGGGGGGATGATGTCTCAGACAAGAACTTGACACGAAGCAAGAGAGTAAATTTAGTGTGAGAGTTTTTTGCAGGGTATCAACGAAGCAGTCCAAATTGGGTAGTATGCTCAAGAGTCCCTCGGTAGTCAATTCCAAACAAGCAAACTACAAACATCCGTGAAAGCGAAGGACCATAAGTATAATGACTTTCTAGTGGCTGTATCGCACCTTTTGGCTTGAGGAAAGCGGTTTTTGAAAAAATATGCATTATAATATGTGCATCTGCAGTAGGAAATTGTATTTTCGAAAATTGTGAAGTGAGCTGATTCAGGCACAGGAGGATCAGCGAGGCGTTCCGTAAATGTGTCGAGGTGTCGCCGATCAGTCCTCGAGGCGGCTCGCTCTCCCTTCGCATCCGAACCACTCGACAAAAAGGCACAATGGATTATTTTTCCGATATCGATGGTTTTTGGCTAGGTACTAGAGCTAGTAGGCTAGAATGCGAGCAATAAAAACAGTGTCTACACTCTTCGCCGATCAATCATTGGCATTCATGCTATTGCGGTAGTATGTACATCAATATCAAGAATGTATCCGCTCCCCTCGAGGTTCTGGCGCTTCTTCAATACCGCCTATCAGTTTGGTCGTCTGGATGGGTGCCATTTCCTTCTTCAAAATGTTCATTTTCAACGTCTCCATCCAAGCAACCTCTTAAAACACGCCGTGTAATTCCAGCGCCATTTTGGTAGGCCTGGTCTATAGCACCAACAATTGCCTCTTCCTTCTCGTCGGACTTGGGAAGTCTTTGGATCGACCACACCATGGCTCGCGAGTCTCGAAAGGCCAATTGCTACGAAGATAGTGAGGGGTGACGATGGACAGGAAACTGGATGCGACGTCTTGAAGCACACATGCGTAGTTTTGATTGGGGCGAGTTTGTATAGTTCTTAAGATCGTTTCTTGCAGAATTTATGCAGCTCATTTTACAAAGCATGGTTGGATAACTACAATGAAAACCCTCAAAGTCCAAATTAATGCCGCAGTACTCTTGGCTTATGTGAAACTGACCTGCCACCCAATCACCAGGGAATTTAGACTCACACACTAACTGCCTTTTGATCAGAATTTACTCCGTACTCCGTACAAGGATCTCCAATACGAAAGATTTCCGGGAGCTCGGAAATTAAGATCGACCTGGGGCATGAGCCATGATGTACGAGCATAAACAAAACCATTCACCCACTAGCCATCCTAGCCATCCTAGATTTCCTCAGGTCCTTTGCATTTCGATAGAAACTACTCTCGCATTGCCCAGAGCCTGTCAGTCATTCACCATCACAGCCAATTCTACCCAAAAAGCGCCAAGCATGGAAACCAGACGCCACCGAAGCTATTTTGGGGACAACCCACGCTGGGCAGGAGTAGATTTCTACAGCATGTCACACTCGCACCCAGCATCGCGCCCCAACACAGAAACTCTACAGAATACCTTAGCAGCATCCGATGCCAATGAGCTACCGAGATACGCGCTCTCCGCTCCCCAAGCAAAATTCATTTCTCTACACTGCCGAACAGCGGGGGTGGTGCACGCGCTCGAGGTCGGCACTCTTGGCGCGTACTCCGCCATCTGGATGGCGAGCGAGAATCCCCAACTCCATGTGACTACTGTTGAGTATGATAAGCATCACGCTGAGGTGGCTAGAGCAAATATCGCCCAGGCTGGGCTGGAGTCTCGTATTGAAGTAATCCAAGGCGCTGGGATGGACGTTCTCTCGCAGCTTCGGGGGAAGTCCAAAGAGGCGAGCGTCCCCGGTTTGGATTTGTGTTTATTGATGCAGATAAGGTAAACAATTGGGGTTATTTCCAGCTGGCGAAGGATATGGTCCGGCCAACCTCGGTTATCTGTGTGGATAATGTTGTTCGTGAGGGGCTACTGGTAGATTCATATGTGGCGGATCCATCGGTCAGAGGCTCGCGAGAGGTTGTTGAGAAGGCGGGCACCGAGCCTGGTGTTGACTCGGTCGTTTTGCAAACTGTTGGTGAAAAAGGGTATGATGGTTGGCTGTGGGCTGTGATCAGTTGATATCTTTGGTAGCAACTCTGAAGGTGTTTATGGGCTCAGAATCATAATGGCCTCCTCCTCGCCGGTTCATTTGCGCATAGTGTTGATGACAAATGCTCGTCTTAATTCTATAGAAAATATTTTAAACCCATATGTAGCATATAAAATTGGATCGCGGTGCCTGGTTTGATTGTTTACCGAACATAACCTAAAAGAGTGAAGGATTTATGCACCACAACTGTATTCGTACATTATATATCTTGAGACGACTTGTCGCCGAAATAAAAAAGGGTTGACTGTTTTCACCCTATGAGATCAACTGATCAACAGAAAATATAGTAGACTATTGGCCCAAAACGGCAGCATCTAACAATATTGTGCAAACTCATAATGGCCTTCGATGTCAACCAAGCAGTTCGCGTGTGGAAATCTTTGACATCTTCACCAAATCACTTGGACCAAGATATGCCAGTATAATCACTGGTGGTAGAGTTGAGGTCCAGGGATTCTTCGCGTTTATCTACTCTGGCAAACTCTGTCCGGTACCGACCAAGTAGTGGGAACAAACAGGCAAAATTCAGGACGCCAAATCAGCCAAATAATGAAAGTATGAGGGGGTCACCGTATCATGTCGTCTAGTTTAGCGCATGAGAATACAAATATTGCATTATCTCTGTATGCCAGGTCAGAAGAGAGCCCCATCCCTTGTTCCAAGGACCAAGAGCAACAGTCCATTTCATTTGACCACCTGAAAACAACTTCAGCCTTATAAATTGGGGAACTGTCTTGCGTAAATTTCTACTTGGAGTCTTGTAACCTGGGGTGACTCCGACTCAATGATCTCGATATATGAAGATAAACCACAGTGAGTCTACTTTCACAAGGGAACTGCATGGGAAATCTACTTGTCTGGACTCAATCCAATGGGACGTAGGTAAGCTAGAAGTGAGATACAGGTCAATCTAATCAATCCAACCTCGATATGTCTACTACACCCTCTGATAACCTTAGAAGTGCGCCCACAGTTATTTTGGTCGGTTGGTAGGTAAAGCGATTCTGCCGCGACGGATGATTGATATTGCTCATGTAGGTAGTTCTAGCTAGTAATATGTATTGAATTACTCGAGGAATCATGTATTTGATGGTCCTATCGTTGTCTTTCAAGATTATTCTGCCTCGATTTATTATCTGAAATCTAATATCCGTGTAAAATATATATCTCTTTTCCTAAAGGTGGGCACATAAAAACAAGTACCCAGTGAAGATACAGGTCTTGACACCCGATGTTCAGAAAAAGCCTTACATGTTAGCTATATATAGATGTTAATTATCTTACGGGAAGAAATACATAGAACAAAAAGAAAAACTAGAAATCAACCATCGCAGGCTCTCCAGTGTATTTCCAAGGTAAAAGCAAAAACACAAAAAGATGGACTCGCGGGGAATCGAACCCCGGACCACTCCCATGCTAAGGGAGTATTATACCACTAAACCACAAGCCCAATTTGATGGAAAAGGCATGATTTTTGTGCTACATAAGGGGAATCACTGCATAGTACGTAGGTAGTTGAGGCAGTTCTTCAGACCACACTCAAGCAGAAACATTCGATGGCAAATGTTCCAACAAGATATGCACTTGTATCTACGCTAAGATGTTAATTCAACCATGGAATCTACGCAATATATTTATATCAGTCTCTAGATGGACTTTTCAATGGTATATGTATTGAATGGAATGTAAAATGACATTGCGATGTGAGATGAGTATCTACCTACATGCATGGTTCACATGGAGAAAAAGGCTCCAGGAACCCGATTCTCGTAGAAGACCAGGCAAAAACTTATTCTTCATCGCAGAGAGCGGAGTCACTCGTAAAAAGGGGTATGAGGGAATGTGTAAAAAGTGCGCGAGATAAAGGGAAAACCTATCCAGCCTGCCGAATCGCTAAAACAGACAGATCAAGCATGGTATTCAAAAGAAACCGAAGTGAAAGGGAAGGAAAGTAGACCCACTGCGTGTATATCGTATTGACAAACCTGATCTTCTCATGTGCTGCTCCCAAATCGATTGGCAAACCAATTGGCAAATCCTCCGCCACTACCCTCGCTTCGGCTAGGCTGTCGGGTGCTAGATCCACTAGTTGCTTGCTCAGGGGACCGAGAAATCTGCATAGAAGAGAAAGAAGACCGACCGCTGCGTGTAGTAAGAGCAGAACTGCGACGTCGACGAGATGTTGGCTGCTCAGGACTATCCTGAATCACAAGTGGGTTTTCACAAGTGCCATCTCCACTTCTAGGGCATATGCCGTTAGCTGAATATTCTAGACTTGTGTGCTAGACATCATATCACTTACCCTATGTTTGAGGCTATACCGCGCCGGCAGTGTGGGCAAGTGTTGTGTTGGGTGAGCCATGCCTCGATGCAGGCGAAATGAAACCAATGTGTGCATGGTAACACGGTGACTTCCGTGCCGAGTTCAACGCTATCCATACATATCGAACACTCTGCATTTCCTTCGACTCCCATCATCTCTCTATCGACCTTCTTCTTCGGCAAAGACTGAATGGCATTGTCAGATGCTGGGGGTGCCGCAGTGCTGGCTCCTCCCGTGTTTTCAACCAGTTGCGTAATGACACGGTCAAGCTCCTCCTGTGAGTAGACTGCGTCACCACTTCGATCCATGTTGAGAATGGCAGACAATATGGAAAGAGGATTGGGGCCTGCCGGGCCACGAGTCCCACGAGCGCGTCGCGTAGTTTGTGCCCCAATGTCAGCGCGAATGGCGTCCATAATCCTGAATACCTGTTAGTTTGCTAGGATGTAGAATTTGACGAGGAATATACAAACTCCGTGATGGTCATTGGGTTGCGATTTATCGATTGCGGCGCATCCGCATTGCGGGGACCTAGGCCTGGGTGATGGCCGGCAAGGTGGTCATCCTCGAGCCAGTCGGGAGAAGTGGAAGATTGAGGATGAAAGGGATCCTCTCCAAATCCTCTGTATCCACGAGGGTTAGGCTCCATCAAGCTTTGTAAAATTGTGTCGAAACTTTGCATCATCATCGGAACCATAGGGTTCGGGCCGTTATTGCGCTGGCCGGAGGGCATTCCGGTATCCAGTGTCGCACTGCTAAATGAGAAACGCCCGTCGGGGGGATCTGTATGTGCGCAGGGATGTGTATGGAGGGGAGCCACCTCCGAATAAGCTTGGGCCTTGCCGTTCATATGTCTCTTCTTCTTCCCACGGGTTGTGATCTCTCCATGGGCTGGCATGTGTAGGCGATGAAGAGCTGTCGGCACTGTGTGGTGGGGAACCTTCGGAGGGTATTTCTGGGGGAATCTCAACCTAGAAGAAAAGACAGTGTTAGATATTAGGAATAAATTGTGGGAGGTATTTGCCGCACTATTTCTGTGAACTCAGATGCACAATGCGGGCACGCCAAATTCCCATCTTTAAGCCAAACCCCGCCACAGGCATGGCAGAACATGCGATCGGTGTCCATATCGCGGAGATGTCGCGAATACAACTTAATAACGGCCCAGAGAGCTGTGAGATGCTGTACAACACAGATGTTAAGATTGAAGCTGATCGAGTCGATAAGCAGAATAGTCACGAGTCATTGCCTTATCTGCGGGGGGAGGTCACAGTTGGCTAAATGCCATTGTTTTATTGGATGAGAAAGAGCAATAGGAGATGAGAACAATGGGTTACAAACGTGGCCAACTTGTTACCCGGGCAGGTAGAGGAACAGGGTGGTTGAAGTAAAATGAATCGATTGAGGAGGTCGGCGGTTGCAATGAGGCAATGACGTTGATCAGCAATCGCCTCAAAAAGGCAATGGAACCGCTTTTATACACCATGAAACAAAGAAAACCCACGTTGCATGGACACAAAAATAGAACGTGCATCCTAGGCAGCCTTGTTTCTTTCTATTTCATACGAGACTTCGTAGACTTCGTAGACTTCGCAGACTTTGTTGTGATGTAAGGGCAAGGAGGCGAATACACATAGTCCTAACCTCAAGCCTATTCTTTAAAACTAATAGCACCTCCAATGGGACAGAAAATATGTTTCAATCATATGGTTCAGAAATAAACTAGTACAAAATGTATAATGAACAGCAATAAATGGTCACTTTTTCCATGCAGGGATACAAATTCCTCGCGATCATCTCATCCCTGCCAGATGCAGTGGGGGAGTGAACTGAAAAAAGAGACAGCAATGGATATCACAGGAATGATGCAATTGAACCGGTACCCTCAAAACACCCCGGTGAAAAGACACATGACATTGTCAAGCAGTTTACTTGATCTCAAGGAGCTTAACGTCGAAGATAAGCTTGGAGTTGGCGGGAATGCCGGGAAGGGCCTTCTTGCCGTATGCGAGAGAAGGAGGGATGGAGATGCGACGCTCCGCACCGACAGCCATGCCGGCGACACCGATGTCCCAGCCCTTGATGACCTCACCCTTTCCGAGCTTGAAGGTGAAAGGCTTGCCCTTCTTGTTGGAGTCGAAGACCTTGCCGTTCTCGAGCTTGCCGATGTAGCGCATGGAGACGACGTTACCGCTCTTGGCAGCAACACCCTTTCCGAGCTTCTTGTCATCGATCTTGACTCCACGGATCTCCTTAACGCCGAGGGTTCCGGTGGGCTTGTCACCGGAGGGAGTGGGGCCCTGCTCGAGGTTCTTGGCGAACTGGACCTTCTTGTCGGTCTTAGCCTCCTTCTTCTCCTCCTTCTTAGCATCCTTCTTGACCTCCTTCTTGACCTCCTTGGGCTCAACAGCGGCGGCATCACCGTTGTTCTTCTTGAGCTTCTTCTGCTGGGCCTTGGTCAAGACAGGCTCCTCAGCCTTGGTAGACTTGGCCTTGCTGGCCTTGGCCATCAGATCGTCGAGGCTGACTTCATCCTCAGCAGCGCGCTTGTTCTTGCCCTTCTTGGTCTCAACAAGTTTGGGAGCCTCCTCCTCGCTCTCGACCTCGGTGATTCTGGGGTCCTCCATATCATCAAGGTCATCGCTCTCATCATCATCCTGCATGGCCAGAAGGTCTTCCATATCGAGCTCATCCTCATCAGGAGACAGGTCGTAATCATCTTCGTCCTCATCGTCGTGGTCATGATCGTGGTCGTGGTCGTGACCCTCGTCAAGACCAATGACGTAGTTACCGGTCAGGTAGATAGTGTGGTTACCAGTGACCTTGAAGAAAACGGGCTCGCCCTCACAGACGGTGATATCCAGAGGCTGCTGGTAGTTCTGTAAGGGAGTTAGATATCATATCAAGGACGTCTTAAGACTAAAGATGGTATTGATCTTACCTGGCTGGGGCTGAGAGTGCAGATAACGTTCTCATCGAGCTCAAGGCCCTCCTCGGACTCGGAGTCCTCATCGTCGAGAGCGGGGCCCTTGCCCTTGATGAGCTTAGAGATGGCGGCCTTCAGGTCGAAATCCTCATCATCTTCCTCATCATCATCTTCATCCATAGCGTCCTCGAGGTCCTTGAGGGCAGCAGCTTCCTTGAGCTTGCGAGCCTTCTCCTTGTCGCTAGGACCGCCGTTGGACTCCTCCTCATCCTCAGAGTCTTCCTCCTCATCACTGTAGTCCTCATCATCCTCATCATCCTCATCGAGCTCAAGACCGGGAGGAGCGCGAATGATCTTCAGGGTGGAGCGGGAGGGCTTGCTGGAGTCCTCGTCACCCTCGTACTCTGGGGTCTCATCAGGATCGATAGCGGCCATGCTAACGCGGAACTGGACCAATGTCAGCACAAGCTATTTAGTTAATTGATCACGGTAGAACTGACAGAAGCAGCAGCATTGGGAACTGCTTGGACCGTGGCACCGGGAGGAACCCGGAGCGCATAGACTGCGACAGGCTGAACAGCAGACATTGTGAATAATTAGGATAATTGAGATTCGATATGAAAAGATCAGGTGAAAAAGAGAATGAACCACGCGGATAAAAATGTGGATGAAGAAAAGAAAAAAGAAGAAAAGAAAAGATGCTACCCAGCAACAGATGCGGCAAAAAATTGGAGAAAAAAATTCGATCAATGAGATCCATGAATTGTTCACCGCCTATGTATTGCCGGGCGTGACCGCTGACTTCAAGCTTAAATCCACGTGATGATTACCGAGCTTCGTGCGAGGGCAACGACTGCCTCTATTGCCTTCGTACTTGTATTGGTCATGGTGGTCGTTATAGCCCAACATGGGCTCCCGTCATGAGATAAACTCCAGCGCAGTGCGAAAACGTATTGAAAATCGTATGTTGGGTTGACATATCAGTCTCCACCCTTATCTGACTGTCTTTAGATGACTTCAATGACGAAGAAGGAGAGGAGTATGAGGCCTCAAGCTTCGGCGGGTTTGGAGACTATATGCGCAGAAAAAAGATGAAACTGCAGAATCTTGATGCAGAAATTCGAGCTTCAGCTGGTGATTGCCCGCAAATTTTTCGCGGTGTAGTTGCCCATGTCAATGGGTACACCCAGCCTTCTCTACAAGACCTTCACCATCTGATTGTGAGCCACGGAGGTGGCTTTTTGCAATATTTAGATGGCAAGACTGTCGCAACCCACATCATTGCTAGTGGTTTGACACCAAAGAAGCGGGAAGAATTTCGACGGTACCGTATAGTGAAACCTGCGTGGGTGACGGACAGTATAAAAGCAGGACGTTTACTACCATGGGATGAATTTAGAATAGTGGATGAAGGTCAAGCCCAAAGAGTGCTCAAGTTTGATGATGGCCGGTTTATCAGTCAAGCAAATAACCCTCCCACGGGTTATAAAGATCAGTCACGAACTAGCTGGTACAACTCCCAGCTGCGAGATATGAGCACAGTAGAGGCCAGTCTCAACTCTTCACCAAAACTAGTGACTCCCTCTGCAAGGTCAAAAACCTCATATATGGTTACACCAACCATGCCGAGCCAGCCATCGCAGTCAGACTATGGTGATTTCCCTAGTTTTACAACGGAGGAAGCAGACAAATCCCACACCCCTCAGCCTCAACAGGAGACATCTGATAGTGATCCATCGCAGGCCTCCGTGCCAAAGCCATTCGTTGACACCGAAAATACTCCAGTCCTTGGCCAAAAGAGTCCCACAAAACCAGGCTTGACATCCGAAGAATACAACGCGCAGCTTCTTTCTGATCCGCGAATGCAGAAATCCTCTGTCGTCAATCCAGATTTTCTGCAGCAATATTATAGAGAGTCTCGCCTTCATCATTTATCAACCTGGAAGGCAGAATTGAAAGCTCAACTCCAGGCTGCAACCAAGGAAAAAGCACAGTCTCAGATATCAAGAAAGAAACCCGTCCCAGGATCAAGACGCTACATTCTCCACGTGGACTTTGATTCATTCTTTGCAGCTGTCTCACTTTTGAAGCATCCCGAGCTTCGAGACAAGCCCGTTGCTATCGCTCACGGTGCTGGATCAGGCTCTGAGATTGCTAGTTGCAATTACCCTGCACGTTCACAGGGAGTCAAGAATGGAATGTGGATGAAAGGCGCTTTACAATTGTGCCCTGATCTCATAGTTCTTCCTTATGATTTTCCTGCCTATGAAGATGCGAGTCGGAAGTTCTACGCCTCGATACTTGCCATTGATGGTACTGTGCAGAGTGTCAGTATAGACGAGGCTTTGATTGATGTGACTAACATATGCCTGGAAGCTGGCGGGTCAAATGGAAAGGCCATATCGGAAGGATCGATTGATCGCGAGCAATTCAAAGCGGACGAAATTGCCCACGGCTTACGGGATTCAGTCAAAAATAAAACCGGATGTGCAGTTTCGGTCGGCATTGGTGGCAATATTTTGCTCGCGAAAGTTTCTTTGCGGAAAGCCAAGCCTGCTGGTCAGTTTCAATTAAAGCCAGATGCCGTTTTGGGCTTTATTGGAGACCTTACCGTTCGTGATCTTCCGGGAGTGGGCCAGAGTATGGCCATCAAATTGGAAGAGCTAGGTGCAACCCTTGTCAAAGACATCAGGGACATACCAAAAGAAAGACTGGTATCTGGCCTAGGACCCAAAACTGGAATTAGAATGTGGGAATACGCTCGCGGAATCGATCGAACAGATGTTGGCGACCAAGTCACGAGGAAGTCTGTTTCGGCTGAGGTCAACTGGGGGATTCGATTCGTTAACCAAGACCAAGCAGATGACTTTGTGCGGTCTCTATGTGAGGAGTTGAATCGAAGATTGATGGAAAATCTAGTGAAGGGAAACCAACTCACTCTCAAAATTATGCGACGATCGATGGATGCTCCACTGGAACCGGTCAAACACCTTGGTCATGGAAAGTGTGATACATTCAACAAGAGCGTTACTCTTGGTGTGGCGACTAATGCATCGGACACAATTGCCAAAGAAGCGATATCGATGTTGAGAAGTTTCAACTTTTCACCCGGGGATTTGAGAGGGCTGGGTGTGCAAATGACGAAGCTTGAGCCAATGAAGCCTGGTCCATCTGTACACGAAAGCAGTCAACGACAACTGAACTTCCAGAAGTCTCCGCCTCCCAAGAATATCGTCAAATACGCAGACCCCGATGAACTGGAGAGCCCACACAAGGATGAATCTGTGCGAATTCAAGCCGACCCAGTACTTAGCAATAGCGCCCACAAGCCACTCAACATCTCGGGTACTCAGTTTATTATGCCGACTCAGGCAGACCCCAAGGTCATTTCAGAGTTGCCAACGGATATAAGATCGAGACTTGTTGCACAAGCAAAGCCGCGACAGGATTCTCGCTCTGGGTCTCCATGTCCACCACCACGTTCGGCACGACCGCATGCTCAAGCGGAACTTCCGCCTCAGTCCCAACTGGATCCAGATGCATTGGCCGCCTTGCCAGAAGATGTCAGAAACGAAGTTTTGGGATACTATAATGAGCCAGCTATTACTTCTGCCCTGCCACCCGGACCAACTGTACATGACTCACGTCCAGCAACTTCCGGATCTCTCAAGCTGAAAAGGCCGGCCTCACCACCCAAGAAGAGGCGTGGTCGACCCCCGAAGTCAGCTACGCTTGCGAGCAAACCTAAACCAAAACCACTGAATCAATCGAGTTTTGGCTTTGTTCTTCCACGACCGGCGGCTGCATCTACTAGTCTCGAGGAAGATATCTTGTCTAGACAAGCATCCCCAAACGCTGAAGAGCCAGCCCGAACATCAACTGAAGCTTCGGCGGAATTTCTTGCGGCTTTACCTGAAGATATTCGACGAGAGGTTCTTGAAGAACAAGAACGTACCCGCATGCAGCAGCGCGCGCGACCTCTCGCATCTGCACCAAGACCTCCATCCCGGGCACAAGAGGTCCCCTTTCTTCCATCAATTGCCGTGGAGAAGCGTCTTTCTCTACCACCGCTCCCAAAAAGGCCAGTCTTTACATCACAGCGCCTGTCTCACTTGCCGGATTTGCGGGACGCAGTTGGCTCGTGGCATGAAGTCTTTGCGGCTGGTGGTCCCTATGCCGAAGATGTTACATCATTGTGTAAATATCTTTCTAGTGTGACTTTGCAAGAGAAAGACTTGGATAAAGCTGTTTCGGTTGTGCGCTGGTTGATGTGGTTGGTTGATGATCAATCGCAGCACCGAAGTTCTGAAGGACCACAAGGGTCCCGGTCAGAGGGAACTATGACTTGGGAAGAGGCTATAAAGAGGATGCAGCATAGTGTGCAGCTGGCCGTCGCACAGAGAGAACTACCTCCCGTTGATTTCTCGTAGATAACATTCAATGTCAAATATAAACCCGTCGATTTCATAGTATTCCGGACTCCTGAATGTAAACAAATTTCCTAGATGGGTATAGATGCAGGCAAGAATGCGAGACTTTCCTGCCCACGTTCTTATGATGTTGTATAAGAATAGAGATATCGCTTGAGTTGCTACCAAAATTACCTTACTCATGTCGTAGTAATGTTGGAAACAGAGGATGGGCGAAAAATGTGACAGGTCAGAACTAGGGTATCGAGTGGTGAATACGGAGTACTCCGTACACTAGTATGAGGTGTGCAAGAGGAAGGTGGAACGGATACCCCCCCGCTCTCATCCGTCAATGTGCGATCCCCTATCTTCATAATCTTTCCATATTACGGAGTCGACAACCTATCATGGCACCTGTCACTAATGGCCAATTTTCTTTTAACGTTGACACATTCTATGTCGCCGCGTCGGGCGGACAGATCCACCGTCGTGCAGCGCCCCCTGAGATCAAAGCCCTCTACGATACTGTGACTATAGAAAAGAGCACGCCAGACCACCCAGGACACTGGTATGAAGCGCAGCTTCTTCACTATGGCCTGCCGCCGTCAAAGGTCAAAGCAACTGCCAAGATGAGGTTGTTAAAAGCTTTGCAGGATGGCGGCTTAAGTGTTCCCAAGGAAACTTTGCAAATCGAAAAGAACCTGAAAAAGGAATGGAAGAAACATGGTTCGGAGGAACGGATGCAGGCCAATACCAAGACCACAACGACCAAAACCGTTATAACCAAGATTACCACGGTTTCCAAGACTGTGGCGTCCGAAACTACCGAGAACAAGACTGCTACCTCCAAAGCCGCGGCTAAACCTGCAGCGACTAAGGCTACTGTTGCTAAAATTGCTGCACCCAAGGATGCTGCCCGGAAGAAGGAAGCCGCACCTAAAACGACTGCCCCGAAATCAACTCCTGCTAAATCTACGGCAACTAAGCCCGCTGCCTCCAAAGCCGCGGTTAAAGCTTCGACGGCCAAAGCCACTGCTCCCAAGACTACTGCTCCCAAGACTACTGCTCCCAAGACTACTGCTCCCAAGACTACTGCTCCCAAGACTACTGCTCCCAAGGCCACTGCTCCCAAGGCTGCTACTCCCAAGGCTGCTACTCCCAAGGCTGCTACTCCCAAGGCTGCTACTCCCAAGGCTGCTACTCCCAAGGCTGCTACTCCCAAGGCTGCTGCTCCTAAGAAGACTACGGCACCCAAGTCTACTACCCTCAAACCTACGACAGCGAAAACTGCAGCTCCTGGACCTGCTACGTCCAAGAGAAAGAGGGCCACGACTGATGAGGAGACATCGAATTCACCACAGACCACCAAGCAGCGCGTCTATGGTGGTATCAAAGCCGAAGAAAACACGAGCATCTCTCCGAGTAGTCACACAGGGCTGAGCGGATGGCCTGGGCAGCGAGAGTCCCAGGATGCGCCTCCTTCTTACGAGGATGCCTGCAGAATGGTAAGCATTCTTTTGCTTGTTTACAAACATAACAACATTTCTCTAATTTGATTTATCAGATCGAGGGACATTATTACAATCCTCTAGATGACCAGATGGTTATCGACAGCGACGGTTATGGCCATCCCAAATCTGAATCCTCAGACCCGGGATCTCCGCCTCGAACGCTGAAAAACACCCTGGGCCTACTGAATGGGACATATAAACTCCGTTCTCCCGATATTGAATACCAATGGCCTCATCAGTTACCACAAGAAGGAATGACTCTGTCGCTTCGCCTCAATGGGAAGGAGATATGGGGGACATATAGCCTCGGCATGTTTGAGGGTGTGTTTTGGATGCCAGAGCGACCCATGAAACCATCATTTGAGGCCATTCCATTTTATTGGCGTGGAAGAGACACCGGTGAAGGTGAGATGAGTTTCGATTCTGAAAATGAAGGCTGGATTGAGTTTTCGGGTGAGGGTGATATTAAAGGGATGATCAACTGCTGTGGTAATCTCACGTTCCGGGGGAAGCGTATCAACGGTTCTGTTCGAACAGCAACTGATATCCGTGAGGAATGGGACGGGTACAATGAGAGTGAATACGAACGAGAAAGAGTTTCTCGATGGCATTAGATACTTAGAGTGCTTACTCTCATGCATCGTGGCAAGGTGCAGTTGACCGAGGTGTTCATCAGGATCAAGGCTTGAAACAAGTAGTCTTTGTGGTTGCCTGGTAAATTGATTTACCTTCCAAGGTTGCCAATTAATGACAAAGCTTTGGTCTCTACTGCTGGATCGATCGTAAGGTAGATATGCACATTGAACTCATGGTTTTATCATGAAATTCACATTTAGTGTTCCATCTAAACAGCTATCCAAAATCTATATTCCTTTGGCGTTATATACACGAAGCCAATTCAGAAAAGTCTACCCACCACCTTCTATACTGCGGCCAAAATGCATAATTACCCTCAAAAGCCGTATCAAACATGTCAGAGGACAAGTAGATCGTGCAGAGATTAGGCCCAAGCGCCAACGATGCTCATGCAGAAAGCCCCCAAGAACACCAGAATGCAGGCATACACCCTTCTCTTTCCGCGAAGAATGCGCCAGCTCTCGTCGCTGAGGAAGTCTTCCGACATCAACTCCACAAGCGAGGCGAAGATTAAAAGCCCTGCTGAAATGGCATTCATAACTCCAACAACGAGGAGACCAACTTCTGAATCGGGGCTGTATAGTGTATGGGTTGCAAGGCCAATAGCCTGCCCGATCGGGGTTCTAGATCTTTGTTAATACGTCTGAACCTGCAGTGAGTGAAGAATCAACATACGTGCAGCCATACGCCAGAGACATGATCCAAGGCTGGAGTTGCTTTTGCGACCAGGGGAGTGAGGCAATACGTGATCCTAGTGCCAGACCCTCGAATGTTTCTATAGTAAATTTGGTCAATTTATCGCACGAGCGACTTGAGGGTACAAGGGGGGAAAACTCACGATGGAAAACAATAGCAATTAGTAGAATCACGAATTCATTCCCAACAGACACACTAAGTGACATGCCAATGAATACACTATGGAAGAGAATGCCCATTTCAAGAAGATAGACCTGCAGGGTCTCCTTCCTCTGCTTCTGCTCGGTGGTTAAGGCGATGGAATCGTCATGACTCTCCACATCTGCCTGGATAGTCCCATTGTCTTTCTCATGATGAGTTTGAACGTCAGGTGCAGATGAAACGCGAACTACCTCCGCTACTTCTTCATTGCCTTCTCCCATGCGACTGATGGCTCGGCTAATGCTCGATGATCTTCCAATTAGCGGACCCAAATCTCGCAAATGAGATCGACCGTCCATTCCAGCGGAGTTTGAACTCAGCGCCCTAACGTGTCGAGGATGTTCAGGCACTTCAAGGGCTGGAGTTGAACCCTCTGCCGCAATTGCAGGAGAGGAGGGTCTTGTAATTGCGGCGTGATTCCCTCCGCGACAAATGCTTTGAGCTGGACTAAATACCATTTCTATTATTGTGACAAAAAAGATACCAGCCAAGGCAATCGCGCCTGGCATGGCTGGGTAGTCATTTGTCCAGAAATTGGACAGACATGGGTCTCCGAGAGAAGTAAACGCCGTTGGGAGGAGGTGCACGAATGCCGTTGCGATGAGGACACCGGTTCCAAAATGAGTGACGAAGAAAAGAAAAGCTGGTGGAATGTGCATTCGCGGGAACCGAGTTGCGAGAATAGGAAATGCACAGGCAATACTTGAAGTGCCGAGGATGATGAAGAGGGCTGCAACGTGCAAAGGTAGGTCATATGCACCGCGGGCACCCCCTGAGGCACAGCTTGATCGCTTAACTGGCTCCGGATACTGCTGTGTGACAGGTACATCCACGACGAATGTTGGTTTAGAAGTGAAATGAGCTTTCAGATTATCGAAGGAAATAATTGCTGAGACAAAAAGCACGGAGAGTAGCCACAAGGCCCAACTCTTGATAGCCTGATATGATGGAAAAACATTATTGTTTGATCTTGATCCTTGGTAGCCAAGATCGAGGTTAGCATACTGGGGAGCGAGGCGTCCTGCTCGGTCATTAGAATGTTATTACTCCGTACATAGTATTCAGAAGAAAGATGAGCTATCCATACCTGACATTGTCAGGGACGCCTCGCGCCCCGGGCCAAAATGACTCCCCACAACTTTTTCTTGCGGAAGAATGCCCTTCCAATTGGAACTTCCCCGCAAAAGGCCGGGGCTGATCTCGCCGTCCTTGTTTTCGCGAATGTTCGAAATACCATTGAGATCTTGGCGGGTAGTCAGATCCGGAGAAAAAACTCGGGGGCTCTGGTTCCACTCCTCGTGTAGCCGAGTCTCATCGGTCCGAGACGGGCAATTCATGATTTTCTGTGATATCAATCTACAGCCCACGTTGTGAGTTGTGAGTTGTCATTTAAGTGGCAAATGAAAAGGACAATCGAATTCGCCCCCAAATCCAGAGCAACCTGGATCCCGAGGGCTTGGCATGGGGACAACTCGTGGACTCCGGCCCGATTTGCCTTGGCAGCGGACCCTCGACTATTGTGATTCGGCCAGATGACTCTTTCGGACCGGGATTGGCTGCTACACCCTCACGATGTGCCGCTATGATTGGATTCTCGTCATCGCCAATGCTTGAATTGACATTAGGGCTATGATACGTACTATAACGTTGGCCGGCCACGGAATCTGATGTATCAAACCTGTTGGAATCTGCATCTGCAATCAAGTTAGGAATAGAAAACTCCATAGTTCGGAGGTGTAGACCAGCAAGATTGAGGGAAAAGGCCGATCTCAGACAGTTACATGTACTAATTCATGGGTGAGAACCTTCGAAAGGACCCGTCGAGTTCGGGTTAATGCTAGTCTGCAACTTGATATCGGAACTACCCGGCCCTAATCCATCCGCTCCATCATTTGTATCTCGGCTACAAGATCCAATCGAAATGGAGTAAACGTATTTGGCATGAGCATGCCGTCTCGGGTCGGAAGTGGAGGCTGCTACACAAAACAAAATAGTGGGTGTTTACTCCGTACATTCGTATTCTTTGCTTTTTGATCATTTAGCCCAGGGAGCCTTTGTATGCACATCGGCATTTCCAGCCTGTGAAGGCGAAGGCCGGGGCTGTGCGGACCACGGTGCTCTGGTGGGTGCCAAAGGGCCTGGAGGCATCCTGGAAGTATCTGGCAGAGCGGAGGGAACTCTGGTCGCACCACCGGGCATTGAACTTGGCAAGCCGTCTCTCCTCGCTCCAGCCCATGGAGCTGCGGTCGCGCCCCCCGGGGGAGTAGCCTGCATACTTGCCCCGGCGTTGGCCCAGGGAGCCTGAGTGCCAGAATTTGGTTCGGCGGGCCGTGCCTGAGGACCGGATGCTGTATGAACCGTGGAAGGGGGCAAAGCGGCATTGGGGTCACGTTCCCAACTGAATAGAGATCCGAAGGGGAAGTGCTGTACCACGGGGAATTTTGAGAGAACTTCCGCGTTGTACATCTTAATCATTCCCTGGTTTTGATCTGTCAGCACAAGCATTCCCATTGACTATCATAGTTGCACCAACTTTATTAATCTTGCCCCAGCCAGCTTGAATGCCCGAAATATCAAACAGCATGGGGCTGTGCTCCCAGAATGGGCCTTTTTTAACATCGTAAATGAACCCGATTGCGGAGAAATATAGGTTAGTTAGGCGTTCTTTTTGAACGATATTTGCCTTTGCGATTGCACTCGGTTCCGGCGCATTAAGCAGTGAGCCTTCTTCAGGGGTCAAGTCAGTGTCATTGATGGCAGGCGAGAACTGCGCAGACCCAAAGATATAAGGGATGAAGGAATGATCATCTAGGCCCCAAACGCCATGGGAGCCAGCAGGCTCAAGGGTGTATGTTTTAATGAGTAATCTGATAAGTTCTAGGTATCTAGATGATGATAGTCAGTATCGGACGAAATATACCATATCGGACTTTTACTAGACTCACGGCTGAATCACCCCGACCACGATAGCTCGTTCTTCCACGCCTGGATCGGCTTTTGGGAACCCATTCAGCTTCCATATTCCAGCCAGGAAGGCGAGGAAGCTCAATTCATGACCAGTCCCATAGTCCAATCGCTGCCCACTTCCCCAGCTACCCAAGAGGTATGCTTTCAACTCCGTCTCCGCGGTTGTACCATCACCAGAACCCCTCTGTAAGAGCTCAGCCGGCAGGCATTCTCTCAGCAGGTCGGACGCGCGACTTTCGACAACCTCACACCATCTCCGAAAGCTGATATTTCCAAAACGCCGCGGGCCGGTATCTGGTGGGACCTCCTGTATGATGTCTTCGAGTTTCGAGAGAAGTCGCTGCAGTTGTCGAACCCGAGCGGAAAATTGTATCGTGTCGCTATTGAGAGTCCAGGGTTGTACACTGTCGTCGGGCAATTTCAGCGGAAACATAGATCGATTGAGTTGTAGTATCCACGTCATGATATCAGTATAGCCTTTTGAGGTTAGGAAAGCCGATACATCTTGCGACTCGTGTATCTTCTTGTTCGGATCGATGAAGGTGTGTGCTATGGATGAGTCCAAAGGGGACAGCACACGAATCACTGGAGCATTAGCCATTTTTCTGGATTCGAAAGAAAACCCAACTTGAAAAAAGTGGGAGCGTGATGACGGAGAGAGCGTTGGAGGGGAAGCGGGATGTTATTATTCGCGGCTCCACCAAAGCTCCCTTGCCGCGTCAAGATTCCTTCTCTCGGGCTTCCCCACGCGTTTTTTTCTTCATGATGGCGCAAAAAAGATCCAAACGTTCCACCGAATCCAGTCTTGACTTCCTAAATAATATCAATACACCTTTCGTGAATGCACAAGATCTCAAAAGGCGCCGCACCATTCACGGCGATATCTACGACATTCCCGTTTCTCCCACGAACCAATCTCCAAAGGTTGCTCAAACCGAGCCAAGGAATACCAGTCGATTGGACTTGAGAAACCGCCCAGCACCAGGGCTCGCACCACGCGATTCTTCTCTCATCGACTCCGACAATGCAGAAGGCCAGGGCTCCAGCAATGGCGAATCCGAGCCAGAAGACAGCGAGTCCGGACCAGATGGCAGCGAGCCTATATTATATCAAAATAAACTCGACGGGAACGACGAGGAGAAAGGAAATGAAGCTCTCGAAGATCTGCCAAGTGAGGCCGAAGAGGATCCATTCCCTGAGCCGGTCGATTTATTCCCAGCCGATGAGGCTCAGGTTGAAGAATCCAGAGATGAATCCGACCGTAGATCCGAAGACGAATACAGTGAATATGAGGATCAAGTAGGGAGTCATGGTAGCAATGATTCCAGGGATGCACACTATGATCAATTTGGAGACGAAGGCATCGATGACATTGAAGAATCAGGAGACAACGACTCCCTGGTTGGTGTTCAAAATCATTCAACATATACCCAGAAAACCGTACGGCCGAAGGTCCCCGAGGTGCAAATTTGCGCGACAAGTCAAAGTAATCACTCGCGTATAAGTCGCGGCTCAGCAGATTCTCAAGAACTCCAAAATTATCCGTCGGGGCTTCATGAAATACTAGAGACACCAACGATCCAGTCACCCTACCCAGATCAAAGCCATCAAAGCGCCCGCTCCGATATATTCAGCTGGCTCACCGAGGCCACCAAGGAATCTGGTTTCAAAGAAACCTGGGATGCAATCCGGGTAACAAGAAAAACATTGAGAACCCATGCGGATTCCTCTATGAAGGAGCGCTTCGGACATATCATAAAGCTGATTCAGCGACTCCGTGATCACCTCGAGACGATAGTTGACGACCCTGCTTCAGCTTCTTCCTCAAAACATCAGTGCAACCTCCTAGCAAACAACATTTTTAAAGAAGTCCAGTGGATCCTCTATACTGAAGCTCCAGAGGATGATGATGAGGGTGCGCACCTGGTCAATCAGCTCGAGGCTCATATAGTCCCCCGACTAATTGATCTGATCATACGTGGATTCAAGACCTACAAGACTATTAATGATCGGGGGGTGCGACATTTCCGCATCATTCTGGATTTGCTTTGGGGATGCTGCGATAAGATATTTTCACTTTCTCGGATGCCCTATGATATTAGTTTGAGTGTGAGGGCCTATTCTAAAAAGATAGTACAGCATGTGAAGGTTATCAAGGATGCACTAAACGATGGTAGGCTGCGTGAGACAGCCACCCGCATCCCTCGACGGCCTCAAACATACAAGCATTTTGTCCTGGACGAGCTCGATGGACATATTTCTTGTGGGCGGTGGACATTTGCCGAGAGGAAGGCGCTTCGTGATGGCCTACACTTATATGAAGGTAAGCTTTTCGATCTCTCATGCTGTTTACTTTTTCTAATGGAATGAACAGGGGAAGATAGATTTATTGATATCAAATGCGACAATATAATCGGCCCCCAACTGTCCGAGCGCATCGTCCAAGATGTCCAAAATCAGACTATCAAACTCAACTTGGATCCTGCATGACCCAAGGGAAAGGTGGGAGACTTGCGGCCGCAAGGAATGTGAAGTATTGCTGGCATTGTCTATTTGATACCCAAAGACCCAAAGGCTGCCCGCTCACACTTGATTTGAACATATGTACCCTATTGCGGGAGTACTTCATAACGATTTGAATTGATACCTTTCAATAAAATTGCAATCATCAATCCATTCCCCCAAATATCGACTTGCTTAGTTACGCCATGAAGATCCTTGGTATATGACGAGGTCACTTACGCGAAAATGGATTCGCGGCCAGGTCTGGAAGCGATACCACTGCCCCAAAGGTACATGATATAGACGAGGTAGACGACTCGCAAGCGTCAAGCGAAAGGTCTTGCAGAAAAATCCATCCTTGACCGGTTCATGCACGAAACGCCTGCTTTCGCAGATCAGCGCTTGCATAGAACCGAGTCTACGCCTGCGAGCATCAATCACACTACGCTGCCTATCTGCCTAACCAGACCCTTCAGCCCTTCCAAGGTCATATTTTATTCTCCCGAGGTCGATACTGTCACTCGGGGTCTAGGCTTGTGATCAGATGCTCTCTTCGCTAGAGAAGTTGTGGCTCGTCCAGTCTCCTCCAGAGAGATTGTTCCGCTCTGAGCTCATCATCATATTTCACCATAGCATTTCCCAATCCCTGATACCACTTTGGCCGATCTACTTGACAGTAGTGTGTCTTCGTATATTCCCAATATTCTGGGTACCAGCCGCCAAATTGCCAATCAACGATTGCAGAGACCTTTCCATTATTCACCATGATATTTCGAGGGGCAATATCTGCATGGGTAAAGTAACTTTGGTAATGGCGGGAGCAGCATTCAGTAACTTCTGAGCCGATTGCTTCGCTGCATTCCTCAATCGGAATATTCGCTCGAAGGTATGAGAGGAACTCTTTGTGACTCATGAACGGCCCAAACGTGTAAGATCCGTCTCAGTGGTCCAGGATCCTGTCTAAGCTTGCCGATGCAACTATTCCTCCTCGTGGAGGCTCTGGTTTCCGAGGCTGACCAATATAGCTAGCAACTTAGGTGATGATGCTTCTCTTCTGTTCTTGAGGCAGATGGCCGTGATACCACGCTGCCTCGAGGTCCATTTCACGGACATACTCCATTTCGATAGCCAGCACACATTCATAGATGTTTGGCTCTGTGTAGCGCTTGGGCTTGCAAGCTTGTAGCCAGGTGCCTCTTGGGCCAAGCTGGTTCTGAGCTATCTAAGTGTACACAGGGATTAATATGGACATGGGTTTGCGGTTTTAGCTAGTTAAGTAGGCGCACTGTCTCCTTCTATGAAACACTGCAATCTTGGAGCGATGCGCGATCAGTATGCAACCTTGACAACATTAATGCCTGTGCTAGAAGGGCACAAAGATGCAGCATAAGGAGCACGGTGATTGAAGGAGGTGATATGGTAGCCGCGGCGGGCCTCGGAGTCACGTCACGGGAGACACGGAATTAGCTCGCTTGGTGAATAAATAGCACCCATTCAGTAAGAATAAAAAAAAGCAGCAACAAAACGGCGATAGATTCCTAGGTGAGAACTCTTTCGGTTGCCATATCATAAACAAGGGTGAGCGAGGTATGCGCGCGGCCTTATCCCCTCCCTTCTGCTTTATATATTATTTCCATTGAGACTGCAATGACTGTATATAGGAACCGTGCGACATTATTTCAGGTCTGATATTGAAACCTCATGATGTTACTAACTAGGCCTTTATAGTCTCGACCATGTTGTAGCTACGTAGCTTCAAGTGAAGCAACAGTTCTCCTTCTCGCGTCAGACAATCAGAGAATTCCAACACCAATTGTAACCTGTAATCCTCAGCGTTCTACAAAAGGCTTATTTTAACCGCTTATACAATTTACTCGAATATTCAAGAGATTGTTTCTGAGCTACTGGAGGGTAATTGAGAAGCCGTTCCAATCGGTAACATAATCGATGACATTTCAAACCAGGATAGCTAAATTTTTGTTTAACACTCCAAGAAGCGAATTCTCAACCCAGTCTCTGCGGAATATCTACCAGTCAACTCACAAAGGCGCAAGGACAGGCGAAGGGTAGCGGCTAATACCATCCAAATCAAAAGTGACACTTTACGTAGTCCATTGTTATGATCGAGACAATCCTTGGAATGTACCAACACATAAGTATTCTATCAGGGTTTCCTTCATTCTTCAAGTGGTTGCCTCAATAGTGGTTGCCTCAATAGTGGTTGCCCCAATAGCGCTTGTGCATCTCCAGCATACGTAAATATATTGCCTGGGACGTTTGTGCAGGGAGTACACTGTTATCACTGTTCGTAAAGAATAATATATAGTCTGCGAAGATGTGGGCTATCGTCGCGTAGTGAACCAGGTTCGAAGCCTCTGACTCAGCTGCACTATATGGGCGAACACCTGGTCTGATTCCTCGTTCATCAAAGCAGGAGAATCAGCCCACTTTGCCAGTCTCCAGCCGATGATATGGGTCTGTCGGAGAACTGGTTGATTTTGAAGCTCTAGAATCCTCTGTAAAGTGGTGGCTTTGGTACGGAGCAAGTAATAGTTCTGTACGGAGTAGAAGAAGTACACCGCACATCTTGGTGGAACTCTGCAGATGGTTCGATCTTGTTGAGATAGTTGGGTGGGGCTTGGTGTAGCCTCACTTCCAGGGTTGTTCAGGGGGAATTAATCTCTTGGGCTCCTGAGCATGCCGAGACATCTTAAGTACCTGGCAGTGATACGAAGACCAGTTTGAGAGCTATTTGATACCAAGGCAAGGAAAGAAAATGAACATACCAGGTCCTGCTTTCCAACCCGGCCGAAAGGCAGCTTATAGCGATTGGACCTCGGGCTCACATCGCGGATGTGTTAGAAGAAGCAGAACAGTATGAGCGTGTCTACAATGCAAAATGCAAGGGGAGGTACCCCAGACCGCTGCACAACCGCATCAGGGGTGTTTATTCCGAGGCCAAGAGGAACTGTAGAGCAGCGGCGATCCCCCCCTCCTAAATAGACACCGCTTTCTCTTTTTCCCGCTTTCCCCTTTTCTCCCCCAAAGCATCTCGACACCATTTGCTTTTGTCGGTTTATTTGCTTTTTTTTTGTTGTTCTGAGGTCTGGGATTCTGTTGGTCTGGAGATCAGTCTCTGAGTACGTGTGAAAAAAAACCCCTTTGGAACGGTTCCGCGGCGGGTGAGTACATTTTTCCCTTTGTTGTATGTTTGTTTATAGACAATGGGAGCTTCGATGGACACAATTGCAAGCAATTCAGCTATCGTTACGGTTGGATTATCCTGCCTGGCTAGGATATCTGAGTTTTCTGCTTGTCTTCGAGACGTGACAAGCTCTTGAAAAGTCCATGAAGTCGCATGGATTTCAACGAACCTCCGATTTCGTGTTGGGGGTGCATAGGAGCTTGACAACCACGTGTTTAGGAACTGGAAATTCCTCAACCACTGCTGACCACACTTTTTCTTGGGCAGAAAGCTCACCAGTACACGCCGACTGAACCTTGCCTCGAACCTTAACCTCTTTAATACATTAATTCCGAACAATCCACCGCGATGTCTTCCAACGAGGAACCAGTCGTCGCCTCTACTCCCATGGAAGTCGATGAGAATGAGCCCCCTGCCACTCCAGTAGAGTCGAGCGTTTTCTCTGGGAGTGAAGATCTGGTCAAATCTAGCCCCGAGGTGTCCAGGGAAACCCCCACGGCCTCCCCGGGTAAGGCTAGCCCTGGTACATCTACCACTGCAAAGCGTCCTGTGTCTGGAACAGCTATCAAACGACCTACCTCATCCTCCACATCGAAATCAATCACCGGTACCACGCGCACTACTGGCCTTCTGAACAAGCCTCCCACTCGTCCTCCGACCACGACATCCATCCGAAAGCCGCTGAGTACCTCGACCTTTTCTTCTCCTTCGTCCCATCGTTCTCGCATGTCAATCAGCAGCTCCGCAGATGAGAAGCCCAGGTCTGTGGCAAGCTCGGGAGACGAGAAGCGAGGAATCTCTGGCACTGCAAAGCGCATGTCTATGGCCGGCACCGCGTCCACCCGCGCTCCTCTAAGACCGACCTCGTCTTCTATCGATCGCAGATCGAGTGTCGCCGGTCCCATCACCGAGAAAAAGCCTGGCATCACAACTACCCGCACCGCAACCTCAACAAGCAAGCCCGTGGGGAGGTTGACTTCATCGACAGTGCCTGCCAGCCGAACTGCCACTTCCACATCTACCACTAGACCAGCTACTGCTCGACCAAGCTCGACCACAAGCAGCGTCAGATCAACCACAGCAGCAGACCCTAAGAGGCGATTAAGTGTGGTTCCTGGATCCACCCACCGTGTTGGGGATTCCGAGAAGCTACACGCCCTTCAGGCGAAGCTCGCAGAGAGCGAGGAGACCGTAGCCAGTTTGAAGGCAGAGCTGGAGACCGTGAATGAGAAGCTCATCCAGCTTTCTATCGCGGCTGAAGAGCCCTCCGGAGATGCTGCCGCCGCTGAGGCCATTCGTGCGGGTCATACCGCTGAGATCGAAAGGTTGACTTCAGCTCACGCTGAAGAACTTCAGGCTCTGCAAGCGCGACTTGACGAAGCCGAGTCACAGCGGAAAGAGTTGGAGGAGAGTTCTCAAAAGGAGCTCGAGGAAGCTAGACAATCCGCTTCCGCGCAAGGGGATGATAAGACAGTTGCTCTCCTTGACGAGCTCAAGCTCTCACACCAGACCCAGCTCGAGGCCATCGAAAAGGAGTTGGCAGAGCACAAGTCTACAGCCAGTCACTTTGAGGAGCAGATCATTGCTCTAAAGAAGGAACTTGAGTTCCAGAAGATCTCCCTGGAGGAAGAGAAAGCGCTAGATCTCGACCACTTCAACCGAGAACTCAAGGGTCGTGATCAGGTTATGGAGAACCTGAACACGGAAATTGTCAAGCTGAACACCTTGAAGGAACAAGAGGTCCGTGCCGCGGAAGAGGCCGCACAACAGAGTGTCTCCGCTCTCCAAGAGCAGGTAGCCTCCCTCGAGACAAAGCTTGCTGCAGCTGAGTCTGCCACTCAGGAAAGCTCCGAGCAAACTTCTTCGATCGCCGGGAAGGACCAAGAAATTAACGACCTAAAGCAAGCACTTGAAAAGATTCAGACCGAGCTCCAGGAAGCACGAGACGCTGCGGCTATCGAATTGACCTCTAAGGTTGAGGGGCTGGAATCTGCTCATGAAGCTGCTATCGCAACCCTTAAGGCCGAGCACGATACCGCTATTAGTGAAATCTCGGCTTCCCATGTGGAGAAGCTGGCTGTTGCCACAGCGGCGGTGGAATCAAGCGGCACAGAGCACTCGAATCAACTCCAAGAGCTTCGCGATGCGCTCGAAACATCCAAAGCCACTGCCCAGCAGGGACAGGAAGACGCTGTTGCTGAACTTAAGGCTGCTCACGCGGTAGAGTTGAAGTCACTGCAAGAAAAGCTTGAGGCCTCCGAAGCCACTGCGCTTAAGGGACAGGAGGATGATGTTGCTGAACTCAAGGCTGCTCACGCGGCAGAGTTGAAGTCACTGGAAGAAAGGCTTGAGGCCTCCGAAGCCGCTGCGCTTAAGGGACAGGAGGATGATGTTGCCGAACTCAAGGCTGCTCACGAGGCAGAGTTGAAGTCACTGCAAGAAAAGCTCGAGGCCTCCGAAGCCACTGCGCTTAAGGGACAGGAGGATGATGTTGCCGAACTCAAGGCTGCTCACGCGGCAGAGTTGAAGTCGCTGCAAGAAAGGCTTGAGGCCTCCGAAGCCACTGCGCTTAAGGGACAGGAGGATGATATCGCTGAACTTAGGGCTGCTCACGAGGCAGAGTTGAACTCACTGCAAGAAAAGCTTGAGGCTTCCGAAGCCACTGCGCTTAAGGGACAGGATGATGATGTTGCTGAACTTAAGGCTGCTCACGAGGCAGAGCTCAAGTCACTGCAAGATAAGCTTGACGCGTCCGTAGCTGCTGCTCAGAAGGAACAGGAGGATGCCATCGCTGAACTCAAGGGTGCTCATGAAGCAGAGCTTAACTCACTACAAGACAAGCTCGACGCGTCCGTAGCCGCTGCTCAGAAGGAACAGGAGGATGCCATCGCTGAACTCAAGGGTGCTCATGAAGCAGAGCTGAAGTCACTGCAAGATAAGCTAGAGGCCTGCGAAGCCACTGCCCTTAAGAGTCAGGAAGAGGATATTGCTGAGCTCAAGTCTGCCCACGAAGCAGCACTGAAGTCACTGCAAGAAAAACTTGAAGCCTCCGAAGCCACTGCCCATAAAGGGCAGGAGGATGCCGTCTCTGAGCTCAAGGCTCACCACCAAGCCGAATTGAAATTGCTGCAGGAACAGCTCGAGGCTTCCGAAAATGCTCTCGGTGAATCACGCCGTGCGCTGGACGAAGGTAATGCTTCTGCTCAAGATCTTGCCGTCCAGGAGATCGACGCTCTTCGACACAAGTGTGAATCGCTGGAATCACAGCTGTCCACTGGAACCGGAAAGATCAACGCGCTGCTGGAAGAGATGCAGAGCAAGCAAGCCGAAGCCGAAGCCATCCACCGCATCCTCCGTGAAGTGGAAGACCACTCCAAGGAAGAGGGCGTTCAGAAGGACAACAAGCTGAAGGCTCTCGAGCAGAAGGCCGCGGAGGCCACTCTTCTTCTAGAGCAACACACTTCACAGGCCGCTAGTGTGGCTGAGGAACACGCCCAGGCCCTGGAACAGTTGAAGGCTCAGCATGCCGCTCAGCTTGCATCCGAAGTGGAGAAGGGCAAAGAGACATCGCGCTCCCACGATACTGCTCTATGCGATCTTCAGTCGAAATATGATGAGCTACTTTCCCTTAACAAGGAATTGAAGTCTACCCATGCCTCCCAGGTTGATGTGCTTGAGGCTGAGTTGAAGTCGGTGCTTGAAAACCACGCCAGTGAGATTGTAGCTCAGACCGAGGCTCGCGAGAAAGAGGCCGCCGAACTCCAAAAGCAATTTGAGGAGTCCCAGGAGAAATTGCACGCCGAACTTGCTACTTTGCAGAGCTCTAGCAAGGCTGCTGCCGAGCTTCACGAAAAGCAGATCTCGGAACTACAGAATGGCTTTGCAGAGACCAAAGCTCAGCTACAGGCTGAGATTGAGGCGGCCAAAACCTCACAGGCTGCTGAAGTCGATGCTGAGCACAGCAAGGCAATCGCCGAATTGCAACAGGGCTTTGAAGAGACCAAAGCCCAGCTGAGGGCTGACATCGAGGCCGCTCAAAATTCTAAGGCTGCTGAAGATGATGCTGAGCACGGCAAGGCAATTGAGCAGCTTCTCACCATGCATGAGTCTAAGCTCTCTGCCCTCCGGGAGCAGCTTGAGGCTTCCAACAAGACCAAAATCGATGCTCTCCAGAAGGCCCACGATGAAGCCCTGGCTAGTGCCAACGACCAATTGTCTCATGCCAAGGCTGCCGCCGAAGACACCTCTGCTCTGGATAGTTTAAATGCCCTAGTCGCTGATCTCCAGGCCAAGCTTGCTGATTCCGAGAAAGCTCATCTTGCTGCACAGGAAGCTGCCGCCTCTGCTTCCAAGGAAATCGAAAATCACATGTCCGCCGAACTTACCAAGATCCAGGCTGACCATGCTACCCTTGGAGAGAAGTATCAAGCAGTCGTTGCGCAAGTTGGAGAGCTCGAGAAGGCTGCCATGGATTCAGATAGCCAAAAGTCACACTTGGAGTCCATCATGAAGCAGCTCTCTGAGTCACGGGACCAAATTCTCAAGGTGAAGGCTGACAACGCCGCCATTTCAGACTCGCTCGTTGATTGCAAAAACCAAAACAAGACTTTATCGGAGAAGCTAGAAGCAGGTGAACGAGATTTGAACGACCAGATTGACAAGAACATGAGTCTCCTCAATCAGCTGGGTGATGTAGATTCCGACATTTCAGCCAGTCGACGACGGGTCCGCGAACTTGAAACTGAACTCGCTGTCCTGAAGGCGGACGGTGGCGATAAGAGCAGCTCATCGGGCTTGGAGGCTAGCCGATGGGCGACAGCCGATGAGGGAAGCGAGAACGCTGAAGATGGGGGTCCAGCCACAACGGAAGGTGAGGACCTAGGCCCATCCATTGAGGGAACGGTGGGAGATCCCCGATTGAAGAAGTCTTCCTACTCATCAGATCTTCCCGCATTCCACCCTTTCACATGATTATGAAGACTATAATTTAAGTTCATACAGAGACTAATGCATTCCATAGATGGCAAGCCTTCAGGAACAGCTTAAGCACATTCGAACGGCTAATGATGATTGGTACAGTGAGCATCACAGGTCAGTCCTATACATACTCGGGTCCATCGGAATTATTACTGATGTCCCCAGACTGATTGCCGAGCTTGCGCTTGTTTCTCGTCAATCCCTTGCTTCTGGCAGCCCGACTACACCCAAAGAGGTCCCCACGCCTGCCCCCGAGCCAGAACCCGCTCGCACCCGCGCAGCGACAGTCTCATTTTTCGGTAAACGCTGATTGATTAGCGTGGATTCGACATATTTATGAGCTCTTAGTCGTGATGCAGCATGACTTTCTTTTGTTGAATCCTGTTTCACTCTCTGCTCTTGTGATTCTACTGTATGTAATAATTACGCAGGATACCCCTGTCTTACAATGTCGGGGTTGTCCCGCTCTTCTTGTTTCAATAGCTTTTATTTTATACATATACTTTTTTGAGTGAACGTTTCATCAATGATACTTTTTTTGGGTCATTTAAAGAGCGGGAGGTGGCGTGTAAGTGACTCGATGCTCGATGAATGGATCATCCAAGCAGAACGCTATAATCAAAGTCTAGAACGAAGTGGGTATCTCAATAGGACAAGAAAGCTCAGAAAACGCCTCCCTCGATATCCCAGAAAAACAGCAAGGAAAAATATATCCGAAATCACTCCGAATCGGAAGGGTAGTCGACCAGCGCCGGCGCGGATCGCACATTAGACGTTTCTTCTGTGCCACTCGGGGTCTCATGGGGTAATGGAATAGACGTAGTAGAAGAAGCGACAATCTTTCTTTTCTTGATGCTGGGTCGCTGTGCATTTGGACGACCTGCGTTATCCACCAAGAACGGATCAATAGTAGCACGAGTATTCGCCACCAGTTCATTGCGCAGAGAAGCTTTCCGCGCTGCAATCAGATCCTCCTTTCTAGGCCGCCTTGAAGAGCGAGATTTGGTCTCTTTCGAACCCATATTTTGTGCGGGTTTCTCCACTCGCTGCTCAAACATCGGCCGAGCACGAATCGCGCGGGCAACAGTAGCGGAATCCTCACCAAACTCCACCATCTTCGCCTTCTGCCGATCCGTCTCCGTCTCATCCAGAAGCTCAATCCCAAGACTCATCTTATCCTGAATCGCCTCCCGCTTCGCTGCGGCCTTCTCAAGTCCCTTCCGCTCCTGCCGAAACGTCCTACGCAATCGCATGGACTTCTCATACGGATCCTCCCAATCACGCCTCTGCCGCTCCTGAAGCTCCAGAATCCGACTAGCCTCCGTCTTCGCACGAGCCTTATCCTCCATCTTCCCCTCAAGTTTCGAAAATGAATCCTTCTCCGCAGTATCCTTCAGCGCGTATGGAGTGATGGCAATCTCACCAGGCTGCAGCTCCCTGTCTTCACCAGTATCCCTCTTCTGCCCACCCTCGGTAACGACATAGGCCGTGTTCTGAGGATCGGTCTTGATCTCGATTGTCCCGCCGCAGACTGTGTGTTTCATGCGGAAGCTGTAGATCGGTGTTGAGTAGTAGTTGCCGACTTTTTTCTTCTCTGCATTGAATCGCACACCCTGTCCGATGATGACCGGGTGTGGTTTGCAGTTCGTGCACCATACTGCGAAGGGCATCTCAAATCGCACGATTAGGGCGCCGGTTGTGTGGAGGTGGCGCGCGCGTGCGCCGAGTGCGTGCTTGCCGGCGAGTTTGTTGCCGCTTATTACACCTTCTTGGTCCGGAGGGACATAGCTGTTTAAAAAATGTTAGGTCAGAGTTGGCTGAACGTTCCGGGGGATTTCTCTTTCGACTAACCGTCCCATATCTGGTGAGTCGCATGTTAGTTGGCTGTTTAGTATGTGTGGGGTAGGACTGGGACTTACTGAAGCCCTGCATCTTGAATGGTTAGGCGAGATTTCACTGAGACAATATGCTTGGTTCTCAGGAAATGTATCGCGGAGGGGTATGGACAGTGGTTGACAGTGTCAACAATGTCGCCGGTCGCCGAAGTCAAAGTCAATCGGAGATAGCGGAGTTAAATGAGATGACTCAGCATGCTTTGCTTAGGTGCCCACGTGCCCGCCTCTACTCCGTATGTATTTCTATGATGGACATCCCAAGACAGACAGAAAAGGAAAATGAACCTCCCCAAATGTTAAAAGAGATTTTTTATGAATTACATGGATGTACCGGAATGATGAGATCAACATAGTGCATGCCTTGAGAGAGACTGGTAGGCATATATCGACCTCATCCTTACAACACGACCTCGATTTTCGTCATACATCGAAGTAAATCTCGAGAAGATATAGAGAATGTTGAACTGTCTTTTTTTTCCAAAGCTTTGCTCATAACATGATCCTGTGAAACGATTGAAAGCTCCTGGAGCTTCGACAAGGCCATCAAGATCAGAAACCAGAACCTGCTTCACTTCTGTGTCAGTCCCTCACCTCTGTTTTCTACAAGAGCCTGCCCGTTTCGAATGATTTGGCTTCCGTTATCTGCGAGTTACACATGAGATGAATCGAGATTCAGACCAAGGTACACAGTACCTTATCCTGCAGCTGTTGCTGGAAGACGTGAAGGACGAGATCGATAGATCTGAAGGACAACTGCTGTCGAAGGAGGCGACTCCACCAATTCACAGCCTGGGGCAAGCCGAATCTGAGAGTGTAGCGGCACTTTATATCTGGAAATCTGAAATTGAAAGCCAAGTCACCATATTAAGCGACTTTCAACTAGCCACGGCTTTATCGCTAGAAGTGGAAACCCTGGAGGAACCGCCACCCAAAGGGAAAGAGTCAAAAGAAAAGTGGTCGTTCAGCAAGTTTATTTCCAACACCGTCCAAAAGTTAGTCAACTCATTCAAGAAGATCATGCGCTCAATCAGAGTCTTGAGTCCGGCCGACTCTTTCAAGCCAGTTTGCAGCTCCTGTCAAGAAACGAGCAACAATATATTTCAAACAAAGTGCTCCCACTTCTATTGCAAGAGCTGTCTGATACGCCTGTTTACAACCTCTTTGAAGGATGAATCCATGTTTCCCCCTCGATGCTGCAAGAAACCAATCCAAGGCTCGGGCTTGAAGAACATGATAGGGTCTGCATTGGTTGAACAACATAGGACGAAGAACCTCGAGATTAATGACCACAACAGAACGTACTGTTCGAATTCCCGCTGTTCTCGATATATTTTACCAACAGTGACCTTTGGAACAAGATTCCTCACAACAGTGGGCACTTGCAAGTGTGGTGTCCGCACATGCAGGAAATGTAAGAAGCCTGCTCATGGGGGAAAATGTCTGTATCAACTTGACAAGTCCATCGAGAAATTGATGCAACGCAAGGGTTGGCAACGATGTTCCAGGTGCGGCCATGTGGTTGAACTCACCACAGGTTGTATGCATATCACGTAAGTGTTTGAACTTATGTCTATTCTCAGTTGTTAACAATTTAACTCTCGATAGGTGTATGTGCAAAGCTGAGTGGTGCTATATTTGCGGGAGAAAATGGAAAACCTGCGACTGTAACACGCATTTGACCGAGCGGATGTACATGAGGGATTTCAGCCGGGGGCTACACGAATAGTTATCCGATGAAGTAAATGGCTAAAATTGGCTTGGAGAGTAAATGTGTAGCTTTGACATGACTCGCTTGGAAACTATTGGATCTTCTCTGTTCAAATATCTGGACTCGCTCAATGTCCGTTTAGCGTTGTTAGCCAGATCAGGTTGGACAACCGCCAACATTGTTAATTGAGGTAAGATATGTATCTATATCTAGGATGTATGAGGCTCAACGGTTGATCTGATAATTGATTACCATACTAAGATTGTAGGAAAACGGGGTAGAAATGCGCACTGTTTTCTATCTCAAGATCTTAACTATATATGCAGATCAGCTGCTATTTATGCCTCCTCCGCTAGCTCGATATTTTCCAAAGCCTCACTCTTTTCTATAGATACAGTTCTACTGGTCCCTATGGTGTGGGGGGGAGGGGGGTGGGCTCTGTTAATTTATCATCTTACTAGCACTTAACAGGAGTTTTGTCAAAATAGGCGTAGCGTTGTCTAGCCCCAGATGGGAGAATTAAGGACAATTCTCAACAAACTTTTGCAATTATATTCCCCAATTACAGATCAAGCGGAATGTTGTCTATCTGCGATATAGTAGGAGCATCTACCTCTTTGGGTCGGCTTGTTGTTGAAGGGATTCGATTCACCATACCATCCTATTGAGCGTCGCCTGCCTCGAGTATTGAAGCAAAGTCATGGATGTTTTCTTGATAATTGTTCGACAAGAAGAGAATTGACTTTGTATTATTCCTTGGGTCAATCTATGGTTGATGTGCTGATCATCTCGAGGTCTTCTCCAATTTCTTCGTCATACACTTTGCCCCTCTGCTAAGGAGAACGAAGACCAGGAATGCTTCTGAGATCCAGGCTTGCTACACAAAAGGTCGTTTAAAGCACGCTGAAGAGCTGCATATTGTTTGCGCTGCGTGGAGGCCTTGCTTTCCAGGCTTCCACGTGGGTATAGAACCTGCATATGAAGGTACTATATTGCACCATATTTCCCTCTTTTTCTTCTCCCACAGAGGCCTCAGGATATTGCTAGAACTTTGTCGAGCATTAATTCAAATCAGCAACATTCAAGTCCCCAACTTCATCACACGAGTTACGATACGCTTCCCAAGTACCGTCGTTCCTATCCCTATAGCTACGACTCGAGAATCCAAACAGGAAGTTGTACTTCAAAACAACAATAACGGGACACCAACAGTCAGCATGAACGATAAAGAAAACATGGGTACCGCAATGTCGATGGGACTGGAGACAGAAAATGATCTGTCCAGGTTCCAAATCCAAAACCCATCCGCGAAACCTCTGCCGTTGACCATCCAAGAGCTTGGTTACTCACTTGAGACCGCCATCGATCTCACCGAATCCACCATTTCGGAGGCATGGCATGAATGTGTTTCCTGCCGGGAAGATCAAATCCTAAGCGATATGCTCAAAACGCAGTGTTCGCACTATTATTGCAAGAATTGCCTAGCCCGCACGTTCACGGATTCCTTGCGCGATGAATCCTTGTTCCCACCAAAATGCTGCCAAAAGCCCATTAGGGCCTCGGAGCGCTTGCTCGGAACCTCATTGGCGCAGAGGTCCAAGGAGAAGGCCATCGAGCTGAATGACCCTGATAGGACATATTGCTTTGATCCGAAATGCTCTCGATACCTCCCGCAAATGCTCACACGACATGGGGCGTGCAGATGTCAAACCTGTGGAAGACGCACGTGTAGGAAGTGCAAGAAACGTGCTCATGGGGGTCGCTGTCTGCACGAGTGTGACGCGATGCTAGAGGATCTGGCAAAGAGCGAGGGATGGCAACGATGTTCGAAATGCGGTCGTCTGATCGAGCTTAGAACGGGTTGTAATCACATCACGTAAGAACGATTTGATTTATTCCTGATCTAAACTGTCTTTGATAGTGCGTATTGCAGAGGCTTGGACTGATATCTACTAGATGTGTTTGCAAATTCGAATTTTGTTATTGTTGTACGAAACGGTGGAAAACTTGCGGATGTGCGTATTCCGACGAGGTCAATTTGTACGAACGAGATGCGTGAACAGCAAAATGAGCCGGGCGAGGTCTGTTTCGCAGTGGAAGGTGTGCTCAATGACTCTTCATTTGGAATATTAATCTAAACGCAGTGTGGGTGTGAAAGTGGAGTTTGAGAGAGAAAGCACATAGTTTGCCGGCACAGTTGGCTGGGAGGCACTGGATCGAGTCTTGTCTGGTTCGACCTTGCGATTGTTTTCTGTTCACTCTTTTTCTCCTTCGAGGAATAGCGTAGGTCTTTGGATCGTTTGTTGTGTGGTTACAGTTACGAAACGAGGGATTGTCTGATTTAGCTGAGAGGTGTACCCATAGCCAATCTAATGCTAAGCTTCTGGACTATTTGAGAACTTGTTCAATGCACATCGCGATTACTTTGAGCATTCAGGCTAGTCTAGTATATCTAATGAGCTGCACAGATCATATATATCAAAAGCAGGCAGGGCAAGCTTCGGACACTCGAAAGTTATTGTCTTTCTCTCGGCCTAAGGAATGACTGGAGTACATGTGAGTTCTATATCGGAGATGATATGTGCATTTCTCTCTCTCAAGATTAACAGTCTCAGTTTATCACCTAGAAGTTATGGTAAACCATCAGACAGGTTGGAGCTATGGTCTGTCCAACTCGGGCCCCCAACGAAATAGGTAGCAAGACTGATATAGAGAGTAGCTGGACACGTCTGTGTATACATATTTGTCCATGTATACCCATTGAGTTTGCCTTGTGGCCTTGATTCTTAGGCAATGTGCAGAACCTGACCCTGCTATAGAAATAACTGTCGCGCACCTTTCTTTCACCACCCATCCCGAGAGAAGACCCGATTCTGATTTGTGCAAATTTCACTTGACCTCACCTCGCTCTTCAAGAGTTAACATCGAACATGCTTTTCCATAATATAACTCAATCCATGCCCTACTTCATGGACCAAGACATGGATAAAGGCCGGGTTAAGCGTAATCGACTGTCAGACCCGCTAAAGAAGGACGAGATAAAAAGAGGCAAGGCAACCGCCGAAAACATATCATCATCAAAATTCAAAGTCAAAGGAAAGCAACTACACTTGATTGATGAGCAAAATCCGGTCTCACATGAGAGCGATGAAGAATCGGTTAATGAAAGCCCAACAGACGAAGCCGCTGAAGTGGACCCAGATGAGCCCGAGATGCTTCATCAGTGTATATCGTGCACGGAAGAACACCCGCTGTCAGATACAATTCAAACGCAGTGTGCCCACACCTACTGCCGAGAATGTGTTCTGCGCCTTTTCCAGAATTCGCTCACCAACGAACTTATGTTTCCTCCTCGATGCTGCCGCACACCCATTGGTGTCACTATCGCCGTCGAAGATATGATCGGTCTCGAGATAACAAAGAGATACAAGGAACGGAAGGCTGAAGTCAGCGAGAATGACAGAACTTACTGTTCAAATTCAACCTGCTCTCGCTACCTCCCACCACAGAGCATTCGTCGAGGGGTTGGTGTCTGTGATTCCTGTATGGTGCGAACATGCGTGGAGTGCAAGAAGCAGGGACACCGAGGTGACTGTGCGATTCAGCGAATCAAAGACGAAAGCGACGAGCATTTGCTCGAGCGTTTAGCAGCTAAGAAGAAGTGGCAACGATGCTCAAAGTGCTCTCGAATTGTCGAGCGTGTGACTGGCTGCTCGCATATGGTGTATGCTGGGCTTTGCCCCCTTCGAAACTTTTCAGTTTGCAGAGCTGACTTATCTCTAGATGTCTATGTGGAATGAACTTTTGCTACGATTGTGGGAAGAAGTGGAAGACTTGTGAATGCCGCATATGAGCTGGATAAGATGCGGCACAACTGTCTCTCGCCGCGGATTATTTGGACGTCATTGTTCCTAGAATGATAGAATTACTGGGTACGGGACCTTGGAAAAATGATTCCAGGAGATTTCTGTGACTTCCTTGACGATTGCATGCTATTGAAGAATGGGTGTCTAACGAGTTGGGTTTAGATAGTCTCGGCACCTCTTTGCTTTAACGGCCAGCATTGAAAATCACAGGTAGTGAATCAGAACTAAGTTACATCTTTTTCGAATGCATCGGAGTGGGACAGAAAAACCTACCGAGGCATATATGGAAGCTGAATGAAGATTTTATTTTCCCGCAGTTAGTGCTAATACTTATCTTTTACGGATAATTTGTTAAGTCTTCTGTCTTTTGATCGACCTGTTGCCTCCGTCGTCCTTTCCATCCTTTCCAAATTCTTTCTTCCAAGACCCATCTTTGACCTTGCTGTCATTGCCGTGGAGTCCAACACTATATGCATGCTTCATGCCATTCAGGCAGATGTCTCTTCGCTCGTTGAAGTCAAACATCGGCTTAGGATATGTGTGTTCAGCATCCTCAGAGCGAGAGGATGGACTTCCATCCCCAGTGATTCTGCACCCCCATTTCTTCTGATCTGCGATAGGCGCCTTCCAGGGCTCGTAGATATGCTTCTTGTCAAACTTGGCCAGCTCGGGACAGTATCTTCTGATAAGGGCGCCTTCTGGATCCCACTTCTTCCCGAATGCAATGGGAGAGTAGCAGCGGTAGAACTGCGCGAAGAATGCCGTGCAGGAAAGCCACATCCAGTTTCCCACATTACATGCGGTTTCGTCTGCCATCTTCGGTTAGTTATGCATCGAAATTAAGAGAATAAATGAGATACTGACGGTCAATCAAAAGTTCTTCGAAAACTTCTGCACCTCGCTCCCATGAGACATAGCACCCGCCTCGAGTTAGAAAACAAGCAACGCTGTGTCTTCCGAGATGATGTATCCAGCCTTCCTGTCTTAACTGGCGCATCAGAGCATCGATCCATGGAAATCCAGTGCGACCCTCGCTCCAACGTTGGAACCATTCCTCCGCCTCCGCCGAGTCCACTTCATAGGAGCCATCGAACGATCCATCCGGACCGGGAGGTTTGGTTTGTAGATGCCAATCAATGAACCTGGCAATATTATTCCCATAAGTGCGGGAAAACGCGTTTCCAAGAGGTGCCTGCGCAGCAAAGTACATATCACGGAACAGCAACTGGCCCGGGAGATTGGTTGGTACACCAGGGACTGGCTTTTTGGCCTTGCGTCGTTTCTCAAATACTTCTTGTACGTCCCACCAGAACTTTCGAATTGATAGCGAGCCGAAATGAAGATGAGGGGATAATAATGTGGTCGATTGGGGCTCGAAATCTGCTGGTGACGTATTGGGCTTCTCAAATGTTCCGATATAATCCTCATTTTTGATACATTCTCTCAGTATTCTCAACGCCTCTTGTTCACCTCCTCGGTGCGGGGTTGTTGCTTGGGAAAGATCAATCCCAATGTCTTGCCAAGGAACAGCAAAGTCCTTGGTGGGACCCATAAGATTGGAATACTGTTCATCCTTTTTGGTGCGGTGTTCCGCATTCAAGTCCGGCTGGCTATCAACAGGGTCTTGTTTGATACCGCTCAAATCCATACGCTCCTTGCCCCAAGGATCAGGGATACTCTTGGGGGGATCGAGTGGCTTATCAGGGTTGCCGTTGTTGATTTTCATGGCAGCCTTCTCTAGTTGCGTAACACTGATCGTCGGCTTGCCATTGTTCTTTCGAACAATTTCGTCTGGGTCAAACAGAGTCCTGCCCATCTTGACAATCACCTCAACGCCAGCCTTCTCGGCCATGTCCATGACCGCATTATCTCGCTCTCGAGCATACGCATCTGTATCCTTTTCAAAAACGAGATGCGTGACACCCCAATGATCCCAGAGCTTAGGTAGGATAGTCTGTGGCCCCTCACGTACAACGTGCAGCTTTTGCTTTGGGTTGATGTTTGTATATGCCTTGGACAAATCACTTTGGCATTCGAGCAGAAATTTCCACCTATTTGGCCCAACTCGTGCCTTGTAGACGTAATGCTGATCCCACGTCCAGATTGGAATGAACACTGATGGGTTCAAGGCCAAAGCGGCCTGTAAAGCTGGGGAATCATGAAGACGCAAATCGGTCCTGTGCCAATAGAGGACCACCGGATTTGAAGCTCCAGATTTCATCCTTTCTGGCGATCGATCCCTTTTTCTGGAACCACGAGATACAGCGGTCCTATGAATAGATAACAATAGAATAGAAAGTCGCAATTAAGATCTCTCGTAGGGCTCGAGACGGAAGACACAAGCGGGGTGAATAGCGGGGCCTCTGCAGAGCCAACTCGTGACGTCACATGTCAAGCTGAGTGTTCTCTAATAAGAAAAAAAAGATATAGCAAGATGGCTGGTGGGAAAATGAGCTGATCAGATTGAGTCTTATACCTCCTATCTCGGCTGTAGGCTCGGACTTCATGCGTGGAAATGTTTGAGGTCTACGCTGGAAAGGCAGGATAGGGAAAAGCACAGTCTCTTGACGATGATATGGAAGATGGAGGACTAGAGAGGGGAATTAGGGAGCAAACAGAGCTCATATGATCAAATTCAACAGAAAATAGTGAAACAAAATCAGATCATTGAAAAATACTTTCATGATACTCAGAGAGCTGGCGACTTAAAGAAACCACGGATTTCTTCCTCAGACAGAACCTTGAGACCAAAGGAATCATTGAAAAGTTTCTGAGAATCGAAAAGAGAGCCGAATCCTTCACCAAAGACGGTCCGCACAAGAAATTTCTCAACAAAGAGCGCTGGGTTTGGCGATGGCTTTCCCAGTTCCGCAAATGCCTCTTGTTCCAAGTCTGTGGTCTGAACAGTCTTGGTCTCAGGGGAACTACCAGACAATGCTATTAGCTCTTTCTGTGTCAACCTGGCCTCATTGACATAGACCGTGGAGTTCTTCGTGGCCTCGAGGTTGTTAAGGATTCCGACAACTCCCTTGCCCACGCCACGGAGAGTCGTAGAACTGAAACGGCGATCACCACCGTCATATAAAGGAACGACAGGACCAGCCACCTTGAGAACGGTGCCCCGCTCAATGCCCCAGTCGAGGAAAGGCCCAGTGATAAGAAGCGAGTAGCTAAGACCCGAGTCCTGGGGGACGTTCTTAAGGTATTCTTGTACGGTTACCTTGTCGGCAAACACAGGGATTTTCGAGGCCAGCGGGTTTGTGGTATCGCAGCCGTACTCTGAAGGGATGAATCGCTTCACACCGGTTGCAACCGCTGCATCAACCAGGCGAAGATGAATGGCCTTTGGAATTGTACCGACATCCAAGGCATTCACAACGGCATCTTGGCCGGAAAGAGCGGCTTTCAGCGAGTCAAGAGACTCATAGTCAACTTTGACAACCCGGGCGCGAGAGTCAAAACTTTTGTTGCTGTCCTGTCGCGTGAGGACGGTTACCTCAAAACCTGCGGCGAGTAGCTCTTTGAGCACTGCAGGACCAACATTACCACTCCCCTGGAAAATGTTTAATGACTTAGTGATGGAATATAACCTGGATGACATACCCCGACAAGCGCGACCTTGAGGTTTGTCATATTGTACTCAAGATTCAGTTGCGTTGAGTAAGAATGGTTCTTTTTTTTTCCTTCAAAAAGAGGAGGAAGTATTCAGCGAGAAGAGAGAGTGTGAATTTGATATTCGAAGTTCGAAGCACATGAGGGGTTTCATGTCTTTATAGCGATAACCCCCACCCGTGACCTTGTACGTCGTCCCGCTGCATTACAAACCCGCAATACCACTGCATATTGAGCAATCAAACCTGGACTATACCCTGTATATTTTCCGAAACGATTGCAAATGCATCGGGGTTTATGGCGGCTTACGGCAGCTTATGGCGTGCTGCGTTGTAAGTTGGACGTGGACCGCGGTTGGAAGGTGGCGCCGATTATGTGAAGGCTTACAAACTGCCCGGCCTTGCAAACATAGCGGCTCAATAACGGATTGAAAGCATGATGCCTAGCCTGGGAGAATGACGAATGGTGCAAAACAATCTTCGCCATTTTAATTGATGCAATGAGGTATATATGCACCTCCCCGTTCACAAATTCGAAATACCAAGGAAAATGTTGTACATTTGTACTTAAGTAAAATTGATTGGCTTATGATTATAACCTTTTAAGGGGAACCCTAGTTCAATATTCAAGGGTCTGTTTAACTGCGTCGTAGATTCCTAAGAGAACACATGGGTCAGTGATGATAAAAACGACAGTTTGACTTTGAATACTCACTTGCGACATCGGGCAGAATGAATTGCTCGTAGGTCAGCCCGGTATGCGTACTCCATCCGGCAACTCGTTTGACTGGAGCTTCAAGACGTAAGAATGCGCTTTCTTGTAGTGTGGATGCAACCTCTGCCCCAACGCCATAGTTAACCATGCTTTCATGCACGACAATGGCCCGACCGGTTTTCTTGACACTGTCGATGACAGTCTGTCTATCCCATGGATATATCGTTCGCAGGTCAATCAATTCCACACTGACACCCGGCATGGCTTTCTCGATCGCAGAGATGGCCGAAGAGCACAAGTAAAGAGGCTGCCCGTAGGAAATTATGGTCAAGTCCTTGCCAGGCTTGAGTACTTCAGCCTTGCTGAGCGGTATGGTGTAGTACTCGTTCGGCACATATTCCACAGCTGCCCGGTAGAGGATTTTAGGCTCCATGAAGATCACAGGATCATTGTGCTCGAAGATGGAGGAGAGAAGAAGTCCCTTGGCCTGAGCCGGGGACCGTGGCATGACTACTCGCAAGCCGGGGATATGTGCGAAGAGCGACTCGGGGGATTGAGAATGATACCTATTGAGTTAGCATACCAGCTGGCTTGGCACTCAGACATAACATACAATGCACCGTGTCCAACCGCGCCGCAGGGCATCCGGATGACGAGGCCCCCAACATTAATGCCCGTCCCACCCTCTCGATAGCGGAACTTGGCTGCCTCATTCACAATTTGATCGAATGCGGGAAAGACATAGTCGGCGAATTGGATCTCAGCTATAGGCTTCATCCCTTCCGCTGCCGCCCCAATTGCGAACCCTGCAATACCTTGTTCGGTGAGAGGCGTGTTGAATACTCGATCTGACCCAAATTCTGTTTGAAGATCCATTGAGCATCGGAAAACACCACCGAACCCGACATCCTCGCCAAACACGATGGTTCTATCGGATTTGGTTAACGCTGTCCGTAGCGCTGAGTTGATTGCCTGGTACAGGTTAAGCCGTTTACTTGTGGCGCCTGCCGGGTATTCTTTCGTATTTGCCAAGGAGGATGAAGTGTGATGTAAAATCGGTGTAGTTTTGTAGTCAATAGGTAGGTTCAGCTTTGCTGCGGGAGTAGGAGCTCCGGAGTAGAACCGCCGAGGAGCTTGGGCAAGAGACCGTAAGGGAGTGCGTAAAGGAGCCATATCTGGCTAGGATTGTGAGATATGGACGGAATGTAAATACATAAGGGTTTTCTTTTCTAGGGATGATGGCCTTTAAATTGCTCCTTGTTCTATGTCCGGGGCATTGCGCGGGGAAAGCGCCGCGAATAGCCGAGAATATGCATATGGAACAAACTTGCCAAACTTCTCAAACAAGAGCTACCGATGACGGAGCCCCGTCACGGGAACCTTATACATACATAGTGCGAATCTCACGACCCCTCCCAGCATAACAAATTTAAACTCGAAGTGAGCTTTTGAGGTTGTAATTGAGACTTTGAGACGGGTTTCATAAGCAAGTTGCGTTGTAGATGGCCTTTCGAAGCCTATGACAGTGTCTATCGGACTTGATTCGGGATTGGAGGGGCAATGATCGATCTTATCAGGGTTTATCACCTCGAACCCGTGACTTTCCCCGGCCCGCACCAAAATTATCATTTTTCCCTGATGACTCAATTCTTCTTTTGTTTCATACTCCACGTCCAAATCATTTGAAGTTTGTTCAATTCGTCACAATGGCACAGGGAAAGGTATGAACCTTTGCTCCATTGATATGCCTCTTTCCTCTACTCCCAACGTCCATTCCCAATTCTATCGCACACCGCCACCCACTCCACAATTTCTCTAACAGTTCGTCGTACAGGTTTGCCTCGCCTACTCCGGCGGTCTCGACACCAGCTGTATCTGTATGAGTTCCCTCGGTCGACCTATTCACCAATCGCGGTTGCTGATACGAAACTATAGTGAAGTACCTCATCGAGGAGGGCTATGAGGTCGTCTGTTTCAGTAAGTTACCACCACGCCGTATCAGTCCAGATCAAATACTAATGTGAACATAGTGGCCGATGTTGGCCAGGAAGGTAATTCAGTTCCGTCGATGTACCATCCGACATCATTCTAATGACTATTCACAGAGGACTTCGAGGCTGCCCGCGAGAAGGCCCTGAAGATCGGTGCCCTCAAGTGCGAGATTGTTGACATCCGCCGCGAGTTCATCGAGGAGCTTTGCTTCCCCGCTATTGCTTGCAACGCCGTCTACGAGAACGTTTACTTGCTCGGTACCTCCCTGGCTCGCCCCGTTATTGCTCGTGCCCAGATCGAGGTTGCTCAGGTACGCTTACCTTTCCTGCCAACGAAAATAACATTCATATTAATTCGAAATTAGCGCGAGGGCTGCTTCGCTGTCTCCCACGGCTGCACTGGTAAGGGTAACGATCAGGTTCGCTTCGAGCTTGCCTTCTACGCCCTCCAGCCCAACATCAAGGTCATTGCCCCATGGCGCGACCCCATCTTCTACGAGCGCTTCAAGGGCCGTCAGGACCTGCTCGACTACGCCGCCGAGAAGGGCATTCCCGTCACCTCCACCAAGTCCAAGCCTTGGTCCATGGATGAGAACTTGGCTCACTGCTCTTACGAGGCCGGTATCCTTGAGGATCCCGATACCACTCCTCCCGCCGACATGTGGAAGCTCACCCAGGACCCCCTGACCGCTCCCGATCAGCCCGAGGACTTCACCCTCACCTTCGAGAAGGGTGTCCCCGTCAAGCTTGAGTACACTGAGGCTGGCAAGAAGAAGGTCGCCACCGACTCCGTCGAGCTCTTCCTCACCGCTAACACCATTGCCCGCCGTCACGGTGTTGGCCGTATTGATATCGTCGAGAACCGTTTCATCGGTATCAAGTCCCGTGGCTGCTACGAGACCCCCGGTCTCACCTGCCTGCGCTCCGCTCACCTGTGAGTATTCATCGCAAAAAGATATCTTGTTGGCACGACTAACAGTTGTTCAGTGACCTTGAGGGTCTTGTCTTGGATCGTGAGGTCCGTGCTCTGCGCGATTCCTTCGTTACTTACAACTACTCTAAGGTAAGACTCACAGTCTTAGTGTCCATTGGTGTAGTCTAACATATGCAGCTCCTGTACAACGGCATGTACTTCTCCCCCGAGCGTGAGTTCCTCGAGTCCTCCATCACCGCTTCCCAGAAGACCGTCAACGGCCAGGTCCGCTGCCGCGCCTACAAGGGCACCGTCTCCATTCTCGGTCGCTCCTCCGAGACTGAGAAGCTCTACGACATGAGCGAGTCCTCCATGGACGAGATCGGTGACTTCTCCCCCGCCGAGACCACCGGCTTCATCACCGTGTCTGCCATCCGTCTCAAGAAGTACGGCCAGATGAAGGCCGCCGCTGGCGAGAGAATGTAAATTTCTTCTACCAGAAATAAGACACATCCTCTTCAATTTTGAATGATTGGAATGCTAAATGTTGACCGTCCCTGGCTTCCTCGGGCCAACATGTCAAGTCTTTTTGGTCCAATATTCCAGCAATCTGTGATGGATAGCCTTGGATTTGAATGACTGTATAATGAACACTAGAAAAATTATTAAATTATGGGAATTGGAATCAAAAGTCAAATGATGTTGGACTGAATTGATCGAGCTACTCTTCCGTATGTCCACGTAAATTCATATATCCAATCCAGGGCTGAATGTGCATTTATCGACGAATGCAACATCTATATGTACCTGGGGTCGCTGGATGACGACAGAAGTCGGAGTATAAATAGTTTGCATATAATCAACAGCACCTAAAGGTTCGCATTGACCTTGATGGTATCTTGTTCTTCTGCCCCAGGTTAGCGGATGACTACCAGAAACACAACGCGACATACCATTCCAAGTATCCAACGCTGCTTTCTCTGCATCCCAACCCCACAGAAACTCTTGGGTTCTACGATCCGACCACTTATCTGGGTTATTCCCACTGGCCGATGCCTCAAACTGGGCATCGCGGGCAATTTGCTCAGGCCCATCTGGCAAGTGCAACGTGATACGATTCTCCGATCCGGACAGCTGCACCGCCTCAGCACGTTTCTTCCGGGACCTTTCGTAGGCTCTCAGGGCACGCGGTATCTCCTCACGCGATGAGATAGCTGACAGCACGATCCCAAGCGCGGCTGCATCTTCGACAGCCTGTGCAGCACCCTGAGCAATATATGGTCTATAAACCGGGCAGTTTAGTATCAATCACAATCAACATGATTTCATAACCACATACAGCATTGGGTGACATGCATCCCCGAGCAGAGCAACAGAGCCCCTGATCCAAGTCTGAAGCGGATGATGCAAACACAGCTTCCACTCCAAAACCTCGTTATCCTCGACCAGATCAACTAGCTTGCGTACCTTGCTATCCCACCCGTCATAGTTATCCAGCATGGCCTGCTTCGAGCCCTTCGTAGTCCAGGACTCACTCACAGCGTGGCTGTCAGGATGGAGCAAGACGACGTTATACAACTCGTGCTTGCGCACAGGGTATGCAACAATGTGGCGCGCAGGACCGAGCCAACGTGTCGCCTGCGGCTCATCAATGAGTGCCTTCAATTCGGGGTCTTGTTCCATGATATCACGGGGTAACATGATACGGTATGCGGCATCACCGGTGGCAACCGCTTTGATGGTCGGGTCCTCGAGCAGGCGGCCGCGGATACTAGACTTGATGCCGTCTGCACCGATCACTACGTCGCCGCGGACAATCTCGCCGTTGGCTAACGTCACACTTGCTGTATTGAATTGCACGTCAGTGACGCGTGAGTTCTCTCGTAGCTCAACATTTGGTAGAGCCAGAGCCCTGTCGACTATGGCGTTGTGCAGATCCGCGCGGTGGATGACTACTTGCTGACCGAAGGTCTTGTTCACTGGCATTGTGCCGAGTAGTCTGCCATCATCCCATCTTCGGACATGGATGTGCTCGAGAGCTACATCGTGGGCGTGAATCAAATCCGAGACGCCCCATCCTAATCCCGGTTAGCAGGGGTTGATCTTCGCACAAGGAAGACGCACGATCGAATAGACGCAACATGTTCGGGGACACTTGGATCCCAGCGCCTACTTCCATGAGCTATCACCAAGTCAGTCGTCATAAGACCCACGTCTATTTGACCACTCGTACCTTCTGGGCAGCTTCAAGAACAACGACATGGTGCCCCCGAAGACCTAATGTGAGAGCTGCTGCCATGCCTCCAATGCCTGGTCCAATTACCGTCAATGGAACCCTTGTCTCTCACTGATGCATACATACCAGCACTATCCAACATCAGCATCCCATTCACACGCACCAAATCCTGTACAGTAGACCACGTACCCAACGACAATCACCTCTAAAGGCAACTTTGCCTGGGAGATCTTCATCCTGAATAATGCGCGTTATCCGAGGGCAGTAGCTCGTGGCGATATGCAGAAAGCAGAAATCGGAAAAGGCATCCCTTGAAAGACACCCCAGTCCTTGAAGTACTCAAGAAACTATAACCCTGGACTTATCGGATCGGGGGATTGCCGCTCCATCCGTGCCATACCCTCTTCGGGAAATCAAAGACGAGAATCACCCATCCTAAGCAAAGAGATTCCAAATTCCTAGCATCTTGGCTGCTTTAGCGGGTGCATTGATCCTCTCATCAGCAGCATCCCCTCTGCTTCTCCGCATATTTGGAGAATTGGAGTGGAGCAACTAAAGGTCCCGATATCGAACCCTAGACGACATTTGACTGCTCTCCACGAGGCTAATATGTCACTCCAGAGTCCAGTCGGGACTTATTTTCTCAGCGTCCTTCCGTTTGCAGATTCAAGTCTTGACAACTGACAGTGTATGGCCCAATTGCGTACCGCATACCATCTTCTTCCTCTGACGTATAGACAGTGCGACCCTTAATCGCAGATGCAAAAGCACACGTGAACGATATCTCTTTGGCTTTGTGGCGTTCTCAAGCAGCTCGCACGGCGATCTATGCGATGATTGGCTGCATTACTTCCGCTGGAGAAGCTCCGGCTACTTTGAAGGCCTTTTGCTGCCGGAGTCAATGACTTCAGAATACATAATATGACCCGTCATATTTCACAAGAAAAGATACTACGCTCGCTTGATCCTTGCCCGTGGCTGACTGGGCCCGGTGATGCAAACCATCTTTCTTCTTGACGGCAGATGGTTCGACTGGGAATTGCCGACCGGCTGCTTTTGGACTTACAGCCTCGAATCGTTGACACAGTCTGGGATGCGATCGAGGATCGCTCTAGAGGGAGTTTCATATCGATTCTCCTCGAATCTGCGCTAATTGTGCAGGCGGAATTGAAGCACCATTTAACAACCAGACCACAACAACCATAATATAATCGCCACGCAGCTTCATATGTGTGCATATACACATAGTAATAGTTGACCCGCTTAGAGCGTCAAAATATATAATCTTTCAACTGCAAATTCGAAATATCCGCATAGAAGTCTCCACCGCGTCCTACCTGGGTACCTAACCTACCACTAGTAGGTACTTACATACCTACATCCTACGTACATGTACATAGGTACACATCTGTACTCCACATAAAATAACCTTAATTTCTATACTCCCTACAAAATATACAGGCTCTTTTTTTCTGAAAAAATAAAAAAGATGAGATTCCCAGCAACACATGGTCACAGCCCATCAGGCCACGAATTTGACGTTCCTAGGGGACTCGAACCACTGCCCGGGGTGGCCCAGAAAGGTCTAGCCCACACCCAGTGCAGGTGCCAACGACCTGTGCTTCGACTTGAAAGGACTTGATTTACAGCTCCCTATATCCCCATAAAGTCATCTAATATCACACCAAATCTGTGCTCCAAATCTGTACTCTTGGTATGTACACCCAAGTCCCCATCTCAATGCAGGGGCACTTGAACGAAAGTCCAGACCTGTTTCGTAATGATCGTGCTGGCCGTAGATCACAGCTATGTCCCCGTCTCCACCGCGCCACGTCCTCTATGGGCCACTCTTGCAACGTGTGAGAAGTGTGGAGCTTAGGCACACCGGTGAACTGGTCTAGTCCCACTACTCGCCGAAAAGAATTCCCTGCCCGATTCTCCTAGCCTGTTACAGATGTATGCCGAATTGCTATTCGGTGCCTTTACTTAAGGCATGAAGATTAACTGTCTGAGTTTGGCCTTGGTGGGTAGATCGAGAAATTGCCTTTTTGAGCAATCGGTGCCATGCCTGTCTGCGCTGGAACTATTAGGGTTTCAAATCTATTCTTCTTCGCCTGAGATTGTGTAGCCTCTGGGGTGGATATTGCACTTTGGAATTCAATGATATTCGAGTGGGGTCTTGTTTATGAGAGGATAGTGAGAGTTATATGCTACGAATGAAATGATTAATGGAAAAATCATACATATACTAACGTGATATCGTCACGGGCTCGATACAAAAGATGATACATGGGAGAATCTTAGGGAGAGAACTGAGTGCTTTGAACAATATATTTTTGATCTATTTCGCCCTAGTGTGGGTGTAAATACTGATAATTCCGCCCACCAACGCCGAATATGCTTATACGAACGGGTTGCATTGCTGAAAGTAGTCGAAAGTTCAAATATGGACGTCGAAGAAGAAAGAGAACATGTTGGAAAAAAGTCAAAGAAGAAGAAGAAGAAGAAGAAAAGGAAGAGGAAGGTAAATATAAGGGCAAAAGAATGATGAGAAAATAAAAGAAGTCAACAGAAAAAGATGTAGAAGAATGAATAAAAGCAAACGAAGAAAAACAGAAGCCGTCGATCATTGTATCGAGCAAGTAGAAATACACGGCAGATGACGCGTAAGACTTGGGTCGACATAAAAGGAGTTAGTTGTATGAAAGGGGACGCATGAGCAGTACAATGTGCATCTCAGCCCAAGAATAACATCAAGAAGAAATGTATATGTACATATTGTGATTTGGTCGGGTGGCGAATATTGAAATTAAGAAGAAGAGGTGAACATGAGTCGCAAACGGCTAGGCCCCTTCTTTTTCTCCTTGGAGCGTTTCTCAATCTCGGAAACGAGACTGCCGGATTTTGAGTAGGCGCGGCTGTGTGTGCGACTAGGAGGCCGGCTGTGTGCTTGACTCGGCGCGCGACTGTGTGAATAACTGGGGGCCCGGCTGTGTGAATGACTGGGAGCTCTGCTGGGGGCTTGGCTAGGAGCTTGGCTAGGGGCCTTGCTATGCGATCTGCTGGGGGCTCTGCTGGGAGCCATTGATGGCGCCTTAGATCTGGATGAGCTCCGTCCAAAGAATCCACTCGGGGCCTCGGAAGGAGCCTTTGATCTCCGCTCGTGGCGTTCCGAGTGTGCGTATGTTGGAGCACGGCTGGTTCGTGTACGGCGGGAACGACGGGACGAAGCGACCGAGTCATCGTCGTCGAATTTGAAGCGAGGGTCTCGTCGCGCGCGAGCAGTGGTGACGTCGATGCCTGACATAGCAGCTGCGGTGGGGGTGATGAATTCGCCATCGACAGAGGTTCCGAGGCTTTCAGCTTGCTGATCAGCGACTCCGCGTCTCCACATCTCGACGGAGCTGAGGGCCTCTGTGTTAAGCTCCATCATTTCTTCCATTTCTACTTCCGTCTCGGGGGGTTGTCCTTCTTGTCCAACTGCGCCAGCTTTGATTCTCTGGATGATCTTGTAGCCTCCAAACATGACCACTGTCACGCCAAGACCGACTCCAGCAGCGATCAGGAATTGAGGACTGGAGAGCAGAGAGAAGACGACGGGAGCAGCAGCCTTGAGTGTGGTTAATGCAGATGGCGCCATCTGGCGGGCCACATTGCTAATCTCCGCCAAAGTCAAGGCTACAGCGGCCATGGCATCTGGGTTCTGTTGGAGGTGGGCCATGGTGGCAGTGGCGCCGTGTTGTACACAGTGTGCCTCTTCGAGGAGCCACTGTGCTTTGTTGACAAGACCATCAAGCTTTTGTTGATCATCCTTCGGTTCTGGAGGGGTATATCGAGATAATGCTGCATGGGAGGCGTCCCCATATGCAAGATCCATGTCGATATGCGCATCAGATTTGGACCGAGCTGTCTCGGGCCGGGCGTCCTCGCGGACTGCGACATCATGATGGGTATGACGACGCACGATTGTCTGCGGGTGCTCGTAATGAGAATCCTGTCGGGATATGACTGTCTGTTCATCGTCATAGTGGGATGGGGCACGATGACTACGGCTATGTCTTGATCTGGAATGGCTTCGTCGAGAAGCTACCGACCGCGAGTCATCGATCTGATAGTTGGCCAGTCCCTCGAGTGCTTGCTGTTCTGCAATCTTTGCATTGCGTTCCGATTGAAAAGCATACTTGCGCTCACGATAGGCATTTTTGGCATGGCTGAAGACGCCGAATAGTTGCTTACTCTGATACTAGTTAGTGCGGGGTCGGACAGTGGCTGGAGATCGGAGCTTACCGTGCTCACAACTTTGCCAGACTTGTCAATCACCGCGATGGTTTCGCCCAAAGGTGCCATGACGAATAACAAGTCGTTCTGACGACCTTATCGACAATCGGTCATCAGATGGTCGAGATCGACCAGTCGATAAGGAAGCGGTGTAGGGTTTAAAGAGAAGGTGTGAGAGGGAGGTATAGATCACGAGTGAAGTAACCTCGCACAAGGGTTTAAAAGAAGAAGCAAGGCACAGCGTTCGGCGTTTAATTAGGCAGTCAGGTTCTCAACCCCAGGCAGCGGAGGTTTTAAGGCGTGGGAGAAGTGATGCGGGCAGGGAGGCTGGGGGATCAAGCGCATCCACGTTGGGCAGGGCAGCGAACAACAGGACAGGAGGAACTATAGGGCAGAGCGGTTGGGTGCCACTTGGGACACAGACACGTATCTATGGCACAGCAGGTTTCGAGCTCATATCTGACACTAGGCTGTTGGGCGCCAAAGACGATCTGCGGATATCCTTGTGCCGGAATCCGGACTCAACAAATCGAGACCACATTATATTTAGATTCGGAGAAAAAAAGGGCATGCGAGATGTTCCATCTCTTTGACAATTTTCTGTTTCCATGACTCCACCGACGCGCGACGGGGGCGTTCGTGTAAAGAGCGGTGACATCGGCGTTCTGATTGGCCGCCGGGGTCACCGTCACTGTGGCTGGGCATGTGGCGGTGCTGTGGCTGCGTGTGACGGACTGCCGACGCCGTCACTGGAGTCCGTCTGTACGTCTGTACGTCTGTACATCTGGACGTCTGGATTCTTTCTGCAGATACAATATACCCGTAGGTACGCAGTACTACTTCGGGCATTCTATCCTGATTTCCAAAGAATGGCGTCATTGCTGCTGTATCACTTGATTCCGAATCTCATGTTCCCCCTAGATACACCAGACATTGATCATGGGCACCTGCAGGCCAATGTGTTTAGGCCAGAATACAAGGATGAAATGAAAGCCATCAGGGCTTACTTTAGCACCTAACCGTGTACGCCGTAGGTCACGGTCTCGCCTTATCTCTCCGAGACTCCGAGTCCATTAATACTAGTTGTCAGTCCAGGATTTGTCCATTAATACTAGTTGTCAGTCCAGGATTGGAGTGCAGATCAATATCGGTGTACCCCTTTGTCTTGTGTCTACTCTTTTTTTCCCCCCCATATTGGAACCTGAATTGATACTTTAGCTTCACCAACGTGGATCTCTGTAAATGATGGACAATGCCGGCCGTCGCCCCAGTACCCCTTTAGCACGGCTATTGTGGGAGCCCAGGTACGATAGTGACTCCGGTGAATGGAATACTTTATGTATGCCAAATGAATGAAATGCGAAAATGCGACCGTGGCATAATTAAAGCGTCGAACCGCGTGAAAGCCTGAAGAGCTAATTTTTGGTATAGATCGAGTTGTTGTGGGAAGCAAAGGGATGCCAGGGATGGTGAGTCGAATATTTGCTCGATGGTGCAATATGCGGTGTTTGTTGAATGGGTTTTTATTTTGTTGGTCCGCACCGCCTATGATTCATCTTCCTCTGCATCTTCTGTGTTAAACCTCAGTGTAATGGAGACAAAACCCAGTGATTTGTTTGGTTGAATTTGAAAAGCGGAGATCCGAGAACATCAACACTTCACCTCTGCACCGTTCTAATGGATTTAGTGGACTCCGAAAGCACCTCGGAGATCGAGGATCAGAAAGCCTGGGGTCCTGATTCTGGAATGACTCAGGTTGATGCCAGCCATCCCAGTGACTGCGGCATCGGCCACCGCGTACTTGCCAGCCGCTCCGTTCTCGCTCTGGCCGTCGATGAACACTGCGTGTTTGCTGGGCTGCAAGGAGGAGACATTGTTGTAAGTGGCAGCTTCTAGAAGCTTGGATGGGACGCTGGAGGCGCAAATTCCGGTGTCATTTACTTATTGTCCGAGGCTGACCGTTTTCCCCAGGCGTGGTCGCTGGAAACTTATGATCTTGTGGCTTCCGTCCACGCCCATAAAGAGAGTGTGCTAGGCCTTTATCTCTCCGAAGATGGGGATTTACTATTTTCAAGCGGCGGCGACTCTGTAGTCAACGTGAGTGATGCAAATCAACAAGGTCACGCACCGGAATTAATGACTCGGGCAGGTGTGGTGCGCACGGACATTTGAACGTCTCTACTCGATCTATTCGCACCACGATGTGGGCGATATCTTCACAGTAGTATATTCATCCGATAATCAGACGATTTACTGCGGTGCGCAGAACACAAGTATCCAGGTATTTGGCCCTTATTCGCCCCGCTATCTAGTGGTCTTCTAATACGGGACAGTGGTGTGATCTTTCCGAGGAGGGGTCAACCTTGAACCAAGCCCCCTCATCAGCCCACCCGTTGAAGAGGACGCATCGTTTCTTTGATTCTCGGGGACCGGATGGCACTCGCGCTCCCGGTTCATCGGATGGTGGCGTCTCTTCCGGTGGTCGCGTGCTGAGTTTTAAGCGGGATCACCATAAGCTCTTTGCGCACCATGGCTATGTCTATTCCATGCTCCTAGTCAAGGGTCTGATTGAGTCTGCTCCTTCCGAGGAGGCCCTTTTGACTGGTGCAGGTGATGGTGTGGTGAAACTGTGGCGGCTGGGTCAACAGCCTGGAGCGGCCCCCTCTCAGATTGCCAAGCTGCAGAACGCAGACCCTGTCTTGACTGTTGCTGTTGAAGGGTCTTTGCTTTACTGCGGCTTGGCCGGTGGCGCCTTGAATATCTGGAATCTGGATTCCCAGCAGCTAGTCAAGCGGGTCATTAGACATACTGGGGATTTGTGGGCTGTGCACGTAATCCAGGGTATCGCTATTTGTGGTGACTCGACTGGAATAGTCAAGGTACGATATCATCTCGATTTGTCGCATTGTTGAATTGACCCCAGCTGACCTCTAGTAGAAATTCAACTCCAGATTCGAAGAAGTTGGTGGCTGGGTGGCTCATGAGGGTACCATGCTCGCCTCGGCAGCCGGCCGGTTCAAGGATCGTCAAATCTATGCCACTGGTGGAAACGATAACTCAGTAGGAATCTGGGATCTGACTGAATTCTTCATGACCCAAGAGGAACTGCCTCCAATCAGCAATGGTATGTCTCATCTCATATAACCAATTAGCAACTGAATCTTCGTTAATATTTATTCAGACGAAATGGTTAACAGCCTTGCCAAATTTGTCTCGTTTAAGACAATCTCAGCAAGCCCCAAATTCGCTGGCGAATGTAATCAGGGAGCTGCTTTCCTTCGTCGGCACTGTAAATACCTTGGGGCCAAGACGAAGCTATTGACCACCGGGCAAGATACCAATCCTATCGTCTTTGCCAGATTCAACGCGACCTCACCTGAAAAAGTGGACAAGACCATTCTCTTCTACGGCCACTATGATGTCGTCGGTGCCGAGATGACCCGACCCAAGTGGAGGACAGATCCTTATCAGCTTACCTCGATCAATGGATTCCTGTACGGTCGTGGTGTGTCTGATAACAAGGGGCCTATTCTGGCATCACTGTATGCTGCAGCTGATCTTGCTCGAACAAAGACTCTGCGATGCAACGTTGTCTTCCTCATTGAGGGCGAGGAAGAGTCTGGATCTCAAGGTTTCCATCAAACTGTGCGCGAGCACAAGGCCCAGATCGGACCCGTCGATTGGGTCTTGTTAGCCAACAGTTACTGGCTTGACGACTACCACCCATGCTTGACTTACGGACTGCGCGGTGTCGTCCACGCCAACTTGGTCGTTACAAGTGACTATCCTGATCTCCACAGTGGTATTGATGGAAGTACATTACTAGACGAACCTGTGAAGGATATCGCGATGCTTCTGTCCACAATTGTGGGACGCAAAGGCAAAATCAACCTGCCTGGATTCCACGATGCTGTTAGCCCTCTCACAGATGCCGAGCAAAAGCGATTCGAGGCTATCGCCGATGTGTTGCTTCTGCAGCATCCCGAAATCCCCGATAGTCAGGCCCTGATCAAATCGCTCATGCATCGCTGGCGTGAACCCGCCCTGACTGTCCACTCAGTCGAAGTCCCCGGAACCAAGAGCGCCACGACGATCGCACGACGAGCCAAAGCAAGCCTGTCAATCCGTATTGTACCTGATCAACAGGCCGATGAGGTCGCTGCTGATCTCACCGCCTACGCACAGGAGCAGTTTGCGCTTTTGGACTCGCAAAATGACCTGACAGTCGAAATCACCGGCAAATCAGACGCCTGGCTCGGAGATCCAGATAACGAAATCTTCGCCACGCTGTCAGAGGCAATCACGGCAGCATGGACCCCGGTCCAAGGGGAGCCGAAACACCAATATCCGCCCATCCCGCAACCTACAAACGGCCGCCCAGCGGTCAAGCCTAAGCTCAATGGGGGCCCCATTCCTGACCTGCGCCGTAAAGACTCCTCAGACAGCCTCGCCTCGCACGTTGAGCGGGTGATCACATCCACTACTACTTCCTCGGCAGGCAAACAAGCCGCCCGCGAACGGTCAACGCAGCCAGCCGCCACAGTGCCAACTTCTTCCACTCTCACGCAAATACCAACATCGTCCGAGGAACCGGTCGTGTTGCCAATCCGGGCCAAGTCAGATCCTGCGAGAGCACTCGACACGACACCTGAGCTGGCTGTCGCATCCGAGAGTGTCAAGGTGAAACCAATGTTCATCCGTGAGGGTGGATCTATTCCGACCATTAGGTTCCTAGAAAAGGAGTTCTCGGCCCCCGCTGCTAATTTGCCTTGCGGACAGGCAAGCGACAACGCCCACTTGGACAACGAGCGAATGAGGGTGGAAAATTTGTATAAGAGCCGGGAGATCTTCCGGTATGTGTTTGCTCATTTGGTAGACAAGTCCTAAGTGAGGTGTGGAGCATTGGCTTTGGGTCGTATTTTTTTGGGGTTGCATCTTTATGTAAAATTACAACGCTCTAGAATAGCATTTGATCTGTTTCTTTCCAGGCTTCTGTGGCTTTCTTGAACGACGGATCTTCATTCGTACCCCCTTTTAACTCCTGATTGGCAGTCTGTATATCTTAACTAGCAGGTATCGCGAATATATGCCAGAAATATCCGATCAACAATCTGCCAAGCCCATTGGAGATGACTCCTTCCTAATTAGGATCTAAGCCTGTACGGCCAACCGGACTTTTGCCTCACCGTTGATCCGCCTCCCCCTGTGTACTCCACCCCTCGTGTCGTCCCAGATCAACTCGCCCCCCGCATAACGATCGTCCAGTGTAGCCGCTGAGCGGCTATCGGCGTAGGATGCGAAGCGCTCTATTCTATGCACGTCATGTTTGGATGAGATACGTGCATTCCCAGTTCTGATTACCCCTATCCCGGACTTGCTTTCAGATTTGACCCAAGAACTCACGTATAGACCACATCGTACCCAGGAAAATATATCCGAAGACAATAAGCAAGGCAAGGGCTGCTTGTAGGCTTGATCCTTGTTGATATCCTGGGACAAACCCAGCTCTAGACCGGATAAGGAGTTCATTGCATCGTGCTGTCTTTGTTTGAGGAGGAGACTTACGTAGAGACCCGGTGTCTTGGTACACTTGAGGCTTTCGGATATCAAATAGAGTCTCGGATACGTCTGTTGGCCCAGATAGTCGTCTGCGTTTAGGGTTAATCTTAGCGTGGAGATCGATGGTTCGTTTCTTTGTGCGCTGGCCTGGGGATTGCGAGGGTTTGGGATATTTTGCAAAAGGAATATTAAGTGAAAGATCAAAAATACCAAGCTGTCAAGATAAAAGAGAGGCTGATATGGTTCATTTCTTTGATATCGGCCTCCATTGTGCTTTCACTTGTCATCCTTTCTTTTACGGAGTAGTTTGAAAAACCGTCGATACCTTCCGAGATGGCTTTCCTTCCGCTCCCCTGTCAGAAACTCCTCTTCAGACTCTCTGCAAGACTGAAGACCCTGGTCAACATGGGGAGTATCTCTGATAATGTCTACCTGCTCGGTCGAGATGAGGCGGAGACTACCCGGTATGTGTTTATGCTTTATATACTTTTGGTGCTTTTGCTGCTTCTTGATTGTCAGGTCGTTTCCATCCTGACCACACAAGTCCCCAATGTCTACTGCACTCAAGCATTGTGTTCTTTGAAGTTCAGATGCTTTTGTTCAATTGACGTGTTGCACCTGATCTGCCCCCACGTGGAAACCCCTTGCAGATGGACCCGCTAACCCGTGGGAACTAAACAGCCTCAACAACCAACATCGCTTTCTCGTCGAATTGTCCAGTCTCATTCATCCGTCTATCACAAAAGATCTGACAGCTGTCGCTGATCTGGGTACTGGCACTGGGTATGTGATTCTTTTGGGAAAAAGATAATACAGAAAAGCCTGCAAATCTGTCATTCATACATATAGTTACAAGAAAGCTAATCCACCCTAGGGTCTGGCTCGAGGATGTCGCCGAACTCCTACCAAACAAATCAGCATACCTCCATGGCTTCGACATCTCCTCGGACCAATACCCACCCGGCCACGAGATCCCCCGACTCGGCCAAAAGCCCATCCAATTGAGCGTCCACAATGCGCTGCACTCATTCCCACCGGAGCACCATGGCCGGTACGACCTCGTCCACATCCGCCTTTTGACAGCAGGCCTGAAACAAGCCGATTACACCACTGTACTTGTCAATGCACGCGCTTTGTTGAGTACGTACATCCTTCCTTTCAATTCTGACAAGGAATTATCCGTTGCGTCTTGGCCGTTTACTAAACAAACAAAACAGAACCAAATGGCTGGATCCAATGGGAAGAAGTCGACCACACAGCCTTCTGCACCGACGCCGTCCCGGAGCCAGCGGCAATCAACGATCTCCGCCAATCCGTGATCGAAGCCATGCTCAGGCTCGGCCTATGGCCGTTCGCCCCACAGCGCGTGTACGAAGAGATTTCTGCGGGTGGCTTCGCTGATGTGGTCCGTGAGACCTACACTACTGTTGGGAAGGACCATATGCGGGTGACTGCGCAGAAATGGGTTGCTGGTGTGATGCGTGCGCTGGTACCTGCTTCTATGGTTGCTACTGGGGAGGCCGAGAATGAGCAACAGGCACGAGAGATTGTTGATGGGTTGGTTGGTGAGTTTGAGGCTCATTGTGAGTCGGCTAGGGCGTTGGTCAACTTTGGGGTTACGGTTGGTAGAAGAGTGGATTGATTATGAGGGTTCGGATTGAAGCTTAAGGTTAAGCTTATGGTTTTTATTTTTCATTCGGAGGCTTGATTTTGTTCTGTTTTTTCGTCTTTTGATTTGGCGCATCGGGTGCGCGGCGCGTTCCTTTGAGGATCTTTGCAGGAATTGAATTGCTACGGCTATCATGAAAATAGTCGACCTTCAAACACCGTTCCAATGTACTTGAGTGCAACTCGCATCTTGTATAGAACCTGTAGCCTCTTCCCCTCGGAGGCCCGCAAAACGCTTCCGAACGAGCCCCAGTGCCCCACCAGAAATACGGGGTCCGAAAAAAAAGATTTTCAGATCTTGGAACTGAATCTTCAAAAGCCCAACTCTGCCAGCAATGGCTGCATCTACCGAAATGGACATCGAAGAAGTCCAACAGCCCACCGGGCGAAGCAAACTCCAGGTTACCGCAATCATGGTAGCGCTTTCAGTATGACGCCCACGAAAAAGTGAATATTGCACCGCTAATCCCCACTAGTTATCGATGTTTATTGCGGCTCTAGATCAAACGATCATGGCCACGGCGATTCCTACAATCGCCGCTTACTTCCACTCCTCATCAGGCTACACGTGGATCGGCGGAGCGTATCTTTTGAGTTCCGCCGCTAGCGCATGCATCTGGGCCAAGCTTTCTGATATCTGGGGCCGCAAGCCGATCTTGCTTTTGGCCGTTGGGTGGTTTTTCCTCAGTTCGATTGTGTGTGCGGCTGCGACTAGTATGGAGATGTTGATTGCGGGTCGTGCGCTGCAGGGTGTCGCTGGTGGTGGGTTGCTTCAGCTGGTGACGATTATCATTTCGGATTTATTCAGTGTTAGGTAAGATGGCTTCGATGAACTGTACACGAGGGCTTTGAACTGACTGTTACAGACACCGCAGTTTGTATCTTGGCCTGATGGAAGTCATGTGGGCTTTTGCTGGTGGTGTTGGTCCGTTGCTTGGCGGCGCGTTCAGTCAGTATGTCACTTGGAGATGGACGTACTGGATCAATCTGCCCATTTCTGGGGTGACATTTGTGTTGCTTTTCTTCTTCTTGGATGTGCATAATCCCCAGACGAAGATCATGGATGGAGTCAAGGCCATTGACTGGTTTGGCAGTATCTCTGTTCTGGGACTGACGCTCATGCTACTATTGGGATTGGACTTTGGTGGCGAGACGTTTGCCTGGAAATCACCGCAAGTTATTTGCCTGATTGTCTTTGGAGCTCTGTGCTCCTTGTTGTTCGTCTACAGCGAGAAAAAATTGGCCAAGTATCCCTTGATGCCCATGGATATCTTCGCTCGGTTCTCTAACATTGCCACCTTGTTGGTTGCATTTGCACATGGTTTTGTTCGTACCTCGATTTTCTCTCGTCATTTCAAACACGCTTACAATAATATTAGGTCTTCATCGCTGGGGAATACTACATCCCGCTCTACCTGCAATCCGTGCATGGCTCATCCCCAATGGGGTCCGGTGTGCTCATCCTCCCCCTAGTCGTCATGGAAGCATTCTCCGGCATGTTCACGGGTGCAATCATCCACCGCACAGGCCGCTATCTCGAACTCATCTGGATCGGCCTGATCCTCATGACCATCGGAAACGGACTGTACATCGACCTCGGCGTGGGCTCCTCCGTCGGCAAAATCGTCGGCTACCAAATTCTCACCGGTCTCGGCGCCGGATTCCTCTTCCAAACCCCCATCATCGCCATCCAGGCCATGGTCTCCCAGGAGGACACTGCCACAGCCACCGCCACCATCGGGTTCATCCGCAACATGGCAACCGCGTCCTCCATCGTCATCGGTGGTGTTGTCTTCCAGAACAGCATGGGCCAGAAGCAGTCCAGCTTGTTGGCTTCCGGCATGTCGGCTAGCATGGCGGCTCAGATGTCTGGGGATTCCGCTGCTGCGAGTATCGAGTCGATTAAATTCATTACGGATCCGGCGCAGCTGCTGGCGGTCAGGGAGGCGTTTGCTTGGAGTTTGAGGAATATGTGGATCTTGTATACTTGCATGTCGGCTGTTGGTGTCTTCTTTTCGGCTTTTATCCCCAAGACAAAGTTGAACACGGAGCATGTGGAGACTAAGACGGGATTGAATGTTGAGAAGACGCCTGTTGTGACTGCTGTTCATAGCACATAGATTTTATAATTTACTTCCAAGGTTTTTCATTCGTGTGATGAGGTTTGGAATCTATTCATTCCGAAGGACTTTTGCCAGATGGGTATTGTATTCCATGTCTACAAATTACCGCAATGCTTGCTCTCTCTCCGAAGCCTTGAACAGACCTCTAAAGTCCCCATCCTCGAATCCGTCAATGTTCTGATGATACACGGGAACATGTCGGATTTGTGAAATTGCTGCATCCTTCACAGAAAGAATACCCCTAGGGCGCAACACAATGTTCCATTCATTCGGGTAGTATTTGCCACGTCAGGTCGTGAGTTCGAGCCCTCCGACGGCCAGGCCTTTCGTAAATCGCCTACTCGATGACCAGTTTGTGACTAGCCCTGGATGACCATTGAAACTGAATCAATATTCTTCTTAAGCTTGGATATCGATCGACTAGAGGCAACATTCGAGTGTGAGGGACAGGTCAGCCCGAGAGATCGAACAAGAGATCTATAAATCAGCTCTTGAGCACAACACTCTCGTTGTTCCGGGAAGTTGACTTTCACCTAGCAACGGAGAGAATATTTCAACGGGAAGCATTTTATCTCGATTGGATTTGGCAAGTGTCTCTGAAGACTGTGCAAGAGGCAATCAAAGGCATGGAAATAGCCATTCGCAAAATATTCTGCCTGAGACAGCTCGAATACTCACTCTAAGCGCTCTGTACGGCCAGGGGATCTCAACGTCCTTGTCTCTCATCTAGATAGCACGAGATTGACTCCCAAACTTGACTATTGTGGCACTGATACTTCTTGAATCCGTTGACTTTCTTCCATCCCTATACTAAACTGCCTCTTTGTGGCTTTTACCATGATCTAGATGCTATTATTAATGATAGGAATCTCAGTATTAGTCTCGTGGACTATGCAGACGGACCCCAACATGACCCTCATTGCGAAAGCGAGTTTTCACACCGGGGAAGCACGATGTCAAGGTCCGACGTCCAACAAGTCGATACAACCTTGTAGGCTGCACGATTCAAACTTCCAATGACCCATCAAGTCCCGGGGTTACTGTTGATGCCTCACGACATCACCCATCTTAGGTAGAACTGCCTCCCTCTTCCCTCTCTCACTCCCCCCTCACTCTCCCCTCACTCCCCCCTCACTCCCCCTGGTCCTCTTCTTTCAGGCTAGAGCAATACCCTAGTTTCACCCGAAACTATTCATCGATCTCGCCTTTCTAGAGGTTGGGGGTCTTCTTTGCTAGCTTAGGACCGCTAGCACTTCGCCGTTTCCCTCTCGATCTATCGCCCCGACTATTGAACCCCGCAAGGCACGCGAAGTGGTCGACAGGTCGAAACAGCACACTTTCACCCCATTGTGGCTGATCGAAGACGTGACCATGGCTGGTCCAGCCCGTGACAATCTTAGCTCGGTACCCGATACCAAGGAGACTGATTTCCAGGAAAATAATACGCAGAGGGCTGATATGCATGATGCTCAGCCCGTCTCCGGATCCAACGACAATCAAGATGGATTGGACCAAGTTGATGGCCAGATCCCCGTTACTCAAGGCTCTTTTCTCCCGGGGATAACTGCAACAAAGATTCAGAAAATCACTGAACTGAACAGATCGACAACGAGCTTTGATATCTGGCGTGGAGAAGTCGAATTTTCCCTCGGCACTCTGTGCATTGAACCCGTAATCGATAGTACGCTACCCCGACCCAGTGAATTCGATGCTGACTATGGACGTTGGCGTTACTGGTCCCGCATCGTCGGCAGCTGGCTCTTCAATCAAGTCAACGAAGATCTAAAGCTCGAGATCTTCTCGCGTCCCAGAATTCCCCGTGAAGCAGATGAGGTCTACAAAGTTATCCTCGACGAAGCCGAACGCTTCAACACGCTTGCGAATGTGTACCACGAGCTTAACAAATTCGACGACATCACTCGTGAGAACTACACGACAGCTTATGAATATATCACTGCTTACAGAAAACAATTCAATGTGCTGAAAAGGTTCGGCGTCGCCCCGCCCCCGGCATTTGCGATTGCGAGACTGATGCGCAACATCGAAGATGAAGTCGAGAAAGTGATGTTCATCCGGGAAAGGACTGGAGCGTTCAATGCCGGTGATATGACGGAAGATCATTTCTACAAATACATTACGGAGCTCGCCGTCAGTGCCAAAAGGCAATGGTAGAGCGAATTCTGCCCAGGACAACAGCTGCAACAAAGGAGAAGGCATTGACCAAAGACCAATTTGAGACCTTTATGGGGCTGCTAAACATGGATGCCCATGCTAGGGCGTTTAAAGGGTTGTTGATCATACATTTCATGGGGAGCTTTACTGTGCTAGCAAGAATGGCTTGGGAGGATATGAGATGGAGGAGTTGGGTCCTACGAGGGTGATGTTGAGGCATTCATGCCTCAGTCCCATCCAGCAGATAGATCCTTCTCTTCCCATCTCTCTCTCTCTCTCTCTCTCTCTCTTTTGCTCCCGTCCTCTCCTTTTTCTAGCTAGTCCAATCACACATGGTTCTTTCTGAACTACGTTTTCAACTAGCTGTCCTAGAGATAATCGTAATACTGGTGCGGTAAACTGGTTGATTTTGATTGTATCATGTCTCATGCACCCTCCAGTTGTCTAGATGCGTATGTATACAACGCGTTAGATGAGGCCAGTAGACTTTGATTACAAGGTCTTCCAGACAGTAGGTACCCCATTCTAGTCGAAGTAGAAAAGAATTCCTGAAGCTGTTCCCAGATATTCTCGAGATTAGACGAACACGATTCCTCCGTATCGACATAGTACATTCTGCATACTGCATCTTCATGATCGGATCACAAAGTGCGACGATTTCCTTTTAATGCTATTAAACCCTCATGTCCAATCAACATGGCCTGGCAAGGAGAAGAATCAATATTATTTGCATAACTATATCCGACTTGTGACAGAATATTGAAAGTTGAATAAAAAGAAAACAGACAAGTCAGTTCAGCATAAGCAAAATCAACAAAAGAAACCTCTCGCAAAGTATCAACCATCCATTACTGAGTCGAACACTTGCCTCCGACCACACAAAGTACGGGAAGGTCAGCAACGCTATTTCCAACCCAGAGCTTAATGCCCTGACCATTGACAGGGGCCTTCCAATCCTGCACTACAACATCCCAAACACTGACATCTTTTCTAGTGACATGTAGCGTGATGGTCTCACTCTGACCAGGCGCAAGCTCCTTGGTCTTCTCAAACTGACGGAGCTGCAGGCGCGGCGTGTCCAGTCCCAAACTCGAGGGCAATTCGACATATAGCTGAGCAACGGCCTTGCCGGTACGCTTGCCCGTATTCGTGACCTCGAGTTTGAGCGAAAGTACAGTCTCGAAGAGGGCGGGATTTCCACCCTCGCCGCCCCCAGCCCGGGGAACTGCGTGAGGCTCGGTGCTGTAGCCATCGGGATATGAATACTTTTTCTTTGTAGTGATCAATTCCGGTTTGTGTAAATAAGGGTAGAGGTAGCGCCAGATGCGACTGAAGCTGGTAGAAGACCAGGCGACTTCCGACGCAGCGGGAATGCTGGTATTGTAGGTTGGGTTTGGCAATTTTTTGGACCTTGCAGGCGGGTATGCTGTGTCGAGGGGACCTTCGGTTGACAGGGAAGGCTGGGAGAATTCGAATGTGGTGTAGGAGAGACCGTGGCCAAATGGATACCGAGGGGTGATATCGGCTTTCAAGAAGTGGCGGTAGTCGATGTACAACCCCTCGGTGTATGTATCTTGAATCTGGCCGAATGGCTGGTTGATTAGATCCACACTGGCCGGATAGTCATCTTCACTGCGAGGAATAGTATATGGCATGTGGCCGCTTGGACTATAGTCGCCAAAGAGGACATCGGTAAGGGAATAGCCAGCCTCCTGGCCTGGCAGATGTGCCACGACCACTGCCTTCACGGATTCGAGCTCGATCCACTCTTCCATAAGAATGGGGCCCACAGTGTGGATAATTACAACTACACTGGTAAACTTCTCTGCCGCTGCTTTGACGAGATCATCGCCATTATGCCAAGCATTGAGTCCCGCTTTGGTCCTATCACCCGGGTTCCCTTCGACGGTGATATAGTTTTCGCCTGAATCGGCGTTAATGAAAACAAGAGCAACATCGTCGGCATCTGCGGTAACATCTGAAGGGAGCTTGTCTTTGATGTGGAACTCGACATTGCTAGTGATGTTGGAGATGGCCTCTTGAGGCGTAATAAGATAGGGCAATCTGGAAGTGCCACTGCCCCAGCCCATGGTCAAGACACCTTTGTCGCATCCTTGATCGTTGCATGAGTTGAGACCATCTGGGTTTTCACCTGCATCTGTGCCAAATACTTTGATTGAATCATTGCGGCGTAGAGGGAGGATGCCCATCTCATTTTTCAGCAACGTGATTGCCTCGCGTGCGACAGCTCTGGCGGTGATATTGTGATTGCTCGTCACATCGACAAACTGGTTAACGACTCCAGATGGAGAAAACAACGCTCCAGGGTAAAGTGAACCCTCTTTGTCCTGGGTGTTGGTCGAGAAGTTTGGCAAGGGATAGTCCTTATCCTGTCCATATTTATACCACGTAGCAACAATGCGTGTGACCTAAGTTACTGGTCAATTGTGAATAAAGCGATTCATGAAATATCACGTACCATATCATTGAGACGGTCCACAGGTACACTTCCATTGAGGACCGAGCGTGACAGCTCTGCACCCCAGTATGAATCTCCGAGCAATGGAACCGCCCCATCACCAGGCATAGACATATCCAGTCCAGCGAGAGCAGATCCAACACCAGAGTAATGGCCTAGCCAATCAGTCATCACAAAGCCTTGGAAGCCAAGCTCATCCTTAAGAATTCCATTAAGCAGTTGGCTATTCTGCGAGCAAGCAGAGCTATTGACCTTGAAACTGTCAGTAACAAACATGACATGCAAAAATGAGGAAACTCACATCGGAGTATGCTGTCATCAAAGACCCCACACCCGCACGAACACCCTCAGCAAAGGGCCAGAGGTACAATTCATGTAAGGTACGATCATCGATATTAGACGAATATCCTTTAGTAATCACGCTGCTCATGCGGTACATCTCCTGCTCATTACCAACATAGTGCTTGATGGCTGCGATAGCGCCAGTGCTTTGCATACCCTTGACAGTCTGAGCACCTCCGAAGGCCTGCAGAACGGGATCAGAACCAAAGCCTTCCCAGTTACGTCCAGCGCGAGGCTTGCGTCCAAGTGGCCCCACAGATGGACCAAGAAGCACATTCACTCCCTTACCGCGAGCCTCTTCGCCAAGCGCAACGCCTCGCTCATACATGAGGTCCTTGTTGAAGGTCGCGCCGACTGTGATACCAGGCGGGAATGCAGTGTTGTGGTCCGAATTGCGAACTCCCAGGGGGCTGTCCTGGAGGCACAGGTTGGGAATACCCATGCGAGGCACGCTTCCGGTCTGTCCTACACAAGGGCCCATGAAGAAGCCCGTCCCTGTAGTCAGGTTGACTTTCTCGGCCAGTGTCATGTTGCTGACTAGACGATGCGCCTTGGAATAGGCCTCACTCCAGTCGGGGATCCATCCTCCAGGAGGAGTGGGATAGTATGGAGGTGATTCATAGCCATCCTTTGCTCTTGCTTGCAGTTGCGTTGTAGATTCAGATTCATCTGGCACTGGGGAGGCCAGGAGAAGTGGGGTCAAAAGAGAGACTAGAGCTAGATGTGCCCAAGGAGCCATGGCGTTAGAGTCGCTGTAAAGAAAAAAATATATAGGAAAAAAACGATCGTATGCAGGCCAGTCAAGAGAACGAGTACATTCTTTCCCCCGAATTCAATCTGCAGGACTTACGATTGACAGGCGACTATAAGAACACAACCAGAGCCCAGGAATAGGGAAAGAGCAACGCCCGCGTGCGCACTTCAGCGGAATATTCAGGACATCGCAGATGATCTTTGCTGGATTTGAGGCGATCGTCATGGGATTCGGTTGAAATTTTACTTGGCAGTGCAGTGAGCACTCTCCTGGCTGTCAGAATTGTTGACTGATCGACTCGTGGCTGGTCTACTAGTGAGTTCACTTGCATCACGGAGGGGGTGATGCAAGCGAACCCATCGTGCTGATAGGCCATATGGCTTCGGGCATTAAAAACCAGGGTTAGGGAATTCACCATAAATTGAGTACAACATAGTCCGCGGACTATCATTGCCTTGAAGAGACATGCTGCCAGGGGTTCCAACAGCTGCGAGCCAGCCTGTTTCCCAGTGCACCGTCCACCAACTTCATTGCAATAGAGTCCCATGGAGACATTACCATAGATATAACACGCGAGACCGTATCTAACACAAACTGACATGTTTATTTCGATTCCATCCGATGTTCTAAGGTCGTACTCCGTACATGCGATGACTAAGGTCAACTTACAGGGGCCCAAGGGCTCGGACCACTCCGGTTCTCCTTAGACCTTGGTATAGCGCAGGTAAGGCTTGAGCTCGCGAACTTCACCGAATTTCTTCTTGGCATCCGCAGTACTGACAGAGGGAGGGACGATGACATCCTCGCCAACCTGCCAGTCGATAGGGGTGGCAATGCCTTTCTTATCACCGGTTTGCAGGGAGTCGATAACCCGCAGGACCTCAGCGGAGTTTCGGCCCGTAGAGGCGGGGTACATCATGGTCAGGCGGATCTTCTTGCTCGGGTCGATAATGAACACGGAGCGAATGGTGAACGCGATCTCCTTCGATTGCAGGTCGTCCGCATGGATCATATCGTACAGGAAGGCAACTTTGCGATCGGCATCGGCGATGATCGGGAATTGGACTTGTGTTGAGCCGACTTCATTAATGTCCTTGATCCACTCGTCGTGGGAACCGAGGCCGTTTGCACTCTGAGTAATAAAAAATAAGCATTAGCCAAATCTCTTGAAGTGTTATAAATGATGAGCACCCACCAATCCAATCATCTTGACACCGCGTTGGTCAAACTCATTCTTAAGCCGGGCGAACGCGCCCAACTCTGTTGTACACACAGGCGTGAAATCGGCCGGGTGGGAAAAGAGGATAGCCCATTTGTCACCAATGAACTCGTGGAAATCGATCTCGCCCTGGGTGGTCACAGCCTTGAAGTTGGGGGCTGTCCTCAGTCAGCATGGTGTCTTGGCAGATGCAATGCAGTTGGAATGTTACCGGTTGAGCCCAGGCGCAGACGCGGCTGTTCTGTTTGGGCCGAGAAAAAGCGGTGGAAAGCGGGCGCACGAGGCACCTGGGCAGACCACGGAGCCCGTGAAGCAGCGCTAAAGGAACGTAGCATCTGAGGAACAGTTCTGGAAGCCATTGTTATTCTGAAGGGATGGTGTGGACTCCAAGCTTGACTGTTGAGATTCGGAAGGGCGCGATTCCTGGAAACCCGTGGACGTCATCAATGTTGACTAATCACTCAGCCCGGGCCCTAGACCTAGGCAAGTGAACATATTGTCGCTCAATGGCTAATTATGTGACCAACTTTGAATCTTTTTTATTTTCTGATGTTGCGAGAAGACACATTCTCGACATGATTGCACATTCTGTGGATGCGAAGTCTAGGGGACTGCTATGCCACTATTAGCTGTAATCTGTCACCATGCCTCAGATGCCAATACCCTAACAAATCCACTGCAATTCAGCCCAAGAACCAGACTCATAATCCGACCACCAACATTTTTTCCTATGACAAATTTGTATGGTCGACACTCGTAGTCGTCAATCCCAAAGCCCGTTGGATGAAGCACAGTTAGCTCGACAGAAGCTCGAGTCTATCGATAAGAGATACTCACAGACGACGATTTAACCAAATATATCCGGAAGGACTTCGCCTAATACCTGCCGGATTGACTATAATGATGCTTAGTGATGTGATGGGTATTACCGGTTCATAGGAAATGACGGTTGCCCTCCCGCAGGACCGAGATCATCTGCGGGGCTCAATGTCCCAGGAATTATGGTAATGTCGACGTTCTTCACCAGTTGGTACGCTTCGTGTTGTCCAGTTATCTAGTCAGAATTGAGACTGACACCGGCATCGTTGGGTGGGCTGAGGGACGGTATTTTATGGGGGCACCAGATCTCCGCGACGTGCTGAATCTGCTGATTGCCACTTTCATTCATGATCCTCTTGGGCGCGGGATAACCGACCCGAGAACGATGTGGAATGATCTTCGATGCCTTGCCAAAAATGTCTATGGGAGTAGCACCAATTCCGCCGAACTTGGAAGGAAAAGCGCGTGTAATGAGGCGATAAGCGCGATTGACATTGCACTATGGGATATTGTTGCTAAAGCCCAAGGCCAATCACTCTGAAAACTCTTAGGTAGTGTTGCTCGTTGCCAGATAAAAATCCGTGTGGACGCCCGATAGTCTCCGGCACGCTGAACGAATATTCGTCAACCTCCCAGTGGCAACCAGTGGCAGCGCCCAGCCCACAGGTACAGGAGTACGTTAAATTGGGCTTTGATACTCTCATGGTCAAAGCTTTTGACTCACTTGAACGACGGAAGCGTCAGATTCGGGTGGCTCGTATAATGTTTGGCCTAGACGCAACCATTGTTGTCGACCACCGCCCTTACGGCCCACTGGACAATGAGTTACTTGATACAATGTTGTCTTCCAACTTTTACGTCTTTATGCAGGGATCTCCTAGGGATCTACAGTCCGGAGTGAGCCCAAGAGGGTTTATGCCTCTAGCTTGAGGTCAATTGGAGGATGATGGGAAGAAACTGGTTTATGAAATAATTTATGGCAATGTGAACATAGTCCAACCAAATATCATCCATGTGGAGGAATTACTGCCTTTCTACGAATTTGTCATTTTGCTGAAGCCTATGGAGTACGCTTTATGCCACATTCTAGTACGACTTATGGCTCCGCAATTGCCCTAGTAGCTACAATCTATGCTTCCACTGTTGCCCCGTGTAATTCTGGTGGAGCTGAAAGCGAGCCAAAACCAAAAGAGCTAATGATCTTTCTTAACCCGCAAGCCTGTGATGCTCGGAACCACTCGCTTATCTAGAACATTGACGGTTCTGGTGGTTACGTGCGCGTACCCGAAGCGTCAGGCCTGGCGGTTACTATTGATGAAGAAGTTCTTGCCAGAAGCATTTCTCAAGAGTTTTAAGATAAGGATTCAATTGATGAAGACAACCTTGCGTTGTAGACAGCGGGCGACAAGGATGAAAATGCATGGGTATTCCTGGTGTGACGTCAGGCGGGTGGTTCCGGTGGTTCATGTACCCCACGCGGGCCGCAAAGCTTAATTCGTTGATCTGGGACTCCACAATAACCCACAATGCACATCCTGAAGTCTCTACATGCCTTAGGTTTATTGTACGTAGTAATAATTCATTGTTTGAAAATGATGGTATTGTCCTAAATTATCTGGGTATTGAGGGGCAGAAAAGCAGCTTCAATTAGACCGACCTTAAATGGGTAGTAGCTCAATTAGGAAGGAACGCGTAGAGCAGGGTATTTATTTCTCTCATCCTCTCCATCTCTTCTCTTTTCTTTTCTTTTCTTTTCTTCCATTCTTCTTCTTTCTTCTCTCACTATCATCGCGAGAAAAAGTTTTCATCCCATAATTGTCGCGATGTTTTCTCTTGTTTTTCTGCTTTGCTTTTTGCTTGGCGCGGCTTCGGCCGTTTGCTACCTCCATGGCATTGTCGCCATTGTCGCCATTGTTGTTGCTGGAGCGGCGATCTTTTTCGCCGGGACTCAGTTCAACCGGTAAGTCTAGGATAATGATCCCCCCAACCCTCAGGCGGCTAGTCGCCACCATATGGGATATGAGCCATAAACCTGCCCGAGTATCCATCCGAATACCCATCCAAATACCCATCCAGATCCCCATCCAGATCCCCATCCAAATCCCCATCCAGATCCCCATCCAGATCCCCATCCAAATACCCATCCAGATCCCCATCCAAATACCCATCCAAATACCCATCCAGATCCCCATCCAGATCCCCATCCAGATACCCATCCAAATACCCATCCAAATACCCATCCAGATACCCATCCAGATACCCATCCAAATACCCATCCAAATACCCTCGTGTGGGACAAAATTGAAACTAACATTGGACAGTCCCACTTCCGGGCTCCGGCCTGTAGAACCGGTCCTTAGTGACCCAACCCCCGCCGATGCCTACAAAGCTGAGGCAAGAAAGAGTCGAGAGCTGGAGATGAAGGTGGAGGCTTTGGAGGAGGAGCTTCGTGGCTCGGAGGCAAGAGGACGGCTTTCCAAGAAGGACTGGGACGGAGAGAAAGCGCGTTACGACGAGAAGCTCCGGCTTATGAGTGACCGCGTGAAATCTCTTGACCGGAATTTCAAGGGAGCCATGCGTGCGAAGGACCAGGCTATGAGCGAGTGCCATAAATGGCGACGCGACTTCGAAAGCCTTGAAAGCCTACGGCAGCAGCAGGCCCACGAGATTCCTGTTCGCAGGATCACGGGGCGTCCTCGATGGGCCCCAGCCAAATCTTGCGGAGTAGGGAAGCGGCGACGTGGTCGTTCGGGAAAGGATCTTACTGCCGTTGCGAAGGTGGCCCTCGTCAATGCGGAGTGGGAGGTTAAGATGGCCGGTATCAAAGATGAAGCACGAAGCCATGTCGCTCTCTTAGACCACCATATCGAAGCCCTCACATCCCAAGTCACCTCGCTCAGTCAGAAGACGGAACGCCTCTGTGAAGAACCTCGCAACACCGTTGATAACAGCAACATGCGAACCCAGCAGGATGTGTTGGACGCAGAAAACAGAATCATCCGGGTTGCCAAAGAGGAACACATGCGGATAGTCTCAGAACTGCAGCAGACTCACTTGAGAGAGCTGGCGGCAGCCGAGAATGATCACAAGGAGAAGCAGGGAATGATGGAATCGAGACTCAAGGCCAAGGTCGCCGAATTGAGTGGTCAGCAAGAGCAGGTACAGCTCGGCCAGGGCAAGGCCAATTTGATGCTAGGCCAGCTGCGCCAGTTGAATGCCGAGTTGACCGAGAAGCTGCGAGTGGAGAGTGAAGCTCTTCTTCAACGACGAACAGAGTCAGAAACTCTGGTTCAGAAGATCCTCAAGCTGCACCAGAGGAAGAAGAGGGACCGCAAGAGAATCACCAAGCTTCAACGCGACCTCCGAGAGTCTAATCAGATGAAAGACATCGCAGAGGAGGCCATGGGGGGAATGAACGACGTGATCAACGGTCTAGAAGAGCAGATCGAAGGTCTGAAGGAGGAGCTCGAGGACGCGCGGTGGGAAAATCCTGACCCTGAAGACCTTGAAACAATTCGAACCCCGACTCTTGAGGCCCAAACAGATGATCTGGTTGGCGCCATCGGTGATTTCACCTTGGGAGGTTCAACTTCGGTCTGAGGCTGGGCAGGTGCCCCAACATATGGGTGACTAAGCCTATGTCACCACATGCTGCATCCAAGTTGCGCGTCAAATCCCATCTCTTCTATATATCCTTCAGTCCAATTTCTTCTGTTGTGACCCCTCACTTCTCTCTCATTTCACTCTGACTTCTCTCTCTTTCATCCCCTGTTTTTCGCCTTCCATCCTCACCTCCTCCTTCACTCCCTCCGCGACCGCCGGTCATTCCATCACAGCATGTCCCTTGTGTCCCTCGCCATCCAATGAATCCCTCGCCATACCGTTCGTTTGCCTCTCGGCCTTTGATGCTGAGTCTGGCCAAAATCTTTCTCGTCGCCATCTCGCAGATTCCCTTGTCGACTGCGGCACCTATCATCTCCTCTCTCCGTGTCTCACCTCGCGACACGGAACCACCAAAAGAACCGAGCGACCCGAGTTTATGGCTTTACTTAGGCATTTCAGCTGCTCTTGTGCTCAGCGGTGGCGCATTTGCAGGTCTTACCATTGCCTTGATGGGACAGGTCAGCTCATTACAACCTAACTGGAAACTGCCCAGTCAATCAGACTGACGTTATGTTGGCTTCGTCACACAGGATGAAGTTTATCTCCAGGTCATCAAAACATCTGGCGAAGGGGCTGAGAGAAAAAATGCTACTAGTGTTCTCAATCTTCTGAATCACGGGAAACACTGGGTCCTCGTGACACTCCTCCTTAGCAACGTTATCACAAATGAGACTTTGCCCATCGTCCTGGACCGGACACTTGGTGGTGGTTGGCCGGCAGTGTTAGGGAGCACAGCTTTGATTGTTATTTTCGGCGAGATCGTCCCTCAGTCGATTTGCGTTCGTTATGGCCTTCCAATCGGTGCTTGGATGGCACCCTGCGTCTTGGTTTTGATGTACATCATGTCTCCAGTCGCCTGGCCAATCGCAAAACTTCTGGATAGGCTCCTCGGGGAAGACCATGGTACGATATACAAAAAGGCCGGTTTGAAAACACTCGTCACCCTTCACAAAACCTTGGGTGAAGCCGGGGAGCAACTCAACTCCGATGAGGTGACCATCATTAGCGCCGTTCTTGACCTCAAAGAGAAGTCAGTAGGCAGCATCATGACACCCATGGAAGATGTCTTCACCATGTCGGCTGACACTGTCTTGGACGAACGCACGATGGACCTCATTCTTTCCCAGGGATATTCTCGTATTCCCATCCATGCTCCTGATAATCCGATGAACTTTGTCGGTATGCTCCTTGTTAAGATGCTCATTACCTACGACCCAGAAGACTGCAAACGAGTCCGCGACTTTGCTCTGGCTACACTGCCTGAAACACGCCCTGAAACCAGCTGTTTAGATATTGTGAATTTCTTCCAGGAGGGCAAGTCCCATATGGTTCTTGTCTCTGAGTATCCTAGTGAGGATCGTGGCGCCCTTGGGGTTGTCACCTTGGAAGATGTTATTGAAGAATTGATTGGAGAAGAAATCATTGATGAATCTGATGTTTTCATTGATGTTCACAAAGCCATTCGGCGCATGACGCCTGCACCAAAATCTCGTGTTCCTAAAGGCAAGATCGTCGAGGAGCCACCTTTGAATGCTGCTATTATCACTGATGGCGACTTGATTGACGTGGATTCCCCAAAGCCCTCTTCACTTCCCAAGCCTTCCGACTTGGTTCGACGCCGTAGTTCCGTGGAAGCGCCCCTCCCTCGTTTCCAACTCCGCAAAACAAATGCCGATGCAACTCCCAACTCCTCTAATGAATGGGTCACACAAGTCGGTACCACAGATGAAATTCGAGAACATCTGAAACATCTTGGGCCGTCCAACCTTGCCAGTCGTCCACGACAAACCCGCTACCATGCTGTCAAAATCAAGCGCAACAGCACCTCTCCCTCCCGCTCTGCACAAACTGACTTTGAGTCCGGTCATATCATCTCCGACTCCCAAAAACTTAATACGTCTTCCACTGGTTATCAAGGTGGTATTGGTGCTGGCTTACTCAACTCTGCTGGACCAGATGCCAAGGACGGTACACACAGTTTAAAAACATGCTACGGTACCATGAGCCCGCATGACAGTGTGAGCAAAGGCACCAGTGCTCAACAGTTCAAAGACCTTCCCCAAGTCTCTATTCCGGAAGCTGTCCATGAGGAGCACGAAGATCAACCGCGTTCTGGGTCGACGCGCAAGCCTGGCAGTGCCGAAGGCAGTGTTCGATCCTCTAATTCACCTACATCATTTATTTACCACCATCGTGGACCAGCACGCAGTGGAAGTATCACAGAACAGGTTGTGGATGTCAACGGTATACGCAAAGTTGTCCTCCACGCCAATTGCACAAGCTCCTCAGACGGTGAACCGCACCAAGCAGGTCACCATCATAACCACAACCACAAAAAAGATGTGGTTCTTGAGACCGATGATACAAAATCTCAAAATCCAGACAAAGGCCTTCCAAAATCCAAAAAGAAGCGCCGCCGCAAGAAGCACAGTAAAGCTTCAAAAACTGATGACGGTCCCTCTGAGGATCAACCACTACTGAAATGACCACAAAACAAAAACAAAACAACACCAAAATAACAAGCAACGGAGGATATCAGGAAACAAAGCAACAAAGAAACCCACACCCCTCAATGTGTGGCCCCAGAAGCCCGCCTCTGTGCTTGGGCATTTGCAGGGCCAACATTTGTCTTGTGAAATACATAATTACTGAAACATCTTATGCAAAATGACATCTTTCAATTAAGTTTATCCTTTATGTTCCATGCTTCAAAATCAAGCTTTTTGCGTAGTCTACATTATAGGGTGATATAGATGGCATCTGAATCTGGTCAAATATCTACCATCACTTATGTAGTCAAATGAGGTCTCTGCATTTTAGATGTTCATCAATTTTCAGCACAATATTTTGTTATTCATATATCTAGATATCATGCAAAGAGTTCGAAGTGATAACCATCACTTGTATGCTACTAGAATATGTTATTCTTAAAGCAGGAAATGCTATATGCAGAGATGGAGTGCAAAGAAAACAAAAACACAACGTAACGACAATAACATGGCGATGTGTTTGCATATAACCATGACAAAATGCATAATGGGACCAGAAAGAACGCCAGGGTATAGATTGATCAAAACATAGAACTCCGCTTTTTCTCGAGTTTGGCAGCACTGCTTTCTTCTCTAGTGCGCCGGAATCCAAAGAAACTGCTTTTTTTCGGCTGTAGTTGAGGGGCCGGCCTCGATGATGCGGGGAGAGCACCACTGCTCGTGGGTACTGGGTGGAATCCGACGGTAGACTGTGGTCTCGGGTGTGGCCGTGACTGCATCAGATGTGCAGATGACTGGGCTCGGGGGTCCATGCGGCCTGGTGCATGGAGGTATGGGTTATTGGCAAAGGTAGGGATGGGGGCGGGGTGAGAATTCTGTTGGCGAGGGTGGCGGGATGGACGGGCTGCAGGCTGGGGGGGAAGTTGGACTGAAGATTGGGAGTATTCGGGGGAATAAGCTTGAGGGGGTCCGGTGTGTCGGGGTGGAGCTTGAGGTCTAGAAGATGGAGCTGGGGTATGCCGTTGCATTCGTGCCTGCTCTTCTTCTTGGCCGTATAACTGTTGTAAGCGTCTGGTTTCTTCTTCGATTTCTGCGTCCCGCCGACGCCGTGATTTTTGTTCTGCGGCGAGTACTTCTTGCGTTCGTCGCTCTTCTTCCTCCCTTGCGAGCTCGTCTTGTCGCCTCCTCTCTTGTGGGGCTGGGGATGAGGAGTTCGGGATGCTGAGACGGGGCGGAGATGGTCTTCCATTCTTTGCTGGCCCAGAAGGTCCGGCCTGTGGGCTTCTCTGTTCGAATTTGGTGTTGCCAACTGGCGTGTTCACTGCCGCATTTGCGGTCTGCCCTACTACTGGCCTGCGAGTTGTTTGGTTTGGCCCACCGGGTGTGATATGAAAGGCCTCTTTCGCTGGCCCGAAGAAAATATCCCGGATCGCGATAGCAGCCAAGAGTAGCACGACCTCCAACCCCTTGAAATCCTCCATTTCCACGCGATACAGATTCGGCTCGTAGAGAGTGAGCTCCTTGAGTCCTTGGAATAAGGCGACCGTGATATCTGGCTCGCGGTTCTTTGTGCGCGTGTCCGGAATTGTTGAGGTTTTGCCGTGTAACAGACAGGTCAGGTCTTTCGACAGTTTCCCATCCTTGCGCCAGCTGAACCGCAGCTTCGGAGTGATGTCGGCGAGCGATGGGTCAATCTGAGTCTGGTCTAGCGCTGAGCCGGATGGAACACGGAATGTATTTTGCGGCATCTCGAACTCCCATCGTGCTGGTTTGTTCCACGACTTGGTATGGTATTTCACTGTGATCTGCTGGTCGGGGTTGTATAGTTGGATTGTAAACTCCATAGGAAGGATTGGATCCGGGGGTGGTGCGACGCCGCCGTTTGCCCGGATCGTGTCTACCGACAAGGTTGGGTGAGTCCAATCTGGCATCACGGCGACCTCCCCATACACAACGTCTGGCACATAGGGATCGTACAACGCAACTCCGTAGCGGTTTTGTGATGTGGGGGCGGCGGGATCCAAGGCGCGTAGGGCATAAGCCGGTTCGGGGTCATTTCCATGTTGGCGGTGGTAAATCGTGCTAATCTGAGGTTGTTTGGAGTTGCTCTTGAGGAAAAAAGCTGGTCTGTTGTTAGTACGATAAGCCAGAGTGGGGATGACGTAGCCGTAAGCTATACCAGACAAGGCTGGTCCTTACTGGGTAAGTTCTGGTCGATCATTTTGTCGACCGTAAATACTCTCTGTCTCAAAGACCGGTCATGCAGAGGAGTTATATTGGCCCCAGAGGCGAGTTCGGAAGTGAAGTCGGGATTGGGAGATCGGCGCCTAAAAATAGACGCCCCGCTGATTCGCACGATTGAAGGCACCAGCGTTTAACTGGATCAAGCTAAAGGTCGATGTATAGCATCAGGCATCGGCGTTGATGCATAACACCTCAAATCCAACTGCTTTTCACTTGAATTGAGTTCTGCAACTCGTTCAGATATATATACGGGATAAGTATACAATCGAAAACATAAGCACAACTATAACATTGCAAATAGCCAAGAGACTACTGGTGAAGAGCCTATACACAAAGCAGTAGCAACATCATCAAACACATCAGACTAACACAGCCTCTCTTTGCTTTTTTGGAGGCTAGGCCTCCATTCGAACAGCGCCGCCACCAAGCAGATAATGACGCTAGTCTACTCCGTACCCCGTACGCAGCTCGAGGAGTCGGGCAATATATGATTTGTAGCATTTTGTTTCGACCTATCTACTCGACACACTGTGTAATAATGGATGACGCTGCTTTACACGCGTTTTCTATATCAATTTGTTTTTGAACGAGGTGCGGATTATCAAGATTTAGATTGAACGTCCTTTATGAGGACTGGCTTAGATACTCGAGCGGACAGTACATATTCAACAGTAGAAACAGGAAGAGATCTCCAGCCACTCCATATATGTCCTCAATCCAGTGCGCAGAAAGATTGTCCAGGACTGAGCTCTAAGCTCACCAGCTGTGTTCCTACTAAGCCGGTTTGTAACCCGTGACATTACAGATGGATGACTTGATCTCTGCTCAAACATCAGACCGAGAAAGAACAAACCCACGCATACAGAAGATATAGCTCAACAGAATTTCACATAGTCACATAACATGTTGCTTGAGTCACTCACAGCAGACCAATGATCACTCGCGTATGCCTAGATGATCGAAGTTAGCTAGGCGGGGATTGAAAAAGGAAACAACTGGGCTGCTCTCGAAGAATGAAACGCGTAGCCTGTGGCAGAAAGAATCAAGTCAGACCTATGGTATGTTAGTCATAAGGAAACATTGCGAAGATAGAGTACAATAAGACCACTTAGCTGTTAGATCAATCCAGTTGGTATCAAAAATCAAGTTAGACCTGCGGTATGTCAGTCATAAGGAAACCCTGCGAAGATGGAGTACAATAAGACCACTTAGCTGTTAGATCAATCCAGTCGGTATCAAAAGTCAAGTCAGACCTGTGGTATGTCAGTCATAAGGAAACCCTGCGAGGATGGAGTACAATAAGACCACTTAGCTGTTAGATCAATCCAGTTGGTATCAGAAATCGAGTTAGACCTGTGTGATGTTAGTTATAAGGAAACATTGCGAAGATGGAGTATAATAAGACCACTTAGTTGTTGCATCAATCCAGTTGATATCGTCAGAATAAGGACAAACGGCTATAAAATCCAGATTAGTCACGATGGGATGCGGAGGGAATGGCTCGAATGGCCTACGAGCAGTCTTTGAAACAGGAAATCCAGTAAGGCCTAGTCTGCGTTAGTATCGGATCCAAATAAGCGGGGATGAAAGAGATATAAATAACTGTAGTTACCAACCAAGTTTATATGTGAATGTGCATACTGTAGATATATCGTCGAGGACACTCTGTGAAAATCAGATTAGTGATTCTATAGGGATTTGACGTACCTGTTTGATGGGGACCCGGGTTATGTCCATATAGAGGGGTTTGGGTGGCCTATGTATTGTTAGCTTTGTACAAATTGAGGAGAGGGGTATCAAAGGACTTAGCCATATAGTTAAATATATATCGAGTCTCGTCTTGAATGAGGTATCATTGGGTGGGGCCTATATTGATTCGTTAGATTGGTCCAATAGACAAGGGAGTACTTACGGGATATGGGGTACAATATAGGTGTATTCGGATGGTCGAGGCCTATATGTGGCACAAGTTGCTCTGTTCTTCGTTAGCAAAGTGGTCAAGCTAACAGGGATAAGAGGGAATCAAAGGACTTAGCCATAGACAATAAGTGGAGATATTAGGACGAGGTGTCCGTCGTCAAACGCTTTGTGTCCTAATCTGTAGTGTATGTTAGCGATGATCATCCCGCGGAAGGATTCCCACCTGGTTGTTATAAGAGAAATATATGATGATTTGTTATGTATATTGTCCTAGAAGGCAGTATTAGTGTGTATACCAACATTGAATGGGAAAGATACTCAGCGAATGGTTTGTAATGCTCATCGGGATGAGTGAAAGACGAGTGTTGAGCTCTGTCTTGTTGTAGGATGCTGCTGATGAGGGATTCGGAAACGAGGGGCCTGGAGGACATTATATAGACGTTCATGCTCATAACAAACGGTACTCAGCTCATGGTTGTTCTATACAAGTCCTTTGTCGACGTCCGTGTCGAAACCATAATGGGTTGTTTCATCTTATTTCTGATGCACAAGAAGGCTATTATCCGCAGCCCCAAATCAAAGAAAATCCACAATGAATTAAGGAGTAGAGAAGCGGCGATTTCCTTGTTAACCTTGCTCTATTGTTCGCTGAAACGGTGACCTCAAAGGGCTAAAACTGCCGGGGAGGCTCAAGGGTCAAGGAACTAGGGTTAAAGGAAACCATACACAATAGAATAAAGATTCAAGCTTGAACCTCTAAGAGATTAATGTTTGGTCTAGCTATGTTCACCGACTCTATCTATTTGGCTCTATCCTTGTAACCAATCGCCTGAGACAGCCAGAATATACAATGGCAATGTCCATCGAAGCACTTTTTCCTCCTTCCCTGCCCATTTTATACCCGGACGCCATTGACCTCCTCACCTCCGGTGACCTTAGCCGCCTCCCGCTCAGCAACGCTCATCTGCAAGCCCTGGTCGTTCCAGCCCTGGATACCCTTCTTGTACAACGTTTTCTGTTCTTCCCGGCTGTACATAGGTCCGGTCTTACCCCGTCGCTCGCGTGACTCGAGGGTCTCTTCGAGAGACGCATTATCGCCATCCAGCTCATATCCCTCCAAATCTTCTGTGTGTGTTTCTTCACTGAAAGTGTAAGTACGGTATTCGGTATTGATCCATCCGGTGCCTAGAAAAATGATGTCGGGGGTTAGCGATATAATCCTCCGCAATCGCAAGTTACAAGTCCTTGTGTCACATCATACCCTGGTATTGGCTGCTATCTTCCCAGTCCTCGGTGAAGTAATGCAAAAATCCACCGTGGGTGACCATAACGATTTCCTTCTCGGGGCGCGCTTTCAGCCAGCGACGGGCTGCGCGGGCGCGCTGCTTGAGGGCTTGGTTGGTTGGCGCATAGCGACCGGATTGCTGATTTTTTTCCGATGAATGTCAGTCAATTCTGACACCATGCTCCGGATCTCGACAGGCAAGAAGAATACCTTGTTATTCCAACCCTCTTGCACAAGGTCCAAATCGACTGCTTCCTTGAACTCTTCCTTCAGCGCAGAAGGCTCGCTACCAGTATCGCAGGCAACATCCGAAGTCTCCTGGATATCAGGCAGGGCAATAATCTTCAAGTCTGGCTTTGACTCGAAGACGGGACCGAAGCTCTCGAGTGCGGTATAGAGGGTGCGACGGAGGGGTGAAGCGGTGACCAGGTCGATATTGGCGTGGCGAGGAAAGCTTTCGCGGAGCTGGCGGCACTGCTCGTGGCCAAGGTCCGTGAGGACAGGGTCCTGGATAACATGGTTGGCAGTGCAAAGATTGTGCAATCCCTATGGTTGTCTATTAGCCCATCTGAACAGGGTTGAGTCACTTTGCGGGATGAATTGCGGAGTCGCCGGAATTTGGACGGTTGCGCGGATGCCGTGATCTGTGCGGACATACCTGAGCGTGGCGGACGCAATGGATGATTGGGGCCATATTTGATGTTGAGGATAGGAGTAATCTAGGAAGTGCAATGTCTCAGAAACTGGCAGATGAGAAAGACCCTGGAAATGACTTATCGCGGGACGTGGGGGGTAGCGGGGCGTGAGGAAGGGGTGCGTGCAGACCAGAGTGCCCTACGGGATATCTAAATCAAGGAAAATTCGCTGCGGAAGTAATTAAAGATCTCACGACTACACAGGAAAGAGTAAGAGATATCGGGAAATGAATATCAAAAGAGTCATAACCCCTCGGACCTCAGAAGTCCGACTTGGGCATTTTTTACGTAGCGCCATATGATCAGGCGAACCACAGCTCTGCAGAGGGGTCTGATGGAGATCTATAAATTGTGATTTGCTGAATGTCCTAGAAGGATCCTCTTGGACTATATTAAGTACACTGGAAGGCCAATGCTATTTGCGCCATATGGAACACCACATCACTGCCCAAAGGAAATATACAACAAATGGGTATGTATAGCTGAACGATGGAATCTGACATTTTATGCCACGCCGAATCCTTGCGCATTCTCAAGAGCCTTGTCAAGCTTCTCTGCCAAAGCTTCCCTTGAGGAGTACTCTGGCAAAAGCAAGCGTCCGAAACACGTCAAGCTAGTAGGAAGACGCTAAAGGAACAATCAGCATGGCAATCCTCACGAATTGGGAGGAGGGGGGGGGGGGGGGGAGGAAAACTCACCAGATCTCCAACGCCATTTTTCTGGATCACAAACATGATAGTCGAGATCCCGTTGACAGGAACTCGGTCACTGGCAGTGACGAACTCAAGTAGCTGGGCCCGTTTCTCATTGGGGTATTCATGAACAATATCCCAGAAGTTACGAATCACACGATGGCCAGGACCAAATCCACCCTCATAGCGGGCGTGGCTCTCAAGCTCATCCACGTCAATCGACTGGATTCCTTCCACCACAGTTTTCAAGGCTTCCGGCGAGAAAATGGACAGAGCCGATCGGTCTAGGCAAGTGTTGAACCCCTTTTGGAAAGCCTCGAACTGTGGTCGAATGGATTTGTCTGTGAGCCAGAAGATGTAATCCTTGACAAACTGGTTTCGATTTTGATTGGTCACAAGCGCGGCCTCTTCGGCTGAGGGTGGAGAAGTCAGGGACGGGGAGGACTCAGACTTGGTAGTAGGAGCGACATCAGTAGCCTGGAGTGCCAGGGATGATGATTGGCTCGTTGCCGTAGGGTCAGAGTACGTTGGAACATCCATCCAGGCACTAGAACCTGCGATAGGAGCCGGGGAATTGATCTTGCTAGCAACAGGCCACGCGTCATCGCGACCAACCTTTTGCATGTCGACCATCTCTACACAGCCGAAAGCGTCGAAGCTGAACTCGTAGGTTCGTGTGAAAACATCACCGACATCGCCATCCGTCCACGTCAATAGTGTGTCGAGACCTTGGCTAAGCTCTGGCCATCCGTCTCGAATGTGGTTTAAATGCTTCACTTTCAGCCCCAACAGCTTGCGGTAAAAAGCAATGGGAAGGTTCACGGGAAGAGTTAGCCCGTTGTAGATCGCAATGGACATCAACAGACCAATCAATTCAAATTTGTAGAGTGGCTCCAATGAGCGCGGTTGAAACCAAGACACGCGGTGCCGGGTATCAACCGTGAACATTCCAAAGGAAGGGTCAAATGCCTGACCCATGAGGAGACGGAAGAACTCTTGTTGAACGCCCCCATGGTCAAGCCCTTCTTCACCTTCATCCATGCCCATTTGTACTTTCAATGGTCGCATCAGTTCTCGCTTTTCACGGCGCCATAGTTGGCTCAGGGCATCAGAAAGAATATTGTCTCGGCGGACGACAATAACGAGGTATGTGGACATGGATGTTTTCATTTGAGTTCGAAGCCGAGGACCATCGGCAATTGGAATGGTGCCAAAGGCAGTCTGAGTGACATGCCTCGTAGTAGTCATGGCAGCCTCATATGCCTTGGTCATCGCGGAGTGGTTGAGAGCACGGAAAAATATGACGAGAGATGATGGGGGGAAAAGGAAAGAGTAGGACAGCAGATGCAGTGTTCGATTGTTGGGGAGGCTTCCGGCCCATGCCACAGGCATATCCAGAGGGTCCAGCCGCTCGGTGAGAAGAGGTGTATGGAAGTCTTCGGGTGAAAGGCCTAGCCTGTTTCGCTCCTTGTACATGGAGGCTAAAATCTGAATAGCACCACCGGCTGGAGTGCTACGAGCCATCTCGGGATTGCCGTCCCATTCACGCAAAAATAGAGTCCGAAGCCACTCAACGATCAAGGAGGCCGTGCCGATAGACTCGGTGAGCTCATTGCTGCCAGCAGCATGAGAGATGTAGTGTTCGCAAAGATAATCCATCACACGGTCGAGCACGCTGACTCTGCGTTGTTTTGGTAGATCTAAGCTGTATGCTTGCCGTGACTTCGAAATTTCATGGTATGCCAGTCGTGCGGTTATAGCCCGCACGAGTCGATTGATAAGACGGAGACCTAATTCGTGCTCGAATCTGTCCGTGACCTCGATGGCTTGCTGGGCATTCTTCGAAGACAGCTTGCCCATATCTGAGAGTGAGGCAACAGACCCGGCAGCACGCATTCGAACTACCGCTCGCCAAGTTCCCGAGTCAATATTGGGCATAGAGCTAATCAAAGTGAACAAGGCAATTGTGGCGATATAGGCTGCGTCCGGATCGGACAAATGATCTTCATTGGCATTCTCAGACATTCGTTGGGGAACGGCCGAAGGGGGTGCAGGTCCTGTCATAGTCGAACTGCGAGAGGATCGGCGGGATGGTCGTCCCGAGGAGGTAAATCCCTCTGGGGGAATAAAGACCTTTTCCAGAGCACCCCATACAGCATGTAGCGCAATGTCCCATGGGCAAATCGTGAAAAAGTGCCGCAGTGATACGCGCAGACGAGAGACATCGAGACGGCTGAAAGTAGCCCCACTCGGTTGGGTTGACTCGTTACTAAAGGAGCGCAGAATCTGATGGGGGCTACTGAGTACGAAAAATGCGCTCTGCGCAACGAAGGGGAATGCTTCACGCTGATGCAGCGTTGCAAAACGCCAATCTGGTTGTTCAAAATTGCCCGTGTATTGGATACGATCGAGCTCTTCTTTCCAGCTGTCTGCATCTTCTGCCGATTCAATCATGATTTGCGATAGACTCTCAATGATATCGGGGCTGAGATGGGTGAGTGTTTGAGCTAGAGGAATCGTGTTTGATGAGTCTTCAACGGGAGCTTGCTGTGTTTTACGCTCCCTAGAAGCCTGAGAATTAGGAGGAGGATGGGGATGCGTAAGTTCCGTGGTTGTCCTGCTCTTAACAGAGGATACCTCATCAAACAATTTCTGGCTGTCCCAGGAGACACGGCGTTGGTTCTTGCGTCTCTCCTTTAGTGGATCCGAGTCTACATCCCCAATTCTTCCGCGGTGCTTTTGCGGACGGTGCTTTAAGGCTGGGGGTGACGGTATACTGGGAAACTCATCTGACGCCATTGGCAGCTTTTTGTTGAATTCCGGTTTTCTCTTGTCGTCAAAGCTTGATCGTGGACTCTGGCGCCAATGGTCAACCTCAGGGACTGATAGTCGTTTAACGTGCTGGTTCTGGAACTTGAGCTCGACTGCAGGTGTCTGAGACCCGGAAGTTCGCGATGAAGGAGTGCGGGGCTGGGATCCAGGCTGAGCTGCAAGCGTAGAACGCCCTGAGACCTTGCGATGTCCACCTGGCACTTTGTCATGGGGGCAGTTATGCTTCTCGGCAGTATGTTGATTTCCGATTTCCGGCGCTGGCGGCTTGAGTTTCGATTCCAGTATATCAGGTGCACGCCGAAGTGGAAGCCATTCAACCATACGTAGCGACAGTGTATCAAACAGGTTTTGTGTAAAAGACTTCGGGTCTTTGAGTTGCTGCTCGGCGGCATAGTCGAGGTCTCGAATATAGCTGGAACCGGGAGGGAACGTGGATGCAGAGCTTTCTCCTTGCGCTTTCCACGCGATTACTTCGTCTTTCGCCGGCCTGGACGCTTCTTGGGCCGGGTTGTCATCCTTCTGGTCGGGGTTTGGCGACCGGCTAGCCGCTGCCCTCTGTGCCTCAAGTGTACGTGTTCGGCGCAGGGAAATACGATGGTAATCTTCCGCAGTCAGTGGTGGCGGAGGCTTCGGTACGTTCTGACATAGACCGGTCTCCGCGTCATCCAAGCTGGCAAGGTAGCACGCTAGGGTCCTCGCGCTGAGTTCCGTATATCGACGATAGGGGCCTTCGCTGACTCTTCGACGATGACTCGCACATGTAGAGGTTTGACATCCGGGATCGTTGCAGCCGTGAAGTAGTTGAGCTTTGTATCTGCGCCATCGAACTGGTCAGTGTCGTGTGGAGTGGGGAGACAATAGCTAAACATTGGGCAGTTCCACTCACCTGCGCACCAAGCCGTTGAAATTCCGTCTTCGGTCATCGTGATATCGCAACAGCACCCTTGAAAAGTCATAGACCTCGATAGTATTCTGGATCAGAGCCCCCGGTGCATTTTGTGGGAGCTTTGACCGATAACTATGAGTTCGCCCGTGGCCGGGGGATCGCGCGGTGCTTGGGTCATCGATGGAACCTCCGCGGAGCCTTGTCATTTTCAACAAAGTCGCATATCTGAAGCGAGTGGGCCTTGCGGTACGCGAGTGCGGGCAACAATAAATTGTTGGGCTTCACGGGCAGTTATTGGAATAATGCGACCAAGAGACTCCAGCTTACCTGATTCCGTAGCAAGGCGATCATGCCTAAGGCATTCACAGCCACCCACTTTGGGCTCGGAGATGTCGGCGCCCAATTAGTCCGGTGGACTTGTCATCACCTCCCAGATAGGACTAGCGCCATTCCGGAGGGGCTTAGTCGATAAGAAACACCCAGAGATGAGCCCTGGATGATGGTCTAGGTATCGCATAAAGACTGACTCACACGATCTTGCGCTTCCAAAAATTCCTCTCTCCTACATCCACCCAAATCCCATCGCTTCCATCTCACTGGGTTATCACCGCGCACCCAGATCATCAAAAGATCATCGAGATCGGGCCAGGGCAGAGCCTTCATATGTACCCCGCCTGCAACAAATATTCATCCCACAAACCACAGGGAAAACCCGTCCTTTCAACCACCCACGACACTCAACAAACCACCGATATGTCGTCGACCAACCAAGATGCAGCCTCGCTGCAATACACTTGCAACACCTGTCTCGTTGCTTTCCACCGAAGTGAAGCGCAGAGAGATCACATGCGCAAAGACTGGCAGTAAGTGCTACTTTTTTTTGGTTAAAAAAAAGAGAGGGAAAAAATATTTTTCGTTGCATTAAATAGCTAACATACTTTAGTCTATACAACATGAAGCGTCGCATCGCTTCTCTGCCTCCCGTTACACTTGAAACGTTCAACGAAAAGGTTCTTGCCGCCAAAGCTACATCGAATGAAGCCGCTGCCAAAGCTTCGTACGAGAAGACCTGTCACACATGCAGCAAGGCATTCTACAGCGAAAACTCTTATCAGAACCACCTCAACAGTTCGAAGCATAAGCAACGTGCGGCTCGTCTCCGTAAGGATGGCGATGCTGCCTCCGTTCAGAGCTCTGCTTTCTCTTTGGGAGAACCCGTGACCAAGTCCGACAATGACGTATCTAAAGTCGCGGACGACCTCAAGTCTGCTACCATTGAAGAGCAAGATGAAGAAATGGAGGATGAGACCAAGGAGGATGGCTTCTCGGCATCTCTTTGCCTTTTCTGCAAGGTTGATTCAACCGATAGTCACACCAACGTGGACCACATGCGCAAAGAACACGGAATGTTTATCCCGGAACAGAAATATCTGGCGGATCTCGACGGCTTGTTGAACTATCTCTACAGCAAGATCACAGAAAACTTCGAATGCCTTTACTGCCACACCCTGAAAAACGACGCACATGCCATCGTCACCCACATGCGTGACAAGAGCCACTGCATGATCGCTTTTGAAACCGAAGACGAGCAGGTTGAAATCGGCCAATTTTACGACTTCCGGAGCACCTACTCCGAGGACGAGGATGAGTCCACTGCTGAGAGCGGTGGCGTCAAGGTGAACGGTGATGGAGAAGACCAGGGTTGGGAGACCGATGATTCTGCATCTTCTGTTGATGAAGACGATCTTGACTTCTACCGAAAAGGATCAAGGGCCTACGAGGCAGATTATGAGCTTCACCTTCCATCCGGAAAGAGCGTCGGTCACCGTTCTCTTGCCAAATACTACAAACAAAACCTCAACAAGTACCCGACAGCATTGGAACGAGCTGCCCGCCAGCTTGCTATTGAGAATGGAGAAATCGAGGACGACCAGCCTCGCGTCCGCCCCAATCACCACCGCGATCTTACCACTCGTGCCAACGGCGGCATGGGCATGATTGGAGTTACGGAAGAACAAAAGGCTGCCGCTCTCACAGCCGAGCGCCGCGAGAGAACTCGTGCACTTCGCCAAGAGAATCGCTACATTGCCCGTGTTCAAAAAGCCAACAATTCCCAGAAGCACTTCCGGGTATGTTCAATATCTGCTATTCTTTTGTTTTGCAAATCTAACTTCTCGCTAGGATCCCCTTCTGCAATGATCGCGTCATCCCAGCATTCTTGGGGGAAATACGTCAATCGACTGGTTCTCGCTTACGACATCATCTTTTCGACGGCATCAACGAACATTCGCCAATACTCTCAACACATCAACAGCCCATCGCAGCTATTCGGCTTGCACGCTCCTCCCTGACGTGCTTCAGGTGTGCTCAATATTGGGCAACTTCTGGGTTTCTACAAGCTTTTGAGGTCGGCACAAAACAACTAGGGGAGGTACTCTTTCCGAGCCGGGCCATTTTCTCAATCGAGTTTTCCAACCCGGTCGGTTTTAACGAGGCCTCACCGATCCTTGGAAATCTTCATGACGGACATCTTTATGGATAGCGATCTTTTTGCTGCATATACCTTTTGTACAGATGTCGTCATTCTGTCGTCATCTCTCTCTGTTATCGGGGAGTCTTGGAAATACATCTGGTCTTGGTAAAGAAAAATCAAGTTTATCAAACTATTCGTGTCTTTATAGAAGTAGGAACGATTGATGTAAATGGCAGCACAGTAGCCTTGAAGCTGGTTTAACTTTGGAATAAGGGCGCGCGTGTTCATTGGTCTTTTGCATGAGCTCTCCCTTCGTGCCTTTACTCCATGCCCACCATTCGGCATCTCGTTCTCCGTATAAGAGAGAGATTGTCTTATCTTTGCAGTCGTCAGCTGATGTCAAAGTCAGCTGTAGTCCTTTTCTGGTTGCTTGCTTTTCTTTTCCACCTAGCCCTTGGAGATCTGACATGGTTGAGGTGACGAAGACTGAGTACTTGGGGCGTGCCATCCAGTCTAAGTGGTCTTCAAGTCTGAGTGATTAGGTTCTTGGTCCCTGCATTCCAACTCATATTGGTCAGTTTGGGACAACCTGGGTAGCCGGATTAGTTTGGGAGATCAAGATGTTGTCTCTTCACAAGGAGATCTGGAATCCTGTGTATTGATTGAACTGCAGCTAGCTATGGCGAGCATTTGTATCTCGTAGATCTAAGAGTGGTTCTATAGCCGTTCTTTGCCTCTTGTCGAACATCATTGTTTTTCTGTGAGCATTGTTGTTCTCACGTTGGACTATCAACTTTTTCTTTCTCAGGACATAGGTCCTTAGCAATGTTGACATTTGATGCACGTTATTCATTTGTAAGGCTATGAGAATAACTCGGTGATCCCAATGTTGAGCCCATTCACCTGGTTCTAAACGCCATGTCCTCTTGGTTCACAACGGCCAGGTTGCCGCGAGAGTGATGGTTTTGTTCTTGGAGGTTATCAATCTCCATTCGCGGGTGATCATTTTCTTGTTGGGACTGATCAGAAACCTCTTGCAGGCCGAGGTAGTTCAGCATTTTTCGATCGTCGCCTCACCCGACGGCATCCTTCAAAGACATGAAGTTGGACTTCTTAGCCCAGGACTTATTTCCCAGCCTCCATACTTCTCGGGTATGATCATTCTCAGCTGCCGAAAGCTGCTCAAAGTAAGTCCGCTCCAACCATACAATGGCTCCCTTGAGTTTCTCGCTGGCGATTTGCATGATACGCTGTTCGTTATCAGGCTCAAACTTCTAAACAAAGCGGTTCTCGAACTCGGGGTTGCAGACATGTTATTTGAGGTAGGAATTTGTCTCTTTCCAGAGTGTGTTAAGGAAAAGAGTAACCAGATTCGGCCCCATACCCCAGCCACATAGTTGAGACGTCGTGTCTCGTCACAGCGTATCTTAACCTCCCACTCCGTGAATTTCCCTTTTGGAGTCAGCGTGTGAGAATGACCGGTAATACTTATGGGTTCCTTACGGGAATGTTTGTTCTCTTCATTGAAAACCCGCTTCAGAGATACCACCCTTCATCGACCGGGTTAACCAGTCATGGTGCTTTCTGTCTCTCTTCCGGGCCTCCTCTGAAGGTCTCCCTCGTCCCTCCGAGGCATGGAGCTACTCCTCCAAAACCTCCAGCTTTGTCTCCAGTTCTCGACTCCTGCTCGGCCCAGCCTCACGGGCATTTGCAGGGGTTCGATCACTTAGAACCGGTCTTATGGGCCGGAGACGGAACCTGGGGGACTGTTCAATGTTAGTCTCAATTCCGTTTCTCAAGGAGCCGTTTCGAGGGGTATTCGGCCGGGTCTTTACACATTCTCAGAGAATCCCGATTTATTCATCCTGTAAACTCTGTATTAGCAATCAGAGCACACGTCAATAAAATGTCTAGTCAGCATTTGGGCTTGAATCATGAAGAAAATCATCAGGTAGGCAAGAGGCAAAAAAGCCGACACGATAGTAAGACAAGCAGATGAAAGCTTACAAGCTGTTTCAAGTGCTCTCAGCTCCATTAATGAGCCTTTTGATTCCGAGAGGAATATGACTTAAAGTGTTTCCTCAAGAGGGAGCTTATTAGCACCACTATCCCGGCTCAGGGAGAAGACCACTTCCGGGTCGGAGAGTCAGAGTCCAAAATGCGGTGGCCTTTGGAACGCTTTTCAGAGCTCTTAGGACTTCACTCCATGTAAGGAGCTCATAAGGGCTCTGAGCCTATTGTGAATGAGAAGAGGGCTGCAGCTAAAGAGCCAGGTGTGGCTCAATTCAAAGGATAAGAATGAAGGGGGAAGACGGAGAGAGGAAGTGACGGGAAGGAAGCCTTTTTACTTTGGAGTGAGGAAGTTCCTTATGAGGGACTCCCCTTATCCCACATGCATCTGACAGATACGTACAGGCAAACACATACAATGGATGGCCCACCTAAGGCACTAGGTACATTTATGTATCTTAGATGCCATTCTGCAAGGGGTTACCCTAATCAAATATCCTGAATTGGTATACGCGTTCTTAATTGGGAGTCAAGATGTTATTGGGCTAAGTATATCCTCCGTTCTTTAACCCTGCCCCTGAGTCAACTGTTAATGATAGTGATGGTTAGTACCTTGATATAAAATAAATCTGCCGTAGTTGAAGGACGGCTTAGAAGCGTTGAGTAATTTCGACGTAAAATAATCACTTCTGCATCTGATAGTGATATGCAGAGATAACAGTCAATAACCATCCCTATAAGATCAAAGAGTAACAGCACAAGCACTCAATATTCCACTTTCTTTGGCAAGCGCAGCAGTAACATGAGTGGGGACCACCCGGTCAATTCCTAGAATCATCAAGGCTTCCTTGAACAACCGGCCTTTGGCAGGTGGGTCTTGAGAGCTCCCATCTGCCACAAGAGACTTCTGGGGTGTTTCATTGACCAACTTGAGTGAGACGGGGGCCACAGCCATGAAATTGATGTTGACACCTTCCTGACCAAGGATGTTACCCACAACCCCGATCCGGCCTGGCGAGTCATAATTCTCACAAATCAACAAAGTCCCTTCTGGTTCAAATGAAGCCTCAAATCGACCTATGCGAGTGATAAGAGGCTGGTCACCAGAGCAGGTACCGGAAATGATTCGTTGATGGTAGTCAAGAGTTGGCCCTGTAGAGGCGTCACCCGAGGCCGGAGCGCGGGAGGATGCCCGGGAAGGAGGGCGTGCAACAAGAGTGACCAGAGACGAATAGGATGAGTGATCCGATGGGTCACGGGAATGTTGCTCTGAGACAAATATGCCACGCTCCCGAGCCACGAGTTCAGCGTTGACGATGTTAATATTAAGCCCCTCCATGCTACTGATAGGGGCAAGAAGACCCTTGATCAGAGCGGCAAAGAGCGGTTTCGTGTTGTTGATACTAGCCAACTCGCCTTGATATATTAAGTCAAACGTGTTCCTGGCCATGGCTCCGCCAGGGGAGGCTGCATAGTGCTGAGTATATAGACTACCAAGTTTCTCAACCAAGCGCACAAAAGGCTGCAGCTTCTGGTATTCCTCAGGTAGAATTAGGGGTGCGTTGACAGCGCTGCGCGGCAATGATCCTTGCAGGATTTCAAGTACCTGTTCGCACACATCGACTGAAACGTTCTCTTGTGCTTCTACGGTAGAGGCACCCAGGTGGGGTGTGACAACTGCTCGTGGGTGTGCGATCAGCCGTGCTGCAGATGAATCAGGTGCAGGAGGCTCTGAGGTGAACACATCGATAGCAGCACCAGCAAGATGCCCCGATTCTAGTGCTGCAAGCAGTGCATCTTCGTCAAAGGTTCCGCCCCTGGCCACGTTCAGTGCGCGGGCACCTGGCTTGAGCTGTGCCAGTTCAGTCTCTGCAATCATTCCCCGGGTCGAGGCAATGAGTGGTGTATGAATTGTTAGAAAATCGGCAGATGCCAGCAACTCTGGGAGTGAAGATACAAGGGTGACCGAGGCTGAAGCTGCAACTGCGGGAGATGCATATGGATCGAGGGCATTCACATTCATCCCCAATCCCTTGGCCAGTCGTGCTACCGTTGAGCCCACTGTAATTGTCAAATCTAGTTTCCATACGGGTGAAATAATAATAACTTACCTTTTCCTAGGCCAATAATCGACAAAGTCTTCCCCTTCACCTCCACACCCACGAATTTACTCCGTTCCCACTTTCCATCTTTCAAACTAGCACAGCTCTCGGGGATTTTCCTCGCCATGGACATCATCAATGCGATTGTATGCTCAGCAGCAGCACCAATGTTTCCCGAAGGAGAATTGACTACCACAATTCCGAGCTTTGTAGCTTCTTCTACATCTGTGATCTGATCAATAAGAAGCTCATCCCGCAACCGGATCAAAACGTACCGACATTGTCAACTCCAACACCGGCACGCGCTACAACCTTCAGGTTCTTTGCAGCTCGGAGCACCGTGGCAGTGACTTTAGTTTCAGAGCGGACGAGCAGCGCATCGTATTCGGGGATAATTTGAATTAATTCATCGGCACTCAGATCTTTCCGTTCGTGGACATCCAGTTCACTACGCAGAAGAGCCAAACCATCTGGCGACAGCTTTTCGGGCACCAGGGCCTTGGGACGAGACAGTTTGAGCAGAGGCATTGGATGAGGTCAATTGAGGGGAGATGAGGAGGACAAGAGTGAGGTTTCCGTTGGAAACACAGAAATCCCCAAAGTCCCAATCTTAGCTCCCAGGATCACTTAATGCTGTCTCCGCGGCAGGCGCGCCCTCATATTTCCATTCCTTTGTTTCTGTTTCATCCAATCGCCCTCTATACTGAACGCGGGGTATAATCCCTGTGATTGGAGAAAATGAGCTCATCGAGGTCTTCGCCAATTGATAGGTGGACGTTGAGGTGATGGCTGTGTCACAAACTCAATGTCCTCTCAGCCCCTCCATCAATTTCCAAAACCGTTCAGGATTCGGAGTCTTGATGGATTTGTACTTGAGTCCACCCCTATATCTCGCCTATGATCTCGGTTGTCCATTCATACGCACCAGTGCTTACGCTTTTACAGAGGTGTAAGCTCAAGGCCCAGAGATTCGTGGCCGTGAAGATAGATCACCGGTGCAATGACGAAGGTCGTCGACTCTTTCCAGAACCTCTCTCTGCTCCTGATCAGAAAGGGAAGAAGCCATATCAATGCCATATCAATGCGAAGGGGATGCTAGCCCATGTAACAATTGTCAAAGGGCGAGCACAAAACCGTCTCATCTTGAATATAAGCTATGCGCGAGTATTACAGAAGTGAGACGGTACTTTTCTTGTTGAACTAAAATCAGAAGCACGATGTATCTGTTCATTGGTCACTCTCTGAGGTTGATACCTAGGTGTTCATTTGCTACAACTCGAAGCTGAAACACAGTCAAGAATATGCTCGGTTTCCAAACGTGCTGTTGGATATGAGGCCTAAAGGGCGAAAGATCAGCAAGCACCCCGAAGGGGCCAGAAGAAGTGTTGCTACGCTGGCTCATTGCCCTTTGTTCTCTACCCACTTCATCATTCTGTCAACGTTATCAGTGCAGGTATACCGGTAGGCGAAGGCGTATCCGGCAAGTTGGGCATTCACGTCCATCTGGTGCCAGGCAGTCGTAAATATGGCATTTCTACTCCATAGGTATTGGGAAGAAAATAATTCTTTCTCCTAGAGAGTTGTGGATGTACCTCGCAAGTCAGTACAGAGTATTCCATAGAGTATGTCAGTTATAGAGGCATCCGGGGCCTCGGCTCGATTCCGGGACAGATCTACCTTGACATATGTACGGAGTACTCCGTACCTAGGCCAAGTACAGTATGAATGTTTGTTAGCCTTGAAGTGAGCACTGGACATTTTCTTAAAGTCTTCCACGTCTATAACTACATGTGTATATCATCGCAGTGATTCTATCCTCCTTCTCATCTGATGGAGAAGACATTGGTGTCTCGTTGGGTCACCCTTAGAACAGGCTGTCGGGAACAAGGAATTAAAGCGATGATCAATCACACCCAAATGAATTATTTTAGCTTTCAGGCCCTTGATAACTCTGGAAAATAGGTGCTGAATGCTCCAAAGCCCTACGATGGACGGCGTATAGATCACGTTCCCGAAATTCGCTTCCCCCGCAGGCCCATTTCGCCGCTTGGCGGAATCTTCTTGAGTACCTGATTAACCCAGGGCTGACCGAATAAGCCTCACTTTCATCTCCCTCTGCGAATCGACTCGATCTACTCTCCAGCGATATCCTTCATGAAACGTGTTCGGATCCGGAAGATGGGCACATAAACATTCGGCGAACTTCCGAGCCTTTCGTCCCCCCGTGATGATACCTTCTCGGATCGTTTGACACCATGGTGGGAGTTCCGCACAGCACAGGCTGCGCCCTGTGCCGCGAGCGACGGATTAAGGTCAATTTCTCTCCGGCCTATATCGAGGTTATTGGGCTAACGGGGTAAATAGTGTGACGAGGCAGTCCCTGAGTGCAGCCAGTGCCAGAAATATGGTCGCGCCTGTCCGGGATACCGGCGGACGTTTCGTTTTCAGGACGAAGGCCCCAACCTGGCGAGGCGACATCGTTCCACTACGCGACGGAGGAAGAGAGGTGCGTCGGCAGGCCGACCCGCAATAACCACGGCCACGGCGACAGATTCGCCCCAAATTGAGCGATCGCCTATCGCGCCCGATGATTCTGCGGCCGCAGCGGACGTGGTGCGCTTCAATGCGATCGCGCTCATGCGACGTCACTCGGCTTTGGGGGGGGATGGATGAAAAGTTGTCACCGTCGCTAGTGCGCAGCTCCTTCCGGGCTGCCCAGCCGCAATTATTCCTGAACTTCATCAGCACGTCGTTTCCAACCCTATATTACCACAATCGCTTCCGCTCTGGCAATGCGCCTGGATTTGCCGAGCACATCGTCATGAATTTCGGACACGATGCTTATCTCGACTCCGCAGTTTGCTGCCTAAGCTCGGTCTATCTAGCACATCTCACCCAAGATCAGGCTCTGCTGAAAACGAGTCGCCAAATGTATTCAAAGTCGCTGAGCGAGGTCATCCGGGCCATCCCCAAAGCCGAGCACGCCAAGTCTGACAACATGTTGTGTACAACAATCATCCTCAGCGTCTTTGAAATGTACGCTCATACCACACCAGACGCCTGGGTTGTGCACTCCGACGGCGCGAAACGGCTGATGATAAGCCGAGGACCAGCTGCGCATGAGACTGGGTTTGGAAGATATTGCTGGATTGCATTCCGGGGATTCTTCATTGCGACAGCAGTCTACGAAGGCAAGCCCTGCTTCCTAGACCAGGAAGAATGGCAATCCTTCGCGACGAAAGTCCGGACCGAGGACTGTCTGAAGCCCGGCGAGTGGTCTGCATACGGTGAAATATCCGACCTGGCTTTCATGGAAATCGCCAAATGCCCGCGATATATCAGTGACGCGCGTGATATCCTTTCCGCTCTGACCGAGCCAGACCCGAATGCTACAATGATATTGCTCGGCCGGATACAGAACACATCGTGTAAGCTGCGCTCGCTTGTTGCCGAGCTCCGGGCATGTATCATCGCGCACAGTCAGCGCCAGCAGGGCATCATACAGCGACCGGGATCATTCGTTGGGCCAGTACCAGAGACCTTCCCAGATACCGGCCCGTCACTCCTTCTTAACGGCGCTGAAAATATGCTGGAAACATTACAACAGCTATCCGACCGGCTTGGAGATGGATCACGAATCACGTTGCTCGATGACCACTCTCCCGAGTCATCCCTCGCCACACCACCTAGTAGTGGCAGTGAATACTCCATATCTCCTTATTCTGCCACCCCAAAGAATTATGCTCTCCCCTTCCGTATTTATTCAGAGCTTGGGCAGGGTCCATCTCGGACTTCTGACCCACATGATCCCCGTGCTGTGATTTGGTTAGACCGGATAGCATCGTCTATGGGTGCCCTCGGCGCAAAAGTGCTCCCGGGCGATCCTTCTGATGCTTCTGATGCTTCGGTGGAGGTGGAACCCTCGCCACGAACGTTGCAGTGGCGATCACCTCCTGAGCTCGTTACCTTCACAAAGTATCCGACATGAAACCACACCTCCTAGCCGGCCTAGGATAGGCCCCCACCTGCCACGCCATTATACTTTATGTCTCTAGTTGTTTACGCTGCTGGAAATACCCACGACCGCTGTGTTTGCCGCCATTTGCCTCGAATGGGCCTGCAGTATCCACGAAACTTACTTCTGCATCTCCTGCGATATATGTCCTTTAACATCCACTACAATCTAATTTTTGTTCCGTATTTGCATGACCAAAAAAAATGTCAGATCCTTCGTTTTGATGCATCATACCAGCGTATATATGTAGAGACCTATTAACATGCCACTAATATGTTCTCAATGCAAAACAGCCAACTTCACTCCCCAAGGATAAAGGAACAAGCCTAATAATCCAGAGACTGCTCCAACAACTTCCTCAACTCCCCCTCTCAGCCTCCAACTCCTTACTCAAACTCGGCGCCAGCATAAGCACCCGCTGCTGCGGAATAGTCCCCTCAACCAGCCCCTCCACATCCCCAGCCTTGAAGCCCAAGTCCTTCAAACCACGCGGCTGGTCACCCAGCTTCACCAGGAACTCCGCAATCGCAGCCCCAAGCACCTCACCCGCACTCTCACGCTTGACATTCGAGATATCAACCCCGAACGCCTCAGCCGCAGCAAGATGCCGATCCGGGTTCGACGCCGCAGTAAACCGGAACACCGCAGGCGCTGTCACAGCCACAGACACACCGTGCGGGATAATGGGATGATCGACTTCATACCCGGCATGCTTATAGCCCGGGTTCTGGCTGGAAATCGGATAACTCATACCATGGCACAGATGGACACCTGCATTTCCGAAACCAACGCCCGCAAGCGTGGCAGCGAGAAGCATCTCCGACTGCGCTTCGTGGTCGTCGGGATCGCGCACGGCGCGGGGAAGATACTTAACGGTAGAGCGCAGTGCGGCGAGCGAGAAGATGTCGGAAATGGGGTTCGCGCCTTGGTAGGCGGGCCGGTTGATGGGGTTTGTTGGGCGGGGGTGCGCTCGTTGTAGGGGATTGCGGTCCAGGATTCGAGGGAGTGACATAGTACGTCGAGGCCTGAGGCGGCGTGGACGGCGGAGGGCATGGTGCGGGTGTTGAGTGGATCGCAGATTCCGAGGGTGGGCTTGAGGTTGCGATGGGCGATGCCGGTTTTGGCTCCCTTGGAGACGAGGTCGAAGATGGCGGTTCCTGTGGTTTCGGAGCCTGTGCCTGCTGTTGTTGGGACGGCGACTAGGGGGCGGAGAGGTCGGTCTACGGGTAGGCCTTTGCCCAGAGGGGCGTTGACGAAGTCTAGGAAGTCGGCTTCGGGGAAGACGGTGTATAGGTTCATCAGTTTGGCGGTATCGATTACGGAACCGCCGCCTGGGATGAGGTTAGGTTTGGTGATACAAGGGGGGTTGGATTGGGAGACATACCGACGGCCAGGAAAGCATCGGGGTTATAAGGCTTAGCGAAAGCGATGGCCTCTTTGATACTTTATTCAGAGGCAAATTAGTACCTATCCCAGTACTGACCCTTTCGGGCTCGGGCTTGGTGGTGGCTAGGGGTCACCTACGAGCTATCCTTGGGCTCAGTGCGGACTTTGTCGAAGATGGTGAATTCGATACCCTCGTTGGTAAGACCCTCCACAGCCTGCTTCATAGCATCGAGCTTGGCCACATTGGAGTCGGTGACAATGCACACGCGCTTGGCGCCCAGGTTGGTGAAGTCCATTCCGACCTCCTTGGTTGCACCGGGACCGAAGCGAATGCTAGAAGCCGCCATCTCGAAGGCATATTCCTTCTCGCGCGAGCGGTCCACGGGTGTAGACAAGCGACGCTTCACATGGTTCAACAGAGTGGGAGACTGCTGGTGATTGTGGTGGTGATTGGGGTTCTTGTGGCATGGACAGTTGGGTGGGTGAGTGTATTGTACTGTACGAAGCAAGCCCAGGGCACGATTGGCCGCCGAGGGGGCAACTCTAATTGCTGGAGAGACCATTTTGTTATTCTATTGCTGAGAGCTGTAGAGAAAGGAGAGAGTCTTTTGGAAGAACGGAGCTGAAGTAGAGAACGGTCGAGTGGGACAAGTTGGAGAAATGCGGGGGAATGTCCACTCGGACTTCTGGCCGAGGTCCCTCGCATTTTCATTCGGCGTGTTGCTCGCTTGTTCTCTTGGTTCGGGGGAATAAGGTAATAAGCTTAGTTTCCTCTTCTCCGGTCCTCCATTTGGGAGATATGAGGTCCAATTGATCTCAATTGCCGTAGGGATGGACATTGATAGCCGAGGTACAACCCAATGACATCAATGCAAACCGCGTTGGGTAAATATACATAGCGGGAAGAGCTATTGGCCTATACCTCCTTAAGTAGGAACAGCCCTTGGGGGAAAAGGAGTAATTCCTATATGTGTAGCTCTTGCAACAATTGGTTATGGAAATACAGATTTATTCGACGAGTCATCCTCAAACTAAATCCGATCTTCAAAAGAGAATGAAATCGTGTTAAATCATAACCACAAGACCAAGTTAAACTATCCAAGCGAACATATATAACTCGTACGCATATCCATAGACCATGGCCAATTTCCAACGCCAAAACATCCAACACATCGTTCATGAATTTTACACCACACACAGAATGACAAACCGCAAGACATTCACTTAACAAAGCGACAAGACCAAATCCGTCGAGGAAGCAATAACTCGAACCTGGCTCCCAGCAGGGGGCACACCGTCCTTCCATGAAATCAACGGCTCAGATGGGGTGAGATCAACAGGATATCCAACAAACGGATCCCCATAGACATCGGAGAGATCGTACCACACCCTCTCCTCGTTCCGGCCGCCCTCCTGGGAAAACGAAAGGTTGTACGCAAAGACCATCTGCGGAGAACTGTTATACAGCCCGTTGCGATCGGTGCTGATCTTGATCGCGATACCACCGGTATCTGGATTCTTGCGGAAAAGCTCGCTGTAATCGTCGTTTGGGAGGAGAGTGCGCACGGGCTGAACGGTTGATGCAACGGACCAGAGGTAGACAGGGAAATCGCAGTTGTTTTGCACAATGGCGTGGCCTAATCTTGGGCGCGTGGATGGTGGGGTGCTAGTGGGGACCATTGGACCGATACTTGATGGGGTTGGGAAGGCGCCGTAGGGGATGTTATTCCTTGGGTCTAGGTGGGCGAGGTGGCTGTCGTGGACTGTGGGTTGAGAGAGGGCGAGAGTGCTAAGGGAAAGCAAGGGGACGATAGTTGAGAGATGCATGGTGGGTAGTTGACTGTGGTACTTTGAGAACAGTTGTGTTTTCATGTATGTCTTTGCTTGTTCTTGGAGAATGGGATCGAGACAGCTTTATATAGACTTCTTCGTTCCTCCGTGGCGTGTGTCATTCCGCCTGTTGCTGCGTTGCGATGAGTGTCTGGATTCCCTAGAACGAAGTCCTCACGGCAAGTTACATTTAGCCAGTTGCTATGATTCCGACCTCAAGGAGAATTGCACGCCAAGCGATGCCGTACTAGGTACGAGTGGTGTACAATGAAGGGATACCGAGCGCACTGCAATGTAGCAGCCAAATCGGATCTATTCATGTAACAGAAGCAAGTGGAGAATGCTACCATTTCCCTAATCAGCTCCCGTGTCTACTTAAAATTATAGGATATTCGTATCACGGATTGATCGCCCGGATTGTCAAGCTGCCGTAGCGAGGAATGTATGGACCTTTAATCTCATGTAGGTCTGCGATAGGACAGGGAGTGCTGACCCGTCGGATATTTTTGCTCGCATCGGATTGAAGAATGTTGCTGGCCCGCATCTGCCACTGGGGTGAAATTGCATACTCCATACAGATCTGCCAAGTATATGAGTGTTGGGCCCATTTAATGGGATAGATTGTCTCTCAGTACTCTTTTTAGTCTGTTACCCAACGCAGTGCATCTGGAATAAACTAGCTGGTATGAAAATTGGAAGACAGATATGTGTACTGTAGACTACATCAAACATTAATCAAACGTTGGAAGCACCGTGGGCGGGGCAACTGCGACTGTTTTAAACATTCATCTCATCTGGGCGAGGAATGTGGACTTCTGACAGGGCTATACACGGAGAATTCTTTGGGGTTGAGACTATGGAATGCGATGTGAGATTGATTTAGATCTAAGGATTGATATTATCCTCAATGAACAGGGACATGGATTGCAGGGCTGACAGGCATTATTTCATGGTAGTATGCACATAATTCCTCCAGAACGTACTACCGGCACCGCACAGAAGGGATATAGGGTAGTTTGTGTGGGACGATAGAAGGACAGTTGCTCGATCATGGCCTAGAAAGGCATGCCTAGCTCATGATCCGTTAATATTGTGAGACAGCCCCAAAGATTGCGGCACATGAAAAGTTTGATTAACGTACTACGTGACACCCATAGTGTGATTCAGACTGGTCAGGGAAGATCGTTGAAGCGTTTCAGTATCCAGACTAAGTAGTAGTGTTACAGATTGAAATGCCGGCGATCTTATTCTGGATGGATTCTGTCATTCCGTTTCGACGGTTGGATAAACGCGGATGTTGTCCCCTCTAAGTTACCTCAATAACACGCACGAGCAACTGGCTTTATGGATATGAATACCATATACACGTAGGTAAGATAGCAAGCGTGTGTAATATACAGACAGAAAGGATAATGATATATGTAAGCAAACTATCATGTACACCATATGAAAATCATTAAAGACAGAATGTGCAAGAAAGACCAGGACCTAATCAAGAATGGGGTGGCACTCCACTGACAAGATTCGTGGCTCCAGTCTTATGGACTTCAAGCTTTGGCAGTTGGAAGCCCATCGAGCTGTAGGCCGAGTAGTCCCACGCAGCCGCCTGAACAGACAAGACCATGGCACTGTCTGCCGCGTACCACCATGGCGCCATGTTGATCAAAAATCTATAAAGGAATGACTATAATGAGTATACTCCGACGGCTGGCTATCCAATAAAAGCATGACGGCAGAACTAAGAAGACGTGATTGAGGACCTGGACATGGCAGAACATATGTTTGATTAAAAGGATAAGCCTTGAGCAAAAGCTCGGCCCGAAGATCGTTGCCATCAAAACAGTGGGACCAGTGGGATGCGATGAAGATATTGCCCATCCAGGTTGACCTTTATCTTCCGACCTGCCATGGGTCTATTGACAAGTGGCCTTGGCCATCATTTGCTCTACTTATCAATCTCACTGACGAAGTGCGGTTATGCGGCCGAATCATGGTGTGAGGCATCATCCAGTTACTTGGATCCAGCAGAGAACTGACATGAATTGGCAGAACAGGATTGGCAATAATATCACTGATGAAACATGGATGAAGACCCAACCACATCGTGGAAAGCGTCGGAGTGGAACGATCAACGCGACGATAATTTACGGCTTCCGTGCTCCCCAGACTCGCATCGTCGCCGCTCTCATATTTCCAAGGTCAGGATAAGGCGCGTGTTTACGTTAGTCTGAGGCCAACCTTTCTTCCGGGCATTCCCCTAACATCGTGAGGCAGTACGGAGTACGGAGTATTCGCCTAAACATTGACACAATGGCAGCAGCCTCACAGCTTTCGATAGTCAAATATTTTGAGATCCATATTGTATCGGCAACATCCCGGTGCATATTGGCTCGGCCGTGAGCGCTGGGTTTGACACGATGAGGGGGAAAAGTTGGGGCTAAGCTCCACATGCCTTGTCAATCATGGGGGTATCCTGGTCTCGAAAACGACTCATGAAACAGCTCCAATCAGACTATCAATTCATATTGAGGTCTTTAGGCTGGCAGCTTTATGCAAGGCCCACTGTCTCACACCAAAAGGAGGGGTCATATCTGACAGTTGACCACAGACCAGGCTCCTGACTGGGAGTCACCCCAGTGATCCCTTGAAGCTTTGCCTCACTGCACGCGCGGCGTCCCCTCTTCTGATCCATGGGCGGAGTATGAAGTATGGGCCCAGGGAAAGGCAATGAAATGACTGGGAGGGAGTATTCTATACTCCGTAAGTCTCTGGGATTTGCTATTCAGATTTAATATCGCAGGTTCGAAGTGCCCAAAGAATCGTTCCGACTCGTAGCCAATTGGCTATTGCCTGCCTCGATATCAGTTGATTCTAGCCAGTGGCAAACACTCATATTACGTGAACAGGGAGGGGTGCATACTAGGTCATCATATGGAAGGCCTCTCTACTTGTAACATCATGTCCCTTCTACCATGTCGCATTTTCGGTTTCAGAAGTGTGAATCCGAGAGCTTTCTTTTCTGTCGGCACAAAACGCCATTTCTGCGATCAAACCCTGTTCCTTGAAATCTACCTAACTATCCCCTGGGCTGCCATCCTATCTTCTCTAGGAAACACTACCGACAGAGGCCGCAGATTAGCCTTTGATCGAGCAGTCACCCTGGTCGGAGAGACCCATATCGGCTATTTTGCATTCGCACTTAATACAAAAGTCATCAATAGCCTATGGACAGCCAATACAGCATACAGCCATTGATCCGAAAGCTGACTATCAGACTATCAGGGAGTGTCCTCTTGCTCGCGCTCTTTCAATGGGACTTGGCTTCCGCCGACCACACCGAATCTCGAAAACGACAATCGACTCCAACGCCGTATCGATCTTTGCTTTCGAGGTTCTCCTTGCTTACCTCGTCACCTTATAGCTCGGGCGCTGGAGAGGTGCAAACATCGCCTCGCTCTGTCATTGTTACCATCCACATAGCTCTACAAGTCCGCAGTCCTGCCACGCTGGAATAAGTTGCACAGGGACAGTCACCGCGGGATCGGTTATTGGGACAGCGAGAATTTTAATCCCCTTCCCTTCGGCCGAGATGTTACCAAGAGGAACCTAGGACCAACCCAGTCCCTGCCTCCAAACATCATTTGCAGGGGAAGTGACAATAGTATATGGCGCAATGACTAGTCGGACTGCACTAGTCAGTGGCGGAATTCGTTGCAATTCTAGCTCCTACGTTCCGCGCTTTTGGTGGCCGAAGTCTGTACTGCCAAGGAAGTGCTGCAAAGGCCCGCTAACCCCTGACATAGGTCCGTGGCAGCGGGGAGAGACCGTGGGTGCTGTGCTATAGGGGTTTGATGATCTCATGGCTGTGATTGAAGAAGAGGCCCGTGTGAATGGAATCTTCATCCCTTGCAGCTCTTCCCGGAAATCGATATCGGCTCTTCATTGCCGTTACCATCTAAGTGCGTGGCTCACGAGCAACACATCACCGGCATACTATTGGAGCAGGCAGCGCTGCGGGACTAGTGGCAGGATCTTTCGCTGAGGTAGAGGTTTTGGTGTTTCTATATTTGAGTTGTTCATGCGAGACCGTATTCATCACCGGGCTTTTCTCATGGCGGACGCCTTTTCCCTGCTTCATGCTGATCATCGCCGTCGTCCTCCACGCTCCCAACCAGGATGAAGAGGACTTTGTCTGTACCGGAGTTGGCTTGCACCGATTATATTATCATAATAGATACAAAGGCTTTTGGCTACAGAGTTTCCCTGGATGTTTTACCATGGTTACGCGGGGAGGATCTTCTCACGGCGCACGCATGAACATGATCTTTCAGTTGGCGCGGCTTCGTGGTGACTATGCAATTTCACAATTTCTCGACTTGCTAAATGTACGGCCCCCAATATCACATGGCACATCTTTGTGAAGTCTGTTATATTCCATACGATCATCGTGTACGTGTAGATGCGGTTGAAAGAAGGATGTCGGGCTCACGCGGTGGGCGATCTCATATGACTCTTGGACCCCAGGCACTCCCTGAACTAAGATGCGGGATGTATTTGGTAAGAAACAAAGGGACATACAAGAAGACAAAGGGGATCAAAGGAAAACAAAGCCTGGAGTACAACGTGATTCGTATTTGAGGCGCAACAATGAACGTGTTATGTATTCAGGGGATGACTGCATTCTATTGTTGGTTTAGCTGATATCTCAAGACTCAAGATGGGCGGATCCCATTTCACTCCTCTGTACTCCCTACTCCCTACACCATCACCGGACATCCAACGAGTGTCGGCCTGGGGTCCTTTTACAGTTTGACGGCGTGGGGGAAATGAAACAACCCGTCTATTGTGTGGCTCTTCGACCAAAGAGCACGGACGAAACGCTCTGATCCTTGCATGGCCAAGTGTCGCCTTATTGTGTGGAGATTTAGGAGACGGAGAAATAGCGGACTTGCAAGATCCTGGAGGATCAAAGCGCATTGTAGGACTTTTTTATGTCGTCGAATTCCAGGTCATTCTGTGTTCCTTTCTGTCTGGCATCTGGGGCTTATGGTATGGATAATGACAGCCGTACCTCTTCTCTCGTTTCTATTTTTTTCGCCTCGAAAATCAACCTCGAGTGGCCAGGCTGGCCAAAGCCAGACTCCATCACGAACAAACCCACAGCAGCTCCCTAAGTGGCCGATTAGTTCGAAAGGCGCCACCTCCGGCTTTCCGCACAGACGCCCCGACTCGTGGGGATTTACCCCCTCCAAGGCTGAAATCCCACAACTATATTACCATGTGGTCTAAATGCCGTGACTGAAATGAACGCACTCAATTCAGAAGGTGATATGGTCATCAATGCGGAGTTGGGGCTCGTTGCGTTCATGGCTTTCCTGTCAAGTGTCCCCTATTCCGCCACCAGACCCCTGTAGAGCGAACGGCCTTAGTCCATCCTTTAGTGGCGGCATACCAAATTGCTTTTGCTAGGCTGGGTTTTCTTAACGGGCCGAGTACCAGCTTACGATCAACGGTCACTTGGCTACTGAAGACTAATATAAAATATAAATTTCCTGGGGAAGCCCTGTTGTTCCCACTTGATGCCAAACCCTAATGATGTCGCGTACGTGCGACGACATTGAACCCACGGCTCTTTTTCTGGCTTTCAGGCCTTCATGACTCCGGATTGTCTTTAATCATTTCTTTTGCACCTTTCGATCGCAGACTCCTCGTCTACCATTTCGACTGCTCGACACTCATTCACAACCTACGACCCCAGTAACCGCCCACGATTGACATGAACCTAGCCCACGATGGCTACCGACCACATTTCAAAGCCTAGCGATCCTGATGCGATCATTCTTGAAGCTTGGGGCCAGGGCCTGATGGTGGGGAGCCTGCTCATCATGGCCGCTATCACCTTGGCCAACATGAAGTCGCATATCCTCCTCCATAAGCTGATTTTCGCCGAGGTAAGTGCGAGGCCATCTCCGTCATGTCTGCAGAGTGCCCAAGCTCAACAGGGCTTTTACTAATCTTTCATTGGCTACAGCTTATCCTCGGAATGGCCCATGGTACTTTTATTTTCCCGCATGAGCCTGTCTATGGCTGGTATCTTTCCGCAACCGCGATCGGTCTCAACATATCCTGGGCCCTACACAATGTCATCGCATGGATGAAGAACCGCCCCTTCCTCTCGCGGAGAGTTTCCATTATCTACATTACCACCGTTATCCTGTGCTGGCCCTATTGGGGACTAGAGATCTATGCGAATTTCACATACTTCAACAATATCAACAAGATTTTCTTGACCACCAGACCAATGGAGCCTTTGTTCCGGTTAGTTCTTTCCTTCCCGTCAGAAAGATTGAATACTCTTCGATCCCAATTTGTTCCCATATCCTAACATCGACGGTTAGGGACCCGTGGTGGATCTTCACAACCGCCAGTCTGTTCTGGACGATCAAGCGCGAATACAATTTCGGACTCTGGGAGTTAGTGATCGTCAGCCCACGATTCGGAATCATGCTCGCATCCATGTGTCTGTCAATCATCTTTATGGTCGTCGATACTTGCAGCGTCTTGAATGCCTTTCCTAGCATGCTTCCAACCGGCGTCGAGCCGTTTTGGAAAGTAGGTAACATTCCAACCGTTATGCATAGTGTAAGATACTGACCGTGCTAGCTATCCTTCATCTTCAAATGCCTCTGCGACACAGTCATTCTCGATGACTTCAAGACTGCGCTTGATAATTTACGCATGCACTGGATGCGCAAGAAGAACGGCGAGTTGTTCGTCACTCCAGTCTCCAGCCCACACGCCTACCGAGTGCGCGGGGATGTCGAGGATCCTCACTCCCTCGTCAGTCCAACTAAAGGTTCCTACACCCAGGCGGTGCATATGGACAGAGTTGCAACTGCGGACAATATCTCCGAAACCTCACTGCGGCGGACATGACCAGCCAGGTATCCTATTTCTTTGTGTCAATCCTTTAGCGTTGTAAACTAAGGACAAAGATTTCGGCTTTGCCTCTCACTTTGATTTCTGAATATTTCGGCGTATCCTAACAATGGTGTCGGGTGGACTGGAGTTTCCTAACATTCTAACGATTGTGTATAGCGGGTTGCTCGATTGGCGAGTTGAGGCGCGTATAATGAGAGCCAGATCACGTAAACGATTTTCGGACAGATAGTCAATGAAACCTAGGAATAGTCATTTATTCCATTTTCGGTCCATTAAAGGAATCCTTGTCCAAATGCACCCCCACGCGCGGGGAAGAGACTCGCCGTGTCTGTTCATGCATGACAGCCACGCAGTGTCTCTCCACTGCCGATGCTGAACAGCCCTTCAGGTGGACTTATATGTTTCTCCAGCGTTACGTTCCATTTGATTGGTATCCAGATCGTTGGTACTCTGTTTACAGCCAATGTGGGCTATCTGGTTACCCACCACATGATCAGGTCGACTTACATCCTCGCCCAGTTGGATCTAATATCCGGCCTAGATTCAGCAACAGACCGACGATGCAGGATACATGTACATCTGCTCTCCTCCTCTTCCCCGCTCGAGCAGTGCACCCCACGCACAACTAGGCGTGTTCTCGTGGGCGGGATTCATTCAGAACGCGACGTCTCACAATCCATTCTGAGGATCAGATGGTTGACTGAGGGAATCGAAATATAAATATGGCCATATTTCCGGCCATTCGAACTCCAGAATTCATTCAATAATACCATCTCATCCATAAAACTCACAATGGGCTCCCTCGATATCCCACAGACACAAACAGTCGCACTTGTCCGCAACCTAGGCGGCCAAGTCGAGTTCAAAACAGACTACCCCGTTCCAACCCCAGGACGCAACGAAGTCCTTGCTAAAGTGCTATACACCGGTGTGTGCCAGAGCGGTATGTACCCCGTACAACATCCCACTTTGAACATCATATATCAAACCGAGTCTAACGCATCACAAGACCTACACACCAAAGCCGGCACCGCTGCCGGACCCGACGGCAACCCAATAACAAAGATCAAGCTGCCCCACGTTGGGGGCCACGAAGGCATCGGGCAGGTGATTGCTCTCGGTCCTGAGATCACGCACGACACGGGTCTCAAGGTGGGCGGACTGGTTGGAATCCGGTTTGCGAGTCGAATCTGTCGACGGTGCGAGTTCTGCCTCGCCGGTACGGAGCAGTACTGTGTGGCTAGTACGAACCATCTCCACCACGAGGATGGAAGCTTTCAGCAGTATATCGCCCTCGATGCGGATTACTTGACGCTTCTACCGGATGATGTTGATCCGAAGGTTATGGGACCGGTGCTTTGTGCGGGGTTGACGGCTTATAAGGTAGGGTTGGATCTGGGATTTCATATGCTTGGTTATTCTAGCTAATGTTTGACCAGGCGGTTCTGAATACGGATGTTCGGCCTGGGAATTGGTTGGTTGTTGTTGGGGCGGGAGGTGGACTTGGACATTTTGCTGGTATGTTAATCTTATGCTAGATATGAGAGGTTGGTCAGGTATCCTAAACATGGACTTTCTTTAGTGCAATATGCAAGAGCACAAGGTGCTTTGGTCATTGGTGTTGACACTGGTGCTGGTAAGGGCGAGTTTGTCAGAAGTCTCGGTGCGCAGGAATTCATCGACTTTGCCACTGAGGATCCCGTCCGGAGGGTTCAGGAGATTACGGGTTTGGGAGCCCATGCCGCGGTAGTGACGGCAGGCAATGCGAAGGCGTTCGCGCATGCTTGTGACATGCTTCGTGTGGGTGGTACTTTGAGTTGTGTGGGTATTCCCCCTGGGAAGCCATGCCTGGAGACTCCGATTTGCGCGATTGTGATCAAGGGTCTGAAGATCACGGGCAACCTGGTTGGGTCGCTGAAGGAATGCATGGAAGCTGTTGAATTGGTTCGACGGGGTGTTGTCAAGCCTGTGGTCAAGGTTCGGCCGTTTAGAGACTTGCCGCAGATCTATGAGGAGATGGAGAAGGGTGATATTGCGGGACGGATTGTGCTTCAGATTACGGAGTGATGTTGCATGGGTGTCATTGAGTCGACGAGTGCGTTATCCAATCACAGTAGTAAAAGCAAGTTGAAAGACCCTTCCTTCGTCAACAGGATATATTGTAGATCATTTATGTAACACCGGGGCGTCTGCTTTACTACTTGCGGCCAGGTTTGCCGCGCGAAGCCCTTAGATCGCTCGGAGGCTCTGGGCACATCAGTAGCCTAAGCCATTTGCGTTGTCTTATACATCTAGCTAGTCATCTATCTTCCTAGGTCAACCGGGAGATAGAGATTTTATGCATCATCTGTCAAAAGGTTCCGGAGACTTGTACTCCGTAGTACCTATCATTATTTGAACGCTGCGGCTCCGACACTCGCGGAGATATCTGATATAAGCCCGAATACGAGACGCGGCACCAGTGATTCCAAAAATGGCTCGCAGGCTTTGAATGGCCGAGCTAACCTCTTGGCGAGATCCGAGAGTTTGCCAAGTTACTAGGGAAGACCCTTCGTTGAATGGGCTGACGATTGCCATCTGTGGGTTTGACTACAGCAACGATATTCATAGGTGGAATAGGAGTGGATTCGAGGGAGCAACTGATTCAAGGCATGAGGGAGGAGGGGAGGTGTGTTTGGATACATAGGGGCTCCGCTTTCAGCGTCAATTCCACTGGTCTCTATATTCTACATGTCAAATATAGCCAAGTTTGGTAGGTCATATAGAAATAGTATCTGTAGGAAAGGAATAAATGACCTAGACATGGAACCTGGCTAACAGGAATACCCCAGAGTATGACTGAATGACTACCTAAGCCTCTGAGACCTGCGTATAACCTAGCAACATATTTATTTGAAACAGAATCATACTTACATGAAGGCAAAATATATATCACACGGTGGGAGAAGTGGGATTTTTACAACCGCGAAAATGTGTACACTGTTCGTGATCATGGCCAGAAGCCGTTCATGGAGACCACTCCAATCTCCGAGACGCACACTCTCAATGCCCACTCAGATGCGGTGAGCAAGATGCACATCAATACCAGTCTGGCGCACAAAAAGACTATTGTGTGTCTTCCACTCTTTCTCCGGATGAGCCAGCTTGATATCGTAGCGTGAGACAAGAGTCGCAATCACCTTGTATATCTGCAGAGTGGCAAAATGCTTGCCAGTACACATTCGACTTCCAGCGCCGAAGGTGAAGTCAGCACTGTTCATTGCTTGCAGACGTTCTTGGAATTCCTGCTCGGTCTCATGGGCCTCATCACGGAGCCATCTCTCTGGACGGAACTCTTCGGCATCCTCGCCCCAAGTAGGCTTGTTGCGCGATACGACATAAGGGTTCAAACCGACGATTGAGCCTGCGGGAACGAAATCTCCATTCGGGAGGGTGAGACCGCCCTCTGGGACGTAGCGCTCGAGGGGCATGGCCACACCGGGATTGTATCGCATTGCCTCACGCACCACGGCTTCGAGGTATGGGAACTCTCTGGCGGATTTGTAGGATACCACCTTGGTTTCGTCGGTTTGGCTCTTGGAAATCTCGGTTCTGAGACGTTCCCAGACGCGAGGATGCTTCAAGCAGAAGTAGATGATCGCATTTATAGTGATGGCTGTTGTGTCGGCTCCTGCAATCATGTTGATCATGAGATACGAGATGATTTGCATGTCATCCACGACGTCCGGGAAATTCTCCTTGGCCTCGATGAATTTATCCAAGAAGTCGGGCTTGGCAGCGTCATGGTAGTGGGTGTCTTTACCCTGAACTCTGTCCATCAGGTGCTGAATAGAAATATTGGTGATACCTCCAAAGGCTGGGGGTCCAATTCGGTAAATGGGGTTCTTGTCCAGCCAGTGGTCTAGAATTGGCATTTGTCCCACAATCGAAAAGTAGTCCATAGCTGTTTCTGCCGTGCTCAGGGTGCCGTCAAAGTCATAGCCTTTCTCGAGGTATCCAATGGCCTGGCTGAAAGTAGCCTTGCCAACCACGTCCCAGGTATCTACATGTAACCAATTAGTCTAAGTCCTGAATGTTCAGGCGATATACCCACAAAGGGCAGAGCTTACAGAAATTGACCCATTTACCCAAGTCGCATACTTTTGTCGGGTTGGATCCGTCGATGAATTGCTCCTCTAGACGTTGGCAGAAATACTCAATCATATCAGTGATATGGCCCTCCAATGGAAGTACTCCATTCATGGAGTAGTATTTCGAGATAGGGCGCTTTTGCTGTGCATGGATTGCGGGGTTGCACTCGCTGAAGAGATTATAGATGATTTTGCCGTCGGGGCCTTTAGCGCTGCTGCCATGATAAAACTCAGTCTATTACCGGTCAGTCTGGTGATTACTTACGACTGTTGGTTGGGATGAGAGAAGGCACTCACCTTCAAATAGTTTCCCTTGGTGTTGTAGATCGTTTTGATCAACTCGGGAAAGTCCAAGTCGATCAAGTTAGGGCCAAGGCGCACCACCGGCCCGTACTTTTGATGCAATTTCTCAATGACCACGTGGTAATTGCCCTGTCGAACGTGAAACATCCGCCATAGACATGTCCAACCTGTCAAAAATGAGAGATCAACAAGGGGTTGGCCTGTGGAGGAAGATTCCCTTACCTGCAAGAAACGGGCCGGGAAAATGGCGCAGAGGAGAAGACAGATAGGTAGTCAAATACCAGATCGGTAGAGCTAGGAGAAGAGCATAGCCAAGCGCTGTGGCAGCATCTTGATGCTCGTAACCTAACATTGCTGCAGACAAGGGCTCATATGTATGGAAGTTGAAGAGCCGACTCTGGGAATTACATATTCCACAAGGGATAGCTAGTTATCAACAGGGGAATGCTTTATGTTGAGCGAGGTTGGGCGTTCAAAAGTACATTGTAGGGTGCTGATCCCTTCGCTTGTGTCTTGGCAGACTCAAATATAGCTCTACTGTGCCAATGGGATGCTTTCAATTGAGGATGATAGATATAGCCACCCCGCAAGAAGCGCGGGAATTCATTTCGCTTCAGAGATGGGACTTTCAGCTGACAGTCGCCGTATCAGATAGACGGATTAAGATCCTTGCACAAGGCTGGCCTATCAAAACAGCCGGAGCGCAAAACCCGCGCATTTTAGTCCAGTCCATCGCCCGGCCGAGAGCGCCAACACGGGCCGTTTTTAAGTCCATTTGGCTAAGCTCCCCCCACTGACTCCGCAACTACTCCATACGGGCCTCCTTGAATAGACAATTGCATAACTAGGGCATAACTAATCCCAACCGAGCGATGCAGATCTACTCACATAGGCATAGCTGCTCTCGCTTCACTGTCGCCCGTTGCAAGATGTGATCCATCTCAGTCAGGTTTGGACCTTTGTCACCTAGCTCATTTACAAGGGTTATGTCTGTTCTTTTGAAATTTTTTCTTCAGGGGGTATTAATTCGACTGAGAGGAAACAACATGATTGTGATTCGGAGATGCCATTCACTCCTGGTTTGGATCCTTGTTGTGAACCGGTGCAGCGTTGACGATGATGAATGATAATGGTATCAAGGCCACTTCGGTGATGTGGGCTATGACTTTGGTCTCTTTCGTTTTTGTTCCCCTCAGGCTCTACACTCGAATCTACATTGTGAAAGCCATCGGGATAGACGACCATGTCTTCAATCTGGCCTGGGTGAGCATTCAATTCTCTCGCGTAAAATACACCGGCATATAGCCATATCTACATCAGAATGCTGACCGAATTATAGGTATTCCTACTTCTATACACCGTCTTCATCAACATAGCAGCGGTACATGGATTCGGACAACGGATGGATACCTTAGAAACAGACTCTGCTGTGAAGGCTGTATATAACGAATTGATTGGACAAACATTTGCTGTGTTGGGAATGGCAATTGCCAAAATCTCGCTGGGCAGCTTTTTACTCCGCATTGTTATCAAACAATGGCATCGGATTTCAATCTGGTTCTCGATGGTCAGTCTGGCAACTATCTCGCTCATGACTGCCATCATTCTCTGGACCCAGCGCCTACCGTCTGAGTCGATTTATGACCCGCGCGTCCCTGGGCGCACCGTGGTCAGTGTTACCCCGTTCTCCGTGATGCTTGGAGGTATGTTGGTTATCTGCTTTGACTGTTTGTATGAGTGGGATGCTAAAAAGTCTCTATTCAATTCAGTCTGGTGTGCTGTCGTGGACTTCTACTTTGCCCTTCTTCCGTGGATCTTCATTTGGAATCTGAACATGAATTTCAAGGAAAAGATGTCTATCGCAATCAGCTTAAGTCTGGGCTTTATGTGCGTCATTCAAACTCCCCATTCTGGGTAATCGGAAACTAACTCTCGCCCAAAGAGCCTGCATTTTTGGCATTATCAGGACCATAGATGTGCAGGGACTGTCCAGCGTTGATAACTACACTGGTAAGGCATCTCCCCCCCAAAACCATCACATACGGTGAACTAATTGCTAGTGTGTCCTAATTTTAGAGGATACTGTCGATCTCATTATCTGGTCCGGCGTTGAGCTAGGCGTCACCCTAATCTGCAATGGAATCCCTACGATCCGCCCTCTATATCGTGTCATTGTCCACGGATCACGTCCTGACATTTCAGAGGGCAGATATGCCAAAAACGAGGACACCAACGACACAGGGCGCTTTCGTATGCAGAACATAGCTAAGGGCGTCACGGCCTTCAATGTTGTAAATGAGGGACATACCGAGTCGTATAGCCGATTTAGCCAGAGTGACGAAGAGGGCCTCGTGGGTCAAGATGCAAGAACTAACGCTGTCATCCGTATCCGGGAAGAGGTACGAATTGAGTCTGAAGCAGCGCCACCTATACGTACTTTTAAATGAGATTTCTTCTGTTATGATATTCTAGATTTCCTAACCACTGATTTGCCGGCACTTTGGGCCCTCGCCCGCGCAGAAGCCTCCGGAGTGTTATCTTGTGTGTCGATGTACACCAAATTTCTTCGATGGCATTTACAACATGCCGCGCGAAAGAAGCTTGAACAGAATAACTTGTTATCCGCCAATGCAAAACTCACCTGTTCTCACCGTCGCGAGTGTATGTTGTAGGTCCTATCCTCGATCCCGGCCCTTTAACGACGTCACCGATGTGCCGAGAGGAAGGTCCACCCCTACCCTCACCCCCACTGCATAGTACAAATAGCAGTTGACTCCCAAGCCACCGCAATTGCCTCAATTCCACCCTCCAGACCATCCAACAGCCCAAGCAAAGCTCTACTCACATCAATCATGGCTCTTTCCGCACCCAGCACAGACGTAAGTCCTGTCCATCAAACAGCAGTAAAGCCACTAATCGCAACACAGCCCCAAGTCCTTATCGCACAAGAAACAAGCAATGAGCAAATCTTCCCAGCATTCACAGCCGATACCGCTTGGCAATTAGGAACCGCCCTCAGAGACCGAATCCTCGCGCTGCCCGCTGGACAGCGCAAACCAGCCCTGGTCTCCATCGCGCTCACCGGGGTCCCACTGCACGTGGTGTTCCAGTCTGCGACGGAAAGCGGCACCATCCCGGATAACGAGAACTGGGTGCGACGGAAGCGCAACACGGTGCTCCGTTTTGGTGTTTCGAGCTGGGCGATGCGACAGAAGACTGTTGGTGGGCTGGAGGCTGGTGCTTCGGCGGACCAGATCGAGGCGGCTTTTGTGAAGAAGTATGCTGTGCCCAGTGCCACTGGTGGTGCTGTTGCGGATGAGTATGCTATTCACGGTGGTGCTTATCCGATTCGTGTGCGTGGCGTGGATGGGGTTATTGGTGTTGTGGTTGTTAGTGGGTTGAAGCAGGAGGATGATCATCAGGTTGTTGCGGAGACTATCAAGGAGTTTATTGCGCAGCAGAAGCAATAGATGTATTTATTGTGTTTATTTTGGTGCTTGGGGGACGCCAAATTAGCATTCAATCAACAAAAAACATTCCCAATTCTAGGAATCCAAGATTTGGCTGCGGGCAAGATTGAAGGGTACGTGGAATAATGTATCTTTAGGGTGGAACTGCCATACAATGGGTACATCAGTACTCCGTACATCTCCGACGTTCATTGCTGACGTTTGGAAAATTTACCCTGCCACTCTTACTATACTTTGGCTGGACATTACAAAAGAATCCATATTGAAGGAATGCAAGGTATCATATTGTATTCTTAGCCGGCTTTCAATATCCAGGCTTGCAAGTTGTATCGGACACGAATTGTGACCCGTGTAAATTCGAACACAAAAGGGGGACTCAAGCAAGAGAAAAAAAGTGAACTCCATGGGTAATGCCTCAAAAGATAATTTTACAGTTCGTCGTGGTCAAGGGGCTCGTCATCATCCTCGGGGGGAGAGGCAGAGCCATAAAGCTTGCTGGTGATGGGGTAAGCAACACCAGAGAGCTGCTCCTTCTGCTCCTCGAAGTCCTCGGTGGTAGCAGTGGCAGCGTTGTCCTCGAGCCAGTCGTTGACCTCCTTGACGGCATCGAGGATGGACTGCTTGTCATCCTCGTCGATCTGGCCACCCAGACCGTTCTCGTCGTTCACCTGGTTCTTCAGGCTGAAGGCATAGTTCTCAAGGCTGTTACGAGCCTCGATCTTTCCCTTGATGGCCTTGTCCTCCTCAGCGTACTGCTCGGCCTCCTGGACCATGCGGTCAATCTCCTCTTGGGAGAGGCGACCCTTGTCGTTGGTGATGGTGATGGACTCGGCCTTGCCAGTGCCCTTATCGGAGGCGCTGACCTTGAGAATTCCATTGGCATCGAGGTCGAAGGCAACCTCGATTTGGGGAACACCACGGGGGGCGGGAGGGATGTTGGTAAGCTCGAACTTGCCGAGCATGTTGTTATCCTTGGTCATAGAGCGCTCACCCTCGAAGACCTGGATGAGGACGGTGGGCTGGTTGTCGGCGGCAGTCGAGAAGATCTGCGACTTGCGGGTGGGGATAACAGTGTTGCGGGGAATGAGCTTGGTCATAACACCGCCAGTGGTCTCGATACCGAGAGTAAGAGGGTTAACATCCATGAGAACCATGTCGACCATGGAGTCATCACCGGAGAGAATACCACCCTGAACGGCGGCACCGAAAGCGACAGCCTCATCGGGGTTAATGCCCTTGCTGGCCTTCTTGCCAGCGAAGAACTCCTCGAGAAGAGCCTGGACCTTAGGAATACGGGTGGATCCACCGACAAGAACGATGTCATCAACCTCGGACTTCTTGACCTTAGCGTCCTTCAGGACCTGTTCGACAGGCTTGAGGGTCTTCTTGAACAGATCAACGTTCAGCTCCTCGAACTTAGCGCGGGTGAGAGTCTCAGAGAAATCCTCGCCGTTGTGGAAGGCCTCAATTTCAATGCGAGTGGACATCTGGGAAGACAGAGTACGCTTGGCCTTCTCGACCTCACGCTTGAGCTTACCCATAGCCTTGAGATCCTTCTTGACATCGGCGTTGTTCTTCTTGTTGTATTGCTTAACGAAGTAATCCATGACACGGTGGTCGAAATCCTCACCACCAAGGTGGGTATCACCAGCGGTAGCCAGAACCTCGAAAACACCGTTGTCGATAGACAGGAGAGAAACATCGAAGGTACCACCACCAAGATCGTAGACAATAACCTGGCGCTCGTCACCAGTCTTATCAAGGCCGTAGGCGATAGCGGCGGCGGTGGGCTCGTTGACAACACGGAGGACGTTGAGACCGGCAATGGTACCGGCGTCCTTGGTAGCCTGACGCTGGGCGTCGTTGAAGTAAGCGGGGACGGTAACAACGGCGTGGGTGACAGTCTTGCCCAAGAAGCTCTCGGCGATATCCTTCATCTTTCCGAGGATCATGGCGGAGATCTCCTCAGGGGTGAAGGTCTTGGCGGCCTGGTTGACGTCGACCTTGACCTGGGGCTTGCCATCCTTCTTGACAACCTTGAAGGGGTAGTTCTTGGCGTCCTTCTGGACGTCCTTGTCCTCAAACTTGCGACCGATCATACGCCTGCAACGCGTTAGTGCTGAACTGGTGTCATGATCGGTGGGTTCATCACTTACTTGATGTCGAAGACAGTGCGTTCGGGGTTAGCGGCGTATTGGTTCTTGGCGGCGTCACCAACGAGGCGCTCCTCATCGGTGAAAGCAACGTAGGACGGGGTGATACGGTTTCCTTGGTCGTTGACAAGAATCTCGACCTTTCCATTTTGCATCACACCAACACAGCTGTTTCGTAAGTTAGCCAGCTGTCCTTCGTACTCACAAGAGCTAGTGAAGTGTGACAACTTACGAGTAAGTGGTTCCCAAATCAATACCAATGACATTGCCGTAGCTTTCAGGGGAGTTATCCTCCTGGGCGTGGGCTGTGTTTCCAAAGAAGGCCAGAGGCGCAACGAGAACGAAGAGAAGGTAGAAGATGGTGGTCCAAGCGAAGGGCTTGGACGCGCCATCGCGTGCGGATAGGCGAGCCATTGTGAAGAGGTGTATGTATAGGAAGGTGGATCAAGATCCTTTCTCAACAAGAAAAAAAGGGAAGCTATCGAGGTCGAAGCTTCGCGCGTGCCGCTCTAAACAGCTGCGCAAACGAGTAAACACAAGACGTGTTTCTCTCTATGAACCCTTCTGTTAGTCGATGATAAGCGGGAGAGGGACCCGAGGCGAAGTGAGGGAATGGAAGAATGATTAGGAGAGGAATCGAAGGAGGAGGACTTCTTGTACGCGGATACGGCCCAGCGGCCATGCTGGCCTTTTCCCAGTTCAGGTCACTTCTCGTGCGCTGATTGGCTGGCAGTCGATCGGCACTGGCTGACTCAGAAATCGCCCTGCAGCCACACCGCCTTCTTCACGAAGTAATCTTCTCCCGAAGGAGTCTAGCGGCAGGGGTTCATCCACGGACTATCCAGGGCGTCCACCAATCATCAGGTGCCAAGTGATCGAACTTGCTAGAAAGAGGCAAGTGTCGGACTCCTTCAGGGAAAACGCGCGATCTCAATAAACTTTACCCGGTTGACTCAATATTGAAGACAGTCTGTCCTTCATCTTCCTACAAACCACCGTCATTCTAGTACCATCTGGCGAAATCTAGTCTTGCCACCGGCTAAATGGATTTGGTGCCATCATGACAAGTGGCCTGTATCCATCTGATCGGCAAGACATGCCGGGAAGGTATGCTGCGGGCCTGGAGTTCCTGGAGTTGGACCGGAGATCTCCCGTGGCACAGAGCACCCACCACATCCTGGGGATCATGGAGTAGTACGGAGTATGTACTCCGTACACACGTTGTATACCTACCCATAAGGCTGGTGCGCAACATAATCCAATAATTATTTCAATAATTGAATAATCGACACTAGTGTTTCCTAAATTATATCCGAGAATTCATTCTGACTCGCCACCTTGATGCGTAGAAACTCACACACGATACGAGGTATCTATATATATTGGAGGGCCTGATCACATCCGTCATTACTCAAAGTAGTCTTATGAAATGAAATTTTAAAAAGAACAGTTCAAGACTTAGCAGGATTTCGATTGGTAGACTATTCTAACAATCCAGCAGCCACTGTCGAGCCTCCCGCACGCAGAACAATCCGCGTCGGCGCTTCCAGAGGGACAGCCTGATCCATCTCAACCACAATACGCGCCACAACACCTGGACCGACAATCTTCGGGCGTTTCTTGATCGCCGCTCCTGAAGCTTTGTCCAGAGATGCAACTAGCTTGCTAATCCGACCGGGTACGTGTAGACGGCCCCGGTGCACATCCACCTGCATGGGCATCAAGTGTTCGAAAGCCAGAACCTTGGCAGTGAAGGACGTGATGGTCGGAATGGGCGAGGAAGCACGGCAGACAACGTCACCGGAACGAAGGTGGATCGGGTCAATGTTGGCAATGTTCAAAACGACGTTTTGGCCGGCGACTGCCCAGTCACTTGCTTCGTTGTCCACCTCTAAACTGCGGACTGTTGCTGTCTCGCCGCTGGGCATAGTGAGGATCTGGTCGCCCATTTGCAAGCTGCCCGCATCAATACGGCCAGAGATGGAAAGAGGGTTTTGGACACCACCCCGAAAGACATCGCCGATTGTCATACGCAAAGGCTTCTCAAGGGCATATGTGTATGGCTCCGATGTTTCCAGCTCTTCAATCAGTGTGCGTCCCGTGTACCAGGATGCGTGAGGGTCCTCAGTCCGTCGAGTAATGTTATCACCCAGCACTCCTGAGCACGGAACGAATGAAATATTGCTTTCCTGGAAGCCCGCCGTTGTCAAGAACCCAGAGATTTGCTGCTCGATTTCTTCAAATCGATCATGGTCCCATTGCACGGTGTCCATTTTGTTCACGGCCACCACAATCTTTTGAACACCCATGCTTCGCACCAGCAAAGCGTGCTCTTTAGTCTGACCCTTCAACCCCGACTCGAACTTGCCCACACTGGAATCAATAACCAGGACAGCGAAGTCTGCCTGGCTAGCACCGGCGATCATGTTTGGGACGAAATCACGATGTCCTGGTGCATCCACAATTGTGAAGGCTGTCTTGTCGGTTTCAAACTGATTGGTGGCGATATCTATTGTCACACCTCGTGCTCTCTCCTCTGACCCTTGATCCAGTACCCAAGCCAGCGCAAACGATCCTTTGCCGATCTTCTCGGCCTCTCGTCGATATCTATCTAACGTCCGTTGGTCGATGGCACCTTGATCTGCCAACAACCGTCCCATAAGAGTGCTTTTACCAGCATCAACGTGACCTGCATGGTAGATAGGAGTCAGTCACAGCCCACTCTTTATCAGTGGAAATTGACTCACCAATGACCACAAAGTTTGCCGATCGCTTGCGGGTAGATTTCTTGTACTCTGACAAAACATCAAGATTCTTGCTCTTGACTGTGACCTTTTCCTCCACCGAGAGATCTTTCATACCACCTGCAAGATCAGACTGGGCTTTCTTCCCCGACGATTTCGATGCGGCTGACTTCGGCTTTAATCCTACACATTATTAGGCATCTGCCTTTAGACCTTCCTGCGGATCGCCAAACCTTTCGCTGTGCTCTGTGCTTTGAGAACGACATCGTCGGGGCTAGGCGCTGCAAAGTCAAAAGGTTCAGCATGATCCTGTCCATAGATCCTCAACAGGTCTGAGCTGTTGGGGTGTAAACGGCTGGGCTCGGCCGTCGTCGGGCCAGTTGCTGGACCAACAATAGTGCTGGCAAATGTAGAGGGTGAGGCGCGAATGGTGGGCACTGTTTGCTCAGGCTCTGGCTGCTTTTGCGGCTCTAGCCTCATTCTTTGCATTGGTGCCGACACATCAGAAATTGATTCTTTTTTGATCTCGCGTGCGGGATGCTTAGGTGTCGAAGAGGAAGACGACGAGCTTGAGCTTGCCAAACGGCGAAGAGAGCCAGAACCCTCTGAAGATTTCGGTGCTGACCTGCCACTTGCCGCAAGTCGGTCACGAAGAGAGAGAGGTGTGTCCCGTTGAGCCAGCGAGGATGTCGTGGCTTGTTCTGATTTCGGGGTTGATGATTTGGAAGTCTCTAGCGTGGATTGTGTCTTCTCGCCCTCTTTCTTCTTCCGGGCTGCAGCTAGTGCCGCCAGTTTGGAGAGTTTTCCACCATTTTCCGGCGCACCGCCTAAGAGACCCAGCCGTGGGTGCAGTGGCTCGATCAAGATATCCGCTTTCCGATGCGAGGGAATGTTGAGCCATGGGCAGTCGCGAAAGAAATCGGCGGCCGAGAAATGCGCAGTAGAAGGAGGAGCAGGATATGCTGATACTGCAAGGCCTGTTAGAACATTGTTCAAACTTTCATGGTATTAGTCTCGAGTCTTTAGAGATCACATGGAAGGAATTTGGGCCCGATATACACACATTTCTCATTCGCAACGAACACAAGCACTCATGCTCGGGATGCGCAGAACAACCAGTGCCCTAGACACGAGCCCGACGACGGCACCTCGATATAACGATTTTCAAAACGCAGCTTACCTGGTTGTGTTTTCGGTTTCTGCAACTTCGCGGTTTCTTTCTCTCTCTTGCCTGGCAGAGATTCAATCAGCGGAGGTTCATAACAAACAAACGATAAGATACGCCGTCAAACGATACGTCGTCAAACGATACGACGTCAAACGACACAATACGGTGGAACTGCGCAAGCTCAACATACCTCGTAAATAATTGACCGACTTCTCAATATCATTGTAGTAGTGCCATAAGGCATCGTGGACTTCTTCTTTCGTCGCGGTCACCGAAGGTTGCCCCGCACCGAGCTGTTGCAAAACAAGGGCGGTACACTGTTGGAGGAGTTCCTGTTCTTCAGGGTCAGGTGTGTACTCATCATCTTCACCTTCATAGTAGTCATCGTCGTCGTATCCGACGTCTTTCACACGGTGTCGCGACATTACGGCGGGGCAATTGACGAGGGGTTCGGAGGTGACGCAGAGGGAACCGTTCGCCCAACCGTTCAAACGAAACGGAACTGGCTTAGCGCCTAATTAATGCCACCGCCTTATCGACCGCCTTCTTATTTCGCATCTACTATCTATACCGCCTCCGACGTAGTTGACTTTGGTTATCCTGTGCATCTTCCCATTATTTGAACAGAAGTATAGGTTGTTCATGGACCTTTGACTGAAACTCGGAAGATGATGCGAGAAAGCGTGATACAAAAAGACCCACTGAACCCGTTCACCTGCAATTCTATGATTCATGATCTATAATCTATCAAAAGAATACACTTCCCCCTCTCTAGCCTCTTATACTGTTACAGATTGATATTCCACTTAGCTTCGCGATTGCCAGTGCAACCAAATCACAGGCAGCACACTGATGATAACCAGGCCGGTCAGCAGCCCAGCACAGTTGGTAATACCAACGGTTTCGAACATGGTAGGGAACCAGAAAGGTCCAATGAAACACCATGTCTGCCGAATAAATCCCAAAAAGATCGAGGCACTGGCGGAGTTTTCCGAGTGAATGTTCATGATGTCTGGGATGGGTGAATTGTCAGCTTCTGAATCAGTAACCAGGACGTCTCGGGGCAAACTCACAGTTAATCAAAAAGTTGGACACTAATTGGTTTCCGAACCCAGTAACTCCAACGCCAATGATGGGGGAAACCTCGTAATGCATGGGGACCGTCTTGCCCAACATAACACAGAAGACAACCAAGCCAACGATCATACAGACAAAACCGAAATAACTGGCTAGCAGGTAATTCTTGGGGTTAACAGAGCGTCGCTGATTTTCCACAGTCCGTCTGTTCATCAGACTGAGAACCACAGCATTGAATGCTTCACCAATAATGGTACCGATGATGATACCAAGGAACTGGATGCCAGTTTCTCTCGGACCGAGTTCGAAACGAGTACTAAACAGCTGGGGGATCTCTACTGTCAGCATTGCGGCTGAGAGACAGAAGATCATGCTGTGAGAAGCCACGGGCAGCAGTACGGTCATCTTTGTGCCCATTGAGAATGGTCTGATGACTTCGGTAAGAGAGAAAGGCTTGGGGTCGATCCGCGGGAATGTGATGTAGCTCATCACCGTGGACTTCCTGATGGACTTTTCTTGTGGAAGATATCTCGTCTCGGGACTGAAGAAAAAGTATAAGACACATTGTGCCCCGGAAATGATAGCAAAGATCCAATAAATCCACTGCCATCCGAGCCGCTCTGCGACGAATCCCATGACAAACGGACCCGTCAGAGGGCCAAGCGTGACAAAAACACTATATCAATGGGAACAAAGTTGTCAGTATATTGTCCGATTTATTCCAGGTTGTTTAAGGAGTATGAGGGTTTGTGAAGACTTACGACCATGTTCCCAACGCAAGGCCACGTTCATGTTCTGCAAACAATTCCATCACAACGGGAGGTCCAAGGGCAATAGGAGCACCCAAGAAAAGAGAGCCAAGTATACGGCAAACCAGCATTGGTGCGTAACCCTGGCTCTCTGCGCACCCGATATTGCAAGCTGCAGTGAACAGCGTGGAGAACAGCCACACAGGGCGACGACCAAATCTAGTGGAAATCGGAACCAAAAAAAGGGTGTAAGACCGGTACAAAGGATCTTCGAGTTTGTCAGTCCTCCAAATTGGCATCGATCAGAGAATATCGGCGTGACTCACATGGATCGATGTCATGTAGCTGACATCTTGAATCTCGACGTCAAACTTCTCAGCGAGGGTAGCATAGACGGGAATGATACCAGCACCAATGAAATTGGTCATGAGAGCATGGAACGAGATCAGAAAAAGATTGATGTTTCTCTATAAACAGTGAATTAGTTGGGGTCTCAACGTCTCTCTGATCACAAATTTTACCTTATACAGAGGCCAGTTGACTGGATGGTCAGGATCCTCATTGAGGACAGTTGCGGCACCCGCTTCATTTGCATGTCCTAAAGAAACCGCTGCATTTTCAACATGATCGTTCATTGTAGCGAGAGCCTCCTCATTCTTCGACTCAGGATGGTCTAGGTGCGCCGGGTAAACCGTCATCTCGAGCAATAAACTGGAGAACTTCCAATATTCGGTGCAAAGAGATAGTACGCTCCCCGGATACTTAATACAGCATTCTAGTATCTACAACTATCCCCAGAAAACAGACTTTCATTTTTGCGGGGTTGGCTTCCTTGACGCAGACAGCTGTCCAGTGAGGTCGAAGTGGCCGTGGCGGGAGAACTAGATCTGCCGCCTCCCGGCCGAGATAGGGGCGCCAACGACAATCGCGGCGACTTGGACAATGAGTTTTCCCTCGCAGCCGGGATTCGCGATGGGTCCGCAGGTTTTTATTACATGGCGGCGGAACTGATGGAAAAGGTGTGATCGGCCGAGCACAGCGGCTGGTTACTTAAATCGGAACCTGACCTAGGTCTGGACTCTCTACCAGCCAGACCCGTTACTTCCTTGAAACATCTAATCTTATCCAAGATATATATCATCCAATCTGTCAACAATGTCTGTTGCTTGGGAGCGTTTGATTCGATTTGTCGCCACAGATGGCCGCACATTGCTCGGTGAGCCGGTGATGCCATCGCCAGACTTCGATTTGGGAGATACTACTGAGGAAACTCGTCTCCAAGCTAAAGTGATCACCGGCTCCGATATTTATGACACCACTGGTGAAACGAGAGTGACAGATGAGATTGTGACTGTATCCAAGCTTCTTGGGCCTTTGACCCCTCAAGATATTCCTATTCTGCGTTGCGTTGGACTGAACTACCTCACTCATAGTAAGTGCTCAACAGAACAAAGCTTGTATCATAACAATTCCAGACTGACAGCAAACCCAATAGTCCGCGAGACTGGCCGTTCTACTCCACCCACACCATCTATCTTCTTTAAGCCCAATACGACAGTCACTGATCACAACGTTAATGTGAAGATCCCTAAGATCGCCCAAGATGAGCAGGCCGATTATGAAGGAGAATTAGTAAGCTCATAATCCATGGAGTAGTCCTTCCCCAATCAACTAGCTTGTGCTAATCATCTATGAACTATAGTGTCTTGTGATTGGCAAAGATGCTAAGGACGTTAGCGAGGCCGATGCCCTGAACTATGTAGCTGCCTATACGGTCGGTAACGACGTTTCATCCCGTAAACTACAGATCGACCGTGCTATTGCCGGTCCGGTTCCTCAGTGGGGATTCTCCAAGGGATTCGATACATTCGCACCCCTGGGCCCCTGTCTGGTCCGCAGGGATCTGATCAAGGACCCCAATGAGCTGCACTTACAGACTAAGATTGACGGAGAGCTTCGCCAGGATGCTCTACTTTCGGATTTGGTGTTTGGCTGTGCCGCTCTCGTCTCTTATCTGTCCACGGGCACTACCCTGCAGAAGGGCAGTGTTATCATGACAGGTACTCCTGGAGGTATGTCTATTGTACGTCATGAAGAGAAGATCATTGTACTGACATGCTTTAGGCGTTGGAAACGGCCTTAAGCCTCCTCAATTTATCAAGCCTGGTACTCAGATGAACATCAGTGTGTCGCAGATCGGTACTTTGAAGAATGGAGTTGAATTTGTTTGAGGCAGGAGAAGGTCAAAATGTGCATTTAATTTCACTAAACTACTAGGGAACCAATTTTTCGAACCTCATGACTTTTTCATTTAGACAGTTTCCATGATTAGCCTTGTACTGTTCAAGCTAGAAAAAGCGACCTTTTGTGAAGAGTTAATGGATTTATCTTGTTTGTAGATTCCGTTTCCTAAAGCAAGTTAAACTCACCCATTCATTTAGAAAAACCCTTCTGTACCACTGCTATATCTATATAATTGACTACAGAATAGTTATTCGAAATTTGACAACCTCGAAATCGGGGGCAATTTTGCTCGTCGGGCCTGGAAAGCAGGGGCTCAAACCCCATTTGGTAGCAGGAGATAATGAGCATATACCTATATCTATTGGACTTATTTATCTAACAGGAAGAATGATCATATTACCCAGAAACCATGGAATGAAATGTATTGCCCCAATTTTGTACTTGGGTGGCTTGGGTGGACTGTCTATACTGGTTACGACTCGTGTCCAATAGTCACAAACGAGATAGTTCTCAGATGTGCCAATGTTCAAGATGATTGTGATTGTAGAGTCACATTTTCCCCACAGATGCACTCAATAAAGACCAACCCCAAGATTGTGTTGATCAATTACGCCTTGAACGGTCTCCCCTGTTGGGGCAGCGGCGATCTTCGTGTGGGGGCCGTCGGCCGAACTAGATATCGCGCAGAGACTCGCACTAAGCCAACTGTGCGCGCGGGATAATTCACGACGCTATGTTCTCCGTCTAGGAGCTCTGGTGGATATGTGTCGGATTGAAGCATCCGAAGATGCTGTTCATAATGTCTGGTTCTGCTTTCATCGTATGAGGCCTTCGCTCTGTATATATTGACTTTAATTGATCACGTTACTGAGATCTCGATTTCTCGTTAGTCTCTTCAAGTCCTTCTCTTGAATCAGTCGGTCGTCATCATCTGTAACTTGGGCGTGCGCGATAATGGAAACCACAGACGTTCTCATCGTCGGAGCCGGGCCTAGCGGCCTCGTCCTGGGAGCCCTTTTGGGGCGCATGGGGGTGAAGGTCAGCTTGCCAAATGCTCGTAATTGCGACAAAAGTTGACACTGGAGGTTAGGTTGTCATTCTTGAGAAAGATTTGGAAGTCTGTGAGGACCCTCGTGGCATCGTGGTCAATGGCGATGCGATCCGAATTTCATACCAGGTCGGAATTGGGGAAGGATTGACCCAAAGGATTGGTAGTGGTGAGTGTACAGACAATTGTGAAGATAGCTCAGACTCTAACGGTGCTGCTTCCTTCAGATATGGGCGCACTCAATTTCCATGGGGGAGATTTCCGCAAGCGACCTTTCATGATTTTCGACTTGATGCCCGACTGGGCGGAGCAATCGCTTTCTCAGAATGTCACCCAGTTCCAACCAAACTATGGTCAGTGCGATGACCACATTCCAAGGAAGATTGGGACTTGCTGCGCCTCCGTATGATAGTTCGCTGACAACCTTCACAGAACGCGAGATTCGAGCACTTCTCAAGACCGTTCCGGCTTGCGATCTCCGCGTTGGCTGCGAAGTTCTCAGTCGCACAGAGAACGAGGATCACACAATCATCGAATACCACACTACCGACGGCGCGATTCAAACCATTCGAACATCTTGGCTAGTGGGTGCTGATGGAAAGCGCGGTATTGAGAGAAAGCGGTTCCTTGAACCGGAAGGAATCAAACAGGTGGATGCCGTGTAAGTTGGATGATGTCGAGCACATGATTGGGAAAATACTCTGACACTGCGATGCAAAAGTTGGCCATACGTTGGCACTTGGATCGCAATCAACCTGGAGGTTGATCTGCCCACTCCGAAGACGCACCCGGACTTCCCTCTGTGGAAATTAGGATATACGCCAGAACAGGTGCATAGCAAGTTCTGGCCCAAAGGTTTCCAGTGAGTTGCCCTGTTGATCAGAAATCTCCTCGCCCATGCGCTAATAATTGAAAAGCTTCTGTAATGATCCTCGTCGACCCGCAGTCAGCGGAAGATTTGGACCCAAAGGCGCCCGGTTCTGGAGGTAAGCATCGTTCAACCAGGTAGTATGGACTTTGCAAAGCTAATCGATTATCAGACACGAGTACTCTATTGGAAACGAGCAGGAGCCAGAGGACTGTGAGCAAGACTTCTGGAATCAGTTTGGACCTTGGATGGATCTTCCAGGTGCTCAATTCTCGTCAGAACTGAAAGGAGTGACCGTCTCATACCCAAGAGGTTGTATCAAGGTACTTCGCTGCCGTCCCTTCAGGTAAGCCTAGCCGTTCCCCAGATGGGGTCCCATGAGAAGCAACATACTAATTAGATTTGATCTTCAGATTTGCGACCAAGGTCGTCAACCGATGGTACTGCCGCCAAACCATGCTCATCGGCGACGCCGCCCACGTCTTCCCTCCCTTCGGCGGACAAGGAATCGCAACTGGTATTCGAGACGCCCAAGGCCTCGGCTGGCGTCTATCTATGATGATTCGTCTCGGGGTAGCGGGCGCATGCCGCGAACGTATCTTACAAGGCTGGAGCCAAGAGCGCCGTCATGCCTGGGAAGCCGCTACACTGTCTACCAAGCTCAACGGCTCCATCGCCAATATGGGTTTCGGGTGGCGTGAAAGTCTGTACAGATTCTGCATGCGTGTGCTCTGGTTCCTACCAGGTGGCGCCAAGATGCGCACTCGTCGGGCGTTCAAGGATAAATTGATCTACAACTCCACAACTTGCCCTGATGGATTCTTCTTACAATCTGCGGGTGGTGGTCAAAAGATCGCACAGGTCTGGGTACAGCAACCAGGGAAAGACCTGCCCCAGCTGTCTGATGAGGTAATTTTGCGAGACCGGTCTCGCATCGCTGTCTTGGTGTTGGTCAAGAAAGCTTCAGACTTTGATCCTCTAGCCGTGGAATCCGCAATTGAGGACCTGAAAGTGCCCGGTCATCTGCTGGGCGCAGAAAATATTACCTACGTCAACTTGACAGGGACTGGTCTAGCGAGCAAGAATGGGGTGACCGCATGGAGCACTTGTTCAAAGGAAACTTTAGAACAAGTAGACATTACCCCTGTCCATGAGTACAACAAAGATGCCCTCGAAAAGCGCGTACCATCTTCCGCCAAATACGTTATCCTGCGCCCTGACTTCTTCATTCACTCAGTTGCATCTGACCTTGGCAGATTGAAGGGCAATCTGCAGCAAGTGAAGGAATACTTCGGGGTTTGAGCCGTGACAATATCGCATCTCAAGCCCCAGTTACACATATTTCGTTGTTGACTGGGCTGGCGTATTCGTGACTATTCTGGATTTCATATGCATATTGTCTTTGCTATGCTTAGTTGCTTGCCATGTAAAAACTCTTTGTCTCCTGTTATTATTCCTTGTCTTTGGTTGTTGAGCGTGTTGGGAATAGTCCGTTCATATTTGAAGCCGCAATTAACGTCATACATATCACATTCCTACTGTGACTATTCTCCTAAAATCCTGATAGTTTGACATGAACATATCTATATCCTAACCATATACTCTATAATGTATGTTACATGTAGTAAAACATTGATTTATCGTTATTCTCGCGATGAACGTGCGCGCTTCTCAACGGAGACCGACTCAGCGCCAGACTGCCATATGCAAAGGCCCTAAGCCACCATCCCCGGACCAAAGGGCCAATCCACCCCGAGGAGATAATTCAACGAGCCGTCGGCCTGAAATAATTGGTCTGGAGGCGACATGGGGAAAATGTGGGCGATTCGGAGTCTGCGGGGCAACTAGTTCCCCCGCCGAGCGCAAAGATGTGTCCACCCCGCAGGACTTCCAAGACAGACCTCCTTCTCTGACTCGAGACACCGGGTCTATCGACTTTTTTTTGAGGTTGCTGGCATCTTCTTTGGGGCATCCACGCGTTATTGTGGGTATCCTGGCTACGCCACTTGCTAGCTCCGGGGCTTGAATGCATAGCCAGCGTCAACTGGTGAATTGTGGGCTTCTACACATAATCCTGCAAGAGTAGAGTCTTCGGTTAAGGACTTGGACTGAATATGAATGGATATTATCAAATCTGCATCTCGCAAGCGTAGATCTGCTACTGACTGGTGTGTTATAACATGACTGTGGGAGAAATACACGCTCGAAAATGTGGAATATATTGCAATTTTTCACTCTAAGCTGCATACTCATGCTCCGTAACTTCACCAATGTTCCTACTGCGCGACACCAGTTGCAGGCCTGATTGGACCCCAAATGTACATAGAAGCCGCTCCTTCACTCTCAAATCTCCCCGTGGGATTATCCTCATTCACCACATCACCATCAGCATAGTGCTCAATGCTATAACCACTGGGATCCTGCCAGTAATCAAAGATCTGTGAGCCAAGGATATGGCGTCCCACACCCCACACAAGCTTATGCCCCTTGCTGAGGAGGTATTCGTGTCCCAGAAGCTGAGTATCAAAGTCCTCCACTTCAAATGAGGTATGGTGAACGCGGTAGTCTACTGGATAAGTCGCGGGCACCCGATTGAGGAACAGCGTGTGGTGATCGGTGTAAAGGGAGCCGTGATCAAGGTGCATGAATGTTAAAGTATCAATTTCTTGCCCGTCGATCTGCTCGTACAGGATATCAGATGGGACAAAGTTGAAGTTGCTAGTGTAAAAGTCGATATCCTCGTCGAACTTCTTGGTCATGTAGCCGTAGTGGCCGAGCTTGTGTATCATGGCAGGTCCGAGTTTGAACCGCTGGAATTCTCCTATGGAACAGGCGTTAGTTTCGAGGGGTTTTAGGAGATATGAGACGGAACACACCCTTTCGCTCTTTCTTCAATGTTGTGTTATACCCTCCCTTGGAAACTTCAATTTGGCTGACCGGCGCTTCAGGCTTAGGTCGATCCTGCTGCCCCCAAAGAACGTGGATATCAGCGCCGGAGGGCGATGGAATAGTCACGATTTTGCCGCCACCAGGGCGCTTGTGGTCACTGATAAGACACGCTCCGGGGAGAGCAGCACTCTTTGTAAAGTCGGCCTCGGTTTTGGCGATGAAAGTGGCGCCCTTGAAGCCTTCGTCGTTGGCGTCACCAAGGAGGGCAACGTAGGCGATGGTATCTTGGCCCCAACCACGATAGCAAATGGCGGAATCTGTTTTCTCGACGATCTCAAAGCCAAAATCGACAGCGAAGGTATTGAACTTCTCTAGATCGGGATGCGAAAATAATACATGGCTGAGTCGCTCCAGTTGGATCTTCTCGGGGTTGTTTGAGACCGGGGGGATGCGACCTGGAGGCATTTTAGGATTCTCAATAGATTGTGAAGTAAATCAATATTCTTGATGCAAAGGACTCAGAGCAAATACGAAGGCTCACAGACTATATAACTCTACATTGAGATATGACCGGGTGCAATGGCCCGCATTGTCGCCGAAGCGGAGGATCTTGTTCAGCCGCCGGGGGGGACGAGGATTTTGTCACGCAACTGGATTGTAAAGAGTTTTTGAGGATTCTATGTTTTATTCTCTTTCATTGCATATGTAAACCGACTGCTTCCAGGCCCTGGTTTTTTAAAAAAAAGAAAATGCCGCTTAAGATGAACCCCGGAATTGTTCCGCGCTCAACTACTTCAGGTACCTCTCACTGTGAACATCCCTCCTAACAACATTTGAACGCAAAAATGTCACAGATCACGAAGTGCAAAAGAGCTGAGCAAGCATGTTGTCTCTGTCAAACTAGAAAAATACGATGTGATCGAAAGCGCGACGATGCGACGTGTTCGGCGTGTTCATCCCGAGGGCTACAATGCATGAGGTCGACGAAGAATAAAAGGTCCGTATGCGAGATAGTAGCTCAGGTTCAATTGCAAAGCTAACTTCTCATTTTAGAAGAAGAAAGAGAGACTTGCTTCTCGCGAATAGCGATTCTGGGTCAGATAATCTCTGGAGTCCTTACTGCCCCGACACGCCTTCCACTGCCAGTGAAGACCATGTCTCCCCCGGATGCGACCTGATGAATTTCGACTTCGGAGAATTGAAGAAAAGCCGTAAGAGTGCTATTTTGCCATGCGAACCGATTCCGCATAGTGATTGACACTTCATGTCCAGATATCCAGCAGTCATACCCTCTACACTTACCAGGCGGCCCCGACACTTTCCTTAAACCGACAACTCCCAATATCTCCAAGGAATGCACTACAAGCAGCACCCTAAAAGGTAGCAATCAACTAGGCGCCGAAGAGCTCGAATTCCTGACCAAAAAAGGCGCCTTCATACTACCGCCACGTCCCTTCCAACTCGCGCTGGTTCGCTCATACATCAATTACATCCACCCCCGGGTCCCATTCGTCAATATCGGAGAGTTACTACACACCATATCAGCGGAAACCCAAGCCCAGGATATCAGCATCCTACTCCTCCAAGCGATATTTTTCGCTGGATCAGTCTTCACCACCCCCGCGGACCTGAGCGCAGCGGGCTACAAAAGCAAATCCGCTGTATGTGGGGAACTCTTTGCCCGAGCGCGCTGTTTGTTCGATTTAGATTACGAGCAAGATCGTCTGATAGTCATCAAGTCACTTGTGCTACTATCATTCCGGAAGGAAAAGGACACAGATAAGGATCCTCGGCATTGGATGAACATAGCCGTGTCCCTGGCTTACACAGCTGGCTTGCATCGCTTTCCCGATCCCAGGGTCTCGGTTGGAATGCAGCGCGATCGCGCGCGGACATGGTGGAGTCTCTTTTGCCTAGACAGGTTCTTGTCATTGAGTATGAAACGCGCCGGGATCATCGACGACGAAGCGTTTGAAACACCGATTTTGACAATGAGTGATTTCGAGTTTCCATCATATACACCCGGAGAAGTCGATGCGTTGAACACTTCTGAGATTATGCAAGATGTTGAGGTTCAGAAACGGCTCGCTTTGATTTTTATAGAGAATACGAAGCTGAGTCTTTGTGTGAGTCGGGTGCTCAATGCGTTGGAGTTTCCTCGTGGGCTTTGTGCTGGTCCTTTCATGGAAACACCTGCGACAAGTCGGTCGTCGGAAGGATTCGGCACATTATCCAACTTTTATTGCATACAGGAACTTGAAACTTGGGTGGCCAACCTTCCGGCTACTATAACAGAGCTGCCGTTGTTTTACACGCTGTCGAGCGAGGCGAACAAGGTGCTACGCTCGCATTATTGTGCATTGCGAACGTTACATCTTGCGGCGTCGACTCTTATTTACCGGTCTTTAGAAGCCCAATGATGGGCTTTGAAATGTATATAATTTAATATCCAGCCTTTGTCAGATCACCGATCCCTCCAGTTTCACTGTTGTCGGGGGATTATAAAAGTTCATTCAATATCCACGGATGGCATTTTGTCTTGGAAAATTATTGATAACTTAAAAGGAACGTGACATCTACTTTCTCCGAATCTCTTCTGTAAGGATTGAATGCCTTCCTAGAATGCGATATTAAGGAGACAAGCTTGCCAACATCAACAAAGGACCAACTACGGGGTGGAAGACCTTGAAGTGAATCTAAATAGGATGAAAGTTAGCTATTGTATCGTCAGATGGGGATCAGAGCTGTGTGTGCTGTGCAGGCTACCCAGATCACCCGAAGTCCATCGAGATAAAACGTCGCTTACCTCTGAGCACTCGTGCAATCGGCCACCAAGGCGTAAAGCTTTCCAAAGACAATCTCAACTTCTCAAGACTGATTGTTGCTGGAGAACTGAAGCTTGAAACCGACTCATCTAGCCCGGACATACCGTACAGTTTCAGTCCGCAGTAAGCATGCCATAGCGCACAGCTAATTACTGGGTCCGCATACGCAGAATAGCTGAACTGCCAATGATCAAAGAGAGAGGCAATCTTCCGTGCGAATCCAATGCTGTCTTTCCAGCTTTTCAGGGTCGTTAGTGTTGAGTCCGAAGAAACGCCCATGCCTGTTACAAGCTGTCGGGTAGGTTCGTGTAAGATAAGCCGGGCACTGGTTATTTGTTCAGTCAGCAGGTGATATACCAAATAAAAGAAAAAAGAATATCATGGGACGAGAGTAAACCCACGTATTCAACATAATATTAGTCTCGAGCCGTAATCTGTGAGCATGTTCCTCTTCCATAAGACGCTTAGTCGGACTGAAGAAACATTCCGGGAAAACGAGATGAAGGGACGAGAGAATGTGGTTCAGACTATCTGCCCGAGCGATTTCCTCCGGGCATAACTTTGCATTGAGACGCTGTTGACATTCCGAAACCGCTCTCAGTAGAGAAACCGCATAGATATGGGTATTGAATCCATCCCCGGTATCCTGTAGATTCGGCGCCACAATCGAAGACCAGGACTTGACCGGATCCATTTCCGGAATCACTGGTACTATCGGCCCTAAAGCGTCGGCTGTGAAGTTCTGAACAGTAGTTGATACCAAAGCTGTTCCTATCATGCGACAATCGATTCCAAAGGGCGTGACCGTCGCGACATTAACCGTGCAGTCTAATTTCCAGACTGTCCACCACACGAACCGTCGCTCCTCCTTTTCAGGATCGGTGAATTCTCCTAATGAATCGAGACTGTCTACCTCGTGTAACCGCGCAGCTAATGCTAGACTCATCGCCTCTCGCACGAGTAGCCATGCCCGGCGAGTAGGTGCTGATGTGTAGTCGTATAATGCCAGGAGACACGCGGTTTTCACGTCGTTCAGTTCCACTGGTCGATTTCGATCCACCTCCTGGCGGAATCTTTTATAGGCCGCGTTGAAGTATTCTTCTGGTCTATTTGCGGCACTTGAGTCGGCATGGCAGCCGATGCCGGCAAACCGGGAAGATACTGCAAACATGGAATATAACAGGGCGGGTGGGATTATATTGGCTGAGAGCTCGTCATATAATAAGGTCTTTCGAAACATTGGGAAGGCGGGTTGGATGTGCTCAAAGTAGAGGTGCAATCTGCTTTTTGATTAGCTTAGTTGTGCGGCTTGAGGCCCATGTTGGTTCGTACAGAGTATCCTTTTCCTCATCGTTCGATGTGCGGACGACAGCATGTTCTATGATATGGCCAATCCGACTTTCGTTCGAAACATGCAAACTCGGAGGCGACTCTTGATACACTGGTGGTGTGACGGCTGAAAGAAGGTTGTCTGTTTGTTGAGTATAATCGTGTGCATCTCCATTGGTATCGGGCGGGCTATGAGATGGAAGCTCTGTACATAAAGAGCCCCATGCGTCTCCTTCGAATAGTGTTGTATAGTTCTGTCTTGGTGGAGAATATGGCAGGGCTGGTGTATTGGCTCCTCCAACTAGGCTTTGTAGGGTGTCTTCTAGGTGCCCTGAAGAAGGAAGGTCAGTCAAGGCACCATGCCAATATGGCAGCGATTCACTTACGGACTTTGTCAAGCAGGAGGGTTGTTCGAGACTGAATGGAGCCCTTCGCGGGGCCTGGTCGACGCCTGGGCTGTCCATATTGGCAATCCAGTCCACTCGCACGACATCTTGAGCAACTTGGTTGTTTCCGATCACCTGGCAGGACAATAAGGTAAGTCTTGAGCAAAGGTCTCCCTCCTATCTTCTGCTCACATTTTCTTTTCAGCCTGTAATATGAGAACGTTAATACCGTGCAGGTTTCTAGACTGGGGTCTCCATACCTCTTGCAGCTGCTGCAGACCTGCGACGCAGTGCCTGCACTCCGTTCCACCGGGGCCGGTGCGCTAGGAGCTTGCGTGTGTTCTTCCGAGGCCGGACTCATGGTCAAAGAGTTTTTTAATGAATAGCGTTAATGCTCCAAGAATGCGCCTAAGTTGCCCCGCGGAAGATTCGCATCTAGATACTCCGCTCCGATAGCTCTCCCTCAGACGCAGTGGCCAATTAGAAGACTCGCAGATTGAGGCAGAATGGGGGCCGTTTCGGGGGTTTGCCGAGGTAATACCCCAGCTACCCCAGCATCTCGGTCTTTAAAGCTGTATTTCTGCCAGTTTCATTGTGATCAATGTCCTTCAATACATTGTGTATGCTTTGTGGCAATAATACCTGTGAAAATGCCTATCTTTGGACGCAAGCGCGTGGTCAATATTCCTCCCGACTCAAGATAAACACTCGTAATACGCGTAGCCCAACATCGTGAGACAATGCTTATCTCAGTAAAGCACTACAGATGACCAACCTGCCCATTACAATTCATTCTACTCCGACCCCGTAATGCTGCCAAGTGGAACCACTGAAATTCTGCCAGAAAGATTGAGGAAGATGTGGAATTTATTGATTGGGATGAATGCTCCAGTGATGAACATTCTATGTTCAGAGACTCCAAAACCTGAGTTCGTCCAACAGATGGAGACTACCCAGGGAGTATCTAGGCATCTAATCTAAAAATCTGCACATTCCGTATGCAGACACATGCAGAGTATATCACTTATGGCGCTTCAGGTGCTGTGCTTCTTCCCGAGATGCAGAACACCAAAAGAACCAAAGGGGATAAGGATAAAATATGGATGGAAGGTTTCAAATCTCTATCTATCTTAGTGGACTACCACCAAAGAAATCCCCCGCACCAGGCCCAGAGAAGCTTCCATTGCTCGGGGTCAATGCAATTGATCGCCGGAAAGCCTGTCGAGGGGTGGCAGGGGCGCTGGGAGGCCCAGACATGGGGGCCGAAGTGGTTGCAATTGGCAACACGGAGCGAACATCAGGGGTGCTAGGGGTATTGCGACCGCTATCATTGTGCATGGTGATAGCGGTGCCAGGGCGGGAGAGGACGGTGGCGGTGCCTCCATTCTTGGGAGGCGGGCGGAATCCAAGTTTTGATCCTTCGCGGAAGATCTCTTCGAGCATTTGCGCGACAATGCCCGCATCCTCGTATTCCTGGAATTTTTTCCAGAGACGCAAAGCCATACGAGCATCCTCAATAGAATCATGGCCTTGCAGGGTCTCAGGCATGGGCTCCTCTTGGATGTATTCCTTGAAGACGGCCCAGGCCAGGTATCGGAGACTCAGCCGGCGGTTCTTCCCAGGGTGGAAGAAGAGATATTGTGTGTCTACAGTCTGTGCCTTGGGTACTTGGATATTGATCTTGCGGAAATCGGAGGCAAGACCGTGACCAACAAATACACAGCCGAGGTTGAGAAGCAGCCAGAGCTTCTTGTAGGCCGCCTTGAGCGGAACAAGGTTGTGCTCACTGGTTCGGGGATCTAGATCGCCAGGCTTGATGCCAGAATACTGGGTGACATAGTCCACAATTGGCTCACGGATGGTGATATAGTCATCGATGAAGGGGACTCCTTCGTGAACACCGAAGCCCCGTAAGACGGAGACACGAGCCAACCCACTCTTATTGGGGCGAACCATTTCTTGTGATCCGTCTGCCTTGACGTCAATCTCAGCCTTTTCAAGATCAACAAACTCAGTATCCAATGCAACGGGTGTCCCAGGCTGTGGGTTTTCTTCCTCGGTGAGAGTTTGACAAGATTCAACCTGACGACCGCCACTATGAGAAAATCGTTGTTAGTAACTTCATTCAAACAGCAATCTGAGTTCACTAGAGTACTCACTTCAAAGACCACTCTCGGAATAACAGCGTCTTGTCCAGAAGGTTCTTCCAAGAGTCATCTATGACATGGCGTGGATCTCTCAGTTGGTAAGAGAGAACACAAGGTTGCTTCCAAGGCTGTGTGAATCGAAGTGCTTCATCTCTCTCGACTTCGGTGACCAAAAAGTCATTAAACAGATGCCATTTGCCTGGCCCTTCGAACTCAGCTTTTGAGATAGAGACATTGACAAAAGAGACCAAATGTGGCTTTTGGTGTTCCGGAATATCAATCTCCGCGACCAAGCCAACCAGATCATACACCATGAGACCAGGTAATTGGTTCTGAATGCGGATCTGAAGATCATCACCCTCGAAGCACATCACCTGTCCGTTCCTATCAACCACAATACCGACGGCATCAGGAAGCCACCCAGGGACTGCCCAAAGACGACGGCAGAGAGGATTGGTAAGAGCGGCATTGAGCACAAGGATCAATGGCATCCGATGAATGGTCTTGCGTATCGTCACTTGCTGATAGCGACGACAATGGTTGCACCATCCACGGTTTTGTGTTTCTCGCTCGATACTTGCACGGAGGATACTGGAGAAGCGGAACAGTGGGTTGCGTCGTGCATGTTTGATATCGATATTAGGGTAAATGAGTTCATTGGCCAGTGAGTTACCAGGACGCACAATTTCGTTCTGACAGAACATGCACCTAATAGACTCTGACGCGATCGTGGCTAGGCGTTGATCGAGGTCTTCAGAACTAGGCTGAATCATCCGGAAGTCTTGCGCTACCTGAGTGAGGAAGAAGCGATTGACTGCTTGGATTGCAGTTGAAAGAGATTTGTTGGTGAGATTCTCTTCCAAGAGACCTAGGTTTGAGGCTTCTCGGAAGCTGCTGAATGTCTTGAGGAGGTTTGTGGCCTGACAATTTTGTCCGTTTGCTTTCTCAAGCATGTCAAATAGATATCCTAATTCACAGAGAAGACAATGCTCGAATATGCATGACCCGGCAGCGTGGTTAAGGGCTAGATTTCGGAAAAGCGGGATGAACTTGAAAAGTTGAAGGAGGGAATTGGTAAAGGAGTTGGCGATGTGAGTTTCCAACCCCGAGAATGAAGTCTTATTGTAGAATCTATAGAGGGTGTTAGTCACGCGTAAGAATTCAATCAGAAAAAAAGCATACCGGAAATCGAAGTCATCTACACCGAATCGGCTGTACTTGATCTCAACGTTGCTATATTTGAGCAGTGGATCGTCGTCACTCTCTCCGTTGATCTTCGCCCCTGCCAAAGCTTCTGCAGCACCAATTAAGCCATCTGACTTGCTAGACTCTCGAGCCTTTTCACTCAAAAACTTTGGTGCAATCAGAGCGGGCTCTGCTGTAGTGAGTGCGCGAGTGTTTTCCATTTGGTAGCGTCGATTCTTTTTCGGGTTTGGAGCATGGTGACCCATCTCTGCCGGGCGTAGATATGGCAACAGTGACTGATCGAACGGAGCAGGGGGACTGCCGATCTCAAAAAGTAGTTGACTTGGCCACGCGGAATGCAGACGTTCATGATAGTAAGGCATCCCTACCATATTCAGTGGAGAGTCAGCAGACCAGTCTACCGGAGTAGGCCGTGTGAGGACATCGGCAAACTCTGTCTCCTTGCTCATCTCATTGAAATGAATCTTGGTCGGAGAGCCCCATAGATGGATAGAGCATTCGGCATCATTTACAGCCAATGCTTCACCTGATGGTGATAGGTCAATGCCAAGCATGATCGAGACATTTGCCTGTCTCAAATTGACTGAGTTTGGGTTCATAACATCTATCACTTGGAGTTGACCTGTTTGTGAAGCCACGAAGCAAGTGGTGTGAAGTTTGGGATGCATGCGTACGTATGCCGCTCCAGCATGGAACGGAATCGGAGGCAACGGAGCCAGAGTTTTGAGATCATAGACATTGGCTAATGGATCCACGATTGGGGATCCCATCTGGCGGACGGAGAAGCCACATGTGACTAGTAGGTCATTCCGCGCATCCATATCATTGACGGCCGTTCCATGAGCCTTCCATGATTTGACGACACTGAAATCTGCCAGGCTCAGGGCATTTATTGATCCCGTGTCTGTCGCAGCGCAGAGATATCGACTCTTCTTCATCATCGTGTAGCCATGCTCAGTAGGCAACTTATCGACAATTATGCCCTTGTCAATGTCCACAGTGAACATAACTCGTTGACAGCCCGCGACGAGGATACGATTGGTCTGGGCTGTAAAGCTCATGCAACGAAGGTCAACCATTTCATCGTGGGCAAGATGCCACTGTGTTAAGCCCCGCCGTGTGATCATGTGCACACTTTTTCCAGATAACGAGATCACACCTCGTTCATGAAAAATGATTTGCTGAACTGCACCCTCAGATACTGGATGCGCTCGGACTGAGGTGTATCGTTGTAACTCCGGCCCGTAAAATGAAGATATCCTGCCCTGGCAAAACGAACATACTCGTCAGCGTCCTGTCCCCGACATCGCCGGGTCGACACCAACACTCACATATTCATTGCCTATCCATAAAAGTTCCATCATATCGTCAAATGCCGTTGCTGTTGCTACAGTAGGCATCCCATGCGCACTGGGCGGCGGCATTGGGATACGCGACAGCTCATCCCAATCGGCCTCCATGATTGCAGTAGCCTCGCTCTATTATAGGTTTTCTCTCGTATGTTCTGTGATGACAATGTCCCGCCTGGTAAGGCTTGGTGAAAATAGCTGGCTTTACCCACGTGGGACCACAGTGAGTGTGGGCATCGTTTGGAGTGAGGGACGCGATTGCGGGGAAGCTATCCGACGGTTTGGCGACGAGATTCGAACGCAAGGGTTGGTATGGAATCAAAAAAAATGCCAAACGTGAGGCAAGAAGATCGGCTCGACGTGCCTGACGCGACAAAGAAGGTACGGTCGGACTCCAACTGTGATGCATCTTGCCGACGAGGAACAGGAACGGTGAGTTGTTGGTAGGGTCACGTGATGGGGCACAAGCTGCAACGGCGGTCGTAGGGAACTCGACCATGAATTCATTTAGCACTTTGAAATCAGCGAATTCTGAGTAGAGATGATGGTTCAGGTCCAAGACCGTGTGGATTTACGACTAAAAAACTGGGTTTCATTGAGTTTCTGTAAGTAATGAGGAGTCAAAAGGAAAAGCGCTTAGCTATAAACAAGGCGTCTAGATAAACTAACGGCCGCAATCCAATGTTTTGTCACGCACAATATGATTGTCAAGATTGATCGTTGATTTTATTTCGGGAATATCAGATGCATATTGGACATAGAAACATCGCCTGCATCTGACCTTGCAGCGGTTTTTTTGACACTCTTTTCAACTTGATTGTCTAAATGTGGCTAAGTCTGTACGTAGCCATGTCGAACCCATTGACGTTCACACACGCACGTACAAGGAATTCGGGTATTTTCAAAGGGATTTCTTCTTCTCTTGTATTTCAGATCCTTGACCAGTTCAATCTATGGACCATTCAAAATTTTCTCGATTTCCAACCAGTCGATATAGTCAACTCCGGTCAACGGCAATGTTGGGTTATTAAAACTGGAATATATCCCTTCGGCTTCGCCCGAGAGATCCTGGTTCCAGTCTCCCTGCATATCAAACATGGCATCTTGACCATCCATATTTGACCATGGCTCCAGTAAACTGGTCTCGTCTCGATGATTTCTCTGAGCACTTGAGGCCACACCCATATTGACCGGGCCATCTGATGAACCCAACAACGGATGGACTCCTGGGTCCGATAACCTCGCTGCAAATGTATGTGCCTTGGCTTGAGGACCTGTGTCACTCGGTGAGGCAGTTGTATCAAAAACATGATTGGGCCAAACGTGCGAAAAGGATTGTGCGATATCCTGTAAGCGTCGCTCGGCAGCCAAATTGCCAGACTGTGATAAAAATTGGAGGACCTTGGATGCTTGGTCGAGTGCTGAGGGAGGCTGGTTGGGCGACTTGTCCAGAAATCCTACCATCACCAACACAAATGCAGCAGAGAATGTTGCATCAAGATCGAAGAAGCCATACCGAGCTGTTCGCACTACGTTAGCCATAGGTCTTTCTCAAACGCGTGAGAACCATCAAGACCGAATGCACTGACTCAAAACAGAGCACTTGGAAAACTCACGAATGGTTTGCTGACGTCGTAGCGAGTCAAGAATAGCGAGACTTCTGGTGGCCGCCTCATCACATGTATCGCAAAGACGGAGCAGTATACTCGGCGCTGGATCCGGCGGTCGCGATTGATGCCTCTGCGCGTCAAACCGAGCTCTTTGAAGTAGTATTGGCCGAGTACATAGGATGATAGCCTGGATGACGTTAGAATAACAACAGCACCAGTCATATATTGTGTTTGAGAACAGGCTCACTTGGAATAACATCAAATACAATGATGCACCTGTGCGAGTTACTAGCTGCAAAGGTCGATTGAAATCCAAAGTTAAGGATTTGGGGAATGAACGGCCAGTATCATGCAATTCTTGGAGGATTTGCTGGATCTTTTGCACCAATTCCAGTTGAGTTATTGACTTGTTGCCATATAAAGCTGTTGTGGCTACATCAGCATCGTGTGAAAATCCGAAATGCATTCAACTTACTAGACATGATATCATCAGTTACACGTGCAATGCGAACGTTGATGGCAAGGGCAACTGGAGACTGAAAGCCCATTGCGTTCCGCGGGAGTTCCGTGCACAGCTGTCGTTCATCGGCCCCTGCAGCCAGCCCCAGGCCGGAAGAAAGGCGTCTGGAAATATTAGTGGACTTTGAATACCCCGGGCTTTCCACAGAAGCTTACCTATCGAGCATGTATACTGTCCACCAGAGTCGTAACCTATGAGCACTCTGGGAAGGAAGACAGCGTTGATCGCTTTCGCGTAGATTGCATCCAAGAGCAATAGCAAGCCGCAGAGCAATTCCGATCTAATTTAGGTCAATAATGTTCTGCAAGAAGATCCTAGGTCTTGCATGGCATACATAGAGATAAGCATCATGTTTCCGGTCACACCACTGTAGGTATGTAGCAATCAGAGTCAAGATCTCCACAGCGACGACACCTTCCCCTCCCATGTGATGTAATGGGGGAAGGCGTCTCAAAGCTTCCGCGAACAAGTCCGCCCCCGGGGTTCGGGATATTGGATGTTTCACGTCCATTAGCCTTGCCATGGCCATGACCATGAGATATTCCGTAAACCACGAGGAACGCATCTGCTGTTTCCTCGTCTCTGGGTTTTGAAAGAGCAGCATGAGATCATCCGAGAAAGAGCGTGGATCGAAGAAATGCTGGCTTACCCCCAGATAGAAAAGGAATTGATCAAGCAAATGCTGCGATTCCTCCAAAGATGGAAAGGTCACACCGGTGACATTGTCGATCAGGTCTTTGACCGATGCCCATTGTGGTAGCCGATCTGCTCTATATTGGAACTCTGGGGAGTATTCATGGAAGTTAAGGTCATTCGAGTGCGATCTGTCAAGTAGGGACTTCACTTGAGACTCGAATGCAGGCCCGGAGGTTAGATCCGTTGCTACATACGGGTTAGCCTTTAATTGCGAGTGGAAGGCCAGAGAAACCAGAATAAGACTTTACCTGGACTGATCACAGGATCATTATCAGCATATGATAGCTCCTCCGTTGTCCGATTTCGGGGCTCGGGATTCCCAGATGTTGAATTTCGTTGCATAGATTGTTGGCCGAGGGTTCTATCCTGCGCTATCGAAGAAGGAAAGGAAGGGGATGGCCCTGCTGCAGCCTGCGGACCGAGTTGCTCCTCGTAAACTCGGATTTTTTCCAAAAGATGTTTTACTTGCCTATATGACAGTCAGTGTGACTGGCTAGAGACGACACGGCGCATTTACTCACGCTTCAGAGAACCGTCTGCGACCGGAATGTCCAAAGGTGCACTCCCAATCGTGTTTTACACAAGCCCGACAAGGCTTCTCGCCGGAACATTTTACTTTGCGTCTCCGACATGTCTCGCATCTGAGCAACTGTCATCATGCATGACCCCCAAGCTGGAGTTGCGGCACATTGTAGACTTACGCACTGGTAGATCGTGGATTTGGGCCTACCATCATTGGCGAGAAACCATATTCTGATATAGTCTTGATTTGATATTCTTAGTGCAATCCCAAAGCCCGTGAAACGATGCACTGTGTTATGACACGGGGGCTCATCCGATGAGGCGGGGCCTTTCGGAGCTCCAGACCGAAGGGCCCCGCAAATCACAGGCACAGGATCCAACGATTGGAGGGCATCACGACCATAGTCATTTCATATTATCGCCTGAAGCCTGATCTTCCCCTGCGAAAAACAAAAGAACCGTCTCTGCCGCTACTTTGGAGTCATCATCATCATCTTTTCCGGGCACAGTGGAACGCCTGATGTTTTCCAGATGCGAAGCGAGCAAGTCTGCAGACCAGTCGAACTGTTTGGCAAATTTATGGCATAACTCGGCAGTAGCAAATGCATCAAATTCGAAATGGCCTTGCAAGGTGAGAACGCGGCCTGGGTTATAGAGGCCCTGGATCGGACATTTCAGACTGCTTCCAAGATGAAGCCAGGGTTGAGGCAATGTCGTCCCTCTATTCTCTGAACACGACCTGCCTTCCGATGAAGAGATGACGGCATCGCCATGGATGACTTGAATACGAAATGGGTGTTCTGCAGTAAACCGGGCGAGAGGTGGGAACCTGGAAACAAAATCCGGGTTCAAGATGATGGGGTGTATGCCAATTTCATGGCCATTGGACGACGGTTCCACAGATATTTTAAAGGAGCATCCTTGAGAAATGTAGTCCCTTTCCCTTGCGAGTAGTATCTGGCCTATGATTTGATGACCAAAGCATGATCCAAATATCTTGACTAGAGGGTAGTCGGCATACACTCTCTCGATAAAGGATCGCAGACCCGGAATCCAGTGCAAATCGTCATACACTGCGGCTACAGCTCCAGTGACCAGGATCGCATCAATGGGTCCTGAGGAGCTGGGGAACGACGGTTCTGTGACGGACCAAGGGCAGACTCGCAACGATTCGCGATGTGGAAAGGAACCTCCGACGACGTCGAATGCGGTTACCTGAACAGCAAGTAACTCTCGTTGTGGTCGAGAATCACTTGCATTGATACGAGTCGCGGCAGCATTGAGAAGAGACTTGAACTGTGAGCTGTATAATCCTCTCTTGGCAAAAACAGGATAACAAGGAATATCTGTGTCAAGAACAGCAATATGTATGTGGCGGGTCATATTTGGTGACGCGAAAGACTGAGAATGAGCAACGGGCGAGCGCAAGATGAGGGTTGAAAAGAAAGGAGGATAAACTAGGGGGTTTCCTACGTCTCATTTCCTCGTATGTTATTCCTGTCGGGCGACATCCGAGCATGTCGGGCCAGATGACCGACAGTTAGGTAGCAAACCCTAGTGATGTGAGCTAACGGTTCCAACGTAATACACTATACAAGATGACTTCAACTTACTCGGATAGACAAGCAGACATCAATTCCAAAATAGCATTTATACGTGTGCCAACATCTGTCCGGACATGTAGTCTCATGCTGGGCAGCCAAACCACCAGCAACGGCAAATGGTGTTCCACCCGTACACTGATGGCTCACTTAGAAGTCACACGAATCTCTGCCATTGCCATTGAATATGGGCGGCATTTCTTCCCTAGCACAAAGTAACATGAGGAATATTCAGGACGTCACTACAACCATGCAGTGAGCATTCACTTTTTAGAATAGCAATTGGCCCAAGCCCCACGCTGAGCTGAGCCTCTTTCCCACCTTTTTGCCCCAAGCCTTACGTTAATATACAGGGCGTCACTCTACCTACATTGCAGTCAATTGAAAGGCCAATTGCCTCTCAGGTCTCGCCCCAACAAGGCACGTAGTCAACACTTTTATTAACCTATAAAGTCATCGAAATTTGGGGCCGAGCATTGGGGCCGAGCATTGGGGCCGAGCATTGGGGCCAAGTATAAAACCCAATATGTCCTGCCAATCGTTCAAGGAAAACAACCCAAAATCCGCTCGATTGCACAAGGACATCCACAACGCTATCATCTTCCATCATGTCGGGATACACATATAGCCACGCGCGAATGAACCGTAAGATTACACCCAAAAGCTCCGCGCCACGATATGCCCTGAAAGCACCAGAACGCGAAGTTGCTTTTCGGATGGAGCATATCGCGGCGGAGAAAACGAAACTCGTCCTCAAGCCACACGGAGACCCTCAATCACATAATGCATACAAGATCTTGGATGAAGAAGGTTCTTCTGCATTCACAGCAACCGGTCGCAAATATAATGATCGCGCATGTCGCGAACTCCGCGATTCTTCCGGATTGCCGTTATTCGATATACACATGAAGCCGTTTTCCAATCCTTTGGGCTGGGTAATTACCTTGCCCGGGAGCGAGATCGGCGATGCGACAATAGCTAAGGCGACACCGCAGTTAACTTGGAACGGGGTTAATTTGACCTTCGCATTCCGAAATGGCGCGGCCGAAGATTCGAAAAATGAGGATAAACGGGTCATGCTGACGGTCAAAAAACATGGGCAGGTCTTAGCATTTTTTGATGTTGTGGATGGTGATAGGAGGATTGCAGAATTGCGCGAAAGTATCACCCACAACGAGAAGTTGGTCCTACGGAGCATGAACCGCAGAAGTCACCGGCCTGCTTTGGATCTTATCGTTAGTCCTGGCGTGGATATCTCTCTGGTAATGCGGCGATATTCCCCAAATTTGAAAAAGCATCAGCTAATCCAAAGCAGGTGGCAGCAATTGCGGTCGTCGTGTCAGACTGGTTCTTCGGATCAGGTTAAACTGAGAACAAAAGACGGTAAATTTTAGAATTCCCTATGAATCACGAACAGCTGTTGACTTTTCACTCAATAAAGGAGAGAACGAAGAACGGCTGAGTTCAGCCGGCAACATGAATCATTCATCAAAGACAGGCTTGTCCAACCACGCCCTGATCTTCGCAAGGGCAGAAATATCATGCTCCTTATCCGATGTATTATAGTCCTTGATTTCTCCATCGATCCACTCCTTAGTCCCTCGAATAAACTTCAAATAAGTCCCAGTAGGCTGGCATCCACCGAAGTCGATCAAAATAGGCATTCCTTCTTTGTTGACTAGAATGTTGCGTGAGTTCAAGTCATTGTGAGCTAATCCATGCGTATGAAGATGATAAACTGCTGACTCGAGGGCCGTCATAAAAGGCTCTATATCAATTGTTCCAAATTGTCGCTCAAAAAAGGTATATAGATCGTATGGGTGTCTGTCAAGGACAATCCCAATGAAATAGCCACGGAGAACTTGACAGCCATGATACCCGATGATATTGGGATGCGGGTTCTGGGATAGCGAGTATAGCAATTCAGCCTCTGCTACCAACGGGTTCGAGAGCTGAGCCAGCGCATTATGGTCTTTCAGAACCTCGTACATTTGTGCACAGGGGCGTTTGATATAGCTGCCCTCAATAGGTGTCCTTGGATTTTGCACTAGCGCAATGCTAGAGGCTGGCCATTTCGTGTATACTTCTTCATCGGGAACAATTCGAAGGGCATTGGCCATCTGATCAAAGGTCACATCCGTCTTCGGTGCTTCAATTCTGCCGTAGTAAAACTGCTCGCTATTGTCGAACACTGCGAAGGATGTGTGGCGGATTTGCCCTGCTATGTCGTCGCGTTGCTCCCATACTTCTGTGAGATCATCCCAGCTTGTTATTTGTGGTCCCATGATGATAGTGAACGTGGTTTCAAAGGCTGTTAAGTTCTGATCACACTAATAAGATAGGTGCAAACGCTAGTTCGATATCTATCGCTGAGGGGAAATAAAAGGGGGACATGAGTGAAGAAAGGAAGGGAAAGTGACAGGTCAGCCAGCAAAAAGGGGGTGAGGCCTGAGACCAACGAGAACCGCGTCCAGCGGCGAATGTATGTTCTTTCTTTTATGATGAATTCTAATTCAGTTGTATTGGAGTTCATAAAAAGCATGAATGGTATTTCCGATTTTGATGCGCCGAGTTCATTGATTTGGAAAAATATGCAGCGACATTCTATATATCTCATATATAAAATTCGGTATACCACAATTGCAGGGTATTTGAGTGGCAAAGACGAGAGCGACGGTTTTACATACTTCCTGGTCTATAATATTTTATTCCTGGGACGTAATATATACTCGGTTCCATAACTCAGTTGGTTAGAGTGTGGTGCTAATAACGCCAAAGTCGAGGGTTCGACCCCCTCTGGAACCACGATTTCTTTTTTTTCCTTCTGGACGTTAATCAATACTAGATGCCAAACAAGAACATCCATCGAATAAGCCAGAGTGATCCCAAGGCCCAAATTTTAACATTGCCAATCAGTATCTGAAGATTTCCGTCCAAAAGGATTCCAAAAAGACTACCAGAAATACATCGTAAGGCCACAAACGCGGCCGACTCTTCTTCTCTTATGTACATTACGATTTCGGAGCTCCCACTTTGCTTGAATTTTATTTAGTCGAAACAGTATTTTCTCAAGCTTAGGAAACATAGTTCATTGGAAATACCGAACGGCAGTATCCAGGTAAGCTCTGTTTCGATCATCCTGGATGCGTTTTGCCCTAGCGCACAACACTATGAATTTGGCTACACTCTCGCCCTAGAAGAAGGCAGCCTCAATTAGCTCTGCTAGTCACATCTGACACGATTGTATCAATGCTCGAGATGGCAGTGGTGTTCGGGACAATGTGCCAAGTGTTTAGATGCCGGGTCTTTCAGACAGAGATCTGTGTAAACTGAGCCCTTTGACGGACTCTTTCGTTTGCTGGCTTTAGTCGGTGAGGACCATAAAGTCCCCCTTTTCCTAGCTCTGAGAATGATAGCTCCTTTTTGCAGTAGCTTAACCATCAAGGTTGATGTAGTATCGCTTTAGCAAGTTGAAGGAGGTGCCCAGTTACCGGATCTCATCTTCAATGGTGTTAGAGGGGTTGGAAGGGCGAGCGACTGCGACTCGTCGACCAGCGATCAATAAGTAGATTGCTTCAAAACGATGGAGCCCTTTAGAGGCTAGACGGAGACATCAAGATGCATGCCTATTAATAGTTGATAAAACTGAGCAACGTCGGATAGCGGCTTTGCGACGTCTTTGTAGTCTTCTTGAATCTCTCCCTAGAAGTTTCTTTTACGGTTATATTTGCCTCCTCGTAAGATTTGGGCATATAGTGACATGTCGACAGCGGAATAAGGTGAGGGGGGAAACCTTCCTGGGTTTGCTGTGAAAGCATTTGGAGAAGCGAGTTTGTAATTATAACGAGGTTGAAAATCTAACTTGTCTATCGAGGCAAACTGGCAACCTTCACATGTCGAGACCATTGATCTGAGATCAAATATCGTTTACCCCGAGTCTCCCAAGTCCGATCATCATTTTCTGTTCTTGTTGTGACTCTTCTGTTGTAGCTGTTCCATCATCCACGTAACATATCCCCCAACTCCTTCATCCGCAAACTCTCAAATCCATCCCTCGAACCTCAACCATGACTCCACGAGAGCCTTCCGAGCCTAACAGCTCCCCCGCCAAGCGCCGACGAACTACGTCTCGCTTCGACCGGAATCACGAATTCCTAATGCGATGTCTCCTTGAATCAAGCGGTCGAGTCAGTCTTCCCTCTATTGGTGTATTTGGAGTGTTTCTAACATCAACGAATCCTTTAGGTCGACTTTGCCGCCGTTGGGAAGTCCCAGGGCATCACTAGAAACTCAGCCAAATACCGCTTTTATCGGCTGAAGGGACAGCTTGCAAGTCAGGATGATACTTCCCACACCGTGGCTACAAAGACTCGCGGGAAGCAACAAACCAAACAAGTTGATCAAGATACCCAAAATCACGGCGTTGATGCTACATCTACTGAAACCGCTGGCAATCACAATACACGGCCTACCAACGACGAAGAGGATATCGCTCCTGTCAAGATTAAGACCATCGATGATCACAAAAAAATACGAATCAAGAAAGAAGAGGATGTTGATTCTGTTAACATGAAGACTATTGATTGCCACAAGGATATGCAAATCAAGAAAGAGGAGGAAGACGACGATGATAGCTCCATTTACGAGTACAAGTAGGATGGAATAGGGATTGTGTCCGTTGGATGAATTCCTTCGTTTTTTCATGTTACTTGTTGTCGCTTTGAACTTGATGTGTGAAAAGTGCCTGGAACTCATTACTATCGTTAGCACTCATTCTTAGCGAAATATCTTCTGACAATGCGACCATGTTTTCTTGCTAACCGATCAAATTCTTGCTAAATTCGCTTCATTTAGCTATCAGATATAGTTGATAGCTTCAAATACACGGCGGGATTGCCTCTCTCTACGATCTTTTCCCATATGACAGAGAATGACGAGATATATGCCCGGTTGATGCTTAGTATACTCCATAACAACACGGCTCACTTGCTCAGATTGCCGCGACGATTCATAGATTCATAGATCGCCGGGGCGATGCTCGTCGGGGGCTAAGAACTACTAAATAGCGTCACGTACACGGCGACATAATCGACGAGTGAATCATTCTTTTCAATCCGCAGCTTACTATTTCTTCTCATCTGCTTCATCCTTTGTGTATTCTCTCGTCTGATCAGCACTTCCATCCCATCAAAGACAGCTCATTCGAGACCATCAATCCCATCCTGCTACAAGATAGCCAGACGAAACAATGACTCGCCGCAAGATCGTGAAGGCCGAGAAGAAGGTCTCGCCGCAGCGAGAAGTGCTTGCTATCATCGCGGACAAGCATCGTGTATTGTTCAGGCACTGTGTCGAAGCCACCAAGGTCAGCCATCTTATATTGTTGACGGTTATCATTATCATACTGATGTGGATCGTACTCATCATAGGTCGAGTTTAATTTCGTTACCACGCACCTGCATCTCACTGCCCAGGCTGCCAAGCTGGAACTCCACCGCATCAAGAACATTTTTCTTGGTAAGAAGCCGAAGAAGTAGAACGATGCTCAGGATCCCGCCAAGGGTGACGACTAAGTCGTTGATCCGTCAACGATTTTGACTGCTGATCCGGTCGGAGAGATATTGCGTCGACTGACTTCGCGGGAGGATTGGACCGTCTTGGTCCCAATGGGCTCTGCACATGGAATTTTACATAACTTTGAGGATGGATGAGATCGGGAGACAAATACCTTATTCATTATGAGTGACAATGTCTTTCTGAGAATGAATATCTACTCATCCTTCCATTCTGTCAATGCCTTATGATCCAGCTCGAATCCAGCAAATCGGTCCTCAACACTCGGTCTCAAGAATGGCTCCTCATGGCCAGGAGGGAAGTAATACGCCGCGATGCAGACCCTAACAGGTTCATTCACAAGACCCGATGCTTGCAACCGTCCCTGGTCCCAGAAGACATACCCCCGATTCCGTAAGTCAAACATAGCCGGACTATTAGGTCTAGGGAACTCTTCGAAACTGGTCGCCCATTTCCAGCCCAGGTTGATACTGCTGACCAGATCACCCGGAATGGAAACCAGTCTGCCGCGGAGAACGGTGTCTCTCTCCTCTTTGTCACATGACTCGATTAGCAGCCCACAGGTGTTGATAAAATCGGTCACGGTGTCCTTGAGCGAGTCCGCGTATGATTCAAGAATGGCGTATTTGAGAGCACGCGGTCCGAGCTGATTCAAGTGTAGCAGGTACGATAGACCATACGAGGTGATGAATTTGACATGATCTGCATGCTGGCTTTCACGGTATTTGTTGGTGAAAAAGGAAAGCTCATCGGGATACAGGTTCTTTGTCTGTGGTGGCTTGTATGCAGATTGCCTCTTGGTGCCTCTCCCGGGCAAAGCATTCGGAGAAAAAGAAGCGATGAAATCATCCTCCACTCGCTCGCAGAGCGACCTGACATATTGAGCTAGGAATTGTTTGACGCAGAAAATCTCCTCGAATTCATGGAACGCGAATTGGGAAACGAAGCTCAATACACTCTGGGCGTAACTCAAGGATGAGCTGTTATCGCTGAGGAGATGGAGCACCTGTCGGAATCTTGCATGGATGTCACATCGGTAAAACGCGCGTTGCAGACGGACCCGTTCCGTCGTTGACAAGTCTGCTCTTGGGTAGACGGCGTTTGCATCAAACTGTGTCGGCTTCACTTGGTGTGCTTGGAGATTGCCCAATGACCATTGGCAATAACAGTCGATTAATCTTTCGATGCCGACATGGAGGCGAAATAGTGTCTCGACTTGCTCATCGTCCAGTTTGAACTGGTAACCACTGCTTCCGCGACGACCTCGGTCCCTGGCAAAGAACGAGAAACCCTCGGACTTGATCCTCGCAAGGCTTTCCCCGGATGTGATCAGCTTGGGGATACTCTGGGCGTCCAGTGCGCTATACACATCTGCTCGACATGCTGGGTGGATGGCCTGGAGGAGATTATGTCTGAGAAGATGCTTTTTGTAAGTGATGAAAGTACAGTGCAGTACGGGCGAGGCTCGAGTGGCAGAGAGAAGATCAACCGGGGAGGACAGGGATTCCAGAATCAGCAACAGGATCTCCGTTGGCAGGTCTTCTAGGGCCATGTTGACGTGACGAGACGAGACAGCTTGCTCCCTCGCCGTCGGTGATTTGGCGTGGTTCACTTGGGATGCAAGGCTTCTGATTAGTTTGTCTGAATGATAGAGCGTGGGATGGTCGCGCTCAAGAATATCCCGAGCTCCTTCAGTGAAAAAGGTGAAGTGAGACTGGAAGTGGAAAAGAGCTTGGTTCCTACACGCAATCCGTCGCGGAAAGAGCCGTGTGCTCAAGAGATCACCAGGATGTGATGCGTGTTTTGTGCTCTTTCCGAACACTTGACATCGTATGGCATTAACCAATCTAAAGACCAGGATTCAAACCAATCCCCCAATGTCTCCTGCTGAGAGCATTGACTGATATCAGTCTCGAAGACCTAGTCCTTACAGGTACCAACACCACGCATCATGCACACATGTGGATATCCATTCGTCCCTTTGATTTCACAATCACTATGTACATGGGTTGGATGCTAAAATTCCGACTTATCCAAGCAAACATCAATAATAGACAATGATATCACCCCAGAGTCTTGGATTTTAGTTCTCGCCAACCCTCTCATATCTATCATTCACCACCGTACTATTCTCAGGCAATGCGAGAGCGCAGAAGACCTACCATATGATCCGAAGAAAGCACAAAAAGAGTGAGACAAGTGGCATGCAGAACTGCAGACTCTGAACTAGAGTTAATAGGCCACGGCCTGGATGATTTACGCCAGTTTATCCCGATCTCCCAGCGAACCTTCAGGATGAGCATGAAGTTGCCGCAATGGCGCCTTCGGTCTTGGTTGATCAAAGGCAGTGCGAGAAGATGTGACTACTGTGCTCGTGATTGTGGGTTTTGTTCTAACCCACGCAGGTCTCTCCGGGTTAGAGGCACTGGCCATGGTACGAAAAAGTGCCGTTGCTGTCTCCAGGCTCGGGTTCTTCCTTAAGCGAGGAACAACAGAGGCTGGGCCAACCGGCCATTGACGTGAATCACAGAATATTGGGAATTGACAAATATAGTCTCTATGTGATAGAAGCTTCTACGTTTGGCTACGTTCACTGTCCAATCTGAGCGTGGCTGGCGTTGACGGGTGACTTGTGAGTGACCTTTGTCCGATTTTGATCAGCCAAAAATCCGCCTGCGGACAAATGGTGACAGATAGGTACCTGGTAGAAAGATACCCGCGGATATTGCCGGCCAGGTTGCAACTAGAGTGAGTACAAGGCCGGTGCGGATGGCTAAGGTTGGATATCAACATATCCCGAGGTCACTGACATCCTTGCCACAATCGAAAATCTTTGGGTCGCCTCAGTGTTAACCTTGAAAAGTTATAGGGCTTATTTTTTTTACTGGCTCTCCTGCTATATGAATAGTCCTCGCGTTTCTTCTCTTCCCTAAGTCTATCCAGGATTAAGTCCATTGAGTTTGATTGAGTAAAATTAGAGTTGTGATCGGCAAATAGAGTTTATAGAGCCTCATATAGACCTGATATACCAAAAATAAGGTAGGGAACACGTATGTACTGGGATCAAATCGACAACACATTTAATCATTGGCTACATACATGGCAGAGACAGCCAGCAAAAGGGTGGTGAAGCGGAAGAATATGGATTCAAATGCCGAATACAGAAGCCAACATTAAGCACAACAAAGGTATTGATCGCTATTAACGAAATGAGAATAGTCGTGACGAGACATCAATTACCGATAGAAAGAAGCCGGGTTCGAGGCTGCTGCACCACCCTGTGAAGGCTGGTAGGCTTGGTACTCACCCGTGCTTGCAGCCGGAGGTGCCGGGTTGTAGGATGTATACTGTTGTTGCTGTGCTGTTCCGGGTACCGGTGGAGGCTGGTGCGAGGGAGGGGGCTGATGGCTACTGGGGGAGCTAGGATAGGGGGTCTGTTGCTGTTGTTGCTGGAACTGGGGTGGGATTTTAGGCATGTTGGAGGCAGGCGGGATCTGAGGTGTCTCCTCGGGGGAATAAGCCGAGGGCGGATAGTCTTGCTGTTGTTGCTGCTGGTGGTGTTGGAACTGCTGGTGGCCAGCAGGCGCAGCTTGGGCAGCTGGAGGGTACTGCATGCGCTGACCAGGAACAGTAGCAGGCTGATCAACAGGTGTATCATACACAGAGGTCCCCAGTTCTTGAGGGTTATCGTATGTAGACTGCGGGTGGTGATGAACAGGTTGGTAGGGATCGGCCTGGGGTGTTTGCTGCTGCACTGCCGGCGACCCCGCTTGACCTTGAGTACGGGGATCAGGGGAGTGAGAGGCTGGGCGGTACGGCATGGTCTGCTCGCTGACAGGGTATGGCCCGTATGCGTTTGCTTGGGCCGGCGTAGTATCTGACAAGTCCATGTTAGACCTCGGAGGCAGTGGGATGATTCCTAGAGTCTACAAACCTTGAGGCCGGGGAGTGAAGTATCGAGGATCTGCCTGAGGAGCAGATGGGTACCCAGCAGGCGCAGCGCCAGGATAACCATACTGTTGCTGGGGAGGTCTTCCGTATTGCGGCTGCGCTGGGTGCGCCAACGACGCCTCTAGGAGGGACTCGTAATCGCGACGAGCTTTGATGAACTTCTCATTGAGCTGGGTGAATTCATCTAAACATGTGTGAGCAGAATTCCCTTGATCAGATAATCAACTGTCTTGTTACCTTTCTTTTGCGTATATTTGCCGATCAATTCGATGAGCTTGGGCCGGATTGCAAGTGTAGCCTGGTAGAGAGTAGTAATCTCTTCATTTTCATGAACATTGAGATCTGGGTTGCGAGTGCTCAGCAGAGTCAGTAGTTTTTCAACACTCTTGATCTGCCCAAAAACGTCAGCTTCCATCTGAGCTTCGCGCTGGAGCTCATCCACAGTGGGATCTGGGAGTTTCTCGACATAGTTGAGAGGGAAGATGCCAGTTTGGCCTCTCAGAGATCCCTTCCACCAATCCTTGTAAACCGATTCAAGGACTGCAATCGTATCGCCTTTGCGGAATTGAAGCTCGCCAGGCTCGGAAGGTTGGAAGTCAAACAACGCTCTCACACGCGACACAGTGGCCACCGATGTACCCGAAAGTACAGCTTGAGCTTCAGCGGAATCTGCTTGATTCATTGGAGTTGGTACCGATGCAGCTGCAGTTGCAGATGATGATGCCTGAGCTCGAGATTCTGCCGGAGTAGACGCCGATGGGATTGCCTTGTCTTTAATTGAGAGAGCCAGTGCCATTTGCAATTCTTCTTCCTCCTTCTGGCGATCAACATCAGTGATCTCACGCTTGCCTGGTTTCGACGGTGGCTGCAGATTCGGGTCTTGATATCATCAGCCAAGCTCAATATCTATGACAGGAAATGGATTCTCACTGGTGGTTTTTAATTTCATATAAGCTTGTTCCATAATACCAAAATCTGGGTTTGATGAAAACATCTGCGTCCATTCCTCCATCCGCTCCAGAATTTTAGACTTGACTTGTTGATGCGTATTCTGGAAGATCCATAGTTAATATTTGCGACTTGGGGGTAGAATTGGCTATTTCTTACACGGTCGTTCGCCAGGCGCAATAGTGCATCGGTAAAGCTTCTGGAGGCCAACTCGCGATGAATCTTCAATCCGCAGTTTTGCGACAACGCATTTCCAAGCTGTGAGCCAGTCAGTTTATGTTGACTAGCAGAAGAAATCGCCGCGCTTCTATGGGCACGGATATATGGCCACGAACCTCCAATGTATAAAGCTGGACGTTGGCATTTCGGTGAGCCAGCCTCTTGATCATGGCAGCCACAGCCTCTTTCGCACTGCATTGCCGGAACTCGCAATCAGCAACTGTTCTTCGCCCATATTTAAAATATGCTTCAATTCGGCGTGAGCCACATACCCTGATTCCTCGGAACCAACTTTGTCACAGACATCCTATACCACAACGCCGAATCAGTTTCCCATGTCTGAAGCCTGTACCGAATGTGAGAAGTCGCTAAAATCCCATATAAAACGCACCAGAATATATTCCCAGTTCTCAGAAGTCAGGTTCTCGTCCGTCGCCTTGGCTATAAACAGACAAATGTCAGTCATCGCATGTCATGGGCAGGTTCAGTGGATACCAGGAAGATTCGCTCATAGCTAGCCAGGTTCAGGGCCGCAGGTATATTTGACGGGGTATATAAAACGGCAAAGCTTACCAACGGCATCGTCGAAGTGATTTGGCTGCGCGCGAAACATCGCGAATGTAGGTCGTCAACCGTCGCGGGTAATCACCGGGAGGTATGTGGATTAGCGGAGCAGTCGGACAGCGGTCCTAGGCGTATGACGAGCGGATGGTCTGATATTCACGTCGCAGAACTTCGGCGACAGGTCCCAATTAGATTTCTGTATCGAAAAGCAAGCTCTCTTTTTAAAGAGTTGGCTATGTGACTTGCAGCGATGGTCCTCCAGCACCGAATGCGGGGAGTCGGCGACAACGAATGGTGTGGCAAGGCTGTGGGATGATGCGGGCGGTGTGAAAATCACAGAGGACCTTGGCAAGGAATGGTATAGCAAGCGACTGATATTGCAGTGCTGGATCTTCGTTAATCAGTGTCCTGAGTTGTTCAGGGACAGTGTTGGGGTATTGCGGAACTCGTCACCTGAGTCAGCATATGACGACGATGCCCAGCCTCAGGTACTTTGGGAACTGTCGGGTTACTATTAGCCCGGTTTGTAGAAAGTGAAGATAAATTTCGCTTCTATGGCTGCCTTGGGGCGGATCCTCGAATATTATCTCCTTTGTTTCTGACGTCTTCCATTTCCAATTTTCTGTTCCTGCTGACATTTATGAGCTTACTACTAGGCTGCTGCATTTCTTCTTGACGGAGTACTGATGTGGTTGTGGCTGAATATACCTCCACTACAAACTTTTCACCACAGATGGAGATAAGAAGGAATAGCAAGGCAGAATTTGAAGGTAGCTGCTGGTATTCAACATAAGCTCAAGCGACAGAACGAGCAATAGAACTACAAGAAATTACATAGAAACCGAGATCAACGCATGGTGAGCGGCAAAGCAAAGGTCACAGGCAACGTGCTCATGGATTAGAATCCCTCTCACCGACAATCGATGTGGAGAGGTAAATAAAGGAGTAAATTGGGTACATAAAATCGGATTCCCAACGTACGGTAGTTGCACGTCAGGATCTAGAAGAAACATCGAGAGTGACGGGGTATCTGAGCAAGACGTCAAGAGAGATCAAGTACGACGAAATAAAACCGAAACATAGGAAAACGTGGTCATTCATCTGCCTCCTTAGGCGCCTCCTTTTTGGGCTTTTTCTTGGGCGCGGCTGATGCGAGCAGCCTTGACCAAGGGGGCGAGATGCGAGAGTGGTGCACAGAAAGACATGAATGGGTGCTAAAGGGCGGAAGGTCAGTCAATCATCATCGCGAGGGTAATGGGGGTTGAACACGAATAAATACCTTCAGTAGGTCGTGTGCCGACGCCCGCTTCTCCGGATCAACCTTCAGAGCAAAGTGAAGGAACTCGCGGAAGATCGGGGATAGGTTATGCTCATCTTTGATGGTGGGCGTTCCGTTCGTAGCAATTAGATATAGTGCGCGCAGGGGCGATTCTGTCAGGTATGGCGGTTCACCCTCAATCATCTCGATGGCCATGATGCCTAGACTCCAGATATCGACCTTGCGGCCATACTCTTTACGAGTCACGACTTCGGGGGCCATCCAGTATGGGGTGCCAACCATGGTGTTTCGCTTATTCTGCGAGTCGTTGATTTGAGCACAGAAACCGAAATCAGCTGGGAATTATTAGCACCATTTTTTTCGATGTGATACTGGGTAAAACTTACTCAGCTTGATGTTGCCATCCATGGACAGCAAGATGTTGTCGGATTTGATGTCCCGATGGATCACACCCTTGGAATGCAAATGCTGGAGGCCGCTGAGGGTCTAATGGAGAAATAATCAGTATGTCATGATCCACCATCCAAACAAGTAGAGCCATTTGGCACTCACCTCTCTGCAAACAGCGGCTATCTGTCCCTCATTCATAATGTTGAAGGTAACCACATCTGTGAGACTGCCACCCTCCATATATTCCATGACAACCCAGAGATCAAGTCCATGCAGGAAGCTCTCCAAGAAGTTGACAATGTTCTTGTGCTTGCTATCCTTCATGACCAAGATTTCGTTGATAATCAAGTCCTTCTTGGGCTGCAAATCTAAATTCATCTGCTTGATGGCGACGCAATTATTGTGTGGATGCTCATATGCTGTAAACACACCCCCAGAGGCACCTTGGCCGATCTTGTTGAGATTGTAGTATATTTGCGTAGGATCGCCAGGGTGACAGATCAGCATCAAGCGTGCTCTGATATCCATGGCACTGCTCTGTCGCTGCTGGCGCTGTCTGGGTCTGGCAGCAGGCGGAGCACGCACGGTGGGTGACACCCCAGACGAAAGATCGGGGGCTGGCGCACTTGTTGACGTAGAGATGGCGGGAGGATGTTGTGCTTGCTGGCGTTGGGTGCGATTCCGATCCAATGCCTGCTGAGCGGCGGCCATCACTTGCTCCTGTTGCCGCTGGTATTGTGTTGGGGATGCGATAACATTCGAAACGCCAGGCGCAGGTGTGCCATTTTGGGAGCTGGAGGGACTGCGATGGGGCGATACTGGCAATGGCTCGGTCTCCGGGATAGTTGGAGTGCCAAACGTAGGGCCATAACTTTCCTGGGGGCTTCGTTGCTGAATTGGGTATACATTCGGAACCGGTGGTTGAGGGGGAGGGCGAGAGGGAGTCATGCCGGTCGGCGGCTTCGGGGGCGCACGATGGGGTACCATACCTCCCAGCGAAGGAGACATGACCGCCGTGCCTGCCGGAGGTCCGCGAGGAATGGGTGGAGGTGATCGCGGGTTCTCGAAGCTGTTTTCGTGATTTTGTGGGAATCGAGGGCTGCCCGGTGGCGATGTTTGTTCTCGTGGGCTCGTGGCTTGGGAAGCTTGGGCAGCTTGCGCATTATCAAATTTATGCCATACTTCATCATCACTGTCGCCTCGCGTGTTCTTCTCGTAAAAGCGCATGATATCCATCATAGTCTGTGGGTGCTCTTCCTGCTCCTTCTTCGAGATACCGTTCTCTTGTAGTAGCCGCTGCCATTCTTTGGGAAGACCGGTGAATTGACCGGTCTGGTTGTCATAGCCAACATGTGTGACATGGACCGGATTCTCTGGGGCCGAAATTTTCATGTTGCGACCGGGCGTTCCAAGCACACTATCCACAAATCTGGAGAAGCTGGCCTTCTTACTCTGTCTCGTTCGGGAAGGAATTGGAGTATTGTCATCATCAGAATACCGTTTGACAGGATTTTGAGGCTTTTCGGCCTCACGATGCGTGAAAGAATCCATCCGTTGCGTTAGAGTGGTGAAACTAGCTGACTGACGAAGTGAGTGGCGTCCGCGGGTATCGGGACTAGTATGGTGAGAGCGGAGTCCAGGTTGCTGCTGTGAATGAGGATCGGTCTCGGCGCTGTTCTCGTCTAAAGCACTGAGCATGCCCCGCGTTTCGTAAGGACCATTCAATTCATCCGAGCTCTGCTCGTTGTAGGAAAAGCGATTGGAGCTGCGGGTGCGGGCGCGGGAGGTGAAGTTGGAGAAGAAGCCACTTGATTCGTCGTTGGAAGGCGATGGTCCGCCACTGTTCTGCTCGAGTGATGACGACGAAGAACCGGGAAATTGTGCGTTGGATCGCGACCGATTATGCTCGCGACTGCTACTGGGAGAGGAACGCGGGTAGACGGGGGCGGATGGGGTACGTTTCAGCGATGTGGTGCTTTGATGAGTCCGAAGAATGCGCGAGCTCAAGCTAGGGGGATCCTTGTGAAGTTTGGTCGATGCTCGGCGGAATTTCAATGGAAAATTATCCTGATTCATGGTGGGCAGAATTCTGTCTCTACACGAGACAGATTGAGATTGGGCCGAGGAGGGGTCAGATGCAGGAGTTTTTTTTCCCTCGACCAACCAGATTCACGAGCTGGGGGAATTTTGGGCCGCGGAGAATAACCGGGTCCCCGAAGATTTTCGAAGATGGTTGGAATGGAAGATTGGAAAGGAATATGGAGAAGAGAGGAGGTTGATCGCTAGCACGTGGAGTCTGGAAAAGGAGTCGGGTGGCTGGGTTGACAGGTTGGGGGGGGGTTGTATGGCTATTCTACTTGTAACAACCTCGAATTTCGAATTTGATGGACTTCTCACAAATTAAAATCTCATCGATATCAGGTTTGCAAATATGGCATTCATGCTACTGCGTTGTAGACCGTCAAAGGCTTCCAAATGCATTCCCCAGCCTAAGAATAGAAGTGGCTTCTACTCCGGACCCCGTCCCTATTCCTCCGATATAGTTAACCGTTTCGATACGAGAGCTGATCCACTATATGCAACTCCTAAAATTCTGCGTTTTTCTTCTTTCTGCCTTCTTGTCGGATTTGACGGGCATTCCTCAATTGCAACACCTGGAAATGATGCGAAGTCCTGACTTGGGATGTCTCCAGATTGATGGGGGAGATAGCTCCCTCCACCGCCAGACCGAGATCTGAAGCAAACGCGTGGTTAAAGTACCTGCAACTCCGTTCAGGCCCCTTTTGCCCCTGACAGCTGGACATGTCCCGAAAAGGTTAACCCGTACAGGTGGACGGGGCAAGTGTGACAGAAGCAAGCCAACGCCCAGATGAACGAGCGTTAGGCATTGGGCTCGTGTGGGATGCATCCTGGCATCCAAACGCGATCTCTGTCGTACAAATGACATTGGCTCGGCTGCAGGCTTTGAGGCATCTTTCTTCCACATGCGCCACCGTTGGATCTCGTCCTCAATGGGCCGTGGTGAATTTTAATTTGATCTGATCCCGTTCATGCCTCGCCAATGTCTCGTCTGTTTTCGCATTGCGTTCGGGAGAACTCGTCATTTATCTCAGTTCGGGTCAGCATCTCCATGACGGCTTTTGCGATAACTTGACACCCCCGTGAATATTGGGCTCAACTATTATTGAGCGAGAGCGAATGAGATGCAATCGGGAGGCCAAGGAAATTTTTCCACTGACCAACCTTGGAACTTTCATTTAACGGGCGTCATCTTGTTTCATGACATACTCTGAAACACGAAATCTTGTGCCGTCGGCAAATGTAAATCTAAAAACCTTCAGTGATCGCACATAATAGAGTTCCCAATCGACGTACTGTTCATATAGGCTCAACTTGAAATGTCGGTTATATGTACTTTCTACTTAATAGTACTTACAATTCCCAGCATAATTCGCGGTATCCACTACCTAGGTACTTTGTCGACGGTACGGAGTATGTACATAGTTACGGCGTGCATATAATGAAGTTAGGAAAAATGGCCCACCTGAACACTGTTTCAAAGTCTAACGTTCCCATATGGCGAGAGATCATGATACTTGCAGTTTCTTTCTGTTGCTTCAGAATATATGCCCTCGGAAAAAAAGAACCTATGTTCAGCTACTCCGTACAGTACACCGGTCTACGAAGTATATGGCTGGAATGCGCCCCTCTACTGTGATCTACTATCAAATTTATGCCATATCTATCACTATTTTGAATACATATTGGTCTAAATTAATAAATGGAGGGAATGATAATATTTAGAGGTTTGGGACTGCTTGATTGTGGGTCAGACAATAAAAGGTAGCTAGGTAGTATACTCGTGCAGCGTTTCCACGGGGAATTTCAATGGCACAAAGCTATCCCTATACTCAAGTAGGAAGATATTTTGTAGAGTAAATCGGTAGTTGAATGGGCAAGAGCAAAATGCCTGTTCAAAAGAAGGTCTGAAGTTGCCTAGGTACCTACCTGGGAGAACGACATGGATGTCGAAAACGACTCTACACCATGCAGTGCTCGAATAGGAAGTGTTATGAAGATCCCTTCACCGTTCTCATGGAAGAGACACCCATATAGGCTGGTCCTTGGGAAGGGGAAAAAAACAGGGGACATCGGCCGAGAGTCGGAAATTACCTCCTCTGTCTCCGTTGAATTTTCCGGCCAGACGTCGCGATAGGAACAAAGGCATTGTCGGTCCTTTGAGCACTGCGCTATCCTCTAAACGGGTAGCCTACAATCTAGCGACCTCCAATCTCATTTTCCACTAGACAAGAGAGATTGCTTGATATCACTTGAATCCATTCTAAGCTTGAATTTATAAACACTTTCGTACAAAAAACAGCTCTCTCTCGTAACTGATGGCCCGGGATAATTCTCTTACCTTCCTCGGGCATCATCGGTCAAAGCCTGACACTTAAGGCCTTCGTTGGGAATAAAGACTACACATATCTACTCGCCACGCGACAGATGAGCTCTTTATATCTAGATTTTCAGCAACATTCACACAGTTCCCATGGTCCATTATCAAAATTTCGAAGGTCAGTGTGAACAAGCATTCGCTCACGGCCAAATTCGTCAATATCCCCATACGACCCGCAACAGAGTCAATCGCAACAAGAGCATTTTCAACACTAGAAATGGTGACATGAAAGATCTTGGTGGTTTATTCTAGATATCTATGGCCTCCTCTGTGCGATACTTCGCTACTGCTTGACATATACCTAATGTACGAAAAAAACTCATAACAACAACATCTTGCTTTCCAGCGACACAGGTATCCCATTCACTAGAGTGAATTTCCCTACCCCAGCGGTACATAGAGATATGGTAAACCATCTTCGAGAACTCGTTTTTCATGACTTCGAGTTAGCCTTTCTCTTCATATGTCCTCCCCCGCCGAAATAAACCGAGAAGGATTTTGTAAATAAACTTGTGGTCTATATTGATTCTCAAATATTCTTGACAGGTTGAATTCGAGTTTCTGACTTACTATCTGGGAAACAGGCAGTGCTAAAGTAAAGACCAAATCGAGAATAAAGGCTCTGTCAAGACAACCTTATGATCAGATAACTCGGAGGCCGTGGGTATTTGAAAAGATTAGAATGGTTTGCCTAATCGGGAGACATTTCCCTGGGTTGTAGGCCAACCCGCGACTTTCACGCATAGACGTGGGTGTTTGGTTGTTTGCGCTGAACATTCACAGCCTACATGTACGCTTTCCTCACCACGAAAACCTTCTTCCACGCACTCGTCTCCTAACCTCCAACTCCTCTGCTTTGATTTTCTATCAGCACAATCCAGCCCAGCGACTCATTTTGCTATCAAGCTTCCATAATCGGTAAGTCTTCTGGCATTGCCACGACCTCTTTTTGCGCCGTCGCATCTTCTCTTGTTTTCGTGTCTATTTGTCCCAGGATCGTCGTCGGTGTTTACATTGCCAGTTTTTTTTCTGTTTTTATTACATATTCACTCACTATGTGTCCAGTTTAACATCGATAACCCTCCAAGATCACTAGGGAATCCGGTACCTAGTCTCTTGCTAGGTCTTTTGTCTACCTCGTGACACTTCTCCTCGACTCGCATACGAATCGTTTTATTTCCTTGGGTTAGCTGTTTGCCCTGATCAGATGGTTCTAGTTCTAATGTCTCACAGTGATATTTCTCAGCCCTGAAGGGTCTCCTGACGTGTTTCCTGGTGTTTCCCTGGAGTTTTCCTGTCTGTAATATCTAAGTGATGGCTGACATCGGTAACTCCCCTCCCACTATGGCCACAGGCGAGGAAAATACTGTCAACTATATGTTGGCCCGAGTCTTGTCTGGGGGCTCAATCTACAGGAAGACGGAGCTTAGTCTTTTTTTTCCTCGGTGGTTTAAATGTGTCAAAGAGAATAAGCCGGTCCCTTCACGACTGCCGGAACTTCTGACGCGGGTTCTGCGTCCCTGGGGCACTCCAGCTGCCCGTGAGAACTCTCTGGAAATTCAAGCCCGCGAGGGTCTTCCTGCTGAACATCAATGGATGGTAGAGCTTCATATTCTCATGACAGATGAAGCAGATGAAAGATTCCTGCAGCATTTGGAATCTTTGCCGGATCGGGTCATATCTTTCGATGAACTGTATCTGCAAGCCGAAGGTGAAGAGACCATTAAATCCGAGGATTAGAGCGCGATACTGATACCATTAGACCCTAAAGATGACAATACAGACAATTCGAGCGACTTTCTCGTTGCCGACCCCCACCGAACCCTTCAATTCGACTATGAAATTCGTGATGTGATGACACGAGGCGACAGGAACGAAATGAGGAAGCACCAAGACGTCTTCTATGTGACCGGTATCGTTTCGTGGACTGTTAGGTCGCCTTTCTGGAATATCGCATTGGCCACGGATGATGCAGGCATTCGCTTTCTCTCAAATAAGACATTGGATCGAGTTCTTCCGAAATGGAGACAAATCCTCACCGGCGACAAGATTCCCACTGCGAGATATGGCGTCACTGATTCTTTCCGTCAGTGGCTGGCAAGTGAGAAACGAAAGGCCATCGATCTCGGCAGACCTTGGCCAGAAACGCCCGTCAACGTCGCTTCTTCGGTCTCAAAGCCCAAGAGCTCGGGGCCCAAGTCTACGAGCTTCATATCTCGCCTTCGCTCCTCGGCTCCTAGCCGGACCTCCCCCACTGAATTCGACTTCAATGCAAACGACATCGAGCAGACTGAATTGCTTCGAGAAATACTGACGGAAGTTAAGGATTTGAAGCTCATTATGAAAAGTTTCCTGCCGAGTAGTGAAGAGCTTATGCGTCGGGACCTTCATAGCCCGGAAATGCAAGTCCACGAACCTTGGCAACAGCCTTATCCTGCCGTTCCCCAGGGACCCAGCTATGCGACAATGCAACCATTTATGGCGCAAAACGGTCGCGTAGGCAGTCCTCAATTCGATTCTACTCCAGCCGATCAAGATTGGCAGCGCTGGGACGCCGCGTACCACACCCCTAGCCATGTGTCAGCTCCGGGGCCTGGTTATATGCGTCGTCCATAAAAACGCCCAAACCAAAATGCAGTGACCTTCATGTTAGAGTATGTGCTTTCGAGGTGGAGGGTGAGTCAGACTACCGAAATATCGAGAAAAGAAAGAAAACAGCGAGATTTGAAGTGGGGATGATGAGGAAGGATTCGTGAAGGGGAAGATTGGATGAGCAATTCCGTTTTTCCTGCAATGTAGATTATGATGTCATGTCATAGAGTATCTGATCGATGTATTTGTCAAGTTGTCGACGATCGAACCCACCCCTTTGCTGTCGATTGTACAAACTCCAAATATTCGAGAGCTTCGGGCAATAGATGTCCATGTTTGTAGTCAGTGAAGTGAATGATCAGATGGTAAATTTACACCAGAGAGATAAATAAGGATTTAGCTATTGGGAATTGCAAATTTATTGATGCTGGATTTTATGACCGATTCTCGCGACGATATTGATATCACGCAACTATTCAGCGCAGTTTGTGGTTTTCTTCAGGGAGAGTTCTTATACTGTCATTATTCTAATATAGCCCCATTTAAGTATCTAAATATGAGAGAGACGTTTGGAATGTCGGGATCTGATATTGCTGATTGAAAGGCGGATTCGTGTCTGATTGCTTAGCCGGTTTAGAACACGCCCCTGATGTCAACACATATTTCTGCGTTCAAGAACTGTTCAACCCAAAAATCTCCCCATTGGTAAGTCTTAAATCCGTTGGTTCTAATCCACAGAGAAGCGAAATTCACATGCTTTTACATAAGTGATCGTCCATGGAGATCCCGGTCTGGAGAAGGCGGCTGTATGTCTGTTACCTTATTCCCCATAGCAACCCTTGGAAGACGTGGTAGCCACGTATTCCCAAAAGGACCATGTGGTTTCATCTTTTCGAGGTTAAAGGGCGTGGGATAATAAACGGCTAGCATTCGATCAGTAATACGTGTTACCAGGCCGAATTGATATACCTAACAAAGCGAATGGGTGATGAATTACTATGAGTGATTGGGCTCTATTGGGGGGATTGTTCTGTCAAAAGCAAAAATCCTTTTGTGCTCATCACGAGAAAGATGAAAGAGACAAAGAACAAGAACAGCATCTGCGTGCCCTCGATCTCTGCCGCCTCTCTTGGCCCCGGAATAGATATTCTTAGGACACTAGCCCAGCCTTGTCGCGGCAGTGCAACCTCCAAATACCCGATGAAGCCTGTTATTTCTCGTCGAGTCTTACAAGCCAATCTAAAATATCATGTCTGGCCCCAGAGCCTCGACTGGACCCCTTGCCAATATCTGCCCTAGCATGGCGGTGTAGCATAAGGCTGTTGACCAAGCCCTATGTTGTATATCAGCCCAGCTGAAGTATTCTCCACCCGTGTTGCCAGAAAGATTAATTGAGAAAAACCAATGAGAATGACCGGAGGGTATGATGCGCCCAAGTTCGGCGTTGGGTCCAAAGCGGGGTCCAACGAGGCTCAATAGCTGTGTTGTTTGATTTGACGATTTCTAGCGTCGATGTCATATTCTAGTGCCGATGACATGGGCCATGCCTGTGTCTCGTATCGGGCATTTTAGGTCCCTGAACAAGGTGATGCAGACCAAGCTGAATAGGTCCATTTGATAGGATTTTGATCAAAATGAGCAAAAACTCACTCTGCCTTTTGCATATATTCAGCGATCTGCGAAGGCTGTGATGACTTCTCGTGACACACTCTTTTGTAGCTTCTTTCGATCTCAAATACTCGATGAGCTAGTTGTCGGGGGTCGGAGCTCCTGGTACACAATAGACAGTGATTGGCCGACATCTGGTCCACATGGACGCAGATCATCGCTCGGACCAGCAGGCGTAAACAAGAATCAAGCCACCCAAGTTTAGCATATGATGTACTCCGTATTTCATATGACCACGTTGCCTAGAGCCATCGGCAAGGATAGAGCGGGATGGGATTGAAATTGCAAACTTGACCTCCAGCTGAGTAAAACTCGCTAGTGTGAAGAAAGTTACTGCCCCTTGCTGGTGAGAATGTGGAACCAGCACACACTCGCAGCGATCAGTACAACCCATATCCAGTTCCTAGCGCTGCCGAGACTGGTGCCGAGCCATTTAGCCTCTAAATCGTGTGAGACGGTCATCGGTGTAACTCATGCGGGGGATAGGCGAGATGCAAGATGTAGTTGAGGCTAAACACAACTTGCATCGACTGCGCCTTGCTCCATAAAAACGGGGTACGAGAGACATCACATTAGAAACACAAATGGTCAACACTTACCTAGGTAGGTAACCCTTTGTTGATGTCACAAGTGACTCTTGCTTTTGATTTGTCTTGAGGCTCCACAAGAGAACGTAGTGCTCCTTGGAAGCTCAGTAATGAGCTCATCCCTTTCGACATCGAGTCCAGACTAGACTCAATACTAACATGCGCCTTACATTGCCCAGAGACGATGGACAGGGGTCGACAGACGATGATTGGATCAGCTGTGTCTTGTCCATGTGAAATGATCATACTTCGGGCCTCAAGAAAGCTGCGTGGGGGAGCTGCGAATGGCGCCGACCAACTCAACATAAATTGGACTCGATTTCTCCTTCCCCCGATATTATTCTAACAACAACTCATTGCTTTCGGCCTAATTCTCCCCCGCCTTCCTTTTTGTGTATACTGTTATCATGCTTGGTCTCATCCCGCTTCTCTTTACGGCGCTCGCCAGTGCATACCCTAATCGGGGTCCTTGCACTGGCAACTGCTGGGCACATGATCCTGCTATGATCCAGCGTGTGTCTGATGGTAAATATTTCCGCTTCTCGACGGGCACTGGTATTCCCACACATAGCTCGCCATCGGTGAAGGGTCCATGGGAGGACATTGGCTCAGCGCTGCCAGATGGAACTAAGATCCACCTCGATAACGTGGACAGCACAAACATTTGGGTACGATACACTCAACACCCCAATAGATCGGTTTTAGATCAAGAGTTGATTGTTTTCATTCTATAGGCTCCCGATGTTCACTACCAGAACGACCAGTACTACATGTACTACACTCTATCACAGATCGGCACCCGGAACTCACAGATCGGTGTTGCAACCTCCAAGAACATGGAGCCCGGTAGCTGGACAGACCACGGCGCTATCGGTCTTCCTGCTAATGACAACTATAACCGCATCGACCCCGCCTGGATCAGCATTGGTAACAAGAACTACATGAACTTCGGCTCTTTCTGGGGCGACATCTTCCAGGTTGAGATGGAATCTCCCTTGAAGGTCGGCGGTGCAACTCCCTACCAAATCTCATGGAACTCTACTCTCAACCACCGCGAGGAGGGTTCTTACGAGTTCAAGCACGGCGATTACTACTACCTCCTCTACTCTGCCGGTATCGCGGGCAAGTACACGAAGACATTCCCTGCCGAGGGTGCCGAGTACCACATTCGCGTTTGCCGATCCAAGACCGGTCTGAATGGCTTTGTATGTTCCGCACTCTTTACTTTGAATGATCTACATTCTAACGTATATCTCTCAGGTTGATGCCGACGGAAAGTCCTGCAAGGAGACCGGTGGTACTATGCTTCTCTCCAGCCACGGCCAGGTCTTCGGACCCGGTGGCCCTGGTGTTGTTCACGATAAGGATCTTGGTGTGGTGATGTACTACCACTATTACCCGCTCGATATCAAGAAGAGCATCACCGAGCCCAACAACGCCAACTATCGGTACGGATGGAACCAGCTGGGCTGGAAGGACGGCTGGCCCTTCGTCAAGGCCACTTAATGCACATAATTCTCGTGGCAGGCCCGCGAGGCCGATACATACCTCTTTGTCACAATTCTTTTTCTTCTCTTGTCAATGATTGGGTGTTCATATACTTTTGGATTGGTATTACACTCGTTTGATCGATACCCATGCCGTTTTGGCATCTGTCATGATAAGCTTCCTTTCGTGTCTGCCCGATTACTTTAATGCTTTAATATAGCCCCGATATTATTATTTGGATAATCGAACAGCTTGAATATCTATAATATTTATGCTCTATTGAAGAGAATAGAGTCATCGGTTAATCTAGCTGTAATTTCCTTGATACTCGATGCAGGATTAAACTTCCTATTCTGCATTGCGCCACAAACATTCTTCAGAACTTGGACCCTGCCACATGCCGGAACTCCAAACTCCCGGATCCAAGAGGATGGAGCTGAAAGCTAGCACGGGCTTGTGAGAAATGTCACTGCCATTCTTCCTAAGCATTTGGATGAATACGCCGACATAAAGCCGTTGATTGTCTCCACTATGTCCACAATCTAGCGAGCGAGATCCCATAGGAATGTTCGTATACCCACATAGTTATGCGACATGCCGGGGAATTTAAGATCATGGGTGGCTGGAAAATAAACGTGCTCGGTGAGTGACATGACAAAGGACGCATTCCAATAACTTCCAATCTTGGAAGGTTAACGGCGAAAAATTGATTCCAGGCTGGTATATTCAATTTGAAGATCCGGCAAAAGTCTCCATAGTAGGGATGACCAAGATACCCGTGGCACTTGGGCAAATAATAGTTGGGCTGAGAGTCTGTGGCAATAGGCGAGCTATCGTGTTAATGTTAATGCCGATGGCATTGATGTTTGAGAATGAGAGACACCATGTCCATGCAGATTTTCAACCCCGGTACGGAGTACGAAGTACAGAGTTCTCCAGGTCTCGGTGGTGATATTGCAATATGCTGCTATCCCTCCGATGTGCATTTTTCTCATACATATATGTTGCACTGCGACAGATTTCCATATCAACCCATGGCCTAAACTCTATTGAAAGTGGCCATCTGAACTTCTTGCCCTGGCTCCTTGGATAGAGAGTCCCTGCCCTCGTTGTTTCATTGTCTGGTATTTGTGTTTTCCTTCGTTTGCCTTAAGTCTCAGGTATCCGAGCCTAGCTCGTCTGTGTAGATCTGCGTGCTCTATTTGCCGAACAAGCTATGTTGGGTCTAATGATATATCCTTGAGTGGCTCTGGTCGCCCTCTATCTATTTACGTTGGTTATGGAGATACATAACCAATGAAATGGCTTGATCACGAACTGATCAGGCATTTCAAATATCGTAGTGACAGGCATAAATCCTAGGAGTTCTATGTGAAATGGATGTATATTTAAGCACTAACCCTAGTCACGGAACCTTATTTGCATCTCATCTACAAGATTGGGAACCACAAAGCACCAAAGAACCCAATCACGTCGGACATATGACTCCGTATACATAGTCGAGATTGTCTTCTTCGAAGTTCAAACCTTCCAAATACCTGGTGAAATCAGTGTGGTCTATTGTGCCCCGCATAAACGAGGAGACTCCTGGCGTTATCTGAACCATGTGGACTTCTTATCGGTTTCTAGTAGCTTCTCTCCTTTTTTGAAGGGCGTCTTGCCTTGGGTCATATAATATGACCTGTAACATGATATTCTACGGGTCGTAGATACTCCGTATAGATATAGGAGATCAAGCGCCCACTGTTAAGCGTTACGGGAGAACATTCTCTCGCCGATGGGATTGTGGTCGAACCGAGATACTTTCTTTTCTTTTCTTTTGCTTCTTTTTCTGTTACGGTCTCATAGTCACGTATGTTGTAATAAGCATTCGGTGTGGATTTGTTACGTTGTTGGGACGCGTGCTCTAGGTTTGTGTCGAATGACAACGTCTTGACCCCGAGTCGGGATGCCAATGGCTTCAATGTCCTGGTGATCGACGGCGATTGAAGATAGCCACCGTGACGTGCATCAAGTATCAGTTCTTTGGCCACCCGCACTTGGCCACGTGTGAGGCGAAATTAGAATTTGGCATATAAATCCCTAAATAACTTCATGGAATGAAAGAAGTTCTCTGATCCTGATTTGTGGGTGCGATCAGACCATTGTGCATGGTGGACTTTGCCCGGACACCAAAACAGGATTGAAAAGGAAAAACGACTGCTTCAATTCCCCAGAGATTGAAAACAATCCAAGAAATCTCACAAAAAATAAAAGGTGAAGCGTTGGCCGTAGGCACGGACTCGGAGAAAACTTCCCCGGAGACTCGAGCTGGCCTTTTCACTTTGTGTACTCTGTTGGTTGTCCGGGGTTCTCGACTTCTCGACCTTCACCTTCACCTCTCTTCCCTACCTCTCTTGCTCCTCCCTTCTTTTCAGGTGGCTTCTCTCTTTGGGCCCCTGTATCTTCTTTCTTCTTATCTTCTCGGGGTTTCGTCGCTTCAAATCCCTACTTTTGCATTTTCTTGAATTGCATCGGCATTCTCCCATTCTCCTGAAAACTATAATACATCTCATATCCCCAATTAAACCGGAGGAGAGATACTCTTTCAATTGTGAGCTCTACCCATTTTGCAATGTCATTGAGAGCACTCTCAGACTGCAGTGATCTGTCCTGATCTGCTGCGATTGCATACTGACCCGGTCCAGTCTTGATTGCAGGATCTTGTGCATAGCCCATTTATCAACCTTGTCTCCAACCCCGACCTACCTGATCAACTTCCATTATTCATAATGGCTTCTGAAGTACCTACCTCTACCAACGGCGGATCCCTCGCTGCCATGTTGGAACAGCAGCACGCCCGCGACGAGGAGCACAAGGCCACTGTGGAGGAAACCGTGGATGAGGAGGATGTGAAACACCCTGCTCCTACCTCTCTGCAACCCGACCAGCCCCTCCTTGTCGATGCCACTACCCCCGAGCCTACCCCCTCCGCCCCGACTGCCTCCCCGTCACCCGTCCCTAAGCCCGCCACCAAAAAGGCACCGGCATTCGATGTGCAATCCGAAGAATTGTTCCCGGCTCTGGGCAGCGGCCCGAAGCCCGCTGCTCCCGCTGCCGCCACATGGGGCGCGAAGAAGCCTTCTTCGGCCGCTGCTGTTGCGAATGGCTTGCCCGCAAAGTCAATGGGTATGTGGATTAGTTTGGAGCTTGTAGGTTAGGACAGATTTCTGATACAGCAGGAACAGAGATCCCCCGTATCATGGCACTCCCCGGAAAGCACATGGAGCAGCTTCGCCTTGCTCCCTCCCAGATGCAACCCCGCGGACAAATGAAGAAGCCTCTCCGTGATATCCTCCGAGACATTTCTCGCAGATCCAAGGCCAACGTTGATATGCGCGGTGGTCCTGGTGGGTCCATCATTTTCGAAGGAAAGGGCTCCGTGGATGCAGTGCGCCAGGCTCTCCGCGAGGTCGCCCAGCAGGTCGGATCTAAGGTATGTGACCCAACATGCGCCGAATGATTCTTTAGACTAATACATTCGTCTTAATAGCAATCCGTCCGTGTTCCCATCCCCACCTCTGCGCGCGCTCACATCATTGGCCGCCAAGGTACCGTTGTGCAGGATATCCAGACTCGCACCGGTGCTCGTGTACAGGTCCCCCGCGCCGACGGTAACGCCGCCGGTGCTGATGATGATGACGACGACACCATTGATATTTTGATCGAGGGAGATGCCGTGGCCGCCGAGATGGCCCGCCGCGAGATCGAGGCCATTGTTAAGGAGCGTGGCTCAAACATGAGCTTCCGATTGAAGACTGTTCCTCCCGAGTTCTTCCCCTTCATTGCAGGTGCACATGACGCCAACGTGCGCGCCATCGAGGAGCGCACGAAGGCGCAGATTAACGTCCCCCGCTATGATACTTGGTCCAGCCAGCCTCCTCCCCAGGAAGCCAACCCTGGCCAGGTCCAGTTCGCGGCAGTGCCTGATAAGCACATTTTGATTTCCGGAGAACGCACTGCCGCACAGGAGGCTCGCGCTGAGATTGAGCAATTAGCTGCTCAATTGCGTCAGAAGCTTACCCTGCGGCAGCTGGCAATCAACCGTGGTCAGCACCAGTTCATTCTGGGCAACGAGGCCGATGCTCTGCACCAGTTCGTTGCTCAGACTGGATGTGGTATTGTCCTGCCCCCTCCCTCTGATGATAGCGAGTTCCTCACCATCACTGGTCCCATTGAACAGATCGAGGCTGGCATTGAACACGCTATGGATCTTGCTACAAGCATGCAGATGGCTAGCATTGATTTGTCTCGCCAGCACCCTACCGCGCCCATCGGTCCTCATGTTCACGCAAGCGCTCTTTCGCAGTATCTCCGCCGTCGCAAGGTCATCAAAGAGCTTGAGTCGACTTACGATGCACACATCGCCCTGCCTCCTAGCGTTGGTGGGCCTGTCACTTGGGAGGTGTACTCTCGTGATGGCAAGAACACCATCCGTGCCCGTTCCGATATCATGAACTTGGTCCAGGCTCTCCCTCCTTCCAGACTCCGCCACGTCCCTGTTGACCCGTACTTCCACCAGTACCTGCGTGACCGCAGCGCTAGCGCCCTCCAGGGTGACTTTGGCGTTCACCTGATGGTTCCGGATGACATTGAATGCCCCGAAGTCGTCCTGGTTTACGAAGGTCCGTCCGCCACCGCCTCTCGCTTCGAGGTCCCCAGACAGCGCCCCTCTCCCGCCGATGTTGCAGCCTTCGAGAAGGGTCTGCAAGAGGCCCAGGATTTCCTCCTGGAAGCTCTCGGAAACCAGGGTGACATTGTTGCCAAGTCGGTTGTTGTCCCTGCCAAGTACCAGGAAAAGGCTCGTAAATTCATCATCCGCGAACAGGAATCCAAAGGCGAGAACAGCATCCCCGTCCGTGCTATTGTCGGTGAACCCAAGAGCGCTCAGTGCCAAATCTCCCTCCGCGGTCCCTCAGCCCAGGTGACTGAACTCGTCGCCAAGCTTGAGGCTTTCGTCGTGGAGCAGGAGAAGGATGATCTGGAGCGTGGTTACACCATCAGCTTCGACTTCCCTCAGAAGTACGCTAACTTCCTGATTGGCAAGCGTGGTGAGAACATCAACAAGCTCCGCGAGGAGTTCGATGTCGATATCAAGGTTGAGAATGGCAAGGTCGAGGTCAAGGGACCCAAGGCCAAGGCGGATGCTACCCGCATGCGCATCATTAACATGGGCAAGAAGTTGGAGGATGAGACTACTCACATCCTTAAGGTCCCTGCCCAATACCACCGCGAGCTGATTGGCCAGCGCGGAAACCAAGTCAACCGTCTCGAGACCCGTTACTCTGTCCGTGTCCAGTTCCCCCGCGCCACTGTTGTCAACGACGACTCTACCGAAACCGGTAGTGATGCTGGTGCCGCCCGCCCCCAGCGTGCTCAGCAGGCTCCCGATGAGGTCCTCGTCAAGGGTCCCAGCAAGGGTGCCGACGCCGCTCGCGACGAGATCCTCAGCTTGCTGCAGTATGTCATTGAGCACGGCCACTCTGCTTCCATCTCTGTCGCTCAGAGCCAGGTTGCATCCCTGATCGGTCAACGCGGCCGTGAGATGGATAAGCTCCGCGCTGATACTGGTGCCCAAATCGATGTGCCCAACGCCAACGATGCGCCGGATGCATCGGGCCGCGTGGAGATCCGTGTCAAGGGTACTAAGCAGCAGGTTGCCGATGCCAAGAAGATCTTGCAGCAGCGCGCCAGCGAGTTCGATGCTACTGTTACTAAGACCATTGAGGTCGAGAAGAAGTACCACAAGGCTTTGATCGGTGGAGGCGGTACGTTTTCATGCAATGTGAATCTTTTCCTCGAGTTACTAACTTATCATAGGTGCCAACATCCGCAAGATTGTCACCGAGGCTGGAGGCCCGACTGACGGCAGCGCCGCCAGAATGGTTCGCTTCCCCCGTCCCGAGAGCACCGAGTCGACCATCCGCCTCGAGGGCAACGGCAAGGTCGTTGACAGCATCATCGCCGCCATCGAGGAGTTCGTCAAGGAGCGCCAGGACCAGGTCACCGAGATCATCGATGTTCCCACCGCCCAGCACCGCATGCTCATTGGCCGCGGTGGTGATACCCGCCGAGGCATCGAGTCCAAGTTCAACGTCACTCTGGACATCCCCAAGCAGGGCTCGGGCCGCACCGATGTCAAGCTCAAGGGCCCCAGCACCGCTGTTGAAAGCGCCAAGGAGCACCTTAAGTCCATGCTGAAGGAGCAGCACGCGGAGACCATTGAGATCCCCAGCCACCTGCACTACGCCATCGCCGACAACGGCCACATCTTCCGTCGCCTGCGCAACGATCACCAGGTCACCGTCGACCACGCCGGTCAGGCCCTCCCCGTCGCCGCTCCCTCCGCCGCCGAGGATACTCGCAGCAAGCCCATCGGTACCGACATGCCCTTGATCATCGACGATCCCAACACCACCACCGACGCTCACTCCTGGACCGTCGTCGACAACGCTGCCAGCGACGCCGACTCCTCTCCCTTCCCCTGGGTCCTCACCGGTACCCCAGAGAACGTGGCCAAGGCCCGCGCCGCCATTGAGAAGGCTCTCATCTCCGCAACCCAGCAATCCGCCACTGGCTTCCTGATCCTGCCCGACCCCAAGACTTACCGCTTCGTCGTCGGCCAGGGCGGTAGCCAGATCAACGCCATCCGCAAGAAGACCGGCTGCCGCATCAACGTGCCCAAGGACCAGGCTCGCGGCGAAGCGATCCAGATCCGGGGCAGTTCCGCCGGTCTCGAAGAAGCCAAGGAGATGATCCTGGAAGCTGTCCAGAACGGACTCCAGGGTTCTTCGCGGTGAGTTGTGGAGGATCATCCTTTTCCGACAGTCATTTGAATCATAGAAACACTGTCCCATACACATTCCCTTCTCTGCTTTAAATGCGAGCGAGCGGGAAATTCAGTCTTCTCTTTTGGATTTTACATTCGATTCTTGTTTTCTTTTTATTATTTTGGTATCTATCTTTTTTTCATGAATATTGGTTTTAAAGAGTTTATTTTTTTATTTTTTCGAATTCTGTATCTCTTTTCTTGTAGCTACATACTTCTTTATGCCAAGGTCAGACTATTGGACTTGGAAGTCAATCCGATTGCCTACTCCATCGAATTCGGGGAATCCCTGTCCAACTCCGTCTGCTCCGACTCGTAGAAACACTAGAACATGATCGAAGCCCATCTAGAACCCCCCACTTTCCACCATTGACTCGGTTGTATCTGGGCACTGGAGAGGGGAAATCGGGATTCCAAAGCAGACCCATCTGCCGGTCCTGCCCGACTCTCTCTATGGCTTGACCCTCAGACACTTATGTATACAACACAGAGCATACCTCCAGGGCTACATGTGTAGATGCACAATTTCCAAAGAAAAAAAAAAAGGTATTAATCCAATACACACATCAATACATAAGAGATAAAAAGATATAAAAAAAATCCAAGGCCCGAAACTCAACGCTCTTTGCTCTTTGCTCTTTTAGCCATAATTTCCCAGTCGGGATTAAAAAAAAAAATCTCTGCATAAGAACCATTTCTAGAATTGTCGTTTACTGCTGCTGAGCCTGCTGGGCCTGGAGGTAGTTGTAAGCGCCGTAGGCAACGGCACCGCCGATCAGGAGGAAGGCGTAGAGACCGACGCCGAAGCCGGAGGCGGAGGAGGAAGAGGAGGAGGAGGAGGAGCTGGCGCTGGGGTTGGCCTTGGGCTTGGGGTCGCCGGGCTGGGGAGTTGTTAGTATATCATGGTGCATGTGATGGGCGTGCTGTGAGGGGAACCGAGGGTGGCACGGGGGAAGGAGGTGGAGTTGGAGTGTTGGACGAAGGGGGGTGGGTACGTACCAGGCGCTTCACGGTGCCGACGAGGAGACCGTCGAGGATCTCGCGCGCCTCGTCGCTGTGGCCGACATCTTCGAAGGCTTCGGTGCTGTCTTGGCCGCCGACGTCGAGGAGGACTTCCTCGCCACCACTGGGGGATTGGTTAGCGTTTTGTGTGTGGAGTGGGTTTGCGATGCGCAAGGAGTGGTGAGGAGCTGAGGTGGCTTCTTATGACTCCTTTTTTTCGATGTTTGCGCGTTGTCGCTTTTTTTCGACAGGGGGATTTCAATGGGAAAATATGGGGAGAACGTACGGGTGCTCATCGACGAAGCTGGTGCAGTCGTAGACCTTGTCGTGGACAATCAGGTAGAGGTCCTTCTTGGTGTTGTGCTTGGCGATCTCATTGAGAGTGATTTCAGTGGTGGCAGACATGATGAATTGAGGTATCTGAGGTGAAGCCTGTCAGTGTCTGAAACTGGAGAAGAGGAGTGGAGTTGGCGATAGGAGAAAACGGGGAGAAATGTTGGAAGATAGTGCCCAAACACTTACGTATAGAGAAACGAGTCCAAAAAAAAAAAAAGAAGCTAGAGTCGAGTGAGATGCAGAGAAAGGAAAAGAACAGAAAAAGAACAGAAAAAAAGAACCCCCAACTACGTGCGGCTGGGCGGTCTCGTGTGGGGCCCAGGTACCGTGTTCGTGATGCCGTGAATTACATCCGGGGCGCTGACGGGGGCCAATGGAGCCATTCTTATTGGATGCGATGATGTGCCATGTCTAGGTCCTTTCAAGGATCTCAAGTGTCTAGAGGGTCTACTCCGTCCATCGTCCATCTTGTCCTCACCGTCTACAGTGTTGAGATAGGACGAATCAGGGGCCGCTTATTACCTCGGCGCACATGAAAAGAGGGAGATCTGGCCTCAACTGCGGAATCACTCGACAAGAGAAATGTCAAATCAGATCATCAGAGCGGAATGGCCACCTTTAACCTCGGGGGGTCAGTCTCCGGATAACGTGATCGGGATCTTTCCACTGTACAAGAATCTCATTCGTAATGCTATGTGTATAATAATATACACCCCCAAGCCCCTGTATCATGTTTACAAATCATAACGCTCATTTCGCTGGAACTCGCTCATAAAACACAATGTACGCTTGCTCGTTCTGTAGCCGGTCGCGCGCCCGTAGGTCGCGCGGGTTGAAGTCGGTGGCCCGCTCGTCGTCAAACTTCCGCCAGCACTGCCGCTCCGCATCGCGGACCAGTGAGACGTAGTGTCCACTCCCCATCGAGGACCCGAGATGCCGTAAAACCGCAAAGGCGTCGTAGGTAAAAGGCGGGACCGTGGCACCCGTAGTGGGCGGTACCCCGGGCTCCGGGGGCGGAGAGGGAGGGTACGCAATCACAAAATCATCCATTCGCAACCCGTGCAGCGGAAATTCGATGGGGGTGTGGATCTTCCGCGCGCTCTGGGTCTTGGATGCGGAGAAGCGCTTGAAATGAACAACGAGAATTTGGGGCGCCCGGGTAATGATGATCTGCTTCGTCGCCATTCGCTTGCATTTACAGTGTGGGCACTTCCATACTTCGTCGCCGCTCAGCATCTCCTCCTGGCAGTAGCTGCGAAGACACTGGTAGATATCACCAGCCCCAGTGGGTGGGATTTCAACGCTGATACTATAAAATGCTTCGTACGTAGTAGATGTTTGTTGGCAGGTCGTGCAGCGCAGTCGGCTAGCATGCTGCCCTGCGAATAATGACGAGATAAAAGATTCCTCGCGGTGAGAGTATCGATCCCATTCAATCCGAGAGACTTTGGTCATCGGCATTCGTTCCCGCTGCATCTCTTCCGAGAAGGTCAAAGGTCGAAGGGGTGTGCGCTGCCAGTTGATATTGAGATCCTCGTGAAGGCAATCTACCACAAAATCGAAAAATTCCTTGGCATCTTGCTGTCGATCGATAGCCCATTCTCGGTTCAACCGCCCACAGAAGTTTCGGAACGAGGTTGGCATGATGACTTCGACATCGTTCTTCCAGAGTGACCGAGTCAGATTCGCATAAAGTCCTGGCATCACGCCCTGAGAACCCTTCCAATTTTTCTGTACATAATAACGGAATCGGTTGTCGATGAAGAACCGGCTCAGCGCAATCGTTGCGCTGAGACATTGAATGGTAGAATTCATGTAGCATGTAACACCAAAATTGGTCAAGCCGGTGCGCGGAAGCTTGAGGCGATCAAGGCGAGAGCCTGGAATATACAATGCCGTTCTACTTGCCGAGTTCTGTCGTTGCAGATGAGGTTGGATGTGACGGCCATCAGATACGCCGCTGTAACTGGGACGAGGCACAGCGGGAGGCGGTCGAGAGGGAGCCACAGGCATATGCGCAGCATAGTTCGGGGTAGCAGAGGGAGGATGAGATGTCGCATGTGTCATAGACTCCTGAACATCGTGCGGCTCGGGGAAACGACGCAAGAAAGCCTCGTATGTATGAACAAATGGAGTGGACGGTTCTTGTACAGTCTCCTCGGGTTGGTCCGTTAGTGCGTCTTCCTCGGCGTAAGTGCTTGTATCAACTTCCTCGACTTTGGATTTCTCCATCCACTCAGACAGCTCCTTCGAATTCAGAGGAGTGAACTCGCGCAGTCGTCTCTTCCGAATTTCTAAGCTGGAATTCGCACTAGCCACTGTAGGCACTCTCCCGAGAGGCCGACCAGGTCGAGGCACCGGTTTTCTAACCTGTAAAGAACTCATGACAGCGGCAGTTGAGGAGGTGGCTAGGGACTGTTGTCCCAGAAGATCGATCCAGGCATCCAATCCGCCCAGCAAAAGAGCAGGAGGTCGCCCGGCTTTCAACGGTTTGTATGCATTAAACTCGTAAAGGGTATCATGAAGAGCTCGCAGATGAGGTGCAGACGTCCCCGCTGGGGAGCCAGCTAGATAGCTAACAGAATCGGCGCTTTGATCATAGTATACCACAAGATCAAACTCGTTCCGCTTCTCAAACAACACCTGTTCATGCTCAGGGGAAACAACGAGGCGCTCTTCTAGTTCTTCTGCGGAAACGTTCTCCTTCAACACCACAGGTTCTATGCAAATGATGGATTTTGCATATACATGACCATTATCATACTGGTCTCGGGCTCGAACATCAATCAGCAGCACGTTGAATTTCCGCAGATTTTCAAGGAGGCTCTGCGCAGTTATCGTTGTGCTGTACGGCAGATCGGGTGAATTACTTCGCGTTTCTCGTGCCGAATCCAACCCATTGGGTGTCATAGATCTATACGGATTGTCATCGAAGGCTCCCCGGTTTGGGCTGACACGAGGGGAATTGCTGAATTGCGAGTATCTTGGATTGCCTGAGCGTGTGCTTTCCGTCGAAGTCCTCGGCGGGTTAGATGTGGGTTTTGATGGTACGGTGAAGACAGGACTGTAGGCTGGGTCTGGAGCACGTGGCAATGATGTATTGAGAGGAACCTTCGGTGGAAGAATCGGTACATTGGATGAAGATCCCATGCCACGGGGGCCCAATGGACGTCTTAGCGGTGGGGAGCTATATGCCCCAGGAGGAACGTTCGACGGACGAAGTGGGGTCTGCCCTGCAGATCCTACAGTCGGGCTGCTCGGTCCGGCAATACTCGATCTCCGCTCGTATTCGTTGGAAGGCGGAGATGCCTTAAGTTTAGCAAAACGCTGTGCAAGCATGTCATCCGGGGGGCTTGAGAATCGGTGTGAATGTGCCGAAGGCTCGGGCATGCTTTGATACTGCGTCGGACTTGGCATCCTGGTTAAACTTGATCCAGAATGTCGATTCTCACGGCCCCTTGGCGTGACCGACATTTGTTCAGGATGTTTTGATGTGACCACACCGATTGGCTGCATGCCACTGGCTAAATTATCCTCGATGATATCCTGCTTGATTGAACCCATGGTGCCTTGTTTGGATCGTACCGCCTTCATTAAATCGGCAAACTTCTTATACCACTCAGGATTTTGACTGACAATTCGATAGTCTGAATGATGGGGTATCAAGTTGATTGTGATCTCGGAGGCACGAAGGTAGTGAACGTATGCTTTGTCGGGGTAGTTTTCTTCCGCAAGGTTTCTGGCCTTTGCAATTGCATCGGCAGCTGTGGCTAGGAGGATATTGAGCTATGGTGTGTGTTAGAAATCATTCATAGAATTCCTAGCGAAGCGTCGCCACATACCGGCGTGTTATCGTTAACGTTCAATGCAGCAGCCTGGTCCTGCAGGTCTTTGATATTGGGAAATCGAGGGCGCCGTGGTGGGCTGGGAGGGGCGTTGCCCTTAGGGTATGAATCTGGTCTGCTGAGCTGTCCACTGGAAGTCATTGTATCTCCCATTGAGTATGGACGCCGACTGTCTTTCCACGGCAGTATGTCTGACGTAGATGGCCAAGTCGCCGCCTCGGAGGACATGATAGATCCAGGCAGCGACGCGCGGACTTAGCGCATGGCCATGTGCAAGATCAAGGGAGCAAAAAAAGAAGAGCCAGTCCTCCTACAAAAGCAATCCACCTCAAAAAAATCCAAGTTCGAATAACAAACACAAGTAACGAAAGACCAGATTAAGAAGGACAGATCCAGGAACACAATGCGGGATGCCTCTGGGGTAATCAGATGACAGTACTTCACCGCCCTCGGCCTATGACGCCAGGGGCTTAGTCACTACTGAGGTGCCTGGAAGCTCCTCCTCCAACGTATCAGCCTGGTCTTCATATTCGCTGCATTTACGTGTCTTGGCTATCTGCAACGTCAGTGTGCTTTGCTGCTTCTTCTAATTTGCACGTGCTCCGGGTGTTTCGCCTTCACGATGGCAGGTTGGTTCTCTTCAACCTCCCCGCTCGATGAACAAATCGAGCGGGCGACAGCTTCCTCTCTGTAAGTTCTGATCTGCATTGCGCTTCTGCCCAAAGTTATAGGCGGTAACTACTGGGATCGTTGGAAATATATGGACATTAGTCTAACAGACTTGTAGGGAAGACATTGCCCTCAACCTGGAGATATCGGACATGATTCGGTCCAAGAGCGTTCAGCCCAAGGATGGAATGAGGTCATTAAAACGACGACTCGAGAATAGAAACCCCAACATTCAGCTAGCAACACTAAAGGTGAGCATCGGCTCTCCCCGGATTTGTGGATCAAGCGCTGATAGCTCCGCCTCTACAGTTAACGGATACGTGTGTCAAAAACGGAGGCACCCATTTTCTGGCTGAGATCGCCTCTCGCGAATTCATGGACAACCTTGTCTCATTATTGAAATCCGAAGGTGCCCCCTTAAATGCCGATGTCCAGGGGAAAATGTTAGAGCTTATCCAGAACTGGGCTATGGCTGCACAGGGCCGTATGGATTTGATGTATCTGGGAGAAACATATCGCAAACTGCAAAGCGAAGGATACCGGTTTCCGCCAAAGACAGAAATGAGTGGCAGTATGTTGGAGAGTAGTGCAGTGAGTGTGCCCCCCTCCCAAAACCTCCGCGCTGAAGCAGAACCTAACCTGCCCATCTGTCTCAGCCCCCAGAGTGGATCGACTCCGATGTCTGCATGCGATGTCGAACTGCGTTCAGTTTCATAAATCGTAAACATCACTGCCGAAATTGCGGCAATGTTTTCGACGCTCAGTGTTCAAGCAAGACCATCCCCCTACCGCATCTTGGAATCTTGCAGCCAGTCAGAGTAGATGATGGATGCCATGCCAAATTGACCTCGAAGTCATTTGCGCCACCCGGGATTTCGGATCGATCTGCGTTTAAAAACACCTCTATCAGTAAATCCAACTCGATGGAGCCTCGGGCTGCCAAAGCGGATACAGGTTTCGATGAGGACTTGCGTCGAGCGTTGCAAATGAGTCTCGATGAAGCCGAGGGTAGAGGTCCCTCCGGGTTTGTCCCGCAGACAGGCAATGGCCCAGAACCAACCAAGGCTGCTCCTGAGTCGGACAATGTGGACGAAGAAGATGCAGATCTCAAGGCTGCGATTGAAGCGTCGCTGCGTGACATGGAACAGCACAAGCAAAACCATGCTGCAGCATTAAAGAATGTGCCTGCCTCAAGCTCTGCATTACGCGATTCCTCCAGCACACCAACTCCACTACCCAAAAATCCATACGAACTGACCCCTGTTGAGGCTGAAAATATTCATCTTTTCTCTACACTAGTTGACCGGCTCCAGCATCAGCCTCCCGGTACGATTCTAAGAGAGCCCCAAATCCAGGAGCTTTATGAGAGTATTGGTGCTCTTCGACCCAAGCTCGCTCGGAGCTATGGTGAAACCATGAGCAAGCACGGTGAGTTCGGCTGCCATTGCGTTTATGTAAAGAATCGCAGGCTAATTTCCACAGACACATTATTGGATCTTCATGCCAAGCTCTCAACTGTTGTGCGGTATTACGATCGAATGCTGGAAGAGCGTCTGACCAATGCCTATTCCCACCACACTATTGGACACGGAGCTGTTCCTGGGGCAGCACAGTATCCGAACATTCAGCCAGGTTTCCCGGCTCACGCTCCCGACGTGAAAGCCGGAGCTGAGAATTTCTATTATGGTACCCAATTAGACAGCGCTCGCCCTACTTCCATGTATGCGCCGCAGCAGGTAAATGGTGATGGGTTCCAAGGTCCCCCAAGTGCCGGCCAGAATCCCGCCTATCCATCGCAGATTCCACATGCCGCCCCCACAAATGAGTCCCGCGGTCAGAATTGGGGCGCAAACCCATACCCATCTCTTGGATCGCCCTCGCCCAGCAATGCCATTCCAAACCACTACAATACTGCTCCCGCACCAAGCGCCCCGGCTCAATACTACACAGGACCGCATGATGCAACCTCCGCCAAGTCACCCGGTGCGGAACCCCCATACCAGCCGTCACCCATTATGCGCCGAGACTCTCAGTATCAGGCCAGTGGTGCCACCCCGGTTCCCGAGCAGGGTACATCTGCAGTATATGCACAATCACCCGGTTATTCCGTGCCGCCTACTGCGCCAGTGCTTCATCAGCAAGGAACCGGTCCTTCGCAGTCCTACTATTACCAGCCACAGTCTCAGCCCCCACATCCTACGCCTGTGCCATCTGGATATCCACCAATGAATGCCGGGCAACCAGGGACGTATGCACCCGAGGCTTCAAGTCAACCACCTTATCAGCAACCGCCACGGCCAGTGGAGGAAAATCTGATTGAACTATAATTACATTTCTGTGGGCGTTATCCGTGGTCTTTTATTTTTGCCTCTTTCTCTCGCCTGATGATACCTGAAGATGTTTCGCAGATTGAATATGTAACTTGCAGCGAGTAAATGAAAAAGATCCCAAGTATACTTCGTACATGAAAGGACAATGCATATGTCTTGAATAGCACTGGTGTGTATACGGTAGGGTCACAGGATGGGGCTCTGCATATATATTCTAGAATAGAGACGGAGGTTTACATGTAACCACTATATATGCAGGTTAGTCGTATATAGCCCGATGAGGTCAACCTTCCCGCTCCCGTGACTCGTTCTCCCCCGCCCCCGCACTGCTCCACCGGTTTCTGGTATAGGAGACGCGGCACTCCATCTCTGCTATTAGTGACCATAGGTGCAGGTTGGTTTTCTTTCGTTCGAGGTCACTTATGTCACTTATCACCGCTTATATCGCTGCCTTTGGGTCCATGGTCTCTTCTGTCCCAAAATGCCAGCCCTGTATGAAAAAAAGACACACGATAACACGTTGGGACAGCTTATTAAAAATGGATATTAAAGCTCTTTTTAAGAGATTGCCTCCGATACTTTAGTTCGCCCCTATACATCATGTAGTTAAGGTCCATGTGTGTATACGAGGATATAGCATAGCAGCCTCACATATCTATTTATATCGATGGTAATCTACATTTAGGCCTCGTTAGATGTCAGGATGCATATTACCGGGACACTCCGAATATAGCCGCTCGATTGAATCCTACTCTTTCTCGCTGGAATGTGTAGTTATACGCAAGCCTAGCCCTTTGCGCGGGGTTCGGCATCCATAGGAGGGCTTCTACGGAGTAAGTGAAACCAAGTAAGCCTTGGCAGGTATTACTCCATACCCACCTTATAATTGGTGTAGATAGTACATGAAGCCCCATTCGCAATATTCTCTGCCTTGATGTTCTGCATGACCAAAAAGCCTGTCGTGATAGTCTTCAAAAACAACCCCGAAACAGAAGCATCGTGTCTGCCTCAGGCATTCTACGGTACCCGCTTAGTCGCCGCAGACAGCAAGATCGAGGTCTCTCTCCTTCACTTCTCCAATTTGCCCCCATTTTGTATTTTTTTCATCTTCCTCTTTTTCTTTCTTCGTTCTTCGTTTCAGTTGGGTCTTCTTAATTACAAATTGGTCGTGGTTCAAACCGATATCACCCGCCTTTCAACTATTGAGTCTTCATTGCTTTTCGCCTGCATGCTATCCGATCTGCCGTGAGACCTCTTGACCAACTTGCCTCGGCCAATCCCCACATTCTCTGCTCCGTGAGCACAGCTGATTACCCGCCTGTGGCTCCTGTAGGAGCTCTTCGCTTACCGCCATGCCTGCTTCCAATACCTCCAATACTTCTTCCCCCGTCAAGCGCCCTGGTCTTGGTCGCCGTGCAGTGTCCTCCCATGCGGTTGTCACGCGCACCACCAATCCTAATGACCTGTCGTCATCCCACACACAGAAGGCACCCGTGCATCATAAATCTCACCGAGCCCACGTTGTTGGCGGTCACCGCAATCACCACCGCAACCCCTCTACTGGCAAGAACTTCAACAAACTTCAACGATTCCAACTTGGCCCCGATACTGCTGGACGGCATCATCAACGCAAGAAATCAGCCCCTGCAACCCCAATAGCGAGCCCGAAAGAAAGCACCCATATCCACTGGGACAACGCTGTGGACGATCATAAATCCGACCCTTCGATGAAGAGAAACTATTCCACTCCTGCATTGCGCCGAAACCCATCAGCCGTCGGCAAGAAAGCGTTAGTCACCGAGCGACCGACGACCAGTGCAACAAAGAAGAAGACGGTCGGCTTTGAGTTGGGTGATGACGAAAACGACGACGCTGAATGGGAAGATACAACACAGTCGCCCGAAAGTACTAGGCGCAACTCGGTCGTACCATCCAACCCTAGCGCAGACAACAGCACTGTTCTTGTCGACCACCTTACCTTTGTCAAACGCCCCTATCCACAAATGCCTCGAGCGACTAGTCTTCCCGAGTCGATTACCAACAATTTCGCCCAAGAGCGCACTGAATTAGACCAGGATGAAGAAGATGAAGAGCACGTCTCGGAAGTCGAGCCCGAGGAAACTGTCCAGCCCACTGAACAGGGCCACATCGCAACTCGCCTTTTAACTCCTTCACACTCGTCCAAGGCACCCCCTGCCATGTCCTCTATCTCGGCTATGGTGAAGCCAGAGGCCAAGAATCTCAACCCCGCATCGCGCAGTAGCGCATCTCTCAACTTGGCTGCTGGACAAGACAACGCTCGGCGCACATTCTCCACAGCTAGCATGGCAAGTATACCGGGTTCCAACCCCCAAGCTACCTCATCGTCCATGGAAGGCGGGGTCTCAAGGTTCATTTTGAACAAGAATAGCATGCAGGCATCTTCTCGCACCGATTCAGACCCAAATACCCCCTCTTCGTTCCTCCCCCACTATCACCCGCAAACGCCGCCTTCCCCGACTAGCGCGGCCGTCAAATCGACTGCATCTCCCGCGCGGCCGCGAGGCGCTGATCTGCCTTCTCGCACGCAACAAAAGCTCTGGCTCCAACGCACCGCGGCCCTCAATAACTCTCCTCCTGATAATCACGGAGTGACCACGGCAGTTCCGCCGTCGGCCATGGACCCAACGTTCATTGCTGCTAGCCACGCACGTTCCGGTGCTGGCACTTATGACGCCAATAGGGGGATGAACGGTGATGGTCGAGTTGGAGGTGCTGGACATGACAGCGAAACCCGTCATATCCGCAAGGCGTACGAAAAGACGTCTCTGGAACTGATGGTCGTTCGACGTTTCCAGTCTCCTACTGGTCTAAGCTTTGCTCGTCTCCGTCGTATTGCTCGAGCCAACAAAGCGGAGCAAGAATCAGCTCTCGGTAAACCAGTCAAATCGGCGCCCTCCTTACCCCTTTTGCAGCAAGCCAAACGACCCAATCGTCTCAGCTCAAGCCCTGCATCTAAGACCCAATCGCATAACCCCACCACATCGGAAGATCCAGCGACGAATAGTGAACCCACCAACGCCGCCAAGGCTGCCAAGTCCAACGACCCTTCCCATCGCATCCTCTCTACTTCGGCTGAAGCCTCGCGTGATACGACTGTTGAGAACGACGAAGCTTTCCAGATCAACGACAGCGCCATGCTGATTCGCCGGATCTGGGAGAGCCGAGAGGTCCCCATTCACGGTTAACCTGGGAGGTTTCACTTTGTCTAGCCCGTCTATTGTCATGAATATTAGCTATACGGTTGTGCCACGTGCCACGGTTGGTCGGTGTTTGAATTCTGGGTATTTTTTTTGTTATCATTACAGCGATCATATTGCACATAATATCTTAGTTCCTTCTTCTGCTCTTCTATCTCCTGCATACCTGTCGATATTACCAGCCAATACTATCTAACTTAATTGCGTGTTCAACATAGTCCAGACCACTCAGCCCACTATTTCCCGCCGGCAACTAATATGCTGCCTACGAGTGGTCCATCCTTGCGCCGGCTGGGACGACATCCGGGGATGAGGCCATGGCCTGACACGATGATTAAGCGCCAATCCCGGCCTCCTGATTAGCCCTACAAAACCCTAACTATATGTCCTCATACATCAACTTCTCTTTCTCAGGCTTCAGGATCTTTGTTTTGATTCAATTGTTCTGGGGCAATCATGAATTCCCTTGGGCAGCTGGTGACAGGCCAGATCGTCTGTATCGCCTACTACACCACCATCCTCTTCCTAGTGTCAATTGTTCTCAACGTGATCAATCAGCTCGTCTTCTACAACAGAAAGGAACCACCGGTGGTCTTTCACTGGGTTCCTTTCATTGGAAGTACAATATCCTATGGCATGGACCCCTACCAATTCTTCTTTGCTTCTCGTGCCAAGGTATGGGATCTTTTGTTTCTTTATACTTCAAAAGGGAAGATGACATTTACTAACATACACCCCTAGTACGGAGATATTTTTACCTTCATCCTTCTAGGCAAGAAAACAACTGTCTATCTCGGTGTCGAAGGCAATGAGTTTATCCTCAATGGAAAGTTGAAAGATGTCAACGCCGAAGAAATCTACGGCAAGCTCACAACGCCTGTCTTCGGATCCGACGTTGTCTACGACTGTCCCAACTCCAAACTCATGGAGCAGAAGAAGGTATGTACTCCCAATAGCATCTGTACCACAGCGTGCATCATTTCCCTAGGCACCAGAAGCTAACACATCTCTTGACCAGTTCATCAAATACGGCCTAAGCCAAGAAGCCCTAGAATCCTACGTCCCCCTCATCGCCGACGAAACCAGCTCCTACATAAAAAGATCCCCAGCCTTCAAAGGCCAATCCGGCACCGTCGACCTCGCCACCACCATGGCCGAGATAACCATCTTCACAGCCGCCCGAACCCTACAAGGCGAAGAAGTGCGCGCAAAAATCAGCTCCGAATTCGCCGAACTCTTCCACGACCTCGACCTCGGCTTCCAACCAATAAACTTCATGCTCCCCTGGGCCCCCCTCCCCCACAACCGCAAACGCGACCAAGCACACGCACGCATGCGAGAAGTCTACCTGGAAATCATCCAAGCCCGACGCACCGCCGGCGCAGCCGACCCCACAACCACCCGCGACAAATCCAAAGGCACAGACATGATCTCGAACCTCATGCAATGCGTATACCGGGACGGCACGCCGATCCCGGACAAAGAAATCGCGCATATGATGATAACCTGCCTGATGGCGGGACAACACTCGTCGTCGGCGATCAGCTGCTGGATCATCCTGCGCCTGGCGTCACAGCCCGAAATGGCAGAGAAGCTTTACGCGGAGCAGATCGCGAAACTGGGGGCTGATCTGCCGCCGCTGCAATACAAGGATTTGGATAAGTTGCCGCTGCATCATAATGTGGTTAAGGAGACGCTGCGCATCCACTCGTCTATCCATACGCTTATGCGGAAAGTGAAGAATCCCATGCCGGTGCCTGGGACGGAGTTTGTTGTTCCGCCGTCGCATACGCTGCTTGCGTCGCCGGGTGTGACGGCGCGGGATGGGCGGTATTTCCGGGATCCGTTGCGGTGGGATCCGCATCGGTGGGAGAGTCGGGTTGAGGTGGAGGATGATTCTGATACGGTGGATTATGGGTATGGGGCTGTGTCGAAGGGTACGCGGAGTCCGTATTTGCCGTTTGGGGCTGGGCGACATCGGTGCATCGGGGAGAAGTTTGCGTACCTCAATTTGGAGGTTATTGTTGCTACGCTTGTTAGGAACTTCAGGTTCTATAATCTTGACGGGGAGGAGGGAGTGCCGGATACGGATTATTCGGTGAGTATTGTTTCTGATATGCCCAGGTGGTGCGCGAGGTGATCCATGACTGACTGTGGTTTTAGTCTCTCTTTTCACGTCCTATGCAGCCGGCGACGGTGCGATGGGAAGTTCGTTCGTAATGTTGTTCTCCAGGCTATAAGTATTTTCGGTAATAAAATCAGGGGGGTTGATGAATGAGTTAGGTAGGTATAAAGATGACTGATGCCGCATCGATGAGGTTGATATAGGTTTAATATGAAAGGTTAAGTATTCACTCCAGGACTCCAAGCAGATGTCTCACATAAACTACCTTTATAGTCACTAAACCCTAAGGCCCGAGACCTCCTACAAAGAGCTGGTAATCATTCTGTGTAGCTCCTGCCTCGAATCGGCTATATCATCTGCACCTTCCCTCTTCTGCTCTGGTGGTAATGTTTCTGGTGACGACTGTGCTAATAGAGAATCCAGATACATGTAGTTATGCAGTCAATATTCGTTGCAATTGGTACAGCTTTATAGTTATCTCATATCACTACATGTCACCTGTTTGTGCCCACTATTACCCTCGAAGACAGTGTCGAGGCTGCGATAGCACATAACGAAGGATAAGAGTGACCCTGGCTATTCCAACCTTATGTGAATCTGCTATGCCAAAATAGCAAACTTGACTTCACTATGCTTAGTTGGCTCTAGAATACATGTGTTCAGTATCGTCAATTTCTTCGGTCTTGGGATTCAAGCAATTCTATCTAAAAATTCTATGGGAGCCACGACAAAAAAATGTACAATGGAAAGGGGGCTCGAACCCTAAATCGATACTAACCATAAAATAAGAAAATGAGTGATCGAACACTCCATCTATGCTCTTACGTGCGATCCTTCGCTTTGCCGCGTCGAGTGCCACCCCCGCGACGCGCATTTGGGTTCCCACCGGGACCTCCAGTGCGATTCCCATTCTGGGCTTTTTGTGGCTCTGTTGGAGGTTGGCCGGTCTGGTTGGTCTTGGGGGTTGCGCGACCAGAACTTGGAGCGGATACCCGTTTCTGTCTCTGGTCTTCAGGGGCACGCGCGTCATCGGCAGCCTTGTTGCCTCGACCCTTGCGCGGGGCACCTGCACCAGCACCGGCACCAGGCGCCTTGCCGCCTCGTCCGCTCTTTCCAGAGCGAGGTTCGCTTGGCTGAGGATCTATTAGGCCTTGCACGCGTTTACTCTCCTGATCCCACCACTGCTGGAACTCCTGCTCGGCCTGGATTTCTTGCATATTGTGCTTGGCTGTGGCTGCTTCGCGGATCGCTTCCTTTTCACTCTGTTGCTGGAGCAAAATGGTAGATAGAGAGTAAGAGCCGGATGGAGATCGGGATTGTGATAGATCGGGCCGTGGGATATGACGGATTGACTGGATGGCTGGTTGTGGTGATGAAGTTTGGGTGCTGTGGGTTGCTGTCGAAGGTCCTGAGGTAGAAGGTTTTAAATGGGAAGGGAGCCGGACGCTGCGGCCTTGTGATTCCACGGGTGTGGCCACTGGCTTTGACTTGGGCGGAGGGGTACCGGCTACAGTTTGCCGCATGGTCATGGGCCTTTGCGGTGATCGAACAGGATCAGAGGCGGGGGAGCTCTGGCCTGGAAGAGGATCGAGTGAAGGAAGTGATGCGGGAGAAGAACTGGTCGGCTTCTGCCAAGGGTTCTGCGGTGCCTGCTTCGCCTTCTGTTGAGCAGCCAGCTGCTCTTGCAATTGTTGTTGCTGGAGCTTCTTCCGCTCTTTTTGGGATATTTTTGGTACAAAGGTACCGCTGCTTTCGCGACGATCTGTCATCCCTAACGTGAGGTTTGACACCCGAGACTGAGATGTTTCTCCCATGATATCTTTGAGATCCTTCTTGGAGCTCGAGATCATCGGCGATGTCCATGGCGCGGAAGAAGGATCAGATGATGATGCTAGAGCTTGCTTTTTGCCAAGATAAATTGCTCTAGACTCAGATGGAGACTGCGCTAATAGCGGATCTTGCGGAGAAGACATCTGATCGTCTAGGAAGCTACGATCTCCCAATGAGATGCCTTCTGGGACGCTTGCCCCTAAAGCTGGGGAGTCGGGGTATGATCGATTTTCAGGAATGCCTTCGGTAAACCTCAGGCCACGCACGACGCCCTTTCCTTTCGAGGCACTAGGTGACATAAGGGCTTCATCGTCCATTTGGAACATGAGATCACTAGACGACTGCCTTAGCTTCAACATTGGACTTCCACCAATATTCGGTGACTCTCCGGAGATGCTGGCTTTAGATTTTCGTATAGACGGAGAAGAGTTCATCTTCTCATTAGGCGTTGACCGGGGTCGACCATTATAGAGTTCGAAAAAACCATAGCGGGACTGCAAATCCATAGCATCGATTCTTCGTTGCTTATCTGCTTCCACAGTGCTAACAAGCTCGGGGTATTGATCGAAGATATACCCTTCAGAATTGCGCCCGCGAGAGATGGGCCAGCACGCCAGTTGATTCTCGCGGCAGATCGTATCCAATTCATGAAGCAGGGTTGTGTCCAGATCCTCAAGATATCCATTGGCGAGCATGGCTTCGAGATTAAGGCAGATATATTCCAGGGCCGCATCCTTGAACTCCGTGACGTAGCAAGGGGCGATGGAATTGAGAAGATAGCACACGTTCCGTGTTGTAACGAAACGACCAAGCATCTTTTGACACACCTGAGATAGTCGGTCGATCATCAACTCATTTGCCACGAACATTACATCCAGTAGTAGGTCAATGAACTCATCAACATCATCACTTCGAACTTCATCAAACATTCGTTCTTCTATATCGGCATATAGATAACGCAGAACGAATTCAAACGTCGACCGATCAATGTGTTTGAGGTTGACATGGATACCCTGATCTGGAGTTGGTTTACGGATTTCCAGCCACTTTCCAGCTGCGTGGCCGTTGTAAAGGGTGTCAAAGAACGGACATCTCTGACACACAACTTGGCTGTGCACCTTGATTGTACCACCTTTGAGCTCCAAAACCAAGTCTGCACTGTCAAAGAAGGATGGATAGTTGATGGCACAGGCCATGTCATTTTTCAAGCTCCTTTGCGGCTCAACCATTAAACGTGCCGCCCGTTCTAGTGTTGATAAGCCTAGTTGCATAGCGACCCTCATGACTTCAGTGCGGACCTGTCGATAACGAGTCGAGTTTTCAGGCGAACTCCTTGCCAGGTGCCAAACATCTAAGATGCTGTCCGTGTAAAGGAAGAACACCACATTCAGAACGGTCAACCAATCAACCCCTTGGAAGCAGATTTGAGGATGACCATCCTTCCCGTATTGAACATCCAAAACATCTGGAACCGAAGAATAATATGATCTGCGGAATTCTTCCAGTGCCTTCCTCAAAACTGGACTCCGGCCAGCTAGGATAAACTCGTGGACAGGAATGCAGAAGTCAGACAGGGAGCTCTTTACCCAAACAGTTCCCTCGGTCCATACAGAAAGAAATTGGCCTTCAATGTCCGTTGATGAAAGTATGGCTCTTTGAATGCATTGCGTGGCAGAAAGCACGAGGGGGGCATCTTGAGCATCCTCATCGAGGATCAAGTCTAATTCTTCCGGGCCGGGCGTCGTGAATGGAGACAACGGCAATAAATCATCCCAAAGGCTACTGGTGTCAATTTGAATCTGTTCTCTGGTCACTTCACAGTCATGTTGAGCGACGGCATAGGCCCCGAAGGCATTGCTGCGGACTGCTACCGCCCGTGAAAGACCAGGTATGCGAGCGAATTTGTAATCTTTCGAGGCACCCTCCTTATTCTTTGTCCGTCGTTCTTTTCTCCATGCAGACCCCGATGTTGTACAGATGATAATAGAACCGTCTTGTCCTACATCGACATCACTCGCAGCCATGTAAGACTTCTTAACAGACCACGCTCGAACGGGAGCGGCTAAAGAATTCCGAATCTTCGCGGGATTGGTTGTGGATGTTAAAGTCGAAGGACTATCGGACTGGTTCACTTGGACGGTGAATACATCACCAGAGCTGGATAATGCACAAATGGTGTTGCCTCCACATGCGAGCTTGACGACACGATTGGCAGTCTTGTCGTATCTGGTGGTCATGAAGCTATCTTTGAAGAATCTCGAGCTCATCTCCAGTGGGAATGAAAGCTTTGAATATCCATAGGATGAGAAGACCCAGACCTCGTTATTCTGCAGAAGTACGGACGTAGCACGATCGATAGCAGATACCATCTTGATTGGACAACTGAAAAGAGATGCTCCAACGCGCCGCGGTGTCGTTTGCACCTCAAGTGAACGAGCATCGGAATCGACCAGGCCAAGCTGACCTTCGTTCTTGCCAAAGGTATAGAGACCCGAGGTACTAAACACCACCGAGTGAATAGATGACGCTGCTGCACCTATGATAGTTTCCTTCTTGAATGGATTGAAGATTTGACGAGGAAGCATCTGCATAGGAACGTCGTTTTTGTTGCTGGTTCTAGGCAGACCATAGCCAAGCTGTCCGAACTTGTTGCTTCCCCAACTGAAGATTTCCCCGTTCTCGGTGATGGCTAAGCTATGATCTTGGCCTAGAGCAGCAGAAACGACCTTTTTTCCTTCTAGTCCACCCTTTTCAATGCAAACGAAGGTGAACCGTGTCGACTCATCTCCTGTTCCAAGGCGACCTCCAGGCCCAAACCCACACATGAACAAATTAGCCTCGGGATCATGAGTGATAATAGCGGTGTGCAGTTTAGACATGACGATGTCTTGGATTTTGATTGGCTTGTTTTTGATCAATGTAGGCAGCTCGATTGACCTGCCACTTGGGATGCTTTCTTGGAGCCCTGACTGTTCCAACTTCTCTCGATGTTCACGGTAAAACCGATGCAGAAGGTGATCAGGCCGCTGCAAGGAGATGCGCTCCGGAAACTGCCTATCATCCTGATCTCCTAGGCCAAGGGTTAGGTTTTTGTTGCTTCCAAGAGTGAAAACTTCATCAGCGGAGATATCCACGGCCGCCCTTAGTGTATTCCTAGCACCAAATGCGCCATCTTCATCGTCATCTCCATAGTTCGAGGCAGGGTTAGAAGCAGCATCGCTACCCAGAGCACCACCAATCATTGACGTCGGCCAGTTTTCGGAAAGATGCTTGATGTCGCGGGTTCGGATGGTCGCACCGAAGACGTCAAAAGGACTGTACCCTTCGAAGTCCTTAATCTTGATCAGGCCACCGCTGGGAGGGCTGGTATTCCCAGCTTTGCTGAAATCCCTCATGTCCTGCGCATCGCGCGCCATAAGCGCCAAAGCAATTGTAGCATTCCCGGCGTAGAGAGCCCGATGCAACGCCGTCCATCCACTTTCCCAGTCCTGCATATAGATATCGATGAACGGAATTTCCAGCAAAGCACGTGCGAACTCGGGGGCGGTAGGTTTCGGGGACGAGGCGACATGGTGAAGCAGTGTACGGCCGTAATTATCCCGAGCATTGACATCGGCGCGCGACAGAGTCACAGTCCCGCGCGGGAAGGCGGTCCGGTCAGATACAGGCGTTCCAGGCGACGATCCAAGATTCTTTTTGTTTCTCGGTGGATTTGGAGATGAGGCGATCATGGACCCGGGACTTGCAGCCTTCGAGGACAGATTTGTTGCAGCACTGGAGGTGCCTCCGAGGCCGCCTGCAGTTCGCGGTCCGGCGAACGTCACGTTCGCCAGGAACCGTTGGAACCGTTCCACATCATCTTGAATAAAACACACCCAAAGCCTGTTACTCATGTGCCCGAAGTGGTCGACGCGCCGAATCTCTTATCAGACCCAAGCTGAGCGTCGCTGTCACCAGTGGGGTGGACTGCGACGGGGAAGCTGGGTGATAAGAGGATCCTGGTCCAGGAGGAAAAGAGTAGGTTTCTCGGCGCTCGTTATATCGACGCGCTGTCGGTACTATTGAGGGTATTTCTGGCCGATATGGATTTTGGTGACGCGAAATCGATTGTGGGTTCGGAATATGCGCGTGTGGCGAAAGTGCTAATCTGAGCCGGACTGGTGTGCGTTTGCAGTGGAAAACAGAACTCGAAGTAGTTGACAGATGGAGAGTGTGTAATGGAACAGGAATCAGTGGAAAGCCAGAAGTGTTGCGAATCAGAAATCCGGCCGGTTTGCCCTCGTCATCCGCAGGTCGCAGGCCCCGCAGTCGCCGATAACGTCCGTCCGGTCAAAAGCCTCTACACATCTACACATAACGGTACAGTTTGGGAAATTACATATCCCAGCCTACATTAGGGAAGCAGAATGATGTCGGAACTTCTCAATCCAGTTGAATCGTCAGAATATCAAGAGCTAGATCATTGATCGGCTTTGATATTGCTGTAAACGTTTGTGGGAATTGGGAAATCTATCGACCCTCCAAGGAACTGGGAAAAGCCGTCAACTACATGAACTAGCCTGCATGTACCTACGAACAGGCGTATTGGACCACCAGGACGTTGTGGTTCTCTGCAACACTGTCGTGGCCAATTACAATCCGCGTGTCCCTCCATGCCCCCGGACAAGAGGCGAAGATCATTCCAGGGCAATCCCGTGGGAGATCGATAGGATGACGAAGTATAAACCCTCTTTTGGTTTGTCTTTTTCCTCGAATATACTCCCTGTCGCTGCCCCATATTCTCAATTCCCTTCCAGGTCCGCCGCACAACGTCAATCTACTGCATGATCACAATGCCATCGAGTTCATCAAGGCAATGCGCTCATCCGGCCAACCCTTTTTGAGGAGAGAGAGAGCAGGAAATTATACACAATGGTAATCACATTACTCACGTATCCGAGTCCAAGGTGATTCCGTCCACTAGTCTGTATTCGCATCATCTTCAGGAGCAGAGACGGCTGGAACATATCAATCTCAACCCCTCGAAGAAGAAGTCGCCGTTTTTCGATCCACGTCATGATGTTGTTTTTGATTGGCTTTGATGGACTTTCTCTCCTTTGCTGAATACCGTCAAATGTGCCGCACGGTTCCGTTATATCCTGTTCTTTTTATAGAGAGCATTCTTATATCGAGGGACGAGTCAAACTATCTACATGGAAGACGAGTTACCTATAAATACTGATATACCGAAAAGGAAGCCTGGGAGAATGAAGCACTATTGTGATTCTAAAGCTTATAAAAGGGTAACAAGGGAAATGATTGGGCATCTCTAAACTAATACACCGGCCTTGGGAGATTCCCATACCTACATTTCACTAGTTTGAAAAGCTTGGTTTTTCCCATTCAGGAGGTATCTCGTTCAACAGGCTTTTCAAACCATCCCTGTTGCGATCTTCAAAAACAATTTTGTGGTCAATGGTAACCTTCTTTTCGCGGATTTTACGAAGCCACCAAATTGCGAGAATTGTAGCCTGAGCACGAACTGTATCCAAGCTTTGCCGCGGTGTATCCCACTTAATCGGCAACGAGATACAGTGGTCCCCCATGCCGTGCATTGGTTGATGGGTCATGGCTGTTTGGCCGGCTTTGCACTTATGTATTATAAAAATCATAATCTCTTCGTCGGTGTGGGTGTTCTTCCTCATGTCTGGGAGAAGGATTATACTGACCCAGCAATACCCTGTCCCGTCGTCTTTGGGATCCGGAGTGTGGGACTTTCCGATCAAGAATGGACTTACCTGGCGACCCATTTGGCTGGATGATGGAATGCGGTCAAGAGCTGATCTTTGTGATTAGTACGGATCTTGTAGCTAGTCTGTAGTTTTCTATAATATAATTTCTGACCAACAAGAGAAGTGGCTTTGCTGGGGGTTTTATAATGGCATGCGGGATGTGGTGTTTTGCGCTTTGAGAGCAACAAAGCGGAAATTCTTTCATTGCCACTACAATGGCTTTTTGGATTCTTAGATCAGTGATATCTATGTTCAGATTACTCTGGGCGTGTATTTATAGAAGATCGAGAGAGGAAAAAGAGAGGACAAGAAAAGGAGCAGAGAGCCCCATTGAGATGTACAGCTGCGTGTGTATTCTACCAAAGAGAGTGGGAAAACAACATGGAAATCCATACAAAAAGAACACAAAGCAAAAAGAAAAAAGAAATGAGGCTGACCCGATTTGAACGGATAACCTTGCGAACTGGAGTCGCACGCGCTACCGTTGCGCCACAGCCCCATTTGATGGAAGATTGTCCTCCGAATGGGTCTATGACCAGAAAACCCTATGAACGGCCGTGGGCAATCAAGGAAGTACATACGGAGTAGCAGAAACCACCAAACGAAGGGGACAATAAGGTTCAAAGGGGGCTATGAGAAATGAAACTAAAATATTCTCAATATTTATTCTCTCTACCTGGATACGCCAAAGTTATGTATTAGATATCACTGGACCAGTCAAACTACATATGTATGAATCCGGGCCGGATATATATAGCGACACTATAGGAAGTAGTGAATACCTTCATTAAAGACAAATCGGTTAAACAATTGGCTCATTTACAGCCGTGGAAGCATAATGACCTGGATCCGACAAGCAAGGGGCGAAAACACAAAAGCAAATTGACTTCACTTATGTATGTATCCGAGCGACACGTTGATTCAAGAGCTAGGTGCCCGTGTGTTTCCGATCCACGAGCTTCCCCTTGGAATGAGTATATTTTAGCCGCCCGTAGCTTCCCAGGTTGATTGATTGGTCGCAAAGAATATTTTACTCGTCTGTCTGTCCACAGAGACTTCCCAGATTGTCCAAAGAGATTGGGAATCGAGATCTAGACAGAGCCAGGACTGAGATACCTAACCACAAGAGGTTCCCGCCAGGGTCAACGAAGACGGGAAAATAGGAGCAATATTAGGCACAGGAAATAGATTTGAGGAGAATCCAGCTTTCTCTATGTCGTCGTTTTGCTCCTAGAATAGCCAACTGGTCGTACATAGATGTGTGGTGTACGGAGTTCCCCCGGTGCGCTCTAACCCTAAACCAAAGGTGACAAGTGATTCATTCGGCGCTAATGAGTCATGTTAAATGGGGTGCAATTCTTTCACTGTACCCCGGAGGTTCTCCATTCAAGTGCCGAGAAAGTACTTCGTACCGAGGAAGGAGATTGGCTGGGCAATGTTCCTTAGCTCTTGGCGAGACTGCAGATCCCCAGACCAGGTGAGATGGTTGATTTGTGAGCATCCCCAAGGTTCTTGGACAAATTCTTTTAACATTAATTCAGGGGTTCCCTTAAATTTTATATCGTATACCTAGCGTATAGGTATACGACACGAGTACGGGTAATCCTCTGTGGTGCCTCAAAACATCTAAGCACCACCATAGTCCAGAATACATATTTGGTGTACATTTCCCTCAATAAGTCGCATATGTCCCTCTGCCCGTTATGCACTCGAGCTTTACCAATCGGACTAAGACCCTATTATGGATTTCACCTTGGACGTGGCTTGAATTTACCCAAAATGGAAGTGTCACACGCCTCTCAATATTCTATATCAACACGGACGAACTCGGCGGATATGACCCCAGTAAGCCTCTGCACGTGAAATGCCAATACAAAGATGACGACAAGCTGCAAGTTTCTGCTGTCTACGGACTATACGATGAGGGGTAAAGCTTTCTATGTGGTCAGAGCATGCCGAAATAAAGCACCCGTGCACGGCCAGCCGTATCTGCTCCATACGGAGGACTCCGCATAGCTCTGCCTTTTCGGACTTGCGTCGTATTAACGCCGTATTCACTGCAGATGAGGCTTGCCCCGATGGAACCTTTTTGCTGCAGTAATCAGCCTCGGAGCATTGCAGAGTGCCTTTGTGGATCTCCCCGGACGGACAACGTGTGCGGGGCTGGCGCCGATCCTTCGGGGTTTTGAGATTTTGTTGACCCCAGCTTCTATCGAAACGTCGAAAGAAAAGGAGAAATCGAAGCAATGAGATTGTTCGACGTTGTTGGCAGGTTGATCTGCTCATTCCATAGATCGATGCTCCTGTGGGTCATATAAAATGAAGGATATATCGACTGGGGGATCTACAGGGGATCAATCAGACTATCGAGCGACCCGAATGGTGGTTACTCTCCGTCACCAGGAACTACTAGGCGATGATCGCCGCTCTGTCTACCAGCCTCGGTACGGAGTAGTGATTCTGGATCACATTCACAGAATGTGGGATATAATGCCCACAAGGCCCCGAGTCCAGTGTGTCATTCCTCATGCAGCATCTCAGCCTTGACTCCCATCCATAGAGCAAGAAAATGGCACTGTCCCTTGTGCACATAGTGCGCCTCGCCCTGGTTGGCTTGGTGGCCTTCCTGCCAATTGCTTCAGCCCGGCCTGCACCTCAATTCCCTCGTGCACCACAGCATCCCGACAATGACCCATTCTATAAGCCTCCTGCTGGCTTCGAGTCGAAGGCACCTGGGACAATCCTTGCGAACCGCGTTATCACTGCCGCTTTCTTCGGCATCATTCCAAACGACGTGGAAGCCCATCAGTTGCTTTACCGTACTGTGGCAATCGATGGCTCAGCTATCTCAACAGTGACCACAATCTTCAAGCCGAAGAACGCCAAGCTCGATCGTTTCGTGTCCTTTGCCACGGCTTATGATAGCGCTGCGACGAAATGTCATCCTAGCTATGGCTACCAGCAAGGGGCCCCACAGGACAGTCTGATCGCTTCGGTTGAGATGTTGATCATTGAGATCTATCTTGCTCTTGGCTATGTTGTGGCCTCTCCCGACTATGAAGGACCCGATGCGGCCTTTGGTGCTGGCCGTCTGTCAGGTACGGGTGTATTGGATGGCGTCCGTGCCGTGCAGAACTTCGAGACCTTGGGTCTCAAAGAGAACCCCATGGTTGTCGGCGTTGGATATTCAGGCGGTGCCATTGCCACTGGCTGGGCAGCCTCCTTGCAGCCCAAATACGCACCAGAGCTGAACATCAAGGGCTGGGTGCAGGGTGGAACTCCCTCAAATCTCACGGGCACAATCTACCAGATTGATGACACCGTCTTCGCTGGATTCCTCCCCACGGCTATTGTCGGTCTGGCGAAGCCCAGTGCCTATGGTGCTGAGCTGAACTCTATCATCACGGAGGTCGTAACCGCGGAGGGCCAAAAGGTGCTGGAAACCGTTGGTTCCGAATGCGCTATTGGAGCCTTGGCGGCTTTCCTGGGAAAATCCATCCTCGATCCTAGTTTCCAAACCCTGGGCGAGGGCTTTGTTCACGAGCCGACCGTCAAGAAGGTTCTGCAGCAAACTGTCATGGGCGTTGACAAGGACGAGACCCCAACAGCCCCAACTCTTGTGTACCATGCCACCAAGGATGAAATTATCCCCTACAATGATGCCAGTAAGATGGCAAAGAGCTGGTGTGATTCGGGCGCGGACGTCAGGTTCACTACCTATGCCAGCGGGGGCCACGCGACCACTGAAATTGTTGGCATCCCCGAAGCCATCAACTTCGTTCAGGATGCATTTGCTGGCAAGACGAAGCGTGGTTGCACCAAGAGCACTAAGCTTGGCACAGTTCTCAATCCCCTTGCTCTTGGTGTCAATCTTGAGCCTATTCTCCTGAAGCTCATTGAGGGACTTCTCCGTCTGGGCGATGAGGACCAAAATGTCAAGAACGACCCCATTTCAGTACTTAAAACCATACTTTAAGGGGGTGATATCAGGTACTACCTCTACCTAGGGATTCATTACGAGTGTTGATGGCCTGAGTTGCGACTATTGTATGTGTTCTGATCTATACGCACATACAGATTCGCTCCCTGACCTCACCATCTCCTTGTTTCTTTTGGTCATAATGTGATATGGGAATGCTTTGTCTGTATATAGTCTGATAGCAGTGTCTCCCAATATATAATTCTCCCAACCTATGGTCCTGTACATGTATCCAATCCAACCTTCAAAATGATTGACGTTTGAATCAGATCAACCGTGTAACTCAGAATAGAATGGAGAACAACCTGCCAAAGTCACGTTCCAATGAGCTCTGAATGGCTGGTGAGATAGTGAAATCGTGAAATCGTGAAATCGTGACATCGTGACATCGTGACATCGTGACCTCGTCCAATTGAGATCACGATCTTCCATCACGTCTTCCGAAGTCAACCTGAGATCAGCTGCAACCTTCTTATCGGAGACACTGGGGGGCGATCCTTGCGACCGTGCATTTCTGTTCGTAGCGAGAATTGAAACCCCTTGTGCTTTGGGACATTCGAAAAGATAGAGCATCTAGGCAGATCCCCCGTGTTTGCATCATCTGTGTGGCGTTCTAGGCTGACTGGCACACTCGAGACCTATCGAGTCACCGGATGTGCGTCACAGATCAACTATCTTCATTATTACGCCCCTTCTCTCTCTTTCTCCGCATTATCCATTTGGCTTCCCTCTTTCTTCTTCTTTTGCTTTCATCTCTTTCTGCTAGCTTTCACATAGCTTTACGCTGTGATTCCTTCCAAACTGCATTTGCCCGTGGATGCGGAGAAGCTCTGAACGTGCTCCGAAGGTCCTAGGCCGGGGTTCACCCCATATGCCGGGCATCCATTGTCTTATCGTGACTATTTTAGCGTCTCAAACCCAGGAACTTCCTTAGAAAAAAAAAAGAAAAGAACATTGCGTCTGTTAGCATGGCCAGCAGCTCTGGATCCATCGCTGCCCGATTGCGTTCCTGATAACAGATTCCGGCGGTGATAACAATCGTCCCCAGTACTCCGCATCGTTGCTCCAGGGTAAAGCCTCCTCGCCTTTTGTCCGGTGGCCAGCCGTAGCTAATCAGGCTTGTGAAATTAGGCGCCCAATATGCACCAACATCCCCGATCACCGGCGCCGCCGCCTTCGGCGCCAAACCTCCCCCCAGACCAACAGCTCGGGACGACCACAGAGACCATGAAACCGCCCCGAGCTCCCCAACCGTCGATATGGGATCTCATTCTGCTAGGGGGCTGGGAATAGAACCGGGGCCCCAGCCATCTGAGCAGGCAAGGAATACAGCGTTGGGCAAGGAGGCCCTGACCCGGTTGAATCAGATCATATCGGTATGGGTCGCTCAGATCGCCCCTCCAATGGCTTATCAGGATGGCCTGCTAATGCATCAATTCCCGTCACAATAGAATTATCATACGAAAGCTGCTTTGATTATCCTGCACTCGCGAGTCGCACTGCCTCTTTCCTTTAACAAGGGATCCGAGTCTCCGAGAGTCAACCGCTGGGTAAGTGTCCATCCTTTGGTCGGGTTTGGGATGCTCTTTGGAGACAATCGGAAATAGAAGAACTGGGTAAACTAATCTTGTTTGTTTCGCGTCCAGTTCAACGTCGAGTTAGATGACACAGATGTGCTTCGGGAACCCCTGCGACCTTGGAGGACATGCGACGCAACAGATAATCGACCACCCCCTCTCGTTATCGAAACATACCTAGACACGAAGGGCCTCACAAATAACCAGAGTTTGGTGATTCTTGATGAAAATGGGAAGCGATGGGATGTACGCGAGTCGCTCGCGGCGCTTCAGGGTGCTCGCGCAAAGCCATACCAGTCGGATGATGATGAGATCGTTTTGGAGCGATGGAGAATCGAGTTGGGAGAGTCGTCAAGCAGGCTGCCAGCTGATTTAGGCTCCATCCTGCCAACCGTGTATAAGAAAAGCATTGTGCTTTTCCGGTCATTATTCACGTACTCCAAGTTTCTGCCTGCGTGGAGATTCGTCAAGCGCAACAAAAAGTTACGGCCGAGTCCGGCTCTTCAGATCAAATATCGCGTGGTGGATGGGAGTGCTCCGCGTTATGATCCTTCATTGGACCCTTTAACAGTACAGTTGAGTGAGGGAAGTGAGAAGGTGGTGGACACATACAGCTTTGGGGTAACAGAGTCTCCCGCGGGTCCCTTTTCAGTTCAGGTCACGTATCGGACGAATTGCGATTTCCGCGTGGACGATTCCGAGGCGATTTTGAGCTCGCGGTTTATGGGTGCTGATGACGAGATATTCCGTCCATCTTTACCTTCAGAGGATGTCCCTCGCCCGAATCCAGAGGTCGGATCTGTACCAGTGGAGAGAAGGACAGTTGAAAGTCCAGATTGCACGCGCGCATATGGAAGTCTCTCAACCTTTCATCAGGTCGGCCCAACAACGGGTGCAAGCCCTCTATCAGCACTTCGTGCACTGAGAGGTTCTGGTGGCGCGTCTCCTTCCCCAACAGACTCACCCAAAAAACTTCTTCCTCCTGCCAAAGTTGTTCCCTCAGGACGCGCTGCTCAAATTGCCGGCGAAGAAGGTGTAAGCCTTCCACGCCGTCCCTCCATTTCATTCCAACCTTTCAAAGCTCCTCCTCTTTCTGCTTCCCCTGCTGTAGCAGACTCTCCTTTGGGAGTATCTCCCCGCAACATGTCTTCGCGTATTCCCACAGGCACCTCTGCCGATTCACGCGTTATGCCGCCTCCTTCTTCTGCTGCTTCAGCGCGCAAACCAATAGCGATCGCATCAGAACAAACTATATCATCCCCTAATTCAGCATCTCCCAAACCTGCTCCTATATCTCGATATAGCAGTTCCTTTAGCCACCGACGAGGTCGACTTTCATCAGGAGCAAACCGACTGGAAGACGATATTTCCAGCGGCCGAGCGAGCGCGACATCATCTAATGCCCATCCGGGATCCGGCCTGCTCACAGAAGCTACAGGTACGAGCGCGGAGTCTATTCACGCCGATGATGAAAACATCTCCGACTTCCTAAAGATGCTAGATTCCAAAAGGGATCTCATGAGTTCATCTACCACTGTATCTGTTAAGCCCAGTCCTCGGCAGCCAAATGCTACAGCAGCGGCTCTTGCTCGTTTCCGCGGCATGCGCGATTCAAATGCAGCTTTATCAGACTCAATGTCACAATCTATGCACATGCATCGCTCTTCCATCTCTTCGAGCAAGCAACTGTCAGGGGTCCCGCCGATGGTTGCAGGCACCTCCATCTCTACAGCCTCTTCCCCGGGGAAACCAATATCCCCACACACACCTCACACTCCTGCCATCCGTTCCCGTCTGAGCTCGAACAGCGTTGCCGATGATCTTGAAACCGACCATCGCTCAAGAATGCCTCGTATACAACATGACTCGCCGCTTGAAGAGCAACATTGTGAAAGCTCGCGAGGCCCCTCCTCCACCGCAGGGGCTATTGACATCCCGACATCCCCGCAAATATTCGATCCTGCCTATCGTCGCTCGAGCTCCGCAGCCGTGCGCCGTCCAGTTGTTACCAGTGACGACGATGAGATCTTCCCATTCGGCATGCGGAGCTTGAGTCTCGGGGTCGATGAACCCTCGAACGCCACCGTGGCAGCGGCCCAACAGCAAAACGAGTCCGAGAAAGGTCAACGATCATCAGCTAAGGGCCAAGGTGGTCCCACTAGCTCTACAACCGGCCCATATAGGGACGGTGCTTCCCTCCGTGGCCAGATGTCGGGACCAACAGGGGCCTCAGCGTCCTCGAATCCTCATATATACCAACCCCGGTTCGCCAGCTCCCGCGGCCGTGGCTACTCGGGCGGGCATTCCCTTAGCTCAGCCTCCAGTAGCCTCGCCCGAGGCGCCAATCTCCCTCCTCACCTCGTGGAGCGCGACCAGGATCGCGACGGCAATGCCAGTGGCAGCAACAGCGGCAATTCGACCCTTGAGATCCGTCGCGGTTCTGGCCAGCGGCCAGGCACAGGCCGGACGCTGTCAGCCCAAGCGACCGAAGACGACGAGCCGCTGCTTTTTGCCATGAGCGACTTTGGAGCCTCGCGGCGCAGCCTCGAGGAAGGTCGACATGGGAACCACGGCGGAGCAGAGTCGGCGGCTGGGTCACGACGTGGTAGTGGAAGACGCGGAGCAGGGCTCCCCGGCTTCCATGTCTGGTCGTGAAATACGAGTATATTGTGAAATGGAACTATGTACGGATGTATCTACATAGTCCATTCGGCGCTTTTGACTTTTCCTTCACTTTTTGTTTTATCCTAATTTCCGATTCTCCTCATCTTGCTCTCGCCTGCCTCTCTATCATCTTTCTCTCCTGTTTGCGTGGAAGCTTAACCAGGAGTTCGATTAAGCCTTCTGATTTGATTTTTGATGCTGGATCTGCTTCTAAACCATGTCCCTTTTTGCGCGGTTGGCTGCTTTCATAGACTGGTCACTCCAATTGCAGATTGACTACGGCGATGTGCATAGAGATTGGTCTTTGTTTTTTTGTTTTTTTTCTCTTGTCTTTGGCGTTCCCGTTTGATGATTTGCTTTTTCCTTCTCTTCTTCTCACCTTCGAATCTGGGATTTGCTTTGCTCATCTGGCATCTTCCCTGCATGATCGATATGACTTGATGGTTTCCTTGAAACCGGCGCTTTTTTCTACCCCTTTAACGACTATATGATGCTTGATTTGATGATGTTAGTGAGTTTGGCATGGCAGAGTTAAAATATCTATAAAAATTGAAACACTTGTTTAGAATGTTCTTCTTCATTCTAGTAAAACAGATCTTCTAATATCAATTTCATATTGTAGGTACGCACCTATACTCAATCACTCAATCTATTTTCTATCAAAGATCTAGTTGCAATGGGCTCGGATCTCTTAGGTCCTTGCTTCATTAATCCATTGAACCGCTGCAACCGCCGTGAAAACACACGGATCCCTTTCCAACCACCTGACGGCAAGAGCCGCTAAACATGGATAGGATCGTCTATGAGTGGATGAACGCGTGTGATATAACGCTGTCCTTGCGCATATACGAGAAACCGGAAACTTTTTACTGTTTAAATGTTCACTTGCCTATCCTCGCACCTCAAAGCGCTTGCCAGGATGATACTAGTCATGTTTTCCAAGTTTTTATCATGTTTATAATCGCAAAATATATAACTTTGAGGATAGAATATAGACTACGGCGTAGAGCCTAAACAGGAATGCGCATATCTGCAAACGTAAGATAAGTCGCCTGCACCGGCGCAACCACCGTGTCGTAGAATTGCTGCCGAAACTGCGAGAAACCGAAGTCCTTGTATACATCGCGGCCTTGGAATGCAAACTTCACACACCGCTCCACCGCATACCCGTAAGAATCTCCTGCAAGGCTGTATACCTCATCCAGCTTTCTTAATGCGGCTTGGTAGTCGTCGAGCAGTGAGCCTGGCATTGCGCTCTCACTAGTCCGTTGAATCCCCGCAATCGACTTGTTTATGCAAAGCTCTATTAGAAGAATGCCAAGAGCGAAGACAATTCGGTTGGGGATCATATAATCGAAGTCGGTAGTGGGCGGCTTCTCGGGTGTACTTGGCGCCGAGAAGATACACGAGGCGCAAGGATGTTGGGAGAGTAACTCCCGGCCGTCTCGGTTTCTCTCGAGGAAGATGTTTGCTTGATTTTCGTGCCAGTGGTCGGTAAGCCAGGGACTGCCACTCAGGTGCAGGACTGACCAGGCAGTGGATGCGGCAATGCTGTACCTCTGTTTTGCGGATAGGGAAGCATGTGTGGTTGGTTGCTGGGTTGACTGCTCGTGAGATGATAGGAGAGTTTTCAGAGGGATGGCTTTGACAATTTTTGACACATTTGTTGGGCTGTGGTCGAGATGGAATTGCCGATCTTCCTCCTCATCTAGGTCTTTTATGAAGCCTGTCATGGTCCATGAGGTACATTCTGCACATGCTGTATTACAGAGACTGGTAATCTCGGTACTTGTTGAAATTGATGCAGAGGTCGATGAAGTGAGTAAAGCCGGCGCTGTAAGCGGTGGTGAGGGTGTCTGAGGTGATGGGCGGGATATGAAGTGTACTATCTTAGATCGGATAGATGAAGATGGGGAAGGGGCTCTAGCAGGAGATTGTGAAGGGGCTAGGAAGTCGGGAGTTGGACTGGCAATCTTGCTGGAAGCTGAAGTGACATGAACCCTTCGCCATGAGTCAAGTAACTGGGATGATTGCGGATTTGTTCCGTAAGAGATGGCCACTTTGAAAGGCTTGGCTGTGTCGGATTCATATGTCGCCCAGTCGAGGTCGATGGCAGCTTGGTGAGGTGGAGAACAAGTACAACGAAACCCGGCCTCGAGTGCTCTGTGAAGAGAGCTTAGACACTGACGTATTGAGCTGCAACGCTGGACATTGAAGCGGCGCTTGAGACCTTGCACTTTGTCGCTTTCGTCTTCCGCAGGCACCTCCGGTTTCTCAAGAGATCTTCTCAAGTCTTCATTCCAATTTCTGAGGTCCTCAATCACTTTCTTGCGCTTTTTGGTGCTGAAACTGTGTTTCACTCGATGCCATTCCCATTGGGCCCTATCCGACAGAGCATTCGGCTAGTCGTATAGTCGCACGTTAGTAACAGCGCCGGAAACAAGATTGGGTATTTGACTGATATACCTTGTTGTTTGTATCGATATCCAGGTTCTTCAGGAGCGAGCAAGTAACCTCGTCCATGCGTTGAAACAGGGACATCAGTTCTCGAGAGATACTCGAGAACTTGGTATCAAAGCATTCGCGTAGCTCTTTGCTCGACGGCTTCTTGCCCAGTCCGATGTTGCAGAGAGTCGTCTCTAGCTGCCGGTTTTGCAAGATCAGGTCGGTCCGAAATGTCTCTATGGAAGTACGATAATTGTGAAAAGCCTGGAAAGGCTCCGCATATTTCTCAAGAGCCCAGATTGCGAGTGGCAACCCTCCCAGAACAAGACCAGCAACTTCAGCCATCGTGGTAGACCCACTTCATTATGATCAGCTAGATTCTTATCCTATGGGGTTTCCCACTCACCTGCAGTTCGGATGGGGTCGTGCTGCGACGGTGCGATCTGGGCCTTTCTGTACTGATCTGACTTGCTCAAGATGGAACAATGGTGTTCTCGTGATAAGCGTAAGATGCGATCTGACTTGGGCTTGTCTAGACGCGCGAAGGGAGGGTGCTCATTGGCTCAGAGATTCCTCGCATCTCCCCCCGCATCTCACCAACAGCAAAAGTCCGGCGATGATTTTTGATTAGAATCACGTTGTGACTACGGGCCTCTTGACTATACTGCCGAGATGTCGAGGAGCTCATAATCAGAATCCTCCCAGCTTGCCACCATGACGGACCTCTCAGCCCGGGCGTCTGGCCCACCCCTTTCGGAGTCGTATCTAGAATGCATCCAGTCATTCGGGCTATTTGTACAGGCCCTCAGCGAGGATGATTGCCGTGTGGTGCATCTTGAACAGATTCAGCTTTCTGAGATATTGGAAGGATACGGGAGAATCAAGATCTGGGGTGATCAAAGCAAAGCAGAACTTCCAGCAAGAGCTCGTGGCTCCTTGGACGATACACTCCGGCACGACGATGAGCTCAGATCTTTGGTTCAGGGCATCCTCACGCGACTGAAAGCAATCCTCGGCCAAGGCAAGTCACACAATTCAAGTACATGAGTCCTCGTCTAATCTTGTTTCAGCAACATATATTGCTCGAAGAAAGTATGATCCAGCTGTTGGATCGGATCATGACTCGATAAGCAGTGTCAGTGCAAATTCAGATTCCGATTCGGATGAAGGTGGCGAGCACCAACGCCATAGGATGCCAAAGATTTGTCTACTTGTCCAGCAAACGCTCGAGCAAATTCGATCACTTTTCGACCTATCTGCTTTACTGCGGCGCCCTAAAATTGCAGACAAATACATCCGCTCTGTTGACTCGAAATCACACACAGCTACGCTGAGCGACCCGGAAATTTTGCCGATAAATCTCGGCTTCAGCAGCTCTGACGAGGGCCATATTGTGGAGAAGATGCTACAATGGCGCGGCTTGACTAAGAGCGGGCAGTGTATCCAATTTGAAGACGAGGAAGTTACCCCGACAGGGCAAGGTTTGACATATGATCGTGTTGAAGATGTCATGTGGTTCTGTAAGAGACTTGCAGGAGCGAACACAAGGCGAAGAGAGCAGCTTCAATATTGGGCTGATCATCCGTATGATCATAAGAAGGCCACCACAGATATCCCTGTGCTTGACGCGCCAAATTTGGAGCAAGTGGTGGCCAAACAAATGAGAGAGCCCCAGAAATCACAAAGCCAAGCATCTACTTTAAAGCCGCCCAAGTCAACCGTGTCGAAACAAAGTTTCTCTACGGCTGCAGTCTCAGATATCTATGATACAAAGACCAACGTTCGGCCGCGGACAGTCTACGCGCCTACAACCATCGGTCAGGGCCGGTACAGCTCTGTCCCAGACCCCCCAAGGATGGAAGATGGAAAGACCACATTTCTATGTCCTTATTGTGGGATGACACTCGAATCTAGCGAGATGAAGAACAGGCAAGTATGGAAGTAAGTTATATCTCCTAAAAACTTCAGTCCAATCATGTTGACCACAATTTGAAGGCGCCATGTATACCGCGATCTCCGCCCCTACGTCTGTACCTTCGAAGAGTGCCAGAATGCGGGAAAACTATACGTCAATCGTCATGACTGGATGTATCATGAACTCCAGATTCACCGGCGCAAGTACGTCTGCAGAGATTGCCATAAGATATGTTCTAGTAGACAAGAAATGTCGACACACGTTCAAAAACATTACAGCGACTCAATCTCACTTGCTCAGTTGAGCGTCATTCTGGATCTCTGCAACCACCAGGTTGATATCTCAGACAACGAGAACGACACATGCCTCGTGTGTGGAATGGAACTCTCATTGTCGGAGCTACAGGGACATCTTGCCACCCACATGGAGGAAATTGCTCTTTTCGTTCTACCCAGTTCTCATGAAGCGGAAGAACTAGGGGGTGACATGGCATCCATGCAGGCTGCAAACCCCAAGTCCAAAGCTACAAACAGCAGCACCACTTCGGAATTCAGTAGCCTCGGCTTTTCTGGAGCAGACGGCGCTGAGAACTTTGAACCTGGAGACTTGCTAACTGTGAAAGGTATGGAAAAAAATAACGTATCACAAGTCCGATGCTCATCCCTTTCTACTAGATGGAGCCCTTACGGTTGTAGACAACCCACCGAAAAGCGATGGCAACGAATTCGGTTTTATGGTGGAGCAATTGGCCGAACGAAGGATGAAAAGAGAGAAAGATAAACAAGACTCTGTACATGGGCAATGGCATAGCCCCCCGGATGATGAAAACGATGACGACAAGGCAGCTGAAGATTCTAGGCAGACTCCAGCCAGTTTCTCAAAGTTACTCACTAGCGAGGAAGCGGATTATGCCTCCAAATTTTTGTTTTGGGGAACGATGGATGAAGACCAAGAATGGGTGTCGAGCAGAGCCAATCAATCGACCTTGCCAAATGAGATACTACAAGTCATGGCAACAAAGTTAGAACACCCAGATCGCGAAGTGGTGCAGGCTGCCATTCGAATCCTAGGTCATCAAACAAACTTGCCAGATGAGATAATCCAGACCATGGCAGCACATTCGAAAGACGTGCATGAGGGCCTGAGGAACGATTTGCTTCAAATCCTAGACCGTCATTCAGTCTTGCCAGAGGGGATCCTCACAGGCGGGGAAACACAATCTGAGGACAACGCGCTAAGACCTACTCACTCACCTTCCGACGAGATCACACACAATCTCGAAGGCGTAAACCTTGACCAAGGCAAGCCAAAAGAGGCAGAGCACAAATACTTGCGAACGCTAGCCGAGACAGAGAAGGCTCTAGGACCCGACCACACATCGACGCTTAACATAATCCACAATCTTGGAATCCTATATCATGACCAAGGTAGCCTGGACAAGGCAGAAGAGATGTATGTGCGGGTACTATCCAGATACGAGAGAGTTCTAGGATCCGACCACATAACCACCCTCAATATGGTCCGTTACCTCGGAAAACTATATCATGACCAAGCCAAGCCGGACCAGGCAGAGCCGATGTACTTGCGGGCGCTAGCTGGGTATGAGAAAACGATGGGACCGACTCATCCGTCAACCTTGCACACTATCAAGAATCTCGGAGGCCTATATTTTGACCAAGGCAAGCACAATGAGGCAGAGCCGATGTATTCGCGGGCGCTAGCTGGGTATGAGAAAGCAGTGGGACCAGATCATACAACAAGTCTGCAGATTGTCCAAAAACTTGGAACGCTATATCAGGATCAGCTTCAGCTAGACAAGGCAGAGCCAATGTTTTTGCGGGTGCTTGCTGGGTACGAGAAGGCGCTAGGACCCGATCATCTTTCAACCCTCCAGCCTATCAATGATCTTGGAAGCCTGTATCGTGAACAAGGCAAGCTGAATGAGGCAGAGCAAATGTATTCGCGGGCGCTAGCTGGGTACAAGAAGGCGCTAGGGCCCGATCATCCCTCAACCCTCCAGGCTATCAATGATCTCGGAAACGTACATTGTCGCCAGGACAGACTAGATGAGGCAGAGCAGATGTACTTGTGGGCGCTAGCTAGGTACGAGAGGACGCTGGGACCCGATCATCCCTCAACCCTCCACACTATCAGGAATCTCGGAAACGTATATCGTGACCAAGGCAAGCTGAATGAGGCAAAGCAGATGCAGCAGCTGTATGTAGCTAGGACTACATAGTTAGTATATGCATGATCCTGTAAAGAGCTCGTCGTCAGGCCTTTTCAGGCTTGAAGCGGGTTCAGCCCTTCACAGACCCGGTCGTTTCTATCACCTGAGGTGTAAAGCAACGCAACTGCAAATTAGAAATTTTTGGGACGAGGGCTGTTGGATAGTAAGGGAGAGGAGGGTGTAATGCGGAGTTGGCGCACACGTCTCTATAAGCATGGCAAAGGGGGCTTCCGTATCACGTTGCGATTATAGATAGCTCTCCATATTAGACTTCAAATGTTTTGATAATAATACTAATAATACTACCTGGGCGCTGATACTAATAATTGTACAGGTGATATCTGGAACACAGGCCTTAGTAGACATGTATGTATCATACTTCTCTGGTATTAGGCTAGGCTCAGACAAGGCTTTTTGCCTGCCTTTTTGTCGGTCAGTTATATTTCGACCCCCCTATCCACTATATCGACCCCCCCCTCGACCTATATCGACCCCTCCATTGCCTAAATAGGTTAGCAGATTACCCTAATTAGTTAGCATATTCTAGAGATCATATCAGGCTTAGCGTGAGGGTTATCATTTAAACGCTAGTAATCTTGGCAGTATTCCCCAGTATAATATGTGGAGTGCACATAGTATGAAAACATCATAGAGTCATGTGATCTAAAAACAGATGCTGATTTTCAAAAATACTACCAATCAACTATTTAGCTCCCTCTTCGCTATCCTTGATATTTGTCCCCCAAAGTCGATATCCTTAGTGTATACTATCCCATTTTCAATATGACTTCCCCCTTGATTTTACCGTCACTATACAGCGATGACGATAATCTTTTCACTATACCCGACCGTATTATCAACTTCGAAAATCTGTCCGATATAGACTTAGATATCGACTCTGAGATAGGCTATAACGAGGATACGGATATATTAATGCCCGTACCTCCCCCTAGTCAATACCTAACCCTCTAGATCGTAAGCGAGGAGATTAACGGCTTTACCCGTTTATTTAGGTATAGTGTATCGGTACGCCGTACCCGTACCTTCAAAGATAACCCCGAAGACCTTAAAAACGTTATATTAATCTACGACCGTAGGGAATATAGGAAATCTGATCAATACTAACTAACTAAGGTTAATTAGGGCTAGTAGGCCCCGCGGAAGAAGCGGAATACCTCTACTCGCTCGACGAAGTGTAAATTTACCCTTACACTTCGTAACCGCCGGTATCTATAGCACTAGGAACTTAAGATAACCTAACCTTTATATAACGGTTATAGTCTATCCCTCCCCTCGGCGTACTAATACTACCGTAAATAGGAATTTTAGGAGAATGCTAGCTAGCTCGCTAGCTAGTTTAAATAGTATATTCCTACCCGCACTATCCTAGTCGGGCTTTATATAATTACGAAAAGTAAGGGGAGGGTAAGCGCTATATATAGCCGGGATCTATAGAATTAGAAGTATTTATTATAGCTCGAGTTCCTAGATAGGCTCTCCCCGATATAGGCTCTACTTAGAGAGTTACCGAAGTATAAGGAATAGATTTACTAAAGCCTCCTTAATAATAATCGCTTAGTTACTATACTTTTCTATATATATAAATTAAGCCTTATATTACTACGCTAATACTACTATACCCTTTAGATAGACTATATCTATAAGACTAATCGGTACTATATACTACTATTAAATATAGTAGGCTCTTTAGTAGTTAGTAAAACCTTTAATACCGGGTTTACCTTTATCTAAAACGAGTAAAAGGACTACTTTATACTAGTACTATAGTGGCTAGCTAGTATTTACTAGCGGTTTAGCGAAGCTAGTCTAGAGACTATCTTTACTAATAAAGACGTTACACTAATAAATATAGTAAAGGAGGTATATATACTACCTTATATATATACTTTATTAATTATTAACCTTATATTTACTAGGTTTTTCTAACCTATAACTCTATTATATACCTCTAGTATATCGAGAAAAACGTCCTATCTAAAGCCCGTACGTACCTCCGAGCTATCGCACTCGCTAACGTAGAGAGGGGAGGATTTACCTAATCTAACCTACGGTATTAATAGGATATCTAGTAATAATAGATAGCTATAAAGAAGCTCTTTAATAAATAGGTATATATAGATATATAGGAGGATATTACTATATACTAGATAGCTTTTATTACTACGTATACTTACTTCTCTAGGTTTATCGAGTATATCTAATAGGAGTGGTAGAGCTATAGTTAGCATTTCCTTTATTTTTATATTAACCGCTATTTCCGGGTTAATATAACCTCTACTTCTCGTAATAAGGCTTCTCACTAGTAACTAAAGAGAGATCTCGAGGTCTCGACTAAGGATCTCCTTAAGGTCGTACGAATATTTAAATAGGTTATTATATACTAAGCCACTAAGATCGAGTAGACTACTAAGGCCTAAATAACTACCTAGTAGTCCTACTTAATACCACTTCTCTATAATATAGAAAGGAAGGTATCTATACTTATACGACGGATAGTTATCGATATTTATCGGCGTTACTACTTAGTCGATAGTATATATAAACTTCCGCTCCTACTACTATTAACTAACGGTCTATATCGACTACACTATAGTATAACGAAGGTAAGTAGAATCCTATATATTCACTAGATTAGCTATTATACCTAATATAAGAAGAGTTTCGTAGTATCTAATTTCTATCCACACTAGTAGCTTTATCGCTATCCCTCCTCCCCTCCTCCGATCGACGATATCTTTATAGTCCGCAATCTAATATAGTATAAACACGGAAGTAGGCGAGCGAGTATTATAGAGCGGTCGGTACGGCGAGATCTATCGGGGTTTAAATACGTTTTAGCGGAGGAAACAGCGGAGATCGAGCGATCTACGGAGTTACAGAGGAGCACACAATCATTAGGGGTCTAGAGAAGTCATAATCATACCCTAGTCCCTACTACAGCAACTACTAGTAGTACTAGGACTACTACTAGTAACGGCCGCAGCGAGGAAAGTAGTACACGGAAGCGTCGGAAGGCCCCTACCCCTAGTAAATATCATAGTATACTAGATAGACTTACCTTAGTACAGAGATTTTAATATATTTAAATAAGAAATAGAGGTTTTCGGGCTACAATATTGATAAATATCAAGGATAGCGAGGAGGGAGCCAAATAGTTGATTGGCAGTATTTTTGAAAATTAGCATCTATTTTTAGATCACATGACTCCATGATGTTTTCATACTATGTGCACTCCACATATCATACTAGGGAATACTGCCAAGATTACTAGCGTTTAAATGATAACCCTCACGCTAAGCCTGATATGATCTCTGGAATATGCTAACTAATTAGGGTAATCTGCTAACCTATTTAGGCAATGGAGGGGTCGATATAGGTCGAGGGGGGTCGATATAGTGGATAGGGGGGTCGAAATATAAGCGACCTTTTTGTCAATTCAATCTAACCCAATCCAGCTAAGAGGTTATCGACAGAGTCGAAGATCGTAGATAATACGCAAATGGATATATAGAAAAAAAAGAACAAGTGACTTCGTTACGGACCATGGGCGTTCCATGGAGACATCTAAATACATTGAACATCAGAATTTTTACCCTTTTAGCACACCTCAACTTCATTCGCTTATGCAATGTAGGTCGAGGCAGACACATCACCACCACGGCCGGTCCAGTTAACGTGGATATCCTTGCCCTCGGGGAAGGTCTCGCTGGCGTTCTCGGGCTTGACGCGGAAAGTGTGGGCACCGAAGTAATCACGCTGGGCCTGGAGGAGGTTGGCGGGGAGGTTCTTGGAGCGGTAGCCGTCGTAGAAGCTGAGAGCGGTGGTGAAGGCAGGAGCGGGGATACCCCACAAAGCAGTCTTGCTGATCACGTTACGCCAGCCGTTCTGGGCATTGTTAATGGCCTTGTTGAAGAAGTCGTCGAAGAGCAGGTTCTCGAGGTCGGGGTTGTTGCGGTAGGCATTGGTGATGTCCTTGAGGAAGACGGAACGAATGATGCAGCCACCGCGCCACATGAGGGCAATGGAAGGCTTGTTAAGCTTCCAGTTGTACTCCTTGGCGGCCTACATTGAAAATATCAGTTTTAAACCCCTTATCTGTGAGATTGATAAGAAATTCACAGAAAACTTACGTTCTGAATGAGCATGAAGCCCTGGGCGTAGGAGATAATCTTGGAGGCGTAAAGGGCCTGCTCAAGGTCGTCGATGAAAGCCTGCTTGTCACCCTCGAAGTTGGGGGTAGGACCACTCAGGATGGTGCTGGCGCGGCCACGCTCATCCTTGAGGGCACTGAGGCAGCGGGAGAAGACAGCCTCACCAATGAGGGTGACGGGCATACCGAGATCCAGAGCATTGATGGCGGTCCACTTGCCGGTACCCTTCTGGCCAGCCTTGTCAAGGATCTTCTCAACAAGGGCAGTGCCATCGTTATCATTATAGTAGAGAATATCACGGGTGATCTCAATGAGGAATGAGTCCAGAACACCGGTGTTCCACTTGGCGAAAACATCACCGATCTCCTTGGAGGAGAGACCCAGACCGCGCTTAAGGATATCGTAGGCCTAGGCTATGTCAGTCCTTGCCCAAGACGTATTTTGCGGCTTAAAGCTTGAAAGTTGGCTTACCTCGCAGATCAGCTGCATGTCACCGTACTCAATACCGTTGTGAACCATCTTGACGTAGTGACCGGCACCCTCGTCACCAACCCAGTCGCAGCAGGCCTCGCCGTCGCTCTTGGCGGAGATGCTTTGGAAGATGTCCTTGATGTGGGGCCAAGCATCCTCGTTGCCACCGGGCATGAGAGAGGGGCCGTAACGGGCACCCTCCTCACCACCGGAGACACCGCTACCGACGAAGCTGATACCCTTGCTGGTGAGGTACTGAGTGCGGCGGTTGCTGTCGGGGAAGTGGGAGTTGCCACCGTCAATGATGATATCACCCTTCTCGAGGAAAGGCAGGAGGGATTCGATGAAGTCATCGACGGGCTTGCCAGCCATGACAAGGAGCATGATGCGACGCGGGCGCTTGAGCTTGGCGCAGAACTCCTGGATGGAGTGAGCTCCAACAATGGACTTGCCTGTTCGAAATAATGAGTATTTTGAAGCTAGCTGAAACATCCGTCTGGTTGAAGCTTACCCTTGGCCTCGTTTTCCAAGAAACGATCAACCTTGGCGGTTGTACGGTTGTAAGCGCAAACGGTGAAGCCGTGATCGGCGACGTTCAGAATCAAGTTCTGGCCCATAACGGCCAGACCGATGAGGCCGAAATCAGCACTGGGAGCAATATGCGCCGGAGCGCCGACATTGATGCCGGCGAGACGGGCACTATAGTCAGCGATCAAGGTCTCCAGTCAATAACTTGGTAAAAACGACAGTAGAAGGAGTAAAAAAATGCAAGTGAAATCCGTGCGCTTCCGAAAAAGCTCAGAATTGCGAGATCCCCAAGATATCATCTTGCGCCAGCATCTAGAAGGATTCAAACTTCCCAATAGAGCTATCGCAAGACGTCTGAACAGTATTGAAGATCCATGCGTTCTGCTATTGCTGCAAGATGCAGGCAAGTGTAACCACTGGGGTTTCTGGGACTGGTGAAGTGGGGAAGAGAATATAGAACTTACACAGCCTGGTCAGCCATGACGATTAGATGTGAGATTAGAGGGTATTGAGGTAAAGAAAGGATATGTCTAGAGAAGAAAGGAAGATGAAGAAGGAGGAGAGGGGCAGAAGAAGTAGCCCAACCGGCTGACGGAGCAACTCTTCCGTCATCTGGTGGGACATACCGGCGGGGGTACTGTGTACCTGAGGTTTCTACCGTCTCCGGTGTAGCGCCAAGTATTTGGTACAGGAGCAGAGTCGTCCGGTCAACCCACTCGGGTTCTGTTTGGATGTGGGCGACCATTACCCGCTTTCAATTGCCCTCTACAATGTCCCTTGAGGTACTCTGTAGTACTATCTATGTTGATCTTCGTTGCATTGACCATTGCATTGACCATTGTGTCGTTGCAGCTTTTACTTGTATGAAGCGGGGCATGGAGGGGCAACTTGAACTGAGGAAGTGTATCTCCCGTATGACATAGCAAGTACGTTGGAAGTTCTGAGTGCGGAGTACCTATGAATCAAAAGGCTGACACAGTAATAAGCCAGCGCGAATCAATTGAAGCCATCGAAAACGTCCGAGTCCCACGCCTTCCACGTATCGGTGAACTGTTCTGGCAGAGCTGCGACGGAGAAACAGTTGCCGATGCGCTCATAACCGGCTGCGTATGGACTAGGCTGCTTTGGGACTAGAGTGGGGGCTAGCGTCGACAGTGCCGATGACTCAGCATTTGATCCGCCGGAGTGCTTACATCATAGATGAGTCAGGAAAGCTTGACTGAGTCATGTGACACAGTGGTTGCCGCGGCCAGCGCCAGCGCATTCAGAGACGAGAGAGAAAAAAAAAGTCAAGTCCAACATCATCTCATAACTCATTAATCATTCTGCTCCAGCGTATTCTGCGGTTGTGCGCTCTCATAAATCTCCAGGTATCTCCCAGTGATCCTTTGCAAGTCACGCAACGCCTCGTGCCTTGCAAGTGCTATTCTTCGGGTGCCTCGCTCTGGGTTCTGTCTCAAGCGTGACGTCTGGCAACTGACTGCGGCGTCGGTCAGGCCCTGAAGGTACGTTGCAGTTGCTTCCTTGCATCTAGCATTCTCGTCTCTCTCGCCTCATTTCTTCGTTTCTCTATTCGGATATTCCATTCATCATGTCCTTTCCGCCTCCTCCAGGTCTCAAACAGACTCCCTCGTCACTTCCACCCCGCCCACCCCCATCTTCCAACACCGCGCAGCCTCCTGCTGCCAACACTGCGGGGCATGGAGGTAGATCCCGGCCAACGGGCTACAGCGCCTTCACAGCCTTCCAGCCGCGCACGGTAGCTTCCAGTCAAGCGCATCGCGCCAACACTCACTCAGCCTCGATTCCGCCCGTCTCCGCTACTGGATACGTGACCCCCGCTACCGGCTACGGAGCTCCCTATCAACAAGCTCCAGCATATCAGAGTGGGTCTTCCTACTATGGACAACCTCAGTACCCTGAACACACGTACGGCCAGGCCGTCCCACACATTGTGAACCCATTCGGAACAACCCCCAACCAGAACAACTCCGCATATCCAGGCAATAGCAATGACCCCAGCATGGATGCAGAGACTGCGGCTCAGATTGCGCAATGGCAGAGTGCCTACGTTAAGCCAATCGAAGACTCAACCAACAAGCGCCAAGCTAACTACCCGGGTTCGGGCATGAATTCTGGAGCTGGAACCCCAACCATCGGCGCTAGCGCTTCTATCCCGAAGCCCGAGTCACAGAAAACAGTCGTGCGTTCTGGCGGTGGTGAAACATGGCAAGATCCAACTCTCTTGGAGTGGGACCCAGCACACTTCCGCCTCTTTGTGGGTAACCTTGCAGGCGAAGTGACGGATGAATCTTTGTTGAAGGCATTTTCTCGCTATACATCAGTCCAGAAAGCCCGCGTGATTCGGGAAAAGCGAACGCAGAAGAGTAAAGGGTTTGGCTTTGTCAGCTTCAGTGGCAGTGATGACTACTTCAAGGCGGGACGAGAAATGCAAGGCAAGTACATTGGCTCACACCCAGTGTTGCTGCGCCGAGCGACGACCGAAGTTCGTCCAACCTCGACCAAGCATGGGAAGAAACAGAACAAAGGCAAAGGTAACAAGGGGAGGCAACGGAGGCCACACCGGTGCTGTAGGTGGACCAGCTACTACCGGTGGAAAAGTGAAGCAAGATGGTGTCAAGAAGCCAGCGAAGACCAAGGGAGGATTGAAGATTCTGGGCTAAATCCATGCATGGATTCCAGCCGACGGTTTATGTCCTGATACGATACTACACAATATTGAAAGTTGTGTGCTACTGCTATTTTCTACTACATATATCTACCCAGATCATATAGAATAGACACTAATACACTAGACTTCGTTCTTGAGACAAGACATCGTGTTGGCGGTCTAGATCACGTGACTACATGGCGCCTCAGGCATCCAAGTTTTGTTAGGCAGTTTACCCTTTTCAACCCATTTTCACTTGGCTTCACATCCTGAGTACGATTTTCCACAGACCTCTTTTAAATTCTCATCTCAATCTGCATATCTCCGATAACTTTGGCAGTTCCATTGCAGGGCCCGAATCAGCCACCGCCAGTACCCAGGGCATTAAGCTCAGGTACCCAGCGGGGTACCCACTTCCCCAGCCTCTCCAAAAAAACACATGGCTGGGAAAAAAAGAACCGTTTAAAACCCCCCAATTCACATTCCAAATGATTCAATTTCCCTCAATCTCTTCCTCACATTCCTATGATCAAGTCCGGGGTACTCCTGGTATTCTTGAAGGAGAGTTGTGTGTTGTGAACAGAGCCAGACAAGCGGGCTGTATACGGAAGTATACAAATCCAACGCATTGCTGCCCACCTTTGCACGACCAACCACCTTCACTTGAGCGTCTTGTTTATTCTTATATTATTTGCCCATCGAATTCCACGAGCCACGATCAAACCACTCCACGCATTTTGCCATACCCACTGCCTCCCACGATCTGCTGATCGTCTCCACCCAAGATGGTCCAGCGAAACATCACCATCGCGATCATCATCATCGTCCTCTTCCTCCTCATTGCAATGGCTGGATTTGCCATCTATGCCATGAAGCACCATGTCTCTTTCTTCTCCAAGAAGAAGGAGGGAGATTCAGAGAGTGGAGAGGGAGGGTGATGAAGCAGGATAGCAGTGGTCACTGCTATCCCCGAGCTTGACCTCGGCTTCGGGCCCTCTTGGCTTCGTTATATGGGTACTATCTGCTTTTTTTGTTTCTGAATTACGCATATATTATCTATGACCACACACGCACACATCTACGACCACGACATTTACTGCGATACGATACCCCCTTCTGTTGGCACTTGATGCTATCTGCCACGATCACGAGATGCATTATGAGTCTTCCGTCTACGTTGAATCACGCCTTTGCTGTATAATCCTTGGTGATTGGATGCAATCCTATATACATGGCTGCTGGTGTATATTTTTTTTTTTTTTCTTTGTCTTGGTGGGGAGTTGAAGGTCTATAACTGGGTTCTTTTCTTTGGATGTACTATTGACGAGGATTTGATTTGGAGCACTTTTTTTTTATCTTTCTCACTATTGGCTTCATCATGCATATCTCTTTTGACCGTATGGAGATATATTAACGTTGACGAGTTGTTGAAACAATATGAATCCCCCTACACCTGAGTCCCCTCTTACTTCCTTTGAGACTGTTCAATAGTAGAGTTGGTTCAGTCAAGATTACCCTTCATGCAGGGGCATGTTTATTTTTTGGAAAAAATTGACTGGTGATGCTCGATAATTTGACGGGCACAACAAAAAGAAAATCAAATGCATCGCCTCCGGGGTATAGATATCTACCCAACCTAATAATAAAAACATTCCACCAAAAATGCCTTAACGTACATGAGAGGTTAACGATGAAAGGAACGCCAGACTCCCCATAAAAGAAATCTCGCTCAAAAAACATAACTCAGAAGCTCTTGTGCACGGAGAGCTGTGGCGATATGCCAAGGAAGTGTGTTGTTTTGTACACTGCGTATGCCCTTGGACCGTGCAAGACAGCCCAGATCCCGATACATACTCAATGTATCCTTCAGGACATTATCGTGGACTGCGGCAGGACGTGGGGAATAGATGAGGTTTACAGAGATGGCGAGTACGCCGTCGCCATCAGTAGCACCCTTACGGCGGAGGAGATACCCGCTGCAGAGAGCGGGTCGGAATTCGGTGAGGTGCGGGGAGCTGTTGAGTCGGTGTGATAAAATGGCTAGCCAAGAATCGTCGCAGATATCAGTGAGGACAGCTTCTGAATCTGTTTCGAGTGACATTTCTGTTGGCGTAGGGGCACTGTAAGCGGCAGGGCCGGCGCTGGTCGGCGTGGCTGCATTGCCGGATTGTTCAGGGGATGCAACGCTGGTAGTCGCATTGGGGGTTGTGACAGGAGTAGAAGAAGACAGTATGTTCAGCATGGCGGTCGATATTGGTGGGATTGGGGGTTCAAGGATCAGGTCGGGGATGGTATTGACAGCCAGAATGGTCAATTCCAAGGACCCAGGTCTTGATTTGTTGTGTTGCTCTGCTAGACCAGCCCATGCTGTAAATTCGTTAGTGACGGGCAACTCGATATGATAGAGGATAAAACTTTACCTTCGACCTCATCAGGTTCCATATGATCGGTAGTTGCCAGCTGAATTTTCCATCGGGCTTGAAATCTATCCATGATGTGTTTTGTCGTGGCCCATATCTCATTCCTCACCTCGTTAAGTGGCCTGACACCACTAGACTGACGATACCGTAGACAGTAGGACATGCTCCTTTGGATAGAGCCTGGTACATCAGACCATGCCACTGATATCCAGCGTTGGTCCAGACTTTTGGAGAAAGCAATATGAAGACTTCGTCCTTCCTGAAGCGGCGAGGATCTTTCAGGCGCAAGACGGAAACTGATCGCTCTTGGAAGAGTGTCGGCAAGAAGAATCGGTGGCGCGCAGAGCAGAGGGCTCATGTCCGCATCTTTTGGGCGACATCGACCGTAAACTTCTAGGGCCAGGTTCAAATACTCTGCCTGAGGAGGTACAACCATCGTTTCGCTCGACATGACAAACTCTAGCGGGATTATTTGTAAAACAAGCTCACCGACACTTCGAGTCTGTCGTCGTTCAGAGTCGGCAACCAATTGTTGAAAAAGATGCCAGAAGGCGGAACAAATGTCTGCCAATGCTGCAGCGTGTGTGAAAGGGTTGATGATATAAACAACACAGTTATCGGCACTCGCCGGGGACTGTGAGAGCTCTGATGCTAGGACGATGTTAGTGAAATATATTGCAATGAGCGAAAACACGTACCAAGCTCTTCACAAGTTCTCTTTAATACACGCATCATAGATTCATAACTAGATGTTTCAGTTTGCCATGTCTTCAGCCCCCTTTCGAATGATAGGCAATTTTCTCCTCGATTATGAGAACCCAGATTGCAGCTTTGATAGAGAAGACCAAGCCGTCTTAAGAAAACATCCGCTGCATTTGACGCAGCCTGTGGGTGAATACAATAAGCAGAAATGTTCTTGGGTCCATGAGCAGGCTCAAGACCGAACGTCTCCCAAAATGATATAGCGGGGGGAAGCGCCTCTAGATATTCTTTGCCTCGACGCACACGTACATAGGGCGGGGATAACCTGGAAATGAAGCTTTTTGAGGTGTCTCTGGGTGCTGGCGAAGGTTGCGATGGCTGCTGTTGATTCACAACAAATTCATCCTGCAATGATGTGTATGCTCTGAAGTCCATCTTTGAGACTTCCCCAAGAATGCTTGGGTCGTCGAGAGTTTGTAGTGGCAGAGACTGGCTTTCGAGATCAAAAAGACCAATTTGCCCATCAAGTGGATGTTTGAGAGACGACTGTGTTATTTGATCAACCAAAACCTGCGCAATCTCAAGTTGGGCTTCACGTCGAACAAGTATCGGGAGTTGTTGAGGGGGAAATGCAGAGAAGTAACCTGTCAAGGTCCAATCAGAGAAATTGGATAAGAAGTTGCCGAGGAAGATAGAATTCTCTGCTGTGTATGTAGGACCTGCTTCTATGCTGGGCAAAGTCTTTTCTGGGGAAGCAATGGACAACAAATCAGGTTCCGAAGGCGCCCGTTTCCGCTTCAAAGAGGGCATTGAGGGCACACCTGCTGGCGTTGAAACATGCTCCGAGATGATCTCGATACTGTCGTCACTGCTGTCGCTGCTCACCGAGGCTGATCTTAGACCATTCTCTGACTGCATGAGAGGTAAATTGACCCTGCTGCGTTCTTTCACGGAACCGTGTACACTGGTGCCAGTTCGGTCACGGTGAGGAATACCAATCGTGGGTATGGCAGATGTCTGATCTAACATTTCCAAGGGACCGCCGTTAGAAAACCAGAATTTCCCAGCTGCTCCATACTTCTGGTCCCAATCACCAAGTTTTCTTTCAAAGGCCACTGGATTATAATGACCTGGTCCCCGGTTCTCCGTAGTTTGTTGATGATCCTCTGCCTCGGGCCCCGGGAACAATATCTTTTTCACTTCTACTGGGCTCAAAGGTGGACTGATTGTTTGACCTTCCCGACTTGTAGGTGAATGGACTGGTTCCTCGGGAACCATGGGCTCGTCGGGAAATGCAGGGCCTTCGTCCTTTACCGGAGAAGCAGCTATTTCACATGTTTCGACATGGGGCGTGACTGCGGGTGGCTGCTTAGAGTATGAGTTTTCGTCAATAATGGCCTCTGCCTCTAAGTCGCTGTGAGGATGAGGAGCTTCAAGAAATCCACCTGCATCCTCTACAAGGGGTTCATCGCCCATTTCTCCAAAATCAGGGTCATCAAAAAAGCTGAAGTCTGCGTCAGTGATGCCTTTCGATCCGAAATCCCTTTCATTCATTTCCCCGAAGAGATCTTCTTCGTCACTTGCATCATATCGACCAGTGCCAATACCAAAACCGTTATCTTGAACGGGTGAGCCATCAGACCCCGGTGCAGCTATCCTTGAACTCTGTTGGGCTGCGTGGGATAGTCCGAAATTGGAATCTTCAGTAAAAGCCTCGGAAGTATTTGCGTTGTTCAACCCGATTACTGCAGCTCCATCTGGGGGAGTAGGGTACACGAGATTCGTACTCTGTAAATCAGGATACTGCGCGAGGCGGGATAAGCTCTCTATGCTTTCCAGGATTTCGACCTTGGGTGACGATAGCATGTCGTGGTCCTTTGGTTGAGCGTCTTGGGTGATAGGGGTATTCTGAGTAAGATGGGTAGTATGATCTAGCTTGAGAGAGCTCGTGATGGTAGACCATTGCTCTGCAAAATCTAGGGGTTCGTCGGGAAGGGAAGTTTGAGCCTCAGAAGAGTAGTTTGATGAGCTAGCTCTCCTGAAGCAAAATCTCGCTGGCCACAGCATGCGTTTTAGTGGTAGTGCAGATTGACTATCTTCACTCTGTCGCCATGCTTCTCCGGCAAGCCTCGCGAAAAATGGCTCCCAAACCTCGACTTCAACCCAGGGCTCATCATCAAGCGAACCGATATGTAACCCGAAATTCCGCATCCACTGCACAACATCCAATTTCCACTGTGTTCTTTTTGCTGTCACATTGCCAGGGACGGAGTAACCAGGAGAGGGAACAGTTGGCGAGTCAATATTAGCCGTGACAAGCCTAGCAATGGTTCCATTAGGAGATAGCCAAAGATCGATTCCAGGTTGTACGTTGAGTATTTCGGTATTATCATCTCGCGGGCTAGACAGTCGCATAATCCCTGTTTGGGATATAGTCTGGGCGGAGACAGTTATTACTCCACCCATAGTCAACTGGACGTTGAGTGTGGTTAAACATGAGGTAGATAGGATGCTGTCATTGTTGATGAGGGGACTTTCGTATCCCAGCCTTTCGACTGCAGTGAAAAGAGTGCGCGATCCGAGCGGTAGAGCGCCGTGACACCGGATCAACTGTATACCGATTGCACCCGTGACTGCAGATATAAAAGAGGCATATATGGCTGCTGAACTGCTGTAGCCATCTTGACGCCGAGATGACTGTTGACCCTGATTCGGGCGTGGCTGCCCCGCGGGTTGGGTACCGTGCTGACTCTGGTTGTCGGACGACAAACCTTTTACCAAGTCCAGCGAGGAGACACTTCCCATCGCAGAGACTATTACAATGAAATTAGAACATGATCCAATAGAAATATGAAAACAGCCAACACGCGTACCTTTCAAAGTTGTTGTGCCGACAACGATTTTATTTGACTCTGCGTCAGCCCCCCTCACATACAAAGGTTGCAGGCTTTCAAAATCAGGGGTGGGCGAGAACACCCAAAGCCCCAAGCGCCTTGGACATGATGCTAGGCAATTCAGAATCCTCAGTCGAGCCTCCAAATCTTTGAGGCGACTTAAATGCTTGAGAATGGTGTACCCATTAGCAGGACCCTCTTGTGGATTATTTGTGATACCAGCTTCTTCTGTGTATATCCTCCAATAAATGTTGGAGAATCCATCCTAGTATGACGCATCAGTATGGGCACGAAGGCATGAATATTACCATACTCACAATAAGATGTATGTTGGTGTTTGCGCCCCCAGGGAAGTCCATAATTCAGCAGTCGCGGACGGCCCCGGAAGCTTTTAAAGATAGTAAATTTTTTGAAATTGACTCTGAAAGTCATTTCCAATCTCAGATCGCATGTTATTCGGCAAGGAGCGAAAGAGCATAGCAGAGATATCAACAAACAGCGAATACATTAGCGGGTTGATGCCATCTTGCGCGAGATAACGAGATCGACGAAGACCGAGGGATTTTCTAGCACAACACTCGCACTTGAAATGGCTCAGCGCATCAAATGAAGCAGCAATGACTCAATCAGAAGGCTCATCGCATGTAGTCAACAGAAAGTTGAAATGCGCAATTCCGGGGGACGTTCGCCAGGGACACTCAGGCCAATCACCGATTGACGGGGGCCGCACGTGACCGCTATCAGCGGCTTTTTATCGTAGTTTTTTTTTATCTTTTGCAGGCTCGCTCCAGCCGACACCGATACGTCTCGAATAGGTTGTGAATTAGCTTGAAATAACTGGCTTGGCCTATTCCACGCCAGAAAACGCCAGTATGAAGCTGTCCAATCCGTCAGAAGTCCCGGTATATACCATCTCGGGTTCAGACAGCGCTCGGCCTCTCCCCGAATGGCTTGCGAGGCGCCGAAAGCGCAGTTTGAAAAATGACCCCGAGTACGCGAATCGGGTTGAATTACTACAAGACTTTGAGTTTGAGGAAGCAAGTCATTGTATTCGAGTCAGCGAGGACGGTGAATGGGTGATGAGCACAGGTTTGTCTCACTGCTTCTCATATCTTTTGGGAAGCGCAGACTCTAACAATACTACTTGTAGGAACTTACAAGCCGCAAATCCACACTCACTATCTCCCGCAATTGTCCCTTTCATGGGCGCGCCACACTAGTGCTCTCAACACTACATTCATTCTACTGTCTTCCGATTACACAAAATCCCTCCACCTCCAATCCGATCGATCTCTTGAGTTCCACACTCCCTCCGGTTGTCACTACACCACCAGACTGCCCCGATATGGACGTGACATTGTATACGACCGACAGTCGACAGAGGTGCTTGTACCTGCCGTCGGTGTCAATCAAGATGGCATGGGAGAGGTATACCGATTGAACTTGGAGTTGGGCCGATACATGCGAAGCTTCGAGGTAGATGTCGGAGGCGACGATTTCACATCCACTGGTGGCGGAACTCTTCAGGGTGGAATCAACACTGGCTCGGTCAACACTGGTGCCATTGCGGAGGAGAGTCACAATTTGTTGGCCTTCGGAACTTCATTGGGCACAGTTGAGCTTTGGGATCCTAGAGCAAAGGGACGCGCAGGTGTGCTGCACGCACCTACACAATTTGGACTCAGCGACGAGCGATCAGAGATTACCGCCTTGGAGTTCAACCGCTCAGGTATGAGCCTTGGAACTGGCTCGTCTACTGGTCTCATTCACTTGTACGACCTGCGTTCTCCTATTCCTTATCAGGTGAAGGACCAGGGATACGGGTTCCCTATCCACACTCTTAAATTCCTCGAGCAGTCGACGGCGACACAAGCTGCGACAATTGAACCCAAGTTGCTCTCGGCTGATAAGCGCATCATCAAGCTCTGGGATATTGAAGATCAGAAACCTTGGACCTCTGTTGAGCCGGCTGTGGATCTCAAGTCTGTTGCCTGGTGCAAGGACAGCGGCATGCTCCTCACAGCGAACGAAGGCCGACAACAGCACTCATTCTTCATCCCGCAGCTTGGCCCCGCACCAAAATGGTGCTCATTCTTGGACAACCTGGTTGAAGAGATGGCTGAGGATCCCAATGATCCTAGTGCATTCAAATCTGCCCAGTCTAGCTCTGTCTGGCCCGGCTTCACACTTGTGCCTAGTGAACAGGTCGCGAAATGGGACGAGAAGCTTATCAAGGCAGGCGGAGAGCCCATTGATTTGGCATCCTACTTGCAGGCAGGAAAGATGGTGCCTTACTCCAAGGGCTACCAGGTGGCAAACTTCGTGTACAATTCTATTACTGGATTATTCCCCGATACAGAAAACCCTCGGGCAAAGAAGGTGGCCGAAATTATGAACAAGGAGCGGGAGAGCCGTATCCGCGGCAAGAAGAAGGTCGCTGTCAAGGTGAACAGAAGATTGGCCGAGAGAATGTTGAATGCAGAGGAGAAGAGGGAGCGCAAGCATGCCAAGCGTTTACTGGAAGGCACAGCCGACCAGGAGATGGCCGACGTGGATGGAACCACTCCTGCCGAAGGCAAGGAGAAGGCTGTACTGGGCGGTGGCCGTTTCGCTCAGCTGTTCGAGGACCAGGATTTCGCTGTCGACGAGACTTCGCGCGAGTTCCAATTGCTGAACCCCAGCACAGTTCCTCAGGCTGCCACAACAACTTCGAGAAAGGAACGTGGTTTGACGGCTGTGGAGCAAGAGGCTGTCGACGACGTGCCTGGCTCAAGCTCGGACGATTCCGACTCCGACAGCGAGTCGGAAAGACCTGCGAAGGTAGCACCCTCAAAGAAGATCTCTTCCGCAGATTACAAGCGTACGAAGCGGCCTCCGCCTCGTATGCAAGTGTCTTCCTCGAACCAAGCCCACTCCGCCCGAGACCGTTCTTTCGGCTCTCGTGCACAGAACATGAAGTCGAGACAAAAGCCTGCACGTCGGATTGGTGTGGTTGGCGAGCAAGAGATCAGCTTCAATCCGGCTGGCAAACCGAAGCGTACCGCTCCCGAAGTGCGCTACGACAAGACCGATACTTCGTTCCGGGCGAAGGAGCGCCGCAGTGCTTCTGGCAACGCTTTCCGCAAGATGTAATATGTCTTTTCATTCTTGGCCTATTGTGCCATTTTCTCGACACCACACTGCCTTGTCCAGCCAACGAGATCTCTCTCCCAAGGTTTATGAACCAGGCTCCTGACCTTTTTACCCCCCACCGACTGGGTAAAGCCTTCTCCTAGGCAAGCCTGTCCGGTTCTGGCTGAATCACAGCTGATCACCGGGACCAGTCTCATTACCTACCTTTTCTTGAGCACTATCGCTGAACAAGGTCGTCTCCTTGGTTGAGACTGTCAACATCCTCAAAAGCACTACAATAATGGAGGTATCACTCTCCTTGTCTCGTCTATGTTCTCTGTGTATGAAAGCAGTCTAGAGGCAAAGGATGGAATAAAAAGAGGGGACCGAAGAAGACAGCCGTTGGAACTATTGGCTGACCTTGACTTGTGGACATGGAAATTTACCAACTTCTGTATAAATGGCATCGATGTGTTAAAACCTTACAATTCAAAATACGATCATCTTTATCTTCACTTAGGTTTCGGACTATGGCTAGAAAGGTCATGTTTAGCCTAACATCAAGCACTTGAATGTCTATATAACTCAAACGTCTTGTCACTTGCTATATGTATTGAGTACAGCTTCTTTTTCCCAACATGCTTACGGATACATTTAGCCTCTCCTACTCTATCATATGAGTTATTGAAATGACGATGTTTTTCTATATGAACAAATCTCCTTTCCTCTTATCTCTAAACCATCCATCCAAGCCTTCTTGAGGATTATCGATTTTTAATAACCCTACATATACTAGCAACAATTTTCATTACCTCTGCTAATATGCATTGCTCATGCCCCCTCTCATTGATGTCCGTATATATCTTCTTGTAAATCACCAACTATGGCTCATATATCATACAATTTTGCTTTTCTTTTTGGTTTTTAGTTCCTGAAGGACTAGAGGGGCAGGGTGAAGTCTTTGGGGACATCGGAAATATAATGATAAAAGATTCATATAGGCCACTGAAATATTCTCGGTCATTTTCCATTTCTTGATCCAATAATATGACTCTTGTGTACTTAACTGGACCATTGATCATTAAATCAATCAACAATATACCCATCGGTACTGTTTTATATGGATCGTTGCCTGAGGCGACGATGAAGTAATCGGATGTTAGCACTAAACCCGAAAGGGAATCCGTGCAACGTCGACCCTGCCATCTAATCGCGAGCCATTCAGTGCATTGATCTTCCATAAATTCCTGGTTTGGGTGTGGTGCTTGTTTCCTGTTCTCTTTCTTTGGGGTTGAGCCTGTTTGCCAGCTCCGCTTGAGCCACGCTCGTTTCTCAACAGAGGAGCCGATTGTCAGCGCCGTCCAGCCCACTCTCGACCGATAATCCGGGGTGCAATCAACAGCTCCTCGCAGGACAAGCCGACCCGAATTTGTGCTGGTCTGCTTCCAATGTCCTGATCTCTTCGTATAGGATTTGACCACCGCGCTACAAAAAGTCAACAGGACCCTCCTTCACCTGGGGGATTTAACTGAGCTTGTTGTGGACGCCCGAGCAGCTCATCTGTGGAGGCTAGAGCAATAGGTCTATGGCGGAGAACAAGCGGCAGGGTTCAGTGAAGGCCTCTGCGCAGAAGCAACCTGGCCACGTAGTAGGCCCCGGGATGGCGACACCCTTGGTGCCCTTGGAGGCAGCTTTGAGCGGGGCGATCGGTGCCCGGTGAGTCTTATCTACCAACAACGTTGTATACTTAGTCGCAGCGCTGACCTTTTCATCGCCGCATCATAGTGTTCGTCTCACCACTGCGCAGCCCACGCAATCGATTATCGAAGGTACAATCTTCACAGCATGCCCGATCACCAACCTCGTGGCCATCAACACGGCCCCCGCGCCCAACCCCGGTGACGCCAAATCAGCACAAAACGGTGACTACCGTGTGATTCCCATCTCGCGCATCCAGAACTTCCAGGTTCTCGCCCTTGCGCCACCCTCGAACTCCACCTCTGCCTCGTTTGCGGATGCACAGCCTACCATCCAGGCGCTCGACACTCGTGCGCTCAAGGCCCGTGAGGCAAAGGCTGTTGGTGAAGCACTTGAACGTGAGGCGCGTCGTGGTAAGGGCGTTACTCCTCTGGCCCAAGATCTTTTCGATGCCTTTAGTCGCACTATGCCTGCGCGGTGGAACGGCCACAACATTATCGTCGCTGATGCTGTGACAATCGCTGCTCCGTACCGCGTGGATGACTGCCGTCCGCTCGTGGAGGGTGATACAGCCGCTCTTTTCCGAGTGCGCAAGGTGGTGAGTCAATCGACCCTAATCCGTGTTTACTTGCAAAAGAAACCGAGTTGATCAAGATTTTCGAAATTTAGCTCGAGATGGAGCGCAAGAAGATCGAGTTGCGTAATGCTAGCGCTACCATTGGATCTACTAGCACCTTTTCTCGTCACTCCAATGTCCCCGGCGATCAACGCAAAGGGGGATAATTATGCCAATCACTCGAATCCATGAGACGCAGACATCCGATGACATTGCGGATAGGCCTGGCGTCTATTTGAGCCTCTTGGTTGCGCTCGATTAACAAGTTGATGGAAATACCCAAGCGAAAAACGAAGAGATGATTCGAAAGCGGATTTGATGGGACATTACATGGTCAATATGCGCTTATGTTTGGGGGGATGGCCTGCCTCATTGGGAATCTATAAGGTGGACCAGCCTGCCGTGGGCTCTGCTTGCCATAGTTGGACCGTTTGCGTTGCTGCCGCCTGATTTGCCTTGTTTCTTGTCTTCGGGTGCCCCCAAGACAAGAATGCTAGACAATAGTAACCTGGTCAATTGCTACGACACTTTCTTAAGACAATAATATTGACGTCAAATTTTCAGATATTGGAACTTCGGTAAACGCATCCCAGCTATGAAAACCGGTAGTGACTACATGTGTACCTATTATGATATGGGACTCGCTAGAAAACAAAAACAAACAAACATGAGGACGAAGGGAAAAACAAACCCGACTCGAAAAATGGAATCAGACTAAATCCGGGCTGTAGCTAATGCTGAGTAAAGTGTCTCAAAAAAACGCTGGAAAATGATGAAAAGAAGAGAAATCAATCACCAACAGATATTTGCAACGTCCCAGTCTAGCCATCAGCAACTGGAACCCTCCCAGAAACGACCTCACAGACCGTTCCTACAAACCCTTCCAGCCCGGACATCGGAATCATCCCAGCGGCAGGGCTAGAGCCGGGCGCAGATGCTAATGTAGCCCCAGATTGGGACGAGGCAGAAGCTATGGAGACACCAGGCATAACAAGAATCTGAGATCCAAGTTCTACCCATTCAACAGACGACACCAGCGCAAAGGTAATCTTGACATCTTCGTTCAGAGCTTCAGCAGAAGAAGCAACTCCGACAATGGAAGCAGACGAGGTGCCAGACATGATTTTGCTGATATCTGTTGCCGAGGGACGGCGACGAACCACATCGGCTGCGCCGTCCATCGTATTGTTTATTATACCATTTTCGTTTGGTTTCTCCCTAGGAGGTTGGGCGTCACCATCAAAGCTGAAGAACTCAGGCTCAGACGGCCCGGAAGATACCTCTTCGCCGGTTCCCGTTAGCGCCATGCAGATGACACGAACTGTAGTGCGGATGTTGGCGAGATAGGCTATGGCGTTTCCGCCAAGCAATAGTGGCGGTGAGTTTGGAGCGGAGAACTCAGTAGATCGGAAGGTAGCGGTGAAGCCGGTGTGAAATGGCAGCGTCAATAACGAGGCGGGCGAGATACTATTCAAGCTCAAGGGTGGGACCGAGAAGTTTGCGAGGACCATGCCTTTTCGAATCCGGCCAAGACGGAGTGGACGGCCATCCTCTGAAACCCCGATTGGTTCAATTCCGATTGTTCCTACTTGGTCTCTCACGAGACGGCGCACGGACAGTCGGAGGTCTCTTACGCTGACAACGCGGATACGCTGCCATTTTGCGTGTGAATCTTTTCCGGACAATGAGCTCTGTGGGAGGAATACCGGGAGATTGTCTGAGGGACCGGGCCCACTGCGGGACAATGAGCTACCGGCCACATGTGGTTCATTGATTTGGTCAATCGAGCTGTCCACCAATATAGGACCGATAACCAATTCGTCGCCAATAGAGATAGTCCCTCGGCGGACTAGACCGCAGAGAACCATGCCGCGGTTCTCCTGAGTTCCCTTCTCCGAGTCCATTGAATAGACTTTGGACGGAGGGATTGCAAAGACTTCATCCACATCGAAGATGTTGGCGGATTCTCTAGATGCCGGGTTTCCTTCGGGAGAGTGGAGAGTTCTCTGGCTTGGTTGCGCGGGAATTGGAAGGGATCGAAGGAACGCATGGAGTTTCCCAATGCCAGAGCCATCCACGGCACTCGTAAGCATAATTGGCACAGTGTGTGCCCATTTCCCCTCAGTAGAAGCAATCACTTTCTGTACTTGAGAGCTATCCGTCGTGCTAATTTGCTGAAGGTCAAGTGGTTTGTCACCCGCAGGCGATGCTGGAAGCATCACAGGTTGTCGTCCAGCTGTTTTAAGAGCAGATAGAACCCTGGTCAGATTGTCTCGCAGTCCGCTGCGGGAAGCAACGTCCAATTTAGTGATGACAATCAACACGGGGACTTCCAACTTCAGGCAAAGTTCTAGATAGGACAGACAGGTATCAATTTCTGATTGTTCAGTTCCTGTCTGCTCACTATCAGGCGTCTCGTCTCCGCAATTAGACGGAATGCAAAGCATCACATAATGTGGAGCCCAGCTCACAAGCCCTCGCAGGGTAGATTTGAGATATCGAATTGAGCCGGGAAGATCAGATACAAATGCCAAACGACCCTCTTTCGAGGAGGCATGTATATCATCCCAGCCTGCAACATTACCAGAGGCATAGTTGACCACTGTTGATGGGACATCATCCGTATAACCAATCAGTTCCTGGGCTACCGAGCTGGTGATACCTGATGATATCTCATGCCGATGCTTGAGCAAACTCAACCTGCTCTTACCCCTTCCATTGTCAAGCGCAGAAGAAGTCAACGTACCCAAAAGAGAAGACTTTCCTGCAGTGCTCGGACCTGCAAGAGAAATGCGAATCTGCTCTGTGTGGGAGTAATCTTCATTCGAGACCGACAGTTTGCCAGATTCTGAGAGTGCGGCGGAATCTGGGTCATTTTTGGACTTGATCCGGGAGATATTATAGAAGTCCAAATCGGGGCTCACCAGAGCCTCAGCGACCCAAAGACTTTCAGTATTAGTCTCGGCTGGGTCGACAGGCGCAGATGGCAAGTCCTCAGCCCACTCACACTTACCAACCACCACTCGGCGAAGAATCTCAACCTTACACCCCAGACTAGCAGCCATTGCCTGTAAATTCCTCACGCTCTCATCCAGCTCATCCTGAGTGAGGCCTACAAAAGTGCCATCATCGGCGACGCCAATCTCGTACAAGGCACCTTGACTCTCCTCAAGACCCGGGAGCAATCGGGCAGGTTTACAGGGCACGCCCAATTCCAGCGTTGCCTCAGGGAGAACAGGAACCACAAGATTGGAGGTGGTAGATGAGTGAAAAGGCGAAGATTGCTGTAAACGCCAGAGTAGCTGGGTTGTCAAGCCTTGTAGTCGTTGATGTCGGCTTTGGCTTGACTTGGCCTGCATGGGCCGTGGAGCTACTTCTGAGCCCGGAGATGCGGATATAGAAGTGGTTGGAGTAACGCGGTAATGATACGAGCCCGCTATTACGTGCCCCGTTGACATGGACAGATAAGGGCGCCTGGGTCGAAGAAGAAGGTGCAATTTGTACTCTGTGGGGCCCTCTTGGGGTTCGGGCTCCAGTTTGGATATTCCATAATTGGATAACAAGTCAGGGTCCGCATTTAGTAAAGTGGTGCTGGAACGCGTGCGGACAGGCAAGCTCCGGCCCCCAGTTGCATTGATTTGGGGCGTCGATGAACCCGAAGTTGACCACGGAGACGACACCCGAGGTGGGTCTGGGTCATAGGTGAAGATGGATGCCATTCTTTGGTACTGTTACGATTCAGACTGGCAAAGGTATTGGTAATAAGCACAGATATGGAGATAAATAAAGCACTTCTAGAAAGACTCGAGAGACGTAAGGCATTCTTGCTGTCGAAATGAATGATCTGTGATGGAGCCTGGAAGTGCAGTTGGCAACTGACTCACAAATTAAGGGAAGAGTCACGGGCCGGAGCGTCACGTGGTTATCCACTAGTTATTCTGAACAAACGGATATATCTACCTACCTGTTTCTATTGGACGAGCCTCTTCTCTCTGAGAAACTCGATGGGCCCTAAATACTCATACCATGCAAAAACCAGTCCTATTAGAGCCGAGTGCCTTCGCTTTAACTCCAAATCCAAAATTATATGTATCCCATCTATTCGGCAGATGATTCTCGGCCTGGGCTTTTGCACTTGCCCTGAGCAACGTGAATATTGCGTGCTGTCGTACGTGTAAATACTGCGCCGCATACCGGGCATTCGGCTTTAGCCACTACCCCCGACTTTTCGCGCTGATGTCGGAGGAGATTGCTGAATGTCGAAAACTCACGGCCATTGCATCCGTGATCCCAGCATTGCGGTCTTGGGCGTGAACTGACCACTCGCATCGGGCGATCAGGGTCTGTGGCAGCGGCTGATTCTGGTGAAGAGTATGTCGGATCGTGTGCGATCATTGACGGTGGTTGAGAGCTGAGAGAGGTAGGATGCGATTGCGATCTAGTGTTGCGGTGTCTTGTTAGTATGCTGCATTCTTCGAATTCTGATTGTCTCAACTCACGGAATAGCTGACGTTTCGGGGAAATAATAAGCGGGTTGGTTCATCATATAAGAAGGAGGTCTACTCCAAGGTCAGCAACTCAAGCATTGAATCCTTTTCACACTTTTGGGTGCTTCGTTCGACATACGAGGTCATAAGAGGCTGTTCGGGCAGAGGAGGAGTACCGGAAACAGGGTGAGGATGATAAGAACGTGGGAGGGGCGGACTATATTAAAAAGGTTAGTCGTTTCCAAATGAACCTTGGTCAATCGCCTACCTTCGAGGTTGGCTGTGGCGGGAGGCGTTGCCAGGTGTTGCGAGATAAGAGGCCGGTAATTGGGGTTCTTGCTGTTGGTATCCGTGCTGTGATCCACTTGAGTGGCTTGGATATCCCATTGGATAACCAGGTGGAGGATAGGTTGGATGTGAAGATGGAAATGGCGGGCTCATGTGCCCTGCTGGTGGCTGCAAAGGCTGATAGGGTCGGTTTGCCCAGGCATATTCTGAAAGGGTCAGTAAACGCTTTTTGAACCACGGTTGGATAAGCTTCATACGGTGAGGATTGTGCTGCATTGGACCAGCAAAGTACGTGTTTGATACTACTGACATGGGGTATGGTGAGATGCCAAGGCCGCTGTTGAGGGGATGCCCTAGTCAGCACAGAACTCCGGTTATTGCTCTGGATGGTAATTGAGCTCGACTAACCGTGGATCTTCAGACCCAATTTCTTGTTTGATGGGCGTAATGTCCTCGACAGATGGCTGTGCTGTCGACCCTACGAGTGGGTAGTTCGAGTTCAGCAAAGCGTGAGATTGGTTCGCGCTGGTATTCAGAGTTGAGGATGGAATATGCGGAGGAATAGACAGTGCAAAGTCTTGTGTTGATTGCAAACTACCTCGCACAGGAGAGGCAGATGTCTGAATAGGCCAGTGAGAGCCTGATCCAGGAGCCACGCCTTGTGTAAAGGCTGCAGTTCCCTCTGAGTTGATGAGTGGGGATAAAAGCCCAACGTTTGGCTGCGAGTCTGAGACTGATAAGCTCGATTGGTTCCTGCGGTGAGAAAACGGTTCCTGTGAGCCAGACCCTCCAGGAAACATGAGGAACTATATAGGCCAAAGACCTGTGAGACAAGCACTGCGGTAGGGAATAGGAAGGGCCAAGATTGAGTATAAGGGGAAAGGCGGCACTCGTAAAAGGAAGTCAACATACAGATGTCCCGAGTAACCCGTCAAGAAGGTAAATCAAAAGCTTTTTTTTTTCCGCTGAGGATTTCAATTGGGGGGCGCAATGAAGTATTTAAAATGCTCATATCCAGCAATGAGCGTTTACTAGTGACCCCCGCAATCGTTTTATGATCTGAGGTCCCCGGTTGGGTAGCCTTGCTGGTCCACAGGTTCAGAAACCAACACCAACTTGTAGATTTCTCGTGCGCCACTGACCTGCGTGCATCGAAAAGTGCCGGACCGGCGCATTGTACTTCTGCCCAATTAACCGCCTTTTCACCGTCTGAATTACATCTAGAATAGGAGACCATTGGCTACCGGATCCGTAAGAAGACCAAGAAAAAGAAAACGAAAAAGAAAAACGTAGGATCTTCAAAATGAGTGGGCCGATGGGAAGTATCACGAGCCAGAGTCGGACTTTTGACCCCCACAAATGACGGGTAAAACAGATATGCGGGAAGAGAAAAAAAAAAGCAGACTCCGGAACGATTGCGACTGGGGCCACAGTCTGTACGGAGTACAGTAATGATCCTCCTAAGGGGAGACGGCACTCTTGGCCTGGGCATTGGATTCTAGCCCCATTATAGTGAATGGGGGCGGATTGGGGGCCATGACGCTCTCGATAGTCTAGCGCGTGGCTGGCTAGCTACTCTCAGTTTCCACCTCGTGGTTTATATTGGAGGAAACTAAAATTAAATAAGAAGATGAAAGAGGAAAGTGAGCTCAGTACTCGTTTGAGGTCAAAATGTCCGCCATCCCCGGCCCGATGCTTGTCCCCCTATCAGGCTTGGCCCCCACAAAACGCGCCGTTGGGGCAAAAGGGGACACATTGGTGCGTGCATTAGGAACCCCGTCTAGATGACATGGTCCTAAAAGAAACTACTCCTCATTCTATATCCTAGGCAAGTCGAACAACACCAAAGCCAGAGACAATCCTGGATAGGAAAATGCTAGAATTTCAGCCCCAGATAATCCCCTCTCATTAGGGATTAGCAGGACCCGGCTCTCGGCCAATTCCTTTTTAGCTTTAAGTCATGGTGCTGGAATTAGGGGTCGTGGATGGACCAATATCCAGTATGTTGGGTCTTTCTTAGGCAGTGGTGTATCGATGGGTAAACCGTAAGGAATGGTGGAGCTTGTCACAGAAAACGCAGCCAAGACAAACGGTAATTTGTCAGGTCTCCTGATATCGTCTTGACCACCTTTTAGCGCTGTGGCAATTTCTCACCCGAAGCTACAATGTACATATTTTTTTGTGACTGGGGCGCATGTCAAGAAACCAATCGCCCCTGGAGCCAGGCACGGGCATGATCGGCTCTCCCCCACAGGGGATCCGCAGGTGATATGATTGTGCTAGGAGACACCATGTGCGGTTTCTGCATTGGAGATCACTATATATGCACAAATCTGTGTACCCATATGACCATGAAATGGATATATATTCAGTGTACTCTGTATTCTGTAGGGGTGACTATTTGAGACTTAGGGCTGAGGGAATAGGGTCATGTGCCAAACGTCTCTGTATACTGAGCCCACAATTGCTCGTGGTGTTTTGATTGCGTGATCACAATTCTCATGTATGTCATTAGTTTAATATATACGGAATTCAAGGACATACTTCGAAGTTTGGTCAGAACTTGGTTCGTCAATCCCTTTCAAGGCTCTACATGAAGCGCATGTGTTTGTAATATAGCGTTTAAACCTAGTATACTCCGTAGCTTTGTTACATCTAGCCATGATAAATCTACACAGCTCTAGCAATCATGATGCCTGTGCACAATGTCTGCCTGAACCCATTTCATGCAAGTATGTATACCGCCCATCAAGGTATACGGGGATCAAATAAAATGTAGGCCAGTTTCATTGATCTCAAGTGAATCCTGACTCCTGAGTTCGTCCCATGAGGTATGATGCAGTGTTGACCCATCGTGCACCAGTCCACGGGCGTAGCAACTATGGGTATCATGTTTTAAAGCGCGACACAGATCTAAGATCATCCTCTTTAATCAATATGGCCCATTCGAAAGGACGGAATGTGCGATTTAGCTTAGATCGCCTAGAAACTCAATTCCTCGATGCTTGGACCGGTAGCCCTAGAGTGGATGGGGCATGCCACATCAGACAAGGAGTCCCAAACGCAAAACAATAATGATCAGCATGCTAATATGAAATTTTGTTTTTCATTAAGGTCAATGTACCTATGTAAGCTCAGAATGACATTCATAGATCATACAAAAAAGGGTTCGTGTCACGTGCTGTCCACGTGATTGATCTTCTCTGCCCTCTGTGTCTGACGGCATCACCAAAACCCATCCACGTTATTCCCCCCACATTCTACGAGCTATCTGTTAGTGACTTAACATATTATCACAAACTGAAGTCATCTGCAGCCTGCAGCTCACATATCCACCATGAAGCTCGTCCGGTATGTGATTATCTCGCTCGTGTCTTCGCGCGCCAGCTCCGCTTGGCGCATCAACCACCATCAAAATGACTCCTGCTGACATGTAGTGATCCCTCTAGCTTTTTGATGAAATGCGCCAATGAGACGGTCACCGTTGAGCTTAAGAATGGTGAGTATTCCCGTTCAATCCCTCGGAATCCTAGTCCGAAGGCCCTCCCAATCACCGAGCCTCCAAAAGTGAAAGCACTCCGTTCTCTAACTTGGATTTCTCATCTAGGCACCGTTCTCCACGGTACTATTGTTTCTGTTTCTCCGCAAATGAACACCTCTCTCCGGGCTGTCAAGATGACCCCCAAGGGCCGTGACCCCATTTCTCTTGACACCATCAACATCCGTGGTTCCACAATCCGCAATTGCATCCTCCCCGACAGTCTTCCCCTCGATACCCTTCTTGTCGACGATGCGCCCAAGGCCAAGAACAAGGCACGCAAGGAAACAGACCGTGGTCGTGGTGGTGGCCGTGGCGGACCCCGAGGCCGTGGAGGTCGCGGAGGTCCCCCCGCGGTCGTGGTCGCGGACGTGGTTTCTAGATTAATTTGTTTTCTTGTGAGAGGACATCCCGGCGTTTGTTTTTGTCTTCGGAATTCGGTTTGAATTTGCATCATGAAGGGATACAATGTTCAGTCCCTTTTACCTATTACCCAGGGCTCCCGTTGGATGGTGGGCTACATACTGAGAAAAAATAAGCAATTGTACCGGAAAATTTTTCCTTCGCTCTGGATTTGTCCCTTTTCGATCTCATAAGCTGAGAGCTTCGAGGCTTTGACATACCCCATAGGTACGCATACCTAAGCACCGTGAGCTATCCAAGCACTACGCTTCCAAGGGGGCATGATGTGACTGTGATCAAACCCGCTTTCCTGTCCCGTATATAGGCATGATTGTGGGTTATGTCCAACATTGAGAAGGCGAGAATCGATGTATCCACGGGTATCATGGAGGATAAGGACGTTTACATGGTCTAGACCAAAGAAATAGGTATCTCAACAAATTACCTACATGGTACTTATGCCCACAGCACAATTCCTTGTCGACATAAACAAGGCACAGAATCAGCACTAGTCCGTTCACACCTTATACTTCTTGTGTTTCACCGTCTTGTACTCAAAAAAGATTTACGGAGTATAACCTCGGTGATTGCATTGTTCCGAGGCCATCTATCGCGCCGAAGTTGGCAATCCAAGCCGGGATCCGTTCATTGGATGCATAAGTCAGAAAGCCCTATGGAGTACGGCGTACGGAGAGGGAGATGACCTCGGATGTCTAGCGTGGAAACGCCCTCTCGCTTCTGGAAAAGATGATTCTTCCCCGCAATTACTTGGCACAATTCCGCGGTTGGTATCATATCGTTGCTACTCAATTGGAGGTAAGATTACGCCGAGCCATACCACGCCTTGCATCCCATAGGTTAGGAACTCCGTCATTGGAACTCCACACTGGTGCTATCGAAAGCGCTGTTGGGATCGCCCGTTTCAGGGCAAATAATCCCCAGCAATCGGTGGCAAATCGCTTACACCGTACTCTCTGGAGGTTCCAGTAAACGATTAGATCGAGTCACCCTCCATTGTGGCTGTGGGGGTCAAATACTTCGTAAACAACCTCAAAATGACAGAAAAGGATATTTTTAAGGTGATACATTACAGGAGACAGGCACTGGCCAATGGAAGAAAAGACAATGAGGGGGAAAGGGGCACCTCAACACAATATAGAGAGATGTCATCCAAGCCCAAAGACGACGAGTGAGGCCTTGCCAGAAAGGCAGCTCAACACTAAATCCTCATGCCGAGCTTTATGCCAATCGCATAGGACTATCATACCACAGGGCGTTCCCCCCAAGCCTAACTGGCGTTTGAAGCAGCCCGGCGATCCCAAGGCCCTTGCTACTCCGTACCGTGCGTCCAGCTACAACATACGTCTTCGGTATTGAATGAATACCGGCATCCTCGTCCCGAACTATTTGGATCAATAAGGCTATCACCGTAGTCCCTTTCAAGCTAGAGGGGCAGGAGTCTTTTGATCCAGCGCTTTGGACCAACAGGTGGTGCCACGGTAGGCTGTTTCCGGTTAAAACCGCAGTTCTCTCGATCGAGAGACCTGCCATTGCCAAGGCTGGTAGTAGCGGTGGCTGCTGAGGACCTTCTGTTTCGGGGGCTCGCATGTGCCAATGATACCGTATACAGAAATCGTTTCGGAATTATATTCCGAATATGAAGTGCGAATGTGAAGTGGGACTGTTCTCCGTACTCCGTACGGAGGAGTACAACAACGAATAATTGGAATATCGCAAGATTGAGGAAGATCATTGCTTCAGTGTCTACGGAGTACGGAGGCCCGCTCCGTACTCCGGTGGTTTCTTGGTGGATCCATGGATAAGAGTAAGAACTACAGCATATACTCCGTACTCGTATATACTTTGCCGTCATCTTTGTATTGGCTCATGACGAACTCAATTGTGAGATATTTTAGACCCATTTCGGGTTTGTACACAAGCTACCAAGTGCGTGCATGTACCCCGTACTATAAGACATTATCACCAGCTGGCGCCTGGAGTGATGTATGACCCTGAAGGCTGCTGATGTTGAAGACTTTAGATTCCGTTCCCTCTGGCTGAGCTATTCTAACTCAATAACTATCCTCAACTGTCTTCGATCTTACACGAAAAAAATAGGATTTATTTTGTGCATCGCAGATAGATATACTCCGAGCTCCGCACTCCGTACGGAGTATATCTAACCCTTTTCGTGACCCGCCTAGGACATAAGCGCCACTGCCGATCTCAGTGAGCAGAGAAGCCCGGTCTTCGAAAGTGGGCTTTTAGCCTTTCTGTCGTTTACGGACGCATAACAGAGCACGCAACAGATTTATGAATACCTGGCTTGGTGCCATTATTTTATTTTGCTAACGGTGGGGGCTAGAATTGGCGGGCTGGAGTCGACGATCTGTCCTCGATCTGTTCCCGATCCGTCCACGCTCTAGAAGGTTCCACATGTGGGAGAACGTCGGCTGGGAATGGGGAAAGATTTGGCGAATTGCATGAATCTCATAGATTGGTCGTTGAAAGATAGGAACAGGGGTGCTCTATGAGCCAAATAATCCCACAATATGACACCTGCGCGATGTGGAGACAGTCCACGTATCCTTCCTTGCTGACTTGTGGGGGTTGAGAATTCCACTTACCGTGGTGGATATTTAGCAAGTCGCGTGTGTGATCGAAAGGAGTAAATGGAGGCCCAAATCGAGATGGCATAATGCCAATGCCAGCGTGATTAATATAATCTGAACCCTTAAATCCGGATTAGGAAAGTCGTTTGGCAACGTTGGGACTCACGTAATATCGATGTCCCTTTATTCGTGTCATATGTTTTCTGACATTTATGCAGTCTTTCCATCGCAAGAAATTATGAGACTGTTTATGTATAACATATGTCTATTACGTCTTCCACTTCGGAGTATCTGGCTTCAGCTGTTTGCAATTTATTACCCTTTCAAATGGCATAGGGGCGGCTTACCCAACGCATGTTGTGAAAGATTCCATCTTGTCCAGGTTGTCGCCTATATTTAACGTGCGGAGAGATCCCCACAAAACGATGTCTTTGTGTATTGAACGTCATTTGGATCCAAAGTGGTCCAAAGTCAAGTGATAACTAAGGAGGCCGTTATACCAAGAAATGGCATACATGTAGTGCTAGTATAGTGACTCCTACTACTCCGTACTCTATACAGACTACATGTGTGGAAGATATCATGAGATTATAGAGGAAAGCCGTACAGTCCTTGGAAGGGTTAGGTTATACTAGGAACCGCCAGTCTATCAAAAACTTGGCTCCTGTCACTATTTAGACTGACCTGGGCAGCTTCGAGTGCATTCTCGCAAGCAGTCAACCATGTTTTGACTCCAGTCTATGTACCTCGTGAGTAATAGTAAGTATATAATATATCAATGACTACAGGGCTAGAGTACAAGATGAACAGATATTCATGGACGCAAGTCCTTTATTTAGTTTTTCGCATTCATTGATGAAAAGCTAGCAAGAATAAGAATAGGAAGCTAGCAAGAATAAGGATAGGAAATATATTCTTGGCCAATATAAGTCATGGAACAAGAGCAAGTGGAAGACGAAAAAAGAAAAACGAAAAGAAAAAAAGGAAGCAGAATGAAAACTTTAATGTGGCCCGTAGTCTACTCGGTATTTCCTCTGCCATGAGACGGGCAATCCTCTCCAGAGGTCGGAACTGGAAATTCGACAAAATGCCGGTCCATCAAGGAAGGGCCAAGAGTGATCCCTATGAAATCAAAGTGCGCAACCATGGTCCACAGTGACCAAGCTTCCCACGACAACCCCATGAGAAAGAAGACAGACTGATCTGTCTCGTATGCATCCATAACATCCACTTGCATGTTCGCTGGAAGCTCTCGGATTGCAGTTTGAAAACTTGGTAACAGTTCGCTATGCCCCGGTACTTGGGACTGGCCATGGAGTGTCAACTTGACAAGTACATGTACGGCTTTGGTATGCGATGAGAGGCGAGGGATGCGCGAGGGGGCTGTATGATCTTTGAAGATAAGGTTGATTGGTTGAGTACCGCTCAGAGTTTCCATGATAGCACTTGGAGTAGTTCGTGGTTTCTGGCGCTGGATTTCTTGGAACAGAGCGGCTGTTGTCACATTCGATTGCCCTCTGAAATGCTGCACTGCGCGGAATAATCGCATGGTGAAAGACACTTTCTGAGGTCGAGGGCTTGTTGTCTCCTCGGCATCACAAGCGGCGATAATTTGAATTGTTCTTGGAGTTTGCGATCTTGTTGCACCTGCAGCGTGACAACAATCCAGTACCGTGAGAACATGAACATTAGCATCCTCTTCGGAGGTGAAAATGGCATATAGTGAGGGCCACGAGACAGTCTTGCTGTTTGAGACGAAAGACATTTTACCATCGACAATGGTCCCATGTCCGGCGTAATAGAATACGAACAAGGATTGTAACTTCGAATGAGCACAATCCAGAAGCATTTGTTGGATCTTGTGGGAGAGTGTCCAGCCAGGGGTTTCGTCTGCTGTCCTTAGCATGTGGTTGGTACACTGGATACCGAAATCTTCCAGGACACCACTCATAGTGATCAGATCCTGCTTCGCGCCAGTGTCATCGTCCTCCCAACAAACAAGAATTGCAACTTTTCGAGTGTAAACTGGTCCACGGGCCGTTGCTACTTTCTTCAGGTCTGCCTTCAATTCGCGGAGATGGTGAACACGAGCTGCTTTCGAAGGAAATAAACTCGGAGTCGAGGCAAACTGAACAGGGGCTGAATGTGACGACAGGATGGGTGAGGCTAGCTCGGAGGATTGTGACATTTCGCTGAATAATGTTAGTCCCTGAAGTATGGATTGATTCACCGTTAGCACTCACAAAGTGAACGATGTAAATTAAGCAAATAGTCAGGGATGAATCAGCTGAGTAGACGAAGATTCAAGATAAGAGAGGTCCTAAGTGTGTAAGTGTGTGAGAAGAAAGTCGAAGTGCCAGAGAAGTGACTCAACGAGGAAAGTGCTTTGGTCGACGGTCCGCGAACGTTTCTGTCGACGGTCCTGAACCATAGATTACTTACTCTACATAGCCATGGATATGGCGAACTAAACCGTTTATTCGAGCCAAGCGCCTTAGATAGTATGATACCATTCCTTGCATGTCAAGTCCGGGATTTGGAGTAAAATGTCTATGAGTTGATCATCTCGTTCTACTTGTTTTCTATTAGTTCACAAATAGTATCATCAATTTCCTTTAGAAATGCTGTAAAAATTGCATGTCTCGTCATCCAGATTCCAGCTTATCAGGAAGAATCATCCCGCCATATCCTCACAATGATCAACTTCTCCCATCCAGCCTGCATTCCACTTGATCCCACCGTCTCAGCCTGCCAGCCGCCCCAACCACGGATGCGCTCTTTAACATCCTCAGGCCGATTTTGCTTGCAGAGCAGGACATAAGCCACACCACGCCCAGACAGAACACCAGGAATAGCATCGAGCAGCCTATCCGTCGTTTCCATGCCATCCGCCCCACCGGCATACGTCAAAGACAAAAAGTACGAGTCGTTATCGAACTTGGCAGAACGGGACATGGCCTCGGCAACCGCAGGATCATTCTGCGCCGGAGAAGGCAGCTGTGGCAGATCCTCTGTCGGGACATAAGGCGGGTTGAAGAGGAGGACATCAACGCTACCAGGACGAAGAGGCGCACAGAGATCGGCCGTTAATGAAGCGATGTGCATTGATTCGGGAGACGGCTGTTGCTCTGTCTGAATGGCTGTCGTTGCCGTCGTCCGCGTTGCGATGCAAGCATTGCGATTCACATCTGTGCCTAGTGTGAGAATATCGCGCCGGCCGAAGATCTGTTGAGATTGCGCGGCTGTAAAGGCTAGGACAACGCCAGAGCCTGTGCCTACTTCGACGACTAGTGGTGATGCCTCTTGGTTCTTTGGAAATCGTTCAGAGAGCCATTTTGATTCAGATGCTGATGCCAGCGTGTCTAGGAACAGATAGGAGTCCTCGGAAGGCTCATAGATGGTGTCAAATGACACATGCGAAGTGTCTGGTGTGGGAAGCATGGTGTATATGCTGAACAAAGCTAAGTTGTTCACCAAAGATGTTCGAGATTTATCCTTTGGAGTTTGGAGATAGTGGGGGTTATCTCGGATTTATATGCACCACGCGCAGTATTGATCTGAGATGATGGCAATTTCCACAAAATGAGAGCAGCCAGTCCACTTGCAGTAGAATCAATTAAACAAATTTAAAAAAAAGAAAACATCCCAGCAAATAGCAGCGAAGGTATTCCAACCGAATCTTCAGAGATCCCGAGATCCCGAGCCGCTGATTCGCGCGTGTCCCTCGCCGCCTTTGACCTCGAAAATCCCCCAGGAAATTATGTCATTTCCCCATTCTTCCTGACTCTGAGACCATCGGATCGTTCTTCCATTATCCAACATGCGGGTTGCTCAGCGTTTACTCATGGCTACGCCGGCCTCGATCGGCTCGAAGTCCAGCCTCAGCGAGGCCCTCGCCCTTCTCCCGCCGCTACAGCTCTACCGGCGCATTCTACGCGTCCATCGCAAGCTCGAACCGGAAATGCGCGTCCTGGGCGACTCTTATGTGAAGAACGAGTTCCGTGCGCACCGGAATGTGGAGAACCCATTGCACATTGTATGTATGCCCTTATCGGAGGTTATGTTATCATGCGTAGTTAAAGAGGCGGACACAAGGCACATTGCAAATGGAGATCGTTGCAGCAATTGCTAATGTTTTTGACAATAGATTGGGTTCCTGACCGAGTGGCAACTCTATGCACAGAAGGTAGAGGCTGAGAAATGGAAAGGCGAGAAGTTGGAGCAGGCCAAGCTGGACAAGTTGAGTGGTAAGTCTTTCGCTGTTGTTTGCATCGTGGTTCGATCAATCAGATAGCTAACAGTTTGGTTATATTGCAGATCAGCAACTCGGACAGTTGCTCGAACTTATGCAGGCCCTCAAGAATGAGGAAGGAGAAGGAGAGAGTAAATGAGGCCTCCATTGATCGCATTGGGCCGAGGTCAACACTAGCCACCCTGGGAGTTGGAATTAATCTTGAATATTGAGAACATGATTTACCACATATCCTCAACTTGGCCTCGGGTGCACGGTGCTGATATCAAGGCATCCATGCATGACCTGGGAGGTTTATATTGAGAGATGCGGGCAGCTCTCATTCTCCACCAGCTCATATGTACATATTAGGTGTAAGAATAGAAGACACGAATCGGTTTTTGATTCTAGATTGAAGGCTTTTTTTTCACGGGTTCCCATCTTCTAACGTCATATTCTTTGGATCCCCGATCTATACTTCGGGGCATCCTGGCCTTGCGGAACAACCCCGAGCAAGCCAAGTTGGGCGTCTTCGCGCCTGCCCGGAGGATATTAAAAAGGAACCCACACACAACCATATCAAAGATCCAATTTGCCTTCAATGAGATCTCTCATGTTCTAATATATTCCACGGATCCCATCAAAGAAAGATAAACCACCCCAACCACAGTGGAGAACGCCCTACCAATGACAAGCTGACTCATGAAAAACGGCAAAGAGAGCCGATATGGAGATGCAGAAAAGAGTATATCAACCGCCAAAATCCCTTCTAAACTCCTAAAAATTGTTCAATTGGACTTCTTCTACACCCAGCCTCCATCCCCAAACTCCTCCTCCCCCCACTCCTTGCCCAAAATGCCTGCCATGCTGGAAGACCCCTCAACCCGCAATCCCCCACCGAAGGCACACATCGTCGCAGCGCCGACAGTGTCGGCCAGGAAAACAACCCTGCCCAAGTCCTCCTCCGCACCAATGACACTGTACCCTATCACAGGTGGGCCGCAAACTGTCCCAAAAGACCTGATCAAGTTCCTGCACGAGGAATTCAGTGCGGAGATCGTCCGCGGCGCAACGTATCCCATGGAGCAGCCGATGGCACTGGATCAATTCGCTGATTACTGGTTCGGGACGTTTGCGGTCCTGGCGATCTTGGACGACGAGGGAGAGGGCCTTCGCGAGGGAAGGGATTGGGAAAATGTTTGTCTGGGGACTTTCTATATCAAGCCTAACTATCCTGGTATGGAATTATATACTCGATAAAGAATTATTTATAGAGATACTACGGAGTACTAATTGTCGATATAGGTCGCTGCTCGCATATCTGCAATGCAGGCTTCCTCACCACCACCACTGCACGCGGCAAGGGTGTTGGATATGCCATGGGAGAGTCCTATCTGGAATTTGCCCCCCAATTGGTATGTGGCCTCGAAACTGCGTTTGATTTGTTCTGGAACGAAATATAATCTAACGGTTTTATCAGGGATACACATACTCAGTTTTCAACTTGGTCTTCGCTAATAACCCGGCCTCCATTCGTATCTGGGAGAAGCTAGGATTCAGCGTTATCGGACGAGTACCCAAAGCTGCGCGGTTGGCGAACAGCGAGGACTTGGTCGATGCATTGATCTTCGGTCGTGAATTGGGAAACTGAGATTCCGAGTTTCGATCTCAGATTGAGGGCTCCATCCATGTTTCATGTGTGGAGCTGGGGTTGGGCCGGTGTTTCAAATATAGAGGTAGATAGAATCGTATCGTTACGAATTATGATGACCATAGCGAGAAATGAAAATCGCGTGTGCATAATGGTAACAAAAATTGCCTTGGTCGAGAGAAGTCATACAATTCCTAACAATGAGACCGAAAACAAGGTAGAACTACAAGCGATGATATGCACAATGGAGAAAAGCAGAGTGGCAATCAAATGAGCTTCAAGAAACAAGCACCGGCAGATAAGATGAAACCCAACGCTCAGACCTTACTATGCAAACAACAGGGATATCACGCAAAACCTGACTGTCGAGATGATGATTCCTCTCCGCACCGGTTAGATCTCGGCTTGGAGATCAGAATCAGATGAAGTGGGAAGGAGTGCAATGCACAAGGGAAACGACGACATGTAATGAAACAGGGAGGTAGGATTGAACAAGTCAGAGGATGAAAGGATTATAAATGATGATGCGAGGGGAGGGGAGGATGAGATGAGGTGCCTAGGATGATAGAGTGGCGGCAGAGGAACGGCGCTGAATATGCAATGCAATGTGAGCTGTACTAACGCCACCTCGGGCGTGTATCAACTGGCTTCGAGACTGTCTGTTCCTTCCCCGTTCGCTTGGGTAACGGGAGGAGACTAGCGCGTCTGTTGGTAGAATGTCCCAATGATGTTCCTGGCCTTGTTTTGGTCGGGCTCTGGCTCATATCTCGGACCCCTGATATACTGCGACTGAAATTTGTAGGTGGGCCCGCAAAGCTTGAGCGATTGCGGGGAGTATTCGCCATCCCTAGTTCTCGACGGAGCCGGCTGTATGGCGGTGGGTCAAGGATGGAGGACCGTGCCGGGGTAGGCGACGATACATTGCGCTGGGGACTTCGAGAACCAAAGCGGCTAGAGATGCGACTGACTGACCGAAGTCCACCGGGAATTGGGGATGCAGATAAGTCGCGTCGGAATGAACTGGAGAAGGGGAGTGTCGAGGATGGGCGAGGTGTCCGAGCTTGTGGCGCAGATGACTTGCGTAATGTTGAGTTGTAGCCCGTATGCAAGTCATTCAAATTCGTGCTGCCGTTCCAGCGCGGCCGCTTAGGAATTGAAGATGGCGGCGCTGGTGTACGAGAACGAACAGCCGGAGTTGGTGTGTAGAATTTCGAGTTCCGGTGAGATGGTGGAGGAGACACAAGGCCCGTTGGTTGGGGGATCGAGGACTTTCGACTTGTATAGGGCGCTGTAGCCTGTGGCAGGCTGGAATAGCGACGGGTTTGGGGAATCGCAGAGCGACCTATGACACTTCCGGCTGAGCTTCCGCGACGGCTCGATCCGCCCATGGGCGTTGAGGCACGTTTATACCCATTACCGCCCATGATGACCGACGACGCAGGCGAGCTTCCTGGGGTATCGATAGCACTGCCTGTGATTGGACTGTCCAGGGTGAGGATGCTGGAAATTGAGTCTCGCAGTTGATGACCTTTGGCAGTATGTACATCTTCAAGAGATGTGTCCATAACCCTAGTGCTAGCCTTGAGAGCATCTGTTCGGGATGTCATATCAGAGAGCAGGCGCAGGATTTCACCATTGACAGTCAACCGGTCGTTGACACCTTTTTGGATGATGGAAACCACACGTTCAATAGCAGGAACGTAATGCATCTTCTTAGCCTCGTAATTTTCAACAAGCTTGGTCAGCGTTGACGGATTGTGCAGTTGCATGCCACTTTCCAGCCCCTCCTGTAGTTTTCCAATACTGCGCTCCACTGACTCAAACATCTTTTGTGCCTGAGCTCCAGCATTCCGGAAAACAATAATCCACTTATCCTCTCCCAGCTCCTTTCGAAGAGCTTCGGCATCAGTTTCAAGAACTTTATAGCTGTTCTCCAACTGATTTCGCCGGTCCTCGATCTCCTCACATGCACTCGGGAAGATGTTCTCAGCGCGTGCCTGGAACATAGACAATCGCATGGGCAAAAAGTCCAAAGACGCGCGCAGGGGCTGCATACGCGCAAATATGGCCATGAGGTTAGAGTGACTCGTGTCATCCTGCGGTGTTTTGATGACAGGTGTGACAGATGCTGAGGCCAAGAGAGGGCCAATACTCAAGCGGTTCTGTACATTTGAGCGACCCTTCATAGGGGACTCTTCCACAATTGTTTCTAGCTCATTGATGTCAAGGCCGCCAGTGGTCTCACCTGTGTTCATCAACGCTTGATGCCGCTGCTCTTCCATTTCGAAGATCAGTCCGCTCAAGTTGTCAACTTCCATGCCCACGTCACCCAACACGATCGACCAAAGCTCCTCCCACTCCATGGCCAACTCAACTTGTTCTTTTACGCCTCTCAGCTTTGTCTTAATTTGTGACCAGTTTTGTAAAATACTCTCCATCTGGTTCACAATAGTGGTCAAACTCTCCGTGTCAACATTGCCGATGTCATCCCGCAGCTGGACGTTCTCGATAGCCCTGACATACACGTTGACTAAGGACTCGAACCGCGTGATGGCTCTGTCGACTTCATCCAGTCCCTCCCGACCACCAGCCGCAGCCCATTCTACATCGTCTTCAGAATCCAGCCCGCTCAGCACATCTGAGGCTTTCTTAATCCAAATCTGAATTGACTCCGCGGAGCTGTTCAAGGATTTGACTGCTGCCAGAGCAGTGGAAATTCTCTCAATTTTGGATTCGAGCGAAGCTGGTTCCGGCAAGTACATAGAAGTCAGCTGCGAAAGCTGGTTGCTGAAAGAAGCGCGGGAGAAAGAGTATATGGAATCTGTGCGCTGAAGACCCATCGGGTTAAAATATGACTGCGAATGGGAGGAAGAGCGCGAGTGCGTGGTTTGGGGAGGGGAATCTTTCGGCGGAGGTTTCGGGGCGGATTGCTCTTTGACAGATCGCTCCTCTCTCCGAGCAGTATCATCGACATATTTCTCGAAGTCGGTTCGTTCATCTTTCACATCTTGTGGGGGTAAGGGGCTTGGTATGTGGTCCGCGCGCAACTGCGCGAGGACCGGCTCTGCGACAGACATGGGCGTGGGTGGGCTGTTGTGTTCTGGTGTTTCGAGGTTGACCGGGACAGTAACGGCCGGGGTGGGCAGTTCAAAGGTGTCCACGACTGCTTCGGATGACTCCGGGGGTCTCGTTGTGCGCCTCTATTCGCGCGTCGGCGATCTCTTGGAGGATGTCCTGGTGGGGTAGCTCGAGCTGATTTGACGCGCTCCGCTTGAACTCCTGAGGGTGTCCGGATGAGATGCCGAGACCATTCCACGCCTGGCCTTTCCTTTTCACCTTGATGGATAGGTCTTGGTGGAGGTTATCGAGCTCCTTCAGATGCTCTTGCGGGATTCGACCAACTGCATTGGCATGCCGATTCTGTGCGGTGGACTTGTTACTGCTGTCCAGCAGCTTGACCCGGGCCGCGAGAGCGGGAGAGTCGGCGGAGGATGGATGTTCGCCCGGCGCCGGTCGGTTCGGTTTGGAGGGTTTCCTCTTCGTTATTGCTGCTCCCTAGGCTCCACAGGGACGATTTGGATTTCAGGCGACGGAGGGTGGAGGCACCCGAATCATTTGGAGAGACGGAGAGCGTTGGGGTGAGCGGCGGAGGTGATGAGGGTGTTGCGGACGCGTTGGGGGGATGCGCCGCGGTATCGGTCGCAAGTATTGGACCGTCGTCTGTGGCATGCATGGAGATCGGGACTGAAAGAGCAAAAGGACCAAAGGATGTGGTTCAGACAGGGATACAAGGAATGTTTCGTCTTGCCCGGCGTTCGGTAATTCACGAGACCCCTTCTCACGGTCTAAGGCTTTTGGCGGTTCAAAGGGGAAGAGGACTATGCTACATGACCAGATAAAGTTGAATAGATGCAGAAGATCGTGCGATTGAGGGAAATATCGGGCAGCAACCGTTAAGTCAGAAAGAGGGATAATGTGGCTAGTATGGGCGTTTACTCTGCAGAATGGGTACCTCCAGCCCCGTATTGTTAGCTATGGGGCCACAGGTACTCCGTACCTCCTCGGTATGTAACTCAAGGGATCAGCGAGATGAAATCAATTTCCCTAGTCTTTTCTTTTACATCCGATAATTGAATGGTTTCAGATAGATCATATTCTGTGTTTTGGATTCTACTACTCCGTACAATTAATGGCATCAAATACAGCCTACACACTTCAGGCCTTGCGCTCACACCTTACCCACGAGGTTGTCGATCAGCTGTAATGTTTAACTCAAGGGAGCTAGGTCTGTTATGTGCCTATGTTTTGATCAGCAATCATATGTCCTAATATAGTCGAGCCCAAAAGTAAGGTATTAGGGGATGAATGTTCATATCTTTGGCAATGCTATATGCATTCTATGGACTGATACCAGAGTAGGGAGAAGTATACAATTAATACAATTCCAATCGAAACCAAAAAAAAAAAAAATATTAGAGAAATCAAAACATGCGTGGACGGGCAGAACAGTCGGCGACAATTCAGGGGTATCGTATCAAGTGCCCAAGAGATCAAAGAGAAAGAAAAAAAAACAACCGAGACACAAACATAATATTCAATACTTCGACCACTGCCCTTAGATCAAACCAGCACTCGGTGGTCGGCCAGGGTTGGCCTCCTGCCAATCGCGGACCAGCTCTTCGCGGACAGTCTTGCACCAAGCCAGTAATGCAGTATCAAATAGCTCCCAAGCAGTAGTTCCGCTGTTTTGTACAACCCCCATCACATCGACATCCAGCCGAAGTTCCCACCGGAGTTGTGCAGCTTTGACCCAGAACTGCAGATTCTCAGTCTGCCGGTAGGGCTTGGCAATGTCGAGGTGGTAAGTTGTAATCTCGCCGAATTGGCGTCTCGACTTCTTGATCGCAAGGTTGTGTGCCTGGACTAGCGCACGGCCGTCCCGAAAGCGATCCAGGAACGCGGTGGGGAGGGAGTCGCTGGGAGTCTCCTCAACTGGTTTCCAAATCGGCAAGGAGGCACCATCAGGCATGAGGCTGCGAAGGAAGGACTCTTCGCGTGCGCGCTCGCGACCTGTCCAGTCACCGGCCGCCCAATCCCAGTTAAGCCGTTCCTGGGCTTCGAGGTCTTCCAGCGCCTTTTCACGGACTAACATGGTACGTACACCCGCAATCCACCCCTGAATTCGCTCGCGTTCCTCATCGCGCAGGCCGCTGGCAAAATGCCGCGCAGCCCACCGTTTGAGAACCTCCAGAACGTCAAATAGCTCCTTGCGAATATCCTTCTCGCTTTTTATTGATGCTAAGCGCTCTGCATTCTCGTGGGTGGTATAGTAGATCTTGGCTGCGCGGATTGCATTCGTCACATCATCTAGAATGCACATGCCCTGCGCCTCCTCTTTGTTCATCGGGGGCGCTACCTGCCCGGATTGATCTTCCTCGTTGGTATCGGGGATATCATCGGGTGAAAGACTTTCCCGGAGGATGGGGCGGGGAGGAGGCTCCATGCCGTTTTGAATTGCCACGATGTTTGTCTCCGCCTTATCCAGCGCAAGGGTAAGCTTGCGGCGCAATGACATCAAATCTGGCGGTGGGGGAATGTGGTGCGTTTTAATGCTGTATGTGCTGACTGTGGGCGGCAACATCACCTCGCCTTCCTCGTCCTCAAATCCACCCTCCCCCAGATCTGCCATTTCTGTGGGGCTCGCGTCCAGATCGCCATCCATGTGTCGTTGGTTGGGGGTGATTAGCACTCGTGGCACATTCTCCTTGTTCCTCTTGCCTTTTTCCCACTCCCGGCCCCTCCCGCTCTTTCCATCGAGTAGACCCGTTCTGGCAAAATAATATTGGAGATGGGCAATGCTGCCGAGGCTCATGACGCTGTCGCGGTGGCGGGCTGACTCGGCGAACTCGGCACCCAATGCACGCGTGTATCCATGGCGCCGGGTCGATATCGACACCGACGATCTGGCATCTGCGGAGGTGGCGGAGGAAGCGGAACGCGAGGACTCGGAGGAAAATGTTCGATCTGTGGAGGAATATGAGGAGATAGCTGGCGTAGCTGGAATTGAGGGTGATGGCGAGGAGGCGCGGATTGGCGGCACCGCCGTAAATTCCATAGACCGCCGGGATGTGCTCATTTCGTACGGATCAATTTCGCATGGATTATTTCACCGGGCCAAATTTGGTGGATCTAGGTCGCGGAAGATCGGTCACTGGTTCCCAGCGACGGGGGAAGTCTCTGCGAAAGATGCGATGTTGATGTGTTCTGGCCAATCGTCGGAGGGGCAACGACTTTATATAAATGGGTTAATGAAAGGACGGAGGTTTAATGAGACCTGCAGGATCGACGGGCGAGAAACTGCTTTTGGGCCAAAAGGGGGGGCTTCGACTAGTCGGGGCTAAAAGGGGGAAGCGGGTCAACTGCCCACATGGAAGTTGAAAGAGATGAGCGTTTCTGGTTTCCAAAAAAAGGGACCAATAAGACCAACCAAACCCCTTTTTGCGATTGTCCAGAATAACGATGCCATGCAACTGGAGATGTGAGCCCAACTGTATACTTGACCTCGAGCGTGTTGCTGAATTGCCTCGTTGGGTTTAGCTTGTGCCCCGCGTTCCATGGTTCACATCAGTCCACTGACCTGGGAAGGCACCTGACCAAAGGAGTTTCAAAAGAAGAGTTGTGATTAATTCCATCTATCCTACCCTAACGCCATTTTGAGTGCTTTGAACCATCCTGCTCTACGCTGCCTCAGGGTTCGACATTTTTCGGGTCAAGCGAGAAAACATCCTTCCGGGCCCATCCTGTTGGTTTCGTTTCTTCAAAGCTCTTTGTTGGATGCTCCCGGTTTGGGTCAGCATATTCAGTCTGATATGGGTTGGGATCGAGATTTTGGTTGAGGTTTCCGAGAGTGTGATTAACCTCGCGGTGCTTGGCCTCGTCGGCACGGACAAATAGCAACAGGTCCCTCATCTTGCGCTGGCCCTCTGGCATCTGCCAGTATTGAACTGCAATCTCGGGTGCATCAAGATTTTTCCACTGCGGAAGTTTGCCGGCCTCCAATTCCTCGACTGCACGGGTGTAAGTAATGACCGCTTCCTCCTCTAGATATCCCACGAATCTGTGGCAGATACGGGGAGAGGCCAAATATGCTAGGAAGAAACCATTGAAAAAGACACCCTGGGCGCCGAGGACCATAAGGCGCATAAATAGGCCGGGTTCGGCTAGTTTCAAGAAGGTAAGGAGATGCATGCGTTCGTTGAACGCTTCTTCCAGTAGGGTTTCAATCCTATACCAGCGGATGAAGGTTAGCATTGAGTTGACATGTTGGTATATCTAACCTTGACTATTCAATGACGTACCATCCATTGTCTCTTTTCATTTTACGAAGACTTCGGAGATGTCGCAGCATGCCACCCACCATTCCGGGCACAGCGGCCACACTTTCCAGAAAGATAAACCGCGAGAGCCACTTTTGCTCTGTCATTTTGAAGCTATCAGGCAGTTCCTTGCCTGGCTTTGGGTGCTTGTATCCAGTTGCCAGATCCATACCCCATCGGAAAACACGGACAGTGCCCAAGGCAACCCAATCGGACCAATTTTTGGCCTGTCGGTGTGCAATGGTGACATTTTGCACCTGTGCCTCGTTGTATCTAATAAACTTAGCTCCTGGCTCCAGCCGGAGGATACGGCGATACATACACTGGATGTGCCCACGCCGATTGCACTCTCTTGATGTTTGGGGTTTCGGGTGCTGGGAAGAATTCCTTGATCTGTTTTTGAGCCGTTGATGAGATGAGGCGCTTGGACGTGAGGCTGAATGTCGGCGTGCGTCTAGTGACTCCACATGCGGGGTTAGATGCTGACATTGCAACGCCCGAGCAGGTTCGCATAGCCAGCAGATACTGCATCCTTCCTGCGACCTGCAAGGGGGCCCTAACGGATAGGGAATTCATGTTGTAGCCAAAGAGGGCGAGCGTCGTTATTGATTGGGAAGGGATGAAGGCGGAGCAGAAGGGGAAGAAGAAGAAATCAGTGAAGTATTAGGTCGAAATAGAAGATGGAGATGAAGATGAAGTTTCACAATTTATGGTCAAGGTTGTGAGAATAGACGATGATGCCCTAAAGACGAAGTGCCTCGCCCACGGTTTAAATATCAATTCCACAAGCTTGGGACACGAATAAAATCAGGGCCATTTGCCAAATCCAGATTGGAACCATAGATTCGATTTGTAACTTTCCTTGTTGCTCGTCTTTTGGAATGATGACATGCTGTATAGTTCATCGTTCAGGTCCCACATGTTGTATCCATATCGTTATATACATCACCCCTTCCATCGGCCCTCCAATATACCAATTATCGCCCAATATCCTCCTTCTATTGAGATACCTGAACAAAAAGCAAATACACCAGGCTTCCCATTAGCCTGACAAAATATCTCCATCCTAATGATATCCCCCTGTTCATCTCCTAACACGATCCAGTCTTGTTTGGCAGGTGACTTTTCGGGGGGAATCGGGAGCGCCGGTATGACTCAGCCTGTCACTCGCCTGGGCAGCGGCCTGAAGAAGAGCCAGTCACCGAGTCGCCGATCCCGAAAAATCCTCGATATCAAAGCCCGGGTGTGCTAGAGGCCAATGTTCGGTCTCGGGATCTTGCAAATGACCCTTTTTCTCACCGGTAGTTCAAGAAAGACCACGATTTTAGTAGGGTAGCCCGGCAATCTAAAAAGTCATATCCGTGTTTCCTCCGACAAGGGTTCATACATCCATGGGTATCATGTACCGATACATGTATGTTATCTCCAGCGATATGACTTCACTATGAAGATGCATAGTAGCTTGATGCCATAGTAGATTGATACATCTATTCACAGGCTGTGGAGTGTGCTTGTTCATTGCAAAGCCGATTCCTACATCTATCATTGATTGTTTTGTTTTGTATATCCGCCATAGACGTACGCAGGTGGCAAGCGTGGCTTTGCAGTTAACCTGGGGGCATTATAGAAAGAGTATCTATCATACCATAACAGGATGTAAAGTAGTAATCGATCATGGCAATATGATTAATCGTAGAGCGAAAAGAAGCCAAGGTTTAGTTGGCTGGTTTAAACATGGACTCTGCTGTCCGCTGCACAGTAAAGCCCTCCTCATCCTCACGCAAGTCCATATTCCGCTTCTCTAGCTTCACCACCTGAGCTAGGGATGGACCTTTGTCAATACGCTGGAGAAATTTCTTCATTTGTTCATCGGGGCCTTGAGCTTCGCCCTCGACCTAACGGCATAAAGTCAGCCCTGTGTCTGTGGAAACCACGAGGGTTCACCCACTTTCCCAGAAGTAGTATTCCTGACCCAGCCTTTGAGCTCATAGAGGTTGGCACATTTCTGTGTAAAGTCTCTGTAGTCCGTGATGGGCATTCACTGGTTAATTCACTGATGGGAGATGATGTCATCGATTGAGTTGAGGAATGTTTCCTACCGGAAGCCGACACCTGGTATTCCAAGTCAGTGATTCTCCGAAGTAGGCAGAGATTGAGGGGAGCTTGAAAGGCCATGGGGTGGAGGCGGGACTCACCTTGAACGCGGCCGTGGACTTTGAAAGCGACCTGAAGTAGAGTATCAGTATGGCGGGGAGACTTATGACTTTGATTGCGGCGGGGATATATATATATGGTAACAACATGTAATGGAATATATAGGAAGCAAATGACATACTCGTGTGTTCGACATCTTGGACGTGAGATAGGTCGAAGCGAAGAGATGGATGTAGAGGTGAAGAGCATACGTTGAGGTCAAACCGGTGGCTCCAGCATAATGGCTGATGGGCACAGCTCAAGAGTCAATGACTCGGCAAATCATAAATCATATATTTGAAGTTTTGCTTCCATAACTCTTCTGGCGTATTAGTTAAAAAATTCATGCCCTATTTACGGTAGTTTAAGCTGCTCATCTCTCGAGGGCTTTGTACTCTGCGAGGTGATATTGACGGGCGCTGATTGGGTGAGAGATCTACAGAGCAGTTTCTTAATTTCTGAAATCAACAGGAAGTTCGAAAATCAAAAAGCACAAAGGCATTGCTCCTTGATCTGGTATGGAACTCCTATTGTAGTCTATATGGTGCTGAAGTCGAACATAGAAGAGGCCACCTACCAATGTGCCTCGGCCCCCTGAGTAAACGGAATCTCACAGTTCCGACTTCGACTTCGACTTCTCCAAATCCTGGCCATGCCATCGTTATAAAATGCCCTCCATTTTCGCCTGGCTCCGGCGAATCTACTCGCTGGATACCCTTGACACTCGTTTTACCTCCACTGCCACTCCTGCTCCGGCCGACACACGGTCTTCCGCAAAAGATGCCCGCGCCAATGCAGTCGCTCAGAGCGCGTCGCCATCCCTTTGGCGCACTCCAGAATTCTTTGTCTATTATTTGTTCTTTATCACACTCGTTCCTTTGATGTTCAAGACCGTGATTGATGCCTCGAAGGGTGAGTACTGAGGAAAGCCACGGTAATGCCCTTGGACGCTAACTGGGTATCACCAACGTCACAGAAAGTCACCCAATCTACTCCACATACTCTCACCTGCTATCGTCCGGTTGGATCCCTGGTCGCCAGGTGGTAAGTGCTTCACACCTGGTGTGGAACTGTCTGGATTCATGAGGCCAGTTAAACTGACGTTATTGTTGCGCCTCAGGACAACTCCGATGCACAATATGCAAGCTTTCGCGACAATATCCCTCCCCTTCTTATACTCCTGATCGCCCATCCGTTTGCTCGCCGTGTATATCAGTCATACATGAACCGCTCGAAGGTTGAAACCAAAAAACCGAGCCATGCTGCCGGTGCAGGTGAGGCGCAACTCGAACAGCGAATGCGCTTCGACTTTTGGTTCGGACTGGTATTCATAACAGCGCTTCATGGAGTATCTGTTCTCAAAGTGTTGTCGATTCTGTATATCAACTTCCGGATTGGAAAGGATGTTCCTCGTTCCTATGTCCCAGCTGTTACCTGGATTTTCAACCTCTGCACATTGTTCGCCAACGAGTTATGCGGCGGTTATCCCCTCGAAAAAGTGGTGAAGCTGTTTGCTCCCGGAACTAGCATGTCAGACGGGAGCGCCACTATGCTGGTGCAATGGGCTCAATCTTTGGATGATCTTGGTGGACTGATGCCGCGATGGGAAGTCCTTTTCAAAGTTACTGTGTTGCGCCTCATCAGCTTCAACATGGATAACTATTGGAGTGTTGAATACCCCGCGGCGAGTCCAATTGAAGTGAGTCTCACCGTACTATATGGGCTTTCAATCTCTATATAGCAACCATACTGACCGAATTTTACAAGAAGAAGCAACTCGACCCTGCGTCTCTGTCTGACCGCGATCGTGTTAAGATCCCTGCAGAACCAGCCGCGTTTACATTCCGCAACTACATTGCCTATGTGCTCTACTCGCCCTTATATTTGGCTGGTCCGATTTTGACATTTAATGACTACGTATCTCAACAGCGATATACACCCGCGTCACTCACCCGGCCCCGCACCATGATGTACGCCATCCGCTTTGGTCTCACTCTGCTTTGCATGGAGCTTATTCTCCATTACATATACGCAGTAGCAATCTCCAAGGCCGACCCAGACTGGTCTCTTTTCACACCGGGCCAGCTGAGTATGCTCGCCTTCTTCAACCTGCACATCATCTGGCTGAAACTGCTCATCCCCTGGCGATTCTTCCGCCTCTGGGCCCTCCTAGATGGCATTGACCCACCAGAAAATATGGTCCGCTGTATGTCCAACAACTACTCCGCTTTTGCCTTTTGGCGCGGCTGGCACCGTTCCTACAACCGCTGGATCGTCCGCTACATCTATATCCCACTGGGCGGTGGCGGCGGTGGCCGGCGACCACCTGGAGCACCCAAACCAGCCTCACCACCTCAATCCAACTTTATGGGCAAGTTCCTTCAAATCCGTAACTTCCTGTTGGTCTTTACATTCGTTGCCTTATGGCACGATATCAACCTCCGCTTGCTCATGTGGGGCTGGCTCGTTACTCTCTTCGTTCTACCAGAAGTCTTGGGTGGCATGCTTTTCCCAGCCCACCGCTGGCGCTCCCGCCCTACTATGTACCGTGTTATTTGTGGCATTGGTTCTGTTGGCAATGTGCTCATGATGATGATCGCGAACTTGGTCGGCTTTGCTCTGGGTCTGGATGGATTGAAGGATTTGCTTGCTGGCCTTACAGGCTCATACTCCGGCTTGGCATACATGGTTTCCTGCTGCGTAGTGCTTTTCGTCGGCATACAGGTTATGTTTGAAGTTCGCGAGGACGAGCTTCGTGCGGGAATCAACTTGAAATGCTGAGCGCAATTTGTCTAGCCGTTTTTTTTGCATATCTTAGAAACTTTGTTTTTTCCTAGATTCCGGCTATAATGAGATGAATATACAAGTTTCGGTTTGAATTATGTTACATTAATATTTATTTTTAACTATTGTACAATATTTGGTATCAATTCGTAAAATCATCAGAACAACGCCTCTGCCAAACCCCTTCTCAAGAGTACATAAACTCACACACAAAGCCCCTAGAAGAAAGCACCACACCTCGAATCCTCATGTACCTTGTAACAATCCAACCCACAAGTCCTCAAATGACAACTCTTGCACCGGATCTTCCCCCAATATCCACACATACAACAAAAATGCCTCCCCGGCCGCGCCGACGCTAACGGCTTCGCTCGCGAAGCATTATAAGAAAGCGGCGGTTCCGCCAACAGCCTCTGCATAAGCCGATCCGAAGGCACAGGGGGCGCATACGACCGCAAGAGCGGATCATTATCATGTTCCGACTTGATGAGTTTCGGTTTCCGGGGCGCATCATCATCCGTTTCCGCCTCCGTCTCGGCCGCCGACGCAGGCGTCGATGCCGCAGTCACACCCATAGCCACCGAAGACCGCTTAACGCCACTCGTGCTAGCGGGCGTCGAGCTGCGCCGCGCAGCAGCCTTGCCTCCCTTTCCCGCAATGCTCCCGCGTGCCTGCGTTACGCTCGCGCCCGTCGCGCCCTGCATCCCGCTGATTCCGCCGCTGCCGGAGGCGATGGCGGCTTCTTCGTCGTCGAGGTGGTTCCGGAAGGTCTTTTGGGATGTTAGGATGCGGCGCACGTTGGAGGTGGTCTTTGCTCGCGTGCCGCGGGCGCCGGCTTCGCGGGCTTGCTTCACCGGTGCGGGGATGGATACGTCGCGTTGGTTCTCGCGGTCGAGTTCGGCGATGTGGCGTGCGATTGCGTTCGCTTGGCGTGAGGAGATGTCGCCGCCCTTGCCGGCGTCGCGGATGCCGCGTTTGCGGCCGAGGGTTGGGGCCATCGCTTGGGTGGGGTCGAAGCCCCGGGATGGGGCATAGGACCAGCCTGGTGTGGCGGTTGAGGTGTCTGAGACGAGTTCGACGCGGAACATTTTGGGGGGTTTGGGGGTGTTGATGATGCGGAAGCGGAGGCTGAAGAGGGAGTTGGTTGGAGATGAAGGATGTTTGTCTTGTTTGCAGGGTAGCTTGGTGTTGCAGAAAGTACCAGTATGAGGATGGGAATTCAGTCAATTGATAAAGAAATAAACGCTGATATTCAACATCTGAGGCCAAATCCATGCAAACTTAACCGAAGAGCCATATCCCAGCCATTTTTCCAGTCTGTCAAAGTTTTAAGGCTGGGTTTGATAGACTTCATGCACGGGAAACACCCAACACCTTAGAGCATTAATAAGTACACATATCGGACACATTGATCATAGATTTATTTCTTTTTGTTCAGCTGGTTAACCTTGGACTCCAATTCTGTGATGTAGGACTGGAGCTTGATAGTGGCTGTTTGAAGTGCCTGTGTATAAGCAGACAGAAGGTCAGATGGTTAGCTCCTAGAACACAAAATGTGCCAGAGAAGAGGGGACAGAGATAGCTCGTTCCAATAAACAGGAGCTGGGGAACTATCGAGACATACCGCAATGTCATCAGAGAGCATTTCATTGGCGAGTCGGTATTCTGCTAGGATGTAAAAGTAAACCGACGCGCTGGCGGCGACAGACCCAGCCAGGAAGCCGAAGACACTATCAGACATTAGAAACAGAGCCCAGAATGCATGGCTATTGGGGATTGCAATTCAAAAAGATAGGAACAATTCTCACCCTCCTCGGAAAGCTCCAACAGGCTTGCTAGATGGCAACGGCGCGGCGGACTCCCAACGAACGCGGGATGACGAGAAGGACCGAATGCCGACGCGTCCGCGCAGGGGGAGAAGGATCTTCGTGCCAACAATCATATTGACACTGATATTCCAAATGCAGAGGAAAATTCTAGATATTGTTGGTGGACGGTGGTGGCAAGGGGAGTTTGTTCGAAGTGACGTTAATGAATTGCGGAGGTCCGGGCGGCTCGGAACTGGAGACCTGAGGCCTTTGGTATACAAACAGAGGGAAGAACGAACTATATAACCACGCAAACAAAAAAAAGATGTATTTGGTATCGCCTTAGTAGAATATCCAATGAAAAAGCTAAAGTACAAGAATGCTCTCTTCGCTCAATTAGCCATTGTGCTCTCGTTGAAGAGATCTGCCAACAAGTCATCCCGGCACACTGGTATGTCTACACTGCCCATGCCGTAAGTACTCTCAAAAACGTAGATACTCAGTCGATCGAAGAATGGGCGCAGGACCCGCTCGACTACCTCGTCCTTGGCCGTCTCTCGGATCCAGTCCGAGATGAGCCATGGTCGCTTGAGACCGCCGCGAGCCTGGGGCTCGTTGGTCTCAGCAGCAATAGTGGGTGAGACTGCACCGCATGGACCGAATGTTTGAGAGATCTCGTCTGCCAGAGCAATAGGTTCCCAGCGGTCTGGTGGATAGACCGCATCGATGGTATCAGTTACGAAGAGCCACTCTAGGAGCTGGAAATCGTCGGGGGCGAGGACAAGCAGTATATCGAGCAGCTTGCATGCTTGGAGAAGCGAGTAAGGGGTGTAGAGTTCGGATTGAGAGCCTCGTGGAACTGCAGAGATGGCTTCTTGCAGCTCTGTGTTAATCAGAGGCCAGAATGGCGCCATGGCGGAAGCAGAAGTCTTCAGTGCAACGGCGCGAAGAACCATAAACACTTCCGCTCGCGTAGCAGAAGATGGCGACGAGGAGCTAGTTGCCGCGAGCAGATCTTCCAATTTTTGAAGCAATGCCGGTAGCTCACCAACAAAGTAGTCATCGCTGGCAGAAAGGAGGAGTAGCGCGATCCGTCGGAGGTTAAGTTGTGCTTTACGATCGGCTTCCAAGCGAGCTGCGGAGGCTCCTACGCCGAACATAATACCCGCCGAGCTTGGTGGTGGCAGGCGGACGAGAAGTTCGGATAGCCGTTCCTTATCGGCAAGAATCCACTGGCGCAATAGGTCCATCCAGCTGCTCTTCACCAAATCCAACTGTAATCCAAAGAACCGGGCATCGTTGAACGCATCGGATACGTCCTTCTTCCACATTTTTGCCGCAGCCGGTACCTTCGCCATTTGCTGTAGAAGAACCATAACATTGCGATTGAGATTGTTAGGGAATAGGCGAGACCGAATGAGAGGGCCAACCACGTTGGTCGAGACACCGGTAATGGCAGTGTTGATTCGGTCTGAATCACCTAAGGTTGTGATGAACGACGGCATGGAGACCGCTAGAATGCTCAGCATGTCATCGGGTCCGGTATGAGAGACTGAGGTATGATCATAATCCACGGAAGATCTTGCCATGAGCCCAGTGTCCTGATTGAGGCCCAAGGGCTTGCTTGTAAAGACGGCTGTCAGGAGACGGAGGAGGACATCCTGTGTTATTAAGTGTTAGTAAACATTATGAAAATAGAAGGGAACACACATACCCCAAGTTCCTTTCTCATGCGACGGTCTTCACCGAAGGTTGTTTTCTCCAACTTTACTCCCAAGATAGCTGCAAACTCAATCAAACGTGGAAGAATTTGCCGGTGTGGGAATGGATTGCTAAGAACATCGCGTAGGAAGGTTGTGCAGTCCGTCCAAATCTCGTCAAGGACATCATCGTCCAGTGATCGGGCATAGGTGACCAAAAAGCTAGCAAGTTCAGCCTCGGAGACGCTGGAAGTCAACGAGGATTTCCGGCTAGGATCCAAGGCTGTAGGATTGGTGCGAGTGTAAATCGCGTTGAAGATCGCTGGAATGGTGATTTTTGGGCTTGAACCATCCAGTGTATGGAGAAGATTGAAAATAAGCGATGCTGTCTCCGTGTCAGACTTAGTCCACATTTCCACCAAGGTCTCAAGACACTCTAGTGCCTCTGCAGTGAAGAAATGCTCTAGAATTCGGCGTGATCGGTTTCTCATTCGCAACGAGGTGTATTGGAACGAGGCCAAGGATTCAGAATCAGGAGGAGATCCACTGTGATCTCCTGCTCCCCATGCCCAGATAGAGAAGCAAAGTCGAACGGCGTCTTGGAAACAGAGAAGAACGGTCAACCGATCGTTGGCGGTGTTGGGACGACCTTGGGCACCTTCCGAGTGGAATACCCCAGAGACCATGTTCCCGAAAAAGCCCTGTGTTTGATCAGGACTCTTAACTGCTGGAACGTTGGACTCTTGCACAAGAAGACGTTCATGGGCATTTGCGATACAGGTCTCAAGACCAGTCAGGAGAGCAATCGTGACATGCTCGGAACGGTCCTGCGGCCAATCCTCTGTTTGCTGGAAGGATAGCTGAAGTCTGCCATATGATGCTCGGATTTCCCTGCAGAAACATTCCACTAGCATCAATAGGATCTGGAAGATAGACCCCGAGTACAGAGGAAGTACTTCGCAGAGTAGCACAATCCATTTGTCTACGATCTCGCGGGATTTAGGTGAGCTGATTCCCTTGAGGAGACAGTCCAGAAGCCGCTCTGGCGGTTGTGGTAGCTGAGCTATCGAGGGTCTTCTGTCTCCCTTGTCACTGGTGAAAGACAGGATTGAAGGACTGGTCAACCGATCGCGAGACGCGGTTCGTAAATCTTTTGGCCGAGCAGGCGGTGGGGGTAGATATACCTGCGCAAATCGGACCTTCAACGCAGCAAGTAGTGCGTCTATCAATGCACCTTGCACCGCAATGCTGCCGCCTTCGGATGAGATAAGCAAGCGTTCCACCAAGAAGTCATCAATGCCAGACTCCACTAAGTCCTCTGCTGCTGGCCCAAGAAGAAGTTGCCGCATGAGTTGAAGGGCATCCTTTTGCATTCTTTCCCCTTCTGGGCTGACTTCCGTGGGAACTAGACTTTGTGTACTCACAACACGAAGAGCAGCCTCAAATATGGCGGAATGAAGACTTTTCGAGCCTGCATTGTCTAATCGCCGAGTACATATTAGCAAGAAGATGACATGTGGGAAGATCGATAGGATACTCACCTTCGGATTTGGATATTTCTGGGCGCTTTTCATTGCCCAGCACATGATTGAGAAGTGTAATCCATCCATTTTGCGCAAGCGCAGATATGATATTTGAAGCTGTCTGTAGCAAATAATCACATTCCTTGTAGTCATCGGGGGAGATGGACTGGTTAGTTGTATTTTTATTGCCAGTATCATCATGCTCGGAAAGTTCATCGAGTTTCGAGATAACCACATGGAAAACCCTAGCAAGATTGTTAGACCTGCCTAGTCCCACGAGGAAAGAAGTCGACTTACTTATGAATCGATGGCAAGTCCTGGAGCCATAGTTGCACGCTCTGCGAACTATCACTTGACTCCTGACAGAGAAGATCAAGGACAATGAAAAGCGGGCGTTCAAGCATGGAGCACTGATAAGAGAATAAGGTTCCTCCAACATCAAGCACTTGCTTTGGCGGTTGCTCATGTGTATTGTGGTGACTATGATTCCACAAGACGTAGAATCGCTCAGCTTGTTGCTCAGATGAGAGATGGCGAGAGCCTGCAGTTGACACATTGACCATCAAGGCTGTCAAGGCTGCTTCAACTAGGTGGTCAATCCAAGAGATTGAATGTAGAAGCCATAAGCAGCGGACCGCTTCCACGTGAAATTTCGGACTGAGTGGTGATAGGTACAACCAAAGCTGGTTAACAAGGGGGGTGATCAAATCGCAAGCATCCTCATAGCTGATATAAAAACCGGGACTTTGGATGAAAAAGAGACTCGTTACTGTCGAAGCAATCGTTGAGATGACTGAAAAAGACGCTGTCGTTGGCTGCTCCTTCCCTAGATCCAATCGCTGAGAAAGGGCTTCGTATAGTTTTCGGTCCCGCAGAACGCGGGACTTGGGAAGCTTTTTGAGCAAGGTAACGAGAATATCCAGCGGTTCATGAACAGATAAGTTGCCATCTCCGCTTCCTAGCGCCGCGATAGCAAGTTCGTGGGCCTCGCGAATAATCATCTCGCCAAGGATTTTGGGAGAATAGGGAAGAGGTGGAAGATCTAGACTAGTTTTGCTTTGTTCATAGAAGCTGTGAACTGTCTTCAAGACATTATTAGTACCTCGGCTCTTTGAGTCATTGCCAGAATTCTTTTCCGAGCCCAATTTTCTGGAGAACGCCCGCTCTGTGAGCAAATCAGTCAACGATTTCAAAACTTTATTCAATGCAGCTGACACGGCCTGCTTGTTGGCAGAGCTCTTCCCGGATGATATCTCTCGTATCTTCACGAGCACTGACAGAGTCAGCAAAGGCACATGGATCTGAACCATGTCCTCTTCGCGCACATTGAAATTTTCGATGATAAACTGAGCAAGATCCAAGTCACGCAACACTTGAGCGTTATCACCGTCTATATCAGAAGCCCGATAGTCAACTAGCCCCAAAAGCTCAGAGAATATCACACCACTTTCAACACCGTCGAAGAAGGCGCTCGCACTGCGAAATACCTCTTCAAAGTGTTTCCTGGGGCCTTCGGCTTCAAAGGCCTGGACACTGCGTACAGTGGGCAAGAAAACAGCAGGGACAATATATCCACCAATTTCCCAGCGATCCATGAGCGAGAGAGCTATCCGGAAAGGCTTGGTTCTCTCGGATGGGATACTCGGTGCTTGTTTGATCAAATCCAGGAGACCCGTGACCAACGGTTGTAGGCCTACCCGGCTAAAGTATTGTGATTGTGTAAGTTCCATACCGTCGATGGACGCGGACCGAGTAGTTTCAGATGAGAATTTTCGATCATCTATTGGAGAATTTTCATTTGGAGAATCTGGACCCAGGAACCATGCCCAGAGCCGGCGGTTCAAGCTCATATCTCGCCGAGTAACCACTCCCACTGCAGCAATGACTAACGTTCGGAGATCACTGGCTGCAATCTTAGTTTGTAAGATTGGTGAACTGAGGGGAAGGTGGGTAACAAGAAGATCGAGGAAGTTTCGTTGGACAAGAAGTTGGTCGTCAAGTAAACCGGATGCAACGCAGCGGATTAAGAGGCCAGGCTCTGGAAGAATAACAGAATCAGCTGCGGCCAACATCTCTGCTGGGATTGTATTGACATCATTCCCACCAGCAGAGCTTGGTCGACGGTCTGCGATTCCCAACTTCGGGAGGTAGCGGTTCAGATATGCGAGGACGCCGAGGCGCCGACTAGGGTTGGTGATAGATGCGAGGAAAAGGCATTGCCAAAAATACTGCCCCGAAGCCCCTGCTTCGGATGTTCTTTGTGTCTCGAGTTTCCCAGCAGCATCTCGAAGTTTGTTAATCGTGCGTAGCGTCGGCTCAAAGTCATCACTCGTCTCCTCTTCGAGACCCGGGAGTAGGGCTAAAATTATTGCTTTCAAGGCAGGTCGGATGGCCCACGGTTCCAAATCAACGATATAACCCTCTACCAAGGACAGGAATAATGGGCGAACAGTAAGGGAGGCGAAGGTCAATGTTGGCGCAAGGCCAGGGAGATACAGAGGTAGGTCGTGCGACAGTCCCTCAAGCTGGTCGTCATCACGCATCAGTAAACACACCATCAACCTTTTTGCTAGCATCGCGAACCTTTATCAATCCAAATATGTACGTGTAGACTTCTAGGGCTTTCTGGTGTACACCCGAGGGCAGCGATGGGTTCAAGCATTGGGCTAGTCGCTTCGACACCAACACTTTATGGGGAACGATGGGCTGGTCTGGGGGATGCGTTTGAAGTGCCTGGTGGTGTATTAGTAGTTATAATCATAATATCGCTATCATGTCGGACAAGCCCACCTTTAACAGGCGACTGAGGAACGAGATATAGTCGGCCCACTCCTGGAGAGCGTTGTCAAAGAGCGAAAGCGCTCGTTCAACGCTGGACGCATATCGGCGATAGGTTTTGTCTTTTTTGAGGGACCCTATAGCGACCAGCAATAGTTAGATAGAAGTCATTTTGCACAATTCCTGGTTGGGCGCATACCTTCCTTGCCTTGTAAACGGGAGCGCGTCAAGGAGCTTTCGGAGCTTGCGGGGGAGTTCGACCTCGGAAAGGCACTGGGTTCAAGGCTCATGGTGCCAATGACGGACGGGAAATTGTTGTAAAAGTGTTGGACTGCCCTCCGTCATATTTAGGACATCGAGAATGACCCTAAGGGAAGGGAGTTGAGGTTGAATGTTGAATAGAAGCCACGCAGGCGGCCACGTTCGATTGTTTTGTTCCGCCTTGGGGGGAAGCTCCGACTCGCCGACGTCAACGCTCAACCTCCATCAAAACCACAAACCCACTGATCAAGGAACTTGGATCTTCGATATATACCATGCGCATTTAATGGCCTGAAGACCCGCGACGAGCGACCGCATCAAAAAGCGTATGCCCGCAGCGGGGATGAATCCACAAGACCTAGAGAACGACGGCCAACAGCCTGTCGAGGTTCCCAAGCAACCGTCTCGTTCCACGCCATCAATACCAGATTATGATGAGCGCAGTGAGAGCTCGGAAGGGGAGCGGCCACCTTTACCCCCGCGGCCAAATACGCTGAGTTTGCTAAACGATGAAACGGGCACGCGAGCAACTCTACAAGCTGGGGCAACCACAGCTATCTCGAGAACCGATATCGAGACACAATCGCCGGAGGCTGCGGGCAGTGCTTATTCAACGCTAGCCATGCGTAATTTGACCCGGGTTCCGAAAGCCAAGGCGAGCCTCAGCCAGTTGGCAAGCCCACGGGGTAGCGAAGCAGGTGACTCGGCTAGCATTAGAAGCTCAATTCCATATGGCGACACAGGGGATGTGGAAACTTTATTCATGGACTTTGCTGCTACAGGTTCCGGGAGTCAAGGACATGATACCCCAGGCCTTCTTGACTTTCCTGAATTTGCGGCCGACGACATAGATGATGACGGAATTCTTAGTGAATTTGAAGCAGTTGGCGAACTCAACGAGTCAGGTGATAACGAAGGTATAAATCGTCGAGGAATGATTTTTTTCGCTTTATGATACTAATACCAATCAGAAATGTTACTCCAGCGGTGGAAGGCGAAGCGCAAGCATTATGTGATCCTTTCGGCGGCCGGTAAGCCGATCTGGACAAGGCACGGTGATAGTGGCCTGATATCTGGCTATGTCGGTGTCATTCAGACCATCATATCATTTTATGAAGATGCAAAAGATCACCTACGAGGCTTCTCTGCTGGTGACACTAGATTTGTTGTGTTGACACGAGGGTCTTTGCACCTCGTCGCAATCAGCCGGATGATGGAAAGTGATAATCAGCTCCGGCTTCAACTGGAAGCATTATATATGCAAATTCTATCTACGTTGACACTGCCTTCTCTTACTCATCTCTTCTCTGTTCGGCCCTCTACCGACCTGTCGCGACCCCTTCAAGGCTCAGAGTCTCTTCTCTCATCTTTGGCAGATAGTTTCACGCGAGGCTCTCCGTCAACATTGTTGTCCGCTCTCGAGTGTCTCAAAATCCGCAAACAACATCGACAGGCCATTAATAACGTACTTCTGAGAACCAAAGTCAATGGTCTTCTATATGGCCTGCTTGTGGCCGGCGGTCGACTCGTCAGCGTTATCCGACCAAAGAAACACTCCTTACACCCGGGCGATCTACAGCTCTTATTCAATATGGTTTTCGAAGCTGATGGTGTCAAAGCTGGAGGTGGTGAAAGCTGGATCCCCGTCTGTTTGCCTGGCTTCAACAGCAGCGGCTATCTCTACATGTACGTCAGCTTTCTTGACATGCGAAACGATATCGAAAACAGTGCAGAAATCACCAAAGATGAGTCTGTTGCCATTGTTCTTATCAGTCCCGACAAAGAAGCTTTCTTTGAGATGCAAGCAATGCGTGATTCCCTTGTGGAGGTGAGATCGACCAATTTTTCGATGTCCGTATATGTTACATGATACTAATGATGCACTAGCAAATGGAGAAAAATGGGAGTCTGAAGGAGATAAAATCAGCGATCGACAATGGTCGGCCTGCAACTACGGATATAGTTCCAGGAACTGTGGTCCATCATTTCCTGTATAAATCTCGCGCCAATGTACAGTTCACCATGTCATCATATGCTCCTGAATTTTCCTCGGTAACTCGGCGGCGAAGGTGAGTTATATTCCTTCTGTTGCCCATGAACACTTCTGGAGTCCAATTATATTGACTATCTCTCTAGGTTGATGTCGATGTACAACAACTTGCATGCGAGCATTCACTCCAAAAACACTCACGTCAAAGTTCATCACTGTGTTTCACGGTCAGCTACCTCGTTCGGATGGGTAACCCCAGTGTTTGAATTCTACTGCATCGCTGAGCCGAACACTAATCGGAATGCACTTGCACATAGTGCTAGCAAGATTGCTCAGTGGGTGCAGCGTGAGGAGGAAAGGTTATTTATCATTGGCGGTGCGGTACGTATCGGCTTCTTCATGAACTACCTACTATTTCAACAAGTGACTGAGCTGACTTGACCAAATAGGTCTTCTGATCTCACCCGCGCCTTCAAATCATACAACTGAGCAGTTCTCTGTACATACTTCATGGCTTGATATACCCATTTCTGGACACTAAGGTGACTACATACTGCTACAAACGAGTGGTAATTATCCACTGCACAACTCCGCTCTACCATTCGCGAGTTGACTCTGGAAGTCAATATATAGCCTTGCTGCTTCTACCTTTTTCTTCTCCTTTTCTAGCTGGATGATGAAATATAGTTAAAGAGACACCACGCAGGGGATGGTAGATTTTGCTGGTCAGAGCTCTTCAAGAATCAAAATAACGACCCGTCTCTCATTCCACCAGTCACCGGTATGAATCACGTCAAGTTACGAGGATCCAACGAAGCGCGCCACTCGTGGCCTGGACGATGGCATCTGCGAAAGCCGTCTGCAAGGTGAGAATAATATGCCATGGACAATGTTTCCAACTGCTCCGAATAACTCACCCTTATATACATGAGTTGACCGCAATGATCATATATATTGAATTTATTCTATCAACCGTAATCCACCTTTCACAGTTATAAGGGGGCGGCCATATTGAGAACCAGCCTGAGACGAATCCAGAATAAGCATCCTTTATCAAATAGTAATACGCATCAATTTGGCCATGCTTCAGATGTAATATTGAATATGCTACTACATTTGAGCAGCCTCTGCTAATTACATTAAGCTCACTAGCTCTGAAGATTGACGGCGGGGAGCCACATTTCTCAGGACAATGGCCCTGAGGCTTCTTTCCTCCCGAGGTCCATATATCTCTCTCCCAACACACCAACTTATCCCGCCCACAGGGGTTGATACCCAATGACTTCGTGTTTTAATGTGTTCTATACCTTCTGCTTCCTTCCTTTCCATCACACCACCAGTTAGTGCGACTCAACTCCGGACTCTCGCCCTTAACCCAGTGCCATAGCACTATGTCAGCCCTGATTAACAAACTAATGCCACATCACTAGTACCCGGAACCCCAGCCAACAGCAATGAGTTCGATACAAACACAAGAGTCTACTTCGAGTGACAACTCGGAAGTCCCTCCCAACGATAGCAGCTCAAGCCCAAGCAACGAAGCCACGTCCGACGAGGTTACCAATCCCACCACAACGAGTACACCCGTGACACAAAGCACTTCCTGGGAAATCCGAGGCACTGTGCCACCGCAAGCCTGGGTGTAAGTGACATGATTCTCTTCCAAACTTCTTATCAAAACAAGCTGCTGAGCCTATATAATCAGACAACCAGATAAAAAGATCTGCGACTGCGACCACCACTCCGAGGCACAGTGGCCCATGGAAAACGCAACTATCGTACGTGTCAACAGCCGCTCACTCTGCTTTCTCCACTAGACTTAGCCCTTCTCAGACGATCGAGCCCTGCGCCATATGGTGCCCATATTGTCCATTCTTCAATGTCTCCGGGAAGAAGAACAGGGCCTCGGCCATCCGCCGCCATATCATCATCAGTCATATCGTATGGCCATAATGCTCCTAGCTGCTCGATCTGTTGTTAACCTTACTCAGGGTAGATATCCAGACCAATTTCCAAACTTAGGGGTCGCTCGCGGTTTCGTGGGCAGAAGGACGCTCCCAAAACCTGGGTGAAATTGAGGTATGAGACTCGGACACTGGGATAGAAACCATGAGCCCGCAGTTCCAATTCTCGCTGGTTCGTCTAGTCGCAGAATACAACCATTGTACGTCTCACATTACCGTGTCTGGTATCCAGCGTGTAGCTTTGATGGGGGTTCACTCCGCTAAGTCTTATCATAGTGTGACTTATACCGGCTTTAACGGTCGATCGGGATTATGGATATTATTTTCACGAGACTGTTTATATTTATATCAACTAGCATGCAATGTAGGTCGGGAATACATGTCCTAAATTCATTGGGAGACCCAAATGAAAGCGCGATTTGGTTTACATATAGACCGGTAGGAATGCAGACCTGATGAATGGAATCGATTTCTATCCAACTAAAAGAAAATGAGAGAACAAATCCACTAATGGGCAATTCGTAAATCACCAAAAGCCCCGTGCCTATTTGCTGAAATATATGCCAGTCAACCCGTGAATCTTGTGACAGATCAAAAATCTGCATTGAGACATATTCCGTCTTCATCCATGTCCTAGATATTCCATAACACAAATGCCAACTGCACATGTAGAGATTGCTCTAATCAATCGAGTCCTCCCTGAGGTTGAAGAGCTGGCGCATGACCTCACTCGCCTTGCTGCGTAACCCATCGTGATACATAGTGTTGGTGATGAATTGCTTTGAGTTCTTGATCTTGGCAGCAGTGGCTGTAGCCAGATCAAAGTGGACATACATATCGTCGAAGTAGGTAGCGGCGTAAACTGGCACCTTGTTGTTGGCAAGTTGAGCCTCGTCGTAGAGAGCAGGCCATTCATCGGTAGTGGCCAGGATCTCAGCCACTTCCTTGAGCTGCTTGAGTTCCGAGTAGGACTCGAACATGTCCTTGAAGATCTAGAAAGTGCGAATCGATGTTAGAGATTGTTGCTCATGTGATGTATAACTGGGTTGAGCTACTTACCATCTCGCCGGTGAAATAGATTTCAGGCAGCGAGTCCTTGATCTCGAATTGCGAGTAGCTTGAGCGCAGTCTATCTGCGGACCAGAGTGATGGTTTTCTGTGCTTATCGTTAGACATGGGGATGTTATAAAGGCGGCATGGCAATAAAAGCCCGTCTTACCCTTGGCAATAGATTGATTCGTGCAGAACGGCGTAGATGATGTTTTTGTCCATACCACCGTTGCTGTCAATCACATGGAGAGTGGGCAGAGTAAGGAATCCGAACATCTCCAAATCATTAGTGACCCTGACGATGATATCTAGACTTTCGTTAGTTTGTTTGGAAACTTAGGAGACAGTGCATAGTTTACCGTGCAGATTGTCAACTCCGCCTAGATCGTGTTAGCATAAACAAGCAGAGTGGTCGAATTAGGGCCCTTACCATGCGCGCCAAGCAAGATACCCAGTTGCTGGAAGCGAGCTGGGCTGAGAATTCCAGATGGCAATGCAACCTCGTTCTGGGTCAGGTATTGCATGATCTTCTTCACGCGTTCCGCGTCATCGGGGAATTTCTGGTAGAAAGCCTCATTTCTCTGCTTGACCTTTTCTGTTTCAAGTTAATATAATAGGTAAGATCACTCAAGAAAACAGGGTAACGCACCATAGGTCTTCGCATAGACAGGATCTGGCCCGTCAGTAAGTGGGGGCAGGCCACCGGTCAGGAAAGCTTCTTTCAGCCCCTCGGGGCTGGAATCGAAGGTTAGCAAGGTACAATGCAGGTGGTGAATAGAACTTTTCTGAACATACTATTTTGACAGGTAATTCACGGTGCAGAAGCCACCGAAACTTTGTCCCAGCACACTCCATCGGCGCTGCTCTGCCGGATAGTCCTGAGTCAAGACAGTACGGATGGCTTCGCAATCACGCACAATGCTGTCTGCGCGGAAGTTCTTGAGGTACTCAGCCTGCTTGATAGCATCTCCCTGGCGGGCGAGGGTTCCCGCTGTGATGGTCGAACTGAGGCCAGTACCTCGTTGATCCAGGAATAGCACCTAAAGAAAGCCTTAGCATGAACCGACCAGCGCAAGAAGTGAAACATGACATACTTGATAGCCCTTGCTGAGCACAAAATCAACCCAGGGGTACGACTGCGGGGCACCACATCCAAAGCCAGGACCACCTTGCAGGTAGACCAGCCAAGGCAGCTTGCCTTCTTTGGCTTCCTTGCCCTCTTCTTTGGCAGACTCAATTGGCTTATTCAAGCGACTGATACTGCGTGCAAAAAGTCTCAGCGTCTCCCCAGTGGGGTTGCTGTAGTCCACAGGGACATCAAAGAACAGCTCGGAGATCCGAAGCTTGCCTGGATAGGACCAAATATCATCAGTTTAAGATCCAGTGAGGGTATTGATAATTACGAGCGTTGAAAGTTGGCACCAACCTGGAACATTATAAAAGCGTCGATCGATCAGCTTCGCGGCCATGATTGCGGTGTTGATGGGGATTGAAACCGACGCGTTGGCAAACAAGCCACTTTGCGGCAAATCCCACCTGTGCCTCTGGACCTTGTGACTCGCCGACACTCCCCAATTCACGGATTTTACGTCGTCAAGGCTATTTTGCTAGACACTTCTTACGGTTTTGTTGATATCTGGATTAAAAAACTGAGGACTTTATAGTATAGGCTGAGATTGGGACTTTTGTTTTCCTTTTTTTTAGCTTTTTTTTCTTTAGGCGCATTAACCCCGGACACCCTGGAATAACACTGGAAGAATACATAGTAGATCATGTCATAATAAACTCTGCCCCAAGAACAAGATGCAAAACAAAAACAGCCATCATTCTGACTCGGTTGCTGGTTTGGCCACCAGCTGTCCACCCCGCTTCAGTAGTAGCAGGGTTGCTGGTAGTTGAGCAGCCGCAAAACCAATCATGACCATCAACTGTGTACTGTAACTACTAGCGAAAACGTCTTTGACCTCGGATTGGAGACGGAGAGGTAAATGTCTCAACATTTCCACGTTCTCAAGAAGCAGGTGCAGATCGTGCGACGTTAGATGACCCTGTAAATGACCCGCCAGACGACCATTTAAGATATTGGATGCGATGGCAAGACCAATAGCACCGCCCAGGAATCGAAGCTGAACCACAGTGCCAGTGGCAATTGCTGGAGAGAAAACACCAATTAGCCAACTTAACAGCCACCTCGTTGTCAGCCGTGGGGGGAACACATACCTAGATCTCTGTCCTCAACAATATAAGGCGTTGATAGCACCAGGATACCCATTGTGAGTCCCATTCCCGTGCCAGCAATAACAAGATAGACGATATCGGTTGCGTGGAAGCCCCTGGAAGTCGCAATCGTCGAGAGTAGTCCAACCCCAACAGTGTGGATCACACAGCCCACCAGTAGAGTGTAGATGAATGGGATACGTCCCCTCGAGCTGGCAATATTGATGATAGCTGCTGCAATTGCTGCAACTGCAGAATACCCAATCAAGTAGATACCAGCCTCCAGGGGAGACTTGTCTAACAGAACCTGGGCTTGCTGTGGAACATAAACCAAGACGACGTTGTATGGCGCGCCAATCACAAAGGAAGAACTAGATGGACATCAGAACGAGTCGCACTACAAGCACGACATTAATATTGACTCACATCAGTATTCCCAGCCATGGGCGATCGAAAAACCAACGCTTAGGGAAGATTGGGTCTTTTCCTGGGATGTCCGAGATATACCATTCCCAGGCAAAGAACGCAATCCAGGAGACCCCTGTTAGCACAAGCAGCGCAATAGCGTCCCTCGAGGACCATGAAAAAGCCAAGTTGGTCTCATTTAAAACGGCGACTATCAAAAATGAGCCTGCCATCATCAAAAATGATCCCATTAGATCAAGGCTCGCAAATGAGCGATATGATGCTCGTGTTCTGAATGAAGGAGTATGCTGGTCAAGACCAAAGTTTTTAGGCATTGCCACAATGATGATAACGATTGCAATGGCGCACAATGGCGCACTACCAATCTGATTAGTAGATTTTTTAGGGGAGCCATCGGAGAGTTTACATACTTGAGGAGAAAGGTCCATCGCCACTCTGAGCCTTCTGCAAGAGCACCTCCGACTATCGGGCCTATCAAAGATGCAAAAACAAGACAGAATGACATGAGACTGCTGTAGGTCGGAAGCTTCGTTTTAGGAGCTATCTCGTAGATACACAGGATAGTCAACGCATAAGCACCGGCGCCCCCTATTCCTTGGAGAGCTCGGAATATTATCCTGTGTCCATTGTCAGTTCATGGACAAACAAGGGATATAGAATTACGTTAGGCATACAGTTGGTCGACTGTTTGAGAGCACCCGCATCCGATGGAGAACCCGAGCAGGATGACAAGAGCAGTGATGATGGTCTGTTTCCTGCCAATGATATCGCTAATCTTTGTCCATATTGCCATAGATCCTGGCAGCAATGTGTGAGATCAGCAATAAAGCCAAGGTAGAGGCAGCGCAAAGGGCTTCCCAGATACATATTGTTTTTGATCTTGCAATAACACAAGCGAAAGGAACGAATAATCATTAGACAATTGTAGATCGGACCATACCTGTGTATGTCGCCAGATATCCTGTAATGACCCAGCTTCTCTTCTCAAATCCATTCAATTCATCTGTGATACTCGTGAGGGCCGAGCTTACAATAGTGACATCCAAGTTGGAAAGGAAAAATGCAATCAGGAGCCTTGGGATCATCAGCCTCGGTCCAAAAACAACAGGGCATCTAGATGAGCCTACCCTATAGTGGTAAGCACCAGTCTCCATCCTGTCGGGTAAACAATTTCAGACCCCGGAGAGGGTGCTCTTTGTGCCGACCCCTTTTCTTGGTGACTCCTCGACCGATCTTCGACAGTCTTCTTCGAGGTTGGCTCTGCGAACTTGATATGGCTGGACATGACTCTCGACGGCAGTTGCTTCAAGCGTAGATGAAGACTGGAGTGGCAGCCATGGCTGCATGTGAAAAAGTTTTGAACGTGACCACTCTCTGTGTAGGACCAACCCAAGCCCCGCGTATCTTTACCCCAGGGGCTTCATGTGGAACGTAGGAGACGCGCGATGACAGAATGTGGAATATTTACTTGCATAAGAAGGATGATCGGCGTCGATCATTGAACCTAGATCAGCTGCATTGAAGACGGCTTGGCATAAATTTGCTTTTTTGGGGCATGTATGATTGGATTTGGAATTCCGAGCTGCTTTTTCAGTCTCTCAATTAATTCACTTCCCCGTCTGTGGTCGGTGATTTGCTTGGATGGGAGCGAGGGGGGGTTCTGATGCCCAGATGTTGGTCTCACGCGTATTAGTCTCGTTATCTGAGACACATTCTCCTTGCTCGGGACTAGACATGTGCCCCTGGAATATGCAAGCCTGATATGTATAAGGCTGTGCAGTATTCTTAAGTAAGGATTGAGGATTAACCTTAGGACTGTACATTGGCCAGGTGCCACGGGACATTTGGGGCGAGTGTCATTGTACTCAGTGAGTACCATTTCGCAAGTAGCGACCACGATTAAATGGGTCGTCTATAGTTTCTGACATTGATGGGATATTCGACAAGCACGGTCTACATTGAAACCAACACGGGACCGATAGTGTTAACATGATACAAGTGTAATTAGATCGTTCTCACATTGCTACTTACATAGGTGAGATGAATTCTAACCGGGACATATATTTGGCATATAAGTGTGAGAGGCATGTCAAAAAAGACACCATATGGAAAGATACGCCCAACCTCAATATTTTGTTATTTCATGTATATTGGGGTCAAATTAATCAGAGCCCTTGAATGGGATATGTATAGATGTAAAGTTACTGAGCTTTATAGATGTTATAAAAGATTGATTTCTTCAGTGCTAAAGGAAATGTTCCTACAACTTGATTGCAACAGTTATCTTGCATGGTGTGCGCTTGACACGGTTGATGGATTATGAATCTAGTTTATATGATCAGGGTATTATAACACAAACTTACCCTTCCATTCAACAATTGCAGCGGTAACTCAGTGGTAGAGTGTAGGATTGCAAATTGCACAACATGTAACACATGAAGTCGCCCGTAATATCCTGAAGTCCCGTGTTCAATCCACGGTCGTTGCTTTTTTTTGGCTTTTTACCCCCTTGTCTCTGTTCCCCTTTAGAAACCATCCAATAGTGTATTCTACACTAGTGACCCTCTCCAATATTTTTGTGATGTGTAGAAACCAGATAATTGACCACATCGAAAACAGATCAAGAGCCAGATTGGCAGAACTTGCTAGACCAACAAGAGGGAGATCGTTACCTACATGAAACCGCGAGGACTCTAGATGACACGGTGCAATTATCTAACCTCCCAGTATTCCTACTTCCCTCGCTGTTAACAATATACTACCAGTTCCAGGGGACAATCTGGATTCAATTTTGCTTCCCGTCATTATCTACTCAATAGATATACATACATGTTCATCCAACACAACAGACTACTCAATTTTCTCATTCCAGCATACTTTGTCTACATCCTTATATCTAGCTATCGCAATTCTATACAAGAGTGATATCGTAGGCTGCGCCAGAATGAAATCCAAGGATACGACCGGGTGTCTACTAACCGAGGTGGAAGGGGTGTTTTAGAGCGCAATTTCTGTCAAATCTTTGAACCCAACATATGGTCGACATTGCTGCTCTCTCGGACAGGACTTATCATGTGCGATGAATTACAGTGACGGGTCCATCAAATATCGGATAAGGTGTACGGGGCACGATCACTGATACGGGGTGATTTATATGATCGGAGAAAGGGACAGTTGGACTATGACCGTTGGATTGATGTAACGCGGCAAGCTGACTTCCCCGTCGTCGATCTTGGGGTGGATATCTGAAGAAAGTCCAAATTTTCTGTCTTTTAGACAAGCGAGGAAGATAGACAGGAATGGCGAAATTTTGCTTGTGGGCTTCACGGAAGTCATATCGGTGGTTATTGATATTGACCACGACGTATGCGAGTCCACCACTTTAACCACGTCGGGCTTCTATCACATCACCATCATCTACCACCTCGGGGCTTGCCATCTTTGCAATTCCCCAATACTCATGGTCACATTCACACTCAGACGCGCGTGCTATCGACTTCGCGATTATTAGTTGCGCCTAAATCCTAGCTTCAACAGCCCACGAAACGGCGAACCCATGTTCTTGAGGCCAGCCTTGCGTAAAAAGTCACGGCTTGCTCTTATAAACAGTACTTCCTCTGCGCCCAGTTCTGTATCGCCCGTCTACAAAAGCGCCACATGTTCCACTAAACGTTTGCTACCTTCATGCAATCTACACTAGAATCAATGTAGTTAGTAAGGACGGGTTCTCTCGAGCTCGCTTTAAGTCTTGAACTTGAATCTCATTGGATGGAAGCGGTAAAGAGCTAGAAATATTGAGCTGCTCAATCCAGAGACGGTGTTGATAATCATACATTCTTTTTTCCCGGGGAGGACTGACGCCGGGGGCCATGTGGGGGACTGTTCTCTCTTGCGGGGGGATCGGCGGGTCGGATAGCCATTGGAATGGGTTGTTGGGGAATAGGGAAAAAAGGGGAGTTAACATGAGCGACGAAAGTGTATGCGGGATTTCCACGAGGTAGCATCGTCCAGATTTCAACAGGTATAGTGAGGAGGAGTACGCAGGATCCTCGAAACACCCCCTCAACTCTTATATTGGCATCAACAATCTCAGGGGGGATGTTCTCTGCTAGCCAGGATGCCCAGGACGCAGGATTATGTGGCATATTCGCTCGAACGGTGACACTGATCACAACTCTTGAATTAGGGCGAGTGTTGGTACCTCGGGACAATCTGCGCTGAACGCCAGAGAGAGCCAGAGTAACGCTGGGTTTCTCTCGATCTGGAACATGCATAGGAGAGGCTCCAACTTGGCTCTGATGTGCACGGCGGAAAATAGTTGCATATATCTGCGCTAGGGTTGCTGGACGTCCGCTCAGATCGACAAGAGTATCGATCAAGGCCCGAGTTAAGGACCAGTTGGTAGAGGCGGAGGTAAAGCCGTCCCACCCACAAGAGGCTAGCAACTCATCACCGGTGTCGTCTCCTAAGGCCAGAGACCCTCCTGAACAATAGTCGAAGATATAGCATGTATCACCAACAAAGTCTCTTAAGAAATATCGGATCCTCCACCAATCACACGTCGGCCCCTGAAGATTCCCGGACATGTTGGCTCGGCCACTATAGTGAACTCGTTAGCATGTACATATTAAATGGTCGCTATCTAACTCGCCCCAACATCCATGTTGTTGCGGCTGGTCCGGCCGCCCTTGCGTGTCCGGAGTATATCACGATCCTGAGAACACCATCATCTTGGTTGCTTTGAAACCACTGACCGAGTGTATGAACCAATTCTAGCTCTGAATTGACCAACGGAATCACATAATTGCTCAAGTCGTAGTGATAAATACGCCGGAATGTGTCTAGAAGCTCCCGCTCCAAGACATCAACTCCGATATCATCGTTAGCCCAGTGAAATGCCATAACCGCGCATCTGCTATATGGTCTCTGCCTGATAGCATGATTGACAGACCTATTCAGGTCCGCGGTCAGCTCATCAAGGCTGACAACAGCGGGTGTGGTTTGGAGTGCGTGGGTTGGATGTAGCGACATTTGGACCTAAATGTCTCTATGACACTGAGGCCGGCTCGAGGAGGAGGGCAGATCGGAATTTGGGGGGGGGGGGGGGGGGGGATTGTAGTGTTTGATGGAAAAGTCGGGCTCTGGGGCGATGGAGGTGGAGTGGTGGGAGAGGAGAAAAGGAAAAAAGAATTCAGAATTCAGAGAACAGGCCTTCTTTGAATGCAAAGGTTTCTATTCACTTATTGTTCTCGAATCTATTCACATGAAACTTTGAATTGTAGTTTTGTCTATTGAATTCTTTTCATCACATCGAAGCCGTAGAGCTCTTAAGTTTGAACCATAGATTCATCGACACATTCATCCTAAAGGCATTGTGATTCTGTGATATTAACTTCAGTGATATACTGCGTTCTTCCAAGGTTATAGATAGCGCCCGAGTGACTCATTTTATTACACGTCCATTCCTCTAGCCTTAGCTTTGCCTGGGGGGAGTGTTTCGGGGGATCAGACTTCTATAGCTTCTCCCTCTCCCTCTCTCTCTTTCTTCTTTCTCCTTTCTCCTTTTTCCCATTTCCCATACCTTTAATAGGAAAAATATAATGCAATATTGCTCCTTACTGCTCCTGCCATGAAAACCCATGAGCTGCGACGACAGATGAGATATATTGATAGCACTTGACGCGATCAAGTACTTGATAGCTTTTCCTTTAGAGAACATACCTAGGTAGATCATACAGGATGTTTAAGCCAGCGTGGCACTAGCCCACATATTCTCTGTGTAAAATATTCGCGAGTATTGTGGTTGGCGGTCGAGTTCATCATGGTTCTTAGTGGTCTTAACGTAGCTTTTGATCGTCTAAGATTGCTTCTTTCTGCTTTGTATATGACTTTAATAAACTTGATCTTTATACGTACGATTCTTTTGACCCCTTCCTTTTCCTCATCCAGTACACGAGAAATATAGTCAAAGAAAGACATCTAAGGGAACTAGGATACTGTTTAGAGACTTAAACGTGCCTTCAAGCTATCGTCTTCATTCCCCATTCTCTCTTTATATTACAATAACAACAAATACAACCGGAGTACAGAATTCCAGGAAGATTAAACTGTGCTTTGAATAAATTTTCACTTAAACAAGCTATAAGAGCAAGGACCGATTATGGGGGTAGTGATTCGAAGGAGAAGGAAGTATAACAAGAGAAAAAGTAGCGGTTCAAAGGGTATCTTCCTTTCAGGCTTGATTGCTAATTGCCATATCTATATGGTCGCGGCTTGTATATTGCGAATTGAAGAATGAGTGAACTGGTCATCGGCGGTGTGGATCGAGGTATTTCCATCTATATCTGATCTTGGGGGATCAGGCTTAAGATCATACTACTAACGTAAAATTTAGGGAAATGTCATCCTTTGGCTGGGGTCCAGGAGGGGAGAATATCACAAAGATTATATGGGAATAAGAATCCGCTGATCTATGGATCTCGGGGTTTCGCGGTTCATATCCAACTGACGAAAAGTGGGAGGATTGCATTCTGGCCTGCTACCGCTTGATCAAGCCACCCGCGTCCGGCGTTTGTGAGAGCCTTGATGAATGGAGTGGGGATACAAGTTTCTATTGGTGATAGGGAAAACACCCAGGTGCCTCTTCAGTGGTCCTCGAAGGTACACTCCCTCTCTTTTGTTGAGGGGTGAGTATCTCTCATGATGAGCTCCTTATTAGAGTAACTTGCCTCTTTTAAAGGTGCGAGTAATAGTCTAGTGTCTTCCAAGATTCTGCCTCGTGATCAATCCAGTTCTTAACGATCTCCCGAAGTTATGTTCCCGCGTATTCAAAGTTCACTTGATACTCCTCCAGTAAGCTGCTTTGTTCTCAGGTATCTTCATTTTCTGCTAGCAGATCAGGCATCCTTTAGAAATCTTCAGACACTAAATTACTCATTGATCCCACGGCCACTTTGAACCTTCGTAGTCGGCCAAGAATATCTGTGTTTAGAAGAGAGTTTACAGATCATTCAAACTGTGTACATATAACTACATTTGAAGCTTGCATCAAAGGTTTACAGCCCCGCAAACGCGATATGATCGATGATACGTTTGTTCTCATCGATTTCGATCACTGTCGATGTATCGGGGAGTCTTGACGCAACACCGAAACGGAAAGAGCCTGCCGTTGATGACCCGCTCTCAAAGTTCTACCAATATGATTGACTAGACCAATAAGAACTTTGTTTCTGAATCCCTTCCAAGGTTGTTAGTAAAGTATCAGGACCCAGTGGCTCAGCTGGGCGCACCGATGGATTACTGCCGTTCCTGATTAGGCAAAAGTGAAGCCGTTGAATTGGTTCAACCAAATTCTGTGGTTCTCGTGATTTTGTTACTTTTTTTTGGCCCCGAACGTTCAAATGAAACATCCCCTCTCCCATCACTCTCGTCACTATTATCTCGAGTCTGCCAGGTCGTGATCACTCTACCTTCCTTGAACAGACGCTCGTTCGGTGACTTAGACTTGATCTCGGTCTTCAAAAGTCGAACTTCCCCAAAAATGCAGTCGCTTGTTAGCAGTAGCTGGTCAACGACACCTCGAATGCTGGGAACAGTACGTGACCGACCGTCTGCAACTCCCTATATGAATGAGCTAGCCGGTCTTCCGACCGAGCTATTATTATCAACAACCGACTTCCTCCCCGTGGATGATTGGATTTGCCTATCGCTCTGCAACCGCCGACTCTTCGCCATATACCACCGTCGATATAATTCCACCAAGCTGTCAAGAGAGATGAGACTGTCTGTTTTGGGCCGACTGGAACGAGATCGACCGCAATATTTCATCTGTTATACTTGCTTGATTCTTCACAAGTATGACGGCTCCGAGTTCTTTGGTCTTTCGGGTCCATCCACCCACCAAAGCTGTCCTCTCCCATGCTTCTCTGATATCCCTGTTGGATTGACATTGCGCAGAGAATATGACTATCCCTTCCGTGTCCTCCGCACTTTTCAATTCCTAGATATCCAGCTGGTCATGCGAAGATTCTATCTAGGAGATCCGTTTGGAACCAGCATTGAAGCGTTATCTTATACCCAGGTCAGGGTTCAACCTGAAATCTCCCCGTGCCCTGAGATTACCTCTATCTTTTCCACCGACGCACAGATCTGTTCAGAGCAACCAGCTCTTTATTTCAGAATACAGCAGGTGATGGTTGCTCCTATTAGCAAATCGCAACTACTGCTTTATATATCTAGTGATACCTATGACCTGGGACCTCAACAGGACATGTTTATTTGCATGCACATGCAATTTCATCGCGAGGACAAAGCTGTGAATCCCGTGGTGCTCGCCTATCACAACGGAGAGAAAAACCCCGGTTCCAATTTCAACTGTCACTATTGCAATACAGATGCCCGCATTGAAATCCGTGAGCATGGTTCTTATGTGGCCCTGATCCTTACCACATGGATTAATCTTGGCTCTGGTTTAACGCCCGATGATCGCCGATGGAAGATTCATAGTCATGGTAATCTCTTAATGAGATGCAATTCAACTGAACTCAAGGACACTCCACGGGTCTCTTTTGAGAATGCGTCGCCGTTGTCGTTGGAGGCATTGCTATTGAGAAACCTTTCCTACATCAAGGACAAGCGATACAGGCAAATTATGCAACCACTTTCTCGACATCACTGGAACGGCCGGGGCGTATGGTACTTGCCCAGTATACCCAGTTCGCCTAGTTCGTCCAGTATACCCAGCTCGCCTAGTTCGCCCAGTATACCCAGTTCGCCTAGTTCGCCCAGTATACCCAGTTCGCCTAGTTCGTCCAGTATACCCAGTATACCCAGTTCGCCCAGTATACCCAGTTTGCCTAGTTCGCCCAGTTTACCAAGTGAACCTGAGGAGATATCGTCGAGGGCCAGCTGCTGGAGCCAGCTTCTTTGGTTCTTACCTACTTAGACTCCTGAGTTCCTTCCCACAGAAGAATCCTTAGTTCCTTCCCATAGAATAATTCCAGAAACATTCACCTAATACTGTAGTCAAGCTTCAATCTAGTTCTGTAATCAAAAAAACTTTTCATACTATAATGTCTTCCTGTTATTTACAATTTGGCCTTTTGGCCACCCAGCTCGCCAGTGCCGCAATCGTGCTCGGCCCAACCAGCATCCCTATTCTCTCCCTCTGGGCTTGTACTTCGGCTTTTAAGTCGAACCCTCACTGGCTGCCTCCTCTTTACCAAAAGGCAGCAACTTGCGCCATCCTGGGGATAGTCCAGGTGGCAATTCTCGTAAGTCATGCCTATATCCCATGTGCCTGAGGCGCATCAATATGTGGCTAGACGCTAAATACATCTAGCTCATTCTCCAATTGAATTGATATTCCCGGATGTTGCAGGTCTCTCTCTTTCTCTCACGGGTATGTCTCACGTCCCAAGCCGGGAAAACACACAGTAATAATGAAATCTTAGCGCTTCATAAACGCGCCTCCGGCGCCTCAGGTACATTGGTCGACCTATGTGTGGGGGACGACAACAATTCTTTTCGGGCTCGACACAATGTGGAACCAGAGGGCAACCTACCTTCTCAACAAGGAGAAGTGGACGGCCGAAAGGGCCAATTTGGAGGCCGAGAAGGTCATATTGAAGGCCAAGAAGGCCGAATTGGAGGCATTAATGGCCATCACCAATGGTGATGTGAAAGGCATCCAAGCCACAGTGCAGCAGATCCAGTCCAATATCAAGGACTCGCAGAACGTTGTCATGGAGCACGAGTAGAGGGATTTGCATCCCTATCCAAGGACTATAAAAATATATGAATTAGGTAGCAGAAGTCCAATCCATCAAAAGATTTTCCGTCAAGCATGATTTACAGTAGAGCTACAAAAGTATTTGATCTTGAGTACTTCGACCTCAGACCTAGGACGCTAGGTCACAAGGGTTACAATTAACTTCAAAGCGGAAATCTCCATAACCATCCGATATGGTGTAATCTAGGGGGACAGCGGAAAGACTATGGTTATGCGTAGTGCTATGAACAACAATCGTGGTCTTTCCGCATAGTCATGGGGGTTTTTGTAAGTACATAAATCTGATCATCTAATCAGACGTAGTGTCATGGGTATAATTATCTATTTGGGTTTAGCGCGAGACTGTCTCGACCCTTCTTCCTATATAAGAGTAGTGCCAGTCGGGTCATCCGATATTCTAAAATGCGAGTGGATGGAGAAATGGGCGATACCGGACTTTGAAAAATCTCACTTTGGGCAATCCCGGGGCGGTGGAGAATTCCCATGATACATAGCTTTTTAGATTTATTGCTGGGCGCAAGTTTTGGCCCAAGACCGATTGGAATCAAAGTCTCGATTGAGATCCAATTAGAGCCACAAACGATAATGCTAATCTTATGTTTACTTTGGCTGTGGGCAGGTCTTGATTCTCAAAAGTCAGAATGCTAAAAAATAACAGATTGCTGAAGTTTTAGTATTTGTGAATAAGATAATTGACAGCCTCTTGGTTTGTTGAAAGGTTTCGAACCTCCTAAATCATCAGCGATATCTCCTCTGGCGTTCTAGAGCGCAGTTTGGCAGCCATTCGGCTAAGGGCGGCACGGAATTTTGATAGCTCGGCAGTATAAGCTCTTCGCTTTCCTGTTACGGGCTAGATTATATATATAGTAGCGATCTTCAATTGTATATATAGTAAAGGATTCGAATCAAAGCACTGTTTCTGTCAAAATATTCTAGGCCGTGCGGATGACACCGTACTTCTCCAAAAAGCTAACCTCCCGTCAAGCCTTCGACATCTCATAGATACTGCGTATAATCAAGCCAAGAATGGCCTACTGGCTCGCCCTTTACTCAGTAACTCATTCTATACTATGGGTGCACTTGTCATCCTTACGACTCCCGAAACTCAACGCCTTCTGGTTGAGAAAATTGATTAACGCCGGGAGCTAAAAATACATGGAATAAAAAAGAAAGAAACATGGCAGGAGCTCTTAATGGCGGTGCCGGATGCCGGATTCCAAATCCAGACTATTCACACCTGAGGAAGAGGATTCGTCCCTAGCCCTAACTGGTTCTTGCTGGCTGGTATTGCATCGGGGACGAGAACGGGACAGGGGTTGGTCTCGGGAGTGAAAGAACCGGAAGGTGCTTAGATCACGTCGGGGCGGCAAGGGGGTGAGAAGGGGCTCGGGGGGGGCTTGTTCGCTCAGGGGCCGTGCTATGCACGGGAGGAACGGTGTGCTCGGGCGTGTAGGCGGGTAAGGTAGGGGCAGGAGGTGCAGGAGGTGCAGGAGTGGCAGGAGGGGCAGGAGGGGCAGGAGGGGCAGGAGGGGCAGGAGGGGCAGGAGGGGCAGGAGGGGCAGGAGGGGCAGGAGGGGCAGGAGGGGCAGGAGGGGCAGGAGGGGCAGGAGGGGCAGGAGGGGCAGGAGGGGTAGAAGGGGCAGAAGAGGCAGAAGAGGCAGAAGAGGCAGAAGAGGCAGAAGAGGCAGAAGAGGCAGAAGAGGCAGAAGAGGCAGAAGAGGCAGAAGAGGCAGAAGAGGCAGAAGTGGAAGAAGTGGCAGAAGTGGCAGGAGAGGCAGGACGTTCCTTGACGAAGGCGTCCAACCAGCGACACCGTGGGAACCAGGCGCGCGACTGTAGCCAAATCGCCGGCCCCCCCACCAGGGAAATGAGACCGAGGGCTTTCGCCCAATCGGCAGCGATTTCAAGATCACTGCGCCGTTCTATCGGGAACGAAACATCAGCAACGGCAGGATACAGGGGCTTTCTAATTAAGGCATATAGCATACTCGGGGCTGGGCAGTGCGCGTATAGCTCCACGATGTCCTTTATGGACAGTCGTATCATACCCTCACTATCAGGGAGGGGCAGGGTAATGCCAGCCAGGGTGGTGGGGGCGGCGCTGCTCTCGTTGGTCGGGCCAGCCACTGGTGCAAAGATGAACTATAAAGCGATTGCATTAGTGGTAGTTCAATGTCCCCCACGGACTCACATGAATGAAATTCATTGTATTCGAAAACAGTGCTATAGGTCCTCTCACATTGTCCTATCGAAAGGGAATGGGCTGCATGCCGTCTGGCAAGCCGTATTTGTAGTTGAGATTGACGTTCAATCTCAACTCCGTGTACGTGTATCGATCTGTTCTCGGAGGGATGTTCACTTACCAGGATCAGCGCTACAAGCGCGGCGGAAGCGAAGAGCATAGGGGGGTTTCGCGGCGCACCATGGTGATCGTAGTTTTGTTCGGTGCATTGGAGGGTGAGAAAGGAATATTTTCTGAGCGATGAGGATTTCTTTTGTGGGTGACCTCGCTTCTGAGCAGAGGGAAGGAGCGGACAACGAGCACCTGCCTTCCCCATTCCCTCCTTCCAACGCTCTCTCATTGCAACGTTCACCTCGACCACCATCTTCATTCAGCTCGACTTCACTCAAGTGAAACGCACTACGGCCCCGGCCTCCGGCCATATAATTCAGTCAATCTGCCATGTCTTTCCCTGACATATCTCTTCGCCTCCTGATCAGCCATTGACGCTGAGCCCAGCATCTTCATACAGCTCCACCGTCACCATAACCATTACCTGATTCTCATGACTCTGACCAATTCCTCATTTTGCTCTCAAAGAATCCTAGAGTCAAAACATGGAATCAAGACCACTACGGTTCCATGGAAAGGCTTCCGACCATATAACCGGATCAATCCACCACCCGTTAACATCACAATCTCCCCTTTTTCCTTGCCTCTTGGTTCAAGCCATCTATCCCCACGATCTGCGCTATGGAACTTTTGAGATACTTTGCCAAGTTCCGTGCCGTCCTCCCGCAGCAGGCAATCACCCCTCAGTCTTACTCCATAGATAGACTGACCGGGCTGCCCTTGGAGTTAGTGATTCAGATATGTGAACTACTCTCGCCCGTCGATCTTGTCTGTCTCTGCCTTTGCGACCATCGACTCCATACCCTCTTCAAGACATCTTATCAAATTCCCACTCAGAGAGATGACAGGCTGTCAATCTTCCTTCGACTAGAAAGGGACCTCCCCGAATACTTCGCATGCGATATTTGCAACATCCTTCATCGATACGATGGGTCTAAAAGCTTTGGACTAAGTGGATTAGTCCACTACAGATCTTGTCCACTCCCCTGTGTTCGAAATGGAGATGATTGGGAGCAAGAGTGTATCGGAGGCTCTTCGGTTAGCATGAGAACCCATTCTATATTCAGTCACTCAAGAAATCGTCTTTCCTTCCTCCAGATAAAACTAGCGATACGAGGATACTGCTACGGCTCTTGTTCTGGAATCAGCACTGATTCTCTTGCTTATACCCAAGTTCGCCAATATGCGCATCCCTTAGCATCTAAGTCAAAATCATCATACTATCAGGCTACCCGAATGCTCTTCTCAATCGAAGCTCAGGTATGTCCTGAGCCCCTAGGCGTTCATGTGAGAATGCAGGATATCGTGCTTCTTGACTTATGGGAGCATTCCAAAATCCAGAAGCATTCGCAATCATCAACCCTGTTTATGTTTGAATTGTGCCAGCATGACTCACTTGAGAGCAAAGCCTCTGACATTGATTCTGTGTACAATGGAGAAAAAGCCTCGTGTTCCTACACCTGTCCCAGGTGCAATACAGTCTCCTTGATCGAATTCCGTCGAGTGGGTTGCAGGCCTGCCTTGGTTCTGACCAGATGGGTCAATCTAGGTTCCGGTATTCGCAGGGATGATCCTCTGTGGAAAATTCACATTTACACATGCAACGATAATACGATGCCTTACGAGATTCCATCTGCACTAAAAATTCAAAACCCTCGCAAATGTTTTGAAAGTATGGCCCCGTTGTCTCTCGAAGACTTACGGCTTCGCAACATCTCTTATCTCCGAGACGATCGATACACAAATGGCAGCCCCTTTGCTCATGAAGAGAGCAAGTACTGTTGGCACATCTCATATAAAGAACCAGGCGGGATTTGGGAAATCGTATCGTTTCTGTTTCGGCTATGGATCTTTGTGATTTTCATCGTGCTTTTCAGCTGGAGACTTGGGTATTTCGATGCGAACCTACGCAGCTGAGCTTCTCCTTTGCTTTTTTTTTCTTCCATTTCTCACTTGACCATCCTGCAATATTGATGCATCTATGATGGATCTATGATGTAGGTGGTATTGCAAGAAACCGCGCTGTCTCAAGGTTGGCACGTGAAAGGCTGATGAGCTTCATCATCGTCATATATCTATTCCAATTTACTCCAAAGTACTGCTTTGCTTTATGAGGAAACAGTTTTCAAATTTATATCTGGTCACTATTAAATTTCTATCCTTTTCATTTTCATATATCTCTCAATGTCTTTGCGCCATCTTTTTCGCATTTCACTACCTCTCCTTCTACCATACTTATTGCCCGGGTCTCAATTGGTGTTCACTATATACACAATCTAAAAGAACCATTAATTGGGTCCCAGGTGTGTTCCAACATATTGCGACATATCACTACAGGCATCCACACTATCATAGTTCAGACCGAAGCCCTTTATCTCAGCAATACCCTTTATCTCAGCAATAGTTTAGAAATAAGAGTCTGGTTAGTTCTTGAACTCGACAAAACCGAAGATCGCATCCGCTCCTTGTTTGGTATATCTATACCATTGGCGGGAGAGCTCGACAGAGGCAGATCAACGAAAGTAGAATAAAGGACGTTACCCGCAACCTTGTGGAAAGCAATCTTGAACCCACTGCCATCAAATCTCTTATGGTGATTAGAAGCAGAGGATCCGTTGCTTGAAAATGCATCATGTGAAAGGTGCAACTGGCCCATTCCGTTCTCCCAATGGTGAAGTGCAAAATCGTAGCCTTCGGTCTCATTGCTGAGTCTGAGGTTCTTGATCACCATAGAAGAGGCTAAGGCCGGTTCGTTGTCGCGTTTTTTGATGTCACTCGTGAGGAGCGTAGGGTTGTGCAGGGAGTCGTAGCTGTAGATATCCTGGTTGAGAAGGTCCATCATGATCAAGTAATGATCAATTTACTCAATAGAGCGGCGGCCGTTGACCATCACGGCGTGGTATGCGTCAAGTCCCTCAGCAGTGTCAATCTTGGATTCCAGACCCAACAGCATGTGGAATCCTAATCTGAAGTAATTGGTGTGTCTTGCGCATTTCTTATAAGCTTCGCCATGGCAGACCATAGAAACGAAGTCAGTTACGGTATCAACATAAGCAATGCTGGATAATTCAAGAGAAAGTATTAGTAGCTGATGCACAGGACCGATAAAGATAGCGAAAGGGTGATTCATACGTAGCCTGGGTATTGATACTAGCAGTAACTCCAATTACCACAGCTTTACATGTTCGCGTAACATGTCTTTGCTCCAGCCCGGCTTGCGTAAGGTCTTCAATATGGGGGCTTTGATTGACGGAGTGCACCGCTCGGCTGATTGCACTTAGCTCGTGCTCCTGAGAGATGGCTACTGAATTCGCAGTAGGGGCAGTGAATACAATAGTATTGAGAGCAAGAGAAGAAAGAAGAGTCAGAAGAACTTTCATCTTGGGGAGATTTGAGGAGGGAATAGGCAATGAAACAATTGATGCTTGATCAAGAGCAAACGGAGGACGAGATACCTATTTATACTTGTAGATCTAGTATATTTCGCTGGCAGTTCATCCACACCCACCTAGTCTTCCAATTCCGCTAGCAAGGACCATTTTCATTCTCCTCTCTGACACCCACACGGAACGAACATCCCTCACTACCTGAGCCTCTTACAAATTCAATTTAGCCATATCACTGTGGGCCGTTTGCTATGTTTTACCAATTGGAAACTAGGATAGCACCATCCAGGAAGAGAAAATCATCGATTCAAGGAGATCTCGTGCTAACACTAGACAAGGCGAAGTACTAGTCTACATCCACTCTTAGGTAATTAGGTCGATTCCTGATCTCTAGATAATATTGTGGGCATAGAGGTTTCAGTTCGCAGCAGGGTGATAAAGTTAAGCGGAATCACCGCTGATGCTACCTAAACCTAGACATAGATTACGGTCAATGTCAATGAGTATCTTCCTTTGGAATATGTATATCGTCGGTATCGTTCAATACGTCTATTGGGAAGTATTAACCATGTTATATACAACAAGAGGGGGGGGGGTTTCACGCAGCTTGGATGCAAATGGCGCTAAGGTTTGGTCTACAAGACCAGGGTGATATTGTGGGGTACTGGCCTTAAGGACCCGCTCTAGTTTCACGAGACCCTAAGCCCGAGCCAGTTAATTTCCATGTGTGCCTCAATTGGTAATAACTGAAGCCTACGGTAATCCATATTGTACTGAGAATGCCTACTAAGGTCAGGGAACAGAAAGCGATCTGTGATAGATCCATCAAGTAGAGAAGACTAGAGATCTTGTATAGGAACAACAAAGAGATATTATAATTAGAAAAATTGGCTAGGGACGGATACTCACAGACTAACAATAGTACTGTTTAATGATCTATATAGTGTAAGGAGTATAGAGTATATGTTTTAAGGTCCTAGTTAATATAGACTAGTAAAGCTACGGAGGTTAGTGCTCCGGATTAACAAGAAAAATGCCTTAATTGTAGTTGGTGAGAGGTAGGCACAAGAAAGTCGCTAATATATACACGAGGATGTAGGTATAGGGATATACATATTAGATGATGTTACAACCTAACATACGGAGTATGAATATGGTGCGCATATCTTGTAGCACATATCGGGTATTTAGGTTGGTAACCTGACATGACGACCAGTTGGTCGTCATAGTGGCTCTTTTGGTAAACGCTCTACCTTACCATTACTTCCTACGTTTTGCAGTGGTGTCAGGCCCACTTGCCTTAACATATATATACCTATATTAAATAATCTATAGCGTATATATAAATAGCTATAGTATAACGTGCCTAGTAGCTAAGGTACTCTATTAATAGTAATAATTTATTCTAAAGTAATATATATATAAAACACCTATATAGCGAAAGATAGAAATAATCGGTAGACTAGATACGTAGATAAGTGTATATATCTAGAAAGCTTCTAGAATTTCGCTATAAGTGAATAACTACGGAGGTTAGTGACCCGGATCAATAAGAAAAATGCCTTGTTTATAGTTAGTAAGGGGTAATCATGAGACTCGTCAGTATATGCACGGATGAATAGGCATAGGGACACGCAGGTTAAGTAGAGTCTAGCCTTAAACGTTGTAAGCTAAACCTAAATAGACCTCCACCGTAGTGGTCCGATATGGTGTAGTGGCTAACATCGCCGTCTCTCACACGGCAGCCGGGGGTTCGATTCCCCCTATCGGAGTTTCATTTTTACCCTCTCATGGTTCTTCCGTGGAGGTGGAGCTGTTGATTATTATTTTTGGTCCAAGACATAATTGCGCTTTATGCGGCAAACACTACAAGTCCATGAGGATTCTTCCCTTCTTGTAAGATGTCCAGATCACTATATCAAAATGATATTATCGTATACATGTTAGAACAGCCAATCATTAGTCTTAAGATGAAGCGTTGCTTCTATATTCAGACTCATCGGTGATCTGAAGATATGGGATTCGGCATAGAAGAAGATAAGTAAGGTACCTACCTACCTGCATGTAGGTTTAGAACGCATTATGTATATAACATATATGTAGTTTTTACTACCGAACAAATCAGCTCCAAGATTCCGCCCAAAAAAAAGTAATTTAAGTATGCCCCTTCGCCGCATGTCATTCGCCGAAATCATTGGGGAAATGAATTTACTATGTGGTGTATTGACATTCTGAAATTCTTTTTAAGTTCTATAGGCTTTATCGGTATATTGCGAAACAGAGAAATCACTATGACTACAAACGATATAAAACCGTGATCACATTGACTTACCTAGATACATCAAAATGAGACTGTTGTGCCTAATACATATATGGTATATAGCAAAGGTAAAAGTCAAGCTTTGGAATTATCGTGGAACAAACTGTGATGTGATATGAGGCGTCTGATGTACGCATGCAGATATCGCCAAGAAGTCCAGTCACCTGACCTTATCATATCTAATCGGTCTCAAAAAAAAAACTTCAAATTCAAGATATCAAAAGACTATTTGAGCAATACTACTCCAATTGCATTACAGTAAAATCTTACGGACAGAGGTCTTGAGAAGAAAATCAAGTCGATAGTTTCTTCATTGCTACCCAGAAGTCCACTTGCCTACTCCACCACCAAGCGCCTCTTCCCCCACCAAGATCGCGGGGCACCATCAACCGTCCCCCCAAAAAACCCCAAGCCCATCACAGGGCCAACAACCATATAAACACAGTCTACAAAATGGCAACCATTTCAACAGCCACACCGCCTACAGATGCGGCCTCCTACCTCGACCTGGCCATCACCCTTGCAATCAACAACTGGCCAGCCCTCTCACTAGCCGTGCAGTCAAATTGGGGCGGCCCAAACTCGAGCGAGAAGCGGGATTGGCTATGCGGTGCAATCTCTGAGATGCTCACTGACAGACCCGAGACCGATGCCGAGGATCTAGAGGAAGTTCTTATTCAAGTGATGAACGACGAGTTTGACGTGGCGGTGGATGACGAGAGTGCCGCAGACGTTGCCGATTTGATCATGGAGCTGAAGACGCAGACTGATCGCGGCGAGTTCAGCATCGTCCAGCAGATGCTGGAGAAGTTCCAAAAGAAGAGCCAGAATCGGTCTGCTGAGGGTCAGTTCCAGAGGGTCGAGGCTGGGGAGGACGAGGACACGGATGACGAGAGTGACGATGGGGATATTGAGATGGGTGATGCGCCTGAATTGGTGCGGGCCCCGAGGGAGCGGGCTGAGCCTGAGATTGATGATGATGGATTCACCAAGGTTGTTGGGAAGAAACGGTAGACTAGGGTGGTTGTTATGTTTGTTTTTAAGCCACACACATGCTTCGGCGACAAGATGAAACACCCCGAATAGATATCCTGTTCTACATGATTGTATAGATGCATTGAAGCAATGATTGATTGTTTATCGGTTTTGGCTTGCGTGGACTACACCCAATGTGGCTGGAGACATCCTCGGAATTCCTATGCGGTTCAACCGCTTGGAATCGTAGAGGTATCAAAGCCTATGGAAAAATGAATATGGAAAAAGAAATGTTCATCATCATCAGTTGAGGTGGACTGTTTGTGGTATCATTACGCGGACCTCCGCCCACCCAGACCTCATTGTTCAGAGTTTCTCGCAAGTACATGGCTGATATCGCTTTTTTTCTTGTGAATCGTTGCACTTTGGGAGATATGGACATTCAGGCTCTCTCCGTAGTTGAAGCACTTTACTGGGCCTCAGTCTCGGAAGTGATAAGCTTGGTAATCATACCGATAGCAATGGTTTGACCCTGAAAGAAAGTTGTTAGTGGAAATCTCCAACTTAGAAAGCATAGAAATACGTACCTGATCACGCAGGGTGAAACGTCCAAGCTGAGCATACTCCGCAAATTCTTCAACACAAACGGCACCAGCTGTGCTGGTAACCTCGAGACGGGCAATGATGGTTTGGCCCTTGCTGGCGAACTGGGGAGGACGCTTGCTCTTGCGGCCGGTGCCGGGTTCGAGCTTGTGAAGGAGGGCGGCGAAAGTAACCTCCTCAACAGCGGAGTGAACGTGGAGGACACAGTTGAAACCGGCGGTAAGAATGCTCTTCAGATCCAAGATACGAATCTTGGCCTCGAAGGCAGACACACAGTGAACGGGGCGCTTGGGTGAGCAGAGCACGAAACCAGGGAAGAAGTCTTCCTCTTCGATACCACGGAGACGCAAGCGGACCTGGTCACCAACCTTGGCGGTCGCGATCTCTTCTTCGGTTTCACCGTACAAGGCGGAGATGTGAACCTCCTCGCGGTTAGGCATCATGAGATATGTACCGTTCTTCTTGATAATACCAGACTCGATGCGACCCTCTGCCATGGTACCCATGTCACGGTATTTGGCGCTGATGGGCATCATGAATGGCGCATTGATCTTACGCTCCGGGAGCTTGAAGTCTGTCAAAAATTCGAGGAGAGACGGACCGTCGTACCAGCTGCACACATCCTTGGGGATCCGATCTTTGATACCGAGAGTGCGCTGAGCAGAGATAGGCATGCAGAAGATGTCTGACTTCTTGTAGCCGAGGGCCTCCAGGAACTTGATGACCTTGACGGTACATTCATCGAACCGTTGTTTGCTCCATTCGACAGTGGGGTCATCCATCTTGTTCACAACAAGCACAAGCTTGGTGATACCTGTGTTGCGCGCAAGGAGTGCGTGCTCACGAGTCTGGCCACCCTTCTCGAATCCAGTCTCGTATTCACCCTTACGGGCAGAGATGACCAGACAACCGAGATCGGCTTGGGAAGCACCGCCAATCATGTGAGGAACATAGGACTTGTGACCAGGGGCATCCAAGATGGAGAATTGACGCTCGATATCGCCCTCGGGGTGGGGGATGTTGACCTTGAAGAAGGCACGACCAACCTCGACTGTCTTGCCCTTAGAACGTTCCTCCTGAGTCAAATCAAGAGCCCACGAGAGGTACCAGGTCTCTCGACCAGCCTCCTTGGCCTCCTTCTTGTACTTGTCCAATGTACGCTCATCGACCATGCCGGTGGCATGCAGCAGGGAACCACCGAGGGTGGACTTGCCAGCATCGACGTGGCCGATGAAGACGACGTTGACATGTTCTCTCCGCTCACCGTAAATTTCCTTCAGGGTCGCCTCATCCACATCGGCCATCTGTGACTTTGCGACAGCATTGGCCTCACGGGCCTGCTTAGCTGGCTCACCGCGAGCCGGGCTGGAACGTCCGGGGCTAGAGCGACCAGAGGATGGTGCGGCAGAAGCCTTTCCGGTGGCCACGGCCTTCTCGGTCTTGTCAAGGGCCTTGGTGGCAGCAACCTTGGTGCCCGCCTCGGCAGCCGCAGCGCCCTTTGTGTCACCATTGGGCTCCTTAGGAGTGGTATCAGCGGGCTTGGCAGCGGGGGTAGGGGTGCCGATCGAAAGAACCTTGGTCTTAGGTGCGGCACTGGATGAGGTAGCGCCAATAGACAGGACCTTAGTCTTAAGAGGGGCAGCGTTCGATGCGGGCTTAGGAACGGACTGAGCCGATGCTGCAGCCTGGGGTTGCTGTGCAGCTACAGGCACGTTTTGGCGAGGCTGCTGGTTGTAGCCACCATATTGCTGCTGCTGTCCGTTGTACTGGTTGAAGCCACCGGGCTGCTGACCGTAGGCGTTGTACTGGCCATAGGCCTGCTGCTGCTGCTGGTAAGCGCCATAAGCCTGCTGCTGACCGTACTGAGGGTAGCCCTGCTGGGGATAGTATTGCTGGTACTGCTGTCCGGGGACAAAGGAAGAGGCTCCAGGTGTGAAAGAGGCAGCTCCAGGTGTGAAAGAAGGTGCCTGGGCCTGAGGGCGAGATTGTGCGTTCAAGTTAACGCCCTCAGCCTGCCGGGAGAGTTCATCCTCCCAAGATTCAGGGGTTTGGTTCGACATCGTGAGGAAAGATTCAGGTCGAATCAGATACACGAAAATACCAAACCAAGACTAATTTGGCCAAACGCAAGTTGGGTCGACGAGGAGGGGCCCCAGTGCCTTTTGATTTTGCACGGATGCATGACTAAGACCCCGCGATAGGTATTCACGTGATATAAAATATGTTGGTCTTCTTCCGCATAAGATAAACAAAGAATTAGAAATATGGAGATGCTCATTTTGTTTGTTTATAAATCCCCCGTCTCTTCCTTGAATCATCGAGATAATTTTTTGAAGTAACAAGAATCATTGGGGACTTGGGCTCAACTTCTCTAAGCCTTCATTCTCTTATCGATAAGCACCCCTCCATAATTATTGCTCAGGGGCCTTTTATGTTTCTCAATACGATCTACGCAACAAGCTTTAAAGGCTATTGGCCTTGATCTTAATCTAAGATGGATACCTTTCTGACGGGGGTTTGTCTCATATATGACCAGTCATGGGGCGAGTGGCTGATTCATGCATCACATCTAGCTCACCCGGCAGGCGATGAATTATGCCATTCGGTATGCTTAACAATGGAAAGAAAAGCCACTCCATCCAATACTGAGAATGACCGTGTAGGTCTGGAATCGCAATAACGGCCAGTTATGCAATGCGCCAGTCATCTCGCTTGCTCAGAGTAGGTGTTAGCTCCGTTGCAGGAAGAAGCCGAAGCTGATAATTTCCCTTCGCTCGATAAGAATGTGAACAGCGAGGACCGAGATGAGCTACTTTCCTTGCAACAACGCTTAGAAAGCAAGATCCAGGTTATCGCCCCGTCTATTGACATGATTGAGTTGATGTGAGTTGGATGATACTGATTTACATTGCCGAAACTGATGGTTTGCAGAGCTGCTCGAGGTAATACGTCATTGGAATCTGCCGTCGCCCTCACCAAATCTCTGAGATGGGATATCCAAGCCCTGGGACAGCGCCTGGCAAAGGCTGCGACATCCGAAGAACTGAGGCGTAGAGGCGCCAGGTCCTCCAAAGACCAGATGAATAGCGAGAAAGAAATCAAGCTTATCATCAAGGACATCAAAAGATTACTGGCTCGGATTGAAGATGCAGTCCCATTGATGAATTTGGCCATCACTACGTCTGGGGCCAAGTTATCCACCAATTTACCCGCAACGGTGTCACCGTCCCGTCTCCTTCAAGCAAGCACGTTTCTTACAGCTGGGGATACGCAGTATTCGATATCCCCGTCCCAGGCAGTGCAGATAGGACCGACTTTTACCCTATCAATGTACATGCTGTTTGCCAGCCATTTGCGACCTCATGACGAAGAATCTGTTCGCGAGGCAACGTGGAAGGAAGTCATGCACAAAGCACGTCTGAAACTTCGGCGTGTTCCAATAGATTCATTGCAGTCCCCCAGCCAGCATCCACGAAAGAAACTTCCAGGCCCAGCCGGCACCGATGAATACACTTACCAAGTCCTGATAATCGAAGACCTAGATGATGGTCGAGTTCATACATTCGATGAAAATGATCCGCAACCTCATAAATATGAAGGCATTTCCAAGGCAGGGATCCGGGAGATTCTTCCCATCCATCAAATTTCTAAGATTTTCTACGCCGACACAGGGAGGATCTTGAACATAAGCACAGAGGGCGAAACAAATAATCCAGTGTTGTTATTGAAACGGGACCTCAATGCCCTCCCCCCACGCCGTATGATGGAACGTGACGAGGTCGAGGAGGACTTTACTCGGGCAGAATCCGAAGTGGAACCAGAGGATGAGGAGCAAGCTCAACTCGATGCACAACTGAATGGAGGTGATTTCCCAGGGAACCAAAGCTTCAGCTCTCTACATGAAGACTCAATACCCGAAGAATGGCGTTTACCTGCCGGACTGGACCCAGAATGGATTGCATTTGAAGTCTACAATGAAGACGAAACCTCCGACACCGAGTCCGAAGCTGAAAACCTCGAATCTTCCACAAGTGAACACTCGATTGATTCAAATATGATGGCGAAGCTGTCCCTCAATGAAAAGCGGCAACCATCATCCTCCCCATCCCCTCAACAAGAATCCTTCTCATCCCCCGCCGCAACAACAACAGTCTCCAACCCGCACTTCGAAAACATTCGTACATCCCTTTCCCTCCTCGAAACCCTCCTCCGCCTAACATCCCTCCAACAATTCCAGCAACAATCGCATTTATCCATCAGTGACGAGTTGCTGAACTTCTTCTTGGAGGAATCCTCCACCACCGGCGCCGGTGGTGACGAACAACACCGCCAGCGGCTCCGCTCCGAGGCCCGCCGCCGCGTTGGTTGGGATCCTTACAACGAAAGCCCAGTCAAACACCGCGGCGAGGATTACCAGTACGGCTGGGAGCCTGGTAGTACCCCTCACCAATATGGCGGTGATCCTTACTCGCCTAGTGGGCGTGCGCAGGGCTTCCACATCCGTTCCAGAGAGAGTACACCGGAGACCCCGGTCCGCAAAGTTTCGCCGAATATCCGTCCAAGTGGCCTGCGTGGTGTGATGCCTGCGTATAGTGAGTCACCCCTTTCGAAGAAGATGGGTAGATCTCCGAATGATTGAGCTGTGGGATCTGGGGCCGTGCGGTAAACTGAAAGGCATGGATCATCATGCCCTGTACATGTATTATGATCATGACCATGAAATAGCGGGTGTGTTACAAGATAAATCATCTACAACCTACCCTCAGAAAAGGCCTCTTTTTCGTGTAAAATCAGTCAGGTGAACGAATGCTATCGTTGAAAAAGTTACCGATGGTTCTATAGTGGTCGAGGCGCTTCAATGATCAGGCGAGGAGAGGAACGACAGCCCTGATGTAGATATGTAGATAGAAAGAATGTCGTACATATTCAGATATCGACCGCATAGACAGATAACATCGCTCGCTCAAAACAAGTCACAGAAAACAGAGCTGGGAATAAAAGCAAAGAAGAACAGTCCAAGACGCCAAACAGTAAAGACCCGACATTCCCAAACTCCAAGCAATCCAGTTTCTTCAAGTAACTCCTTATTTGACCCGGAGCCGGAGCAAGATTGCATTCTAGAAGCGCTATATGGTATAGACAGGCGCTCTCGAGACTAACTTGAATCACCTTGCTAGTGCATCCTCGAGCAAATAGAATCTTACTCCCAATCTTCGTCGCTATCATCCGCCTTTGCGGCAGGACTCTTCTCCTTGGGGCTGCCAGGTGTCCGGCTAACAGTGCCACTCACAACATCGTAGCTAGATTCGCTATCGGCCTGGGACTGCTGGTCGTTTGACCGACGAGGCTCGGATTTCTGGCTGTCTTTGGCCGCTGTAAGAGTCTGAGCACCGGGGCGGACTTGTGGAGTAGAGGGAGACTGGGGCTCAGAATCAGAGTCATCATCCCAGCCCACTTCTTCTTCATCTTCAGCATTAGCGCCTATAGAATAGAGGTAGTTAGCATTAGACATTCCCGAAATAACGGAACGGACTAAACGAACCCTTTAGAAGTTCCTTGCGCTTCTTCTCTTCGGTCTCCACAACGAGACGCAGGAAGTAGTAGCGCGTCCAGAATTCCGAGTATTCCACCTGCTCCGGTACCAGCTTCTCCATGGCCGAACGCAGCTCGGGGTATTTCTCCAAGTCGGCGGCGATTTCATCCGTCTTGCTTCCGGCACTGAACTCCTTCTTGAACGCAGGCCATTCGTCGCTGATCGGGTCCTTGGTGAAGCTTTCCAGGTTTGAATGAATGACGTGCAGCTGTGCCTCGAATCGTGTGGCATGAATAACCCGCTTTCCTTCGGCATCTTTGCTCTCGAAAAGAAGCTTGCCAGCCTCATCGGTATCTGGGGGCAGAATGCTAACTGCTTCGCGCAGCTTTTGGCTAATGTTCATTCCAAATCGCAGGATTGCTTCATCGGCTGCTTCCTCTGCCTTCTCGATCTCCTTCAGTCGCCGAGCAGCTTCCGCCTTGAGGCGGGTGATAAAGCTTTCTCCACTAGCGCTAGCGCTGTCGCCTTCTTTTTTTCGCCGGATTCTCCTTCTGTGGACGCTTTGGGTGTGGCAGTCTCATCACTTTGTCCCTCGCCGCCTGTCAAAGCAGCTGTGCTCAGAGACAGCCCCTTTGTCCGATCGGCCAGTGTTTCCTTGAGACCGGAAAAGCCCTTTACGGCTTCTTCACTGGCAGCTGCGTATTCCTGGCGAGCACCTTCGTAGTATGTCTCTCCCTGCTTGCGCACATTGTCCCACAGTCCTCCAATTCGTGAGCCCCATGGACTAGCGGAGAAGGCACGGAAGGTCTCTTGTAGCTCGTCGTTGAGATTGGCGTTGGACTCCTTTGGTTTAGACTCGGAGGAGGCTCCCTCTTTATTAGAAAGCACCTCCTCTTGGATATGATCGTAGGCGAAGTCCATGATTGGGAGGTTGTAAGAAAGGATAGAGGATCAAAGGCTTGGAAGCACAAGGTTGCAGTATCTCCGCGTTCGTCCATGGGCCGACCGCCCCGCTTACGACGATCCTCACCACTACTGTGTACACTATACTATGTACACTACTTTAAATACTCATGCTTTGTGCTCCAACCCTCTCTAGTTGATTGTATTAAAAAAAATATTAACCCCTGTGTATTTAATGATACTTTGGTCATAATTCATAACCCATTGAGCAATGACCAATGTCATCCTTCAGGTAGGCAGTAAGGCTCTCCTACACTATCCTGACTTCCCATCCAAAAATTTGGGAGCGGAACACTCTCCATGACGCTTGATGTTAGAAGCTGGCTCCGAGTAAGAACTTGGCCCTGCCAATGAGAGTCTCGGTCCACTGCTTGCGAGGACTCAACTTGAACCACTGACCCAGGCGCATGTGGTCGCTGAAATGAAGGCTCGCCCGACTCATTTCCATTTTCTTCACGGACAGGGGATGATTCGGGGACCATTTCAGTCGACTCTTTGTCGCCTCCCTGACTCTGTGTTGGTGTCTGTGAAAAAGGTCCCGGTGCCTGGTTTCGAAGAGCAGACTTTGATGCACTTGGTTTGGGAAACTGGGTGCTGCCTTCGTGGGGGAAGAGCTCAGACATCTTTTGTGTATTCAAGAGTGGGATTGGCTCGTGAGGGAATTGTGTAGCTGCATGCATTCTCTGGTAGCAAATCGATGCATCAGACATTGGACCTTCAGATGCCGGAGCATCATCCAACCCAGGGCTCGATTGAACATCTGGCAGAGGGAGTTTTTGAGAATCATCCTTGGCCCATTCTGTGCTGATTTGGGTCGCCTGCGAACTCGCCTGGAGATTGAATGCCCGGGGTGTCTTCTTTGGAGATGGTGTCAGGGGGTCTTCGTTGAGACATTCGTCAAAATCTCCGTATTCTGAATCAGCGTCCGTTTCATAGATGACCGTCCTTTCCCTCTTGGTGCGTTCATATCTCAACGTGTTGCCAGTGTGGGGGGTTTGCTGTGACGTTGATTCTGTTGCAGGTGCAGATGAAGGCAACTCCTCGTCTTTGGTTGCCGCTGCAATATAAGTTGATCGGTCATGCCTGCTTGGGGAGTCAAACGTTGTTGGCTGTGGCAAAGATCCGTCTTCAAGATCCTGTGAATCTTCTACTACTCGTCGGATCTCCACTGGTTCTTCTTTGATGTGCTGAATGGAATTATTTGCGATATTTCGAGATTTCTGTTTTGAAGGCGAGCGAGTAGCGCTGCGGAATTGAGATGATGTTATAATAGCAAGGCCAGGGCTTTCGGGTGTCTGCGAAGAAGGAATCTCGCGGATGCGGGACTTCTGTGGTGTGACAGGTGCTATAAATGCCCGCTCATCCCCATCTCTAGGATTTGACTCCGGCGCTTCCGTTGATTGAGATATAGGTTCCCCGGTTGAGAGATCCAGCTCTTCTTCCAAGAACCTGCGCTTTCGCTTGGCAGGGATAGAGTGTCTGGCGGTCTGTGATATATTCGGTTTCGGTGTAGGATCTTGTTCGTTTTTCATACCCTGCTTCTGCGGTGTCGGCTGGATATAACCCATGTTCACGTCGTCATCATCATCGATGGTAATGTAACGGCGTACAAAGTCCATCTGAGTTAAGGTCTTATCTCGTTTTACCGTTGATTTTTCCAAAGATTTCCGGCCACCTTTAGGACGAGCGCTCGCCCTTGGTGTCTCGTTCTTTCGTAGCCCATGACTTCGATCTGCATCTCGATTGGCTATACCAGAGCCTCTTCGCTTCTGCGGGTGTTCACTCGAATCGCGCTCTCGTTGACTCATTTTGAATGTCGAAATACGCGCCGATCGGACCGGTGGCGCCGGGAGATAGTCTGAATCCTTGTCGGACCCATCGTCTATCCTCGGGCGATCAGTTGTGTCATCCTTCTTATCACGATGTATATGTTCATCGATATAGTCAAGGTGGTCATCACCCGGCGCTGAGGGTTGTGTCACGAATTCAATCTGTGTGAGGGTTGATTGGACCTGTGGGAGCGATGTTCGCTGGCGAGTGCTTGCGTGTGTCGATGAGTCTGGTGATCTGTTCCGTTTCGCAGTGGTGCTTTTCAGGGCAGTTGTTGGACCATGCGGACTGGGTCTTCTTGGGGTACGGAATGGATTCCTGGGGCTCTCTGGTCTATTTCTAGATTCTTGGGGTTCTTTCATCGCAACAGCAGTATTTCAAGCCTTTCAGGGTCTCATTGGACTGGGACTCGAAGGTAAAAAGATATGACGTTAGGCAACCGGTGCCTGAGGCAGATCGTATCGACGCGTCGCTAATATCGACTTGGTCCGTGCGTCCCTCAAGGTTCCCTGCATGAACAATGAAGTCGGCAAGCTGCATTCGACAAAAAGAAGCAGAATGCGTTTGTCTTTTTTGGATCTGTCGGATAGATAGATCAACCGGCAAAAAAGAAATCTTGAGGTTTGTTTTTAGGAATAGCCGAACGCGGGGGTCGAACCCGCAGCCTTAAGATTAAGAGTCTTACGCTCTACCGATTGAGCTAGCCCGGCCGGGCTGTTGTAAAGGGCTGCCCTAAACTGCTATATAAGCCTTAAGGACCTATAGGGAAGACAGAGTATCTAATAGTCACATTGGGTGGTGGTGATGCAAAATGGAAACCCACAAATTCTAATCATTTCATTTCAATATTTGATGATCAACATAGTTATGTGGCATGTAATTCTCTGGTTTAAAAAATGTAGTCCTCAGTCCTCATCGAACATGAGCCATTCCGGAATCGCGTCTTCATCGTCAGGATCCTCTGAGAGCAAAGATCCTTTTTCGATCTCACTGTCAGAACCATAATTGGGTGCCATTGGCTGGAGTTGGTCCTGGGATGGAGACGCTGGTCGAGAGATGGTGACAACACTCGCAGGTTTGGAGCCATCATGTGTAGATGAATCCACTGCGATAGGAGCATTCTCAGATGACCCTGCAAGTCCTTGGGGGATATATGTCGGGATTGGATTTGAGCATTGACTAGGGACAACAACTAGTGAGTATCGAGGCATCGTTGATTCCTTTCCCTTGGTAGCGCTTTGTGGAATCAATGGCTGGTTTATGGCCAAGGGCGCTGGCTTTAGGGGTTCTCCTGAGTCCGAAGGTGAATCATTTTCGTCAGGCAAGAATCCACCTCCAAGAGCATAATCCTCTTCGTCTAGTGCCGATACCAGTCCTCTTTGGCCATAATCTTTGGGGGAATCATGACCATGTACAAATTTGTGCTTTCCGAGCATTTCTGGAGAAGGGCTGTTGGTCGGTTGCCCTGGTTCAGGAAAGAAACCACCACCAGCCTCCTCAGCATCCATTTCGTTTTCGATATCTTCAGCCTCTTTTTCTTCTCTTTCGCCTTCTTCTTCTTCGCCTACATATTCCTTAACTCTTTCTGCAATTCTGAGCTTCGTCAGAAAGAGACGCCAGAACCGGAGAGTCTCCGCGGTTCTCGCTGCCAGTGCAGCATGTTGTCTCTCATCTTCAAGACCCCTCAAAACTTCTTCCAATGCTTCCTGGTACTCGGCTGCGATGACAATACCTCTGATTACAGCCGTTCCATGTCGGCCTCTGAAGTCAAATCCAGTGACTGCATCGGCATAGTCAATACCAAGGATGCGAGCAGCCCGAACTGCCTCCGGCCGCTTGATGTGAACTCCACCTGGCGGAACCATACTGGGGACGTAGACATCAAGGTTGCCATATGCATTCTTCGGGATTCTGCCCTGTACCACCGGCGGTGGAACGTAGAGTTCCGTCTGGAACTCCGCGTATAGTGTGGTCTCTGCGGGCTCGTTTTCGTCTTCATCGTCGCTGAATACACCGCCCTTCTTTCGACTTGCAGCAATACGTTTGAGAGGCTGCTCGCCGACTTTGACATCCCGTCCAAGGCGATACCATCTATCAGAGCTTCTCACAATATGTATGTCGGATCGACGATAGACAGGTTCTGATGTCTCACTCCGTACCGTGCTGCTTCCCAAACTAACGTGTCCAATGACTCGTTTGGGATGAATCACTTGATTACGACGAATATGTCGCTCAAGCGCATAGACAGGATGGTCCTTGAAGTCCTGTATGTTCCGTGGCATGGGCTCAGCTGCTGATTTGGATGTAAGTTCGCTAATTTCTGTCACATCTCGATCTTCGAAGAAGGGCTTTTCATAAGCCTTCGACACATTTTTCCACCAGTTCTCGCCATCCCGTGTAGTTTCCACGCGGAGTTTCCGCGTTTTCGCGTTGAATGCCTTCACATAACGTCGAGTAATATCCCTCGCGGAGGTGTCGTTTTCAAACCCTATCACATAATTCATCGAGTTATATAAATCACTCGCAGGTGGTTCAAATTTCGAAGGCTTGGCAAGAGATTTTGTGACAACGGGATCGATTGGAACCCATTTTTGCGCAGCTTCGTTGAAAGCTTCCACCCAGAAAACCGGAAACGACGATTCTTGTGATATCGAATGGCGAGCTAAGAAAGTTAGTTGGAATTAAGCCAATGATCGCCGAAAGCCACATACCTGGATGGGATTTTGGCTGAGGGGGACGGGAAGGAGTGAATTTAGGCTGTCCGATCCGTCGAATCCTTGAAGCCACAGCTGATTTCCCGGCCTTACGGTTGTCATCTGTTGAAGATCCAGGTTCGTCTGAGGATATGACAATGTATTCAGGCTTTGGTTTAGATGGCGACATGTCTTTAACAGTACCAGAGAATGGCAAAGGTTGCAATGAGCATACAAGCCTTGCTTCCACAGCTACAGACCGCAGTAGTGCACAGAAGAGCTGAGCTCCGAAGTCTCGAGAGCCTTGCATTGTCTTTGCCTGGGTTCGAAAATCTCCTTTGGATAAAAAGACTTCAGCGTTCGACATAATTGATTCCTATATATCCATCAGAATAGTCGTCGGCGAAAGGTTTTAGTGGGACATACCATTTTCTGCTTCAGTTGGGTCTCGTGCTCAGCCCAATGAGCTCGTTTCATTCCCGCTTTGGTAACCTGAAATCTGCGTGTGAAAGCATCTCCGGCCTGGTTAAGACCGTCCATGAACGTGGTAGATCTGCTATATTGTGGTTTGTTCTCATCGGGGTGCAGAAGAGCAATCACTTTCCTTGGTAGCATCTTCTTCAGAAATTCCTACGATATTGTGAGATTCAGAAATGAAACGCCCAGTAGGCCACTGCGCACCTGTAATTCCTCGTCATTGCACCACATATTACGCAACCGAATGTGACCAAGAAGGCAAAGAATATGAGCCTTATGCACATCTAATCTTATTTTTCTCTCGGCTCCAGTCAAAGGCTTCCTTCTTTGGATAGCCTTTTTGCGCTTGTCGGGTTCTTGCTCCAATGTGATCTGGAGCATCCCGTCATCACCCTGAAAGGCAGATTGTCCTTTGAGGAACGACTGGGCTGGTTGCAGGATTTCGACATCTTCCCACTCAACATCTGACTCTTCTGATGTCGATGAATCATACACAGTTTGCATTTGCTGGATGTCGAGTTTGTTTGCTTCTGCATGCCGGTGTGCTTGTCCCGGAGAACCCGCATCGATAGGGATGGCTTTCATATCTCCAGTCTTGCGCCTTTTAATTGGTCTGTCCGAGGCAAACTGCTCGGGGTCTCGGGCTTCAGCCTCTTCCAACATTTCTTGGTAAACATCTGGAGCATGGGCGTCTGTCAATCTCTGGCGTTTTGACTGGCGGGTGGGGACTGCCTGGCTCTTCAATGAGCGAGCTGGAAGTTGGCGCTTCATTTTGCGTCGGGTGATAAAGAACTGAAATTACGCAGTAGCTTTTCCTCTGATGAGGCTCTACGCGTCGCGCGTCAGCAAGCAGAGTGGCGTGTCAGTGCCCGCCTGCCTCAAAAGGTTGCTGAGATAAAACATCAAGGGAAAAAAGCCAACTATTCACTATCGCTTCAATGTGATATTTGCAGAATAAAGAAAGGCTGTCACCAACGCTTTATGAACGCACTGCATATCTGGTCATCGAAATCAGAAGGTGCGTCATATCGGGGTTTAGTTTATCCGGTTCGCTATCAATATAACCTAATCGGGAAGTTAATCCATTTGGAACCTCTCTGCAATCAGCCCTGTATATCGCCTGCCTAGGCACTTTCAATAGCATACTGGTTAGTGTTCTTACTATTCGATTTTTTAGTTGTATACATCAATTCCCACTTTGACGACGCATCACGCAAAACAAATCCTCCGACAGCCCAACTATATATAATCGCTTAAAGCATCTTGTTTACATCATTTTTCGACCACAACCTGTGATCATATGGGATCCACCATCTAATATCAAGTATAGAACACAGCCTGATAATCCAAACAGCGTAGCTTAGTATAAATGAAGTGATACATCGTATAATTTTAGCCAAGGGCATGTACGGGGTATGTACAGCGTAGTTGGAGAGTAAATCCCAAATGTGCAACCAGCTCGAGAGGTTATAAAAATGACCATGCGAGTACTGAAGATGTCCTACGCAGTATCATTGACTCATGAAGCGTACGAATGCCTAGCAATCGTTCTAGTATTGAGACTAAAGCTTGAGATGTCTACTCCGTCCGACATCTATAAACAGTGAAACTCTTTCGTGACTGAGACAACCCATTGTGTCTCCCTGAAACATGACAGGATTCCGAACATTGGGAATGCCAAGAAATACGCGTTCGTGAAAACTCTGCATAGGACCTAGTGCACTCTATTATATCCGTACGTATCTCGTTTAAACGCAATGGCTAGCCAGATTCCAGGCCGCGATACTCACACCGACCAAACACGAATACTGGATCCAGCGCACACTTGAGCTGTTCTTTATTGCTACCTCGGAGATTGGCATGTGTGCTATAGGACGAGCAAGTTTTAGCCAATGGTAAACAATGCCACATCAGTGGAGATGCCTTAGGCTGCCTTGGGGGGCCAGAAAAGCCCACTCTAGAGCGTGACCGAAAACAATTTTCTTCCCAGGATGCCATGGCTCTTGTAGAAGACCAAACCGCAAAGGGAAAAAGAACAATGGCGATACCTTGATCATTTTTGTTACCGGAACTTCATTGGTGGATGGGGGGCTTCTGATGATCTTCCTCTCCAGACCAAGTGTGAGCGTGCATGATCTACACTTCGCTTGCATCTGATAGTTGTCTGGTCTTCATCTTCTTTAGCCCTGAGCCGTGCGATTGGGCCTCTAGCCCACACTGAGGCCCAGTCAATTTCAGATTTGGACAAATGATTTGCGGTTCAAATTCCAAATCCTTTAAACTTTTTCTAAGCGACATATGGGTCCTTTCAAATTTCCTTTTATTCTGGATAAATATCAGAACGAGTTTTTTTCGCCGAGATTGTGGATTGTACTTTGTGGATCTCTTCAGCCGATCATGTCTGTGCATACTTAGACGGTACTTCACCCCGCACATATTTACGCGCCCAACAAGGGTTCGCGGTATTTAATCCGTTGGGATTTGGTTCTTGGGCCAAGAAAGATGGCAAGGGTATTTTGTTCCTTGTCTTCCATTCTGGTTAGTTTCGTATCATTGTTTTGCTGTGGTGCTGGGCAGGCCGTTCCAAGAACCCATCATCATGGCGGACAGACTAGTCTACTTCACCCGCAGCCAATGATATCCAGCAAGATCATCTGTGGAGAATTTTTTTTTTTTTGGAAAATTACTCGAGCGGTCTGCCCTTCCACTAACAGGCAAATGTTTTATATGCAAGACACGTAGCATCAGGTACATTAAACAAAGGGCGTGAGGTGGGTGTCGGGTTAATGTACAATTTGTCAAGGACAGCAAGTCATATGTATGTTGCATGTCTCACGGAGTACTCCGTAGTTGAGCCTGAAGTGCTGCCAACAAACTTTCCCTATATCGGCCAATACATAGCTGAGTGGTCAACAATAGAACCGGGCCGCAGTACATGTAGTTGGTATACGTTGTGCTACCGAAAATGGGAGCAAGGTGCGGCTCAGGGCGATTCTCGCTGGACAAATGTGCTTAACACGTCTGTCCTTTTCTTTCTCTCTTCTTCCTTCTTCCCCGAATCCAATACAGATTGGCTGGCTGAAGCTTCCGTTGCACAGTCCGCGCACTACGTACTAGATGGATCAAACAAGAGATATAGCAATTCCAGGATATCATTGCTTCTTTTGAACTCGAATCTGACTGCTAATTAATTGACCGCCACAACCTTGGCATCGAAGGTAACATCCGCGCCACATTCGGAGTCCGTGATATGTAGCAGGGACTTCTCGTAATTTTCAATGCTATATCAATCTAGCTGCATCAGTACAACCGTGTACAAATCTCGCATACACGGGGGTTTCCCGGATGATAGACGCGACTAAAGCAAGGGCCTCAAAAGAGACAGCTTGCCAAGGGCTGTCTCCACCACCGAACTACCCCGCTGCGGAGTAATAATGACGCCGTAGGTGGTTGGAGCTCGCTAAAAACAAAACCAAACCTTGATTCACATAGTATAACAGACAATCGGTTGGTCAAGAAAAACCGTGACATAGGCAATGCGTGAAGCAAGCCTGACGGAGAAGTCCAGGATCAAAGGTGTGGTCGGGTCTCAAAATTGGCTCCGGCGCCGGCGTTACCGACACGATGGAACCCAACAACTTTCCTAGTCACCGGGTCCGGGCCAGTTTCCAAGTTTGATCGCACGTATCAAAATACCAGAGATTCTTTATTTGCCACTTCCGCTAGGGTCCAGGCTGTCATTGATATGCTCTGTAGGACTGACTTAGTAACACTGCTTTTGGCACCTGAACGTGAGTCACCTTCAATCCAGGCTAACCTTCAAAAGTCTCCATGGAGGGAGTGAATGTTGGGTAGTATTATAGAGATGAAATCATGTATCACAAAACATACATGTAACCATTTGATTGGTTTCTCACCAAGATCCCTAGACTTGTTTTAAGCTCAACCCGAAAAGAAGATTCTTTCTCGAAGGTTTATCTGTGAGAAAATTGCCACTCTTGGTCAGCCATTGCTCTAGCATCTCTCGGCATCCGACCTCAAACCTGCATTTATTGGGTTTCAGTAAACAAATTGATTGGATGTGAATATTACATATTCCGCAGTAACCGGAGATTCGACTGTATGGGCACCCGCACACTTTCCCAAGTTGGAAGTGACATCCAGTACTGATGGTGGGTACTAGGGCTGTCCACGTCCACGGGTGGCCAGGTGCCCGGTGCCAGGCTGCCTAGAGGATCTCCACGGGTCCACGGGTTCAACCCCCTGGGGCGGCCGGCCCGCGGCGTGCCCGAGCCCGGCCCGGCTGCCCATGAGATTATATAATCTTGACTCGCACCCGACTCGAGGTGATTCTGGTGAAATCATTACTTGGTAATTTTTCTTCACTAAGATAGATGGTGCTCGACGAGTTTGTTAGCAAAAATTAGAGCGTATGCATGTACATCCCATGAGCTGATATTGAGATATGTGAGTGTTCTTTTCGATCCCCACTGGATGCAATCTCTTCATCAAGTCTTATGACATAAGTCAAGCTTCATCAATAGAAATCAATAAAGCCTATGGGAAATTTGAACTCTCGGTTTAGAGCTGATTCTTACATTTCAGCTCGTCAAATCATGCATATGTAGCCTATATGGTATAAATGGTACCCAGGTAAGAATAGGACGGTGGGGTGAGAGAAATCAGCGGTGAATCTTCCTATCACCAGCTACAGTTGCTACCGTATGTGCACGTTGCTATCATACTGTCTTCATATTGTTCTAAGACCTTATGGCTCGAAACTTATAGAGTCTCTATTGATGTTGTTAGCTCCCGGGGACCCTCTAATTCATCATCGCATTAGGTATGCATTCTGACGTAGCTCCAGATATTCAGTCAATACTTACATATGGAGCTAACGCCACCAGTTGATTTTGTCTTCTGTTTTCTGATACTGATTTTCGATAGGAGCCTAGTCATCTAATGCCTTTTTTCACCACATCATAATCAATGCAAGTTCAACGAGGTGCCTAGTCTTCGGTCTTCCCACCAATACATTTTCTTTCATGGCGGTGTATATTCTGGCTGGGCACGATAGATGGGAGGTGGAAAAGGCATTGGGCCCCATTCTAGCTGATTTTTGGTGTTGCTTACTCTGTGTAATTCGCTTATTTTCCACCCAGTTTATGGAATTGAAGAAGGCGGGAAGGCGAGGTAGGGGTCGATTGGGCAAGTTCGAGATCCCCCAACTCCGGTTCGAGTCAAGGTGCTCGCCAAGTTTACAATTAAGCCTAGGAGTTCCCTTCAGATGGGAACCCGACTCTATGGAAGCGAGATCATTTTTTTCGGGGATGACTGCAGGGATGCTATCGTTGGGTTCTATCCCCGAGGCTTACTCCCTACACGTTTCATGTTTCTCGTTCTATCCCATTACGTAGGTAAACACAACAATCTCTAGTTCGTACATGTATGGTGATTAGGTACATGTACCTGTATGTAGGTACTTCTTCCCGGCTTCTTCTTCATGGATCTCGGTGTACCTCGGGTACAAGGATTTGACACCTCTGAAAGGAGCAATTTGCTGTTCTTCGAATAGCCAAGGTTGTAACCTTTAGCAATTAGGATTGTGGAACACGCTTGTTGTCTCCCTCGACGCTATACGTTGTACGCAGTGCATCGTAGTTGAGAAGGTTTGATCGACATTTGCCCGAGAGCGATGACGGAAGATTACACGGTCTAGAAGTTTTGGACGTATACCTAGGTACAGTACTTCGCACAGTCGCGGGGAATTTCAGACGTCATCGGAAAGAATTAGCCAAAAAAAAAAGGTAAGAAAAAAGGGTGAATCAACGAGGTGATCCAGGATACCGGAAACTAGTGGATAATCCACACTCCGTAGTGGTCCTTTAGATGCCCTTGCCCCTCCTTTGGAGCAAATTGGGGGAGTAAGCCCAGGCTTCCAGCCCCCTCGTCACGCTATTTCTGACGGCTCATCTCCGCTTTCCCACCGCAACAGTCTAACAATAAGGATTCGAGTCGTCATGCATGAGAGACAGAGAAAGGCGAATAACCCGGTAGAGTTCACCGAAATAACCTTAGAAGATAGGGTTTGATCTTTTAATCTTCCGAAATTATGAAAAAAGGAAGGAAAGAAAAAGAAAAATACAAAGGAAAACGAAGTCTCATTTGAACAAACGCAATTAAATCTACCTAGGTAGGGACAGTGCATATCTTGGCGCGAGAACTATTATGTACGTACGAAGTACGCAGTACATGCGGGCAGCTGTACTTCGTACTTAGGTTGTACGGTCATGTACGGAGTATGGAGTACTCCGTAGAATTGTATGAATTCAGAGGAAACCCCCGACAGCTCCACGTCTGCGGGGCTGAGGGTTCCCAGTCTAGAACCCACATTGTGATCTAGCCGAACCGCTGCTGTGAATTTTTCTCCGCAAGACTTGTGAGATTTGTAAAGTAAAGAAACAAAAAGAACAAACGGATTCGACGCAATTGGGGAGGGGGGGGGGCTTTGAATTATCCTGTAGGAGGTCTTCTGCACAGGGAATTTTCAATTCTGCTGATCCGGCGCAATCTCAAGGGAAAATCCCAGGACAAAGGTTGAAGCGGCCCGTGGCTAGTCCGGGTGCATGTTCCATTCCCAGCTACACGGGACCGATCTCTATTGGTTGATCGAGTCCAACCAGTTGAGGGCTTTCCATGGTTGAATCGTAAGGATCGAAACAAAGGTACGATGTTCTGAGGTAACTTCCGAGATACCTCCCTATGCATAATATGTAATATTCAGGGTCTCACGCTAGGGAACTAATTCGACGATCATCGGAGAAAGAGTCTTGGAAAGTATGGAGTACTATCGAAAGGTACAGTCGCTGTGAAATAGGTTGGACGCTGTCGTTCCATCAAAAAGGTGAAGAAAAATATCATATTTGTGTGCTGGGTCACTGAAAAGCACAAATGACGACAATAAAATGGGTTAGAAAATATAAAAAAATCATCATATATCAATTCTGTCCAATCGCCTCGACGAGAAAATTTAAGATTTACTTGCGAAAACAGGGAGATTACAGCGTATGTGGGTATCATGCCCGCTAACCATGTAATTTGACGCTCGAAGTGCCCGGCTCACTTTCATACACTTTACTCCGTAGTTTTTTTTTTTTTTTTAACCAGTTATCCACCCAGCTTTGTACGGCACGAACCAAGTAAACCTCGCGAGCTCCACTTGACTGATTCTGTTTTTGATTTTGAGAATCACAACTGTTGATCTTATACGCTGATTTATAGTTGTCGGGACTGTCCTCCCGCCCTTCAGATGACAACTTAATCCAAGCTACCGGGCTCTCTGTCTCTTGATTTTGTCATTATTGATTGTCTCCCTTCCAGTCATGTCTGAATTGACCTCAGTCTGAAGACAGCTTTTGTTGTATAATATGTGTAATGGAGTATTGCGAGCTTAGTCTCTTATCCCACTTCAACTCAGTGTTACTCCCCCGCCGTCCACCCTGCAGAACTCGACTCCCATTGCTTGGAAGCCCCATATAAAAAAAAAATTTTTTGGGTCCTCCCTCCATATTAATTCCTCCAATACCACGGACTTCTTCCCGATTTGGCATCGCCTGACTGCTCCTACTACCCCCGCATTAGTGTTGGTATAGCGTGCACATCCACCGCTACTGATCCCGCTGGATGGGAACGTGGTGATCATGGGTGCCAGACCTCCGGTAAGCTTATTTTACTTATAGACTGTGGCCCCATCTTAGGAGTCTGTTGTTATTACTTTTCCTTCTCCATTCAACCATCTACCCATAGAGGTATATCTAGCCTCGTTGCTAACGTATATCATGCAGATACCTCGCACTGAATGGTAGGACTATATCCCCTGACCTGTTGCTTGTTATTATTCTGTTATATCAAAAAGTAATGTAACTGACAACTTCGTGACAGTGACACACAGTCATTGACTGAGAGTGTAACCGATTATCCTGTCGAGAATGGAAGAAGGTATCACAGGTACCACGAGGGAGGTATGTTTGCAGATGCCGGTCTATTCGACTTTGCACAACATGGCTAATTTAATAAATAGCCTATGTATACCCCAATGATGAAAGGGAATTGGATCGCCTTGATATGCAACACCACATGTTCAAAATGGCGACGGACGGGAAGTTATTCCATGTCCCCCTCCAGGACCCAAAAAGATACTTGATATTGGCACTGGCTCAGGGATATGGCCAATAGAGATGTGTACGTTCACCCATTCCAGTTTTAATGCTATTGTCTTACCATCTAAACTATCCTCCTGCAGCGGCTCTTTTCCCGAATGCCGAAATCACAGGCACGGATCTATCTCCAGTACAACCGACAGAGGTCCCCCCTAACGTCCATTTTCTGGTCGATGATGCCACAGAAGAAGAGTGGTTATGGGACTCTGACCACTTCGATTTCATGCATATCGGCCACATGACTGGAGCCATGCCATCTTTCAAACGTCTATTACGACAGGCCTTCAAGCACCTAAAACCAGGCGCCTACATGGAATGTCATGAGCTAGACCCCAAACCAAAATGCGACGATGGTACCATGCCCCCAGAACATCCAGACGGTGGATACAGTGAATTTGCTCTCCATGATTGGGTGGACCTTAGCATACGCTCCAGCCGTGATACTCATCCACCAAGGCAATTTCGGATCGCGCACCGAATCGCACAGTGGATGAAAGATGTAGGGTTCGTTGACGTTGAGCAACATGTCTCAAAAATCCCCGTAAATACTTGGCCACAAGACGAGAAGCTAAGGACCCTTGGTGCTTGGAACGAAAGCAATTGGCTTGCTGCTTTGTCGGGGTGGTCATATAAACCGTTTCTTGCCCTCGGATGGTCGAAACCTGAGATTGAAGTCTTCCTTGTTGATGTGAGAAAGAGTATACAGGATCGAAGTGTGCATGCATATATGGAATTTTATGTGGTGACAGGAAGGAAGCCCTACCCGGGTGAGGGTGAAACTGCTTCCTGAGTCCTTTTTTTATTCCCCGCTCTTCTCGTCATGACCGTCTTACGTTTTATCACACCGTTTCATTATGTTCTCTCCGAGATGATTTGCATGTGATACCATTTCAAAGCAAAGTCCTGAATGCATTGCATTGGCGTTGTTATTAAGATCCCGTTGTTTATTTTTTGTGCCTTCATCTTCTATAGAAATCTATTCGCGTATAATAAAGGTGCGATTGTATTCAGCTAGCGAGGCCTTCTGACTGAACCGACTCAGAACATGATATGTTAGAGTCTATACAGCAATAATGATAAAGAACGAGTATCAGAAGATGTTGGCCGAAATAGAGCTTGAAATAAGAATACTCTGAGAAAGTGCAATGGATTATATGGGTAGAGCTGAGAAATGAAGCCCTCAGATTGGCCGGCCCGGAGGATTATCGAAATGTTAGTCAGCACGCCAAGACCTGGAAACCTACCGTGTGAAAGTTGATCCCCAGTGCTTGCGACAAGTCCATGACAGCAATTGGCTCGCACATGCCATAGCCCACTCTATGTCTTTCGGCAGACATGCCTACCGGCATGCTCTCAAGCCACCCGCTACACCAACCCTCGATCATCTCTGGATTAGCGATGACCTACTCGCAGCCACGTTTCGGCGCTTTGCCAACGGTCAACGGCGCCATGGAAGCTGCGTCCCTGGACCCCTCGAGGCACGGCGACGCCTAGCGAAGCGGAGAAATACTGCTTTGGCGAGCATTGGGGGAGGTCCTGCTGAAGATATCGCGTGTCTATTTGGCCGCAATGGGAGAGAACACATGAAGTGGACCGACCATCCGTGGCAGAGAGCGCCGTTTGAAACCCAAAGTATGTCCGACGAGATGAGAAAGGCTTGTGAGTGTGACTGCTAACTCTTTTTTTGAAGCCTTGGTCGATCATTCGTCAGGTCCTTACGAGCTACCCTTTTCTTTCTCCGACCAGAATCCGCAGCCCGAACCTAGCGAATTTCATGCTGATCCTACTCCTTCGGATGATCCGGCCAACGCGGACCAGGCTACACGCGAAGAGATACTGGAAAAGTTTTTGGATGGGAAAAGTTGGGGCATTGAAGATGCTCGGGACTTCACTCGTCGGCTGAGAATTGATCTCCACCGGGAGCCACGATACAGCCAGCAAATCTTCAAGCGCTTACTTGCTCGCTCAGACCCGAATCTCACGGAAGCAATTGCATTTTTGGATGATCCTTTTTTGAACACTCGGGGATCGGGGAATTACGTCGCAGCTGTCGAAATATTCGTTCGAACCAAAGCGAAGCGCGGCAAACGGATCGCTGTTTTGAATGCAATCAATCGCGCCCTGGAGTTGGGGTTGATTTCGACCGATGAGATCTGTTTGATCATCACCGCTTTGCCGAAGATCATTGTTGAAAGCAACAAAACCTTGGGATCGTGGGACCAAAAAGCGCTCTTGAAACATTATCGGGCGATGTGGAAAGCTATCGGGTCCTGTAATATCCTCGGATACGCAGATCTGGACATGAATATTGTTGATGCGTGGCTCGGAGAGCTCTTGAACACTCACAGCTTTCGCTTTGCTGAGGAAATCATCATCGAAACCCATGACGCAGATCGTCGCAGCCAGTGGCCTTCTGTCTTGGTTCAAGCCTGGCTAGAAACTATGGATGTCGATCCAGAGACGAGCTTGCCTTTCCCCGACAAGATCTTCAGCCAGCTTGATGTTAACAGTGCGGCGGATTGTGTCATTCGCGTAACAGAGTCGCTGGCATCATCTTCAACAGACAGAGTTTCCAGGAACAAACTACTTGCACGATGGCGGGATTGCCTCTCGAAGGCCGAGGTCATCTCAACCGTCGCCGAGTCACAGGTCTGGTTTGACTTCCCTCTACCATGTGTTCGAACACAGATCAAGCATGCCCCCCTGAGTCATTCAACTCAACGTCAGATTGTACTACGACTCTGGCTTCTACGAACTCTTGGTCGATCCACTGGGCCCATGTACAAACAGAGCCCACGGTTAACGGATCGGCCAATCTGCTCATTGCTCAATCTGTACGAAACCGTGATGCAAAACACCAGTGGAACATTCTTCCCCGACTTGATGCAGGAGATTCATGACCTTGATCTTCCATACAACGGCCTTCTCCTCCTGGCTCTCAACAAAAAGGGCAAAACTTCTATCACCAAAACTACACGCAAAACCCTCGAACAGCTGGAAACCAACCAGCTTTCCTTAGCGCAAGTGTGGACCATCCCATCCATCCACAAGGGAATCCAAAAGCTTTTCCACTCTTCATTCGACGAAATGTTCCGTCGCATGGACCTAACAAACCCGACCACAGTTGAAGAGATGCTGCGCGTTGTTCGATCAGGTGACTCAACGAGCATCTGGCCCATCCTCAGACTCCTCAACAACAATACCCCGTTCAAGCTTAGTATCCACAAAGCCTGGCAGCCCATTCCGCACCCCGATGACAAAGCCCTCATACGATATCACCCGGCTCCACGAACCAGCCAATGCCCCGATCCCCATGCTGCGGTAGACCTCATCAACCAGCTGGCGATTGCCCTTTCTTGCTGCAAGGATTTGAGTCCGTGCCAGTCCTTCCGTATGATTCACTGGCTCTATGGATATCTTCGCAGACATGGCGGACCTGTGGATCCAGTATTCGTGCGGGCAATGTATCATGCTGGTGTTGTACGTTATCGTCGTGAGGGTCTCCGTATCTCCGCTACTCAGTATGAGTACATTATTTGGATTGTGGGCAAGTTTGAAGGCTACGAGGTCATTGAGCAGCTCACAGCTCTGCCCCAGATTGGCGAGTCAAGATCTGACCGCTATTAGGTGGGATCAGGGGATGTCCACCTAAACAAACAAAACTTTGTAATATAGAGCGATACGATACCCATGCTTCAACCCTACCTAGCTTGCCCAAAGGGTGTTTGAGCGGAGCATAAAATGTACACACAGAAGATATCATGTTTCTGAAAACTCCGATTTCCTGTCCTAGCCATACCTGCTCTAAGCCTGTAGCATAACTCCACGAACTCTACGTCGACGGTTTTGCCCGCAGTACAATTGTTCAGATAACATGAAGACAGAAGAAATCCGTACGTGCATTAAATCAATCCAAGAAGACCACTGGCCAGTGCATCTCCAAGAGAATCTAAGTATCAACTTCCATGCTGTCCCCAGTCGCCAGGTTATCATCACCCGACAGAGTCTCAATTGTGACATATTTCTTCATATCCTCTTTGCTGATAACTCTCTGGTCCAACCAGGCAGTGGTACCGCGGGGGAAGCGGTAGTTGCGCTCCTTCTGCGGGCGCTCGTTAGGCTTCATGTAGTTACGGAGCAGCTGTGTGGGCTGGTCCTTCTCAATCACACAGACGTCGACATTGCTACCAGAGCCCAGATCGTTGAAGATACCAGCCTTGATAGCCTCAGCGCAGATGTCAATGGCGCCCTGTCGATCCAGGTCTGGTTTCCAGGTGGACTCAAACACTGACATCGCAGCCAAAGATCCGGATCCCATTGTCACGTAGGGCAACTTGTCTGTTGAACCGTGTGCGTGCACAGTGTACAGTCCCGTACCGGTCGGGTCCACGCCTGCAACAACCAGGTACGCTCCAATGTGGCCCTGGTACCGGAAGAGGTGCTGCTTGAGCATCGTCATGCAGGTGATCACGCGGGGATCGCGACCCGTTGATAGCGAGTGCAGTTCGACATTGGAGCTGATGAGCGCCGTGGTGAATTCAGTGTCGGCGGCGGTACCGGCTCCGGCACACCAGATCTTAGGTGCGATGTAGTGTAGCTTCTCACAGTTCTGCAGACAAAGAATGATAGTGTCAGATACCACCGAGAAGGCTTTGGACAATTCGATGGGTTCTTCTTACCTTGTCTGCAACTATAGGACCGCTAGTGGCTCGGGTATCTGCTGCAATCTGTAATGGCGATTCGAGTCAGCTCCTGGATCATAGCTCCTTTGGATCTCCTCGTATGGCTGGAAACCGTACCACAACGCCCTTATCGTAGATACAGCCCACAATTGTTGTACCGGTACTTGTGGCTTTGGGAAGGGGAACGCCCCTGGCGTGAAGCGCCGCGTTGCGGTTGTAGTTGCTGAAATCGAAGCCCGGCATGGTGACAAGGCTGGTTTTCCGCGACCAGCTGAACTAATTATCAAAGGGGAGAGTAAAGATAGGAGGGCACAAGGTCAAACTTCGAATATTGGTAGAATGAGAACGTTGGATGGACAAATGGGGTAGCAAGCTGGATGGAAGTGAAGAGGAAGTGAGCTGTTTGGAGTGACGAAGCTCCCGCTGCCTAAATTGCAGCCTGAAGGCTCAGGCATGAACAAGGTGTTTTTGCCGGACATTATTTTCGGGTTCAATGCTCTTTGGTCTCTGAACTTCTCTCTCTAACCTTTTGCGCATCGGCGATCCTCGTTGCGTATCTTATTGCACTCCACTCGCCTTCTCATTTCTGGGAAGCTGCGCGATTCTCAAGATTTTCGCGCATACCCTCAACCTCTTTTCCCGGAGTCCCCAATCACTCCATCGTCGCTCGCTCTCTACGCCTCCCAGCTCACCTACGCCTAATGCTTTCAGACATAGTTCTCCACTAAGCGAAAGCACACGTTCTCCTTCGGGTACGCTGAACTCAGAAAAGCTCAGAATGGCTTTTGGTTTCGGTGCCTCTAACTCCGCTGGGGGAAATGCCTCTGCGGAGCTTGGTTCAGAGCTTCCCGATGTCTTTACCGATGTATGTTCATATCGCCCAAGCTTCCACCCACCGTGACCAGCATTTCTAATACAATTATAGGAAGTCGGCTTCAAGGGCCTCTCTGGCGACGCCAACATCCGCTTTCTTCCAACGGCATGGCCCGACGACGCGCTTCCTGCTTCCACCTCCTCTCTTCTGGCTGTCGCACACACCAAAGGCCTCGTTGTCGGCGCGGGTCCTGATGCGCTCGTAATCAGCACTACCGAAGTCATCAGAAACTCAATCGAGGCGCCTGCCGGAGAGGATATGGAAAAAACCAAGCCATTCCAACCAATTGCCACAATTCCCCTTCCTTCTCGTCCCACCCATGTGGCATTCACACCGGGCGACGACGGCTTGATTCTCGCCACGGAGAATGGCCCTACAATTTCAGTCTTCGACACAAATTCCCTCACGCAAGGAAATGCGCAGCCAGCAATCTCCATTCCCACGAATGGAGTGTCACTAAGAGCACTGGCGCCAAACCCTGATCCTTCCTCGACACTTGTCGCACTGGTTACTATGAACGGCGAGCTTCTTATGGCGGATCTCAAGGCTGGAAGCCTACTTCCTGGACCCAATGGGCCAGTTCTCAAGGATGGCGTTAGTTGTGTCTCATGGAGCAACAAAGGAAAGCAGCTCGTGGCAGGATTGGCCGATGGCACTGGATACCAGATGACCCCAGATGGAACCAAAAAGGCTGAAGTCCCTCGGCCATCTGACTTGGAGGGAGATTGTCATGGTAAGTCTCATTCAATGTTCAGTCTTAGAGACGTGCTTTTGCTTACAATTACACAGTTTCATCTATCGCATGGCTAGAAAACGATGTTTTCTTTGTGACATATACACCAAATGCCTTGGAGGATGACATGGGAATGAACCCGCCTTCTTCATACTATATAATTACTCGTCGCAAGCAGGCGCCATTCCTCATCCAGAAGCTGCCTGAAATCTGCTCTACTATGGGTTTCATGTTAAAGCGTGCCCCCTCATTCCAATTTATTATCAGAATCAGAGATTACAAGCCCCACTTGAAAGATGTCTTGATCGTCGCATCAACTGCGTCCACTGATCTTGGACTCATAACGCGATCCGATCAGCCTCTGGCAAACGATGAGAGAACCAAGCTTCATGTTGGTCAGTTCATGACCACAGAACTCAGCGATGACACCAAACGCGCCAGCGTTCCGTTGAAGGAATCTGGAGATGAGACGTCAGTCATTGGCCTGGCGCCAAACCTGTCAGCCACTGGAAATGTCATTGCTCCGCTTCCAGGTTCCGATATCGCGGAGAGCTCAACTCCCCTGCCCGGCGTTATGCTATTGAACAACGACGGTATTCTTTCGTCGTGGTGGTTTGTTTATGCCGATTCCATTCGCCAAAACGTCCCATATTCTGGGTTGGTTTCATCTGGCCAGGCAACTCAAGTTCCCCAAGCTGAACCGCAGGCTCCGACTCCTGTATCGACCCCAGCCCCTGCACAGCAACCTGCATTTGGGCAGTCGGGCTTCGGTGGCTCGTCAGCATTTGGCCAGCCAGCCTTTGGCAAGCCAGCGGCAGCTCCTGCCTTCGGTAGCCCGTCGGCTATGGGCGCCTCAACCATGGGCGCCACTGCTTTCGGAAAACAAAGTACCCCGGCATTCGGAACTCCATCGCGGCTAGGTGGAAGCCCTAGCCCGGCCTTTGGAAAGACATCATCCCCAGCCCCGGCTTTTGGGACTCCATCTCAACCAGGAGCCTCATTTGGCACTTCCAGTACCCCCGGAGTACAGTTTGGAAAATCCGGATTTGGAGCTATGGGATCTAGTCTTGGACAATCCAGCACTCCAGCAAATCCCTTTGGAGCCAATGGCGCCGTAGCCAATGGTGGAGGATTTAGTTCATTTTCGGGTGGAGGTGGCTTCGGTAGCTTCGCGGCAGCAAAGCCAGGGGAGTCGCCCTTTGCAGCAAAAGCATCGGGCGAGTCACCTTTCGCAGCCAAAGCATCGGGCGAGTCACCTTTCGCAGCCAAAGCTTCAGGCGAGTCACCTTTCGCGGCAACACAATCAAGAGGGTCACCATTTGCAGCTTCCTCTTCTGGTGAAGGTAGTTTCGGAAAACTCTCTGCCTCGCCCTTTGGAGCCAAACCCCAAACTCAAACTTCATTCCCACCTCCAGCTTCCAACGAGGTCCAAAATCCCTTCGGCGCTGCCAAAGGTGGCTTTGAACTCAAGTCAAGCTTCAAGGGCGATGGCTCGGCTGTCAATGACGGACCAAAGCCAGATAAATCCTCCGGGGCGTTTTCATTCGGTACTTCCTTTGACAATATGATGTCAACGTCGCGCAAGGGAAGCTTGTCGCCCAGTGAATCAATGGATGACTCCGAAGACATTGAACCTGTAAACAAGGAGACTTTCTCGATTTTCGGTGGGCCAAGCAAACCTGATTCACAGACTCCTACATCGGCGTTCAGTTCGAAGATGACAACCTCGAAGACTACTACTTCGATCGGTACCAACAAGCCAGCATTTTCGATGTTCGGTACCACTTCCGACCAAAAGGGCGTGACTAGCCCCTTGTCAGTGCTGTCTGATAAGACAGAAACGCCTAAGAAGAATTGGACCAAGACATCAAGTATTGACGTGGAGACACCATTGCCACCAGATTCTACTACCAAGGCTAGTTATGCTCCTGGTGATACTTCTGCTTCTTCCAATGTGTCGAAGAGCTCTATCGAAGATGCCCCGCTTCCTCCAGATTTCACCAAAGTAAAGAAGTCTTCACCAAAACCCGAGGATGATGCCCCGCTGCCGCCTGATTTCCTCTCGAAGAAAAAGACAGCACCCAAGATGGATGATGCCCCGCTGCCGCCTGACTTCCTTACCCAGAAGAAGTCTGTACCGAAACTGGATGATGCTCCTCTGCCTCCCGACTTCCTCACTCAGAAGAAGTCTGTGCCTGAGGCAGACGACGCTCCTCTTCCTCCAGATTTCCTAGCAAAACCCAAGAAGTTGGAGGCTGCAGCTATCCCCGAAGACGCACCTTTGCCACCCGATTTTCTTGCGAAGCCAAAGACGGAATCCTTTGAAGAGGAAGTTCCAATTCCAGATGAGTCTGATGAATCTGGTCTCTCTGATGAAGATTCCGAAGTCGCCGACGAGTCGGACTTCAGTGATAGCGGCGAGGAAATCACACATGATGAGGCGATTACTGCCAAAGCCAGGCAATCGACACAGACCTCCTTTAGTGCAATGTCTGAGCAAAGCTCTACCGGTGGATTTTTCAGTAGTCCTGCTCCAAAGGCCGAGGAGAAAGGACGTCTCCCCCGGCAACTCTTTGGGGAGATCCCCAAACAGCCACTGCTTCCTCCCCCGGTTCCCATCACCCAAGGTAACCGTGAGCCCTATCGGTCACCCAGCCCTGTTCGTGGCGGGATACCAAAGAGTGTACTGTTCTCTGAGAAGTCGCAAGGCCGCAAAGGCTCCACAAGTGCATTGCACTCGCGCAAGGCATCCCTTACCCATATTGCAAAGCGTGATGGGCACCTGAGAAAGACCAGCGATGTCGCTCGTGAGGAACAAGAGAAGCAAGCACGCGCTCACGCAGCAGCTCAACGCCAGGAGGAAGATGCTTTGTCTTTGTCAGATGATGACGAGGACGATAGACTTCGTGACGACTTGGCTCAGCCCGTTGAGCCCGTCGATACCCTTGATCCATTCTTGCCTCACCAGAACTACATGGGAGAGACCGCAAAGCCAGGAATTGCTGGCCAGGTCGAGCGACTTTATCGCGACATCAACTCTATGGTCGACACATTAGGAATCAATGCTCGGTCAATGGCAGGATTCCTTCTGCACGAGCAGCCTACGAAACCTTCTGATATTGATGATTGGGTGGTGGTTCTCAACGGCGATCAGCCCGCCGATATCCTCGACACAAAGATGGCTTTGAGAGATATCGAGAGATTTGATGAGATGGTTGCTTCGATTTCGCAATCATTGGAAAACCAGCGAGTGCAGGGAGTGGATCAAAAGCTAGATGCATGCCGTGAGTTGCTCACAAAGCAAGTCGTTACCCTTCGAGGCCAGTTTGCCAGCATCCGGAAGACTCTCGATGCACACACTGATATCGGCGCCATTCTCGAAGCGCCTCTTTCCGCCGAGCAAAGTGCTCTCCAGCATGATTTGCGCACCACATTCACCAACATCCAAGTCCAAATGGCCGCTCTCGAACAAGCAGTCTCTCTTCTGCGCGCCAAAATCGCCGATATGCCCCAGGCAAATGGGGCTGGCAGAAATCGCCCAACTGTTGAGGCTGTCACCAAGACCATTGCTACGATGATGAGCATGGCTGAGGGCAAGAGCACAGATATCGATGTTCTCGAAGCTCAGATGCGCAGGCTTGGCGTTGACATTGTTAGTACAGGACCCCCGAGCCGCGAGGGATCCCCCTTCGCTACTCCTCGCAAGAACATTGCCAGTCGTTTGCCCATGACTCCTGGCTCGCGAGGCTCGATTGACAACAGTGCCTACCACACTCCCGAGTCTGCCTCGCGTGGTCTCAACTTCCGAGCCAGCATGAATGCGTCAATTAGACAAAGCCGTCTCCGCAGCGTGGAAGGTGCCAATGAACCTGCACTCCCGATGGAAGACCTGTTACAATATAAAGCGAAGAAATCGCGCCGGCAGCACTTGCATGCCCACTTGAAGAAAGCATTCGAGGACAAACCAGCAAAGGTGCGCGGTGTCGACGACTGGTAGTAGTTTTTTATTCCTATTTGCTTTCATTTGGTCTTTTGAGATTCTGATCCGAGATTTGAGGGATTTGCTTCTAGCGTGGATTGGTTTCTGGACGACGGTCTTATTTGGGCCAAGGAGTTTTGAGGGTATGCATTTATGTATGTAGCGGGATTTTCTGTCCAGCGCCACGAAAAGTGGCTTAGTTAGCTGAATGTAACTCCCATCTACATGCATTTCCTTACCTAGACCTGTCTCTTGCATTTTATCCACATAGAGAGTACGGCAGTCGACAAGAGCTAGTGTCCTACTTCAGATATTCGCCATATCAAGATCTACTGCTATGGGGACATTGGCCACTGGAGCCCACTGTAATGGAGGTTAGTGGGTATTTGTATCAAACAAAGAGGAAGGGTACACATCCAAGCACATCTGGAGACATAGAACAAGTCACAAAGCAAGAGAAAAGCAATGAACATGCTCTCATTGGGTATGGAATGCCTAAATCCGGTCTCAAAGATGACCCAAAAAAGACAAAAACAAGACAACGATAGCCACAAGGGCGATGGGAAAACAAATCCTTGTTCTATCTCACGGCGTAAATCGTATAAAAGGCCCATACCCTCGAGATTATACATACCAAGCATCAGCACCAGCATCGCCAATGATAACTCTCCTCCGATCAATCCAGAACACCAAAACCATACCCACTCAGCAAGGCACTAGGCATCCCAACTATCCACAAAACAGCAAAATGGAACGGACGAGCAATCGGTGTCCTTTAATGATGGGCTCTACGCGCCTGGAGGACCCCCGCGACGACGAAGCCTCATGGGTCACCGTAGATTTTGAATCAGTGATGAAGTATACCCATGACGACGAGAAGCTAATGGAGTTTGTAATTGACCAGATTCTAAGTTCCGAAGCCACGATTGCCCCGAATGCGCAGCATTACCTTCAACCCATGTGTATTTCGGTGCCCGTCGTTGGGTTAATCAGAACCGAGGACAATGAAAACGAAATCCTGGCTCGGGCTGAGAAGCTGGCAACCTGGTGGCTTGGGGAAATCCGTGCTAAGAGGCTTCGTATCGATCGGAAGATGATTTTCTGTCAGAAAGTCCAGGAAATTGTCATCATACAGGAATGATGGATTACTGGTCTGTGGATAGTATGCGAACTATGGGAGATAATGGCCTCCGTCTTGCTCAGCCTAACATGAATCAGTACAAAATCCGACAGAATATGAGTAGATTGGCTATTTTGAGCAAATATATCCCCAAAAAAAGAAGTAGGATTTCATTTGTAGGGAACCGTGCCTCTAAGTATCAGCCCCCCCGCACAGTCCTTATAAGCACATTAGGACTTGGTCGACTCGAGGACGCTTGTAAAGTTGAGACTCCATTTACCTCGAGTCGCCCGTGGTTCTCAAAAGACAATCGACTACCAAACAAGAAGGCACTACCGGGATGCTTGGTACATGGCGAAGGCATAACACGACGGGTGGTTTCCTAATCGGGTTGTATGGCGGTGACATCATGTACCCGTGACATCAGCCATCTGTATCTCGATATCTCCTTCCCCGACCTCAATATTCACCAACTCAGTATGCCTCAATCCGTTAGTCAGTTCATTCTCTTCCGGGTCAAGCCCTCTATCAGGCCCGAGGATCCATCTAGCGAAGAAGGCACTGGCCTACTGAACGTCTTCCAATCCACCAAAACCCAAAGCGGCCATGAGAACTCATCTTGGGGACGCACATCCGAAGACGAAAACACCATTGTCTGGGTTGTAGGTGCGTTCAGCTTCCCCTTGACTTCATGATGCAACCCTGGACCTACAATCTACCCACCCCCAGCTACGGCCTACAGTCTAACCCAACCTAATAGATTGGACGGATGCCCGCAGCTCAGCAAACATACGAGCCCTCGACCCCTTTCTGGACACAGACAACCCACAGCCAGTGTCATCACTTCACTTGACCCTGAGTCCACCAATTTCTAGCACAGAGACACTAACTAAGAACCCGATCACTGAGCTGTGCACGCTGCCTTTCGCGAGCGACCTCGATGTGCTGGCATCGAGGAAGCTGAACGCGGACTTGATTAGTTTCCGCACCACGCTACTTGAGCAATTGCCGCAGTCAGCGGGGCTGCGGTCATGGTCCATGGGACATGTGGATCGGCCCAGTAAGCTGCCGCATGCGAAGAGCCCTAGTGGACACGCTATGGTGCATTTGATCGCCGCGGGCTGGGATAGTATAGATGCACATCTCAAGGCCAAGGAAACAGAAAAGTTTGTTGAGAGTATTGCGCCCATTAGAGAGAAGATGCTGGCGCCGATGCCTGGGTTGGAGATGAAGCATGTTAGTTTCCAAAAGATTTAGGTGTTAGGGGCGGGTAGGAAGGAGACAAAGGCACCGTGTATTAGCGCTGGGGCTTGGGTGGATGTAGTTGGTGATGTGTTGCATGGATCATGGGATGTCGGTGATAATTAGAAAGGGCAGTGGAAAGGAAAAGGGCTACTTGATTCAAGGGATAATTGCGGGAATTGTTATTAGGAAGGCAGAACAATCAGATCACACGCCCTGGAATAAGATACAACAAGAAAGTAAGAAGGCAAAGGACTAACACTGCGAGAGAAATCGAGTGCAAGAAAGCAAAAAGAAAAGAAAAGACTTCATTAACCACCGTAGACTTTTGGGCAGAACCCCACAATAAGACTTCTCGTAGCAAGCGTAGTAGGTTGAGCTACTGGGCTTAGATCCGGTGCTTTTCGCTTTCTATTTCATCGATCAGAACTGAGACACACAAAAGATTACGGGGAGAACGGGGGTACGAACCAAGACGGGAATAGAGCATATAAAGGGCCATCTGGTTGCACTCAGCCGTACCAGTGATGGTCACCAGACGCTCGTTGCTGCTCTCTTGAGGCTCGTTGATCTTGATGACACTGCCGCTCAGATGACGTATCTCGTTAATTTTAGCACCACCCTTGCCAATGATTGCGCCGACCATGTCGTTGGGGATATAAATCTGTTGAGTCAGTGGCTGACCGGGCATAGCACCGCCCACGGGGGCAGGGGCAGTTGGGGGACCACGACCAGGGGTGGGCTGCTGAGGACCTCCAACAAAGGGAGCAGGTTGATGGGGTCCGGCACCGCCATAGGGAGCCTGGGGTGCCGCAGGGAAGTGCATCGGGGTCTGGGGAACGGGAGCAGGGGCGGGCTGGCCGTGGAGATAGGGAACGCCGTATGCACCGCCGCCGGCACGGTTGGGGTGTGGGTGATTACGCTTGAAAGTATCGGGGTGGCCGTATTGGCCACCGGCGGGTTGGGGAACGTAGGGTACGACCTGCATGCCACCGGGGACAGCGCCGGCAGGACCACCGCTGCGAGTGGCGTATGCAGAAGCTGCGGGGCCGCCGAAACGTTCGGAAAGCTGCTCAACCAGGGTAACAGCGACATAGTAAGTAGCAATATGGACGGCATCCGCGACACCGAGGATGACGAGGGACCGTTCGGTGGACAGGGGAAGGCAAGCATCCGAAGCGTTCAGGCGAGCACCAGAGGCCTCCTGAATCTCACGAATGCGACTACCACCCTTGCCAATGATGGAGCCGATGAGAATGTGAGGAATTAGCAAACGCAAAGGGTACGTCTTGGACTGGGCAGTGGAAGGGGCCTCGAGGGGTTCATTGTTAAGTGTACGGATGATTAAACCAAATGCCTAAGATTTTGCATTAGCAACTGGGTATTCTCACCAAATCAATTTAATGGTTACTCACTTTGGCAGCAGCATCCTGGGGACCGCTAACGGTCAGGATACGCTCCACAGCACCGCGAGAATAATCGCTGACAGTACATTTCGCACCAGACAGACGACGAATCTGGGACACATTCTCACCTCCCTTTCCAATGACGGTGGCTGCTTCCGGGCTAGAGATCACAGCGCGAATATGAACCCAGCTTGACTCATCCTGGGGGGTCTGATCAGAGCCCGCTCGGTCGGCCTGGGAAGCTGTTGATTGGATGGGCTGGGTATCAACAGGGAGACCCTTGCCATTAGGCGCATCGGGAACCACGGTATCACCCTGGGTGTCCTTGGTGTCATCAACAGTAGGAATCTGGTTGCTGGATACATCGGTCTCGGCCTCGGCCTCGCTCTTGACTACTTTGTCCAGCGCCGGGCGCTTAGCCTCGGGCTGATCGTTGGGGCCGGAAGGAGACGACGGGTCCTCGAGAGGACGCTTGGTCGACTGAAGGTTGGAAGGAGAAGCCGACATCTTGAATAATATCTGCTGCTGTTTGATTTTCACTTACAAGTGAAAGATCGGAAAGGTGTCAAGAATGAAATCTGCTTTCTTCTTTTATGATCGTCTATGTACACCAGAATTTCCCACGAAGGTGCTGGTGCTGGCGATCGGAAGGGGATATTGGTGCAAGATTGGAGAGGTTGTGAAGGAAATGTGGAACTGAGGAAGTGCCGACGTAAGACGGGAGAGGTGCAGAGTCAAGTGTCAAAGGGCTTTGCAGTCACGACCGGGGAAGCTTCACGGGGGTTTGCCGAGATGCTTGAAATGGAAAGGAAGCGAAAAGGGTGGAGGTGGGGTCCTTGGGGAAATGCGATGGGAGATATGAAATGAGGCAAGATATCAAGCGCCAGAAACCGTTGCCTGCTGTACCACACTGTAGCCACTGATAACGTCTCAAACCGAGGAAGGTGTGGACTAAACTCGCAATCCACGAGTTGTTGACTAAGATGACGATAGTACGACAGAAATCGAAGGAAAGCAAGGACAAGGGAATTGATGAAGGTGATGAAATGGAATCCGCTCGATTAAGGGGAGGAGGTGAAGTTGGAAGGAAGTCGAGCAAGCTGGTCACATGACATTGACGCGATGGATGTGCCATGGGCGCGATGCACCCTGTCTCGTGTTCAATATTTTGATTGCTTCTAAATTATTTCAATCAAACATTCGAAACAAGCCTGAATGGCAATTGAACTATCATCCAAAGCATTTTTGTCACTTTTGTTACTTCTAGAAGCAAATATCTTGTGTTCTGCGTCACCCCACCAAAATTAGCATGGATATCTCTGATCAGACTGTGCAAAAGATCCAAAAATTTGCAGAGAAGCGGCGAGACGCAGAGCTTGAATCAGAAAAAGAGCCCCTCAGTGGAACCACATTGCATGTCTACACGCGACGCTTGGATGCAACCCTACAAGGACTCCAGGAGCAAGTCAAACGCCAGCAGGATGAACTAAACAAGGTGCGCTATAGAATATACAATATACCAGAATGCTTCAACTAACATAATACTAGCTCCGGGAGCTTAACTCCCTTGATCTGACAGAAACGGGCACTGATACTTGGGCCCGTGTCTCTCAAGCCAGACGGGCCAAGAAAGCATATGACTCGCTTCTCAAGACCGATGATGAGCACCCAGCAACAGACTCAGTATTACCATCACTCCTAGCCCTTGAAGAGACTGCACGGCTTGTCCAGGAGAATAAGGTATCTGTCACAATGACAGCCGAACAACTCTCTGTGGACCGTGAGCGCTTGCGAACTGAAGAAGCCAATCTGCGCGACTCCCAATCAATCGCAAGCGGGCTTCGAGAGCGGATCAAGAGAATTCGCACTGCAAACGAAAGAAAGGGAGAGCAGACTCCCTCACAGGTAGCGCGCGAGCAGCTAGGTGAACAGAAAAAGCGGAACAAAGAGCTTGATCACACATCCGCGAAGCTCAAGGTCTCGCTAGACAAGTTCATCGATGAGACCCTCGCTCCAATGCTTGCTGCAGAGGATTTGGGCGGCCCGACTGTTGGTGATGCGTTCGAGGTGTCAGATGCTGCGCTGAAGGCGGGTTACACGGCACATGGCAAGCCTAAGAAGCAGAAAGAGCCTGTGGAATCGGAGGATGGATCACAACAGCGGATTGATAAATTTATGAAACGCAACGTGGACGAATCTTCCATAAACAAGAGGGAGGCAGCTGCAAAGGAGATGCATGATCTCCTCGACGCTATGTTGGAGGCCAACTCCTATATCGATTTGACACGCGACTCGGCGTCTTCGAGGTTCCTTGTGAGAGCCAAAGTCGCGCAGTTTCATCCTCGTGACGCACGGCGGCTTCGATTGATTGATTTTGGCCGCTCACTAGGATTCTGATAGCAAAGTAATGATTTGTACAGTTCATTGACAAGATGGTATTATTGAAGTCTGTCTTCCTATATTTCAGTCCTTTCGGTGTCGTAAACGTGTCCCAAATGCCAAACCACACTGCAAGTCCGCGCTAAGAACCATGAACGACTCCTTATAAACCGTGAATAAACAACACCTAGAGATGCTCGCACAAACGCCAGATGAATCATAAATCTCCCTTGACAGAAAAAGACCAAAAACAATAATTTCAGATAGGCATCATTCCAATCGTGGACTTGGTAGTTTTAGGTTTTGCAATCCTTCGTGGCGCAGATGACTGGCTTGCCGCACGATCGCTTGATTTGGGCTTTGACCGTGCTCCTTTGCCCTTCCAGCTGCCAGTGGAGCCACCTTTCCGTCGTGGTGGACGTTTCCCACTGGCAGATTGGCGCTTGCGACCTTTGGAGCCAGAAGGCGCAGGACCAGATTCCCAGTCGTCGGCAGAATCATAACCCGGGGATACGGGTGGAGGGAAGTAGCGACTTGTAATGCTTTCAGCTCCATTAAGTGGCGCAGTTGAGACGGGGTTGTCCAAGTTGAAAGTGGAAGCCTCATCCATGAACAAATCGTCGTCACTGTACTCATCACTGCTACTGAGATTGATGACATTATGGTGGTTGGGATCTGGGATAACGCCGCTGGTTTCTGCTTCCTGCGTCATTTCCTGGTAGCGTCGCTTTGCATTATCGACTAGTCCCAGGATCTGTCGGCCATAGCGTTTCACCTTATCCTGATCAATGTTCGGGATCGCTGAAAGCTCAGTAAGATCTATTTCATTGTTAACCTGATGGTCCAATTTCATGGAAGACGGTGCATTTACTTTTGGGGAAGGAGATGGCCATATCACGTAGCACTTGGTCAGAGAAAGGCTGGCAACGAAGACCCATTTTGACCACAAGCTATATCAAACGTCAGTTCATCAACGGTCTGCAAATAATAGCGGGAGATACTCACATCTTGGAGCATGATTTTGGCATGCTCTTGGAAGTCTTCCACAACCACACGATGCATCTGGTCAAGCCGGTCTAGCTTCTGATCGCTGGTGATTGGAGGACCCATCTCATGTGTATTCGCGCGGCGAGGCTTGCCAGATGTTCGGATCGGCTCAAAGCCGTCACTATCCTCATCGGCCGAGAAATGTGCGGTCTGCGCACCATTGTATTGAAACCGCTCAAGACGACGATCTTGAGCAGCTAGTACTGGAGACGAGACCATGGTAGACTGAGGGTCGCCGCCTTGGTTGCCAGACTTTTTCTTCTGTGCAGCAATCTGGGGTTTGCTCTTGGCTTTAGCCTTGCCATTCGGCGAGGCGCGAACCTGCAATTTCATTTGTCGTTGTCCACTTTCATACTCTGCGGCACGACGGCCGAGAATGATGTACTGAATAGCAAAGTCACTTTTATTGATCACGTTATCTTCTGCCAACGCATCTTCACCGAGCAGTCGGTAGAATAGACGTTCCGCGCCTCCGCGGTCGAGGTCAGCTCCCTTTCCATATCCTGGCATCTTACGATGCTCTGGGGCTTTAGGCCGTTTGCAATCCCCACGCAGAATATCACAGCAGTATAGTACAGTCACCTTTTCCGTTGTGTTCTGGAATTGTCGCACAATCTTGATAGCCCAGGATGCCTGTTCAGTGAAGTCATGGACCTCAAACACTGAATCGGATTTGCAGTTGTCACAAGTATTGTTGCAGTCCTCTCGGCGGAAGTATTCGGCGAAATAGGCGAGGACTTGAACTCGTCGGCAATCGCTGCGGTTCTCACAATATTGAACCACATTTCTCAACATTTGTTTCTGACGGGCTTTTTGCTGGCCATTACCATCTCCTGAGTCAATCATTCGCTTTAAAGTTGCTGCGTCTTTGTAGCCGTAATAAAGGTAGCAGCCAGAACGTTTGCCATCACGACCAGCACGACCAGTTTCTTGATAATATCCTTCGAGGCTCTTTGGGATACTGTGATGCATGACAAATCGCACATCGGCTTTGTCTATGCCCATTCCAAATGCAATGGTGGCAACTATGATATGAGCCCTACCCATCTGCCAGTTGCTTTGAGCTTCCGATTTCGCTTTTGCAGTCATACCCGCATGGTAGGAAAGTGCTTTAAGCCGGTGCTGTTTCCGGAGGTCCTCCGCAACCTTGTCACACGTCTTTCGCGAGAGACAGTAGATAATGCCACACTGATTCCGGTAAGAGCCCATAATAGTTTCCGCCATGCTGGCCAAGACTTCATCATTCTTTCCCTTCGATCGTACCTCGTAAGTGAGATTAGGGCGGTTGAAACTCTGTAAAAACACTTCACAATCTGTGATTTTGAGATTGTGCATCACGTCCACTTTGACATTCTCAGTGGCGGTGGCTGTCAGGGCCATGACTGGCACTCCAGGGAGCTTGGCTCGAACCTCTCCCAGCTCTTTGTAGTCAGGTCGGAAATCGTGTCCCCATTGACTGACGCAATGTGCCTCGTCAATGACGAGACGCGCCAGTTTATTTGCTTGATGAAGATTCTGTAGGGCTCTAATTAAGGCTTGGCTCTTGCTGAGCATCTCCGGAGTGATGTACAGCACTTCTAGTCCCTCCCCACCTCCCCTCGAGAGCTGGCTCATGATCCACGATTTTTCCTCTGACGGGGTCTCGCCGTTGACCATGAATGCCTTGACATTCAATTTTCGCAGGTGTGAAACCTGATCCTCCATTAAACTCAGCAATGGAGATATCACGATCGTCACTCCTGTAGTGGTCCCACCTTTTACCACAGAAGGCAGTTGATAGCACAGGGACTTGCCACCTCCAGTGGGCATGAGAATGAAAGTATCTTTACCAGCAAGAGTTGCGTCAATGGCCTCAAGCTGATTTGGTCGAAATCCTCGGAGGTGGAATCGATCCTTCAATACTTTTCGCACTTCTTGAGACCATGGATGGTTTGACCAGAAGGCACTGTGACCGGGTGACTTCTTTGGAACAGGGACCTTTGGGATGTTCGCGGATGTCTCTGCAAAGACTTTGCGATTTTGACTAGCTTGATCACGAACAGGTATCTGGTGAGCAGCATGAATGCCCCCTGCGGCCTCTAATATCTCATCGTCGCTAACATTCCAGTCAAATTCATCAAAATCGATAGAAGCAATCGGAGGAGTGCCCATATTGCGAGAAATCAAATTTTCATTGCTGTTCGGCCGAGGTATCTCTTTCGTCTTTTTGAGACTTGTAAGAGGCAACTGTTGGTGATTGTGAGATTCTGAGTCTGAATAGACCTGCTGAGAAGCGAAAGAAGAGAGAGGGAGTGGCTTCCGCGTGACTGCACGGTTGTCAGGGGCTGGATGGGTATGTTCCATGGAGGGATAATCGTGTACCAACTCAAGTATGTTAACTTGAGATAGAAGTTGACAGACTTTTGTTTCGATTTGCTCTAACTCTGCTTCAACTGTTCGGCTCTGCGCAAGTTCTTCTGGCATTGTAGTTGGATCAAGACCTTGTGAGATGGCGCGTATCAATTTTTGCTTCAGGTCCTGCTTGCGAGAGACATGGCCTTTGTGTATGTTCTGATTCTTTTGTAATGATTCAATTGTGTCAATTTGAGAGACAAGATTCTTGTTCTCGGCGATCAATTCTGGGACTGGCTGGCCTTCCATGGCCTGTTGATAAACTATTTCGGAATTCTTCTGCAGAGTCGCCCTCAACTTGGCGATTGCATGTCCAAAGGCATTTTTTTCAAGAGCCAAAAACTCTAGAAGATCAGGATTTTTCTCCTCCGAGTTTGATGGTTTCGACCACGGTGTGGACGGTATAGGGTCTTGAGCAATCGGCTTTTTCTTGGTCCGGGTTGACGGTTCTGCAGGTGGAAGTGGTGCTTTGGGTGTCGATTCTGACCGCGAAAGCTTGATATCGATCTGTGTTCTATCTGCCGCCGGGCTCATCTTAGGGAGTATGGGGTAAAAACTCTCATCGGCGTCCAGAACCATTTCATCGGCCGCATCATCATTGTCAATCCAGTCGTCAAAGAGATTATCGTCATCATCCGAATCTGCAATGACTCGTTTCCGGTGGCTTTGTGGAGCCACGTCTGGCTGATCTTGGGATCGTTTCACTGCGCTTGGAGGATTCACTTGGGTTGATTGAAGTGCAAATGTGGACTGTCCCGATAGAATATCCATTGCAGGCGTGAGTCGGGATGCTTTGGATGGAGTTCGCACTTTCGTTCCATGTTTGGACGGCGAAAGAAGGTCAGATGTATACTCGTCACTCTTGCGCTTCTTGCCGCGTTTCTCACGGGTTCCACATGGCGTGCTTTCTTCTGCCCATGACCTGCGCGACTCTCCGAGTTTGACTGTATCCGATGACAACGTGGAACGATCGAGCTCCCCTGTCAAATCAATCGATTCAATGTCATCGCGTCCAGGAATGTTGAAGCTTTCTGAGCGCAGCGGAGTAGGTTTTTGTCGTGGAGGTTTGTACGATGATAGTGGTGGTTCACGGAATGAATCTAATCATACATAATGCATCAGTCTAAGAGTCCTAAGGGTATTCGTCTGGTTTGGGTCATATACCTCGAGCTATGCTTGATTGCTTAGGCGAAGTTCGTCTCTTCGAAGGTGATGGGGCATTCGTTGGAACCGTGTCATTTCGGCTTAGCATTCGAGGTTTTCTCGCAGATTGGGGCAGCAATCTAGCCATCGCTTCGTCTGTCTCATTCTCCACGTCTTCAAGGATATCATCAAGTGCTGCGAACTCGTTGGCGGGGGAAGGCGGTTGCGGCAGTACGCGATTGTCGCGTCCAGGTAAGCCGGGTTGAGCCAGAGGGGCGCACGGAGGTTTCCCTTGGGTCAATAACCATTTGAGATGAGTCGCTAAGTTATTCTTCGTCATGGGGGCCTAGTGCTGTCATGGCCGTCGATCTTGGTGTTTGGAGTAATTGGAACAATCGCGAAACCGATATGGACGCGTCGGCACGTGAGCGGTCAACCAAACTGATCTATGGCAGTGACTACCTTCAAGAAGAGCAGTTGCGCAGTCAAATAAGATTGAAACTTTAGAATCGGAATTGATTTTCGCTATCCATATTCTAGTTGGTTGTATTTCACGAATCTATATTTGGGAAAACCCCCTAATGCGACCAACACGCCCCAATACGATACGTAGATCTGGAGGGGGCAATTCAGTGTGGGGAAAGGCATAATTTTTGCCCCACGAACAGAAGACCGCAAAAACTCACATTTTGTGATCCAACATCGAATCAAAATGGGTAAAAAGAATAAGAAGTCCGCCGAGCACAAGGAGCGTGTGGCAGCAAAACAGACAAAGAAGTCTGCACAGAAAGAAAAAAGATCTAAGGCCAAGGGCAAAGACGTAGACAGCGATGCTGAAGATGCAGACCTGGATGCGATTCTGGCCCAGTACGCTGAAGAGCAGGCCAAGTTCTTGAAGGTTACTGAAATCGTCTCTGAGCCACCAGTTCCTCGCTCGTCTTCGACAATACTGGCTTCTCCGTCCAACCGGAATGAGCTGTTGCTTTTCGGCGGAGAGTACTTTGATGGAACGCACGCTACTTTCTTCAATAACCTATACGTCCACCTCATTGATCGCGGCGAGTGGAGAGAGGTGACTAGTCCGAACAGTCCTCTCCCTCGAAGTGGTCATGCATGGTGTCGTGGAGGAAACTCCGGAGGCATCTATATGTTTGGAGGTAAGCTTTCCTTCCTGGATCTCTTGGGTTTGTTTGCTCGGAAGTTGACACGATGTAGGAGAATTCTCGTCGCCGAAACAAGGCACATTCTATCACTACAATGATTTCTGGCATCTAGACACTGCGACGAGAGAATGGACTCGTCTTGAATCCAAAGGCAAAGGTCCCCTCTGCTAGAAGCGGTCATCGCATGACCTATTTCAAGGTGCGTGAAATCCTGGTCTTTATCCCCATCAGATCAGAGCTAATAACGAAACAGAACTACATCATACTATTCGGTGGATTCCAAGATACTTCTCAACAGACCAAGTATCTGCAGGATCTCTGGATTTATGATTGTAATCAGTATACCTGGTCTAACCCTACGTTGGCCATTGCATCTCAAAAGCCCGACCCCCGCTCATCATTCTCTCTGCTACCTCATGAGACTGGAGCTGTTCTCTACGGAGGATACTCCCGAGTGAAGGCAGCGGCAGGTGGTAACAAGCAAGGCAAGGGTGGTGGTCCCCAGAAGATGGCTCTCCGCCCCATGGTCCACCAGGACACTTGGTTCTTGCGAATCACACCCCCTGCGCCCGAAGCTCCTTCGTCAACGGCACCTGCGGTTCGATGGGAGCGACGAAAGAAGCCCGCCAATACGCCCAACCCGCCCCGTGTCGGCACCACCATGGCGTACCACAAGGGCCGTGGAATCATGTTTGGTGGTGTCCACGATGTTGAATTGACCGAGGAGGGCATTGACAGCGAGTTCTTCGACTCCCTCTTTGCTTGGACCACCGACAGAAACCGTTTCTTCCCATTGAGTCTGCGACGTCCTCGCGCAGCTGGCAAGAAGCAGCAGGCCAACCAAAATGCCAAGTCTAAAAACAGGGGCAGGGCGGACGAAGAGGAGCTTTTAGCAAACCTCAAAGCCCTGGAGGCTAAGGTGGGTATTCAGGCCGACGATAACGATGATACGGAGGCAAACACGCCTCCACCCGAAGAGCCCGTTGAGCCCGCAAAGCCCTCGGTTGTTCGTTTTGAAATGCCACACAGACGATTCAACGCGCAGCTGGCAGTGCAGGACGATACCCTGTTCATCTTTGGTGGTACCTTTGAAAAGGGCGACCGGGAATTCACTTTCGATGATATGTATTCCATTGATCTAGTCAAACTGGATGGCGTCAAGGAGATCTTCTACAGAGAGCCCGAGAACTGGCACCTCTTGGACGAAGCTGAAGACAGCGACGAAGACATGGATGACGAGGATGAAGATGAAATGGATGAAGAGGACGATGAGGCTGAGGCCGAGGCGATGTCTGTTGATACTGCTTCGCCTGCCTCAACGGATATCACAGTGCCATCCGTTACTAAGGACATGGAACAACTCGAAGTCGAAGAGCCAGAAGAACAAAACGTCAATGACAGCAGACCTTTGCCTCGGCCATTCGAAAGCTTACGAGAGTTCTTCAGCCGCACTTCGGAAGAATGGCAAAACATTATGATCGAAGTTGCCAAGGAGATGGAGCAGGCTGGCGACAAGACAATCAAGGAACTGCGCAAGGCAGCATTCTCGATGGCCGAAGAGAAGTGGTGGGATAGTCGAGAGGAGATCATGGCTCTGGAAGATGAGCAAGAAGAGGCGGGTATTGGAGAGGTTGTCAGCATGTCTGAGCGTACTGAGAACATGGGAGGAGCTGGTCGTCGCCGTTGATACCATCTATAGGGATGTCAAGAAAAATTCATGCGTTAAACGTCCAATTATCAAGACTAATTTTCTGCCTTTCTCGTATCTACATATTCATATCCTCTAATCCTGGGCAATCTTGGCCAACACATCTGTCACCAACGCAAAATCTCGATCCACATCAACGCGCCAATTCGAGATTGCAATGCGGCAAGCAGGGGATCCATCCCAGCTGGTACCCGAGACAAACATTCGCGAGCTCTCGTTGATCTTATTTCCCAGCACTCGGTTCAAGCCCTCCACATTTGCACGAAACAAGACACTCATAAATGTCTTATCGAGCAATTCAGCCTTTGACGACGCTTGCGGTAAAGCTGTGTACGCAGAATGCTCGAAGATCCAGCCGTTAATTTTGCGAGCGAGGTTAATCTGACGTTCCAGCATCTTTTGATATCCGACCCTGCCATATGATAGCAGCGATGCATACACCGGCAATGCTCTGAAGCGACGAGAGTTCTCGATTCCAATGTTTAGAGGCGAGGGGATAGAAGGCCCATCGGAGTTTCCTGCAGTCAAGTAGGCTGCGTTTGCATTTTGAAAGACCTGTGATGCCACATTGGAGTGTCGAGTGAAGAAAAAGCCACAGTCGTAGGGAACATTAAGAAGCTTGTGGCCGTCGCCGGTAATCGAATCGACCAATTCAATTCCTTCACTGCCGTTCTTGATTGTAGCAAACTCCGGGCTGTCATCAAGAACACGGCCAAAGATTCCAAATGCTCCATCTGCATGTATCCAGGCTCCGTATTTGTCGCACAGCTGGCGTATTTGTCTCAAATCCGAACCGGTTGTCGCAAACCGGCCGGTGTTGACCTCCCCACAGGACACCGCAACAATGCTGACCTTATCTTTCCTCGCAAGTTCTTTCTCAAGCTTATCGATATCAAAGCGGAGGGGGTCCTCCGCTTGGCAGATGTTGTGAACATTGGAACGACCAATGCCTAGGACGCCAGCAGCTTTGACGAGGGACGAGTGTGGGAGTGTTGATAATACTTGCACCCCAGAAAGATCCAAGGCATTTAACACTTCAAACAAGCCCTCTTCTCCCACGCTCTGCAGTTGACAGCCTTTTCTCTCAGCCGCCTTTTGTAAAACAAACTCACGCCCACATGCTAGGCCGAGGATGTTGCTCCCAGTAGCACCAGTTGTGAACGTTCCATTATGCCAGATAGAGCGGTCTAATTGGAAAAGATCCACCAGAAGACCGAGTGCATTGTATTCCACGTCGGTTACAATGGAATGGTTTGGGAGATGCACTTGGACGTTCTGGTCGTAAGCTGAAACAACGTTGTCCGCGAACAGCGCTGCCGGGGTAGTTCCGCCCGTGACAAAACCGTAGTAGTTGGCACTGAGGCTTCCTCCATTGAATGCTGGGACAATGTCATTGATAATGTGTTTCTGGACGGACTCAAGACTCGAGCCAGTATGCGGGAGCGAGGCAGGAAGAGAAGCTCTCGCTCGCGCCAAGTTCTCGGTGCTGGGGAGAACGCCCGACTCCCAGGGCCCTTGGGCAGCTTTCCATAGATCTTGTTGGGCTTGGTTCTGCATGGCTGCAATGTGTGTAGCGAGAAATTACCTCTTCAGATAGACACATTCAGTGCAAACTTATACCGGTACCACCGGGATCTCGGGATTTGGAACTGAGCCTCCTTATAAGGTTCGGCTGTACCTTCTCAAAACAGTACTCTCCCCTGATTCTATCTACCGATCCTCGCGCCGTATGATCAGGTACGAATCACCTTGCAAGACAACAGATCATCCCAGAGAAAAACGTGGAAGTCAAGGATGTACACCGTACCGGAATGGGGGCGGGGTAGACCTCCGCGGCGTTCAGCTTCTACAGTATGTATGTAGTGATCCAGTCTTGAAATTGAATACCTTTGCCAGGAATCGTGGAAGCCTACGTTGTACATACACTCCGTACCTGAGCCATCGATAGAGGCCGCACATCGGGTTGACTTGCCCGAGGACCCTGAATCCTGATAGCCTTTTTTTCTCACTCCTACATGCACAAGATTACAACCAAACTTCGTAGAGCCACCTGGGCAAACCCCCAGGCGGAGGAATGTCATCTAACCCTGCTGGGTTCAAAAAACCAAACGCAAAAAAAGCAACGACCGTGGATTGAACACGGGACTTCAGGATAATTGCGCGCATTTACATGCATTGCATGCGATGCGCCTTGCAATCCTACACTCTACCACTGAGTTACCGCTGCGGGGGTGATAGTCAGCCAGTGAATTAAGCTAAATAACATAATAATTTCTGAACTCACACGTTCAAAATCAATCCATGTTCATTACTTAGCTCTGAATCTGGGCACGGCAGATTGGTGCATTTGCAGCTGTTGCTTATATACCCGCCAACCCATGCAGCTATGCTATTATACCAATGCAAATTTATATTCAAGAATCCCTAGAGATCCCTAATTGCCCTAATGTCTAAACCTTTCAATCCCTAGATGGCCCTAAAACACCTGCCCTACGCATTCGGGCGTTTTTAGGGGGGGTTATGTAAGGATTTGCCCTATGGACAGATGCAAAAATCTGCTGTGCACAGGTCCAGGCCCCATCATCTAGGAGTTATTATAGAGAAGATATATGTATGTTGTATATATAATATCCCCCACATCCATGTATGTACAAGTAGATATATCCAGATTACCAGGGTTCAAGCTAAATCATCTCATTTTAACGGCCCGGGCCCGGGCGCCCACTTGTTTAAGTGTGGAACAAAAAAAAAAACAAAAAAAAGCAACGACCGTGGATTGAACACGGGACTTCAGGATAATTGCGCGCAATCGCATGTGTCTACATGTTTTGCGCCTTGCAATCCTACACTCTACCACTGAGTTACCGCTGCAGGTTATATACGGGATTGAGCTTTTTAATTATAACACCTCAATGACTTTAGACGCAATTCATTGCCTACATACATCTTTCTGATGGACTTTGTGACGGCCTTATTTTGTTTTTGTTTGTTTCAATTGTTTCTTAATATTCTTTAGACTAGGATCTAGTACAGAGTACACTTATGTATCCTGCAATCAATCTTGTTATTTATATTGGCCCAAACCAAGCGATTTCGCCATAAAGCCCAGTACATCCATGGGCTGCCAGATGGATAATATATATTGCAGAGAATGGGGTTCACTGTCCAAGGCGATTTTGCCTTCGCATAACTGCCAAACTAGCTGACCACAAACCCCAGCGTTTCATAGGGTGGCGAAGACTATGTTGACAAAGCTTTAAGATATTCAATACAAATTTCATGAAGGCAATCGGTCTTGACATGGCTCGGCGCTTGAACTTGAGTGATAAATATTATGCGCCAGCAAAAGTCTGGGATCCCCACCATGGGGGTGAATGCAGGTGCAAAGGCCGGATTGGACGGTATATATCCAGATTCTGTGAGCAATGGAAATAGCGCACTGTGAGTGCGATAGCCCTTACCAAGATCCTTGCCAAGGAAGTTGCCCCGTTCAACATCCGCACCCTCACTGTCGTTCTCGGAACCTTCAACGCCAACATGCCCAACTCGGTGGTTCTAGACAAGACTCCACCACCAGAGGACTATAAAGAGTCTTTTGCCGAGCAGATTCAAGATCTTCTGGTCAGTGGGAAGATCAAACCCAACGCTGACACGGAAAAAGCCATGCAGTTTGTGTACCAGGTTGTTGATGGAGAGGGAATTGGTGAGGGTCATCAAATGGAGAAGCTTCTTCCACTGCGGAGAGGGGTTCAGGAATATCTCGGGCATGCTTTGGAAGTGTTTGGATGTATGACAATAGTGTGGGTATTGATAAATAGAGTGCATTGTTACAAATTGCTAATAATCTCAATTCCAAAGTAGGGGCCAACGAGGTGATGAGCTCGCAGGTGCTTTTCCGATGGACGAATGGGCACGAAGACAAGACACCCTTTCAAGGTTGGAACGTGGGATGATGACTGAAGAGATGGGGGGACCTTCAGCCGGCGGGGTTCCAAGGTACATCCATGAATGTAGATACTGCATGGCGTGATGTGATTGGCTGAGAACCAACCCCCCTCTGTTTTCAGCCTCATTGCGGAGTACAGGGTTGGGGATCAATTATCATTGTACACGTACCTATGACTCACCTCCTGACTAGTTCTATTTGAATATTTACTAGGTATACAGGGCCATAAGGTTATGCACACAGAAAGTTTGTATAGGGCATAAGAGAAGTTAGTCCTTCCTGCTATCGATTGCTATATCTAGGATCCTATATCTCTGTAGACGACCTCGCTATATCGATATATGTAGGTCGTGGGTCCAAAGAGAAAGAAACTGGACGATCCTGATCAAACGCCACAAGGATTGAGTCCTGCCTTAGCGCTAAACATAACAAACTACCCGTCTGACACCCGTAGACACACTTTTGGGGAGTTTGTGACTCACCAAAAGTCGAAGATCTGAATACTTTGCGTAAAGGCTTTCATCTATAAATGTGAAGCTTTTCTTGTGTCACCTTCTTCTCCTTCCCCTTCCCCCCTAAAGACATCCAAACCTCATATCTCGCGACTAGCCGCTCTCTTAGCCATGGAACAAGTTAGGAGAACGTTCTTCGACCCCCTGGCCACGTCGAAGGACCAGGTTCGAGAGATACTACAGAAACTTCCGGTCGGCTCTGCACACCCTTTCAGTCCCGAGCGACTTCTGCTTTGTCGGACGCACAACGGAATTGAGGAAATTGATATTTCTTCCCATACGGAAGACTTCTTCTTCAATGCAGTTGATCTGGGCGAAATGGGCGAGATCCTTCTGGAGCGCATGGCAGGCTTCGCTGAATTGGGTATGTTTTCTCCCGCTACAGTCCTACAAAATTCATCAATGGACGGAGACTCATCATGTGCAGAGATATTCAAGGACTTTCAAATAATGCAAGCATCAAATTTAACATTCAAAGTCCCGATAGTATCTGGTGAAATCGCAATCTTGGCGGTCTCTAAAAGACGGCCCACATACTATGATCTCTGCTTCGCAGATGCATCATGCAATGCGTGTTGCTGGAAAGCAAGAAGAAAATTCCCGGGAATCATTCATAGCGGCGACATAACAAAATCACATATCCTCCTACATCATATCAGGATAGACCAGCAAGACCTCACCGAGAAGGAACTCTGCGTGTTCATATCTGGCTACGAATACACCCCGATAACAAGTTTTCTGGGAACCAACCCTGCATTACTTGTTGCAAATCATGTGGAAAAGGTATTCTCTACATAATTGCTTTTCCGGGCCTTGATTAATCGTTGTTTATAGGTTCTGTACATCGTCCCGGTGCCCCTGGATGCAGCAACAATTGGAAAAGCAACTATCTGTTGCCCACTGGTTATAAAGCGTGATGAAGACTTCCTGATCTGCTCAATCTTGCCAGCAGCGGCGACAGACAACGACATAAGCTGTTTTGGTGACAGGTTGGAGAGTCATTCCTTCTCCGAAGCGATCCAGCGTGCCGACTTCGCCATCTCTGCTCCTTCTCCTAGTGCCGCACAAAGTGAGTCCTCTCAATATCAACTCAACGGATCCTTTGATACTGATACATACGCAGAGAAAGCAAATATGGGGAATTCAACCAAAGAGAATGCCACATCAAGCCTGGAAACCCGAAGCGAGATTACCGAAGAAATTGCCGTGTTTACCACCGATTTAGCGAATATCCCTTCCTTCCTCGACCTTGAAAAGGCACAGCTCATAATTTTTGGGACTGGAATTGAATTCCAGCTACCAGGAAAAGAGCTTTCGAAGAAGACTGGGCCACCCGCTGTTGTTTTGCCATGCATATTTGGTTCCCAACTACAAGGCCCATTTCTGTTAGCAACCGGAACGGTCCCTTCAAATGTTCCTTTTGCAAATGAATTTGAGATTCTGGACTACTACAAGCAACTCAAGAATGCCGTGGTGGTCGTCGATGATCGCATGACAGATAACGCCCGGAATCTCGCGACGACCTACAGGATCAATGCACTCTTCATCGTAAAACTTTGTCCCGAAAATCAACCCAAAAATAGCGATGATATCCTGTTGTTGTTGAACTCAGCCAATATCAATGCAGTGACAGCACTTGCAGGACCGCAATCCTTGATTCTGATTCAAATATCCGAAAAGTATTACTTTTACCGGGGACTTGCTAACCGGGCACATATCAACACGTCTAGAATTGCATTTGGTTCAGATGTGACGGCTGTGCTCGAGTCTGTTGGTATGGGATCTATATTAGATCCAAGGATTGAGCGAATAATTACGCTCGGCGATAAAAATTCAATCATCTTGCCCACTTCAGGCCAGTTCGTTCAACCGCAGAATCTCCAGAAGCTGTTCGAAGAGCTTTCAATTGATCAGATCAAAGACCAAGAGGAGGATATAATAGCAGCAGTTCCCCAATTACAAATGCTTTTGGATGCGAAGGATTTGCAAGAACTTTCCAAAGCCTTGGTGTTTGTCCTTTCATCAAAGATAAACAGCGCTACAGCAGAATTGAAGACTACCTATACGAGCTTTCTAACCAAGGGTTACAACACGACAGACCCAGAATCTGCCAAAAAGAAGAACAAGATGCTTGGGGAATTGAGAAAAACTACCAAGGATATCCAAATAGCCCTCGAGCCGCTGATTTCGGCCCTGGCTAACATGATGTCTGCTCAGACGACTTCAAAGCGAACCCACGATCTGAAGAGACTCGTCCGCCAAACGCAGATTCAAGCTAATGTTGAGGCTACCAAGTCCATGACTTTCAATACTCTTGCCGGCTATCTCGAAACCTATGCGGGAGAAATGGGTGTCATGCTGTTAAATATTGAAACAACATCGTATTCCGAGATCTTGGGCAATATGAGAAACACCGTTATCGACGCCAGGTATGTGACAGGCTATCTAAACATTTTTCTTCTTCAGCATCGAATACTCCATGAAACATCTATACAACATGAAACTAACCTCTTTTCTATAGTTCATGCTGCAGTCTTGACTCCAGAATTCTGCATCTCGAAGGATTTGATGCAGGTATCATTCTAGAGCAGTCTCAGGCCCACCACGATGGCCCACTTAGAAGCACAGATGGACCGTCACACCCTATTTTGGCGTTGCCGTACCTGAGCCAGGAATCGGGAAGTGGATCAATGTTAGCTTGGGTCTGTTGGGACGAATTCGTCAATCTCAAAAGTCCTTACACTGTGAGATGGATGGAGAAGTGCAATGAAGCGCACATCGCCGCCCTAAGAATCATTATGAGGTCTACTTTCAGCCGAGCAGTGGCGTCTAGAGACCTCAACATTCAATCCAACAGCACGGAAAGCGGCCATCTCATGAGCGCATTGCTGATGGCGGCCATGTCGAAACTCGCTGCGATGAGAACAACTGCGCCAGTCGTGTCGGAGAACGTCGAGGATACCGTTACAAAATTGATGCGGGGACTCTTCGGCAATTTGCTGACAATCGCAGGGTCAGGAGTGCGCCCTCTAAGCATGGTATGGCAGCTATTTGGTCTGAGTTCTCAATTAGATCTTCCCCAAACCGACGTGGACTGGATTTGGTACGAAACCGTCGTCGCGTTGTATCCTTACACCGAGTGGCCGCTCAGACAGTTCTACGATAATCTGGAGAAACTTCTTGACAAGGCCATTGTCCGTGTGGTTACCAAGAACGAAAATCAGGATTGGGTGAAAGTGAGCCGAACAGTTAAAATGGCCGAATGCTGCAAGCTCCGAAACATTCAACTCGACCAGTATCGCAAAATCATCACCGTGCTTATGCGAGCCTTCAAAGCTGAGGACACCAATATCGCTGCCATTTCAGTTCGTCTGCTAGAGCGGCTTCCACAGTTGGACCGACAGAGTGAGGGCTTTACCTGCATGATCAGGTATATTCAGCATCTTGCTAGGGGAGGTCAGCGACGTATCCGCGACGACATCGTTGCCGCCAACATTTACACCTCGCGCTCAGCTACCTTTGCCGAGCTCAAGATTAAAGTTAAACAAGCTTGCGAACACAAGGAATGGAGCACGGTGAAGGAATCCTGTCAGGCAATTATGGACAAGCACGCCGAAATTGCCTCTTTCTGGCATGTGGAGCCCGAATCCGTGAAAGTGCAAAATATGAAGGTGTACAAGAGCCTTCTGGATGCAGACTTCGGTGATGATGCCAGCGAAGCTACAGAGATTAAAATCCGCGAACTACATAGCCAAGTCGTTAGCGATGCAGAGACATGGCGTGTTCCCTGGCAAGTTGGAAAGAAGAGCGAGTTCGGCAACGACATCGAACCTCTTGATGAGGGTTTCCTCCACGAGATTCTGACAGGAGAAAACCACGAGTCCCCCGCCGCGGCCGATTTCACGGGAGAATCGGGAGCGGAGATGATTGCTTCAGTCGGAACAACATCATCTGATGAATTCACGCAGTTCACATCGTCAGTGCGACTCAGTTTCATCTCCACGATGCAGAAGAAGATTTCAGCTGAGGACGTTTGCCGTATCGTTCATGTTCCTGTTACTGCAATGCGTGTGTTTATCAAGGCTCTCAATCCGGAGTTTGTGTGGGAAGACTTAGGCGAGAACTTCAAAGTGACGGTTCTGGGCCTGTTGGAAAATCGTTCGAATCGGATAGAAAGTCGCCCTACTGCGAAGCTCTTAAGGTTAAAGAGCGAGGAGAAGAAGCTACAGATCGAAGGGTGAGGTATGATTGGCTTGGAATATGTTGGGTACTGAAATCACATCTATAATATGACAATAAGGTACCGATGATCGTCTTCGGATTCATGCGAAACTCAGTAAATCAAACAGATATTCTCGTCCTCGGGGAGAACGTCGTGAATATCTTCGTCGCGCAGCCAGTATTGATCAAGGTGATTGTGGGCGATGCATAACCACTCTCGGTTGGAGAACAGACAGTTTTGGCGTGTATCAGGTTTGTCAATAGCACGAAATGAATCTGACTCCAGCCCTATGCCCGAAGCCAGACTTTTAGGGAAGTTGGAACATCCCTGATCAAGATACTGCGTTACTACGTCTCAATATTCTCTCTATACAAGCCAGCGTCAAGGATGTCGACGATACAAGTTTGGCAATTGGACAATTTTTCGCGATTCGTCTGTTTAAACCATGAACTATGCCACTATATATGAAGGATATGGATGTAATTCATAGTCGATAATGATCTCAAGCAGCAATAACCGAGTCCGAAACCTCGAAAGGGGATGCGAGGCAACGGTCATACAGCGCTCTACCCGACTCCGCGAATGAATGGCCGTACAACAAGATTTAATAGGCCCTAAATCTCACACGGTCGTTACCATTCACCAGCCGAGAGACCAAAAAAAGGGAGAACAAAATGAGTCGGCCGCTGATTAGACCGGAGTAACCGCGCGCGTAAATCGACCCAATTACAAGCAAACCTCACCATAAAGAAGACGTTCCCTCTTTATAAACTGGAAGGAAAATATTTCTTTCTCTTTCTATTGCTATCAGTGTTTTCATACTTGCCATGACTGTCCCCCTCAACTTACGTCTTGCGTCTCTAGACCATGATGACCCGTGGATCGTTGAGCAAAGATATCTCGAAATCATCAATGACTATTTACAGCCCGACAGCCAGATATCCGCATCTGATGCTGCTACTGGGGTGAACAAGCTGACTCCGATGAGCCGCAAAGCTCGAGGCGAAGAGGTAGAGACCCCAGAAAGCTGGTGTTTGGAGGTTTGGAGCACATTCAGCGAAATTGTGAAACAGATTCCGCATGATCACCCGTCACAGGATAAAATGGTTGAGTTCATCAAGGCATTAAAAGCTTTGCCAGGCGTAGAGGTGAAGCTCTACCAGACGGTATTATTCATCTAGCGCCATTCCGCATGACGAGCACTAATTTGCCTATTCTTTGATGCAGGTATCGGCGCGGATTTGGACAGATCTTCCCTATTTGAATGAAGTGTGGAAGGATTCCTATATGGGTAAGAGTCAAGCTACAGTGATATTAATTTTTATGTGCTAAAGGATCTTTGGGCAGACCCCGGCCCTAAGCATGATGCTTCAGGGTTGGAGAGGTGCGTGAATTGGCACGCGTTTTCGGCCCGTGTCCTTCAATCCGGCTTAGCAGATTGGTTTTACTTGACAACTTGCTGCATCAATAAAGCCCTTGAAGAGCCTCACGAGGTGAATGAATCCTGGGAATGTCAAATCCGCGCGGCAGCACAATGGATCGAGCATTCCAGGGACGTCATCTTTCATTCCCTAGACAACTTGGCCGATTTCAAGGACTTGATACCCGGTCCTCTGTATACAGGCAAAGGAGGCTTATCTCGCGAAAGGTGGGAGTTTTGGGAAGCAAGGTTCCGTGCATTGGCAGAAGATGGGACGCTTTCAGAAGGAACCATATCCATGTGTGGCAATGCTGCAAGACAGATGGCTGGAATTTCTGGTGTCAACGGCGACAAGGATCAGCAGGATTCAAAAGAGATATCGCCATCAGAAGCCTAGTGAGCATATCAAATTGGACTGGCGCCTTTTGGCGAATCGAGAAATGGCGAATCAAGCGTACGACAATAGTTGCTATCCTGGTAGTTCGTTCCCTCATTGCTGGCTTTCCAACTAAATCATGCACCCAAGACCGAATCTAACAATATACTAGATTGAACCAGTAGGATATTTCTCATCGTGCGTTCCTATTGTATATCATCTGGGCTAACTACCGAGTGTAGAGGAACTTATTGCGTAGTCAAGACACGTAACCATGACGTGAACCATCATTTCCCTTCTGGCTGGCCCAGTATCCTGCGACAAGAGCTTTCTACATATGATCAATTACCGGACTACTCTTCCAGCATGGGTACAGAATTGGCTTTAAGCTAGGATTTTCCCCCGAAAGAATATGGCACGTTGTGTGGTATAAATCGAGCTCCTCAAGCACCGGGTGGCAAGAGGGGGTTGGTATTTTATTGCCCTAGCTTTGCTTCTATGGGACTCTAATCTGAACAGATTTACAAGACCAGCCTTTCTTACTACCCGGCGCACATTTTCGACTTCATCCATTGCCATGGCATCCCGTATCAGTGAGACAATCAGACAGGACCACCGGGAGATAGAGTCCTACTACAATCATATCATCAGTATGCCCGATGAAAATGATCGAAAAAAATGGCAGAATCTATTCACCTGGGAATTAGCACGCCACTCAATTGGTGAAGAGCTGGTTGTCTATCCTGCCTTCGAAAAGCATCTGCCCGCTGGCACTGAAATCGCCGACAAAGATCGCCAAGAACACCAAAAGGTCTGTTGATTGCCTTCCAGTTTACTTTCTCAGTGCTAACAAGATATTCGCAGGTCAAAGAGCAACTGAAGCGGTTCCAGAACATGAAGCCCTCGGATTCTGACTTCATTCCTACCCTCCAAGCTCTGATGGCGGATTTGTTGGAACATATCAGAGAAGAGGAGACTAGCGATTTGCCCCAACTCGAAGAAGCTCTGTCGGAAGAAGAAAGTCAGAGCTACTCCACTACTTTTGGAAGAACGAAGATGTTTGTGCCATCCCGCTCCCACCCTAGTGCACCGGATAAGCCGCCCTTTGAGACGGCTGTTGGTCTTCTGACGGCTCCGATTGATCGCCTCGCTGATCTGTTCCGCAAGTGGCCTCATACTTCGGGAATGCCTAATCCTTCTCCATTTGGGGTTTAATATCAAATGAGGAAGTTGACAGGGAGCTCAGAATAGTCGATATACTTTATCATACTTTCCTTTATCGATGTATAAGTTTTCTTGCGATTAATTGTGTCTAAAATACATGTAGACAATAGCACGGATGTAAAATTCAATTCATTGATAGCGCTACATAATGAGCCAATATATGGGATCCTCAAGAGGCCTACAAAAATCACCTGGAGCGACAATTACCAATATTTAGATGTAGGAAGAGCCAAGCTTATAAAAATTCTAGTTGTAAATATTCATGTAGATCCCCCTATATTTGGTCAGAAACTTGTTGATAGAGAAGCTTGAACGAGGCTCGGATAAGATGAGAGGCCGAAACAGGACCCAGCAGACTCCGGTCTTGTTTGACAGACAGCTTTGTGCAGGGAACAGGTGGTGGCTACTATGTTTGTACTTGTGGATAATGATACGTCATTCCAATGTCATTTAGCCAGACGGGCTCTATTCGCTGGTAACCTGAACTATATAAAAGACCAGCAAGTCTGCAGGTTGTGGCCATATTCAACAATTGAAGTTTCAGTCCCAACTCCAAATCTCTTTGCAATGCCTTCTAAAAAAGTCCTCATTATCCTCAGCGACGCCCACTCCTTCCCTCTCAAGAAAAACAGAGGATCCGACGCTGGCAAGGTCGTCGACCAACCGTCGGGATTCTTCCTCCATGAACTTGCAAAGCCATTACAGAAAATCCTCGACGCAGGACACGAGGTGACATTCGCCTCGCCCAAAGGTCTCCAACCCGCTCCAGATCCAAACAGCGAATCCCTCATCGCCTACGCCGGCAATTTTTATGAGCGCCAGCGCGAATTTGATCTCATGGAACGCATGAAGCGTGAAAACGGATTCAGTAGCCCACGACCGTTCAGCACCATCAGCGACGATGAGTTGGCCACCTTTGCGGCGGTCTTCATTCCGGGTGGACACGCTCCGCTTCAGGACCTCGGTGCGGATGCGGAACTAGGACGCATCCTGCGTTATTTCCATAAGGAGAACAAGCCCACGGCTGTCATTTGTCATGGTCCTTATGCGCTGCTGAGTACGAAGAAGGCGGGGGATGGGTCGTTTGTTTATGATGGATACAAGATTACCTCATTTAGTGATGCGGAAGAAAAAATGATGGAGACATTATGGGGCGGCGAGGTCGAGAAGGTGGAGTCGGCGTTGAAAAACGAAGGAGCGGTGATGGTGGAGGGTGTTCACGAGAAAACTGGTGGTACCACGTTGCACCGGGAGCTGGTCTCTGGGGGTAACCCTTTGGCGGCGAATGCCCTGGGTGATCGGTTTGTGAGAATGATCAGTGTGTAAATACTATCTAAATGTGGTGGTTTGGACAAAATTATCCCTGGTGAGTGGAAACAAGAATATTTAAAACGATTCGTAAAGAATGCAGAGAATGTGGCCTGAGATACAATGGTCAGGATGATGATGATCTATTAATTCAATGTACTCGCTTGACATATATGCTGCTATGTGAGATAGCATGCCAAAGGCAGCTTTGACAACAACTAATGGTGCGTCCCCTGTATACCAGTCCTCGCGGTGTCCATAAGTTTATTTCGATGGATCCTCGAAGACTGTGTGTCCACCTAAAAGGTAAGGCCAACCGGCATGGGCCTAAGATAGTATCTATGGAATCAGGGCTATCGCCTAGAGTAGCCAAGTAACAGATATCTCGACCAAAAAACAAGCTTGCATGTTGCAGAGCAGGTATGCTTTGTCTCGATGATTCAGAAATAAACTGGGATTCTTGATTCTCATCAACGTCATACTGACGAGGTCGTGGTTCTTACCACAAACGTGCTTCTATATAATCCACGGTTTCAAAACATCACACTGTAGATGATAGATTTATTGAATTTCTCTCTCGGTCCGGTCACTATCGTTATTTAATTCACCACTATCTATACCAGTATGCAAGAGCAGGTGGAAAGGTCCGCTCAGGGGCCCAAGTCTCAATTTCAAACTGGTAGGCTCGTTAATCTTCCCAATTCAGCTGAATTTATTTTTCTCATATATATATCGATATCGCAGGTCACCAAGTTCCAATTGAACACCACAAAAAGCCGGGTTTACAAGCAGATTTAGAAAATCCGAAGCCGACATCAACTCAACTTCCCACCGAGGACAATGGGTACCAAACCTACAAAGCAGCTGGGAAGCTGTTAGGAAAGAAGGCCATTATAACTGGTGGTGACTCAGGAATTGGCCGCGCGGTTGCGATCTTATTCGCAATGGAAGGTGCATCAAGCTTGATCACGTATTTGCCCGAAGAGGAAAAAGACGCGCAGGAGACAAAAAGGCGCGTGGAAGAGATCGGGCAAGCCTGTCATTGTCTGGCGATAGACTTACGAGATAAATCCAACTGTCAAAAGGTGGTCGACACAGCCCTCCAGACCCTAGGTGGCATTGACATCTTGGTCAATAACGCTGGGACCCAGACTATGATCGATGACATTAAAGACTTGGATGAGTGAGTTATCCTTTCCCCTATCTCCTCTAGTGTATTCCATAGATTTGTGGCTAATCCATTTCAACAGAGCTCAATGGGAAAGCACATTTGACACCAATATTCATCCTATCTTCTACCTTTCAAAGTACACGATACCTCATTTGAAGAACGGATCGACTATCATCAACTGTGCTTCAGTCAATCACTATATTGGTCGCCCAGATCTGCTTGATTACACATCAACGAAGGGTGCCATTGTTGCGTTTACTAGGGGACTATCCAACCAGCAAGTTAAAAACGGAATACGCGTAAACTGTGTCTGTCCCGGACCAGGTGAGTTTTGGAAGACCCTAGGTTTATACCTACAGCCTCACTAACAGTTTCCTACAGTTTGGACTCCTTTGATACCGGCAACTATGACTACCGATGCTATGAAGCAGTTCAGTGATACGCCGATGGGTCGCCCAGGACAGCCGAGTGAAGTGGCAACATGCTTCGTTTTTCTGGCTAGTCATGACAGTAGCTTTATCTCTGGTCAAAGTCTACATCCTAACGGAGGTGTCGTGGTTAATGGGTGAGAAGGAGAGGAATGCCTAGTTAACATGCAATCTACCTAGGTAGTTTGTGAAGTGAACACCAATGAGACATGGACGGATCATCAAATTTCTCTTTTTTTATTAAATATTGCTAAAGGAGTAGATCTGGAATCGTTAACCTGAAGATCGCGATAAGTTAGCAGGTAATGTAATTGGGAGATGATCTGCAATCTGACAGGTAGACACTATACTCGATTTCCCCCCAACTTCTAGCCACTGAATATTCGAACACTCCAGAGCTACTCTCTGGATGCGTCATCATTAAATCCGAGTCTCTGATTGGAAGTGCAAATTTAAGCTTGGTACGATTGTTTCCGAGAAAATAAGCCTGGGAGATAAAATGATGTAAGGATGAAACCACACCAGAGCTTTGGAGCTTTATATCTCGCTTTGGTTCACGGAATCTGAGTCGCCTCTATTCTCAATTCCAACGCACATGGCCTCCTTGTCTCACGAAAGATCTTTACAATCCATCGAACCGTAACTATGAGTTTTGTTCGCCGTTCATTCCCAAGTACAATTCCCAGGCAACATCCTCATCCAGTATCTTTGGGGCGTCAATTACCTCGGAGTTCGAACCGGAGAGGGTTCGCCACCGAAAGACCGAGTGGCCAGAGAAGTAATGCTCGATGGTGAGTTTGCCCATTGATGCATATGTTAAACTGGTAACTGGCTAACACTCCATTTCTGTGTGACAGGATACTTCTATCGCTTGGTCTCGGTATCCCAATCTCCTACTATCTGTGGCAGAGAGGTGCTATTAGGAAGCCAAGGATGCATCCTCTCAAAGCGCCCCGAGGAGCGAATCAGGAATATGAACAAAGCGCAGAGGGCAATGAGAAGGATGAGAATGGTTATGAGATTGGGGAACGGACTTCCAGAGTCGGATCTGCCCATGACGAGGTTCGTTAAATTCATTGCATTTTCTTACAAATATCTTTTTGTTCTGCCTTGTTTTATCGTCCATGATAATGCAGAACAATCAATGGACTTATATCTAACTTCAAATAGCCTCGAGGAATGGGTGCACCCGGCCCCGTTGGAAGCATGTCATCCAAGCAGGAGGGCCTTGATAACGGTGATTCTATGAATCCATTTATAAACGAGCCTGGTTTGAGCAAAAAGGGCGAAGGTGAAACGGACAGTATAAAGGTAAAGGGAACCGTGAATGTTCATCGGCCTCAGGTGTGAGCCGCAAGGTCATTTTTGAATCATTGGAAGAACAATTCGATTTTGTTTATAGGACTCCAGATCCTTGCCTACAGTAAGCACATCTATGATTAGCCAGATTCGTGAGAATTCAACCGCCTAGAGAATGGCTAGTCCGACATTGGTGGTGATGCCTTGGCAATATGAGGCCAGCTGACCTAGAAAACCAGCAGCAAAAAGATAGATCAATCCAGTCAAACCTTGCACCACCAGAATTGGAGTACACAGATCGTGAACGCAGAATAAATGCAGAATGAACGCAAAAAAAGAGAACCGACGGCTGCATGATTCGAACATGCGCCTCCGAAGAGAATTGATTTCTAGTCAATCGCCTTAGACCACTCGGCCAAACCGCCTGATGTTTCTTGATGTATGAGTTGGCTCTAAAGCGATATATAAAGCAACAATCATTGAAAAATCATCAAGAGCTCACAGATGTACTCCAGAGCTTGTCTGGCAGTCTTTTCTATTAGTATTGTAGAATAGGTGGATATTTAGAGGTGGAGACAGCGCCGGAAATCAGAAACAAACGCAGAACGGCGACAACAGGCGGTGTTGCTGAACACTGCTGGATGCCTGATTTATCGGGCTGCGATGCCAGACAAACTGTACGCTCGATATGAACTCCAACGTGTTAACTGCATCATTCATTCGGGATTGAATCTAAACCACAGGTGTAGTTCTAAACACCTTGATAACTTCCAGAATACACAGAGCCACGGATTAATTGGACAACACAAACTGTCACCACATATTTGGGAATGCTTTGTGATAAATATATTCTCCCTTGCGTCGCTCGTGGAACTCCATCGCCTCGTCACAAATTTCCATATTAAGCACATCCATTCGAATATCATACTGTCGAATTCTCTTCTCCATTGACTCTGCAATTGCCATGTATTCGGTTCGAACAACAGTCGTGTGAGCAAGATCAGCAGCCTCATGCAGGGCAAGCTGACCACTCCGCAAAATGGCATAGAGTAGGTTGAGGTTGCCAATTTCACTTTCGTATGCCTCCAAAATCTGGAGCACAGATAGCAGAATTGAAAGAGATAGACCTGGGAACAGTTTGAGGGCAGCAACGCCATTGTTGGTCTCGCTTCGAATAAAATGACGCCTGAGAACTTGGAGCTCGCCAACTCGATATGTGCGAGTCAAACCAGCCCCGAGAGAAAGAGCCTCGATTCTCTCAAAATGATAGCGATCTTCATTGTCATCGATCTGATAAAGTCCCAGCCAGACTTTCTTCCAGAGGTTGACAATGCGACATTCCAGTTGGCTGCGCGTTGACGGTGGTTTTTCAAGAGCCGCGCCGTCAAGTGTGTATTGGGGAGGATCTTCATCCTGGTTAACTGCTTCGATCTGATTATATCCTCTAGCAGCTGGAATGCTATGAAGGGGAGCTGCGGTGGTAGCAACACACCACATCTTGGCACTGAGCCGCTGGTTAGAATCCTGGACAACATGAGCTGCGTGAAGATGGACACATACTTGCTGCGAGCTTTGGCTACGCGTTTGGGCATGCGCGAGGATAGATGGAAAAACTCCAACACCTTGCGTAGGAACCTCTGAGCTCGACGGGGTTTCATTGCTATGAAGTATTGTAGGAGAGATCGAAATAGATTTTGGGCTGGGAGATACAACTCGCTTTCTTTCTGACTGGGAACTGGGGGGTTTATCACTTGTCAAGCCCGGGGTATGTGGTAATCATGGCGTGCTATTCCATCTCTGTTCAAGGAATGGTGGCCCGTTCATACTATTTCAATTCTGAACATGGTCACTTTGGTATATAAATGCATTACTGCCAAGCGAACTAGACACATATTAATTATATCACCCATGCTCTGGATATTCTATAAGCCATTGCGCCTCCAGAAAGGCTGCCAACCTTTTGACTCCAAGTAAAAATATAGCAAGTGCGTTTGTAGCTTGGTTATCACTCCCCTAACAATACAATCTAAGGTTATTGAGTGTGTTCGACTACATTGGAAAGATGACGAGACCATGATAAGCAAGATTACGCTCGTCATCGGCAGTGATGAATGGAAAAGGCTATATGTTAGACCTCTTAGGCAGGTGGGATGATACTAAATAGGACAGGTAGATGCCGGGAATCAATTCCGCAGATGTTTACGTTTCCCCTGACAGGTACCCTTCAGGTACATGTATATGTGACCTTGGTACTATGTGCGAATAGGTAGGTAATACTGACTGCACGGCCTCAATTGTCACCGAATGAGAATGGCAAAGAGGCATAAAAATCGTGTCATTCATGCCGATGTCAGATAATTGAGTCTCCTTGTTCAAATAGTCACGACCTTCTACACCATTGAATGTGTCTGAGCTTACTCGAATATCGGATTATAATCTAGTTCAGACCCAACACATGGAGAGAATAACGAACGAGAATAATCGAAAACGATGACGAGCCGAAAATTCGCTGGTTGAAGTGTTGGGTGGGTATAAATTGAGAAGGTTGACATTGTATAGATAGCCAGGACCCGTGAACAGACATGCGCCAACTTAAACTCGCAGCACAAAAACCGAAGTCCCTAAAGACATAAAATGGTGGCCTGTAAATAATAGCCCAAGGCTGGACTAGCCATATTATACGGTCTTTGTATGGTCGATGACTTCATGAGCGATGGCGAACTTAAAATGCGGGGTCTAAATATACGCATTACATGTATTACAGAGAGAAGTTATCAGACAGATGAACTTAGGAATATATCTTTGGAAGGCATTGTCTGCCCACTGGGATTATCGATGATCTGCTTGCTTCACCCCCCAAAACGAGCCTGGGTGGCCAACATGACAGGCCCCGGGAGCCCTTTGCTATGACCTCACCCGACAGGGGACATACCTGTTTCCATCTTCCTCAGCCCACGAAAAGAAAGAAGAAGATCTGTAACCAAATTCCCAGAGTATATTTCGGCCTTTTGACGTTCCGATGCCGAGACTTGTTTTCTCAATGATATTTGACGTAATCGCTACATCCGGGGCGAGCAGTGCTCTCGTGTTAATTTCACTTGCAAGTCTCTATAATAGTCCGAATATCTCACTATAATTAAGGGAAGTTCAAATTAAGACTGTCTTATAATTTCCCTCGATCATCCGGTACCACCGTCTCATAATCGGGTGGCACAGACACTTGTTCTCGGGTTCTGCATTTCGAAATTCTCAGTGAAAGTTGAAGATACTCACGATGGAGGAAAATATGGAGAAAGGTCACTCTGTAGACAGCGATTCTACGCTGGCTATACGCACAGAGCCGACTCGCAATTCCACCCCTTCCTCTGGGAGGTCATCTTCGCCCGTGGGTTCATTCCCACACGATGACTTCGAGCCAATCCGCACAACAACGTCAGATCCCCAAGGATATCGCATAAGTGGGAATTCAGATGATGATAGTACTGCACGAATCATGTCTCGACGCCGCAGCCAGGCCTCCGGTCACGAAACAGAAGGGGAAGATTGGGCCCAGGTAGAGAGACTGATATCACGGATGTTCGGCCGTGAACGCAAGGAGAACTCAGAAGAAGAGAAAACACGCCATCTGGGAGTCGTATGGAAGAATCTCACCGTGAAGGGGGTGGGCCTTGGAGCTGCTCTCCAACCCACTAACGGGGACATCTTTCTGGGGCTGCCACGGCTCATCAAAAGACTTCTGACTCGTGGCCGAGGAGCCACTGGCGCTGGAAAAGCCTCGATACGGACTATTCTGGATAATTTCAATGCAAGTACGGTTCTTATCCACTGTGATAGCCTTGGTTGACCCTATTCAAGGGCTGTGTTCGTCCGGGAGAAATGCTGCTGGTTCTGGGTCGCCCTGGCTCTGGTTGCTCTACTTTCCTCAAAGTGCTCGGCAATCAACGAGCTGGATATGAAAGTATCGAAGGTGATGTGCGATATGGAGGCACCGATTCAGAAAAGATGGCAAGGCAATATAGATCCGAAGGTTTGTGGTTATATGTCTGATTGCGCGCAAAACTAAATTTCTCAGTCTTGTACAATCCCGAGGATGATCTTCACTATGCAACTTTGACTGTGCGAGATACACTTCTCTTTGCATTGAAGTCTCGAACCCCCGATAAAGCATCACGAATTCCGGGAGAAAGCCGAGAAGAATACCAGGAGACGTTCTTATCTGCCATAGCTAAGTTATTCTGGATTGAGCATGTCCTGGGAACTAGAGTTGGCAATGAACTCATCCGTGGAATCTCCGGAGGCGAGAAGAAAAGAACTTCAATCGCCGAAGCTATGGTCACAAAAGCTAGCACTCAGTGTTGGGACAACTCCACCAAGGGATTAGACGCCAGCACCGCGCTGGAGTATGTCCAAAGTTTGCGAAGTTTGACAAACACTGCCAATGTCTCAACAATCGTAGCTCTTTACCAGGCTTCAGAGAATCTGTTCGATCTTTTTGATAAGGTGATTCTCATTGAAGACGGAAAATGCTCGTTCTTTGGTCCCAGTCAGGATGCAAAAGCTTACTTTGAGCGCATGGGCTTTGAATGCCCACCGCGTTGGACAACCCCCGACTTCTTGACTTCGGTCAGTGACCCGCACGCAAGACGTGTCAAGGAGGGCTGGGAGAACCGAATTCCTCGAACTGCCACCGAATTTCAAGATTTGTATCGTCGAAGTGACATTTACAAACGAAACCTAGCAGACATCGAAAGCTTTGAGGGCGAGATCCAAGCCCAAAAGCAAGAAAGAGAGGCTGCAAGGAGTGGTAAACAACGGAAAAATTTCACAATCTCTTTCTACAAGCAGGTTATGATTCTCACACACCGTCAATTTCTCGTGATGTTTGGTGACAGGGAGACTTTGATCGGCAAATGGGGTGTTATCACTTTTCAAGCGCTCATCATTGGCAGTTTGTTCTACAATCTACCAGATACAAGGTAGGAGAAGCTTCTTCAAACTTCGGATAACCCAGTATAGCTAACCATTTACAGCTCTGGTGTCTTTACGAGGGGTGGAGTCATGTTCTTTATCCTGTTGTTCAATGCATTGCTTGCCATGGCAGAGCTGACAGCGGCATTTGATAGCCGACCAATTTTGATGAAGCATAAAAGCTTGTGAGAACCTCAAAAACTGACATAAAAAAGACAAAGCTAATCGCTAATAGCTCCTTCTACCGCCCTGCTGCATATGCACTCGCCCAAGTTGTGGTAGATATACCTCTTGTGTTCATCCAAGTCGTTTTATTTGACCTCATAGTATACTTGTCAGTCTTAATATGTGGATTACATGAATCTATGAAGCTGACAAGTTATCTATCTAGCATGGCGAACCTTGCACGAACACCTTCGCAATTTTTCATCAACTTACTGATCATTTTCACACTCACGATGACAATGTACTCATTCTTTCGTGCTCTCGGTGCTCTATGTGCCTCTTTGGATATCGGTAAGTGGCAAAAAAGACCCTTTCAAGCGTGCCAAGAAACCTATAATAACAGTAGCAAGCAACGCGTCTCACTGGTGTTGCCATACAGGCGTTGGTTGTATACACAGGTAAGCTAAATACAATGAAAATTTGTGCTTGCTTTTAGTGACCAAATATTCAGGCTACCTCATTCCTCCATGGAAAATGCATCCATGGCTAAAGTGGCTGATTTGGATCAACCCTGTCCAATACGCCTTCGAGGCATTGATGGCTAACGAGTTCCACAACCTGAAAATCAAATGCGAACCTCCATACATTGTACCGGATGGACCGAATGCAGTTTCCGGCCACCAGAGCTGTGCAATTCAAGGCAGTGACCCAGACCAGTTGGTTGTTCAAGGACCAAAGTATATTCAAACAGCATACACCTACACCAGAGCGCATTTGTGGCGAAATTTTGGCATCATTATTGGATGGCTCATCTTTTTCGTCTGCTTAACAATGCTGGGAATGGAAATGCAGAGACCCAACAAGGGTGGAAGTTCGGTTACAGTGTTCAAGAGAAGCGAGGCACCCAAAGAAGTCCAAGAGGTCATCGAAGATTCCGGTTCCCCAGCAGATGAGGAATCTGCCGAGAAGAATGGCATAGCCCTGAACACGGACGACAGAGCGTCTACTGAATCGAAGGATGAAGTGCAGAATATTGCCAAAAACACGGCGATCTTCACATGGCAAGATGTCAACTACACTATTCCGTACAAGGGCGGACAGAGACAGCTACTGCAACATGTTCAGGGATATGTCAAGCCTGGCAGGCTCACCGCGTTGATGGGGGCATCTGGTGCAGGGTAAGAGAGGAGTAACACGTTAATATCTACCCCATGCTAATCTCTAATTAGGAAGACTACTTTGCTTAATGCGCTAGCACAGCGAGTCAACTTTGGAGTGATTACGGGCGAGTTCTTGGTCGATGGAAGGTAATGTCTCTTTGTCGCATTTTTACAAAAGATACAGCTGTCTAATATTTGCAGATCTCTCCCAAGGAGCTTCCAGAGAGCAACCGGGTTCGCTGAGCAAATGGACATCCACGAGCCCACTGCCACTGTGCGGGAATCACTGCGATTTTCTGCTTTGTTACGACAGCCAAAAGAAGTTCCGATACAAGAAAAGTATGATTACTGCGAAACTATCATTGATTTGTTAGAAATGCGGTCCATCGCCGGCGCGACAGTGGGGACAACAGGCTCAGGCCTCAATCAAGAGCAACGCAAGCGACTCACCATTGCAGTGGAACTGGCAAGCAAGCCGGAACTTTTGCTTTTCCTAGATGAGCCAACATCTGGGCTTGACTCCCTGGCTGCGTTCAACATTGTACGCTTCCTCCGTCGACTTGCAGATGCTGGCCAAGCTGTTCTCTGTACGATCCATCAACCTTCGGCCGTTCTGTTCGAAAATTTCGATGAACTTTTACTTCTCAAGAGCGGTGGACGAGTTGTTTACAATGGGCCACTTGGAAATGACTCCAAGACCCTCATCGACTACTTTGAAAGAAACGGTGGCAAGGAATGCTCACCACACGCAAATCCGGCAGAGGTGTGTCTTATGAACCCAGGAAAGTTACAAAATACTAACCTTCTTCTTTCCAGTATATGCTGGAAGTAATCGGAGCCGGAAATCCCGATTACAAGGGCCAAGATTGGGGCGATGTATGGGCCAATTCGCCTGAATCCAAGCAGCTTTCTGAGGAATTGGACAGTATCATTGCTTCCCGTCGCAATGTTCAAAATAATGAGAAGACCAATGATGATCGCGAGTACGCAATGCCTCTCTACATCCAGATGGTCGCAGTCACCAAGCGTGCATTTGTGGCCTACTGGAGGATCCCCGACTACGTGCTTGTAAGTCACTATCCTTTGTACACGGACTCGAACCATTCGACTGACTATCACTTAGGGTAAATTCATGCTCCATATTTTCACAGGTCTTTTCAACACCTTCACATTCTGGCATCTGGGGAACAGTTACATTGACATGCAATCAAGGCTATTCTCTGTCTTCATGACATTGACGATAGCTCCACCGCTAGTGCAACAGCTTCAACCACGCTTTTTGCATTTCCGGGGTCTTTATGAGTCTCGTGAAGCAAACTCTAAGATCTATTCATGGTCTGCCTTTGTGACGAGCACGATTCTGCCAGAACTGCCATACTCCATTGTAGCCGGGTCAATCTACTTTAATTGCTGGTAAGTCTTGTCAACCAAAAATGTTTTATTTGCAAATTCTGACGGAAATAATACGAAAGGTACTGGGGAACCTGGTTTCCGCGCGATTCATTCAGTTCCGGCTATGTTTGGATGATGCTCATGCTCTTTGAATTGTACTACGTTGGATTTGGCCAGTTCATAGCAGCAGTGGCTCCCAATGAGCTATTTGCAAGCTTACTTGTGCCTACTTTTTTCACCTTTATTGCTGCATTCTGCGGTGTTGTCGTCCCTTACGCTGCCCTGCCGCACTTTTGGAAGTCATGGATGTACTGGCTTACTCCATTCCACTATCTACTCGAGGGCTTCCTTGGAGTCATTATACACAACATTCCTTTGCGGTGTGTGGAGCGTGAAGAATCTCGCTTTAGTCCTCCGCCTGGCAAGACTTGTCAAGAGTATGCGAAGTCATATGCCGAGAAAGCTGGTGGATATGTCCGAGACGCTGGGAATGGAATGTGCTCATTCTGTCAATATTCAACCGGTGATCAATTTGTAAGTTAACATCTACGATTCTATTTCTTGATTTTTTTTCCTTCGCGTGTCTGAGAGACCCGAGGAGGGACATGGCTAACATGGGCTCTTTACACTTGTAGGGCAAGAGCATCAACGTGTTTTACTCGCACAAGTGGAGAGATTATGTGAGTACTCCGTACCCTGAAACACGTCATTTCTGGCAGCTCTGGTCTAATACGTACTAGGGTATCTTCTGGGGATATATCATCTTCGACTTCGCTCTTGTTTTCGCCTTGTCCTGGTTGTATTTGCATGGGGCTCGCAACCTGAAACGCTGGCTCAGTGCTCGTAAGACGAGACAGAGCAAAGATGGTTCTTGAAAGCTGTTACCGCATGTCTTCTATGCTGCCTGTGCATGAGTGTATCGTATTCACGCTCTCTGGCGCCCGCTCGTCTACATATTATTTACTCAGAACGAGGTCCCAATTTGACAGAGATAGGATACTCGGACCACAAAACCTGTCATCCTGAAAATATGACGTTTTTTTCTTTCCGAAAGAGCCAAGTGAATCATATTGCTTAATTTTGATTTGCTCGAAGGACTATATGCACCTAGGCAGTCACATCGATTGGGCTTCGTCTATTGGCTGAGTCGCCTAGTTACATTGCAGAGACTACCTAATACTTGCATCGGTAGCATTGGAACGGTAACACATATGTAATCCAAGCTAGATTCAATAAAACCAGCCTATTCGAGCAGAGACCGTAGATAAATCTCCCCGAATTGTTCATCGCGCAGCTCCGCGCCAGAAAGCTTGGCGTTCTCCCATCGGAATCTTCCTTCTCTCATCTCCCCAGGCGCGTCGAATTCTGCCTTCGCGATTCGCTGCCTCTGAGCGCATTCCCTTTTATGTCATGTCTCTTTAAGATCGAGAGCCCAATCCTCATTGCCCTACTTATTTTTTGACTACATCCGCGAATATGAAGGAAGAACCAGAAACCTCAAGAGATACCCCCGAAGGCTCGGCCGCTGCCGATGACCAGTCGAAGGCCAGTCTTGCTGCTAAGGATCGCAAATGTCAGTACTGCCAACAGGCATTTACATCCTCGTCCTTGGGCCGACACCTCGATCAATTCCTTTTCAAGAAGAAACCCGATGGAATCCACGATGTCGAAGAGATTAGACGGATTCGCAGTGGGATCACACGACGTCAGGCCCGAACATCCACAGGGAAGCACGAAGGCAGCCCTGAACGTGCTCAAAAAAAGGGGTCTGCCGATCCATATACAACCGCCGAATCGGGCTCGAAGTCGCGCGAGGCTCCTGTGCGCATGATGTTCAACACGCCCACCTGGCACGCGACGGGGGTGATCAATGACATCCCCAATCCCAGTCGCGTACCGGATGCATATCGCATCGCCCCATCACAATCCCGGACTGCGTCGTTACAGCTACCCGATTATGCGAGCCGAGGTAGTAGCTCCAGCAACCCTGACACGATGCGGGCGCTGGAGCTGGCACTGCGCGAAGTGCTGGATAATATTAAAGCTGCAACGTATGCCACCTCAGTTCCACCATTTAGTTTCAACCAAGCTTACGAAATAATAGCTCCTGCATACGGCCTCGGCTGTCTCCCTTCGACTTCGACATCCAAGCACAGACGTTCCCCTCTATGTGTCTCCAGCTGCTCCCTCCCCCTCCAAGCCTATTTGCGACACACCCCTTTTCCTCCTCTGCCTCATTTCCCCTCCAGGCCCCAGGTGCCGAGCATCTCGATATAATCCGCCAAGCGCTACGATCCAAGGTCGCACAATGGCAAACTGACCAACTTGCTGCCGAGTCTACTACTGCACCCCACGCAAGACACGGAAATACTGGGGTGGATCCAAACATGATATACCGCAGTGCACAACAACATGAAGATATCAGTTTCCGACACTTGGAACTGGCCTTCAACCATTGGAATTCTCTCCCTCACGAGACCCGTCGCGACGCATGGCAGTTGGAGATCACCCGTGCATTTGCGCGGGAGCTTGAGAAGCGCAAGTCCTCAGATGAGCAACTGGCTCGAGTGCAGCAGGAAGCAAACCAGCTGCGGGCACAAGTAGAGCGTCTCGGATCATGCCAGTGGCCTCGTGAATTCGCGCTCTTCCCCCCAGATACCCTCCCTCTGCCACGGGAGGTAGCGCGGGAATTAGACGCCCAAGATAGCCAGATCAGCGCCGACTCGGCACGCTGGGATTATGACAATGTAGTTGCCAAATGGAGGCGTGTTGTCATGCATGACAAGGGAATGGGCCGGATCGGAGTTGGTTATGGAAATCCCAGCCCGCTGGGGGAAACAGACCAAACTCAGCCCCAGCACAATTCTGATGTCCGACCTCCGCGCCCTGGCGAAGATACCACCTCTCATCCGAACCGCCTGCGCCCATTGCAAACTGCTGCTGCTATGAGTCCGGATGGTGTTGCTGGCTCGACCCCTGCTTCATCCACCCACTACGCATCACCACACTCTTATGCAGATCCCCGCAGCCCGCCCGGTGGGCTTCCCGGTGGGATGACCGGTAACCTACCGGGCGGTCCCCCTCAGGGGCTGCCTCCAGCTAAACGACAACGGCTTATGAATGGCTCGGAAGACCCGTCTGGTCCTTCGTCCGAACCCGGTCCTCCTCCACCTTCTGCAGTTGGTAAACCCTGGGGGTCTTCCACACCCCATTTATCCAATATCGCTGCGCCTTCAGGACAGACTCCTCCATCGTCATCCAGACATTGATCGGCTTTGGAATATAATACACGTGTACAAGCATCGAGGAAGGCGCCAGAGTACTGTTTGATATATTGCATTAGGTTGGGACAGTAGGTTGTTTGGCCTGCTCCTCGAATTACTTTTCTCAGTCAAGAAGATTATAGTTACGACTAAGTTTGATCATGATATCCATATCGAATAATTCAAATTCAGACAAATGCTTTGTTGCAGCGACTTGGCATTTGCAATAAAATAGCTCATCCCTAGAAAAGTCAAGCAGAACTAGACTCAGATGCCCCTTTTCGCATCTTGAGCGATCTCGTCGCCCAGATATTCCCCTAGAGTGAATATCTTCTCTTCCTGCAATCTCCTGCCTACCAACTGCACGCCGACCGGGGCTCCATCGTAGGCTTCGGCATCATCTAAATAGTCGTCAGCTCAGTTCCAAAGAAGGAAGCCCATACAGGAAACTCACAATCCCAGTGGATGTTCTCAGAACCCTCCACCGATCCACTAGCCGAAAGCACATCGATCCTCTTGTCTGCAAACGTAACCGGGATCGTGATGCTAGTGTAGTCCAGCACATTCACAAACGCAGTATATCCCACAGATTTGTACTCATTTGGCAGAACTGCCGCGTGAGGAGCCAATGGACAGAGAAGTCCATCAACAGGGCGCCCTGTTCCTGTCAACTGCGCTGTGCTATTCCAGTAATCCATGTATGCTTTCTGATACTCGCGCTTCGCAACATTCAGCGCAGCAATCTCAAATGCTGTCATTTGGACGCCACTGTGAGTCCCGATTACCTGCGGAGCCCGGGGTTCTCCAGAAAGACCGAAATGATACTTGAAGTCTGCACCACCGTCCATGTCGAATGTTTTATCCTGCCATGAGTTTAGCATCAACAATTCCAAGTCTTTCAGACAACGAGTACATACGAATATCTCAACGGCAGTCGCATGAGAAGGAGGCTTCCACTCGACGACTCGATGACCCAACCGCTGCAGCGTCTGTTCGACAATCCTCAATCCCCGTGCGATAGGCGGATGAACAGTGGCCACCCCATCGTACTTCATAATGCCAAATGCAAGCGTGGAAGATCCACCCTGAGCCTTCTCAATCAATGTCCTTGTCTCCTGAACGACCTCATCGCGCCACGGCAACTCCAGCGCAAGCGGATCATAAAGCCACGGCTCCTGCCCGAGAACAGCTTTGAACAAGAGCGTCAAAGCCCTTGCACTTGTCGCAATAGGTCCAATAACGGATAAAATAACGCCCTGTCCATCCAGCGAGTTCGCAGCACCCTGGTAAGGTATCCTACCACTGGACGGCCGAAGACCATAGAGCGAATTAAACCCAGCAGGAATGCGCACACTGCCTCCGATATCAGTACCAAAACCAGCAGGCGAGCCGCGAAGCGCAATGAGAGCACCCTCGCCACCGGAGCTGCCACCGCTGGAGAGCAGGCGGTTCTTGGGGTTCCAGGTGTAGCCGATGATATTGTTGATGGTTTCGCCGGTCATGAGCGTGGCTGGCACGCTGGTCTTGCAGTAGAGAATGGCGCCGAGGTTGCGAAGCTCGCGAACCAGTTCGCTCTCCTCTTTGCCGGTGCGAGGGTCATTTTGTTGGCCTTGGAAGGTGTTGACCCAGCCGACGTAGCCCATGGTGGTTTCTACTCCTTTGATGTGGAATTGGTCTTTCAGGCTCACGGGTAGTCCGTGCAAGGGTCCAATTGGGACTTTGTGTTCGGCGAAGTATTTGTCTTGCTGTTTGGCATCTTCGATTGCTGCTTCGAAGAATACTTCGTGGAGACAGTTGACCTGAGAATTGGTTGAAGGTTAGACTTTTGGGTAGACATTTGACATTGGAAGCTCCTAGACGCCAGAAATGCCTTTTTATATCGACGTACCAGTTGGTGAGCCAGTGCGGCCCGGTGACAGAAGGCCTCGGTGACTTCGAGAGCTGACCAGTGGCCGGTGGATGTCTGCGCCACGATATCTACGGCATCTTTCTCTGTGATCTCGATCTCACGGTCGGTGAGAAATTGTCGAATGTAATCTCCGGTGACATCACGTTGCTCGGCAGCAGATGGGACATCATCGTTCAATCGCCATTTCTGAGGGATAGCATCCAGAATTGACTGGCGTTTGGCTTCGCCGCGCGTGCGCCAGGTTGCATCGGTCATTGTGATTCAGGGATGTTAAGCTTGTTGAATGGTGATGTTGTGCGACTGAGCTGTTGACAACTAACGCAGCAACTTGTGCTGGGTTGAGGTATCAGAGTGTGCGGGGTTGTTGGAGTGACTGAAGTGAAGTCAGTTGGGGGTTTGCTTTTTATTCACTCGGTTTGCATACGACTTGATATTGGATTTGGAGTATTGCAGAAACGGCCATACTATTCGCTCTTTCTACGTTAAAATAGTTCGTCTAGGGGATGGCTGGGTGTTATTTCCACTCGAGTGGAAATCGCAGAAATCGGATCCGCGAGCTCAGGATATTTCTCCATAGTAAAGATATGGTGGTTTGGAGATGACAGTGGATTATTAGAGGTTGAAGTGAGGGATTTGACTCAACTCAACGAAGCAACACACCTGCACATCGACAGGTGGCTTCGTCTCTTTGTGTTGGAGCAGATCATCATGATATGCCGTCCACGCTTGGACCGAGGAAAGGCTTTTGAAAAGGTTACTGGCATGTGGATTCCCCATTCTCAAACCTCTGCCCTATCCCCGGATATTTGGGTGGCTGTCATTTGTCGAACGTTCAGATTAATCCGTTTACCAGACATCCAACCCCTCCACATCTCGTAAGGACCAGGTGGCATTCCTGGAGCTGAGTCTCCAGATGATGGCCAGTCAGCCAGCCATTTGGGGCAGGTCGAAGGCAGGATCTTCGGGACTCCGTGCCAGGCGAACCGCGATTTACCGTTCATGTAGACGGTATCGCCCGAACGAAGCCGAATAATCTCGCAACCATTCCCATCATCGTGGCTGGCCAAGAACAGCCCATCGCATCCAAAACTCACACTGATCAGACCTACGTCACATTCCTCACTCACATCCCGGTGTACGCTCAGCGTGTCCCCCGCAGAATATAGGTTCAAGATGGCGGCCTGAGCAGAGGTTTCCGGAAATGCCACGCGTAGCAAGTGCGCAATATCTGGCGGGAACTCCGGCGGGGTTCCTGACGGGTATACTTTGGCAGTCCAATCGTACTGTCCGCCCAAGGTGACCCAGCGCAGCTTTTTCTCCAAGACGTTTTGGATCGTCAAGGCCTTGTGTACCTGAGGGTCTTTCGGCCGTAGAGTGCGCGTGGGATCGTCTGCGAAGAATGATTTGGGTGTGTGGGTGTCTGCATCTTCGGGATATGTTACATCATAGTGTAGGTGTAAGTTTGTCTGATGCTCGGGATTGGGCAAGTCTCGGTGAAATAGGCGAGAGAGCAATTCGATTTGAACGGTAGGAGGAAATAAGGCAGGTATCATCAGAAGACCTATGAGGAGGTCAGGAATAGCTCTTCGTCCTGCTTGGGTCAGTTCAAAAGTGAGGCGCTACAATGCTAACCGGAGATCGATTTGTGAGCAAAGACCGGGATATTCTCAGCCAAGGGAGCATGCTCTTCTGTTGCAGCATGGTTTCCACAGATAAAATCCTCGAACGCCAACCGCAGGTTCTGACTGGACATATAATGCGCGATCGTCACTCCGCTTGGCAGTTGGTCGGGATCGATCCGCTGTAGGTCGAGGATCTCCGGATCATTGTCAACTTCAGACAAGGCAATCTTAGAATATTTCTTGTAGCAGAGCCTCACTGGATCAGGAGGACGGTCATAAGCGCTAAGACCTTTAATTTGGGCCATTGGAAAGAGTTGAAGTCGAGACCGTATAACCACTTTGGATGGAAAGAAAAGGTACCCCCGCGCCTATCACAGGGCGGTGAGCGCGTTGTTTGTTTTGTGTCTTTCTCTCCCCACCATTGGAAGACTGTCTGTTGTCTATCATCTCTTCAAGTTACATTTCTTGATCTGCAGGAGGATATTGGAGAGCGTGCTGCTCGAGCTGTTCTCAGAGATCTACATCCCAAGGGTAAGCAGTGACTATCACCGCCCTCCTTGCATCCCCTACGAATTCTCCTTGGCAACATCCCCCCAATCTGTCCCATATCTCATTCGAGCTTTATTGTTTTGAACTTCTTTTTAATCTGAATGACAGGAGAGAGAATCAGATGTCGGGCACTATGGAGAACTATCAGAAAATCGAGAAGATCGGCGAGGGTAAGGACCCTCGACAGGGGTGGTGTCACACACAGCCCAACTAACGCGTCGATTCTCATAGGCACTTACGGCGTGGTCTACAAGGCCCGGGAACTTAACCACCCCAACCGTATCGTTGCCCTGAAGAAGATCCGTCTCGAGGCCGAGGATGAAGGCGTTCCCAGCACCGCAATTCGCGAGATTTCTCTTCTCAAAGAGATGCAGCACCCCAACATCGTTCAGCTGCACAATATTGTCCATGCCGATGGCCACAAGCTCTACCTCGTTTTCGAGTTCCTGGATCTCGACCTCAAGAAATACATGGAGGCTCTGCCCGTCAGTGACGGTGGACGAGGAAAGCCCCTGCCCGATGGTTTCAAGGCGGGTGCAAGCCTGGGCCTGGGCGAGGCAATGGTCAAGAAATTCATGTCTCAGCTGGTAGAGGGCATCCGCTACTGCCACAGTCACCGAATTCTGCACCGTGACTTGAAGCCGCAGAACTTGTTGATCAACCGTGATGGAAATTTGAAGTTGGCCGATTTCGGTCTGGCTAGAGCTTTCGGTGTTCCCCTTCGCACCTACACCCACGAGGTATGCATTGGAGACCCAATTCTACGGGATCTTAGATCACTGACAGAGGATACAGGTTGTTACACTGTGGTACCGCTCCCCGGAAATTCTGCTCGGTGGTCGCCAATACTCCACGGGCGTTGACATGTGGTCAGTGGGTGCAATCTTCGCCGAGATGTGCACACGCAAGCCTTTGTTCCCCGGTGACTCTGAAATTGACGAGATCTTCAAGATCTTCCGGTTAGTTGACTTTGAGCCCCCCCCGATTTTACATGTATTAACGAATCGCAGTATCCTCGGTACTCCCGGCGAAGATATCTGGCCCGGCGTGACCTCATTCCCCGACTACAAATCCACCTTCCCCAAGTGGAAGCGTCCTGACACTGAGATTGTCCCCGGCCTGGAAGAAGCTGGCTGTCAGCTCCTGGAGTCTCTGCTCGAGTTTGACCCTGCCCACCGACTCTCAGCTAAGCAGGCTTGCCTTCACCCGTACTTCCGTAACGGCACCGCATACTACTCCGAACGTGGCCAAACCAACGGCTTCCACTAGTGTGACGATTCTGCGCATTTTCTGTGTAATCTTATTCACTCTCGGGAGTGGTTTTGGGACATGTTTTATTTTCCCTGTTACGGCGTTTTATGGGGAGTGATTTGGAGGGCGGGCTTACTGGATACGAAGTGCTTTAGTCTTGAATAACAGGCGTACATACCCTTTTTACCCTGTAGCCAGATACTGAAAAATGATGTGACGCTACCATTGCATTCAGCCTCTTCAGCCTCAGGTAGACAATGTTCCAGATGCAGGTAAAGGCAGGCCAAGGAAACCTTCTCAGCTGCGCCCCGCAAACCTCCAGGTGGAATGAGACATGCTAAGCATCTTAACGTTCTAGTTGAGTCCAATGCGGTCATTGCTCGGTGTTTGTTTCACCCTCAGCAATCCATGGACTTTCTTCAGAGCACAATATCTGACACAAGAGAGTCAATACCACTGTGGGATTCATGCTTATCCGGCTTATGGCCGTTATAGGAGGGGCTGAGAAGCGAGGTGGGGGCCAAAGACACCTTTCGTCGTTGGATTCGCTCATTCGCTCACTAGTCCAATGTACATGCAGCCTTACAGCGAACGCCTTTTTGGAGAACAGCCGCAGAACGAATCAATACGAGAGAATGACGGCGGAGGCTATGCTCTCGGCTCGGGGTGCCCGGTGTGAGGGGAATTCTCCAATTCCCTAGGGTTTTTATTTAGAAGAGCATTCCTGGTCTCTTTTCTATTTCCATCAACAGTCATCGTCGCCGTTGCAGTGGTCAGTGCGATATAAAAAAGATAGCCACCCAAAGATCCCCTCTTTTGCGCTCTTCAAAAGAGAACACAAGAGATACCAAAGGAAAAGCCCCTACCAAGCGAAGAATATCAATACCGAAACCCCACACTATGGAGTTTGACGACGAGATGGGCTATGGCGTTGCAGGGCCAGGCTCCTCGCGCTCAAATAGCAGACCTCCCCCCGCTTACGCTGTCGATCACCCCAGGATACCGTCAGACAGTTCTGGGAACAATTCAACACCAAATACCCCGGCAAAGTATACACTGTACTACCGGACAATCCATACGCACGGACGCGAGCTAAGCGTGTGCCCAGCGGCCTCATCCGAGGCCACGAGGCTGTCAAATCCTATGAGCAAGCACGCGAAGAATGTCGGAAGTCTGTAGATCGTATCATCAAGGAGTGCGAGCGCGTGAATCAGAAATACTCCGACCCGCACTTTGATATCGAGCGTGACTTGAAGTCTGGTCGGAGGCACTATCTTGATGGATTGGATAAGCCCAATCTGGAGATGAGGCCGCGGGGCGTGAAGAGAGTGACTGTTAGTTTGAATATGAATGCCTCCAAGCATAGCCAACTTTGTGTTTGCTAATACTTTCTACCCAGGAAATCTTCGAGAAGCCGCAATTCTTCGTCAATGGGCCTACCGCGTCGGATGTGCGACAGGGCTATGATGGAGACTGCTGGCTGATGGCTGCATTGTGTACCATGGGTAACAAAGAAGTTCTGATCAGAAAAATTTGTGTTGCTCGCAATGAGGAAGTTGGAATCTATGGCTTCGTTTTCCACCGAGGTAAGCTGCGAGCGTCCAAGGTCGTGTTTGACACGGTATCATGCTAATTCTGATTACTAGATGGTGAATGGCAGCAGTGCATTATTGATGACAAGTTGTATCTCCGCGCTGCTGATTATGATGAGTCTGTGGATGAGCGACCCATCTGGGACGACATCAACCGAACTGACACGGAGGAAGAGTACCGACGAGTCTGGCAAACAGGCTCGCGGGCGCTTTACTTCGCCCAGTGCGTGGATGACAACGAGACCTGGCTTCCGCTGCTTGAGAAAGCATTCGCGAAGGCCCATGGTGACTACTCCGCGATCGAGGGTGGCTTTGTTGGTGAAGCCCTCGAGGATCTCACCGGAGGCGTCACGTCCGAGGTGTTGTCCAGCAACATCCTGAATAAAGACCGCTTCTGGACTGAAGAACTTATGAAAGTCAACAAGGAGTTTTTGTTCGGCTGTGGAACTGGCTTGTTCTCGAACTGGTTAGACCCCAAGTACCGAGGACCCCCAAGAGACCGAAAAGGCATCTCGGAGGGCCACTCCTATTCCATAATGGAGGCGCGGGAAGAAAAGGGACAGCGGCTGTTGCGACTGAGGTAGGTCCATGAATCAAAGATTTGAAAGCAAAAAAAAGAAATGCCCAGCTAACAAATCCCAGGAACCCATGGGGCCACAAAGAATGGCATGGTGCCTGGGGTGATGGATCGAAAGAATGGACACCTGAGTGGATGAATACTCTTGGTCACAAATTTGGCAACGATGGCGTATGTATAGGCATCTTCTATACCCATTTCCATGGGCTAACGTGGCCTAGTTCTTCTGGATCAATTACAACGATCTCCTCAAGAAATACCAGCATTTCGACCGGACTCGACTTTTTGGAGAAGAGTGGACTATTACACAGCAATGGGCCACCTTGAATGTTCCCTGGTCTGCCGATTACCACAGCACTAAGTTCATGGTGGAAGTGACCAAGAGCGGACCGGTAGTCATTATTCTGTCCCAAGTACGTTTTGACACCATGTTGTATTACTTTACAGTGGCTAACAGACGTAGCTTGATAATCGTTATTTCAGAGGACTAGCTGGCGAGTACAGCTTCGTGCTCAAGTTCCGCTTGCAGAAAGCGGGAGAGGAGGATTATCTCGTTCGCAGTCATAGTAGCCATTTCATGGGCAGATCTGTGAACGCTGAGATCGACCTTGAGCCGGGTCGTTATCACGTCCTGATGAAAATCACGGCTTTCCGCCACGAAGATGTCGACTCAACTGAGCAGGCTGTCCAACAAATGGCCTCGACGAGAAGAGAAAAACTAGTCCAAGTTGGCCTTTCATACGATCTCGCTCATGCGAAAGGACTGGTGGGCGAGACAACGCAAGAAAAGCATCAACGAGAACTCTTCAAGGCATCAGAGCGCAAAAGACTCCGCGAAGAGACCAAGAAAAAGATGCAGAAAGACTGGATCCGCAATCAGAAACTGGATGCACGACATGCGCGCATGGAGGCAAGACGTGCGAACCAAACCCCTGGCAGCAGCTCCTACGGTCCCAATTCTGAAACAGACAGTATCCCCCAGATTCTGCCAGATAAATCCTTCCAAGATTCTCCTACCGATGCTGCCAGCGTCTCAAGTGACAATAGTGACCGTCGTGTCCCACGCCCGAATGGTGCCATCCCGACCATTCAATTCAACGGAGGAGAAGGACTCCATGAAAGGCACGCGAGCAGCGGCTGGCGACGTGGAACCGAGTCTCCACGTCTGAGTCTAGACACTCGCATTGCTACAGATGTGTTGGACCAGAATGACTTGGATTTGCTTGAAGGGTTCGAGTTTGACAGCGACCTCGATATGCCTCCCGAGGAGACAAATGTGAAGAGCAGACCTCCAATGGTAAACCATGATGAGCCTTTTGTTGATCCGTGGAATGCAGTCTGTGTGGTGGGTTTGAGGGTTTATTCCAAGGATCCGATGCTGAGCTTGCAGGTTGTCCGTCCTGTGCCAGAGGATGACACTGAGGCTCCGCTGGATCGGGATGACCCTGCTGCATCTGCAACCACTCCCAAGTGAGACCTGTGTACGTGGAGGGATTCTTGGACCAGTCAGCTTCCTATTTAGGGTGTGTTTCTTCTCATCGTTTTTGCCGTATTCAAATTGTAAAGCGATACACTACTATCCCTCGTCGTTGAATTGAATGATGCAGATATATAATATGTGATATTATAGCAATCCAATCTGTGATGCATTTTAAAAAGATCAGGTCTCGGAAATCGCAAACAAGTATGCTGATGTTCAATTGTTGCAATCCTCGCCAACTGATGAGAGACCGGGGCCTTAATTTCCAGGCACACACTGTCTTCGGATAACAAGGCCGACAACTCCATTCCTGACAAGTCTCATCAAACATCAAGTGCATACTTTGACGGTGCTATGCGAGCTATCATCTGCTCATGGCGCGGCATAAGCCTTCTCCGTCACCGCAGTAGAGGAGCTACTCGAATTTCCATCGCGTACTTTAGAGGCGCGCGATATTCTACCGCTTTATCCGAATGCACCGATGAGACAATCACCCTTCCTATCGGGAATAATGGTTCTATTTCTCTGCAGTAGGATATATCCCGATCTAAAGATCTAACTGCAGATTCTAATTTTATCCCTAGAATCACACGACCGAGCGCGTTGAGCCGGTCTCCCCAGGGGTCGCCTCCAGAAGGCCCAAATGTAATCCTCTATCTCCCACCAGGACCTTTATTCCAAAGAGATAATATAGATGTATCTCAAACAGATGGAGATTCAGTTCTTACAGTTGGTCCCCGATCGTCTGGCTACACAGCTTCACCGCAGCATGTCCTAGCATCCACAACGTCTGCATTGGTAGTCACAGTCAATTACCGTCTTGGGGAGATACAATCACCTGTCTCCTCATTTTCAGATCCAGACTCTAGCTCGAAAGAGCTAATCCAGGGCCCAGATCAATCCCTGGAATCAAAGAACTCCCAACCCACTTCTTACAAATACCCAACCCCCGTCCATGATACATTGGCTGGGTTCGATTGGATTCAAACCCATCTAAAGCCCGCCCGACTAGCTATCTGTGGCACGCACATCGGAGGGTCTTTAGCCCTCATGCTAGCGCTCACAGAAGCGCAATCCATACAAGCCGTCGCTGCTATGGAACCCATTTGCGACTGGCCAGGTCTGGACGAATACTGCACGCACGAGAGCACCTCCTCAAGTCCAGAGATAGACGAAAAAGAAGCACATGATTCTGCGGCGCCTGCAACAACAAGATCAAAACCAAAACACAAGCGCCGATCAAGAAAAAACCCCTCAGCACCGCCCGACTTAGTCCCCCTCCTACAAGCCCGCTCAAAGTTCTTCGCAACTCCAGAGCGCTGCTTTGACTCCTTCGCTTCGCCGATTCTCTTCCTTCGCTCCGCGGGCCGGGACGTCCCGCACACATTCCCTCAATATCTCACGGGCCCAGATTATCCCGTGCCCTTGTTGAGAACACGAAGCACAACTGCAGAGGAATACTCTTCATCGGACAGTTCGATCTGGGATCGAGATGTGTATCCCGATATAGACGCTGATGACATCGATGATATCGGCGCTACTGCTACGCGTCGCCGGAAGGCGCTTTCGCGCTGGCCGCCATATGGACTAGATTACGGCCTAAGTGGGAAGACGTGGTCTGGCTCTGAGGATGGAATCGGGCGGCTGGAGGTGAAGTTGCCTTTGGTTCAGGTATTTCTACGGGAAGACGGTGCTTGTTTGCCGTCTGAATTCGATACCTCATCTACGACTGAATTGAAGAAATCGCGGAAAGAGATGGGTAATGGGTCTACAGTTCTTGCAAAACAGGCCGATGAAATGGTCTCGGTTATGCGACGGGCTTGTTTCTGGGGCCGAGAGAAGGGGGTTGGAGAGCGGAGGGTCACTTTGTCCAGGGTTCGCGGGACTGACCATAATGCAGAAGAAGTGGGTGATTGGCTCAGGAATTTCTTCCAAGGAAGGATGGATGATATTGATTGATATTGCAATCAATATCTGATGGGGCAAAACTTTGGCGTGGACACTGGCAGACATGCCAATGTCGTTATATAAAGGTAGTACGCGGTATCTATAGATTCGCTGATGTCCTGAATGTGGTATAATCAGTGGTTTAGATGGCAAACCACCCTTTGACATATACATACCCCAGGCACCTGTATCCACAACCGATACACTAACAATTCGACATTGGCTACGAGCCTCTGTCATGCGTAGGCGTTCTGCTGCTACTACATAGCCAATCCGCTAGAATACTCTTTTTCTCTCGCATGATCCCGGTAGCCCTCGATAGCTTTGGGGGTCATGCATGTGCAGCACCATCATCACACACGTATAAATACTATCTGGACTTGGGGGCTTCCGTCACGCTTTGTAATGTATCTGTAGGGATATAGAGTGGTTACAATATGAATTTCTGAAGTTGGGGTAAACAGTCGGCTGGATATTTCAAATGAACAAGGAGGGCTCTTTTCATGGTGGCATTGATGTCCTCACATAGTCATCTGACTGCCACCAGCCATCAATATCCTCGAGGCCTGCGAGCATGGTTGGATCCTCGGGGAAAGGAGAAGGTATCTGGTTCGTATTATTGGCGGCATCGACACGCTGTGTCTCAGACACAAAGGGTATCTCCGAGTTGTGCATCCAGTCGAGATCATCTAGTTGCGCGTTGGGGATGGCGAAGGCTGGCGGCTGCTGCCGTTGGAAGACAGGTGGGCACTGATTCTGATAGCGAGAAGACGGAGGTTGGTTGGAAGCCACATGTGCAGTTGACTGCACATTGGGGGGCGATCCACCGCCAGTCAAACGAGACTTCTTCCGCGATCCATCAATGACCTGAGTGAAGGCTGCACGCCCATGCTGCACAGCTGGCTTCAAATTACTACTGCTTATCTGGCGTTTCGTCGCAGAGCCAGATCTGCGCATATTTGTTTGCCAGCGCCGTTGGAGGGTCACAAGGTAATCGCGTGTTCGTTTAGCGTTCTCAAACGATTGGCCCAGTTCGTCCAGAGCGCGGAAGCACAGGTTGAGATATGCCACCATATCTGCGTTGCGGGGCCATATCGGGCTGTCACCTGGTCTTTCGGGGCTCATTGGGGAACTGGATACTGTCACAAAAAGAAGCATGAGTGCTGCGCTGAATATGATCGCTACAACTTGGTTGTTCATGCGGCGGAATGTATAGTGCTTTTCGTAGAGCTGAAGTAGTCGTGCGATGGCAGTGGCTGATTCGACGCACATGCGTCGCGCATGATGATACCCGGGACCTTGACGAGGACTTCGAGGTTGGATGTAGCTTTTGGAGAGCCATGGGCGATGGAAGAAGATGATAATTTGGTGGTATTGCATACTGCGATGGATTGTTAGTAGGTTTTCTGCCACCTGGTATATCGAATTACCTACTGGAGCATCATCAAATGAGGCAATATTGGAGACGTATCATCGTCTAGATCGATCTCCAGGCTAGAGGAAAGATTGGCTTTCCAGGCGAATAAATCTTCAGTCACTTGATAGCAAATTCTTTGTAGATCGTGCCGAGAGATGTCGGAACACCCATACCTAGTCATATTAGCATTTTACCCAATAACACCATGAGAGCCACATACAATATATGACCAACTGGGGAAATCATCTCCCATAAATCAACAAACTGCCTACATATGAGATCAATGGGATTTTCCAAGGGCTTTTGAAGCGGTCCCCCAATAAATTGATGACCGTAGGGATGCCAGCTTTCTGTTCTTTCAGGGCAAAGAGTAGAAGCGGGTTTGGGGACGCCGATATCTCCAGCGTTCATGCGGAATGGACGACCCAAATAAAAGCCCCAAAAGCTTGTTATAATTAGGGATAGGATTCAAATGCAATATATGGGGCCTTGCTTACTGGTCTGCAACATAGCTTCCCCAAAATGTCGCACGGCGTACATCGGCCTCGAACTGGGTGATATCACCCTTATTAACGTATGCTGTCATGTCAAGGTGTAGACCAAGATCAAATGCTAGTCGCATCGACATTCCTATATAAGAATTAGATAACAACCCTAGATAGCTGTTGCGCCTCCCATGTATATGCTTACCGCTATACAGCCAACCTCGAGCATCTCGATTTGACGCGCCCTCATGACAGCTCATAATAACAAGAGCTTGGACCGTAGCAACACACGGAGAATCGAGTTCAATTTCCAAAAGCGCCTTAGCACGGTCTGCGAAGAATTCGGAGAGAGATTTGGGAAAAGTGATAAATGTGGGATGATAGCGTGCCTCGAAGGCACTACCAATCGCACACCTGCAACAAGTCAGCGAACCAAATTGAAAAAGGGATTTTCGTGATAAATTCACATTGCATTAGTTAAAACTTCCGAATAGAACGGAGTATCGTCAAATTCATTACGCCATTTAGATCGTGCAGTCATGTACATCTCTTTATCAACGACGTATGTACTGGGGTTTTGCCAGGTGAAATATAGCTCCACAAGATGATCTTCCAGGGCTTGATCAACGGGCTGACCAACGCGGAGATGGTTCAGAATATCCTGACCATCGTGGCGCACAGTTCGCGCATCTGGTCGTTGCCGTTGCTGAGTCGCAGACACATCGACCAGATTAAGATTGGACGTTGCACCGTAAAAGCGCAGATGACCATCGCCGGCAATCTTCAAAGTGCCAATTCGATGCGATAACTGCTCAATAACGTCATTCTCGGCTTCATCCTCTTCGCCACTGTCTGTTTCATTATCTCCCTCTTGGGGAAGTTGGACCAGCAAAAACCCTGCCTGTTGACCCATATCCATACCAACCTGGTCGTGATCTGGGGAAAATCCCGCATTGGTTGGAATCCCAGAAATCGCAGGAGCCGCCGGCCCCTGTCCTCCGCTGAGATTGGCATATATAGTATCGAGACTTTCAGCGGTTGGGAGTGTGAATCCCCAATGGACGAAGTTTTGATTGTCGGAAGCACCTCGGACCATTCCAAAGGGACTCCAGCTCTCGGGCGAGGGAAGTTGACCACTTGAGGGAGCGTTGAGCGCTTCAGATGTGCCAGCAGGGACGGGGTTTGCGGTCGGGGGTTGCCCCTTTACACTTACAGCAGGCGGGCACTGGGATGGAGATTGGCCTGTAATCACAGGAGGACTTTGTCTAGCCTGTGGTTGCTTCTCGTCTGGCACCGCTGAAGCTTGGGAGAATCCACGTGGGATCTGGAGAGTCTCCAGGACTTTATTCATACCAGCTTCATCCTCTGGTTTCATAGGTGGCGGCTGCAGCCCATTCTCTTGGATAAACTGACAAAGCTGATCGATTCTGGCCGAGAACAGTTCGGTTGCTGCTCGAAGCGATACTCTAGCGATCAGTGTTAGTGTGTGTAAATTGCATGCTAGATACCCCTTGGACCCGTGGAGCTGCTTGCGCATTTGCAAATCACGGAAACAATTGTACTTACTTGCGTTTGTCGTCCCCATGTTGATATTTACATTCTTTCCCTTTGCGCTGACAGTTTTGGCAGTGTGGAGTAGCTCCATCACACTGCGAGTAAATGACGCGTTAAATCACCTTTCCCCTACCACCCCGTCTCTTTGCCTCCAGACCTGGGGCACATACCCTAATCTTGCTCTCCCGACATGGCACACACGCGGTAGTGACATGTTTACGAGGTGCCTTTTTCAATTTCACAGGGTCGGGCGACATGATTCCGAAGTCCGAGGCCCTGACGATTGTCGCCAATGCCGAGCGCTTGTGGTGATTGGATGTACCCCCGCAGATGAGAGGGAAAAGGCCAAGTTTAATTCATCCTGTCTCGGTCTCAATGCTCGTAAAAAGCAAGTTATCAATTTGCTCGAAAATGTCCTGGGGGCGGGGGAGAAGGGCCCACTGGCGTTGGCCTATGGAAAAAAGGTGGGGGATAAGCAGAAGAAGGCCCAAGTGGTCAAGTGATATCCAATTTGTGGAGTAGAATATGTACATCGCGATTATTATGTATCTTAAATTGTCTACCAGTTGGAAGTGCGCTTGATCTTCTCGTTCTGCACCACCTCAATCCAATATCCATCGGGATCCAGGAGGAATGCGATGTTGTGCATCCGCCCGTCGCTCAAACGCTTCTTGAAGTTGACCTTCAGAGACTCGAAACGGTCGCACGCAGCTGGAAGGTCGTCCACAGAAATACCTGGTCTAAATTAGCAAACAATAACAGGAAGTCGTGTGATCATCCACTTACAGATGTGACCGAAACCTTGGGGCTCAGTGTTGCCGTTGTGGTAGACCGGGCCCTCTTGCTTCTCGGTGCCATAATTCCAAGTTAACTCCAAGAGACCTTCCCACTCGGCCACTCCATTCTTGCTGCCCTCCTTAATCTCCGGGTTGGATGCAGGGTATCCCAGGAAATACAAGTTGAACTTGTTCTCCGGGTTCTCGATAGTGCGGACCAAGGTCATACCCATCGATTCTTGGTAGAACTTCAAGCTAGCTTCGGCGTCCTTCACGCGCAACATAGTGTGGTTCAAACGGTAGCTACCGGGGTCGGTAGTGGTGCTGAGATCCTCATCGGCGCGACGAATGATCTCGACCCAGTATCCATCGGGATCCTTGGCGAAAGCGATATTGCGCATACGGCCCTCAGTCAGCTTCTTCTGGAAAGGATAGCCTGCATCCTCGATCCGCTTGCAAGCAGCCTCGATGTTATCGACTGAGATGGCAATGTGACCGAAGCCCCGGTGCGGCTCTGTGTTACCATTCACCACGCTGTAATTGGGATCGTTCTCGGTGCCATAGTTGTGAGTCAGTTCCAGTACGGCATTGCGATCGGTCCAGTGGCGATCACCTCCTTGGAGGGAGGCTGGGCCGTTATAAGCCAAGAAGTAGTTGCAGAACTTCCATTCGGGCATGTCGATCTTATTGACCAAGCTGAGGCCAAGGAACTCATAGAATTTCACCGATCGCTGCGGATCCTTGACCCGCATCATCGTGTCTGTAGTTCCCTCATTGTGTCAGTGTTGTTTGATGAGTTGCGCGGGGTCCACGAACGGTTGAGCTTATAGGTGGAGGTATCGGTAGCCATGGTTGCTAGTGATCCTAGGAGACTGTTAATAATTGGCTAGCTGAACTGGATATGGATTGGACTGACTGATTGGCACAAAGAATCTCTGCTTGAGGATCCCAGGGGAAAGACGAGCGAACATTGAGGGGGCGATGGAGGGGCAAAAAAAACACGACAGCTTTTGTCAGCCGTGAGGAGACTGTGGGGCCAGGTGACGCTATATCGAGGTTGCTACGGAGTACATGGGGTTTACAGCGGAGAGACGATCGATGGACTGGGAATCTTCATGGCTACATTCTTAATCGGGGCTTGACTATACCAATTAGTACCGGGGCAGGTCTAAGAAGCTGTATGTGAATTGCAAACCGGACCTTGACACCTAAGGAGAAGTATGATTAAGGCAATACAGATCGAAATGCAGGCATTGTCTGATCCCTAGTCCAATGAGATGCAACAACTAGATTCGATTCTCATCTGTAACACGATGCCCAAGTACTGCCCATCGAGGGCGATCAGTCGAGGTTGTATACTCCGTCCAGCGATCCAACGTCATGCGGGACTCCACCAAAACGGTTGGCATCTCCAATTCCTCTTCTCTCCCTCAACCCAACCTGAACACAACCTGAACACGACCTGAACACCACGTCTTAAGCCCACCCAATTCCTCCGATTCGCCCAGGTTCGTGGATCTCTTCTTGCATTTTCCTCCACACACCTCTTCCCCGCCCCCGGTTGATCCCTTTCCCACCATTGGCTTTCATCTTCACAGCTTCGTGTCCCAGTCCAAGCGGTATCTCGAGATCTTTTGCTTGTGGACTTTCTTATACTGCCGCGCTTAGCACTCGGCTCCTATCCTCCTATTCTTCTCCCAATCAAATTCCCGCCCATGCACCTGATACGTCTCTGTTTGCCCGACCGTCGGTGTGTTGCTGTCGCGGAGCCGCCTCATACCCCATGACACCTGTCGTACGGGCCTTCATAAAGATGTCTCTCCCTGGCACTTTTCTCTGTGCCACCGGACGGGACTGAAATTGTCCTGGCTTTTCATTTGGGCTGAAAAGACCAAATGCGCATTGAGTCAACGCGTCCGAAACGCTACATGCCCCCCCTCCTTCCCCATCTTCTGCCTGCTCAAGCCCCCGCTATGAGAATATTGCCTTTTACCCTTCCATTCTCTGTTCATTGATCTTATTGTTACTGTGGGGGAATAAACATACGCCACGTTATCTTAGCGTGCGAAGTCTGTATCCGTGGATGTGAAGATGGCTGAATGCGAACCTCCTCCAGTCCCCGGTCTCTCTTACTCGATATCCGATTGCTCTTCGACGACTACATCTAGCTCCTCTACCTCACAAGATCCCTTTGAACCGACCTTCCTCCCCTACTGGGCCCGTTACAAGACAAAGTGCGCCCAGAACCTCCTAGACTACTCTGACGAACCGATCGAGTACGACCACGAAGACGAGGACTATCGCGATAATTGCTTCTTCTTTCCAGAAGACAGTTCGTGGACACCGCCAAAAGAGTGCGCTTCGGGGACAAAACATATACCAATTCAGGAGGAACCCGAGATTCGGGAGGAATACAAATCATTGGCAGATCACACCAAAGCCGACACCGACACCATGATTCCCGGTCTCCCAGATATCAAGATGCTAGACGCAGAAGCGCTAAGCGACCTCCTGGAAGATAACCTCTCCCCACCGGAGATCACAACGATCATGTATGGGTCCTGAGCTTTCATCGCAAGAATACAGCTAATGACGATGTTTCACATAGTGTCTTCGCAACGAACGGCGCCGTTTTCGCCCACGGCTCCTCCCTCTCCTCGCGCCAACTGCGCAACCTCAGCGCTACATACGGCGCTGCTTACACATGCTACGCCAAGACTGCCTCAAGCGGCAATCTGACAGGCGTGAACCCAGCGAGCCATCCTTCATCCTACGTAACCGCAAAGTCCATATCGCTAGGTGACGTGGGCTCAATCGTCTTCGAACTTGGCGACTCCGTCGCGGTGGTAACCCGAATCGCAGACAAAGTGCTCGTAGCAGCTGTTGGTCCGTCCAGACTCGATGCGCCGGAGCCAAACGGCGCGATTAACGCCGATTCCCTCGCAACCGATGGTTTTGCCGATGTTGGTAATGGGACATCGACCCCCGAGGGCTCACAGGGTGATGGCTCGCGTGCACTAGCCACTTCTGTATCTCTAAATCCTCCAAACGGCCACGGCGACCCGCAATTCGAGGTCGATCGAAGCGCCGATCTCGCGCGTCTCTCCAGCCTCAACCTTTCCGCATCACCGGCTGTTTTACTTGCGCTGGAGTCTAAATGCGCAGCACTAGGGCGGTTCCTCGGAGAAAAACTAAATGATCTGGAAAGTCCGGAGGATTTCTGATGCAGCGAGAAAACATCAACAGCGATATATCTTAGGGATGAATACATGGTGTGGAGAGATGTTTACCTAGGCTACGCCATGGATGTTTCCAGTGCGAGCTGTAGAATGATTCGACACAAATATACCAGCTTTGTGTATTCGATAGTTGGAGGATATCGTATCTAATTAGCGTTGGTATCTAATTTTAGGAATTCGATTTAACGTGAAAGGAAATTCATTAGATATATATCATGTTTAACCAAGGAGATGCATCAAACCTATACACATAGATGCAACGCTCCACTCCAGGGCGGGATGCGATGCACATGTCGAATAGTTATGTATACGGGCAACACAAGTCTGCAAGCCCGAAGAACCAGAACAAAAAGCCGATCAAGCCGAGAAGAAATCATCTTAGGACTTCTCAACAGCAGAGCCACCAGGAGCGGTGTGGAAGTGGCTGGTCGTGCTGGCAGTACGGCTAACGCCGACAGTCGGGCTGGCAGCCGCGGCGTCCTTCGCATCGGCAGAAGCAGCAGCCTGGCTGTTCGCCATCTCCTTCTCGGCGTAGTTGGGCGGGTAGCCGGCGGCATCGGCGGCGACAGGAGAGGCAACAGCCGGGGAGGTGGCGGTGGGCGTGGCAGCCGCCGAGGGGACATGAGCGGGGGCGCGGGTAGCATCCTTGATAACGGACCACCACTGCTCCGCGTCCTTGGCGGAGTGAGCCTTGAAGTAGAGCTCGGTGTTTGTGTGGAAGGCGTTACCGATCTTTCCACTGGAGATGTCCTTGCCCTTGACGTTGAACTTGACACCGTCGATGGCGCCGACGATGCAGTCGGGCAGGTACAGCGAGAGTTCTGGGGTGGGATCGCGACGGAAGTCGTCGTTGTCCTTGAACTCGTGCAGGTAGCGCGCCGGGGTGACGACGTAGTAGCCGGAGTTGTAGCCCTTGATGACGGCGCGGGAGCGACGCTCGAGGGAGCCCTCGATGAGGGGCTGGGTGGAGCGGTGGTTCATGTTGGGGAAGGTGATGCTGGCGAAGGTGCGCGGGGGGAGTCTGGGTTGACGAGGGTTGCGTCGTTGCGGACGCAGAAGTTGACCCATTCGAAGTCCGGTGGGATGCGCTGCGCGGTGCCGAGGATGTCGGCGTACATGGCGCGTTGGCGCTCCAGCTGGCCGCCCATGTGCTGGTGGAATTGGTCCAGGGAGCCTTGGACGGTTTGCAGGACGTGGGCTTCGAATTGCTGGAAGGAGTTCTGCACGGCGAGGATGTCCTGGCGGTGGTTGTTCTCCTCGTTGACTTGGTTGTTGAGGCGGTGGTTGATGCCGCGCTTGAGGAGGTAGGGATCGTGGTGCTGCTCGATCTTGTTGGAGGCGGCTGCGTCGAAGGCAGCGGAGTTCTGGCCCAGGAGCTCGATGTGCTTCTGGGTCAGGCCGCGGGCTTTTTCGACGGCTTTGGCGCCCTTGGATGCGCCAGTGTTGAGCTCCTTGGACTTGTTCTTGACCTCTTTGTGCAGGCGTTCGAGGGTGGGGAGCACGGCGACCTTCAGGTTCTTTTCGCCTTCCAGGTACATGTTCACCATGCCCTGGGTGTTGTTACGGATGTTCTCGAAGAGACCAGCCACGCCGCCCTCGCTGGCGCTGAAGTGGTGGCCCTCCCTGAGAGGCTCGTTCACGGACTATTCTCGTTTGTCAGTTCCGGTTGCCCCGGCCTAGTGAAAAATATACTAACCTTCAAGATCTTCTCATAATCCTTGGATTGGGACTTCTGCACCTTGGCGGTAGCAGAGAAATACTCCTCCAAGTATCCGATCATGTGCTTCCAGGCCTGGAGACGCTCAAGCAGGAGAGTGGTGGTCTAAAACAAGCGCACTGTTAGCCCCAAGCTCCTCCCCCAATCTTCGAGACACCACATCGCGGATACACACCTCACTGCTATCAGTTTGAGGGATAGCCTCATCGTCACTCATAGAAGTACGACGAGTGAATCCGCTGCTCACGGTCCCAGACCGCTGAGGCAGCGTAACCTCCGCGGGGCTCGCTGCAGTAGACATTTCAGAGGAACGGCGGGGTAATGCAAATTATAGCTCAGGGAGTAACAAGTGTCAACAACCAGCAATCGAAACCAAAATTGTCCAACCACTGCCAAAAGCGCGACTGGAGAAAGATGGCACAGCTCAATGAATGATCAAGGATTGTCAGGTATGAGTGTTGAAGACTAAAATCGAGGGGAGTTAGCGCTAGTCTCTAGCCGGACTAGTTAGCACAGCACATCCATTATGAAGCGCTGTGAACAGACTCACACGGGAGCGATTTAATCTAACAGTGTCCACAATGTGGGATTGTCTAGCAGATCAAAGCGAGAGGGCCATTCTTAACCGATCGGCATACACCAATGACCTCACCATGCCCCTCGTTCATCACGAGAAGTTACTGTAACCGATGGACCTCACCGTGGCTTGCGCGCTGCCCAGATTTCTCGGTTAATTCAAAGTCATTTCAGGTGGCATGTTAATGCAAAATAGAGTGTACATTGTCTTCCCCTCGAGTACACTGCCCTCGAACGTGCATTACAGTGCTCACAGATCTCGGCTTAGAGACTCGGTAACTACATGTTTAGTGTAAGTATAGGTCAACTCTAACCAGAGCTACCCAGAGCTAATATACCGTGCATAAAATGTATAAAACTGACACATCACAAGTGGCACAGGCCATGTGCTCCCAACGTTCATCAATTGAATGCGAAACAAGACAATTGACGCCGGAACAACTAGAATGCGCAGGTGTACCTCCATGGTAGGAGGTAGGTACATACATTACCTAATTCGATCTACAGCTGTTTTCCTAATTGGGATATGATATCATCAAATTGTAAAATCAAATTTGTTGAGCATTGAAGACTGAAGTCGTAATCGACTCAAATTAAGTACATGCGCTCAAAGTTTCGTATGCATGGCTCATTCTGATGGGCATAGTTTCAATGCCATGCAGCTGGTTCATATCGGGTCTCATTCGTAACGCAGAAAAAAAAAAGCAAAGAGAAACAAAGCACCACGTGCGACCATGGAAATATCCCCGTCTATGACCGAACGCCAGTAGAAGGAAAAGCAGAGGGAAAGGAAGGGAGTAAAAAGTGGTAAGAAGTGAAACATGCCGCTGGTGAAAGATAGAAAAAAAAGAGGAACAATGCTGCGTGAAGGGGGTCCGAGATTGACCCGAAGACTCGAAAAAGTGGCTGATGCTGGGGGTTGTCCGTGAGCGTTCGTAGAAGGGGAGAATGAGGCGAGAGTGAGAGAAGGCGGAAGAGGAAGAGAAGAGGAAGGAGAAGAGGAAGGAAAAGAGGAAGAAGAAGGAGAGATTCGCGACGATCTCACGGTCCAGCACCGGTCCAGAGGGAAAAGGGTTTGTCGTAAAGAATGCGGGAGATCATGAGTCGGTGAAAGTATCCTGGCCGCACATCATGTTCTGGAGCGAGCTTGTGCAAGCCTAAGTCTGCGATCCTCATCGTCAGCATGGGTGCCGCGGGAGTGGAAGAAGCCGGGACGGTGCTGCACCTCTAGTGGAGTGGCAACCCCGCTTGTACGGCCGCTACGAATATGAGCCTGCTGAGGGGACTGCGGGACTGACAGAGTGGGGAGGCTGCTGGCAATCACGGCATTGTAATCAGGAAGACCAGAGTCGTGGGGACGCACGGCACAGCGCACGGCAGTTGAATAGCTGGGGACCCGACTGAGACTTTCCACTTCGGCGTACTGGGGGTGGAAGGGAGTGACCATGCCAGAGGGAAGGACTTCGTGATCCACCTCGTCGGATGGACGCCGGGAGAATTCTGGACTACCATGGCTGTGCGAGTTCGATCCGGAAGACGGCCCAAAGTATTCATTGGGAACGCCCAATTGACGGTGAATGCTATGCCCGTCGGTGGGCGAATGAGATCCATGCATTGCGTCGCCGGGAGTGACTGCATGCTGGCGAGGGCTTGCGTTCAGGTTAACGAGACGATGATGCAGTGCCGAAGCCGAGATATCAGTACTAGTCAGCGCATTCATAGATGCAAGGTTCTCAGACGATATGTTACGACTGAGAGGAGTGAATGGAGTGCCTGGGCCACTACCAGGGCCTGGTGTACGATAGCCATTGGGATCTACCTCGCTATACAGCTGATCGAACATGTGCTCTCCATAAAGCGGGGGTGCCTGGTGCGCAAAATCATCCACGGCGATCCGGGTAGACTGGGGGCTTTGCCTGAGAAGATTGTTGTTATCGTCAATGGGGATGTGAGGGGAGATGTAAATCGAGACTGGAAGCGTGGCCCGGAGCTGGATTGGATGATTAGTGTTGCGAAAAGTGGTCAGTGATTTCCCCTCGTACGTACCTCACTAACGTGGCCGTCAGGGTTGTGCAGCTGAATGCGGAACTTCAACTTGTGGCGGACTTTGATTCCCTTGGTATCTGTGTCCTGCAGACAGCGGGTCAATGTTTGAGGCATCTCTAGGATACGCGTGCACTGATATCCCTCCGCCGATTCATCGATGATTTCAATGTTGTCCTCGTCCAACTGATGCTCGTCGGTCAGGATTGTCCTGGTGACCTTGTACGTGTTGCGAATGGCGTCGGGATCTTCCGGATTCAGAGTAAGGTCGTGACTTTCGAGCAACTGTGAGGTAATTTGACCGATCCGAAGACCCTTGAGCAGGGGAATCAACTTAAACTCGACGTGAATGGAAGTTCCGAAGACGATGGCTTTCGTCGGGGTACTGATGGAGTATTCGATCTTGTTGGGCCAGATGTTCTCTACCGACTGCGGGGCTGTTAGCTATACTTGAGGCCATCAATTATCTGGCTGATTCAAGCTTACCATTGCATGCGAAAGCTCCAGAGCACTGGGATCCAGAGTACGGATGATTCGGAGCGGTTTGCGCGCGGTGATGTCCTTGACGTATTTGCGTCCAATCTCCGCCTTGAAGCGGTACATCACCCATGTTTCGGCAAGACCTTCGACGCTCTCGGGCATAGAGCCCTCCAGCACCACATCAAATGGGTATTCATAGTTGCCCGCAGGAAGAACCTCCGTCTTTCCCTTGGCTAGCTCGCGGAATGTCCACTTTTTGTCATAGAACACACGTTCGCGCCATGACTTACGGCCACCGGCTGCTGCACTGGACGGGTGGTTCCAGCTGTGGAAATGATTCGTCAGTGGAAGCTTCTGCAGGATCTGAATCGGTACATACCAAACTCTGGACATGCCCGTCAGTTGCAGCTTGAGGTGTTTAATGGTGAGCGGCTCGGACAAGCACAGGACCACAGTGCCCCGCAAATGAGCACTGGCGGCTTCGTGCTCACCACCGCGGAAGACAACATATTCGTCGTTCAGTCTGGGAGGAAATCAGATATGTTCATGCCGCTAAGCTGCAGGTCCCCCACTCACCTGATGTCGAAATACTTGGCGCTGCTGGCGCTCCCGCCACCGCTGAAGAAGCTGAGAGCCATTTCGAGAATTTGCCCACGGCGAGAGGGCGGAACAGTGAGGGAAAGCAGAGAAAAAGCAATATGGACAGGAGAAAGAGCAAGAGACAAAGGTTAAGAGCAATGTGTAAGTTATGACACAACGTATTTTTCCGTTTTTTCACTATCGCGCTGATCTACCGGGACATGGCCAGATACGCCTGGTCCGACTCTCGCGGGTCCCACTGTCAAGACGAGTGGAGTTGTGCCGTTTCCGGCGTTGCTTGCGATTTTCCTTTTTTTTTTAATTCGATTTTTATTTTCGGAGATGATGCGATGGGACTAAGCCTTGGATTCGCGGTTGATGATCTATGCTGCCTTATATTGAAGGGCTGAAGGAAAATGAATCGAGGCAAGCACAAGAGGCCCTCAGGGCCTTTTAAATCGCGACGAAGAATCTCACCAGATTCTAACTGGTCCATCATAGTGAATGAGTGCCTGGCATTTTACGTCAGCGCTATCATATGAAGGTCAAATCGCATCTTGCCCTATACACCTCCCAAGGTGGTTGTCATGATTGTGTTATTCATTGAGTCACTATTCGGTTGACTTTCATGCGTGAATCGCTTGATATGGGTTGAATATGCGAATAAATCTCAAGCGCTTCGTAGAGGAAGCCATTTACCAACTCGTCCTCATCTCCGGGGTCTTCATTTACCCATTTTATCCGTCATGCCATACCTCGGATCACCTTGGTCGCGTGGATGTGAGGTCTTCTAGAATGCAGCACCACACATCTCCTTGTCAAGCCATACAATAGCAAAATCCTGCCAAAAAGGCTTTTAGCTCGCAACTATCTCCCTATTTAGCGGTGTATCTCCATGTACATCTAGGCGCCCGAGTACTTTGTACACGTACATATAGCCAAGGCGGCAGATACGCATTCCCCCAATCGTGGCTCGGGCGTCGCTCGACGCCTCGGCTCTTGATGGCACCACTGACATCAAGAGCGGCCTCGGATTTAGAGGCTCGTCCTTCAGCTGCTTACTCTTTTTGGGCTCCTCGTTCAGCTGCTTATTCTTGTTGGGCCCTTTATTCCGCCATGCTAAAACAACATCGGGGACTCCGGTGCTGCTCAGACATACTAGGAAGACCAGGTACAGACTCACGAAAAAGACCCTGTTTCCTGCAGACAATGAAAGTCGGCAGATGCTGATCCATGCGATCTATATGTACCTAGGTACATACATACTCCCCTTTGAGTTTGAGGTGGCACGCTTGGCTTATCTTTAAAGGCTTCGGGAACATTCGGAAATATCCGCTCATCGAACACTCAAGCTTGACATCACTGTCCCTGATGAGCATTGCGGTAAGAGCGGGAACCTGTATGACTATCCACTCCGTTGGCAGCGGCGTGGCGAAGTGATAGGCTCTCCGTGATTCAGGGATATTGATTACATTTTCCAAGGGTCAAACAAACGATAAAGAAAAGATACACAAACTGCTAGTGGAGCTAACCGTGGCATCCACTTCTGACCTCCATTACTATTTGTATATCGTTTACAACATAGGTACCCCCTACACAACAGCCAATCCATGATCACCGTTGAACCCTGTCGACGCAGCACTCGGCCTGCTCCCGACCGTGCCGATCGTGGGCCTCTTCGGGATGCAAATCGAACTCGGGCTTCACCGGATCGGAATCCCGACCGTGTGCCGATACAATATCTACCCGAGCGTCTGTGCTGTTGATTATAGCCCTTCGGTGTGATATTTGGGCTTTATCGCCTTTCTTGGGACTGCGTCTTTTTTTTCATTTTTTTTCAAAGCACCCACCTTTCAGATTGCCACCCAAGAATCAACATGGGCTCAACGGCAAGCTAATTGTTTGATCTAACCATGGAAGCTCATAGCTTTGTTGGCTCGAAGGTCTAGAGCCCCCTTTGGCAGTGCCATCTAGGTACGGAGTCCTCCGTACCTACTAGCGAGACAGCTCAATCACGCTATATGCTGCACTAGTGCATACAGGGTGTTATAGCGCAGCGATCGTCGAATTCTAGAAACCGAACCCAGATAAATGTCTCAAAATCTGCAATCTATGTTGTACAAATTAGAGGAGCTTCAAGATTTCCTAGCCCCACTGCGACAAGCAGATCGACGGTGAACTTTTTCAGGGTCTCCACTGTTCAACTGCTCCTGTTCGAGCAGCCGGTGTGAGTTCCAGAACTTCACCTTTCAGGTTCGGATTGCATCATCCCGGCCAATGTCAGGGCTGTGGGACTCTTCGGTGTATAATGCGTAGTATGTACCTGAATTGATGGGAACAGGCCTGTCGTCAGCATGACTGACCTATTATCTCTAAGGTACGCGTCTTGGTGCATGTAGTGATGTGTCATTCGCCTACATACATGTAGGTACGAAGTACGGAGTACTGAGTACTGAGTACGTGTCTACATGCATCTGCAACCAAGTCACACAACAGCGCAACGCATACTGTGGAACTGATGTGCCTGTAAAACAACGCTTGAGACCTACATGTACAATATAGATATGCAAGGACCAAGCCACATCGTTGAACCCACACAACCCTGAAACACAATACGTGCAGCCAATACCACAACATCTATAAATGACAGCCAAGCTTATCAGCGCAATTGATATTCACCGAAATTGCCAGATAAGACCTGCCAGACAGTGGGACCCAGGGTCTTTACCAATTGCCAGCTCGAGAGATATCGCACGCGAGAGATCCGACCCACCTAAAAAATCAGACAAAAAAACCACATGGCTGGAAAAAGCAATCCGTGGATAAGGCAATTCAGGCGTCGGATAAATATACAACGAGACGAGGGATAAATCAAAGAGAAAAAGCCCATGTTAACGGGTAACCTTGCCAAAACATCTTTTGCCGGTTATTCCTGTGCCGAGATGCAAGACATGATTCTTATTTTGCCGGTGATCGCCCGGAGGTCGCAATGTCTAGAGCGGGAACTAAAAGAGATCAGGTTATGCCAAGAAAAGAATTTTCGCACTGAGGGTATCGGATTTATGCACCTGGTAAGGCTGGGGCCCTGATTCGGCTGAATCGGGTTTACCGGTGATCTAGATCTGGTCCTCCGGTCTGATCGGGCTTCATGAGAGTTATGCCGAATGAACATACTAGCACATACTCAATTCCTATACGGAGTATTCTAGACACTATTTACCTCTTAGATGAAATCAATTTACTATTGCAATCTAACTCTGTAGTATATCGTCGCCGAATGCCCGGAAATGCCCGATAACGCCAATTTATCGGCTATGTTGAAATAGCTTCGTACTCTGAGTCGCCGTGTCACCCCGACACCAAGACCCTAGTCAGACTAGGAAGGCATAAAGCGCCGCTTCTTGTGCGCCATTCGGCGTCCTTCGGCTACTCAAATAAGCTATTACGAGCTGGAAATTGCGAAATCCGGACGGCGTTGAGTAATGCTCTGCTCGGCTTCATGTGAACATCTTGGTGAGTGGATCGGAGGAATGACTCCAACTCCGAATACACTGCGATGCTTTTGATGAGACTACTCCGGGCTCAATATATTGGCTTCAGTAGAGCTAGGGGCCGAAAGTGTTTCAATCGCGTTGTAGTGTGGCGGGTTCTTCTAAACCGAGATATATTGGTGGTTTGTCACCAGGGGGAAAAAGAAGTTACAACCCTACTTGTAGGGATCTTTTGGGACTTCCTGACCAATGCGATCAAGCTCTATTCACCAGATCTTCCACAATGGAATTAATCGAGGATTTTCCCCACAAGTGAACACAGATTCGAGGACATGTACTGGGTTAACATTCCAGTTAAGTGGGCTGAAAACAGCATTGTGGGAGCAACCTTCGAAGCTGAGCACATGGCGCACACGACACAAGTATTTCTTTCTCGTAATCAACCTACTTCTCTGCTAATTCGATTTCTGGGTCAAAGTAACCAGAAAATAACAAGGAAACCGTACAGATGAACAGTATGAACAGGACTTGCGCTGTATTCTTTCAAGGTTCAATCAGGGAACCGTTTTAGGTTAGTGCTCTTGGTGAGCTTAAATCAAGGATCGACCATTAGACTTTTTTGGGAGAAGAGATTTGAGGTCATGTTCTAAATATATCATGCTGGAATAATGGGCCTTCTGGTGGTGATGTCAAGAGGGCCTTGTAGGAACCGCGTCAATCCTTAAGGTTGGTGAAAAGCACAATGTAACATCAAAATTAGAAAAACATCCACTTGACCCACACTATGCTTTTACTCAATGAATATAAGCAACGTTGGTGCGGAGTACACCGAATAAGATTGAAAAAGGCCTGGGCCAAGTATTATGTTCACTAGCAAACACATGATTAATCACACCAAAAGCACAAAAAGAATATATGAGATCGCAATGCAAGTTAAAGCCAATCGGCTAGAGCTGAGCTGCAAGTCATCTAGACATCATTCTGGAGAACCTGGGGGGTCCAGAGAGAATCAAGTGGGTCGAAGGAGGTAGTAGGAGTTGTGTCGTCAACGCTCGTGCGCCACGAGGTCTATGATAGGCGCAGCCGGGAAATAGGGCAATAGACATGATGGCGAATGACGAAGATCTGGAGCACCGGAATACCCTCCAGACTAATCTGCCATTCGAAATTAAGATTGAGTGGGGCGTAGTTCTCGCTCAAAAGGCAATGACATCCCAGCAGAACAGGGCAATGGGGCAATGGCAGAATCAAACATTGTCAATTCGAGTCTTGGTCCAGCAAGGGTATCGAATATCGAGGAGGGCACAGATGAGCGGCGACAAGGGAAAATACGGGCGCAAGGACAGCGATAGCCCTTCAGAAGATCCACCCAATAATGATATAGAGCACGATACCAGCGGCGATGCACATGCCCGCAATTTTCAGGACCGCAACAGTGTCGCCTTGTTTCGCCATCCGTGTGAGTCGAGTGGCGCTGCCTTTCAGATTTGTCGAGAAGGAGGAGAATACATCGCTCTAACCCATATTGTCAGTCGTAAGGTAACAATATGAGGACGCCAACCATAAAAGTCTCGGGAATCTTATAAGAAACAAGCATCCCCACCGACATATGATCGGGTCGCAAAGGATAGATTGAGACGTACCGTGTGGTCAAGGGTATCCTGATCCCGTGCGTTATCGTGAATATCAATGGTCACTGATCGGAGAGCCGAGACCTTGGAGGATAGCGAATTGAGGAGCGCATTATTCTGCCTGGTTCAAAGTGTCAGCTGTCGAACCATGTAACACGCAAGGAATGATCCCAACAAAGCAAGTCCTTTTGGAGGGACTTGCTATGGGACAAGGTGGAGAAAGGGGACATACTGCTCACGTTCGTAGGCGTCACTCATTTTGAATATGTTCAAGTTCTTTTCGAACGGTTGCCGGGATTGTATGCAGAGAGCGATGTTAAGCTTGTCGGAATTGAAAGATCAACCCCAGAAAATGAGTGAGAGGCGTGTGGCCAACAGCTTCAGGAATCGGAGCCGACGTCAGTCCAGTGACAGATCACATGACCACCGATCATCAGCGCATGGCTTTGGGCACTCAACTCACTGTGCGATTTTCATTGTTTTGAAATAGAAATATTCAGAGACTTCCTGTTCTGCCTTTTCTCTAATATTGGATGAATCATGCTCTATAATTCCCGCATATCTATATCATATATGGAGTACAGCGCGCGTACTTTACCTTGTAGCTTGAGCTTTGACTCGGGCCCACTTATATCGAAATCCTAATCCGAGATCCATGTGTGTAGATATTTCCACCTGCTTTTTACAAGATTTACTAGAAAGCATTAATAGCAATGTTCTGAGTATGATCGTATTAGGTAGATAGTATTTGGTGAGCGTGTTGGTATCGTAGCACATCGGTGCCCAGACCGTAGATTCAATGACCTAGGTTTCTATTATAATCCCATATAAGTTCCCTTTCAGGTGAGTGCTATAGACACAGAGATATTACGCTCATAGGTATATAGGCTCAAGAGCTTCTCATGTACGGGGTAAAGCAACCGAGAGCTCAAACTGGGGGTATACTAGCATATCACGTGACCCCATCGGCGGCCGGACTGAGATCTACTTGGAGAAGAGCACTGGCAACGGAGATAGGGAAGCCCCACCTGGCAGCAGGAAGATGATCTGTATAGCTACTGAGATCCGCTAAACAACATCGTTTCCCCAAAATTGGGCATGGCCTGTGAGCAATATGGCTTCGATGGAAGAAGAAAGACCATCAAAACGGGCCCGTCAAGCTTGTGAACCCTGTCGGTAGGCAAAAACCCTGTGTCAAATTGCAAGTCAATCAAATTGATAATTTTCTAGCCGAAAAAAGTCGCGTTGTCCTGGGGAAAAGCCGAATTGCTCGTACTGCGAGCGATTAGGCCAAAAATGTGTGTATTCGGGTGTTGAAATAGGCGATGAAGGGTCAGCGTACTCTCACAAGGTGGTACGTATGTTTATTGCAGATGCACAGACTGGTCCTAATGTGATACAGGAAGAACGCATTTCTGGCATTGAAGGAAAGCTAGAGCAGTTGATGGAATATATTGTGTATGTTATCATACTGATTTTCACATGGTATGTCTGTCTGTGTTTGACTGACTCGAGCCGCAGGCGATCCAGTTCAAATCAGCCATCTTCGCTTGCTATCCCCGATGCTTCGTCCTCCCAGGTTCCAGTGGTTCCACCTCCGGAGAACCTTTCAATGTAAGTCAAATTTGGCACTTGCATACAGAAACGTTGACTGACGAACATAGCGGAAATGGATCATCTAAAGTGCCAGATGCCGAACTTTATCTCATGTTTTGTAACGCCCAGCCCCTCCTCTTATTTCCTCACAGGTCCTCTGTGGCTTCCCTGAAGATGCGGGATCCTGAGCTCCTCCTGGCCATTGAAGCTCTTGGGGTCCGTTTCAAAAAGCAAGGAGTCAATGACAAGGACGTCCAGCTTGAGATCAAGAGAAAAACAGAAAGGGCTTCTCAGATCGTCATGATGCGTTTAGCATCAGGTACTGTGGAACTGTCCACAATTCAGACTCTTTGCCTCCTCAGCATGCTGGAATTTACAGGTAAAGTATTCTTCCCCGGGGTATTTGTGATGAGTTCTAACATTGGGCTTCATCGGCTCAGCGGGACATGTCATTCGCGCAGGCTCGTATACCAGACTGGCCACATATTTCATGAGAAATCTCAGAGTAAATGGTCTAGAGTCCATAAGCAATTTAGAAACCGAACGGGATGAACGCAAGCTCTGCCATGTAAGCCTCGTCATGCTTCGAAACCTTCAAGGATGTCTACCATCACATACAGGGGTCGGGTTGGATTCCCTTGCAGAGACTGGCAAGCTCCTCTCTCCTTTGGGATCGACAATGATTGGCAAAGACCATGCTCGTGGTAACATCGGTGACTCTAAACCAGACATTGGAATCAATGGTAGCAGCGTTTACACGAGTGAGTTGTGGGCGATGGCATGTAATTATGCCGCTAGTCATGTGGGTGTCGACGCCCATCCCCCATGGTCTCCGAACTCTGATTACACTATGATAAATTTCCGACATTGTGAGCACGAGAGTCTCATGCCATTGAGATTCCGGCTCCATGCAAGTCGCTTCCAGGATCATCCGCCCGCCGAGCTCCAGGCCCGTCGCGACTATTGGAGCCCATGGCTGTTCTTCCAATTAGTCTGGCATGCTGTACCTTGTCTGGTGAACCACCCATTCCTACTCTCCATGCGGCTTCGCAACTTCCGGAGGACGATGCCTCAGTCATTTCTCCGCAATTCCTTTGAGCAGCTGACATTCCACTCGGGCTGGGTTGTTCATTTCCTCGAGCTTATCGAGATGAAGAACTTCGAGGTCTCCGACCCAACGATAGGACACTGTGTAGCGATCGTTGCTACTATCTACCTTCAACATAGCTTTGTTGAGGACCAATCCTTCAACAGAAAGGCGCAAACCGGATTTGAGAAATGCCTCAGATTCCTGCGTAACATGGGTCATAGGTGGCCGCACATCGATCGCCAGGTCAGCTTTAATAATCCTTGCTTTCGTTGATTATTGATTCTAATACTCTCTCTAGGCTCATCAACTACAACAACTCCGCGATAGCGTATCTTCCGGGGGCCTCATGACAGACAATAGCACTCCAGGAGGAACAAACTCTCGTCAGAAATGGTCTGTGAACTTGCAGCTATTGTGGAAGATCTTAGTCTATGCGCATGCAAGCAATACATCAGATCCCGCAAGCGATATCTTCGGCCCGGAACTTGCCAAAGACAGTGTTGGATTCTCCGGGGAGCCTCCTGCAGGCGCTATCCCCGAACGTGACTTTTCTTTGATTGGGTCTGCCGGAATCTCAGGCCATAAGACGGTAGCTCCTGAGTGTGTCACCTACCCACCGGAACAGACTGAGGATCTGATGCAGGGCCCGAGTCAGACTTCACCGACGATGGGTTTTGGAGGGCTTCCAGGGGACACTCAGATGGACTTTAGCGGTGGTGACACATTGTTACTGCAACTTCAAGATTATGGGAGGGCATTCGAAGATTGGCTGAGTGTTCATCCAACATGAGTCATTCTACTTATATCCATGTGGATAACATCGGATCGTTGTGCTCAGTACTTCACCTGCTCATACGGGGAACACGGCCCGGGTCCGTCTCGATTTTGCGCCAAGACCCGGAATGCAGCCGCCCAGGTCGCCTCCACTCTCCGCATTTTATAAAGCGAGTTCCCCGTTGGATTATAGCTTGACAATAACTACTCAATATCCTGTTGGCCATCAATCTGTCGCACAAAATGACTACAGCCAAGAATGATTCAATCTTGATCGTGGGCGCCGGCGTCTTCGGTCTCTCGACCGCGCTCGAGCTCAACAAGCGCGGATACACCAATATCACAGTCGTCGATCGGTTTGTACCGCCATCAGCGGACGGAAGCAGTGTTGATATTTCGCGCATTATCCGTGCCGACTATGCAGACCCAGTCTACGCTCAAATGGCTCGGGAGGCATACGCTGGATGGACCACCGAATATAAAGATCAGTTCTTCGAATCAGGATTCGCCATGATCTCGGAAACTTCCAACAACCCATACATGGAAAAGTCCAAAGCCATTATTCGGGAAGCAGGTGGCAAAGTAGACGAGCTTCCCGACGCCATGGATCTTCGCAAACTATACCCCAGCGTCCAGGCTAATTTTGTTGGGATGAGTGGATATCACAATCCCAAGGGTGGCTGGGCCGATGCTGCCGGGAGTATCCAGCAGCTTGCTTCCAAGTGTACTGTGGCAGGAGTTTCGATCATTGCCGGGCCTCGCGGCACTGTTATTTCCCTTCGGAAGGCGGGTTCGCGAGTTATTGGTGTCAACCTTGTCGGGGGACAGGTTTTGCTTGCTTCACAGGTCATCTTGAGCACTGGGGCGTGGACGAATCGTCTCTTGAACATGGGTCAAGCGGCTTCGTCTTCTGGTCAGCCTGTTGGATTCATTCAATTGACCGAGGAAGAAGCTCTTGAGATGAGGAAGATCCCGGTTATTATCAACATGAGCTCTGGTGTGTTCTCATTCCCGCCCACCCCGGACACACATGTCCTCAAATTGGCCCGCCATGGCTATGGGTATGCCACCGATGTTACTGTCAATGTGGACGGAGTTCAGAAGTCACTCTCATCGCCAAAGTTCGAAACCAGTAACGCGGCCACTGGATACCTTCCCGATGATGCGGATGCATCGCTGCGCGATGGTCTGCGTCAGTTCTTCCCCAAGCTAGGTGATCGTCCCTGGTTGAACCGTCGTCTGTGCTGGTACACCGATACCCCTAATGGCGACTTTATCATCGACCACCACCCCAACATCCCAGGTCTTTTCATGGCTACTGGTGGTGCAGGACAGTAAGTGTTCACCCTGAAAATATTTCGAAAGGTATGACTCATACTAACCCGACCATAGTGGTTTCAAATTCCTTCCTGTCCTCGGTCAATACATCGCAGACTGCTTCGAGAACAAAGCCCCTGAAGAATTACGACAGAAATGGAGAATGAACCCACCCCAGGGTGACTCGGAGGGACCCATGGCCGGCGATGGAAGCAGAGCAGGTCCCCCGCTACGAAAGCTCACTCCGCTTGAACAAGCCAAGCTATAAGCACTGAATGCCATGAAGCTATACGGAGTAGTGCTAGACACGATGAGATGAAAACACATTCTTCGCTATTGAACATAGAGCATTTTTTACTCTTTATTTCCTCGGCCTCGTGGTATATACAAAACAAAACATATGCTGTATCATCAAACCCCTGACGGGTTGACGCGTCGGACGCACTTGACGCGGCGGGAGAACTTGGAGTTAAGTGCATTGCACTTATCATTCATCACACCCAAAGCTGATCCAGAGCACTTGCCTCCATTGGAGGTCTTGTCAGAGTAACCCATCCAGTGAGCGCCGGAGAGGTAAACCGATCCGGTGGTGTCGTCCATGGTGACATCGGTGAGGGTGAGCGAGTGATGGCCATAGTTGAGGCTCCCGCCACTAAGAAGAGCGTGAGCTTCAATACCACGGCACGCGGAGAAAGCATGGGGAAAAGGTTACTTACCAGTTAGTGCTGCGGTACTCGTTGGCCTTGGGCCAGGCTGCCTGAACGGAAGTAGCGGCAATCAGGGCCGTGGCGATGACAGAGATGGAGAAGTGCATATTGGCTGCTGGAGTGGTTCGATGGTTTGATTGTAGCGAGGATTGGATTGGTTGTGCTGGGAGAATTGGAAGTCGGGGTTTCTGGGGGTTCTTATAGAAGTCGAGATACCTTCAGGAAGGCTTGGAAATGGAGACTAGTATGAACTCATACATGAAGAGACCGTGGTCATTGGCTACACCCGTGTCTATTGGGAGTGGAAACATGGCGGGCTGAAAGATGGTGTGCACCGCTGTCCAAAATCATCTCCATACGAGTCTGGATGTCTCCGAATATAGAATAACCGCCTCCTACGGAATATATGGCCCCACTGTTCAGCTTGAGAAATCAAGCCCTCAACGCCCATTATGCGTTTGGAAACACTCTTGGCGGCGGGTATACTCCGTAGAGCCGGGAAGGACGTACGCTATTGGCATTAGCCTGATCAGTGTGGAGTCTTGGAAAGATGCCAATACTTGTGAACTAGATCTGGAGGCCTTGATATGAGGCCTTGGAGTGAGATAGAGAGCACACAGCAATCGAGGGTCTCCTATAGCCTCGATTGGAGGACACCGGATCTTGAAACGAAGGAAGCGGCCGCAGGAGCTGAGTGGTGGATCCCCAGCGTAGACCCCGTCAGCGTCAATCCCTCCGATATTAAGCGTTCCAAGCTGCCAGCTAGCGGTCAGCCGTTGGGCGCTTATCCCGCATTGTGGAGACAGGGGCACTTCTGTTTAATCCGTACAGTCTCCCCAGATATCGATGCTTGCATCAAGGTTGAGGAACCAAGGGCCAAAATGAACTCCGCCAAAGAAATCACGTCTATGTGAGCATGGTTGGGTACCAAAAGCCATTTGCTGTCGACAAAAGTAAAAGAAGCCAAACGCTGCACACAAACAGGGCGATGGGAGGACCAGTAAGCACTAAAACTGCACATGTGGATAGCCCTGATCGTGTCCGCACCTTAACCCCTGAATAGGGTTGGTGGCCCAGCATTTTATCATCTTTCATCACTTTGTCATTTTCAAGACCAGGTATCCTTTGTATACTACACCAATACAACCAGCACAAACTAGATCGAAAGCCATAACATCCGTTTTCTCAATGAACCAGCTAACAAACAACTGAAAATGTTAATTGTACTCCGTGATGAAAATGAGATTGAATTAATTAAGGTTGCTATGAAACATCAATTCTAAATAATTAAAGTATCGGTGTGAGACGTAGTCTCAAACACTCTACGGAGTATGATAGGTATACTATAATACGGAGTAGACTATCCGTCTTCACGCCACGGACTACTCCGTATCTCTTTCGAGGATGGGTCTACCTACCTCATTAGGTATCATGTGGACTCTCAACAACAATTACCAAAGAAAAGCATAAGATCCCGGAACTCATGTACTTTTTCCAGGGTACTCCGTACATAATGCCATATAAAATGTATCTCCGTATTGGTTATCGTGTCTCCGAGATTCTCTGATTCCCTATGATAGCTTGGGAGATTTTCATTTTATATTGCTTGGTTAAAGATGAGCCTGCTTGGTTTAGATCAACTCTGGTATGATATCATGAGTCTTTAGAGAGATATCCGACATTTGAATCTTTTGCATGGATTTTATGGATAGCGACATTGTTCAAGATGAACCCGCTTAGTCTCGTATAAAATAAACTGATACATCAATTAAAGTACTCTTGTACGAATTACATAGTTTATATCTATATTTATATTTCCCCTCGAGCTAGTTGGAGGGCTGAGGAATCTTAAGTTCTAAGGGATCTTGTGTCGATCGTTAGTTATTGAGAGTGATAGACCCATGCCCGAAAGGGGTGGGTTTGGCTCGAAGACGGATATGTGCCCAAAGTGGTCGAAACTCGGAAATTGGACCACTCTTCTGCCCAATGTTCTATATTTCTTATTCGGAGTGATACTAAGTTAAATTAAGTTGTTCATTACCAAATAAATAGACTCAGAAATTCTAAAGTGATGAAAAACTATAGAGCGCTGGGGCGCACCAACCCCTGGGTAGGGTTGATTAATCTATATTAATCAAACATCGGGGCTGAGTCGTGCAATCTCCTTTTCATCCACAGACGATACAACCCTCTTATTAGTGGCAGTCCCCATAGCAAAGCTCCCATCCTTGCACACAGGCCATTCGTCCTGGCGTAGCCAATACGCCTCATGAGAAGGATTGCCCTTGAAGACACCCTTCAAATCCAAAGGATCAGCGAATGTCTCCCACCGAGAGCGACGGTCCATCCAGCCAGGACCCATGCGCTCCGTCCGACCATCGGGGCACAGATACCGATGCTTCTGGCGGGGCAGATTCCGTCCGGGATGCATCAGGTTTAACCACCAGGTGAAGATGAGCATGGGACCCAGCTCAAACGCATATAGATACCATTCATTACTGAGAATCGGCCCGCAGTTCTCTCGACAACCGAGCTTACCGAATGTCTCGAATGATTCGACGGCACGGAAGATACACCGCAACAGGACAAGAGCCGATGTTCCGTAAAGGGTCATGCAGAGCATGCGGACATTTGGGGAGAGCATCCGGGCTTTCGAGCAGCGGGCGTGGACCATTGCGACGATCCCTATCACGCAGCATTCAACGATAGCTTGGAGGATAAGACCTGCAGTGACGAGTGTGCCGCCGGACTTGGCTTTGTCTAGGTTGGAGCCGGCTGTTGCGCTTTTGGCGGCGCCTGCAGCTGTAATTGCTTCAACGACGGCACCGACGTAGACGAAGAATATGAGGACGCGGTTGGGGTTGAGAACTGCGTGCATTGGGAGGTAGTTCATGAGACGACCGACGAGATTGTATGCGGCGGCCGAGTAGACTGGAGGTCCCACGTAGATGAAGATTGTGGAGGCGATGTAGAGGTTGAGGTTCTCTGGGTGGAAGCTCGAGATGCAGCGCATAATCCAGCCGGTTGTAAAGAGGGCTCCACCCCAACAGATGAAGAAGGTGACGCGCCAAAAACGGTAGCGACTGGAGGTTGTTAGATATATTTGATGTGTTTCAAATTGCATAGCGGACACTGACTAGTTCTGATAGACATGTACAAAGAAGGATGCGCCAACGAGGGCTGCAAAGATCGCTGGCAGGAAATGACTTGGTTTGTACAAGTAGAGGTTGTCTGTCTCTGCATCTGAAGTGTTTGATGCCATGGTGAAGTCTGATGAATTGTAGATTGGATTTGAAGATGCTGGGTCTTAAATATACAAGAGCCAGCCTGTCGATCTATACAATACGAAGCGCTACATTTGTCCAGATCGGGTTAGAGCGCACTGTCGTCGATGGGCGTCGATTCAACGCCATTTCACTGCCCACCGGTGGCATGGCGGATGACTTGGCCAATGACCAGCGTCCAACTCAGCCCTGCAGAGCGGTACATCGGACTCAAAGCGGTTAGTCGCTCTCAGCATCTAGAGAATCTCACGCTGAAGGTCTTGGAAGGTCTCTATTGTCCTTGGTGACGTCTTGCCCTTGGTACTCGCTACGTTTCCCTGTCCTCGCTAAGCCCGTTCCTGAAGGCTTGGGCTATTTTGAGATCCACGCTCCGCTTCCCACTGGGAGTATTCCACTATGCCGGGGGTCCCATCAGGTCGGGCCTGTGACGTCTGTCGCAAGCAAAAGAAAAAGGTTCGTGCGCCAGACTCGTGGCAGAAATCGAGGGATCTAACAATATGTGAAGTGCGACGAGAAACAACCCACATGTGGGCGATGTACTCGTCTGAAAATAAGCTGTGTGGGGTCTGGTCAGCAACGATACAAGTTCAAACAGCAACGATTTTCGCCCAATCTGCACCAAAGCCAACTTGTTATGGTCCCCAGATCTGGAACAACTAGAAAAGAAACCCCGTCGTTTGAAATTCCCCGAGCATGTCCTGGAAACGATATGACGTCACTGGCCCATTCGTTTGTCGCGGCCATCAAACGGACTGGGGATCTCCGATACAATATGTGGTGGTCTTTTGGGATTTTTATGGAGGATATACCTCGACGACTTGGGAGTAATGCAGCCCTCGATCGTGCAGTTGATGCTGTGACTACTGCCCATAAAGGATTCTGCTCCCGCCAGCCAGCTGCGGTCGAGACATTGGCCAAATACTCTCACGCCCTCCGAACACTCAAAGTCTATCTAGACGACCCGTATCAAGCAAGCTCTTCGACCACACTATGTGCAGTGATGGTACTTTTGGTTTGCCAAACACTTGTCGGAAATGATCAAGTAATAACAGGGCATGCGCAAGGCGCCGCCAACATACTACATGCGCGTAAAAACTTCGGGCCGCGCGATGACTTTGAGCGCAAACTGTTCCTCTCCCTACGAGGATGCGTGGTAAATGATACATAATTCCCATCAATTCACTAAGCTCTGCTGATGATGTCTCCAAGCTATTCGAGGGTCTATATAATGACGCTATTGACCTAAGTGCCGAGGAGTGGGATGCCCTAGTCGCCAATGACTATGATCAAGCTCTTCCCGAAGGCCGAATTCTGCGATGTTTAGCACGAGCACCAAGTATAATGAAACGTGGCAAACGAGCCATACGCAACTACGAGGATTTAACCCCTCTGACGGAAGAAATTCGACCAATATATGAGACATGTAAATCAATAGTGGCCGAGTTGAAAGCGCGAACAATCGAATTTCAGACTTCCGAACTCAATACCATGCCGGAAAGCTTCATGAGCCGGATTCTGCGAGCACATTATCACCGTACCTATGGGATTGGTGTTGCGGTGACATCTTTTTTCAATTGCATGCTTCAGGCACTGGACCCCAGTGACTACAGTTGCATGATGGAAGCTAGGGATTTTGTCAAAGAAATTCTCATACATGCCCAGGAGTCTAATGTATACAGGCCTGTCGGTGCAGGCTACGTACTTATGTGTCTGTCAGTGGCTTGGGCCATTACTGCAGAGCCTCAACTGCGGTCGATGGTTGAAACTGCCTTGATTGACTACCATGGGGACTTCGCATTCCACAATGGTTTGAATCTATCCCGAGATATGGAATGTGCGAGTGAGAGCTTATGGCTGGGATCAAGTTCTAGGCTTACAGCAGGGAAGTCCCAATGGGGTCATAGAATGGTGTGAGATAGCCATACAGTATCAGACAATGAATTGTCTTGATTTTGTAGGTATAGTACAGCAAAAATTGAATCTATCAATAGAATCTGGAAATATTAAACATCCGAAATGAATAACGAAGATTGCAATCTGTTTGTTCGCAGCTGCACGCTTAGCCGCCCGCTGTCAAGATGCCAATCTATATTTGCTATCCTATATGTATTGCGTCTAGTATAGTAAAAGATCATCTCTAAGTTTCCAAATATCACCATGACCAATGCGGGACTGACAATCCCAATGCCCAATATCATCTATGGGATCCAGGTTTGAACATTTCGGATTATAGGTCCGGGTTAGGCAATTCGAGTCTAGATGAAGGTGAAACTGCAGGAACTTGATGAAGATAAACGGAATGAATGGTCGCATGCCTCCAATCCAGGGTAGAGAGTCCCTTGAGTTAGGGCTTGCTAGTTCTCCAAGTCTTCCAAGGTTCCTTCCCGATGCTACGATCAACATCGATGTATAGAGATGTACGCACGTATAGGTCACACGTCTCGCGACCAATATGATGGGCTTCGCAAAATCAAGCAGGCGACGATAGAGCCCTAAACAAACCCGTCAAACCTCATCGGTTTGAATGCTCTTCTTCACCTTTCCTTCCTTCTCTTGTTGGTCGCTTTTCTTTTCATCTCTTCATTCAAACCAATCCTATCATCATCATTATCATTCCCACACCATCTGAATCTCTTGAATCAGATTCGTTTCGTGAATTAATCGCACCTGAAGCCGTCCTGATCCTTTGTTCTGCAAAATCGTCTCCCTGGAGGCTGTTCCAGCAGACTCAACTGCTTGACACCCAGTCGCTCAACATATCTTCTGCAAATAGCAACCATGTCGTTCGTTCTTTTGCCAACAGAGCTCATTCTCGTGATTGAGAAGAATCTCGATTCTAAGAGAGATCTCAATGCTCTCATTTGCACCAGCCGGCGCTTTGCGTTTCTGTTTGATGGGAAGCTCTACAAAACCAACTCGAAAAACGACAATCTCAGAATCATCTTATGGGCAGCTTCCCATGACATGGAGGGCACCATTTGCAAGTTTCTGGAAGCTGGCGCGACTATTTCTCGGCGAGACAGATTCAAGTCTTATCTGAGGCCTCGAGATAGTCCTGATGAGCTCGATCTCATCCCACGCAGGCCAGTTTCCCATCCTCTGACTGCAGCAGCCGAAGCTGGCTCTTTGTCTTGTGTCAGGTTTCTGCTCCAATATGGCGTCGACCCCAATTTTTTAGACGACCTTTATGAAACCCCGATGAGACAGGCTGCAGGCAATGGTCATGTCGATATCATGACTCTTTTACTTTCCCAACCAGGGGACCCATTCATTGGTTCCTTCAAGCTGCGACGCCCTCTGAAGTATGCTGCTGCTCGTGGTCAGATGAGAGCGCTTGAGATTCTGTTTGATTACCTCGAGAGTGGTGATCGAGGTCTGAGCATCAAAGAAGCCGCCCATACGATTCTGTACGAGGGACTCTGGCATTGCAATGTCGACATTGTTGACTTTGCATTCAAGAATGGCGCCGATGTCAATGATCCGATGCCAAACGCCGGGCTGCGATTTGTGTCCGATATTGGCCCAGAGGAAGTACCCACAAGACCACGCCCAAGATTAGTTCAGAAAGACAAGTTTGGAAGGGTGATTCATGGATCTTACACGCGTGGCTGGGTGTTTGATGCGCCAAATGCACTGTACGCTGCAATAGTCGGTAAGAATCCTGCTTTACTCACTTTGGTTCTTTCCAAAGGCATTGATATGTCTCGGCGTGGGGCTGATGCCTTGGGATTTGCGATCATTGAAAGGAATCTTCCAATGATCGTTACATTGATTGAATTGGGGGTCACTAGTGAAATGTTTGTCCAGAATCTCGAGCACCAATCTGACAGCCATAAGTTCCACTTGCAGGAAGCTATGGTTGAACTGGGAATAGGGATACAACCAATCTGATTGATCTACTCTGCATAGCACCAAACGATCTTCGTGATATTATGTGCCATGGCAAGCCAGTTACCAAGTTTTATTTTGTCTCTAGCTCATTAGGATATTCCCTCCCAATGATTAAGTATGTGATGCGTATTCTGATTATATTGCATACTGGGGTGAAGTAACGATGGACAGGAAATAGGTAGTAAAACCATCGAACATCAGACCAATCAACTCCATTCGAGTTGGCTATTGCTGCTTTCCCAGCATCGCTTATAGTTATAGCAGATAGAGCTCCTATTATGGATCTAGTCAATATCTTTAGGCATATATATCAAGGATGCCTTACAGGTGTATCACAGTAGGACTAAAGATATTTCATCGTTGGGATCTTAAGCCTTAGACTACCTACATGAGTTTATGTCAAACAATCATGTTTGATTAAGAAGCACACGGTGCATAATCGAGAGTCTTCGCAGAAATTTAACAATGTATGCCTGATCGAAATACACGCTGCATTTTCTGCTTTGTCCCTAGTCTACAATAAAGCCTTTGTTGATATCAAACCATCTTCATCCTCTTTCCCCCTACTTCAGGGCACCACATCTCTTGCTTCCTCGTCTGTGAGCCCAACGACAATTAACAACTCTTTACCTGGCCACCAAGCAGCATGGCAACTTCCCATCTTCGAAGAGGTACACCGGAGATAGAAAAACATATGAAGCTTGCCAAATGCGACATTGATGCTCTAACGAAATCGGGAACTAACGATAGTCGCCTGGACGAGGAGATCGCAACAGCACCGTTGTTCTCACTCGCTGCCTCCGAGGTTCTCAACAACGAGCGCCAAGGCAATGGAATCTCGACAAAGGACGAAGTCTATCCACAGTATGGGCTTCTAGGACTGCGAAATCGGTCTGCCGACGACACCCCGAGTGAAGACGACCTGGTCTACACAAATGTGTCTGCGCCATGGTCAACCTTCATCTGCGGCAGTCAAGGCAGTGGCAAAAGTCATACCCTTTCTTGCATCCTGGAAGGCTCGTTGATTAAGCCGTCTCCTGCCGGGAGACTCTCGTCACCTCTTGCTGGACTTGTCGTCCACTACGACAAATTTACGGCATTTTCTAGCACACAACTGTGCGAGGCAGCGTACTTGCATTCCTCAAATATCCCGGTTAGGGTCCTTGTTTCGCCCACGAACTACCTCGCCATGAAAGATGCCTACACCAAGCTGGCAGGTGGTTCCAAAATGCTCACGGTGCAACCTTTGTATCTTCCACAGAAGGACCTAAATATCGGCATGATGAAGACGCTGATGGGCATCGACAACAAAGCAGACCAGCCGCTTTACATTGAGGTAGATTGAAGCAGCCCTGAATGGTGATGGACAGATCATCGGGCTAACAAATTGCAATCTCCAGGTCGTGATGAAGATACTCCGTGACATGGCCATCCAGAACCAGGGTCGAGCAAGCTTCAATTACCCTGCATTCAGACTCATCTTGGAAAAGGAGAATTTCTTGAAAGGCCAACTCATACCACTTCATATGCGATTGGATGTTCTGGAGTCTTTCTTTGAGCCAGGATCTGTACCTGGCTCTAGTCACTCCAAGTCAAAAGGGCATAACACTCAGGACATTTGGAAGTTCTCACCAGGGTCTCTCACCATCATCGATCTGAGCTGCCCATTTGTGGGCCCGGAGGATGCTTGCGCGCTGTTCAATATCTCCCTGTCGCTGTTTTTGAAGGACAGACAGGATGCTGGCCGCATCATTGCACTGGACGAAGCACACAAGGTATATTCACCATCTTCTGACTTTTGAATGATATTCCTTTTGTATATGTACTGACTTCTTGTTTGATATTAGTTCATGACTTCAACTTCACCCGAAGCTATCGATCTGACGGAGACACTACTGTCCATCGTTCGCCAACAGCGCCACCTAGCCGCCCGAGTCGTGATCGCGACGCAGGAGCCAACTCTTGCACCGTCACTCCTAGAGCTTTGCAATGTGACAATCATTCATCGCTTTTCATCGCCAGCTTGGTTCAAAGCAATCAAGTCACATGTTGCGGGAGCTGGAGTGGAGGAGGTTCCTGCCAAGAACAAGGCAGCATCAGAAATCTTCCACAAAATTGTTCGTCTGCCAACTGGGGAGGCGTTGGTCTTTTGTCCGACCGCGCTTTTGGGTCTTGAGAAGCGCGATGGTTCTTCGACTGATTCTTCAACTGTTTCACCATCCAGTGATTGGGGCACCCCATCTAGCCTGGACTCATCGGAGAGAACTGATCTTGATAGTCAAAATGAGGCTAATGGGCGCGTTGTTCAGCTCGGAACTGCCTATGCCCACATTCGAGTTCGTGATAGAGTTACTGTTGATGGCGGCCGCAGCATCCTTGAGCGCTAGAAGGACCGGTGAATGGTGAATGGTGACTCTAAATTAATGTGAAGTTGCAAACAAGGTGCATTGAATGTGCATGAAAAGATCCCGCGAGGGAGGCCCATTGAAGAGATGGGTGTGTTACAAGAAATCGACCGGTGATTGCTGCAGAAAATGAAACTTGATGCCAATTTCAATTGAATACAACGTTCTCTCTGCGTCTTTCCCCTTCGTACGATAATGACTGGGATACTTTCCTGTCTAGATCTAAGACTGATAGCCTTCCACGAGTCGTATGAGTATACCTCATTTTCTTTTTAGATCCAACTTGAGATTCGTCACATCTGAGGCTTCGTAAATGCTGACGACGACTCTCACTTCTAGAAAGGAATGGGTCAGACAAGGGAAATGTGAAGCCAAACGCAGCTTGGCCTTCCGGTGGAAGTGTCGGAGAGCACAGACACATGCTCGAGACCGAACGGGGACCTTCTACCCCAACAGTCCAGACAGGGATCTGATCCGAAGAGCAAGCTTGATACAATGTGGACTATTTTAATCTCTGCTGGACATCATCCAATGAGGGCTGTTCCGATGTTGTGTCCATGCTTTGTGAAACTCGACATATCCCGCGACTCCTTCCTAGGTAACCATCCTGAGATACCGGACTCTCGCTAAAAGAAGGTTGTTTTGGCACTGACAAGTCTAGAAAATGAGGGGTAATTGAGTATTCACCAATTCCTATTGCATTTTCGTGGTTCTGTGGCATCTGAGCTGGGTTGGAAATATGGAACAAGTTCTTCCTTGGCCTGGTCCTACATCTCATCGCCAGCATGTATACCCGAAGAGACCAAGATTTCCGGTATGTTTGGACCTTTCGGAGCCATTGTGTTACCTTTAACAAGGTACTCAATGCGAGGGGGGTTTAGTAGGGAGTTCTCGATATAGGTGAGCGCTGCAAATATGGTAGTAGTTGGACATAAGCTTAAACGCTATGAGAGCCTTTGATATATACGGCGTTCAGGGTCTGCACATTTGTTTTCTTCTAATATCACTCTCGTAATATATATACTGCGATGCATTTATCTTCCTACACATCCCTGACAGACACCAAAAAATCCAAATGGGCTGCAGCGCTGATCCTAGAGACCCGAGCCCTGGCCAATAACTTCATTTCTGCTGGGTAAATAGAACGTCAATTCGCTCTAGAGTCTTTCGATTGCAATACCAGCAGGAACTATGACGCGCGGCCAGTCCACATCAAAGACGCTGTACGTCATGGATTGTACCAACGACAGATTCTCATCTGGGCTAAATATGAAGTTGCAGGTTACAGCGTTGACAGTCCTTGCCTTCGACTTTTCCAACTGCAACACAGTAGTAAAAGCACATCACGGGGACTAGAAAATGCGGTCTTTGTCTGGCCTTTTTGTACTCCGACCTATCTGGGAGCACGAGAGACGATGGATCAAGGCACCATGGGAAACCAGCCCAAAAATAAAGATTGACATCGACATTTGAAAAGACCCTGTGAGAGCTACAGCCTCTTGCAAAGATCGTAGAGCCTATAAATCATCATGTTCCCGCCCTATGTTTCCCCTGACTTTTGTTTCCTTCAACCTCGCGAAAGTTATATTGCCATCCGGCTTTCCAATATTGACAACTATTATCTCGAATTACTTTTGATATTGGTTACCACTCAGACAGATCAATATGCGGATGAACATCGTGTCTTTGGCAGCTTTGGCCGCTACGGCTGCAGGTATGGCATCTCGACTTGGAGAACACAGATGTACCTAACCACTGTGAACGCAGGTCTTGTGGTCACCTCGCCGCGGATTGGTGAGAAGATTGATCCCGATCAGCCCCTGACTATCAAGTGGCAGGTTGTCACGTAAGCGAATGAGCCGACATACTCGCATCTTACGAACACTGTCAATAGGCTGACCAAGAATGCGATATAACCAGAACCGACCCGGATACCTTCAACATTGAGCTGGTCAATCAGAATGTGTATCCCCCGACGACCGAGGTCGTGGCCCAGGATGTAGACTCCTCTTCGGGTTCCTATACCGTCAAGGCGAAGAGCTTCACAGGCGTGGACACGGGGTACGTCCAGCTTGACCGGCTCTTGAACGGCCAGATACTGACATGGCACCGTTGAATACAGGAAGGGATATCAGATCAACTTCCTCTCCCCAGACAATGGCATTCTGGCTCAATCGCAGCAGTTCCGAGTGACCGAGCCCGGTGAACTTGCTAGTAGTTCTGGTAAGGAAACCAGCACTGCGCTTGAAACTTCGTCTATCTCTGCGTCGTCCTTGCTGTCTTCCACCGTGTCGACCAGTGATCTTACTTCGTCGGTTCCTTCTTCCTCGACTGCTTCCTCTTCTCTGTCTTCGACTGCTCACTCCTCCACCAGTGCGTCTACCCCTACCTCGTCCTATCTATCTACTACTCCCTCTTCCATTTCTACCCCTACAGCATCTTCTCTTATAACTAGCTCTTCTGCAAGTGCGTCTACCTCTTCTCTTCTGCCTGTTATCACTTCTTCCACGGTCCTTTATACATCATCTCCAATCTATACCTCTATCTCCACCCCTGAACAGCCCTCTACCCTCACAACATCTGCGATCTCCAGCATTACTTCTTCTATTCAAATACCGTCCTCAACCATACTCGAATCATCATACCCTAATACCCTGACTTCCACTTTGACGCTTACCTCTCCCACTTCTCCCTCAGTCTCTTCAACAATAACACCTTCAACCTCTTCTTTCGTCACAGTCTCAACTACCCCGACCACTTCTACTTCCCTAATTACTTCTACTCCCATAACCACATCTTCTATCTCAACTACACCATCCACATCCTCTTCCACCTCGACTTCCACAAGCACTATCTCTTCTACATCACATTCCACCCACACCTCCTCCACTGGTTAGTACAAGCGGAAAGCTTGGCTTCCGAGATCGCAATTTTTGCTTTTCACCCACTACATTATACATCCAAATACTAACCATCTCCCATAGTCTCAACTCAGACTTCCACCATCACTTCGACTAGTCTATCCACTTCAACCCATCAGACCACCACCTCAACCACCACCCGCCGCACCACCTCGACCTCAACCTCGACTTCAACCTCAACCGCCACCGAGTCGGAGTCGGCGACTAGCACCGCGAATGCCGCGACAGTCCTCATGCCCCCGGCCGGAAGCCTCTTGCTAGGTCTATTTGCTTTGATTCTCTAAGTGCCGAGACTATTCGCAGATCTAGTGAACTTGGACTGGGGGGCCTGGACTTGGATATACCGGGCCGGGGAAGATCTTTGGTTGTTTGTAGTCTGTTCTCGCTAGACAGTATGCTTCTCGAGAAAGGAACGCCAAGTGGGATTACTTTTGTCAATTTGTTTTGCTTGATGATGTTGATGTTGATGAATTTGGTCTATGGACCTATGATATGCTCCCCTTACATTAATGAGAAATGCGATGACGCTGTGTCTGTTTTGTATTCTTGGGACTATATCGGTCCCTTCGGTCTTGTAGGTATGTTTGTTCCTTGTTTTGCGACTTTCTAGAGTGGATTTCGAGGGATAATCTGTTCTGGGTATGGAATGCTAGTAAAATTGCTCGTGATCCTTGTAGCGTCATTATGTGGAGAATGATATATTTCTTTATACGATATACATATAGGAGAAATCTTTTAGAAAGTCCAGAAACATCAGAAAAACCAATATATATGAGTATATGATACGGACGCAGAGAATGGATATCAAGTATAAAGCAAAAAAAAGAAAAGAAAAATAGGGACCAGGAAAGAAAAAGTTACGCTAAAAAGCCGATCCCCCAGAGCCTCCAGTGTTTCTTCCCGAAAACGAGTTTGGACAAATAATACATCAATCCACCCCGGCAGGTAAGAACGCTACGGAGGGTTTCTTGAATCGGGGCCGCAGCAGCGTATGAGAAAGTCAAGTTTGGACGCATATACATGCTTATGACTTGACAACGCTGTCGCTAGGTCGATGCCAGGTGCGGATATGACCTGTGTTAGAATGTTAGTCTCACTCGAGCCCGAACAGATCCCGTTCATACACACCTTCGAGAGAGGAAGTCATGATGCAATCTTTCTGGAAGCCGAGCCAACAAATGGGATCTTCACCGACAATTTTGGACTGTGTCTTATTAGTTTCAGATACCTGGTAGCCAGCGCATGAATCACGACCTACCATGATTGGGGGCAAAAGAGCTGTGCGGGATCTAGGTTCCACAGGGTGACTCGCGGTCGGGTCAATGTCTTCGGTTTTTTCGGTTCCATTAGAGTCCGAGCGCACGCGATTATCCCCGCTGTCTGCGCGGTGGCGGTTGACAGATTGTGAGTTCGGGATGACGATACTGGATCGGTTTCGAGTTGATGCTTGGTGTGCCCGGGGACGATGGAGCATGCCGACGCTGAAATCCCACAGGAGAAGACGGCAGTCGTCACCGACGCTACCGAAGCGATATGTCTTCTGGTCACAACGCCAAGGGTCGAATGCTACCCCCGAAACCCAGGAATTGTGACCTTGGCATCTGGCAACAATCTTGCGCTCCGGGAAAGACCAGATCGTAAGCAAGTCATCCTGGCCTCCGGTCACAATGTATTTGCCATCCGGTGACCAGCACACACAGATCAGCCCGCCGTAGTAACTTCGGAAGATATCCAGTACCCTAGAAGGCATTAGTTGAGGATTATTAATTTCTCGTTCGCCAAGGTAGACGTACTCCTCTTTCAAGTAATCCATAAGCCGCAGCGATCCATCTTCAAGAACAACGGCCAAATGCCTTTGATCAGGCGAAAAGGAGAAGCTTGAGATTTTCTGATTTGCCAGTTTCCAAAATGAGACCGGATTCGTCTTCTGATTTTTCGAGTTCACAGACTTGAGGATGTCCAAGGGTAACCGTCCGATATTCTGATCGGAATGACCGTTCACCTCCGGGGCAAAAAGCGCATCCTCCTTTTCCTTGTCATATACGACCAGCACACCATTGGCGTACGATGCCATAAAAAGGTTCTCAGATCCAGGAAGCCATTTGATCTGAGTGATAGGAGAGTTATTGATCACACCATTCTTGTTGATCCGAGCGTACTTCTGCGTCATGGGCTCATACCAAATGATGTCACCCGCAGAAGAGCCCATCACAATATCCAGGTGTGATGCTGTCTTAGTGTGTTCGTTGATGTCGTGACAGAGCATGTGTGCCTTGGTGAAAAGGACTTTCGTGAGATGCTCCTCCTTCGTTGGCGAATTGAGATCGAGCCATTGGAATGCTCGGTTGATATTCGCAAAGGCAAATACACCGTTGGGGTCACGCTCACCCAGCCGCTTGGCAGACGTCTCATGTGTGATAACCCGCGAAACAAAAGATGAGCTACTCTTGATGATGTTGTTTTTAGGCTTCCTCCGCTTTAAGGCGTCCTTTGCTGCTACCGGCGGCGCCGCAAGCGCAGGGTTTCCGTCTCCAAACTGGGGAGCTGCGACACCCGATTTCAAAAAGGTTGGAGGCTTCTTTCGAGGATCGAGGCTGACAAGAGATAGCTTAACGCCGGAGGTGGGGGGTGTAGGTAGTGTTGCGAGAGGGTTTGGGTTGATGATAGGAGCTTCGGAGGGGTGCGGAGGTGGCGTTGCGAGGAGTAAATCATCCTGGAGGATATATGTTCCTGTCGCGATAAGGCCGTGAGCTGCCTGTAGAACTCAGAAGTAACGGGGGTATATGGGGAATAGTAGCGATTACTACATCAGCACACGTACCCTCGCCGACTTGTAGCGGACACCCCGGCTCCGGGTGGGTGACAGTATTGTTCGTTTCCACAACAGGCACGGCCATACCGTTTGCCGCCCCCGCCGCATAAGCGACAGGGATGGTATAGCGTGGGGGAGGTGGCGGAAGAACACTGTTGGTGGTGTCAGTAAATGAATTGATATCTGGTAGCTGAGAGATGTGCAATTATCTCAAATCAGGTGAGTAGATATGAATGGGCAGAGTTCGACTCGGTTTGCGGATGAAATAATGGGGGAATCCAGTAGTCCGACCCAGTGGGAGAGGAAAGCAAGAGGAGAGCCTTACAACATGATTAGACGTCACTGGTACAGGCTCAATTTGGACTTGGACTGAGATCTGTGTGACCAATAGCTCAACCTTGGAGCTGATCGGACAATGCGCAAACCTTGCCAACTCTGCAATGCACTTATTATATACTTTTGCCTTTCTCGAATCTTATGTATCAGGGAACTCGAAAGCTTTTATGTGTCGCGAATGAATGAGCGACAGACTGCAGATAACCGCTGCAGGGGGGCGACAGCAAGTTAGGCGCGATAAGCCGAGTATGACAAGCGTATATATGCGGGCGATAACAGATATCTAATGATAACTGATATCGAGGCTGAATAGGGGGTCGGGGATATAAGAGTCGAGGCGAGACGGGGAGATCAGCAAGGGAATGATGTCTGGGGTAACGTGTGGGCGGAGAAGAAACCGCGTGCCTGGCGGGGGCCGGCTTAACTCCGGCTAAGCCGCGTGTGCCTTACTAAGAACTATCAAGTAGGTGATGTAGATTGAGACAAGAGGATCATTTTACAATTATTCAATGTCAAAATCAAGCAATATGGTATACAACATCAATCCTCAAAGACTAGTTGCCGCTGCCAACTCGTCGCCATATCATCACCGCGGCGGCGCCAGCACAAACAACCGCACCAAGGGCAATTCCCCACGACATCCATTTGCCCTCCACATCTTCTTCACTGCGTGGGAAAGCCGTGCTAGGCTCCATAGCAGCCTCGGCGATATGGACAAACACTTCTTGAATAGAGTTCCACGTGACACTCACATGGAGCGGCGGACTGGGCATATTCAGCATGGCTGTGTATTCATGGGGCTGATGCTCTGCCCGCTGGGTGGTTCGATCTAGATCAGCCTTGAGGGCCACGAATACACTCGGTAGTTCCTCTAGATGGGGATACTTCGCTAACAGAGCAGGAATGTAGGAAAATGAGTTTGGGTCTGAAGAGTCGTACGTGTACGCAATAACATCGCACTGATCCAGTAATTTGGACTGGTTCTCCAGCAGAGCAGGTTCCAGCTCACCTAGTTCGTCCAATATAAGGTAGCACTGCTTCCCGCCCGGAAGTTCAACCGTGTTGACTGCCGTGCGTGGTTGAATGGTGGGGTGGTAGGTTGTACTAAATCCGCGGGAGAGAAGTGCATCGAGCAGAGCTGATTTTCCGGATCCAGGGGCTCCCAGCACATGACATTGGACCACATTGCGTCCGACCCGGCCTGGGCGACGGCGTCTCTTGCGTGGTTGTGTGACTTTCAACGCCGCAGTAATAGATTGATGGCTTTGGTCAGAAGGCTCAAAACCAAGATAGGCTAGGTATTCAAGAGTAGTTTTCGGTGACAGGAAGGTTGTCATGCTCCATTGAGCGAGCCAGCCTTGCAGGGTTACATGCCCTGCCTCATTGCGAACCGTGGAGGACGGGAAGGAACCGTCAGCCCAAGATGCGGGCAGTCCGGGCGTGGGGGCAAACAAGCACGCAAGTTCGGCTTCGTTCAATCCCCCGTCATTATCCTTATCGGATAAAAGGAACAAATTCACAAAAAATCGATATCCCTCAGGTGAGAGTTCGGCAGAGGCGAATGGCGGAACTTCGAACTTGGGATGCAAGAACTTCTCCTGCAGTGAGAGATTATCCGTGTATTGAAACGCTCGCAAGATAATCCAGACAGTTTCATGTCGTCCTTTCTCTGAATACAATTTGTTCAAATGAATGAATCCCTGGCAATCAATGCCCGACTCCGTCACTGATTCCGGATAAGATTTTTGAATGGTATCCTTGATGTGAATAAGATCGGCTCCGTTGAGAGGTTTCGAAAAGCACCTGATCTGGAAATCCTCGAGCTCCTTGTCTGACAAATATCCATCACGATCTTTATCGCTAAGATAGAATATCCTTTGTAAGGCTGCTACCGCAGCGGGCTTCAAAGAAGCCTCCTTAGAATCAAACAGCGGCGCGATCGGGTGGGTAACGGCCTTTTGGCAAACGAAGAAAGCTTCGTTGACATTGCGGTGCTCACGAGCACTGGTTCGGATACAAGAGTCGATCTCCTTAAACTCAGCCATCAAAGGAAGCATCTCCTCTTCAACCACTCGTGTCTCGCTGTGACCGGTCGCCAAGTCGGACTTGTTGGCACACAGAACCACCGGAACATTGACACCCAATGAGCGGAAGTACGGCAGCCAGAACAAAGCTACCCGCTCATAGCTGTAGTGATCGGAATACACCAGGAGGATCACGTTGCATTTCCGGATCTCGCGCGCGAGATTGTTCCGTTCCTGGGGGAGGGCCGAGGTATCGACGACGGTGGTGGTGGTCACATTTTCGGGGGTTCCAAGGGTGGGGGGAATATGTATCTGGGGTAGGACCGGCTGGATTTTGTTTGTCACGAATACACCCTTGACGAGCGAGGTGATGAGGCTGGACTTGCCAGTGCCCTCGTCGCCGCACACGCAAATGCGAACTGTATGATTGCCCTGTCAGCCATATTTCAGAAAGAGGAGGTAATCAACATACCTAATGCCATTTTTCGCGTCTAGCGAGTCAATAACTGGTCATCACCCAACCATGGCCTTGAGCTCAAGAATTGCCTGGGGTGGATAGGTCCAAGCTTGAATCCGAATGAGACAATCGCGATAACAGAACGCCTTGGCGCCTGGGGCATCTTCACGTGGGGAACAACTCAATGATGTCTACGAATGCGTATACATTTTTCAATACAATTTCTCGTCACTATATTACGTGGAATGGACGTCTTTTCATTCCACACCAATCTCTATATTCCCTTATATCGACAAGTAGTCCTCATATTGCCAAGATAAAGTCGCGCTGCTGCGCCACTCCGAGATACCGAGACAAGATGACCAGCTCTCTAGATCTCAAAATTCGCTAAATAGAAGCAATACCAACAAAGTACTACTCCAATTGTTCTGTAATCAGGTATTGAATAAAGAGAAAAGTCTATCGTTCCAGTCAGTGGAGTTAAGATACTTCTTGAGCCTCCCACGAACCGGTGAGCCGTCTGTAGGCCCGGCCCACACCCCACTGACTAACCTTACCATCGAACAACAGCCTTCTCGTTTCTCCTCATCCCTCCACCCCTCAGTCGAGTTCTCGTTCCACCTCGACAGTCACCGCCAATATGCCTCTCCGGGATCAACAATCCGCTCCCCTCGTCTATGAACAGTAGGTCTCATCAAGCTCAGAAGCCCACTTCCCCGCATGTGCGGCATACCCGGCTGACAGTGGATATTCTCTGAACAGGCGAGTGCAAGAAGGCCGCAAAGATCTTAACATCATTCGTCGATCCCAAACAAGCATTCGGCCCTGACAAGGTCATTCCGCCGGAGATTTTGGCTGGTGCAAAGGTAAAAGGTCGTTATGTTCCGGTGGGAACTACGTGGCTAACCAATATCGTTCCTTAGGGTCTTGCGGTTCTGACTGTCTTAAAAGCTGGATTCCTAGGTTCCGGTCGATTCGGATCCGGTATCGTTGTCGCTCGTCTTGGTGATGGCTCCTGGTCGGCCCCATCGGCTATTGCGACTGCAGGTGCCGGAATTGGAGGACAGATCGGATTTGAATTGACCGATTTCGTCTTCATCCTCAACGATGCCGCCGCTGTTCGCACATTCTCTCAAGTTGGAACTCTGACATTGGGTGGTAATGTATCGCTCGCTGCTGGGCCGATCGGCCGAAATGCCGAGGCAGCCGGGGCTGCCAGTACAAAGGGCGTCGCGGCGGTCTTCTCATACTCGAAAACGAAGGGCCTTTTCGCTGGTGTCAGTCTGGAAGGTAGCATGTTGGTAGAACGCAAGGACGCCAATGAGAAACTGTATCGCAGTCGCGTCTCCGCCAACCAGCTTCTCACTGGCACTGTTCGCCCACCACCAGCCGCTGATGCTCTGATGCGCGTCCTGAACTCCCGCGCCTTCCAAGGAAACTCACGGGCGTACGGTGATTCCATGTACAATGACATCCCTGTCTACGACGAAAGCCACGATGACGTAGTCTGGGAGGGGCGAAGGGGCGATGCGTACGGCCAAGGTATTCAGCGGGGCAGATCCAACACCCACGATAATGACTACGACTACCGTGACAAGCCGCGCCGAGCGAACACATGGGCTGACGATGTTTACGATCGGCCTCCTGGGGGTCTCGGTCGTTCTGGTACAACCCGGACTCCTACCGGCGATTCTTACGATGGCTATGGGCGAAGCCGAAGCAACACCGTGCCCTTCGAAGAGGACTATGTCTATTCTGATCGGCGGCCTACCCGTCCAACTGCTCCTAAACCCGTTTTTCAGCAAAAGACAGGTGCAGCCCAATTGCGATCAGATCAAGCCATTGCTCTCTACACGTTCGATGCTGATCAGGAAGGCGACCTTGGGTTCAAGAAGGGTGAAATCATCACCATCATGAAACGCACGGAGAAAGCGGAGGACTGGTGGACTGGTCGCATTGGCGATCGTGTGGGCATTTTCCCCAGGTAAGGCACTTGTTTATTCCATTTTCCAGAACTGATGGCTAATGCGATTGTAGTAACTACGTTGAAGCCTCCTAGGCTTGTGTCTGTTCAATGCTGGCCCATGCAGCACACACTGTGATGACCTCTTGATGCACATTTCTTCGGAGCTTGATGAACATACATTGCCTCCAACTCATGCCCTACATATATCCTGGCGTATGCGGATTCGCCAAGTTCTTCTCTACTCTTTCCTTTTTTTACGTCCAACTTTTTGGTGTTATTTACATTCTTCAGCGTGGAGTTTATCGTTCTCATGCTTCGTTCGTTGTTGTTCGGGGACCTTGGGGGTACAGTCATTCTTGATCTTTCCGGTTTAATGCAGAGCATTCTTCCATCTGATTGCGATTTACTCCAGAGTTCATTCGATCTTTCTCGCCTTCATAGGCTGCTTTCTTGTCTCGTTTTAGGTTGAATACACCTCTCAGAGCCATTTGGGTGGCCTGACCGAACATTTTGAGTTCAATAATATGGTTCCAGCACACGAATCACGTGCATTCCCTGGTCATCCCAGCTGATTGAGGTTATTTAGCTTCTGGCCTGGTCTGCTCGTGTCATTGCTGACTTGGGCGAACACTCCCATAGCTGTGAGCTGCGCAGGGCATATCTCACCATTGTGTTCAGTCTCCGGGGCCCGGAGACGATTGAATAAAGTCACACAGCGTGTTATATTCATATATGAGGACCGTAAAGAATACTGCGAATACTTGAGACATCCTCAACCCCTCTTGGATCGTCCATGTCTGGGGAGACCGCATAGACAAAAGAATCCCACGCGCCTTTGTAATGGCAAATATGCATTGCGAGCGTGCTAGGTTTTCCACGTCAGTTCAAGCCTTTGAGCCTCCGTCAAATATGAATGTGATCAGTACAACAGAGGCGGTCCTTTCAGCCCTTGAGGTGCATGGATGCAGTGTCACGGATCGAAGAAATATATTGCAGGTCAGCTCGCCTGAAAGGTAGGTGGTACTTCATTAGGGTCCGAGGTTAGAATCCCAACCAAAAGATGTACTCCGTATCACTGAGGTAAAGGCCGAGCAGGGAAGAGAAACAAAAGCAAAGAAAAGAAAGTGTAGATCTCTTCTTGCCAACCGATCGCCCATGGGCCATCCCCAGTTTAAGTGGAGCCGCAATTTTCAATGAAGTGAGACCTAAAAGACCCAAAAGACTTGAAACCAAGAAAGAAGACATTCTTATTGAACTAAAGTAATATAATTTCATTTGGAAGAAGTTAATATGTCAGGTGCTGCGGAGGTCAGCACTCTCCCTCACTGTTCTCCGCCCGCTAGACTCCCACCCTCATTCCTCTACCTCTTTCCCTTCTTCTTCCAGACTCCCTCCCTCATGACGCTCACTCGGACTCGGTAGTGTCCGAATGTCTAGTCGCTGCCCTGCTCTCTGTTCTTTGTCTCCATTCCTCTTTCCCCGCTTCGATGACCCGTTCCTCCTCGTTATCCACGGCGGTACATTGAGACCCTCCTCTTGAGCTTCCACCCCTCGAGCTCCGTCTTTGATCTCGTTGGTTCTCGTACGACTGGCTTCTCATGCAGGTGTGTTGCTCTATTGGTCGTCATACTTTTGGCTTGTGGGCGTGATTTTTTTCTGTCGAGCCCCCATCAACCTCGAACCCCTCAGACACAACCACTTTCTTCTTGGAATTGAACCCCCTCACAAAACTTTATCGAATACGATCTTGACTCGAATATGTCGCATATCTGGTTCTAACGATATTTGCTCCTTGTTCAGGCTTCCATGAGCACCCACGAGGCTGGCGGGCATGCGACGCGAAGAGGTCATGCCGCCCATTTGTCGATTAGCGACCCAAGCCACCATGTGACGGAGGCCATCGGACACATGTACGACGACGACTACGACAGAGATGAAGCAAGACGCCTTAGCTATATTACTTCCCCCCTTGGCGAATCAATATCAACTATCCCCCGGAACGCTGCAGGATCCGAGTCCTCTCTTTCCCCGTCCTCACCACTACATCAATCATCTTCAGACAGCCAGAGCATCCCCACAAATGGAAAGCAGCGGCCGCCACTTGTTGCAAAACGGTCATCTGACCGGGATTTTGATGCAGGAGTTAGCGATGGGACTCGCTCTCCCTCGGAAACTGCAACCTCCCCCTTTCCTCTCAACGATATCGACTATGAATCGAATCCCGCCGCTGTCGCTCAAGAACTGAACAACCTCGCCGCGATTCGGCGCATGTCGATGGATGTAGCCGCCGCCGGCGACCCTGACCTTCCAGGATTCTCTCCACCCCCTTCCCCCTCGACCGACGAGAATGATGCCTCCAGGCTATTTTGGGTTCCCGCGCGACTACACCCGGAACTAGCCCCAAAGGAGTTCAAGTCGTTCCTCGATAGCAAGGCCGACCATATCAAGCGCAGGTCCGGCGACTATTCGACCTTGGGTCTCGAGCGTCCAGCGTCAGCAGGTGGTCTCAATCGCAAGCGGTCTATGCTATCAAGGCAAATTGAGAATTCCTCAGGCTATACAGATGGCGCAGATCGGCTGGAACGTCAACGCTCTCAATCAAGCAAACGCGATCACATATTGAGTCCAAATTTACAACAGTTGGAAACGCTGGTGGATGATTCGAAGTCAATAGATAAAGAATCACTCTTGCGCGGCATTCAAAATATGGTCATTACAGGGAACGAGGACCGGCCGATTCTGCCACCTGCACCCCCAGGAAACAGCCTAAGACGGTCAACTCGCACACAGTACAGGAAAGCAGGTAGTTTGAAGAAAGGCGAAAAATTGCCCTACTCCAAAAGAGTTGGACGGGGACAGTCTGAATCTGCTGGAAGCGATCCAAAGCCCCCACTCATTCCACCTCAAGATTCGGCGGTTTCGGGACTCACTCGTGTCTCTACTGACCCTACTCCCAAGGTTACACGGGCCCGAGCGCCCTCTGCTTCATCGCATAGCTCCACTTATGCTCCCGGTTCCACCACGAGTTCGACGTTTGATGCGATCGTTGATCAGCCCGAGGCCGAGCGGGAAGAATTGCCCGCCTCCAGTGGGCGTCCGGATAGTCCTCAGGATTCACCGGTGTCCGGAGATGCGGCAAATTCGCGGAAGTGGCATTCACGTATTAGCTCGAATGGCAGATCTACGCTGAGCGTAGCCCCAGCTGACCAAACCATTCCCGCAATCATTGAAACGCCCCCCACCACTGAATCCAACCGCACACCAAGTCCGCCTTCACAAAGTCGATCATCAGATCGTGCTGCTACATCTGCACCAGCAAAATCTACTTCGTCTCATGACACAGGACCAAAACGTCCCAAAATCGCTCGTCAGCCACCTCACGAGGCCACATCCTCGCTTAATGAAGTTGGCAATGATCATCAAGTGATCCCTGGCAACAGCACCCGCACTGATAGTCTTTCATTCATCCCTACGCTTCCTGAAGAGCGCAAATCCGAAGACCGAAAATCCGAGGGTAGGAGATCAAAAGACAAAAAGGACTCCGAAGGTAATCGCAAGTCCAGCTGGCACTGGTTGCTAGGCAGTGAAGAAAAAGACAAGAAGAAGGACAAGGACAGCGACTCGAAAAAGACTAAATACAAGACGGTTGATAAAGCGCATGACAACACACGCCTGGATGTATTACAATCATCCATCGATAGCACTCCGCGGGGACGCGAAAGTCTGATTTTAGACCGTCTCGACCCAAAGCTAGAAGAAGAACGGCGGAAAGACAGTGTGAGAAGGGCGTCGGGAGATTCAAAAAAGGAAAAGGATGGCATTTTCTCTTCTATTTTCGGCGGCGGACGAAAGAAACACAGTGCTGAAGGCCATCATCGAAAACATTCTTCCCGGAACCTGTCACCGGATCCCCCAATGCAAGTACTTCGTGCCGATGTCGACTATCCCTGGACCCGCTTTTCAATTTTAGAGGAGCGCGCTATCTATCGCATGGCGCATATCAAGCTCGCAAACCCCCGGCGAGCGCTGTATTCTCAAGTGTTGCTGAGCAACTTCATGTACTCATATTTGGCCAAAGTGCAACAAATGCATCCGCAGGTGCCCGCAGCCTCATCTGGGTCATCCCAGAGATCATCGAAATCAAGAGATCAGCCCGATGAGTATGCGCAATATCAAAGATACCAAGAGGTAAGCGAAAATCACGCTTGTCCTGGAGAAGAGCGAAGATACTAACAGCTTTCGTAGTCTCAGGAACAGCAACACTACGGAGATAGTGCCTATGATGATTCTTCCATGTACGATTATGACGACGATCCGCATGATCGCTACGGTAGCCATTCGAGGGGCGACAAGCAGGGCTATGAAAATGGGCAATCTTATGGCCAAGGGCACTACCAGTATGGACACTCGTCCTTTGGTGACGACGTCCAACTCGATGACGACGATGACGATGATATGTGGTGAAGCTGGGGCTGGTGTCCTCACTCGTTTCCTTTCTCTTTCTCATCCCGCAATTCTGCTTTCTCGTTTTCAGCAGCGCACGGAAATACCCATGCTTTTTGTCAGTTCTGGATGTTCCTGGAACATGTACACTCAAGCCACGTTCTCCTATTCTCATGCATTACCCATATTCTTTCAAATGTTGTTCCATGGTGTCTCGTGTATTAGTTGCCTAGCCGAGTTCGTATTATCACGCACTAATTTGCATTTAATAGCAGCTGGGAAGCTGAACTATGGTTTGGGCCAGGAGGATTTGTTTCGGTTCTGGCGTCTTTTTTTTCGGCTTGGTGTCCTCTGAGCAATATAACCTGGCTCATGGCTTGGGCTAGGCTTTCTGTCTGCGTATGTGTGTTGTTTCATGTCTTCGCATAGCGTCTGGGGTTGTCCTTTTTGTATCTCCTTTGGTACGCACTGCTCCTATACCTTGTTTGTATCTTGTCTTTATCAGCGCCTCACTTGTTCACATCAATAAATTACACTCATTGGCACCTTGTGTCAAACTCTCATCTTATTCCTTTTCCAATGGTTTTCCAGTTATCTCAAGGTGTAGGTATATAGCATTCATATGGATGTAACCTATTTAGCCTTGATATTCCGGGGTTTATATCGACGGACGCGCAAATTTCGTACCTTATAACAAGACTAAGGGTCATCGCAATTATTTAGCTACATGTATCCATGGATAGTACTTGGAAAGTAGCTTGGGCAGCAAAGGGGTTTGAATATTCTGCTATGTACAGGTATTCTCGCACTATATCAGAAGAACCACAGGGGTAGCCCTATCAACGTGGTTTCCGGGATTGCATTTCCTGGCTACACGCCGGCATATGTTTCATGGACAATGCAGTCATAGAATTCGATAGCAGTAGATTGATAAGTCAAAATCTAAATCCTGTGTATACAGCACAAGAAAGTGCACTATTTTGTTTGCAAATAGCACCTAGTAAATCCGTAACGTAGCCTCCCGCAACTACGTAGTCGTTAGCAACCTGCACATTAGTTGACAAATGATCGCTATAGAAATTCTCGAGTCAGCCCTCGACCTTCTGTTGGTAGTCCCATGTATTTCGAGCAACTTTATCTGTCAAGGGAGCGGCTTTCTAGTATGCATATATCCTCATAAGATCAGAAGTGTCCACTGACAGGAGACATTTGAGCTTAGGTCGAGTCCCATATAGCACTATTGGGATTAACAAGTTGCTCGCGAATGGCCCGGACTTCTTCAGTACTGTCACCCATGGGCACAACCATGCCGCCCTTGAACAAGGCATCTTTCCCATCTTCAAGATGCTGCTTGAAGATAGCGCCGCCATTCATGAGCTTTCCGGGAGCTACCAATGCTCCGATCCCTTCATAGCCAAGTCTAGAGTCCGATGTTATAAATACTCGATTCAAATCCTATGCATCCACGGGTTCAGTAAGGTGTTTGCACTCTGACTTGTTGTTGTCAGGGGGAATCTTCTCGCCTTGCGTTGGCCATGTTAGGTTTTGAAGTGGTATTCGAAATTATCTGTAAAGACTGGACAAAACGAGATCCAGATATTGCCATCCCGATGAGTGACTCAATGGAGGAGCAACAATACCTTGCAATCTTGTGGAGTCGTGGACCTGGGGTAACATAGAATTGGTAGATACATAGTCCAGTCTCAGTGGATACTTGTCGTAGACCGGGGAGGTATAATTGGGTATAGCAAGTTAAACACCACCATCCAGTAGCGTTTAGCTTGAATAGAGACCCAGTCTCCTCCCCGCGATATGCGATTATTATCCCGAGGTCTGTGTTTAGTGTTGATGCAAACTACCTACATAACTTTGGTTCGAAGATCCGCATGCTGACGTCACATCCTGATCTCAATACACGTGATCATTTTACACGTGCAATTTCTCTTTTCGGTTTACCCCACCAGCCCAACTTTGCACGTGACTGCTTCTCGACCATTCCATTGGTGCGTTGCTATTGTTTCCGGCGGAGCTCCCAATCGTTATCTTATCACGGAAGCTATCAAGATCCTCATCACGAAAAAAGCCACTTTTCCACTTTTCCACGCCATCATCCCCGCCAAACCTTTTCTTTCATTTACCCAACCTCATAGCTTCTGATAGCCCCGATCAGGGAATGCTAGACGCGTCATCAAGATTTCTGCTTCGTATTTGCGATTCCAACCATGGTGACCACTCGTCACAAGCTCTTTGAGGTATGTCGCGCGACACTGATTCACACACAGTAAACGCATGGCTTGTAGCTTTGTCGTTGCCTGTTATGCTCTGTTCTAACGAGTGGTATTATCAGGAGCTGGAAGGCACCTACTGCCCCCCGATTGACCCCGCCCTCTTCGCGGCGATTGTGTCAGACTTTGACCTGTCGATCCCCACCCAGGTGGCACAATTGCGCGAAACCCTTGATGTGCTGAAGGCATCTGCCGTTGAGCAAGAGAACCTTCCATTTGACCCCACAGGCACGACAACCCTCCGAAATTCTGAAGCTTCAGACTCTCTGGTGGGTGAATCATCCAATGACGCCCCACAATCGGATCTTTCAAGCTGGCCATCGCTTGAACATCTGGACCAACAAAATGACGAATCCAACGCTGCCTCTCGCAAAGCTCAAAAGCTTAAAGGATCCAAGCTTGCGTACACCTTTTTGGGTATGTCGACAGCTGACAAGGCACAAAACTTGATCAGCATGTTCCCAACGATTACTCGCCTGGAAGCCGAGCGCATCCTCGAAGATTGCCATGACAACCTCAGCCGTGCAATGGATGTTCTCCTCAATCTTGCATTCATCGAGGAGACACAAATTGCCGGCGAGACACTGCAACAGACTCCCGAAGAGGTGGTGCCAAACAATCAATCATCTGTTCCAAAGTCAATTGACGGCTTCCAGGCCAAGGAGGATCAGAATGGGAGCGGGAAGAAATCCAGAAAAAAGAACAAGAAACAGCAGCAACGTCGAACCGAGCTCGCCTCTCAGGCCGCGAACAAGACATCCACCAATAAATGGGAGAGTGGGAAGAATGACATCGATTTCCTGTCCGCGCGAGCTTGCGCTTTGCAGAGAGAGAAGATTGCGTCGACCTATCACGCAAATGCGATGTCTATTTGTGCAACTATCCGGGTCTTAGCGCAAGCCCATGCGCCCAAGGACATCCACGAGATTGAAGATGATCCTGTGCTGATCACACAAATGGGCCAGCTCGGTAATCATTATCCGGGTATTCATCCCACTACTCTGGTGGGTTTGCTTCGGATCGCAAACAATGAGATGCCGGCCGCAGGTGAATTAGCTGAGACTTTAGCCACTCAGCCTGCTCTCACTTCGGCATCAAATATCATTACCTTCGTCTCCTCGCCGGTTTCTCTTGATGACGATGAAGAGAACCGTGCCCCAGCTCAACTCGCCGAAAGCGCTTCGGACTCCCTGAATTTCGAAGAGGCAGCCGCCGCTGCGAGCTCTCACTTTGCCGCCAGATCGGCTGCCCTGGCTCAGGCATCCCAATCTGCTCGCCGTGCCCGCTCAAACCCTCTGTACGGCGGTGCCTCTGCCTATTATCGAGAGGTTGGAAATGAGCAAAGGCAGCTTGCAATGCGTCACTTGGCAACTGCTTCTGACCGGCTGGTGGCACGTCAGTCATCACCGTGTGATCTGGACTTGCATGGGGTCACTGTCGCCAACGCGGTCAGAATCGCTCGCGAGAGGGTTCAGGCCTGGTGGGATGGGCTGGGAGACCAAAAATATGTCCGTGGTGGAGGCCAGAACTCCCACGGCGGGTTCAATATTGTGTGCGGTATGGGTCACCATTCCCTTGACCGTAAATCGCATATTGGACCCGCCGTGTGGAACATGTTGCAGAAGGAAGGATGGCGTGTGGAGCTCAATCGCGGCTCGATGCTGGTCACTGGTGTCAGCCGACGTTGAAGCCATTTCTTTTTGAATTCTGCCATTTGCTTTTGAACTCTCTTTTTCCTATGTCGAATTTTTGCTGTTGAGATACCCCCTGCCGGAGTCTGTTTGAAATGAATACCAATTTGCTTGAAGAATTACCAGCCAATAATATTGTAGAGTACTGCACATGGCATATCTAGAAAGGCTACAATTGTGGGTTATAAGACTTCATCACTGTTGAAGAGGGAGTCATTAAGCGTACCAGTCTAGACCTGATACAGTCCCCGACAACCGGCCTCCCCGCATGATGACGTAAAGGTCCGGTGATGCCCGTTTAGGATTAGACTCACCCCACTCTCATCTCTGTTCCAATTGCCCTCAGTAGTCGCTTACTTTTATCCTACTTTCTACCTAGCTCTGTCCTTAAAGTTTGCTAACTCTTCTCGATGCGATCCCAAGTATCTCGCAATTTCAACCCACTTCTCAGCCACCGGGTCATTCCTCTTCGCTTCACACCGAGCTCTTGCTCCTCCCGGTTTCTATCTAGTTCTTCGCGCAAGCCTCCTCACTCGAAGCCAAGCACTAAGGCTCTTAGAGCTGCACCGACTATTCCATTTTTTAGTGCCTTCTTCAGCTCTAATCGCAAGCCCGAAGAGCCAACTGAAGCCATGTCGCACCCTGACCAGCGAAGCGAAGACCAGTGGAGAGCTGTTCTAAACCCAGGTCCGTGCAGCACGGACACTCTGCAGATACTACTTACTCATGCTAATAACAATATCTATAGAGCAATTCCGCATCCTCCGTGAAAAGGGTACTGAGCGCGCGGGAACTGGTGAATACGATTCCCACTACCCATCGAAAGGCGTTTACAATTGCGCTGGTTGTGATGCGCCTCTTTATACCGCTGACCACAAGTTCAAATCTGGCTGTGGCTGGCCAGCATACTTTGATTCCATCCCTGGTGCTGTGACCAGACATGTTGATAACACATTCGGCATGAAGCGGACGGAAATTGTCTGCACTAACTGTGGGGGTCATCTCGGCCATGTGTTCGAGGGTGAGGGATATCCAACTCCTACAGATGAACGTCATTGTGTGAACAGTGTCAGTCTACGTTTCACAGAAGACGCCAGTGCTTCCAAGGATCCAAAGGCAAAAGCTTAAAGGATTCGCATGTTCTTCAATCATTATTTAGATGTTGCGGGGGCAAGCCTGCAGAAAGGCCGACATGCATGATACGGAGAGGCGTCATCTGGAGTGGACCAACCACATTTTGTAGATCTCAACTTTAAAGTATTCTTCAGTTTGAATCATCGATGCACAACATAATCAATTACTGCACATCTTGTACTGCCTATGGCTAATGACCTCTTGTTCACTCTATATCAAACTGCGTAGGTGGCATTTTCCCCCATCCGTATAGATATCGCCGCCTTAGGCCGCAACTCTGCCGACCGCCACCTCGGATTAATTAGGTTGCTTTGATTGTTTTCCTCACCCTCTCACCATCGATTCTGAAGCCGCTGTCATTATGTCTCGGCGTCCTACTCCAGGCCAAGCTGCCCAGAACTCGCTGACCATCAAGGGTTTGCTGAAACTTGAACACAATAAGATATGTGCCGACTGTAAACGGAACAAGCGTGAGTGATCCCCATTCCCCTCTTCGGACTTGCGCCCACGCTGGCTTCATCTCCATGGCTAATTCTTGGAGCTTACGTATTGAATTACCTTTCGAACAGATCCGCGATGGGCTTCCTGGAACCTCGGTGTGTTTGTCTGCATTCGGTGCTCAGGCATTCACAGGGGTATGGGCACACACATCAGTCGAGTCAAGTCCGTCGATCTCGATGCTTGGACCGACGAACAGCTCCAGAGTGTGGTGAGATGGGGCAATGGAAGAGCTAATAAGTTTGTCGCGCCTAATTGACGGGTCACATCGTACTTGGGCTAATAAAAGACAGGTACTGGGAAGCAAAATTGGCACCCGGCCACGTTCCGTCAGATGCGTAAGTGCATGCGAATAGCGCCCGATGGCTTGTTTCTAACACTGTCTGTGAATAGGAAAATTGAGAACTTCATCCGAACGAAGTACGAAAGCAAGCGATGGGTAATGGACGGTGGAATACCAGATCCCTCCACACTGGATGATGGTGATGACGATGTTGTGAGTGATCGCATGTCAAGTTAGTCGGTATGCAGCGGCCACTGACCTATTAGCCTCTCGCTGTCGTACAGGAGAAAGCAAAGATTGAACGCTCTGCTTCGCAACGAGTCGCTCCCCCTAGCCAACCCCAAGTACGCCGTCAACAAGCCTCGATTGATCTATTCGGCGACGATATCTCTCCCCCGGCCCGTCCTAGCACGACCGAGCCTACTCCGCGTGCGCCTCCTAGGCAAGCACCGCCCGCGCCAATCAAGACCCACAAGCCTAACGATTCATTGCTGGGTCTTGACTTCTTCGGTAGCGCTCAGCCTTCTACTGGTAGTCGCCCCAGTAGCACGGCATCTACACCAGCGACACCAAGCGGAATGTCTCGGCCAGACCTCAAACAATCGATTTTATCTTTGTACTCAAAGCCGCAACCGGCAGCACCCATGCAGCACCAGCGCGGCAACTCCTTCGGTGCCATGGCCTCAGCTCCGGCCCCCTCCGGTTCATCTAACATGGGCGGCCTGACAGACGCCTTCAGTGGACTGAGCTTCCCAACTACTACTTCTCCCGCTCCCCCCAGACCGGCTGAAAAGCCCTCGCCATTCTCCAACCTCACATCTTTCGGTGGCGCCAAGTCAACTCCTGCCGCCCCGAAGGTTACATCGCCCTCGGGATCTTCAGGCGGCGACTTCTTTGATAGCCTCTCCTCCCCGACTCTATCAGCCCCGAAGCCCCAGTCCCGAACAACATCTGTCTCTTCAGCCAGCCAAGACTTCGGATTTGGTGGATTTGCTTCCCCGACTGCTAAGCCTAACCCCCCATCATCATCCCTATCAAATGATTTATTCGGATTCTCCTCGGCTGCTCCTGCACCTAAATCCACGGTTTCGCCCCCGAAGTCCACAGCAACATCTCCTCATCAGGAAATGAAATCTGCATTTAATATCTCTGCACCTCCAATTCAGCCTCTTGCCCCTCCTCAAGCGCCAGCCACCAGCGCTGCGAGCGCTGCAGCAGCCAGTATGATGTCTGCGAGTCTTGACCCATGGGGCGGTAACGCATGGAGCACACCCGATAGTGCCCCATCGCCTGCTGCCGTACCCTCAGCTGCATCCATGATGAAGGTTCCTGACACCTTGACCCCGAACGATGTAGGCAACGGTTGGGGTGCACCCAGCGCTGCTCCTAAGCCCGCACCCACTGTGGCAGCTGATGAGGACTTTGGCGGCTGGGCTAGCGCCGCCCCAGTCTCCAACAATACTTCCTCAACCACGAATAACAAGTCCTCTGGTGGATTCGGCGGATCTGATGACCTCTTCTCCAACGTCTGGGAGTAGAAAGTTTTCTTTGCAACGGGTATCTCGAGATTCTAGGAATTGCATAAGTGATGACATCTGCGCATTGAACGAATATTCTATAACTGATTGCACATTGCACATAACGGTGTTCATCTTTTTGAGATCCTTATCTTAACGCCTATCTCTTGTGCTTTCTTCTTCTTTTTTTCTCTTTCTGCACCATGTTTGTAATGACTCGTGGGAGCTTTCGAATGTACGATGGGCGGGTCTCATGCATACTGAAAGATCAGCTCGTTTTGTTCGCTTAGGCATATGTACACTTGTCCTCACAATTTATTAATAGCCTAAAGCTCATGTCTGGAAAGTTTAAGATAATCTTGAGGATTTGAGGTTGGTCTAACCCCAGTCAAGTATAGCACGTAGGCTATGTCCTTATTAGTGGCATTCATTTTATATTGCTTCTAAATTAAGAGTAGCCTGTGTATGTAACTGTGTTAGTCTGTCTCGGATAATAACCGTCAACGAAGCCCTAGTTCCTCAGATGGTTGAGTCCATTCAACCCTCTGTCCATGAAATAATTGCATAGATTCATAGTATTAACAGACCTTCAGATGTCCAAAAACATAACCGGCCTCTTATAATTGGGTATATATCATCGAGTAAAAGTACATGAAAATCATAGGTATGTAAGACAAAAGGGAAAATGCCACCATACAATCAAAACGAACCCAAAAAACACATCGAAACCATAACACCTCAATAGCTATGCTTTGTCACCAGATCTTTTGTGCTCCCTCCATCATCATCAGCGACACTCTTCGGCTGTGAAGTCCTCTCCATCGTGACATTGGTCGTCACCTTGATACCAGTGGAAGCCTCCTTCACATCCTCCTTGGTATAGCTACGGAAGGACTCGGAGGGCGACAAATCTTCCAAATCGTGATCATAAGCTGAGTTGTGCTCACGGCCGCCGACGACGGAGGCCAGGACTGTGGTATTCCCGTTGCCAGTTAGGGCGTGGTGTGAGGGCCGGGTGGGCTTGCTGCGGTAGCCGTTGCTTCGGGTGGAGAAGATCTGTGGGAGGAATTTCGAGAGGAAGGCGCGTGTACCAGGGAGACAGGCGCAGATAATTGCTACGTTGCATTCGACGGCGGACCAGGCTGCGGCGCCGACGTTGTCATCTAGGTTATTATTAGAGATAGTTCGTAGGTTTGGGGGAGATAGGTGTTGGACATACAGGTTGGGTCGTTTGAGTTGGAGATCACGAGGAGGGCTTGGAGACGCAAGATGCTTGTAATCAGGACGCTGAGAGGGAGGCGTTTGTTAGTATTGGTTTAATTCAAGTATAGAATATGCACTCACAATCCACCCAGGGCGAAGACGGCCATGAGAGCGAGCTTCTGCTTTCTTGGCAGTTGGAGGGATCTCAGGACTGGCATTGGGTATATCAAAATGAGAATGTCGGTGAGAATGTGGATGGCGGAATTAGAGAACCATAAGGCCTTTTTATTAAAACAGAAGCCTGGGACGGTGTCATCCCAGAACTTCGCAAGAGGAACGCAATTGGCCCAGGCACTTGCGATGGTCCAGGAACCGTAGATGCCCAGGAATGCAATCAGGAGCCAACATGCTAGGCGCATGTTCGGCGTAGAAAAGACTCGTTTGTATTGGAGAAGAATTGACATCTTTGTGCTGATGAGGCTTGTTTGATAGATAGGCACTGTTGCCCAGAAATACTGTTGTATACTTATGTTAACTGGGATCACGCTTCTCATGCTGAGGATGGGATAGCTGAGATAGGGGGGAAAGACGTACGATCATTTGAGTCTTGTAGATTACCGAAGGGATCTTGGTATAGTGCTCACCCATGCCATGGAAGACTTCGCCAATCATCAGACCAAAAAAGATCCATGAGAAAGCAAGAGAGATGAGAATGACGTAGTCGTCCGATCCCATCTGCTTCACAAGACAAGCTCGTGTATATACACGAATGGCAGCGACGATAGTTGCCAAAGTTGTAAATACAATGCTGACGGCGAGGGCCTGGTGACCGCGGGGTGTTGATAGTGTGGTCATTGTGTCATAAAGGCGTATACATAAACGAGAGATTGCCAATTTTCATATAGAGACAGCTGACTTGAAACTTGTTAACGACAGGAAAAGAGAGTGTGGACGTGAAGCTTTTCCGATGATATGTAGTATATAGACACCAGGTTGTCAGTGCTCGAGGTCGAGGTTCCCCGGATCACGACGAACGTGGGCAATGGCCCGCTTCTTAATGCAAAAGAATGACGAAGGATCTGTGAAGGACAAAAAAAGAAAAAAAACGAGAGATGCACAGGCGAAAAGAGCTGATATTATGCGCCCGATGCAACGATCACCGTTCAGTCCGAGGCTGCCATCGAGATCAAGTTATTAAGGGTCAATATTACCAAATATGTATTTAATTCGGAGGCACTTCATTGTCCCGTCAACCTGGGTGTCAAATCCACTATCTATTAGCGCCCCATCCTCGCCCCCCTTCATAGATGCGATATACCCTGGAGGCGTCCAAGCGTCAGATTATTCTGGTCAATACATTCTAGAATCCATAGGAGTTGTGTTCCTGCATAGTACAAAAGGACTACGGAGCAGTTCTTGCCAAAGTGAACACACTTCACAGGGCAAAATGGCCGTTGTTAGGGTTGCAGGACATCGAACTCTGTTTTGAGAACCAAACGCGCTTAACTCTAAAGCGGCTAAGTCGGCCTTCGATCCATGGTACTCTTTCACCTTAACCGGGATAGGGAGCGCTCCCCTATTTCTCTATTAATCGGCTTTTTGAGACTCTAGGAGCTATAGCTAACCAAAGTATTATATGCATGGACCCCAAGATGTGCCAACATTGCCCTTGTGATGTGGAAATCGACTGGCGCACATGGTCTACCCTTGGAGATAATGAACGTGCTGTAGCGTGGCGAACATGAGCAAGACTGGGTCAAAGTGGGCAATCAAGCGTGCTACGAGGTACGGAGTACATACATTCAAGTGCGTAATCAAAAGGAATCCACTCCACTTTTTCTTTCGCTTCTTCATTGTGCAATCCTTCATAAATCCCTGTTCGTATGGCGTTGTCAGTGGCCAGGAAACCCAATAGCGTCGAATAAACTTCCAGTAGAACCAATCAACCACTGGATTTATACCCGAAGAGAATAAAATTCTTGCACGGTATTGATCCTGCGACTCAAAATCGCCTGCGCGACGACATGCACTAATGATTAATCTTGGGCCTCCGTTTTGGGAAACCCGAAATTCGGGGAGCCCGGGTCCGAAGACTCTTACTTCTCCGGTGGCAATCTAGCCCCGTACTCCGCAATCACTCTGAGAGTGCTCGAGCAGAACGAAAACTGAAGATCGAATGCTGATCTGAAACCTAGCCCACATGGGCTTTCCGAAGAAACCCCGTGCGCATGGTGCCAGCGGATCTAGATCAAATGGGCGATCCAATAAAAGCATTGACTAGTAAATGGTGCTAGTTCTCGATTATCTACATTATAGTTCACGATGTACAATGTTGTGACTGTATTTGGGGTGTTATGCAGATTATCGATTGGCATCGATCGACAAAAGAAGTCCTCACGAGTATGTTGTAGGTACGTCGTAGTTTGGCTGCGTCGTCGACAGAGTACTAAGTTGTTCTCCGTCCTCTTCCTCCGTACAATAATAGCAAACCAGTCAATCAACCCGAGATGAACTCCACTGCATTATCTATATTAGCTCAAGAGTATCATGGATACTCTTCTGGGGTACAACATAGGGCGCTTTCAGTCTATTAAATTCTCGTTCTTGGTCCGGGAGGCAGGACTTTTTAACCCCTGATACTACACTAAATACATATTGCTCATCAAACTCAATGTCCCACTGAGGGGCATTGACTTCCCTGATTTGTGGATGAACCATTCAAGACGAGCTTGTTCGAGCAAAATTTCTCTATCTATTGGTCCTAATTGGGAAATTGGCATCATCAACCTCGGTCCAATCCCATCACTGGAGAACACTAACCTCCACCGCGGAGACGCTACCCACGAGAGGTCCGCTGTAAAAGCATGAAATTGGCGCTACAATTCTCCCAACAATAGATATTGTGTCTCATCTGCCAATGAGTTATTAAATTGGCAGTCAAGTGGGCCGGAATAGGCCCTAGGACCTGCCATTCCGGGCGAAAGAACGAAGAGTTAGTGGAGTAAAGACAGGTGGAAATTCATACAAGCAACATCGTATGACACGAGGTCAATATTGACCATCTCTATATTGTCGGTTTGTTCTGCAATGCCCCATCTCCAATCCGACTAAGAAATTGTTTCAGCATTGAACAGTGTGCATTGATGTAGATTATAGCCAATCATTTGATTTTGATGCAGTCAGAAGACGGACTCGGATCTATATTTGGATGTAGCCCGGGGCTCTCAGCGCTGACTTGGTATCTCTCTCACTGGAATCCCAATATCCACTTGTTGACTTGGGGAAGCTGGTCGCTATGGCTCCTTCTGGCACCCCACAGAACAGCTACTCTCCCTCCACTTGGTGACTTGGATTGCCGACTTGATCCTTGCCAATGCGTATGCTGTATGCATATTCACACCTCTCAACAGTATCCACTCCCCTAATTACTTGTTCACCAAAGTAAAACAAGAACATCCGCCGGATCAGCTTGTGATTGGTCAAGCGAGTTCGAATATTGTGGATCAAACACCTCGCGGGGGTCAAGAAAGAAGCTCAACTTCGATATGTGAGCTTCTAAAGCATCTTCTGCAAGGGTGTTCGTGGTCCAAGGTTTCGATCTATCGTATTGAAACTCACTGCCATCTCGTCTGCGCCCAGAAATTGCAGATGGCCGGTCCCCTGGGCCAAGGTGAGACAACAACCGACCGTTCTTCGGGGCCACGGGTCCGTCTTACCTGCGGGGCATACCGTCAACGCAAGGTGAAATGTGACAAGTCAAGTCCCTACGTAACCTGCCGATGGTCAGATGAGTGGCGGAACGTTCTGGGGGCTCGTTTAGAAAATGAGGACCCTGCGACCAAAGATCCAGATGATGCATTTGGAAGCTCATTTGGGAGCCCAGAAAGCCTAGAACGCTTACCAGGCTGGCTCCAACCCAACAAAGCTTGTGACCTTCCGGCTCATATACGGCACAGACTATGGGACATCTATTGTCACAAGGTCGATCCAGTCTTCAAAATTCCTCATCGACCTTCCTTGCAACGGTTTCTTGAAGAAAACAAACCCCTTTCTTAACTATGAGCAAGGTCATGAAGCGCCGGCTACGCTCATGTCTGCCTTTGCGACTGTGCCTTGACCCAATGTGTGGGATTCAATGTATCTCAGTAATCCGATCTCGCAAAGTGCGTCTCATGACACCGCTTGGTTGAGCTATGAGAAATTTATCGAAAATCTTTATGAGAGCGCTGGTTCTATCTTCTTGCCGCGGTGAGAAAAAGATCAAAAGATCAAGGGAAAATTCTCAAGTGTAGGGAAGGAGGGAAGATTGTTTCGAGATACCCCGGTACCATATTTAAGCAGCTGCATCAAAAGACATATCGATCCTCCGTGACAGTCAGCCCAAAAGCTTGAAATATCCAATCTTCATGCTCGTTCCATGCAGATGCATAGATCGTTTAAACTATTCTTCGTAGGGATCGACAAGAGGCCCAGAAGCTCGGGAGGCTAGTGCAGTGAGACACCTAAAACCGGACTGCGACTTCATCTTCGTTTGCCCCTGAATTTTCAACCATCTTGGTTCCCACTTTGAGGACCACTTTGGGAGAACCAACCCAGCCTTTCAAGGGCTCACTCATTGAAAGCTTAGCTGCAGTGCCGACCGAACTCGCGCATCAGATCATCGATCATATGCGAGTATGAGAGATCATGAGGCTCGTTTGCTGTGAAGACGACCGCATCAATGCCTGCATCATGTCGCATCATGTCTGCTCAGCCATGTTCAGCTTGGATACCGATCCAGAAGCCTTCGAAGAGATGACGTCCTGTTCAACTAAAGGTCTTCTCAGCTACATTGAGCACCGAAAGCTGTGTGTCAATGAAAAGAGTTGTCATCCAAAAATAGCGATATAGAAGTTGTTGTATATCAGTCACGCATGATCGCGCCTCTACCACTGAACTAGACAAATGTTGAATTCGTGCTCCCGCAGAAAGACTGTAGTCAAGGGACCATTCACCTTTTCGAATCAGCCAAGCCCAAGAGTGTTCCGTCGAGCAACGGCTTTCATGGTTGGCGGATATAGTGTTGCAGGGCCAAGGTCCCAACGCGGCTCAGAAACTTGCGGGGTATGATCCTTGACGGGTGGGCTTTCGGCATTCTGATTATCCGGTATAGCTTGTGACATAGATGGCAAGGGAAGCTTATAGTCGACAAGACGTTGATAGGTGCAATCCTTTTCTCGTCGATTACATTCAGCGCACGGCAATTTGCCATTGCAGGCTTTCCTGAGGCTTGCGCAACTATCGCAGGCACGTTTGTGTTTCCCACCGCGTTCTGGCTCAGGGATTGCATGGCCACTGTTCACACGGGCCTTGCATGATTTCCAGTGTCTTCGTAATACATCTCTGGGGACTCTGGTCAGTACATGCGATGACGTAGTGACATATCGATTAGTGATAAATGATCACGCACCCTCGGCTGAATCCAGAGTCGCAAAAAGAACAGATATGGGTTTTGGCTGTATGGCCTGGAGAAGCGTTACTATGACGTCCATTCGAGGCTCGCTTTAGACATACGCGTCAGGGCATGGCGCTTCATGTGATCTATTCTGTGAAACATCGAGGCGCATTGATCACATTTCCAGTTCTTGAGGCCGGTGCGGACCTCGGGCTTTCGCACTCGTTGCTCCATGGGGAATGGGCGTCGGTTTGATAGACAGGCCGATATGACAATATCCCGTGTGGTGTATTCTCGATATTCTGATCAGTCTGATATGGGGTACGGAGTACACGGCCAGGCATCAACGATATCCCTGTGTGCAGTGTGGGGGAATCCCACCGAGGACCCCATGGACCTAGATGTGAACCCCGAGATCTTTCGCTTGTTTGAAGTCAGTTGCAGACTTGGCACTACCTCGAAGCGATGATGATAGGCAGGCCTCGGTAATTCAGCGCTGGCGATTGGACGTGCGAAAAGGAGAAGTCGGTGGAGCTCAGCCGTCGGGATTCCCCCGCCGAATGCTCCTCCGACAAATCACTTGCAATGCCGGCCTCAACACGGCTAACAGGGTGATGGATGTGAATAGTGGAGAGTCAGGGCAGATATATAAAGAGAATTGGAATTGTCTTCTTTGTCAACTCACTTCCTTCCGTAAATCAGATCCATCACAATCTCAACATGGGTTCCATCGGTACAGACTCGGTTTCAGCTGGCAGTGGCATTGCCTCTGATGGAGTTTTCTATAATAATTGGCCCAATGACAAAGGTGTAAGTGACAGATTCACGCACTCGAGGTATACATACTGATGCCTGCATAGTTCAATCCCGAATACGAGCAGCGCGAACCCGTCGAGCTGTCAGTGACAGGACAAATCCCTGCCTATGCTGCTGGAGTTTTGTACCGCACAGGTCCAGGCAAAAACCAAGTGGAAGCTGAGAATGGAGAAACACTACGTCTCTCCCACTGGTTTGATGGATTCAGTCAAACCCATCGGTTCCAGATCCTGGCCACAGATGACTCCCATGCAGCACCTCGAGTTTTCTACAACTCGCGTCTCGCAACCGACGACCTGATTGAAGAGGCGAGAAAGACCGGAACGCTGGACATGGTCAGCTTCGGACAGAAACGCGATCCTTGCAAGAGCATCCTAGGCAAAGTCCAGAGTGAATATGTCCCTCAAGTCACTCCATCTAGTAGAAACATCGGTGTCACCCTGTCTATCAATCTCCCGGGCCTTGATGCCAAATCCGATGAGCCAAATTCCCGCTGGACTGGTTCTCAGGGAATCAAAACGCTCTACGCAAAGACCGACTTTAATGCCTTCAAGAAGCTCGACCCCGAGACCCTGGAGCCTATCGGCCTAGCCTCGCAGACCAGTCTGCACCCTGACCTTTCGGGACCACTGGCTGCATCTCATGCTCGGTCTGATCCTATCACCGGAGATGTGTTCAACTTCAATCTCTCTCTGGGACCACAATGCATATACCGCGTTTTCGGAGTCTCAGCTGCAACGGGAGAGACCACGATCCTTGCAACCTTCCCTGCAACACCGGCGTACCTTCACTCGCTTCTGATCACCGAGGATCACGTCGTGCTCTGTGTGTGGAATGCGCACTTGAATCCCATGAAGATGAAGGAGTCTTTCATGAATGCGATTCTGCCCACAGACCCAAGTCAGCCGGCAATGTGGTATGTCATCGACCGTAAGCACGGAAATGGATTGATCGCGACATATGAGGGTCCTGCATTCTTCTGTTTCCACGCGATCAACGCATGGCTCGAGCCCTCACCAACAGACCCCACGCAGGTGGACATTGTTGCAGATCTCGTGAGAGCCGACGACTCGGAGTTTCTCAAATCGCTCTATTACGACAACTTGATCTCTTCGCTGGATACAGCCAAGACCTTCCAGGATAAGAGAGACGACTCTTTCCGCACATCTTTCACCCGCTACCGTTTACCTGCAGTGCCTTCCACTCCATGTACTGAGGCCAAGAAGGCAAGCGTTGAGTGGTCCGTATGCAAATCGTTGTCTCCCGAGTTGCCAACTATGGACCCGAAGAAAGTTACCCAGAAACACCGATATGTCTACGCGGTAACCTTCCGCGGAGAGGCCACTCTAACCGACGGCATTACAAAGCTGGATTGCGATACTCAGCAAGTAAAGCTCTGGGCATGCCATGGCCAATCGCCCGGTGAGCCGATCTTCGTTTCTAACCCCAACGGCACTGATGAGGATGACGGTGTTCTGCTTAGCGTGGTTCTCGATGGAATGCGTGGCAAGAGTTATTTGCTCTGTCTCGATGCTCGTGACTTGTCGGAGCTTGGCCGAGCCAATGTCGATGGAGCTATTGGTTTTGGATTCCACGGACAGCACGTTCCGACTGTCGGTGGAATGCCCACTGGTGATTACTAGGCCGTCTTCTTTCTTTGTATCTCTTACTACATTGATCAACATCTATCACTATTCCTTAAAATCACAGAATGCTATTTTACGCGCTTATATTCCCTACAGTATATAGATCCTAGATCACACTCTCATTGGTCGCAGAAAATAGGGGTAAACCGGCATCTGTTGATGTATCAGGAGAAGGTCCAAAGTTGTGGAAATGAGGTTATCTCTGGCCTCGAACGTACATCGAGTCCATCCCGTCAATCCCGCATGGCTTACTGGTGCATGTGAACCAAAACCAGTGTCAATAGTCATACGGATCTAGAAGGGAGATGAAAGGAATCTATGGGGTTTCCAAAAGCCTCGCCTCGCCATACTAATTGTTGAATCTCGAATTTCTATCCTAAGAGACGCCAAAAAGTCGAAAAGATTACTCTCATGTCCATAGCAACGTAACGCCGCACCTCCGGCTTTTTTTGCAAGCAAAGCTGAGCTTCAGTAAAGGCAACTAGGCAATAGAAAGCAAAAACAAGAAAACAAGAAAACACCGCCAACGTGGCCCGGGCTCTTTTATGTTGTACATTTTAGACAAGATACAGAAACTGGGAACCAGAATGACTGTGGGAACATAAAGAATCAGGGTATTAGTCGTACAAAGATATTGATTTATGAGAAAAAGAAAAAAGAGGCCGAGTTGCAACACCGGAAACATGATAAAACGAAAATTTAATAGTCGACCTCTTTCTCAATTACCATGATCAATTCGGTAAGTTCCTTGCGTAGCGCGCGATTCCGGTCCCAGACTTCGACGATCTTCGGGCGTTGGCTCGTGAAGCACGCCTTTTTCCAGGGAAGGCCACCGTATTTAGACGTGGTTCGGTTCGGGAGGCCACGGGCGATGTTGCGCAGGACCAATGCAGCCTTGTAGGCCACTCCAAATGGTTCGGCCTTCTCGTTAATGGGAGTGTCCATGTAGTACCATTTGCGAACGATCCGTTCTTGAAGAACCACGCGCTTAGCAACTGTAGGTTGTGCGTCTGCAGGGCGATCTTCGGGCAAATGCGAGGAAACGTGTCCAGCTACCATGGATGTGTTCGCGCTTGGCCCAGAGGCTCGGAATCGTGTGCAGTGGTCCCATTGGCAAGTGTGGGTGGGAGAATCTGCTGTGTCTAGTTTATATTGGCCGGGAGTATCTGTAGGTTCCAGATTCATGTGATCACCGAAAACATGGTTGCGCAGGTCTGTTGGAGACGTGAATGCACGCTGGCACATTTTTGAGGGTTTGGAGTTGTCTGCCCATCTGCAGTAGGAATAAGGGAAGCCCTCGAAAGTGTGGGCGGTTTCCAAGGGTCGGATACCTTTAATAATAAACTTGGTAGCAGTGCCTGGTCCGTTGATGACCTGTGCTTGGGCATTTGTGAATGTATTGCTGACATTTTTGATGAATTCTGCGGCGGGGAGAACACCACCTCCGGTGACACGGGGATCAGCGAACCGGCTCTGGTAGGCTTGCCATAGAGCGATCTGTGTGATCTCGCATTCTGCATCTTCGATGAAGCAGCAACGTAGCCACTGAGAGCTTCGCTCCGGTTCTGATAGTTCCATCAGCTTTTCCAAAAGCTCCGGGGATACACGAGGAATATCGGTGGGCGGAGGTGCAACTTTTTCTTCTTGGAGGACAGTTTCTTTCTTGGTGGGGCGTGCTTCGTAGGTCAACAGGGCGACCATGCGAGGGACAAAGACAATTGGGAAATTAAGGACATCCATCAATGTCTCGATATTGTCATGACTGAGTGTGTATTGATACCAGAAGTCCAGCGCACCACTCAGAATATCCTTGTCGAGATCGAGAAGCGTGTGATAGTACATTTGTTGGAGAGTCGGTTTGGTCAGGCTTTCCATGGCCCGATTCGCATCTGCATCATCTAACTCGGTGCCGAAATGTGTCAAGGCCCACAGAGCCCGGACGACGTGGGCACGGTCTGGGGAATCGATGCATTTCACTAAAGAGATCCACAGCGGGTCCTGGGGATCAGTCCGGAGGAACTTAGTAACTTCTTCGGCAATATCCAAAGCATCATTCTTGATTTCGTTCAGTCGAGGTTGGTTGGGAGCATTAATCAAGATGACCAAGAAGTCCCGTAGCAGACCATTTGCATAGCGAGATACATAAAATGCATTTTCCTTTAAGAGTACCATGTTTCGCAGCACCAATGTAGCTTCTTTAATGTTCCGAAGTTGGTGATTAAATTCGTAGGTCTCAAGGCTGTCATCTGGCAGGTTCACTGGGATTTTGCTGATCTTGTCCAAGATATCCCGGGTGCCATGTAGCGAGTTAAGCACGTTGACCCGATCAATCGGTTTCCGAGGATCGTATTGGAATTCCCATTTCACCCCGGTGCAGAGTTGGGTGATATCAAGTGCTTTCTGCATCAGAGTCTCCGCAAGCAGAGGAAACCCTTCGAACTTGAATTTATCCCATCGTTGGTTCGAAATTTGGACAAGGTGATACAGGGCGAAGTCAACTTCGTCTGGGATACCTGACTGCAGGCCATAGTGGGCACGTTTGTAGATGTGATCCGCTAAAGAAAAAATGACCGTCAGTATTTTCAGGTGGAAACGAGACAAAGCATATACTGACTTCGTGGAACCTCAAGATATCTCAATGGGAAATAAGGATCAAAATAATCTAATTGCCGAGGCTGCTTTGAAGGATCACGCAGTTGAGCAAACATGAGCGGCCGATTGCCTGGAGTCGCTACTTCCTTTGTCGACATGGGCAGCTGGCGATGGTCCTTTCCCTCCCAGCTATCGACCACATACTGTGCACTTGGGGGGTTGACAGCCGGATTGATGTTTACATGATGGGGGCTGGTTGACGGTTGTGGAGATGTGAGGCCATGATGAATATGTGATCGGCGGGCAGGGGTTGTATCGGGGATGAATGGCTGGTTCACTTTGGGGGCATGGCGTAAACCTTCTGCGGTTGATGTTAGTATAGGTAAGACATTACTCGGCGGGGTAGTGGTAGCCTTACGCCGCAGCGAGGTGCGAGGGGTAGAGGCAGACATTGTGCTGCTGGAGGAGCGCGACAGCTTTGCGCCGTGCACTATTTCAGACCCACGGGATGATTCTGTCCTTCTGACGATGAGGATCGACTTATGCTACCTCGAAAAATCCAAGATCGAGCAGGTATAGATCCTTTTAGTCGCAATATTCAAGGTCTTCGAAGCACGGCTCGAGGGATGCTGCCCTTGATACGTCTTTGCAAACGGGTCAAGCAGGCGAGATTGCAGGGAATGTCAAACTTAAAACTTTGTTTGACGTCTGAAAGATCGGAGTGAAAAGAGGATACAGCTTTGTTTCGGGCCAATGTAGATGATTGTGACGGCCAGTGATAAGAGTTCGGCGTGAGTCGCAGGATTCGCGCGTTCGAATATCGGAGCAGTGGATGCGACGGTGAAAAGAGCAACGGTACTCGGCGGCAACAGCAGATCTAGAGATCGAGGAACTTTGCGCCGATGCGATTGAAATCTGCGATATGAGTAAAAAGTAAAATATTTGTCAATGCCTTGCGGCCCTGGAGGGCTAGAGCTGGGCTTGCGATTAACGGCACTGATCAGCCAAAAGTCCGCGCTCCCTCCAGAGCGCGTTGTCGGACTATTCATTGTTCCGATCGATGACTAAGGCCAATGTTATTGACGCCTCAGGCGGCTACATTCTTGAGCTTTCCACATCACACACAAAAAGACCCGTGAATACTCTCTTGGGTGAGTGTTCTATTGTTCTGTTATCTTGTTCTGATTCTCATGGGCTGCTTCTCTATTGACCTGATTGACTTAATTATCCAGGTGACTCTGAGAGACGTATCATTGACCTAGTGTATACAATATAGAATAGAATGTTCGTTAATGGGACTCGAATGTTTCTCATCTAAACAAATGGTCATTCATCAACAATATGAATATTCTATTGATTGATCCGAGCGGACCTTTCTGGGAATAAAGAGCCCTGTAATATGGGGGGCATGGTGTCTCCGTGGGCAGTGAAGCTGCTGAATGGAGAGTTCTCCCAACTTTCCCTCATCTCGAATTCATCTCCTCCCACCAAACACACCTCATCCATCATCAATACTATATCTATGAATACCTTTAAATCTGTAGCTCTCTCTTTCTCTTGATTCTAGAAGATGCAACATCTCCAGCCACCGATTCATCCCCAAGTCCTTCGTCTAGCCATCGCCAAGTTCTCCCATACAACCACCGCCATTGACCATGTCGGTCCGCTGAACTGGACTCACGTCCAAGGAAATGGAGACTTGACTTGCTGTTTTGAAAAGTTTCTTGATTCCGGCTCTGTGCCATCAAGGCTCATTCTGAATGTGCTTCGGGGCGATGGCATCCAGGTACACCCACATCTACTCATAAAACCTGGTCGTATCCATTTGATGCTAAACACCAGGAATTATACGACTTAGGAGCAACTTGATCTTGTGTTTTTTCTCCGCATGGAGTCAATGCAGGCCCAGCTAGTCCCACCCCCAAAATCACACTTTGCCGTCGTTGTGAAGTCACCTTGTCTTGCCGTCAAATATCCTCATGGTGGAGCTTATGTGTGTATATTCAGCGACATATACATTGTGCTCCTAGCTAAGTCAAACTTTCAACCCACAGATCCGTCGATTCCAGATCAAGTTCACGACAGAGCGTGACTACTTCGCAGCCTTAACTCTCCTTGGCGAAATTAACTGTCCATTAACGGAAGGCAAGATACCAATTCCAGCAAACCGACGCTTCCCTTCGGTATCATCATGGACCTCAGGGAATCTTTCCTCCATTATTCCTATGACCACAAATACCATGGCAACGTCAACTGGCAGCAATGGAGCATTTCATCCCACTGGGGCGTTGGCGTCCGGAAGGACAAGTATGTACCGATTGCTCTGACCATCGCTTGACCGGTCATCTTACATTTCCCCCCCTGATAGCACCCATGCGCCCATCATCGCCCGCAAGCACTATCTCACACCCAGTTTCCAGGCTGGGTCCGCTGCCACTTCTTAACCATCCAGCGCAAAGCGTGGAACCAGCAGATCTAATGCGACCAATACAAGCCCCTATCCCTCTAGCACAACCATCACACAAAGAAACGGAACCCCCAAGCTCTCAGCTCTCTGCTACATCTGCAACCCATGACGTCGACCAGTTAAACCAAATGCTCCCCCCAAAGAGGGATCTACCTTTCCCAAAACCAGCCGCAAAGAAACGGCGCAATGTCAGCCCGACGAAAGCATCACAAAAGCAAGCCAAGTTAGCTCCATCCCCCAACTCCCAACTTGCTGAACAAACTATAGAATTAGAGCCATGCCCACTTCTTCCAATCCTTGACCTTAATACTTGTGTTTTACTCGAACCCACTTCTCAAGTCTTATCCCAACCAGACTCATGCCCCGAGGCGAGCCAACCACTGTTGCTATACGAGGAGCCACCGGGTTCCCAGAGCACATTTCCAATCAACCCATCCGCTGACCAGGCTTTTCAAGCACCCGTCATCCCAGCGCAAACACTTAATAATACAACCAACCCCAGCCCTGGCCAGGTCACTAAACCAAACAATGAAGCTGCAGCTACGACAGAAGATCATCTCGCGCAGTATCTATCTTCTCCAACCGCAGAGCGCATTGCCTTCCTCGAGAACTGGATGAGCGAGTTGCTCGAGGATGACAAGTTCTTGTCGCTATGCCGGGATGTGGAGGGAACATGGAAGCGATTTGTGCTAGGACAAAAGAAATAAGGGTATCTTTTTGTTCGTCTTTTCTCGGGGAGATCTCTATTATATCTTAACATTTCATGTCATATGTGGAGCTGCAACTTCAAATATAATTTATAATATCTTCCAGCGATGGAGATTTGCAGTCTATGAATGTTGTGTGATCTTCACTAGATTTAATAGTTGTCTATGAGTTCGTCATTCTGTCAGACAAAAAGGATATGAATACTGACATGAATGGACTGATATTTGACTAAACGAGCTAATTTGAGAGAATTTGATAAATTCCTCGAAGCAACAGTAGCATAACCACAGCATAAATATAAGAGATAAGCATGAGCAATAGCAAAGCCCAGCTGACGCAAATGTATCATCAGAAAAAATAGATTCCCACAGGCCTCCTTGTTCAAAAAGAAAGACGAAAAAAAAAACAGACAAATAAGATAAGAGAAGAGAAGAGGAAAGAAGAAAAGGAAGGGCATGATATAGACGCTTAACGAGTGCGACGATAGATCAACCCCGAGAAAACGTTCAGATATCCTTCCTTAGTGAGCATCGTGAAGTCAACCACAACACGACCAGTCCCGTTCTGTGACTGAGCCAACTGCGGAGCAAGATTGGAGTCCGGCTCGGCGTCAGTAGGAAGACCCGATGGGGGCGTAGATGGCGCATTCTGGCCAACGGAGCCTTCTGCGCCGACAGCAAGATCAGCCAAATGCTGGAGAGAGCGCTGCTCATTCGGGCCCATGACAGGCTGCTGAGACTTGGCGAGGCCGCCGATCTCGGCTTCCTGCAGCTGGCTCTCTTGGGACTTGATACGGCGCCATTCGAGGAAAAGGCGGATCTTGGCGTCCCATTCTGGGGTGCTGAAGATGTTGTCGAACTCGGCGCCCTCGGCTGAGCGCTTGGAGCGGCGGTCGAGGATTTCCTCAACTTTTTCGAGACTCGCCCAGCATTCGTTTGCGTGTTCTGGAAGGACAGTGGCCTCGAGAAGAGTCATTGAGGCGAGGGCTAGACTGTGCAGGTCGAAAGGCGAAGGGAGGCGGGATTGCATGGTCGACTTGTGCATCTCGTTGATTATTTCCTGCGCGCAGAAGATAATTTCGTACGGGCTATAAACAAAGACGTGACGCTTGATGAGCAGACGGACGGTCCAGTATAGCTGTGCTTGCAGGCTTTCGTAAAGTGGACGAGTGGTTGAATTCTCGGGTAGCTCGTGGATCTGGAAGATGTCCTCCATCTCTGCTAGACGCTCCAGGGACGAGACTAGATTCGCGCCGATGATACGGCCAAGACCGGAGTTTGTTTGGCAGACGTTGTGGTCAACGTTAGCTAAAGTGACCACCTCCGACAGGAATGTCGAGTAAGCTAACGGAACAATTGTTAGTAAAACAGTACAATGGCAAGACACGGTAAGATCAACTTACAAGCAATTCCAGTTGTGATTTGACCAACGACTCTTTCATCTTCACGACCGCCGATCTCATGACCACCCAAAACGGTGGCATCCGCAACACTGATAGCGTACCAGCGGGCCAAAATGACCAAAGAAACCCAGTTACGTCTGGTAAGATTGGCATCCGAGTCAACATCGGGATCCGAGGAGCGCTTGTTCTTCAGCTGGCCTTGGCTCTTGGCCAGGTCATACCCGAGCTTGTTAGCAACCTGAATCAAGGTCCCTTTGGGAACACCATCCTTCAGAACAAAGTTGTCCGGTCCACGAGTGTCACAGTCAATGATCATCAGGAGAAGAGACTGGAGCCAGATAAGGTTGACAGGGGTCGAGTGGATCATCAAAGGTTGGCGAGTGTGGAACATAAGCAGATCCTGGGCATTATCGAAGCCATTCACTTTCTCGAAAGTCCCTGCTACGCGAGACAAGTCAGTTCTAGTGACGCTATACAGCGCATAGCAGAAAATCTCCTGTGCCTCCCGGTTGCATTGGTGCAAGAGCTCCAGTGTTCGGTCCTTCGTGTGAGGAAGAATCGGCAGAAGAGTGTGAATCTTTTGGTAATAGCTGTATGATGTTGTTAGACGGTTATGTTCATAAGAAAGAGGGTTGGACAATGAACATACGCATCAAGAGCTCCTTCGTCCAGGGTCACTGGTCTCATGTCGTCATCACCATCATGCTTTGGCAAATCCGTCATTTCGAGTCCGCTGGGGAGATCATTCTCGTGACCTGTTGGGTTCCAGAACAGATTGCCAGGCTTCGGTGCGTTACCGCTGGCAACAGCTGGGTTGTACGGGTCTGCTGCTGTCTCGGAAGTATCGAAGGCGTTTTGCGAGACGCGCGCATTGAACGAGGGTTGCGCAAACGAGGAACTTGGGAGACCCTCAAACACTGAGTATGTCCTCTTGCGATTGCCCGAATTCGACTCCACCGGCGATGCGAAATCCTGGTACCCTCTTGGGAGAGACACCTCGTTCATGGACTGGTATGGCACGTCAGGCTGCACGATGCCTGGCTGCATCTGATTTTCCAGGGTATGGAGTCGTTCGGCGAGTTCTTTGATGTAGCTGTGTGTCTCTTAGCCATGATGAAATTCGGAACAGCGGCGCATTTGTTTTCTTACCCTTTGCTGGGACCGCGTTTCATCGGGACGCGACTGAATTGGCACACAACACCGAGGCGTCGACAATTGGAACATGTTTCAAGCCCAGTTTCAGAGCTCGCATCACATCGAACCTATTCAAGAAAAACGCGTCTTAGCTTCGAGAGTTGTGATCGCGTCTGAGGGATGCTGTTATCGTACCTTCTTTCGCCGGCACTCGTCACAAGCTCTTGAGATCTTTGATCGCTTGCGCGCGCTCTGTTCGCCATAGCTCAAGTCATGGTTTGGGTCGACACCCACCTGTTGACTCGGAGGGAATTGGAGCATGTGCTGGTGCTGGTGTTGATCGTCCGAAGAGGTTCGACCCATATCGGTAGCATTGGAGGAACCCAACACCATGGACTGGCCATGGTGAACGCCATTGTTAGTTTCGCCGAGACCGGGACCGGAGGCTTCACGCGAAAGTTCGGCAGATAGCAGTTCGTCAGTGGTCATCTGGCGGTTGCCGTAATACGATGGCACACCCTGAGCCATCTGCGCCCCGTTAGGAGACGGGTAAGAAGGCGCCGGAGGCATATCAGACTGCTCGCGGGAGTTCATCGGGCGATATAAAACCTAAAACGACAAGTAAAATGATGGATTGTGTGCAAAGCGGGCCTCCGGGAGATGGAGGGAGGATGGTGCAGGACGCGAGGTGCCAGAAGTGAAGTTTTAAGTAAAATTTCGCGGGGAATTTTCAAGGGGGCTAGCGCGGCGAGCACCGCCTTGAGCAACAACATTTTGACAGGTAGTTCATTGGAATTAGATTCTATCTTGAGGCTATATACCGTTGTTTACTTTCCCGCATCTTTTTTTGGATGATCGCACGGAGGACGGCCTTTCGTTTCTGCGTGTCAACGGATTAATACTATTTCCCTCGGCTTCGGATGAACTATAAACGTTGAATGGACTACAATTCCAACCTTCACTTTACAAATGTCGTGGCATATTGCCAATGCTACGTTCTAGAGTATTTTGAGTTGTCGTTTTGAACTCCTGTTGCTCTATCTAAGTCCTATGCGGCGGTCGTCTTCACAGAGGCCCTTACCTCGTCGTCTTCACCTGTATTGGTGTCAATTGTTTCGGCTCATCATTATTGAGAACACATAGGTACAAATTGTCCCAAGGCTGGAACACTTTATTAGCTATGAAACTATATATGTATGACTATCGGTATCCGAAGAAACCATTTACTACAGCGAGTTTTCATATGCGTTTCTGGCTACATTGTAATGCTATTCTGGCATATGCATTCCAAACGCATTGTTCCTCCATACTTCCGTTCTTCCTTCTTCCACTTGCCACGTGATATCTCAGGATCCTCATGACTCTCCCTAACAGTCCTCTTTACTCAAAGGACCTCCAGTAATTATCCAGCGAATTAGAAGGATATCTGTGTCTTTCCAGTATAGGCATATAGGCTCCTGGGGGCAAGATCAAGAACTACCCGGGTCCTATCGGACAACAAGTCTGTGAAAGTAAACGAATGATTTAGTCCTTCCTCCCAGCCAGGAGCTAGGTCCTTGTTTGGAACAGGCTGTGAGCGAATGAAAGTACTAACCACTTCCTCAACGTAGACTTCAAACTCGGGAATATGCGGTGTTCAAAATGAGTATAAATAGAACTCCGGTCACAAGTGGCTACATGAGGACTCAGGGGCTTTATATAGTTGGATAACAGATTTCCTCTATTAATGAACTTCATGGCCGAAGCATGTCCGAAGCAACCGGGTCCTTCAAGCACCACTCCCGGCGTTGATCCCGGCCCGGTCAACTTTACAAGTGCAAATTCACACAAGCTGTGATGTTTGAAGGGCATAAAGAACTTATGGCGCTGGGACAATAAGTACGGATTCGAGATAATCCATACATCGCCTTCAACCTGACAGCGCGATGCATGAAGAGTTACCTGCTCACGCACTTTACAGCCTAGAGACATTTCCAGGGAAATCAAATTAAATCGGGGTTCAGATGATCTACGAAGTACTCCATCCCAACAAGTGATAATGCCAAGCTACCTATGTAGGTGAGCCTCGCTACCAGGCTGGCTATATGTAGGGAGACTGGCCAAGTTTGTTCTGAATTATGTACGGAGTACTCCGTACTCCGCACAGAGTACATGGCCATACGTTTTCCCATGCGCACCTAGGTATTCACCCTGATTGTCACATAATACCTCTAATTCGATCGAAGGAAAGAAAGAAAAAGATAAAGAAAAAGATTAAAAAAAAGGGGAACACTCGTAATTTTCAGGGGCTTCACGCGATAGACGCCGGGAGGTGGATGCACTATATCAGATCAGGAGAGGTAGCGAATAACGATAAGGCAGGTGGGAAGCGAATCCAAATTTGGTTAAATTGCACATCTGGGACATCATGATCTGCTTTACTTTGCTTCGACTAGTCACCGATTCAAACATACTCGCTAGGGATGAATCCTTTGCGCTTTTCCCTTCTATCTGATCCAATATTAAATTACCTAACATTACGCGAATGCTAAGGTCGATCTCCGTAAAGCCCGATACGGAGCGGGAACCCGCAGATCAGGGCCCCAAACTCCTCTGCAGGCCGCCCGAAGCAGGAACACTGACGCCATCGCTCCACTTCCGGCGCTATGACTTGCATGTGTACGGTCACCGTATGGTCACTCGCTGGAGTGCAACCTACGTGGACACCTTCCACTGGGCTCTCGCTATTTTTTGCTCCTTTCTGGCACGGGGAACCTCATTGTTTCCCCCATTTGTCCATTTCCCATTCCATCGGCTAATCCTCTGCGCCAAGATCAGGATGGTAACCATCGCATCCTGCAGGGATTATGGAAAGATCTTGCCCAGAGGCTGTACCTGGATCGAGAGGCGCTAACACCCCTGAGACAATCACAAATAGATTCAGCCGCGGCAACCAGGGTGTTGTAGCACAAGCATCACATTCCCAGGTTAATATGGCGATGTGTCAAGGTCGGGATGTGCGGCCCCAGATTTTACTAGACCCATTGTTAGTGGGGTTGGGTTCGTTACGAGTACACACTATATCATATACGGAGACTGTGGCCAAGAATCCAGAGGGGTCCGGATAATGGACCTACAACATAATCCATCGCCAACGCTGTCCCTGCAAAGTGGAATATATTCCTCTGGACAATGCAGTGGCCACGAGTCCGGTTGCCACCACGATATTCTGTACACTAGCCGGTTGGAGCTGCCATTTCGGGCAGAAAAAAGCCAACGTCAAAGCCAAGAGAGAAAAGGACTTGGGAGGAAAAAAAAAAAAAATTGGGAAAAAATTTGGAAAAAAAAAATTAGGGGGTCAATAACCCACCCCCATTTCTTCAACCGACAGCAAAATGTCCTTCTCTGCGATGTGCGTTGGAACCCTAAGGAGTACCTGTGGGACGGTGGAGTCAAGACCTAGGAATTCAAGGGAGGAAAGGGTCAAAGAATACGGAGTACGGAGTACAACATACGATGTACGTAGTAGAATGGATCAATACGTCGCATTCATGTAATCAGTACAATACTCCCCCTCCAGGCCAGTCAAAAGCCAGCAATCCCCCAGGAAAGGTACGATACTGGTAACTTGTACCTGTACCTGCGAGTACGGCCACCCACAAAGACCCCCGGCGCAACGAAAATCCTCGTTCGATACCCCGTTATTAACGGCCCTCGCCCGCCCTCTTCCCTCTCCTCTTTTTCCTCTTCATAGGGTGTCCAACGTCTCCTTTCTCGAACGCTTTTTATCTTGGCCGCCACTACCGGTACTTGGTGTCCTGTCTAACGACCGGCGCCAAACGGTGCGTAGGCTTGGTCCCCCTCTCTCCTCTCTCTCTCTCTCTTACTCTCCGATCCCTGACCCCCCTCCTCCTCCCTCGCGCCTGATACCCGTTTGGATTTTCGATTTCCTACTGTTTTCTGTTCCAATTGCAGACAGTCCGGTGGCTCTTAGTGGCATTTTTATATTGCTTCCTTGTTCTGTGAACTTCCTCCCTTGGGACCTTCGACGATACGATTATACCCTTTTGTTCATTTTATTCTACTTGGTCCGACCTCTCAAAGAAGCCGCTACCAATCGCCTTGACGGCTTGATATCCCCTCGGTTTTTACATCCGATCTCTTTTATTGCAATACTTAAATTTTCTCCAATATCCCTCGCGAATCATCGCATGTGTACCTCTCAGTAACACCGCAGCGATGCTCATCGATGGTGAAAAGTATGCTTGTGAAGCTTGCGTCCGGGGTCACCGAGTCAGCAGCTGTCACCACAGCGGTATGCCGATATCTTAAAGTTCTCCACTAACAATGAAGATGACATGCTAATTCCGCAGACCGCCAATTGACCCATATCAACAAAAAAGGCCGCCCAGTCTCTCAATGTACTCACTGCCGCGGTCTACGCAAGTCTCGGACTACCCATACCCAGTGTGATTGTGGCGACAAGAAGAAGAAGGACGACTGTCATACCGGCATTCCCCATGGCCGCTGTGGCTGTTGTCATGGCCAGCGCTGTACCTGTGCGCTCAAAAAGGAACACCTAGACACTGTCCCCGAAACCGGTCTTCCCTTCTCTCCGCCGCTTCCAACTGAAACCCCGCGGAAACCCCCCTTACGTCTACCAAATCGGAATCGACGCTTACGATTTTCCGCGACGGTCACCACAAACCCGCCCACAAGCATAATGACATGGCCCACAAATGCGGATTGCCCTATACGATCCCTCGATCGCATAGCATCCACCATCCATCAGACTTGTCCCGTCGGTCTATGGATCATTTGCCGCTAGGCCAGTCGGTCTTCATCAAGGAATCCCTCTCCCTGTCCGATTTCCCTACCTCGCAACAAGTGTCGCAAAAGGGTTCTCCCAACAGCGCGCCTGGTGCGGGTGTTGAGGATGATGTGAACGCCACTCCCCTCGATCACTCCTACCTCGACAGTTTTGTTACGCCCGCGCCGCCTGCTCTATCATTAGACCGAGTCAACGACGGGCTCTCAATTCCGACCTCTACCTCTACCATGGACAAATATCCCCTGGAACACATCGTCACTAGTGTTCCTCCGCTTGACGTCTCCTCCTTCGCCTCCTTCCCGACTACAAGCACCAATTCTCCGATTAACTGCATGGCCTATCAAGAACCTTTCCAAGAATGTTATTTTACTTCCCCCGATTCCGATCTGCCTCTGGGATCTGGCGGCATTGGTGCTCCCTCAGTCGACTGGTCGAGTTTCCCTCTGTACTCCGACATGCCTGCTGCAACCAGCACTCAAGCCCCGTCATATGCTAGCTTCGATTACAACGCATATCCCTCGGGTCTCCCGCCGCCATCATCCTCCGGAGAGATCTCCGAGGCTGACGAGTTTGGGCCGCTTCCAGGGTTAGGTCATGCCGGCAATGACATGCACGATCTGCACAGCGTGAGTGAAGCGTCTGACATGGACCACCTCCGTATCAGCTCCGCATCCTCATTGGCCGGTCTTCCCCAGACGCATCTTTTGTCATCCAATGACCTGGAATCGATCAACATCGATGATTTTCTCAAGTCAACCAATGAGTCCACCGCTGCGCTCGAGCACCAACTGCAAGCCAGCATGGGCATAGAGGCCAAGCCGGTCCCTGCGCAGGATCTCTACGCCATGCCGCAGATCCCGGGATACAAGGCCATGACGTCGGTTCCGATCACTGGCGATCCCTCGCCGCCCCCAGATTCTGTTCCCCTTTGGCCGAGCGGTCTCTTCGATGCCACTTCCGCCCCTCCCATTGACGACAACTACTTCCAACAATCCTGGGCATAGTAAATAAAAAAAACAGTGCTGCACGTTGCTCTTCCTTGCTTATCTTCTCTTCCTCCGCTTCCTTTGTCTCGAGGCTTGCTGTCTTGCGCCCATCTCCCCCTCCCACCACCTCCACACCGTCTTCATGACCCTGATGAGAGATGATGATCAATGCCTGGTTTGTCTTGTTCCATTAGCCAGTCTAGATTCCTTCCTCGATAGCCATTCAATCTAGAGGGGTTCGCGATTTGGACACTTGCACGTGCCTGTACATTCTTTCGCTTTTATTTCCTTTTACTTTCGTATACTCCCCTTTTTTTTTTTCTTACTGCCATTCGCTTTCTACTTGCATTCTCGTCAGTGTATAGAGATATCTATTTCCTTGTGGTCTTCTTTTCACTTTCCATGTACAACGACTCGGGTGGTACCTCCCAATACACTTGCCTCCGGGGAACCATACCCAGCACATCGAGACGTTGCCTTTTACCACGCAACCCCCATATTTGATTATAACGGGCAGCACAGAACACCAGCTGATATACCCCAAGCCGAGATCACACATTTACCTATCAACTAGGTACAATTCAATACCAGACTCCTCCGTGTAATCCGAAACCTTTGTAATAAGCGTCGATCCTCCCAGCACATAGCGGTGAGAAGTCCGAGTTACGCCCACGCTACCGCCGTATAGACGGGTGCTCCGACGCAGCCTTCCCTCTGGACTATCTCCTATGCCTAATGAGCAGCCTGATCGTATTCACCGAAACACACCTCCATACGCACACCGTCTTGCCCAGAAAAAAAAACCTTGATACGTACAGCGCACAAAGATCACCCAAACCCTAAACTAAAAATTTTCACATTCGCACATCACAATACTCCACAGTAAAACAGCACCCGAAGAGCTACCTGCTCCACAGCTATTTCGAACACACATCGGACCTGTGCGCCGTTCCCCGTACATACCACACAGCTCCCGACACACCCATGCACCTCGTATTCACGTTCAGGGACCTCCCCTGCGTCAGCTTGACAGAAAGCTAAGCATTAGCCAAGCCGACGCAAGCCAAAGGCTTGTGCGAGTTTCCGAGCCCGGTATTCGTCCGAGACTATCAATATCTACCGTGCACGGTGCGATTAACTTCCGGCGACGCCGATGGCGATGGGATAGGGGGTTCGGGTTTTGCTTACGGAGTACTACGTACACGCCTTGCATGTACTGTGGGAAAAGGGGCTTGATGCTTTTTATAGTGTCTTTTCGTCGGAGCTGGACGGGGCATGTTGTACGGAGTACGGAGCACGTAGCTACGTAGCTACTCCTATGATGTCTTATATTTCTGCTTATCCTTGTTTTTTTTTGAGCTGGCTCACCGCTTCTTGGGCTCTGTGTCACGGTACATGTCAGATTGGCTGTAGGTGTAGGTTGTTTCCAGGGTTGAGAGACATCCCTTGGTGATGGATCTTTTTTGGTGTTGATCGTTAGGAGACGGGGTTTCGTCGGGTTTCACTCGCTAGGGTGAGCATTGACCAAGGTCTTTTTGGGATATTCTCCGGTTTTTTATGGGTTAGTTGGATGCTGCATATCAGATTGTCTTATTTGGAGTTTCTGAGGTTTGGATGGTCTTTTTCTTTGTTAGGGCTAAGGGGTGGGGAATGAGATGGGAGACTGCTATATATATATTGTCGACCATTTGATTTTGAGTTGGCGAAAGCAGCCCAGGATAATTGATGATTGTTGAAGATACAGAGGTATGATACAGCATGTAGGGTTCAACAATGGGTTCAAATGATACTAGGAATAGGATCTCTCATGGAAGTATTGAATTGTCTAAAGATCTAGATAATATCTGCCTTTTCCTACTATTTATACCCCTTTATGTGCCGAGGATCGGAGTCCTTAATTTGGCCCCTAAAGGTGAGCTTTTCGGCAGAAAAGACAAAAAGGGCGTAGCGTTAATAATCTAGCGGATGAGAGAATCCTGCCTTAGGCATGGTTCTTAATACGCCCCCTTAACGTATAGCCGTTATATATCGTAAGATTATATTGTTAGGGACTAAGATAAATGAGGTTTCTTAGTCAAAAGGTGTAGCTTTTAGACTACGGGAAGGTACAAAACTAGTAGTTTTGCACTACGAAAGACGCAGTTTTACACTACGAAAGACGTAGTTTTACACTACGAAAGACGTAGGGGTTTATTCTACCGAAAGTCTATATATTTTAGGGTCGAGGTTTAAACCTACGATAAACTCTATAAATTTAGGAGCCCTAAGGGGCTTTGTTAGTCTATCTATAATATTTTTAGTCCCTTTTATATATATAAGCTTAATTTTTCCCTTTTTAACTTGCTCGCGGATCTAGTGCTAGTGTATATCGATATATTTTAAACGTCCTAAAATAGTAGGGTTCTTCGTTATTATAATCGTAGACTAGCTATCGCTATATAAAGGGATAGGGGGGAGGTCTATACTTCCTTAGTAAAAATTAAGATCTTTTAGTAGTTTTCGTAGCTAAATTACCTCTCCGCTAGTAATTAAGAGGGCTATATATTTAGCTTTAGCGCTTAATTTTACTATATTAGTCTACTTTTAAGATTTCTATAATATTAGATCCCCTACAAGGAAGAAGATATATCTAGTCCTACTTTTACTTTCTAGGGCTAATCCGTATAAAGCGTCGATATACCCCTAGAGGTCCTAATTAGGTCTAGATTAGTATATAATTACGTAATAGCTAGTACGTCCTATATAAGTAATTACTTTTTATACTAGATCCTCGTATTTAGCGTTTAGGTTTATAGTAAACTATAAAAATATACTTACTATAAATAAGAGGTCTAGATATATAACTATATTAGTATAGTTAATCGAGCCTATATTAGATTAGTACTATTTTACTACTTTACTTATAGCGGTAAGGGTCTCTTCCTTTATTAGAATAATAGATAAAGGGATTATAGGTCTTAAAGTTACGGTTTTTAAAAACCTTTTAACGTATATTTTTTACGAAATTATTATTTTTCCCGCCTCTCTATTATATACTATTTTTATCGAAAGATAGTAGGATAGCTCGCTAAGGTCTAATATAGACTATTTTATCGAAATAAGGTCCTTTATAGTTTTAACGAGATCCGTTATAGAAGCTATAATTAAAAGGTCGTCGATATATATAAAAATATAGATAATCGTACCGGCGCCCCTTTAATTATATTACGTATAAAGATACGGGTCGGAAGTAGATCGTATAAAGTCTTTCGTTAATAAGTAGTCCCCTAATATATTAAACTAGTTTACTACTAACTATTTTAGACTATAAAGACTCTTTTTTAGGAGGTAGACTTTACTTTAGATCTCTAAAAAATCGGTATTATCTTCGAAACCTTTAGGGTAGTATATTAAGAGTCTCTCCTTTAGCGTAGCGTTAAGATATATAACGTTTACGTTAATATAGGCGGTAAAAAGCTTCTTTTACGTAATTATAGCGAGGAGGATCTATAGTATAACGTAGCTACCTATACTAGTAAAGGTCTCGGTATAGTCTAGATCTTCCCGTTATTAGAAACCTCTCGTTACCTAGCGAGCCTTAAATTTTAGGGGGTTTCTATCCGTATCGAGTTTTAGTTTATATACCTACTTACCGGTAAGGATATATATATTCTTAGCGGGTATAGGGGTAGGGATTATCTCCTAAGCTTTAATTAAACTAAGCTATTTAAACTCGATTTTTATAGCGCGGTACTACTAAGGCTAAAGGGGTAAGTTATATACTTATTAGACTAATTTAGGGTCTTCTATCTATTTAGGGTCTATATTTTTTAGGGTTATTAGTAGGGGTAAGGTTAGGAGATCCTTAGATAATAGGGTTAGTCTAGCTTATATATATAGGATAGTAATATATTATACTAGATCCTATATATATTTTTTATCTACCCGAGGTATAGTAGTATAGAAAACCTTATTTTAGATCTTATAATTAAGGTTAGCGAGTTCTTCGGTAGATAGTCTCGGTAGGTTAGCTAATAGGACCGATTTATTACTAGAACTCTCGTCGATAAGTCTAAGATCTCCCTCGGAGTCCGAAAAGAGGGTACTTTCTTCGGCGGAAGAAATTATAGGGGTCTTTTCGGCGGAAGAAATTATAAAGTTTATATTATTTATAGGGTTCTTAGGGTCTATAAGGTTCTTAGGGTCTATAAGCTCCCTAGAGTCTAGGAATAGGAACTTAGACTATTTTACCGACTATAGGGTTTCTAGTAGGACTAGGAGATTAGGACTATTATATAGGGTCTAGTCGTCTCCTTCGTCGAAAATAACGTCTCTCTAAGTTATAATCTCTCCCTTATTTCTATCTACGTTTAGACGCTAGATATAGTATTATATACTATAGTAGCTACTATACCCGACGAGTCTACCTATCTAGGCGCGGGGCTATAAATATCTACTTATTAATATACTAACTATAGCCCTAATCTCTTCGGGGCTTCTTATAACGTAAGTCTTACTACTAGGTATCTATAGGAATAAGATATTAGGTTTTCTACCGAATCGTATTTTATATAGTATCTAGTTTAGGAGACTATCTCTTTTTCTACCGAAATAGATAGTAAGGTTATAGGTTATTATTACTATTTTTATTAGTTTAGGCTATAGTATATCTAAGAGTCTAGTATTATCGAGGATAGCTCTAGTACGTTCTTATACTATTCGTATTATTCTTTCGACTTTACTATTTTACCTATATATATATAATACTAAGAAATATAGATAGGTGTTAGTATCCTTAGCCTATTTTTATAGGCGGAAGTTATTAAACTCTCCTCTATAATCTAATTAGAAGGCTCCGATCTCTAGTCTACTAGGCGGTAGTATTTTACTTCTTACTATTAGTAGCGGGGGGAGATCGGGGGTTATAAAGATTTTAATTATTATTTCCCTTTTAGCGGAATATAGTTTTACTATTTTAATTATAAGGTCTAAGACGAAGTCTTTATACGAGGTAAACTATATTTCTCCCTATCTATCAAAGTCGTCGATATTAATTATCTAGTATCGGTAGCTACCTCCCTAATCTCTAGGTATTTTTGTTACAACCTAACATACGGAGTATGAATATAGTGCGTATATCTTATAGCACATATCGGGTATTTAGGTTAGTAACCTAACATAACGACTAGTTAGTCGTCATAGTGGCTCTTTTAGTAAACGCTCTACCTTACCATTACTTCCTACGTTTTGCACAGTGGTGTCAGGCCCACTTACCTTAACAATATAACGACTAACTTCGGAGACCCTAGGTTCGAGACATACAGATATCGAATTCGAATCTACGGTCTTTGCAAGGAATATCATAGAGAGATCTAGATATACACTTAGGGGTCTATAACTTAAAATATACACACCGATATCTTACTAGCACGGTATCCATACCGTTTAAGCTACCTATAGATATTCTATGCCTTAGGGTCAAGGCATCAGAAAGAGGGGAGATAATGTTATAACCTAATATACGGAGTATAAATATAGTGCGCATATCTTATAGCACATATCGGGTATTTAGGTTAGTAACCTGACATGACGACTAGTTAGTCGTCATAGTGGCTCTTTTGGTAAACGCTCTACCTTACCATTACTTCCTACGTTTTACACAGTGGTGTCAGGCCCACTTACCTTAACAATTTTACCCCCGCCCCCTAGATCGAGGTATATAAGATCTCCTATTTTACTAGATTTATATAAAACTAGAGTTCTATAGGGTACGAGCTAAGCCTTTCTAATTTAGTAGTAGCTATAGGGTCTTTTAGGGGTAGGTAGGCCTATAATATTAATACCTTCTATAATTTTTACCGTTTCCTATAGGGGTTTAATCCCTATATAGTATAATCTACGGTATTAGGTATCGATATTAACCCTATCCTTTTTAAGCTTAATAGGTAGCTCGCTAGGAGAAGTCGAGGTAGTCTCTAAGGACTATTATTTTAAGCCACTAGATAAGTTTATCTTCTATATCTTTATTACTCTATAGGTAACGAGTATTTCTATCTTTTCTACCTAAGAAAAGGGTCCCTTTTTCGGCGGAATAGCGTCTTTTATTAGTTAGCTAGGTAAACTTATAGCGTTTTCTAATTTTTACGTACTTAGGCCCCCTAGCTAGGGATAGGGGTCTCTTAGGATAACCTCTATATTATTAATCTAAGAAATTAGGTATCCGTAGGTAGTTTTTTCGGCGGAAATAGGAGTATTAGCCTAAGTTTTTAAGTATCTAACGCCCCCTACTTCCTATACCGTCGTTAAAACTAACGTTTCTAGATCTAGGGTCTAGTATTAGTATACGTAGCGAACGTTTAGTATCTAATTTTTACCCTTTCGTAGTCCTTTTATAAGAATGTTACTATCTAATTTCCGGAAAATAACCTCGTCTCCGTATATCGCTATAATCCTATAGTTAGCGAGCCTAGGCTACGAGATAAGGTTACTACGGAGTTTAGGGAGATATATAGTCCTAATAAAAATAAGATCTCTCCCTTACTTAGTCCTATCGTCGACTATAATCTTAATATCCCTAATTATACCTTAGACTAGCTAGTTTATTAGGGCTATTTTAATCGTAGTAGTTAATAGTTTCGTAATATCTAGTATAAAATAGTCTAGCGAGCTAATTATATATTCGTTATAGGCTATATCGTAGATCTAGTTATTAATCGAGATACTAATTAAGAAGTTTTATATCTCGTAACTATATTTAACCTATATAATTAGGGTTTCCGTAGTCCGTTTAGGTACTAAATTAGGGTTTTTTAGCTAGTATTTCTCGGTAGGATACCCCTTCTTTTTATAGAAGGTATATACTAATCCTAGGGGTCCTCGTTATATACGTAGTCCTCGCGGTTTTATAGGTTTACTAGTTTCTATAGATAAGGTCCTTATAGCTACCTTTTTACCGGTAGCGAGGTTATCTTCTTCTTTTTATAGTTCGCTATATAGGCGATTAAAGAGATATTAGTCTAACTAGTTAGTTAACCTACTAACTATTTTATTATAGTTAAGCTTCTATAGGTACTATTTTAGGCTATCTAGATACGCTATAAGTTCTATATATTTTTCGAGTTTGTCTATTTCTTATAACTTAATTAGTAGACTCTTAATCGGGGGATATATAATAGTCTTATTAGTCTATATAGTCTTAAATACCTTAATTAGGGTTCTAATATTACAGACGCGGGATATATATAGTACTTTTATTATAATAGTATCTTATTCGGCGGTAAAAGTATCCTTTATATCGTATTAATTTTATAATTCCTACTAGATATACTCGGATTCTAGAGGGCTTAGCGGTATAATATTTTTCGCTAAGTCTAGGTATATAGTATTTAGGATAGTAAGCTAGACTACTCCCTTCTATATATTTAGTATATAGTATTTCTCGTACGAAAAGGGTAATAATCCTACCTTACTATCGATAACTTATTCGAGAAGGTTTTAGTTTAGTACTTACTATATATTAGCGGCCTAGGTACGGTAATTATTTAATCCTATAAGTTTTAGTCCTTTATATTCTTCTTTTCTTTTAAATATTTTTCCGAGGTCCTTAGTGAAACTAAGGTATCGAAAGGCGTTTTCTTCCTCTTCTTAGGTATTATTTTTTAGAGTAGCGTAGCGGTTACGTAGCGAGAATATAGAGCTATCTCGATTAAATCGGTTTAGGTTATTAATCTATATTAATAGGACTTATATATTAGTCTCGATAGACTCGTAGACTTTAGTAGGGGGTCTACCCGCTACGAGCTATCTAGTTAATCCTTAGGGCTACTAGGTATAGAGATACTCGGTCGACTCGAGTTCTCTAGCTAGTTAATCCGCGGGGTTTAGACGTTATAGGCCCTAGCCGGGGTCTATATTTCTAGTATTAGCGGGAGCTATAGGACTATTATTTCCTCCTTCGTTATCGCTACCCTCGCCTAAGGCGCTACTATAGTTATTATCGGACCCTAATTCGTCTAGTCGGTCGGCGTCGGAGTCGGAGGGTTCGTAGGGTATATAGGGTATACTAGGTATACTAGATACCTATTACAACCTAACATACGGAGTATGAATATAGTGCGTATATCTTATAGCATATATCGGGTATTTAGGTTAGTAACCTAATATGACGACTAGTTAGTCGTCATAGTGGCTCTTTTAGTAAACGCTCTACCTTACCATTACTTCCTACGTTTTGCACAGTGGTGTTAGGCCCACTTGCCTTAACAATATGACGACTAACTTCGGAGACCCTAGGTTCGAGACATATAGATGTCGAATTCGAATCTACGGTCTTTATAAGGAATATCATAGAGAGATCTAGATATACACTTAGGGGTCTATAACTTAAAATACACATACCGATATCTTACTAGCACGGTATCTATACCGTTTAAGCTACCTATAGATATTCTATGCCTTAGGGTTAAGGCATCAGAAAGAGGGGAGATAATGTTACAACCTAACATACGGAGTATGAATATAGTGCGCATATCTTATAGTATATATCGGGTATTTAGGTTAGTAACCTGACATGACGACTAGTTAGTCGTTATAGTGGCTCTTTTAGTAAACGCTCTACCTTACCATTACTTCCTACGTTTTGCATAGTGGTGTCAGGCCCACTTGCCTTAATAATACCCCCCCTATCTCGCTAGGACTATTAGGTGATAGGGGTTATAATAAAATTAATAAAAAAATAGGTAGATCTACGAGAGATCGAGAGGTATAGGTATAAAAGATAAGATATAAAATAAGAGGTAAGATATATATAAGAAGGAGAGAGAGATCCTAGGGTAAGGACCTATATATATAGGTCTAGGCAAAGATCAGATAAAAAGGTGTATAGGGGTAAGTAAATATTTACTAGTAAATATAGCAAATAGACTATACTACGCAATTTAGGTATTCCGGCTATTAGAGACAGCCGGGCTTATAACCTATTAAAGATATAGAGGTATGATACAGTATGTAGGGTTCAATAATAGGTTCAAATAATACTAGGAATAGGATCTCTTATAGAAGTATTGAATTGTCTAAAGATCTGGATAATATCTGCCTTTTCCTGCTATTTATACCCCTTTGTGTGCCGAGGATCGGAGTCCTCAATTTGGCCCCCAAAGGTGAGCTTTTCGGCAGAAAAGACAAAAAGGGCGTAGCGTTGATAATCTAGCGGATGAGAGAATCCTGCCTCAGGCATGGTTCTCAACAATGATTACATAGAATGCTTACCTGGGTAACTAGAAGATATCTACGGAATGCAATACAATTTATATAAAAAAGGGTGGCCAGGTGCAAAAAGTCAATATGTGCAGTCTGTCGCCTAGAGAGCCATCGCCACAATATAGACCTGAGCTACAAGTGGTAGTATAGAACTGCCCATGTGTTTCATTCTTTACAACATCCCTGTCACCGCCAGTCAGCCTCGAACTGTTGCCTGGTGCTTGACTAATCCCTAGAACAACTCGGGCACATAGCCAGGGAACCAACCCCGCCGAGTGATCAACCTCCCACCAAAATGGACATCTACGCGCGCATGCGATCAAGCATCGTATCCTGGAAACATGACATCCCCCTCCCACCCGATCTACCAGTAACCTCCAAATTCCAATCCTGGTATTCATTCAACATCCCCTCCCAGCAATGGGACCCCGTAAGCCCAAACAAAACAACAGATCCACCACACAGTAATACACCGGACATAACCCTCCTAACCTGGAACATCGACGCACTATCCAAGCGATCAACAGACCGCGTCGCAGAAATCCTCACCTTCATCACAACCATCACCCCAAAAGCGGATATCATATTCCTACAAGAGGTTTCACAATCCGCCCTCCAACAGATCCTAGCTGATAAGCGTATCCGCGAATCCTGGTTCTCAAGCGAACACGAGAACACAACATGCCGAAACTCATTTACGACGATGACGCTAGTCTCCAAGCCACGCTGTGCAGTTGGCACCGGAAACGGGCTCGCGCTGGGTCCCGTCTGGAGGGTATCCTTTCCAAGTTATTTTGGCAGAGATGCGCTCTTCTGTGATATATTTCTTCCTTCGTCTACAGACTCGACGAGAGTACGACTTGCGAATGTCCATTTGGACTCTTTGCCTATCAAACCATCTCACCGGCCACGACAGCTCTCGATTGTTTCTTCGTTTCTGCGTAGCGCGGGGTGTGGACTTGTTGCTGGGGATTTCAATCCGGTGCTGGAGGATGATGCCGGTCTTGTAGAGGATAATGGACTGACGGATGTCTGGACGGCACTTCGTCCTGGCGAACCTGGGTATACGTGGGGAGCGGATGGGGAGCAGGCGTTTCCGGCGAATCGGATGGATAAGGTTGCGTTGCTTGGACTGGAGGCTTGTGATATTCAGGTATTCGCGCCGCAGCCAGTTGGGGAGCTGGTAGGAAGAGAGAATGCTCGGATTGATACGGATAGGCCTGAGTCTCAGCAGATACAAGTCACCGATATTACGCTGTGGAGTGATCATCATGCGGTGCTTTGCTCTTTTAGACTTGGAGAGTGAACGGGTATATGGGTTATACTATGCGAACGAGCGTCTCAAGGTATTGACTCTTTTCGGTCTCCGACTTGCTGTACACGCTTTCAAGCTATTTGGAACAAGATATGTTTCTTGCCCGCTCGTGCGGTTGTGATGTTCTGCGCATATTAGAAGTTCTTTTTTTCGTTCTCTATCACATCTTCTATCTAATTCCATTTGTTCACGATTTGTCGTAGATCGAGATACAAGACTGGAAGTAGAAATAGAAGGCAACATAGGAATATAGACAAAGGCAAGGACTTGTTCGGAATGTAGAATCAATTCTCTATCTAAGCAAAACCACGAGATGCAAGAGCTATATCCAACAGAACAAGCAATGCTAATATGCACCAATGGAGAAATGTATACCAGTGCCCAAAATGCGGCACACAGGCTGTCCAAGAAAAGAATAACCCAAGAAGACATTGGAAATTGGCAAGTCCAATCATAGAGTCAGTAGTCTATGAAAAAAAATCATAACCAAATCCACATCCATATCCGAATCCAAAACATTCAGAACATTGCGTCGGAGAGCGGTATGAACAGATCCATCCGTAGATGAATTCCAAAAACTCATATCGTGCAAGACGTACAGAAAACAAAATTATGGCCAGAAAATAGTGAATGTCGACAACTCGCCGATCTGAAAACCAACATCAGATGGAGCGGGCTGGACAGTCTATATGTTCATACTGTCCCTTTTGTTGGTACATTTGTACATGTTTAGCGGTACTTGTCCATGAACTCAGAGTGGAACTTGACGATGCGCTCAACCCAGTCGGTGCCAGGGGCAAGGAAGGTTGTGCGGAAGTGGAGAGTGTTCTCCTTCTGACCGAAGCCGGAGCCTGGGACGACACAGACACCTGTGGCGTCGAGGAGGGCCAGACAGTAGAACTCATCGGCGGCGCGGTTCTCGGCCTTGGCGGCTTCGATGGCCTTTTCGGGGAGGTGGATGGTGGGGAAGAGGTACATGGCACCCTGTTGCGAAAGATTAGTAAAGATTTCACCAGTTAACCTTGACTCTGTACTACATACCTGAGGCTCCTGAACCACAACACCCTCCATGCGCTGGAAGGCGTTGAACAGGGAGAGGGCACGCTGGCGCAGACCCTCCGAGATACCGGTGTACTCTTTGTTGTAGAGCTCGAAGCTTGGGTCGCCCTCGATAGGAGGGTTGACCATGCACTCGAGCAGGCACTGTGCGACGACCGGCGGGCACAGGGCAATGCTGACGAGCTTGTAGACCTGCTCCTGGACCTTGGGGTCGAAACCAACCAGCTCGAAGTAGCCACCACGGTGACCACACTCGCCAACCATACCCTTAGAGATACTGTGCAGCGAGACCAGCTCGACATTATCGTACTTGCCGGGGAACTCCTCCTGGAGCTGGCGTAGGCGCTTCTTGAAGGAGACAAACTCGCCCTTGAAGATGTTGGTCTGGTAGACCTCGTCGGCGATGACTACCAGGCTCTCTTCGGCGGCGACATCAAGGACCTTCTTGATGTCGTCGGCGCTCAGAGAGGCACCGGTGGGGTTACCGGGGTTGATCACGACAACGGCACGCACATCGGTACCAGCAGCCTTGGCATCCTCGATGGACTTGAGGATCGCGTTGACATCGGTACCCCAGGCCTTCTCCTCCTCAAGGAGGTAGGGCACGCAGCGGGCATTCAGCAGCGACAAGGTGGCAGTGTAGAGAGGGTACTGAGGGATGGGGACCAAGACACCAGTACTGGGGGAACTGCAGATGACGTTCAGCATGGTGCTCACACCAAAGGAGGCACCTGAAGTCAGGAACAAGTCCTGGGGGTTGGCAGAGAAGCCATCGCGCTTCTCGATGAACTTGGCGACGCTGTTGCGGATACCAGGGGCACCTTGGCTGTGACTGTAGGCACCAACACTGTGCACATTAGCCAACAGAGCCTGGGCTCGGTCGATAACATCCTGCTTATATCCGAATGACTCCTTGAGAACCTCGGGGTTTTCCAACAACGAGGGGTTCTCGACGAGACTGAGAACCTGGCGGAAGAAAGTGATGGGCTTCTGATCGAGTTGTTGGGGGTTGCCGATGTTGGCGAAGATGACGCTATCGAAAGGCAGAGATTTATCGCCATCAGCCAAACGATGGCGGTAAGCCTCGGCTTTGACAGCCAGTTCACCGCGCACGGCGTACTTGGCCTCCTTCACATGTGGGTTGATGTTGGTAGCGTTCAGGCATTTGGGAGTTTGAACGGTCGAAAGGGTTCGCTTGGAGGCGATCGAGACGGTGGTCTGAGACATGATGGGCTCTGATTTGACCCGAAGGGTATTAGTGAGGTCCAAAGATTCGAAACACTGGTTGTTTTCCTTTATCTAGGAGGAAAATATAGTATATAAGGCCGTTGAGAATGTTGAGATTGCGAAAATGGGCAGATGTGAGGCCTGCAATGAATCACACGATGGAGTGACGTGAAGGTCCAAGCACCGAAGGATTGCGGAGGCCCCTCTAAACTATTTAATACCAGGGTGATCCCACGTACCTGACTTAGCGGCAAGACACCCCGCAGCACCGCGGACAGCCGGGCGATGTAGGAGGCCATTCGGCCGGGACGAGAGCGCGCGAAGCGGAGACGCCCGCACGCTCGATGCGAGCTTATATTGCCAGGACATTTTACCGACTGGTCAATCGAATCTCAGATTGATCAATAAAAGGTCCTTTTGTCACGTACCCCGGTCGTGATTGTCCGATGGCGTTCGGGAGAAGAAGGGGAAAAAATTCCAGAGCCTTGGCGATTGGGCGGTGAATTGATGAATCAGCATTTCCCCCCACACCGACCGCCGATTAGGAAAGGGACGTCGGAGAGATCTGGAAGGCTATACTCGGACACGAAGATGATGAGGACGTCTACGTCTACGATGTACATGTACGTACCTAAGAATTCGGGATCTAGGACTGGGCATGCATGATAAACATATCAACGATCGCGAATGGTTGCTCGGTATCGACCCATTTTCCGGAGGCGCCCGGGGTGGGGACTAGGGCATCAGGTATTTTACCCAGATAGTCAAGGGTTGATCATGTCATGAATTTTGTCGCATGGTACGAGACCTATGGGGCGTTACATGTGTTGTTTTAAGAAACAAATGGGTAAAATTCTCCATTCGGGCATACATAGTCGATCATACCTAGGTAGGCTATGGTTGGAAGGCTTTCAATGCCTCTCAAGTTTATGGCACTTTAGCTGCGCTCACTACCCCGAAGACGCACGGCTTGGCCGTATTTCTGGAGCTTGGTGATCAGCGAATCACCGTGCTTCACCACATCGGCATACTGCTTGTTCTTGTCATCTGGCCGATTAGTTTCGATAATACCGTTGACCCGATCGATAGTGCATGCAATGCGGTTGTTTGAAATAAACTTGGCAAGATCCCTGTGATTCTCGTTAGTCAGTTTACCAAAATCCAAGGAGATAGAGTCAAGACATACCGGTCCAAGTAGTCTACTGTCACACCGAAGTCGTTGGCCATGCCACTCAGTCCCACTACACGGTAGCTCTGCAGAAGCTGCTGATAGGCACGCAGTCGCATCTCGCGAACAAACCATGCCCGGTGCTCGTGCAAGTACCGGTCTTGTGTCAGGAATTGGTCCTCAACAGCCGCGAGTGCCAAAAAGAACGAACGGTAGTTGCCGTTGTAGAGACTGGTAACCAGGTTTGAGAGCGGCGAGAAATCAACGGGCACCTCGGTTTCCGCTACAACACCGGAGCCGGTTGAGAAAGAGGAGATATTAACGGCGGTTTTGGCACCGGCGGGTATGGGTAGTGATGCTGTCGCATCTTTCATCTCCTCATCCCGAGCACCGGGGCCAGAAGAGATCTCTCCACTCAGCGCAGCCAGTTGCTCTTCCCCAGAGCCGAGAATCGCCTTGATCTCTGGTGCATCCACAACCTTGGCCTTGAAGTCCACCCGCTTGAGGGACAAAGATCCCGCAAGTACTGAGTATATCACTAGCGAAGAGTAACTGCAGAGTTCGTAGCTTGTGAATGTAGACAGACTGTCAAGAAGGAGAGGAGCGGCAAGGCTATAAGAGCGGATGGTGAGCAAGTGCAGTCCCTTGTATGCCTTGAGACGGTTTCTACGGTCCCAGTCACCTCCGCTCTCTACCAATGTCTCTGCCCGTTCGATGGTCTTGTTCACAAACAAAAGATCGCCGAAGAACAGTCCGATGCGGAGCATAGCCATCACCAGGTCAATCTTGGTGCCCAGGAATCCGGTCTTTTCGAGGAGAGCTTCGTGCGATTCGATAGCTTTGTCCTATTGTAACACTAGTGTCAGCTTTCGAAGTCGGAGCCTGGCAGAGGCAAATACAAAGAATTCTTACCTTATCTCCCACACGAGCCCAGAATTCAGCTCGCTTCCCGCGCGCAGCTTGTACCTCGGTTTCACCTGCAGCCTCTTCCGCCTCATCTTCCTCCTTCTGGAAGGTCTCCAATTCCTTCTTGTTATCCTCCAGTAGGGACTGGTACAGCTTCTCATCCCAAGGGAAATCAAACTTCAGTGGTGTCTTGCGAGATGCAAGAAGATTGGACGTGATGAGAGGCTTCGTTGAGTTCCCTGCGTTCTGTGGGAGCTGTGTTACACCTTCGCCAGAGTTGTTCAGAATGCCTTCGGTAGGATGGGCCAAATGACGGTAAAATGGCGCCATCTTGTGCTCTAGAATGACATCTTGAAGCTTCTTCAATGAAGTCTGCTGGACTGATGGCGCGCATGCCGGGTTTGAGAGGTTGAAGACATGTTGAGCGATGGAGAGGTTGGGGAACTTGATGTACTGCGGATCAGACCCCATGGTGACGGTGGGGAACTGGATATGCTATTAAGACTGCCACTGACAAGAAAACGATGCGATAAGGTAGGGAGAGGATGGAAGCTGGTGATGTTGATGAGATCAAGCCAGGTGCATCACCACAGCCCGAGCTCAGCTGGCGGAATGTTTCTCCGGGCCGAGCCTCCTTCTTTGGTCTGCGTTGCAACGTCCAACGAGATCCCCGGTCGCATCTACGGAGTACAGGGGTCGATGAGATCTCAATATTCCTCTTTTGAAATGAGCCATGTGCTACTTAGGTCGTCATGTATTCATTGTGGTTGATAGAGCCATATTCATGAATACTAATTCGGGCTATAATATGACTGGCTTGGACTACTCCGTACACCGTGGTAGATTCCAACTCTTTGATCCCTCTTGATGACGACATTCCTACAAATCTACAGCTTCATTTTTCTCAGAAGGACCTACCCTATAAATCTACTGCAACTGTAGGCTGTTCGGTGTCAAGCCCAGGAAAGACTCACGGCCTAAGCGTGTGTTGTATATGGAGTACGGAGTAATGGGATCCCACATAGGGCTGAACCCGTTCCTTTTCAATGAGAGTCGGAGACGAACTGCGCAATATCCAAAGAATTCATGGAGATAGAGATATATATCATCATCAGTTTATTGCCTAGAATCTAGCAACAAACGTTCCGAGTCAAACTTCCTGTACGTCGTAGACTCGTAGTGCACTCTGTGCTCCGTAGGGGACCTCGTCTCCGTAGGTGCTTTAGGAAGTTGGGTCTAAATAGGACACCACAATCCTTCGAACTCTGCTTTGAAAAGACTTGAAGCAGCCTATTCAGAATCCGACAGGGGCTTCCTGTCTCTGACATATCGAGATCCAAGTACGTGGTCTGAAAACCTCACCTCTATCGCCACTTCCATACATACATACTACCGAGTAGTTCCTAGATAGTTCAGACACTCCTACAAAGTACCTAATATACTATGAATGTGTTACATTATCCCTGGGACAGTTCTCTAAGATTCTCGGAGTGGCCGAATCCGAGTCAAATCGCAGGTACTCCGATCGGCTGCAACCCAACACACTATTGGCTACATAGTGGCCCTTGAGGCGTACGACGACTATTATTGGTGTATAAATGCTAAAGCCCAGCATTCCTAAAGTTAAGGCTTAGAACAATCAAGCTCGGGGGCCCCGTCCCCACCAGCCTCCGTCTTAACACGGACCTCCACACTCTATGCACCGTGATAGGTGCAGGTAACCCCCCGATACAACTTAGGGTGATGCTATTCCCAGGAAATTTTAGATCAATTTGCGAGATTATCAGCCAGGTGTGTCAGGAATTTTGGTCTACTTGAGTTGGATTTTTTTTTTTTGATCTCCCCCTTCAATGCTTGAACTGTTCTCCTTCCCGTAGTCAAGTCCTCAATAACCAGCGTGACGGTCGTCATTGTGATCGTGTGACGCAGCAATACGCCTTGCGCATTGTTCTCCCCCTCGTGCAAACCTCACCAATCCCCAATTTTCCAATCTCTGTGAGGCTCGCTCTCGGCGCATGGTAAAAACTGGGTCATTGTTCCTGTCCTCCCCTAAACACGATCGCAATGGCCGAATCCCAGTCCTGCCCCAAGGAGGTGTCGGAGAAAAGTGCTGTCCCCCTTGAGGAGCAGCCTGTGGAGCTTGCAGCTCTTGATGAGACCAAGAAGGGTCGCTGGGAACGCAGTTGGCCTACTATTGCCTGTGGTGCTGGTCTGTTTTCCGATGGCTATTTGAACGCAGTATGTCATGTCCCCTCCTTGTGCATGCAGGTCCGCAGCTACACCGTCCAACATGGATATGTAGCGTGGTGGTTGTTTGTTTGTTTTGGGGGGCTTTTTACTTTTTGCTAACACAGTCGGGACTAGATTATTGGTCCTGTCGGTACCATGCTACAACAGCTCTATGGAGAGGCATATACCAACTCGACCGCCCAGCAGAATGTGTCCTCGATTGTTTTCGCTGGCACAGTTGTAGGCATGCTGATCTTTGGCTACACCAGTGATCACTGGTCGCGCAAGTGGTCTTTGATGATCTCAACCATCATTCTGTTTGTCTTTGCGGCTCTCGGTGCTGGCTCTTATGGAGCTGGCGGTAGCTTGGGAGGTATGCTTGCTGCTTTGACAGCCTATCGGTTCTTCCTAGGCATTGGAATCGGCGGAGAATACCCTGCGGGATCAGTCGGCGCTGCTGAAAATACTGGCGAGCTCAAGAGCGGCCATCGCAATCGCTGGTTCATCATGTTCACCAACTTCCAGATTGACTTCGGTTTTGTGGTTGCTGCTTTGGTGTCCATGATCCTTGTTCTGATTTTCACCGAAGATCATCTGCGTGCTTGCTGGCGTGTAGCTCTGGGACTGGGTGTTATCCCCCCTCTGAGTTTGATGTATCTCCGACTGAAGCTGGATGAGCCCGAGGAGTTCAACCGGGAGCGCATGCACAAATTCCCAATCTGGCTGATTATCAAGTAAGTTCAATCTCCTATACCTCTTACGGTGACTGCTTGACTAACAGCTTTAGATTCTATTGGAAGCGCTTGGTACAGATCCCTCTTAAATCCTTTCATTTATCGGTTTTTGCAATGACTAACTGAAAGGTGTTTTAAGACTGTTGTTTCTGTGATTTGGTTCCTTTACGATTTTTCGGCCTACAGTTTCTCTATCTACTCTTCAGCATGGCTAAGCATCATCTTAGGCAAGAACGCTCCTTTGTGGAAGAGTTTCGGATGGTCTACCGTTGTCAATTCTTTCTACATTCCCGGCTCAGCTCTTGGAGCCTTTGTGAGTGACTGGATTGGTCCCCGCTACACCCTCGCTCTTGGAGTTGGGCTGCAAGGTGTTATCGGGTTCATCATGGCTGGATGCTACAAGTGGCTTGCGACTCCAGAGAACGTTGCAGCTTTTGTTGTCGTCTTCGGGTGAGTGCGCTGATATGGACCAAAGTAACAGTGAATGCTAATAGTTCGGAAATAGAATCTTTTCTGCCCTTGGCGAAATGGGACCTGGCGACAATATCGGTCTCTGTGCCGCCAAGACCAGTGCAACTGCCATCCGTGGTCAATACTACTCATATGCTGCAGCTATTGGTAAGATCGGAGCGTTCGTGGGCACCTACGTTATTCCAGAAATTCAAAAGAACGCGCCCAACGCGATTCGCGCGGGCCAGGACCCATTCTTCGTGTCCAGCGCGTTGTGTCTCCTGGCTGCATTCATGGCTATCTTCATGATGCCCCAGATCAACCAGGTATGGACTTCAGATGAGTAATCTCTTATGACATGCTAACTCTGTCACAGGACACTATTACCTTTGAGGATGCCAGATTCCGCGACTACCTCGAGGCCAATGGCTACGACACTTCCACAATGGGTAACCAGAACCGCCAGCCCAACACTCTTGGCCAAGAGTAATCCAGATTATTCCATCAGCCCTGTTGCGCCTACCACTTTGCTCACCCATCTGAGCTGTTTACTCTCCCCTGGCCATAATTACCTACTTATACGGTCTTTCTCCCTACGCGACAATGCATCATTCGTAGTTACAACACGATGCGATACCCTACCCATCCCTTACGACTTGCGATAATTTGCCTCTGCCCGTGCGACAATAATCAATTCATGTATGAGAAGAGGGCAGGTCTTGACCATCCGATCTGACGTGGATCTAACGGGGATGTGCATTTTCGCGGGACAGACTTCGGGTTGAATTCCTGACTTGTATGACACTTTAATGGAAGTTTGCACTTGATCCAACAATTGAATTGACTTGACTCATAGTATACACGGGACTCTAGATTTGTAAAAAGGAATGTACAGCCACCTCGAGATTGCGTCTCAATTCCTCTGAAATTAAACTGATACTACACAGCAAACGGTGAGAACCCTTCGATTTGTCTAAAGATCAAAAAGAAATAATAGACTATCATGCTAATAGTAAAGAAGATATTTGTGCTATGGCTTTCACCCGTGAGTGCTCTCCCAGCATTTACTGTCGCCTTGCCACCACCTCATGGGCATAGCTTCAATTTGCTATCAGAACGAGGCAAAGATGACGAGTAATTTTTGTAGATATACCTAGATATATTGCAGGTATCTGGCCAATCCACTGAACTGATATCATTTCGAGTACACATACATCATGATTTCGACGTAAGGAGGTTCCCACGCAGCCGCCTACCCCAGTTCGAATCGCAGTCCTGTCAAGCCGGACTCCTCAACATCAAACAGATATAAAGCGCAAGCAACTTCCCAGCACCCGATACTACAGACATGATAGCAACCCAAACAAATAGCTCCAACGGCGTAACCGCCATGATGGAAGTATACACCAAGGTTCCAATAATATAGTAAAGTCCCCAAGAAAACTGCACAGGCCATTGCTGGTCTGCTCCCTGCACCGCGGACGCCCTAGTACCGCCCGATTCCGAGCCCTCCTTCACCCCTCTCCGCCGAAAGCTCTCAAAGAGCACATGGATCGCAGCGGGAATGACGCCAACAAGACACCAAGTCAGTGCAATAATAGGGTATACACATCCCAATGCAGACCGCTTCGAGTAGATCTCCACCAGCGCCAATCCCGCGTACGAGGCCAGCAACATAAAGAGACTAGCAAAGACCACCATCATGGCACGAAACCTTGACCGCAGCGCCGCCCCCGCAATCGAGCTCCTACGCAGCCAATCTATCCAGCGCTCGCTATCTTCACTCGACCATCCGGCCACATCCCCCTTAACGACGGGCTCAAGCCCGAGTGCCCGAACAACAACCTCCGCTAGGGCTGGAAGGGGCGATGAAACAAGCACGACTCTTCTTTCAGGCCATGCAATGTCTCGGAAGACCATAGGCAGCAGGCCCATGACCAGTGCTGTGGCTGCGAACTGCTGATTGCGGGCTGAATCGGCCTGGTCGAATGTGCAGATGGCGGCCTTCCAGCAGTCGCCCGGTTCGGGGCCATAATCGAAGCTGAACCAAGGTCGAAATGGTGAGTAGACTATCTCATCCTCACCGGGGCAAGTGGATTGGGCGCTCGTCACAGTGACTAGGAGCGCTAGGAGGAGTTGCAAAGAAAAAGAGAACGCCATTGCTGCGTGGTGATGCTAACACGCGACTTAACACTCAACGATGATTTCCAGTTGAACATGCATCTTCTCTGCACGATATAGGGAAGGTTCATTTAAATCCCCTGGATAGGGCGCCCTTCGGGAGACATTTTACGCTATCTTTTCAGCCCCAAGGTAGGAAACCGAAAAGCGAGCCTATTTCGCCTTGGCAAGACGCCAAAGTCCGAAAAGAAACCAATAGGATGATCGTGAGGCATGGTCAGCATTGGACCTCGTATAGCTACCTAGGTACATGTGTAGCGCCTACTGACGAGGCTGCAGCTCGGGGAAAAAGCTCAGCTGCTTGACTTCTCTTTGTTAATTAGTTATGTGATGAAGTTGTCAATGGCTATCCGGGCTTTGCTCGTCTGCCTCAGCGTCAGAAATGCGCCAATAGGTAGACGCGAAGTGGTGCTTTAGCACAGGGTCTGAACTATAAAAAGACAAGCCCCTGGCACTAACCATTAGAGAGTACGGAGTATACAAGGGTTTTGCACAAGCCCTGCAACTCTCATATGGAGTACTGAGATCAGGTTTGATCGAAAACTGAGCAACGGCTTTCCCAAATAGTCAGCCAAACACGAGATACTTTCACGGTGTGGCTGCGAGATTGGAATAATGTCCGGTGCGCATGCATGAGTGTCATATGGTCAAGGATAGTTGCAGAAATCTGGCTGTACGGCAATGTATGGGTGCAAAGGGGCATAACGGCCCAAAGTCGCATGCCTGATATTCATCGTATATATCCCTAATTAGGTCTAGCCTTGTACCTTTTAGACCTTATGTATACTGTTCGTAAATGCAATTAAAGCTATCCCAACCGCGTAACTCATAAAAGCGGCGGCAGATCAAATAGGAAAGTCTCGCCAGTGAAAGCCATAGTAGCATAAGTTATGTACCCAAGGTACCTAGGTAGCTTCATTGAAAACTGACACATAGGACTGATAATAGCATCGAACATCGAACCTTGGAATACCCATGTCATACGGAGTGCTATCATCATCTTCGAGGAATGCGATTAATTGTATTTAAGTAGTGCGTCTTTCTATAATTACTAGCGCATATCGCTTTCTGACAGAGCTCATGAAGACCAAAATGAAATTCCCCCGTTTCTAACTTGCCGCTTGAAGTCTCTCCACCTCTTGGATCATTGGGCTTGCCTTCCGAATCAAGTGCCCATAAAAATAGAAAACAACAGGGATCGAGATACACACTGCCTCCACCAGCCCCAGGATTGTACTTGCCCAATTCAAGCCGAGAGTCCCATACATCGACGGACCAGCAAGCGGAAGGAACGCCCCCATGACACTGCGCGTGAACATATTTCCCGCAAGCGCAGATGCGGCATATAGACCATAAGACCGGGCTAGGTAGTTTGAAGAATAGATGAAGACGCACCCATTACCCACACCGAAAGGAAGGCCGGCTAAGATAGGGACAATCCAGTGAACATTACGGGTGCACGTCCAGGAAAACCACAGCTGTCCAATGGCTAGAAGAGTTGCACCAAAGAAAACGATGCTGACCATAGCCTCTGGCGGCACTGCACCTGTTTCTGGATCTTTGCGGTGGAGGTTGATGATTTTGCGAAAGAGAGGTTCGCATGCGATGGCGAGCAAGACACCGATTCCTATACCTACAAAGGAAAGACCACCAATGCCTGGCGACCATCCACGTTCCTGTTGGAAGGCCAGTGGATATGCAACGAAGCATAGATAGAGGATGCCGTAAACGATCGCGACATAGCCATCCCAGAACATACTGTGAAAACGTCAGTTTGGCCTTCCACGGTGAGTAGATAGGGACAGAGTTCCTACCAGATTGGCTCGGTAAAGAGCATCACGAACGGTCTCTTGAGATTTGCCTTCAATACAGATGTAAAATCAACACCATTATCGTAGCGAGTCCACCATTTTGGATTCTGCGTTTCCTGTCGTCTTTTGGCAGCGCGTCTCTTCAAAATCAATGGTGCATATGTTTCCTTGATGGCGGTAATCAGAACCAAAACCACGCCTCCCAGGATCAGAACGATCCAGTTTGTCCATCTCCAGCCAAGATATTGGAATACAAAACCTCCTATGATAGGACCATAGACAGGGCCATTGGTTGGGCCGATGGACCAAAAGCCAAACGCCAATGCCCGATGTTCATCGGAGACAATGTCATTGACAGATGCTGGCGAATTGGACATCAATGCACTTCCAAAGAATCCCCCGAAAAACCTGCCCACAAGGATGGATTCAATATTCTGCGCTAGAGTACTGGGCAATAGCAGTAGCAAGAATATCAGCATCGAGACAATATAGATTGGCCGACGACCCACAAGCTCGCTGAGCGGAGCAAAGAGAATGCACCCGGTCGCCATGCCCAAAAGATAAGTCGTGACACCGAGGAGGGCCACGATTTTGGAAATGTGGAATTCCTCCTGTAATCCTGGAATCCCAGACGTATATAGTGTACTGCACAAACTGACGATTGTGGCACCAAGGCTCATGGTAGCCACAGTGAGACCTTTGTACCAGAGCGGCCATAGACGTGGGTTTTCGGGGTCTTCAGAGTCCCAGTAAACCTCGAATTCTGGAGAAGCATGTATGCTGGCCAATTTGGAGATCACTGGTTCGAGATTGGAACTGAAATGGAACTCTGTGCCTGTATCGAGACTGCCTGCTAGTTCGGATTTATCGCATAACGTTCCAGGATGATGGTCGCGCATCGTGGTGCATTCCAATTGGGGTTATATGCACCAAGAGACCCTTCAAGGGAGTGGATGAGGTGGAATGGGGCAACTCCATCTCAAAAGCTGTTCCATTTATAGGAAATAGGATAGAAATAAGCTATGATGGATAAGCAAGTGGGATATATCCATTTGTTCAATTAGGGCACACCTAGACACCTGGTGAGTACTCCTTATTCATCAAGTGGGATGCTCCGGGAGGCGAATCATCGCGCCCACATTGGACGCCTCGACTTCACGGCTCCACTAGGCAGAGCTCGTTCTTTTCTTCTACATATTTGTCGCTCTAAGCTTTTCTCATTACAGATCCCTTCTGCTTCATTGGATATTCAAGGTGTGGTCAAGTTCCACACTGGAGATTTGCCCGGATTCTGCATAATGCCGCGGGTGGCCGATTCCGTCTCATCGTTCCAATGTGACTATCCAGATTGCAATGCAAAATATCGACGTAAAGAGCATCTAAATCGACATCTCAAACATCACAGCGGGGAAATCATCCTTGCCTGTCCTTATTGTGAGAGTGTCCTAACCAGAAAGTGAGTGGACTCTTCGACATACGAAAGGCCATTCCCAACTGAGAGAAAATCAGTGATCTATTGCGACGCCATATCCGGACTTGTCATCCGGAGAAACAAGTGCCACCAGCTCAGAAGTCTAAGGCATGCAGCCCATGTCACGCACGGAAAGACCGCTGCGAAGGCGGGATACCTTGCAATGCCTGTCAGCGTCGCGGCATCATTTGTGTATCTGCTCGAGAGGAAATCCTGAATGAACAGGAACTGTGCATCGATGAACCCATATCATTGCCAGACGCTTCCACGATCGATGATTACCTCCCTAACCCTTCCCCTTGGGTTGGTTCTGAATATATTGATATCTATTTTGAGAAATTCCATCCAGCATGGCCGTTCCTTCATCGAGGTACATTCGATTTCACGAAGGAGCCTTGTGTGCTTGTCCAGTCTGTTGTCGCAATAGGATTGTGGGTTAAAGGCACCCAGGAGGCGCGAGAAGCCTCTTTACGTCTACACGAGAAATTATGTTCTGCTTTCTACGCTCAAATGGTGAGAGCCATTATACAACGGCTAAGATAAGACTTTCTGAGCTGATATTACCAATTATCGTTAGAACCAATGGTGCATTATTAACTCGAGTCCACACCCTGGACAAAATACCTCGTGGGCCATAACAACATTCCAAAGCGTGCTCTTGAACATCATCCTTGCCCTTTTCATTGTGAAAGAAAAGGCCAGTATGGATTTGAGCATGAGATTCCGGCTGCCAGATGATAAGTACGAGCTTTTGACGGCTCTTGTACAAACCTGCCGACAGTGGGGTATGTTTTCTTATCCCAATATGCTCCTGCAACATGACTCCCACGCACCACTCGCGCTTGTATATGTGAGCGTTGAAGAGATCAAGAGATTCGGACTGTCTCTCTATAAAACATGTCGATTGTGCACGCCGTCTGAGCTAACCAGAGAGCATGCCAATGGTGGCAGCAATGATCTCTTGACACTGTCTGATTTGTGTTTCTGCATGCCAGACAGCGATGAGCTCTGGAATGCGCCAGTGAGGTCTGAAACGGAAGTCCTGAGAAGGTCTGGCTCCTCAACCGTGGCACGGGATAACGGAGACCCCAAAAACTGGGTATCCGAGGCTTCTGGCCTTCTGCATGACGCTCGAGTCGGGTTTGACTGGATATAAAAGCCCGAAAAACAATATAGAATGCGTATCTTAGCCGGAATTCCAGATTCATTCGCGAATACTTGTGACAAGTGGGCCTTGGGTACATCTCCCCCTATTTTGAACTCATTCAATCCATTGTGACCCGGTAACATCTCATACAAATCCACATCCCGAGGGTATCGTTTTCGTGTGCTCCGTACATGTACATACTCATTGCCCCGCTTGCAGGCCGCCAAGTGGGATGAGTGGGATGGCCGCCAGGTGGGATGGCCGGGTGGACCTCCTTCCTGCGATTGGTCATCTCCTTGGCGTCTATAGACCCCTGCTGATATCTGAGAGCACCGCTGATATATAGATCCAAACCCAGCATTCACATATCCTGATTCAACAGTATCAACTGTACACAGCTTCTATACTGAAACCTTCCCTCCAAAATGTCTTCCACCACTCAATCCTTCCGGGAAATCATCGGCGTTCCCCGCTCCACAGCTTCCCCGCAAGACTCAACCCTCATCATCATCGACGCGCAAAACGAATACGCCACCGGCGCTTTGAAGACCGAGAACGTGGAGCAAACCCGCAAAGTCATTGCTAAACTACTGCAAAGATACCGTGAAGGCAACAACGGCAAGAACATCGTGCACGTTGTTCATGAGGTTCCCGAAGGCGCCCCCGTCTTCACGCCGAACACCGCGCTGGCGCAGGAGTTCGAGGAGCTTACTCCCAAATCGGGCGAGAAGGTCATAGCCAAGAACTTCCCTAGCTCGTTTGCGAAGACCGATCTGCATGCCTATCTGCAGGGTCTGGGCGATGTAGGAAAGAAGGTCGTGCTTGTTGGATATATGGCGCATGTTTGTGTTTCTACTACTGCCCGGGCGGCTGCGGAGCTTGGATATGATCCGATCATTGTCAGAGATGCCGTTGGTGACAGGGATATCCCTGGTGTTAAGGCTGAGACTTTGGTTTCGGTTGTGTTGAGTGAGTTGGCTGATGGGTTTGGGACTGTCGTTTCTGAGGAGGAGATTGGTGCATAAAGTGTGTATATAAATTTGTTGAAGATACAGAGGTATGATACAGCATGTAGGGTTCAACAATAGGTTCAAATGATACTGGAAATAGGATCTCTCTTGGAAGGTGTAAAATTGTCCGAAGATCTAGATAATATCTGCCTTTTCCTGCTATTTATGCCCCTTTGTGTGCCGAGGATCGGAGTCCTCATTTTGGCCCCCAAAGGTGAGCTTTTCGGCGGAAAAGACAAAAGAGGCGTAGCGTTGCTAGTCCTACGGATAAGAGAATCCTACCTTAGGTATGGTTCTTAACACGCCCCCTCAACGTGCAGCCGTTGTATATTATTGCGGAGCGAAGCGAAGCAATTAAATCATAGGCTTCGTATGTCACGTGACTGGGCCCTTCTAATGGGTCCCAAATCCATAGCAAATAATGTCAGGTGATATCTATTAGGCCTAATCCGAAAAGAGTATAGTATCTTAAAGTTTGAAGGTCACGTGATCCACTCAGAGTAAGGGATAGCGGGCTAGGGTATATCGGATCACGTGATCTACTAAAAGTAAGAGTAGCGGGCTAAGTCGTACTATACGTAGCGCGGAACCCCCCCCCCCCCCCCCCCCCCCCGGGTAGGGGGTATAATTTAAATTCCTTAACTAGGAATTTAGGAAATACTAACATTTTAAAAGAGAAAGAGTAAAAGCTATATAGAGGATAGTAGTAACCACTTTAATTTACATTTAGTCTATATAACCTCGGACCTAGTCGCTTCGCTCCGCAACCATTATCCGACGGCCTACGGCCGTCGGATCGCTAGTAAGATTATATTGTTAGGGACTAAGATAAATAAGGTTTCTTAGTCAAAAATAGGTAGTTTTAGACTATAAAAGGTATAGGGTTTATTCTACTAAAAACCTATATATTTTAGGGTCTAGGTTTAAACCTACGATAAACTCTATTAATATAGGGGCCCCGAGGGGCTTAGTAAGACTATCTATAATATTTTTAGTCCCTTTTATATATATAAGCTTGATTTTTCCCCTTTTAATTTACTCGCGGATCTAGTACTAGTATATATCGATATATTTAAAACGTCCTAATATTATAGGGTTCTTTAATATTATAATCGTAGACTAGCTATCGCTATATAAAGAGATAGGGGGGGAGGTCTATACTCCCTTAGTAGAAATTAAGATCTTTTAGTAGTTTTTATAGCTAAATTGTTACGACCCTCTGCTAGAGAGTGCCTCATAGGCTAGATCCCGCCTAGTCCTACGACCTAGGACCCGTGACCTAGTAGGGGTAGTATGACCCCCCGCTAGGGAGTGTATTATAAAGACTGAGTCCTACCGGGTTAGGTGACCTAGTCCCGTGACCCGCTAGAGGTTATCCCTATAGAGACTACTAGGGGAACTTAGCTCTTTAGCGATTAGTTTACGAATATACTACCACCCTATTATTCCTTCACTCTAGTTCTATATTACCTACTAGGACCCGTTAGTACGCCGGTCCTAATATTCTAATCGCTAAATCTTAATTGAACTAGACCGTTAGAATACGTAATATCGACGACTCGACGCACGAGCGACCGCCTAAAGGGAGCCTTAGCTCTAATCGCGGAGATAAACGACGACCTACAACGTCTACCGAGTCTATTTCAAACAGATCTGTCGGAGCATGAGATCGGCATACCGGAAGTTTAGTTTATCCTGTCCACGCAGTATTTTTGATATTAGTCAGATAGTCATATTTCCTACCAGAATAGTGGATACAGAAATACAGAGATTTCAATTCCCTTGATTGGACCCCTAATATACTGAATACCACGTCAGTTAACAGTTATGAGCCCGGTTCGCACGAAATAAGGCCGCTATTCACAAGATATAGCGCCTATTAGCACCTGAAAACCTCTAAAGCTGTATAGTAGCCCGCTAAGGCTATATAGCACCTAACCCTAATAATGGAAGCATTAACAATTCTCTCCGCCACAAAGGGCGAAAAACTGAAGGATTCGCCCTAATAGCGCACCTGGTTCGCCCGGGTGAAGCTATATACGATATAAAAATAAGTCTAGAAGCACTATGACCTAGATACCCCCCTAATAGAGAGACTAGTTAGGAAAGAAGAGCCTATTAGGCCGGAATACCCCTACGGAGGGACCGAATCGGATAAAAGAGACTAGAGAGATGAAATAGATATCTTTAAAGTAGACTAATCGAAATGGGATAGGGAGATAAAAGGGCTTTCTAATATAAATGACTATATTTATACCTTCCTAGACCTAATCTACTATACCGCTATTACCGACTATTAGACCCTATATAAGAGACTAATATACCTAAGAGATCGCTTCGCGAGATCGACTGCACACGAGGAGGAAGTCCGAATAAAGTGGAAGGTCTTCGCTATCTAAAAGCCGACTAGAGATATCGAATAATAGCTTAAATAATAGAATACCCTAAGGGAGTAAGCTATCAGCCTCGGTATTAATAACGGAGACGTAAATAGGGACTTCCTATATACTATTAAAGAGGTCTTACCTATTTAGTGGTAAGGAAGATATTAAGAGATCGTTATAGATAAGAAAGTCTATTAAATCCGTGATCTTCTCGAGTCGTTCCGCGTAATAAATCGAGAAATAGGGGTATAAAAGGTATTATCTACTATACCCCTAAAAGGGGTATTTTTAACCTAGTAGGGACACTAAGAAGTAAAGTCCTAGACCTAGTCCTAAACTAAGGAGCCGATCCTATTTAAAAAGAGGAGGTGCCTATATAGGAACCCTTACTATTTATATAAAATAGTAATATACTAGTATCTTAATAAGGAAAACCGCCCCGAAGGGACCTATATTAACCTAAGAAAGCTAGAGAAGATTAAGTAAAAACTCGCTAAAGAGCCTACTTAGAAGAAATAGGTAGAAAAGAAGGTAGAAAAGGTATAGTAAACTTAGTAAACTTAGTAGCCTTAGAAGGAAGAGTTTATAAATTAAGTGAGCTTCGCTACTACTCTTAAGCCCTATACTATATAGTAGGGGGGCTAGTATAAAAATGCGAATACGCCCTCTCCCTTACTAAAAATAGGGAACCTATCTTAAAAGATAGATAGATCCTTAATATAGGATCTAGTACCTATATCTATAATAATAGAGACCTTTTTATCGACTTTATACCCTAGATTTCGGATCTTACGACGGGAGATAGTACCACCTAGGTACTAGGAAAGGGGAAGGTTAGACTAGTAGGTAGATATCTAGTGAAAGGTAAAATAGAGATCACACTTAGTAATACCCTTTATTCCCCTAGTTTCTATATAAACCTAGTGTCCTATTCTATACTAAAAAAGAAGGGCGGAATATAGTACTAGCGTATAAACTATATTAGGGACCCTAATAATAGACTAGTTATCTACGTTAACCTTTAGGACTAGTTTAACCTCTAGATCTTTAATTAACCCGGAGAACTTATATAGCCCTAGTAAGCCTACTTTATAGAGAGAAAGTTAGTAAAACCTTAGTAGTTAAAAGCCTTATTAGATATCTAGCACCGAAGACTTACCTATATTAACTAGCGAAGCGCTATAAAACTCGCTACTATAGTAGATAGAGTTATTTTTAACGATAAAGAAAAGGAGTCTACTAAAATATAGGTATTATACTAGACTTATTAGCTAGGTCGTGCACTAAGGTAGATATTAAGATATATAGTTAGGCGTACTTTCGGACGATTTAGAAGAGTGCACTTTAATCTTATTTAGCTACCGCTAGTAGAGAATAAGTACCGCTAGATCTCTTATTTTTACCTAGAAGGTCCTAGGTTTTATTAGCTAATAACCTATAAAATAAAGCCTAAGTGTTAGCTAGCGATTAATCGCTTTATAGAACTAGTAAGAAACTAATAGGATCTACTAATTAAAGTCTTCTAATACGATAATAAGTCCTTAGCTAGAAAACCTACGGAATATAGCCTCACTTCTAATAGTATCCTTATATATTATAACCCCCTAGGGTATTCCGAAATAAATAGTTATACCGAAAGATCTAGTGGTATAATTATCACCTATATACGTATGCTCGTGCTTAAAGGAAAGCTCCTAAAAGATCTATAGCTAGAGGCCGCTAACGCTATAGTATAGTTACTAAATCGTACGCCGACGTATATTACTACCGAAAACCGCTAGGTTATACTATAGGAGGAGGTGCGGAAAGAGTTCGTACTATAGGCGCCGAGGATTAACCTATTAAATATTAAACTATATAGAAGTTTAGTATACTATAGGATCGATAAATAGGTCTAGTCTAATAAAATGAACCTACGAGCTAAGATCGGATTCTTAGTTAGCTATATAGTATCTAATATCTAGAAAATCTAGTTTCTATATAATAGGAAAGTAAAGCCTATTAGGGATATAGTATTTAATAAAACTCGTAAATATACCCCTAATTATAATAGATATTAGCTTATTCTAATACTAATATAGTAAGAACCTTAGGAAATTACTATAGAAGAGTTTAACTAGATACTCGATCGTATAATAGCTAGTTAAGAGACTAGCGAAATAGAAGAGAGAGATTATCGAGATCTATAGGAAGCTTAGTCTAATAATCTATAAGAAACTTAGTACTATGATTAGTAAGGATCTTAGTAAGGATCTTAGTAAGGATCTTAGTAAGGATCTTAGTAAGGATCTTAGTAAGAAAACTAGTAGAATATATAGTAGAGCTCTCCGTAGAGGGAGATAGCTAGTGAAGTTAGTTAGCGAGATACTATCTTACTTTAGGGGGTAGACTAGTAAGTGGTCCTACCCTCCCTAAAAACTACGATTATATAGTAAATACCTAAGATCTATAAGCCCCGAGCTCCGCTAGGCGTATTTCCGGACGAACCCTTTCCTCCGCTCCCTATTACGCCGCCGTAAGAACCCTATATATAGGATCACTATACTACTCCTAGTTAGGGGGTAGATATACTAGGGGATCTAGAGGATCTAGTTAGCGACTAGGCTTAGAATAATAAAGCTATTCCTACTATAGAAGATAAGCTAGAAAATAAGCTAGAAAGATAACTATAGGCGGAACTTCTCGCCCTAAGTAGATAAATTATAGGAGATATTAATACTAGTAATATTATTAGTAGAAAACGAAGGCGTTAAGCTAGGTAAGATAAAGACTATATCTATATAATAAGATCTACCGATATAGAGGAAGACCCTCCTACACTACTATATACTTTCGCTATAGGACTATATACTAAGAAACCTAAAATTAGACGTTATTAAGATAATCTCCCCTTAGTCCTAAAATACTATAAAGATATTATAAACTATCTATTTTAGGAAGGCTTTCTCGTAGTAATAAGGAAGGAGATTAACTCTCTAATAGAAAAGGAAACCTATAAGATTATAGAGAGACTAAAGGATAGAGGTAAGTAAATACTGCCTCTTATATAGGTATTTACCTATAAATACGATTAGGATAGTTATCTAGTTAAATTTAAAGCTCGTATATATATACGGGGAGACCTAGAGACTATTTCGTACGAAGAAAAGAGAGCTACTATACTAGTAGTAAGGACTATAAAGATAATCTTCGCCCTTATTACCGTATTTAATCTCGACCTAAGATAGCGGGATACTATTACTACCTTTTTAAATAGTACGCTAGAAAAAGAGGTCTATACCTAGATACCTAATAGGTTTAGACTACTAAGTAAATACTAGAAGCTCCGCCGCGTACTATATAGTCTACGAGTCTTACCTAGACTATAGTAATAGGAAGTAGCTAGTGTATTTCGTAAGCTAGGTCTATAATAAGCCCTAGAAGACCTCTATATCTTTATCGGAAATAGACTAATAGTCTTCTTTTATATAGACGATATCCTAATTACTTATTATAAAGATATATAAAGAAGGGCTATATAACTAGAGTAAGATCTAGAAGTATACTAGGAATTAATAGATTACGGAGAGGTAGTATAGTTTCTTAATATCCGTATTATTAGAGATAGGTAGTAAAAGAAGCTATAGCTTTATTAAGATAGCTATATAGTAAGTATTACTATACGATATAACCTTATAGATAGACTAGCGGTATATACCCTAATACCGGTCGAAGATCTAACCCTATATTAGGGAGTAGCTACGGTATAAGAGATCCTATTATACTAAAAGAAGGTAGGATCTACTAGATATACTACTACGATTATAAGACTAGATACTATAAAATCGACTACTCGTCTAGTATAATACTTAATAAACCCGGGCCCCTAGTACTATTAGGTAGCTAATAGAGTTATTACCTACCTTAATTCTACCCGCTATCTCGCTATTAAATATAGCGTAGAATTAGGTATAGAAAGGGACTCTATCTAATTCGTTAGTGATACTTTATATAGGGATCACCCCGATAGAAAGAGCTCCGCTAGCTATATCTACTAGGTATACGGCGGGCTAGTCGACTAGAAGGCTAGTAAGCAGCCTATAGTCACCACCTCCACTACTAAAGCTAAGCTCCTTAGTCTCTTAGAGACTATAAAATAGCTATAATAGTAGCGTAGACTTCTTAATACCCTAGGTTTTGTCCCTTCCTATTAACTAAGTATCGATTGCGATAATTAGCGTACTATTAGTCTTCTAACTAGTAAGGATACGGCGTTCGAGACGAAATTACGATATATTAATATTCATCGGCACTAGCTCAGATAGGAAGTTAGGGAAGGAAGAATTAAGGTGAAATAGGTGCCGATAGCTAGTATAGCTACAGACGGACTCACAAAGTTGCTCACTAGGTAAAAGCATAAAGCTTTCCTTAAAATGTTAAGGATAATAGATATAAGCTATCTGATAGTAGGAGCTATTTGATAGCATAGGTCATTTGATCAACAAAGGGAGAGAAATAGTATGTTGACTAGGGTGTAGGAAGCAGCTAGACTATACTGGCCTAGCTGAGGGGGTGTGTCGGAGCATGAGATCGGCATACCGGAAGTTTAGTTTATCCTGTCCACGCAGTATTTTTGATATTAGTCAGATAGTTATATTTCCTGCTAGAATAGTGGATATAGAAATACAGAGATTTCAATTCCCTTGATTGGACCCCTAATATACTGAATACCACGTTAGTTGACAAGATCGACAAGCCCGATCACTAAGGCATCGCCCTTGTTCCTGCACAGATGGCGGACCTAGACCTCCGCAATGGGCCTGGTTGGGCCCGGACCTCAGGCCCATAGCCTAACCAGCAGTGGGCTATGGGCCCTACCTTCGAAGCCTAACCAAGCCTATGGCCTATTATAGGGGCCTATAAGGCCCCTATTAAAGCCTATTTATATGTATAAATATAGTCTTAGCGCTTATAAACCTGCTAATTAATATCTGTTCTTTATATATGTTTAAGTCTATATACTTACCGCGGAAGATCTCGGCGCCGGCCCTGATCTAGCCTAATACGGGGGTTTAATAGGTGATATCGAATTAATATGTAAATATATATATTTTATATAGAGAGAAGTGAGTGTATCTTTCTATTAATTTATTTTTTTCTTAAATTTCATAAATCTTAATTTTATTAATCTGATCTAGAGTCGATTCAGTTAATTTAGTCATTTTAGTTATTTTAGGCACCTATAGTCAATTCATATAGGGGGTAATCTGAATACCTAGAAATACTAGAAAAATCTATATTACTTATATATCTGCTAAGCATTAGTATGTTTGTATTGTTTGAAGCCCATTAGGCCCCTATAAAAGCCTAGTGGGCTTCTACCCTAGGCCTATAGCCACCGATGGGCCCAGAGACCGGGCCCAAAGCCCAGCCCATTTGCGGGTTGGGCTTTGGGCTTTGCGGGCTGGTGCGGAGGTCTAGCCATGAAGCAGAACCCAACTAAATCAATAGCTTTTCCATCAGGAAAGAGTGCATGAAAAATTCAGCGTGATACGGTTGAAGAATTCGCATGAGGTAATCCGTCCAATCACTTTGCCAGCCCCAGGTAAGTAGAGCCTTTGCGAATTCCCAGTATTCTGGATACCAACCACTTAGCTCCCAGTCTATAATGGCGACCACATTGCCATCTTTCACCATAACATTCTGAGGCCGGATATCACCATGTGTGAACAAGATGCGGTGAGATTGAGGAAGCATTTCACTGAGAAAACTTCTGATGTGACGTTTTGGCGCATTCTTTTGATAGGCGTTGATAAGAGCCGTGTTAAAGTCTTGCTCCGAATCAAATGGGCCTTAGAAATAAAATTAGTTCAAATGAAGAGGTCCCTGCATGTTCCATCCCCAAGGTCTGGGTATTGTACCTTTGTCAATAGAGGCCGATAAACTGTGGTCGGTAACAGGACCATTATCTACGGAGCCAATATAACCAACATTCCTTATACCACGGATCTCTTGGATATAGCTCGCAAGTTGTCTTGAAATATGGGATTTGGTGGAGACGCCGAAAGTGTCCCAAGCTGTGTGGAGCGTTTCACCGGCAACGAAACTCATAAAGATGTAGGTATCGTAAAGGCCTCCGTAATCGCTAGCATCACGATCAATTGGACCGTAAGTATAATATGCGAAAACTTTCGGTACAGGAACCCCTGTATTCTGCGCAACATGGATCATGGTTTTGGCCTCGGTAATGTCGACATGAGCACCAAATTTGACGACGACTTCAGGTGATATCTTCACGATAATGACACCTTGGCAGAAGATAAGGTTGCTTTGGTCCCGACAAAATTGGTTGACAGTATCAGGATGCGGCAAGCAAAACCCAGGGGCACAGTATTGCACATTCAACTGAGGATCGGAAGTCGAAGGTTGAGAACTGCTCGATGTTGTAGTGGACGCCATGTCTCTAGGCTCTAGACGTTATTTTAGGTACGGATGACAGGCGCGGATGATAGGAAGAGGAAAACATAAAAGATCGCAGAGTCGAACATGGAAGAGGTCAAAACATACGACTCGGGCCATTAGTCACGTGCGAGCAAGCTACTCGTGACTAGACTTCCGCACGCACCGGAATTAGGTCGAATATCCCGACCCGGCACCGGACCTAGGTTAGGTCTAGTGCCAAACCCCCCGACCCGGGCCTATACCGGACCTAACGTTAGGTTCACCGGATAACCTAATAAAAACCTAATTAGACCTAACTTTTATATAATTCTCTATATAAAGTGCCTTACTTATCTAAATTAACCACTATAGTTTTTCCTTATTTTAGTTATATTTAGACTTCCGCACGCACCGGAATTAGGTCGAATATCCTAACCCGGCACCGGACCTAACCTAGGTCCGGTGCTAAACCCCCCGACCTAGGCCTACACCGGACCTAACGTTAGGTTCACCGGATAACCTAATAAAAACCTAATTAGACCTAACTTTTGTATAATTCTCTATATAAAGTGCCTTACTTATCTAAATTAACTACTATAATTTTTCTTTATTTTAGTTATATTAAGAAAGACTTTAATGTTTAGTAGTATAGTAAGTTAAACTTAATAAAATATCTTTATTTATTAGTATTTAAGGTCTAGTAATATATTAATTACTTAATAGAATATAAAATTTCTTATAAAATAATACTATAATTAGTAGAGTTAGAAAACTTATATATTTAAGTAGTAGAAATATATATTTATAATATATAGTTCTAATATAGTCTTTCTAATACTAAAGAAATAATTAGAATAATAGTAAATTAGTCTAATTTTATAAATCTTCTTTATTAGAGAGTAGTTTCTAGTAAAAATAAATATTATTAGTACCTAGATATTATTATATTTACTTAATAATCCCTTAATTCTAAAGTATTTAGTTAAGACTAAGTATTTAGGATAAAAAATTCTTAAGTGATTTTCTAAATTAATATAGGAATTAGGTTTTTATTAGATTTTTACTAGGTTTTCGCTAGATTTCCTAGGTTTTTATTAGATTTTCTGGGTTTTTATTAGGTTTTTACTAGATTTTTATTAGGTTTTATATAAGGGCCTACTTACTTTATACTCTATAAGCTTATAAGCTAATTAATATAAAGTTAATATCTTAGTCTATTCGATCTATTATCTCTAATCTCTACTTACTATTCTTAATTATAAATTATAATATCTCTCCTTTATTTCCTTTATTATATTTATATCTATATCTTAAAGCTAGTAATCTAATTTTATATTATCCTTTTATAAGGGAGAGACTAATAATATCTTATATCTATTAGTTTAACTACCTACTTCTTTCTTAACCTATTCTATAATTAATAAAAGCTTTAGATATCTAATTAAACTACCTCCGATTCTACTTTCCCTCTAACGTATTTATTACGACCCTCTACTAGGAGAGTGCCTTATAGGCTGGATCCCGCCTAGTCCTATGACCTAGAACCCGTGACCTAGTAGGGGTAGTATGACCCCCCGCCAGAGACCGTACTAGGGAGACTAAGTCCTACCGGGTTAGGTGACCTAGTCCCGTGACCCGCTAAAGGTTATCTATATAGAGACTACTAAGGGAACTTAGCTCTTTAGCGATTAGTTTATAAATATATTAGTACCCTACTATTCCTTCACTCTAGTTCTATATTACCTACTAGGACCCGCTAGCACACCGGTCTTAATATTCTAATCGCTAAATCTTAATTGAACTAGACCGTTAGAATACGTAATATCGATAACTCGACGTACGAGCGACCGCCTAAGGGGAACCTTAGCCCCGATCGCGGAAATAAACAACGTCCTAGGACCCCTATAACCCCTACTAGAAGAGGTAGAGATATAGGGAGTCGACGATAACCCTTAGGGAGGAAACCCGCCGGATCCGATAACCCCGACCGAGGTAGACGAGAAGGCGGAACTCCGAGAGTTAGAGACCCTTAAAAGATATCTAGCTCTAGTAAAAGAGAAAAATAGGATCCGCGCGGAGCTATAGGACGAAGAGGAAAATATAGTAATCCTATAGGTAAGAATATAAGGATCTAGAATCTATTAGGGTTTACTAGGTAGTACTACTAGCTAAATTACTTACTAACTACCTAATACTACCTATATAAACTCGATTATATTATAAGGAAGTACCGGAGGCTATCTATCCTACTAGAAGAAAGCGAGAGAACTATATATACCCTATAATATAATAACGTATAGAGCTAAGAGTTTAGGCGAATATAATCTCTTTAAGTCGAACTAGAAAGCCTTTTAGAATAGATATCCCGATTAGTTCGCTAGCGATATACGTAAGGTAGACTAAGTAACTAAGTTCTTAGCGCCGAAGGTTAATATAATATAGATAGAATACTATAGGAATAACCTAGGTATAACGTTTACCTAGTTAGTCTTCGAAATATAGGCGCTCGTTTAGGTTACCGACCCTATTAAGATATAGCGAGAAGCTAAATACGATTAATAGTAGATAATATAAACTAAGTATTAGGATATATATTAATATACTTTAAAGCTTACCGGACTCTATAACCGCCTAAAAGATATACTAACTAGATAGATAAGAATTAACTATTTAGAGATAGGTATCGTTAAGGAGGTATAAGACGAAGTAAGGAGATTTATAGCCCCCGCTATAGATTAATAAGATAACTAGGTAGCCTTCTATAATTAAATTAAGAAAGTAATACTAGGTAAGATATTATATTTTAGGGAGGCTAGAAAGATAGCGCTAAGAAATACTATAGACTTATAAAGATCTAGTAGAAGACCCTTTAAGGGAAATAGCGCTTTCCCTATATAGTAAGCTACGACTACTATAGAGGGTAGAAAAGCTACTATAGGGTCTAAATAAGACTAGAGCGGAGATAGTAAATTCTATAACTTTTATAGTAAGCTAGGCTACTATACGAAGGACTACTATAAGAAAGCTATAATAAATACTATAGCTATAGAAAAATTAAAAAAATAGACGACCCTATACTATAGACTCCTATAGTATTAGAGATAGTTCTCTTCGGAGAATATAAAGGAGTATACTAAGCACTTATCTATAACGTACTAATATTAGATATTAATATTAGAGCCCCGATAGGGGTAGCTAAGACGCTAATAGATAGTGGCGTAACTTAGAGCTTCGTAAGCTAGAAATAGGTAAAAGAGAACCTAAAAGAGATATATATAATAAGCACCCGCCTAGTAGAAGTTATAGACGGGCGTAAGATCTCTTTATATAGAAGCTAAGAAGTATAGCTTAGTCTAATAGACCGGAATAGAATCTATAGAGTTATTAAAATAACCTATAAAGCTATAGATATAACGATCTATAATATAATTCTAGAAATAGATTAGCTTAGACTAGTAAATCTAGATATTAACTAGGTAACTAGTAAGTAGGTATATAGAAATATAGCCTTACTAGAGGTTAAAACCCTCCCGCTAGAAGACTTCGAGGAAGAAGTAAGACTATAAAATATACTTAGAGAGCTACGCTTAGATATCGATAAGGTTACTAAGGAGTTTATAGTAATACTAGGGGTAATATAAAGCTCGGATAGGACCTCCTATCCGGTATAACCCCTAACTAAACTCCTACTAGAATACTAAGATCTAGCTATTATAGCGAGTAAAGAAGGTACTATAGCCTTTCTAACCTATATAGAATATAATTACGTAATCGAGCTAATACTAAGTAAAATACCCCCTTAGAGACTAGTATACGTACTATCCGCTAAGAAGTTAGAAGTCCTCTACTAATATATTAAGAAGAACCTTAAAAAAGGCTAGATCTAATATTTAAAGAGTTAATTAGGTATACCTATCCTCTTTATACCGAAGAAAGATAGTAAGCTTAGACTTTATATAGACTATAGAGGGTTAAATATAATTACTATTAAGAACCGCTACCCTCTATTACTAATTAATAAGTCCCTAGTAAGATTATTAGGAGTATAGATCTATACTAAACTAGATCTATAAGATACTTACTATAGGATCTGTATAAAATAAGGAGATAAGTAGAAAATAGCGTTTAGATACCGCTATAGATATTTCGAATATATAGTAATACTATTTAAATTTATAAATACTCCCGCTACCTTTTAGGTATATATTAATAGAGCCTTAGTAGGACTTATTAACGTCTACCTAGTAGTATATTTTAATAATATACTAATCTTCTCGAAGGACGAGGAGACTTATATATATTACGTCCGAGAAGTACTAGAACGCCTAATTAAGTAGAGGTTATTTATTAAACTTAGTAAGTATACGTTCTACGTAGAGAGAGTCGACTTTTTAAGCTTTATTATCTCCCGCTATAGAGTCACTATAGACCCTACCCGAGTAGAAATAATAAGCTAGTAGCTAGAGCCGACCTATATCTTTAACGTATAGTAGTTCGTAGGCTTCGCTAACTTCTACCGACGTTTTATTAGGAAATAGTTAATAATTAGCGCCCCCTTTAACGATCTAATTAAGGGGCTAGACGTATAAAAGAAGGGAAGAAATAAGCGCTAAAAAGGGTTCGTCTTTATAGAAGAAGCGTAAGAAGCTTTTAAAAGGACTAAGACCGCTTTCTAGACTACGCCGATACTCGTATACTTCGACGCTATATTAAAAACTATAATAGAAATAGATATATTAGGAGCCGCTATCTACGTAATTATATTATAGCTCTATAAAGATAGATACTAGTACCCTATCGCCTTCTACTCCTAGAAGATACTAGTAGTAAAGAGAAATTACTAGATCGGCGACTAGGAAATACTAGTAATCTTTATAGGGTTTAAGAAATAGCGCTACTTCCTTAAAGGAAATAAGTACCTAATTATAGTAATAACGGATTACGCTAATCTTATCTAATTTATAACGACTAAAGAGCTTATAAGACGTTAGGTACGCTAGGTAAAATATCTTATAGGT